TAAAAGGGCGCAGCGGACGGACACGATGTAGTTTAGAACTACTAGAAGCGGGGGTTGGGGGCAAGCCTCGTTGCTCGCTCGTCTGTGCTCAGTTTTGTGATGACTATTCCTGTATACATGCTGGTTGCCGCTCCCTGCCCCCTCTTCCCCCCCCCCCCCCCCCCCCCCCCCCCCCCTTCCTTCCCCCAGTCTCCTCCCTCTCCGCTCTTCCTCGGCGAGGGTGGAACCCGAACACCCAGAAACTACTGTGACACAATGGAAGAAGAAACGTTGGAATGGTTTTACTCGTGGCTCCTGGAAATCGCGTCAGCCACCACCACAACGCGCACCGGTTATGATACCAACCGTAACCCACATACCGTCATTTTGAAAGGGGTGGCGCCCTTGGTCGTGAACAGTCATTGTGAAACCAGCTGTGCGCGTCGCCTGCTCTGTCGCTCCTCCCCCTCGCCTCTCCTCGCCTCGCCTCTCCTCTGTCCTCTGTCCTGCCGGTTTATGTGACTCGGCGTTCCTGGGCTCTCACTTGCCATGGCCAACGGGCGACTGCGCACGCGATGGAGCGCGGCTAGCGGCCCGCGACGCCGCGGGGCTGCGACCAAGCGGCGTTCTGTTGTTACTGTCAGGGACTTGTCATTCGATTGTGTGTGTGTTGTGTGTTTTGTGGTATATTTCCTCTCTCTCTTTGTAATAAGGGTGTTTTACAACGTAGGAGGTGGCATAAGAGAGAAACACGAGAGAGCGAAAAACCGAAGCCAAAGAGAGCGGGAGACGAGACCGCCAGGCGAATCCCACAGCCCGGTGCCACCAGGGACGTGGGGGGGTGGCGATTGCGCGACGCAACCAGCGCGCAAGTAAATACTCACATGATACCGCTGCCAAACTGTGAATGGAGCAGACCGCCCGCCAGCGTCATCTGGCCCCTCCCAAAGCCTGGTAACAGCATGGACCCGTCCCACCCATCAAATGCGTCCGCCGACATGAACGTTGGCATGTACTCTGCCCAACCGTGGGCCGCTTGTGGCGTGCCCGTGGACGCGTACGCGCCGCCGCCGAGGGCAGCAGACGGCGAGTTTTGGACAGACTCGGATGGGCCAGCTGCAGAAGGCAGAATCCTGTAGACAAGTTAGCGTTTGTTCATATCACCGTCGTGACCATGGAGTAAGCCCCCGACATACATCATGTCGCCACCTTGCGGGATAAATGCGAATTGTGTCTCCGCGTTCAACATGTCCGTCGGCCATGTTCCCTCGCCCATTAATGAAGGGTCAAACACATGCTCGGCGGGGGCAGGCTGGGCTGTGCCGTTTGGCAACGGCGAACCAGGGCGCGATGCGACGTGCGACGCGTGGCCAGATCCGCCGCGACGCTTCATGTCCTTTGTCTTCCGAACAATCTCGCGGATAAATGCCGCATAGATAGCCGGTTGATGAGATGGGTCGACGGCAATGTCCTCGAGAATATCCGCAACTTCCGTAACCAGGGCAAAGATGGCTTCTTCTGAGTCGTGATATGGCTGCAGTTCAGGCTTGAGGAGCTTGAGCAACGAAAGGAGCTGCGAAAAGAGGGGTTGTGTGTCAGAACAAGAGTGCGTCGTGCTTCTCCAGATCAAGTGACTGGTCAAAAAAACTTACAGCATAACTGCACATGACAAAGTTGGTGTCGGGCAGATACGGCAAGTAGCCTCGAGGCTTGAAATCGTCCTTGACAACCGTACACACGAGCTGCACAAGAGTTTCAGTTTCAGACCTTTCGTGGGACAGACATGGGTTCGAGACCACCGGCTAAACTCACCGTCGCCGCCTCGTAGACGTTCTGGAGGAAGAAGGAAATGTCCAGCTTGGCGCGCTCGAGGGCGTTCTCGAGGCCGAACGAGTAGAGCACCAGGGACGAGTAGGCATAGTAGAATTTTGCACGCGAAAAGTACTCGGTGGCACCTTCTTCTGGGGGGTTCCGTCTTTTCAGTTAGTATGGGTCCTGCACCTGTGGCAGACTCACTCCATGACTCTGGTCCAGTGGTTGATCCATCGGCGAAGCTCCTCGTGGGCCGATCGCGTAATGAGCATGTAGTCGCAGTCCTCACGGAGGCCCGAGATGGTCGTTGTCGACGAGTAGATCGAGTCGATGGCGCGGCTCATGATCTGCTGGAGTACAACATAGGCAGCGAGACCCTGGTCCGAAAGGAGAGAGAAGCGTTGCTTATGCCATGACGACTGGTTGGCGTGACGGATGATATAATCCTCCCTCAGCGTGTAGGGCTTGCCCATTTGCGCCGAGACGGAGCGGTCGAGGACAAAGCACATGAGCCAGCATCGCTCGCGGTTGATAATCTCCAGGTCGCGCTCGCGGCCCTCCCTTGTGTCGAGACCGGACACTACACTCTTGCGATGCAAGTTGAGGTCGGTCGCCATACGGATCGCCATGCCCAGCATGAGCCACGTGCGGTCCTGCTCAAACGTCTTCTCCGGGCCGAGGGTCCACATTGACAGCAAGAGGTACGCCTGGCACACCTCAACACTCTTGTAGCCTCGGGACGGGACCTCAAAGGACAGGCGCTTGGCATAGATCGAGAGAGAAGCGTGGAGCTCTGGTCGCTTGCTGTAGTAGCGAGCGGCGAGGGCGCAAATGACAGTGCAAAGGAACTGGCTGCGTTGGAGAACCAGCTCGGGTGTGTGGAACTCGCGGTAGATGAGCGGCACGTGGTAAGACATGTGCTTGAAGTAGAGGTCGAACAGCTCGTTGATCTCCTCGCTCGACACAATCGTCAGGAGCTCGGGGACGCGATCGTCGTTGCCCGTAAAGGGTCCGATCCCACCCGGCTTGAAGTAGTCGGAAGCGGCAACACCGACCTCGTGGCCGTCGTCGCCGCCACCGCGCACGTCGCTCATTGCGTGACGTTGGCCGGTATTCCTTCCAGCAGCGACGCCGAGGCTAAGTGGCGAGGGACGGATGGGAGCGTTGCCATTACGGCCCGAGACATTGTACTTTTTGTTGTCCGTGTTCTGGAGACTGGCCTCTGCCAGCAGACCCAAGGGTGAGAGCACATTGTCCGGAAGAGAGTGCAGTCGTGGCGAGAGGGGTGGACGGTGTGACGATGACGAGTCCTCTCCACGAACGCCCGAGTCATGGTTTCCGTACGATCCCCTGTTCAATGCCATGGCCAGGTTGGGCGCCGTTGACGACGACACCTGCGCGGTGATGAGCTGCACCACCTCGGGGTCGTTGGTGGCTGCATGCAGGCCGCCTGAGAACGAGTTGAGCGCTGTTTGGTCCAGGTGGCTGAGTGCCTGTGGTCGGGGCGTCAGCTTCTCAGTGTATCTCGTTGCTGCAAGCACTGGGGTGGTGGAGATGATGATACGCACGCCTCCGATGCTCTTCAGAGCGTTTTCCATCTTCTGAATCTTGGCAGCCAACGCTTCGTTTTTGCGTGTGCTGCGCTTGCCGCGGTTGGACTCCTCAAAGATGCACTCGTGGCCACCCGATTTGCAGCGCTGTAATGGGGTCAGTCACACTGCCGGCGGACGTATGCGCGGGGCAAGCCGGGGCCTCCCACACTCACCTTGCACGGCCCATTGGGACCACTCGAATCGTCAGGAATACACCGCATCTTGATCTTTCGGCACCTGAGGAAACGATGCGTCAGCTCATGGCGTTCAAGGAAAGAGAAGGGGGAAGGGAAGGTTGTCCATGGTCTTTGGTGGCGCAGGTTCTGTTACGTGCCCCCCCCCCCCCCCGGCGACTGTCTTTGGTGGTTGGGTGTTGGGAGTGGAGTGGTCACTATCACTCACGCGATGCAAGCCCGAGATCCACGAGTCAGCTTGACCTTTGGTTTGCCGTCGGGGCCCTTGACGATCTTGCGGTTGGGCTTGGTCGCGGAGGCCTTGGATGTGTTGCCAGCGTCGCCGTCGTCGTCGCTGTCTTCGTCGTCGTCGTCATCGTCGTCGCTGTCTTCCTTGTTGTCCGATCCCTGTGTGCGTGGACGCTTGGCGTCTGGCTGGTGGGACGTTGTGGATGCAAAGCCGCCACCGGTGTGGTCGAATGCATTACCCCGATGTTGTGGTTGCATGGACGAGGTGTTTGCGAACGCGCCGGCCATGTTCGAGTACGCCGAAGCGTAAGGGTGGTTGTTCATTGTGGATGGAGGGTGCAGCAGACACGAGGGGTGGGAGTGGTTGCCTGCGTCACCGGGGAGAGGCGGAGAGAGAGGAGGGTATACGGTGTGCTCTGCAGGCAGGAAGCAATGACGGGGGACCAGAGATGATGCGCACGGCGCGATGGATGGCAAAGTTGCGGGGGTCGTAGTCTTGCCGGAGGAGAGATGTGGGAGGCGAGGAGAAGGGGGTGTGTGTGAGCGGGGGACGAGGGGGAGGAGGCTGTGAGCGAGTGTGTTGTGGATGATGAGGGTGTGAAGTGTTGGGGAGGGGGAGATGGATGGATGAGAAGAGGGAGAAGAGGGAAGAGAGAAGAGAGGTGGAGGAGGGGGGGGGATGTGTATAGAGAGAGACAGACGATGGATGGAATTGCCGCGTGCGCACAAGCTAATGGGCCCAGCCATATGCCAGCCATATGCCAGGGTGTGCCAGCCCGCCAGCACTCACCCACACGGCCCACACATCACCCACCGGGGCCGCGGTCGTCTTGTGTCCTCTCCCCCCCTTCTCCCTTGGTCTTTCGCGAACCCTTCCGGCAGGTTGGAGCGTCTGTTAGCCGGCACCTTTTTCAGGCCGACATGGGCTGCTGGCTGCCGGCAGGCACACCACCACCAACCACCGTCTCTAACCGGGCCACCCACATAAACGCCCCCCCCGCCTCCTCTGTGCCTCTCTCATGTTGTCGGACCGAGAGGGGTGTCACTCTCTCACACACTCTCGCTCTCCCCCTTGCAGCCACCACCACCACCACCACCACCACCACCACCGTGTCCCGCTCTGGCTGATACATATTACACGTACACGTACACACACATGCGCAGCTTTACCACTTTCACACACTGCGCAGACAGAGACAGAGAGGCGGCAACAAGCTACAAGCCTCCCTCCTCGTCGTGTGCCTCTCTCATGTCCCAATGCGGCGGTGGCCACACCTCCCAGTCTCTTTTAATTATTCACTCACCCCCCCTTTATATTTCAATTACATAATAAATCATTGCTTATGTAATTACAAAGAGTTACGTAAGGTATTTGTGCCCTTTAGTGCACGTGACAAGCACTCACTTGGGCGGTGCGTTCTTTTCGCGGGCCCATATCGGACATCTCGGCCTCAATCTCCGTTGTTCAATCTGGCGTCACCGCTCGTCACCGCGACACGCTAGAGAGCGACGACGGCCGACACACACAACAAATAATCTATCACGACAGGTCCCTTGCAACCCCCGCAGAAACCACTCAAACCAACTTCTTGACTCATCACATCCCCATCGTCCCTTCCCCGAGCCCCATTCCAAAGGCCGAGGCTCTGCTCGACTCCACACGACATCTTGCCCGTTGGGCAACGACTTTATAAACGGCGGTGGGCAGTCAGTCGTCGGCCTAAGAGAGATCCATCCTCCATCCTCGACTCCAACACAGCCAAACCTCGCAACATGACCTTTGGCTTCCCCGTGTCCCCGCTGGTCGCTCTCCACCACGCCGGCGCATGCGCCGCTAGTGTGGCTGGTAGCACCTCCAGGCCAGCACGGCCACTGGCGCGTGCCGCCGACATGTACCGCTTGCACGCTGCTGGTGCAGCCACTCGCCCACTTTCCACAGTCGCGAGGCATACGCGACCCGCTACACGGCCATTCGCACCTCCCAGTCGCGTCCTGAACGCGGCCTTGTTCTCGTCCTCGGCGCCCCACCGCGTGCCTCCACCTTCCACACCGCCTGCACCACCAGCAGCACCACCAAACGCGCAGGCATCCTCCTCCTCCGCCGTCAACCCGGATGTGGCGAGCAAGCCCGTGTCTGAGAAGAAGCAGGCCCAGACAGACTGGACCATCCTCCGACAGCTCGCGAGCAACGTCTGGCCAAAGGACAACACAAGCGTCAAGATCCGTGTAGTTACCGCCCTCAGCCTGCTCGTTGCAGGCAAGATTCTCAACGTCCAGGTCCCCTTCTTCTTCAAGGGCATCGTCGACGGCCTCAACGTCGCTGTCGACGCGGACACTACAGTCTGGGTCCTTGCCGGCGCGGCTATCGCAGGCTGTGAGTGGCTTGCAGTGGTGTGGCTCCACTACTGCCTGTACCTGGTTGGACACTTTTGCTGACAGTCAAGACGGTCTGGCTCGTATCGGCTCGACCCTCTTTGGTGAGCTCCGCAACGCCGTCTTCGCCACTGTCTCGCAAGGCACCATTCGCAAGGTGGCCCGAGAGACGTTTGACCACCTCCTCAACATGGACATGAAGTTCCACCTTGAACGTCAGACTGGTGGCCTCACTCGCGCTATTGACCGTGGTACCAAGTGGGTAGTTATCGCCAAGTACGCACGCTGACCCACCACAGGGGTATCTCGTTCATCTTGTCGTCTATTGTCTTTCACGTCATTCCCACTGCTCTGGAGATCTCCATGGTGTGCGGTATCCTTGTGAGTTGTGTTTGCCGCCAGAGAGTCACGCTGTTCTAACCCACTGCCAGTCGTGGAAGTTTGGTTTGGACTTTGCTGGTGTGACCGCTGTCACCATGCTCCTCTACACCTGGTTCACCGTCCAGACCACCGCCTGGCGTACCCAGTTCCGCAAGCAAGCCAACGCTGCCGATAACAAGGGTGCCACACACGCCGTCGACTCGCTCATCAACTACGAGGCTGTCAAGGAGTTTAACAATGAAAAGTACGAGATCAAGCAGTACGATGCTACCCTCAAGACGTACGAGAAGGCCTCCATCAAGATTGCCACGTCGCTCGCGTTCCTCAACTCTGGTCAAAACTTCATCTTCTCATCCGCGCTCACCGCCATGATGGTCCTCGGTGCCAACGGTGTTATCAAAGGTGAGCTCTTAGAGGGGCCAGTACTCCAAGCTGACATCCAGGTACCATGACGGTCGGTGACCTGGTACTTGTCAACCAGCTCGTGTTCCAGCTTTCGCTCCCGCTCAACTTCCTCGGCACCGTGTACCGCGAGCTCCGCCAGAGCCTGATTGACATGGAGGTCATGTTCAACCTGCAAAACGTAAAGCCCGAGATCCATGACCGCGTTGGCGTCAAGTCGCTCCAGCTCAAGGGCGGCGAGATCAAGTTTGAGAATGTCAACTTTGGCTACCACCCCAGCCGCCCGATCCTCCAGAACCTCTCGCTCACCATTCCTGCCGGCAAGAAGGTCGCCCTGGTCGGCCCCTCGGGTTGCGGCAAGTCGACCGTCTTCCGCCTCCTGTTCCGCTTCTACGACGCCCAGTCGGGCCGCATTCTCATCGACGGCCAGGACATCAAGGACGTGTCGCTCGAGTCGCTGCGCAAGAGTATCGGTGTCGTGCCCCAGGACACTCCCCTCTTCCACGCCGACCTCATGCACAACATTCGCTACGGAAACCTCGAAGCCACCGACGACCAGGTGTTTGAGGCTGCGCGCAAGGCCCAGCTCGACAAGACCATCGCCAAGCTTCCCGACGGGTACGCCACCAAGGTTGGTGAGCGCGGTCTCATGATCTCGGGTGGTGAGAAGCAGCGTGTCGCCGTCGCGCGTCTCCTGCTCAAGGACCCTCCTATCAACTTTTTCGACGAGGCCACCTCGGCTCTGGACGTGTACACCGAGACCGAGCTCATGCGCAACATCAACTCGACGCTCGTGGACGGCACCAAGACCTCGGTCTTCATTGCGCACCGCCTGCGCACCATCTCGGACGCCGACATCATCATTGTCCTTCAGGACGGCCAGGTGGTCGAGCAAGGAAAGCACGACGAGCTCCTGCGTATTCAGGACGGCGTCTACCACAACCTCTGGAACGCCCAGCTCACCGAGAGCGTCAAGGAGGAAGTGGACAAGGAGCTCGACAAGGAGATTGCAGAGCTCGAGAACACGAAGAAGAAGCAGTAAAGACGCACATTATGCGCCAAGCACGCCCGCTCCTGGTCACTCGTCTCGTGATGGCTAGGAGCGGGGCGGGCACACCCAGACCCCTCACATAACCCCTCACACTATCTCATGCATAGCATCTCATTCAGCACCGATTCTTTGCGCAATTACGATAGGGGGCGCGATGATCCTCTGTGTACGGTGAGGCCCGTGGACAAGGCTGTAGGATCCTGGATCAGTAGGCCATGAGTATCCCCACTATCCCAGCCTCTCTCACTGGAGCCTCTGCAACAACAGCTGAAGCACGCTGGGGACAGTCTAATGGCAGGGGTTATGCAAACGTGCAAGGTACGACAAAGGATGCATGAATGCAGAGTATGTTTAGGTCTGGCCCTCGACCGGGGTGTCTCTTGAATCACCAGCGATGGCACGGCGGACGGGCCTCGGTTGCAGGTTGATCGGTTGTGGCAGGCGGCGGTTTCACACAAACAACACCGTCAACCGCACGCGACCTTCTCTCTGCCTTTCTGTCTTCCTTCCTCGCCATCCTCCTTTCCACTTTCAACCCCTCACATTCCTTTCCTCCGCCATCTCCTTCTTCCCACCTCCGGCACACTCCCTCCCCACTGACGCGACGCTGGTGCAGTCATACAGATCGGCCAGACTGTCGCGTCGCGCGCCCACGCACCGACCCGTTTCTCCATTCTCCTTCCGCCTGTTTACCTCCCACACACCCCCTCCTGTTGCCACCGACATTCTTTCTTTCCCTCCATTACCCACCATGCCCATCATGACTCCCGAATTCCCTTCCTCTTCCGACTGCGAGCCCTCCGACCCTTCTACCACACCTCACCATTACGCTGCCCCCACCTCGAACCCCTCCTTCCTCGCCCTGATCGAGTTGGTTCCCCAACCTCCCCCCGGCAGCTGGGCCAACCTCGTCGCATCCCATCCCGAGTGGTTCACGGCCTGCAAGCTTCCGCGTGAAATCAGAATCGACCTCGCCGGCGTGTTTGCTGGCCAAGCAACAGGAACCGGGAACGCCAGGCTACTCACTGACGTTCTCGCTCGCATGCTCTTCCCCCACAGGTTTGATGCGTTTGGCAGACACACGCCACTCGGCATTGTCCCATCAATCACCTTTGGTTCCGCAGAGTGGCCCAGCAACAACATGGGTCGCGCATACGCGGCCGTCGAGAGGTACAACCGTAACAGCGTGGAGACAAAGTGCGCAACCAGGTGGATGACGGCTCGCTGCCAGGCAGCTTGCCTCCAGGTCGTGGCATACGCCGCGCTCGTCATTGTCCCCACGACACTGGTCCATTTCCTCTCCGAGGCGCTTACGCGCATCCGCCCGTGTCCCTCAATCTCTACGGAAGACCTCACATCAGAGCAGCGTCTCCGCGAAGCTGCCACTCTCATTCAGCGCGACCGTGCCTGTACTGCCAACGAGGCCGTTGCCCAGGCTGTCGGCCAGGCCGCCTTCCTCCACGAGGCCACTGGCCTCGGTTTTGGCATGGCCATGGCCGGTCCCAAGTTTGCTCGCACCGTCGCGCTCTCGCACCATGTCATCTGCGTTGAGCTCCTCCCGCGCAACGGTCACTCCGAAGCCGACTTTACGGTCGTCGTTGGGCTGAACCACCTTTTCGCCGACGACCTCTGGGACCGAATGCCACACAACCTCGTCACCCGTGCAGTGCCCGACGACATGGCCCGTTCAGTGGCCGAAAACATGCCTAGCCACCCCTTGGCCCACCATGACCAGGTTCTCAACCATCACAGCCTCCAGCGCTTCCTGGACCTGTTCGCCGCGGCCCAAATGTCCCTCGGCACCCAGCCAATCTCCACCCACCATCACCCCAACCCGCGTTTGAGCAACATGGGTCGTATCCAGACATGGCTTCTCGAGGGGGCCAATCGCCACCACCGCCAGTACCTTGCGCTGCCACCCATTCCCATCCAGGTTCCAGTCATCTCTTCTGTTTCCTCGTTGTGGGCGCTGCAGGTCGCCGGCATCGTCGTGGTCGTTGTTCCACCTGCCACGTTTGACGACCTGCTCCTCGAAATGGTTGTCCTTGCCGGAAGTGACTACCCAGCGGGTCCTGTCGGTTGCTCAGACCACTTCCCCTACGTTCACACAGCGACCGACACCGAAGAGGAGGTGACGCCCGTCAGGCAGCAAGGCCAACCAGTCAAGCGGGACCTCTACTTGCCCACTCCTTCCACGACCGTCCCAAACAGCGCCATCGGCCTGGGCCTGCAGATCAAGCTCCCCGCACTTCCGCCTCCAGTTCAACCTGCTCCCTCACCTTTCACGTCCGTCTCCGAACCCCTTGCTCCAGCCAAGATCACTGGCAAGCGTAAGCGTGCGGCCCCCGGCCAACCCAAGGTCCAGCCGTCCAGGGCGAACACTGCAGCCAAGCCTCCCCGGGCCACTTCCAAGACGAACCCCGCAGCCAAGCCTGTGCGCGCTACCTCGACCGAGAGGCCCAAGGGACGTCTCCCCAAGACCAGCACAAGCAAGAGGGCACCTGCTCCAAGCCCAACGAATATCGCGCCTGCTCCAGCCCCTACTCAAGCGCCCGCTCCAGCGCCTGTTGAGATTCTCCCCGAATCCAGTGCAAGCACGAGCCCCGTTGCCGCGTCTACTCCCCAGGACCGCCCCATGACGGCTGTCTCCTTCAGCGACCTCCTTGTGGATGGAGCGGATGAGCTCGTTCAGCCCAGTCTCCTCAGTGACGACTCTAGCCTTTCTCCAGCCGAATCCAGTGCTTCGACCCCGTGGCCCAACGGACCTCCCTCCCAGCCCGATGCAGGCAAGAATGCACCTGCTCCGACGCCTGTCCAGGTTCTCCCGGAGTCCACTGCAAGCACGAGCCCAACTGCCACGTCCATCCCCCAGGACCGCCCCATGACGGCTGTCTCCTTCAGCGACCTCATTGTTGATGGAGGGGATGAGCTCGTCCAGTCCAGTGTCCTCAGTGACTCCAGTGACTCTAGCCTTTCGCCGGCCGAGTCCAGTCCCTCCATGTGACCTCGTTTCTCACCCACCTCTGTCGATCTCGAGTTCAACCTCGATTTTTCGATTCAATGGCCCCCCTTTTCGTCTCTGCTGGACTGTACCCGCCATGCTTTCCTTCACACTTTGGGGTTTCCCCACTTCTTCGTCTTTGCTCCATATTCGACAACCCTTCCCTCGTCCTCGTCGGGAGGCGTATCCTGTACTCCAAGTTTTCCTCCCTCCCTAAACCTCTTTTTTCGTTCACATACTTCAATAGTTGCCGGTGGGGCTTGCTGTGCCTCTCTGCGTTATTGACTTTATTCTTTTCAGTAGTTTATAGGCACTCACGTGCCCATGCAGGCATGTATACTGTTCATCTGTAACGTGCAACGTGCCGACTAAGCAGCGTTGGCGAGGTAGGTACGAAGTTGGCGTGGCGGACGCGCATATACGCGGCGTTTCCGGATGACACTTACACGCGATAAAGGTGCCCTCATCTATCCTCCTCGCCCCGTCTCCTCGTTTCCTAAGTGACCGCGGCGGCATCAGAGAAACTGACAACTGAGAGTTGCATGCAGGGAATGATGTCACACACGCAGTTACATTCCAGCCCGTCCGCGAAAACCTGAGCGCTGTTGGTAACGGACCAAGCGAGCGTCCCAAAGTCAGGCCGCCCAGCTGTTTCCACCATCGCTCTGCACAACCAACTGCGAGTTTAACCCCCTTCGGACTGGGCAGTTCAACAGTTCTGCATGTACCACCGGTCTTCAGTGATGCAAGCCAGTGGCCAGTGGTGTACCAGAGTCCCGATAAAGCTCTCCAATTTATTTCAAGAGGGCATATCAAGGGATGGGCGGTGCCCGGTGCCGCCAAGACGAAGCGGCCCTTTGTGCATGCATGTATGGACCTCCTCGCGTGCTTGCCGAGCGCAACGGAAAACATCGAAAACAGGCACCAAACCAAGGTGTACTACTGTACAGGTGTTGTGTGTTTCCCTCCAGCAAAACAGTGTCCTTTTTCTCAGGTGCTCGCCACCTCTACATGCCTGCATGCCTGCACACGCGTGCGGACGGACATACGCCTACCACGCCCCCGGGTTCCTGCGTTCCGTGAGGATCGGAGGGGACCTGCACGCATGTACACCCCGACCTGAGCCCAGCTGACAGCTGATGCGGGAGCCTCTCGCAGGCCACAGCGCAGCTCGCAGTGCTGACGCTAGACGCATGTTGATTCTCGTTCACTGCCGCCACCCGCAGTTGGCCCCGCAGCTGCGAAGCCGCCGTTGCCGCTGGCCGCTGGCCCTACATTGTGCCGTAACCCGAGAAGAGGACAGGCGCGGGTCTGTAAAACGGGGGGGCCACAGTGCACGTACAGCAGGTTCTCTGAGGAGTGCGACGTGCTGCGACGTCACTACTTTTGGGTGCTTGTTTGCTGTTTGGGCAGTTTTGGGGGCTGTGTGGTGTGGCAGCGGGGGCGAGAGATGGTCGTGGTTAGCAAGCATCCACACGGTTTTTACCTTAGGGGAAGGAGGTGCCACTGTGGCGCGCCCTTTTACAGACGACCATTTGAGGTCAATTGGGAACACTCGGCGTCGCTGGACAGGACATGTGGACACGCACCTGGCGCAGCAAGTGGAGGTAACCCCCGGCTTCCCACACGCCACGCACATGTTGCGAGGCGATGCATGCAACAATAAAGCAGAGGGAGGAGGAGAGCAACAGCGTTTGGCAGGCGGTAACTGAAATGACGTGTGTGCCGCCCTAAGAGCACTGATACAAAAGCCTCCCCGCCGGCTCAACACGCGCGCCACCACCTGCCCCGCGCGCTGCACGGTGGTGGGATGCTTCGCGTGTGTTGGAATGCAGAGTTGGAGTGTCGTCCACTTGCCGCAACGAGTAGCCGACGACGCCGACGCCGAGAGACGCCGTCAGAACACTCTCCAACACACTCTCTCCACCCCCACCTCGCTCGCTCCGTTCGCTCCCTCTCTCTGCGTCGCCTGCTGCGCGCCAACACACCCTCATCACATCCCATACACACAGCCTACACTTGCCCCCCCCCACTCACAGCCTCGCCCACACCCACCCCCCACCACTCTCTCGCCGGACCAACCACGACGAGACGCGCGCGCCGCTACGCCGCTCTCCACGTACATCCACGCGTCAGCGCGCACGGTCCGCACACCCGTCCCGTCCGATCGTCTCCCTCGTCCCCGTTCGGCCTGGCCCCCCTTCCTGGCCTTGCTTTCGCCCCGGTCCACGAGCGTCGTCGTCGTCGTCGTCCCTTTCTCATCTCTCTCCATCGACAGTCGTAGTGACACCGTCCGCCTGGTAACTTGTCCTCGCGACACCGGCAATCGTCGTTCATCCTCCCTCCCACATCCTCCATCTTCCTCACGCAGCGGCGGCGCCGCGGCGCATCAAATGTGAGTACTGCCCCCCACATGCCCTGCCTCGTCTACCCATCCCACCCCCACCGACGCTACGCCACCGCGACCAAGGACCTCCACATCACCACCAGTGTCCGCCGCGCGCGTGTTGCGTTGCCGCGGTGGCATGCGATCGTTGCCCGGTTGCACTGGACCCAGCTCCCACACCTGCATCAAAGTCTACTGCGTCTTGCGACTGACACATACTGTCCAGATGTCGTTCTTCCAGTCCATCTCCTCGTTCTTTGCACGCCCAGCTGGCGGCGGCCGCGACAACGAGTTTAGTCTTCCAACCACAAAATATGATAACGTGAGTAGCAACTCTCACCGGTTACGGGCAGGGAACAAGGGACAGCAGACAGTCGCGCGACAACTGCTGTTCGCCTGACGCCTGACATTCACGACCTGCGGTCCTTTGCTCTCGCTGACCAGCTCCCAGGCCTCCGACTCTGCGGGTCCCTCCAGGCGCGGCAACTACGCTGCCACACCAGCCGGTGGCGACAGTGATCCCTAGTACGTTCCCGCGCGCGCTCTCATGCACGTCGGCGCGCACATGAAAAAACCATGTCGCTGACGCGTGTTTCCCTTCTCGCTCAACTCATTGGTTTCACACTTTCCACGCGTCCTCGGACATTCGTGTACACGTCCGTGCACTCTGGGCATCTTCCAATCTGACTGGTTCTCACTCCCGTGCCTCGTGTTCAACACTGCGTCCTTGCCCTTCTACCTGTTCCTCGCGCGCACCGTCGTCATGACTGGCCAACCTTTTCAGCACCCGCAACGGCAACAACCCGACCAGCCGGTACCCTCCTCTGTCGCACACCTTCCATCGCCTGCGCAACACTTTGTTCGACGGCTTCCCTGAGCTCGTCGACTCTTTGAACGCACCCGTCTACTCGTCCCAGCTGGCCGAAGTCGAGCAACAGCTCGGTTGCCCGCTTCCTCCGCCTGTGCGCGAATCATTCCTGACCGCCGACGGCCAGGACATGGATGCAGGCGCCGGCGGCATCTTTTACGGCCTGTACCTCCTCCCGCTTGACGAGGTCATGCGCGAGTGGCATTTCTGGCGACAGGCCGAGGCCGACCCACGGACGGGTGCCAACCCGGCCGTGCTCGCGACCATGGCGTCCATCCCCCCGCAGTGGGTCAAGTCGCAGTACGCGTGCCGTGGATGGCTGCCGCTCCTGTCCGACACGTCCGGCAACTATGTCGGCGTCGACCTCGACCCAGGACCAGGCGGCGCATGGGGACAGACCATCATCTTTGGCCGTGACTTTGACCGCAAGTGTGTGGTGTGGCGCGGCGAGGGCGAGGGCGGCTGGGCCAACTTTGTCGCCAGCTTTGTGGATGAGCTCGAATCGGGTGACGGTTGGGAGGCAGACAAGGGCTCGGACGACGAGGAGGAGCTTGGGTACGAGAGCTACAGCGGTGGTGGCAGGTACGGCGAGTCGGGCACTGTCGCCCCCAAGCTCGCTGGACAGTACAAGGGCTGGAACACGCTCGAGGCGTGGTGGGACAAGAGTGTCAAAAAGTGGGACGAACTGGGTCTGGGCATGGACGTTGCCGCCATTGAGCGCGGCCTGGAAGAGGCCCGCCGCCTCACAGAAGGCAAGGGCAAGGAGCGTGGTGGCCGCGAGGGCGTCGACTTTGAGGGTATTCGCAGCGATCAGCGTACAGCCGAGGCCGACATTCCTGGTACGTCTTGGGCTACCTGGCCGTCTGCCTTTTTTTGCTAACCCATTTGCAGTCTTGTCACCAAGGCCCGATATGCCCTCCACACCGACCCCGGGAGACAACGAGTCGCTTCTGCCACCATCATCGCCCGACGTCAACAGCGTCCCCCGTATCCTCCACCCCTCCCACTCGCCAATGCGCACCATTACGCCATTGGCGTCCACTGCCGAGCACCCGCTCAAGACCGACTTCCTTTCGCCGCCTGCGCGCAAGTCGTCAAAGGGCCCCAAGCGTCCTGCCCCACCAGCCGTCACCCAGATCGACCTGCCTACCCGCGCAGACGTACAGGCTGCGCAGGCCGTTGCCCGCGCCGAGGCCAGTGGTCTCCGTGGCGGCTGGGTCATGAACCTCGACACGTCGGTCGGTTCCGCACACCGTCGTACCCTCTCGCCCACACATCGCGTCTCGCCGTCGATGGACGCCGAGATGGTGGACATTGACCTCGAGGGCGGCCGCCAAGAGTCCTTTGGCACCGCGGCGATGACCGCCCAGGAGCTCGAGAAGCAGCGCGAGGAGGACCGCTTGAGCATGGCTGGTGTTGAGCACCGCCGCGACTCGCGGTCGCCCGTGCTTCTCGGTAGCAGCCGTTCGCCGTCGCCGCTCGCTGTCAACCCCAGCGCCGAGGTCCCAGCCCAGGATACGGCGCGCTCGTCGCCGTCGTCGGTGTCCACCCAGAAGGGTCCCGGATCTCGCGTCCAGTCTCCCGTCTCGGCCTCGGGCTCCCAGTCGCCTAGTTTCGCAAACCTGGCGTCGTCGTCGGTCCGCCGCCCGCCTCCCGTCGGTGCCTTCTCCGAGTCGCCCCGCATCCTGTCTCCATCGGAGACGGAACGCGAGGTCATCCGTGGACCCGAGGCGCGTCGCCGGTCTTCGGCCATTGCGCCGCCCCCACTCTCGCGCGAAAACTCGCTCCCGATCCGCTCCATGTCGCGTGAAAACTCGATGCGGTCGTCGGACAGCCACGACGTCCTGCTCGCGCCCGCGACCCCGCCCATCGGCAGCGACAGCCCGCCTTCAAAGCTGAATGGCAACTCGGGCGCCGCGGCGTTTACCGACGAGCCCAAGAGCGTCGTCAACGACAACGACCTCGTGGACGGCCTCGAGGAGGTGCACCTTTAGACGACACGGATATATGCATGATGGACATTCTCATTTTTTTGACGACCAAATATCTTAAACCCCTTAAACAGTACAGAAGCACGCTCGCATACCTTGTTACCGGTTGTCACTAACGCGATGCAGGCTGCCTTGCAGTCAAATGATATGGGACGTTGAGTACACCAGAGTTGGGGCCAGGAGCACAACTACAACAACGTCGCCCGCGAGTGTACCGACGTAGGTACATAGCGTCGATTCGCAGCTGGGTGCCCTTGAGCCATCCATGTGAAGCCTGTGTTGCGCCGTGTGTCTCATGCACAGTATGGTGTCAGGTGCCGCCAAGAACAGTACAATGGTCAAACAGTACAATGGTCACAATGGGCGGTTCACAACGAGCACATCGGTAGTTATCAGATTGGAAGACGAGTTGCGCCACGGAAAGCGAGCCGTCCATGCCACAGTTTCGCCACACGTCCTGGAGGCCAGTCTCGTCCCGGTCCTGTAGGTCGTTTCAACCATGTCCAAAGCTCCCATGTGCGGGCGGGTGTGGTATGCACATCAAACCTCTCCGTTCTGGACGCATCCCTTCTGACGCGGAACCTCGACAGGAGGGCTTAACGTGATTTAACGTAAGTATGTACGGCCATGCCTGGTATGGTGGCACGTTTTCCGGAATGAGGGCTGACTACAACGAAACACCTGTAGGTGGTCGCCCAGTTTCTGTACCAGAGACCACCTGGTTTTGGATATCTGGCTCACCTTGGCGGATTAGGCAGAGTTTGGTGCTCGAGTGTTCCATGAACCCAGTGTACAAGGCCTCTCGACATATGGGTATTCGGCACGCAGGGATTTTCTCTGATCCTGTAAAACAGATCCCGCATCACGGCTTAATAGAGGCTGGAACCCAGGTGAGATGGTGCGCGAGGTATTTTGTACTTGGTCAGGATTAGAAGATGATCTTGTTACTGCGACTCGACACAATATGCATTCCACTACCAGTTGCGTATAGCATCCCACAAAATGCCATCGTAAAAGAAGGGCCGGACGGGAGCTTGTTTGAAAAAGGTGACGCACGGGGGTTCCTGGAAGAAGTAGGCAACCTGATCTACCATTGTCGTCATGGTGGAAGATGGGTCTCGAGCCTGTACTTTGGGCGCCAGTCGAAGATAGGCGGTCATCCCTAGTTGCCAGTTTTCATAGCGGCCACTCGCCACGTGCCTGCCATACAACATAGCAGAATGATGTGATGCCAGGAAACGAAGGACATTATCTCTCCAAGATGGCGTCACACTGAAGACAGTGTCACCGGGTTTACACCTCATTCTGGGATAGTTGGAGCACATGGCCGCCTCCCGTGCGCAGCACGCGATGACGGTATACCAGTCCTCACGCTCGTCCGGTGGATAGTGCCGAGCGATCTCAGCTCGAAGCGCTGTCGCATTCAAGTCTGTTGGCGGGCTGTCGGGCGTGGGCGTGTCCGGTAGGGGAGACCCAAGAGCCTCTGAAAGCCGCTCCAGTGTAGTGGACTGCGCCGCTGTAGGTTGCGACGACTCTTGGGAAAGGGTCACTCCTTCTTGGCTACACACCGAAAGAAAAACGTTGGTGGCTGTTGTTTTGAACAGTTGAATGTCGTACCGAGTGGGGCGCAACACGTTGTGACCTGCCGTACTAGGCGTGACCAGAGGCACTATGTCCGGATCTGATGGGAGGGACAGGGGATTAAGATTATCAATAGCCCCTCTATCGGCTCTAGCAAGAACCTCAACATTGAACTTGTCGACAATTGACGAAAATACGCGATGAAGAGCGCCGCTCTGTCGTTGATGTCTAGCAGACAATTTGGAAGTCATGCCCATTGCAATTCCATCCACCGAGGTGACAACAAGTTTCTCCGCAACAGGTCCCCCAATGGCGGCGCCCGCGCCCGCACCGGCCGAGGCCATGGCTGTGAAGGCAGCCAACGCAGCTTCACGGTCTGCGTTGCGTTTGGCTGTCTCGGTGATGATGTCGTTCAGTAGGCCTACAAGTGCTCCATATGCCAAGCCTATGCGTAGGGCGAGAAGTCTGACATCGATTTCGCCATCCAGGGTTGCCAGGAAACGCTCATCCTCTTTGGCCATGCGGACCGCCTCGGGGATTGATATCAGGCGCATCAGTTCTTGGAGCTGGAGATGAAGTGGAATACCGACAGACTTGGAACGTGGGTGGTGTGTGATTTTCAAATACGCAGTCAGGAGGTTGTGACATGTGCGTAGTGTGGAGAGATCCAGATCGTACTGGTGATTCCCAGTTTCAAAAGTCATGTCTCGCACCAAGTCTGTGAGCCTTACATCCCCAACAAAGGCTCCAAGATTGGCACGTCGGATATCATGGGAAATGGTATCTCCCACGGTGTAGAACAGCCAGGTCTCAAGATACCTGGTTGCAAAAGCCGTGGCCGGACCACCCCTGATCCTGAGTCGGTCGACGCTATGGCACACTCGGTTGACGAGATACAGGGCAGTCACAGCGTTGACTTTGGCTTCCCCCGAAAACCTGCCGCCAAGAAACGTGCGACGGAGAACAATGCGGCTCTTCAGCTTGCCTCCTAGGTAAGCGTGGGTGAGGGAAGGTGACCGCATGTCAAACCTGATTGACACTTGATGTTGGCATATAATTTTGGCCAGAAATTGTTTCAAGAGTGGAGTCTCCAGTTTGTCCAGTCGCAAGGCGAGGTCCACTATGCACATCCGATGAGGGCCAGGGATGAACTCGTCATACAGTGACAAGTGAATCCGACTCAAGTCGCCACTACTGAGTCCGTAGTCGTGTTTGATGACAGGGCTTTTGCCCAAAAGCTGGAGGTAATGCGTGGATGAGACAACGTGGTTGGTCTTGACGATCGGCTGGCCCATACCGCGAGGCGGAGGAGCCTTGAAAAAGGTTCTTGCCCACTCCAGCTTGTCCACGTGTTTGGTGAAGGGTCGTGCAAACGCTGCGTGGTAAGAGAACGATGGTGTCACCTCCACTTACGAAGGTCGCGAAACCGAAGAACTTCCTTTTTGGCTTCTGGTGGACTCCGCTCCTCCTTGATCCAGAACGGCGAGGTGCTAGCCACTTTAAGCGCAGCCTCTTTCGCCATGTCATCAGCTAAATTACGATCCAGTTCGAGTTGTGTAAATGGACCCCAGCGTGTTGCTGCAGCTGCTTTCTTCTCTTGGAATTCGAGGGTCCCCCAGGCGAGCGCTGAGGAGGGAAGGTCGTAGAGCTTGCCTGGGTATATGTTGGGCTGGTCCATTTCTAACATATCCCATGTCGCCAGAAAGCAGTGCTGATGCAACATCCGGATACGGAGAGATTCTGCTTGGCGTAGACGCATACTGCGTTCCCAATCACAAATACCAGATGATGGTGCTGGACAAGTGTTAGTGCACGTTCAGGAGCGTTGGGCTGTGACTTACTGGCATTGTTATTGCTTGGTTGCGCAAACGAGGGGTTGATGTTTACCGTGGACTGTACGGAACCAGCAGCAGCCGACGGACCACCCGTTGTCGCACTGGTCACATGAACGCTGGAGCTCGCGGCACCGACCATGGGAACGACAGTGGTGGTCTGCGTGGTGTGGCCTGAGGGTGATATGCTGCCACCAACGGGTGTCCCTGTGGCTTGGCTGGTAGACATCGGGCTGCCCATACCTGTAGCCCCCACAGCTGTAATCGAAGTCGCACCGGTGCTACTGGAGGTCTGAGCCACTGGCGGTGTGGCGGGTGTGGTAGGCAGTTGACTCGGTGGATTGACTCCATTGGGGCTGACGCTGCCACTGCCAGACTGTGGACTGGCTGGGTTGGGAAGTGAAGGGGGCATTTGCGCGAGCGGGCTGGCGAGAGTCAGCCATCGCCTTGGGCGTTGCTTACGTTGAGCCAGTTCCCATTGTGGAAGGTGTGGCCTGTAGAGCCCTCAAAGAGCAGCTGGCTCAGTTGACAGAGAGATTGAGAGAGATAGAGAGAAGGAAAACACTGCTACCGCTTCCAATACGCTATCTAGACTGAAGGCCGACGTGAAGCATGACGTCTGACGAGAAGCATAAACAGCGGCTCGTGCGCAGCGCCGTTCGGCGCTTGGCGTTCTGATGTTTGCTTTTGTTTGGTTGGACGCTCTTGTGCGCCGCCAGGGTAGCCAGCGCAATGTCCAAGGCTGGATTCCCAATGCTAATATGCACTGGTCATTGGAGGGGTAGCAGATAGAACTACCTAATGTACTGTACAGACACAGACAACAGGTAATCGTTGGTTTTGCCACCAAGTTTCGACCGCTTTTCCGAAACCTCACCCAGGTCGTTCTCTTACATTGGTCTTCCAGGGGTTCGCCAAATGAGCCTTGTTTTGGTGAAGACCTGAACGACCTAAACGATCTCTTGCCACGCCACAGCGATGAGCAGCACAGATATGTGGCCGCCGCGTCGCATCACGTGCTATTGCTGGATTGAGTCGTCACGTCTTCGCCACGGTTCAGATAAGGTCGATTTCTGGACCATTTCTCACAATTTCAAGTCCCTGTTTCACAGGATCACAGGATATCATCTGTCTCATCATTTACATTGTAACAGAGACATTGTAACACAGGCGTTCGTTGTGATGTCGGGATGTATCTGTGCTCACTCAACTGTTTCTGTGTCCTCAGCAGTGCCACGGGGGTTTCAACGGACGACAAGTTGGTCTGTAAGCATGTTTGCGCTACACCATCATGTACACGAACCCGGGCCAAATGGCACCTTCCCGTCCCCCGTTGTGGGGTCAATCAAATGCCGAAGTCTGGCATGTGGGTACGGCTTGTTGAAGCTGGCAGACGTTGTGGATCATTTGAGTTTGGGTGGTTTCATGCTGTAGTCCGCAGGCTGCGATGGCACTTCCGCTGGTGACGGATGAGACTTCGGCAGATGCAGGAACGACCGACCCGTCCGCCGGCGGCCCCACAGAAGCCAACGGCAGACAGGCTGCTCCACTGCCGGGAGGCTGTGAAGACAACGAGTTTAAGGATCAGCGGAAGGAGGTGCAAGGTCCAGGAAAAGCAGTTACGTTGTTTTCCACGTCAGAAAAAAGGAGAGTGTTCTCATCGTAAAGCTTGAAACGGGGACCGGGATGGCCGGCGGTACACTTGTGCATCATGCTCGAAACCTGCCGTGCCGTATCGCTTTGCCGCACTAGTAGGGTGTTACGGATTTCTGGTGGAGTCTGCAACGAACCAGCAGCGGTGGTGGACTGATTATGTCAGCGGTGTTGGTCGACAGTCGCGAGCGTGCTGTCAACGCTTCCGGAAAGATCGTGCGGAGTAGGCAGCAGCAAATGCAAGGTGCATCAGGTACAGAGGATCGCAGAACTTGGTTTGGCGTGCTAAGAACATGGTTTGCGTGCCAAACCAGGTATCGACCAATATCAGCACCAAGTCTAAAGCACAAAACGCCACATACTGTAGCTCACACCGCGTCATGCCCTTCTCTCAATGATATGAATTGTAGCAGCAAACGCGTGCGTCACTTGTGCACATCCATCCTAACACAAAGACCACGACGATGGCAGGAGCAACGTCAGCTCGTGAACATTGCGCACCAATCGCAACCAGGTTGGAGGGGGACCAGGGCCAGGACCCAAACCTCTCCCACCAGAGGATAGACCTCTGTCTCCCGGGCACCCCCATGACCCCAGGACCAGTGTCGAGGGGGGCATGTCGGATGCTGGAGCCTGGGTCGAGTTTGTGGGAGTTGGCTTACGTCTCACGTCGGATCCACTCCTGGACGCAAAGCAGACGACACTGAGCCACGAGTACCACCGCCTCGGACTGTTTTGATTGGGTTTCGTGGCTGGTGTCTTGGTCGCGACACATGCGTCGGGCACACATGACCAGGACACGATACGACGACGGCGACAGACGGGATCCTTTCGTGTGCGTTTCGGCTTCTGGTTTTTGAGAGTGCTTGCAATATCATTGTGAACGACTGTGGGAGTGGGACTCGGCCTGACCTGTGACAGCAGTGCGCCATGGTGTAATCACATCCCTTGACCAGGTTGTGCGACATCGTACAAACCAGTACGTACTCGCCGGCACGCCTCTGCCGATACATCCTGAGCATGTGGCATGCATTCACTCATGCACTGTCCAAGTCCTGACTGTGAAGGACACATGTGTATCCTGTCCACTCGTCGTACTCGCTCGTCCTATCAGTAGCATGTGGCTGCTGAGCGCCACGGGCAGCCAGAGGGCACGCGAATACCCTCCACGGCAGTGGCGGCAGTAAGCATCCATGAGGCGCAAGGGACGGCCCGTTGACGATCGAGAAAGAGCGCGCACCTGTGCCTCTTGGACGCATGGGCTGACGCAACGACGCGATCCTTCCTTCACCTCACCACTGCCCACTGGCCACTGGGCGGTGTCGTCATGCGAATGCGGGGGTCGTTGCCTCCCGGACGCGTTCGTTCCCTCCCCCGTTACTTTTACCCCTCTACCATTTCCTTATCACCGGGAGGGCGCGGCGTACCTGTGTTCGGTGCCCACCCTCGTCCGTCATCGCGAGAACAATGTCGGAATGCAGCGTTGCAGACAGCATGAGAAGTGGCCCGCCATCCCGCAGGCCAGCAGACGCGTCATAGCGTAGCGTGTTGAGGCGCCGGCACGGCGGACGGTGGGGGGCGTTGGGTACACATGGCGGCGCGAAGCAGGAGGGTGGCGTGGTGGACGCGGGGAGCTGCCTGGAACAGAGAAACGCCGGTGGCAGGTGTGAATAACGACGTGGAGGCCCGAGTACACTGGCGTGCGACAGTGGTCACGTCGCGCTCAACCTCAGAAACCCTCAGAAGAGTATACAGACGACGATGGGGAACAGGACGCATGGTCTGCCGATCTGCCACGAACCACGGGGCGGAGACACACGCGCCGACGCGTTTTTCATTGCCGGCCTGAAACACACCGTGCTTCGAAAAGGGCGCGCACGAATGTCCCTCTACTGGTATTTCAGACAGTTTACGTAACACATTCGATTCTCATTCACGGGGCATTGACCTCTCTGCTGCGATGAGTGATGCATGAGTGACGGAGGTGACGAGCACGTCCACAAGAGTAACGACACCGAGCACACCCACAGACAAGCCTCCAGGGTGCACACGCGGTACTTCGGCCCGCTGTTGGAGTGGCAAGCGAGCGTCACGGCTCTGCCCACGTTTGCCGTAGCCGCCTCCCGTGTTCGCGTATGCATTGGCGCATTGGATGTCTCTTGTAATTGAGTGAGCGATGGGGTGATGGGCAGTCACCTCTGTCGGCCACTCCTCGGTGCATACCTGACGCCTGACGCCACTGCCGAGGCATCTTCTGCCTTTGGGACGCGGGGTTGGCTACAATGTGGCAAATGGGATGAAACACCACACCTCATCCCACACTGCACATGGGTCAGTGCGCCATGGACACTGTCGGTTGCGTGAGTGCCGCCACAGTTGCCAAACGCGACATGAATGGTCGTTGCTGTTTGGTCGATCCAACCGTGGTCTGTGGGGCCGGTCAGCCATGCTAGGTCTGTCAGAGGGCGGCGGCGCTGGTGGTGGTGGTGTTGGCGGTTATGGTGGCGCGGCCACACCGCGCACTGGACGATGGCGTCAGTAGCGTAAGGTGCTCTGTGTCTTTCGGTGTCCTTGCTTGGAAAGGTGTGTCTGTCGGTTTGCTCCCTTTGCTCCCCTCTTTTCTCCTACTATGTGCGTCTTGCGCGTCTTGCGCGTCTTGCGCGTCTTGCGCGTCTTGGGGTCGTGGCTGTGCGTCCCCTGCTGCCGAAAGAGGCGAGAGGCGTGTTCTGCCTCGCTGTGAGCGGGACGCCGTAAAAGGTAGGGAAGACGTGTGTTCCTGGGCAGAGCGGCCTGTGTCTCTTTGTCTCCAACCACCGACGGGCCTCTCTCCCCGCATCGTCTGTTGGTGCGTGCGTGAGGGGCCTAACGCAATGTAGCGAGCTGGATTCGGGCCGACGGATGGGATGTGTCGGGGGTCTGGGAAGCAAGAGGGGGCCTACAGGAGACCCTATACCGACACGGCCGACACTCTTGCTTTTGTTGGGTTTGTTTTGCTCGTTCTTCGGGTCAGCGGATCAGCGGATGATGACTAGCAAGACGCGACGGGAACCCCTGTCGATCTCTTGTTCTGAAGCTAGTTTCCAGCTGATACTGTACGTGTTCGCGACTGGGAGGGAGGACGTCGTCAATGGGTCGCGGCCGGGAACGGTGACGCGTCACGACACTTGCCACGCCTGTGCAACATGGTGTTGAACGCAGCATGGCTGGCGACTGGTGACGGGCCCTACTGTACTACTCTGTCACGCGTTGTGCGTTTCCTGTCCTAGCTGTCCATTTGTTTTTACTACCAGCCAAAGAAACGTTAAGGGTTCTCCCATTCCAGAGATCCAGAGAATGTGGCTGCAGCCCCCCCGCGGCGGTGGGTGCGGCGCGTGTCGCTTGTGCGCTCGGGTCAGCCTGGCCGCACAGTTGCTCCCCATGCCTCCCCATGGAGATATGGAGATACGTCTCTGGATCTCTGGCCTCTGGTCAAGGTGTGCTCCCGTCCCAGAGAATGAACAACGCGCGCGAGAGACGCAGCGAGAGACAGACTTTGTCGTCGGGTACCTGCCTGGCGACCCTGGCCAGACTGGCCAGCGACAAAAGCCAGTTTTGTGTCGACGCGGGGGTGAGAGCAGAGGCGAGAGCAGGGAGAAAGTGTACGGCCGCGGCCCAAACGAAACCCAAATTGCTCAAGCAATGAGCAGCTAACGAACATGTGCACTTACGCTTGTTGTGTGCCGTTTAGCGATTCGTGTATAAAAAGTGTGTCTGGCATGGACAAGACGGAACGATAGAGCGAGCGTGGCAGAAGGAGGGAAACGAACAGCAACCCACCGAGGTCCCGAGCATACAATCCTTTTGCCCCTGCTCTTTTTCCGCAGTTGGTCCAGTCTGCCTAATGTCGCTGGTATGGGGAGAGGGGGGGGGGATTGCAATAGTAGAGTAAATGCAGCATATGAAGTCGTAGACACGAGGAAAAGGGGGGAGACGGGAGTGAGAGGTCCCCCCGAGAAACCCTGTTGGCCCCATTGTATGTGACTCTCTGCTCCTCGCTTGATCGCTTGAAAGGCCCCGCGGCGCGTCACAGCCAGCCAGCCAGCCAGCCAGCGTGTGCCAGCCAGCCCGCCCGCCCAGCCAAATCCCATCCGGGTCGCTCGCCATCCTCCGAGTGACATGCAATCCACACACCCAGGCGCCGTGTCTCTTCCCACATCTCGCATCCACATCGTCCCGGCATCCATCCATCCATCCATCGCATACCCCCCCTCCCTCCTCCCCCTCTCCCCATCCCCGCCGGCTCCTCCTCCCAGCGCTCTCCATTCCCCTCCCCGCAACCACGACAGCATCCTTCCACACACGATCAACCTTTGCTAGTCGTCGCCGGTTTCGCTCCACCCCTACCTTTCTTCCCCCCGTCTCTCCTCCACGTCGCGGCACATCGTCGTCCATCTCTCTCTCTCTTCTTGCCTCGCAGCTGCAACCTCCTCCCACTACAGCTTGCATCCATTGTCACGCATCAAGAACATCCAACGGCTTGCTTAACGTTAACGTCCTCCACGACATTCTCCCCGCCCCCCAAACCGCGGGCTTCCAAAGCGCGCTTGATTGGTGACCCCGTCCCCATCCTCTCGGCGTCCGTCGGCGCCTTTCCCGCTGTTCGCAGCCCACCCCCCCAACACTCGTCTCCATCCCACCCCCGCCTTCTCCGGTGTCTTCTGTCGCCGGCGTCAAAGGTACTCGAACGCGGCGCACTGACGCCTGTCCCACTGGCCCACTCGTACGCGCGCCCACCCTGCTCGCCGCTCCGCGTGCAGCTGCCGCAGCCGGATCGCTTGCTGTTAGCATTGGCACCGACAGCAACGGCAGCCGCCCCCCGCCTCCTCCCCGCCCCGAGCGCAGCGCCGCCCGCAGCCCATTCTCTCTGGACAGTCCGTCACAGGATATGGAGCGAACAGCCCGCTCGCCCACGGCCTACGAGCCTCTTCCAGCACACTTGCACAGCGTCGGCGACGACCACACAAACGGCATCCATACCCCCAGCTACGGCGGCATTGTGAACACGGGCGTCGAGTGGGACTGGATCGTCAACCAAGACGGAACAAAGACGTGCGTCCCCCCTGTCAGCCTGTGCTGCTCCGAGATCGCCACCGCCGCACGCAAACCTAGGCCTGCGTGGTGCGCGGTGGTTACCGGGCAGTCCACGCGTCCCGTGCAGCCTTTCTAACCCATGTGCTGACCCTCGTCTCCAGCCGAACGCCTTCCAGGTCCCCCAATCGCGCCGCAGCTGCTCGCGAGCCGCACCGTACCATGTCAAATCCATTGGAAGCGGCCCCAACAGACAACATGCCCACCCCGTCGACTCAAGGCTCTGCCTCGGCACACGCGTTCTCGGCGCACCCGTCCTCGCATCCCCATGAGCCAACCATCTCCGAGGAGGCCAGCGCCTACGTCGGCCGCAGCGTCAGTTCTTCCCAGTCTGCTGCTGCATCCGCCACGCGCCCTCCTCCACTGAGCAGCCCGAGGAATCCCCCTCCGCCGACCCCGCTGGCTCCGCCCAACGCGTCGCACACCCACACCGCGCAGTACACCCCGAGCGCCCCTTCGTCATCGTCCAAGCGGCGCCAGTACCGACAGGTCGGCGACTGGATCCTGCAAAAGACTCTGGGACAGGGTTCCATGGGCAAGGTCAAGCTCGGTGTCAACGTCCACACACAAGAACGAGTAAGTGGACTAATTGATCTTTACATGGCCACGTCGAACTGACATGTTTTCTCTCCCTTACAGTGTGCTGTGAAGATTGTTCCTCGCCACCGCGACGATGGCAAGGCCGGTGAAGCCGGCCGGGCAAAGGACGAGTCCAAGGAGATCCGCACTGTCCGTGAGGCCTCGATATCGCTCCTCTTGCACCACCCGTACATCTGCGGAATGCGCGACTTTCTCGTTCACCAAAACCACTACTACATGGTGTTTGAGTACATCGATGGTGGCCAGATGCTCGACTACATCATCGCCCACGGTCGTCTGCGTGAGCGAGCAGCGCGCAAGTTTGCCCGCCAGATTGGCTCGGCACTCGACTACTGCCACCACAACAACATTGTGCACCGTGACCTCAAGATTGAAAACATTCTCATCTCCAACAACGGCAACATTAAAATCATCGACTTTGGCCTTTCCAACCTGTACTCTCCCAACCGCCACCTCTCAACCTTTTGCGGCTCGCTCTACTTTGCTGCCCCCGAACTCTTGAACGCCAAGCTCTACACCGGCCCCGAAGTCGACATTTGGTCGTTTGGTATCGTCCTCTACGTCCTTGTCTGCGGCAAGGTGCCGTTCGACGACCAGTCGATGCCTGCGCTCCACGCAAAGATCAAGCGTGGTCTTGCAGAGTATCCCGCCTGGCTCAGCAACGACTGCAAGGCCCTTCTGCAGCGCATGCTCAACACCAACCCGCAGGAGCGTGCCACCCTCGCCGAGGTCCTCTCGCACCCCTGGATGACCAAGGGATACGAAGGCCGCCCAGACTCGCACCTCATCATGCGCGAGCCCCTCCGCGCTGATGAGCTGGACATGGATGTCATCAAGCGCATGCAGGGCTTCACGTTTGGCACGCCAGAGGGCATCTATGAGAACCTCACCAAGATTCTCACCAGCGAGCAGTACCAGCGCTGTGTTGCTGCCTGGGACGCGGGACGCGACCGTCGCCCACGCCCTGGCGCCAACGGCTCTTCTTCCAACAACAACCTCGCGGTCGAGTCCGAGTCGCCCAAGAAGAAGCGCTTTAGCGGCTTTGACCTCAAGAAGAAGCTGTTCAAGGAGGAGAAGAAGCCCGAGGAGCCGTTGGCCGTGGTCAGGGAACAGGTCGACCCCAGCAGTGGCTTTGACCCGCTCATCTCGATCTATTTCCTCGCCCGCGAGAAGAAGGAGCGCTCAAAGGTGTACGGCAACAGCCACTTTGCCTCGTCGCGTGCCAGTGTCGATGGCTCCGCGCCGGCAGCCCAGCCCATTGCCTACAACATGGCTCTCCCCAGCCTCCCTGCCCCTCCGACCGCCCACGGCTCTGGCTACGAGCACGGTGTCCCCGGATCGCCTCGCGAGGCCGCCAACACTGTTCGTGTGCGTGCAGATGACATGCCTTCTGCTGCCGCTGGCGTCATGTCGCACCCATCGGCCGACGGCGCACGATCCAACATTGCCGACGTCCCCGCCATGCACAGCGCGGCACACCGTCGCGGCCAGTCCCAGGCTGCGTCTGCAGCAATGTCGCCGTCCTCTCTTGCGGCGCCCCTCCACGCCATGGACGGAAACACGCCTCAACGGAGGCTGTCACAGGAGCATGGTGGTGATCGCCGGACGTCTGTCGGCTCCATCACCAACACGATGGGCCAGGCGTCGCTGTCTCGCGACACCAGCCAGCGGACCTCCAACACTAACACTCTTGCCCCACCTGTCACCCCTCCCGAGTGGCCTCTGCAGCTTGGAATGGGTATCATCCAGGACAAGAGCGGTGGTATCCGCCCCGTCGGCTCGCCCGAGGTGGACGAGATTGAGGCTGCAGACGTTGCCAACATTGACGTCAAGAGCGTCTACCTCAAGGGCCTCTTCTCAGTGTCGACGACCAGCACCAAGTCTGCGCGCACATTACTCAAGGACATTTCGCACGTCCTCGACCGCGTCGGCATCAAGTACCGACCCATCCGTGGCGGCTTCGAGTGCATCCACGTCCCTTCGATCGACCTCGCTAGTGTGGTCCATGGGGACGAGGCACGCTCTTCGCTCCACGTCCCACCGGGCTCCCAGTCCATCGAGTCCTCCCCCAGCAAGAACAGGCTGGCTCTGCGCAAGTCTGACCTGACCGGCTCGACCGCCAATTCACGCGACTCGCCGTCCCCTGCGCACCACGACCGCGGCTCGTCGGGCACCGTTGGCATGCTCGACACCGCGTCCATGTCCACACCCAGCAAGGCCAAGGTGGACCAGGACGACGGTGACGCCTGGGGTGCACAGTTTGGCGCCCAGAGCCCGCTTTGCGTTAGGTTTGAAGTGTTTGTTGTCAAGGTACGTTCTACGGTTCCACTAACAAGGACGATTGCATTTCATCACGAACCATGCCCGTCCGTGTCAATGAGGACCTGTGCTAACGCTGCCCCCTCAGGTGCCGTGGCTCCCACTCCATGGTATCCAGTTCCGACGCATCGGCGGCGACGGATGGCAGTACCAGCAGCTCGCCAAGACGATTCTGCGCGAGATGCGGTTGTAAGCCGTGTGCAACGCACGCGCACGCAATACGAAAGGCGGCCGGCGCCGCTGGCCGCTGGCCACTGGCCCACACCTCCCTCGCACCCGGCCAACAGTGCCGGCACACCCGGATTAGTTTATATCGATCCCGTTGTTTGGTCCTCTTTTTTATTTTACTTTTTCCACTTTCTCTCTACTTTTTACGTCAGTACGCGCAGGATGCGATCACATGCATGGGCATCGGGGCGAGCATGCGAACGGCAGACGGACACGGCGCAGCAGCGCTCGCGCACAGCCACGGCCACGGCCACCGGGGGGGGGGGGGGGGGGGGGGGGGGGGTGGGTCTGCTCTGCGGGGCCGTTCGTTCCGTGTAACGCAACGCGGGAAGCCGACGTGCGCATACATTCCCACTGCAGCGCGCGAAGACGGTGCCGGCGGCCAGCGTTGCGGTGGGTGCGCCGCCAACGTGGGCGGCGGCGACGACGGTACGACGGGCACGCACGCAAGATCTGTGGCATCAGAGGTCGAAGCAAGCTCATCCATAATTAGGCCACTTGGCAGGTCCGTGGCGGTGCCATTGGGCCGTGTGGGGAGGGACGGCTGGGGATCTCCTCCATGATTAGTTTTTCCTCATTTTCCGTTTGTTTTTTGCCACCCAGCGTGCGCCCGGTCTGGTTGCGGTGCATGCCGCCGCCGACATGTGTCTGCTTTTGCATTTTGTTCCAGCGAAGCGACAAGCACAAGCTCGGCCCAGCGAAGGGTGTTACCAAGTGTGCAGACTTGATTGTTAGGGGTGTGTGGGTGGGATGTGCCGCTGCTGCAACGGACCGGTGAAATGCGCAGTGAAAAGTTAACTATTCCCGCCGAATGACAGCACCGACGCGCGTTGGGTGTACATATGTGCCGTCCCGTTGAAACTTTGTCGTCGTCTCGTTTTGCCACCCAACGTCCGCTGCCTCTGCCGTTGTCCTCCAACGATCCCGTGCACGTTGTCGCTGTGGAGCGTTCGCGAGTGGGACGATGGTCGGGATCCTGGGAACCGTGGCACCGCGATCACTGGGTTTCCACACACACACACGCGCGCGCGTCCGCGACCTCCCATTCCAAGCGTTCCGAGCGAACGCAGACTAGCCGCACCCGAAGTGAACCTTGGTCGCTCAGAGCGCTGGCCGGGCACCGGGATGCCGGAGCTCGGAGCGTCGTTGATTACAGGACGACACGATGGCATCTGCAAGCTCCAAGCAAAACACACCCCACACGTTGCCATCTCGACTAATTCATCATCGTGCTATCCTGGGCGCGCGGATTGGCCGTTTCCGCATTCTCCGGAAAGGGTTAGAAACGAGAGGCTCCTACGCATACCCATAGGGGTCGTGTGGGACTTGTCCGACATCTCTGACGTCTGGACACCCGACCATGACATGCTAGCACGCGGGGCCATCGTCTCGGGCAAACTGTCCGCTGCAAGCGCGGCTTTGACGCGTCACTACACTTCGCCCGTGTTCATAAAACTCCCCGTGTGGTGGCCGTGGTGGCATGGTGGCGCGTGCGTGTCGTGTCGTGTGTCATGTGTCGTCGTCGTGTTCGCATGCGTGTTCATTCATAGCACTGTCATCTCCGAGATTCACGGGGAAGAACGATGGTGACGAGCACGGCGCGTGCGGCAGAAACAGGAGGACGCGCAAGTGAGGGGTAAAGTGGGGGCACATGGGCACATGGGCACATGGGCACGGCTGTCGTCACTCATCAACCTCCGCTCCCCGCCGTAGTCTTCACGGCCCGCAGCTCCCTCAACCTTCCCCTCGAGATACCCCCCTTAGTGCGAGCTGCAGCAACTAATCATACGGGACCGTAACTTGGTCGTAACTTGGCCGTAACTCGACAGGTCGAGGGACGGCGCTCCCAGTCGTGTGGAGCGCAGGCACCGCCGCGGACAAAGGTAATCGGGTACCGAGAGAACACCTGCCACGGTGACCTGACAACCCCCGCCGGCGTGTAGTTATGGACGGGTATGGGGTAAAATCGTGCCCTCCTCAGGCTGTGCTGTGGTTGTTGTGTTTTGTCGCAGCCGATCGCACCGTGGAATGAAGAAAGGGGTGAACTGACAGAATTCCATGACAACGGGCACCCGGAGGGGTGCCGTTGATGTGTATCCCAGTTGGCTTGGCAGTGCGCACACATTCAGCGGCGATGTTTACGGTATGCTTCCCGGGCTCATGCGGTGGCGTGAGATCTCGCAGAGACTATCACGGGAGAGAATAAGGCGTACTGGAAAAAGTGGACGGGTACGGCCAAGGTTTGGGAGTGACCTGGGGGGGGAAGTCAAGGGCCAACCAACCAAAAAAAAACCCAGAAAAAACTAGAAGTGTTTAACGCTCGCCGTACCGTACCGTACCTTTTTGGAGCTTGTGCGGAGCGGTACCTTCACACTCTATTGCAGCACCGCTTCTGCCCTTGACACCATGCAGGCCACGCTGCTCGCGATCACACAGTACCGAGATCCCGAGAGGCATGTGAATGCGTCACTGTAGGAGCAAAGTGCTGGAGATGTGTCGTTCGGCAGCTTGACCCTGATGCGTCCTTCGTGTGGCATACGGCTTGGGGTGGTGCCACGTCTGCGCTGGCACACTTGGTACGGCATTATGGGTGTACGCACCCAGCTTCTGTCGACTCTACACCGGAACCGAATTTCACAAGGTCACCTCAAACGCTTGCAGTACGTAAAGGACCTCTTGCCCTCACCTTAATTCGCAACTTGGGATCTGGTTCCACACATGAACTGTGACCCCAAACCCACCCAGTCGTTTGCCACAGTGGGGTCCTGAACTTTGCTTGTGGCCCAAACCATCGGTAGTCGCTGGTTTGCGGTCCACTTTCCGATGCCATGTCTGCACTGCCCTTTTGCGTCCCAGTTCTACCTTTTGAGAGTCAATCAGAGTGTGTTCCTACCTAGTTCCAAGTTCCCAGTTCCCAGGTTCCCAGCATGCAGCGTTAGCAGGCGCAAGGAAGGTCTGGTTGCGGTCGGAATCAGAATCCCACAACACCTTTTGGTCTCCGAGTCTCCCGATCTCCATTTTCCACGTCGCCTCGGTCGTCATGTCGGCCCTTCGTGTCCCTAAACGAGTCGTTCAGCTGGACCGGCGTGCGACACCTGGTCTTCTCTTCTCCGGAAGTTGCGGGTGCGCGAGGGCCCGAGAGTTGGGGTCGCCGCCGCCTTCCATGCCCATGCTCCCGCCCGCCCCGTTGAAGCTTACCGAAAAGCTCACCGCCACCGCATCTGCACACCGTGGCAGCGGAGCCTCGTTCTGGCGTTATGCGTCTCTCCCCGACAAGCCCGGATTGAACCCAGCTGCAAAAGCACGTATGCAAATGGATGCAAGCCAAGCCGGTCCCTCGCCCGACATGAAGGAACCGGGCACGCACCGTCGTTTGAACTGTCCATAGTGTTGCTCATGCGCATATTTGCCCTGGTAACAGAGTAGTTTTTGTGGGAACGTTCAAAGGATACTTTCGGTACGCAGTCGAGCGACACCGTTGAGCGAGGAGGGACGGGTCCGGTTGCAGTGTGGCACATGTCCCGGTGGCGCCAGCGATCCACAGCTTACGTGCGTTCATCAGTCAGTCCGTCTACCGCTCCGTGCGACTTGGCCGTGCGATGCAGACGAGGAGAGCAAGAGCAGTCAACGCACGGTCTCGAGGGACCAAGTATCGTACCACCTTGTAGCGGCGACTCGTTCGTGTGCTCTCGCCGGCCCGCCGTCCAACCGTGAGGAATGAGGCAAAGTGTGATCCTCCTTGTTTCGCTTGATTGAGCTTACATATGTAAGTGTCTGCACCATACTTACGCTTTGGGCAATCGGAGGAACGGTATGCGGCAGCCGCACGCGACCGCTCTCCGGACAATCAATGTCGTCGACGTCCTGCTCCCTAGTATTCCGCAACATGAAGCAGCGGCGGTTCTGCCGCCGCCAGCCGCGGCTCGCCTCACGGCTCTGGCGGCTCGCTCGGCGTGCCCTGCATCATGTTTGAGATACATGGTGCACGCACACGCACAATGTTCCTAATGAAGCATTGTAGGAGTGCCCGATCCGGAGGACCTCCCAGACAATTGTCAGGTTCGTCGGGCATGTCGGGTCAAGGGAGTGGCATGAAGGGGAGGCGTTGGTGGTGACTGCCTCGTGAGATCTGGAGCAGGACGATGCAGGACCATGCAGGAGCATGCAGGACCATGCAGGACACAGGAACCGTCTCCGGCAGAGTCCATTGGGGGCTGGGCTGGGCTATGGGCGCGCGCGTGACTCGAGACACGGCGCATACGGCACGGCCACGGCCACGGCCACCACCTCCACGGCACGACTCTTGGCTTTTGCTTTGTACGGATCCATGCATTGTTTCGTCTGGGAAACAGGCGACAAAACACAGGACCAGAGGAAGAACGCCTGGTGTGCCACTGGACGCGCCACCGCATCTGAATAGGCTCCCAGTGCATGTACCGAACATGCCTGCGATCCTGCGACGTCAGAGGCGCGTACAAAGAGGGAGGCGTGACTCTAGGAATCCTACCAAAATATGTCACACACACGCTTCATGCTTGCTAAACTCTCTGTGGGTGTCAATCCCACGTCTTCGTACCAATAGCCCACTCTAGTGGCCGAGTTGCAGCGGGGCCCGGCCATTAGCTTTCCCGGTGCAAGTACCCCTGCGCTTCATCCAGAGAGACCCTTTGACGGCCCTCGCCTTGTGCCACACGTGTTCTAGAATGGCAATGGTACCGGTAACCGGGATATGTTTGGGTGCACCCCACCTCCGAGATCCTCGGAGTTGGGCAGATGAAAAGCGAGGGAGACAGTTTCTGAGTTTAGTTGCTACCGACGACTTGCCGCCCTGTGCCGCCCAGAACGGGATGTCGGTGCGGGTCAACCCTCTTTGCAGTTGCCCGACCGAGAGACGCCAGAGAAGTGTCATGTCAGAGTCCCGGGTTTGGCAGTTCTGAACACCGCACACCTGCGACACCTGACGTATTGTTTTTACGTACCCATAGATCCTGACCGCTCGTTGGGTGGGGGAGAGCGCAGAGGGTGGGGGGGGGGGGGGGGGGGGGGGGGACAACCTGGAACGCAGCCCATCACAAAGCGCGCTAGTCTGACGAGCGGCCACAAGAGTCTGGCCCATTTGTGATCCTTCTGCCACCTGGTGTCTGCTCCCCCCTTGGCGCACTGGCAGTGCCCTTGACACTCGGGGTTCCGGAGACCGTTTTCCCGATGCGCTGGAGCGAGCGCCACCCGCTTTGCACCACGTCAGTGGCGACGAGAGCGACGTCGGTTTGAGGAACACCAGAAGAGGGCCCACAATCCCACACGGCCTGCGCATTAATTTGCGGTTTGGCTCAGCTTTAGGATTAGAGGCTTCGGGCCTCCCTGACTCCCGTCCCCTTGGCGCTGGCACCGGGCTCGCAGTACATATGTATGTGTGCGGTGTGAACAGGGCCGAGAGAGAGAGAGACAGAGAGACAGAGAGCCCGCAAGTGGCAGAGCGTCGCTGCTCTAACTGCCGTCGGATAGCGTTCGGCAAGAGCACGGGAGAGAGTGAGAGGCGGTGGCCGTGGTGGAGAGAGATGTGTCCGACATTACGGGTTGGCATAGCTCCCGAGCGTCGAGCCAAACGTGGACCATGCCGGATACAGGTGGTTCCCCGCGCCTGATGTACGGCAACCCCTGCATCTGGCATCCAGCAATCCTACAAGACCTGTAGCGAGCAAGAAAACACCGCACGCACGCACGCACTCCCCCACCCCCCGCCGCCGCTCTCCCTTATTCTGAAGCTCTGCAGCCTGGTGGACAGGACATGCCAAATGCGCAAATGCGCGTCTGGATCCGCCTGTGTTGGGTTTCTTCTTTCTTTCCCTTGACGCACGCTCCACAGAGGAACGAGACGGTTGGGACGAAGTACGTCAGCCAAAAAAGCAAACACCGGAGAGACAACCATGAATAACAACCACCACGCCCAGCAAGAACAAGTAGCGTGCATCACACACACACACGACCCGCATATGCAACACGGAACAAGTGGTGTGCACATGGGGGGGGTGCGACCACGCGCTGCAACGGTACGGTACTACGACGAGCACCCACCATCTCCTTACGTCTCCCGTTTCTGAGTACTACCTATTACGAGACCGCCGGCCGGCCCGCGAGAATGCCGGTGAGCCGGACCTGTGGGTCGACCTCTGGGCCTCTGACCTTGGGCGGCCAGGGGTTGGAATGCTGCTGTGGGTAAAACTGGTAGGCTGACTTGAGTGGACGATGGAAGAGGAAGAGGGGATGCGTGCCGAGAGACGGTTCTTCCGTCTCCTCTCCTCCCTCAGCGTACCAGTGTTGCAGAGTCGTGTTTCCTTTACGCTCGCTAGGGAATATGAAGGGGAATACCGGAGCATACGGCATAAGCCGTGCGGTTGCGCGGGGGCAGGGGGAATGGGTAAAGGATATTTGAGTTTGGTTTCTCTGGTGCTCGTCCTTGGTGGCGTCCGCAAGTGCGTCGGTGGCGGCGAGCAGCAGAGCCGCAGGAAGCGCTTTGCTGGAGTCTAGAGAGGCCAGGCGGGACGGTCTGTAACACTCTGTAACTCGCAGCACATGCACTCTCCTCCACAGGCCAAATGCGAGATAGGGCGGCATATATGTCAAGAGAGGGGGCGGTCCTCGACGCCGCCTGCATAAAGTAATAATAAAAACCTGGCTCGACAGAGGAATGAACCTGCACCAAAACGGCGCTTGTGTTGCTCGGGTGCATGCATATCTTGCGAGTTAGTGTGTCTCATCATCATCATCATCATCATCATCATATTCAGGACAGCAAAGGTCCCCCCCCTCCCCCCTCGTCAGGTCGACACGCGCGCGCGCCCATATGGCGGCCGCCGTCAGAGTCAGGCAGAGACAGACGTAGAGCGTGGCGGGGGGGAGAGGAGGCAGGAGGCAGGATGGCACACCTTTTTTTATTTTTCCTTTCCCTGATATGCTCTGAGACCCCCCGCGGCACAGCGCGCGTGCCGAGCGAGGAGGAGCACAAGGACCAAGAGAAAAGAGAGAGCAAGGGGAAACGCATCACGAGGGTCTGGTCGGTCGGGGAGTGTCTGGGCTGCGGCAGGGCGAGCAGCAGGGGGGAGAGAGCAGAGAGCGTAGGAGCGACGGGTTCCTTATGGCGCCTGCACTCACCACTTTGTCGCCGAGAGAGCCCACTGGCGCCTGCTTTGCCCGTGGGATCCCAGGACAACGGACGGGCGAGCCAGGAGACAGGAAGCCCAGAAGCCTCTGACGGAGCGATCTCGCGAGGAAGACGGTAGCGATCTCTTGTCGATCGAACACAGTCTCTGCCCCACGCTGCACCACCACGGCCACCACCCAGAGCACCCAGAGCACCACTCGCTGGGCAACACATCCTACTGCCCGTCCACCCACCCTCCTCCTCTCCCATCCTCCCACTCGCTCTCTCTCCCCCCCCGCTCTGCGCTCCTCGTTGCCGCCGTCGTCGCCCTCGTCGCTCGCCTCGTCGCGCGCACGCATGGTGCACGACCCAAGACAACGACAACCGAAACGTACACTCCCGTGAACGGCCACCGCCGCCGCACACCACATACACACACACACGCGCTCACCACATCGACCGACGTCCCGCAAACCACGCGCTGCTGCTGCTGCTGCAACATATCTGTCAGCTCCCCCAGCAACCCAACAAACTCGGACGGGACACATTCCGATCTCTTGCTGCCTTACCACAACATCTGGTACCTATCACTCGCCCCGTGTCCGTCACCTCCCCCCCTCCCTCGCTCTCTCTCTCTCTCTCGCCCTCCCCCCCCCCCCCCCCCCCCCCGCTCTCGCTCGCTTGCTCGACTGCCATTTTTCTTGCTTCGCCGTCGCACCCAACACCGCACCCACGCACACGCAGCGTCGCACGTAGCGACGTGCACGCGGTTGTCCGCAGCAGCACCACCGGCTCCTTGGCATCCCATATAGCTGGCCAAAGAGTACAAGAAGTCGCTGTTCTTGCCCGTCGTTTTTGGCCACCACAAACAATCTCAACGACGAGGTTGCCCATCCTGCCTCCATCACCTAGCAGACTGCAACATTGTGCTGAGCATACACGAGTAGGACACACCTCGCCATCTTAGCTACGGCGGTCACCAACAGCTACGACTTGATCCCCGGTACATCCACACCCACCGGGCTCCTTGTTATCCGCCAGCCCGAAACCGCACTACCGAACCCCCCCACTCCACTAGTCTGTCCATCTCGTTGCCGTTTCCATCCCTCTTGCTCCTCTCTCCCTCCTCCTCCTCCTCTTCTCCCCCCACATGCCGAAGGCATCGCCCTCGCCGACGGGACCGCGCTCACCTAAGCGACCCCGTTTGGCACCCCCACCCCGACAACCGGGTTCGGCATATGCGTCAGCATCCACCGGCTCGTCCAGCACCTCGTCGCCGAGAACGACCGTCTCGCCATCTGCGCAGGGAGTCTCGGCTCAGGCGTCATCGCAACACCTGGGGCCCAACCACCCCTCCCGTACTCCATCCCGCGCAGCCTCGTCCTCCACGGCGTCATCCCCGGTCCGCCGTACCGCCACCGACAGCGGCGGCGGCGGCAATGGCGCCGGCTCTGGCACCAACGGCAACCGGTCTTCAGCAACTCCGCGGTCTGTGAGCGATACTCGATCCGATGCCCCCTCCGAGCGCCGCTCCGAGATGGGCGACGCCGATGTCTCTGACGATGAGCGCAAACGGCTCGAGGCTCGCAAGCGAGAATTATCACTGTGCGTTTATTTGGCAGCTTGGGAGCCCAACTTCACACACCGAAAACATAGCAGCAGCTGACATGTCGTGCCGTTCCTCTGTGCTTGCAACCGACCGACGTTTAATATAACTATGCTCCGCGATCTGCTTTGGTTTACCCCACTCCTCTCTCTCTCTCTTCTCTCTCACTCTCTCTCCGTTTCCTTGCACATTCGCTTGCTTGCACATTCCTCGCCACCTCATGGTATGGCCGTATCTCATCATCGCCGCCGCCGACAACGACGACTACATTCCCATCCACAGACTCGTACTCGATGTCTGCCAGCAGCCAGAGCGCGCTCGTCTGTGCTCATTCAAGGAGGAGAACGAAACGAGTGAGCATCCACCATCCCAAATCACGAATCTTCTTTTGGCCCGGCTATTGACGCACTCCACCCCTCAGTTGATCGTCGGCCTGTGGATCCACCACCGGTGATTGAGCTCCGTTCACATGCAGGCGAGGTTCCGTGAGTACATAGGTATACCCCCCTCCCCCCCCTTCGGATGTGCGCCGTTGCTGACATCATAGTGACTTGATGGACTCGACATCGTTCTTCATCCGCGCTTCCCTCGTCGCTGCCGAGCCCAGTCCGAACCCCGAACGGGGCGAGCTGTATGCAACGGTCAAGACTCCCACTGGCGCAGATGCGACCGCTGGCGAGGTCATCCAGACCCCCGAGCGACTCCGTCACCTCGACGGCAAGCCCGGTGCGCTGTGCATCTTTGCAAAGCTCTCCGTCCGCTTGCCAGGTGTGTTCCGCCTCAAGTTTACGCTGTATGAAACTGCCCAGTACGTACCGCCATTCCCGCTTGATCTCTCCAGGCATTCCCAGTTCCAGGCGTTCCTTGCCTACCCCTCTCCCCCTCCGTCGTGTTGCTGTATGTACCTGCTGACTGACACCCGCAGGGATGGTATCACCGAGATTACGCACGTCGTGTCTGAACCATTCGAGGTGTTCTCGCCAAAGCTCTTCAAGGGCATGCACGAGAGCACACCCCTCACACGGCACCTCGCGACCCAGGGCCTCAAGGTCAAGCTGCGTACCGACAGCAGCGGTGGTAAAGGTACTGCCAAGCGTCGTGCCAGTGTGGCATCTTACAACGCTACTGGCCACCGCAACGACCCAGGCTCGCCCGCAACACGCCTTCCTCCTGGTATGAGGTATACCTCTCTGCCAGCGGCAGGTGGGCCCAATTCGGCGCCGCCCTACGCAAACCAGCGTCGAAACCTCGTTTGGCAACCGCACCACTCGGCCGCATACCGCGACTATGAGACCCGTTCGCTGAGTGACGAGCCGCACCGGTACAATCGCCGACATCACGACGGCGGTGACGATGGCATGTTTGCCCTGACAGACATTTCTTCAAGGCTCGACTTTGGACGTGAGCAGACCAACCATCGGTTGCGGCGGGACACTGACAGCGACTACTCAGTGTCGTCACCATCGTCAGACCTTTCGGCCTTTTCGCTCGCACGTGGTGGACGACCAGTGTCCGCGTCGGGCCCACCTAGATGGGTGCCCAGAGAGTACGGACAGCCAGGCGACGATGGCTTCCCGACCATGCCGCCGCACCAACATCGTCCACACACCGCCGGCCCAATCTCGCACGGCGGTCCCCCAGGAATGGGCCCATCCCACCACTCGCCGCCCGTTCCTCCACCTCCGGAGTTTGCACTTCCCCGCTTGCCCCGCATCGTGCCCGTTGGCCCCATGGACCCACGCATGGGTGGCGGGCCTGGTGCACCGATGGACGGACCCCCCATGCACGCACACCCACATTACGCTCCCCATCACGACCCGCGCGACGCTCAAGACCCTCGGGACCCCCGTGACCCCCGTGATCCCCGCGACAACCCGCATGCGCGTGATGCCATGTGGCACGGCCCAGCGTACGGAGGCCCACCACCGCCGCCGCCGCCACACCTCGCTCACGCAAGCAGCCCACCGCCGATTCTCCCTCCTATCATTCGCGCCCGCTCGCCTCCAAGGCCATACGAACGGGACCCACGGGGCTGACGCCTACTTTCGGGCGTCGGACGCTAGCTAGTACGACTACTCCTCCTGCCCCCGACGGTCCGTTCCCATTCGTTTTCTTCAACAGTCTACTTCGCCTTTTCTTTCAAAAACACACGACCAACCCCGCTGTGACCGTGTAGCCTTCCTCGGCACACCTCCACAGCGCATTATTGCAACCAGTCGCCGGATGCCGCGACCCACGAACCGCAAACAGCCGCACTTTACGCACCGTTCCGCCCTTTTCTTTTTATGTTAGCCGCGCGGGGTTTCCCCCTCCGACAGCGACAATTGTAAAAATACAATCCCCCCTCACCTCGCTTGCGTCATTCATCTCTGTGGACACTGACTGCTTGGCGTCGATGAGGCACGCTCTTGTACCTGTAGTACCAATGCATCGCCGGGTTATAGAGTGATATATCGGGGCAGCAACGCAGTCCATGGTAACAGAGACACCACCCGAGGATTATAGGAGTAAACTAAACTGTAAAACGATGCGGAGCAGAACTGTGGGAACCGACGAGACGAACGGAATGTGTGTGCCGCGCCCCCAGCACATAGAGTTTCTACTCGGTCTTGTGGTCGGCAAACAGTTGCGTTCGCCTGACTTCCCATGTCGCCTTGTCGACGGCCACCCAGCGGCCCGTCCACTTGAGCAGGCCCAGCGGCGCACTGGCCCGCCAGCCGGCCTCGGGCTCGACGGGCGCAAAGCCCATCTTGGTCCAGATATGCTCTCCGCCGTCTGTAAACGCCGACGTGAGGGCAATGACGCGGCCGGTCCCGGGCGTAGCGAACGCGGCGTCGAGGGCAGTGACGAGCAGCTCGGTCCCGATACCGTACTTGCGCACCGGGCCGTCGACTGTAAAGTGGCGGATCTCCACCACGCCGGACGAGTTGGCGTTGGCGTTGGCGTTGGTGGGCTCGGCAGCGGCCACGGCGGCGCCCTTGCGCTGGCGGAGGTCGTGTGCGGGTCCCTTGCTCGCTGTCGCAGTGACCGTCTTGGCCTTGCCGCCATTCTTGCCCCGCGCATCCAGCACGCCCGGCGCGCCCAGCTCGCCCTCCTTGGCGCCCAGGACCGAGGCGACGGCCTTTCCCGGCGCGCGCGCGTCCAGCGCCAGCACGCCCGACACGTCGCCCTGGCGCTCAAACACGATAATCTGCGACCCGCCAAAGGCCGTGGGCTCGTAGTACTTGACCGGGGCGACAAGGTCGGCGCCGCCAATCAGCTGGCGCATGCCCGCCATAAACGGCCAGCGTTGCACGTACTCGATGCTGGCCAGCGACGGGAGGAGGATGAGGCAGGGACCGATGAGCGGCGTAAACGACGACAGGGGAATGTCGGGGCTGACCGTGAACGGCAGCAGGCGGTTCAGTGCGAGGCCGAGCAGGATGGCGAGGACGAGGAAGACCGGGTGACGCATCACTGAGGTAGCGAGTCAGCGAGGTTCTACGGGGTGGTCTGCTACGGTGGGTGGTGGTGCACGCCGTTGATGGTCGCGGCATGGAGCAACTGCCCCAGCTAGAGGCGAGAGCTCCCCCACAACGTCTTTACAGCAGCGACTCTTCGTCCTCCGTCCCCGATATTGTGACTCACCTCGCTTGTTCGCGATCGCCAGACCCTCCATGAATCCCTGCCCAATGAGCATCTTGACGATTTTGGCATCGCGCGCCTCGAACGGCCGCACAACGTCTTCTGCGGGCGCGGCGGGTGCAGCGGCGGCGGTGGCGGGTGCAGTGGTGGTCATGGTGCTGCTCATGGTCTGGTGCTGTGGGCTCGTAGCGACAAAAAAGGAAGTGGAGATGGGGGGAGAGCTCAAACGTCGTGCGTGCGTAGGTGTTGGTGGTGGTGGTGAGGAACGTGCGTGGGATGTGGTTGTGGTGGTTGTTGCTGGGTGTGGCGATATGTGGTTGCGGTGCTGAATGAGATGCGAGGTCTGTGGGTGTCTAAAAGATGTCAGAGGGGCAAGATGGGTGGGATGTCAAGACCGCGACGTACCCAAGAGAGTGGTCGTGTGAGCTGCTCAAGAAGGGAAAGAGACGAATCAAAATATAAACGACACGGAGAAAGCCAAGACCCATGGAATCCAAAGATATCTCACATGTGCGTTCCCGGACCATGATGGTGCCTGGGGGCGTGCCTGGACGCTGCAGTCATTTACTGGATTGACGGCCACACACGTGCGATAACCCCCATCCAGGCCATCCATATGCGCACATGGGTCGCACTGTATACGTGTGTACATGCATGCATGGCAGCCAGCAAGAACGCACGTATTGCATGGCCACATGCACACACACACGCGCACACATAGAATGTTCCACGTCGGTCTATGGGTGGGGGGAGAAACACATGCATCGCTCCTGCTTCTAACCACGACTACTACGACTAAATACGCATGCTCTGGTGCCCGCGGCCAACGGGATGGTGCCCTGTGGAGGCCGTAAAGGTCCGCGTTCTCCCTGCGCGGGGGGGATTTCTACAGTTTTGTGGACGTCTCACACTATGCCGTCCGAGGTCCTGGCCAGGGGACCAGCCTAGGCGAGCTTCTCGGCGCGCCAGACTGTCTGTCAGCTACACTCTCCAACACTGTTGTTGCCTTGGACCCAAGATGTACTCACACGACGCATACATGTTGACGCGGTCGATGGCCTGGCCGTTCTCGCGGATGTCGATGGGCTCGACCTTGAAGCCCGCCAGCTCAAAGCGTTGGCGGTACCACGGGTATTTTGCCGCCGAGCGCCAGATGGCGTGGCCGCCCACAGCGAGGACGCGGCGCATCTCGAGAATCTCAAAGTCGAGCTCGGAGCGCAGGTGCTCGTACGCCGCCTCGGGCGACTGGTCGAGCTCGTCCAGAGCCTGCGAGCCGTAGGGGGGCAAGGGGGTCTTGGCCGGGATAGGGTCGAACCCTGTGGTGTGTTAGTCTTGAGAAGACGAGTCTGTGGTTCAGACTCACAGTCCATCGAGTCCATGACGATGATCTTGGTCAGGTTGCCGTCGGGAAGACCGCGAAGCACACTGAATGTCAGCTGGAACGCCCAAGACAACTTAGCTGTGCTCACTTGAGAATGGTGTCGGTGTGGAGCTTGAATGCATTGTTAACCTTGGCGTCGCGGAGGGTCTTGAAGCCCTCGGGCTTGAGGTAAGCGGGGCACGAGGTGCGCGAGTAGCGGCCCTTGAGACAGAGGTAGTAAAAGTAGTTGTCGTCCTTGAGGGTCGAGATGCCCGGAACAGGGTCCAGCGTGGCCTTGACAAAGTCCTGGGATGGTCAGCTGCTGGTTTCCTTCGTTTAGCTCACCGCCACAGAGCCGTCCTGGAGGAAGCAGTTCATCTGGTTGCGGGGGACACCGAGGGCGTGCCAGTTGAACACGGGGTTGCCGAGGACAGCCTTGAGCATAAACTTGTTGAGGAACACGGGGCGGAAGCTCTTGTCCCAGATCTGCTGCTGCTCAGCGACCGTCTTGGCCGCAAGGATCTTCTTGACCTCGCCCGAGACACCGGCGAGGGCAAAGGCGACCTGGGCAACACGCAGCGCCCAGCCAGAGTATCCGCGGAAGTAGAAGTTGCGCGCAAACTGGTTGGCATGGGTCTTCCAGTAGGCGTAGGCGTGGGCGGAGAGGAAGGGGGACATCTTGGTGGTGAGGAGGCGCTCAAAGTCTGGGTGGTAGCCCTCGCCAAAGATGAGCCAAAAGTCGGCATACTCGATCGTCTGGATGGCAGCGAGCTTGAGCTCGAGAATGTGGCCCTGGCACGGGTTCATGTCGACAGCGTGGATACGAGCACACTTGGCAGCGAGAGCGTAGTGGAGGACGTTGTCACCAGCCGACGTGATGGCGAGCACGTGGTCGTCCTTGTTGATACCGAGACGCTTGACGTCGACGTCGGGGTCCTCCCAGGTCCAGCCGTAGATGTGGGTACGGAACTGCTGGTGGATCTTCTCCTCGAGGTAAGGGACACGCCATGCCTTGCGGAGGTGGTAGTGGAAGGGCGAGAGGGGAGCACCGACGTCGCGGAGAGTGAGCTCGTAGCCGTCCGCAGAGGCACGCTCAAGAGCACCGGGGCCAATCGTGAGCTCGGGGATAGCGGCCATCTTGAGGTCAGAGCCGAGAGCGGGCGAGACAAAGGGAGATGTGGGGGTCATGAGGCCGCCGCGGCCCTGGCCAAGACGGTTACCAGCCTCAATCTCAAAAGCACGCGACGCCGAGGTGGCATCGCGCTCACGCGAGCAGCCGAGGAAGATGTAGCTGGCCGTTAGCTCTGGCTGATAGTGACAATGGAAACGAAGCTGAAGCTAGACATCGCCTTGGGCAGCTTCACCTTCAACACTCACTAAGGGATCTGGACAAACCACGACTGGAGGAAGTTGTTGCGCCCGTTGTACGTCTTGATCGTGCCCATCTTGTACTCGAGGTAGTCGCGACGCGAGCCGTGGAGGTGGACATTGTCAAGCTCGAACCAGCACTCCCAGAACCACTTGGAAATCCACGAGACGCGCTTCGACTGGGTGCCAATAGCCTGTGGTGTCAGTACTACACCAGATAGGCAAGCTCCAAGGATCACACTCACCCGCTCCTTGATACCAAGGTCGCGCGAGGTGTAAAAGTCGACGACACCAATGAGACCTCGCTCGGGGTCGAGAACCTGGTCGCAGCGGTCCAGGAGCTGGTAGAAGGGAGGGATCTGATGTCAGTTTCAATACACTCGACAAACTAACCATTGAAAGCGAGTACGAGAGAGTGACAGCAGTGAGCGAGCCGCGGGGGTCGAGCTCTCCAGACTCCCACTCGGGGAGGACGAAGCGAGACGCGTCCTGGCACAGCACGTGGACATTCTTCCAGCCCTTGGCGGCAAAGCGCTTGCGAGCGACCTCGAGGAGGGGCTCACAGAGGTCCACGAGGTAGATCTTGTCAAAGTACGTGTGCGGGAGGTACTCGTCCATCTTCTCAATGTTCCAGCCGGTACCGCCGCCAATGTCGACCCAGATGCGGGGCTTGGGGGCTTCGTTGACGGAGCGCTGGGGCACGGGCTGGGCCTTGAGGTGGGCACTGAGGAGCTGGAGCATCGTCTCGCGGCCCTTGAGGAGGTGCGAGCGGGTGCTGTCGTAGACATCCGCCTGGCCATCGTAGAACGAGTCGAGGCGCGACTTTTGGTCAAACTTGTCCTCGGTCTTGAGGAAGGGCTTGATAAAGCAGTTCCACATGAAGACGAGCGGTGTGTGGAAGCTACCAGCCGCACCGAGGAGGAGAAGCGACCAAGCGAGAGAAGCAAGCGACCACCCCAGGAGAGGGGCAGACACCTGCACGTGTGGTGCAAGGAGCTTCTTGAGCGGACTGCGAAGCGTTAACGATGTGTCACCGACAAACACAGTGAGCGATGGCGGTGGGTGGGGCTTTCTTGAAGCAGGCCGTAGACCACATTACTCGCCAACACCAACTAGGTGCGGTACTCACCTGATACCAGCAAGAAGGCCAGTGCCAGCCGCGAGGAGCGCGACCTGTTGAGCGCGGAGCATATTGTGACCAACCACGAGGGGCGTGTTGACGAGCGATGGCGAAGACGGGGTGTGTGCGGGTAGAACCGACACGACTACCTGTTGCTTTGCTTGAGGACGTGTCTACCGTTGAGGGAGAACAGAGTCGGACGAGGGGGGGAGGAAGGGGAAGACAAAGGTCGCGCGTCCTCTTAACTAGACGCGCTTGAGCAGCGATCGATGGGTTGCCACGCTCGGTAGTGCTCCGCCGGGGTGGGTCCGGGTACCGAACCAACACCAGTTCATGTCATGGCACATTCTGGTTCGTGATAGGTACCCCAGGGCGCGCCCGTGTGCTCCACGACTCTATCCTTGGTCTTGGCTGAGGCTAGCTCTGTGGCGGTGGGCGGTTGTCGATGCTGGTCGGGCACTTGGGCACGACCATTTCCTCAATGAATCGGCACCCCCCACGGCCCACGAGCTTGATTTCGGCCTGTCGGGGTGACCGGGCGGACTGGTCCATGGCCGTGACATGGGTTAGTCCTTTGAGCGTGTTGGATGGAAGAGCAAGAACGTGCGAACGTGCTAAGAAAGACGAGGGTACGAGGAATGAAGTAGATTGGGAACGTGGGTGGACGGTGATGGGGCAAGCGGGGAAAATCCGGGGTCCCATGGGGAATGATGTCATCCACGTTCATGGATTTGGACCGTCGTGCGGGATGTACCCATGTCGAGTCGTGTCTCTTGACGTGTCGCATGCATGTGGACACTGCTGGCAGGGTTCTTCCTACTTCTTCCTACTCTCCAGGAAGCATTCATCTCAAACTTGAATCCGTCGCTTCTCTTACAGGCAGAGTGGACGCTGACGTTCGCGAACGCACGGTCCGATCCGATCGCCACCACCGAACCCGCGCTTAGCCAAACTCTGACAGTCTCGTTCAAAACAGAAGCACGCGCCATGCTGCGCTCGCAGCTCGCGGCGACACGCACGCCGTCACCCTCCACGGTGACATCTATATTTTGGAGAACCATTTGGCACGAGGGCTGTTCAACAGAAGCAATGAACCTAATCGCCGGCAGTGTCTCAGTACGGACCGGACGTCTCCGGTCCGCTGGCCGCTGGGTGACAGACAGCCCTGCCGCCGTGCTTCTTTTCCTCCCCCAAGCCTTTGCGTCGCCGCGTTTCTTCTCTGTGGACGTTTCGCTTCCACCTCGCTTCCTGTGATATTCTTGGCACTCTTAGACGATGACTGTGTAGCATGCAGTCATGCAACATGCACAGAGAGAGAGGGGTGTGTCTCGGACCATGTCTCCTCGTCCGCTCGTGTTGTGAGACACCTATGCACCTATGCCTTGCGCACGGGCCGCCGACTTTCAATGTTCAATGTTCAGACGCCACCACACACACCGCCACGGGGACAAAGGACGAGCAAGGAGGAGCCGTGTTTATTGAAAATACATCTAAGAGCTAGCATAATACAGTAGAAAATGACAGTGGGCGAGAGTGGGGGGTGGCCGGGGCGTGGAGTGGGTGGGGTCGTGTGCGCGTCGACGTGGGTGTTTGGTGTTTGGTACAAGGAAAACGCAAGATGGGTGCCACTTGGATTAGGACTTGGGAGGGGACGGGCGGCTCTGTACCCTCTGTAGCGGCGAGGCGAGTCTACCAGTAACGGATGTTGGAGCCGCAGTAGATGCAGATGGAGGTCATCCATTCCGCAGGGACACAGCGTTCTGGGCGACGTGTCAGCTATAGGTCCAAAGGAAGTCCAGCAGTTCAAAGCCGCCTGTGTCACTCACCACCAGCGTTCTTGCCGCTAGAGCTGTCCGTGTCGTAGTCATCGCTGCTGGGCACACCGCGGCACGGAGCGAGGTCTGGACGCGGGTCGGCCTCGCGATAGGAAAAGTGCATGGTGCTGGAGGCAGTGGACATTGTGGGTAGGTTGGGTGGTGGAGAGGGCAAGCAAGAACGAGTACACTGCAAAGGTCCGAGCTGGTAGAGGATGGGGTGGGCTGGTGAGGTGAGAGTTGGGAGAAGCGAGGATTGCGAAGGTGCGGCTGTACAGACGAGTCGACCTGGCCAGGTTTATGTACTGTGCGTGGGTCGTGGAGAGAGAATTACAGAAGCGTGCAGTGCATGCCTTCTCACACGATGCCTGTTCTCAGACGAGGCATGGTTGTTCGGCCGCCAAGCGGTCTTTTTTTTTTGTGGGTGGCAAAACGACCTCCTGTGGTACCTTATACCTGTGTGCGTGCGTGTTCCTGTGTGAGATGTCCATATCTTCCGAGATTACTGCTGCTGCTGCAAGGCGTTGGCTTCCCTGTTGGCCCAGGCGCTGAGCCCACTGCTGGCCACCATACCATACCTGCCGGGCAGGACCGGACAGCGCCATGCTTCGAGGCTTCGAGTGACACGGAACAAGTCGTGTGACCCCGTGTTCTTCCTGGTGGTCAGCCCACGCGTGACTCCCCACGCAGTGACCGCGCACGACTCGCTATTACCGCAAGCGCTGCCATGGGGCCATCGAGGTTCTCCGTGCAGGCTAATGCACAGCCAGGCCAGAGCTCCATCTCCTCGATCCCACGACAGAAGGACGCCACACCGGCCACGATGGGTTTCGCGTTTCATCTGCCGCCCCCGCCGTCCATTGTTTCCAAACTCCGATCTGGGTGGACATTTGTCTCCTTGGCGCTCTGCTAGGGGAAGCCTACCGTTCGAGACCTCGTCTCCTGCGTGTTGAGTGGCCAGCGGCCAGCGGCCAATGGGCAATGTTACGCAGGTGCACTTGCGTTCCGTGCGCATAGACATGTCGCTGCGAGACACGCACAGCACAGATAGCACGGTCGGAAGACACTTGGTCCCTTGTGTGTGAGCAGCTCTGGCATAATCTTTGAGTAAACTATCTTCTTCAGACGCGAGGAGATCCCCCCCCCCCCTTCCCCTCTCTCTCCCTCTAGTGCATCCCTGCCGCCGCCTCGAGAATGCGCACCACGTCGGGGAATGTAGCCGTCTCCTTGCCATGCTCGGTGACCTTGTACACACTCTCGACCGCAGTGGATCCCCGCAGGAGCTTGTCCGCCGTGGCAGTGTCCAGATCCGCAAAGCGCTGCACAAAGTCGCCATCGATGAAACCGGCCGTCTCCTTTGGCACTTTTGCGTTTCCGCCGCGTCGGAATCTGGGCCGTCAGGTTTCTGTACAAGATATTCCCGCGAGAACTCACGCTCGCCAGTCCAGGCCGCCAGGACCCTTGTGGTACTTGTTCATGTTGCGCTGCAGGTCGTCCAGGGTGCGGGTCGCGCTCGTGCCCAACTCCCCAACCATACCCAAGCGGCCGTTGGCCGTGGCAAAGATGAGGTCGGGGCGGAGCACTTCTGGGGATGAAGACGCGGGCGCCAGGGACCCGGGTCGCAAGCGGGCCACACTCTCGTGCAGACCAAACGTCGCGGCTGGCTCGATACCGTCGTTGAGGCGGAACGTCAGAAGATTGGCATGGTCCTGAGGGTTTAGCACAGAAAATACGCACTGCTAACCCACGTTTGCAATAATGACACCAGGTCCGCCGTCCACCACATCCGCCAATGCGCGCACCGAGTGGGTGCTCATGTCGTGCTGGTCGCTCCTGATCTCACCACTCTCCTCGTCCACATCCAGAACGACGATGCTGCGCATCGCATCGCCCACAACGAGTCGCTCCGAGTCGTGCATCTTGCTGGCGGGCGCAGTGTTCAGGTAGTGTGCCTCAAACCCAAACGTCCACTTTGACACCTCGCTCAGGCTCGTTGGCGGGGGGTCGAGGCGGAGGATGGAGACCTTTGTCGACATGGCAGCAGCGAGGAATCCATGGACGACAGCAGTGTCAAACACCGCCGCCGTAGTGTCGACGCTGGTGACCAGCTGGAAGCTCCACTTGCCATCCACATCGATAGCCTCCAGCAAAAGCAGACGGCCCTTCTCGGCATCAATAAAGGACGCAACGTCGTCCAGCCTTGCCTCATCGGCAAGCTCGTCAGAGCCGAAGATGGCGGTACCAACGGCAATGTATCGCTTTCCGTTGAGCAACACGGGGTTGACCGACGTGACTGCCTCGCGCTCTTCGAGCTGGAAGTCTGCGAGCACTGATTGTCAGCTGCCACTTCTTGCGTTGCCTCAACTCACAGTCTAACGTCGTGTGGTTGCGAAGCTCAATACCAGACGCCTGGAGAACCTCGCCAGTCTCCGCATCGAGCGTGCGTGTCACGGTGCCAACAGCCATGACCTTTAGGTCCGGCACGGGAGCCACACGGAGTGGAGACGTATTGTAAAGATCCAGCGTCTGGACCTGGAGCTTCTTCAGGCTGGTGAGGTGCGAGAAGCAGAGGCCCTCCGGGGTGGCCAGAACCACACAGTTGCCCAGAGTCGACGTCGTTACTGTAGCCGCGGCCACAACGTCCTTCTTGCCGCTGGAAGACACTTCCGCATGGCCGCGCGACTCGAATATGATCGACAGGCGCTCGCTGATACCAGCTGCGAAGACGGTCTCCTCGCCGGCATCGAGTGCCAGGGGCGTCAGTTGAAGTGGCCTGGTACCGAGAGACGAGTGGACGCGTCCCTTTTGAAGCTGGCTCTCGAGGCCCGCGTCGAGGTCATAGCTCACGAGTGAGCCGTCGCTGAGGCCAGCGAGGAGCTGCAGGGCACCCGAAGACAAGTTGTTGAACAGCAAGGACGACGCATACGCGGCTTCTTTGGTCGCAGCGAGAGGCGTGTTGCTCGACAGGCCCTTGAGAGTGTACACCTGGATTTCCTGGCCCCAGTCACTCACGGCAACCAGCGGCTCGTCGCCAAGGTAAATGTCGACAGCAGCGACCTCCCGTGGCACACGAGCGTCGAGCAGCAATTCCAAGCTGATCGCGGCGCACCACGCTTTGATGGATCCGTCGCGGAAGGCGGCCACAATGAGGTTCTTGCGTACGGCCCCAGCGACAATGTTGTTGTCCGCCGTCGCCAGGAACGTGCTGACAGAGGTGCCGCCCACAATGTCAGACCAGAGCTGCACACCAAGCGGCGTGATCTGAGCCAATATTGTGTCGCCCTTGACAAGACCGGCAGCGATGGTTGGCGACGAGACAATGCTGTCGGCGGCGGATATGGCCGAGACCTCGGGCTCAAGGTTGAGTACTGCTGTGGATTCGGCAAATGAAACGAGCAACGTCGGGGACTGGCTACCTGCAGGGGCCAGTGTCCACATCCGCTCAACGCCGGGGATGCCTTCAACATTGAGGACGTCCTCGAATCCGACGCCGCTGCGTACAATACGCAACGAGTTGGTGTTGGAAGAGCCCGACGCGACGACCAAGTGAGACTGGGGCCGTTAGCACATTGATAGGGTAATAACGCACCACTCGGCCATCTTCTCCTTCGACCACCGCAAAGTCCTTGACTGGCGCAATGTTCATCCAACGCTCGCGCACTGAGATCTCGCCCTCGCTTTCAGCTTCGCGGAAGATGGTCCATGCACCGGCGTCAAAGTACTCCTGAGCCCGTTCCTTGCCCTTGCCGTGGATATTCTTAGGAGCGGACGATGCGGAGGGAGAAACGGTGTCGTCTTCCTTGACATCTCCCTTGGTCTCGGCCGGTGCCAAGGACACGATGAGAGAGTCGCCGCATGCGGAGGACACAAAGACGTTACCGTTGTCAAGATAGGTCAATGCTGTTGGTGGCGACACCTATTGAATGAGCAATGGCCAAGCCGTGGAAGGACTTACAATTCCCATGTCGGTCATGCCAACACGAACAGTCTCACCCTCAAACTCCCATCCGATGGCTGTCAGACGGCCACATTGGTCGCCGAGGAGGACACTGCCACCCGATGTGTGGTTCTCCAGAACCGTCGATCTAGTTTGTCAGAAGGACACTTTTCTCGTTCACTTACGCCAAAACGGTGCCGAATCCCTGGCGCATACGCCAGACGGGCTTGACAGTCCAGTTGTTGTCGACGTCGGTAGTGACGCTGCGTCCAGACGTGCTCGACTTGCGTTTCTTGCCGATACCGCCCGTCTCGGACTGTGGGCTCCGGCGAATCGCACTGGCTCTTGGGCTAGTAGCCGACTTGACCGACGGTCCCAGCGCAGGCGATATGGCGTAGAGAGCAGCGTGCTCGTCGCCGATAACGAGGAAGAGCTTGGCGTTGGTAGGGCCGTTGCCGATGGCGAGGACATTGCGCGCTGCCGGGACCGAGAATGGGATAGCGTTGAAGTCGATATCTTGCGATTCTGAGATGGGAAAGTCGAGCGGGTTGACCACATCAGTCGGGACGGCAAGCTCGGTGAAGGAGTGGCTTGCGGCGGAAAGCTGACGCGGTTGGATCTGGAGCTTGTTTTGCTCTGACATCCAGAGGAAGGTGAGCACTGTTTGGTCACCGGGTATGAACGCAATGTCAAGAAGGTTGTGCTCGCGGATGCTGCTGTTAGAAGCGAATACTCTCGTGTCGCGTGACCCACTTGATGTTTGAGCTGCTCTTGAACACTAGCCGCCTTGCTTGACGCCTTGCTACCTCATCGAGGTCCATGTCGCTGCCGGCGATTGATGTGCGTCGTTTTGCATCCTTGCTCTTCTCGAGCTCCATCTCAATGTGCGCCAGGAGACCAGTCCAGAGCGATACAATGACCGAGGTGCTATTTGACACCACGCCGGTGAAGAACTCTTGCCGCCTGAGGTTTGGGGTCGGGGCGGTCAGCGGTTGGGTCGATGTGATAACGAGCTTGCCGGAGAAGGTGACGAGGTGCAGCTGGGCATTAGGCGGCCCAGCAAGCACAAGAATATGGGGCATAGCATCCTGCAATTGTTAGCAGGCAAGCCCATGACAGTGACACCTACCGGAACGGAGACGGTAGTGAGGCCAACGATAGTACCCCAAATACCGAGCTCGGCGCGGAACTCGAGGCCCGAGGCGGTAATGTCCCATGCTTCAATGCGGTCTGGCTTGGCAATAACAAGACAGTTTACTCCAGGAGTGATAAAGTCTTGTACCTGCACCGCATGGGAGATGGCTGTTGGAGTGAGAGCCTTGTGCGTGTCAGCGGGGGAGGCTGCTGAAGCGGTTGCGGTGGGAGCCAACTACCCGTTTGTGACTCACCGAGGCAATGTACAGCATGGTGAACGATATGGGGTTTGAACGATACAACTAATGCAGGTCCCTAGCCGCTCTATATGCTGGATGAGGGCACTGGATGAGTGCCAGACGGGGTGATGCGATGGAGGCGACGTTGGGGGAGAACCAAAAGAGATGACGAAGGTGACCACTACCTCTCGTTCGGCACACCCTCCGGCCGGACGGTGTGGCGTCCAAGTGGAGGCAATGGGGTGGAGGCCACGCGACGGGCACGTGACTCAAGATTTCCATGTCCACACCCCTGCTTTGGCCACCAAGAACGTTCAACAGCGATATCCCAACACACATCGCCCACCAGCTCACATCTCGCGCGCAATGCCCAATCCCCAGCTCTCAGCAGTGCCTGCCGCGCAGGCAACCAAGCGCAAAAACGCTCCCCGTGACGACGAGGACGACGATGCCGCTAGCGACTCGGGAAGTGACGTCGTGCGTTGAACCCAGCTCTTTCCCAACTTGTGCTGACATTCCAGTCCATGATCAACGTCGACTTTGACTTTTACAACCTCAACGAGGATGTTGACCAGTGAGAATCAAATATTTTGCTCGCAACCACTGCCACAATAACTGACCCGGCTCAGAATCGCCATCAAGCGCCTGTTGCGCCAGTCGCTCTCGAACGACGAGAACCTCGTCGACGTCCACCCTCTTGCGGACCTTATCCTGGCCGAGAGCAAGCGCATGGGTGCCGGAACCTCGATCAAGACGGACGGCGAGGAAAGCGACCCGTGGGGTCTGCTAGCGGCTGTCGACATCCGCAGGTGTCAGGCCGAGCCGGGCCTCAAGCCGTTTGTCGACTATCTCCTGTCCACCGCTCCTCCCTCCACCATTGCGTCCATCCTTGACCCTTCCAACACCTCGCGCCCCGCCTTCCTCTTCTCCCTCCGCATGCTCAATCTCCCCCTCCCCCTCGTCCCGCCTCTTTACAAGATGCTCGGCTCCGAGCTCTCCGAGGCCAACTTTACCCACTACATGATCTGGGGCCGTGGCTACAAGCTGGAGGGTACCGAGGAGGCGACCGGTTTGGAAATGGACGCCACCGTCAAGGGCAACAAGAAGAAGAAGGGCGGTGCCGCCGGTGGTGTTGGCGGCGTCCCTGCTGGCAAGTTTGCCTACCACCCCGAGGAGGAGATGATCGACGCCCGCGGTGTCGCGGTCCACAACTATGCGCTCAAGACGGCCAAGCCCCGTGACGACGAGTCGTTTGGTGTGGAACAGTACGGCCGTGTCGTTCTGGTCGAGACTGCCAAGCTCGCCGAGGCTGTCGAGGCCATGGAGGAGGCCTGCCGCTAGAGACTGGGGACCGGAGGACCGGAGATCCTACTGCATAGACGAGACATTTGTTGTGATGCACCTGCGTAAACCATACATACAAATACGGCCGCTGCCAGTCTACTTTCTCCTCTTCCAGAACCCCGGGTGGAACAACTCGACGTGACAGTAGTAGCAGTCGTACATTAACGAGTTGTTGACATGCGACCAGACGCCCTTGCACGGGACTGCATAATCAGCACAACTCCTCCACCCCCCAGGTCGCACGCTACTCACAGCCACGGTTAACCCCTCGTCGGTCGCCGCTGCAGATGTGCATGGTACGCGTGCGGTGTAGTGTATGTAGATCAAGTTGAGATGGAGACTAGACTACGGTGAGCCGTTGTGAGCCCCTTTATAAACCCCTTCACGACAACGCGTCCACCCCCCCCCCCCCCCCCCCCCCCCAGTCTCGTGAGCACCAAAATTGGCCCGCAATGAGGCTGCTGCGTGGCGTTTTGATAATTCATAATTAGGCATCAAAATACCAGTCCAGAATGTGATCCCACACGCCGTCGCGTGATTCTACATGAGTGCTGCGGCGCCTTCAACTTGACTGACAAGGGTACAAGGGCCCGTGGAGCAACCCTAGTGAAATGTGGCTTGGGGCAACATCGCGCAGAATATAGTGGTGCCACTGACGCACCGAATCTACCGAAGGTTCTCCTCTCTCCCATTTGGACTTTGAACACGTTGAATAAAACTCACAGAAGACCCATGTGTACAACAGTATTTACATACCACGTCGTACGGTCATCTACCATTCATGCACTGGCTACACGCGCCGGTCCATCGACTGTGTACAGGGTCAAACCAATCTTGGCAACCGAGCGTCGCTGTGCAGGCCTTGAACAAAGATCAGCGCAGGTCAATACGTCTCCACAAAACACCTACCTTAGCAGTCAAGGATATTCTCGTATCCAAAGTGAAGCGCGGCAGTTTCCTCGTTCAAGCTGTTCTTGTACTCGTGCACAGTGAGGAACTTCACATTGTTAAAGGCCAAGTCGGGCTTTGCCGAACGAAACTTCCAAGCCGTCGCGCGCTTGGCGGTAAACAGGTCCAGGACACCAGTCTTGCTGTCCGTGTATGGTGGCAGGCCGAAGCACTCTGCTCTCGTGCTTTCGAGGCCGACAAACGTGTAGTTGACCAGAGACTTGGGGTTGGGGGCGATCAGGTCGACAAAGCTGGCGAGCACGTTGGCATTGAGGCCAGCAGCACGCGCGGCACGTTGACCGGGCCTGGCAAAAAAGATGACGACCACATTGCGGAGTGCAGGCCAGTTTGGAGCTTGGAATGGAGTCAGGTATGTGTCTCCATGCGTGTACTCGTAGTTGATGATCACGTTGGTCGCCGCCATGGCTTGGTTCCGTGGCAAGGTCTCGATCATCCACGGAGAGCCGCTGTGGCCCAGAAACATGACTAGGTTTGAAACGTCAAAGACGATGCCTGGGATCTTGAGGGGCTTGGGAAACCACAGTCCGTCTCCAATGTTGCAGCTAGGGAAGATGTAACGAACAGTGTGGAGAGAAACTGCGAATTGGACAATGTGTGCCATATGGCCGCCAGAGACGGGGCCCTTGAGGTCGAGAACCTTGATGCGTTGCAGGCTGTCAAGATAGCCGTCGATGTTGATGTGGCCGCCCTTGTCTGCGACATTGTTGTTGTCCTCTTTGCCGAGGGAGGTGGCGTCGGGCAGGAGATGCGACTTGTTCCAGAGGTCTCCAAACGGCGAGCACCGGGGAACACCCACACCCAACGGAAGCAAGACGTTGTCGCCCTCAAACGATTCGAGCGTTGCTGGTTGAACTGGTTGAGGTGGTTGAGGTGGACGTTGTTCTTGTGCTGGGTGGGCTGGTCGAGTTCGGGAACGAAGGGCATGGCCGTGGAGCGGAGCCTTAACAATTATGCGCGGACGAAATTGGTTTTGAGTAGCACTTGCCTCCCTCGCCAGCACTGCATGGTGAGCGAGTCGGCGGTCGGCAGCGTCACGGAAGTCCCTCGAACAGTCCCGTAGACGAAGTAGAGCTGAGAAGGAAGCCGCATTAAAGATGGTGTCCACAATGTCGGGGAAGAACGAGGCATCGAGACGACATGTCGACGGGGGGGTGGACGACGACGCCGCGGCAGTGCTTTCAGCAGGCATTCGCTTCGTGCGCTTTGATGGTATGGAGGGTGCCAGCCCCGTCGCAGGCTTCTTCTTCTTGGGAGGCATGCTGGATGGGGATGTGTGAGGACGGTGAAGAGGTGAGAAGTGAGGAAAGGTGAGGAAGGTTGGGTTAGTCGAGGTGACGTGTATGTGTGTGTGTACGCTGTGACCAGCGATCTGTGTGTTCACCGCTCACGTAGTGATGACCGTCTCGACCGTCGTGACACCGCGGCCATGTGGGCTTTTGATTGTCTGTCCCAACACAACAAACGAATCAACAAACGAATGGCCAGCCGTTGTATTGCTGTATCAACATGCTCTGCATGCTCTGTATCCACAGTGTGAGTTGACAGTTGTTCTTGACGCACAGTATACGTTTGCTGACCGGAACATTGTGTGGTGGTGTGCGTGCGCCGCATCTATGCCTCTTGGCCGGGGATGCAACCAGCAACAATGCTCGCTCTTGACGATCGTCCCACCTTCCCTCTCACTTTCACATGGTCATTCTGAATTCTGGCCATGCACAGCAGCAACGTCGCCTCCGCAGCTCTGTCTCAGCTCCCAGCTGAGGCAGCTGCATACGTGCATACACAGCCTTGCCCGTAAAAAACACCGATACTGTAAACAGCCTCATCCACGAATCTCTTTACGGCCCCATGGGGGAACACGCCATGACTTGCCGCGGCACTCTGGCACCCGAACTCCGGACACGCACGTCGTCTGCCTCCCTAGATCAGATTGCGATATGATATGGTTGTGTGGGGGGGCAACAGCAAGGTCATGTGAGTGTCGGTTTAGTCGTCGTCGGCCGCAACAGACCGCGGTGGGGGAGGTGGGGTGTAGGGGAGGTGGAGCCCATGATCTGTCCGCTAGGCTGTGCCGGTTCGGAATGGCTTTGTGCGGTCTCAGCCATGTCAATGGGTCCAGCATTCCACAGTGTCCCCAGAGCGCCAGAGCCCATGAGCCACAGGCCACAGGCCAGATCATAACGGGCATGGCATGCATGGCAGTCGTCGTTCCACCGCCAGCACGGCCAGCACAACTGTTCGTTCCGAAACGCGGCCTCTCGGGCGCGGCCGCGACTCGCCGCGACTCACTCCCCAGCGTACCGCACAATCCCACGGATAAACCACCAAGCGGCCACAGCCCGTGGGCACTGTTCGAATCCGAATCCTCGCCGTTGCTTGCCAAGCACAACGTGTACAATGGGCCGCGGACCCCCTCTTGGACAGTCACTTGTTAGTCAGCGTTAGTTGCGGGTGACTACTGCTGCACGAATCACAGCCATCGGGGTACCAATGTGTGCATGGCATGGGTTTAGCGACGTTGCCGCGATCGTTCCCCCTGTGAGTGATCCTGGGATCTGGGAGCTGTACGCGCAAACAAGAGAGGGAAAGCGAGTGGCAGCAGTAGTGTCTGTTTTGCAAGACGACTAGGAAGCTAGGAAACAAGTTCGGAACAGCTCCTTGTGTTGCGGGAACGGGGGATGCCGTACAGTAGTATTATACACGGTGACACTTGTTTGTCTTGCCAGTGGCCAGTTGCCAGTGGCTGTCTCAATGGACATGCAGAGAGGCAAGCGAGATGCGCAAAAGGCACCCGCCAAAAGGTGAGCCCTACAGCAGCAAGTGGGGGTGCATGGATTTGTGTCAGCGCTTCGGCCGTTCGCAGCAGCCACCGACCCCACAGCCAGAGCTGGCCAGAAGCTGTTGCCAGAGCTCGTCGGGTGACCGCACCCGGTCTGTACCTGTGTGAGCATCCGGGTAACGTCTATTGGCCGCGGAAGGCATGGGCGTGTGCGGTACGTGCGGGTTGGGTGGTGGTGCGAAAAACACACTACGGGCGTGCCGCTGCCTTTTTTTACTCCCGTTATGGGTTTCTGGCCCCCCGCCCCTTCCCCCTCTCTCGGGCGATCTTCCCTACTCGACTTTCCGGCCGGGCTTTTTGTATGCGACGACAGCGAGCCCCCACCCCACCCCCTCTTTAACAGCTGTCGACGCTCGCTCTTCTTTCCCATTCCCCATCTCCCTCCCCCACCTCTCTCTCCCGCTCCCAACACCTCCTCCACAACAGCGCACAGCGCACACCTCGAACACACTACTACCAAAGGAAACACCACCACCATGCAGGTCACCCAGCTCCTCCGCTTCTCGGGCGTCTGCCCCTTCCTGGGCCACTCCACGCCCACCACCCTCCGCGCACTCGCGTCCAGCAAGGCCACCACCGGCTCGGCCCTCACCGCCAAGGCCATCCAGTGCCCCATGATGGGTCCCACCCTCGTCGCCAAGTCGGCCTCGCGCGGCTACGCCTCCGTCGCCGGCAACCGTGAGGTTGAGGCCATCCACAAGGTAAGCGCGAATGAATATATTGGTGTGCCAAGCGAGCGCTGTGAGCCTCCAAGCCCACTTTTTGGACCCGTTTTTTTCACCTCCCGAGTAACACTTTGCTGACTCGTGTTTCCAACAGCAGAAGGACATTCCTTTTGACCCCAGCGCGACCCCTGCTGGCAACTGCCCTCACGCCAAGGCCGCTCGCGACGCCGCCCTCAAGGCCCAGCGCGATGCCGACGCCGTCGCTGCCCCCCAGCAGTCTGCCCAGCGTGTAGTCAACGGCTTCGACTACGAGTCGTTCTACCATTCCGAGCTCGACAAGAAGCACAAGGACAAGTCGTACCGCTACTTTAACAACATCAACCGCATGGCTGCCAAGTTCCCCGTTGCCCACAGATCCAAGACTACCGACGAGGTCGATGTATGGTGCGCCAACGACTACCTCGGCATGGGCCGTAACCCCGCTGTCATCGACGCCATGCACCGTACACTCAACCGCTACGGTGCCGGTGCCGGTGGTACCCGTAACATTGCCGGCAACGGTGCTCTCCACCTCGCTCTGGAGGACGAGATTGCCAGTCTCCACCGCAAGGAGGCTGCCCTCGTCTTCTCGTCGTGCTACGTCGCCAACGACGCATGCCTGGCCACCATTGGTGCCAAGCTCCCCGGCTGTGTCATCTTCTCCGACGCGCTCAACCACGCCTCGATGATCCAGGGTGTGCGCCACTCGGGTGCCAAAAAGGTCATTTTCAAGCACAACGACCTCGCCGACCTCGAGGCCAAGCTCCAGGCTGTCCCCAAGGACACTCCCAAGCTCATCGCCTTCGAGTCAGTCTACTCGATGTGCGGCTCTGTTGCCCCCATTGAGGAGATTTGTGACCTGGCCGAAAAGTACGGCGCCCTCACCTTCCTCGACGAGGTCCACGCCATCGGCATGTACGGCCCGACTGGTGCCGGTGTTGCTGAGCACATTGACTTTGCCGCCCACTACGCTACCCGTGACTCGAGCGCCCCCGTCCCCCGCTCGGTTATGGACCGCATTGACATTATCACCGCTACCCTCGGCAAGGCCTATGGTGTCGTTGGTGGCTACATTGCCGGCTCGGCCAACTTTGTGGACGTTGTCCGCTCGTACGCCCCCGGCTTCATCTTCACCACCTCGCTGCCCCCCGCGATCGTGGCCGGTGCCCAGACTGCCATCGCCTACCAGCGCGAGTTTATGGGTGACCGTCGTCTCCAGCAGCTCAACACCCGCGAGGTGAAGAAGCAGCTCAAGGACCTCGGTATCCCCGTCGTCCCCAACCCCTCGCACATTATCCCCGTGCTTGTCGGTGACGCCGCCCTCGCCAAGGAGGCCTCGGACCTCCTCCTCTCCAAGCACAGCATCTACGTCCAGTCGATCAACTACCCGACTGTCCCCGTGGGCGAGGAGCGTCTCCGCATCACCCCCACGCCCGGCCACACTGCCGAGCAGATCAAGCACCTCGTCGAGTCGGTCGACTCGGTGTTCAAGCAGCTCAACCTCAAGCGCGAGGCCGAGTGGGTCGCCGCCGGTGGCCGCGCCGGTGTCGGTGCCCCCGGCGCCGTCGCTCCCGAGCCCCTCTGGAACGACGCCCAGCTCGGCCTCGAGGACGGCTCGGCCCCCGTCCAGCTCGCCAACGGCAACAAGAGCTTCGTCCCCGGCGACGTTGTCAAGGTCGCCGAGGCCCGCCTCACCCACCTCCTCGATGTCGGACCCCGTCTCAGCCAGGAGGCTACCGTTGCTTCCAACTAGGCTGTGCGCCTATGTTTGAACATGGAGCAGCTCACCAAACGGTTGAAACCAGTTGTCGTATCTTCGTAGTCGAGATGAAATGCGGGGGAGAACAGGGGCGAGGCGATGCCCAATTTACTACTATTCTCTGCTGCAGTCCTGTTTTGAGCATACCCAGTGATTCCACTGAGTGATCCTACTGATCATGGATGAGGAACGGATCGTCCTGATTAGATCTGGTATGTAAGCCCACTACGTTCACCACTCTGCTTACTGCCAGTTCGATGCCCGCGCGGTGCTTGCGATCTTGCGAGCGGGGGGGGGGGGGGGGGTGTTCTCTTATTCGCCATTCGCCAGGTACAATACGATTCCGGAGCCCTGCAACCACCGTACTGCCGCACTGCCAAGGTGCACACCCCACGCGAGCCTCGACGCCAATGTGCATGGACACACCTGCACACCTGGATGCAGGACAAAGCAGGACAAAGCAGGACAAGCAGGACAAGCACGCCACGCCACGTCGAGAGTGCCGCCAGCCAGCCATGGAATCGAACGCACTGGAACGCGGGCCGGTCTCGGCGGCGTCGGATGCGGGCAGTGTGGGGGGTCCAGCTGTGGGATGACGGCTCAGGGCGGGGCAACTTGGGCAGCCAGCCAGCGAGCCAGCCAGCGCCGACACATCCGGTCCTCCCACCCACACCGCCCACTCGTCCCATCCACATCTCCACACCATCTCTCTCACTCCCCTCCTTCTTCCCATCCTCCCACACACTCTTCTCCCTCCCGTCCCCCCCCTTTCGGTTCCCCTTCTCGGCACCTCTTCTCGGTCTCGGTCTCGGTAGAGCTCTCTCTGTCTTTACCGCCTCCGTCTTCTTCAGTCCCGCCCGGCTTTCCGACTTTTGCAAGCGTCCCTCTCCTCCTCTTCGCCCACCATGTCCGGTATCTTCCAGCTCCTCGGCGGCCTCGCGCCCCAGGGCCCCACCAACGCTGCTCGCGAGTATGACGGCTTTGAGCTGCGCTGGAAGATGTTCGTCTTCCGCCCGGCCACCTTCAAGTTTGAGGGCATCATGCTGGCCATTCTCGGCCTGTACGTCGCCATCCACCTTGTGGGCAAGGCCATCAACATGGGCCGCGCTCGCAAGACCGTCGACGCATTCACCCCGCTCGTCACGGACAACTTTACATCGGTCCGCCCGCTCCTCAGCTCGTCGTCGGCCCTCCACTTGCTCTATGCTACCGGTCGCCGCAACGTCCTCTGCCTCCAGGCCACCCTCAAGCTCCAGCCCCTCCACGACATCATCTCGCTCATCTGGCAGACTGTCTGGTCCATCATCGAGCCCACCTCGGACAACAGCGAGGCCCTCGAGGTCGACCTGACCCTCGGCCGTGGTGCCAGCGGTCTCCAGGGCGAGGCTGCCGGTGTCTGGGCCATTATTGACAAGGGCTCGCTCACCAAGACCCGTACCCGTTTTGACCTTGTGAGTGGCATTTGGAGTGGGATTTGGACTGAGGGATGTGGATGGGGTGCTTGTCTGGAAGCTGGTCTGGGTTTGCCTGTGCAGCTGTCAGCTGTTGGCCGGAAAAAGGGTACCCCGCCGTCTCCAGCCCCGCGCCGCTCCGGCTCCTCGCCGTACTGTCGCTAACACCCACCGCAGTCGTTCCCCCGCCTCCACGAGTCGGCCGTTGTCCCCATCACCCACTCGCTCTTCTCGGAGCACTCTGAGATCACCGACGCGCTCCTGAAGACCCCCAACGTCGGCATCACCGACCTCCTCGCCAACCCCGCCGCCGCCAAGGTCCTCAAGACCTTCATCGTCACCGACCAGCCCCCCATGCGCCCCACCAAGGGTCCCCTCAAGGCCGAGCACAAGGCCCGCAAGGTCGAGGTCACCTTCAACAAGCCCGCTTCCACTTCGGACAACGAGGCTGTCACCGCCTGGCTCCAGGTCGCCCTCAACGTCTCGGACCTCATCTCGCGCCCCGGCTTTGTCAAGGCCGAGGTCGGCCGCAAGCTCGCGCGCACCCGCGCCGAGGTCGACGTCTCCCTCGAGAAGCAGTACCAGAAGGAGCTGCAGGAGGACGGCCTGGCCGAGAAGAGCCCCGAGGACAAGCGTGCCGAGAGGAAGCGCCTCGAGCGCTCCCAGCTCAGCGAGAAGGAGCTCAAGCGCCAGGAGGAGCTCAACCGCAAGCGCGAGGTGGGTGTAACACGGCTGTGGTCTGTCTCTGTCCCAAAATGCTGACCCGGTCCCAGATGCGCAAGATGCAGAAGAAGCAGATGAAGGCGTAAGGCGTGTACGACCATACGCGCCTGGAAAGCGTCGGCCAGCTCCCCCATCGGACGGCGGGAGAGCTGCACAGCAGCAACTACATCAAACTACATCTCGGTATGGAGGCTGGGCGGACGCTATAGGGGAAAAGGGGGAACGTTTATGGCGTGTGTGGCTGCCGGAGAGCAGTGGAGGGAGGCAAAAGGAAGGATGTGGGGTGTGTCGTGCGGACCGGATCTATGTTAGGTGTGATTCCATCAAAAGTATGCACGCAGTAATCTTGACCACAGACCCACAGAGAGAGCCGCGCGTTGTTGTGGCTTGGGCCTGGGGGATGCTGTTGCGTAGCGATGCCCCAAGTGTGTGGTTGGGATGTAAGTGGCACAGCAGTTACCTCTCCCCCTCAACCCCGCCTCATAGACGGCGTGTAGCCGCGGTCATTCCTTCTTTGGATGTCTGTTGATACCGTATCTCTCTGTCTGGAAGGGGACTGGCTTTTGCCTGTTCCCAAGGGATCCAACGGTGGTGGGCAGCGGATTCAGCCCAGTGGCACAATGGCAGTGCTGTACGTGCTCTCGCAGTTGGTCTGTCTGGAGGTGATCGCGGATTGGACACAGACACTCTTTCAGTTGCTGCCATCGCACGCACACAGTGAGGCGCGTCCTCTCCTGGCGCGACCAGCTAGCGATGAAGCGCATAAAGGAACCCAATACATGGTTGGCAATGTTGGTAGTGTACAATGGAAGAAAAGCGCCTGTCGTTCCTCTCTCACGCTCATGTCGTTTTACTCGGGCAGCTTGGTAGCCTGAACGAGCGGCTCGGGTCTGGATCGTCAGTTGTGTCCCATGTTCCTCGGGAAGCAACTCACCGTAACGCAAACACAACCTTTTTACGCACCACGCCGACCACCTCGTAGTGGCGTGCGCGCTCTGGCTGCTCGGCCTTTCGCTTCTGCCTCCTCTCCGCCCTCCGCCTCTCCCTCTCCCGGTCCCTCGCTTGTGTCTCCGGCCCCCTATCGTCGTCGTCGTTGTCCTCCTCATTCTCGTCATTGTCCGCGCCGCGCTTGCGTGGAAACCCCCACGCGTCCATGCCCGTCACGGGCGAGCTCAGGTCCGAGCTATAGTCCCTTGCCGGAGTCGCAAACTCGCTAAACGGAGAGCTGGACGGTGGCAGGCCCGCATTCTTGGTCTGCGGGGTCATCATGAGCATCTCCGAGGGCGGGAACAGCGGTCCGTCGTCCTCTTCTTCTTCCTCGTCGTCGTTTTTGTTCTTGTTCTTGTCGTCGTTCTTGTCCGTCTTGGCCTTTTTGTGCTTGTTGGGCGTCGCGCGCGCGGCCTCCTCGCGCTCGCGTTCCTCGTCCGACTCTTCGTCCTCGGCGTCGCCCTCCAGTGCGTGCGGGTTGAGGCCGATGTCGAGCGTCGTCGACGTCGACGGCGCTTGGGCCTTGCGAATCACCGCATACGGTTTGGGCAAGGTGGACATTTTGCCGTGGAGGAGGTGGTGTTCGCCAATGTGGAGTGTGGGCTTGTCCTGGGCGAGCAAGTCAGCTTTCGATAAGGACAACGAGGAAGCTGAGGCAGTTTGAGAAAGACGTGGTGGTGTCCCGCAAACTGCACTGTACTCCACTCACAGGACGGTCGAGACCCAGCACGCCAACCACGCCGTTGGCATTGTCGCCCTCCCACGTGAGCTCGCCTTGCAGCTCGATAACGACCAGTTCGCCGCCGATACGAGCAAACGGGCCCGACCCGCCCGCAGCTGCGTCCTTGCCAAAATGGGCCGGGTGGAGAGGAAGGTGTATGCGCATGGCTGGGCGGTGGTGGTGATTGTATTGTGATGGATGTTGTTGTCGTCGAAATGACCCATTCGCGTCGTCGCGTCTGGCGCGCGCGTTCAGAGCGGCGCGCCGGGCAAGATGCGGCAAGATGCCACGTGCGTGGACCCTGAATTCCAATCTGGAACCACCGCCCGGGATGGTCGAGTTGGGACCTTGTTTTCGACTCTGGCGCCATCCCTTTTCTTCTTGTGTCCATACCATTCTCCAAACACGCAAACAATGTCCGGCCTCCCCCAGCCCGAGCTCCACAAGGACGCCAAGTATGTCTTCCTGTCCGACTGGGTGAGTTTGTAGCTGTACAGTACGTTGCCAACAAGCTAACGGGCAGGATGGAACCATCACCGACAAGGACTCGAACGACTTCCTGACCGACACGTATGGCTTCGGTGCTGCTCAGCGGTGAGTCCAGGACGGCAGCGGAGCGATCCCGAGGATCCACTGCTGCTTTATTCATCAGGATGAGGCGCCCGGTGTGCGATGTGCTCACACTTTCCTTGCAGCAAGGCGCACAACCAGAAGGTGCTCAAGGGCGACCTGCACTTCCGTGACTCGTTCCGCGAGATGCTCCTCTCCGTCAGCGACAACGGCCACGACTTTGAGAGCTGCAAGGAGCTCCTGCGCCAGAGTGAGTTCTGCCTTCTACCCCTTTCCACGACGAAGAGCTCGCCGGACTGGGTACTGCGGCGGGTGTCTGCGACACTACTACTGCCGCGGAGACAGCCGTGCACGACTCCTTCCCTCCGGGGCGGGGTTACTACCACCCACCCACCCACCAAAAGGGTCCAGCCAGTTCCTAACATGCAACTCGCAGACATTGGCCTCGACCCGGGCTTTGAGACCTTCTACTCGTGGTGCAAGGAGAATGGTATCCCCGTGATCATCGTCTCGAGGTGAGTGGACCAGACGGGCAGCAAGAACCACATGGGTGGCACGCCGAATTTCGAGTTTTAAACTAGGGCCGTATCACGGATCACGGATCACGGAGACGTCCGTGTTCGGCCCGGTCCGCCGGCGCTGCCGTGGGCGTGGGCGACATGTTTCATGGCCACCAGCTAGAGCATGTCTTCTCCGCAGCTGGTCAGCTCGGACGTGCTCGCCCACGCACGCACGCACGTGCAGCGGGCTGCCCCCACCACCCCGACCCCACACTCTCTCCGGTGGTGCTCCGCTAACCCCCTCCTCAGCGGCATGGCGCCCATTATCCGCGCTGTCCTCGAGAAGCTCGTGGGCGAGGCCGAGGCTGCCAAGATTGAGATCATCGCCAACGACGTCAAGTACACCGACGCCGAGGGCACGGGCAAGACATGGGAGATTGTGTGGCGCCACCCCGAGTCTGGTTTCGGCCACGACAAGTCGCAGTCGATCATTCCGTACCGCTCGCTCGAGAACAAGCCCACCTTGTTCTTTGCCGGCGACGGCGTCAGCGACCTGTCGGCCGCCCGCCACGCCGACGTCCTCTTCACCAAGGTGGCCGAGGACGGCGCGTCTGACCTGCTCAAGTTCTGCGTCAGGGAGAACATCCCCCACGTCGCCGTGGCCAACTTTTCCCAGATCCTCGAGGACGTCCAAAAGGTCGTCGTCGGCGGCGAGACCACTGCCCAGGTCATTGCCGAGGCCAACCACCCCACTAGCACTAGCGCTTAGAATGGCTCTCCTCCCTTAGATAGAATACCCCATCATCTGGACAAAATGCATAGATGGTAGAGTGTATAGCATAATGCGGGTGCACAGTCTACAGCTACAGGAGAGAGGGAAGGGAGTCTACGACGGCCTAGCGCTGACAGTGAAGAGGAGCTGCTTCTGCTTGCCCTTCTTCTTGCTGGCAGGCTTGGGCTCCTCGACGGGGGCGTCACTGTCATCGACGCTCATCGACGCCATACCGTTGGAGGCGCTCGCCACACCCCAGTTGTTGGTCTTGGGCGCAGGCGGCGCGGTGCCGCGGATACGCGCAATCGACTCGTCGCGCGGTGTAGGCTTGGAGAAGAGGGCGGCACGCTCGGCGGCCTTGGACTTGGCCGAGCTGCTCGAGGGGAGGGAAGGGAAGGACGCCTTGTTGACCGGGGTGGGCTTGGACGACGACACGGTCGGGAAGTTGACCGAGCGGATCTGCGGGACAAGCGCCGACGGGGCCTTGCTCGACGAACCGCCGCCACCGCCAGAGGCCCAAGGGGTGGAGTGGACGGCGCCGCGCGACGACCCGGCAGCAGCGTTCGCGCCGAGAGCAGGGAACGAGGTCGGCTGAGCACCACCGGCGCCGGGGACGTGGCGACCGTTGACGCCCGTCGTCGGGCGGTTGGCAGGGTGCGACGCGGCAGCAGCCTCAACACGGTCCCAGACAGTACGCGAGTTGAGGTTGCCGCGACCCGTGTGGGTGGCACGCTTGGCCGAGAGGATACGGCCAGACGAGACACCAGCCCAGTTGGACCCGAGACCGGTTGGGGCACCGCCAAGGGCTGGGAACTGCTCCTGGATCTCGATGCGGAACGCATTCAGAGCCTCCAGAATGGCCTTTTGCTTGTCGCGGTCGCTGGGAGCGTCAAAGAGATTGGCAATCTCGCGCACGACGCCACTGGTGGCCTCGGGGTCCTGGTCGAGAACATTGAAAAGGGTGTCCAGCATGTCCTTGGCCGACGACTCGTTGTTCTTAAACTGGCGAACAGACGAGCGGAACGACGCAAGCTTGGTCGACGAGTCGTTGACCAACATGGACATGCGACTGAGCAAGGCGGCGTGGCGGAGAGCGGTGGCATTGTCCACATCCTCGCGGGGAGTGTTGAACCCGCTACCGCTGCCACTCTCCTCGGGGGACTGGCGGCCGGAAGCCGGAGCCGGCGATGCACGGCCACTGTTGGATCCGCTCAGACCAGTGTCAAAGTTCCTGCGGCGAGTGCTCTCCTCACGCTGGTCGGTCTGCACCTGGCGGCGCTGCTGTGCGGCCTGCGCAGCGTTCATGGGCGGAGCAGCAAGCTGCTGGGCCTGGGGAGCCTCAATACGTCCACTGGCGGGAGGGCCAGACGGCAGGGAGAAGCCGCGGCCACCAGCACGCGAGGGACCAGACTCGGGGCGGAAGTCAAGGTGAAGGGTACGGGCATTGGCGCGGTCGCGCTGAGACATGGCCTCACCGTGCTCCTCGACCATGTGGGCACGAAGGTCGAGCTCGCTGCCAAAGACCTGGAACTTCTTCTCAATGCAGACGGGCTGGTTGCACGGGAAGTGGTCGTGGTTGAAGTGCTTTTCAAGCTTTGCGTAGTTTTGGAAGCTAGCTGTCAGTTGCGGCCGTCCAGATACAACTCACTAGACATCCTTGTGACCCAGCTGCTTGCAGACAAAGCACTCCTCGTGCCTCTCGCGCATGTGCTTGAAGAGCTCGTCGGGGCCGAAGAACGCTTCGTGACAGAACTGCAAGGTTAGATGATTCTCCTTGGACCAACGTACCTCGCAAACAGGGTGAGGTGCGTCCCAGCCCTTGATCATCTCATGCTCCTTGTCGCTGCGGGGACGGGGTGGCTTCTGGCCCCTCTGCAGACGAGAAGGGTCGTGCAAAGCCAACAAGTGCGGTGGGTACAGGACCTGCTCGTGCGAGAAACGAGACAGCTGGCGAGTACAAATCTTGCAGAACACCAGACCGTGTTCGGCGAGTGTGTGCTTTTCCAGCTGCTGCCACCCATTTGCCATGTGCGCGCAGTCCGGGTACGGGCAGTTGAAGCGGAGGAGCAAGAGGGACTCTTCCATCACCTGTTCGTCCTCGAATGCCACGCCCAGCTTCTCGTCCGCGTAGTCAAACGACTTCAAGTCAAGAGTGCCAGGTAACACGAGACCTTGGTACCACTTCTTGCCCTTGTTTTCGGGCTTGTCCGCATCGGCTTGTGCACGCTCGATCGCGCCCGCGTTGCTTGGGTGACGGAACGGGCCTTCGGGGAAGGGAGTGTTGACCGACCGCGAGAACATCAGAGAAGGGCAGAGCGTCTTGCAGTACGCGCACTCGAGCATCCTGCTTGTTAGCTGCACGCCATGCTATTTGGCTCACTTGTAGAAGACGCGCAGACGGATGGCGCAGACGCTGTTCATGTCAGCAGAGAGTTCGCTCACAGTTGGTCAACTCACTGGCACACGGTGTGGCCACACTGGCCCACGGACCAAAAGGTGACGGGCTCGGCACAGATAAAGCACAAGTTTGCGTCATCAAGCTCTGGAGGCGTCACGGTCGCGACAGCCTTTTTGGTGCTCTCGGCGACTGTTGGGTGGGTGGGGACGTGCATGATAGCAGTCTCGGCGTCTGGAGGAGTGACGGTAGCGGGGGCTTTGCCCTTGGACGCGTTTCCAGCGGGGGCCTTGCCCTTGCCGCCCGAGAGGGAGGTGTCAAAGGCTCTACGACGTGACATTGTGAGGAAGGCAACGGTAGGTGATTAAACACTTGGATTGGAGGTGGCAGGAGGCTTTGTAAAGTCGGGTTTAAAAGTGCTGTAACAGGACACGGAAGAGCGGTCAATGTCCGTTATTCCGATGTCGGGAGGAAGAGGTAGAAGGAGTTGAGGTGGCAGAGGAGGTGGAATGAAGATGAGAGAGTGGGGCTGTCGACTTGCTGACCGACTGGACGCTGTTCGCCCTTTGGCCTTCAAGAGTCGAACAAGTCGTCTCCAATATGACGCTCGGTTGGAACCGACCAAAATGACGTGTACAGATTATCTCGGATCCGGACCCACGGGGTGGGTGGGCGATCTCCGAGATTTGGTTCCGTGTGGCCATCGCATGGCACAGGAGCGACGCGGCGGGTGAGCCGGCGCGCGCGCACGGGGTCTCCCTGGGTGGGGGGCCTGGCCGGCCTGGGGGGCAGCAGCGACGAGGTCATCGTCGACAACGACCGTCCCGCATCGTCCTCGTACGTTTGCTTCAAACACACCCGGTCTACTCTCCTAATACATTGGCCCCATCTACACAAGAGGCAAAAGCACGGCACAACACGCAGACCGTCGGCCAGACTCCCACTCTTGCACAAGCCGCATCGCCCTCACCACCCCGCGCCTTGCCCCGAAACAACACATCGGAACGATGGCCACCTCTATGCGAGGGTTGACGCAGGTGAGCATTGGCCTTGCCAGTCAGCAGTGGCGACCATAGGCACCTTCATCTCCATGAATTGGTCATCTAGATCTGTTCCCCTTGTCCTCGCGCAGCCGATTGTCCTCATCTACTACCGTGGTCACCTATGACGTGGCTAACACCACACCGCAGTACATCTCGGACTTGCGAGCATGTCGCGTTCGCGAGCTCGAGGAGAAGCGCGTCAACCGTGAAATGGCCCACATCCGACAGAAGTTTAAGGATGGAAACCTCGATGGATACCAGAAGAAGAAGTACCTGTCAAAGGTCGTCTTCACCTACATTCTCGGTTACAAGGTGGACGTCGGACACATGGAGGCCGTCAACCTCATTAGCAGCAACAAGTACAGCGAGAAGCAGATCGTACGTAGCTGCGACGGTAGAAGTGGATCCTGCTCACAGCTCACAGGGATACCTTGCCGTGACGCTGCTCATGCACGAAAACTCGGACATTGTGCGCCTGGTCATCAACTCGATCCGCAAGGACCTCGAGGACAACAACGAGATCTTCAACTGCCTTGCCCTTCACGCCATTGCCAACCTCGGTGGCATGGAAATGGCTGAGGCGCTCGCCGATAGCGTGTTGAGGTCCTTGATCAGCCCGTGAGTTGCCCTGTTGGGACGACGCTAACTCTTCAGCACGTCGACCACCTTTGTCAAGAAGAAGGCCGCTCTCACCCTTCTCCGCCTGTACCGCAAGCACCCGTCCGTCCTGCCAATTGAGGAGTGGGCTGAGCGCATTGTTCCCATGATCGCAGAACTTGATCAGGGTGTGGCCATGACTGTCACCACCTTGATTACCGCCATGGCGCAGGATCACCTCGAGCTGTTTGCAGGCTGCTACCAAAAGGCCGTCGACCGTCTAGACAAGGTGGGTGTGCCCTTCTTGCATGGTTCCTGACCAAGCCAGATCGTATTCGACTCTGAGACGCCAGCGACCTATGTCTACTACAAGGTTCCCAACCCTTGGTTGCAGATCAAGCTCCTGCGACTGCTCCAGTACTATCCGCCACCAGATAATCCCGAGGTCGTCGAGATGGTCAACGGCGTACTGCAGGCGATCATCGACATGTCGCAGGAGACGCCCAAGAACGTGCAGCACAACAATGCCCAAAACTCGGTTCTGTTCGAGGCAATCAACCTCGCAATCCACCTTGATCCCGAGTCCAAGGTTGTGTCCAACGCCTCCGTCCTCCTCGGCCGCTTCATTCTTGCTCGCGAGACCAACGTCCGTTACCTCGGCCTCGACGTCATGGCACACTTGGCAGCATGCTCCACCTCGCTTGAGCCCGTCAAGAGGCATCAGGATACCATTATTCTCAGCCTCAAGGACCGTGACATTTCTGTCCGCCGTCGCGCCCTCGACCTCCTGTACTCGATGTGTGACACGACCAACTCCAAGGTCATTGTCGGCGAGCTCCTGCGGTATCTCCAGGTAGCAGACTATAACCTGCGCGAGGAGATGGTCCTCAAGATTGCCATCCTGACAGAGCGCTTTGCTACAGACGTAAGCTTCCAGCCGATTGACGAAAGCTGACCCCCCAGTACGAGTGGTACATTGACACTATTCTGACACTTATTTCGACTGCTGGCGACCACGTGGGAGCTGAAGTGTGGTACCGTGTTGTCCAGCTCGTTACCAACAACGAGGACCTTCAGTCGTACGCCTCTTCTGCCGTCTACCGCCACCTTCAGAAGCCACAGTGCCACGAGAACATGGTCAAGGTTGGAGGATACATTCTCGGCGAGTTTGGTCACCTCATCGCCAACGAGTCTGGTTGCAGCCCCATCGAGCAGTTCCACGCCTTGCACTCCAAGATCAACATCTGTACCGCTCCCACTCGTGCCCTGCTGTTGACCACTTACATCAAGTGGGTCAACCTTTTCCCGGAGATCAAGGAGCATCTCATCAACATCTTCCGCCGATACACGCACGTGCTTGACGCCGAGCTCCAGCAACGAGCATGCGAGTACCTCGCACTCGCCTCCCGTGACGACAACGAGGAGCTACTGCAGGCTGTGTGTGACGAGATGCCCGTGTTCTCCGAGCGCGAGTCGGCCCTCGTCAGCCGTCTGCACAGCCGTGGTGACAAGGCACAGGACAAGAGGACCTGGGTTATCGGCCAGTCGTCGGATAACAAGGACCGCGTGGCTGAGAGGTTCAAGAGCTTCCGCAAGTCGACTGTGGACTCTGCCAACTCGGGCGGCGGCTCGAGTGGTTCGCCAGCGCCGCCACCCAAGCAGCTGTCGATGCTCTCTGCCCCCTCGCCTGTCCAGGATGCAGCCCGCTCTGGTAGCCTGATCGAGGAGGAGCCTATGATGGGAACGTCCTCGTCAGCAATGTCCGACGATATTATGAGTTCGCTTGCCGGCCTCGACCTGTCCACTCCTTCGGCCCCTACTGGTGGCGAGCGTCTGCTTCCCGACTCTACGCTGTCCGCCGAGCCAGATAGCATCACCTCGCCCATCGTCGCCCGTCCTGACGACTTCCAGCATAACGCCAACCTCGGTGGTGTCAACCCTTCGCTCCTGGCACCGCTCACTGTTGCTCCCAACATTGAAAAGTGGATTGAGCGTCTGAGCTACGCCAACGAGGGTGTGCTATACGAGGACAAGCAGGTCCAAATCGGTATCAATGCCGAGTACCACGGCTCGCGCGGCCGCATTGCCCTCTTTATCGGAAACAAGATCGCAACGCCATTCTCCTCCATCTCGATGAAGATTGAAAACTCGGATCCCGAGGCGCTCGACGTCAAGTTCCACGACGAGCCAGTGACGGGAATTGCCGGCTTGCAACAGGTCCAGGAGATGATCCAGGTCGAGTGCAAGTCTCCCTTCACCGAACCTCCCGTGCTGCGTTTCACGTATCTCGCTGGTGCATTCACCACCTTGGTGCTTCGACTGCCCATCTTCCTCTCGCGCTTCATCGAGGGCGTACAGCTTGACCAGGGAGCCTTCTTTGAGCGCTGGAAGATTATTGGTGGCCCGCCCCGCGAGGCCCAGCAGATCTTCCCCATCAAGCTCACAGCTACGGGTGACGTCAACCTCGAGCACAATTCCAAGGTCCTCGCAGGTCACCGTCTGTCGGTTCTCGGCAACGTCGACCCTAACCCGACCAACCACGTCGTGGCTGGTGTGCTGCACATGACCAACACTGGCAAGGTGTAAGTCAACCAGCTTCATATCAACGTATACCCAAAGCTGACACTTCTCCCTTACAGTGGTATCCTCGGCCGCGTCGAGCCCAACAAGGACGCCAAGCTGTGCCGCCTCACCATCCGCAGCACAAACGACGCGGTCTCTGCTGAAATGCTCAAGCTTCTCGCCAAGCCCATCAACGCTGACACGGCTTTGAGCCAGTAGTGTGTGGAACCATGGCCGGAATGTTTGTTGTCTACGACCCTTCTCTTTTCCCTTGTACGCCATATACCCAACCCCGAGACGAATGCATGCATACATACGGCCTACAGTCGCTGGGATGAGGGGATGAGCACGTCGGCGGAGTACGCGCGCCCTGCAGCTCAAGAGGCGCCACACTTCGCGTTCGTCGTCAACACCCAAAGTGATCATCCTTTGTTCCCTCCCTGCATTGTCTCGTCGATCTTCTCTCCTTGGGCGCACCCACTTGTTTGGCACGTAGTGGTGACGGTGCGGTTGGCATTGGGTCTCAGTGTAGGCTCGGGTGTGGCGCTAATTCGCGAGACGGTATCGTCCTCTTCCTCGTCCTCGTCATCCGAGTTGTCATACTCAAACGGCTCGACATCGGCATACTTATAGTCGTCATATTCAAATGGGTCCTCGCCCTCATCTTCCCATTCGTGAGGTAGACTTTTGGCAGTGCCCTTGACGTCTCGGTCATCGCTAGAATCGCCTGGCAGGTGCTGGTTCTGGGCGTCTTCGAGGCCCGCAGGGTCTGAGTCGGAATCTGCCACAGACATGCCAGTCGTCGGGAGCGAGGTGTGGGTGCGAGGTGGGCGAACCATGGTATGGGTGTGTGAGGAGGGCGTTAATAACGCAGGAGGCCGGACGCTCTCATGGCAACTGATTATGGTATGGAGTCGACCACAGATACTGAAACCAGCTGCATCAGTTTCGCCGCCACACTGGAGCACATCCGTGATGGCTGATTGATTGAACCATTGACGTTTTCATCGGGTCTACAACACTATCACTGATCCCCATAGTCATCAGGCGGCAACGACGAGCCGCTGCTGACACTACTGTCGTCCTCGTAGACCCAGGCGTCGTCTCCCTCGTCGTCGTCGTTGTCCTCATCATCCCCTTGATCGCCCTCGGCGACTCGAACCCAGAGTCAGTTTCACTCGTCGTCAGAGTCCTCCCAGTCATCACCGTCGCCGCTGCCGTCCGGCTTGGGCTCCTGGTCCTCCTCACAGAGGTATGGTGGGTTGTAGTTGGAAAACTGGACACGTATGTCAGCTGCCCCTGTCAAAAAGTCCATTCTTGCTCGGACTTACGGACATGGCTGACAGTTTGATTGATGGCTAGGGGGGGGGAAGAACAACGCACAGCTGCGTGGATTCTTATGCACGCATGGAGTCGTACCGCCGAGTCAGTCTGCGCTCGCATGCTCTCAAGGGAATACGTAGGCGCTCGCACCAAGGTGAAGGCCATACACGGGCAGAAGGCGCAGAAGGCGCAGTTCTCAATACATGTTGCGATAGGACACACCCCACGATGGGATATCAGAGTGTGGCTTAATAGTCGTCCAGAAGTTCGCCATCACTGGTGTCACTGTCGGACGAATAGACATGTGTGCCATCATCAGTCAGATACCCATCGTCATCGTCGTCTTCCTCCTGCTCCTCCTCCGTCTCTTCGTCACTGCCATCGTCAGTGTCGTCGTCGGCGCCACTATCTTTGGGAGCTGGATAGGATGTCGTGTTCTTGCTCCTCTCGGGATGGGGGAGCGGAATGTGGATCTTCTGTGACCCGTCAGTGGCGAGTCAGATGACCGCGGCTCACAAGGATAGTCGGCGCCATGGGGGTGGTTGCGTGTGAGAGATACGGTGGGGTTTCCTTTCAGTCCGTGTTATAGCACTGCTTGTGGTGCTTTCCTCGCACCAAATCCCATCACGCAGATGCCATTCCTGTCTCGTATGATCTGTGGAAAAAGGATCTGAATATCCGTAGTCTTCTGTTCTCGGATCTCATCATTCAAGCAGAAACGAAACAACGGTGCATGTCAGCTCCTGGGGGTGCTCATATGGCTGCACAGCTGGATCGCGATTATGGCCCTTTGTTGCACTCTATCTCCATCACCGCATTTTGATGGCCGCTGGCCGCGCGACATTGTTCCACTTCGCATCATCAATGGCTCTCGCTCTGATGGGATTCCACGTCGCACCGAGGAACGACTGTTCATATTTGTCACATTTTCTCACATTCCTACACTCCCATTCTTCGCACCTAGGGCTCGCTTCCCGTCTCATCTTCGCCGACGGGCACCAGAACAGGCGTCTCCTCGTCTCCGTCACCAGCCTCCACAGGGGGGTCCGGGTGCGGGTGTCCCTCCACGGGCTCGAGTTCCTCAGCACACTGGCACGTGTGCTCCTCGCAGTGCTGACTGGGATGGTCCTGCACTGTCAGCTGAGTCGAAGATCGTTTTTCAGCTTACGACCATTGTACTTTGTATTCTTGTTGAAGAATGGGGAAAGAAGGGACGAGTGCAAGGACGATATAACGTATGGGAGGGCGAGACAATCGGATCATCTCGGGGCTTTTTATGGATTTTTCGCTGTTTTTCCACTGATCGCTGACAGTTGAGTCCGCGACGAGTTGATTCGGTCGCACCCTGTCACAATTCCATCACCGCCACCGCTATGCAGAGGGTGAGGAGTTTGTAGAAGGGACGAATATGTTCTTTCCGCAGTCTGCGGCCTTGTGCAGATGCAAGTACATGTAACTTTCCTCGGCGTCCGACAGCTCCTCGTCCGTCGCATCATCCTCCGAGTCGGTGTCGTCACTGGGCTGGCAATACGGGCAGTCGGGACCCTCCTCGCAAAAGAGAACATGTTCCTTGACAGCGGTAATGATGCCCATTGTCGTACGATTGTTTGATGGTTGATCGGAATGCTGACTCGCCTCGTCGGTTTATACTCACAGGCAATTGGCAAAGGTGGACTCGTTCTTGGGGCGAGTGCAGTGAATGGGTGACACCTTTCCTGTCCAAATCCGACAGAAGAGTGAACTGATGGACCACTCCTTGGCCTCGCTGTAGTCGCCGTCAGTCCATGCCGCTGCTCGTTGGTCGTCTTGGGCACCCACCATTAACCTACTATCTGCTCTCAGGCCACAGAGTACCTGTTGCCATTTCTTCTTATGGGCAACACTCCGCGGAAAGACGACGTTGCATTGGCGACTGTCTATCATGCCACATTATGTAGTTCACCAATCCCAGTCCTCCTCCTCCTCGTCGTAGTCAATCTCGTCATCGTCGTCGTCGTCGTCATCGTCTTCAATGTCGGTGTCCTCGTTGTCCTTCTGGTTCTTGGGGTAACGGACGTCGGTGAGGGCCATTTCGCAGGATTGATGTTTGGAGGCTGAGTTTGAAAGGTTGGAGTGGCGATTGTGGGAGGCGTGATTGAAGCACAAGAGTGGCCGGCGCCTTTTGTCCAACCACACCTGGGAAGCAAAGTTGGCTCTCATAGCTCCCGTTCCACAGGACGCGAGGGAAAGGGTACCCTATAAACCAGTTCATGGTCACAATGTATGTACCATGTAGGCGAATGTCTCTGTGACGCTCTCACGACTGAGGGACCGTGAGGCAACACGTTTGGCCGTGCATACGACTGACTAGAACGGAATAAACCAGGGTAGGTCAACCTGCGTGTCCTCCTCGTCTTCGTCGTCACTCTCCTCGTCCTCATCGGCACCGGCATCGGCATCGTCGTTCTTCAAACAAGGGTAGCGGGTGTGAACAACTGCCATTGTTGTCTCGGGGTTGCCCTTGGCCGGTGGCAGGAAATTGATATGTTGGGGCGTTGCGACTGAGGACGTTTTATGTAGGATGGACTTCACTGATAGTAATACCGCGCCATGTCGAGAAGCACCGACTTAAGAACGCTCATGTCCATTTGGGAAGCAGGTTGGGGCTTTGCCACCGCATGGACCACTCAAGGACTGCCTGTACTCGCACCCAACGCAGTGTCGAGTTCCTTGTCACGTTCCCAGTCTCCAGTGTCTTACGGCCGAACGCACTGGTGCGCCACTAGCACCCAAAAGCAGCCACTTCGGAAAGGTACTCGGGGCGAGATTCAGCACAAGCCTCCACACAAACTCACATGCCGTCCCCATAACTCGCACCTCCGCCTATGCTCCCAGTCCCATGCACTCGCCAGAACGCGCAGCACTTGTCTTGTCGAGAACTCGCACCACTTCCCATCAGTCGTCTAGCACAGGCACTGTGCAACACACACGCCACCAACGTATGTTGATGTAAAAGCCTTCTGGCGGCAATGTCCTTTGTGGGACGATCTCGGTGAATTGAACGCCTCGGACGTCATCTCCACCCCCCCGTTTGGCTAAGGCCAGGCTTCTGGTGTTGTTTGCCACCCGTAGCTGAACACACTCGAGGTCGATACGAACATTATAGCATGGATCCCAGTATACAGTCGTCGTCCTATACATACACTCTCCCTCTCAGTCTCGGCTCATTCACGCGCGTCGTTCGACGTTCCCGACGTTGTTGCTCCGCGGCAAAATGTAAATCCAGGGAAAGGCAAGAGAGCTCCGTTCCGGCCTGTAAAGTTGAGTCGTGTCATGCTGTTGCTGTTGCCGTCTCCGCTAGGGGCTGCCACCCCACCCAGATGACTCGTCGGCAGAAGCAACACAGTACATGGTTGCCCTCGCGGATGACTGGGAAGCACTTGCCTGTAGCTTGTCAGTGGCTGGCACCAATGGTACGATGCGGCTTACGGTTCTTGTTGACACCAAAATCGCTACCGGGACAAGGCCCAAGGTCTGGCGGGAGCGAGTTCATGGCAGTGGTGTGGTGGCAGTGTCGGCCGTATTCCGTATGGTTCCTTTGCGAGGTCCGTTTCACAGCGTGTGGGATGTGGTGAGTAGTGGAGTGGTAAGAAGAGACATGTTTGTTCACTGCTCCCCAAAGCAAGCACCCAAAAAACCGTGTGGGGAGGGGGAGCGGCCATGTCCCAGGATGGCGTTATGGGGCAGGGCTGGGCCGGTGCGCACAGACGTTGGTCAGCCGGACGAACGGGTGGAGCGCATCTAGTGGGACCGTCAGCAACAACATGTGCAGAGACACGGTAGAGTCTTGGCACCATACCTCTTCGTGTGGCGACTGTCAGACGATGCGGCAAGTCGCTGCGGAAGAACCGCGAGCCACACCGGTGCCAAGATCAGCTCTTGTGTGGGTGGCACTTGTCAGCCTACGATCTGACCGCCTCGTCTTGCCCCCAGAAGTCCCCCGACTAGCGCGACTAGGATGTCCCCCCCCCCCCCCCCCCCAGGGGACTGCGCATGACCTCGTTGCGGCCCCTTTATTGGGTGGGCTCCTGCACGAGCACGCGAGGCGGCAAAGCTTCTAAGCTTGGGCGCTTGACGGCCCAGTTGCGAGCCTCGAGGCCATCAAAGGTGGCGGCAAGCAGCCAAGCAGCCCGCTCCGGACGGGGCTGAACGCCCAGTGGCGCCTCGACGCCTCCACTTCGCAGAAGACCGAGGAGCTCCAACAATAGCGGGTGGGCTGATGCACGCTCATGTGGATTGATACATACGCATATACAACTATGTACTGCACAAACGCGAACGGAACAGCCCAGCTGGTCGTCGGTGGTGATGGTGGTGGTGGTGGTGGTGGTGTGGTGTTACTGCCTTGACTGCTCGCTAGAGGCCATCGCGGAGGACTTGGGCAATAAACTCGCGGTCCTGCGGAGTGATTGGGTGGACAATGCCGCCGCCACTCGTCGCCGGGGGCGCGGACTGGGGACGCTCAATCTTGCGGGGTCAGGACACATGCAAGGGTTTACGACGGGTACTCTACTCACGTCCATGACGAGTTGGGGAGCTCGGAGGTGCAGAGGTTTTGGGAACGGCGCGCAAATGCGGGAGGCGGTTGGGGGAGTGGTCAGGACGCCGGCAAGTGAAGGGGGAAGAATCAACGTGGTGGACATGTTTGTGGGTTTATCTCAGTGATTGGAAGAAGCTGGGCGAGTGATGTGTGATGGGCGTTGCGGCGTGTGTATGAGGAAATGTGCAAGAGACAAGATGCGATGGAACGGTGTCTGAAGAAGAAGAAGAAACACAACTGGTGATGGAAAGGGGGTTGGTGGGAAACAAGAAGTGATGGGAGACCCCAAATACACCCAGTGGTGCCCCGTTACGGGGGTGTTCGCGAAGCGTTCGTCGGTCTCGACGCTGTCCGAAGCCCAAGCCCGACGGGTGATGGCCTGTGATGCCCGACGCTGCTGACCTGCAAGGTACAAGAGACAGGCGGGAATGCTTGCTCGTATATCGCCCACTGCATCCTCGGGGTATGGGCAGCGACATGACCATCGGCGCAGACGAGGCGCTCCAGGTACCAGTCCTGACCAAGGCTCACACAACGCCACTAACCGCGCAAAGGATAAGCCATGAGCCCCGGCACGGGGCACCAGCAATGCGTGCACGATGCTCCACATGGGATCTGAGAGCGTACATGAACCGTTGCCGTCCCAGCAGTCATGTTTGGGCAGCAAGGGTGGCACTTCCACGGGTCCTTGTACAAGCCCCTGTCCCAGACAGCAGTTGACAAGCCTAGGATTCTGTCTTGGCCATTGGCCAACTCAGTGTTTCTACAGGCCGACCCCACTGACGGTTCCTCATGACAGGCACCATGCCCGCTCTGCATCTCGCCTCTCTCGCCAGGCTCGCAGCCACAGTGGCCGCGAAGGACTGGTCGTCTTCAGCGGAAGGGACCTCAATGGGGTCCGACACGATCATTTCCCTCCGCCCAAGGAGTCTGTGCTCTTTGGCTTCTGCTGACTGGCCCTTGTCCACCGTTTACGCTGAATTCTATGATGTTAACTGTGGTGGGCAAGACGGTGGAGCAGAGGCGGGCGAATATCACGCCACTGCGTCCAGTCTGCCACAGACAAGTCCGCCCGAGGGAGTACACGCTGGGCTGGGCTACGTAGCCGCACGCAGTACGCAGCCGTATCAGCCGGTGCTTCTTGTGCGCTCGGTTGGTCGTGGAAGTAGAGGACAGGGCCACGACACACCTGCCAGCAACGGGAGAAGACATACATAAGCCATCCAGCGCAAACGCCAGACTCCTTCCTACGACAGCCGGCGCCACACGGCTATTCCGCCGCCATCGACCACCACTGCTCGCCGCCGACGCATCCGACCAACCGTCCTTCCATGTCCACTGGCTTCCAAAGCACAAAGCAGAGCATGCACAGGGCCAAAAAGTAACGATGTGGACGAGTTAGGAATCGAACCAAAGACCTTGTCAAGTAGGGTAGAAGATGCTAATGACACGCTCTACCAACTGAGCTACACGCCCCATAATGTAGGTGTTCTCGGCATGCTGAGCGCCAGCGCCTGGCCTCTGCCTCGCTTGTTTGGCTTTTGCTTTTCGACAACAGGCTGCGTAGCTGCTCCCCACCACGCGATCCTGGCATGCAGTCTGCATACGGGCTACAATGTACCCATCCGTGGGTGTCACGTATATAAATTCCCAAAAAAAATGTGCGAATGAGGAGTGTCCAAGAACGACAATGTTCGTGTGATATGTGTAGTGGTTGGTTAGTTGGTTGGGTTTGGTTGGATGGATGGATGGTGGCCGTGACAAAAGAGCAGTCGTGAAACGTAGGTATCTCGTCGAGCAGCGCCTAGTGTGGTGCAGCTGGAAGCGGGCGGGCGCTCGGCGCCGGCGACGGAGGCGGCGGCTTGGCGGCTTCGCCATCATCGAGCTTTGGGCTGGACGACGCCTGGAAGAGTTAGACACGAGTTCACACCCTGACCAACTCACATTGTCTCCATGCTTGACCTTGAGTGCGAACAGGTCGGCAATCTGGTGTTCGAGGGCCTTCTTCTCTTCGCGCATCTTGCCGAGCTCGTTGATGGAGCGGGAGACTTCCGAGCTGAGGACCTTTTTGAACTCGTCCACCTGCCGTCCGAGGTCCATGGTCGTCGCCTCGCGCATGGAATCAATGAATCGCACGCGCTCGCCCTTGATCTCGTTGGCGAGGTCGATCGCCATGCCCGTCAACATGTGCTGTGTGTCGTCCTGCTGCTTCTGCATGGTGGGCAACGCGTGGTCGAGGAGCGCCGCCTGCGCTTCGTGGCGCTCGCGGTCCTGGCCCATGATGGACAGGAGGCCGTCGAGGCGCTGGCCCTGCACGGCCTGGGCGTTGGCCTGTTCGCCCTGTTCGGCCAGCATGCGGTGCATGTCCGCCACAAAGCCGGTGTGTGCGCCGCCCTCCTCCTCTGGATCGCCCAGGAGGTTGTTGATCTTGTTGGACATCTTCTCCAACTCCGAGCCCGAGTTCGTGACAAACTTTTCGAGCCACCCGTTCAGGTCGGCAAGGTATCGCGCAATGTCTGCCGTCTGCTGAGTTTGGACGCTGCGTGCCTCCTCGAGCTGCTTGATCGCGCCATGGACCTCGCCCAGCTGCGCCGCGGTAGCGAGCTCAGCTGGTGCCGGGGCGGCTTCGCCACCCTTGTCGCCGCCGCCACTCTCCGGGGCAGCGTCAGCCTTCGGTTCGGCCTTGGGTGCGTCCTTGGGTGCGTCCTTCGGCTCGGCTTTGCCTTTGCCCTCGTCCTTGGCAGGAGGGGCAGGCGCGCCACCATCCTTCGCAGCAGCCTTGGGCTCGTCCTTGGCCGCGTCCTTGGCCTTGGCCTCCTCCGCGACCGTGTCGACCATCTTCTCCGGCTCGGCACTCATCACATACGCCGCGGTGCCGGCAGCACCGATGGCGGCCGTCGCCTGCGCGAGATCGGCTTGCCGCGAGAGGACCTCCTGGATGAGGACGGCGATAGCGTCGAGCTTGTGGTGGATCTCGGGCAGTTCAGGCTCTGGGGCGGCAGCGGGCTCGGCGGGTCCAGCCTCGGCGGGTCCAGCAGACTCGGCTGCAACCTCTCCTTCGGCTGCAGGGTCCGCCGGAGCTTGGTCCGCCGAAACGCCCTGCACGGCGGCAAGGGCCTGGACAGCCTCATGCACGCCACGGACATCGACACCAAGGGCATCGAGCCGCTCTGCGAGCTCGGGAGCCATTCCAGGAATGGCAGCGGGAATGGCCTCGATGGCGGTATGCACGCCGCGCATGTCCGAGTCGAGCACATCGAGGCGTTCAGACAGGGCGGGTCCCATGTCGGCGCCGTTCTTCTCCATGAGGAGCGACAGAGCGTCGACGCCAGCAACGGCCTTGGTGACGGTGCTACGGACCTCCTCGACCTGCTGCGAAAGGATGACGTGTTCGTGGCTGTGGCGGTCGAGCTTGGTGAGGACGGCGGGATCCTGGGCCGTGGTGGTGGGAAGCTCGCTGTCGTAGTACTGAGCCGCCTCGCCGCCACGGGTCATGTCGTGGTCCTCTTCCTTGGGGACATCCTCGAGGGCGGATCCATGGTACTCGGACTGGTACTCGGTAAGATGAGGCGAGGCCGTCCTCGTCATATCGAGCAAGACACTCGCGCCAGTCATCGACCTCCACCCGAGTTCGGACGGGGTGGCGATCTGGCTCGAGGCGGAACTCGCGTCCGAGATAGAACCTTCGTGCGCCTGGATGCTGTCCACCCGCTTTGCCTCATCGTTGGGAGGAGCAACGTTGTTCATGACCACAAGCTCCTGCGACGCAGCCACCTCCTGGGACCCAAGACTGCTCAGCGGCGTCGAGCGAGTGACGGGTGATGGGGGCTCAATGAGAGTCCGGCTAGCGGTACCGGATGGAGGGGTGGTGTTGACAACGACCAGACTGCGGGGCTGGAGGGCGCTGCGCTTAGACGTGGTGCTGTTCTTGGCGGACGAGAGCGCACTGGCCCTCATACTCGCGGCAGAGAGGTGGCGGCTGACAGCAGCCGACTTCTTGAGCGGGCCACCGGGACCCTTGCCTTCAAAGGCGGCTGCACGCGAAAGGACGGTCGGGGTCTTGTCGGCCTTTGGCAGGTTGTTGAACGTCCTCGAGACGTCAGAGGGAGCCTTATCGCTCTTGGGCGTGTCGTGCGCCCTCAAAACCTCAGACGAAGCCGCAGCCGCTGGGGCCAAGTTGAGGTAAGTTTTAAGCTCGTCAGACGGGGTTTTCAACACCGTGGACGACGAGACGGTCGACTTGCCCTCAAATAGACCCAAAGAACCGACGGCGGGAACGGCCTTTCGGCGCCTGGGAGAAGATACGGCGCTGGTGGTACGGTCCGCAGCGGGGAGAGCACGCTCGACGATAGACGGCTCAAACACGGCCGCAGCGGCGAGGACTCGGCCCTTGAGACGAGGTGTCGAAGATGCGGAATGTGGGACAGTAGAGTACGCAGGAGCGGGCTCGGCACTTGATGTAGCGGCAATCTTTGGGGTCGTGCCGGTAGGCGGGCGTGGGCCAAAACGCTGAGGCGTGCCTTCGTCCTTTGCAATCGGATCCGGTGTGGCTTCCTCAACAGGTGAGGCCAAGTCGCGGCTAGCGTTGACAATACCTAGACCGAGCAATGCGGCAGCACCGACACCTGCTGCGCCTGACTCGTCCTTGAGCACCTCGACGGGGTTCTCCGTAGCCGCTCCGTCCTGGTGATCCTTACCCACTGCCGACTCGGCCCTCCGCACCTGCGAGGCAGATCGCGATGGGTTCAAGTCATTCAAGTCAAAGCTGAGCGTGCTCTGGCCGTTCACCGAGGCGTTACGCGAGAGTGGCGGCGGCGTGTCGTTCGGCTTGGGCTGCCACGCGCGAATCCGCTCTTCCATGACCTTGGACCGGATTCGGTTGGGCACGGCATCGTGATCTGCGCGCGAAGTTGAGGCTGAAACGTCGAACATCTGTGCCAGCGAATCACGCAGGCCGGAGGGGTCTGGACGTTGTGGTGGCGGTTCGGTTTGTGGGACAGGTGTTGGAAGTGACCGTCTGGCTGGTGTAACAGCCGCAGACGCTGACACGTTGGCCACAGCCCGCGAAGCGGGCTGAACAGGTGGTCCGTCGTCGCTCCATGCTTTGAGACGCTCCTCAATGAGTTCACTGCGTGGGCGTTTGGGTGGCGGTGGGGGAGGCATGTCGGGCTTGTTGTGGACCTTGAGCGGGGCGGTGGGTACCTCTGGCGCCAGGTTTGCGAGTACGTCCATAACTGGCTCTTCCATTCCCTCGTATGCCAGGGGCGGTGGCTGCTCAATGCCATCGTACGCCAGCATTGGCACGTCATCTTCATACGGTAGCATGCTTCGTGGGGCGACCTCGTCGATACTGATGTCTCGTAACAGTGGCTGGTCGGGGGGCAACAGGTCGACGGATCGGTGCTGCTCAATGGCACCGAGACCCAGTCCGATGTTTGGAGTAGGGGGCAACGAGCGTCCCAGGAGCGGCCCATCGTGGTATCGCTTCGACACGCCGCGGAGTGTCGACGACTCGCCGACGAGATCACCAGACGTGACCCATGTATCGCCAAACTTCTGGATAGGTGGCTCGGCGTAGTTTTGCATCTTGGGAGACCCACTGCTCAAGGGGAACGAAGCGAGGCTCGGCGAGGGAGGTGGCAGGTCGAGGCCGGCCCGGGACTCTTTGTTGGCGAGGAGCACGTCCCAGATGGCACTGACCCACCCCAGACGCCCGGCAACGCCCTCGACACCGAGGTATCGCTTCTTTCCATCGGCAAACACGAGCTCGATGGCTTCAGTGCCGACGCCGGCCGGGAAAGGTGGGATGCCGCGGCCACGGACTTCCTCCTTGCGCAGTGCACGAGCCTCGATGCATCCTATCATCGAGATCTCGACGTCTGCAGGCACGTCGGGGGCTGGTGGCGGGATGGCGGCGTACGGCAGTGGCGGCAGATTGGCGGACAGCTGCGGATCCCGGTTGAAGACGGAGGCGTAGTGGACGGTGAGGACATGTTTCTGTAGCGTTGCCCATGACGCGAGCCACGAGCCCCACGGTGCAGAGGACGAGCATGGAGTGGGGTCCAGGAAAAACACAGGAGAGGAGCGAACGGCCTGCACAGGTTAGTATGAAGCGGGGTGGGCGGCGCAAACTCACATTGCCAGTAATGGACGAGGCCATCTCGTCGTCGCCCATGCGATCTCTCAACACGATACCCCCGGGAAGGCCACCACCAATGTGGCGAGGCTTGGAGAACCAGTCCGAATCCTCGTCATCGAGGTTCCTGAACTGTCGTGGCCGGTCGACATTGACGCCAACAGCACCGGGGCTCCAGCTGGTGGGCTTGTCCTTGTGGTTTTTACCACGGAGACCTCCAAAGACATTGGCGATACCCTTGAGAGGTGACCGTTTGAACGGCGACTTGCGCTCCTTCTCCTCCCGCGGTGAAGCAGCGACTCCGAGCGGAGACGACTCCCATTGAGAGTTGCGTTTACGGCTTGGAGACACGGGAGACCAGGAGGGAGGCGAGCCAGAGGGCTGTATCAATGTACTTCCCGCCAATGGTGACGGAATGGACAGGCCTGGCGATGGCCTGCTGTGACTTGGCGGTGGCCATGGCATGGTAGCTGTAGCAGGCACGGCTGTTGCCATTGGGATGGGAAGCGGTTTGTCCTCGAGGTATGCGCGTGAGAGTCTTGGACTCTGGTGTGGTGACGAGCCAGAGCGCGAGAACATGTCGCTCTGTGGTCTCGGTGGTGTCGAGGTGGGTGGGGGAGGCACAGGGGGAGGAGCGGCAACCTCCCACTTTGCAATCATGCGTTGTGTTGATCCTGACCGTGCCAACGGTTGAGGCACGGTCAGGTGTGGATGGTTCAACGAAGGGCGGAGGGGTCGTGTTGGCTCCGTCATGGGGACCGGCACCCGACGAGCACCATGCATCGGGGGTGACGGAGTCTGGGGCTGGAAGATGGTCGCTGCAGGGGCTCGTGGGAGACGCGATGCGCTGCATGCGCTGTGGGGACGGGGGTGGTGGTGAGGTTGGTGGCGGTGGCGAGGGAGTGAGTTGTGTGGAGACGGCGGAAGGCGGAGGCGGGGCGACACCGACCGCGGGCGGTCGCCCGGGGGTACGCTGAGCGAATGCCTGCTCGATGTCGAGCCGTGGGACACTGTCGATCCGAAAGCACTCGCACGGGAGAGCACACTGTCCCCTCGTCGTGGTGGAGCAGGGGGTGGCGAATCGTCGCGGTAGTCTTCGGCACTGTAGTCTTGATCGGGAGGTGTGGGGACTCGTGTGGGCAATGGCAATGGCCGTGACAGTTCCTGCTTGGGGACGTAATCAATGTTGTGGTTGTGGTAGCTCGCTGCACTTGATGGTCGAGGCATGGAGTATCCAAACGTACCCAGCGGCGGCAGGGAGAGGCCGAGCGGCTGGGTCTCGAGAGCGCTCTCGATGTCTGCCAACGAGTGGTAAGAGTGTTGTTTGTGGTCGAGTGGCGGCGACGCGAGGGACGGCGAGGTAAGGGCCGTGCTCCCCGTCTGGTCTGTAAAGTAATCGGCAGATATCACAGTGGACGTCGTGATGTGAGACGTGCGGTCGCCCGCTGCAGCCTGCCCAAACTGAGCAAGCTGGCCGATGTGTTTGAGCGATGGGTCGAGTACAAAACCGTGTTCGACGGCCATGTTGGTACACACGCCTGCGGCGTGGTTGTCGAATCGCCCCCAGCAAGCTGTGGCTGCGCTTGCTAGCGGGGATGGGGAGGAGGCCGCGGGACGGGACGGGAAGGCTCGCTAGTGAGCCTCGTGAGCCTCGTGTGGTGGCTGCTACAAGCGGGGGTGTGACAGGTGGATGTGTATGGGGGTGCGATGTTGTTGTTTACGTCGTGTCGCGGAACTGGGAGATGGCGGAGACGGGCGTTCAAACGTCGCACGTCGGGAGGAGAGGGAAAGCGAGCCAAGGGCTTGGAAGGGAGAACGCCGCCGAGTGTCGATGGACTGTCTCGGTTGCTTTGTGGGGCTATTCAACAAGCAACAGGTGGTGTATTGGGCTGGAAGGTTGGCGGCCGTTGGTGGACAGAATGGATGGACAAGAACTCAAATGGCAGAGAGCCTCGTGTTTTCTGGTCGGGTTTGTTTTTGGGATTGTCACCGTGTTGGTTCCCAGATGGGCGTATTGCGCCAATGGCCGTGCACACCCTCCCGCCGCCGCCTCAGATGCCGGTGCCCGCCTGTGCATCGCTCTCGCACGCAGCCAGCCAAGCAGCCAAGCAGTCGAGCAGCCAAGTCACGCATTCAACGCACTGCCTGACATTGCCTGTCTGTTGGACCATTTTGGCCGGTTGGGCGGTTGGACAGGGTCACAGCCATTTTATGCGACAGGGCTCGAGGGCTCGAGGGCTCACAACCGGCGCACGCGACGAAAAGGAAAAAACAGAAAGAAAGTAAAAAAAAGACACACGCAAACATATTTTACGTAATCATTTCCCACGCGAGACCACACGTGGAGACCCCGCAAAGCGCTGCCATGACGTAGCCCCCATCACCCGGCGCCCGCCGCGCGCGCACAGCCGACGGCGAGCAACGACGTGTAGACGCGTCGCTCGCCTCTGCTGCTTCCTGATGGCTTCCTGATGGCGGTCCCCCAACACCATTTGTCTTTGTTTTAACAACCCACACACCCTGTATGCCTTCAGACCATCCAGCAAAGACACACACTCCCACCCCTCGCTCCCGCCCCCTCTACCACTACCTCGTCGGCGCTGCACTCACAGCCGCCCTCGCCCTCGTCCTCCTCTCCACAAGGACATCCTACGTCTTCCCCCTCTCCCCTTCGTCTCTCGACTTTGGCTTTGGCCTCAACGTACCAGAAATCTTCAAGTCTAATAAAATGCAGGGCAAGAAACATGTCGGATACTTTGTGAGCTTGTTTCCCAGTGGTACGTTCACAGGCTGACCCGGCTCAGGTCAACTGGTGCGTGCCGTATTCAGAGAACATGTCAAGATCAGGTTTCTGACCCATTCAAGGGGCATCTATGGCCGCAAGTTCCCCCCGCAGATGATCCCCCACCAGCACCTCACCCACATCAACTATGCCTTTGGTAACATTGACAAGGACAGCGGAGAGGTCAAGCTGTCGGACACTTGGGCCGACGTCGAGGTGGGTCTGCTGTGGCGTCACGACGTCAGGTGCCGGTAGCTGACCGGGGAAACAGATCCACTATGACGGTGACAGCTGGAACGACTCGGGGGAGAACATGTACGGGTGTCTCAAGGCCATTTACCTCATGAAGAAGGCCAACCGGTGAGCCATGCCCACGCCCGCGCGTTGCCCCAGCTGACCAGTGTTAGCAACCTCAAGGTCCTCCTCTCCATTGGCGGCTGGTCGTACTCTCCTGTGGGTGGACAGAGGCAGTCGAGATCCTAACCCACCAGAACTTTGCCAACATTGCCAACCCCGCGTGGCGCGCGAGGTTTGTTCAGTCGTCCGTCAAGCTGGTCGAGGACGTTGGCCTTGATGGGTGGGTTCAGCAGTGCTTCGCCTTCGCTAACCCAACAGCCTTGATGTGCGTGGCCCAGGTGGACGTCATGACCTTGAATCTAACCTGTGCAGATCGACTACGAGTACCCCAAGACTTCCAGCGACGCGCAGGCGTACGTTGCCCTCCTTCACGAGCTCCGCCAGGGTCTCGAGAACCTCGCTCGGTCCAAGGGTGCCCCCGCTGGCCAGTACCAGCTCACCGTCGCCGCCCCTTGCGGTAACGAGCAGATGCAGATCCTCCACATCCGTGAGATGGACCAGGTCCTCGACTTTTGGAACCTCATGGCCTACGACGTGAGTCAGCTCAGCTAGCACTCTCGTAGGGCCTTTCAGCTGACGGACACAGTTTGCCGGCTCGTGGGACAGCGTCGCGGGCCACCAGTCCAACCTCTTCTCGGACAACCCCAACGGCCAGTCGGTCGACCGCGCCGTGCGCCACTACCTGGGCGCCGGCGTGCAATCGCACAAGCTGGTCATCGGCCTGCCGGCCTATGGCCGCGCGTTTGCGCAGACCAAGGGCCCCGGCCAAAAGTTTAATGGCGTCGGCGAGGGATCGTGGGAGGCCGGCATGTGGGACTACAAGGCGCTCCCGCAGCCCGGCGCCGAGGTCATTGACGACCTCCGCCTCGGTCTTAGCTACAGCATGGACCAGTGAGTCGAAACCGTCCGGGTGTGCATGTCCTACTTCAACCCGCTAACACCGCCCTCCCCTTTCCAGCGCCAAGGGCCTCATGATCTCGTACGACACCCAGTCTGTGGCTGTCATGAAGTCGACGTACATCAACCAGATGAACCTCGGAGGCGCCATGTGGTGGGAGCTCGACGCTGACGCGCCCGAGGACACGGGCAAGGCCCTCGTCCGCACAGTGCGCGAGCAGCTCGGCCAGCTCGAGTGGCGCCAGAACGAGCTCAACTACCCTGGTTCAAGTGAGTGGGCAGGAGCAGCCTGGGAACGGGTCCCGATGTGCGTATTTCAGCTGACGCGGGGCCGCGTGCAGAGTACGAGAACCTCCGCAAGGGCATGAACTAGAGCCCACTTTATATATATCCCGACAAACAAAATCTACCCTTCCCTTCCCGCTCTCTCTCTCCCTTTTATCTTTTTACACGTTCAGATGTCATGTTCTCCGCGGAGTAATGTCCACCCTGCCCTGCCACAAGCGTTTTGCTGCGGCTTGGTCGTACATTTGTGCTTGATCCGGGGACGGTACCGTGTGGTGCATCGCCGGGCCGTAGCGTGAGCGTGCACGTACAGTACAGCACATATGTCTCCCCCGATGCAATGACCTCGTTTCAGATGGCCGCCAGATGGCCCGCACCCCCACCCACGGAAACAACACGGCGGTCCCCCGACGGTACAGTACAGAGCATCCTCCGGTGCCTCTCCCCACGACGCACGCGCGTGCCGTCCACGCGTGGACGCGTTCTGTGGCACGGTCCATACAGTGGTGCGCAGCGGAGCATTGGGGTCTTGAGCATTGGCGCTCTCAACGCCATCTCCCAGCACCGCCCACGACCAGAAGCCGAGGTACTGCAGCAAGGGTACTGCAAGCAGAGAGCACCTGTTTTTGCATATGGTTCATCTAATCCCACGTTCGCGCTGCAGGGGGCCACCCAGTGTCCCGCTGCGCGCACCTATGTAATGAGAGAAAGAGAGAGAAGAGAGAAGAGAGAAAGGGCAAGAGGGAGAAGAATGAGCGTTCGTGTGCCGTACCGCGGGGGAGGGGGGTGAGGCAGGCAGGCAGGCAGAAGGCAGCAGCAGTGTAGTTGTACAACCGGCGGCAAAGGTGAGATGAGGTGAAGCGAGGGCTCGGCGGGGTAGTTGGTGATTGGCGGGTAGATGGGTGGTCGTCGATGGGGTCGTACAATGAAGCATCAAGTTGAGGGATTGGTTTTCGCGTTTTGTGTCGTTTTTTGTCCAGCAAAAAGACGAGTGCGTGGTACATGGCCCCGGGGGACGAGGTGGGGGTTGGCTTGCGGCCCGGGGCTGGGGAGAGGAGGGGAGGGGGGAAACAAAAAGAGCATGCTAGAACCCGATGAGGCGGAAAAGGAGGTACGTCACACACCCGACGAAGCGCATGGCCGAGAGGCCGAGCACGGCGTAAAAGATGACTGTGAGGTAGGGGTTGAACGTCGAGTCTGAGGCAGTGGAGAAGTGCTCCGAGATCCAGTTTGTGAACGCCGACGAGGTAAAGAGCATGATGACGACCAAGTTGGAGCCCAAGAACAGCAACACGACGTTTGTGCGGAACGTCTTGTCCGAGTCGGAGCGCTTCGTCTCTGCGCTGCGCTTCTCGCGCACCTCCTTGACGGGGATGCGCAGCTCGGAGCGCGCCTGCTGCCACAGCGCCTCTACGTCTTCTTGCCGCGTGGGCATGGCCACCTCAGCCAGCTCCTCGCCGTCCTTCTTGACCATCTTGGCCTGGCCGAGGTCCTTGGACGCGCCGTTGTCGCCCTTGGTTCCCCACGAGACGTCGTGCAGGTTGCAAAAGGCGTAGATAAGGAGAATGTTGACGTAGGACGGGAGCAGGAAGAGGTACTGCACAAACGAGGTCATCATGTGCCATGGCTCGAGGTAGAGGAGCGACGAGATGAGGTACAGGCCGTAGGTTGCCTGTTGGGTTAGCACGATACATCACGGTCGCTAACCCACCATCAAGGACAGAGCGAGGTCGAGGAACGTCTTGTTGCTGAACAGGGCCTTGACGTCTTCCCATCCCGCAGTGGTGTGCGGGACAGTCTGGTACACGGTCCAGCCGGCACAGTAGAGAAGCAAGGCCTGACAAATGGCGAACAGGAGGATGCACAGGGTGTACATGGCGTTGGCGCCTTGGGGACGGTTACCGAGGGAACAGATGAGGACGACAAAGCTGGGCAGGTGAGCAAGGGACGCGAACATGTAACCTACATGATGCCAATGTACACCTTGTTGAAGATTTGGAAGATTTCAGTGCCGGCGCCAAAGAACGGGTCCGAGTCGCCCGTGGTGGATGACTCGAGGAGGAAGTAGAAGGCGAGGTAAAAGGACGAGATGGACAGCCAGTTGAACAGGAGGTTGACGGTGTTGTAGATCATCAGGATCTGGAGGAAGAACTTGCGGAAGATGTTGTGGCCCGACGTCCAGACGCGCCAGAAACACGCCAGGGCGTAGATGGACGCAAAGATGGATCCGTTGAGCCAACGACGACGCTGCGAGATAAACTCGGGAACGCGCGAGGGGACGTCGGTGCCGGCCTTGGCGCTCTTGACGTATTGCAAGCGCCACTTGGCATTCTTCTTGGTCACAATCTCAAACGCGAGGATACGGTCCTCGGCGAGGAACTTGTTGCGGTCAAAGATGGACGCCTCTGCGCCGGGCAGGTTCATGAGTTCACCGTGAAAGTACGAAGCCAAGGGGCCCGTACCGTCCGGGTGGTTGGCGACCGCAGCGTACCTGTACGCCGAGAATGCACCTGGCAAGACGGAGATGAGACCAAACACCGACTCGAAGGGCTTGTCGAGAATGTTGGACATTTTGTACTCGAAGTTTTGGCCGGCGACAATGGGGTTGAGCAGGAGCTTGCCGTACTTGCCCGTGTCGGCGTAGATCTCGCCACACGCGCCACCGACGTTCTTGTGCTTTTCAAAGACCTTGTACAGCTCGTACAGACTGTGGCCAGAGGGCTTGGTGCCGACATCGAGCAGAATGCACACCTGGAAATGGGTCAGCACTGACAGGACTCTTATCACCCACGTTTGGCTTAACGAGCGGACCGAACGCGTTGAAGAACCAACGGTGCGAGTTGAGCTTCTTCTTGTTGGCCTCCTTGAGACAGAAGATGTACTGAATCGGGGTTGATCCCATGCCCACTTCGCCCGTCTCAGAGACGATGACCTGGGACGTGTACTCGAAGATGTGGGCCTGAACCTCCTTGCCAGCGACCGTGTCCTTTGCGACACCTTCGGCGTACACACCCATGAGCTGGAGGACCTTGAGGACGCGCGCGTTGCACACTTTACGGCCGTCGGCGACGATGCACACGACGACTTTTTGCCATGCACCGGCGCCCCATGTCTTGGACCGCGTGCGCGAGCAGAGGTGGGCAATGTTCTTGATGGTCGCGTTGAGTGTGCGCAAGAGCAGAATGTCGTCTTCGTTGTACATTGTCATCACAATCTGGGGGGGTGTGGCATGTCAGTGATCAGTGCCTGGCGGGGGATGATGGGGAATGGTTCTAGATCTCGCAGCCGCCACCACATGTGGCCACGAGGGGCCCTCTCTTTCGCCAGCCACCGGCCACTGGCCTCTGGCCACTGTGCCCACCCAACGGTCGGTCACCACACTCACAAACAGCTCGGTCTTCCTGCCATACAGGAACTGGCGCAGGGAGAACTTGCGGCGCATAAAGTCGTCCGGGTCGCAAGTGGCGGCGCTGTAACGAAGCTTGTCCATTTCCCCTGGCTCGGCACCCTGCGCCGCCGCGTTTGAGGGAATCACACCCTTGGGCACCGGAACGTCCATGACCAGGTTACCGTTCGTGAGCGGGATGCGCTTGACGACTCGGCGCGCCATGAGGTTGTTGCGCACCTGGTGCCAGTGGCTCGAGCCCGAGAACCCGGGGCTCGCTGGCAGCTGCGGCGAGCCCGGCATCCCCATTGGCATCCCCATCGGCATGCCACCACCTCTCTGCGGTGGCGGGTAGCCGTATACGGATCCAGTGTGCTGCGGGGCGACGGGGCTGTAGGGCACCGACGGGATGACCTCGCCGACGCCAAACTCCTTGTTGGCGCCAGAGTTCAGGTGCGTCTGGGACGTGTACGACTTGTTCTCGTCGGGAAAGTCGTTGCCATGCTGGTTGCTGTCGTGGAAAGCGTCCATGTACGAGTCCAGCTCGGTGCGCGCGCCGTACTGGTAGCCACCCCCTTGGTCATAGTTTGTGTTGATGTTGAGGTGGTGGCCATTGTTGCTCCCAGCATAGTTGTTGTGGCCATTGTTACTGCCACCGTAGTTGTTGTGGCCATTGTTGCTGTTCGAGTAGCCGCCGCCCGACTGGCTGTAGCCATTGTTGTTGGGGTGGTTGTAGTCGGAGCTGTAGCTGGGTGCACTATCCATCGGGGGCCTTGATGGGCCCGAGTTGGACGAGTACATGGCGCCAGCAGATGTGAGGGGTGATGGGTCACGGGAGAAGACCTCGCCTGGATGGACCGAGCGGTGACTGGCGTAGGATGGAGGAGTGTATGTGTAGGATGCGGGAGGAGCACCTGTACGAGTGGTGGTAGTGGTAGTGGTAGTGGTAGTTGCGGGGGTTGTGACAGGGGGGAACTGGTTGAGACGCGGGGCCGACCAGTTTGTGCGTTGTGTCAGAGTAAAGGAAGGTGATGTCGGGGTGTCTGAGACGTCCGAGTTGTGCGAGGGGTTGCGGTGGTGCCGTGATGAGAGGGGTGTACGTGCCCCTGCTGCTGCTGCTGCTGCTGCTGCTGCTCTGCTACCAGGCGTCTGCAGGTATGCTGGCGAGGGTGAGTGGTATGTGTTGTACATGGTTTGTGGATGCGCTCGCTCTTGTCGCTGCCGCCGTCCCTCCCCACTGGCCCCCGTGCGCGCGACGTGGATGGGGGATAGTGTGAGTGGTCTAAAGCGAGACTCGTGCTGCTGCTGCGGGGTTGGTGTCAGTGCGCTGGTGGCCAAGGCGCTCGGCGCACAGGGTGCAGCCGGCAAGTGGGGTGGGGGGGGTGGACCAAAGTGGACGCCACTCGCTCTCTGATGGCTGCGACGCACCTCTAGCGCGTGATGATGATGATGGCAAGACGATATTCAAATGCGGTGGCAGACTATTCAAAGATCAAAGAGAAAGACCTCGTTGCGCTCGATGGACGAGACGGCGGCGCCGGACTGTGTAATGTTGATGGCGAGTAGAATGGGTCCCAGCAGATGGCTTGAAATGGGCAATGTCGCCCCCCAGAGACGCCAGACGCGTCGTCCACGTTTCTTGTCATGTCGCGGTTGATATCTGAATGCATGTAGCCTCCCTCCCCGCCATTGCCGCACTTTTGTGAGCATTGGGGGAGAGGGTGACAACGGGAGTGACGGACCTGACAGCAACTCTGTTTCCATCAGTGGTGGCTATCATCCGGGTCCCACTCCTGGATCCAGCGTCCCCGTGCTTGCACGCAGCGCACCGGCAATGCCCACGCCGCCCCACACCCTGCTCCGGGCCAAGACGGCGGCGGCACGGGTGCTCAGGAGCACAGCGTACAGCATGCGTGTCTGTCATCCTTCGCAGCAGGTTGGAAAGCAAGAATATCCCACTGGCCCACTATTCCGGGATCACTAGCAAAGGGTGGTCCTGCAGAGAGAGACGTGGGGGGCCTCCTTGCAGAGATCCAGAGATCCAGAGATCCAGTGACCCGGTGAGTCAGGGAGGAGGGTGAGGGTGACTGGGGGGTGGGGGAAGAGAGACGAGAAACGAGGGTAAGGAATGGAGGAGTGATTCTTGGTGGGATATTGCGGGAGATGGGAAACGGGAGGGGGCCAAGAACAAGAACATGTCTCCTTGTTATTTTCCGTTGGCTACGGCGCGAGCAACGTTGAACGCGTACCCAGCTACCCAGGATGTACGACGCGTATTCTATATACCACCGTGTTCAACGCGCGCGCTTGACCCCGAAACACCCTCTCATTCACCGCTGCCCGGACACCCCATACATGTAAGCCGCTGCCCGGACATGCCCAGACATGCAACACACCTTCGGCCCTTCAGGCGTCCAAAGACTTGGCCATGAGGCCATGAGGCCATGTATGAGGAGCCTGGTGGCCCCCGGATAAAGGCTGCTCCAATTTGCCGAAATACCGACTCTAGCAGTCTTGACACGATCCGATATCCCCTCTCTCTTGTCAAGGCGTTCTCCATGCTGTAAGCAGTTGTCGACACTGCCCGTGTGCAGGATGGCGCAGGAAACGTACAGAGGCTGGAAGGTTTTAGCTTTACAAAGCGGCAAGGGAGACGGTGTGTTGCAACCGTCAACGAGGCAACACACTGTGACAGGGGGGGTGTTGTTTTGCACCTTCCTTCCTCCCTTCCCCGTCTTCCCTCTCACTCCCTTTCAACGTTGCTCTCACCACCATTCCGCATGCACTCACCACCGCCACCAGCGTCTTGCTCACCACCCTTGCGACGACACACCCAGCCTGCCTGCCGGCTACGCTCGGACCGCCGCCGACGGGCGGCCGCCTCGCACCCTCCGCTACGCGGACCACCACGTCCACCACGCGCGGACAATAGAGCTCTGCAGCTGGAAACCTAACACAATGCCGCCGATATTTCGTTGCGGATGGGCGTGTCCCTCGTCTCTCGTCAGCAGACACGACATAAACAATTGTACAATTTTACGTTCTGGCCACATGGACGCTCGGACCCACTCGTGTACCCAGCCGACCGCCAGCCTCTGTTTGGGCCAAGCGTGCAGCCAGCCAGCCAGCCGCCAGACTGACAGAATGACCGAGTACCGACGACACAAACAGGCCGCACAATGTCTTTTCCCAACAACATTTCCATCATCCGCCTCCACACCGCACACATCCTCCGTGACCACACCCCGGCGCCGGTAACTCTCAATCCGACAGCCACTCCTCCGTCCATTCACACACACACGCATTCATCTCTCTGGATAGCACAGCATCCACGGCCCCACGCAGGACTCGCCACCCCGCCGCCTAGCAACCTCTCTCATCACGGCCTCGGGCTCTAACAGCTAGATCGCACGTCCGGTGGCGAGGACCATGGCCGAAGTGGCCGTGAGCCCCACACCCAAGCATGAGCGGCGCCGCTCGTTGCTCGATCGCGTCACCTGGAACCACAGGAGGTCGTCGTCGTTGTCCACACCGTCGCCGCTGGCACCAGGACCGGCAAAAGCTCAAGCACCCACTCCTCCACCTCCGCAGGGTGTCGCCTCACCACGGTCGCCGCCGCCACCACCCCCTGTGGCCGCGGCGGGCACGCCAGCACCCATTGCGGGCCTGCCGCAGCCCGTCGCTGCTCCGACGCCGTCAGCAGCCGGCAGCCGCGCAACGAGCGTGCACCTCCCGGACAACGTCAGTGTTGGCAGCAGCGCGCGCAGTGGTCCCAGGACGGGCTCGGGGTCCAAGGGCAAGAAGCTGCTCCGCAAGAAGAAGGGCGTGCACTGGGCCGGCGACCCGGGGGAGCCTGCGTCCCCGCCGCCCGTGTTCCTCGACAAGGAGAAGCGGCCCAGCCGGTGGCGGACGATGCTGGGCGGCAACAGCCACAAGCACGAGGACCAGGTCATCGACGGGGTGGTGCACCATGCGCCCAAGCTCAAGCCGCCAAAGCCGAGCCGGTCGAGCCTGAAGCAGGCCAAAGCAGAGGCCAAGGCCGAAGCCAAGGCTGCTGCGGCCGAGGAAAAGGAAAAGGCAAAGGCAAAAGGCAAAGGAAAGGACAGCGGCAAGGAGAACGGTAAAGACGCGGCCGCCAACGGCAACGGCAACGGCAAGCCCAAGGACGGCCGCGCGAGCCCGACGCCCAGCAACCACAGCTGGAAACACCACGAAAGCTACTTTCCCGAATACGAACGCATCGCTCCCGTCCCCAAGACCAACTATTACGAGTTTGGTCCCGGCCCACTCATCTACAACGTGCCCGGCGCCGAGGCTGCGCGGCTCGCCGCGGCCGCCAAGGTCGGCCAGGACATTTCCGTCCACTACCCGGTCCTCCCGCGCTTTGAAGACTACGTCAAGGCCGGCGGCAAGGACTGGCGCAAGACGCAGTGGGGCGACGAGGGATGGACCGGGTTCGGGTACGCGGGCGAAAAGCTGCCCAACCCGGCCGGCGAGACGTTTGGCGCGCCCATGCCCGAGGCTGTCAAGATTGACTATCCCGTGCCGGCGGGCGAGCAGGGCGGGAAGAAGAAGAAGAAGAAGAACAACAAGAAGAAGGGCGGCGCAGGCGGCGGAGGAGGAGCGGATGATGGTGGCGACGACGATGACGATGACGACGACGACAAGTAGTAGTAGCAGTAGTAGTGTGAGTGGTATGGTGGAGTGGGGTTATACTGACGAAGCAGAGTTTGCACGAGAGGCATGTGGCAGGCCATGGCCACTCGCTGTTTTCATCCCACCCACCCACACATTCCCAACCACAGCACACATCCAGCACTTTTATAGCACCCACATGGCGATCTGGCGATTCTGTCACATCCCTTCCAGTAGTTTCTACTTATACGATAATCTTCACCAGATGTGTTGGCAGGAAAGGGAGACCGGGGCAGCTCAAAGGCAGCTCTCCAGCTGGCCGGGGCGCAGCCTTCCTTGCGGCGCTCAACCTGCCACTGCTGTCCCGAAGCATGTCGCTGTCAGACCAAGCCTACTCAAGCACAAGGTCCGTGACAGTGTGGACCGCCCACGTTTGCGTTCTCGACAGTTGCGTCCAGGCAACGCGTCCTGGTCTCAGAGCTTGTGGATAATGGCAAAGCCACTGATAGCGTGTCAGCTGCTGGGTCATGTTCTTCTCCTGGCAGCTGCAAAAGCCCGGTATACCCACTCCCATCCTTTGAACGCGACGTTCTGGATCGCAGTCGCGAGCACCGTCTTGCCGGCGTCCTTCTCGATCCAGTCGTAGATCTGGCGCAGGCCGCGCGAGTTTGCGTCCACGTCGTCGACGGGCGTGTCGGCGGGCACTGCAATCCTGCCAACGGCGCATCAGCTCTGTCCTGTCGTCTGTACAGCCCAACACGTCTACACGCGTATGCGCAGCCACACCCACCTGCCCGCCTGGATCGCATTGTCAAAGAACAGCACCCCGCCGGCCTTACACAGCCGCAGGCCCTCGACAAAGTATTCAAAGTAGTCGTCCTTGTTGGCGTCGACAAAGATGAAATCGTACCCGCACTCGGCGGGCGGCAGGCCATCCGCCACGCCCGGCGGCGCGGCAAACTTGCCGTTTGGGTCGCGCAGGACGTCGAGCCCGAACCCGACGTGCGTCGTGGGGAAGGGGAGCAGGTCGAGGTCGAGAAAGTTCTGCTGGGCGATTTTGGCGTGCATGGGGGACGCCTCGATGGTGTCGATCTCGCCGTGCGAGGGCAGCGCGTTGGCGAGGAACGCGGTAGAGTACCTGCGATGGACCGTTAGTTGCGTTGACGCAGAGGCAGAGTGTATCCTTGCTGTGAGCTGCCTGGCTTGTGTAACGGAGAACCACGCAGCTGAAGTGCACCGAGGCACTCTCCGCAGCTGACGGTGTCACCAGCACAAGCACCTGCAAACAAGCCCACACCCAACACCCACGAACCGCACGCTCGACTCACCCTCCCAGCGTGCCAATCTCCAGCACCCGCGTCGCCTTCATGCTCTTGGCCATGATGGCCAGCAGCTGGCCGACCATGGGCGACACGGCGATACTGGGCATGCCGGCGTCGCGCGCGCGCTGCACGCCGCGCGCGAGCGCCGCATCAGCAGCATACCCGGGCGCCGAGAGCTTGGAGGTCAGGTATCCCTCTACGCCGGCGGTGGTCTGCCCTGCGCGGTCGTCAGTAGTGCGCACAGGTGGAAGCCCTGGTGGGTGGTGGGTGGTACAGATGGTGGGCGCGGCTTGCAAGTGGGTAGCGACGACCAGTGATCCAGTGACGTCACGCCCACCCACCACGCCCAAACCCCCACGCCATGGCCGTGGACACCTCTCCCCCCGTCGCCACTCTACGCACAGTACTTGTCCCCCGCCTCGTCCGCGGTCAACGGGCGGTCCAGGCGCTGGCGGCGCGCAGTGTGGGTGACGCTGCCATCGGGGTTGCGCGCATACGTGCCGCTCATGGCTGGTGTAGTGGTGGACAGGCGGCAGGTGAGAGTTGGGATGGCGGTGGTCGCTCGTGTACACGTTCTGGGGAGGGTACGCAGCGAGGAGAAGCGGGACATGGAGAGGGGGACGCAATGCGTGCGCAGGTGGACGGCGGGTTTTATATAGACCACCGTTGGCAGTTGGCCTGTTGCTTTGCTGGTTCTGGGGTGTGCGTGGGTGTGAGCGATGGCGTGGTGTGCTGTTGTGTCGACGTCAGTACATGCGCCAATCTGCTGCGCGCTGCGCAACATGACAACATGCCTCGGTCTTCTGATCGGTCTTTCAGTCTTCTGCATCGGACCCGATCAGCCGGCAGCGCGCGCGCCGAGAGCGGTTGAGGCGGGTGCACGCGGCTAGACCGGGCCGAGTGAGATGAGGCAGTGTTGCACGTTGCGGTGTGGCATGGCTCGAGAGAGCAGCAGAGTACCGCAGTGTCGTCGCGAGGCACTTGTGAGCCTCACGTTGGACGCGTTCTGCATGCGCACGCATATGTGTGACGAGTGTGGCAGTCTGCGCAGTTGGCCTCGGCTTGATCACTGTGATCACTGAGGGGCTCGGATATCTGATTGTATCACAGCCAGGCAATCTCAGTCGCAGTCGCAGTCGCAGTCACACTCGCCACTCATCCAAAATAGCACCCCTTCCATTCTCTCCCTAGGTTCAAGGACATGCAATGCATTTCATGACCGGGGGATATCCCTCCATCCCTCCTCTCTACGTCCCTCGCGCGTAATTGTATATTGTGTAAGGGGGGTTGGTTCGTACGTCTTCATCTACGCCGCTCACGCCCATGACCATGGCATGGCGCCTTTGCCAGCGGAGAACAGATAATCAAGAATCTATATCGCCCTCGCGCCTATTGCCTATTGCCTATTGCCTAATGCCTAATGCCACTGAGGCTGGTTGGGCGGCCGGTAGTCGGGCATGATGCTCGCCGGCACGGCCGGCGGGGGCGTGTACCAGTCTCCGCTGGGCGGGTGCTGTACGTGCGCCTGGGGCTGGCCGTACGGCGGGCGCGTCGGCGTGCCCTGTGCGCTGTTGGGGTCGGCGTACGGCCGGGGCGGCGGCTGCGGGCTGGCGGCGCGCATGGGGTGGGGCGGCGGCGTGGCCTGCATGCCGCCCTGCGGGTGCTGCTGCTGCTGCTGGGGGCCACCGGGACCGCCGATGGAGCTCAGGTAGCTCCTCCAGTCCGTGTTGCTCGGGCCGCTGCCGGATGGCGGCATGGGGGGCGGGGGAGGGCCGCCGCCGGCGGGGGGACGCGAGATGGTGCCGTGCGTCGACATGGCCGAGGGCACAGTGCTGTGCCATCCATCCGGCGCCGCTGTGCCCGGACGGAAATCGGTGTTTTGCTGCGCGTAGAGCGCCGTCTGCGACGGGGTGGGCGCCGGTCCGGGTCCTGGAGCATTATACGTTGGCTGCTGCATAGGAGCCCATGGCGCCTCATTTGACGGGGCCTGCTGGGGAGGCTGGATGGGCGGCTGGGGAGCATTGTAAGGCGGGTACGATGACCCCCGGGACGGCGAGTACGCCGGCTGGGCAACCTGGGGCTGCGCCGTGTTGACACGCGGAGGCGTGTAGCGCGTGTTGTTGGCCGCTGGTGGAGGGTACTGCTGCTGCTGGGGCTGGGGGTACTGGTTGTTGTTGTAGCTGGCATTAGGTGGCTGCGGCTGCTGCTGAGGCGGCGGCGGCTGTTGAGGGTTTTGCTGAGCATACAGCTCGTCCGAGGGGTAGTACCCGACGCCGCTGTGGCGAGGCGGAGGTGGAGGGTTGGGCTGCGCCTGCGTGTGGCTCGGAGATCCGTACGGAGCAGGCGTCGAGCCGTACTGGTTCGGCGCAGCCACCGGCGAGTTGTTGTTACTCTGGGTCTGCATGTACCAAGGCACGTACCCGCCAGTGGTCGTTGCAGGCTGCTGCTGGTTGTTGGGCGGGTATGGCTGCTGGGGCGGCTGCTGGGGAGGCTGTTGGGGTGGCGGCTGCTGCTGCTGCTGAGGATACTGGCTCGGCGCAGGCGGAACAGGTGGAGGCTGCTGGCCACCGAACGACGACGTGCGGCGGTGGTCTGGCTGGGTGGGCGGTGCAGCCTGCGGGGGGTACTGTCCATTATACTGTGTCGCCGGGGGAGGAACAGGGGGGTATGCCGCCTGCTGCTGGCCATTGGGCACCACGGGGTACTGCTGAGGCGGCTGGCCGTTGGGAGCGTACTGATCGTACTGAGGCTGCGGCGGGGGTTGGGTGTATCCTCCCACCGACGACGTCCTGCCGTGGTGCGGAGGCGTGTACGGCGCTTGCTGCTGCTGTTGCTGGTATGGCGCGGCAGGCTGCTGCAGAGGCGGTTGCTGGGGAGCACCGGGGTAGTACGGCTGGGGGCTCGTCGCACGGGGAGGCTCTGTCGAGGCCGGGCGACCTGGGTAGCCTACACTTCCAGGGACAGAGAGGGAAGTTTGGTGTTGGTGCTGGGGCTGCTGAGGAGGTGCGTGCTGCATGGGCGGAGCAGGAATCTGGCCGACCGACGACAATGGGCGCTGGGGAACATTGGCAGGTGGCGGAGCCGAGTTCCACGGCGCGTCGGCGCTCACAGGACGCTGGGTGGGCGGGACACCTTGCTGCGGCTGCTGTAGAGACGACCAGGGAGCACCTGCTGCCGAACTGGGCGCGGCGAGCGAGTGGCGGTGGTTGCCTAGCGTCTGGGCACCCTGCGGAGGCATCGTGCCCTGCGGGGGACGGTACGAGGAGCCGATGGACATGGACCCCATTGGGCGGGTAAGCGAGTCGATTGCGCTGTGGTTGGGGGACTGGCCCGGGGGAAACTCGGGCTGGCCGGGTGCGGAGGCGTGATGTTGCTGAGGCGGGAGACCAAAGTCGTTCCAGCTCGCCGAGTGCTGCAGAGGTCGCCGTTGCGGGGCGGCACCACCGGGAACAGCCAGGGGTGGCGATGTGATGGCGGCGTTCGGATCACCAGTCCCAGAGGGCACGCGGCCGGGTTGGGCATATGGCGGGGTGTAGAGCTTGGCGTGTGAGGTGCTCGTAGTCAGGCCCGGACGGATGGGTGGCATGTTGTACGGCTGAGGCTTGGGCGCATCGCGCTTGACGGGCGGCGCTTTCTGGCACACGTCAGCACGAGTGATCAAAGCACAAAGGCAACGAGATCCGCTATGAGACGCGTCCGCCTGCACCTGGGAAATCACTCACGTTGGAGAAGAAGGTGAGCTCGAGGTAGATGTCGCCGGTGTACTTCTCCTTGGCGTTGGCCGACTGGAGCTCGAACCAGTCTACAGCGTCAGCGTTACGTTCCTGCTGTGACATCAACACTCACCATCCATCTCGCCCTTTTTGAGACACTCGTCAATGGGCACGACCACCTCGCCAATGAGCTCGGGCTCTTTGAGGTCGTCGGCCCAGCACGCCACCTTGATGCTCTTGCCGCCGGCCTTCTTGCCTGTGCCGGCCTTTTGCCGCGCCTTGTTGGCCATGCTCTGCGGCGTGACCACGCCAGGCTCTTCGGGGAGCTTGGGCAGCGTGTCCTTTTTGCCTGACAGGCTGCCCGCCGCTTCTGCCGCCGCGATCATGTCGTCGGCGTCCTCCATGATCGTGAAGCGCAGCTCCTCATCCCAGTTGGGATGCTGCCCGCCGCTGTGCAAAGAGTCAGTTGAAGTGACGATGACGTGTGGCCGTAGGCGCTCCGTCGGCCACCGACGGATAAAGACAACATACCGCTTGATAGCCCTTGTCTTGAGCTTTGTCTCTCCTAACGAGACGGTACAGAATGGGTCCTGTTTACCAAACCGCGACTTGTTGGGCAGGTTTTTCTGAGAGAGACGTTCGTCAGCAGCAGCTCACAGGTGCAATGATGGTCGAGGACAAAAGGGCACCAAGCTCAAACGATCGCGGCGCGCCGCGCCGTGCAGCACACAGGCCCCACACTGGCGCGCGATCGCGATCACGCCTGCCTTGATCACCGTCTCAGCGACGGGCGACCGCGAGCAGACACAAAGCCGACGCGCGCACACGCACGCGCGCGCGCACATGGCAACGGCGACGCGCACCGACGAGTCCCACCAGCGCCCGCAACTGGACTGATCCAAGGCAACTCACCGCGGAGGCAACGACGACAATCAGCGTGCCCAACACTTTGGGCTCGGCGGCCATCGCCATGGCGTCCGGCGTCTGTGTAGGGTGGGTTTATGCGCGGAACGCAAAGAGTGATGCGTTGGTGCTGTTGTCTTTATGAGCCGCCCGTTGCGCGATGGAGCGAAGGGGGGGAGGTGGGGGGAGCAGGCGGCGGAGGCGGTGTGGAGTGACGGCGGAGGCGGTGGTGGTCCGGCCCCGACGCGGTGGTTGTGAAGGGTGTGAGAGGACGGGGGTGGGGTGTGGGTCGTGTAGTGTTTGCGTTTCCTGGACGATGACGGTGCGTGTTCTAGTCGGTCGTGCGCGGTGGGATCTTGCAAAGATTGACTAGTTGGCCGGTGTGTAGGGGGAGGAGTGGGGGGACGGTTTGACACGGCGGCACGCTACACTCTAATGCGTTTCCCGTGTCAGTGTCGGTGAATGGGACGGAGCAAAGACCCCGCGCAGGCGGTATGAGATCTAGCGGGAGGGGGGTTGGGGTGTGCGGGTAAGGCGTTGAGAGCTTTCTCCAGACCGGCTGGCACTTGAGTGTATGGGTGTGTGTGTGTTGTAGAGAGTCTGCAGATGTGGAAGTAGAGGACGAGGCAGACGAGACAGGAAATCAAGAACGAGCAATGACCAGCAAGGGAGAGAGCGCAGTCGTGTTGGGTTGGGTGGGGGGAAGCCAGGAGAGCCCAGGAGACACCCATTGTCAGGGATGTGTGGCGGGTGTTTAGGAATTCAATTAGGGTCCATTTGCCCCATGCGCGTTAAAAGCACATTAGAAATCGGGCCCCCCCATTTGAAAGCCACACACTAATGGCAACAAGGGTTGGGCCCACAGCCTGGCGTTCCTGGCCGGGACCCACCCAACGCGTCACACCAAACACGCTCAAACGCTCGTTTGCGGTCGTGTCCTGGGCCTGCCACCAACACGGCCTGGCTCCTGCTCCTGCTCCCGGTCCTCTTGACTCCTCCTCCTCGTCTCGGTAAATGACTTCATACGATAACATATGTACGGGGTATATCTACGTCCCAATAAACAGCGGCGAGACGGCGGCCAGGGAACGAGCGCCGTTTTCCCAAACACCAAACCATCCCCCGCTCAATGCAAACACGTCAAGTCCAACACTCGCTCCCTCCCCCGCGAGACACACCAAATGGGTCGTCCCTCGCACAGGCGGCGCAAGAGGACATTATGCAAAAATTGATCAACACTTTTGTTCTTGTTCGTTTTGGAGAGTGGGGCGGGCGGGCAGGCCCGAGTTGGACTAGCTGGCGCCTCTTGAAAAAAAGCGTGTTTTTTGTTTTGGCGCAAACAGCAGCTTACAACTCGGCGTCGTCGTCGAGCTGCGCGGGCTTGAGCATGCCGGGCACACGGATCGCGAGCTGGCGCTCCTCGACGGCCTTGCGCTCGGCCTCGGCCTCCTTCTCGTCGATGAACAGGTCGGCATTGTCGCCCGTCGAAAACTCCTTGAGCGAGATGAGGAAGTCGCGAAGCGTGAGCTTGAACTTGGTCGGGTCGCTCGAGTTTTCAAACATGAGGTTGACAAACGACGAAATCTGGCCAGACTGCACGTGGCCAAACGCGTTCTGAAGCAAGTTGGCAATGTACTGCTTGAGGAAGACGACGTTGGACATGTTGGGGTCCGACACAGTGGACGGGTCGTACAGCGGAGCCTGGACCGAGTTGGTCTCGACAATGGCAATGAGGCGGGCCAGCAGGATCGTCTGCATCTTGAAACCACTCTTGTGGTCCGTGTCGGTGAGCACAAAGAAGACGTCGCCGAGCAAGGGAAGGAGGAACTGCGTGTAGAACGAGTTGGAGATCTCGGGCGTCGACGAGGCAAAGTTGTTGACAATCTCAAACGCAATGCTGAGACCAGTGTCGGCAATGTCGCGCATGGTGTGCTTGAACGCCCACACGACAGAGTCCATGACAAGCTTGAACTGCGCGGGGGGCAGCTCAAGGAGGGCAGGGAAACAGGTGAGGTTGATGGCGCGCAGGAGCTTGAAGAAGCCAACACGGTGCTCAGGGTACTCGGAAAAGTCCTTGTTGATCATGTCAAGCGTAGGCTCAAACACGGCGTCGAGGATGGGCGCAATCTGAGGGACAAGGAGCGAGCCCAGCTTGGACACGATGGTGGCCATGACGTTGAGCACCTCGGCGTCACGGGCAGCGGGGACGTTGCGGTTGTAGTCGCCCAGGATGGCGTCCAGGAGACCGGGAATGAGGTTGCCGTTGACACCATCCAAGTCCTCGGCCTTTTTCACGTATGTCTCGACGAGCTTGAGAATCTCCTTCTTAATCGTGCGGAGCGAGCGGACCTTGGGAGTCTTGGTCGCAATGAGACCCTGCGTGGCAACGGCATCGCTGATAATGCCCGAAACGGCCTTGTACAGGCCAAGCATGTCGAGCCAGATCCGGCCGAGCTGGGGGAGGAAGAAGGCGCCGATGGAAGTGCATGCCGACACGTTGGTCTTGAGAATGTTGGACATGATCTTGACGTTCTCCGGGTTGCCGAGCACATCAACGTTGCTGGCAGCCTGCTGCATGAGGTTGTCCCAGGCATTGTTGGGCAGCTCCATGAGCTTTTCAATCAGGCGCTCCTGGGTCGGCTTGTTGGGCTGAGCCGAGATCATGTAGCCGACAGCCTCGTAAAAGGTGTGGACCTGCTGGGGCTGGAGGTCGACGGTGATGCGGTGCAGGGTGCGGAGAATCTCGTCGATGAAGGGCTCGTGCTCGCCAGCCTGCTGCATGACAAAGTGGCGACGGCACTTTTGAGCAATCTTGATGAACGTGTCACAGGCCATGTCCTGCACACCCTCGTGGGTCTCGTGCATAAACTCAAAGAGCTTGTTGACGACCGTCTTCAGGAACTTCCAGTGTGCCTTGAGGAAACGCGGGTACTGGCCGACAATGTACATGATGTCGGACGCGCAGACGGCCTTGTTGTCCTTGCCGCGCTTCATCTCGGTCAGACCAAGCAGGTCCTTGATGACAGTGACAAGGAAACGCTTTTCAGTTTCCTCGTTCATCGCACCAGAGATGGAACCGATGGCCCAACAGAGGGTGTTGAGGTTGTTCCACGACCACTCGGACCCGTCAATCTGCTTGGCGAGCTTGTCGGTCATAATCTGCTCCGTGTCGGCAACGTCCAAGTGGGTCAAGTAGACGAGAACCTCGCGCATGCTCTTGTAGAGCACAATGGTGTCGCTCTCCTTCATAAACTCGCGGACAATCTCGCCCTCGTCGTTCTCGACAATGAGCACCTCCTCGGGCTTGACCATCTTCTCAATCATGACCAGGCGGAGGTTGGACAGAATGTCGCCGTAAATGGTCTTGCGGAGGGGCGCGCCGTTGAGGCCGAGGCTTTGGGGGCCGTTGAGGCCGCCGCCGAGGCCACCAAGGTTGAGGTTCATGAGGGGGTTGATGTCGCCCATGGGGAGCGACTGGATCTCCTCGTAGAGCTCGGCGACGAGCTTGGCCCAGTACTCGAGACAGATCTTGAAGACTTCACGGTCGTCGACGGTGGAAATCTTGATCAGGTAGAGGTGGGCGTTGATCAACAGCTCGTTGGACTCGGGGGTCTCGATGAGACGGAGGTGGGAGTGGAGGAAGTTGGTGAGGAAGATGGCAAGGTTCTTGATCAGCTGCTGGTCCTCGTCATCAGACGAGGCATAGGCAGCCGCCAGGTCGGTGTGCGGGGGGACCATGCGGTTGACACTGGTCATGACCATCTGGAACAGGATGACAAACTTGCTGTTGTACTCGGGGCCAACGTTAAGACCCCCAATCTCGGACAGACACTTGAGAGTAACATTGCGGAACTCGGGGACCTCGAGGAAACGGGTGACCAGGAAGTCGATGATCTGGGTCTCAAAGATGTAGCCCAGAGGAATCCAGTTCAGGAAGCGGAGAAGGGTCTCAAGGGTGGCCTTGATCAGGCTGGGCTTGTTGGCCTTTTCGAGCACCTCGTTACAGAGGGTGAAGATGTCGGAAAAACTCGCCGCACATGGTCTGCTTGAGAGCCTTGGTCTTGGCCTGGGTCATCTGCTCGGCAGAGAAGTCGAAAATCTCCTCGGACAGGAGCTTGAGAATGACCATGTTGTTCTCACACAGCGACAGGTTGGTGCGCGACGACTGGGTGATCTCGGGGATGAACGAAGGCCAGTCCTTGGGCCAGGCCTGCTTGAGGATCTGCACGAGCACGAGGTTGAGTTTGTTGAGGTAGCTCTTCTCCCTCCTCATACGCGCCTCATCGCTGGACAGGTCGACGGTGACCTGGACGATAAAGTTGCGGATGCCCTGCTGCTGGTCGGCAGGCAGCGCCTTCCATCGTGTCTGAACAAGCTTCTCGAGAATCTGGAGACCAATGTACTGTGGGCGCAAAGTGAGCATTCTTGTTGTGACGGAGAGAGGGGTCGCACGTTCGCCCGCGCGCGCCCAAACCAACATACCTTGGTGTTCACATTGGTAGAGGTCTCGAGAATGTGTGGCACACGCTGCCACGAGTCGGGGTTCTCCTGGAACTGGGTGAGGACCTGCTGGGCTTGCTGTTGCTGGCCAGGTTGTCAGCTGACCGGACTGGGACCCGAGCTGCGAGTCGGAGCAGTGAGAAACGTACCGTGGCACCTGCGCCAGTGTAGAACGTCTGCACCACCTGGTCAAGGAGACTGTAGATAAGGCATCAGCGACAGCATCGAGGTGCAACGCAAGCGACCCAAGTCGACGTACCCAACATCAATGTCCTTGGTAAAGTCAAGGAGCGCCTGTTCACACACTTGTGTCAGCAACTTGTTTCGTCCACCGCAGGCGCGCGTGCTCTGGCGCAAAGCGCGCGCAGTGTGCGTGAGTAGCGCAAGAGCTCACCTCCATCGTGCCAGAGCGAGTGTACCGCTATTCTCAAGTGGGATTGGTGCGCGACGGCCGAGTTGACGCGCTGCTGTAAGGAGGAAAGAGAGGTTAGATGAGAGTTGTGTCTGGGTGGCGTAGCTTCCAGGGGAGCGAAGGGGGGAGAGGATACGGGGAGATTGGAGCTCGCACCCTGGGGCGAATACGTACTGTGCAACTGGAAAGAGTTTGCCAGTATGTGCCCGAGATGGGGTAGTGAACTGTCGTGGGTAGTGGGTGACGGTGGGGGGTGTTGGTGGTGGCGATGTGGGGATGGATGGTATGGGGGGGTTGTGGGTGTGATGATGCAGTCGAGTGTGTGTGTGCGCGCAGCCACGGTGTGGGTGGGTGGGGTGAGTGTACCAGCCAGCCAGCCAGCCAGCCAGGCCCAACTCTCCCACCGTGGCACTCGCGCTGCATCAGTGAGAGCACCACCACAGGCGGGTCTTCTCGGCGTTTGCGGGAGAGCGGAAGCATATTTTCCTATTATGACCAAGGACCCCCTAATTCCCCTAATTAGCTCGTCGTCAAAACAAAAATCCCTCATTTGCAAAACAACCCCCATTTATATACACCCCGTTTCCTTGACTGTATTGTCACGTTTGATCTGAGCTAGCCAACACAGCACCGTTTACGTGTCGCTTGTGTCTTCTCTTCGCCACACTGGTCACTGGATCACTGGGCCACTGCTGACCTGCATGAACAGCAACCACGCTGTCGGCGTCCCAAAGGAAGTGAAACTAGGCGCGTGTCCTTATCAGCGGACATTCGAGTCCACTAGGCCACTGGCCACTGAAGTAAGAGACTGTCACTGACGTGGCATCAAGGAGCTAGATTGGGGCCAGAGTGGTCGAGTTAACTGCGGGAGAGGAGACGAACACAAGCGTGACCTTTTGACCTGGTCGACCTCATATCAACAATGCTGCGTCTGTGGCTATGGGCCTGAGGGTGGCTGTGGAACTGACTGTCGCCATCCATAATGCCAACCCGCGCCCCACTGTATAGATTGGAGCTGTTGCCTTGGGCTAGCTTGTCGCTTGTTGGCCTTTGACCTGTGGCCTTTAACAAGTGTATTCCATGTACAGTACTTGCATGGCAGTTCTCACACGCTCCATCTCAGATCTGAGAACAGAAACGACCCGCCATTTTCCTCGCCTGCCACATGCCGTGTTGGCGAGCTTGACTGGAGTGCCTCCGGAAGGACGATGCTTAGACCCATGCCTGAGCCATATCCCCGTGCACCGTATCCTCTGCCTGCCAGAGCATGACAGACTGACCGGACACCCATAGCGCCATAGCGTCCATAGTGTTCATGTGGACTGAAAAAGTGGTCTATTATCGGCACCGGGGTTTCCCCTCGCTGAGCCTGACCAATGCCATCCACCAGGCCCCAGCAGACCGCACGTGCAACAACCGGTAGCGAACTCTGCACTTTGCGCATCCATCAACACACATCTGAACAAGGTTTTTTCCACAGCACCACCGACCTCGAACACATTGTGTAGACTGTCACACGCCTCTCTCGCTCAGCTGTTTCATACAGACAGCCATCCGCTGCGGCGCCAAGGACGGCCGCAAAGCGCACAGTCGCCACCCACTTTTGCCGGTTGTCAGGTCCAACACTTGGACCCACCCTTGCTTTCTCTCTCCACAACCTTCACTCCCATCCCGGTGTCGTCACATTCTCGTGCGCCCACAACAAACTGCAAAGGCGTAGGAAGCTTCCAACGTCCCCTCTCGCAACCGATCCCCACGCGGTGCATGTGTCCGTAGGCCCCTAGCTTTCGCAACAAGAGACGCCCTCGTCGCCCATCCCTCACCTCCATCGCCTGCCCCCCCATCGCTTCTCCGACTTCCCCGATCGACAGGCCCATCGCTCACCATGTCGCCCACCTCCCCATCCTCCCCGCGCCAGATCGCAGAGTCGCCCTCGACATCCCACCCCCGCACCATGTCGCAGTCGGCGACGCGCTCCCCCGTCCGCGCGCTTGGCGGTGCCCAGCACCGAGGCAGTGCTGGCACAAGCTACCGTGACAACGTCGACGTTCAGCGCCAAATGCAGCAGGATATCGATTCAGCGATGAGCATGTGTGAGTACACGTCGAGCGGTCGGGATACCGTTGCGCGTGTGAAAGTACCATTGGGCTTGTGTCTTGTCTGAGACCATTGTTTCCATTCACCCCTACCCCCCGCTTTGTGTCCCACTGCCTTTCAGAGCTGTTAGCTGACTCGCCTGCCAGCCCGCGCGCGCTCCGGATCGCTCGTTGAGCCTTCGCCCATGCTCCGTGGCCAGCTCCCGCGGTACTCCAGCTCCCCGATCGAGGAGTCGCCGTTTGGCATGCTGAGTGACGCCGAGGAGCGCGAGATCCACCGCGCCCGTCATGGCCACGGCGAAGAGGAGGACCATGACGACCTGCGCGGACCCTACCGCCACGAAGAGGTTCTGAGCGACAATGCCAGCGTGCACACCTTCCAGTCCAGGCATGCGTCGGACGACACGCGCGACCGCGACCGCAGGCAGATGAGCCGACACACCGGCCACAGCAGCCACGCGGACGCGGTGGGCAGCATGGGCAGCATGACGAGCCTCAACATGGCCGGCGTTGCGCGGAGTGCGTTCGACTTTGCGGCCATGGAGGAGTTTGCCGCTTCGGAGCGGCAGGTGCTGGACGTGGTCGACAGCGCCGAGCCGATCCGCCGGCGGTCCACGGGTGTGCGTCTCGAGCGCTCGCACACAGCCGTGACCGACGCGGCCGCCAGTGGCAGTGGTAGCAGCACTCGACAGGACGTGAGCTCCACTGGCGGTGCTGGAAGCGACGAGACCGTGGCCAAGCCGTACAGCCTCGACTTTGAGCAGACGTCAACAATGTCGCCGCCCATGTTCAGTGTCGTTGGCGACAATGGCGAGCCGGCAAAGGACGAGGAGCCGCAGACCAACTTCCACCGCAGGAGGGCACGCAAGCTCTCGCAGTCCAACCCTGTGCGCCGCGGGGCCAAGCTCGCGCTGTTTGAGAGCTTTGGCGGCGGTGGCGACGACAATGCGCTTACCGGCAGCGCGCTCAAGGCTCCTCGACAGGGCAGGCAGGTGCCCACTGCTGCCCCCACCGAGCCTGCCACGGGATTCCAGGCATACACAGACGCACCTCCGGGCCACGACCGACCGTACCGTTTTTCGTTCTACTCGAACGCCTTGCCTGTCACCATTCACGCGCGCACCATGGCCGAGCTGCCTGCCGAGGGCCAGTCGTTTGAGGATCTGTTCAAGGGCCGCAACAACTCTGCAGACACGGCCGCCGACTTGAGCGCCACGCCACGCCCCGGTTCCGGTATCAGTGGAATGGGCACTCCCAACGAGCCCAGCCTGTTGACGCAGACGGCGCCCAAGCAGCTCGCGATGAAGAACGCTCTTGCAACGTCGACCCTCCCACCAACAGCTGAAGAGGACCCGGACCAGTTTACGTGGTGGCTCGATGTGCTGTCGCCGACCGACGAGGAGATGCGCATGCTGTCCAAGGTCTTTGGCATCCACCCGCTCACAACGGAAGACATTTTGCTTGAGGAGACGCGCGAAAAGATTGAACTGTTCCGCCACTACTACCTCGTCTGTTTCCGCTCGTTTGACCAGGACCCATACTCGCAGACCTACCTCGAGCCCCTCAACATGTACATTATCGTGTTCCGCGAGGGCACGCTGTCTTTCCACTTCCGCGGCACCCCGCACCCGCAAAACGTTCGCAGGCGTATCAAGCACCTCAAGGACTACATCTCTGTCACATCCGACTGGATCTCGTACGCCCTCATCGACGACATCACCGACGCTTTTGGACCGCTTATCCAGTCGATCGAGTACGAGGTCGACTCTATCGACGAGCTGGTCCTCATCCTCAAGGAAGCAGAGCAAACAGACATGCTCAGGCGTATCGGCACATGCCGTAAAAAGGTCATGGGTCTCCTGCGACTCATGGGCTCCAAGGCGGACGTGGTCAAGGGCCTCGCCAAGCGGTGTAACGAAAACTGGCTCGTGGCCCCCAAGTCGGACATTGGGCTGTACCTGTCCGATATCCAGGACCACTTGATCACCATGACGTCCAACTTGAACCACTATGAGAAGATTCTGTCGCGCTCCCACTCCAACTACCTCGCCCAGATCTCCATCGAGATGACAGACGCCAACAACCAGATCAACGACGTGCTCTCAAAGCTCACGGCACTCGGTACCGTCCTCATCCCCATGAACCTGGTCACCGGTCTGTGGGGTATGAACGTCCACGTCCCCGGCCAGGACGCCGAGGTAGACACAGTGAGTACAGACTGAGCACAATATCCCGGTTGGTGGCCGTATGCTGACGCACCAAAACAGTACCATTGGTTTGGCGGCATCCTCGGCGGCCTTGCGGCGTTTGCCATCGTCGGTGCATGGGCGACGTACAGGTGCTTTGTGAGGTAGCGGGCAGTCTTCACGTCGGACGGACGCTTTTTACGTTTTACATCTATAGATATTCACAGTTTTGTTGTCTTCTGCATGTCGCATCCAGCGGTGATGGTGTCGAGGAAGAGAGGCACTGGGGTGGTGCGTGGTGGCCCGCGTTTAAAGGTCATCACATAAGTCAAGCGGTGACGTGACCGCGGGTACTCACCATACCCCACTGATGTCAGCGGCAGTGTGTTCTCGTCAGCAACGACGAGAAACCAGTGGGCCGTCCCCTCGTAGGCGCCATGTCGGTCAACGCCGGGCATGGTGGGCAGTGTCCATCGAGATACGACGCGGCCGGCGCTAGGTGGCGCCCCAAGCGCTATCGGAGTCCAGAAAGACGCCGCTCCCACCGACAATTTCGAGTTTTAGTGGCTTGCTGGGGGGGGGGGGGGGGGGGAAAGGCTACGCATCACGGTGCGCGGGGCCCGGCCACATGCATTGATGCGGGACAGTAGTAGTGGTAGTGGCTGTGGTTGACGGGCGACCGGGGTCTACTTCGGCGTGGTGAGGCGTCGGGGCGTCGATACCGTGGTCCACCCGGGGGGGTAATTGTGGCGGTGGGGTGTGGCGGCCGACGCGATAAGTGGGAAACGATGGGAAGATAAGGGGCAACAGAGGTTAGTGTGGCGCTTCTCCGCCGATAGAGACTGGTGTGGATGCCTTTTCGGTGTGGTTGACGCTACGGCGACGGACCTGTTGTGATGCGGGCAAGCATGGTGGATTGCAACCAGCGGTAGAGACCAGCAGTAGAGAGCTTTTTTGAAGCGATTATCCGGAGTTTAGTTGGTATTATCACTAACACCAGTGCGAAGCTGTGTCTGGCCATGCATTTCTGCCCGCGAACGTTTCCTGCACCCTTTCAAGCTCATGATCAACATGGATAAGTCCCCACGGGCCACTTGTCCCTCAATACAGGGAGGGCAGTCGTGGGCAGTCGCTACGGCTTCACCGTGGTGCTATGACATGTTGCGGTTATCGGCGCAGGCCAATTGAACTTTGGATATTGCCTCAATAAACAGCCGCATCCCTCGTCTTCTGGCCCAAAGGGAACTCAAGCGCCAAGACCTTCCAACGTTGCCTTTACAGGGGCGGCGAAGGCCATGTCCTTGAGCGGCCATGTCTGCGAGATTGTCATGTGGGGCCGCATTCGTCCTTGAGCGATAAGAAGCGCATGAGCGCCACAGGGGGATCAAGTCATGTCCCGCCGAACGTCATGGCGTCCACATCTGGGGGAGCTGCTGCTGCTGCGGCATTTCCGGGTTATGCTTTCTAGGGAAGACGCCTCTGAACAGAGATAAACAGGTATGCAAACCTCGCTTGCCCGTTAGTTGCTACCTTCGGCGTCCATGTGGTGTCTTGCGTCATGGCGCTCAAGGCCACCATGGCTTTGGCCTCCTCGGGGCGGAGCGCCGAAGTGCTATCCCGACCTCGGCCTTGTCAACGTGAGAGGTCCTGCTCTGTGTACCGGTATTGCCGATGACCTGGTTAGACGACACGAGACGCCACTGATCTGAGAGATAGCGGGCAAGGGTTTTGTCGTCGGAGGAGAGAGGCATCATCGGGGGTCCTGTGGTGGCTCCCGATGAGATACGCTCTATAAGTCGAGAGTGACTGCAAAAGCAACTCCCCCATCCCTCAACAATCTAACAATCTACCCCTCGAACGATGCGCACCAGCATCGCCTTTGCCATCCTTGGCCTCTTGGGCTCCGCTCTGGCGGCGCCCATGCCCAAGGCCGACTGGGTCAAGAAGCCCGGCTATCGCCCCAAGATGCACCAGCCCAGCCGCCGTGCTCTGTATGTCGACCAGGTCGCCGAGACCACCACCTACCCGACCACCACAGCGCCCAAGGAGAACCCATGGCTGTACTTGTCCAACGATGAGGCTGCCGCAGTCATCCTGTATCTCCACGACCAGGATGTTCTCAACCTCACGGCCGTCGACGACGCCGGCGCTTGGGACAACTCCATCCTCGTGGTCGACGTTTCGCCTCCCAAGAAGGCTGACGTCAAGGCGTACTTTGACGGCAACGGCACCAAGCCTGAGCGCTATGCCGTCGCATCGCTCATGTTTGGTGCCACCGAAGAGCCATTTGTCCAGGACTTCCTGGTTGGCCCACTTCCCATTACAAACGCCACGACGTTTGTGCCCGATACCGGCTCCAACACCGCCGCCAATGCCTCAATTCGCGTGTACGACGCCGACGCCTCGTACGACTACTACTCGGACGTTGCCTGGGGCATGGCGGACATTGTGTCAGACCTCCTGAATGTCACCATGGACACCGAGGACGACCTGAACGACATCTTCTCCATCTGGGGTATCGACCCGTGAGTAGACCTTGTTTTCATTGATGCCATGACTGACACCTCGCTCAGTCTGTGGAGGGAGACGGTCGACGGCGAGGAGCGTGTCATTAGCTGGGTTCAGTTCTGGCTCAACGAGCCTGAAATCACCGCCGACGACGGCACCCAGGTGACCTTTGACGGCCAGACCCTCACCCCGCAAGGTCTCTACCTCAAGTTTGACATTACTGGCCGTGACTCGTCTCTCTGGAGTCTCAAGGGCATTCTGTACGCCGACGAGTTTTACGAGACCGAGGACGAATTCCGCGCCGCGTGGTCTGCACCGGGGTTCAACAAGCTCATTCCCAACTATGCGGGCGAGTGGCTCGGCACCGACAAAGTCCCCAACGTCACTCTCCCGCTCGAGACACTTCCCCCACCCATGCAGGTCCAGCCTGCCGGCCAGCGGTTCTACATTGACCCCGACCAAAAGTACGTCGAATGGATGGGCTTCACCTTCTACCTCTCCTTCACACGCGACACTGGTATGAGCCTTTACGACATCAACTTCCAAGGCGACCGCATCATCTACGAGCTGGGCATGCAGGAGGCTGTGGCCCACTACGCAGGCAACGACCCTGTCCAGTCGGGCACTGCATACTTGGACTCCTACGTAAGTGCCACCATCCTTTGGCCACAGTCGCTGATACAAACCGTTTAGTACGGCTTTGGCATGTACACTGTCACCCAGGTGCCCGGCTTCGACATGCCCACGTACGGCACCTGCCTCGACTCGAATGTCCACGCAAGTGAGGTTTCCAAGCAGCACCCCTGTGCAATCAGTATCTTCGAGTCGGACGCGGGTTATGCCCTCCAGCGTCACTCGACCTCGAGCTACGTCTCCACTACCAAGAACATTGCTCTCGTGGTCCGCTCGGTCGCCACCGTCGGCAACTATGACTACACCACCAGCTACTCGTTCTTCCTGGACGGCACCATCGAGGTCATGATCCAGGCCTCGGGCTACATCCAGTCGGCATACTACTATGCCAACGAGGGCTACGGCTACAAGATCCATGACAACCTCAGTGGCTCGATGCACGACCACTCGCTCAACTACAAGGTCGACTTTGACATTCTCGGCGGCAAGAACACAATGATCAAGCACTCGGTCGAGCCCGTGACCAAGGCGTTCAAGTGGTCAAACGGCGTCGAGCGCAACACGATGCACATTGTCGAAAAGGAGATTGTCAACGAGGACCACGGCAAGCAGTTCTGGGGTGCCAACGGCAAGGACCACGTGATCGTCGTCAACAAGGACACCCCGAACAAGTATGGCGAGTACAGGGGCTACAGGATGTCGCCATCCAAGGGAGGTGCCGGTATGCACGTCACCATCGCAAACTCTACCAACCTCGCCAACGCCGGAGGCTTCACCACCCATGCGTACTATGTGACCAAGCACCACGACTCGGAGACACGCGCCGCCTCGGCCTGGAGCGACTACGACCCATGGAACCCCATGCGCGACTTCAACACCTACTTTGACGGCGAGGACATTGAGCAAGAAGACATTGTCGTCTGGTTCAACCTGGGAATGCATCACGTCCCCCACACCGGCGACATCCCCAATACTGTGATGACGACGGCGCAGTCGGCCATGCTCCTCACCCCCAACAACTATTTCCTCAGCGACCCCTCCCGCCAGGTCACCAACATGATGCGCATCAACTATGGCGCGGACAACGTCAGTACGGTGGACACGTTTGGTTCCGTTGCTCCCAACGGCACGATCAACCTGGAGAACAACCTGTGGGACCCCTACACGTACTCGGGCGACGTTGCAGTTCGCAAGTTCCCGTACGACCCCACAAACCCTTACAACGACACCGAGTCGATTGTGTGAGGAGCAAGGGAACGGGATCGACGAGACCCCAGCCGCTGCAAAGGTGGAATATTCAGGCCTAACAGTGGCCTGAGCACGGCCATAGGGAGTCTCTGTTAATGGGTAATGGAGCGAGGAATGGGGTAATGGTAGTCCAAATAGTTAATAGGGCGCAATGCCACGAATGTTGAGCCAAAAGTGGAAAATAAAGAAAAAATGACCGAAAAATGGCCCTCCCGCACTCTCGCTCCCACCTCCTTCCACCATCCTCACCTTACTTGCTTCTGTTTTAAATAGAACCTCGTACACCTGCGCACAGCGCCAACACCCTAATACACACTGCAGCCCTTAGCCTGTCGAGGACACGTCCTGATTAGGAGGTATCAGTACACTGGAAACCATTTACGTAATGGCCGCTTAGCTCAGCTGGTTAGAGCATCGTACTAATACCCAGCCTTGGTTACTAGTCCATGCGGAGGTCGGCAGTTCGATCCTGTCAGTGGTCAGCGCAAGATGCGAGTCTTGTGGATTCCTTTTTCCTTGTCCATACTGCCAACTGGAGGGCAGCGACAAGTGCAGGAGATTGCAGTGGCAGCCACATGGGTGTCACTTGGGGGCGCGTGCGGAGTCTTTTTTCCGCAATTTTGTTTCCGTGGTCGCGATGTGGGTCGTCGCGCAATGAGTGCCTCCACCCATTGCATCTCCTGTTGTCCTCCGTGATCAGTGATCGCTCATCGTCTCTCCACACCTATTACTTGACATGTCCGCCCTACTGTATGTGCGAGGGTCGCGATCCCTTAGCACGTCTGCGGCTCGACTGTCCCCCGCTATCCCGACTCTTATCGCCTCCGCCTCCACCACCGAAGCCAGTCCGAAGCGCTCTGTTGCCGTCGACTCGAATGCCTCTCCCTCCTCCTCCTCTGCGCCAGCTGCGTCGCCTGGCGCTTCAGATGCCGCCCCGAACACTGCAGCAAAGAAATACACGCGTGGTACATTGTATGGTACCACGCAAGAGCCTGCCAAGGACTCGCCTGCGCGCAGCACGACAGAGGGCCTGGGGCTCTTGTCGCTTGCCCTCAAGGAGCGCAAGGCGGCACGCGACGAGAGACATCTTCGCAGCATTGCGCTCGCCAAGACCGAGCTCTACGTTCCGGCGCCAAAGGTGTACACCCAGAAGGGTCACATGGCCGGTATCCTCGCGCAGTACGAGGAGCAGAACCGCACTGCTACTACGTCGTCGACCGAGTCAGCTGTGCCGACCGTCGCACCCACCTCCACGATTGCACCTGCTGCCGCACGTGAGCCCATTCCGAAATTGGAACGATTGGCAACTCCCCCGACTCCCCCGACAGAAGAGCCTAGGGCGCCGTCAACCAGGGAGGCGATCATCCAGTCTGCCATGTCGCCGCTGATGGACGACCTGGCGGACCCATCCGAGTCGCCCTCGACCAACGACACCGAGGAGCAGCGAGGACCTGCGCTCAAGGAACTTGAAGAGCTCTCGGACGAGGACTTTGAGGCTGCGTTTGCCAGTTTCGAGTCGTTGGTGGTCCGTGACCGTGTACTGGGTCCCGACGTGGATGAGGATCCCAAGGCCGCAGCGGCAGCGATCCGCAAGACAGTGCTGGCCAGGCGAAAGGCCTCGCGGGAACGCTCCTGCCAGCGCCGCGTCAAGAAGGAAGCCGCACAGCGAGCAGAGGGCAAACATGGAGCTAAACCTGAAAAGAAAGCACTCGCCAACGCCAGAAACGCTAAAGCGAATGTCGTGAGCGCCGTTCCCGTCAGCCAAGAAGTTATCGATCTCAACGTCCCCGACGAGCGCGCCAAGGAGGCCATCCCGTCAAGAAACTGGGCTGCGCTCATGACAAAACACGATAACGCGGAACTGTCACCCCCATTGGCGCAGGCCACAAATCCTGACAGTCCTGCTGCCACCAACGAGACGACGGAGGCACCGGCGGCGCTCGAGAGCTTGGCGGCAGCTTCCGAGAGCACACCACGGAATGGGACTAGGCTCGCTACGAAGGCATTTAAGCAGCCCTCTGGACACGTTGTGGGACTCGCGAGAAACGTAACCGAAAGCAACGCCAACCCTAAGATGACTGGCGGCATTGTTGACCGCAACGATAAGCCCAATGTCAAGCCCGCTAAGCCCGCTGTCGAGCCTGCTGACAACACCTTCCATGGACTGAACCTCAACAAGCTCCCACGGCTCACCGAGCGCAAGGTAAGTCCGTCTCGCGCCGACCACAAATACCAGCTAACGTTTCAGGTGGTCCTCGTCCCCGCCGATTTCAACGAGACAATCTCGGTGGCGCGAGAGCATTGGCATGTCGCCTCGGACCAAGGTTATTTCACTGTGCGTGCCGCCTCGCGCAAAGTTCTCGCCTTTGGCGGTTTGGGCATGAAAGAAGAGGCGCGGACAAAGGCCGAACGTGAAGCGTGGCAAGTGGCCGTCGACGCATTCTTGGCGAGTAAGGCGGCCGGCGAGGTTGTGCTTCCCAAAGTGGTCTCCAAGCAGCCGTTTCGCTTGTTGCTCAGCCAGGTTCCACGGAAATCTCCCGGTAAGGGCGGCAAGGAGGACGACAAGGGTGACGAGGCTGTGACCTCGGCAAGCATGGTTCAATGCTACTTCAGCGCGTCGAAATCGAATGTCTCCAAACTGTCCGTCGAGCGCCGTCATGTGCGTAACCGTTTTATCCAAGCGCTGTACATTGTCGTCAACCACATCGACCCCGAGCTCGTCAATCCCGGTGAGTGGAGGAGGCTCGTCCACTATATGTGGTGCTGACCACGTCTCTCTTAGACTTTACATATGCCTTTGCCCTGAAAGACGGCATCTACGACCTGCCGCCCGCCGACCTCTGCACAAGGATCCATCACCAACTGCAAAAGCTGTCTGCGTTCACAAAGGACTCGAACCGCAGCCCGAGCTTGATTACTGAGGGCTCGACCACGGCCACGTTCTTCTCCAACCTCCGCCGCCGCGGCCCGCATGGACGAAAGAGCGTTGAAGATGGAGGCGACGGAGGAGAAGAAGGGTGGGAGACAGACGTCAAGACACGAGAGCGCCGGGGGTATTTGGGCAAGAGCTTTGACCCGAATTTCAAGCACGTGAGGACCAAGGAGCCACGTTCTCGCGCAAAGGTTCTGTCCGCGATAGAATCCGGGTGTGGGCCGTTTCCCAGCGATACAAGCGACAGTCGTTCGCCCATCTTTATGCGTCTGCTTTTGCAACCAGATGCCCCTCGCTCCGACCCACCGCCTCAGAGTTAGAGGCCTGCCGCCAAACTAGGACCAAGCACGAAAGCGAGCGTCACAGAAATCTGGCCTGGTCATTGCTTTCGAACCCCCCACACACACACACACACACACAACACACACATATTACAACCAGAGACATCATATGCATAGGCTTCGCTGAGTGCGTGGGCGCGTCCTCTTCGCTTTCCGAGGCAAGCATGAGCTCTGTGTAAAACTAACCCGTTTCGAAAAACGTGGCTTTTTCTAATCTATGGGTTCTTTAGACACGAGGCAGAAAAGAGCGCGGGGGCCGGGCATGTTAGAACTGAGGAGAAGTGAGTCAGCAAAACGCGCGCGAGTTGAGAGGTTCGGTAGCAGGGCTCTCACCTTTGACAAGTCGCGGCCAAAGATACCGCGCTTGATCCAGTCGAGCATGAGCATGAAGCGCGTGCGCCAGCTCGTCTGCTCGCCCCAGTACACCGAGCGCCAGGCGTACATGCCCAGCAGGCCGCCTGCGATCGAGTAGCCATAGTAGTCAAACACGGCCGAGTTGCCAATGTACGCCAGGCTGCCGAGGTGGTGGTACTTGAAGGGCGAGTAGTATGCCTCGTCGTCGACGTTTTCGATGCCGTTGGCCTTGAGCGTCTCGTACTCGTTGGCGAGCTTGGAGAACATGTGGCCCAGGTACTCGCCTTGCTGGGACGCGACTTGGGCCGTGGCCGGCAAGGTGGTGAGGTTTTTAGTGATGCCCAGGAACATTTCAGCCACCTCGTTGAGGGACAGGTTGCCGTCGTTGTCCTTGTCATACTTCTTGAAGATGTCGCCAATTTCCTCGAGGGAGGTCTCGGCCAGCGGGAACTTCTTCTTGAGGTGCTTGGCAAGGAGCTGCCACTCGTCGCGGTCAAGCTTGTCGTCCTTGTTGGCGTCAAACTTCTCCCAGAGGACAAGGAGGTTGTTGAGAATGTCCAGGTGGATGGTGGACGCATCGCCAATGGCGTAGACGGTGCCCTTGGGCGAGCCCTCGACGCGGAGGTGGGCGTCGACCTGGACGGCCTTGGAGTGGAACTGGTTAGGAAGCTGCTCGGTCATGCGCTGCGTGAACGGCTGCATGGCAATACCGGTCGACCACAGGGTAAAGCCCGAGGGAATCTCCTTGGTCTCCGTCTTGCCGTCGTCGTTCTTGATCGTCAAAATGACAGAGTTGGGAGTCACCTCGGCGACGCGTGCGTTGGTGATGACCTTGACGTCGGTACGCCCAAAGCGCTGCTCGGCATAGTTGGAGATCTTTTCAGAGTACGTGTTGAGAATGTGGTCGCGGCTCTGGACAATCGAGACGGTGACCTCGTTCTTGAGCGTCTTGGGGTAAAAGTCGAGCACGTCTTCGTTGAGCATGTCCGAGAGCTCGGCGGCAAACTCGACACCGGTAGGGCCGCCACCGCAGACGACAAACGAGAGTAGGACCTTGCGTTCCTCGGGTGTGGTGGTAGGCAGAGTTGCGGCTTCGAGGTTGCCTGCGCCACGGGTTAGCTTAGCTACGGACCACGAGCGAAAAGATGAACCCACTCATAATCTTGCGGCGAATAGCCTGGGCGTCGGGAATGCGCTTGAGCTGGTAACAGTTGTCGAGACCCTTGACACCGTGGTCGTTGCTACGCGATCCGACGGCGACAACGACCTTGTCGTAAGGGACATAGGCGCGAGTGGCTTCTCCGCCAGTCTGGCTGGGAATCTCGACCTCGACCAGGCGGTTGGCCATGTCAATGTCGACGGCCGAGCCGTGCAGGTAGTGGCCACGGACACGGGCAATGAGGCGACGAAGGGGCTCGACAAGGGAACGGGGCTCGACAGTGCCGACACAAGCGGAGGGCAGGAGAGGCGTAAAGACAAAGTAGTTTTCAGGAGCAATGACTGTGACGTTGTAGTATGAAGTGGGGAGCGTCTTGAGGACTGCCACGGCCTAAGAGCGCTGGTCAGCAAGAGGTGATGTTGGGTCTGCAATCCAGTCTGTCACTCACGCCCCAGCCACCACCGACGATCACGAGGCGTGGCTTGCCGCTCATGGCCTTCTTCTCGTCGTCTTCCGCATCGTCGAGGTTCTCCTCAATGATGGGCAGGTTCTTGGGTCCGCCCTTGCGAGGGTGGAGACTCAAGGGGTTACAGGGGACGCGGTCGACGTGGCGCTCGTTATAGGTAGACATGTCGTGGAGGAGGATGGCGCCCAGCAGGATTGTGAGACCGAGAGTGAACGAAATGGCGAGACGCGAGCAACCGGCGATCCAAGGGTGGTTCTTGGCCCAAACAGGGTTGAGAAAGCCGTTTTCGGCATACGACCATTTGTTGCGCGTTTGCGAGAGAATGACAGAGGGGGACTTGCTGTTGTTGGTATCGTTGGAATTGGGTGTGGGCCGGCGAGATTGGAAGACGGTCGGGGGGAGGCGACTAGAGGTGGAAGACGTCGATGCAAAGCCGCGGCTGGCGGCAGCCAAGTAGAGGGCCGGGGACGCGATTGCAGCCGTGCCTAAACGGCCTGCAAGCACCCCAGTGCGTGCCAGGCCGAGAGCACCGATAGTGGTGCGCGACAGCATCCTGGAGGTGAGTGGGTGAGCGGTGTTTGAGAGAGAGGATGGAATGTGGGATGAGTGAGACAAACCAAGAGCATGATAGACGACGTGATCGACGCCGCCGAACCACGTCTCTTTTGCGCAGGCGTGCGCGCGGGTGGTCGACGCGGCGCCTCGTACGTCATTTCGCGGCCACAAGTGTGTGCGGCAGCCGCGGCCGTTGCCGCACAGCCTTATTTGGTCCCCCCGGAGAGCGACAGAGTGGGGAAAGCTGTTAGTGAAAATTAGTGGTATAGTGGCCAAGTCCTCTCAAGCTCTCACACGATTTTGCATGTGGCCGTGTTACCGTACAGAGTCGGTGCGGTGGCGCGGAGCATACATACACCCCTGCACTGCACAGAGGGATGTGGTGGGTGTGGTGACGAGCTAGCCGAGCAGCAACCTTGGCAGTGCTATTCTGGGAGACCCATTAGAAACACATGTGCTTCCGCTAATGCACATTTCTAATACCTCCACCCCGGACGTTAATGGGGCATCGCTGGGTCCACGCAGTTCACGGTTTATACCTGGTCGTTTCCTCCTTGTTCTGTCGTGTCGAGACAGGCAGAGCGAGCTGCGAGGAGTGACAGCAGCAGGAGGAGTGGGAACTGCGAGAGCTGCGAGAACCGTGTTCCTCTCTGTTCTTTCTCTCTGTTGGCGGCCGTCTCTTTGTGAGTATCGCGCATCTCCGGCTTCTGCGCCACTCCCCTGGCATTGCCATCTTTCTCATCTCCACATCCATCTCCTGCATCTTCGCATCTGTGCATCCATCTCGCCCCATAGCAAACCAAAGCACACACCATATCAAGCTGTAGCATCTCACCGCCTCGGCCATCACCCCCCTGTCCCCCCCGGTCTCCCGTGCCTCCGATAAACTCCCCAGTATCGTCTTCCGCTGGCCCAGTCGTTAAAACCATCGCGCCCAACCAGGCAACCGTCTCCTCGCCCACTTCCATTCACCCACTACCACCATGTACATCCCCATCGTATCGTCGTGCGTTCCCCCCGCCACCCCGGGACCACACAAGAACACGGGCTACGCGTTTGTCCGCGCACCAGCGTCCCAACCGCTCGCGCTGCCTTTCCCGAAACGACAGGACGGTTCGCCAGTCCTCAACCTCGATGAAGTGCATTTCTCAGTCTACTACCCGACGAGCGAGCACCGTGCTGCCCGCGCACCCACAGTACAGTGGATGCCCAAGCCCGTGGGCGCCGTCCTCGACGGCTATGCGGCCTACTTTGGCGGCTGGGGGCCCAAGATTCTGTGTACGTTGGACAGACACCAGCACCGCCGGCGTCTGAGAAGGACGGTCGCTCCGTCCAGTGTGGCGATGTCGTGTCGCCCAGCAAGATCTCGTGTGCTGACCATTGTCTCACAGTCTCTTGTTTGAAACCGTTTGCAGCGCGCTTCCAGGTGAGTCGCGGTCACGAAAATAGACACAACTTGCGTGTCCCTCGTGCGAGCTGAGCGAATGAACATGAACATACAGTCTGACCGTCCAACAGATCCCCCTCACGCCCAACGCGCCGCTGCTGAATCGGGGGGACAAGTACCCGCTCGTCATTCTCTCGCACGGTCTCTCGGGCACGCGCAACACATACAGGTAAGCTAGGTTGTGCTTTGCAACTCGAAAGCTAACGTACAGCCAATTCTGCCAAGCTCTGGCGTCTGAAGGGTACATTGTCCTCGCTATCGAACACCGTGACGGCTCAGGACCCATGTTTGTGACTACCCCGGAGGGAAGCAGTGGAGACACGGGCAAGGTGACAGGCTATGCTGCCAACCACCTTTTGCAGTGGCAAGGCGAGCGCCCCGAGATGCTCCGCCTGCGCGGTCTGCAGCTCGACTTTCGCGTTCGCGAAGTCTACGAGGTCTACGCCGCCTTCACCGCCATGCAGGCCGGCAAGTCGAAAGCGCGCGTCGAGGGCATGACGGACCAGGAGCGGATCGGTTTCTTCCAGAGCTTGGGCGAGCATGTCGACGCCAGTGATCTCCAGATGACCGGCCACTCGATGGGCGGCGGCACGACCATCCGCCTCCTCCAGACGGCCCCGCCAGATGGGTTCGACGCACTGCCTCTCAAACACGCCGTGACGCTCGACCCGTGGCTCCTGCCCTTCCCGCACGCCGACTCGATGCCCGACGCCAAGATGCCCCCTCCCCCGCTGCTCTCCATCAACTCGCAAGGGTACTCGGAATGGCAGCCCCACTTCCACGACGTCGTCAACGTGTCGCGCGACCTGGGCGGATCGCTCGTCACCATCATCGGCATCAACCACGAAGGCTTCTCAGACGAACACGTCATTGCCAGCTTGCGGTACACCCGCGCCCAGGACCTGCTGAGCACGATCCACAAGCTCACCATGGCGAACTTTACAGACAGCGTCGCAGACTCGCCTCTTGTGAGAACCCACGAGCCCGACGAGGGCAACTGGCCAGCAAAGGACAGGGCCCACAAGAAGATGCGCGGGTCGTTTGGCGATGTCATTGTGCACCTCGTCTAAGCCTGCGATCTTGCCACAGACCCGCGACCCAGGCCAGCCCCATCACCTCGCCGTGTCGGCCATATCAACATCTCCGCATACACACACAGACATTACCGCCCCCAAACTTATTTCTGCTCGTCACCCGGCCGACTCTCTTGCACTTTATTCCTGTTGTCCCCCCACCCCCACATCCCCACGCCCCATTGTAGCGCTCTGCCTGTGTCCGCGATATGCATGTTGCCTAGATTTCCACCTGCAGTGCGGCGAGGAGCACGTTCTCAATGGCTTGTGGACGGCTCAGGGTTATTCATTCAAGTTGGTCCCAACTGCCTCCTCTGAGCCTCACCCACTTGACCAACGCCTCTGCAGTGTTTGCCAGCTGCAGACACAGCATGGGTGCAGTTCTTCACATGGGGTTGCCTACACACACTAGCTACAGGTGCCTTTGGGCGACGGGGAGTAGGAGGAGGGATGGAGCGGGTACCATGCCGTCTGACTCGCGTTGGGCTTCTTCCAACTGTCCTTTGTTGTGCTCTTCTTACGTGTCACTTCTGACTCTCATTCTCACGCTGGATCTCCGTCTTTCACTCGTTCACTCTTCACACACACACATGCTCACCGCCTTCCACCGCTCATGCCCGTCCACACAGCCCTGGACGGAGCCCTCGAGACAGCCCTCGGGCCCTCGCTCCACGCCAGCGACGGCCGCGTACGGGTATACCTCACAGGCCCACGACCGCTGTTCTGGCTCCAGCCGCGCTGGTCTTGCCCATCCCTGTCCCTCTCTCTGTCCCTCTCGGTCCACGGGCGGAGCGGGGCGCCATTCACGTACCTCGCGTTGTGGTCTGGTAGCGGGGGGCGGTCGTACGGCGCTGCGCGCGGCGGGAGGAGACGCTCGCGGCCGGGCTCGCGCGTGCGGTCGACGAGCGACGATGCACGGGGGTCACGCGGGTCCGTGAGGCGTGCCGCCAGCCCGCCAGTCGGGGGTGGCGGGCGCGCAGGCAGGCCGCCGACGGGGATGAGGTCAAATTGCCAGCCGCCGCCGCCGCCGTTTCCGTCGCCGCTTTTGCTCTCGTGCACGTCGAGCTGGAGGCGGCCGCGGTTCGCGGCCCACGCGCGTTCCTCCTTCTCCAGCAGACCCGGGGCGACGCGCGGGTCGATGAACTGGACCTGGAGCGCGGCACCGGCGCCGCTGCCCTCCGGCCAGACTTGGCCGTGGACGCGCTTGGCGGCCGCGAGGGCAAGCTCGGGCGAGTCGAAGCCGGCATACGCGTGGTCCTTGATGCCTGACAGCCAGAGGCCGGGGAAATCGGCATGGCCAAAGGGAGCGGCTGGGGTCGAGGGCGTGGGCAGCGTCGTGCACTCGAGCAGGGCGTGGAGGGCCGAGTGGAGGAGCGGACGCCGCAGATTGGTGATGTATAGCAGCGAGGTGGGCGGATGGCCGGGCGGGAAGGAAGCGGGCAGCTTGAGAGATGACAGCGCCGGTGCTTGGGTCTTTGGAGGAGACCCGGAGCGGCGAGGAGAGACGCTGCGGGGCAAGGGGGGTGAGGCGACAGCTGTCGCTGTGACAGTACCAGCCGGCTGCGCGGACGTCTTCACGGGAGGTGTGGGTGGCCTGTCAACAGGGAGACGGGGCGGGCTCGGCGAGCGCGGTGCTGGCTCAGAGACGCGCGGCACAGAAAAGGGCTCGTTTGGGCCATTATCCACTTCAATGCCCACGACAGCGGTCGGTAACGGCGACGGTGCGCGTGGGGGCGTCAAGGGCGCGGTTGGAAGCGGCGACACAGGCTGCTGAGCAGGCGGCTGCTCCACGACAGGTTCAGGCTCAGCAGGAGGCTCAGGCTGCACAGGGGTCTCGGGTGGGATGACGGTGGGGGATGGAGCTGTAACCGATGCAGATGTATCGGGGACACCATTGTCGTGTCCGAGGCCATGAGCGTCCTGGTTGGCAGAGTCGTCCAAGAATGCCTGGAGCCGGTCCGCCAACTGCGTGGTGGGTTAGGGACACCAGATAAGCGAACCCACGCACCTCCTTCTTTAACCCCTTTGTCGAGAGGCCATGCTTGTCCAGCTGTTCCTTGAGTTCTGCGACCTTGAGCTTGCCGACGTTGATGGATGTGGTTGCCATGGTGGATGTGACAACGGCAACAACAAAAAGGTGCCCCGCGCCTTCCCTTCAAGCCATCCGCGTGGTGGAGTTGGCCCGTCCCTGGTTCGCGCCGTCATCTCTACTGGCGGCGGATCTTCGTTCACAACCATCTCCTTTTCTCTTTGCCATCGTCCAGTCCATTCCCTCGCACAATGGTGCCCGCAGCACCACCGCCGAGCCAGCTGGCCGTGCCGCCACAGCAGGTTCCCACCACATCACGGCGCAAAGACGCATTCGCAGCTCTGCCAGCCCTCATGTCGCCCGCGAGGCTCACCTCGACTCTTGGCCAAGGACCACTGTCCGCCTCGGCGTCCGCGAGCCCCAGCCCGTCGCCGACGAGCCACCAGCCTTCTCCCAGACCTACACTGTCGCTCGACGTGCGTGATCCCCGTGCCGGCGCGACAGAGAAGCGCCTGCCGTCCCTGCCGTCTCCAGGTCGCGCGGCGAGCGTCAAGGGCTGGGCGTTGGGTGCGTACGACAACAAGCTCGTGTCCTCGACGCTCTCGCAGCTGCCCCCGCTGCCCCCGCTTTCCCCAGGCGGTATGAGCAGCACAGGATCAAACATCTCGGGTTTTTCTGGCCCCAGCTTCTCAGGCATGGGACAAGCACACCACCTCGGCACGTCACCAAACTACGGCGCGTCGAGCCTGAGCCTGAGCAGCATGCACCCGCCTATCCCACGGACACGCACCTCGTCCAACCCGGGCGCTGGTATCCTCGTCTTGCCAGATGGCACAAAGCTCGCCACCTCGGGCGACCCCTTGTCGCAGGCCCCGACCAACATGCACCAGACAATGGCCCACTCGTCGCCCAACTCGCCCTGGTCGCTGCTCACCGTCCACGTCCTGCCGGTGTTTGCGGGCAGTCCGCTCAAGACACCACTCGAGGACCTGAACCAGCTGTGCAACTCACACATTATGGCCACTAGCCAGCGCGTGCCCGCGTCCAGGCTCGTGGCAGTGTTCACCTCCGACTTGCGCGAGTTTATTGCATCGGGCATGCTCACTCTCAAGGCCAAGTTTGAGACGCTGGAAGAAGCAAAGGTGGTTGCGCGGGCGGCCGAAGTGTGGAACTTCTTCTGGGGCCAGATCCTGCCCTATGTCGAAGGTGTGTTCCTCCCCTTTTCCCAAGTACGCGATGTGCCCTCGACTTCTTCAGCGAGGACGGCAGCTCCGCCCATCGTGCCCTCGACACCCATTCCCGTCCGCCAGATCCTTCTCTCCGGCTTTCTGCTCCACATTCTTCTCCCCCTCCTCCCTCGCCTCATCCCCCTCCTCTCCGACTATCCTGGGTCCTATGCTGCGGGCGGCCAACGCCAGCCACAGCAGCAAAGAGGCGCGACGGAGCTGCCTCGTCTTCTCCAAATGTCCCTTGTGCTCGCCACACAGGCGCAGTACTCTGCCTTCTTCCCCGTGCGCGACCTCGCCGAGGCCGAGGCACGCGACGAGGAGACGCGCGAGCACGTCGAGGAGCTCGGGCGCGCTGTCCGCTGGAGCATGGCCGTGGCCTCGGGCGTCGTCGACGAGTTTGGATACACGGCCGACGAGCGGGACGTGCCTCTGGAGTATGGCGGAGACGAGCAGACTGCGGTGGGAGACACAACCGCCGCCGCCGCCAGGCCGGGACTGAAGCGCGGGCCGTCGGTCTCGCAGGCTGGCCGGCTGCGCCCGCGCGCGAGGACCCTCATCAACGACGAAGCCGCCAACGGCTCCAGCCAAGGCCAACCGCAAGCGCAAGGACAGACGTACAATGCGCGCTGGGGACGCCCGCGGATCGACGAAGACGACGAGGACGCCGAGAGCACGCTCAACACCAACGGCCAGATGTTTGCGCGTCCCACCGGTACCCTGGGCGCAACGCTGGGTGCAGGGGGCACCATCTCTGCGGCCACGAGCGTCGCGCCGAGTACTGTGCGCGGCGGCGAGAGCCTGGCGACCATCACCGACCAGAGGACACCTGTGGGAGCTGCACCCGGACCCGGTGCGGGTGGGGAGTACAGGCGGCGACATGACAGGACGTACTCGTCCGGCGAGAGCGACCTGACGACTGCGAGCAGCATGCTCAGCTGGGGTGCGCCCAGGAAGAAGTGAGCCTGAGAGTCTGATATCTACGCTGTTGACCTGGGAGGTTTCCGCGCACACAGCGCACACCACACACTGCACGAGCTAGACTATGTTGTTGTATGCATACCGTTCGTATCCTGTCTACGTCTCCTCAATGACGCTGCGCGCCTCTCTGCTCCACTCGCCCTCGCCTACTCGTCGTTCTCAGGCTGCTCCTCGTCGAGGATTCGGACCAGCCGGACCCAGAGCTCTGTCGAGTCGTCGCCGCGCAGCGTGTCGGACAGGAACCGCGTCTCGACCTGCATCTGGATCTGGAGAGGGTGTTAGCTGAGGCTCTAAACGCGGCTACGCAGCTAGACTTGACGGAGGCAGCACTTGGCCTCCCTATGCTCCTCTCCCCCAACCACTCACCATCTCGAGCGCACCCCGCACCACACCGGCATACACATTCGAGAACCACAGGCCGCCCTCCCGTGCGTCGCGCGGCAGCTCTGCAAACTCGGCCAGGGGGTTCTCCTCGAACGTGAGCACAAACTCGGTCGCCGTGGCCGGGACGGGGACAGCGGCGGCACCCGCGCCGGCGCCCACGCCCGCCGCAGACGGTGCGGGCGGGGGGAACGAGACGGTCGGGGCAATGTTGAGGAAGGCGCGGAAGGCCACTTTGGCGACGACCTCGGCCGTCTCGGCGAACGTGTTGCACCGCTGCAGTCCTGTGCGCGCGAGGAAGTCCTCGACGAGGCGCGTGCCCATGTTGTATCCCCTGCGACTGGTTAGTGGGAGAAAGGTAGAGACGGAGGGAGCGCGGACGCGGGCGTACATCTTCTCGAGCTGCTTGTTCACCTCGCCGTAGTCTTCGTAGTCCTGGGATGGTCAGCGAGGGCACCACCGGTGGGTGTGAATGAGCGGGCATACCTTGATGAGCTGGACGACGAGGGCGCCGTACGTGAGCGAGAAGAGCTCGGCGTTCTGTATCGTTAGCTACGCGATGGTGCGTCGCCAGCCAGCAATGGTGACACTCACGACCTTGTCGGCGCGCTTCCACACATCCTCCTGCAAGGGTCAGCTGATGCCTATACAGAACAACACAGTTGACAGTGACTTACGCCGATAGTCTTGTACTGCTTTCCTGGTGCGGACATGGTCGGTGTGGTGGTTGGTTGGAACGATGAACAAGGTCAAAACGCGTCACCCGACAACATGGACGGCGTGGCGCGCGACATGGTGATTAGAAAGAGACATCTAATGGTCATTTCAAAAGCATCGGCCTGTTTTCTAATTCCCAAACTGACATTTCCTAATAGGCTCCGCTGACCCAAATGACGCACTGTGGAGATTTTGGCGACGGTCAACAACCATCGACAAAACCACCACAAAACAACATCTCTCTCTCTCTCCCTCGTGTCACCATCAACAATGGACACGGCCAACGCCCAAGCCGGGCCCTCGACTACCACCCGCAAACCCCGCGGCCCCCATCCCTCGCCCACCACCCCGCGTCCGACCGCACGCAAACTCCGACCACCACCGCCCGCGCCCACCGGCCCATCACGGGGCAGCAGGCGCCCACCACCCACGCTCCCGCTCAAGGTGCTGCAAGGCGCCGGCGTCCGGCGCACAGACACGCAGCATGCGGGCAACTACAGCCGCGCGACCGTGTTCGTCACGCGCAAGACTGGCCTGGCCGCGCTCCTGGCCCGGGCGCGCAAGCTGGTCATGGACGAGGGGTGCGTAGCGAGCCACTGTCGGACATGGCCCTCCTCTTCTCACAGCCACAGCTGGGGCACCCCGTACCCCGTCTCGGAGACGTAGCTGACATGCATCTCAGATACACCCATGTCACTCTGTACGCCCTCGGCGCGGCCATCCCGCACGCCCTGCTGCTGCTGCACGCGCTCCTCGACGTCCTGCCGTACCCCCTCGGTCACAATGGCGTGTGGTACGAGATCAAGACGGACAGCGTCGACTGCGTAGACGAGGTCGCTGGCAACGACAACGACGTCGAAGGCGGTGACGACGACGAGGGTGAGGACGAGTTTGCCGGTCTCGGCGCGATCGAGGAGGCGGCCCCGCAGCGCAAAGTCCGCACCAAGGGGAGTATCTCCGTCGACATCCACATCGCGCCCAAGAAGAAGGTCAAGGCCGCACAGCAGGCGGTACAGATGTCCACTACACGGGCGGCGGCGGCGACGGGGGGCAAGAAGCGCAAGGGCGAGGTGCCCAAGGCGCGCCCCAGTGCTCGGAAGCGCAGGGCCATCAAGGCCGCCGAGAAGGACAAGGAGAAGGAGGCCGGCAACGACGGTGACATGGGGTCAGGCTCGGGCTCGGGCGCCGCATCGGCATTGGCAGGTGCGCTGTCGTCTGGGTCTGGGTCTGGGCTGTACGCTGCGAGCGAGGAGGACGCGATGAACGCCGTCAACGACGACTGGGATGAGGAGGCGATGATGAACGCGTGACCGTGTGTCTGTGAGTTGACCATCGCCAATGGGAGCCACAACTGACAGTGACACAGTAACCGTACTGTACATATGTTTACAGGCAGTACTACATGGATATGTAACAACTACAGCCCTTGCCTCGGCGTTACGAGGGCCGTTACTAGCCGATTCTGACTTCTGACTATTCTTCTGACTTTTGAGTTCCCCTATTACTAATCGCGGTTCTCCCCTCTTTGGTGATGCGTGGTGGAAGTGAAGTGTTCAAGCGGAAGAGTCCCGGGGCTAACAACCTGTCCGCGTCAGCTCATGTTTCAAGAGACGCAGACGGGGGGCAGGTTCGAGGGAAGGAGGACTTGATGGTAACTCACTTGACGCTGCCCCGGGTGGATTCCTCTAGTGGTTTCTCGGGATGGTCCCGAAAGACGTGGACGTGGACGTGGTGGACATGGAGGTGGGTCGTGGATGTGGGTCGTGCGTGAGTCGTGACCGTGGGACCATGAGGTGAATGGGCTGAGATATGAGAAGATCGTAGGTGTGTGGCACGTTCGCAGCGCAGGTTGACGAGGGCACAAGGCACACTTGGCGACGTTGCGCGCGCCCAAAAAGGAGACGTGGGATCGAGGGCCCGGCGTGCATGGGACGCGACAGCTGTGCTGCGCTTGGCGTAGTGGAGTTGACGGGCAATGTGGATGCAACCAGGCGGGGGTGCGGGGGATACGGGTGCTTGAGAGTGTCTGAGACAAATGCAAGTGGTATTCAAACGATAGGGTTGGCGGCGGAAACGGTGTTTGAGGGCGGTTTACGGTTTGTTGTCCAACACCGACTTCAGTGGTCCAACACCGACAACGGTCCAACACCGACTTCAACGCTTCCCACCACGGTGACTAGCGACCAAAGCGCCGGGCTGCTGTGCTGTCCACGCCATCATGATCACGGCCTGGTCGGCCGGCGCGAGAAACGTAAAGTCGAACCCGAGGCCATAGTCGTTGTCGCCCGTTGGGGAGCGTTGGCGGCTGCTGGGTGTACTGGGGCTGTCGGGGTAGCTGCCTTGTTGAGCGAGTGGGGAGGCCGCCACAGGCGATGACAGGGTACGGACTGGCGGGGTGGACGTGCGCTGTGGTGGCATGAGCGCCGTGTCTCGTTCTTGGGCGTGCTCGCGGTGCGCTGGCCCCAGCACCGGCCCTTGCCGCCCTGGTCCCAGTCCGAGCCCGAGTCCATGCGCGCCGTGGCTGTACGGGTGTGCGTGCGGGTGCTCGAGAGGTAGGTTCGAGCACGGGTACAGGTCTGGAGTCTGGAGGACCTCGTCTTGCGAGCAGGACCTCGACGTCGACGCGAACGAAGGTGTTGGCGATGGGCCTGGCCGGACTGGCCGGACTGGCTGGACAGGCCGATCGGAAGCATCACCACAGGCAGCCGCCAGCGGTTGATGTGGGGGTGGTAATGGTGGTACTGCCATCTCCGCCGTCTCCGCCGCTGCCCCACTGAACGGGACAACGAACTGGGACTCTGGGTGGGCTGCGTCGCGAGTGGCAGACGACAGACATACCTCCATAATGGGGGTAGGCGGTAGAGAGTTTTGGAATGAGTTTGTGGCCCAGTCTCGCGTGAGGTGTGGCGACGAGGTAAGTGTGAATTGTAAGAGAGGTTGTGGGAGTCGGGATTGCTGCCAGCTGCTCTGTGGGGTTTAAGGATGGCGAGGAACAGCAGGAATCACCAGATCGAAAGACAAGGGCACCGTGGCTGTTTTGGTGGCGGAGGCGTTAACAGTGGTGGTGGCCGTGGTGGTGGGGATATATGGGGGAGTTGTTGTCGAGGGGTTGAGTGTTGGTGGGTGGGCTGCAACCTTATATCCATGAGGCCTTCCTGGCGGTCCGAGGGCCTGGATCGCCAACGCAACAAGGGGAACAGCAGGGACGCTTCGTGTGCATAGACCCCCCCGTCGTCGTCTTCGTCTTCGTCGGTGCGCGGGGCACGGAGACGAGGCCTCACCGGGGGGGAGAGGGCCCAACGGTATGTGCCGAAAAACCAAAAGAGCCAAGAGATCCCTCTAGCCGCCGGCGCGAGGCCATGCAGCGTTGTGTATTTTGGCTTGGGCTGATGGGAACGAGTCGCCAGTTGCTCGTTTCTCCCGAGGTATGCACGACAATGGTTCAGATCCGGGGGGTCAAGAGGCCCAGATTGCGAGTGCAATGGACGAGGACATGAGAGGGCACAGGGGCACAGGAGGGCGACCAGGAGGGCCGAGAGGGGGAATGTGGACGGAACAGGACACAGTACGTGCGCCAGGAGGGAGGAGGGAGGAGGCGGACGCGAACATGGGGGATTGAGGGGAATTGGGAATGCTGCACATGCTTGCACAGCGCACAAACCTCACACGACACGAGCAAGAGGGGCGAGACAAAACCGGTACATCGGATCACCGGATCACCAGACGTGAGTGAGGACGAGAGAGAGCCTGGTGCTGTCGGACACCGAAAACCATTATCACTTGCATCACTTGATGTTCCATCCGCAGAACACCTGATCAACACATCAACATTCAATGCGACGGAATGTTGCCCATAATAGCCGGGCAGCTGCAGCTGACCTTGGTGACAACTCGCACGCCCGGCCTTACCATCCTCACTTGCAATAAGATGGCCGACATGAACACATTGGTGAACAACTCTCACACTGTACCTGGTGCCAGTCCCCAGGCAGTCCCAAGGTCCACGTACACACCCCTTGGCCCACTTGTGCCGTGGTTGGTGGGGTCCTCGGAAAGCCAGTGTGTGGCATTGGAGATCTATGCCGCAAACCCAAGCCACGCGCCAATGCTGAGACCTGGCAAAACAGATAGCGCGACGTGGAGCGTGGGCTTACACGTTGCTGACAGCACAGTATACGAGGGTGGTGCGTGTTCATACGAGGCCCCAGCTTGTGCTTGCTGGCAAGCGCCAGGCGTGATTCCATTGCTTGGAACCCACATCAAACCGGAACGACAGCAGCAACAGCAAGATGGCGATCACCGTTGCTGCGTGATGCGTGAGGTCCCTCGACAGATCACTAGATCGCCTGTCAGGCCTGTCAGTTATCACATTTGCCATACCCCTCGGCAAAGGACTGCACGTTTTCACTGTTGCACTGCCATACGATCTGACCAGAGCAAGAGTGGGTCGCCGAGCGGCCAGCGGACTGTGTGACACGGCTCGCTCGTGCACAACGCATGTTTCGATGCAGAAGCAGGCGCAGAGGGGGTTCAATCTTGTCCTCTTGTCCTCAATCGTCTCCTCTTGTCTTCCTGTGATCCTGTGATCCTGTGATCCTGTGACGCCGTCCACATCTGCACGCGTAAACATCTAAGGCGCTAAATCTAGACACACTTGACCCCTTGTTTACCATAGATGGCCAGACATGCCACGGCTGCAACCTTGGGTCGTGGAACCAACTGTACAACTGTGAGGCAAAACGAGGGGGAAAGCGCCTTGCCAGGCATTTGGAGATACATCGGAATCAGGTCTTGCCGGCGCTGGCTGTCCGCCACGGCTAGCACCCTTCCTTTTCTTTCTGTGGACCGTGGGTGCCAAATGTGGTCATTTCCTCTGGCTCCGCTGTCCTACACCCGTCGCTTGAAGAAGCAGTACGGCATCCTCGTCGGCGTAGGTGAGGTCTCGGACAAACTGTTGAACAAACGTGCAGAGTGTAGTTCAGAACGGAGCTCTGGCCAGCGATGGTGTGGAATGTTCACTGCAACCGTCTTTGCTCACAGTCATGGGAGGCAATAAAGCGCAACATGCCGTTGCCCCGTAATTCGTAACATTTAGCCTCGGCGTTTCTGGCATTCCGACCCACATGCAGCAGCTACGGCGCACCAGCCCCAGAGCCGTCCAGAATGCAGATATTAGTACAATGTTACGTTCTTGTTAGACAGTAGGGAGTGTCCACATGATGCCCGGAATAGCAACCTCCCTGGTGTGCCGCCACAGCTGATCGGTCACTGCCATGGCCTGGCCACCGTGTTCGTCGCTTCAAGTGACACGGTAAAGCACTCATTTACGAGTCCACGAAGCTGGGAGCATGGACCGTCTTCCGTCCCGTTCTGTTTGTATGGGAAAGAACGTCTTTCCCGCAAGGCCACAAGCCTCCAACACGGCCGTCGTCCCCGTGGTAGATCCCCCAGGAGCCACAGGCATTTGCCAGTGACTAACATATGCCGTTGACCCGAGCGCCGCAGCCGCGATTCCCCACAAAGGCTCTGCTGCAGTTGGGGGTTGTGTTTTTTTCATTTGCCACAGACCAGCACGGAGAAGGCCCCGCCTGGCCACTTGCACACTTGTCTCATGGTCTCTCACCGTTTGGGTAATGGCGCTGTTGTAATAGGATCGCCACCTGTTGTCGTTCACTCAGTGGATCAGTGGCGCCCAGTGGCCAGTGGCCAGTGGACAGATCCAGCAGAGGCCCAATTCTCTGCCGCCTCGGCACACTCCCACAGACCGGTACACCAATCTGACTAACACAGATGAAACCTAAAAGCCCTCCCAGATTCCTCCGCAGAAATCAGGCTCCGAAACAAAGTGTTCAATATACTCTGCGCCTCGCCGCGCTCGCCGCGAGCTACTAGTGCGTTTGGCGGTAACGTCTGTCCGGTGATCCTGCGTGTTTGGCAAGTTTCACAGCCGCATGCAGGCCAGACATCAGGAGATACGTGTGGGAATGGCCAGATCCCAGCGCGCCCAGCGCCACTGGCCACTGGGCGATTGAGCAGCACATGGAATGGAATGCGATCTCGCGAGTTGTGGGTGAATTGCTCGCTTAAAAGAGTGTAAGCCACGTCGTTCAAGGATGTAGAGCAGGACTAACGTTGGGTGATGTAAGTACACTCTCGCCTAAGGGCCTATGGAGCTACGAGCTCTGTGCCCCCCCCCCCCGGATCACCACCACGGCTGTCTGCATTCCAGGTCGACAGCTGTCGCCCTCGTCGGGTTTGAGTTTGTGTTCTCCTAGTCCGAAATCCTTTAGCCCTCACGTTTGGCGTTTTGCACGTCTGGCATGACGCTGGTCGCTGGCCGCTGGAGTCCCGGCCCTCCGTTTGCCACTCACAGGCGGGCGTGGCAGGTCTGTGTTTAGGCATTCATGTCCCGAACTGAGTCCAAGATGTGTTAACCTATGTACCAGGAGGTGCAGCCCCTGCACAAACGCAACTGCAGCCACACACACGCTTGCTCTTTCAGAGTGCATACAGGAGGTCCTCACCATCGACACAAGCAGGTTCTTTTGCCGAACATCCCGACACTCTTGACGAGACGGCCCCGCCCTCTTACTTGGCGACGCTACACCGCACCCAGTTTGTGTAGGTCATGTGTTGAGTTTCAACCCCACCAGATAGACTGCCACTGGCCACTGGAGAGGGCATGAGCGGCAAACACCGTAGATCCGAATCTCGAATCTGAATCTGGATATGTGCAGTGACAGCATGCAGATCAAGTGGCGTGGCCACGTTCGCAACGCGCTACAGATCACAGACCGGCTTGTCGGTACGCTCAGATCCACACTGGATCGAAAACACAGTTGCCTCGAAAACACAGTTGCCAGCAGCTGCCAGGAGGCCTACCCGATCACAGGATCACAGGATCGGTGGGGACGCGTGATCCAACTGGCCATTTTGTTACCCAGTTTGGTTTGTTTGCGGACCATGCCTGCAGTGCAGGTGGTTTGTGTTGACTTGTGATCGCATCGACACATACAATCAGCCCCCCTTCCCCAATACCGACCATGCACACAGTACACTTTCTGGGGCACTGGTCGGGAAGGAAAGCCGTATGTCACCAAGTGGATGGACAGGTGAAAGAGCGTGGACAAGTGGACGGACAGTTTGGGCAGGCAATGTGAAACTCATAACCAATGTGACACGTCGAAGGCGTGCAGCGCAAAAAGGGGTCTGTAGTGTACGCGTGACAAGCTCGAGTGGAACGTTTGAGCTCTGCGACAAGCTCTCAAGTGTGTAAAGAGGAAATCGGACTGCAACGGCAACACAGCAACACAGATGTGCAGATGGCCGCCAGTCACAGAAACAGCGGTTCCTCCAGTGTCAGGTACTGTCGTACTTTGAATTATGTGCAACCCGCCCATGAAGCTGCCAACCCAGCCAGCAGCCTGCTACGGGTCTCTAACCTTTCTGTGAACTAATACGCGTACATCGGTCACTGCTTGAATGCCTACAGAACAACGTTCTTCCTATACCCCCAATGCCCAGATTTTACTTCTCCAGCTGCTCTTTTTTTCAATCTAAGGCAGCAGACCCGCATCCCTCATCTCCTGCACACCCGACTTTGACGCCACCTTGATGCCGGCCTTGGCCTCCTTGTTGTCCAGGAAGAGGTCGGCCTCGCGCTCCGCGTCGTGGTTGTACAGCCAGATCTGGGTCGCGGGGTCGGACCACTGGTTGGTGCAGCGGATGTAGTGGGTGTCGCCGAGGGACGCGGCCATGCCGGCGTCGCGGGCGCGCTGGTCGGGTCCGTCGGGGTAGTGCCAGATGTGGCCGTTGAGCGCCGAGCGCGCCTGGACCTGGTATGCGCGCGTCTTGCGGATGTCCTCGTATGCCTGGGTGAGGGCCGGGATGTCGTTGCGGGTCACGGCGCGAGCGAGACAGCGGCCGAGAGACGCCGCGTCCTCCATGGCCTGGGCGGCGCCTTGCGACATGTATGGCAGCATGGCGTGGCACGCGTCGCCCATGAGGACGTAGTGGCCGTTCGAGTGGCGCCACGTGTCGATGGGAGGGTACGCGAGGAGCTTCCACTTTGTCGTCTTGTCAATGAGCGAGATGATCTTGGTGAGCTTGGGGTCCCAGCCCTTGTAGTTGTCGCGCATCTCCTTGAGGAGCTCATCCTGTGGCTTGGGGGTGTCCGTTGCCGATCCGTCGTCGGGGTGCGAGAGGACCATGTTGAACGTCTTGCCGCCCGAAATGGGGTAGGACATGACGTGGCGCTGCTCGCCAACCCAGAGGGACAGGTCGGCCTTCTCAACGAGTGGGCGGAGCTCGGGGTCGGCAAGGAGGAGGTCCATGGGGACCGTGGAGCGGTACGCGCAGAAGGGGGTCTCGCGGGGTCCCAGGTCGGCTTCACCGAGGAAGTGCTTGCGAGTCACAGACTTGAGGCCATCGCAACCGAGAATGAGGTCGGAAGAGTAGACCGTTCCGTCGTGGGTGGTGACGGTCGACTTGTCAAAGTCAATGTCGGTGACGCGCTTGTTGACGTGAAGAGTAGCGCCGACAGCCTGGGCGCGGTTGACAAGGGCCTCGTGCAGGTGTGCGCGGTGGACAACCCAGTAAGGCGCGTCAAACTGCTGCTCAAAGTTGGGAACGAGCTTGGTGAGGCCAATGGGCTCGCCAGTCTGCCAGCGGCGGAACCAGATGTTTCCAGGCTTGACGGCAACGGGAGCGAGCTCCTCGTAAACACCCCACCTGCGAAGGAGGCGGGTGACGTTGGGGGTGAGCTGGATACCGGCGCCCACCTGGTTCACGTCAGCGACACTTTTCTATATGTAGCGTAGAGCAAAAGATCCAACTCACCTCGCCAAGCTGGGAAGCCTGCTCGAGGACCGTCACTTGGTGACCGGCCATGGTGCAGGAAATGGCAGCCGAGAGGCCACCAAGACCCGCACCGACAATGAGGACCTGGAGGGGTCCAGAGGTGGAGCCGTTGCCGTTTGCAAGTGTGGAGGCAGTCATTGTGATTATGTGAGGGAGTGGTGTTGGAGCTTTCGAGCGAGTTCTGACCTTAATATCAACTGGCGTCATGTGAGTGTTGCGAGCCCACCACCGGTCCCGGGGCAGGCGCGGCGATAGCTTGAATGGAGGTGTTCCAGCCGGTCCTACCATAGGAGATGGCAAGGAGTGGTGGGACCGAGCCGACCTTTCCGCGGAAGACACCGACGCATCGTAGGGGGCTTGGTCATTCGCCCTGCCAACAGCTCACCGCAGCTATCGCTATCGTGGTGACTTAGTTGAGCATTACAAGTGCCAAGTCGCCGCAGGACATGCATGTGAAAGCCATTTGCGCTGTCTTGAAGTGTCGGCTGCGTCAGCAAGCATCGCCCACCACAGGTCCCAAACGTGAAGGTGTGGACGCCCAGTGCGGCCAATGTGGCTTCCGGTTCATACCCGGATTCCTTTGTCGCCGCAGTCACCATCTGGTGTGACGCATTTCCGGCCTGGGTATCCGCGGCGTTGCCGCGCCACCACAGCGTGTAGACGACGAGGTCATGGGACATATATGGGATGGAGTTATCGGTGATGTAACTTCTCAACAAAGTCCCAAGTCCTCCTCGCGTTTGCCTCCACTTGCAACAGTATTATAGTACAGCAACAAGCTCTCACAATGACCGCTACCGCCACCCTCGCTCCCACTGCCACCACTGGCCCCCTCGCGCCTCCTCCGGCCACCACTCTGTCGATTGCCAACGACAACCAGGAGCAGCTCCTCGAGGACATCAAGGCCCACAATGTCGAGCCCCTCTGGACCAAGATGACCAAGCTCAACCCGCCTACCCCGGCCCCCAAGGCCATTGCTCACAAGTTTGAGTACGCCGCTCTGCGCCCTCACCTCATCCGCGCCGGCGAGCTCGTGACTGAGAAGCAGGCCGAGCGCCGCGTCCTCATGCTCATCAACCCCGCAATGGAGGCTCCCAACACCACCGACACCCTCTACGCTGGTCTCCAGCTTGTCATGCCCGGCGAGACTGCCCCGGCCCACCGCCACACTGCCTTTGCCTGTCGCTTCATCATTGAGGGTAACGGTGGCTTCACTGCCGTCCACGGCCGTCGTATCAAGATGCACCGTGGCGACTTTATCCTCACCCCCACCTGGTGCTACCACGACCACGGAAACGACTCGGCTGCCACTCCCATGATCTGGCTTGACGGTCTCGACCTCCCCCAGTTCCAGCACTACCCTGTCCACTTTGTCCAGCACTACAAGGACCCCCGCTACCCTGCCGAGGATGCGCCCACCTCGCCCATCGTCTTCCCCTGGGTCGACATGCAGGCCGCTCTGGATGCTACCAAGGGCAAGCAGGCCCACTCGATTGTGCGCTACACCAGCCAGGAGCCCGGCCACGAGGGCGAGGAGGTGTCCAAGATCATTGGCGCCCAGTGCGAGCGTCTGGACGCAGGCGCCAAGACCGTCCCCGTCCAGGAGACCACGAGTGCAGTCTACCACTGCGTCGACGGCCAGGGCCGTACCAAGATCGGAGACAAGGTCATCGAGTGGGTCAAGGGTGACACCTTCACCGTCCCCAGCTGGCAGGAGTACACCCACGAGGCCGACGTCGACTCGTACCTCTACCGCTTCGACGACCGCCCCATGATCACCGCCCTGGGCTTCTACCGCAACGCCACCGAGGACTTTTACAACCAGGTCTAACTGCGTCTTCTGGGAAGGGCATTAATGGAGTAGCTTTAGAGTACACGTAGGAGTGATTGTTTGAGACAGCCAGCAGAAGGAAGTTGATGTAATTAAAATGAACCTGGCCTGCCCTGTTGCCGTCCGCGAGCATTGCCTCGCATGCAGCTGCCGTCTGCAACCCCAGGGAATATCCCTTCGATCCGTCGATCGATTCTTCGAAGGGCGCGTCTGGAAAACAAACTAACCTTTTTGCTCCTTTTTGTTCAACCACATTGTGTGTTTTTGAGGCGAGGTGGAAACACAGTATCATTCCTTCGTATCGATGATTTCGATCAACAGTGTGTTTTTGTTTTTTCCTCCTGCACCGTAACACGTAAGCCTGGCCGGATCCGCGCGGTCCTTCGATCGATCCGCAGGAGGGCACAACCAGGAAAACCAACTAGCCTTTTTGCGCTCATTTCCCAAAAGGCGTTATGCGTTTCGGAGGCGAGGTGGAAACGCATTATCGGACCGCTATAAGATGGGTTTTGGTGCACAGTGTGTTTCTTCGCGGATCAAACCCTGTCGCCCGCCGTCGCGAGCCGTTGGGATATGGGGGGGGCCGTCGATCGAGCCCTCGATCGGCGAGGGCGTCAACCCTGGGAATCACACTAGTCTTTTTGCGCTCGTTTTCACGAACGCGTTATGTGTTTCTCGGACCAAGCGGAAATGCACTATCGTCGGCCAGGTTGATGAAGATGTGGCGAACAGTGTGTTTCTTCCTCCAGCTATTTTCTTCCTCCAGCCATCCAGCCATCCAGTGATCCAGTTTTGCGTTCCAACTTTTACCGTGGTTAGCCTAAACCTACAGTTGTGCAGTTGCAAAGTTACAGAGGTATAGGTAACACATGCATGGCTTGCCAGCATGTACTCCACGCCGCCACTCCGCACTCTACGCCGCCACTCGGCACCATCGCTCGTAACGACTGCAGTGTTGACCCACACTTTTATAAATTACGTAAGATTATTTGAGTGGGCAGCGATCCCGGCTCATACCCGGGCTATCGGGGGCCCATGTATAAGGCCAAGGTCGAGCATGCAGTTGGCTCCACAGCGACAACTGGCCGAACTGGAGGGCCCCGTATGCAGCGTGCGCGGGGCGACGCAACAGGCCGTCGGTAGGAGCTGCGATTGGGGAGGTGGATCGACTGGCCCGCGACTCGCCGACTGGCCGACTGGAGCCGCCTGCCCCGTGACCCCCGCGGCATCCCATGCGCCCTTTCTTTCCACTCGTCCTTGTCAATATCCACTAACACCCACCTCTTACAACATCTGCTCCCTAACATCGCCATGAGCTCGGAGCCCCCTTCGAACGGCGCAGGTACTGGCAGCAAGCGCAAACGTACGGCGCAGGCGTGCGGCCCGTGTCGCACAAAGAAGACCAAGGCAAGTTCCACATTGTTGTCTCGTCCGCCCCCCGTCAACGGCTAACCAGACAGTGCGACGGCGTCCATCCATCATGTACACCATGCACCAATCTTGGATACGAGTGCTCGTATCCGCTCGACTCGAGCGCACCCGTTAGTGCAAAGACGGTCGTTGTCACGAAAGAGTGAGTCACCCGGGCGATCCTTCTGTCTGTCGTTTCCGCAACTCACACGGCAGCTATCTCAATGCGCTGGAAGAGCGGATCCGCCGCCTCGAGTCGTCAAAGTCGGTAGACTCTCCATCCCCATCACAGCAGTCACCGCTGTCTTCGACTCACCGCGCAACCGGTAGCTCAAGCCGCCCTCGTCAACACGAGCGTGGTGAAGCTTCGCCCGTCCCGCACGCAGCCTTTGCCTCAACAACGGTGCAGGCAGCGGACCTGGCATTCTCAAACTTGACACCTCCTGTGGACCATGTCATCGTTTCGCCCTCGGCCTCGGCGGTCGTAGCACCCGATGCGCCGAGCATCGATGGAATGGGCCTGCTCCTCGTGCCCGACCGCGCCGCAACAGCTGCTCGGAACGCCGACGCGGGAGTCAACCTCACCTGGGCCACTCCAGAGGGAGAGGTATACGGTGAATCGTCTGGCATCTCGTTCCACCGCCTGCTCATCGACACCCTGTTACCAGGATACGGTTGTTTGGCACCCATCAACGGCGAGGTCCCAAACCACTCGGCAGAGGACGATGGTATCGGGTTCTTGGGCCTGTCGTCTCTCCCAGACGTTTTTGTGGTGCGCGCCGACGACTTGCCGTCCCGGATAGAGGCACGCGCGATGCGCGAGTACTTTGCTGGCCACACCTGGCAGCTGTACCCGTACATCGACCTTGTTGCCCTTCAGCAGACCTACGAGTCTCTCCTCGAAGGTGTGACCACGTTCATGAGGACCAGGCATGACCCGGGACCCCGCCCGCCAAACCCTCTCACTTCACCTGCCAATGAGCCGATCATTGCCCTGCACTTTGTCATCTTTGCGCTGGTCCAGGCTCTCACCGATGAGCAGTACACGAAGATTGATGGTGAGGTCTCATGTTTCCGCGAACACACCTGACCCCAGTTCTCCGCATCGCCCTGCGCATGCTTCGCAAGCACCTCGACTGGCCGCGTAACAGTCTGAAAGGTACAGTAGATGCATGCTGTCGGCGCTGACAGGCAGTCCAAGTTCTTCTGATGGGCGCCATGGTGATGCAGGGCATCGACTGCCCCGGCTACAGCTGGGACCTGCTAGGATGTAGGTTGTGCGTTCTTGGCGCTTACTGACCTACCAGACGCTATTCGCACAGCCTATGCCGTTGGATTGCAAGACGATTCCATCAACAAGCGCTTCCCTCCTGCGGAGCGCGAGATGCGCACTCGCGTGTGGTGGGCTTGCTACACCTTTGACCGGTAAATACATGGCTCTGGTGATCTTGCCTTGCTGACTCTCAGCTTCCTCACGGTCACGATTGGTCGCCCCTCGGCAATCAATTCTGATCTCTTCTCGATGCCCCTTCCTCGACCACTGCCTGGAGAGAATCAGATCGCTGTCAAGTTCTTCTGCGAGTCCATGTAGGTCGCCAGCACCCAATTGCAGCTAACTTGCCAGTGGCCTGTACCGCTCCCTATCGGACATCATGACCAACCCACCAGCCACTTTCCGCGGAGCTAGCCCCGATTTGCTCCACTCTGTTATTCACTCGACATATCGCCTCGAGTCAGCGTACGCGCTGTGGTGTGACTCGGTTGACCCAGATCTCAACTTTGTCCACGCGCCTCCGACCAGCGCACTCGCAACTGTCCTCGCTCTTCGTGGGCTCACCCTGCGCCTGCTACTTCACCGTCGCGTCATGCTCACTGGTATTCGTGACCACCTCGGTGTGCGCTCCCGCTCGACCACACCTACAGGTCCAGCTACCAGTCTCAAGTTCCTGGAGGCCAGACAGCGCGAGATCAACTTTGGACTGAGTATCGGCATCATCATCGACACGGCCGTGTTCACCATCCGGATCCTGGACAGCCAGTGCAGTGAGGACCTGGTGCTTTCAGCGCCATGGTACCTGCTGTTCTATTCCATGAACTCGTTCATGTCGCTTATTGCCACCTTCCTCCTGGACCTGACCCGCTGGGCGACGTTCATCAGGCAATCCGGCGTCACCATTGTCAACTCGCTGCACATGGTTCACGGGTTTGTGCGCAAGATTAGCAACCGCTACCGTCGCTCCAGTGCGCGCCAGGCACTGTTCATCATCGAGCACCTCCTCCAGGCTCTTGGTCTCAGCACCGACCCCTCGCAGGGCGTACACACCCTCGCCAACGTGGCGCTGGAAGGGTCGTCGTCCAACAGCAACGCGTCGGGACAGCTGCCACAGGCGGCCACCTCGTTTGCTGAAGACATGTTCTTCAGCAACGGTATGGGTCGCGGCCTGTCGGACCTGCCACACCTCGACTTTGAGGAGTTGTCCAAGACGCTCGGGCTGGATTCCATGATGCCCATGGATTTCACTGATTTCGGGCTGTAGACACCGGATTGATTGATTGTACGGCGGGCTTCTCTTCTGTCTTTCTGTAGGTTGTTTGTATCATATATCCGTGACATGCAAGTGCTGCGATGCGGATTCACCAGGTCCAGTTTCCAGAGACGACAATTGGGTAAGCTAGGACGAGGAGCAAGGAGTTTCGCATCTGCGTCGACTCGGCCCGACCCCAGCTCGGGCAATTGGAGGGGCGGCTGCGGTGAGCGAGCGGTGACTTGGGCGAGTGACACCCCGCAGCCACCGCGGCTGCTCGGCGGGGCCGGCCAGGGCATTTCACCGGGGATGGCACGGAAACGGCCAGATCCGGGGAAGCAAGGATGGCGTTGTGCGGTGGTGAGAGAGACACCGCTGGTGACACTCTGGTACTCTGGCTCGCTCGCTGCACTACATAGGGCCTCGTGACTGCCGTCATTGTCGCGCTTCCCTCATGTTCCGCACACTTTGCAACCTCAACACCATGGCCTCTGTTCAGTGGACCCGTCTCATTCGCTTCGTCCCCACCGGCGCCTCGGCTCCCATCTACGGCGAGCCCATCGGCTCGGACGCCGAGCTCGCCGACATTGGCGCCGCTGCCGCCGCTGGCAAGCTCACCGCCCGTGTCATCGACGTCGGTGCCGATGGCCCCCTCTCGCCCGCTGCCAAGGTGACCGAGCAGGTTGCCACGGTTGGAACCCTCCTCGGCCCACTCCCTGTCGAGGCCGTCCCAGACGTCAAGTGCATTGGCCTCAACTACCGCAAGCACAGTGAGTCAAACTGGCCCTTGGCGGTTTGTGAATCGGGAGCTGACTCTCGGACAGTTCTCGAGGCTGGTCGTTCCCTTCCCCCCTTCCCTTCCCTCTTCATCAAGCCCGCCACCTCCATCGCCGACTATGGCGAGGCCGTCCCCATCCCAAAGTGCGCACAGGAGGGCGAGGCCGACTACGAGGGCGAGCTGTGCGTCGTCATCGGCCAGGACGTACGTGATGTCTCTGTCGAGGACGCCCTCAAGTACGTGGCCGGCTACACGGCCGGCGACGACGTGAGCTCGCGCAAGTGGCAGCGTCTCAAGGAGCGTGCCGGCGGTGTGCCCCAGTGGTGCTTCTCCAAAGGCTTTGACAAGTTTGCGCCTCTCGGCCCAGTCATTGTCGCGTCCGCACTCATCCCCGACCCGTCCAAGCTCGACCTCAAGACCGTTGTCAACGGCGAGGTCCGCCAGGAGACCCCCGTGGCCGACCTGGTGTTCGACGTCCCCACCATCATCTCGTTCCTTTCCCAGGGCACCACCCTCCGCCGCGGCACCGTCATCATGTCGGGTACCCCCGGCGGCGTGGGCTGCGCTGGGCCCGAGGAGAAGTGGCGTCCCCTCAAGGACGGCGACAATGTCGAGGTGTACGTCTCTCAGATCGGTACCCTGAGGCATTCGATCCGTTACGAGTAGACATAGAAGGTTGTTGGGATCCATAAGTGCATGGGATGCATGTTGTTACAGCAGAGCAAGGTGGAGACGCCAGTGGGCAGACTTTATTATATCAGCATTACCTTCTGGATAGCAGGTCTCAGCACAGTTGATGTAGATGATGTAGGTGGGGCGAGGTGGGGCAGAGATTAGCGGACAGTGAAGTGAGCAGTCCAGCGCTAGCATATCCGACACAGTTTCTGTCAAATGCAATACCAAATGCAAACACTATGCACCATACAACCTTCAGCGATTCCAGCCAGTCCGGTGCGCCTGTGCAAATCGTGTTCATGCAGGTTCATCAATTACTACCAAATAACTTCTCACTTCCTCTAGTCAAAATCCAGCTGCAGGTCCTGCCCATCAACCCAGTTGCCGTGCAAGCCGGCACGAAGGCGCATGGGAAGGTTGATGACCGCCGCGGGCTTGGAAAAGTCGGCGGTGGAGACCAGGTGAAGCTCGCTCATCATGGTACGGTAGTTGTTGACAAGAGCAAGCAGGTATCCCTCGCCTTCCTTGTCGGTGGTGGGGATGAAGACGGGCTCCTGGCACATGTGTGTGGATCCGGGAAAGTAGACGTCCAGCTTGCGGGTCTCGAGGTCGAGGTGGCCGAGCGAGTTGTAGGGCGGGTACCCGCCGCCCATGGCTGGACCGATGGCGGCAAAGTCTGTGCCGAGGGAGGGGTCCATGTGGTCAAAGAAGCAGTGACGGTGTTTCTTGCCTCCCCAGCGATCGTCGATACGGGGAAACTCGACGTCGTGGTCAATCAGAACTTCGGGCTGGGCCAACTGCAGGTCCTCGGCCGCTGGGTTGATGGTGAACCGCACGAGGTCAGACTTGATGGTGCGCGGGTCGGGCGAGACACCTTGCGCGTCTGGCCACCAGAAGAAGACGTTTGACATGGACAGGGGCATGTCCAGCAGGATGTTGCCGCTGTCGTCCTCGTAAGCGTTCGCCGTGTGGCCAGGGAAAGAGGTCTTGTACTCGAACCACTTGACGTCCGTCCCCTTGGCGCCGTAGCGAGGCAGCACACCAATGTATAGGGGGCAGTTGCCGTCCCACTCCCAGTGGCTTCCACCCTCCTTGAGTCGTTCGATATCGCACAGCTGGGGGATGATGGGGAAGATGACATAGTTGTCGGTGAACGCAAAGTCGTGCATGAGGCCGACCACCGGTGCAGTCATCCACACTGACTGGGTAAACTTGCCCTCCGAGTCGATGGTGTAATAGCACACGTCCGGGGTACCGTCACCCTTGGCTTCGTAGCCAAAGCACAGCATCTCGCCAGTCTTGGCATCCACCTTGGGATGCGCCGTGAACGTCGTTGAGGGCAGCTGGCCTTCAAAGTCGTACAGCCCAATCGTCTCCAGCGTCTTTGCGTCCATCGCGTACGGGTGCGCGTCCTCCTTGATCGCCAATAGGAAATCCTTGTAAGGGAAGATGTTGGTGTTGGCCGTCGTGCGCACTTGGAGCTCGACGAGGTCGGTGTACTTGTTGCGGTACTTGCCTGAGGGTCGCGGTCAGACACATGTGACCCCGGAAACAGCGCAAGACTCACCAGTGAGCATCTTGTGGGCTTTGCGCTCTGCCACAAACTTCTCAGTCCGGACGTAGCGCTGCTTGAACTGCACACGGCCGTCCTTGATCTCGAACGCTGAGACCGCGCCGTCGCCGTTGAACCACCCGTCATCGTCAACGTACGGTGGGTACGCCGGGTCAGGCATGACGCGGAAGAACGTGCCATGGATCTCGGGAGGGATCGTGCCTTCGACCTCGAGGTCGCGCACCTCGCCTTCAAAGCGACATGGCTTCATAAACGCGCTGAACTGGGGGAGCTTTGGGAAAGCCTGGCTTGGATTGGGCTTGAGCCCGAAACGGTTGTGGAGGAGGGACATGGCGATTGGTGGGAAATCACAGCCGGAATGGGTGGGGGAGCGCTACGAACGTCGTGGAATGTCAAGTTGAGCAAGTTGGACAAAGCCAGTCGACTCGTCCTCCCCATCTTATATTGTCTGGTCGCCGACAGAGTGTGTGTGTCGTTCGAAGGCTCGGAATCGCGCCGTACAATGTGGGCACCCCGGTTGGCCGCAGTGGGATCGTTCTCGGGTACTATCCCCGGCAAGGAACGCCTCCATGGGTCACCTACAGTGCAAGCCGGTTGTCCCGCGTCACCATGTACCGTTTGCCCATCTCTGTCCTCCAGACAAAACAGTAGTGTCGCATACGTCTCCTCAACTGTAGGTGAGACCCGCTCAGGCCTCTCCGGGGATAGCTGTCTTTACCCACGTCGCCGGGGTAAAAGGACTCAATGCTCACGTCAGCCCAACTCTGGTCAGCAACCAGGCGGATACTGACTGCGGCAATCGTTGCCGATATCCAGCAAGGATGGGCGGATCGATCCGGGGCCGCAAAAGTGTTGACCACAGGTGCACCGGTCTTTCTAGACTGTCGGTGAAGTCTCGCTCTGTAAGAACCTGTTTTGCAAGCTTGCATTCATCTGTCCGACGTCCGACGCCACGTTATCACGTTTCTCGGTGTATCGGTGTCACATGACCAGTAGTGCGTTCTCACAGCGCGTCATGACCGACTCATTCGTTGGATCCTCTGTTGTCTTCAGTTCACTATCCCAAATGTCTGATACTCCACCGCTACCATGTCCCAGCATGGCCACTCTGCTCAGTCACCTGAGCTTTCGGATGTGACTTTGCCAGTCGAACTCCAATACGAGATCATCTCCCAACTGGACCCCGTTGCGGACCGGTCCACTTTGGTCACACTCCTGTCGGTGTCATCGACCTTCTGGGAAGAGGCAGCACGTCTCCTGTATCGAAAGGTGACACTCGACCATGACCGACTCCACCGTCTCCTTGGAGTTGGCCATGCATCGGAGACGCATCAACCCACAAGTTTGAGTGCCCGGACAAGACGTGCGCTAGGCTTCATCCACAGCCTTCACATCGTCACCCCTCTTCCTCATCCTGATCTTTACTTTCTTTGGGATACCGCACTACCGAACACTCCCCTCTTCCCAGGCGTGCGCACACTATCCCTTCGTGATCGCCCAGACTACACTTGGTACAACAACCCGGTCCCACGGAAGCGTCCAGAAGCCGACGTGTTGCTGTTCGACAGCCCCGACGCGTGTGTCACTGGATACCAAAGCCACCACCAGCTCTTCTACCTGCCTGTCAAGCGACTACGATCGTTGACCTGCCACCACGTGTACGCCGACAACGTGCTCCGCGATCTGGTCATGGAGCAACACCCAGCGCAGTGGGAGTCGCTGCGCATCTTCGACGACTTTAGCGGCAGGTTCAACGACACTGCCGCCCCAGACATTGCCGCATGGGAACGAGACATTGCACGACGTCGACAGCCGCCCGTACAAGTTTGCTTCCAATCTTTGGATGCCGGCTCCAAGGCTCGGAACGCCATGTTCATGACCTATGGCTGGAGAGAGAGTCCGGCTTCCTTCATCAAGCTCGTCTTCTACCGTTCCAGCGACGAGTGCAAACCCTGCGGCGTATGCGGTAAGTTGTGAGATCCTGACGTGTGGCTCACTCCAAAGGCAGGACATGGAAGTTTCGGCACATGGGAAGAGGCGATTCAAAGTATCTGCCATAACCGGAAGGGCATGTCTTCGAACAGACAGAGAAGCGAAGCGGAGGGTCGGAGTCATGCATTCATCACCATTTCATTCATGCAACTACATACATACTCTCAAAAGCAGTGGCGCTCTCAATCTAGAGCGCGGCTGCCTTGAGGGCCTTTGTGGCCCGCACCACCTCAGAGTTCCAGACACCCGACTTGCCCGGCGAGAGGATGCCGTTGGGGTCCAGCGTGTCCTTGAGGAGCGTAGCGAAGCGCATGTGTGCCGAGTTGTTAAACTTGAGCTTGGACGCAACCGTGTCCATGTAGCGTACGTGGGTGCGATACTCGAAGAACCCTTGCTGGGCACCGTCGTGGAGCAGGTGGTCGAGGAGATCGTAGATGCCATTCTCCTCCTCCAGGCGGTAGATGACGAGTGCGATTCCGACGACATAACGGGGGTACACATGGAAATCGGCAAAGAAGTCAAACTTGGCATCCGTGATGCGCTGCTTGGCGGTCAAGTACCAGTCGTAAAGCTCGCGGCCGGAGGGTGGGATGACGGGGGAGAAGCAGGTGTGGGCTCCGCCGGGTCCGCCACGCGAGTTGAGGATACCAAGAGGCATGATGGTTGGGATACCGTTGTGCGGTATCTCCTCCTCGCCGACGTCCTTGGGTGCAGAGAGGTAGTGACCAGGCTCGCCAGCAAACTCCCGAATGACAATGTTGACACCCTTGATGTGGGAGAAGGCACGCTGGACAGTCTTGATGATGCCGGGAAGCATCTCGACCGAGCTGTAGAGGGCAAAGTAGGACCGCCAGAAACCCCATTTCTGTTCCACGCGGATCTCCTCCAGGACGTCGTCGGGTACAAACGATCCGGGCTTCATGTACTGCGCAAGACGGGCGTGCACCTCGGGGACTCGCGACGTGAGGGCAATGCGGAAGATGTTGGCAAGCGAGGATGAGTTGAGAATGATTGAGCGGCGCATCAAATCGGACAGAGTGGCGGTGAGCGGAACGAGGTCCTCCTCACGAGGTACATCAATCTCAATAGTGGCATAGGCCTCCGGGGCGGGAGTCATTTGAATGCCAAGCTTGGTTACAATGCCTATAAGGTCAGCCCAGGGGACCGATTCACGAGAACTCACCATAGTTGGACTGGAAGAAGAGACCGTCAAAGCTGGGACCAAAGCCTCTGGTTGTCAGCCACGCGTGTTGGATACTCGAAAACCCACCCCTTGTACAGCGCCCAGGACTTGTTGTCCTCCATCGCACCAGAGCCAGTACGGAGGAGGTCGCCGTTGGGGAGAACCACCTCCATGCCGCACTGGTTCTCCGAGTGCTCGCCGTTGGGAGTGTATCCAAAGCCGCGGTCCGTGGTGTTACCAAGAACGGACCCCCAACCAATGGCAGGAACCGAGGGCCACAGCTTGAGCTCGCGGCGCTGAATCTCTTCATACAGGTCAAAGAACGAAACTCCAGGTTCGACAATGGCATAGCAGTACTCCTCGTTGATCTCGATGATCTTGTTCATGCGGTGGAGGTCGAGCACCACAGTGACCCCACCATTGACCGGGCCAGAGCCACCGTAGCCAAGGTTCTTGCCGCGGGATACCGTCCACAGGGCGACACGGTGCTTGTTGGCAAGCTTGACAATCGCCTGCACTTCCTCAACGGTGGCCGGACGAACCGCACCGGCTGGTTGGTTGACGTCTTGGGCGGAGAAAGGGTCGCCGTACACGTCACGGCCCGCTTGGTCCTTGACGTTGCCCGTGAGATGGTCGCGCGAGACGTTGGCATCGCCGAGAAGCTGGGCTGCCTCGTCGTAAAACGCGGCAAGCGCGTCGGAAGTTGTGTTGGAGCTGGAGCTGGAGAGGGTCATGGTGGAAGCGTCGATTCTAGACGAGTTGGGGAGCTCTGGAGAACCATGGGGTGCTTATATCTACCCCACACTGCTTGAGTGATTATCCCTGTCCCGGGGATCCATGCCGACGATGACAAGAAGAGAGATGTCATGGAGAGTTCGATGCTTGGCGTCGGATGGCCTCCGGAATGGATCCAGATGCTGCACTCGCGTGCCCACACCTGCTGTGCCGACCTGTCCCCGGAGCATTAGGCTCATTAGAAATGACAAACCCAAACCCTATTCAGCCAGACCAACATAATAATCAGTCAGCTTCCGGTACAGCACCGAACACGACTATGTTGTACAGTGTGTACATATTATGCTGTCCGTGGTGCCTACCGGCGCAGCCGACACCACCACCGTCACCGCGAAACAGCGTTTGGAATTTCTGGACGAAGAATTGTGCATGTCTCCCACCAAACGTCTTCCTGTGCTCGCATTGAAACGTTGATCCCCTCTCCCATTGCTGCAACCCTTCAAACATATTGGGTTCTCATCTTAAGTTCACGTAGAACGTCACTGTCGCCGCCAACTTCCATCTTTCAATGCATGCTCTACATCCTCTTCGAAACGCCCACCTGGACATGGACCAGCCCACCGCCGCGGCCTCCGGCAACAGTGGCGGCGTGCACCTGCCTCACCCAGTTTTCAATCGACACGCGACTGGCCTTGTCTGCCCTCGCGCGGTTTTCCCACAGCGTGGGCTTGACTTGGGGCTTGGGGACGATAACACAAGTAGGCGGTATAGGTGTCGGGGTGGTCACGTTGGGTGTCTTGGGCTTGGGCTTGAGGATTTGGCGATGGATGGAGCGGCCGCGTTCGTGGTTAACAGTGAGACTGGGAGCAGGAGGTGGAGTGGTATTCCGGTTGACTGCTCCAAGTCCTTCTGATGTGCTCTTCTGCTGGGTCCGTTGGGTCCGTGGCGAGACCTGGTTCTCGGCCTGGACCACATGTCGCTGAGCACTGCCATTGTGCCGTTGTTGGGTGGCCTCCTTGTTAACTGTGGCGGGCTGCAATGTCAGTCAACATCGACGGGGAGAGCGTACTCTTGGGAGCGGTCGCTGGATAGCACGGCGCATGCTGTTGTGGCGCGTAAGGTGAAGTATCCAAGCTCACATGTGTCCACAGATGCAGTGAGTAGTCATGGGGGGATGGTTTCGAGGTCTTAGGGCGAAAGGGTGTGGGTACGTGTGAGCTGCCATTCGTGCGAAGGTGACATGTCAGAGGCTACAACACACACACACTTCGCCACAAACACCCCCCGACTTGCCATTTCACCAACCACGGAATAATACCCATTTCACCAACCACGGAATAATACCCATCTCACCAACCACGGGCCACGGAATAACCGCGTACCTGCTTGCTGCCTCTATCTGGGTTTGATTCAAAACGTTAGTTGTAGTTGTCCCTCAGATCCTCGCTTTCTCATTGCCGTTGAGCCTTTGGCACCTATGTATGTAGTGCGATGGAATACATTCACAGGGCATTACGAGGTCGTCTCAATCATAAACTGCTTGTCCCCAACCTCTGCACGATACTCTTCACTCGTACAGAACCGAATCATACTCGTCGCCTTGTCGATTTCACTGGCCGCGTGACCCCACATCTCCTTGTTCTCAGCCACACGCGCGATGAGTGAACTCGCATACCCCAGTCCTTTGGGCGAGGGCCCGAGAAGTCCCAATGCCGATGGGGGTACGTTGTGGACGCCCACAAGGGTGTACGATACAGTCGGCGTGTTATCGCTCATAGCTGTCACGAGATTGTTGACCAGGTCGCCGAGTGTAATCTCAGTCGACACTGCCGCCTGATTGTCCTCCACATAGGCGCTCCGCGGTCGAAAGATGACAACCACCTCCTTGACGGTAAACGGCAGCGGGAGATTGACAAACAGGGTCCCGCGGTGCCACATCCAGCGGCGGCCGACGGGGAACTGCACACAAATGACGACCTTGCGCACACCGACAGGCAGCAGCGGCCATGGTTGTATCGGGATGCCTTTCGCGCCACATGCGATCACAAAGAGGATGTAAGTCTTTGCGACAAGAGGGAGGAGGACCTCGTGCGAGAGGCTGTGTCGTGGACTGTGCCCCAGACTGAGTCGGACGATCTCGAGCTCGATTTCGGCGCATGACAGGTCGTTGGAGAGTTGCTCGATGGAGGCTGTCGTCGTGCGCGGGTTGACGTCCACTGTTCGGACTTGGTGGACGAGACGCTTGCTGAGCGAGGAGTTGCGTGGGGGCAATGGGTAGCGGTCCTGTCTGCACGGGCCCCGACACCCTGTGGAGCAGTGGAGCGTGAACGAGTGGGGGATCGCCATTGTGGAGTGCAAATCGTCACTGTTGCCAAGGGCGAGGTGGCGTATGCGTGCACCAAGCTCCAGTTCTGCTAGTTTCTGGACGTGGGTCGAAGTGCACCGCATTGTGCCCAAGTCGGAACACGACGCATGTTTGATGATCGCGTCGAAGATGTGCGGAAAGGACGCGTGGTCGAGTGCTGGCAGGGTGGGGGCAGGAGGTGCGGGCGTGGTCATTGCTGCGACCCAGTGTTGCGTGTCGGCACGAGATGGAGAAGGAGTAGGGAGAAGCTGGGTTTCTCGAGTTGAGGAGTGTCACTTTGCTCAAGTGGAAACGTTGACACAACTGTGGTCGATGTGGAGGAGGGGATGGATGCGGCAGCCTACGCCCTGCCTTCTGTGTGCCGTGCCGCTCAAGGACGCGCCGAACAGGCCTCCCTCTACAACGCGTCGGGTGGCGTCTCCAGAACGCGCGCGTTTGAAGGGAGAGAGACCGGATGTCGCGAAGGTAGAGGGTCGGAGATCAGGCGGGGACAGCGAGCGTGCAAGCGGGTGGCAAAACACTGCCCTCTCGGCTCGGCTTGTCGGCTTGAGCGACGTGCAAGCGGATGGAATGTTGTTGCCACTGGGCGGTGTTGTGGATCGAATCGTGGTGATGACTGATCTGGCTTCTGCGATAGCTGATGTCCTGCGTGCCTTGTCAACGACGAGTGCTGTTACATGGTGTGCGGCGGGGATTCCAGGCAGAGATCTCGGTGGCGAGTCAGCTGACGGCGCTACGGTGTTGAGAAGCAAGTGATGACGCGGACGGCAAAGGGAAGAGGATCAATATCGAGAATCCATTTGGATAAGAAGCGGGCGGATTCAAATGCAGCAGGCTTAGGTGCCGATTCAAATGCAAGCTGGGGATCTCTACGTCTCTACCGCCCTATAGGGGGCACACAAAGAGTGCTTAGTGCAAAGAGTGACCAAAGTGAAACATCATCCGCATATGGCAAGAACGTCACATCCGCGGCTGATCTTCATGGTGTGTGTGGCAGTTGGCACCTCCAACCAACATTCAACACATCTCTTTCTCAACTCGACATCGACAACATCCAACACGATGCAGATGCATACGAGCAAACCCAAAAAGGATATACACCGTAAGGGAGTCGAACCCCTGCCGCGTCGAGACTGCACATGGCAACGACGCATGATACCGTTTCACCAACGGTGTCTTGATCGAAGACTCTGTTAATATTAGAATAAGGACTATTTGGACCGTTTCTATTGACTAGTGCGTCTATTAGACCAGTCCTGTCCATACGCGTGATATGCAGACTTGTTCTCGTTACTCTATCCTCTATCGACCTTTCCAACCTACTACGCATCTGCTTGCAGCGTCTGGAGAGTGCTACGAGTCTCCTCTTTACAGACTCTCGAGGCAAGATCGCCGAGTTCTGGAAAGCAGAAAAACGGGCCCTTCTCACAGTGCATGGCATGTGAGACCTGGTTACAAAGGCCCAAATGGAGCACAAGGATGTGCGATACTCCATCTGGTGGTAAGTGCCCTTGTTCGAAATAATTCGAGGTCGGAAGCAGGGTTCGTCAGGCAGCGTCACATGGGTCCTTCATCGCCAACATTGGATCGCGTATGCTCTCTAACTCCACTTCCGTCACTGTGCCGGCGCACAGACCATCTCAGAGCCTTAGGCTGGACACGGCCTTGCGATGTATTCCAGGCAAACATGTTTTGGGAGGGTAGCGGCGGTGGACGGCCCGCCAAGAACGCTCGGACGTTGCGGTGAAACTTGACACAGGACTGTGGTACTGTGAGGCCACCACTCTCCCTTGGACTTCGTCACTGGTCAGTGCGAGGCGCACGGCACTACATGCGTCCATGTGGGCCCGTCAACAGTGATGTGGGCGACCAGATTTCAATGTACTCTTTTGTCGTTCTCTCTCCCACAATGCGCTCACACTTTGATCCATATCCAGGCACACGGCCGACGCTCACGGTCAAGCTATGTCTGGCTATCACTGTCGTCTTCCTCCTTGTCGACCTGTACTACCTGGCCCGCTGGTTTGAGCTGCGGCACGACCAAAAAGTACTGGACACGCTCGTATCCCTCCTCCCCCCAGCGACATTCTTGGCCAGCTACCGTATCCCCTCCGACCACCGCATCCTCATTGTCCAACACTTCCCTGCGAAGCACAGCCGCCTCGAACGGGCCTCCCTGGTCAGCCACCAAGCCTACGCCCAAGCATGGGGATACGCCTACGAGTCCGACACGGGCGACTATACGGACCGAGTGGGCCGTTCTGGAGTGCATGCGTCACTAAACAAGCTCTACGCCTTACAGACGGCAGTGCGGCGCGAGTTGGTGGACCCCCTCGGCGCCGAGTGGATTGTGTGAGTGGCGGCACAGTCGCGGGTGGTGAGCGGTCCGAGTGTGGCTGACTTGATCAGATACTGCGATGCCGACACCATCGTCTCTGACCCAAGTATTGGGCTCCACCACTTGCTCCCACCAGACACGCTCAACCCTCAACCCCTCATGATTGCCGGACAGGACCACAACGGTCTGAGTGCTGGCGCATTTGGCGTGCGGGTTATGAGCGAGACTGCCGAGTTTCTCGAGTCGGTACTGGCTCCAAACTCGGTGGAGGACGGACACAGCGACCAACACCATCTTGGGCGCGCACTGCGATCTCCCGAGGGCGCCAGCTTTGCTGGTGCGTTTTACGAAATACCGCGTATGTGGGTCAATGCGTATTTCCTCGACAACGACGCCACATACGCCATCAACGAGGAGGGAGATGGGTGGTATCCCGTCTGGCAGGTGCACCTCGTCGACCACCTCAAGTTCAAGTACAGCTTTCGAACGCTGCTCGAGCAGGCTATCGAGGTTACGACCGAGGCGCTCGCGCTCCAAGCCGACGTCAAGATTGCCGGACGCCGGTCCGGCGCCTTGGCCGTGCGCAACGCGATGGAGTTGTTGCCCTCGACAGCGTGGACGATTCGCCGTGCGAGGGAGCATTGGGAGATTGTCGAGCCTGGGATTGATGGGATGCTGTTCCTGGACGAGGTGCACGGTGTTGTGAATGCGAATGGCGTTGTGTTACCGTGAACAGTGTCGGACAGTTGAATAGATTAATAGATGTAATATGGACCCTGTAGCCAGAGGTCTTGATGTAACTTGTCTCCAGAGTGTCCCCGTCTTGGTGGCGCACCTTTTCCACCAGTGCGTAACCCAGATGTTCAGCAGAATCGAGACAAGGGATCCTTCGAGCATAAGATCGGGATTCGGCATGCGACTAGTGAGAGCAAGTTGCCGAGATCTCTAACCGATGATGGAGGCACAAGTCGCCGGCAACGGTAACCGGCAGTCTCACGACCACCTCTGTCTGCAATCTCCAGCAACGCCCACTTCACATCCAGTTCACCACTCAACCCACCATGATCACAAACGCAGACGGTTCTTCTCCAGGCGACAAGCTCGTCGTCTCGCACGCCAAGGACGCGACGTACACCCAAGGCCTGCGTTCGTTCTTCGCCTACCGTGACCTCGGCATCAAGGACGCGACAAACGGCGCTGTCGCCGCCCATGTCATCCGCGGAGTGCCAGGCTCCCACGCAACTGGTATCGCGCACTTGCACCGCACGACGTTTCAGATGGTCTATGTCCTCAAGGGCTGGGTCGAGTTTGAGTACGAGGGTCAAGACGGCGTGGTGCACCTCGAACCGGGAGACAGCGTCTACCAGCCGCCGGGCATTCGGCACCGCGAGGTTGCGCACAGCGACGATGTGGAGATGCTCGAGGTTGTCCTGCCGGGCGACTTTGGGACAGAGGAGGTTCCCGGGTTGGCGTGACGTGACGGCGGCATGTAGGCAAGACCCAGCAAACAGTGCAAGGGGAAGATCGGCTTGAAGGCGTGGTGGTGCCTTGTCATAGCTGCGCCTCGCAGTACAGTATGAACCCCGATGCATTCTTATCGTGTGTGTTACCTGTTGAATGATTCTAAGCAGTGGATGGACGTCGGCAACGTCTGTCGATTGTCGATTCAAGAGAGGGGTTGCGACAACCTACTATGAGCGGTCGGGCCTTTCTCGTGCTGACGTTACATTGTCCACAACGCAGTATACGCAGCGGTATTGTCTCAGTGCTCACGTTATGTAGTTGCTCTGGTGTCACAACATTGATACACACAGCAACACTGTCACTAGCTGCATCACGCTGTGTGGGCAAGCGGGTGGCAGCGGTCGCCGAGGTCATCGTAATCGCCTCTCCGGCGGTCACTTGCGACCTCGCGGTCGCCATTTACACCCACCATGACACCATCAGCCCCGTGCAGCCACAACCACACATCCATACATACCCCCACGGCGAGATCCTTAATCGACGAATCAAGCCTCAGCTTGTCGTCATCTCTCGATTCCCGCCACGGCACGCACTTGCTGAGCTGCTGGAGCGACATGCCCCTCATCAGGCGCAGCCGTGCACGGAGGCTTCTCGGACGCGCAGAAGCACACTCTTCGGATGGGTGTTGTGAGAAACACACTACGGCCATCGCCATGGGCGGAGCAAGCGGCGCAGTGTGTTTCTCACCGAGACCAGCAGCTGACCACACGAGATATCCCTTTGCCTCCTCCCTTGACACGACACCGCATTTCCTGGATGGCCTGGATGGGCTGCGTGGGAGAGCCAATTCTCCTTTCAGCTTTCAATTGCCTGGCAGGCATGCAACGCTGGTACGCTGCTACGCTGGTACGCTGGCCCACCACTTTCATGTGTTGGCCGGGGTTGTCTTTTTTCCTCTGGTGTTTCTGAAACCAGGGCGCGATACAGTTGTGTCTGTGCAGCATTCCTTGTGGAGTTGAGGATCGAGAGGATGGATAGCTTGATGCCATCATGACGCTGTAGACACGCGCTGTGGTTGCGTCACAGCCCACACCGGGCGGGGCATGCTTGGCAGAGCACCTGACACGCAGCTGCCAACTCTCCGAGAGCGGACGTCGAGAGGCAGTGTCTTGTGCTGCAGGTGAAAAAAAAGAGGGTGGGATGACGACTGGCATGACACTCTCGCCACCCACGACTCTGCTTGTCAGGTGCTGTCGGGGGCAGCGGCAACAATACCTTACACGACTTGGGCGTGGGGACCTGAGGGGGAGCAGTGCACTGACTGCGGCCGGGGGACCAGGAGACAAGGACCAAGATTACTTGTCAGTTCCACAGGCCACAGGACGACGCCAAGCGCAGCGCCGACCAGAGCTGCATCTTGGCTGTGTACCTTGTTTTTCGCCTTTGGGCACACGGCACTCTTCTTCTCATCACTCACTCTCCCCCCAGCCACCTCCATCATCACCCAGGCAGGGCTTCCCTCCGTCATCCTCCTTCTTCTCCATCATCCTCCTCTTGTTCTCGCTACAACGCAGAACACATATCCATTGTTCCCAACCATAATCCGACCCTCCCACACCGCCGCTGCCGACGCGTCAGCCAAACACCCTCTCACCCCCGACCGGCCAACCCGCTGGGCCGCTGCACGTGTGCACCCCAACGCCCACCCACCGCGCTGCAGAGTTGAGCCCCTTTGTGTCCAGCGTTGCCCTTTTCTTGTCGCCCCGTACGGACCGGCCGCCCACCACGTTCAGTGGTCCGAACTCTCCGTGCTTTGAGGCCCCCCCACTGCCCCTCGATTCCCTCCCGTTGGCGGCGCACCCCATCCTAGGTTCCCCGGCTCGGTCCCCTTAACCCTCCCCCGTCTCGACAGCCTACCCCACACACTCTCGCTCTCTATCACGTCCCGGATCCCACACCGTTCGTCCGACCCAACCCGTTGTCTTTATCGCCATCTCGCTCCCCACCCCGCACAGGCGTATAGGTGAGTAGTAGTCTCCCTCCCCCCTCCCCCCACCGCTTGCCGCCGAGCGCACGACATCGCGCTCGCCCTCGTACAATAGCCAGCCGTGCCCGTGCATGATACACGGGGGCGCCCTGGCGCGCGCACGAAGCGAAGCGATCATATGCGGCTTGACCAGGTAATCGTCTCACCGAGTCGCCGCCCCATGCCATGCCATGCCAGCTTGCGTCTATGCACGCCTCGCCTTGCGCCTCTGCGCTGCGCCATGGTGGCCTGGCGGCTGGCGGCATGTCAGAGCCATGCTCGAGAATGCGCCATGCAAAGTGATCCTTGTTCGGCGGGGCAGATGGATGGGTCTTGCACCAACGGTCTCGGCGCTTCGCCGCTGGCAAAATCGCCGCCATCGTCAACAGCTGCTGCCTCCCTCCTCATTCTCCAACTTGATCCTCATCCCTCCACTCCCTTCACGTGTCCATTGCGATGCTGACCGATCGGTTTTCCCATCGTACTACAACACACCGGCACTCTCTCCAGCTCAACGACGGTCGCGACTCCTTCTCGACCTTCCACTTCCTCTCCGACCTGTACCCCCCTCGACCCCGGGTTGACACCACTCCCCTCACCTACAACAACATGTCGCGGCCCGCCACCGGGCGGTCAGGCAGCTCGCCCCCCGGCTCGCCTGCAGGTCGCGCGGCACACCTGGCGCCTGGCGGGGGTGTGTCAGCAGCCGGTCTGAGCAGCCCGACATCGCCGCGCTCCTCCTTTCTTGGCAACTTTATGCGCGGCCGCTCGCGAGCCGCCTCGGTGACAAACGCCGTCGCTGGCGCTGTGCGCGGCCGTGTGGGATCGCCGACAGTGGAGCAGCCAAACCCGCTGGGAGGCGATGTGACCCGCAGCGTCTCGACGCCGAACAGCGGCGGCGACGCTCAGACCGTCAACATTCCACCCGTCGACCCTGCCCTTCGTCGCACTCACAGGATCCGTCTGGTGCCCGTCCTCGAGACCAACCGCTCGTTTACATTTGCACCCGTCCTGCGTGAGCTGGGCGTCATGCATGTCCCACCTGGCATCCTACCTGCTATCGCAGCGGCCTCGGTCTCAGACGTCGGTCCCACCGTCAACGGACGCCCGCCTCCCCTTCTTATCAAGATTGGTCGCTTTACCGATAGGTCGGCCGCGGCGGCAGCAGCAACGACTGGAGCAAGTGGCGCAGCTGTTCCCGCAGCGGGAGCGGCACCTGGCGCTGCCAGCGAAGGCGCCGTCGTGGCGAACGGAGGCTTAGGCGTGGCCAGCAATGGCGGCGACGCTTCGTTTGCTCCGCCAGCCCCCTCGCCAGCTTCCGTCGCTGGCGGCGGCGGTGGCGATCTCCTCTCGCCGCGTGCTGCTTTCAAGAGCAAGGTCGTCTCGCGCTCACACGCCGAGATCTGGTGCGAGCCTGGAGGCAAGGTGAGTGATTTGGGCATGTCAATTGGACTGTGTTTGCTGACGTTACTAGTTCTTTATCCGCGACACCGCCAGTTCATCGGGCACCTTCCTCAACCACATTCGTCTCTCGAGCCCCAATGTCCAGTCTCGCCCGCAAGAGCTCAAGGACGGCGACGTTCTCCAGCTGGGTGTTGACTACCAGGGCGGCACCGAGGAGATGTACCGCTGCGTCAAGATGCGCGTCGAGCTCGGCCGTGACTGGCAACGCGGCGAAAACGAGTTCAACACGAACGCCCTCAAACAGCTCAAAGCACTTGGCGGTCCCGAGTCCGAGTCCAAGCGTCCCAAGGCCAAGGCAAGCGTCACCGACTGTTGTATCTGTCTTTTCTCGGTGACTGTCTGCCAGTCGCTCTTCATTGCGTAAGCTTTCGTGATCTTGGACGCCGAGCTGACATCAGTCCCTGCTCGCACGTCTTTCACTACAAGTGCATCCGTCCCCTCCTCAACCAGCATCACCCGGGCTTCTCGTGCCCACTTTGCGTGAGTTGATCATAGCATGTTCAGAAACTGACATCCAGCGCACGTTTGCAAACCTGGAAGAGGATGTCGAGACCGAGGACGCGTGGGAGATTGCGTCGCGTAGGGTGTCTGTCATTTCGCGCCGCAACTCGAACCACTCGATCCGTCTCCCCCACCAAAACGACACCCCGTCATCGCAGCCGGTATCTGCTCCGGGCGAGCCCAGCACGGGCGTTGGCTTTGGCGACATGACCGCCAGCATCGACGAGTTACTTGCCGCTTCGAGCGGTCAGCCAAGCGACGACGACCACAGCATCCCGCGTCCCGACCTGGCGAGGCAGCACACCGTCGTTGGCGACACGTCTCGCGATCGCAGCGACGGCGGCGCCGCGACCCCGACTTCGGACATTGGTGAGGCAGTCACACACGCGACGACCGCCCCCGTGCCCATCGGATCCGAGCTTCTGCGTCCAGACGCGGGCGGCGAGGCCTTCTCTACCACTGCTGCGTCCCTTGCCCAGACCCCGTTAAACGACGTCTTCCTCTCGACGTTGGTGATTTCGGGGCCTGGCCGGTGCGACACTGGTGTCAACGGTGCCACTCCCGCCACTGTCAGCAGTGCTGTTGCGAGCGGCGCCAACTCGCAGATTGCAGAGGAGCCAGAGGCGGAGGCTCAGGCGGAGGCTTCAAACTCGGTGGCCGTGGACGAGGACCATCTGCTTGACGATGTGGTAATCGCATAACGTTGTTTTTTGTTTGTTTGTTCCCTGTTTGAGTGATACCATAATACTCCATACGACCGTTGTCGTTTTCATGTACTGCATTGAGAGTGTGGCACAGTTGTTGGGCTGCATGCCTGAGCATTGGACATGATCTGAATGGTCGGCACAAGCGGCACTTGGGGGATCCGGGCCGGAACTCCGTCACACCCCACCTCCACCGACGGATGTTGAATGTGGGGAGAAGACGTCTTTTGATTTCGACCCGACTTTTGGCTTCCTCCACAACCTATTCACCTCACCCACCATGCGCGCAACTCTCCCCCGCCTGCTATCCACTACGCGCGCTGCGCGCTCTCTTCTCGGCTCGAGCGCCCCACCACCACCCAGCGGAGCAGCATGCACCGGCGCTCCCGTGGGTCCCAACAACGCCACGCTCCCTCCCGTCCGCTACCACATCTTTAAAAACAAGCTGCCCTACCCCACCGGCCTCAAGCTGCAGTCTGCCATTCTCGATGCACGCTTCAAGGCGCGTGAGACCGGAGGTGGCAAGACGGACTCGCTGTTCTTGCTGGGTGAGTCCCTTCTGCGCCCAGCGGACGTTTGCCGCAGCTGGCTTCCACCGCTTACCAACCCACCTTGTCTCCTCTCCCACTGACACGCCGTCCAGAGCACACCCCGACATACACCACCGGCCGCCGAGACAACACCCCGAACCCGGACCAACTGCACCCCGAGGAGAAGAAGGTGCAAAACGTCGGAGCCGGGTTCTACATCACCAAGCGCGGCGGCCAGGTGACGTACCACGGCCCGGGCCAGATTGTGGGCTATGGCATGTTCGACCTGAACGCCATGGGCACACCGACGAGGTGCTATGTCGAGTACCTCCAGGCCCTGTTGGGAGAGTATGTTCGCGACCAGGGGGTTGACGCGTATGCCCCGCACCCGGACGACCACGTCGGTGTGTTCCCCACGTTGACGTCAAAGGTGCGTCTGGCCTTGTGCTCCGCTACAGCCGCCGCCATGCTGACATCACCGTCCGCCTCCCCCCTGCTGTAACCCAACACTTGACATATTCTGCTCGCTACAGGTGGCCTCGATCGGCATCCACCTCCGCCACCGCGTCACATCCCACGGCTTTGCCATGAACATCACCCCAGAGCCGATCGCCTGGTTTGACCTCGTGACAGCCTGTGGTCTCGACGACGTCTCGGCCGTGAGCCTTCACCAGCTTCTGCAGGCCCTGCCCACCCCGCCTGCGAGCTTGCCGTCCGTACTCGAGGCGTCGCAGGCCCTGGTGCCGCGGTTCGCGGACACGTTCCAGCGCGAGTTTGTCGAGCTCGGCGCCGGCGCGCAGGACGGCGAGGTTGCTGGGGATGTCGAGGCGATCCGCGAGATTGTGGCCGAGGTCGAGGCCGAGGCCGCCCAGGCGGAGAAGGAGGCCGGAGGGTGGCCCACTGCGCCGCGTACAGCCTAGGTAGAGGTGTAGGCTGGAGACTGACTGGCTGGAGACTACGGGGCGAGGTGTATCGTGATGCCACACTCCTCTTGGGCAGACAGAACGTGGTGCGAGTTCTCAGTCGACTCCACTGACTCGTGGCCTGACCTTTCACTAAGCCGCTCTCCACAGGTCCGGTCCCACAGCGTACATGAAAATGACCCCCGACTGCACACCGTACCGGAAAATACCGAATCCACAAGCCTCCACCTCTGAAAGTGGCACTTGACACCACCAGGCTGCCCAACCGTTCCGACCATGCTCCCGGCCTCCCGGCCGTCCAAAACGATGGCAGACATCCCCAAAAAGGTTGGCTTGGAGGCAACTGAATGCCCTGTTGACGAGAGTGGGATTCGAACCCACGTCCGAAGACTGCGGATGAGATCTCTTGCTCAAGAACTTGAGTAAGAGGGTGTCACACCTTAACACAGCGCCTTAGACCGCTCGGCCATCTCGCCGGCTACGTCTCCTTCGCCGCCGCGTGTGCAGCTTTGCTGGTCGAGCAGTCCCGGAAGCGGAGGGAAGCGGAGTGGGGTGGGATATATGTGGAGGAGGCGATGCTGGAGACGAATCCTGGGATAAGCGTTTGTGAGCGTCGAAAGTGGTGCAGAAGAGGGGGGTGGCAGTGTTCAGGGTGGAGGGTGCCGAGGGGGGCAGGTTTTAATGGCAGCCGCCGAGGCCGAGGGAGCAGCCAAAATAGGTGGAGGGCCTCCCTGTGGTCGAGTCAATACCAGTGATGCATGTGGTGATGAAGTGGAGTGCGGTGGAGAGCAACATGTCAAGGCTTTTAAGGCGGCCATGGCGATGGAGGGACACAGGGGAGGAGGACCTTGGAGGGTGGAGGATCTGTTTCTCCGTATTTACTCCGGGGTAGAGCCGGTGGAGGCACAGTGGAGGAGTGTTTCTGGAGATCCGGAGATCCAAAGATCCCGGAGTGAGGCGTGAGATGGTATTTTGGTCGGTTGAGTTCACAGCAGTGAGCAAGGTGGAGCTGTTCCAGGTTCACAATGGACGTTGTGCTCGGTGGATGCAGCCGTTCCAGCGGCCAGCGGTGACGACTGAAGAGGTCAACCCCCTCCCCCCCCCAACTCACAGCCCTACGTTACTTGCGTGCAACGCCCGCAAGTGTCGTTGTCTGCGAGGCTGTGCTTCTGTGTTCAAGCATACGGCGCCCCTCATCTATCATCTTGTCATCTTGTCAGCACTCCCATCAGTAACGAACAGACTGCAGTCATCGGGGCCGCGAGTTCGCCGAGGCTGTCAGACATGTTTCGCCGGGGTATTTATGACTGTACACGCTGTGGGCCTGTAGGCCCATTGTTGCACGTTGCGGTAGTGATGGACGGAATAACAGGGACACGGAAATGACATTTCCTTTCCTCACCCTGTGCTCGTGTGTTCCATTGGGGGATTTGTCAGCCAGCCACGGTGGGGGGGAATGTTCGGATTGTGTTTGGCAGGTGCATCAGTGAGGCAGCTTTTGTAAACATGCCAAGCCTTTCCGTGCACACAAGCGCACCTGGACACACTGACGTCGCTTTAATGGGTGGGCAGATCAAATAGGCAGCGTGTTTGTTGACAAAGCGGGCGGTGGCCGTCAGCGCAGAATGTGGCAAGGTGAGATCATCGCCCCACACATGCTGCCACTATGGGAGTGTTCTCGACACACGTTGCATCCCACCTCGGCGATGGCGTTCGAGCTCGCTACATGTGGCCGGGTGCAGCAAGACTGTGAGATTGCAATCACCCAGCAAGCTAAACACTGCTTTGGATACTGGGATGTATATTATTTTTGCTGACTGTGTTCGCCCCCTCCACAAGCAATCTCGACCCGGATCCCATGTTTTCGGATCCGGAGCGGACGGTCCCTGGCGGGTCGTCGCTGGGATGATGTAACCCTCAAACCCTCCACCCGCCCGTCAGCCTCTGCTCGTGCGCCGTCAGTCTCCGGATCCGAACAGGGCTCTGCACATTGATCAGCAGCTTATCGTGCATTTTTGTTCCTTCGCCATCGCGCGTCACACGGGCGTGTTAGCAAGCATCTAAACCGTGGTGGCCTTGGCATCAAACGTGCAGCTCGCACAAGTAAACATATATATACTGCCCCGTCTGTGACGTCTTTGGACCTCATCCACTTCTCGAGTCAACCAGCTCCCCTTTGAGCAATCTTATCATCGCTTAAGCCCTTTCGCTGCGACCTACCCTCAAACCCCACCGTTTCGCTTTCGGCCATTTCGGCCCACAGCCCCAACATCTGCCACCAACTACTCGAACAACCAGCCCTCTAGCTGAACAGTCGTGGCACTTCACCACCCCACTGCAAACACTTTGCCCTCAAACCCCACGCTTCCTGCCACAATCCCCAACACAAGCTCTCCACGTCAGCAGCAACAAAGCTTCCTACTCGCATATAAACCTTGCGACATTTCATCTCTCTCCACCACCTCACCTTCCCAAGCCACTCAAACAATGTCGTCTCTCGAGGTAACCCACCACCCAGAGGAGGAGTTTGGCTTCCGCGCCCCTTCCATCGATGACCGTACCGCTATTTCTACACCCGCCGACCCCGAGAAGGCGCTTTCGCCATCCGCCACATTCGTCGACCTGGCCGGTGCCGCCCTGGAGAAGAGGAAGGACTCTGACACCTCCCCCTCTCTCTCGCTCACGACCGAGGACACTCTTCCAGTGACCATTGTGGACGAGGTCGCATCCGAGAAGGTTTCGGGCTCGGACCGCCCACAGCTTAGCCAGGGACGCAAGTGGACTCTTCTCGCCATCTTCTCCCTTGCCATGTTCATTGACATCTGGTGCTACTCGGCCTTCTTCATCTTCACCGACCCCATCTCGGTCGACCTCGACGTTCTCTTTGAGCAACAGTCATGGATCATCACCTCGTACTCTGTCACCTTTGCCGCCTTCCTCCTGTTCTGGGGCCGCGTCTCGGACCTGTACTCCGCCAAGCCCGTCTTTGTCTGGGGCTTCGCCATGCTCGGTGTTCTCAACCTCATCATCTCGTTCATGCCCGACAAGTACTCGTTCTTTGTCCTGCGTGCCCTCGCTGGTATCTCTGGCGCCGCCCTCATTCCCGCTTCGTACCGCCTGATCACCTTTGTCTTCCCTCCTGAGGAGCTCGGCATGGCCTTTACCATCTACGGTACCTCGGGTGCCATCTCAAACGTCACCGGCACCATTGTCGCGGGCTTTATCATGTACATTCCCGGCTCTGGCCAGATGGCCGCTTGGCGCTGGTTCTTCCGCATTCTTGCCGCCCTTGTCATCCCCGTCGCCCTCGCCGCCTTCTACATTGTCCCTCGCCCGACCGGTAGCGATGCCCATGCCGACACCAAGACCAAGCTGAAGCGTCTCGACCTCGTCGGCTCGTTCATCATGCTTTCGGCCATCATCCTCCTCATTCTCGGCCTGACTCTTGGTGCCTCTTACGGCTGGAAGAAGCCTGGCTTCCTTGTCCCCTTCCTCCTCTCGTTTGTGCTCTTCCCCCTCTTCTTCATCTGGGAGGCCCGCATCCCTGAGGAGTACGCTCTCATCCCCCCCAAGACCTGGGCCATCCCCAACTTTACCGTCTGGATCGTCTTTGCTCTCCAGATCTACCCTTGGTGGGGCGTCAACTTCCTCGCCCTTGTCGAAGTCTTCACCACCGTTCACGGTGAAAAGGCCATCATCGCTGCCGTCCGCGTCCTTCCCCAGGGCATTATTGCCTTTGCCGTCACCCTCCTCCTCACCTGGAAGCCCCAGCTCGTCTCGCGCCCCCGCTACACTGTCACCATCGGTATGGTATTTGGCATTATCGGATACGTTCTCATGACCCGCCCCACGAGCTACATTGGCGCCGAGTACTGGAAGTTCCTCTTCCCGGCCTTCATCCTCGGTTCCGGTGGTCTCATGGCTGCCTTCACCGCCACCAACGTCGGTGTCATGACCTCTGTCCCTGCCGAGTCGTCTGGTGTTGCCGGCGCCGTCCTCCAGGTCTCCTACCAGGTCGGTTCGGCTGTCGGATTCTCCATCCAGGCCGGTCTCTTCACTGTCAACCCGGGATCCATCTCGAACCCCGCCAACGTCCACGCCTCGTTCTACTTCCAGATGGGCTGGGCGGCCCTCTGGCTCATTGGCTTCCTCGCCTTCTTCCGCCAGGCGAAGCGTTCCGTCTCGTCTGACGCGGACGGAGCTGAGCAGGGCAGGGTGATCATCACTGCTCACTAAAGCCTCTGGCCTCTGGCATATCCAACTTTCCCCAACTCTCATTCACACCACTGCATCGTCACCACTCTGCTCCCACATTAGCATCACACATCGTATATTTTTACAACAAATCCAATAAAACCTGTCTCGCCATAGAGCCTTACAACAATGTCTTCATATCCATGCAATTTTGTTAGCATTACCACTGTTGCGCAGCATCGATTATTCGTTACCTCTAATGAGTTTCCTGACAAGTCCCCAAAAGTAAACTTTTTCTGGGTAGCGCATACGAAATGCCCCACAGATTCCCCCCCCCCCCAACGTCTTCGCCATTAATGTATACAGTAACCCAGCCCTGACCATGCTGCAATACCGTACCAAACAGCACAGTAGCAGCCATGCATCTGGGGTAAGGAATCTCCGCAGCGTGTCTGCCACGTCGTGTGGCGGCTGAGTCATCGGATTATTGATACACACGTTGAAAACGAGGAGGCATGACGTCAAAAATAGCAACATAACAACACGTCTAACGCTCGTGCATTCAATGCCACTTGTGTCCTTGGTCACAGGTTGAGTCATCCTGATGGACTCTCCGTGCTTGCAGTTCATGTATGCAAAGCATATAATGGCCCAAAATGACGCTCGAAAGGTCGCGCACCAACCACCAACACCACCTCCCCACACACAACCAACTCGGCCACTGCCAAACCATGTCCCAACCAGCATCAAGTGAGTGGAACTCCTCTTGGGTGGAGCCCAGATGCTGACCACCAGTGTCCGACGCTATGAACGCCATCGTGATCACCAAGTTTGGTGGCCCCGAGGTCCTCGAGTTCCAGACCGTCGCCAAGCCAGTCCCCACAGTCGGTGAAGTGACCATCCAAGTCAAGGCTTTCGGCCTCAACCACGCTGAACACCACATGCGCGCGGGCGAATGGGACGTCTACAACCGCATCAGCGGTCTCGAGGCTGTCGGGATCGTCACGGCATGCCCTGGGGGCGAGTTGAACGTCGGCGACAAGGTCATTGCCGCCATGGGCGGCATGGGACGCGAGCGTCCAGGCAGCTATGGCGAGTATGTCAACGTACCGGCGTCGAACGTGGCGGCCGTCAAGACCGACCTCCCTTGGGAAGTGCTCGCGGCCTTGCCAGAGGTATACCTCGTCGCTTGGACGTGTCTGTTCACCATCCTTGATTTGAAGAAAGGCGAGCGTCTCCTCCTCCGCGGCGCAACTAGCACCCTGGGTGATGCAGCGCTCAAGCTGGCCGCTTCGGCCGGTGCCATAGTGACCGCTACGACACGCACGGCCAACCGCTTTGCCCAACTGTGCACCGCTGGAGCCACCCACACCCTCCTCGAGCACCCCAACCTCGCCTCCGAGTTACCCTCACACTGCACGTTTGACAAGACGCTCAACCTCATTGGCAACTCGGTCCTTGTCGAGTCCATCGCCCTCACCCGCCCGCACGGTCGCATGCTCCAAGCCGGCTGGCTGGGCGGTCTCACTCCCCTGGTCGGCTTCAACCCCATGCTTGAGATGGCGAGTGGAGTCCATTTCTCGCTCTTCCACAGCAAGACTCTGGGCGGTCCCGCGTTCCCGCTCAAGGATATCCCCGTACAGGCGATTGTGGATCTTGTGGAGAGCGGCCAGATTGACGCGTCTCCCAAAAGGGTCTTTCGTTATAGAGATATTGTGGCCGCGCACCAGATGCTGGACTCGGGTGTCGGTGGCAAGCTTGTAGTCACTCATGAAATGTGAAAAGTGAAATACGGCGGCAACAAAAGGACTCGTGCCATCAACAAGCCACCTCTAAGTCCCGACCCATGGCTCCGAGATCAGAGCAAAGGCAGCCAAAAGGATCCAAAACGACGTGTTAACGTATTTATCGCCACCTCGTTTCGATCGAGGGATCTCCAGGTGATCACAGCAGTAGGTATGAGCCTGGCGCTTTCCCACTAAGCCATAGCGATGTTGACGTTTAACAAAAACGAAGTGGGACACTGTTTCGGTCCCCGCGGACGCAGTGTCTGAAAATCAACGACTCGCAGACAAGTCGCAGGATTGAGGAACCGCCTATGCATGTACATGGCGCGTGCTTAGCACACCGCCTTACAGAACATGCTTATCTCGTATCGACCAGCTCACCGTTGAGGAGGTGGCATCTTAACGCCCGTACATGCAAATGTGGCGCCAGCGCAACTTTACGGGACATTTTGGCGTCATCTCACCAGTGAACCAATACCATGCCCCGCTCAAAGCATCTATAAAAAGCTTTTCATCTCACCATGCAAACCAGACTAGCACAGATACGGGCACCAGTACACTAGCACAGTTGTCCAAAAGCAAGCGAGGTCGAAACTATCAAAAAATAGAAAATGGTGATAAAATAGTCGGAAAATATGACGTGATTTATTCTTCTGATTGTCGCACACCATGGCGGAGCATGGGTGCAGCACGCTAGACGGCACTGGTGTTAGTCGCCGCACTGGTGTCCGTTGGCGCCGTGGGCAGGTCATCGATACGGCCGAGAAGCCACTGGATGTGCAGCAGCGCCGCGCGGGGCTGGTACTGCGGCTGCATGTGGCCGGCCTGGAACGCCTCGACCCACATGAGCCCGCGCTCATAGTGCTTGATGCCCATGGTGCCCTGCGGGTCGGAGGCGACGTAGCCCTGGAGCGGGGCCCAGACCTGGTCGGGCTGCGCGACGTACAGCGTGTCGTTGGGCTGGGACTGGAAGCCCATGGCGCCGTTCCACGTCATGTTCTGGATGGCGAGGAGGGTGCCGTTGGTGATGATGACAAAGTCCCAGTCGGCGTTGGAGACGAGGACGCGGTTCGTGTGCTCGATGACGTTGGGGAGGACGTGTTGGATGGAGTCGGGCGAATTGTCGCCGTTGGGGAAGACGGGGACGCTGGCGCAGTCGGTCCAGTTGACGGACGTGGGGGCGTGCATGGCGGCAATGACATCGGGGCGGCGGAAGTAGACGTCGGTGCCCGGTGTGGCGACTCCAATACCGGCAGGTGTTGCGAGGGGGTCGAACGGCGCCGGACAGTTGTCGACAATCTCGTACAGGTTGAAGCAAGGGTTGATGACGAATGCGCCCTCGAGGGCGAGGTCAAAGACGTCGCAGCTGGCGTTGACGGTGTAGTTCCACTTGGGCAAGGCAGGCTGTTGTCCTGCGGGAGGGAACTTGAGCCACTGGTCGATGTAGGCTTCAAACCCACACAACTTGTGCAGCTGCTCCAACTGGGAAAGGTAGGTGTCGTTCAGACCCCACAGGTCGTTGTTCTTGGCCACATGCGGGTACGCCGTGATCTCCTGCTGGATGTTCTCATAGTCGCCAATACACGGGTCATACACCAGGGCACCCGAGACGTTGAAAAACTCGGTGTTGTTCGAGTCGACCATCGCCGAGGCAATGTATGGCACGTAACGACCAGCATAGGACTCGCCAGTCACGTAGATCTTGTAGTTGGAGATGCCAAACGTCGTTTGGAAGTTCTGGAAGAACTTGAGAAAGTCTGCAGCAATGTCGTATTCGTTTTGCGCCGTCGGCGTACCAATCGAAAAGCCAGTGCCGACGGGCTGCTCAACCCTGGGACCAGTTAGGGCACTTTTACGGTTCAACAACTCACCAGATCATGTTGGTCTCCTTGTCCCAGCTGTAGGGATTGGCCACGGGAACGTACGTCGATGGCTGCCATATGATAGGCCCGTTCTCCTGGAACCATCCCTCGAGCGAGGAGCAGCCTGGTCCACCGTTGAGCCAGATAGTGAGGTCATCCACGGGGTCGCCATCACGGGGCTTGAAGACGAAGAAGAGCCCCCTGGAGGTATCGTTGGAGTCGATCGGCATGAGTCCAGAGTACATTTCTCCAAAGTCCCAGTTGACCTCTGGCAGGCTGGAGACGAGGAACGCTGGGTATCGTCAAGTTCTGTTACACATTCACAACTCACGCTCGGTCTTGTTGGTTTTGTAACGGTACGTGACATTGGAGGCTGTCGTATTGGAAGTGTCGTGCAGCGAGGCAAAGTTGGTCGAAAAGTCGAGGTCGTGCAGTTCCGGATAGTCGACGACCAAGTCGGGACGATCACGGAAACCCTTTCCACCACGCTGCGCCGCATACGCGGCTGGCAGTAGAGCCAAAAGGAGGGACAGCATACTATGCCTATGCTGAAGAGGAGTGGGGCCTGTCTCACTCATTTTCGACCGCCATTCCTCGCAAGTTATGTATCTGAACAGCCTCCACTTTGAGTGACCAGTGACGTAAGTGCCTTCTGACATAGACTCGCCCATCACCCCACGCATCCCCCCACCGCTGCCGACCAGTCCCGAATTTGGGCCAGCATGGACAGCATGGACAGCATGACACCACATGGTTCTTCACTGCATTCCGCATTGTGAACGTCGGCGGACGGCTGCGGATGGGTCACATGTGGAACCGAGACAGGACAGGAACGCTGGAACCTGGTCCAACGACATCGCCTCCGCACTAGCGAGCCTCGTGATAAAACCACCAGGTGACGAAACTGGTTGCAACTGCCCTTGAAACCGAATGTTTGTGGTAGCAAAGCGCGGCGTCTCTTAAGTTTGTTGGGCGGGCTTTAGCTTTGTTCTCAGCTCGGACCAGAGCAGTAGTTGGTACACCAGGTTCTGGGTGACCGCCCACGGCGTTTTCTGCCGGCCGTCGTCGTCTGAGTGGTTGTGAGGAGGGCTTCCAGCTCTTTGCCAGCTCCGCCTGACACCTCTAGACGTAGCGACTTGGATGAGCTAGACGTGTAAACGCGACACTTGACACTTGGTGGGACACTATGTGAACCCATGTGGGAAAAGGGTAACATGCGCATGCCCATGTATGATGTCATTTTGTACGATCAAAGTTGCCGTGTGTCGGGCTTGCTCAAGCGAGGCGCCGAGCTCACTCGTATGCCGCATTGAAGAATGCCAGCTCGAGGTTGACGGCGCGTGTGAACATGTCCTCCATGCGGGCAAGAGTCGCGGCGTCGGCAGTGGAAGCGACACGGTCGGTCTCTGAGCGAAGAAGGTCGACCCAGGCTTCGAACGCGTCGCCGCGGTGCAGGTCGATCCACTCGGCGAACACCCAGTCGGACGGCGTGGGACGGGGCGTCTCGGGGGTTGCCCAGTCGAGGTACAGCCACTCGGCAACGAGGAGGACCACGAGTGCGCTGGCATAGTCGCCACGGCGTGCCTCGTTCATGAGGTCAATAAACCCGCGAGTTGGGGCCAAGGGCGCGGGTGGAGCAGCGTTCGGACGCAAGCGAGCGAGGGCGCGCGTAAAGTATCCGTCCTCGTCACTAGCCACGAACCCCAGCTGACGACCGATGGCCATGCGTGCTTTGGGGTCGTCGGCATTTGACACGGCGCCGCCCATGAGGGCGACAAAGGCGTCACAGAAGAGCGCATCCTGCGCCAGGTAGGTCGAGATGACGGGCTCCGGGACGGTGCCGAGCCACAGCTCCTCCACGAAGCGATGACCGACGGCGGCCGACCAGATGCCTTCAGTCTTGGCGCGAAGCTGGGCTGAGAACGACATGGCGAGAGGGTGTGTTGTTGAAGAGCAGCGTTGAGTGCAAGTTGTGGACAGACCCCAGATCCCCAGACATCGGCGACTTGGCAGGAACCTGATCACGTGAGCAACATGAATTAAACATGCCGAACAGTCCGCTAGTCCGTCCCGAGTCGATGAGTCGGACGTCCGCCACGATCCCCAATGAAACGTCCGTTCCGAGATGTGGCTCGTTCTTGCACACGGGCACTGGGTGACGCTCAGGTCAGGGATGTGGGTGCGTGGGCCCCGCGATGAATACTGAAAGACAGTTGGTTACAATCCACATGAAGCGAGTACTACAACTGACACATGGCCAGGCTGTTGAGGTGTAGTGTGCGCAGACGAGAAATCACGACCACCGAAAGCAGATGGTCGTGACGGAAGTCCCCCAGTTCGATAGAACCGGTGCTGGACCCTTCCTGCATAACGGCCGGAACACTGAACAACAAACTCTGCATGCTAATTGCCAGACATCAATCATCAGGCATCACCGGGAACACCTGTCCACTGCTATCCTATCCCAAACTCGTCTCTTTTGTCTCTTTAGCGGTACTGATATCCACCTTGTCCCTGGCCCTGGCCCTGTCCATACTGCGCTGGAGGCTGATATCCGCCATATCCCTGTGGAGGTTGCTGAGGCTGGCCGTATACGGGCTGCTGCTGGGGCGCTTGGGGCTGGCCATATACAGGTTGCTGGGGAGCTTGGGGCTGGCCATACGCAGGCTGCTGAGGCGGCTGGGGGTATGCAGTCGGCGGTGCGTAGGACGGGTACGCGGGCCTCTGGGGCTGTTGTTGCGGGGGCTGTGGGTAGCTGCCGTATTGTTGCTGCTGCTGCTGTGGTTGCTGCTGCTGCTGCTGCGTCTGAGGAGGCGCATACGACGGATATCCGCTCGGCGCCTGAGGTTGAGCTGGCGGAGCGCCGTAGCTTGGCCTCGAGGGAGGAGGAGGCGGGTACGCAGACGTTGTGGGAGGGGGGGATGGGTAGGCCGCTGTCGACGGGCGGTACTGGCCTGGAGGCGGCGGGTACGGTGAGGTCGTGGGAGGCAAGGCGGAAGATGTAGGTGGCGCCGAGGGGGCTGACGGGAAGGAAGGGTAGTTGTATCCACTCGAAGCTTGGCGCTGTGGCGCAGGCGGCGAGGGTGCGGCTGGGTAAGCCGACGGTTGGGAAGGCGACGAAGCAGTGGGTGGCGGGGCGGTGTTGAATGCCGAGTTGAATGAGCCGAGCGAAGAAAAGTCGTAAGGGTTGTGCGCGGCTCCTGGGGAACTAGGATTGCGTGGAGGAGGGAACAGTGCCGATGCGGGTGGGGAGGGGTAGGCACTCGAGCTGGGAGGAGGCGACGTCGAGCCGTACGCTGCCGGAGCGCGGGGAGATCCACCGCCGACACCTGACAGACTCAGTCCAGACAGCTGCGAGTCCAGGCCGCGCGAACCCGAGGCGGGAGACGGGGCGGCGGGTACTGGGGGAGCGGTAGCCGAGGATGCGATACGGTTACGAGTCTCAATCTCGGACACCATGCGGGACCGCTCGGCGTCGCGCGAGCTAAGGAATCCACGCACTTCGCGCTTCAGGTCTGCAACGACCTGGTTGAGCGATTCGTAGTATGCCAACCCCTTGCCGAGACCAGCAACGACCTCGGCATGGCTCGTGCCCGACCTCTCGAGCCTGCGTTCCCAGTCGCGCACGCGCTTGGCCTGCTCCTTGGCTCCGCGGTTGCGCTCGCGCACGGTCTTGCCGCGCTCGACGGTACCGACCAGGGCCTCGAGCTCGGTGGTGATGGACTTGCTGGCAGCAATAGTGGCGGCGAGGCGGGACTGGTAAGGGTGGAACTTTTCCAACTCGGTAGCAAAAAGCTGCGGCTCGACATTCTGTGACCGCCTGTTGAGCAAGAGAAGGTTGGACACGTCGTCGTTCTGAATCTTCTCCTTGAGGTCTTTGAGGACCTCGTCACGCTCGTGACGGATCTTGGTCAGACGGTCCAGCTTCTCAGTCGCCTCGGCCACGGCCTTGCGCAGCTCTTCCTGCTCGCCGGCGTCCATGCGCTGTTTGACCTGCTCCTCATCCTCGAGGTCGAGGAGGCTCATGCCAGCCGGAACCTCGGCGACCTTGTTCTTGCCCGCGGCAACGTCCTTGGCCTGTGCGCGCACGCCCTCGGGTCCAGCACCCAGGACGGCCATGTCGGGCTGGATCTCGCGCCAAAGAGACACAATTTGGCCATCTGACGCAGCGGCGCTGGCGAGGGAAGTAAGGTTGGAAGAGATGTTTTGGCGGAAATGAGCCGTCTGCTGGCCGCTGGGCGGTTGCGTAAACTGCGGCGCATACTTGGCGCGCGCACGCTCACACTCGCGTGACTCGGTATCCAGTTCGGCCGCGAGTTCCTGCAGCTCGCGTTCATGGCGAGTGCGCTCACCCTCGAGCTGCCGCACACGGGCGTCGCTGGATCCCGCCTGGGACACCTCGGTGGCAATCCGAATGACCTCCGGGTTGACATCCACCTCTCCGTCGGCGTCCTCGCCCTCTGCGAGTCGACGCCACTGGTTGACTGCGGCGGGCAGACCAAGGTGTTCCAGGGCAGCGCGTACCTCGACCTCGGACAGTTCCGTCCGCTCCACTTCGGCGCGGACGAGCTTTGCCTTTTCTTCAGAGTAGACCGAGGCCGACTCGTGGACCGCCAAGGGAATGAGGCGGAGGAAGATGTCGGGGCCGATGAGCTTGCTCACGTCGGGGTTGCCGTACACCTCCTGGATAGTGATGGGGGTCGCGGGCGGAAGCTTGTCGATGGGGGGAAGGGCAGCCTCAGAGGGGAGAATGTCGTGGTAGACGAGGTCGTTGTCCTTGGTCGCCTGGACCTTGGCCTCGGCACACAAGGTCGCGTGGGCCTTTGCGATTTCAAGCAAGCTCGTGCCGGCGTCGTGGGGCATGGTGGGAGGTGTGCTGGCAACAAAGCCATAGTTGAACGTGTTGGCCAGTCGTTGAGCCTCCTGCGCAAGCGTGTCGGACTGCTTGAACCGCACCAGCGCAGCGCCGTGCTTGCCGCTCGCTTCATCTGCCCGGCCCTTCTGGTACTGTGCCACCGAGGCAAACAGCTTGGCCTTTGTCTGGAGCACGTACATCCAGTTCCGGTCAAACACGCCCTTTCCTTGGAACTCGCGCATCTCATCCACCAGCCCACCATACATGCCCGCGACCTGGTTGGCGGTACGCGCAACGAGTCCTGGGGCTTTGTGTTCCTCGACGAGCTTTTCCATAAACACCTCGGTGGCCTGGGCCAAGCTCAGGTTGATGAGGAGGTGCACGACGTCGCGGGACAAGTCGGTGCTGGGTGCGTGCAAGAAGTTTTCGTTGATATACGTCAACATGCCTGCGGTCGCGCGAGAGTTGAAGTAGCTCCGCTTCAGGCCCTCTGGGTCGGCGCGGCTCTGAGACGACGCCAAGGACGACAGGACCGACGAAAGGAGGTGGATAATGGACGCCTTTTCAAATGCCAACGACGTCTGTGTCGTGAGTTTGCTAGTGAACGCATCGTTCCTACACGATCAGCACAGGGGCCACGGAAAAAGAGTAGTCCGCCACCCACCATCCAAAAGACACCTTGATCTCGGCAAACCGCAGCTCGAGCAGCTCGAGCTGGCCAAAGTACTTGTACAAGAGGTCGCGGGCTGTCGTCAGTTTTAGATGGCCTTCATAATCCACAACACTCACCAGTGCTGTCGCTTCCAGCACCACGCACGGCATCCTGTCGACACCGCTGGAGGGTACTAATCTCCTCGGCATAGGTGTCGGGGCTCTCGCCAAACGAGTGCGCAATCGTGGACCGGATGGGCCCCGCCCAGTCCGTGTCCGTCGTGGTCTTGCGCGGGATCACAAGCAGAGGCGACTGGTGGGCCATGGCTGTGAACGTGCGCTAGTTGCGATTGAGAGATGTAAGAAGAGGAGATGGAGGAGACAAGTAACGACGACTCGGAAGCGTTGGAGGCGTTGGCCGGGCACCGCTGTTGCATGCGGGGAATCGTGCGTCACCGCCCACCCACCGCAGCCGACCGAGCGGGAGCATTTGCTCGTCATGTTCATGGACGTTCGGGCCACCAGGTGTTGCTGCCAAGAACGGCGCCGCAAGGGGTGTTCCTCTTGGCCATCTATGCATGCACCTCTCATTATTGGAGTTGCAGCTGCAGATGCGACAAGTCCTGCATGCTTGCTCTCACCTTTTCGGCCGGCGTTGCAGCAACTATGATCCAGAAGTCCGCGTTCCCCACGGGGTAGCCACCGGGAAATCTGCTCCCGCTGCACACCAGCAAAGAGTCATTGTCGAAGTCGAACTGACATTGTCCCGTCGTCCTCCACATCAACAACCATGGCCTCGTCAAGTTCAGTGCCCGGCAGCCGCGTCCCCCAGGGAGAGGTCATTATGGACGTGAGTGGCGACTCATGATTGCAGCGGCCACGGCCTCTCTGAACCTCCTGTTGTTCGGCCTGCACATCCACCCTTTCCAGCTAAGCCCCCTCCGTCTGAAGCTGACATGACCAGTTCGCCGACGGTGGCCAGTACATCAAGCGTATGTCTGCGTGCTTACCAAACCGCACCGTTGACCTTTTTTCCAGACCAGCTCGAGAACTCGGTTGTCGCCCTTGAGCGCCGCCGCCTTACGCGCGACGAGGCCGCCAAGGCCAGCCGCGCGATGGAGGCGTTGGAAGTCAAGGCTCCTGCCCCCGTCAACGCCGCCGATGCCGACCTTATCGTGAGCAACCCCTCCGGGCTGTGGCACTCTTAGGTAGCTGACTTTTGCTTTGCTTTTGCAGGTCAAGGAGCTCGGTGTTTCGCGCGAGGAGGCCGAGAACGCCCTGCGTTCCGAGAAGGACGTGACCAAGGCGCTGGTCAAGCTTACTGCTCCCCGCAGGTAGACGGTAGACATGTTTGGATAGCCCCTTTTGCAGAGGGGAGAGAGAGAGAAGAGATACACAACATGCATTATACACTATATGCCCTTCGTCCTGTTACATGGGGCTCTCTATGCCTTGTGGTTGGGTGCGGGTCCTTGCGGGTCGTGAGAAGACCGCAGTTGGTTTTGAATCGTGGAAGGGAGGTGGAGAAAAGGTCTTGCCAGCTCTCACTTGCGGTCGCGATGGGTATCAAGGTCGATAAACGTTTGCTTGGTGACATCCGCCTGCTGCTCGCGGTTTAGACCTCCTCGAGGAAGCCTTGCACGATGAGGCGCTCGACCTGGCTCCTCTCCAGCCTAAACCTGTCGCCCTTTATAAACTCGACCCGCTCGCCGCCTTCAAGAACGACCTCGCCCGCGTCCTTGAGGACACGCACGTCGACCATGAGCTCTCCCGGCGGCCGGTCAATCGGCGCCGCGAGGTCGAGGACGTCCAGGAAATCCGACTTGTAATCGAGGACCAGCGAGTTGTATCCGCGCATAAAGTCTAGTTCTTGCGGCGAGAGTGCAGACCGCAGGTCGGGTGCGTCCACGTCGGCAGACACGTTTGCGCTGGCGGCGGGAGAGAGGAGGTAGGCGAGCGCACCGCCGGCGTCCCACCAGCGCTCCTTGATGCCACCCAAGCGCGAGTGGAGGTATGCAAGGAGGCAGCGCTTATTGCGCCGCGCGGCGAGGTGTTGCACGGTGAGTGCACATACGAGTGCGTTGTCTTGAGAGAGGGCAGAGCCGTGTGTCTCGGTCGCAGCCTGGATGGCGGCGCCCAGCTGGCGTGTCTCGAGGCAGATGGCAAGGATGAGCGGGAGGGCGTATTTGGGCAAGGGGAGTTGGGGGGCTGTTGCTTGTGTGGAGCGGTACGATCCTGTGACGAGTTGCAGAGCAAGGTCACCGTGCATGGTGCCGAGGATGTGACTGAGGGGTTGTTGGTTTTGTTGTTGTTGAGAATGGGAGGTTGTTGTTGATTTGTGTAGGGCACAATACGCGTCGGTAGCAGCGGGCAACTGCACCAGCGCGCGTCAGTGGAGGACGACAGCGAGGACGGAAGTAAATACCCCACGTGTCTTTACGTAATAAAAACATGACCCCCTTCCCCGGGTGGGTCGGGAATGGTCGGCCCTTGTGTGCCACGGGTGTGCCAGTGCGTGTGCCGTTCGGTGGCCCGTGACGCGGGTGATTTTGCTCCCGCCTGCCACTGTTTTGTATGGGGCCTGCTTTCTGGGTGAAGACCTTCGGCTGGCAGCGCCGTTTGGGTGCGGTGTGTACGGTGTGCGTGCGTGCACACACGGGGCAGCGCGGCTGCCACCGTACAGGTGTGCGGCCCACCGGCCGTGAGCGGGCCTTCCGCAACCACATCCACACACACCTGGGCACTCTCCTACTTCATCTCCCTCTCCTCCCTCCTCCCTTCACCATCCACATCCCCTCCATCGCCATGCTCCGCAACACCGTCCGCTCCGCCGCCCGCGGTACGTTGCCCCTCACAACGCCCAGGCTCCCAGCAACGCTCTGCAAACGGCGCGCGCGCTCTGCCTGGGTGCTGGGCGTTTTAACCGGAAGGATGTCCACGCTGACACTTTGACAGCCTCGCGCCAGTTCTCGTCTTCGGCCCGCGTTGCCTCGTACGAGGACACCATCGGCAACATCTATGTCAGTGAGTACCTACTACACAAGCCCCGCACACGATGCGGGGGAGATAACGCTCGTATCCGGCGGCTAACGAGCGCCAGACAAGGACAGCAAGGTCCTCATCCAGGGCTTCACCGGCAAGACGGTACGTGGTGTTTCCCCGATCATGTCGACTGCAACGACCATTGTTTACTGATACGCGCGCAGGGTACCTTCCACGCCCAGCAGTCCATTGCCTACGGCACCCGTGTTATCGGTGGTGTTAACCCCAAGGCGAGTACTTTTCCCAGCGAGGAACGGCGAGAGTCTCAAGTCGGCAGCTGGTGGTAGCGAGAGAGGGTGGGATGGTGGTGTCGTCGTGTCCAACGACGTGGCCTCTGAGCAGGCCTCTGACGACAACACACAACCACCTGGTGGTCTTGCTGCTGCCGGCAACCAACTTGGGCTCCCGGCTATACTCTCCCGTGCATACCGCTTACACCCCTCCAGAAGGCCGGCCAGACCCACCTTGGCCTGCCCGTCTTCGGCTCCGTCAAGGAGGCCATGGCCGCCGAGCAGCCCGACGCTACTGTCATCTACGTTCCCCCCGCGGGTGCCGCCGATGCCATCATTGAGGCTATTGAGAACGAGGTCAAGCTCATCGTCACCATCACTGAGGGTATCCCCCAGCGTGACCAGCTCAAGGTCTACAACGCTCTCCGCTCGCAGTCCAAGTCGCGCATGGTCGGCGGTAACTGCCCCGGTGTCATGAGCGAGACCTGTAAGCTCGGTATCATGCCCGGCCAGGTCTTCTCGCAGGGCAACATTGGTATCGTCTCGCGTTCGGGTACCCTTACCTACGAGGCCGTCAAGTGAGTGTAAAAGTAAAGCCTGACGACAGCTGCTCTTGATCGCAAAGCAGCTGTCGCTATGCCGTACAATCGCCTTCCCCGGCGCAACTGCTAACAACTCCTTCAGCCAGACCACCATGGCCGGTCTCGGCCAGTCGCTCACTGTCGGTATCGGTGGTGACCCCTTCCCCGGCACCCAGCACCTTGACGTTGTCAAGATCCTCCTCTCGGACCCCAAGACCGAGGGTATCGTCCTGATCGGTGAGATCGGTGGCTCGATGGAGGAGGAGGCTGCCGAGTACCTCAAGCAGTACAACTCGGGCCCCAACGCCAAGCCCGTCGTCTCGTTCATTGCCGGCCGCACCGCCCCTCCCGGCCGTCGCATGGGCCACGCCGGTGCCATCATCGCCGGCGGCAAGGGTGCCGCCTCGGACAAGGTCAAGGCCCTCGAGGCCGCTGGCGCCATCATTGCCCAGTCGCCCGGCCAGATCGGTGCCCTCATGCACGAGGCCATGAAGAAGATCGGCAAGGCCTAAATCCAGTCCTATCTCTTTCGACAAAATCGGATTACCACCCACAACATCCACCCCCCCCCCCCCCCCCTTCCCCCTTCCCCCCCTCCCCACCCCCTTTAATCTCTGATCCGTAGAGGTCCCGGAGCAGGAGATGTCCCCTTCGTCCCCGGCCGTGACGGGGGCAGAGGGTGGAAAAACAAACTCTCCAATACATGATGTCGTAGAACGCATGAAGCATTACACCAAAGCAGCCACTGTCACTGAGCATGAGATGAGGACGAGCTGGCATGGCATGGAGGCACATGAGCAAGGCAGTGGAGGGGATCACCTGACTTGCCGAGGATATCCGATCCCCACCGACGAATGGCTCTGCGCGTAAACGCTTGGCTCATGACGGTGGTACGGTGGGCGTCATGGGTCATGCGCATGGAACTGAGTGAGTTGCATGCGGCACGCTCGGCCCCGGAAAAGCGTCCATTAGAGTCGTCGGCTCGGCGCCTCAGAACCTTTCTTTCCCCCTCCTTGGCCCGCTGGCCCCCGTCGTCCGTCGTCCGTCGTCCGTCGTCCGTCGTCTGCCTTTTCGTCGTCGCACGCCAGACCCGTTCTTTACTCATTCACATGTGTGGGAGTGCGAGGGGCTCCCACCACCCCCGCCACCCCACCACCGTTCCCCGGGGTGCCATGGGCTTGGCACGCAGCCAGCCCCACCTCGCCCGTTGGAGAAGCCAGCGTGCCATCTGTACGTTCTTGGGGGCTTGTGGAATGTGGCGCCACCAAATGCAGCAGCCTCAAGTGTAACGACAGCATGCAGTGTCTCGGCAGGCCACCACCGCGACTCCATTTTGTAAATCCCCTACTGACGCGTGCTCGCCTGTGTCAGTACTGCGTACACCTCAGCCTCAGCTCGAATGTTTGGGGACAGGCAATGGCATGGGTCACTCTACGGGTTTGGCAGGTCGGTGGGGATTGGGGGAGGGGGCGTGCAGGGGGGGGGGACATGCGGGTTGGGGGTAGAGTAGTGCTACAAAAGAGTCCGTTGGGCGCCGAGGCAGCGCGCGCAGCTTGCGCCCTTTGCCGAGAAGAACAAAAAAAGAAAAGGAAACCCCCTACACTCTCGTCTGGTGTATAAGAGAGACAGAGAGGTCTGGGGGGCTCGCGCGTCCTTTTTGTTTGTGGGAGAAGGGAGGAGTATTAGCCGTTCGAAGAAATTGGAAGGGGTGGCGGGAACAAGTGGGTGAGGTCATTGCGTATCGTTCGTTGGCGAGAGAGTTGAGAGAGAGAGAGAAATGCGTAGTCGGAGTCTAGGTTGCCGGAGGGCCATGAGAGGGGTGACGATCAAGAACCAAGAAAAAAACAACAAGTAAAATCCGTATTGTGCTCTTCCTTTTTTACTTTGCCTTTGAGAAGATCGACTTGATGCCCCTCCTGCGCTCCTTCTTGTCGGCAGTCTGGGGCACGCTGTCGACGACCGTGTGGCGGTTCTCGGTCTTGAGGAACCGTCCAAAGCTGCCGGTCGATGCCGCGGCCGGTCGCTGCATGTACATGCTCTGGACGTTGCGGCCGGACTGCTGCTGGTCAAAGTCCATCAGGTCTTCGGCGCCCAGGTTCAGGTTGATGGGCGACACGGCGGTGGAGCGACGCACGCGGCTGTCCGACGACAAAAAGTCAAAGCTGGCGCGCGGCTGGATCGTGCGTGCCGGCTGGAGGTATGGCGGGCTGGGGCCGTTGGCATGCTGCTGTTGCTGCTGCTGCTGGTGGTGGGTCGGGATGATGCCGTTGGCCTGACCGTTCATCGACGGCGTGATGGACGCCATGGACTGCTGCGACAGAGACGACTGGTGGTACCTCGGCGACGCGGTGGGGAAGTAGTCGGACGACGGGGGGAGGGCAGCACGGTGCACGGTTGGGGCCTCGGAGACAGCCACAGACGTGCGCTGGTTGCCACCCATATGCTTGGGGTCGTACATGCGCGCACGCAGCTGGATCGACTGGTTGTCAAAGTCGGCGTACATGTCGCCAGGTGCCAGGCCGTTGGGGGAAATCATCCCAGGCGCCATCCCAGGCGGGAGAGGAGGCAGGTTCTTTTGGCGGTTGGGGCTCGTGTTGCCCTGCGGCATGAGGTAGGCCGAGTTGAGGTCTGGCGACTCGAGGTTGCCCGAATAGCGGCTCGACACGGACTGCTGGGTGTTCTGGCGATACGCAGACGTGCCATAAGGAGCACGGTCGACGCCGTTGGACGCAAACATTGACTCGCGCGAGTTGATGGACTGCGGCTCGTCGTACTTTGGCGTGTCTGGGGTGACGAGGGCGTTCGAGTTGCTCGCGTGCGAACTGCCCGTGAGCATCTCCATGACGGAGCCGCGCTGGGGGTTGAAGCCTGCGTCGGCGCCGGGCGGGAGCTCGGGGGCAGGCTCAGTGCGGCGACGGGGAGGGCCAAGACCCGGCTGGCTCGGGGGAGTCATAACCTGGTCCATCTGGAAGCGGGAGCTTGTAGGGCTCACGCTGCCACTGCCACCAGACGAGGCACCGCCAATGGGTGCAGAGACCGAACGAGTAGTGTTAAGCGTGCTGTTGGGCGAGTTGATTTGGGGCGACAGCGACGACTGCGAGTCGTTGGCCATGGACGAGCTCGACCCGGAGCGCTGGCGGTTGTGGCCGACAAGGAACGCCATGGGTGGAGGCGGGGCAAGCTCAGCCGACGAAACGCGCACCTCTTCGGTATGGTGGTTGGGCACCACAAGCGTCTCGGGCCGGTCCTTTTTACCCTTTGGCTTCATCTTTTGGAGCAGGCCCTTGATGCCCTTCTTCTTGTTCGGAACCTCAAAGTCGTCGTACAGAGACATCTGCGTGAGGCGTGACGTGCTGACGGAACGTGCACGACGCTCGCGAAGCGGTGCGGGAGGCTCCTCGTTGGGCACATACGTCGAGGATCCCACGGATTGCTGGCGACCAGGCATGGGAGGGCGCGCGGGCGACAGCGAGGGCATGATGCGAGGTGGTTCGTGGACCTGGTACGACGACGTGCGGTTCCGGCGATCAGCCTCGAGGCCGAGGTGCATGTCCATCATGCTTCCACTGCCACCATGCGAGCCCGTAAACAGACTCGTGACACTGCCACCGAACCGGCCAAAGAAGCTGCGACGGTTGTGGCTGCCTTCGCTACCCTCGCCGCGAGCAGCGCCTGCACGAACGGCAAACGAGAACGGACGGAGGTTGCCCGATGCTGGAGAAGCAGGAGGCCAGAGACCTTCGTCGTCTGACCAGTCGTCGGTGTAGTACCGCGAGTCGCGGCCCTTTGTCGAGCCGCTGGGCGCCTTGTAGTGGCTGATACGGTTCTGCGGGAGGGTCGGCGACAGCTGGCTAGGTGGGCTAGGTCCAGTGCTGAGGTACAGCGACGGCCGGTTGTTGAGGGCTGGCATGTCCACGTTACGCTCCGAGTACTGCGTCTTGGGACGAGCGCGCTGCGTGACCTGACTGCCGAGACCGGCCGGAGTGGACGGGCTCTGGCGCAGGCCGAGAAGCTCTCGAGACGGCACAGGGGCAACTGGAGCAGAGCGCGCAGTGTTGACGGACACGGCCTTGAGGGACGGCGCGCCGTGGTCGATGCTGGTCTGCCTTGGGCCGCGGCGTGAGCTGCTGGCCACTCCATTCTCTTGGCTGGTCTCGTTCGAGTCGGGATAGTACGGCTCTTCGGGGTCGGGATAGTGACCCAAACGCTGTGCCTCGGACCGGATCTCGAGGATCATGCGGTACTGTCCGCGCAGGTAGCTCTGCAGGATCTGGTAGCGGAGAGCAGAAGCTGAAGGGTACTGGAAAAGTGGGTTAGCTTGCGTACAGTTATACGGGCCCGCGCCCAACTCAGCTCACCATTGTCATGACATTCTTGATCCCCTTCTCGGTCAACGCGCCTGGACGCGTACCACGGAATCCGCGGGGGAAGCCATCACCGCCGGCGCCTTCCTCCCACTTGAACCCACGCCAGCCCACACGGGCAATAGACGCATCGCGCTCGTCACGCTTGGCGCGGCGCGCCTCGCGGCTCTGCTTTCGCAAGGCAGCCTGGCGCTGCTCCTCGGCGAGCGCGCTGGTGTGGGATCGGGGACTGGACACGGACTCGGAGTCGCGGCTGGACTCGTCGTGGCTCATGGCCGAGATGGACAGTTGCTGCGAGTGGTCCGACGACCACGCGCGCAGGACATCGTTCTCGCGCTCCTTGAGGTCCCTCCATCCAGTGTCCGACTCGCGCTCCCAGCATCCCTCGCCCTGAACATCAATGTCCGCGAGGTCGCGGTCGCGCATCATGCACTCGAGACAGACTTCCTCGGGCTGTCGCAGGCCCTGCGGCGGCTGCCTCGGCGGCGCAACTGGACCGCCGGTGGGAATGGCGAGGGACCGGCGCGTGTCGCTGATCTGGGGCGGTGCTGCGGTCGGATATGGCCCAGCGTCCGCAAGACCTGGGATGGCAGGCATGTAGGAAGCCGAGTTGGATGGCTTGTGGCCCGGGTTGAATCCCACTGGTATGGGCGCGGGCATGGATGACGACTTTGGCTGCTGAGGGAAAGTCTCGACAGCGTCGACGCCTGGTGATGTCCCCAGGGACCGCGACTTGTCTGGGGAGCGGTTTGGCGACGGGCGCACATTGGGGAACGGCATGGAAATGGGTTCCCCTGTCAGCCCCAGTCCCGTCATTGTTGTTGGTGGGGAAGTAGCCATTGTCTGTGACGTGACAGAGGAAGATTGGACAGTGGAAGAGCGTTGTTGCTGTTGGCGCAATGGCACAGCAGGCATCGGCATGGGGATAGGCATGGGCATCGGTATCGTCTCGACGGCGGACATTCGGTCCAAGCTGTCGGCCTTGGGAGGGCGCGGGAGAGAGCGTTTCTTAAGGGGGGAGGTGGGTGAGGTTGCCTCGTCTTGTCCGTCCACTGGACTACCGATATCTCCAATGAAGGGAGAAGGTCGCGCGGCAGTTGGTGTAGTGGTTCCAGTCGTGTCGTTGGGGTCAGCGCTCAAGTAGCTAACGTCGGATGTTTCAAGCCCAAAGCTGCCAGTGGTACCGGCCTGTACAGAAGACTCGACAGACGATGCAACTAGTGCGCGCGCAGGACCAGGAACAAGCTTGGACTGAGGTGATGGCGACCCGGGGATGGGGAAGGAGACCTGCTGGGGCTCTTTTTCTTGTTGGCTGTACTCTGCACGCTCGCCGTTCACAAATGGGGGGACAACGTCGTCGGCTGACACACGAGACACGCGGACAGGTGACGCGCTCTTCCTGGCGAGGTGGGGGATGTGGGGCTCGACAATTGTGCGTCGGCGGGGCACACCTGGACTTTCGCGAAGACGCGGCGAGGCGAGGTCAAAGCTGCCACCAGAGTGTGTTGGCGTCAGAGGCGAGGGAATGTTCACCGAGAGCGATGAGAGCGACGAGATGACACGGGCAGCGTTGCGGCCCGTGGCAATCGAGAGGTTTGTTGGGCGCGAGCCTGACGCAGAAGCTTGAGCAGCTGCGGTTGCAATGTTCCACGATAACGGGCGCTGGGGGTCGGCAACGGGTCCGTCGTCGTCGTGCGAGTAGCCTGAAAAGTCGCCAAACGAGTTGCTGTCCAGCGGAGACACGGGAGAAAGGAGGGGGAGGGATCCGAGCGCGGCGGTGGACGACGAGGTGGTGGTGGTGGTGGAGTCGGGGTTCACGAACAAGGGTTTGCGAGGCGCTGTTCCTTCTACGCCTTCTGGCGCCTCGAGCTCGCGGCGGTCGCTACCGCTACCTGCAGCTCCTGTTGGCGGCCGGGTCACAGAGATCCCTGGCGGACTTGCGCTGGCGTTGGCGCTGGAAGATGGCGAGTCGGCGACTGAGCGCGTGTACACGTCGTCGCAAACACTCGCGGCTCGACGAACGTCGGTGCTGGGGCTGTCGGAAGCGGCGGCAGCGGCGGCGGCGGTGCGGTCACCGTGGATGATTGGGGATGGGGAGAGGAGCTGGTTCCGGTCAAGCGACCTTGACGAGGATGACGAGGATACAGTCTGCTCGTTGAAGGAGTACTGCGCCAAAGAGTGTGGGCGAGGGCCGAGCAAGGACGAGGAGCTAGACTCGGCGATGGGCGTTGCGTCGGCGTCAGTGTCGGCGGTGACAGCGCGCACGGATCCTGGTGACGGCGACGAGGGGGAGAGGAGCTGTGCCGAGTCTTTAGGCGGGGAGGAGGGGAAGGATGGTGCCGGAGGTTGGGACTGGGACAGCGAGTCGTGGAACGATGCAAGATGCAGAGATGGAAGATTGGAACCAGAACTCGAAGACCCAAGTCGCTGTGGGTAGTGGTGGAGTGTGCCTGCGGGCAGCGCGTCCAGGACTGGTGGGAGGACTGCTGGGAGGAGGACTCTGGGCCCGTTCGGGTCGGCTGTTGACATGGCGAGGGAAGAAGCGTCGTCGTGCACGCACACTTGACGGCCCGAAGGGGGGTGGGGGGAGTGGAGAGAGGGGGTGGGTGGGAGGGGGTGTGGGAGGGGCCCGTCTGCAGTGGTTTGGTGGGTGTTGGTGTTTGGTGTGTGTGTGGGGAGCAAGAGCTACTGCGGCGGGTCTGGCACTGCCCAACTCTCTCTGGCACGGACGCGCACAGGCAGGGGGGACACACAACCCACAGTGCGTGTCGATGAGGATCCGCTCCGGCAACCAGGGGGAGAGGGCTAGAGGGAACAAGGGTGGGGGGTGGGGGGGGGGGGGGGGGGAGTGTGGGACGACGTGCAGTGCTCTGATGCGTGTGCTGCTGGTGGACGAGACGCACAGGTGCACGATGAAGCGTGTGGGGTACGGCAGGCGGGAGAGATGACTGGGACCTGTCCACGCAAGTACGCGGTGTGTCGTGGTGGGTGTGTTGGGTTTGTGCACGATATTGTTGTCTGTGCGCGCGCGGAAGAGAGACGAGAGACGAGGGAGAGAGAGACGACACGCTGCACGCTGCGAAATCCGGTCGAGCGTGTGTGTTTCAGCCCCTGAACCACAGTGAGCAAAACGACAGCGGTATGGGACACCCGGGTGGTCGGCCTGGGTGGGGGGTGGGTGTTCAGGATATGGGGGGGTGCAACTGCTGCTGCTGCTACTGGTGCTGCTGCTGCTGCTGACACGCTCCCAACCCGCACCGCGGACAAGGCGGACAAGGCGGTGCCCGCACACACGCGTGTAGAGGCAGGCAAAAGGCTCGAGGGCAAAGAGGTCGCCGCTGCCTATGGCTTCAAAAGTGACCTGGCTGTGCAGTGGAGTGCGGTTCTCTGCCAGGGGTTTCACAAGCTGCGCTCTCTGGGAAGGTTGGAGGAGGTGTGGATGGTTGTGCAAGTACGTGTGATGGGATTCCACAACTCTTGTTCTCTGTGTATGCTCTGGCGCTCTGGCGCTCTGGGCTTGATGCTGTGGGTCATCCTCACCTCACCGTTGCGCGTTGCCTTGCATGCCTTGCATGCCTTGTTGCAGTCGCACGACAGAGCTTTGGTGGCGGCGCGCGGCCGGGCAGTGGGTCCTCACGCTGCACGCTGGGCTGGCTGCCTCGCTGGCAACTGGCTGCCTGGGTCGCGGCTGGGCGGCTTGAGCCACACGTTCCACGGGAGGATTCCCGCTGCGCGGCCGGCAAGAGCCACACCGCATAAACGTCGAGGGATCAGGCCAGGAGGCCAGGAGGTGGCAGGAGGGCCAGGAGGCAACGCCTGACTGCCTGCAGGTGCTGCAGGCAGTCAGCTGCACAGGGCTACACCAGCCGCGCAACAACTGCACAGGCGATCAGGCGAGATCTTCCGCCCGCAGTGCCAAGCCTCTTGCGTATCCATTACTCTCTGGCAATAGCTTGCAAAGGCACGCGTTAGAGTTGTCCCCACGGTTTATTTTACGTGGCTTGCGTGCGCAGCCTCTTGTCTAAATTACAAAGTCAAAAACAACAAACGGACAAAAAAAAATACCATCCACACATGCCAACACACCCAAACACACGCAAACCTATGAAATTCTAGTCCCGCTGGGAAACCACAGGTGCAATTGCTTTCGTCATGCGTCACCAGGGTGACCTGGTGTGACCTGGTGACCTGGTGACCTGGGTTGCTGGGTATTTTTGCAGTATCCCGAATGGCACAGTGCCCACTCACCTGCACAGCTGCCAGTAGTGTCCCGGAAGAAGGCCAGAAGCCACCGGGCCACCGAGGGTCAGAGCAGATAGCTTCAAACGCTTTTGCCTGGGGTAAGCAACCAACAGGGGCTCTGGCCGGTGTGGGTGCTGTAAACAGACAAAGCACTCCAGCCCGGCCAGCCCTTTGGCATCGGCAGCCCGTTCGCCTCCGGACTCGACCGGTGACATCTCTGGCCGAGGCAAGGCACGCAACATCAAGGGACCCATGGCTGGCTGGGATCCCTTTGGCACGCGTCGCGAAACAAAACATGACAACACGTCAGAGTGTCGTTTGCCGTTTGCCGGGCGACCGCGTTGTACTGTATATGCTCGCGACAGCTCGAGGCAGGAGCGGAGCCATCATGGGAAGCGGGCAGCGCGTGGTGTGTACGAGCGTGGGGCGTAGAATCCATGCCGGGCAGGCAAACAAGTCGTTCCCGGCCCAGTAGTTCGAACGCCAGAGTCACGACGCCCTCATCGGCCTCTCGGCGCGTCAAGGCCCTGGGCCGGGGCAATCAAGCATAGGTGTGTTCAGCAACCGACCGTGGAGACAGACATGAGCAAGCAAGTCCGGGAACCTTTTATTCTGCACAACACCCAGACAACCGGGAGGACAAACATGCAAACGCTGATCCCTGCAACCATTCATTGTGTACGACGCGTGTGTACGACGCGTCTCCCGCGGCAACGGAACGGGATGAGTGCCGCCGTTGGGGCCGTTGTCAGACGGCATGGCATGGGGGCTATTGTAAGCCTGGGTCCTGGATCTCAATGATCAGTCACAGTCATCTTGCGCGCTCGCACGGCCACACCACGCAGCGATTAGCTTCCTGGAATCTCAACGGCGGCCAGCGGCCAGCGGCCAACCAAAGGTTGTTGTACCCACTGTCCCCACTCGGTCGCGCTAGACCGGTGACCCACGCTGTACGATTTCCGAATCGAATCCCGTTCGACGCCGGGCCGTTTTACTGCCATCCGGTGAAAGCATGCTTGACCAACACAGGCGGTTGCCGCATCCGGCCAAACATTGCAAGCCATCTCGGAACTCGTGCCAGAGTGGGGGTTACCATGTCGTCCTGTTCAGAAGATCAGAAACAACTGGACCTTTCTCGACCTCACAACCACCCTGCACCGTTTAAGCTGCTGCGACCACACCCACGCGTGCACACTTGCCTTTACGCCCATGAAACACTCCTCGTCAGGGCGTAACCTTTGCGTGTTGACGCCTGTTGGGTGTGGTGTGCCCGAAACGTTCGATCGATCGTTTATCCCACTTGTTTGGACCCCCACAGGCCACAGGTGTCAACAGCACGGGCTCAGCGATGGGGGACAACTCAATGAAACGGTGGTCCCTGCAACAGCAGACGGGCACTCCGCATCGTCAGCTCGGGTGGGGGCGCGACGGACACGACGGAGTGCGGGGCGTCTGGTTTCCATAGAACCCAGTGAGTGGGGGTGCACGGTCACCGGGTGCCTGGTGCTGTATGGCACCTCGGCGCCGTCGTCCTGTTGTGTGCTTTTGTTGCATGTTGGTGCTAGAGTAACAGCGGGAAAAGATCAGTGACGAGGTGAGAGTTTGGTTGTCTGACAATTGGCCGACTGAAGTGAACAGGGGCAGGATCTTTGATCTCGTGGCCACCAAAGCGTGAGTGAGGAGAGCGCGCCTCGCTGGTATTGTCGTCCGTCCAAGTAGACGCACGCCCTTTCGATGTCTGCTTGTACTGCAGCCACAGCTTGACTGCAGTGGACATCAACCACACTGGACATTCGAGCGTGTACCTCTTGCGACCATGGGCCACCGCCCGCTCGGCTCAGGAAGGCAGTGTTGTTGTCGGCGATCGCACCCATCCGGCCGAGGCGCAAGGACAGCAGGTATACCTACAGCACACACGCGTGCCGGTGGGGGGCGTGCCGCTGCGAGTCGGATCTGTGCCAATCTGCACAGCCAGGACGGTGAAAGGGCTGGGAATATCCACCATTCACCGCCTTCTCACGCTTCGAGCGCTGGATGCGCCATCCCGTCTGGACTCGGAGAGTCACAGAAGGCGTATCCAGGACCGGATGCTCGATGGATGGTTGGGGGGTGGCTCGGTGTCGTTCCTCGGCACGGACGAGAGAATGATGCGGAGGTACGGGGTAAAATGGTGAGCTGGTTCATGTAAACGGCCGCATCCAGTTCCCAGTACTGATCCCACTCACGTATCTGACCCTCATGAACTGTCTGGGCCGAGTCGTGTGTGCATGGGTGCTGTGTGAGGAGCTCGGGGATGGTTGAAAGTGGGTGGATCGGGGGAATGTTGACGCCGGAGTGTTGGGTGGCGCCGACTGCCTCTGGAACGCGACGCTCCAGGCTATGCTGGCGATGTTGACACTTTGCTGACATTCTGATGCCTGGGGCGTGTCGATGGTTGCGTTTTGATTGTGCTAGGGGTGATGTGGGCTGCGTGGGGGAAGGAAAACTGTCATGGGGGAAGGTTGTTTGGCGAGTGGGTGGCGACGGTGGCAAAGGCTGCAGATACGCGGCCCTCCACCGCCTGTATGCACCTTTCACTGCTTTCCTGGGGTATCGACGTCGTCCCCTGGGTCGGGGCATCGTGTCTGTCAAGTTGGAGTGTGTGATGTGTCGTGGATGGTGAGAGATGGATAGTTGAAGTGGAAGGACGCGCGTTTGACTTCTCTCGCGTGTTTGACCCCGTGATCGTCCAGCTCTAACCCGCCTGCCTCGCACCTGGCCACCACACACCTTCCCCGTATGCACTGCTCACTACCATCACTGGATCACTGTCCTCTAACGTGTACAGCGCGCTCCATCATTGTTCATCATACCCACTCGCACCCATACTTTGCCACCCAAATCCCAGCCCAGCCAGCGGCCACCATCCACACTTCTAAGGTCCGACCGGACTCCTGCCCGTCATGGCAATGAGCATCGCCCATGGTCACTCCCACGCTTAGCTGGGATGATGTCCGCCACTTTACTTGTCTTGTCGACTGAATGGACAACGACTAGTAACGCTGAGGATGCAGCGGAAAAGAGCAGAAAATGGAAGTCTTGCCACTTGCGTCCACGAAAAAATCCATCCGGCCTCCGGAGATGGTGAGGTCGGATGCTGCCGCGTCACCGTCAGTCGCCGCCTGAGACATATCGTCCCTCGACAAACTTCACATCCACAGGTCCCCATCACAGACAACGAGAGGGGGGCCGTAATGCTGATAATCGCGTGTACAGTGTCCGTGCAGCCGTTACCTGCTGGCGGATTGCAGGCGCTTGGGGGCCTTGAGTGTTGCCCGGCCCAAATTTTCCTGGCCCGTCCTACCGCCCTCCTCTTGCAACCTCCATGGATCTTTGACGTCCCCGCGCATTCTTCTGATCTTCTGACAGCTTTCTGAGCGGTACATGACGTCCAAAGCCATCAAGTGGGTGCACGAAAGGAATATTCGGGGAGGAATACGAACACTGAACCCTGGAACAATTGCCTCAATATTGACAACCAAAGAGAGCATGCACTGCCAATCTCCATGCACCGAGAGACAATGACAACGACGGCGGCATGCTTAACGTGGATACGCGACGCCACGCTGTGCAGGACGCTTGGTCAAAGGATCTGGCCTCTGGACAAGACGGTGCAAGGTGAGACAAGTTTACGTGGACGCAAGTGGTATGCCTTCGCCGGCTGCTGCGGAATCGCGCTAGTGAACCATTCTGTCGACCATGTATTCCCATGGCCCTCCGTCGAACATCTGCAACGTCGCGCGGCCGCTGAGAAAACAGGCAAACAATCTAATCGCCTTTTGGAGCAACTGATGTCATTGAAGAGGCAGAGTAGCCAACTGCGGTCATGGGTACACCACCTCGTCCAATTCTCAAAAGGGATGGTGGGCGTCCTTGACACCACGGCAAGCTGCAGAACCCAGTCACGCTCGCTCAGCGCCATGTCCTTGTCGGAAGAGGAAGGTGTGGTGTTGGCCAGCATGTATAAGAATGTGCTCATCCCGGCTCGAGATGTTTTCTCTTCATCCATCGTCTCTCCTCCCCACATTTTTTTTTTCACTTACCACCCACACTTGTCCACGTCAACCACCCAAAACACCCCTCCCACGTCAACCACCCCACCCATTCTACCGCTCAAACCCCGATTACACCGCCTACCTTCCTTCCCATCCATACAATGGCGACCATGTCGTTTGACCAGTTCTCTTCCGAGCACAACGCTGCCCTGCAGGAGCTCATTACCATGGTCGAAGAGTCCACTGCTTCGACTTATGCCACCGCTTCCGCGGTCATCCACAACAACTCGCCCGCCTCGGACGTTTTTGTCGACAACACCACATCATCCACAAACACCCCCGTCGACTTTGACATTGCATCCTTCTCCGACGACGACCTTGACATCCTCGCTGGCTTTGCCCTCGACCTCCCCACCGAGGACGCCGGCCTTTGGATCACCCCCGTCTCGGCTCCTGCCTCCCCCAAGTCCCCCGTCATTGCCACCCCGCCGTTTGACGCCGTCTTCCCCACCCCAACAGTCGCTGCTCCTTACGCCTTCCCCGTTGTCAACCCCGACGCCGTTGTCACTGCTCCTGTCGGTCTCCTTCCCGCATTCCCCATCACTCCCATTGTCCGCCGCGTCGTCTCCACGCCGGCCCTCACCACTCCGTCCGACTTTGACATTGGCGCGTACCTCAACCTCGAGTCGACTCCCGCTGCCGCCGAAGTTGACGTCAACGGCAACGTCTTCCTAGCAACATCCCCTGCCTTCTCCACCCCCGTCAAGGGCAACTTTTACTCCAACTGGTCCAACACATCCACCATGGACCCCTCCCTCATCAACGGCTCGGCCCAGGCCACTCCATCCACCCCAAGCCCCGCCACCGGTTGTGCCGCGGCCACCGCAAACCGCTCCCACGCCACCCCTACCCCAACCCACTTTAACAACAACACTGTTGCAGGCCCATCCACCCCTGTGCGCACCAACCAGCCCCGCAAGATGCCCGTCACTGCGCCAGCACGCCCACCCATGGGCCAGCTCCCGCAGTCGCCCCGCACCCCAACCAAGAAGCGCGCCACCAAGGCGTCCAAACAGCCCGGCGACATGTTCACCTTTTGCAACTTTACCGTTGCCGACGCCGCCAAGATCAACGCCGGCGTCGCCCCCTCGGGAGGCAAGGGCAAAGGACACAAGCGTTCCTACTCGGAGAGCGCCGCGCAGGACGCCAAGCGCCGCCGCGAGGAGTAGAGGCAACAGGAGTCGACAAGGAGCAGGTCAGAAGTACTAGACACACGCACACCAAGAAAGTAACCCAAGTCATAATACGTCCTTTTTGCTATAGTCCCATGTTAATTCGCGTTCTCCGTCACCAGTAGCGTTTTTGTTGAGCATGCGTTGCACTGAGCGCATTGACCATCCACTTGACCTTTTTCCCATGATGTACCAGTAGTGGCACAACGACGAGGATGACTCTCACTGACCACTGACGAATACGTTTGAAGGGGGATAAACGTCGGCACCCGACCCAAGATCCCTCGACCAAGCGATCGCAAGCGAACTGTGGCACTAGCGACTTGACAAAACGCGCACAGCGATCCAGTAATGCATCCGAGATCCGAGACGACTCCTGCAAACACCGTTAGTGTACTTGGATCGGTAGCACTGTGTCCAATAGGGAGCTAAAAATGGGCAGGCAACGAGAAGAGGACGTGGTGTGCTGACCGCCCGGGTCTGGGCCAACGGCAGTCATGTGCAGGTGTCCATTTCCCAAGCACCCACTTGGCCATTTAGATCTGGACGAGTCTATCAGACTAGTGTATAGTGTAGGCGTTCAGTCCGCTGGCAACTCGCAGCTTCAAGCTCGTGCCACACCGCACACCGCCGTTGAGGCACGCCACAGTGCGCCAAGCACTTGGGTCGACGGCCGGCGTCCTCCGCTGCCTCCTGGTCGGCCGAGCACTGCACACTATACTATTGCCCAAACCTGCGCCCAGTCGGCTTTCTGCACAACAACAGACCACGTCCCACCACGACGAAGTCTTTGGTGTCATTGCCGCCATCATGGTTGCTAGTACTCTGTCGCCGCTGACATGTGGCACGGCACTTACTTGTGCTCGCCGACCGGCTCCTGAGCTGCACCGCTGGCCGCTGGATCGAGTTGTCGTCAGCACCTCACCACGTGCAGGTCAAGCACGGACGTACGAACTCCCCGCCCTCACGGGTTGGATGGCTCCCTGCGTCCCTTGGGGACGGCCAGCACCTCGGCTCGAAGACTGACCGGAAGCATGTGCTGGTCCGCAAGCTGCAAGAAGGACAGTGGTACAGTGGAATTGTGCTCTCAGCCAAGCTGCCCCAGCGCCTCGTGACCGAGAACCCCATTCCCGACAACTTGTACATTTGCTCCCCGGCAAGGACATCGGCTATGTTCCAGGTCATCACACGGTCTGGGACCAACGCTCTAGACGCCAAACGTGATTTCCGCCAAGACGCGCCGTGCGAGTACTGCCATCACCCGACCCAAGACGAAGCCCACATTTATGCCCACTGCACTCCCTTCGCCTCACACCGTGCCGCGGCCAAGTCGAAAGCAAAGTCATCACTCTATACGAGAACTGCCTGCGTGGAGCTGCTGAGAGGAGGAGGACGCACGGTGACGGCTAGTCTGGAGTACAATTCTCGATCTTTCAGGTAGCCTGTTTTCAGGTCCTGCAATGCGGCAGACCTTTGCCTCGCCACTCTGAGGTGGACACTGGCATGTGATCCTGTGATCCTGTGAGACCGTAGTAAACCCTTATGTCGATGACGTTTTGGCAAACTTGGACAGCAGTCCATTGTTGATTCACATCGCCTACATGACCTCTCCGCTTGACAACCCCAGCATCTTCTCTGATCGCTGAGCCCTGTCATGGTCTCGCTGAGACGCGGACATAAATCCGCCACCAATCATCGGTTTCTGGATATGGGGCGCAGTTAACATTGGGTCAATGTGGCAACCGCTGTGGCACCCACCGTTGTCTGACGTGATCGACGATCGACGACCTCCAGAATACGAGCCGCGAGCTGGCGGGTGGAAGTTTGTTCGTTCCCGATCCCGTTATAAAGGACTAGAAAAAAAGGTCGTCATACTTACCTTGCTTGAACCGAACAGTGGCCCTCACTCTGCCGCCGGTTAGACGATCTTCCTTCGCCCATTGCACGGCGACTTATAGTCCTTAGGGGGAAGGGTTTGCCTTGTGCTCGCTTCGGCGGGTTCACTCGCTAATTAATTGGCTCCTCCAGTTGTCCTCTCGGGGGCAGCTGGCATCACTCTTTTACTGCTGGGAAGGGAGGAAGAGATGGAAATCACAGAGCAGACGGAAAAAAAAGAGCAACGCCACCCGTGTGGCCCTGATGCAGCTCTCCAGGTTCGAATTGGGGTCACGCGGCATGACTCTCTTTTTGCACCGTGGGCAATAAGAGTTTGGGGAGCACCGACACGGCGGTTTTGCGAGGGAGCACTTGCCGCTGCAACATGTCCTCTCTGGCTGGGACGAGTCCTTCATGCACTGCTTGGTGTGGTGGTCGGGTACACGCAAGTTGAGGCGGGCCGCGATACTGCGGGTTTGTTCCCTGTCAGGACAACACAGTGACACGGTGAATTGTTTCGTAGTTCCCTTTGCGAAAACAATAAAGGGTGAGGTGACAGCCATAAGGCTTTGCTCGGTCGTTGCGTTGCCATTGTCATCTGCGACATGACGACGAAGTAGAGAACAGTGGCTTTGAGCCGCACCTTGCGAGTCGCCTTGTCTCCCCAGGTGATCCAGTGATGACACTAAGGACCAAAGCCTCACTTTGCACTTACAGTCATCCATCACCCCCCCGCACTCATGGACTTCCTTCCACCACCGCCGTGCTTTGGTCAAGGAGGTGTGGGTACGTACGCCAGCCTGCCCCACTGAGCGCAAGAACTGACAACAGGTCCGTGCCATCCCGTGTATCTATTTTCCGCCAGGAGCTTGGATCTGTATCTGTTGCGGGGCCACCTATAATCTCGTCCCTGTTAACTGAAGGGGCCAAGCCGGAACGATGAATATGATTGCCGGCCGCCTCGAGGGGGTTGTTGGAGCTGCGCACTGGTAGAGCATGACCCTTTCTTCACTGGCACGTTTTGGCTGGTCTGCTGACGGCCCACAACGACAATGTTCACTGCCCCGAGCGTCTGCAACACACCAGGACAGACACGGTTAGGACCCGTCTCGGATCGCTGGCCCGTTAGTGCAGGGAGAGAGATCTCACACTGGTACACAGGCTCGCACCCACACCACTACTGGCCACTGGCATTCCCTGTTGCCCCGTTGTGTGCACATGTCCTCGAGCCGTGCCTTTGAGCCTCGACGTCGTCTCTCGCACTGCACACCGCGCGTGCTCTCAGATTCCTTCCGGCTCGTCATGGGTTTCGGCCCTAGTTCCCAGGACGCCACCCTTCACCTCACACACGCGCGCGTGCACAGATCCCACCGCTCGCTGGGCTGGCGCGGCTGGGTGGCGCGCCGCGGGGTGTCCCGGGGTTCGCACTCGTTCTGCTTCTCATCGTGACCTCGTCTGAAGTGCTGGCTGGAGGTTCCTCTTTGCATCACCACATCACACCACATCACTCACACCACTCCGTTACTCCCATTTGCGGATGCCAGTGTCGCCCACAGCGAAACCACCGCCTTCCCTGCTCCCGACCCCGTTCCAGATCAAGACAGACACTCAGCCGCAACCAGCGCCGGCTGCGGGGCCGAAGCCGCCGGACACCTCGCTGAAGGAGTTCCTGAGGAAACTTCCGCCGCAATACGTCAAGTTCTATATCTTGTCGCGCGCTAGTCGCGTCGCTGGGCAGCCTGGGGAGGTCCGGCAATGTCGAGGCGGTATCGCAGAGTGGAACAAGGGTCGTGAGTGAGGCTCGAAAGTGGACACAGTTGCTCACGGCAGTCTACTGCTATCCCGTCTACACCGCGAGCATCGACAAATGGCATTGTGTCTGGTGTAACCGTACCTATGAGTAACGTACTGTATGTATGACTGAGAACATCATCTGGGTCGTGGGTCTGCACGGGATTGTTCCCATCTGTCAACATGGGCCATGGACGGCGGATTGTGCCGGAACAGGTACTTGCCGAAAGGTGTGTCCCGGTTTCGAACCGGCACCAGTCGACCACCGTCTTCCTCTCCCGAGCTACACCTCCAGAGACCAAAAGGTTTCTGTCAAGTTGTTCGGATCCTGTCGGGGGTCCTTGTACCAACAGCACATTATACAGAACCAAGCGTGCGAGTGCCTGTGGCAGACTCGGCCCAAGTCGATTTCCGACGCTTCATTCCGAACAGATCCTTTTTCCGCTTCTACTTCTCATCAGGAGAGATCAGTGGATGTCACTTGAAGCTCAGCTGATGGAGTTCAGCCAGTGTGAACCTTCTTGAATGTATAAGAAGCGAGAAGCCCGCCCCCAGGGTTTCAGCTTCCCCAACCTTCCCAACTTCTTCACCAGCACAACTCACCACCCAAGACCCCAAATGTCGACCGTTCCTCGCCGGTGCCGCGGCCACCCCCTTACCCAGCAGAACCAGGGTGGTAAGTCCAGCATTGCACGATGGTATTCTGATCATGTACAGGACAATGCAAGGTCACCTTCCACAACGACGTGGGATGGTACTGCATGTACTGTCATCTGGCGTGGTAACATGGTAACGATGCCTGAAGGCCGAAGCGAGGTTGTCGAGGCCTGGTGTGGAAGCCTAGAAAGCGGGAGTTAGCCTCCGCCAAACTCCCCAAATGCATCTACATGTCTGCCGCTCAGCTGTTGGAGCTATGCATACCGTTAGAGAACTGTGCCTTTCTTGATCAACACGAGAACATTCCACACCACCTCGTGGTGCTGTCGCCAACTGGGAATCGACTTCTTGGGTTGAGTTCCACCTCCCCGCGGTGGCGGTCCCTGCTCACGGATTGAATGTTGGGTGATCTCGCAGTGTCTGATCGGTTTGCGAAGGCATGACACCGTTGGTCGCCCTGCGTATAAAGCCGGCCAGAGAGTTGGAGTAACTGCTCACCACACGAACCAATCCTGTCTTTTCCAGCAAGTCAACATGGGTCAGAAGATGAGCTACAACGACGTCCAGAACTCCCACAAGCCCAAGGGCTACAACCGTCCTCCTCGCATGCCGTGGTACCCCGCGGAGTATGACCACCCTTCGTCCATTGGGTACTCTGGCTACTCGAACATGGGATACAGGGACAGGGAGCACGCCGTCCAGACGTACATTATCCAGCACCCGGACTACACGGGTGGTGTCCCTCACACCTGCTCTGGAGACAAGTACGGGCGTAACCGTGGTTGTAAGTCGCGCCATATCATATTGTCGAGGCTGACGGAATGAAGACTACTGCAACGGTCCCGCCTGCGGATACTGCCGTGGCAGGTAACCAAGTAAGAAATGAGAACCTAGCTTACCTGTTGACCGCGCTTGCCAAGAGAGCCAGGACCTGAATCAGTGGCACTTTCCAATGCATTGGTTGATCATCACTGCATGTGTTGCAAACTCGATGCCCCCGCCTGTCCTGCAACTGATGGCTTGCCACGCTCTCTTTAAGTTATGTTCGCGCTCACTTGATCTCTTCATTTATTCCCCCACAACCACCCAGCCCAACGCCATGATCTCAGCGTTTCGCCAGCCTGCACGCCAGCGCCAGCCGGCCCAACAGTTCATCAAGAAGCCTCCAATCGCCGTCAGCCCTCCTGCTGAGGTCCTCGACCGCACCTATCCCATGGTGACCGCAAGCCAGTCCCGCCGTCCGTTGGACCAGTTCAACTATGCGGGCAAGTGTCTGTGGACGGGGCTTCAAGGTCCCAACTTTGTTATACCGCATCCGTGCCCTGCTGGAGGGGTATACCGCCACATTGTCAACGGCAAAGAGGGGAATTTCCACGAGAAGGATTGTACGTGCCCTATACTGGCCACTGTGGGCCGTTTACTGACATTCCCAGTTTACTGCAGGGTCACTGAGGTGGAGACCCGTGGCCCCAAGCGCCGCTTCTTTGAGTGTATCCACTGTCATCAGGAATGGAACGGCTTCGAAAAGGCGTGATGTGTTTGATCAGGTCAGTGTAAACAGTGCCTCGGCGCCGATCAGTGGTGAAATATGTATAAATTGCAAGTCGTACCAATCGCGAGATGAGCATTCTCTTCCCAGTCTGTGTTTTGTACCTCAAAAGCATCGCTCACCGTAAACGGAAGTCTGGGAGAGTGTATACATGACTGGGTACTTGGCAATTGGCCGGGTGTTTGCGCCACTGGAACTTCACTGATGGGTGGCGGCAGTGAGTGGATAGCACAGACCCTCCAATTGTGATGCGTCAGACCTTGCATGGGTGAATCATCACCATGCTTGGCACCACTAGGATGAGCTGCTGGGATTCAGTGAGCTCATCCATGCCCATGCCCAAATCTGCAGAAGGCTGCTGTTTCGTGGATACTGAAAATTAGAAAAATAGAACAAAAAGGCGTTAGGGATGGTCCACATAGCAATCACTTCGAGCCATCAAGCTTCGTGGCTGTCGCAGGTTGATACTGATTGCCATGCTTGGACATGACCATCAGTCAGAGTCGCCTCCTGGACCCCAGGAAGCATGTGCGACTGACTATCATTTTTTCAATTTCCTTTATCCCCAACCTTCCATCAACAAGTCTCCGCAATAACAAACCATGGACGTGGACGACAGCTACGAGAATACCTGGAACGATCTCAAACCTGCTAGGTACGAAGGGCAGCGTTTTCGACAGAGGGGTGATTTCCAAAAGGCACCACGGTGCTGCCTAGGTGTCAGGATCGGAATCCACCACGGTCTGCATCGCGGACGTGAGTCAAAACTTTCATTCGAGCTGACGACCGCTGATGGCACTACAGAGCAGTGTTTGGTGGGATCAGTCCACGGTGTCCTGCGGTGCAAGTTCTGCCTTGTCGCTTGGCGAAACTGATCGGGTGGCTGGGTATCGGGGGGATTGATGTCACTCATGTACCTTGTGTATGCAACCCATACCATCATCAGAGGCTGATTGGGACTTCGGAGTTAGCTTACACAGACCTCAAAAGATATTACGGTCTTTTGGTGCTTGCTCTTCTAAGCACTACGACACCGGGTCCTTCCTTTCACGATGGACATAGACCAGGCATGGGTACGACTCCCTCGGCACTGCCAAGGTGACTACTACGGCCGCAACCGATACGGTGAGACTCCCCAAGTGATAGTTGACTTCGCTCACACGCAGAACGCTGCAAGGCAGTCTATGAGAACTCTGCACAGACTTATCGGTGCAAGTACTGCTTGCGCCTGTACTGAGGAAAGGATACGAGTTCGACAGGTGCGGACCATTTGGTTGGCTCCATTGTCCTCCATTACCCGACACGGACAGACTGCTCTTTTGGACCAAACATCGACTGCACTTTCGAATCCACCACCAGCTCTCGACGGAAGAACCACTCGAGGGGTCTTCCTGCACCGGTTCCACTCTGCCACCATTGTTTATTGTATGCATCCGATACTGTTCGCTGGAGTCTTCATCCTGCACCTAGCTGCACAATAAGGGCAGGGGAAACAGGCGGGTCCAAAGTGACGAAAATTGGAAAAATAAGTGAATAATAGTCTCTCCTGACACATTTTGAAACGTCTGATGGCAAGACTCTTGCCACCGAACACGCTGTGGTGTTCTATATGTGAACCACAGACTGTAACATCTCTATATTCCCCTTCGCAACTCTCATTCAACATGACCGACGTGACCTGGTACTTGATGGCACCACGCACCTGCCGCGGTCGTCCCCATGACGGCGCCAATGTCTATCGTCAGTTGTATCCTTCTGCCCCTGGATTGATGGAACTGACCTTTTTCCAGAGGGGTGCAAGCTCGCTTTTCGCCACCAGGTCGATCACTGGGTATGCGTATACTGCGGACGCATTTATGTTGGCGTCTGCGTGTGAACTTGCCAGTCCGTTATATCGTAGCTTACAGAACTTGAAGGCACTACTCAAAGTTGGAACATGAAATGAAGGGAGCATCATGCATTGAAGTTGTGCCGCTGTCGTTTTTCTCATTTTTGGGTGGTTTGCCAGGCGGTGTTCAGAGGATGATTCGCTGATCACTGATGGAGGATGCAGGTAGGGTGTAGCTATGACCTGGGTGCTCGATCAGGGGCCAATAGCCTCTGGTGGCATCGTTTGTACAGGACTCGACTTTACTAGCACGGTGGGCAATCACCAATCGCTCGGGACAGACGGTGACCACACCGGCTAGGTTACTGGATACCCAAGCAGCATGCTTCGGAAAAGCTGAAAATTGTTGGGGCCTTACAGTGGTTCTACTGCTGATGCACACTCACGCCGCACACACGATCGTCAGTGGCGGTGTGCAGAGATCTTGGCAACTGCGATCACCGGCGCTTTTCGCCATGTCCTCCGCTCCCGCAATCACTTTGCATCTTGTGTGTGACATCTTCGACACTATAAACTATCCATGATTACTTTGAAGCTTCTCGAGTCAACATATAAACGCTCCCTGGACACATTCTTCCAGTCTATCCAATCTGCTTTCGCCACCCTCAATCCTCACCCCTCATTCATCCAAACGCACCCCCTGCAACAGTCACCACATCACACCATGAACAACCGTCCTATGATTCTTCCGCGCCTCTGTGTGGGGAAGTGGACCGGAGAGAACAGGGGTAGTGAGTCAAACACTCGATATTACATGTGTGGAGCAGAAAGGCTAACTGCCTCTAGAACGGTGCTATGGCTCGTTCGTCCAGCCTCTTGGGGGTTGGACTTGCCAGTTTTGCGGCATCGTCTTTTAGATTTTGTACAATATACAATGCTATACCTGTATGCTGAGATGGGGTCTCCCTTGGGCTTGTGTCTATATAAACGGTCCCATTCCCATCTTTTCTCACCACCTGAACCTCCTTTATACCATAAGCTGGCAGCAACTGTTTTACACCACCACCCGCCACTGCATGTCTGGACGCAGCCACGGTAAGACACCTGCATGTGTACAAAAGCTAACCTCGCCGTTAGGCGGAACCTGCGTAGGAGTTTTTGATCCCTATACTCAGGAGTATCGCTGCTGTTACTGTAGGCAGGTCCTGCCTCCCCCCAGCGCCGCTGGTACCAGCGGTGGTAGTGCCCAATGGTGGCGATAAAAGTACATATGTGCTCCAAATGGCTTTGGTAATGAATACTAGTGAATACCGCTGTGCAGTAAGAATCATTGAATCCTGGGGCCGCCTCCGCAAGTGTGGGACGTAGTACGTGGTGCTGTCGTCGTTGAAGCAAGAGAATGCAAGAGAATGTCCTCCTCACACGTTCACAATTGCATCGGCCATTCCAGCAACTAAGCTCCCATTGTGCGTCCGATTCCCATGATTGACCCCAAACACTCGTCCTTCTTTCTCCAGGCTATAAGACTAGCACTTGCTTCTTCTTTCACATTCTCCTGTTCATTCACTCCTCACCAACTGCAAGCGCCAACTACTTACCTCAATATGGACGGCCAGACGCGCTTCTACGAGACCATGATACCCTGCCACAGTCCAGCTCGTAAGACTGAGAGCCAGAAAAGTGAGCTAACTCCTAAGGCCAAACTTGCATCCTGGTCTGGGATCGATGCTTTATGCGGTACCGTTGCGCATACTGCTACAAGGAAAACCAGCTTCCCCTCCCGGGTGGTTCATTCTTCGCCTGGCCAAAGCACACCTACTGAGTTGCTTCGTCGTCCGTAGTCTGATGAAAACAAGTACCCTATCCGCATTTCCGGAAGAGACCGAATGATGACCAAGAGACCGAACGTTTGCCCGCCACCAGGGTGCCGCAAGGGCTATCACGGTTCGCGGTCTCTTGTCCATCAACTGCCCGTCTCCACTGATCACACATGTTTCCCCACGGGCTCTCTTGTTTCTTCCAGGGAGGTAAAGTACCCTTACGAGTGACCGGTGGCAAGGCATGGATTCTACGGAGGGTGTGACCCGATTCACTGATGAAGAGAATGTAGGGACAGCACCCCAATATGCAAAACTGTTGACGGGCGATTGCGATAGGTCGTGTTGTGACCTTTGGTTGCGAGGGCAGACAATGGCCCACAATGGGTGAAATCCTGATGTCAGGTGGGGCGAGAGTCTGTCCAGCTCTCCCTTCCTCGCCCGAGATTTCTATATACCAGTTGCAGACGTCGCTCGTTGCCGTCTTCCCACTCGAACTTGCCCTCACTCAGCATGTGGACCAACACTACTCCCATCTGTATCCCCACTGGCCGGCGGTGCATTAACCCAGCAAACCCGCATGGTAAGTCCAGCACCTCGTTCTGTGCTCACAAACCCATAGGTAGCTGCCTCCCGGTATACGATTACGGTAGCCATTCGTGGCTGTGTGGCTGGTGTCACCTTTACTAGAAAACCGTGCAGCGGGGCATCCCGAGCTGTGTAGCATTGTTTATCGCAACAGCCAAGTTTTCATAGGGGCGATGAATGAAAGTTGTGGTTCTACAACGGGGCAAGTTCCGTTTCAGGCGAGGGTCTTCCCAGGGATTTGCATAAGAAGACCCACTCGAGAGACATGCTGCTGAATTCGCAACTCGGCTGTTCTTGACTCCTTTCACCACGTGGTTCAACACTCACACACTGTCTTGTAGGCCTTGTCCTGACATAGAAACCCCGAAAGGGTGGGTAATCTCCACGCTCTATGAGCTCATCGCGTCCATAGGTGGTTGCTTGGCAGTTTATGTTTATGGAAGTAAGAGGTGGCTATGTTGTTGGTGTGGCCAAGACTAGGGACTTACGGATGCACAGGGCAGCCATGTTAGCGAATTCACAGTGGGAGTCGACTCGTTCGAATATGCCCTCACGGCCATTGATGATCAATAACGAAGAGCCTGAAAGATACACACACAGATCACAGATCACAGAACAGCTGTTTGCCGAAACCGTTCCCACAAGAGCGCCCCCAGGTTCGCGCCACAAAAGCGGGCACCAAGTGACTACCCGTCTCGGCCGGCTCTCGGCTCCCTCCGAGCAGAGTATGCACTGACCCTGCAGTCGTCAAGAAGAAGAGGTGTGCATGGACAGTTCATGCGCCGCAACGGGGTTCCGCATCGTTCGACGACATGCCATAAGATGGCCAAGTGGGGCTGGCTTCTTCCCGCCGTCATTCCCACAACACAACAACCACATGTCACCTAAACCTGAAGCGCCGCCACCCCGCACCTGTACTGGTCACCCGGTGACGGGCAGTAAGGCCGCCGATGGTGCGTACTGTGCACTCGTATACAACTGATTCCCTCTAGGCCTCTGCAACCCATACTACTACCCCATCCTCCGCATCACAGCTTGTTCGTACTGCCAGAAAGACTACTCGGAGGTGACGGCTTAATGTCGTAAGTCCTGTTCACACGCCAAGACCAGTGGTCCCCGCTTATGCTTCGCCAGGGTGGCGAACACTGCCAAATGGGTGACCAACGTGGAGCTGGGGAACCTTCTCGGATTGATACACACCCATGGAATGGCGTCTGCCTGGGCGCCAATGTGCCTAGCTTCATGCTGTGTTCGGCCGCTCGCACCCCTTGTCCACAAGGTAGGGGAACCGCTTGGGGTCTTGCTTGAGGGCGAGGGGGAGGTGTTGGAACGAGAGCAAGGGAGTCACGTCGATAGACTGGGTGACCAGGTCACTAAACGAGAAGACTTCCTGGATAAAGTTAGCCGTGGCCATTTTAGGGATACCAGTGCCGGCGGCTCCTCACGCAATCTTATCAACTCACCGGCCACATGCCAAATGGGTCCTGTCCAGTGCATACGCGGTGCCGGAGCTGCTTCTCCTCTAGGAGTCTTGGGTTTGTGAGGCGGTCATTGTGGCTGTAGGTCCCCATCTTGTGGCGCATATCCTCAAGGGTCGGGAAGCAGAATGTGCAGTGCCAGCCTGCGTTCTCCAGGAGCGGCGCGTCGGCGGCACGGTAGCGGCTGTAGCCAAATTCTTCGCCCTTCTTGACGGTCTCAGTCTTGGCGACCCAATTGCCCGCGTCGGGGAGCGGAAGGTTGAAGGAGAAGCGGTAGTTTTTGAGGTTGAAGTGCATCGAATCTGGTACCTTGCACGCCGACATGAGCTCCAGCGTCTCGCGCGAGATGAGTTCGTCCGTGTCCGCAATGAGGATAATCGCACCGTCCGGGATGTGGCCGTTGTCACGCTCGCCCTCGATGATGTCTCGGATCGCGCTCCGCTGCTTGACCTCGTTCTCAAAGCTGCCCTTGGGAATGTTGGGAACAAAGTCGTCCCCGACTTGCTTGTACACGAGACGAATGCCTGTCTGACGCGAGAGCTCCTCAAAGCGCTCCATTTGCGGTGCCAGGTAAAGCGGCTTTGGAGTTCCAGCGTATGTCATGATGCTCTCAATTACGACAATGGAAGACACGAGACCGGCGTACTCGCGCATCCTGATCTCGAGTAGGTCCAATTCGAACGAGAACGGGAGGGCATCCACAAGGACAGCAGGCGAATCGCGCACCTCCCAGCCATGCAGAGCACACCAAGAAGTGTTGTCTGCGCCGCCGGGGTGTGGCTTCGAATGGTGGGTGATGACAGCCCACGGTTCCAATCCCTCACGTGGCGTGTCCCATAGGGGGCGGATGATGTATCCAAAGTCGCGCCAGGCGACGACGATCTGGGCATGGAAGATGAAAACGACAAAGAGGAGAGTGCCGATAAGATAGATATACCGTCGGCGACGGCGACTAGACCATGGTCGGGAGGATGACCGGAGGGCGGGCTTGGGTTCTTCGATGAAAGTGGGAAGGAGCGGAGAGTCGTCCTCACTGCTATGGTGACGGCTGCCGTTGCTGCTGACGCTACTGTTGGTGCGACTGGACAGCATGAGGGTATGATGAGGATGGATGGATGACTTAATGCTGAGTGCAACACTGTCACGTCGTAGCCCCCCTTACTTTGCAGCACCACCACCGCCTCGTCGTTACCGTCGGAAGTGCCAAAGTACCGCCGCCATCGGCTCTTGAAGCGCCCTTCAACAGCCGCTGCTGATCTAGTGAGGGGCAAGTTGCTGCCAGTTCTTGTGATTGTACAATACTTACACTATGGTACTATGTACACACACGACTTCCACTGCACTGTTGGTTGCACTGGCACCACCCCCTGGCATGTAATGGCCCAGCTAACGTTGCTATGAGAGTTTGAGGCCCTGCAGTCCTTGGGACTTGGGCATGGGTGTCCTGCAACTGATCGTTGAGCGTATGGCGTATCTACACCATCAAAGCCATCCAAGCACTCCAAGCACTCCCTTTCGGCCAGAGCACCAAGCAGGACGGGGTCACGGGGAAGGCCCAGGTCAAAAGGATGGCCGACGAAAGCGGCGCAGACATCGCCACAGCTAGGAGCGGGAGAGCGAGTTCCACCACCTGCACGACAACGACAACGACGGATGTTGCTTGCATGTGCAAAGTATGTAGTGGCTTCATTCCTACATACTGCTGTGAGGTGTGGCCCCAGGGTGTGGCGGTCCTTGCTTCGCCGACACGCCGAATGGCACTTCCCTTCAGTCAGGTCGGTCGGTGTGTCCAAGGCTTCCGCGGAAATATGCAAGACACGCATGTGTCTCGTTTACAGGGCGGATTGAGGATGCATGAAGGATAGCAGGTATGCAGGTCCGCATACTACATCTTTGCCCCCTTCAGCATCACCCTCCGTCTGCCAGGCCCCTGTTGTGATGGATCCGTTGTCTCACCCGATGACCGACCAACACACCCATCAGCTCCATCATGGCTCGACTCCACTGCACTACACAAGCCCAACCTGAGGGACCACATCCTCTTCCTCACCAAATATGATCCCACCCACTCGCGTGCCCAGAATATGTGGTGGCGACAGAACTGGCTCAAACAAAAGCGGTGGGTACAGGAGTGAGGCTGGCAGCAAAACACTGACTAACTCCCTCTTCCCAGACGGTTGTGTCATTGCGTGGATACCGGCTGCCCGACGGCTTCTATGTGTGCACTGCGCTATTGGGATTTGGGAGTACCCTAAATGACTGTAGTGGATGAGACATGGATGGACAGCACGTGCGCGGCCAATACTGCGGAGGAGTAAGGTCACTGTTACAAGTGGCAACTTGAGCCTACTGGGCGCACGCAGAGCACAGACGAGACTGCCATATTCCGCTAGACCTCGTGGGTGAAGAGCTCTCAGAAACCAGCGGCAGTGCGGCTTGCACCTGGCGTTGTAGGGTTAGACCTATGGAGTGCCAAGTTCAGCACGGACGACCACCTCCAGACTAGCCAATGCCTGAATCAAGCCATGCACATTGGCCTGGCTATACACAGCAGCTTGAAACATGATGCAGACAACGGAATCTTGTATCTCGTACCTCGGTTACACTCGCCCACGCTATCCCCTTCCATTCTTCTCCTTCATGCACCAGTCCAAGGAAGGATGATCTTGGGCTTACACACGCGCTTGATCCAGTCGCGAGCCGGGCCGTCAAAGTCGTCGTCGTCCAAGAGCGGGAGGACGTCGTCCTGCACCATGGTGTTGTATGCGTTGATCCAGCGAATCTCCGACTTGGTCGTGAGAGTCCAGTCGATCATGCGGGTGTCGATGGGGACGCGGGTGACGCATTCAAAGCCCAGCCAGTGGTGCTCGCGGGGATACTTGACCTCCACCTCTTTGCAGATGTACACGCTCTCGACGCGGATACCGTACTGGCCCTCGAGGTAGCAGCCAGGCTCGATGGTCGTGACATGCGTGGGCTGGAACGAGAAGCCGCGCTGGAAGAAGACCGGCGCTGCTGGGTTAGTACCCGCTAAGAGTTGTGGACTCACCTTCATGGACAGCTCCATAGTTGCCAACACCGTGGCCGAGGCCATGTCCGTAGTCGAGACCGTCCCTGCAAGTCAGCGTTGAAACAGTTGTTGCGGGAGCAAACTCACTCCCAGAGGAACTTCTTGGAATACGACCCCAGAGCAAATGCGTCGGTACCGCGAGGGAATGCCTGTGAGGCGACGGCGATGTGACCCTGCACAACGCGAGTATAGGCACGTTTCATGTCATCGGTCGGGGTCTTGCCAAAGAACCATGTGCGGGTGGTGTCAATTGTAGCATCTGCAACAAGTCAGTAGGCAGCGGCGGGGACAAGGTTGCGACTAACCCAGGTACTGCGGTCCAGAGTCACTGGCAAAACGTCAGCTCGGGTATAAGGGTTTCAAAGCTACGCACATGACATAAGGAGCATCAATGTCGATGGGCTGCTGCGTCTGACGAGTTGGAACGTAGTGGGGTGATGCTGCGGTGTAAGTTACAGACTGACATTCACCGCTCACCTCCATTGGGGCCACTCGCAGAAATGTCGTCATACGCCAGGCCGGAAAACATGTCCTCCTTACGGCGGTAACGAGTGAGGACGGCGGCGGCGTCCCATTCCTTGAGCTCCTTCTCCTCCTTGATGAGACGCTGCTCCACCCAGGCGAACCAACGGACCTGTAAAGTCAACTGTCTGTCCGATACCACAACATACCATTGCCCTGCCATCACGGAGATACGCGTTGCGGAAGTTTTGAAGCTCTGTGGGATTTTGAGCGCTTTGGCGTCCTGGATCGGGCACACGATGGTCTCCACTTTGATCTGGAGTCAGCTCCACCGGCGGATTGAGTTGCTCACAGGTGCGCAGGCGCTGATCAGTGCCCAGCTGCTGTCGTTGGACGCGAGAATCTTAGGCTTGGCCTTCTCATCACGGGCCTTGACCTGAGCAGCGACCTCCTTGACAAACTTCTCGACCTCGTCGACACCATAAGGGCGAGTCTGTATGCCGCCCTGCGCCCACTCGTCCAACAGCTCCTGGTTGCGGACCTTGCGCGGGTCGACAAAGAGGACGCACTTGTCAGGCGTCAAGACGGCGTATGCGAATGCGACAGGGCAGAAGGGAATGTCGGCGCGGCAGCGATAGTTGAGAAGCCAAGTGAGAGTGGTCAATGTCGGGATGAGGTAGATCCAATCGTCGGAGTGTGCGACGGCGTGGAGCTTGGCTCGCATGCGGGTGAGCTTGGTCTTGGTTACCTCGCCAGCCAGAGTGGCCGGGTAGGGAGTGAGAGGACCCAGGGAGCGCGCAGGCGGGCTGTGCACCTTGTCAACAAGGTTAACCTTGATGGGAACCAGCTCGGTCTTGCCTCGAAGGAGGTGTGCCTGCAAGTTCAAGGCGGCGGCTTTGCGGGTTAGTATCAAACACACAACGACAATGCTCACCATTCGAGATAAGCTTGGGGTCAATGCCCACACGCGAGCCGTCCTCGAGCTCCTGCAAAGATCAGCGACTCTTCCAAGCACCTCACTCACATTCACCACATAGTCAAGCCAGCCAGACGCAACCATGCCGGGACCACTTCCAGTCCCATCCCCGACGCGTTGCACCTTCCAGCCCTCTTTGGGTGCCTGCTCCTCTGCCTGGCTCCAGTAACGCGAGTCGACAAAAAGCAGGGCCTTGGCATCGATGGACGACGAGGGAATCAAAGCAGTACCAGCGGAACCGGTGAAGCTGGGACGTGAGTGTGGGGCCAGGGCATCGTCGAGCACAACGTACTTTGAGATCCACTCGCGACGCTTATCCGAGACCGCAACCTCTTCGGACCCATGCTCGTCTTCGCTGGTGACAACACTGCCAATGTCAGCACACATAAAGTACATTAGTTGCAGCAGACTCACTACCAGTCGACCTTGGCCTCCTTGATCTGGTCGCGAACGCTTGAAAGGCGCTCGGCCATCTCGGCCTCTCCGGGGCGGGTGATAGGGAGCAGTGCCTTCTCATTCTGGTCCAGCTCGCCTAGGACGGTGCTGAGGAGGACATCTGTGGGGACGTATGCGGGCTCCTCGTATTCGGGAAGCTTGATAGCCTTGTCTCGTTTGAGGCAGAACATGATGAGCGGGTGGCGAGAGTGAAGAAGAGAGAGAGCATGAACTCCTCCACACGCCGAACGTGTGTCGCCATGCGCGCCATCCCCGCTGCGCCGGTGCGCTCTGTGCCCGCGTGGTGACGTCGGGTTAAGGCGCGTCATGGCCAGGAAATGTATTACGTCAGCATCGGATATCCCCGTCGATTACAGCCAAAACGGAAGCCACCACAGGGGGGCCATTGAGACTTGGAACTGCCACAGAGCACGGCAGCAAGCATGCAGATGAGAAAGAGGGGGACAAGAAGAAGCCAGTGCATGTCTAATACCTGAAAGGATAAGCTCTTACTTGCAGGAAGGAGCAACTGATTGATTGTGGGCCTGGTGAGGCTGGGACTTGCACGGAGGATTGATTTGGTGGCATGCCGGTCGTGTTGGCTTGCGTTGTTGCCTTCCCTCCTCTGTCTTCCCTCCATGCCTTCCCCGGCTGTCTTCCCTCCTCGCCTTCCCTTGCACAGTCAGCCTTAAAATACAGTCCCCAAGGCCAGTGCGCACTTTGCATTCTCTCATTCTCCCATCTCGCAACACACCATCCATCTCCTACCCACCCACCCACCCACCCATCCATCCACCAGCCATGACCGTCGACATTACCAAGCCCTTCCCTGGCCTTGACGAGGTCGACCTCTACCCCGTCCAGAACTACACCTACCAGTACGTCATCATTCCCCAGCCTCCTACTTTTTGGGTCTTACCTGGTATCACCTACGCCATCCACCTTCCCTGCATGCACTGACATTCCATAGGAACACCACGCTTCAGCCCGAGGAGGACAGCTCGGTTGCGGAGCGCATGCGCCGCCTCCAGGACCAGTTTGACGAGACGGGTATTCGCCGCTCTGTCGACGCTGTCATTGTCTGCCATGTGAGTGCCGGGTCCAATCAATACATCATCTGGTGGGCTGACTTGGGTAGGACCACGGTCTCCCCTGCGTCCTCACGTTCCAGATTGCCAACGACTTCTTCAAGCTGTAAGTTTCAAGACTTGAGCTTCCGGCTAACAACAGCCCCGGTGGCTATCTTGACCCTTCGGAGGACGATGTGAGCGGCCTCAAGCGTCACCTTGACGAGCTTCTTGGCACTGGCTGCAACCCATCCTCTGCCAGTGACTCTCGCTGGACCGTGCGCAGCCTTCTTTCGGTCTGGTACCGTCCCAACTTTGACGGCTTCCTCGTACGTACCTCAATAGACCCCGGGGAGCACTTTCACTCATGTCAACAGTATCCCTATAAGCCCGTGCACGTTTCGCAGCCAAAGGAGCGCCGCAAGATCTTCCTCGTCACCATGTCGCCTGAGCGTGAGTCCAAGGTTTTGGACAGCGTGGAACAAAGGACCCTGCCGAAAGCAACGGCGAGGCGCTAATGTGTAGAGAAGCTTGGCGTCCCACTTAACATGAAGCTCCTTGCTATCCCTCTTCACGAGTTCTACGACAACACCCAGCGCTACGGCCCTCAGCTTAGCTCGATTCCCCACCTTCTCAGCCGGTAAGTGGCTTGCGAGTCCGTTTTGGATGTGGCTACACGCTTGGGCGTGTGGCACATGAACATTGCCGTTGCGAGACGAGTGGCAGACTGCCTACCCAACTTGTCAGCTGGCCGCCGGCAACTGAGTACACAATCGTGCCGAACGCCTGGTTCCGCGGGCAGAATCGAGGGTTCTGGACGGACCTAGAAAACTGATGCGAACTGTAACAGCGTCACTTTCACTGCCAAGCACTAATCGACTGAAACCAAGCCCAACCAGTTCGGAACCACTCGGTTTGCTGTGACTCTCCAGTTCTCCCTTTCCTCCAAGCACCGCCCCATCTTTCCGTCCCCATGTGACTATGATAGTATAGCAACAGCTCTGTCCCGTCATGCAGAGATGAATATATGACTTCAATCACTGAATACACTTGTTCCAGGTAGCCCAGAGCCTGGGCCGACGCAGTTCCCCAATTTCCAAGGAGATTCGACCTGTGTGTCAGTGGCAGATGCAAGACAATGTGTTTCGTGACGTCAGACCTTTCGTAATCTGGCAGAACCACGACCACGTTCCACCGCAATAGAGCTTGGAGCATGGAGGAGTTAGTGAGGTCTGGGGACATTAATCCATTGACGTAGTATGCCAAGTATGCATGACGGTGATGTGTCAAAGCCCTGCCCGAGGCGAAGAGTCGATCCTTTTTTTATCAGATGGACCACGTCACGTCACGACGAGGCGGGGTATTGCGCAGCAGTCGTGGGGCCTAAGCGTATGCGATGATATATACAGCACGGAGGCGTCAGCACCTGTCATTCTCATCCACTCCCCCTCCCCAACAATCACACACACGATGCGCACAGCTTTCGCATTGAAGTGGTCCGTTTTACTGGCCCTGGCCGCCCCCGCCCTTGCGCAGAGTCAGTCGGTGGTCGCCACCGAGGTCACGAGTGCCACAGATGTCGTCGTCTCCGACGCACCCGTTGACAGCAGCACCGACACTGGCGCTGGGTCGACTCCTACTGTGGCCAACCTCACGCCCACTGCATCGCCTGCCACTGAGACTGGCTCGGCTGGCGGCATGAATGGCACCACCGGCGGAACGAACGGCACCGCCGGCGGTCTCGGATCTTCACTCAAGTGAGTCCGTCGCAGACAATTGAAGCGACAAGAGACTAACGTGCTCAGCCTCTCCGCTAGATGCTTGGCTGCCGTTGAGAAGGCACTCAGTGCGGACAGTGCGACTGGTCAATGCCTCCACACTACCATTCTCTGGGCTTGTAAGTTGACCGGGTTTTTGGGCCACTTTCCCTCCATTTTCAAACCACTGACACATCACAGCCGCCAGCTCAAACTCAACTGCCTCAAACTCGACTGCCTCAAACTCGACGGTCCCAGACTCGACTGCTGCAAACTCGACTGCTTCAAACTCGACTGCTTCAAACTCAACTGCGTCTCCCTTCGTCTCCAAAGTTGAGGAGTACCTCAACGCTACGTGCATGTCTGCGCCATGCACCAATGCGACCATCTCCAACGCTACCTCCATTCTCATCCAAGAGTGTTCCGAGGACCTCACAACCTGGAACATTTCCGTCGACACGGTGAACAAGTATGCCCAGCTCTATCCACTTGTCCGCGAGGTGGCCTGCCTCAAGACCTCGGACCCGTTCACTGCTGCCGGAAACTCGTCTTCGTCCAACACTACCACTACCCCGCCAGTCATGACTAGCACCGCTCTGGCTACACCCGTCGGAACACCCGTCGTAGCCTCAACTGGTGAGGCCAGTAACCAGACGGTGGCTGTCAACCGTCGGCAGGCGACCGACACGGCAAACAGCGGACCCGCGACTGTTGCTGGTAATGCCTCGGTCCCGACTGGCGCGGCCTCTGCCATTCCCGCGACTACGTCGGTCTCCGGCTCTGACAACAGCACGACTGTTGGTACTTCCGAGTACTGCCTCATTTCAATCATCGACGAGATCCAGGCTCTGCTGGGTACTGAGGGCCTCTCCCTTGCCAACCTCACCCAGCTGCTCATCCCCGGTAGTCTAATGCGCAACTCGACCGCCTCGACTTCGGAGGGTAACCCTTCGTCTGACAACTCGACTACCCCTGTCGTGGGCAACTCGACCGCTTCGTTGGCGCCAATGGCCTCCGCGACCCCGGCGACCTCGTCAAACACCACCTCGGCGAACTCCACCTCTGCAACCTCTACTTCGAGCACCTCACCCCCGAAGCCCACTACCCTCCTCCCTTTGATCATGGAGGTTCTCTGCAATGACTGCATCTACGCGGCCGCCGACCTAGTGTCCCAGTCTGCCTCTTGGCTCATTGAGACGGGTATCTCTGGCAACATCACCGTGCTCGACTATCTCAAGGCGAGGTGCGGAGCTGAGGGATACATCCCCACGACGAACGGTACTCTCCCACAGACCATCAGCCCCTCGGCCCAGAACAGCACCTACGGTTTCCCCATCACGTTCTTTGACCCCATGACTGGTAACTGGACCACGACGACCCCGCAGACCAACAGCACGGACATCAACGCCGTAAATGGAACCGCTACGGCGTCGCTTAACGGAACCGCTACTGCCACTGGTGTTGTCTCCGGGACCGATGCGAGCACGCCTGCAGTCACCACTCCTGTCGTTTCGACTGAGACTGCTGCTGTTGTGTCAACCCAGGTAGCTGGCGCGACTGACACGGTTGCAGTGGACCCAACTGCCACCGAGTCTGCCACGGCCGGCGCCTCGCTCGGCGTCCGCAGTCGCAAGGTCTACCGCGGCCCGGGTCGCACCAAGGCGTAAGAAAACACATTAAGAAGCATGTTAGAAGTATTCCAGTTAGAGCACGCCTTCAACCCCTCCCCCTGCATCTTATTCTTCCACTCTCCTTTAAACAAACACGCAACCCTTAGCAGCCCTTATGCAAATGACTTGTAGTCTCGTTTTACTAGATCGAAGTTGAACGAGTGCAGACCGGCAGTCCCTTTCAGCTTTGTTTCAGCCATTCCGTGGTCAAAATAGATACGGTGATGTTACGACGAGACCCATCGGCCAGGGCTTCTAACAACCTGACAGCTCGTGTATGCTTTTGGGGAGACTGGTGGAGTTGGCGATCGTTGACGATGGCGTTGACAGCAGTGTGCAATCGCGGCGCTTGGCGCCACACTGGTGCACTGGTGATGGATCGCGGCTGATGAGGCCACCACACGCTAGCCCGCATGCCATTTCGCCACCCGTGGTTGCCGTTTCTTACAACGTCACAACACACACCGTCATCATGGCCTTCCCCGAACACGTCAAGCGCTTTCCGCGCGACAACTGGGACGGCGTCATGTTCACCTATCCCCCCATCCCCCGCGGCCTGCTGGACTCGAAGGCCCGCTGGGCAGCCCGCACCGCCAGCTTGCGGTGGCAAGCCGCGTTGGACGCCGGGGACGCCGGCACGCTAGATGCGGTCGATTTTACGGTCGCCGTCTTTGATGTCGCCTGCAACATGTACGTATGTGCCCAGCAAATCGCCCTGACAGCCACCAGAAAGGACTACATGCGCGACGTGGGAGTGCAGCGCGGCGGCCGGATCACAAAGCCCGAGGACTGGCGCGCGTTCACTGACCGTGTCATTGCCCACGCCTATCGTCTCGGTTGCTCCGCCGTCAGTGCACGCTTTCCAGAGTTCTCGGTGCCCTCGCTCGACGCCGTGCGCAACTTTGCGCGTGGTGCCATGGACTGCGTGTTCGAGGAAGGTATCGATTCGTGGGGCCGTGTGTATCGCAGCGGCTATGACGAGGTGCGCTTCACCGACCGGTACATGCCCCACTTGGACCAGCTGCCGCTCCGTGCCTTCACCGTTGTCGACCACACTCTCGACGGCGACCCCGCGGCCGACGACAGGCGCCTTGTTCTGCTCCTCGATGGCCGTGACAACGTCGTGCGGCAATACCGTGGCAGACACGACCGAGGCGACGACGACGCTAACTTGCCTGCCTCGCCATGGCCGACCACGCCGACCACAGTGGCGTCTCCCACAGTGGACGTGGCAACGGCGTCCAAAGACAACGAGACAACTGCAGACGACGATTAGATACATTGTGCTTGATTTCCTTCTTCATGTCGCCCACCACTTGGCCACTTGACGCGTCGCCGAGAGCACTGCGAGGGGTTGAGGGTCCGCCATCGAAAATGTCCATAGATGTTCATGACTCTGCCTCCAGCGACTAGTAATACATCCGGTTTCTCAATGCACCGCCGCTCACAAGTGAAGCCCGTCGTCCTCGTCCACTGCCATCTGCTCTCCAGAGATAGCCTGCGGTTGGCCTCCTCCAGTCGAGGTACCGTTAGCCGTGCTTCCATTCAGCGGTGCGGGTGCGGGCGCAGGCGCAGGGGTTGGACCATGGGTCTGAGCTGTTGTTGTCGGTGTTGCGGTGGTAGCGGCAGAAGGTGCTGGAGCGGCGGCGGTGGTGTCTGATGGAACGCCATAATGCGCCAGGCTGTCTGCGCCGACCTTCTCCGTGAGGACTGCACGGAGGAGGGCGATGCGTTCTCTTTGAGAGGCGCTGGGAGATGGTCAGCTCAGCATTGGACACACGCGAGCTGGCAAGTCGGTGATGACACGGGACAACAGCGAGAGATGAAGAGCTGTAAGCGAGAGGAGACTGGCAGCTCTCATGCCATTCACCGTGGCCACCGTCGTTGTTGACACCCCACAAGCCACAAGTGACACAGGGCTGCAGTCTACTCACATGACGCCCTCGTTCTCAGACCACGCAGCGCGCAAGTCGACATCCTCCTCCTCTGCAAGGAACGCGGCAAGCTCCGTCTGGGAAACGTCGAGGTGTGCGAGGGAGTTTTGAAGGCGCGCGATCTCTGATCTCGTGTCAGCAAGCTCGATGTCGATGTCGGTAACAGAGGGAAGGCTTTGAAAGAAGGAACAAAGGGCACACACAGGTCATGACGACACCGTGTGGGCGGTCCCCTCTTGGCTGGCCGTCCTCGCCTCTGGGACTGCTTACTCACCTGCGACGATCGTGCTCACATCCAGATGTGATGCCTCGACGGCAGAGAAGGGTTGTGGGTGGCGAGTCTGGAAGTCCATGCCGAGTGGGTGGGGGGATGGGTGGATGCACAATTGACGAACTGGTTGCAACGTCGGATGTCGGGCAGATGTGATCGACCTCCACTCCTGCGAAAACGCGGTGGCGAGGTCAGGGCATTTGGGACAATAAAACGCGTCAGCGACATAGCGACACTGCTCGACCCGGTCAAAGCTGTTGCAGCGCTCGCTCATGGATGGGAGACACGGTTATTTACATGATGCGTGTCTACATACAAGCGTCTACATGGATACACATGCGCATGGGTGGGGGGCCCGGGTTGGACAAGGTGGTATAAACAGAGTTGGTTCATAATGGAGAACATGCAGGAGAAAAGGGCGATGACGAGGGGCATAGAGTGGAGGGAGGTGCGAGGAAGGTGGAAGCCAAGGGGTTTCTCGAGCCTAGACATAGATCTGGACGGCGCCAGCACCCTCCTTTGGCTTCCAGACGCCGTCAACGAACACACTGACGTGCTGGCGCGCGCAGCCGGTGACGGGACACTCCCAGGTGTACTCCTTGACAGGCTGGACCTTCTTGGCCTTGCGAGCTGGGCGGCGTTTCTTGGACAGCGGCTCGTCGTCGAGAAGTGGGGGGTCGTCTTCGTCGTCCGAGCCTGAACCGAGAGTATCCAAGCAGCGCTCGTCGACAAGGTGGCCACAGCGCAGGGCCCAAACACGGTCCTTGTCGCTGCGCGCCGCGCTCAAGACGCGGAGAGGCTCAGGACAACAGGCGCATGCGAGGTATGGTTGACGCTTCTTGATTGGAACGACTTGACCAGCACCATCGAGCTCAATGGCTGTGCTCCCGTTGACCTCGGTATCGATCTCCTCGGCGTCCCAGGTGTGAGTGAAGCCCTTGGGCGCAGGTGGGATGACTGATGGGACGACTTTGGCGAGGATGGTCGGGACGTCGTCGTTGTGTGGGGCACGGCCGACACGGCCAACACCAACACCAAATAGGCCGAGGCCGAGGCCGACGGGTCCACGGTCCAGTAGGGCGCCCATGAGGCCATCGCGGTTAAGAAAGTATCCACCGAGGCCGGCGAGGTTGAGGTTGACACGCCACTGGCCAGCCGCAGTTGGGGCATTGATGGGGGCACCTCCAGCGCCGTCGTCGGGAACGCGCATAGGGACACCACGGCGAGGTTGACGGCGCTCAGGTTCTGCTTCAATGGCTTCGTCGCCATTGCGGTCGATGCGGAAACGCTGGGCGGGACGACCAGGCTCAAAGCGCACTTGGCGGTTGCCACCGCGGAAAACGGCGCCCCCAAAGCCCATACGAGGCAAGGGAGCATCTGGTGGTGGCGAGAGCACATTCCGGAGACGCGCAGGCCCAGCTTCTCCCACCTCGGCCTCGAGTTGGTCGAGTTCGTTGAGCTCGGCAGCGCGGTGTGCGAGGGTCGCGTCGAGTCCTGATCCGTCGTTAGTTCGATTTGCGAGAGGACGAGCTTTAGTGCGTGTCAGCGCGGCCATTTGGGCTGCGGACACGACAGTACTGTACTTACGATCCATGGCATCACGGAACTGGTCGTTGTTGGTCAGGCGCGCGGCAGCGGCAGCCCGACGAGGGGGAAGATGGGCGATGGGGCGCGAGGGACCTGCGTTGCTGCCAGTGATCTGTACGTCGTCGTCGTCCGAGTCGCTCAATTCGATGACATCTGGTTCAGTGAAGCGAGGTCTAGCGGCACCCGCCGCACGACTGGGGGTCGGGGGAGCACGCGGAGCCGGTGACACGGGGTGTGTGGACTGCGCACGCGATGAGGAAGCGGACGGGCGATACGCAGCTTGTCCAGTCGACTCCCGGCTGACAGGCTCAGGGGATGGGGTAGGGGAGCTGAGGTCGATGATGGCGTGGGAGCCTGGCATCGTGCCAGATTGATAGCGAGGCCGAGGTTGGAGGTGAGTGGATATGGGGGTGTACTCCGCACAAGAAGGAAGGCCGGAAGGCTTGGTGAGACGGTGATTGGTAAAGTTGGCTGGACCTAAGTGCGTCCGACGTGTCGCTTACTGGCGTATGGCGCGGGGTTCGAGGTGACGATGTTTTGATAGAGAGGTTCCCTTGATGACACGAAGGAAGAAGGGGTGTGGAGTGTTGGGGAAGAGTGCAACGTCAAGAATGGGAGCGAGACGTGTGATGGATGGTGACTGTGTTGGTCGCTCGCGCTCGGATGCGAAGGGTGTTGACCCCACGGGGGTATATTTTCTAATGCGGGTCTAATGCGGGCGGCCACGATTAGCCTCGATTAACACGAGGAACCGTAATCACGACCAATCGCCACCCACACTCCAGCGGTTCGTTACATCCTTATCCATGCCCATCTACAGTATGCACCACCTATGCATGTGCATACCCATTTCCTACTCTTCCGTACCAAGCAGGTTGCTGGTCAAACTCATAGTGCTTGGATTCTCCGCTTGAGAAAATGGTGGCTAAAGATTTGGCCGTCGTCGATGGGGTCATTTTTGCCCGCGGTCCGCCTGGCACATGGCCGTTGGGAAGCATGTCTTGGAGGCCGTCGCCAACGTATCTGTGGATCTGTGAACTTGCACTGGGCTAGAGAGAGGAAGTAGTGAAAGCATCGTCAGAGGTGCATCAGTAGTACTGCTCGAGATTGGAATGAGCTGCCCGTGCGCGGCAAAGCTGCTGCACGTGCACAGTCTAATGTCGCGACTAGTCAGAACTTCCAGCCACCACCGACACTGCCAACAAGAATGGGCAGAGGGACCAGCCCCATACCCCAAATGAGCAAGAGATAGAAGACAACAATCCATGCACACTGCGCAGGACAACCTGCTCTATACCGTCATGCGGCTAAATCTAGGCGGCAACAAACTTGGGGAAGCAAGCGGTGAAGGCGAGCTTCGAGTGCTTGCTGTCAACGTGCTGCTGGAGGCTGAGGCGTTAGCGTGTGCTGAGAACCCATCTAATAGCTCACAGAGGCTGCTTCGAGGTGCCCTGGAAAGCCTGCTTGCAGACGTCGCACTGGATAGTGAGAGCGGCCTAGGAACGTCAGCGGGGGTGCAACAGCGCTCCTGTCCATCTCTGTTACTTACAGCGTTCGAGGCGAGCTGCGAGCTGGGGCCCTTCTTGGCGTTCTTCGCGTTCATCTCGCGCTTGTGAGCCGACTTGGCACCCTGCACATGGTCAGCTCGTGGTCTGACGCAACGGTTGGGTGCGTGTTGTTTTCGGAAAGGGGAGTTCCTATCGCCAGGATCTCGGAATCCTAGGGAGGGACACTAGGGTGGTCGCAACCAAGTCGAGAATGTAGCATGTTGCCTCCCAGAGAGGGCGCATGCTGCAGGTACTCACGTTTCCGCCACCCATTTTGATAAGATGTTTATAGAGGTTGTTGAGGGGAAGATATGGTCGGTCAGAAAAGTTGAGACCCGTCGGCGGCTGGCGGCAGAGGAAGATCGGCGGCGGAACCGGTACGGTGAGGCTGACATTGATGGACCCAAGAGTGACCCTGACATTTGCGAGAGCCACGGTGCCGCACCGCCGGTGCGTCATGGGTCGTCGTTGGCATTTGGACCGGGCGTCCAACATCCACATCCAACATCTCACGTCCAACCACCCACTCACACCATGGCCGAGCTCAGTTCCGAAGACAAGGTCAAGCTCGCCGTCTCGCTCATTGAGCAGTCTCCTCCAGGAGAGGTCAAGTAGGTCTCGCTTGTGGGCTGTAGCTTGAGCTGACGACGTAGCGATGTGATCAACGGTGCGCCCCTAGGCTTGAATGTCCCGACGACCAGTGTAAGATGGCTGACTCTCGGCACCCAGACATTCGCGCAATCATTGCCGACGACGATGCCCTCATGACCTACTCGCAGCCTGCGTTGAGGGCCTACAACCTTGCGCAGTTGCACGCTGTCGAGCACACCGTTGACGGCGGCGCATCCCATGTTGTGCGTCCAGGCGACTGCTCGTCCACAGCACAGGCTGACCCCCTTAGACTCTCCTGTCTCATGCGGCGATTCTCCCCGGCACTGCCGAGGGCGAGGAGCGCTACATTGACAACGAGGGCGGCCGCTCGTTTGCTTTCGACCACATCAAGCTGGTAAGTGTCCTTTTCTCGACAAGCATCCAGCTGACAGCAAGACGGCGAGCGACTACCAGCCCTACGAGCTGCCCGAGGAGGAGGCCGCCTTCCGCGCCGAGCTCTACAAGAGCCTCAAGGCGTACGCCGACAACCACTTCCCCGGCGGCCACATTAGCGTGGTTACCAGTCAGCACCCTCTCCTCGCTCCGGAGCCTGAGCCCGAGGTCCTGCCTGAGCCTGAGCCGCAGCCCGTGGTCGAGGAGGTGCCGGCACTCCCCTCGTCGCAGAACACAGTGGACGAGGCTGCTGTCGAGGACGAAACCACGATCCCACCCTCGCCCATCACGGACGTGATTGCTGAGCAAGTCGGCAGTGGCTCGCAGGAGCAGGCGCCGACGCCTGCTGTGGAAGGCGCCGCCGAGTCGATCCTCGTGCACGAGGAGGTGGATCAGCCTGGAGGGCTGGAGAAGCTCGACAGCGAGATTGAGGCTGAGAAGGCAAAGGAGGAGAAGGATGAAGACGAGGACGAGGACAAGGACACCCCTGCTGCTGCTGAGGAGGAGGAGGAGGAGGAGACACCAGAGGCGCCCAAGGAGGCCGCCATCGAGGAAGATGCCCAGACGGCAGAGACCGAGCCCGCCGCTGAGCCCGCCGCTGAGCCCGCCGCTGAGCCTATTGCTGAGCCCGAGGTGGCCGCCGAGGACCCTGTTACTGAGGAGGTCCCAGCACCCATCCCCGAGCCCAAGGCTCCCCGCGTGCAGTCCCGCATCGACAACCCGACCTACACCCTGGAGATTGTCGGCAACCGCTACAACCCCAACAACTTTTGGACGGGCAGGTGGCGCACCCGCTGGGTCGTCGACCAGGCGGCCGGCACCGTGGACGGCGAGCTCAAGATTGACGCGCACTACTTTGAGCAGGGCAACGTGAGTTGTAGGCAGCCGCGCGAGACCGAAAACTGACAAAATTCCCAGGTCCAGCTGGCCACGCACCACGCCGCGTCCTTCCCGTGCCCCACCGCCGAGGCCAAGGGCCAGAGCATCGCCAGCCAAATCGTCACGTCGCTCTCCAAGATCGAGGCCGAGTACCAGCTCGAGATGCACGACGTGTACGCCGAGCTCGGCGACAAGGCGTTCCGCGCGTAAGTGCTTTTTGGCTGTTTGCGAGGTCTCTTGGAGGCGTGCTTGCTTCACTGACACAAACACAACTACAGACTGCGCCGCGCACTCCCCGTCACCCGCCAGAAGATTGACTGGGAGAAGGTGTCTGGATACACCCTCGGCGCGGACCTCAACAAGGCCCGCGCCTAGTTAGACATGTTGTGACCCTCGGAAGCTATGTAACACTCGACATGAGAGTAGGTCTCTGCAGGAACGTCGTATTTATCGACACCGTGTTTTGCTCTGTGCGAGGTTGGGACATGGACAGAGCTGGTGGTGTGCCGCAGAGTGTGTTTGTGTTTGTGCCTTTGCTCCCGCCCCTGGGAGAGAAACACATACACTGCTCTCCAAGGGGGTTGGTGACCTTTACGGATCACGGATACTGCGTTTTGCGTTTGCTTCCGCCGACAGCGAATCTGTGAATCGGCCGGGTTGATTGAAGGGTGGATTCTGGACACCACCACACCTTGCGGACACCTCGCACAGTCGCACGTTGCAGGGCTCATGGGGTATCCATCAGAGTGTACGTAGTCACCTCGTCCCCGTTGACGCCGTACGCTCGGTGTGCCAGAGAATGAGGCGGGAGACAACACCAGCTAGGCGGATCCCGGCCGCCACTTGAACTCTGGGCGCGTCTGAAGAGGCACACCTTGTGAGCGGGAAGCGGGAGGGACGTCTCCAGACTGTGGATGCGGAGACGTCTCTGTTGAGTAGCTGGCGAGACGTTGGGCACCTGCGACATACGGCCGCGCAGGGAAGGTGCCACATTCGACGTGCTAGTGATTTTCAACCGCCCCCGGGTTCCTCGACATGATGCCTTGTAGGCGCCAAGACTCCCACCTTGGGCCCCCACGGGCCGCCATCTGACATCTGGGCAAGACGAGGGGGAGGGGGTGGACGAGATTTCACTCACCACTGGCCGAATGGTTCGAGAGATTAGAACCTGGAGCGAAGTGGCTGACCAAGGCCGGTCTGTGGGTTGCAGGCTGCATAAATGTCGTGTGTGAGGGGACAAGGTGACACCATGACACCACTGGCCACTGGCCTGCGATGTCTACGCCACAAGTACTTCAACAGTGCACCGCCTGAATGGCCTCATTGCGCCTGAGCATCGAGCTTTCGTCTACATAACCGTTGGTCTGTGGCAGTAACCACGACAGTCTGTACCCACTCTAGCCCACTCTCCTGCCATGGGATTTCACTCACTCCCTTCATCCGGCCATCTAGCCTGTATACCCGGCCTGCGCAGAGGAAAGACCAAAGGGCCCGACAAGGGCCCCGCGTACGCGGCCAACTGCCACGTTTGTCTCCCTCCCATAACTCAGGATTCTCGGACATGCGTGCGTTCGGGTCCAAGCCAAGCCCACCACCCAATGTCTTCTTCTGCGGGCCCGTGCCACCTTGGCCGTGACCGTGGCGTGCTGACAAGATACTGTACGTGCCGTCCCGTCCCGGCCGTAAGCCGTTGCTCGTTGTCCGTTGGGTGCCAGCTCGGGCTCACGCGATCCACCTGTGGTGTGGTGCGGTGGCGGTCGGAGGCTCTCTGGATCTCTGGCTTCTGGCCTCTGGCCTCTGGAGTCCGGTGGCGTGGCCATGGGCCACGGGGCGCTTGCATGACGCCAGAAAACGCCAGCTGTGCTTGTTCGGGTTGGACCCGTTTCCCTCGTGAACCACGCACATGAGTAATACCCATCACTCTAATCGGTGACGGAGGCCCATTTTCCAGCACGTCAGCACAGGTTCCCAGAGGATATTTGCCTCCCCGTGGGCCAAATGCCTTACGGTGTGTCGAGAGAGCGTGGCAAAAAGCGCCATCACGCTGCGTCCACGCCGTGGTGGCGTCTGTGAGCTGTGGGATCCCTGGGTATGGCATGCGATTCCCCTCAGGCCCCATGTTTGTCTTTATGACGCCACAAGGGCCACTTCCGTGCCGTCTGCAATCTGGCTGTGAGGGGATTACCTTTGGCCTTTGGGACCACCCAAACATCACTTTTGGCTCACGCTCTCGCGCTCTCTCTCTCGCGCGTCGCGTGCTCGACCACTCTGGCGGCCGGCGGCCCCGGCCGAGGCATGTGGCGCCTTTGCCTGGCCCCGCGTTCCCCCCCGTTTCTCCCGTTCTCCCGATCTCCGGGTCCTTAGCCACATCACGCCACGACCAGAGCATATCCAGAGCACACGCCACGGGTCAGGACATCAGGAGAGCGTTTCCAGGACCCAAGACGCAGACCACACACCCACCAGGAAAAGTCAGGACGGCCAAGACGGCCAGGACCGAGGATCTCGCGTGATGCCACACACACACACACACACACAAACCACCAAAGATCCAGATCTCACGTCTCACACCGCTGTGCGCTTGGGACCCAGTCCATGCAGTCCACACCTACACACCGGGCCACACCCATGTGCTGCGCGCCCACAGGCAGCCAGGTATTGCCCCGGGGCCACCACCTCACCCCGTTTTTGCCCTGTGTGCAACGGATACATTCCATTCCAGCATGCCTCAATGCGTGCGCGCGCGGAGCTTGGCTGTCCGCCAAGCAGAACAGCCGGATCTCCCCCCGCCATGTGTCGTGCGGTATGGAACCCAGCGGCCAGCGAAATGTGGCCCCCTCAACCCCCTCCCCCCACCCACCGAAACGAGACAGAACGCCGCAGTACTACCCCAAACAGCAGCGAAACAGAATGGATCTGTGGCCAGCTGTGGCAAGAGCATACGTACATGCAGGCCGCAGGCATTGCCAGGCCACACACAGACTGTACTGTACAGCTGCTGAACAGTGCCTGCAACTGTCTCTGTCTGAGAGGTCTGTCTGAACCCAGGAGAGTGCACCCGAGACAAGACAACCACACGCCCCCCCCCCCCACCCCCCCCCCGGACCCCTTCGACCCCCTCGATCCCCTCCCCACCCACCCATCCATGTGTCCGTCCCACAGCGGCCAGTGGCTAGTGGCGGCCGCTAGAAGACAGGAAAAACGCGCAAAAAACAGTCTGACCACACGTATACACGCGTATGTACGTGCGTGAGGGAAAGCAAGGCTTTACCTTTGTTACCTTACCCATATGCCCCATTCATCTATAGCCCTTGCGCGCGCGCGCTAGCCCGTCTAGCGTCGGATATGGAAACCAGGTCGAGAGCCAGACCCGCAACACCACGTGTGGCAAAGTGCAACGGATCAATGGAAGCTACGGACCCCCAGAGTCGATTCGCAAAGCACTCGCCTCGCTCGCTATATTGCCCCCCCTCAGCCCTGTACCTGTTCTGTGGACATGATGATGCATGCTTTGAAAGGCTATTTGCTTATTCTTCTTCACTCGACTTCACCTCGCACTCCACGGCGCATATGGTTCTGTCTCTTTCTCTCTCTGTCTCTCTCTCCTCTTTCTTGACGGGGACGGCGCACTTCCTCCTCCTCTTCGCTCGCCTCTGGGCGAGTGGTGGTACAACTCTCTCTTGTGGGGGGGCCTCTTATATAAAAAGTAGAAAGAAAGAAAGAAAGAAATGGGGGGAAAAAACAAAAGGGCGACAAATTAACAACCTCGTGTGGGTAAACCTCTAGAGCGCGCCGGTGGGGTGGTGGTTGTGGTGCTGATGTGCGAAAGTTGGTTGGGGTTGGGTGGCAGCGTTCATCTCTAGAGCTCCATGTCGTCAATTTCAAACCCGGTCTCGTCGTCGCGCCGGCGGGCGTCGGCCTCCTCGGACGAGCTCTTGCCGCGGTGGCCGCCGAGGCCGTACTCGAGGTCGTCCTCGTCGTCCTCGGCCACGCCGCCACGCAGGCCCGAGTCGGGCACCTTGAAGCCCGAGCGGGAGCCAAACATGCCGCCGCCAATCATGCTGGCACGGGCCGTGAGGCTGAGCATGCCGCCGCGGTTGGGGATGGGGCTGGTTCCCGTCGGGGTCGAGCCGTGGAAGTGCAGGCCGTTCATGTCAGGGAGCGAGCCGAGCGAGTGCGGCGTCGTGGGGCCTGGGCCCGACGAGATGGACGAGTTGCGACGGCCCGGGTCGTTGATGCCCATGGCACGCGTGTGCGAGTTGCCGTTGGGCTTGAAGCCGAGACCGTTGGGGTTGGGAGAGCCACTGGTAAAGGCCTCGGAACCACCACCGAGCGACGAGGTCGAGTCCGACCCGGGACTCGACTTGCGGGGCTTGCTGCCAAAGTTGGCCACCTCGCGCAGAGACGATGGAGTGAGAGGCGCGGCGTTGGAACTTGGCGAGCGCAGGCCGGGAAGGTCACGAGCACGGGAACGCGCCGAGCCGGGAAGCGGAACAGTCTCGCCAGCAGGCGAAAGGATGGCCGGCCAGAGCGACTTGTCGGTCGGCAGCGAGCGGCCCTGGTTGCTGGTAGGGTCGAGGTGTGCAAGAATAGCCGCAGCCTCGAGCATCTGCACCTGCTGGTGCTTGCTCATCGAGATCTGCGTTGGCTCGCGCCAGTGCGGACTGTGCTCCCAGCGATGCTTGATCAGGCATGAAGGGTGACGGTACTCCTGAGAAATTGGGTTAGATGACGCCATACACTACACGACAAACAAAAAAGTCGGTCCTGGACCACCACACTCACTTTTGCGCAGTTTTCGCACTTGAACACCATGCCCTTTCTCCTGCCCTTGATACCGCCGGACCCGGTCCCGAGGGCCAGCTTCTCCCAATCAGGCTCGGTCATGCTAATCTCGCCATCGCCGTCCATGTCCATGTCGAGCTCGGCGCTGCCGCTTCGGCCGCCCGAACGCTCGTCGTCGTCGTCGCCATCAAAGGCCATGTCAAGCTCCATGTCGTCGGTCTGCGGCTGGATCGCAGGAGGAGGCTGCATACGCCCAGCAGCACCGGCGATGCCACGCGAGGGGAGGGACGCGGCAATAGCTCCCGACCTCGAGTTGGTACGAGACGATGTGGGACGACGGTCCGTCTTGGTAAAGTCAAAGAGCTGGGGCGAGGTACCAGTGAGGGCGGCGTTGGACAGACGACGGCCAGCAGGGATAGGAGAGCCAGTCGTGTTGTGCGTGACGAGGCTGGGGCGGGTGCTGTGTGCCCACGGGTCAGCAAAACGAAAGAAAGCCGAAATGGTTCAAAAAAAACTCACGCCTGAGCAGCAGTAAGACCCGAGTCGCCAGTGAGACCCAACTTGCCACGACCAAGAACGCCAGTAGTCGACGAGCTCATGCGACGAGCCTTGGTTGTTGCAGGGGGAGCGCCAGTGGTGGCAGCACCATTGGACCCTGCATTGGCAGGGGGACGTGTGGTGGACAGATAAGACGTCGCAGGGACAGACTGAGGTTCCACCCCGCTTCCACCCTTGGCCGATGACGAACGACCACCAGCAAGCGACAGGAGATCTGCACACACGCGTCAGCGATGGGGGTTCCGTGCTTCGAAAGTTGGCACGGCGAAGTTGTGCTACGCCCCGCAGATCCCCGTCCGAAGCCGGGGGACGGTGGAGTGAGAGGGGGGTGGGGACACGGGACAATAGAATTGTCCCAGTCATGTGCTGGGCCAAACGACTCACCAAAGGCATGGGCGTGCATCTCACCCTCCTTGTTACCATGCTCGCATGGCGGGAGGAAGCTGGGGTGCAGCAGGTCGACATTTGCATCGGGTCCAGGGGACGACGAGTTGTGGTGCAGGTCAATGGGCTGTGTAAGGTGGGAGAGAGTGGGTCAAAATAGTGGGCGGCGGAGGGTTGAGTTGGGTTTCAGAGGCCAAAAGTTCGGATCGGGGACGACGCGTCGTGGGGGAGGGGAGGGGGAGGGGAAGGGCGGGCGGTCGTCGGGAGCCGGGACAAAGTAAGGTGCCAGGGCATGTCCGACAGGGATGGAGATGGTGGGTGTGCATGGAACGGCGTCGGCGAGGTAGCAAGTGATGGAGGAGGGAGGCATCAGCATATGTATGTCCTTTGGGATAGAGGGCGGCGACCTGTGGGCACACCATGTGGAACTTGGCTTCCCCGTGTTGGACCCACCACCCGCCGACTTTTTTTGGACTAGTCGGGGGGCGGGCGGGCGGCGACGGCCAACCGGCTGAACAAGCAGACAATGGGAAAGCAACGAGCTGGTGGCCCAAGAACTAAACTTACGTCGAGAGCAAGAGTCGTAGCTGGCGGCGGCGAGCGCCATTGTGAGAACGCGGTGGCCACTGGGGCCATGGTGGTCGGCAAAGAACGAGCGGCGAGCGGGCGTTGCTGATTCAGGCGGACGTGTCAGCGCACTGGCTGTGCGGGCGGGCGGCGTGGCGGCTGGGGTGTGTGGGAAGAGAGAGAGAGCGGGAGAGCGATGTGAGGGATGATGCTCACGAAGGGGGAGGGGAGAGTGGTGAGGAGGAGGTTGTGGTGGACGAGGTGGGTGGGGGTTTACTGGATACGGAGGAGAGTGGTGAGTGGGTAGTGTGTGTGTGGATTAGAAGACGAGGCGATGATGGGCAAAGAAAGTCGGGGGAGCGGCGGAAGAATGAGAGACACAGAGTGAGCGCTTTGGTGGGGGAGGGAGGGAGGGAGGGAGAGAGCTAGAGCCGCGGGGGTGCCCGCCGGTCGGGAGGCAAAAGGACAGACAAGAGAGAGACTGGCAGCCAGGGCACATGGCGTCTGGTGCGCGCACAGCAGCCAAGGCCAGGACAGCCAGGACCCATTGCAACCACGCGCACGCACGCACGGCCGGCACAGCGTCGTTCCGGGTGAGAGAGAGAGGGCCATTATACTCCCGCGTCTGGCCGTCTGGGGTGAGGGCCTTCGTCTGCCCCTTTGTCTTCTGGTCGACAACGCTTCTCTGCCATAACGTGGGATCATCCAGTGCAACATGTTTGGAAAGCTGGGAAGCGACACACACACACACACATGTCGCATGCATACAAAACGACCACTGACCAAAGGCAAACATGCCTCCTCTCTCTACTCCTCCTAGTGGTTCTCACCCACATCTCAATCTCTTTCACCTCTTCTCCCGACCATCCCGCCCGTCTTTGCTTCCTTCCCTCTCTTGCCCTCTCCGCACATTGCCGCCCGTTGCCGCCTAACGCACCCCCCGTTGCAGTCTAACCTGCCCGTTCGTGTCTCTCTGGGCCTATTCAAACCATTCTTGGGCCACGCGATGAAGATCAGGTACGTATACGTGCTGTCAAGCTTAACGCCGTGGTCCGAACAATACATGGTCTCACTGCTCTCACTGACACAAAAGTCACCACCACGGTACACACACCCCTCTCTCTCTCTCTCCCTCAACAGAGCATCGGTGCGTGCGGCGGCCTCTTGTTGCCACTCTTGTGGGCCAACCCCGTCCTCCTGACATGAACGCCGGCGGCGTGGTGATGGATAGCGGGGCCCGGACTTACCCTCCGCCGTCCCTGCCCCTTGTGGGACGCCATCCCAGGACGCTGCCGACGGTGCGCGTGCGCCTTTTCATGCCCCCCCCCCCCCCCTCTCTCTGTACCTCTGACGAGCTGTCTCCTTCCTCTTGCGGGTCAGACGCCGTCGCGCAGTTGCTTTGGCTGCCGCGCACGGCGACAACGGTCCAACGGCACTACTTGCAACCCTAGAGTACACAATGACACATGTTGCTGGGGCACACCGTGGAGGTCGCGGGGCCAAGAACGCGGGGGGGGCGGCGGCGGCTTGGGACGTTTGGGACGTTGGGAGGTTGCCCAACCAACCACGTCGGCAGCTCGGCAGATTGTCATTCGAAATATATTTCGATCCCACACCCTACCCTACTTACAGATCACTCCCACAACCCGCGCAACGACAGCGTCCGCTCGCGTAAAAGTCTCTGTTCGTGGCGAGAACCCAAAGTTGGTGTCTAAGGGTTTGGCACCGTGGGGGTAGAGCAGCGGGGCTGGGAATATGAACCGGGAAGGGATATGCGTGCTGGTCATGTGACATGTATGGGACACCGGACACCAGAACCCACTCTTGGCGCCAGCGCTCCATCCGGAACAAGCGGGACAGCAGGCGGTGTCTCGAGTGTGATCGTCGTGCCCAACGTCTCCAAAAAAAAAAAAGTTGGAGCTAGCTAGAGTGCTCGTACTTCTCTGCTCTTTTTTTGGGTTTGACCTTCCAAACCCCCCTCTTTCCGCGTTGCATGAGCCTGATAAGACCGGTCGGTCGGGTCTCAAGATGCAATGACGCATGCACCATCACACGTGAGTACGAAGCTCTCTTGCATGGCCCATGGCCTCCAGGGCACAGGTGGCTATTGCGCTCGCAGAGGGACGACGGCATCGTCGGGAGGCACAGACGATCACCGACTGTCTCTCTCTCTCTCTCTGCACGACAGCACGTGAGAATCCCCATCAAAAGAGGACGGACGTCTGCGCAACTGTGAATTTCGCAACGACCAGGAGATACATGGCTACCTACGGGTCCAGAATTCCAGAGGCCTGAGGCCCATGACTTGTTTGTGCAGCGACCCTTTGTCGCCTTCGTTTCCGGCCGCTGTGACCGCCCTGTGTCACGGCAGACTCGGCATCGTCCGTTTCCGAGATCACCAGAGGGCCAGAGATTGCAAAGACACGGCTCAGCGGTGGGCAGCTGCGGCGGCGGCGGTGCTTCGTGGCCGCCGTTGTGCTGTCGCCTGTGGCTGTGGTTCCTTATTCTCGTCTCTGCAGCTGACTTTGCTCCGTTTTGGGCACTCATCCCTGCGTATCATATGAGAGTCGCACACCCACATGATGATAATGTCCCCGCGGCCCGACCGAGGCTCACCCCATACCCCGCGGGTTCGCTCCCTCTGTTCCGTTTCGCGATGTGCCACGGGGCACCACAGCGACAACGTCGCTTCTGACGCGGGTTCCGTGGAGCCTTGTGCTTCCAATGGGCACGTAAACGAGCTTCCTGTGGCGCCCATGTCCAGTGCGCCAGTGCCCAGTGGCCAGTGGCACACCCACTTGTCGCATTACAATGCGGAGACCCTTCAAACCAAGACTAACCATGACCTGCGCGCCTACATACCTCGTGGCAGGGTAGTCACCCCTCCAAATATAACATCACGTGGCCCCAAATGTCGCGTGAAGCACGACTTCCGGCGTGACGCAGCGCCCGCGGGTCCCAACAGCCAACAGCAGGATGCCTACCGGCAGCTGGCAATATGATTGCACGGCTCGACGGTGGCTCCACGGTTCAAACTGAGACAGCACAGCGCAGATTGCGACGACGGACAGATGGGCCAATGCCACCCAACCAAAACGATGATTGCTCCAAATGCCGGTACCTTTCAACCACCCCTTGAGATTGGTTGCTCGCCAGAAACTCCACCGCCGTGCCGCACAGTCTGGACACGATCAGGAAAATAGCCACCGAAAAATAAGCGCCCACCAATCCCGACGGGTCGTGGCACCCTTGGCACTTTGTCTTGGGTGGACGGGGCTGGACGGGACTCGGCGTCCTCAACCTGCTCCACAGCGAACCAGTAGCAGTGGACCATCCATGGCCACCACCACCACCGTTCCCTGCCGCCCCACAAGCGGACATGCACCCCCAGCCGAACCTTGAGCGCCTCGGCACCACGGCCCGTCCGTTCATGTGGAGTTCTCGGCCTTTGGTATCGGTGCGTCATCGCCAGGCGTGTTTTTGAACCTGGTTTGCCACACACGTTTTTGGCCAAACAAGAAGCCGGACGGTGGTTGTGTACGACGACAGGATAAAAAGGTTGCCGATACGCTCTGTTCGCGAGCACGTCGGGCGAGACCGACAGAGGGAGAGAGGTAGTGGGGGGCGCTGCAGGACACCACCTGCCGTCGGTGCCGAAGCGGCACGCACAGATGGATCAAGGGCGAGAGCCACTCAGGTAGCAAAATGTCAGGACCCGGTGGCGGCAGGTTGCCCAAAAAAAAAAGACAGTCTTAGTTGCCCACCTCCTGGGTTTATCTGAAGGGTTTCTCCACAATGCTCTCCCCCCCCCCCCCCCCGAGTCTGCGTGAGTGGCGCGCACGCATGCAACACCGTCCCACCAGGGGCCTTCTCCTATTCGCAGTCGGGGCCCGGGTCAGCGCGTCTTTGGGTTCTCGCTCAAGGGTTTCGACCACTGCGAGCAGCCAATGACCGGACAACAGTGCGCTCTAAGGGGGCTCGGCCAACATGCGACTGCTCGCTATCTATAGGCGGCCATCGCCATCACGCGACTGTCGATGTCTCCGCACACGTTCTCCGCACGCAAGGAACATGTAGGACGCACGTGGATAGGAAACTGCCACAGAACCCACTGCTATGCGACCGTGCCGTGCCATGTGAAGGCTCAGGTATTATCACACTGGTCTAGCACAGGTTGCGAGCCGATTGCTCAGAGAAACGGTGGGCAAGTGAGACTTGCAAATGTGGCAGGTGCCTGCACCTTGGCGTCGGCCAGGCTTGACCAGTCAGTGACTGCACTGGGCTACCCTTCCTATGCTACCGAGGTGCGGTGGACGCGATTAAGCCTCGGGAACTTGCGCAGTGGACGGCGGAGACGCCAACGGACGCAACATGTGCCACCTGTTCCGGAGCAGCGCCCAGATACCTATTGCAGTGCGCGAGCGTCCCACAAGACAAAGTGAAATGCGAATTGCGAATTGCGAGACAGTGGCAGTGAGCCCGTTGTCGGTCTTCGTGCTATCTACGTCTCTTGCAAGACACTAGTAGTGTCACAACCGTGATAACGGCACCTGATGGTGGCACTTAAACTAGAGAGCTAGAGATGGGTCGGAGCATTTGTTGTTCCTTCTGTCAAACGCCGTAGCAGTACCCGAGGCACTCTCTACTGCCCCAGACGCGTCCTGTCCACCTCCGGCTGGACAGACCAGCAAAAATATCGACATCTGCACGCAGCAAAAGATATATCTCGCTACCCTGATTCGAACAGGGGACCTACGGATTACTCTTCCTATCGGAAGGGAGGTAGAACATTACAGTCCGGCGCAATACCACTATGCTATAGCGAGGATATGTTTAAGGAATTGCAGAATTAGATTTATTCTTCTTCAACATTTGTTACGTAAAACCATCGGGCCGGCAATGACCGCATCATCACTTCCTCCCAGCCACTCGCGTGCCGATAACCTCCTGAAGAGCACTCCCTTCCTGTCTTTGTCTCTCTATCTCATCTCACTCGCTCGTCACGCATTCGCAGTCGCGTCTTACACAACAATATCCATCCTGGGCCGGCATACCATGTCTCCGGGCCGTGCGGGAATGCTCTTTAGCTGCATTCCGCCGCATTACCATGAAGCCGTCTTCACCTCCCGTCACGACGACGACGACTCGACGCGCTCGGCGGCGCTAGTGCCGACCACTCAATCTCACTTTGATCCCTCGGTCTACCCACCTCCATCTTGGGCAGCGACTCTGCCGTTCGACACTCCCGCTCCTCGTCGCGTCGTCGTGCCCACCATGCCGTCTCGTCAGACCTCCTCCCCTCTCCCCTCACCTCCCTCGAAGTCATGGCCCGCATCGGTCTCGCCACCCCAGCGCTCCCTGACGTCCACTCCTCATGTCGTCCAGATCGAGGACCCCGACAAGTCCATCAGGGAACTCGACGAGAAGGCAGAGCTCCCTTTCTCGTCGCTTGAGAACGGTGGCAAGGTTCAACCCAAACGACGAAACTACGCCCCCATTGTTATTGCTGCCTTTGTCCTCCTGGTCTTCCACAGCTCTCGCTTGGTGTGGAGCAAATACCAGGAGCACAACCTTTCCATCGACATTGGTACCTCTGCGTCCTCCTCTGCCGAAACCTTCATCACCTCCGCCTCGGCCACCACTCTGGACGAGCCGCGGCCTCAGCTGCCCGCCGACTGGTGGCACCGTTGCACCAAGCACCTCGTCGTACCCGCCGGCATGTACACTGACCGCCTGGACAAGCTCGCCGCAACGCTCAAGGGTGGCGCGTGGATCTCGGAACCCGGAGCCAGTGTCGAATACTACCTCGGTGCGTTTGGCCCCGGAGTATGGCACCCGAGCGAGCGGGCCTTCCTCGTCGCCGTCGACAGTGCTGGCAGCGTCACCATCCTCACTCCGGCGTTTGAGGAGGGCCGCGCCCGCCTCATCCCACTCCCCAGCGACGTGGTCAAGCGCGTCACCTGGCTGAGCTGGACCGAGAGCGAGTCGCCGTACACCGTCCTGATCAACCACCTGGGCAACAAGCCTCAGATCGTCCTCGAGGCTGGCGTGCGCAACTTTGTCGTCGATGGTGTGCACAGTGCCCAGAAGCAGCGCGGCATGGACCCCAGCCTCCCCGCGTTTGACGTCGGGTCCGCTGTGGCCTCGATTCGCGAGCGCAAGGACGAGCGCGAGATTGGCCTCATGCGCTGTGCCAACGAGGCGACGCTTCACGCCATCCGCAAGACGCGCATGCAGATGTACATTGGCATCAGCGAGAGCATGACTCGCAAGATCCTGTACAATGAAATGAGCCATGTGGGACTCAAGGACTACTCCGCCTTGGTGCTCTTTGGGCCCAACGCAGCCCTGCCGCATGGGTCCGGGACCGACCGCACCCTCGGGAGCGACGAGTTTGCCCTCATCGACGCCGGAGGGTACTGGGGCGGATACATTGCCGACATTACGAGGGTGAGCTAATACCTCAGTGGTGTGGCAAGCTGACACGACAACAGACCTTCTTCCTTCCCGACTCGAACATTTCAGACGAGCACCGTGAAGCCTGGGAGATTGTCCGTCTGGCCCAGCGCGCCCCGGCCAGTCTGCTGCACTACGCCGAGCCCGCCGATAAAGTACAGCTTTCGTGGCTCGACGACCGTGCCCGCGAGACCATCAAGCGCGGCATGGCCGCCCTCGGCGTGCCCCCGCAAAAGGGCCACAAGCCCGACTACACCGTCTTCACGCACCGTCTCGGCCACGGAATCGGGCTCGAGGGCCACGAGTCGCCGTATGCCGTCCAGGGGCCCCTGGGCGAGCGCGATGTTCTCACAGGCCACACGTTCACCCTCGAGCCCGGAGTGTATATCCCCCAGGACTCGGACATTGGAGACGAGAGCATCAGGGGGCTGGGTATCCGCCTCGAGGACGTGGTAGTTGTGCGGGAGGTGGACGGGCGCATGAAGGCCGAGTTCCTCACGGGACCGGTTGACAAGTGGGGTGACGTGTAGAGGAAATAGATAGATATTGATATGTATGGAACTTCTTAGCGCTGTTTGCCGTTGGCCTGGAGAGTGGACAGGAACCGCGCAGACCGTGTCAAACGACCCGGTCTGAAAATATGGGAAAATTCGGAGGGATAATCGCAAAACAACCGCATTCTTTCGTCCGTCCTTCTCCAACGGCCGACGGCCTTCATACCCTAAACAATGCATAGAACCCTCCCAGTCGTGCATAGACACACCACATCCCCCGTGTCCCTCACAGAAGACAAAGCACCGCCCCACTTGGCATCAGAGCCCACTGCCGGTAAACTCACAATGAGTACCGACTCTAAAAACATCATTCACGAGTACTGACGCCCCCATCCTTCTCTCAAAATACCAAAAAAGAAGCTTTTCTGTTACACCCCGAGAGGCTACAAGAGGATCAGATGACGTTTGACGGGGTCGAACCGCCGACCTTGTGCGCAACGCTACGGTCCTCGGAGAGGACTGCTAGTGTTAAGCACACGCTCTAACCAACTGAGCTAAATCGCCGTTGATGGAGGAGGTTGTGGTGGTGGCGAGAGAAGCGAGGAGAAAGAGGAAGGAAGGAAGGAAGGAGGATCCTCCTGAGGACGTCGGGTGGATGCTGGTGGGGACAGTACCCGAAAGTCAAAGGTGTCGTCCACGCCGCGGTGGCCACCCACGACTCGCGGGTCTTGGAGAGTGTGGGGTCTGACCTCGTCTCACGATGCTGCAGCTGGGTGAGTGACTGTTGTGTCGCTGTCGTATACATAATGCACCCATTCATGGTTGCGCCTCACTGTCGAGCCAGACACCTCATTCCCGTGCTTCTTGCTCTCGCACTGGCCTTTCGAGAGGAACTACACCTTCCACAGGGGCGCGGCCCGTCAGTCGCACCATATGTCCTCGTCATATATCACGGGCCAAAAGGCCACTTGACGCTAGACTTGCCTCATCTACGCCGGTGAACGGCTTGAGAGTTTCCCGGATCCTCCCCGTTCGCCTGGGGTAATGGAATGCTCAAGAGTAAGTCAAGGAGCATGGAAACCTATCTATGCGGTCTGTGATTGTGGCTCTCGGCAGTGCGCAGTGTGGGCAACCATGGCGACTTTTGTAATTTGGACAAATTCTCTTACCGTGATCCGCCGTCGAATAAACATTTTCGCCAAAAATGAGAACAATTCACAATATGTGTGCACCTGCATGGTAGCCCACACGATAGCAGCTCTGTAAGACCGCTAACATATATGAAGGTTGCAATGGGTGTTCAATGCAGTCTCGCGACTCCTCAAGATGAGTTACAGCACACTCAAGGCAGGTGCGCAGCCTGTATTATTGCGGCGCCGACTGACGGTAGGTAACAGAACACACGTCACCATCAAATTCTAGGCCCAGACGACACAAGACCACATGATGCTGTCCAGACGCACAGAAGGAGACATTCACCCCCCACACGGCACGGCGCTATATACTACTGTAAGACAGTCCCGCGGCGAGGCCGGTACCTACGGGAGAACATGCGACCTGGCACCAGGCCGGCCATGCGCAGTCGGGCCGTGTCGATGGCGTGTGCGAGTTCCTGGTGGTCATGTCTTGCAGACCATTAATTAGGTGACTTGAGGCAGCCAGCGCACGCCAACTCGGTCACGGAATAAGAAGCAAAGACGGTCGATGACATGGAGGGCCGTGACCACCAGGCGCCCGTTACGGGCCGTCGTTACTCCCTTTACATACTTTAACAATGTGGTTCATACACAGCCCCTGTCGTTCAACCACGGCTGACGTCTGCACTCACTGTCCCAAAACGTGGCGCCCGGGGGAGGCGTCCGAGGCTGTGGAGGCTGAAGATGAGGCGCGGAGGCGGGGGGTTGAGGCACACGAGACATGGTTCCTTATCTTTCGGAAAAGTCCACTTATTCGGGGCTGCAACTCGCGACGGGATGCTTGAATTCTCTTGGGGGGGGGGGGGGATGCTGCACGGATCTCAAGAGAGGAGAGTGGCGGGGAATGGAAGTGGGACCCCGGTTGATCGTGCTGCGTTGGCGCGCTGGCGTCATATGGCCCAAGAGTCTCATCATGGTGCCGGCATAAATACCTCCCACGTACCCACATCCTTCCTATCCCGCTGTCAACCATTTCACAGCAGTTAGAAAATGCACGTCACATCGCTTGGAGGGTGCGATGGTGCGAATGTGGCATGTGTGTGGCGGTCGGTGTGTTTCCGATCGGCATCACTCTCCATCCCATCAATCAACTTTCAACCGACTTTTCTTCCTCTCAAAGCACTTCCAAAAAGCAACCTATGCATCTGCAGAGCAGGCAAAAGATATATCTCGTTACCCTGATTCGAACAGGGGACCTACGGATTACTCTTCCAATCGGAAGGGAGGTAGAACATTACAGTCCGGCGCAATACCACTATGCTATAACGAGGAGATGTTTGTTAAAAATTGTCATTAATTATAACGTTTATTCGTGTTGTCCGGCCGAAGCGTCCGAAATCTTTTCGTCAGATCTCATAGATTACTAAGCCAGGTTTGCGCAGCAGTGCCCAGCTTATTGCTGACCGAGCAATAAGGTGAGTGGACTGGTGACGGTGTTTGTACCCACAGGGACGACGCATGGGACGCCTCCGTGGACCGTCTGTGGTAGACAAGACAGGACACACATGGTGTGAGGTGACGGTAGCTGACGGTGTTATGGCGCGTTGACTCGTGAGCAATGTACGCGCCCGAGTCAACGACGCGGTGCTGATTCTAACGGTAGTAGTACGTCGTAACGGCCCCTCCGCGTGGATAAACTTCTCGGGTGGACGCTCTGGTTCAGCCTGACGGCAGAGCAGGTTTATCTCGGTCGGAGGCTGAGGTCCGGCGTGCCGGAGCAGACTTTTGTTAGCTCTGCGTCCAACCCTGCGGTGAGCCCGAGAACCCACCCACCACCCAGTGGTCGTGTCGCCTTGGCGCTTACGCGACCAACCTCGTCACACTACTACTGTTGGACAGGCTGGGCCCTGTGTTGACCCATGAACCACTAGGCAACTGTGCCCACGTCACGGAAAGCCGCGCTTGCCCCGATTTCGGGGTCGACCGCCGTCGCGCCATCCCAACGTGCATGACGGCGCGGTTGGGCCACTTCAGGGCAGGTTATAAGATTGGACATCTCACCCGTTCGATACCTTTCTTTTCACCCATCTTCTCTTAAAACACCTAGAAACAATGGTCGCCCAGATCCAGAAGCCCGCTCCGTGAGTAACATTGTGCCAGTGTTCCAGCGAGGTCGCTGTCGACGACACGACGAGGAGGACGTGTTGGTGTCTTGCGTGCGGAATTTTCCGGGCTCGGCGGACGTGCCGAGAGATAGAGGATAGAGAGCGCGATACGCGCGGCCACTCCGCTGGCAGTCACTCTCCACGCACCGCGAGCCGTTGCGTCGCGGTCTAGTGACCCAACGGCGCCGACACTACACATGTAGAGTGTGCCCCGCGTACGCGGAGTGGTGGTGTGGCACGAGAGTGGCGGGGTCCTCCTGTCGTTCGGAGCACGTCGTTCTGCGACCTTCCACGCGTCCAACGCGCGCTACATGCGCTCTGCAAAGCGCACAGCCGCCCCGCTCCAACGTACAGAGGCGCCCGGAGAACATACAATCGCTCTGCAAATGTAGATCCCACAGCTGACCGCCCTCCCAGCGAGTTCGCCGGTACCCTCGTCAAGAACGGCGAGTTCTCCGAGATCAAGAAGGAGGACTTTGCCGGCAAGTGGGTCGTGCTTTTCTCGTATCCAATGGACTTCACTTGTGCGTCTGCTTCCCCTCTATCTTCCTGAGCTTCCTGGGACGAAAAAGAAGGCCGGACGAATGAGTAATGGCGATGTTGAAGCGATGGTCACCTCCGGAAGGTCGCGGGACTTTTTTCCCCGATGTGCCACTCTTGCTTCACACTTTTCACCCATGCATGCCAGACACTCTCGGCAAGCTCCCCAGCACTGCTGGGGCATATGCGAATATGTCTGGACTGTGCGAATGGGTTCAGAGTCCTGCCTGCTCTACAGACAGCAAGGATTGATGACCCGGTGTCGTCGGCCCAATGGCGGTTTTGTCGTTTTATCCTATCTGCTTGGACCGACAGTTCCCGCACCACCATACCCCCATCTCCTGAGCTTGTGTACACGTTGCTAACCTCCCCCAGTCGTCTGCCCCACCGAGATCCTTGCCTTCAACAACGCTCTTGAGCAGTTCGCCGCCATCAACACCGAGGTCATTGCCTTCTCGACCGACTCGGAGTACACCCACCTTGCCTGGTCGCAGACCCCCCGCAAGGAGGGTGGCCTCGGCCCCGACCTCAAGCTCGGCCTCCTTGCCGACCGCAACCACGCCATCTCGAAGGCCTACGGTGTTCTCCTCGAGGAGGAGGGCATTGACCTCCGTGGTACCTTCTTCATCGACCCCACCGGTACCCTCCGCGCCTCGCACATCCACGACCTCCCCGTCGGCCGCTCGGTCGAGGAGACCATCCGTGTTGTCAAGGCCTTCCAGTTCACCGACGAGCACGGTGAGGTCTGCCCCGCCGGCTGGGAGGAGGGCAAGGACACCATCGACACCGGCAACTCGACCGCCTACTTCTCCAAGCAGTAAGCGTGCCCCGTGGCCCCCCCTCCTTTATCGTCCCCATTCCACCCCTCCCCCTATAGAGAGTAGACGCGGAATGGGATTAGAGTGTCGTTGAGAACAACCAAAACCATCGATGGATTAGTGCAGAGTGCAGCCTTAACCCGCGCGCATAAGCCAATCTGCAGTCCATTTAAGAAAGAGTTCCCAGTGTTAGAGAAGAGAGCCGTTGTCAGAGTTTGTGGCTCGCTCGACCTGAGAGCACCGAGTCCCCCAGGGTGCTCCCTCTCCCACGCTCGTTCCCGTTCATTGCGCAGTCTATCTCTCGTCTCGTCTTCATTCTCCGCTCCTCCCTTCCTTCTCTTCCCCACACACAATCGCACGTGCACATTTCTGAGCCCCACAGCGCCGAAGACGCCAGCGTCACCCTCAAGCGTGAGGCCCCCGGTTCGGCCGAGAAGCCCAGCAAGCGTGCCCGCAACTAGGCGCCGTAAACACTGTAGCTGTTGTAGCTGTACATTGAACTTCGCTCCAAGAGAATGTGACCACCGTGTCTTTACCAAGTCGTTGAAGGTTGGGTTGGTCTGGTCAGTGGCCACAACCCCCGTATCTCGCCCCCAAGACAAAAGGAGCGGGAAGGTGAAGGGGAAAGTGGCGCGTGCCCCCAGAAACGCCGTCTTTATATACTGCACCCTCGCAGGTTTGCCAAGTCCCGTTCGCTTCTGGCAGTGCTGGCTTAATCAGCTATCGGTCAGTTTTCAGGAAGTACCGGCCCGTCGGCCGACGCGACCACGGACCGTCCACGCCGATAAAGGTGTTGAATCGGAGTCGGAGGTGTACAGACGACGTACAGTGTCCGTGAACAGGAACTTGTGATTATACCGAGGGACTGCGTACAGGTCTCGGTTGATATACACGTTGCCGGTCGGGTTCTCGGAGCCATGTTATCGAGGCCTCGAATATCATGGTGAATACCGCCACCCTTTCCGTCACTTGCCTGCCTAATGCCCCCAGCTCGTCATGATGTCAACGTGGGTCCCAACTGCCATCACAGCAGACGCCATACCGAGTCTGTAGACGACAGCCGTAGACGACAGCCGTGCTTTCAAGTGCCATGCGCCTGAGGGAATTGGCGAGGAACATGTTGCTGAGACGGGGGACATCCACTGAGCCACTGAGATCTGGATCTCGTCAGGGTATTTGGGATGGGTATCATCTAGATTTGGGCCGGCATGACAGGTGCATGAAATGCGGTAAGAGAAGGACACAACCGTTAACTAGAGTAGAGCGTGAGTGGAGCGTGAGTGGAGCTTGCAAGAGTTCAAGCGTTGAAGGTTCTTTAGAAGCCAGGAGCCAGGTGCCAGGTGCGCAAAACGCAGGGGAGGGACAGGGGGCCTTACTCGCTGTCCAAGATTGAACTGGGTCCGCATAACTGTGCTGTCGTGTTTAATGTTAGACTGCAAGACAAGTGAGAGATGGAGCAACACGACAACCAGGACCCTCTCCCGCTCGACAGTTGTTCCGCCGTTGGCGTCGCAGATCGCCGAAAGTCCACCACCTCGGCTTCTCAAGTTCCCGGCGGCATTCAAGTCCGCCGCTTACCTCCATCTCCGTGTTTCGTGTTCAACACTTACACCTTCTATCCATCTCACATCCCCTCTCTCTCATCACACACACACACACACACAAACTTAGTGCCCACCATGTCGTTTGTCCTCATTGCCAGCATGCGTGCGCTCAACAAGGAGGCCGCCGAGGAACTCATTCCTCGTGAGTCGACTTCCGCCAGGTGCAAGAGTGCTCGCAGCAGTTAACATGATGCGCAGTGCTCAAGGCCGTCGCTGCCCGTGCCAACTCGGACGAAGAGGCTGGTACCCTCCGCTTTGAGCCTGTGAGGGACCAGAAGGACCCCCTTAACTTTGTCATCATGGAGGAGTATGCCAGCAAGCAGGCCGTTGGTGGTAAGTCGTCCGCTCCCCATCTGCCTGAACTCTTGGGGCGGGGCGACAATGCTGGACACGCGCTGATATCAACTTCTAGTTCACGCCGCCGGTGAGGCTTTCAAGAACCTCGGACGTGCTGGCGCTCGTCTCATTGAGGGCGGTGGCAAGGGTATCAAGCTTACGACGTTTGACCGTCTCACTGCGGTGCCAAAGTCCAAGCTCTAAGGCATAGTGCTGGTCTGAAGCGAAGTCTGTACAGGCGTTGTACAATGCATGTCATATCACTGATCATGGAACGCTGTTACTGTCTAGCGTCTTGGCTGCGAGCAGCGGCTCTACGGTTGCGAAAGGATATTTATCCACTCAGGGAGGTTGGTCAGTCGCTGTTCGAGCAGTAGTATCCGTACATTATGCCAGTGCAGTCTATCTCAGATCTAGTCCAGTCCATCATGCTCAACCTCCTGAATCGTAGCAGTCTGCTTCTCGGGCACGGCGACGGGCACGCCCATAGGTTCGGCAACAGCTGGCTGTCAGATCCTGTACGGTCCGGTTGTAACTCACGAGGTGCAGGCTGGAAGAAGGGCTTGACAATCTCCTCGACCGAAGTGAGAACACGCTTGCACACGGTACCCCAAGCGGCCGAGCTCACGGATCCTGTACATTAGCATTCACTTCACAGAGCACACCACTCACCCTTGGGAGCACTGGGGAAACGAAGGATGTAGGCAACAGGCGCAGGAACCCACTGCGCAGGAAGCCAGAAGACGGGCTGGCGGCGGTACCACCAGACAAGGACAAGCTGTGCACCAGTAGTGGCAATCCAGATAAGAGTGTTGAAGCGGAAACCAAAGGTCGAGCGCGACGAGGCGAGCACGGCGTCTGTAGGTATCAGTGGGGCCCACGGACCTGTTGGCCACCCAACTCACTCGTCTTCTCCAGATCAGCAATGCCCTTGTCGACCTTACGCCTGAGCTTTGCCCACTTGGCAAACTCGTCTTGGCTGGAAGTCCGGTTGAGTTCGGCCTTGTCCTCGAGGACCTGCTTGCGGAGACGCGACTGGTCACGGTGGGCTTTTGAGAGGAAGATGGAGCTGTATGCAGAGAATGCGGCTTCCTGGAGGACGCTCTTGCCAATCCAGGCAACGACCTGCGTGAGAAGGACGACGAGGAAGATGATCACGGCGAGGTTGGGGTCTGCCATGGTGTAAATGGATGGTGCCGAAGTAATGAGTGTCACAGAGTCGAGCGACAAGGTGGCCCCCTCCACTCTTCTCCATGGAACGTACAACGTAGAACAATGACGACCTCGGAGCCACGTGATTGAGAGAGGGGGCCGGATAAGGTAGTGTGAGTTCTAAACAATTTATTGTTCTGTATTCTTTTTAATTTATCCTAAATGAGGTGGCTGGATAAACACAGCGGGAGCAAATATACCACGTGTCTTTGCTCAATTTGCCCCCGCGAGTGCGTCCCTTCTCTCACCTGAACCCGTCCCCCTTCCTCTCCCACCCAAGTTACACACAAACAACTGAATCCCACCTGCGTCACGGACACAATCCTATCAACAACAATCCCATCTACCACACACCCCCGCCATCCACCCTTCCACCACTGCCACTCATCATCTTGAGCGTCATGGCATCAAGGTCGGGGCCGCCGCGCACTCCCGCGGCCCCTGTCGCCAGCAATCCGAGCGCACCAACAACCAGCAGCCGGGTGGCCAAGGGCGTCAACGGGACCGCGGGGCCCTCAGCAAGGAAACGCGCAACAACGCGTCCAGAAGAAGGCAGTGACGCCTCCGACCGTGAAAGGAAGAAGGCGAAAACAGACGTAAGTTGTGCACGGAGAGGTGGAGATGTGGTTGATGCTCTGACATCTGGGGTTTGGTTTACTGACGATCATTCACAGCGACAACGAGAACGCGAGCCTCAAAATGTGAAGAGCCATGGCACACGAGCCAACGCGCTGGCAGGTGCACCACCAGCTTTCAAACCACGACCTATTGGGGTAAACGGCCCTTCAGATGCGGACGATGGACCGCCGCTCGACCTACCGCCCCCGCCAAGCGAGAAGAGGATTGCGCGACGAAGGGAGTCGACGCGGGCAAAGCTCGCGCATGCCGTTGCGAGTCCTGCGCCAACACGAGCGGCACGCGACCTGGCAGCGGCTGCGGGAGACTCGGATTCCGACAATGACTCTGGGGCAACCCGCGCGCAGAGCCTGTTCACGCCGCGCGCTCCAAAGCCCGTCGCACACCTCAACTTCAGGCCCATTACCCGCCCACGGCCAAGTGCTGCACCACCCCCATCACCTGGCGCATTCATGGCCCCACCGCCCAGCGTGCCCCGTCGGGCAGCGCGCAAGAGCCGACTAGGTGGAGCGATCATGGAGGGTACAATACCTCTTCCCATTGCCGACACGCCCGTCATTAACAAGAACCGCGAGCTGCGACGAGATGGCGAGCGCCGATCGTCAATCGGCCTGCGCGGACAGCGCGCCAGCTCGTCATTTGAGCGTGGAGAGCCAAGCTATCCACACTCGTCGGTGTCTCCCTCGCAGTTTTACAAGCACATTCCGCCAGACCTCCCGGAACCTGTCAAGGCGCGGTGGCTCATTGCGTGGTGCGCCAGGCGCACGATGGACGAGCACACGAGCAAGTCAAAGGCGAGACAGCGCGCTGCCCCCCCTGACGAGGTGGACAAACTGCTTGGCGACGTGGTAGACGACTTTGTCGCGTCAGTTGCAAAAGGCAACCTTGACACAAACATTTTTCCCACAGACGTGAGTCGACTTGTGGCCCCGGAATTGCAGCTGACATCCCAGGGAGCATCAACTTCTGCCATGCCCGTCCGACCACACCCACGGAATGTCGACAACCGCGCGACACTCGAGAAGGAGCAGGCCATCATCAGGCGGATGAAAGCCGAGGATCGCGACTGGTCCCGTATCGCCGCCAACGCCAACGCGCAACAGGCGGCCGTCGTCTCCGAGTTGAGCGTCAAGGCGCGAACACACGCACCACCAGACATGTCTACAGCCCCCGAGTGGCTCCAGCGCGCATTGCGCGTTGCTGACGATGTGCTTGCTGGGGGCGACAAGGACATCGGCTCAGCAGGCAACTTTGGCCAGGTCGAATTCGAGGTCGACATGCTCCATCAGACCTCACATCAGGCACACCAGTACGCATTGCAAGCGCAGCGATTCCTTGACGGCATCTTCTCCTCCCTGGCCTCAGATTTGCGCGCCCGTGATGGAGAAACCCGTGTGCCCCCTCCTACCGACGACGCTGGCGCCGATGCCGAAGCAGCCGTCCTTCTCTCAGCAGCTGCCGGGCCGTCCCGTCCCCGTACCGACCCCATCAACATGCTCCGTGCCCTGGCCTCTGCGGACGCCAAGAAGCAGACCCCCGAGACCGTTGCCAAGGCCGCCGCCGTCGCCGCCGTCAGTGCTACGCCGCGCGCACCGGCCCTCACACCAAGGCGAGCCGGACCAGGCGCCACCCCGCGCCGTGCCGGCGTGTACGGCCGGGCTGGCACTCCAGGCAAGCGATAAATGTTGTCTTGCTCCCCTGATGCCCCTATTCGATAATTCTAGTTCGTATTTTTGCTACTCTTCCTTATTGCGATGTATTCTAGTGGGAACCCTTTTGATATTGACTGGCCGTAGTTGCATGCATATTGTGCCGTTATTTGGTTGTTGTTGGGATGGGGAGACGGGGGCGGGCTGAGGGGAGTGCGCGGCGCATCCCGCCACTCGTGGAAAGCATCCGTCACTGATCTGGCGATCTGGGCGGTGTTGCAATCCTCTCCCTCGTTGTTTCCTCCACATCCATCTACACTCCTTGCACCCTTCACTCACAACCATGTCGCCCCCGTGTCCAGGGTAACAACGCACAGCCGTACCACCGTTACACCACCCCGACCTTGTCCTGCCACGACTAGCACCCCCTACTCCCCCTTCACCCGTTCACAAGTCTCCTTCAGCTGAGGGGACAGCGGACGACGCGCTTGCCCCACTTCGCCCATCATGGAGGACGAACCTGTCATTGCCTTGGCGAACGACCCGTACCTCCAGTACCAGCCGGCGTTTGCGTACACTCTCCCCATTCAGCTCCTCGTGAGCGGTATCACCCTCACGTTGCTTGTCGTGCTCCTCATTCATCTCCTCTGTGAGTAGGCAGGTATCTGTAGCCTTTCCACAGTGTCCGTTTCTGGACATCTGCGATCTCTTGGCAGGCATCGTTTCCATGTGTGCACGCGCGCGCACCCTGTCTCTCACCGGTATAGGCCTTGCAGAGCTAACACGTCAGTCACGACACAATACCACTACCCCCTAGCCCCCCTCAATTATTGTCTCCAACTCTCATCTATCATCACCGTCCTCCTCGGCGTCGGTGTACGCATTGGGGTCATCCTTCGCCACTCGTCTACGAACGCAGACCAGTGGCCGTATGATCTCGACTATGTCGCTGTACCTGTTCCGTCCCCGGCGTGGAACGTCGGCGAGGACGCGGCGTGGTACCTCCTGCAAGCTATCAGTAATGGCCTTGCCAACGTGGGTGGCTTGTCTTGCACCAATTCTAACCCATCGCAGCTTACCCATATACAATTCCTTACTCTCCTCTATCCGTCGCGTACCGAGGCGCGTCTCATCTACTTCATCTTGGGTAAGCTTACGGCCATTCCCAACTCTTTAGCTCACGCGCCAGGCCCTCTCGCCATAGCGTCCTCGGCGCTCTTCTTCTGCGCGCTCTCGTCGTCCCAGGTCGTCATCGACCTCGGGGACGCTATCCGCAACGTCTTTTCCTCGTGTCTCTTGCTCATCTTCACCATCTCGCTGTGTATATGGGGCTTCCTCGTGAACCGGCGCCGCGCCTGGCGCCTGGACGGCGGCACAGGTGTGTTTGGCATGGGCGCCCTCGGTCTGGCGTTTGTGACTACCGCCGTCTCCTTTGTGGCTGTCAAGGAAGAAGGCATCGATTGGCTCCAGCACCTCATCTGGGCGGCTGTCCTATGGCAGACCTGGCTCGGATGGTGGTGGTGGGTCGGCGCGGGCATGGGAATCGGTGAAGTCGAGGACCTCATGGAACGCGCCATTCGCAAGGGGCGGAGGGCGGCACGACACGCACACCGCCAAGACGTCATTGGCGGCGCTGGGACGGCGAACACTGCCGCTGGCCGGCGCGCTCAGACCATGGCAGGAATGGTCAAGACGGCATCCAACTCGGCCGTCGTGGGTATCACGACTGGATTCGCTTCCATCCTCCCTTCCCACTCTGGATCTGGCGGGTCGGGTGGCGACAACCTGCACCGCCGCGCGACCGCGCGTGTTGTCTCTCCGAGGGACAGGGACGAACGTGGTATGGACGTCGAAGAAGGCATTCGCGAAGATATCGAGCTGGGATCGCTCCGTCTGCGCGAGCCCCATGGTCCGCGGACGGTGGCGACAGAGGAAGGCTCGGCCGGCCGGCAGCAACCACCCTCGTCCAACTCGGAAACGTCGAGTACTTCCCGCACACCGTCCTTGCACCCTCCCCGCACCGCCGGAGAACTCATCATCTTCCCGGCCATTTGGCTGCAGGTCTATTTCCGCCGCCTGCGTCGCGCGCACGAGGATGCAGCACACAAGTCGGCTGTCGAGCAGGCCGAACGGCGCAAGCGCGTGCCCAACATGGCTGGCACGGTCATCCCCGAGGAAGGCTGGGGACTGGGTGCATACGGCGTGCGCGAGCATGCCGAGAGTGCCCGCCGCGTCGCAGAGGCCGATCGACAGATCCGCGCAAACCACCTGTTGGGTAATGCCGCGGACCCAGGAACCGGCGACGAGGCGGACGTCGACGGCGACGGCGACGGCGATGGCGATGGCGATCCCCTCAGCGACCCAATGACCGACGTGCTCGAGGACGACGACGACGACAAGGACCGCGTGGCCGACGGCCGCGAGGGTACCTCTGGAACGACGGTGGTCGAGGAACGCGAAGTGCATCGTCATGATTCCTCGCCACGGCCCCGGTCTGCGCGTGCCAGGTCGATACAGCTGTCGAGGCGCACAACACCGGCGCAGTCTGTCCGGGGATCTGTCGACCGTGTACGCGAAGGCGACGAATCCCGCACACGGCGAAGGAGAGACGGGGAAGGAGGAGCGGGAGAGAACGAGTCTGAATGGGTCGACATTGAGGAGAACGAGGATGCTGCGGGCCCTAGTGGTCGAGGAGGTGGAGCTGCTGCAGCCGACCCGGCCCGTCGTGGACAGGGCACGGGTTGGAGCTGGTGGGGACCGCTCAAGGACATGCGTCTCCAGGACCGCAGTAGGTTCTAGGCCAGATCGTTCCCCCGCGCCTCTCGCGCTTGTTGTATTTTACGGATGCATGATCATGGGTCTTTTTAAAAGAACAGTATAGGCATGTGTACAACAGGCACTCGGGGAAGGTGCAGTGGTGGCGGTTGGGTAGGTGTCGTTGGGTGTCTCTGGCATATGCGAAGCAGGCGGAACAGTGTCTATGCCTTCGTCTTGCGCTTCTTGGCCGCCTTTTCGGACGATCCGCTGGCCTTGTTGGCCTTGTTGGCAAACATCTTGGCTTGAAGAGCAGCAAAGGCGTCGTCATCGAGGTCGTCAGGATGGGCCTCCTCCGCCTTGCTCTTCTTGCTGCTGGCCTTGTTGCCGAACATCTTGGCCTGCAGAGCCGCGAATGCGTCGTCGTCGAGGTCGCCGGGGTGGGGCGCGTCCACAGGCTCCTCGGTGGTAGCGGTGGCTTTCTTGCCCTTCTTACCGCCCGCAGACTTCTTGCTAGCACGTGTCTCCTCAATCTTGCGGTACTTGGCCTCGAGAGCGTCGAGACCACCTGAACGCTGCTGCTGACGACGAAGAATCAACGCCGCGAGCGCGTCCTCGCCGTCACCAGTCTTGCCGCTCTTCTTGTTCTCCTTGTCGTCGGCCGCACGACGACCTTTCTTGCCACTGCCGTAAAACTCGTCCCAGACACCCAGTTCCTTGGCCGCCTCCTCGGCAGCAGCAGCATCCTTTTCGGCAGCACGCTTGCGTTTCTTGGCAGCAGAGGTGTCGGTGGACGAGGTGGTCCATTTGCGCGTGCTTTCGATGGTTCCGGCGGTGATCTCGGCTTCAACAAGGGCAATCAGGCGCGTCTCGTCCTCGTGAGTCGAGTGTGGGATGCGCTCGAGAATGCCGGGCCACGAACCCTTGGTCTGGACAAAGGCGGCGCGCAGGTCAACGAGCTCTTCTTCGGAGCCTGGGCGCAGGTCAGCAGAGCAACTTATGCGCCTCCCACCTACCTTGGTACTTTGCCTTGTCCTCATCAAGGGCCTTGCGGTCAAAACGCTCAAACAGGTCCTCAAAGTACGCGTCCCAGCCAGCCTCGCCAGCCTCGTCAAACTTGAGCTCGTCGGTACGGCCAGTGGCGTCGTAGCTGGGACAACATGAGCACTTGTTGCGCCCTTCCAATCTCCCATGCAACAACGTACCGCTTACGCCTCTTTTCATCACTCAGCACCGCCCAAGCAAAACCAATCTTCTGGAACTCGACGTGCAGGACGGCACGCTCCTCCTCGGACTTGCTGGCGTGTTTGTCCGGGTGGCAACGGAGCGCGGCCTTGCGGTACGCCTTGCGCAGGTCGTCTGCGGACGCGTCCTTTGTGCAGCCGAGGGTGACATAGAGAATGTCGAGAGACTCGGCCTCGGACGCGGAGAAGAAGGTGAGAAGGGGGTCGGATTCCTCGGACATGGTTGTAGGGGTGGGTGCCAGTGGGACGGGATATGCGGAGAGAGAACAGAGGATTGTTGACGGCAAAAGGTCCCATGGAAATCAATATGACTGCATCCCACCCGTGGCGTCGCTCGACGCGTCGAGCGTGTGGCGGCGCGCGTGCCTGTCTCTGGTAGGCGTGCAAAAACGCGCCACGTCGTCTCCAGCCGGGTATTTTGCTCCCGCATACGCGCGTAATGGGTCATTCGGCTTCCACTCCATCCCGCCTGCCACGACTTGGCTCTGCTTGCTCCATCGCTCCATCGACATCCAGCACACCGGCACCATGGCGCGCATCTCGTTCTTCCCCCTCCTCGCGGCACTCATCGCCGTCGTTGCCCTTTTCCTCGCCGCCCCGGCGCAGGCTGCCAAGGGCCCCGTCATCACCAACAAGGTGGGTAGCCCTCTTCCAGTGAAGGTGATGTGACTGACCCACAATGCAGGTGTACTTTGACATCGAGCACGGTGGCAAGCCCCTCGGCCGTGTCGTGATGGGTCTTTACGGCAAGTGCGTAGAAAGGCGGTGGATCGGCTGGAACGCAGAGTGCTAGCCGCTCCAGCTAGCAATTCCTCGCCGAAAGCTGACACTTCCAGGACCGTCCCCAAGACCGTTGAGAACTTCCGTGCTCTCTGCACCGGCAAGAAGGAGGACGGCGAGGAGCTTGGTTTCGGTTACGCTGGCTCGAGCTTCCACCGTGTCATCAAGGACTTTATGATCCAGGGCGGTGACTTCACTGAGGGCAACGGCCGTGGCGGCAAGTCGATCTACGGCGCCAAGTTCCCCGACGAGAACTTCAAGCTCAAGCACACTGGCCCCGGCACTCTCTGTAAGTTGCGAAACGGTGGTGGATGTTATGGCATCCGTGCAACCGTAACGTGAATAACACGCGTACTCGTGCTGACGCGACAGCGATGGCCAACGCCGGCAAGGACACCAACGGCTCCCAGGTGAGTATCCGAGGCGGAGCATGGAGCGGTCCAATGTGGATGTGTCTTGCTACGGACAGCGATGGCTGTTACGAGCGCAGTCCTTTGGTGACGTAGTTGTCAACAACAGGACTCCAACGGCTCCCCTTCAATTCCCACTTTGAAGGAGCCCCATCTGACAAGCCACAGTTCTTCATCTGCACCGTCAAGACCTCGTGGCTCGACGGCCGCCACGTCGTCTTCGGTACCGTCCTCGAGGGCATGGACATTGTTCACGCTATCGAGAACGTTCCCAAGGGCGGCCAGGACCGTCCCTCCCAGGACGTTACCATTGCTGCTTCGGGCGAGGTGAGTAACGCTGAAGCTTTCACATAACATGAGCTGACTTTATTTCCAGCTCCCCATTGAGCACGACGTCGACGAGGAGGGCAACCAGGTACCCTTCCGCATTGAGCTTTAGTGAAAGACATCAGTTTCTGATACCTCATCTTTACATGCACAATCCCGTCCTCAAAACTCGTACCCCTCTACCCACACGCATTTCACTCCCCGTGGCTCGTGGCTGCACAAACCAAATAAACACCCTCCTTGTTACTCTGACCCTTCAAACACCGCCGAAAACACCACAAACACAACTCTTCTTGGACGCAGGTTGACCCCGAGGCCGCTGACGACGACGTTGTCCCCAGCATCGACTCGGCCGCCGAGGCCGCCGTCGAGTCGTACCCCACCATCTCCAAGCCGTCCAACTACCTCATCTTCTTTGCCGTCTTTGTCGTCGCCCCCGTTGGCGTGTACGTCTACTTCCGTAAGGGAGGCAAGGAGAAGGTCCAGGTGATGCTGGAGAAGCAGGGGTACGCCAAGGTGTCCCCTATTCCCCTTTAGATTCAGGGATATTGTCTCCTGTTAGAGGTCGATGCAGGGTGATTGCAACCGGCCAACAGGGCTCGCAGCAACATTCGGGGAACCAGAAGAAACAGCATGGCCGAAGTTAGTTTGCCGTGGGCTTGTTGACATGGATGTTCCACAATGATGTCAGTTGTAGCTATATCCTCATGTCCAGAACATCGGCACTCGTAAGTGGTGCCCACCTACGCAGTTCGCAGGTCGCAGAGATTACAGAGATGTGGCGGCCGAGAGTGCAGGTTCAGATCACCACGCGATTGCCGCGGTGGGCGGCAAAACTGGTCGCCCCCGGCGTCCTAATTCATGTTGCTAAAGTCTTTTTTTTTTTTTTTTTTTCAGAAAAGTTGGCATGTGCCACGCTGCCGCGCCGAGCTGCGCCGGCGGCGGGTCCGTGCCCGCCAGACTGCGCGCGAGCGATGACAGTGAGTCACTTCGTGAATTCGTGAGCCGTTACGGCCGTGACGACCTGTCTGTCGCGCATCTCCGAACCGGCCACGCTGGTGCGCCCGAAGGTGCTGCGATGGAGGGAGGCGCAACGAGCAAGGGCGTGGGCTGTGAGCGGTGCAGCCACAGCATATGGGTACGCCGAGGGTGGCCGAGGGTGGCCGAGGGGGACCTATGTGTCCCCGCCAGCGCAGTTCTATTGTTGACGTGAGTCGACACTCGGCACCGGCGGCGGGTTGCACATGGGCTGACCAAGATCGACGACCAGCGCAGACCGATGTTAATGCCTCGTTCGGCACCTTTTGTCAGCCCTGAGAACGTGCCCATTATAGCCACGGGGCCACGGGTTAACGAAACGATCCTCATCGGCGTCTAATGTGATTAGGATAACAATATTGGATCCAAACACACCTGCAGCATTCCACAAATCCACACATCGTCAGCAACTGCGCAGCGGGGCTGGCGGGGCTGTTTGCCGCATATTATTTGCTCCCTTGGCTCCTCTGCTCCCAGGCCCTCAGACAGGACGAGCTGTTCGAAGATGTGCCCGCCAGCTGAGTTGCCCCGCCCCCCGCGGCCCCCGTGTCGCTAGGCTCTACTACATAAAGGTGGTGCTGCTCTTCTTTCTACATTTTTCTGTTTCCCTTCTCGTTCCTCACACTACTGCATTATATCACAGACCACCGTCGCCAATCGCATCCGGGGCGGCTCTGCATTTTGAACCCCCCAGACTCGGCTGCATCGGCTGTTCGTTTGCTCCTGGGCACCACCGTCCAGCCACCCCTATCCGATATTTACACTTTGTCTCTTTCCTATCGCCGTCTCTTTCACCTTTCTCCCACACCACCACACTCGTTTCCTTCTCAACCCGACCAGCAGCCTCGCCTGCCCGGCCTCGTTCCACCATGACGCAGGGCAACACCAACCCCGCTTCGCAGCCCGTCTCGCCTCCGGTCGCTCCCGCTCCACGCCCCTCCCAGAGCAGCAACCACGGCCACCACAACGACCTCGAAAAGGTCACCACCAACAAATCGTACCGCTCTCAGCGCTCCTTCAGGTCCGAACGCACCGCTGCCGACGGCACACCGGCGTACGAGGGTGGTATCCCCCCCGAGCGTGTCGCTTCGGTCCGGTCCCACATGTCCATGCCCGTTGTGTCCCTGTTCGGCGGTGTCGCACCTAGTGGCCTGGACGCCGAGGAGGGTCTCGTTCCCGTCCGTTCTAGGGAGGAAGAATTTGATCGCGAGCTGGCAAGGGAGGAGAAGGGTCCCGACCCCTGGGCAGTCAAGTTTGAAGCTGGCGAGCAGATCAATCCCAAGGTGAGTAACAGAAACAGCCGCACAAAAATGGTGGTGGAGCGGGTGGAGTCGTTGTGCTTGTGCTCGTGCTTTTGTGCTCGTGTCCAGCCAGCCTGTGCCCAAGCACTGCTCTCCTGAGCGCCTTGGCTGCGGTCGTGCCGACCGTGCCGGTCGCTCCACCCACACAGGGCGTGTCAATCCCAGCCGCCACGGCCGGGCGTACGCCGGACGTTGTGCCCCGGGGTGGCGTTCATGACGTCCTTGGCCTCTGGAGAGTCTGGTGTCTCAACCGCTGAACGACACTGACTTGCCGCCCCCAGAATTGGTCCACCAAATTCCGCTGGTATCTAACCGGCCTCGGCGGTCTCCTCGTCCTCAACTCGACCTTTGCCTCTTCGGCGCCTTCCGGTGTGACGGCGAGCGTCATGAAGGAATTCAATATCAGCACTGAAGTTGCTATTCTGTGCATCTCGCTCTTCGTCGCCGGATACTGTCTTGGTCCTCTACTGTGGGGCCCTCTGTCTGAGACATACGGTCGTCGTCCCATCTTCATTGGCGCCTTCATTGTCTATGTCGGCATGCAGGTGGGCTGTGCGCTCGCACCCAACGTCGGTGCACTCCTCGCCTTCCGTTTCTTGGGCGGAACCTTCGCCGCCGCACCCTTGACCAACTCTGGTGCCCTCCTCGCCGATATCTGGGACGGCGACCACCGTGGCCAGGCAATGGCTCTTTTTGGTCTTGCTCCCTTTGCCGGTCCCTCGATCGGTCCCATCGTCTCGGGCTTTATCGAGGTGGCAGGTGTCGACTGGCGCTGGGTCTACTGGATCTTGACCATGTTCGCGGGCGCGTGCTTTTTCCTCATCATCTTCACCCTTCCCGAGACGTACGCGCCGATTATCCTTGCCAAGAAGGCCAAGCGCCTGCGCAAGGAAACCGGCGAGGACCGCTGGTATGCCCCCATTGAGCGCAAGCAGACCGATTTCAGGACCCGTCTCAACGACATTGTCTTCAAGCCCTTTATCATGCTCGCCCTCGAGCCCATGCTCCTCGTCACTACCATCTACATGTCGTTCGTGTACGGCGTCGTCTACCTCCTCTTCGAGGCCTACCCTTTCGTGTTCGTCGACATTCACCACTTCAACACTGGCGAGAACGGTCTGGCCTTCCTTGGATTCTTCTCGGGCGGTGCGATCTGCACTCTCTTCTACATGACCGTCATTGAGACTCGCTACCAGAAACACTGCAAGGCAATTGCACCCGAAAGTCCCGCCCCCGAGAAGCGTCTCGAACTGTGTATCATCTGTGGCTGGGCGCTCGCCATCGCCATGTTCTGGTTTGGCTGGACCGCGTACCCTGACATTCACTGGATCTCGCCCGTCATCGCCGGCGGCTTCATCGGTATTGGTGTGCTCGGCATGTTTGTGTCCCTCTTCAACTACATTATCGACGTATACCTCTGGTCCGCGGCATCTGCGCTGGCGGCTTCGACCGTTTGTCGCTCGAGTTTCGGTGCCGGCTTCCCCCTGTTTGCAAACCAGCTCTATGAGCGCTTGGGCGTCCACTGGGCCTCGTCTCTCCTGGGCTTTATCGCACTCATCCTCGCCCCCGTGCCGCTCCTCTTGATGAAGTATGGCCCCTACCTGAGGTCAAAGTCGAGGTTCGTTCCCGTGGTCTGATCGACTCGATCTTCGGATTACACATGTGCGGCTTCACTTCTCCTCGCGCCGCCGCTTCCCTTGCTCGTACCGACAATCAGGCTCGCATTTCCACTACTCCAACCAAAACCCAAACAGCGCCACCATCATCCTACCCCCATACATATTTTTATCTTTTACAGCAGTGTAGCAGTACCGTATTTCAATCGTCGGAACTAGACTTATAGTGCATGCCATGCAATATATCCTCTCATTGCCTTGACGAGAACCTCCGTGTGGTCAGTTGAGCAGGCAAACCCAGGAGAGGGCGGTGTGGGGCGCGATCATGCGAAGTTGCTGAAGCTGCAATGTGACAATTTGCGTGTGTGTGTGTGTGTGTGTGGCGAGTTGTCGTGTGTCCCACGCTTGCATGCGGTCATAAATCCCACGGATTGAGGCGCAGCTTATCCTTACATCACTCATCATACTTGCTTTCCCATCAGTACTTCTCTTTCTCCCACTCTCTCATTGATCACTCCCCGCCCTCCTTCAACCCTTCTTCGTCACTACCCTTCAAAAAACATCTTCATCCCTGTCACGGCGCCAGTACACTCTCGTAGCTTCCTCCCTCCTTCCAGCCCACACGGCCGCCACCCTCCCCCGGCAACGACATTCGTACAATCAACACTTGAGCGTAAGACTCCGGTGGTCTAGGCACATCAAGATGGCTCCATCGCCACCCATTGGGGCGAATGAGACCGAGGTCGTCACCCAGCCAGGCGACACCACTGTTGAACGTCCAACCGTCGCAATCGACCGCGCCTTCTTCCCCGAGATCTTTGAAGACATCTTTGCGTACTCAAGCAAGGAGGCATTGTTCGCGCTTCGGCGTTCGTGTCGCGACCTCTTCGAACGAGTGAACGCCATCTTTGACCCCTATCACATCAACTTACGCATGTACTGCCAGGACGACACCTCCCGTCATGTCTTGTATATCCACGACACCTACAATTATCTCTTATTTGGCAAACACGGCAGCCCCCCGGAAAGTTGGATCAAGGTCCTGTCACTCAGACAGGAGCGGGACGACTATTGTCTTGACGAGTACAATTTTGAAGGGAGCACCATGAAAGTCGAGTTTCTTACCCTGCCTCAGCGGCTAACCAATCTCGAAGTGGTCCGCATTCTGCCTAACTTTGGCGGGAATCTGTTTAACCACCTGCCCTACTTCAATCTTGAGCAAATCAGTGAAGTCTATGCTGCTGCTCCCACGTACATTGTCTTTACTGGAGACGATGGTCTGCGCCTTCCGAAATCCCGCAACAGGTCCAGCGCCCTCAAGACGAAGAATCTCGTCATCAACATCGGAGGGTGGTATGGCCATATCGACGACCAGTGGCTCTCCCCTGATCTCATTTGGCCGAACCTCTCCGAGGTCGTTTTGTTCTTTGACTCTGAACTCGACACGTCTGAAACCGATCTGTGCGTGTCACTCTTGACCGCACGCCCAGTCAAGAACATTCGCTACACCGTCGTGGGCCTTGAGGATGCGCGTCAAGAGTACGGCTCCCAGGACGACGATGATAATTGGAAGTCAGCTCTGCTGGCTCGTATCCGCATCAAGCTCAACTTGGCGATTGCGGCCATCCCGCAGCAAACGAAAGATAAATGGACCAAGGCAATCAGGAAGGGCATGGATACCGAGAAAATTCTTGGCCGTGTGACAGTCCTGTCCAAATCCGAGTACCGTTCGAAGGTTGGGAAGAACTTCTACAGGCTCGTGACAGAGGAATATTGGACGCCAGTGGAGTGAGGGTGGGGAGAGAGAGGTAAGGAGTTAGGGTGGGGAGACAGAAGCGATACAGAGGGGGGAGGAGAAGGGAGAGGGGAGAGGAGAGAGGGAGAGAGGAGAAGAGGGGAAAGGAGAAGCGAGCTCCCGACGACTTTTACATATGATTAAATTGAACACATGTAGCGAAACACAAGTAAGCCGTAGTACTGTACATATTTCCTTAACGCAGATCCATCACCTTACAGTACAGTACAACCTTAGCATTCCAGTCCTGGACGAGGGCAGGTGTTACCAATGTCAAACCTTTACGGGTTTCTCGGGCGGTGTCTCCTGGACAGCAATTTGACTACACCTTGTCGTTCAACTCACCTTCATGCCTAGCACAGTGCGTTCTCTTCTCCACCCAGGGTGAAGGTGAACCAAGCTGTCCAAGTTGTTCAAACGCAAAGGCAGTTATAAAGTGGAACACCTGAAAATTTTCATCATCCTCCTAGACGACTTCCCGTAGTGGTTATCGGGTTACCTTGCTATTGGTGTGTTCAATCAGGTAATGTGCTTGCACTCGAGAGTTCGAATCTCTCAGTCGTCGTTGCTTGATAGCAGCGTCCATCTCTTTTGCTCTCTGCGTCGAACGAGCTGTTGAAAGCGAGTTGAAGGTCGGAAGGTGTTGATTGGGAATTTCGGTGGATTAAAGTTGATTTTAAATTTCTATATCCGACCTGCCATCTATATCCGCCCGTTAAACCGATTAGAATTGGCTCTCTAATATCGTGCCTGTCGGATCTGGGGTCTCCAGTGACCTCCACGCGCGTCCCGTTGTCGCGTCAGAGCGCCCGTACTGACTGACGCAAAGGGGTTTGTCTCTCTTGTCTGTCCCGTCTCTCTCTTGTTGTCTTTTCGTACACTCTCATCGCTATCCGCGTGCCTCTCTGTACCCCCCCCCCACGTCTCTCCTGCATCGACAGCCATGGCCCCGCCGCCCGTCACCATCTACGTGAGTGCACAGCTGCGGAAGGTTGCAGGTCCCATGTCGCTTGCGCTAATCTCGCCAGGTGACCAGCCTCACCAGCCAGCCAAAGGTGCGCAAGCACATCCAGCTACTGCACAGGTATGTCGCTCTTGAAAGTGAATGAGCAGGTGATGGCCCGGCTCTCGTACGGAGCCTGTAAGAGCCAAGGTGCCATCACCAGTCCCTCCACCTTGCCGCTGCCCAGTTCGCTGACATACCAGTGCTCTGTCTGGTCTCGAGATTCCCTACGAGGTACATTACTTGCTACTCTGCCAACACAAATCTGGATACTGACAGCACAGGCCTTTGACCTTGCAATTGACGAGGACGCTAAGCGGCGATGGCAGCGTGCCAAGCCGCTCGGAATGGTCGTTGGTCTGCCAGGATACCTCGTCGGTGGGGAGTGGCACGGAGTGAGTCAATTTGAAGGTGGTAGAGGAGGAAGTGGCCAGCATGGAGTTGCTTTGCGGTTGCGTGTGAACACCGCCACAGATGGTCATGCGCGCTGGACCGCTGGGCATCCAGTTGCTTGACCCTTCCGTCCCCTTTTGTATGAGGCAACTGGCAACGAGCCCAACTGACTCACAGACCATGGACGAGTTTGAAGAGGCTGTCGAGATGGGCACTCTCGAGTCCTTCCTGAAGCAGGACACCGACCACGCCGACGCAAGCATGACCATTGGCGAGGCCGAGCTGGACCGTCTCATGCGGGAGATGACAGATGCCGACCTGGATCAGCTCGTCGGCGACCTGACCATTGACGACATCGACCCTGCTGCCGTCAAGGAGGCTGTCAAGGAGGACCCTGTGGTCCCCAAGGCTGCCGCTGTCGAGGAACCAAGCAAGGCCGCCGCTGTCGAGCCTGTGGCTCCCGTGAAGGCTGTCGAGCCTGTCGTTGCCGTCGAGGAGTCTGTCAAGCTTCCCGCCGCCGAGCCCGAGGCTCCCGTCAAGGAGTCAGCAGCCACCGAGACCCAGTCCGCCTCCACAGGCATCCTCGGTACCGCTACCGCCGCCGTGACAATTGCGGCGACGACCGCGGTCGCTACTGTGAGCGAGACTGCTTCGAGTGTGGCCGACGCTGCCAAAAGCCTCGTCGCGGAGCCCGAGGGCGTGACTGCGAAGCGCGCAGACGTTGTGGCCGAGGACAAGGAGGAGGAGAAGGAGGCTTCCCCGGTCGCGACCAAGACCGAGGAGAAGGAGGCTGCTCCCCTGACGGCGGAGGCGTCGCTCGACGATGTAATTGACAAGACGCTCGCCAAGGAGGCAGTCGAGGCAGAGCAGAAGAAGGAGAAGGACGAGTAGAGCAGTGCACTTATTGATATGGATATGATTTTACAGCACGGTAGTCGGGGGCTATTCACTGCCTGCAAGCCACAAAGTAGCAAGTGTTGCACTTTGCACGTTACTGGCCCATAGGCCTCCGGGAGCAGAGACAAGAACAACTGGTGGCAGCCACGATCCCCATCATTCCCCCGCGCCCTACCTGAACCGGTCTCTCAATTACCGCGTGCAAGCGATACTACCTGTCTCACACGTCCCTCCCTTCCCCGACGACCTCATGAGAATGTTATTATGAGTACAGACTCCATCGCTGTCGGTTGGTGAGGGGGAGTGTTTCCGTGTCAGCGGAGGACATGAGAAGGGTCCGTCACATTGTTCCGTCTCCGGTCTGAAAATGCGGTATGACAGAAATTCAGTCGTCAGCACCATAACCATATGCAACAGCAGTACCAGTGTACCAGTGTAGCGGTTACATGCGAGCCAGCCGCTCGTGTGAAGTGTGACGCAGTGAGAGACAGGCTGAGAGATCTAAGAAGGCGCATTGGGTCATTTCTTTCAGAAGATCCGTTCCCCACCGGCGTCCGAAGCCAGCGCCCGTGAACGACCACTTGCCGCCGCCACTTGCACCCACAAGGGATCTTGTTCTCCGCATTGGACGTGGGATATGATGGAGAGGTGTTGACAAGAGAGGACAGGACGCGTCGGCGAGCGCCGACAACATGTACCGTATTATCGTGGGGGAATATCGGTTGCACCGGTTAAACTGTGCGGGGAACCGGGAACCGGCAGGCCCATTATCCGCGCCGGGGGGGCGGCGCCGGGCCCTCCTCGTATGCTTCGTCGTCTGACAGCCCCGAGAGGAGGCGTTGAACAGTACAAGATCTTGACAAGTGCTATCTTGCATCGCGCTCCACTCTCTCATTCCTCGACCGTCTCCCTAATACCTTCAGCAACAATGACGGGCCACATCTACGAGTCAATGTTCCCCACCCCGTTCATTCCACAGGTGGGGCTGTTCGATTTCATCTTCCCCTCCGCGCCGGGTGTGTCGACGTCCAAGGAGTTCCCCGAGACCCACCCGGCGTTTATCGACGGCGTCACTGGCGAGGTGCTCTTCCGCGGAGAACTCCACGACCGCGCTCTTCGCCTGAAGACCGGTTACAAGGAGCTCCTTCACCTGAAGCGCGGCGACACGGTCTGTGTTTGGGGCAGCAACTCGATTGAGTGGATCTTTGCTGTCTACGGTGCCATGGCTGCCGGTCTTGTCGCGTCACTGGCAAACGCTGCATAGTGAGTTGGGGTAGAAGCGCCGTAACTGACAAGCAGCGCCCCCCACGAGCTTGCACACCAGTACAACAACTCTGGTTCGTCGGCCATGTTTGTCGCCCTTGAGAACCTTGCGGGCTTTGAGCAGGCCCGCGCTGAGCTTGAGCGTCCTCTGGAGGACAACCGTGTCATCCTCTTGTGCAAGCCCGAGCACAAGCCCAAGGGCACCAAGTACCACTGCATCTTTGAGATTCTCTCGGAGCGCGCCGAGGAGGCCGAGCACTTTGACGGTACCGAGTGCTACGAGACCCAGTTCCTGTGCTACTCGTCCGGCACCACTGGTCTGCCCAAGGGTGTGATGACGACCCACAACAACATGGTCTCGCAGATGTGCACTTCCCACATTTGTCTCGACCCCATGTCATCTGAAACGGACGCCCTCCTCGGTTTCCTGCCCATGTCGCACGCGTTCGGCCTCATGGCCATCCTCCTCCAGCCCCTCACCCAGGGTGTACCAGCCGTCATCCTCCCTCGGTTCGACGAGCTTAAGGCTCTGGCCGCCATCGAGAAGGTGAGCTAGCAGGCGCGCCGTTTGCACAAACTGACACTTCACAGTACAAGGTCACCCGTGCTCTCTTCGTCCCCCCCGTCGTCCTTCTTTTCATCCACTCGCAGAACACGCCCAAGTTCAACATCACCTCGCTCAAGTCCGTGTTCAGTGGTGCGGCTCCTCTCAGCCCCGAGCTCATGGCGGCCTTCCACAAGCGCTACCCGCATGCCACTGTCACTCAGGGCTACGGCATGACCGAGACCTCGCCTGGCGCCCTCCAGGCGCGTAGCGAGGACTCGCGAGCCGGCCACAGCGGTGTCGGCGTCCTCCTCCCGGGCTACCAGGCTCGTCTGGTCATGGAAGATGGCCGCGACGCTCACCCAGGAGAGCGTGGCGAGCTCTGGCTCCGTTCGTCTTCTATCATGAAGGGATACCACGCAAACCCTGAGGCGACCGCCAAGACCATGGCTCCTGGCGGCTGGCTCAAGACTGGTGACGTCGCGGTTGTCGACGAGAACAACCGTTTCGCGTAAGTTGGTTGTAGCTGTGCCTTGTGGAACATTCAGCTAACACCAACCAGTATCGTTGACCGTGTCAAGGAGCTCATCAAGTACAAGGGCTTCCAGGTGGCCCCCGCTGAGCTCGAGGCCCTGCTCCTCCAGCAGCCCAAGGTCATTGACGCCGGCGTCGTTGGCGTGTATGACGAGTCGCAGGCGACTGAGCTTCCTCGGTGAGTCGCACCTTTGTCCCTGCCTTGAAACGACGCTCACCCTCTTGCCCAGCGGCTACATTGTCGCCAACCCTTCGCTCGGCATCAAAACCGACGCCGACAAGGCAAAGCTGTCCAAGGAGGTCGCCGCTTGGGTCGCCGGTCGTGTCGCCCCGCACAAGCGCCTTGTGGGTGGTGTCATCATCATTGACGCTGTGCCCAAGTCCCCCTCGGGCAAGATCCTCCGCAACATTCTGCGCAAGCAGGCCCAGCAGGAGTTTGAGAGCTCCGCCAAGGCCAAGCTCTAGACGCTCGACGACTTGTCGGAGAATAGGCTTTGACCATCGAGTTTAATGATCGTGGGGGGTGGGTATAGGGGTCCGTTAGACGTCCATGTGAGCCAAAAATGCAGTATATCAGTTGTCCATCAAGGAAAATCAGCTCGTTGGGACTCGCAACGCTCGTGAGGGCACGCCAGAGAGGTCTACATCGTCTCTTCGCTAGTATATCGGTTAGTATAACCGCCTCTCAATAGGGAGTCTTCCTAATACATAGGAACATCGCGGTAGAGCAGGGTTCAACTCCCTGGCGGAGAAGCAGCGCCTGTACAGGTGCTTTGTTTTTGCCAGTCGACGCAGGAGAGCCATAGGGAGCGTGTGCTGGGGTGTTATCCTCGCCCGTTGCCGTATGGTGAAGTACTGGACTGAAGAACGGGGCATTTCGTCGTGGATCGTCGGAGGAGGTTTGTAATTTCAGTAGCTGTGGCGGTTTGTCAACTGTAAAAGCTGCCGGCGGCTAGTGGCCTCAGCAGCCAGCAGACGCCCTGTTTCCATGTGTATGGGCACACGTATTGTACTCGGCGCCATGGGTGCCCGTACAAACCTGCAAGTCGAGGTGCTACCAAGACTGTCGCCGCGCGGCAGTCAACCAAAGTTCGGAAGCGGTAGGTGGTCGGAGGCGTTGGGCTTGGGACATGGTTCCCGACAAGTGGCGCGATGTCCACCGATCACCATGACCTCTTGTGCTACGTTGACCATTCCAGCGGAATAGAGGGGTCCAGAACACCCCATTGCACCTCCCCAGCTCACAGTGTGCTACAAGGTGGGTCTTCTGAGCCTGTTGCAGCTCCAAAGTGGTGTCAAGGAAGGTTGGCGAACGCGCCTCTGAAACGTGCCTTTAGGTAAAGGTACACGGAACTTCAGTGACATGGCCTCCACATTTCACTTGCTGGACATGTAGATGGTGCCATCGCTGTGACACGAGTGCGGGTGTAGAGGAGGAAGAAGAGGTTGGTCCTCAGAGACATCAGAGGCCGGGACAGACCACGCGACACGACAGTGGTTGGCCGGTTGACCAGATTACGTCGTGGGTAGTGACAACCAACTGTTTCGTCATCGCAACTGTTTCACGTCTGAAAGCAAGCGCATGGCGGCCCACATGTACAGACTAACCACAAACTTGGTTTGTGCACCTTTCCACTAAGTGTGCACGCGCACACTTCGCTCTGCAGCTAGCTCTGCACCTCACTCATCATACTCTACGGGCTGCAGTCTGCAGGGTGAGTGCTTTTAGCGTGCAATATGAGGCCCTGGGTCGTTGTTGGCCATGGCAGGTGTGAATGTCTTGGCCTGGTCAACGAGAGCAAGAAGAGTGCAACAATGGACAGCCCTCGCCCCAGCCTGGACCTTCCGGCGCGTCTCTTGTGATTCTTGTGCATGTCCTGAAACGCACCCCAGAGTGTCTCGACGGGTTCTCGTGTTCGGGAGGACGACACTCTGAATGTGACCCGGGACGGAGGGACCTGGTACAGCATAATAAAATTGGGGGGCTCCTGAAATCTCGACGCGTCGCGTCGTTCCGACGTTTAATCAGCTCCTGAATGTGCAGCCTCTCCGTGTCGTCTGTGGTTCCACAGCCGTTAGGTGATGGAGAGGACCGGGAAACAAGAGGAACAGAGGCCAGAGGCACGTAATCCAGAGCGCGTGAAAGTCAGGATCTCTGACGGACGCGCTCGTGAAGCAGGTAAAGTTGTCGCAAGCGTTTTGTCCTCAAAAGCCAACGATGCACGCCGCGTCATACCATCGCCACGCTTTCGGCCTGCGGATAGGCCCCCCAGGTACTGGTACTAGGTCACTAGAGAAGCATTAGCGCACAAAAGTCCAGCCACGCCATTGTGTGCGCGCGTGTGCACGCTGATGCAGCTGTGTGCCCTGCCCGCTGCCTGCAAGGTGCATGGAGCACGGATGAGGAGGGTGAGAGTATGCAGTTGTTTTGTGCCTTCTTTGTGGGATCGATCCCTACCCCAGTGCCGTGATCAATGCCGTTGACCCGCGGCAGTGGGGGATAGTTTGCATATAAGACCTCGCACGTCTGATCAGACCCCTGCGTCTTCCATCACTACCACTTTGTCCATTCTACCAACACCAACGGCTTCGCTTCTGTCTGCATATTCGACGTTCTCACCCTCGACACGGTCACAACCGCCATTGATCTCGGCTCACGATGCACGCTGCCACACTCCTCCTCGCCCTGGTCGCGACAGTGGTGGCTGTTCCCTCCCCGATCGCTCCGGCCACAGGATCAAACGACCTCGACTCACGGGCACTCTACAGCTCTCTCACGTCGCGTGGTCGTGGGCCAGTCACCCTCAAGTTGAGCCGACAGGAGCCGTCGGCAACGGTCAGCCGCCGTGACCTGTTGCAAAACGAGCTTGACCACGCTGCCCGCAAGTACCTTCCCTTCCTTAGTGCGGAGAAGCGTGCCGCAGCCGAGAACCACCTTGCCAAGCGCACAGTTCCCCTCACCAACTGGGCCCGTGACCTGCAGTACAATGTGGCTATTGAGATCGGGTAAGCCCCAGACGCCGTCATTGATCGTCCAGTGTGGCTGACTTGTCGTCTCAGAACCCCTCGTCAGACGTTCAACGTCGTGTGTGACACTGGTTCGCCCGACCTGTGGGTTATGGCCGCCAGCTGCCAGAGCGAGGCGTGCAGCGACATGACAACGTTCGACCCCAGTGCGTCCTCAAGCTACGCCAATGTCAACCAGACCTTGTACATTGGCTATGGCAGCGGGAATGTCTCCGGCCAATACGGCAAGGACATTGTGGCGCTCGATTCGTCCACCTACTTTCCTCAAGAGTTTGGTCTCGGCATCGACGTCAGCGTCCCCAACTTCTCCAAGCGCAACACGCAAGGTATCCTCGGCCTGTCATGGCCGGTGGCGGGCCACCCCGACCCCTTCTGGTACAACCTCTTCCAGGACGGCAACTTTGACGAAAACGTGTTTGGAATCTACCTCAAGCGCTCGAGCCTGTCGGCGTCGTCGAACAGCTCTGACGCCAACGGCGGCGAGATCACTATTGGCGGTACCGACTCGGCCGTGTACACGGGGGACTTTAACACCATCCCGCTCCAGAACGTGAACGAGACGTTCTGGAACATCCCGCTCGACAGCGTGTCCATCAACGGCGCTGCGATCAGCATGAACGGCTCCAAGTCCATGATCGACTCGGGCACCTCGCTCATCTACACCTCGCAGAGCAACGCCGACGAGTTCTATTCGCACATCAACGGTTCCACCATCCAGGACAATGCGTTTGTGTTCCCGTGCAACTCGACCCACGCGGCCTCGTTCACCTTTGGCGGTGTCGAGTACCCCGTCTTCCCTTACGACATGACCCCCCTTGTCAACGGCGACCTGTGCTACGGCGCCGTGCAGGTCACGTCTCTCCCCTTTGACACCCAGTGGGTCTTTGGCGACGCGTTCATGAAGAACGTGTACACCAAGTTTGTCATGAACCCGCCCGCCGTGGCGTTGGCCAAGCTCGCGGACGACGCCAACATCAAGGTCAACAATGCTCGTTGCGGGAGGCCCTTGACTCGCTAGAGGTCTAGATAGAAACAGCATCTTTACCTCTGGAGGACATTTGCTGGAACCTTAGTGTACAATACAGTTGTGAACGCCCACCCCCACCCTCTTTATTAGCCCATATGAACATTGCCACAGTCGAGCTGGGCCATTTGCTACTTGCTACTTGACTACTTCCCGATTGACCCCAGCAAGGAATATCGTGGTTTGTTTGCGGCATGCGGTATTCACAAAACCCTTTGTGGTCCGGGCGACATGAACACCTATTAACCCCAATACAGTCGCGTTTGTCGTCCCCATGGCCCCATGGTTGTTCGACGTCGTCTCCCTTGCGCCAGATGGCGACAATCGGAGTCCTCCGTGACATCATTTTTCGGATCCGACGACAGCTTTCCCGACTTACAATCGCCCGGCTCCGAAAAGGTGTTGTTGGTGGTGATCCCCCCTCCTTCTCTTCATACGATATATCTCTCAACAGCTGCTGCAGCAATGCATTAACAGACACGACCACGACATCACTCTAGCTGACATTACGAAGCCACGCATACGATACGACCGACAGTTTTCTCATCACGACCTATCCACCACTCCCCCACCCCCACCCACTGTCATCCGTCACGATGGTCTCGCTCGACACGATCCTTGCCGTGGCCCCGCGCGACGCGCGCGAGGTCATCGAAGAGGACGACGACACGCGCGCATACCTCGCAACCGTCATTGAGGGCAAGACGGCCGCCGACGCGAAGCGTGCCATTGCGCCGTTTCTCGGCATGAGCACCAAGGCGCTCGACGCCATGTTTGCGCGTTTGGAGCTGGACGAGGCCGGCGCAGGCGATGTGAATGGCAGCAGCGACGCTCCCCCGACCCATGCAGTCAACGGCGTCAAAGGGTCGCCTCCAAGCCCGACGGAGGGCACCAAGAAGCTGCCCGCGGCGCCGACCGTGACGGCATACTCGCAGCAGTCGCGCTTCCATTCCGCTACCGTTACGACGTTGTCCAAGGACGTCGATCTCCGCGACGTCAACCTCACCATCGGCGAGCGCGAGTTGCTTGTCGATACCCGCCTGTGGCTCAAGGCCGGGACACATTACGGCCTCGTTGGGCGGAACGGGTGCGGCAAGTCGACGCTGCTGGGTGTGCTGGGCGACCATTCGCTGGTCGGCTTTCCGCCCAACTTGCGTACACTCTATGTCCAACAGCTGGACGTGGAGGAGACGGACGCCAGTGTGCTTGATGAAGTCCTCGCGGCCGACACTGAGCGCCAAAAGCGCGTCGACAACGTTCGTGCCATCGAGGCGGCCCTAGCCGAGGATGGCCAGCCGGCACTGTCGGCCGCGATTGACGGCTACGTCTCGCGTATTGCCGGCGAGCGCGTGAGCGCTGCCCAAAAGACGGCGACGCTGCGGTCCGGAAAGCGCGGCAAGATTGCGCGTGGAGCGGCGCTCAAGGCCGAGCAGACCATGCTCGCTGCGGTGCGCACCGAGGTTGGCGCGGGCGGCGACACCCCGCGTCCCGACACTGAAGTGGCGGCTACGATCCTCGAAAAGGTCTATGCCGAGCTGGACGAGATGGGTGCACACAGCGCCGAGGCGCGTGCGCGGTCCATCCTCACGTCTCTGGACGTGAGCGAGCGCATGCAGGACGGGCCCGTGACTGCGCTGTCTGGTGGCTGGCGTATGCGCGTGGCACTCGCAAAAGCCATGTTTGTGCAGCCCGACATTCTCCTGCTCGACGAGTGTACCAACCACTTGGACCTGGCCGCCATTGCCTGGCTGCAGTCGTACCTCGTGTCTCTCGAGGACGTGACGATTGTGTGTGTGTCGCACGACCGCGACTTTCTCAACGCCGTGTCCGAGGAAATCATCCGCCTCAAGGACACGCAGCTGTCGTACCACCCGGGCAACTATGACGAGTACGAGGAGGCCCAGGACGAGCTGCGCAAGAAGAAGCTCCGCCAGCACGAGGCGCTCGAGAAGCGGAGGGAACACGTCCAAAAGTCGATTGAAAAGTTCAAGCAGCACGCGCGGTCGAGCAACGACGACAAGGTGCTGGGCCAAGTGGCGTCGCGGCAAAAGAAGCTCGAGCGCATGGTCGGCATCGACAAGACCGAGGACGGCAAGCGGTTCAAGGTGTCGTACTGGGCCGGCTTCCACACCGGTGTGCGACCCGAGCTCGAGCTCATCAAGAGCGAAAAGGAAGTGGACCTCAAGATCCCCGATCCCGAGCCCCTGCGTACCGCCGGCCCGCTTGTGACGCTCACCTCGGCGTCGTTTTCGTACAAGGGCAGCAAGCACCGTGTGCTCAAGTCTGTGTCTCTTGCCTTGTCGCCGGGCGTCCATGTAGCCATCCTCGGCCTGAACGGCTGTGGCAAGTCGACCCTCGTGGGTATCATGGCGGGCACGCTGGCCCCGACACACGGGCACGTCAACCGTGCACCCAACCTCCGCATCGGACACTATACGCAGCACTATGTCGACTCGCTGTCGTCCATCGCCGACAGCGCGCTCGCGCTGCTGGCCACGCAGATCCGCGACGCGGCGCCGCCCCACCTGGACGCACCCGAGCCCAAGGAGGGCGACCTGCGCAAGTGGCTCGGCAGCTTTGAGCTGTCGGGCGCACTCGCCACCCGCCCGGTGCATACCCTCAGCGGAGGCCAGCGTGCGCGCGTCGCCCTCGCCCTCATCCTGCACTCGCAGCCACACCTCTTGCTCCTCGACGAAGTCACAAACCATCTGGACATGTACGCCGTCCAGGGCTTGGTCGCGGCGCTGACAGTGTGGACGGGCACGAGCGTCCTCATCACCCACGACAGACACTTTGTGCGCGAGACGGCAGACGAAGTGTATCTCCTCGAGGGCGGCCGGCTCACCCGCCTCGAGGAAGGTGTGGACGAGTATGTCGCGCGGTTTGATTAGTGCCTGTGCCTGTGCTGTGCTGTGTAGTAACAGACGGCTTAATTTCTGCATCCAGCAGGTCATTAACACTGCATAGAAAGAGAAAAAGAGACACTGTATCCTATCGCTTCAACTGCATGTATCATGTATGGGTGTCACACACAGTTTTCTCTTTTGTGTCTCGCCAGCTGGACCCGCCACTAACGAACCGACAAAAACTCACACGGGCATGGCTACTGACTCTGGGGCTACGGAATATACTTATACTTCAAATCTGCTCATTGACGACTCTGAGAAAAACAATAAACTTGGCCCACGGTGGTCAACATGTGCTCGCGGGGGATAGAGAGACGACCCTGCCGTCGGGAATAGTGAATAAATAGATGGGAATGGGGCGAATGGGGGAATGGGCGGTGTTCGTGTCTGGGTGGGGTATGTTGCGCGTGTGGCTCTGGGTCGCTCGCTCGCCGCTTTTCGAAAGAGGGGGGTGGCTCGCGCTCACGCTCACAAACCGGGCCTCACGCCACGGGCGGACAACAGCCTCTCTGTCCTGAAGCGCTCGTACACGACCTCGCGCGTCGTTGTCCTCAGCCACTCGGCCGCGCTGACGACCGCATCACGCACGGCCGGCAGGTCGCTGTGTGCGGCGTCGGCGGCGTCGGCACGTCCCCAGCGGAACGCGCGGGTGAAGCCCGGTCCGGGCTCGGGCGCGAACACGGCGTAGGGCACATCCGTCTTGTCTGCCGCGCTGGGCGGCTCGGACAGGTCGTCGAGCATGTCCTCGGCCTCGGTGTCGACGCTGGCGGAGAGGACGCCCCATGCGCCGAGGGGTTCGCGGCCAAAGACCGTGGCGAGGTCGCGGACGACGGCGGCACGCGCGGCTGCGAGCTCGTTGGACGTGAGGGCGTCGGCGTGCGTGAGGACCGGGAGGACGTTGGCTCGTGCCGAGAACCGCCGGATGGCCTCAATGTCGTCGACGGGCAGACGCGCCTCGACGTCGGCCACGTCGGGCTCGAGCAGGTCAGAGTCGGGGCGCGTAGGCGGGGTGTGGACCGCGACCTTGTCGGCGGGTGGCTCGGCAATGGTGTCCCAGTCAATCTCGACAGGCGCGGTCGGGCACAGCACGGTCCGAGCATCAATCACATAGACGACTGTAAAAGAAGCCTTGTCAGCACACTGTGGCGAGGACAACACGAGGCAACGCATACACGGGCCACTTACCGAGATGCACCAGGTCGCCGCCATCGGCCTTGCGTCTGATCACTTTGCTCTCCTCGGCGAGCTGCTTGGCGAGGCGGTCTTCGACGATGCCAAGAAGCGAATTGAGCGCGCGTCCACGTGTGGCAGGACCGTTGCCTGCGGCAGGAAGACCGGGCGTGTCGAGGAGGACAACCGTGCGGCGCTCGCTGGCCGCCGTCACCGTGTGCCTCAGGACACTGGCCGTTGGGCCCATACGGCCGTTCATGCGCGTAGCATCCGGGTCGAGGACGCCCGTGAGAGCGTCGATAAAGCTGATAGCAAGTCAGTCGTTGTACAATCAAAGTTTAGGGATTAGGGAAAACGGGTGTGGCGGTATGTAGGTGGACGTGGCGTGAGATCGCCACACACACACGACCTCGCACCCAACTTTACTCGTCTTCCCCACTACTCACCTTGTCTTGCCGCTACCGCTGGGACCGGCGACGACGACAGTCAGCGACGCCGCCTTCCTTCCCTTTCCGCGCGCGCGCGACACGGGCATGGTCGGGAGCGGCACGACGTTGTTGGGCGAGAACGGCCGGTGGAAATCGGGCGAGCCGCCGTTCGTGTCTCGCACTTTGGACGGCACACGGCCAGCACGGAGCGCAGCGCCGGGGCTGGGAGGGTTTGCGCCGGGGATGGCCATCGGCAGAGCCCCCTGCGACGCGCCGCTGGGAATCCTGCTTGCGCGCCACGCGTTCTCGTTACCGCCATACTGCGCTTGGTACGCTGCGGCTGCGTGCGCCGGCATGCTTGCGCGGTTGCCAGGCATGCCCGGCCCAGCGCGGGGCGTGACTGCAAACTGGTTGTAGCTGCCGTGCTGGGAGTGTCCTCCACCGGCCTGTGCGGCTGCGCGGGCCTGAGCTTGAGCCGCTGCAGCGATTTCGGGAGGCAGGTTGGCCCATGCTGACGGGTCGATGAGCGGGACAGTGAGGTCGGGGAGGCTGAGAGCCGCGAGCGACGGCGCTACCTCGGGCTCACGCCGCGGGGGTGGGGGCTTGCGCAGTAGGGAAATGGGCATCGCCGGCGATGCTGCTTGTTGCTGTTATTGTCGTGGTTTGTTGTTGTTGTTACCGCAGAAGAGGTTGGTCGTGAAGGGCGTTGCGTTGGGGGGGCAAGGAGGGTGGGTTGCGTTTAGAATGTAACGTGGCTTCTGGCTAGCAGGAAAGGAAGGTGAAGAGAGGTAGGAGGTGTGTGTGCCAGCGACCAGAGCTGTGACAATTGTGTGAGAACGAGCGAGGACGAACAAGGGCGAAATGAGAATGGGAATGAGAATGTGTGAGTGAGAGAGTGGATGGATGAAACAGCAGCTTGGCGGTGTGAGTGCCGTGTGGTGTGTGTGTGTGTATCTGTGCTTGGCCTGGTGTCATCGTCGTCTCTCTCTCCCCCTTGCCAACAGACCCCCCCGGTGGAACACGAGCGATACCGTAACAGGATGCGTTGGGTGTGGTGGCGCGGGTCCCGCGCGTCCCGAAGCTGCGTGAGCGCGTGAGCTGGCCAGTCGCGCGCATATGACCCGCGGTCTGTCGTGTGGCCTGCCTGGCAACCACCCAACTGGTATGCGGTATGGGCGTCCACTTTTGCTCGATGCAGAACGGGGGTGCTCTGGAGGAACGCAGGGGCCGCCGTGAGAGACGCAGGACAGTGTGGAGCAGAACGTGCCGGTGGTGGCCCGGTGCAGCGAAAGGTGGGAATCGCCGTCGTCGTCGTACAGTGCGTGCGTGCGCTGGCCTGTGTGGGGTGTACGGTGAGACACAGTTAGTACACTGCGCTGCGCACTCGCGCACCTGCAAAGACGTGGATGGGCTCGTGCGGGGAAAAGCCAGGAGGAGCGTGCGGATGCACGGAGGTCCCGAGCAAGGACGAAGGGGGAGGAACAGAAAGAGGCCACCAGCGGAATGAGTTGGGGGGGGAGGGGGGGGAAGTCGCCTGGCTCACGCTTCGACGCTCGCTGCTCGACGACTGCGTTGTTGACGCTGACGCGCTAACCCCCCGCGCTCACGGTGCCATTACAGGCACCGGCGCGCAATCTCGTTTCAGACACGCAAGCCATAGAGAACCCTTCGGGACACCCCCAACCCACCGGGACAAGCAAAAGGCCCACACCCTACCATCGTACCCGCCATGGCCAGCGTGTCGCTCCCTGTTCCCCGTCGTCCCCGCCCTGTCCACAAACCTGGACCAGGTGGGCCTCCCCCTAGCGCGTCGGGTCCAAAACCTGGGCTGTGCCGTACCGACGTCGTGTCTCAAGTGGGTTCTGTGGCGTGTGTCTGGACTGGACTGGACTCGACCCACCCACCATGTCCACTACACGCGCTGTGCACGCCTCCTTTCCTTTTTCCCTCAAAGTGTGCATGTCTATAGGTATATCAAAGAGTGTAGAAAATGAAAAGATGGCAAAGATGCTATAAAGAGCGGCAATGTAGCCTTGACTTGCTACTAATAGTGTTGTGTAAAAAAAAACACTGTCTGCGCAACGTCCCTGATGCTTTTGTGCGGGTGAAGGGGGAGATGCCGTTGCTTGGCTTGGGCTTAGGCAAGACACTTGAGGTCGGCCTTCTCCACGAGTGCCAGACCGGCACCGAGGGCCCAGCCGAGCTCAACGCCCTTGATCTTCTTCTCGACGAGCAGGTCACGGTCGTCGTGCAGCTCGTAGCCGAGCGAGAGGAGCGCGTTCATAAACGTCAGGTCGAGGCAGTACTCGGGGCGGCCCTCGAGCTCCTCGAGCGCGTTGGTGTTGCCGGCCCAGCGGGTGCGCCAGACGGTCTCGCCGGCACACACGTCGCGCGCGAGCTTGCCGAGGGTGCCCAGCGTCAGCTCGCCGGGCGCGCCAACGTCCAGGAGGGGAGCGATGCGGTCGGTAAAGTACGACAGGGCGAGGACCTTGCCGCCCTTGAACGTGTCGATGAGGGCAGGCTGGTAGACGCCGTTGAACGAGCAGGGCTCCACCTGGCAGATGGCGTCCTTGGCAATGGCGAGCTCGACGACACGGTTGCACGCGTCAAAGCCGCCGTTGGCACCGGTCATGGTGACCTTGACCTTGGTACGTCCGGGAGGGTCAAGCTCGACCTCCTCGGTGGTGCCGCGCGACAGACAGGGGTTGCCAATGTACGTGTCGGGCGTCAGAGCGTCCCACTCCTCGTCATCCTTGTTCATACTCCAGGTAAAGCCGACAATGTTGTGGATCGAGCGGCGGGCGCGCATAAGACCATAGTTGAGGTGCGAGTGCTGGTAGAGGGTAAAGTTCTTGCCGCCAAACCAGAGCGAGAACTTGTGGTCACCCTCGGCGAGCTTTTGCTCAGAGTCGGCAGGGAAGCGGGGCTCAAAGACAATCTGGGTCGAAGCGCCACCGAGGTCCATGACGGCAATGGTGTCCTGGGTCTTGACACCCTCGCCAATCTTGTTGAGCAGGTAGTTGGCAGTGATCCAGGCGTAGACACCCTCGTTCTTGCCCTCCATAATCTCAACAGACTCGGCGCCGCCAATGGTGTAGTGGTAGTTGGTCTTGAGGTGGTTGCGGCACTCGTCAAGGATGGCAGTCGACTCGACCTCGCCAAGAAGACGGAGACCGGCGGTGGCCTTGACCTCGACAGGGGTACAGCCGCGCAGCGACTCGGGGACGACGCGGTTGGCCTCCTCCATCAGGGGGTCGAGCGACTTGGCGGCGCCCGTGGGGTCGCCGGCGTACGACGAGAGTCCTGGGCGGATGGCATTGAAGGTCTCGTACTCGAGCTGGGGGGAGGGACCACAGTTGTTAAACTTGTAGACGTGGATACGCGAACCGGTCGAGCCAGCGTCGATGGTAAGCGCGTACTGGACGAGGGGCTTGCCCTCAAAGGGCGTGGTGCAGTAGATGGTCGAGGCCGGGTTGACGTCCGTCTCAAACGACGTGGGGTGGCCAGCAGGAGGGTCATCGGGGAGCGTGTCGTCCTCGGGGTCCTCAGCAACAGGCTTGTCAGCTGAGGCAGTCGCCTCGGGCTTGGTGTACTCGCCAGTGAACGGGTGGTCGTCGTCAACGGGGAGGATACCAATACGGTCGGGGCCGTCGGGCGTCTCGTCGTCATATGTCGGGTTGAACGGTGGCGACTTGAACCCTTCGTCCAGAGCAGGAGGGTTGTCCGTCGAGGGAGTGTACACGTCGGGAGACACCTCGGCCTGGTCGCGGTTCATGAACACGTATCCCGCACCAGTGACGAGGACGACGGCCGTGCCGAGGAGAATATACCGCTTCCACATGGGCAGGCCGCCGCCGGAGCGACGGCGCTGGCCAGCGTTGGCCGACGAGGTCGGCAAGGGGGTGTACTTGCGCTGCGAGAACATTGTCTCAGGTGTTGAAGGGGATGTGGAGGGAGAGGACGCGGTCGAGGATGAGCGACGGGCGCGACGGCGAAGGGTAGCGGCGGCAAAAACGATACCACGGGGTGGGGAGTCCTCTGGAGATTGGGAAATCGGGGAAGGCGAGCGCGAGGGAGACGCACAAGCGGTCGAGAGGGAGACGGAGGAGGGGAGAGATGACTGGGGCTCGGCCATGCACTGCTTCGAGCCGGACGGGGGCTGGTGGTGAGAGGTGCTGAGAAGGGGGAGGGTTAGGACAAGGAAAGAGAAGGACAGAGGCAGAGCGAGATAACGTCGACGTGTGATGGCGGACCTGTTGGCGTGGCTTCCAAAGCGTCCAGCGGCCAGCGGCAAACGCCAGCGCAGCACGAAATGTGTGCCCACTTGGCCGTTGCTGTTGTATCACGCCGTTCTCGCCGAGAGTGCACCGAGCTAAGTGCGCGAGCACACCGCTCCGGGCCGACAAAGCGCGGGAAATGTAACACTCACGGTCTGCCTCTCAAGGGGGGAGATTTTCGAGGTCGGGAGAACGCCTGCGAAAAAAACGAGTGTGAAGGAGATGACAAAAGGTCAAAAGAGTACAAGGGGAGAGAAGTGGTCGTCGACAAGGACAGACCCAGACGATAGGCCAACCCAACTTGTGACTGTCTTGCGCGTTTGGCTCCCGCTTCACGTCCCGTCTCTCTTGTCTCTCCCTGGTGTCTGCGCTGATCGCCCGCCTGCGCGCGCCAGTGCCAGTGCCAAACGCGCGTCCACGCCACCCACCCAGCACAGCGCACAGCCCCTGGACGCTCACGGCGGTGGGGGGGGGGGGGGGAACGGAGTCTTTTTTTTTTTTTTAGTAAAAAGCACTGCACGGCCCCTGGGGGCCCTGGGCACCATGTCTCATACGCCCAAGAAATATTGGACCGTTTGTTTGTACCGCTGATAAGTGGTGTTGCAACGGGCCACTTGCAACTTGCGAAGTGGATCCGAGATCAATGGCCCAGTGGCCAGTCGCTCCCCTCGTGTAGATAAAATAATGGTAACATGCACTTTGCCCTAAGTGGCCTACAGTCTCTCTCTACCCCACAAGTCACTAAATGTTTCTAACCTCCCTGGCTCCTTCCCCTAGTGGCCGTTGGCGACAGGAGCGTCAACAATGTACACACCAGCACCGACACCGGGCATGGTGGCGAACGCGGCCTCGTCGAGCTCCTCGGCGTTGAGCTTGGCGTAGGACGGGAACTCGGCCTTGACCTTGGCCAGGAAGTCGGGCACCTGGTCAACAGGCAGGAGCGAGATGACGGCGCCACCCCAGCCGCCACCAGTCTGGCGCGAGCCGAGCGAACCGTGCTTGAGGCACAGGTCACGAAGGTGCTCGACCTCGGGAACGGTGCAGTCAAACAGGTCACGGAGCGAGTCGTGCGAGCCGTCGAGCAGCGTGCCGAGCTCGGCGGTACGGGGGTCGGCGGAAGCGGGGCCCGCGGCGGGGTTGGCAGCAATGTCGGCGCACAGCTCCTTGAAGCGGGCGACGCGGAGCGACTCGGCAAACGTGTGCTCGGCGCGCTTGAGCAGGTGGTAGTGGGAAGCGCGGGTGGGGACAAAGTCGAGGTAGGTCTTGGTGAAGGCCTCCTCGGACATGCCAGAGGCCTCGATCATCTCCTCGCGGGTCCAGCCGCGCTCGCCGCGACCGTCCTTGCCGAGAACAGCGGGGAGGGCCTTGAGGGCACGCTCGTACACCTCGACCTCGGATCCCGACTGGGCCCAGAGGTCAAGAGCCTCCTTGAGCCAGATACGCCCCTCCTCGCCGGCCTTGGTCATGCGAGGGGCGTCGATGCCCCACGCGTGCAGGAGCAGACGCGACGCGACAAGGACCTCCACCACACGCAGGTTGTAGCGCTCGGGAGCGCTGTCGGCGAGTGCGTGAGGAGCCAGCGAGTTGGTGATCACAACAGCCAGGCTGGCAGGGAGACGCACGGGGGTCGCCTCGAGGGTGGGGTGGAAGGAGATGTGGAGGAGCGAGCTCTCCTCGCCGAGAGCCGATGCCGATTGCTACACACATGTCAGCCAAACACACACGCACACGAGACTAATTTCATTGAAGAAGGTTGGTTACTCACGTCCATGCCGCCAGTGCGGAGACCCATGCGGTGCTCGCTAGCAATGGCCATCTTGACGACGTCGCCCTTTGTGATGCCCTCGGTGAGGCCGTTGGCAACGAGGAACATGAGGACAGACGAGACAACAAACGCGGCCGAGGACTGGTGTTGTCAGCTGAGGGGTCACTACAAACGTCCAAGCCCAACTCACGCTAAGACCAGCTCCGGGGGGGGACGTTGCCCGAGACGAGGAGGTCGAGGCCGACAGGAGCCTTCTCGCCGGGACCGTCGGGGAAGTAGCGAGCAAGGCACTCGAGGATGGCGACCTTGACGTAGTTCTCCCAGCCACCGCCCTCCTTGGGAGGGATCAGACCGGCGTCCCAGCCCTTCTCCGCCGAGTGGGTGAGGGTGAACTCGCACGGCTTGAAGCTGGGGAGGACGTTGGCGAGGCGGCACTTGCGCTCAGACGACGAAGTGGGGCGGAGAGCGATGATAATGTCCTGCTCAATGGCAGCGGGGAGGACGGGCTGGACGTTAGCTGATTCTCTCGCGCCTAGCGCCAGCTTACGAAAAGCGAGTAGTCGACGTGCTCGCCCAGAATGTTGACACGGCCGGGAGCACGCGCAACAGCGGTGGGCGGCGCACCATAGGCCGTCTCGAACTGCGAGGCCAGGGCGGCCCATCGCGCACTGTGGTATATATCAGCACTGGCCCAGCATAAAAATGGGCGCGTGACCGCTCCCCAACCCCACAGATCAAAAGCGATCTAGAGGCCGGACGTGTCTTCCTCGGGCGTCGAGGTCAACAAGCGCGCTCAACTCACCCTTCGCGGGGCACCGTGTTGGCGGGGTAGATGTCAGCGACGGCGTTGAAGAACGGGACGGGGAGCTGGGCGGCCATCTTGGAGCAGGCAGTGAAACTGGAGAGAACGGGAAGAAGAAGAGGGGGGTACTGTAGCCGGGGGGTCGTTCGAGCCTGTTCTTAAGCCTTGTCCTTGGGTTGGGGCTTGCATGGACACCATATGTTGCCGATCTCCAATCTCTAGTGGATATTCCCGTTCGAATACGTCCACGGCGATCTCGGCCCGCGACCATTCCCGTCCGCTCGCGTGTTTATAGAGGGGGGCCGTTTAATGATTGCGCAAAAAAGCAACAGTCGTGACCAGCTCTCGGAAACAGCCCGGTCATGCCAACCGAGACGGTGACAGCCAGGATGTATGCAGGATATGCGGGGTAATTATGTTTGTTTACAAAAATGGCTTTTAATGAGCACTTGAAAAATATGGTAATAAAAACATTGGTTTACGTAATAACTATTTCCACGTGACATTACCTAAGCACAATTACCTCCCCCCGTTAACGCGCAAGCGCCTGACCTGACGTTCTTCGATCAGGCAGTCATCACCGACAACGACCACCACTCACTACCACCACCTGTTGAGCTCGCCCCTCTCAAACGTCCTCGTCCTCGACACTTTGGTCAAGACCACCCCCTTCCTCCCCCTCCATCCCCTACCCCTAGACCTAGACTCGACCAACAATGTCCGCACCAGGCGGCGGCGGCGCCTACTCGTTCTCCCTCACCACCTTCTCGCCCTCGGGCAAGCTCGTCCAGATCGAGCATGCTCTTGCGGCCGTGGCTGGCGGTACCACCTCGCTGGGCATCAAGGGTGAGTATAGCTCTACTATTAAGTCTCTGTTTGCCAAAAGCATGGGAGAAGCAGAGGAGAGCAAGAGCGCTTCAGCAAAACGCTCGCTATAATGAGTACGAGCGCGGGCTGACTCTTTCCCAGCGACTAACGGTATCGTCCTCGCGACCGAGAAGAAGGACACCTCGGCGCTCCTTGACACCACCATGATTGAGAAGGTGGCCACCATCTGCCCCAACATTGGCTTTGTGTACTCTGGCATGGGCCCCGATTTCCGCGTTCTCGTTGCCAAGGCGCGCAAGATTGCGCAGGCGTACTGGAAGGTGTATGGCGAGTACCCCCCGACCAAGGTGCTGGTCCAGGAGGTCGCTGCGGTGATGCAGAAGGCGACACAGTCGGGGTGAGTGTTCGTTATTGTTAGGTGTGGGCCTGTGGAGGCAGGTTGCGCCTGGAGTGAGGTTGCAGGACAACCGCCTGCAGGTGCTTCGCGTCTGCCTGTTCCCGTCTAACACGCTCTCTCCAACGCGTATATGTGTGCTGACACCCTCCAGTGGTGTCCGTCCTTACGGTATCTCTCTTCTCATCGCCGGATGGGACGCGCACCGTGGCCAGTCGCTGTACCAGGTCGACCCCTCGGGCTCGTACTGGGCGTGGAAGGCTAGCGCGATCGGCAAGAACATGGTCAACGGCAAGACGTTCCTCGAGAAGAGGTGAGTCGCACGCGGCGCAGTTGGCACGGTTGGGTAGAGTGCAACATGTGGAGCTGGATGGGGCCATCATCTGCAGCTCTGGCTCGCGCGCTCTAACCCAGTCGTCCACTCCATCCCAACGAGGCTTGCTTTCCGACTGACACACACCACTACAGGTACAACGACGACCTCTCCCTCGAGGACGCGATCCACACTGCGCTCCTGACCCTCAAGGAGGGCTTTGAGGGCCAGATGACCGCCGAGACCATCGAGATTGGTATCGTCACCGTCCCCACTGCGGAGCAGCAGATCGCCAAGTCGGGCGAGCGCCCCCCTCCCACTTTCCGCAAACTCACCGAGCAGGAGGTTCGCGATTACCTCTCCCTGTAGACGTGTGAAGGGGGAGTTTAGCTGGGAGAACGCCGCAAAGAGGGCTTTTTTGTGTAGAGAGAGGGAGATATGCAGCATGATACGACAACAAGGAGAGGAGGAGGCGCGTGCAATAAATAGTGCTGTGGCAGTATGTCAAGGGGACCAAGGCCGGCCATCGTCTCCATGCTGTGTGGAGACGACGATAGGCTGGCTTCAGGCTGTTGAGCGCGTCATTCATTGATCAGTAGTGGTACACGCATTCATGCCCTTCAACGCTCCTTTGTGTCAAGTGCTACCAATGCATAGAGGTACAAGTGAATAAAAGACCAATCTTCTATCTCCTCCTGACGCCTTGCAAGAGCTATGGGCCTCTCGCTCGACAACCAGGTCGGATCCGCGCGCAAACCTAGCTTGGCTTTGCGCTCTACGAACACCACAGACGGCACTCGCCGTCGGCGCCCGACGACACGAGCCAGGGCTTCTCGGGGTGCCAGCGGACGTCGAGCACGCCCAGAGTGTCGGTGATGCGGTGGCCGCGGAGAATCTTGAGCGGCACAATGAGGGGGTTCATGTTCAAGTCGTCGTAGACGGTGGCGTGGAAGATGTGGATGGTGCCGTCGTCCGAGGCCGAAGCGAACAGGGGCAGCTTGGGGTGGAAGACCACGGAGCGCAGCGCGCGGGAGTGGTACCGCAGCGTCTTGTACGGCTTGTTGCCGACGTCCATGTCAAACCAGGCAAGCTTCTTGTCGTACGAGCCGACAATGATGTTGTCACCGCCAGGGTGGACGTCGAGGGACGAGATCCACTTGAGACCGGTCATAAAGGTACGAACGAGCTTCTGGGCAGCAAGGTCGTACAGGCGAACGTAGCGCTGGGTGGCGGCGAAGAACCAGGGCTTGGAAGGGTGGAAGGCCACGCGCTGAACGGCACCGTTGGTCTTCTTGAAGGGGCACTGGGTCGCGTGCTTGCCGAGCTGGTGGATAAGGACCGACTTGTTGGCAGCCTCGGTAGCGACAGTGGAGAAGTAGTCACCCTTGCGGTGCCAGGTGACCTGCTTGGGGGTGCCGGGAACGTCCACGTAGACAAGCTCACCGCGCTCGCGCGCAAGCTCGGTGGGGCGCACCCACTTGATGGCCTCGACACCCTTGGTCTCGGAGCCAGCGCCCATCTTGGTCGTGGCAGCCGAAGCGGCGAAACCAGTGTTGGCGTGGGTAAGGGTCGCGGCAGCGACGGCGGGGGCGACGAGCGCGAGTGGAGCAAGAATAGCCACACGGTGCTCGACGAGAGCAGCGAGGAGGCACTCGTCAGCGTTGGGGGACCAGGCGACGTGCTGGACGGGTCCGCCCTTGAGGTTCCAGCGCCAAACCTCGCGACCGGTGGCAACGTCCCACACGCGGACAACACCGTCCTCGGAACCCGAGGCAAGCCAGTCGCCCTTGGGCGACAGCGAGACGGAGCGAACACGGGTGTCTCCGGGGTGGCGGTACTGGACACAGCTGGTGGTGGGGAAGGGGCGGAGCTCGCGCGGGGCGGGGAGCTTGGGGATGAGAGACTCGGGGTCGATGTTGAGCTTGACGCGGCGAGTACGGGGAGCAAGGTACAGGTCGAGGCAGCGCTCGAAGCGCTCCTGCACAAGGTTCTTGTAACCGGGAACAAGGCGGAGAGCGTCGTACTTGGCAGGAAGGAAGTCGGTCTTGCGGTCCTCCTTGTCCATCTCCTCCCATTCGGCCTTCTCCTCGGCCGTAGGGACATACTCCGCAGGAGGGTTGTACGACTCGGCCGTCTTGGGAGGCGGCAGCTGGGGAGCAGGCATGTACATGGCGTGCTCCTGGTGGGGCTGGTCGGACTCGGACCAGATGCCGTAGACAGTCGGCTTCTTGGCAGTGGGCTTGCCAGGGGTGATGCGGCCCTCGCGGATGGCCTTGACAATCTTCATCACCTTGGCGTGCTCCCACTTGGACGGGACGAAACGGCGCTTGGGTTCTGGCGCAGCAGAAAGAGGCATGATGCGCTCCTGGCCCTCGCCGGTGAACCACTCAATCGTAGGCTGGTAGGGGTCAAAGTCGGCGTCGGGGTTCTCGGCCTGCACAATACGGCGAATAATGTCGAGCTCCTTGTCAGAGAGAACAACGTTCTTCTGCATGAGCCTGTCCTCGGCGCTGGTCCACGCGTCAAGAGTGGTAGTGTTGGCCAGGAACTTGTCGAGCTCGTCACCCTTGGCAGGGCGGAAGATCTTGCGGCCGTCGACATCGTAACCGATGTGGGGCATGTCGTCGTACCACTCAATGGGAATGTTGCCGATGGTGTTGGGGTTGTCCTCCGTGGACGACTCCGATCCGTAACCAGCCTCAATCTCGTCGTACTCGCGCCTGTAGCCGCCGGGGACAAGCTTGGAGGGGACAAGCTTGCCGTGGCTCTTCTTGGCCTGCGAGATCTGGCCCTCAGCACCAAGGCTGTCGTCGGGCTTGACAGTGTTGCGCGCAATCATGCGCGACAGCTTCTCGTCCACGTCCAGCTCCCTTGTTCCCGACGATGGCGAGCCAAGCACTGAGCTGTCCGGAGTGTCGTCGTCGTCGTCCTCGTACATTGCCTCAATGTCCGAGGTGTTGTAGCCCGACTCGTCTCCGTCATCCTCGTCGTTCAGGATCTCCTCGTCCGAGCTGTCGCCCATGTCGTTCTCGTCGTCTCCGTCCACCTCCTGCTCGTCGTCGCCCTCCAACTCGTCCTCCGAGCCGCTGTCGAGCTCGGGGAATGCCTCCTCATCCTCGTCCTCCTCATCCTCGTCGTCCTCTCCCTCGTCGCTCAACTCGAGCTCGCCACCAACAGCGAAGGCCTCATCGTCCTCCTCGACCTCGGGAGACGCCTCGGCGGCGCGTTTCCGGCTGCGGGTGTTGGCAGGAGCAGCGGCGGCGGGGGCGGCGGCCTTGGTCGAAGCCTTGGGGGCAGCCTTGGAAGGGCCCGCGCGGGTACGCGAGCTTCCGGCAGAGACAGAGCGTGGCGCCATGTCGATGCTGGTGTTGTGTGTGGTGTGGTGACCTGCGGTGTGTTGTTGGATGGTCGTGCACAGGTCCGCCCTCTCTCTCTCGCTGGTCTCAAGATTTTGTGGAAGGCACTGTGGCCCTCCACCCGCCAGCCAGGATTTTTTGCTTCCGTGTGGATGTCTGGTGTCACGTGGCTAAGTGGGGGGAACATTGTATCCACTGTTGTTGCGCGCCCTGTGTATTCATGATATGATGAAAGTCGGTCCACTCAACACATCTGTCATCCCGTCATCTGCTTTCTCACCATCACTCTTCTTCCAACTGCCCATCCCTTCGACTCTCACAGAAAGGATACCAGCATCTAATCGTTTGTTACCCCGACAAGCAATACATCCCCATGGGCAGGCTGTCTCACGCCAAGGCCCTCCTTGGCCCTCAGCTCTTCGCCAAGGTCCGCGACACCCCCGTCCTCATTGTCGGAGCCGGTGGTATCGGCTCTGAGCTGCGTGAGTAGATGTTAAAGTATGTGGATGGTCTGCTAATGGCATAGTCAAAAACCTGGTGCTCGTTGGCTTTACCAACATTGAACTCGTGAGTGCAACTGCCATTATGGCGACCTCGACCGCCTCCACCCATTATACCTTCCCTCCCTCCTTCCCTCTTGCCCTCCCCCCTACATCCTACATCCCAACATGCGCTAATAATCAGCTTGACCTTGACACCATCGACCTCTCCAACCTCAACCGCCAGTTCCTCTTCCGCAAGCCCGACATTGGCAAGTCCAAGTCTCTCGTGGCGGCTGCCACCGCCCACCACTTCAACCCCTCGTCGGGTATCAAGATCAACGCGCGTCATGGAAACGTCAAGGACTCTGAGAATGACATTGCATGGATCTCCAAGTTTGGCTTCGTCATGAATGCGCTCGACAACGCTGGTGCGTATGGCGGTGGCTGCTCGGTAGGAGAAGACCAAAAGCTAATGCGACAGATGCGCGTCGTCACGTCAATAAACTCTGCGCAGCCGCCGACGTCCCCCTCATCGAGTCTGGTACGGCTGGATACCTTGGACAGGTCACTCCCATCATTCCGGTCAGTTCGTGATCGATCGGAACTTTAGCTGACTTTTGCAGGGTGAGACTGAGTGCTACGACTGCAACCCCAAGCCCCCTCCCAAGAGCTTCCCCGTGTGCACTATCCGTGCTACTCCAAGCGAGCCTATCCATTGCATTGTGTGGGCCAAGAGCTATCTCTTTGGGTAGGTACCTCCTGCTGGTGTACCTGCTGACCCGTCAGAAAGCTGTTTGGAGAGGATGACGAGGCTGGAGACGAGGCTGAGCTCGACAAGGCCAAGGCCGAGGGCGAGAATGGTGGGTTAAGCAGAGTTTCAATAGCTAACCCTCAGCTGATGAGATTGAGAACCTGAAGAAGGAGGCAGCCGCATTCCGCGAAGTTAGGAGGCTGTTGAGCGAGGAGAATGGTCCTCAGCGCGTGTTCAACAAGGTGAGCTTTCAGTTCAGCTCGCGCGAACTAACGATCAGGTGTTCAATGAGGACATCAACCGCCTGTTGGCAATGGAGGACATGTGGAAGGTGGCAGGGCGTATCAAGCCTGTCGCCCTCGACTACGATGCGATCATGGACGGCACCTTTGTTGCCCCTCCTCCTCGCACATCTGCGGCCCAGGCCGCCGCCGCTGTTAACGGCACGGCAAACGGCAACGCCGCGGCGAGCGCGTCCACATCCACCCTCAAGGACCAGAAGGAGCTCACGCTCAAGGAGAACCTCGAGCTCTTTATTGACTCGTGTGCGCGCCTCGCCGCGCGTTCCATTGCCCACCCGGACGTCGTGCTCAGCTTTGACAAGGACGATGACGACACGCTGGACTTTGTCGTTGCCATTGCCAACCTCCGCGCGACCGCCTACAGCATCGCCACGCGCACCCGATTCCAGGTCAAGGGTGGGTAATGTCCGGAGAGATGAGCTAACGCAGCAGAGATGGCCGGTAACATCATCCCCGCCATTGCGACGACCAATGCCATCATTGCAGGCTTCATTGTCATGCAGGCTCTCTCCCTCCTGAAGCGCAAGTCGGCCGAGGCAACCAAGGCCACTGACGTTTACCTGCGGTCTATCCCCCACCTCCCACTCGCTCCTTCCGCACCCGTGCCTCCCAACGAGTCGTGCGCCGTGTGCCGTGACACATACATTCCGTTTAAGGCGGACGTGTCGCGCTGCACCCTCGGCGAGGTCCTTGACGCTGCCAAATCGTGGCTCCAAGCGAGCCTCGGTGAGAACGAGCTCGAGTGCAGCGTTCTCGAAGGCGCGCGTGTGCTCGCCGACCCGGACTTTGACGACAACCACTCGCGTACTTTGAAGGACCTCGATATCGAGCGTGGCAAGATGATCACGCTCATGGACGAAGACGACAAGTACCGCCCTATTCACTTTTGTCTTCTCGAGCCCGAGGCCAACGCCGAGACGGCCTTTTCGTTCCCCGAGACCGCCCCTGCGCTCGCCCTCAAGCCCGTTCAGGTCAAGGAGCGCAGCGAGAGCCCCGAGGTTGAGCTTGTCGAAGCAGCTTCGCGCAAGCGCTCCGAGCCCGACTCGGGTCACGACGACCTGCCCAGCAAGAAGCGCAAGACGGAGACGGAGGAGCCCGAGGTCGTGGTTGACGACGGCGATGATGACGACGACATTATCATCATCGAGTAGGACGCAGCATTGTTAGTCATGTAGCATTGAGCAACACTCGCGAGTTAGAGTAGATCTCGCTGTAAAAAGTGCGATGCATATGTGTTGCTACAAGTCCAAAACTCTCTTCAAGAACTGCCAGGTTGCAAATGAAATGCTGGTCATTGGGATGACCTTGATGTACCCGATGCTCAGTCCAACAAAGAAGCCCCTCCACCCCCTCGCTTCGTAGATGACGTGAACGGCCTGGCGCCAGTTGACGCCCACGCCGTTCTTCTCCGAAGCCACCTGCATACGCCGACGGACGACTTCGAACGGGTAGCTAGCCGTCTGGCTCACCAGACCGGCAATGGCACCACAACTCAAGTCCCTCGTCGTAGGATGCGTTTCCAGGTACGGCAAGTAATGTGGGAGATGACGCTTTAATGTGCCGTACGTCAAAAAGCTCACACCAGCATAGGGGATCATGCCGAGCAGGGTGATGCTGAAGCCGCGGTAGAACGGGTAGAGGGGGAAGGAGCGGGTGAACGCCGACACTTGCGACTGCGACGCGCCTGCTGCCGCCGCTGCTTGCTGCGTCGCGCGCGACTCTGCGAATATTGTGCCAATGGCGTGCCGCAGGGAAGGGCGCGAGCCTGTCTGGTACGCCATACGGACGCGCACCAGCTCCATGGGATAGGTCAGGCAGACGGCCGCAACACCTGTACAGTCAGCACGAGGTTCAATGGGGAAGGAGGGTTTGGAGGAGGCGCTGATACGCGAGCGGTTCGCACAAGTGGGACTCTAGTACTCTGGGAGCTGCTGCCGAGCACCGGCAGCGTGACGGCGATCTGGGAAAGAACCCCGTAGTGATCGCCAACACCTGCCGAGCTGCCGAGAAAAGCTCGGCGGGGCGAGGTCACTTTCCAAGCTGCCAGGCGCTGGCTGGTGTGTCCCATTGAGAGGCCACGCTGCCGTGGCCAACGGGACAGCCCGCCAGTACTTTTGTATCGCCTGGCGTGCTGCTGAAAGCCCGCAGCGGCCTTCATCCCAGCTCAAACAGCTCTGCGTCCTCCAGCAAAATAAAATCATACGCACCAGAGCTCGCGCCGCTCACGAAGAAGCGTCCAGGGGTCGCCAGGTCGGGGGTTGGGATCAGTTTCTGTCTGTTAGCAAAGCTCGTCGTTGGTATTTTTGGGTGGCATGGGCAGAGAAGACAGCGTAGTTGCCAGCCAGCTGGCAGCCTACGGACTTGGGCTCAAGCCATCGGCCAGCGACCCCAAGCCGCCGGCTGTTCGCCTACCGACTGTGGTTGCCTCAAGCTCACCTTCTCGATCCAATCGTAGAACAAAAACTTGATTCCCGCGTATGGGAACACTCGCAACAGAGTTGCACTGTGGCCCTGCAACAAGCCGCGAAGACCAGCGGTGTCGTAGATGAGTTTGGTCGCGTGCAAGAGGCCCGCAGGTGTACCTGCGTAGTCAGCGACTGCTGTGTGCGATGACAGGGCAGCATTCGGGCACTGGGACAGCCGTATGGAGCTCTGTTGTCGTCGAGCTCGCCGCTCGCCGCACGTCGGAGAAACCAAGCAAAGAAGCCCGCAGCCTCCTGGGCAACGCCGGCTACCTCCTGACACTGCCCACCGACCGAACGTTTGCGTACGCGTACTCACCGGCGTACTTCTTAAACTCGGCATTGCTGGTCTGGAACAGAATCTTTACACGGTCGAGGGGCGCAATGGCCGTCTTTGCCTACCGGGGGTTGTCAGCAAAGGGACGAGGAAGTTGTGCCGCAGCCTGCTCACCGTGCAGCCTGCGATGCCGCCAACAACGCCACTTGTGATGACTACGAGAGGCTGTCAGCATACTTCTCGCAAGAACCCCCCGTAGTGGCCAGCGCGCACGAGCTCCTCTGGCGTATATAGCCCAGTCACAACGTCGGTGCTCGCGTGCGCGTCTCGGCACTCGGGGTCTCCGACGCACTGTAATCCCAGCTCGTCTTGTCGGTCGTTGCGCGTTTGCGGCTTTCGCGCCAAAGACGGGCGACGGTGTTGGGCCCTGCGCTGGCCTCGCCCATGGCTGGGTGGGGCAGTGGTGGTGGGTGGGACGCCATGGGGTGAAGCGTGTGCGGCGGTGGTGGGTGTGGAATGGTGTAGTTGGTGACGTTCAAAAAAGCAAACCCGAGTGGCGGTGGTTGTCTCGTCCCGCGCGCCGACAGCCGGCAAGTGTTGCAAGCCGGAAAGGCTGTGGGCAGGGCTGCTCGGAGACAGACGAGCGTAAAGCCGAGAATACAGAATGAGTTTGTAATTGGGATTAGCAAGATGGGTCATGTGGCTAATTACGCAGTATTTCATTGGCCGCCCAACGGTTTTGGTACCCTATAATCTGCTGCGTGGGTTTCTCAGCGACAATGTTCGCCGCACGCGTCCTTGCAGAGCATGCGGAACAGCACTGTCAATGCTACATCAGAACCGTCTCTGATATGGGACCAAATGCATGGCATCTTATGGAAAACACTACCACGAAGTCTTCGGTAACTGCCCCGGGTCGGCCGGAGCTTGTAACTGGGAATCCACAAATATGCCAGAACCACATTTGCGCGCATTCGACAGGAGCAAGCCCATGCGAAGGCGGGTCGTCGTGACCCTTTGGGTCCTGGTGGATGCGCTCGTGGGCAGCCGGCAACGTCGGGGTTTGGGTTTTTTGAGCAGCGCCAACCTTGCCGAATACCGTTCCATGGCGTGTCAGAATCGTATCAACCGCTCATGTGCTGGACGATCAGCGGATCAGCGGACTTTGGTGGCACGCCGATCACTGCCACATTCAGCATGACCACGCTCATCCTCGCCCGTTCAAACGTTCAACGCGCTCCACAGTCGCACGAGCCGGCCTCTCATGGCTCCAAAGCTGCACAGGGAGCGCGTGCTGCCCACCCAGTCCCATCCTGCCTATCCAACCGGGCACGCCGGAGAAATTAGTCCCGGTTGCCGGGCCATTTTCTGTGTCCTTCTGCTCGTCTGTCTCTTCTTCTGCACACGATCCAGACACCAAAAACGACAACCTTACGGTTCAGATGCCTCCAGACAGGATCGAACTGCCGACCTTACCCTCACTTGACAACAGAGAACACTCTGAGTACGAAGGGCACGCTCTACCAACTGAGCTATACAGGCCTTTAATAGCTGCTTTTCGAGCATCTTGCATGGCTTTTAGACATGTAGACGACCTCCACACCAAGTTTGGAGACGATCTGAGCTGTGGTTCATGTGTGAGAGGCTGGATAAGATGGATGGGTTGCTGTTGCCATGGAATTGTATTCTCCGGCCGTTGGTGTTTTTTCGGGGGCTCGGGCCAGACTGCTTTTCTGCTCCATCGCGGCTCCTTAAACGTCTTCCGTACCACGAGATGTCCTAGAGGGTCGCTCGCAACCTCTCGCACGCCGTGCATCTTGAGGTCTGTGGTCTCGAGCTGCCTGTAAGCTCATGTACGGGGTGCAGGTACTCACAAGGGCCATCTCCTCAGCGTTCAACAGCCTCTCTGTGTTGGATTTCCCCGACACGTTAGGAAAGTCGACGAGGGTGGTACAATGCCCGGCAGCCGTGCGGTGGACCTCGTTCTGGGTGCGCCATTTCTCCACCTTGGCGTGGCCAACAATGTCGGTGGCGGGGACGAGAGAAACGGGCTGGAGCATCTGCGCCGCCATGATGGATGAGTGGTGGTGCAGCTGTGTGCAAGTGATGTTGGAAGGAAATATCGACAGTCCCGAGGTGCGAGGTGGGTGACTGGACCAGAGGTGGCGCGCAGCGATGGCCACGCGCCACAAATACAGGGGCCACGCACCATGTCACTAACAGGAGTATCTTCTACCAGCTACTGCGGCCACAGTTGACAAGGTCACATCCATTCCCGTTTCTGGGTGAAAACGAAGACAGGTACCAGTTACTGGGGGGCACAACGTGGCAGCTGGATTTGAGGCTCGTTCTGTAGCTGTGACAACTTGAAAGTCCCTCTTTCGTCAGGTTAGAGGCTCTCGGCGTCCTGGAAGTTGGGAAATAGCAGGTCTGGCTTTCATAGTTGCCCGCGGACGCTCAATCTAGATGCGAGAGTTTAGTGACTCTCTACCACCAGGCTGGTCGTGCTCCCCACAGTGGCACGCAGAGGGATGTGGGAAACAATTTATCGGTATTTTGCAGCATTTGTTGGTTTGTCTGTTTGTTCGTAATCCTACGCCTGGTCCCTTCCTCACTGTGTGTCTGTGTATTTCCAAACCAAGCACTGCATTACATCACATTCCATCTACATACACACACTGTGGCGCTTCAGTCTCACACAAAAAGGGGTTGCGCATTGGGCGCGAACCCTCCGGAACTCTCATGATCGATGGCGTGTCGCACTCTGCATTTCCTATGTAGCAACCTTCAAATTACATCTCAACACTACACCCTTCACCATGATGGCCTCCCACTCTCCTTGTATCGACTACACCTCCTTCCCGCACATCCTCTCCTCCGTGCTTTCCTTTGCTTCGACGGCAGCCCTGGTTCAGCTCCGTCTCACTAACCATGAGGTCAAAAAGGGGGTGGACAAGATCCTCTTTCATCACATCACCATTCACTACACTCTTAACGACGACCAGGGGAGCAACCCGGGACCCGCGTTTGCTTGGATCCATTATATTGATCAAGACGGGTTTATGCTACCGCCCGACGCGTCGGCACCGTCGGAGGATGTTCTTTCCAACACCCGCATTGTCACAATCCGCTGCACCAAACTGCATGTCAACGCGAACCACGCGCCCAGTACCAAGCTCGCCGTTGCCGTTGCCAACAAAAGAGGGCAACCTCAGAGGGCAACGCTGCCCAAGTTTCAAACCCTCGATCTCGTACGCTGGCCGAATCCGTCACTGGACCTGGGCCAGCTTGCCTACTACATCCCAGCGACCACTTGGGCTCTGTTCATCTCAGACACTGTCGGGCCGTTGCACGACTTTTTTCCTTACATGACGACCGAGACGCTTGAGAAAGTCAAGAACATTGTGGTGTGCTTTGACGGCAGCCTCAAACTCTCAAGGTCGATCAGCATTCCCATCGTCGGCGGGCAGGTCAAGGGTCGCCCAGACTATTTCCTCTTCAACCCGATCAAGGGACTCCAGACAGAGCCTGTGACTCCTACAGGCCCCCTTGCGCTCACGGATGAGCTGGAAATGATCATTGTCACAATGTTTCACCTCCACCAGTTCACCCTTGTGGGTCTGGTCGAGCGCATGTGCGACACGGAGAGCACCACGATGGGACCGATTCTGCCTTCCGAGATGATCTACGGCAAGATCAGAACCGCTCTCCTCAAGGCCATCACGGAATGCCAAAGACTCGTTCCGCAGCATCTCTGTCCAGGAAACGTCAAGACCAAGGTGGCGTTCCAGTCTCTGGTCGAGTTTGAGAAGAGCATGGGCAAAGACAAATTCCGTCTCTGCACCGTCAAGGACGCTCGCCCTGTGAGCTGCGAGGGGCTGTGAAATGGGTTGGATGGTGTCGACCAAGTGTCGGACAAGACAGCCACATCCTATGGGTGGCTGGCGATGCATACATGTCATCAGGAACATACAGATAAGCACAAGCTAAGGACAAGGCTGATATAGATAGATGGGACGGATGGAGGCAATGACAGTTCCGCCACACACACACAAACAACATCCTTCCTTCCTTTTACATCTCTCTATCCATCCAACTAACTGAGCGCACCCACAGCTGCCTCCCAAAAAGGAATCTCGTACTCATGCTGCTACACGAGAACAAGCCTCGACCCCGGCCCGAATCGAACGGACAACCTTGAGGAAACATACGCTTGGGACTCTCTCGAGCTCCAAGACGACACATTCCTGATTGGAATCTCACGCGCTACCATTACGCCACGGGGTCGATCACGTGTTCAGTCTTTTTGGCAACGGTAACAGGTGTGAGAGGTGAGAGAGCCAGGAAAATTGAGTGACGAGGGAGTTGGGATGGGTTTGGCTGTATCCCGTGAACCGGTCATCGGGACCGGGATCCAGAGAGGTGTGGATGTAGCTCTGATACCAGGCCATATGTGTGCCAATTTTGGAGGCGACAGGCAAAGAGACGGTGGAGGAAGGGTCCAAGGAGTGGAAGATTGGATGACGAAACATGAGGTGGTTCGAAGAGGTGCCACAGTGATCGGCACTAGGACAGAAGCACCGTGATCGGCGGTCCCCATGATGTATGTCGACGCTGCTAGACCCTCTGTCGTGGCTTCTTTGAAAAGGGGAATGGGGGTTTTCAGGTCAGGCTATTCAGTTAGTAAGCGCGCTCGCATCTGACACGTCCCAGCAAGTGGAGCACACAGCCCAGTCTAATCATATGGGTACATGCAAAGATGAATACACTACTCGTCAAAGTCGCCTGTAGACTGTCAGCTGCTGCCATTCCACGCTGAACCGGTACTCACCCTCGTCCATATCCTTTGGCACCTTTGGCTCCTCGTCCTCGCCATACTGCATCATGTTGTCAATGTGGCTCAGCACAGTGTTGACCGAGTCCTCGTTGGTGACGTCGAGCGGGAGGAAGGACACAATGTTCTGGTCCTCTATCAAGCCTACAACGGCCTTGTTCAAGTTGTGGAACTTTTGGTTGGTCTGCGAGTTGACGTCGTCGAGCAAGAGTGTCGGGTCTGGGTCGAGGTATCGTCCCACCTCACGACGGATGCGGCCCTTGTCATCCTTGACGAGGTCCATCTTGCTCATAAGACAGAGCATCGAGATGCCGAGAGACAGCATGCACGACATGGCCGAGAGGACACCGGCGAAGAACTTGGCCTTGTCCTGCATGAACTGCGACTCGACGAGGTAGACTGCCGACGTGCGGAATCCGAGGCGAGTCTGGAGGAACTGGGCGAGTTGGGGGAGGAGGGGGATGTGGGTGTACAGCTCGATCTGGCCGGGGCAGTCGATGATGAGGTACTCGTCCTCAAAGTCACCCAGCGCGTCCTCGAGCCAGTCGAGGTTGTTCAACAGGTACCTGAGTGGTCAGCTTCAGCACGGGACGTCTAGCTCACTCAAAGCAGTACACGAGACCACCGTTGGGTCCAAACTCGAGCTCCTCCATGACATCGTTGAGGCTGATCAGGTCGCGAATGTCGAGGACGGGCTGGTACTCGAAGCGCTCGGCGGCTGGGTCGAGGTTGACGAGGTGGACCTGGCGTCCGAGGGTCTGGGCATGTGTGATGAGGCCCGCGCAGAACGTTGACTTGCCCGCACCTGCGGGTCCTGTGACGAGCACTGCGTAGCGCATCGTGGCAATTGCAGTTTGGTGGTGTTGGGTGAGAAGAAGTTGGTTACCAAGATTACCAGGACCACACTTCGTTGCATCATCGACATTGATTTCTTCCACTTTCCCACGGTGTGTTCCATCCACCACTCACTCGGCCCCGTCGTCATCCGTCCAGGGCCGCGCGGATGTGGGTGTCGGAACAAGAGACACGAGTTTCTTGTTGTTTCGTCACTCACACTCATCTATAACCCTCTATTCAACATGGCCGACACTCCCAAGGAAGAGTACGTGCCGCATTCAAGCTCACCTCTGACGCTAGCTCCTCGAAGTACACCTTCACCCCCATCCACCCCTTTGAGATGGATGCTCCCAAGACCTGGTACGTGGTGGTGGGCCAGTGTTTGCAAATGAAGACATGCTGATGTGGCTACAGGGGCGGCACCATTGGTGCGTGGACACGATAAAGCCTTGCATACTGACGCTCCAAGGCCAGCTGAACTGGGACACGTGTGTATGAACGCAGGGAGCTCTACTGACGACAGTGACAAGATTGTGTTCTCGAAGCGCTCGCTCCTCGAGTTCCTCAAGTGAGCTGCGAGCCAGTCGTCATCAGCTCACACTCCAGGTCGTGCCAGCTCACTGTCAACACCAACTACACCGAGATCCAGAAGCTTGTGAGTGTTCTCTTGTCGTTACCTCATTGCATGAGCTGACCCTGTACTTAGCCCAGTGAGCCGCCTCCATTGTTTGCAGCCAAGCTAACCCTGGAGAGTACGCCACCTTTGGACGCCTGTCGCAGGCCGCTACCGACGCCGCCGTCGCCGACCTCGTCGAGGTGCGTTAGCTGGGGGTTGGTGCTGCTAGCTAACGTCCAGGCCGAGATTGCCGACCCCTCGCACGATGACGAGCCCAAGTCTGGCTCGACTGGCGCCCGCCCCTCGCGCAAGGTCGTCGACCCTCCCGGAGGCAAGCAGAACATTCGTCTCTTTGGCGAGGAGTACGAGGAGACCGATGCGCTCTCGCTCGCTCCCCCTCCCAACGGTGGTTCAGGTGTTGATGTCGACATTGAGCGCATGGAGCACCTCAAGGTCCACGTCGAGCCCGAGGTCGACGGCGGTGCGACTGTCACCGACATCAAGGACGCCGCCGCCTCTGCCGCTGACAACTCTGCTGACCGCGTGTCCAACCCCCCTTCCAACTTCCGTCCTAGCCGCAAGGTCCGCGAGGGTGAGTCGAGTGCTGTCAAAGGAGGTACGTGCAGCGCTGACCAGCAGGCCCTGGCGGCGCGACCTCGCTTGGTGCGGCGTTCTTTGGCGGCTACGAGGACGAGACTGACGCGGACCGCGAGGCGGCGCGTGCTCCCTCTGGCGGCAAGAAGCCCGCCAACCAGCAGGTATGTAACTCGGGGGGCCCCTTTTAGCTGCGTTGTTGCTGACAGACCTAGTCGAGCGGCAACCTGTGGTAGAGCATCCCCGCGAGTGCAGCGAGGAAGGGAAGAAAGACCCAGAGGCAGTGCATGTAGTGCCCAGTTATCGACGGATGCATCTGACAAGTCCTTGACCAAAGGTCACCTATAACCTATACAGTCCCGCCCACCACTGATTTGTCAGTCTTCCTGTTGCTGTGGCGACGACTGTAAAGCTGTCATTGTCGGTGCCAGCACAACCACCACCGGCAACGACCCCAAGCGGCGATCACTGTCAGGGGTTTGGGTACAGGGAAGCCAACAAATCTAATTACGTAAACTTCAACCACGTGGCGGTTCCAGCGTGTCATTTGTATACATGAGCCACCGCCGTCATACAGAGCCATGCCATCTTCTAGCCTCTCTCTCTCCCTCTCTCTCTCTCCATCGCCCATCATCCACCATGGACCGTCTCACCCAGAACCCCGCCGAGCTCCTGAGGTATGCCAGCTTAGAACTCAACAGTTTGTCCAAAAGCTGACAGAGACAGGATCGTAAACATGTGCGTTGTTATTGTGTGACGCAGGAGCGCAGGGCTCAAGACGTGTGGCTGCGCGAGGAGAGGCAGCCAGCACAGTCCGAGTGTAGCCACCAACGCGCCTTCAGTTATCCCAACTCCATCACTGTGTGACTGTACTGACGCTCCAGCGCGGTCGGCGGCCTGGCCGTTGCGGGCGGCATCGGCTCGCTCATCAACCACTCGTTCTCGTCCATCATTATCGGCATCTACGAGGTCGCGTAAGTGTCACCTTGGGATCTCCATCCCACGCACCCGTTGGGCCAGTGGATTGGCTCGGGAGGTCGCATGGGCGTGTCTCTAGCGTCCAGAACGCGTCGAGCATAGACACTGCACGGCTGCATCGCGTTACGCTGGGGGACGAATATGTTTTCTCCCCTCAGAGTCCCCCTCCTTCGCGTTGCTCTGCAATCGCGACCTGAGGCGCTCTTCGCGCCTTACCCGCCACCGCCGCCCGCCTGGGAAGCGAATGTGAATGCGAACAGGGGAGGCCTGGAGCCTCGTTCTCTCCCAGATTCAGTCCAGATCGTGTGGTGGCGTGCCCCAATTCATGCGGCACGGCGTCGCTCTCGCGTTCATTGCAACATTGCAACATTACTTGACCCCCCGTCCACGTGCTGACGTCCTTCCCCCCAGTGCCGGCGGCCTCACGATCGCGCTCGAGGTGCGGTCGCCCACCGAACACCAGAAGAAGGTCGTGCACGACTATGCGAGCTTTATGCACTCGTTCCTTGGCCGCGGTATCTGTGAGTAGTGGACGTAGTGGACTGCCCCCCAGCCGGGCACTATCTTATCGCCGCGCCCCGGCTAGTGCCGCCCCACACCCACCCGCGGCTAACAACCACCCCCCCACCCACCAGTCTACCTCCTCCTCGGCGTCCTCATGCTCAACTACTACACCATCCTGTACGTGTGCGGCACCATCGTCGCGTTCGTGGGTGTCGTGTACATTGCGCTGCATTTCCTCAACGTCGTCGAGCCGCCCAGGTGAGTACCCACGAGCGTCGCCCTGCCAGCTGGAATAGAGGTGTCTTGTCCCTGTCTCCAGCTGGGGCGCGTTCCATGACAAGCGGTGGCATCAGCTCACGCATACTCTTCCTTCTTCGTCTTCTAGCACCATGCAGGCGCCCGAACGCGACCCCGAGGCGCAGCCCGTGTGGCAGGCTCCCAGCGAGTAAAATGTCTACCTACACCGGCGACACAATGTGGCAGAGCCACTGGTTATTGCGCCCCCCAACGAGCTCGTCCCAGTCGAGCATCTTGTATAGAGAAGTGGCTAGATGGAGACGTGTTTCTTGACCCAGACAGACAGAGGACAGATGCCAACTAACGAGACCACATGCCATGCTTCACTGCTTCACTGCGTCATAACCAGGTGCTGCATCGCGCATGTGCTGCCTGCCAGCGGGTTTCAGGGGGACAAGCAAGGGTGGGGGTAGGGTCCCTTGCGGTATTGGGGGGAGGGGAGGCGGGGCGGAGGTCAAGCTACGGTATCATATGCGGGTATTACACGAGAGAGAGCGAGCGAGAGAGTTTGTGGCTGGGAGAAGACGAGATCTCACCCCTTTCCTTCCTTCGTTAGACGCGGTATTATCTAATTCTATTACTCGGGGGGCGGGGACGGGGGAGCCGAGGGGACACCGCCGGCCGACTCGTTCGAGGCGGCGTCGTCGTACGCACCACCGCTGACGGAGCCGGCAGTGGCGGATGCCTCGGCGGCGGCAATGGCAGCCGCGACGGGGTCGTTGTCGCTCGCCCGGGGAGAAATGTCGCGGCGGGCGCCGGGAGTGCGCGGCTGGCGGGGAGGGTAGCCGCAGCGGTCCTTGCCGTGGGCAATGCGCAGGCCCGCATAGTCGGACTTTGCCTTGATGCCGGTAATGGCCTTCTGGGCCGCCTCGATGGACGTAAAGTTGACGTACGCGGCATGCTTCTCCTTGAGGAAGTTGACCAGCTCAATGTCTCCGTACTCTGTAAAGTCGGTGCGGAGCTTGTCGACCGAGAAGATCTCAAAGTCGGTGATCTGGCCAATGTAGACGTTGCGGCTCACGCCAGAGTTGACCTCTTGGAGGAGCTTGGGGGAGACGGGCGCGAGGGCCTTGCCCCAGCCAACACGCAGGCGGCGGCCGGCAATGGTGATGGGGTTCTGCTCGCTGTGGCGGTAGAACTGCAGGGCAGCGTTGGGGTCGACAAAGGTGACAAAGGCGCACTTCTTCTCGGGGAGCAGCTTGATGGTCTCAAGCACACCGCCGCGAATGTTGTTGCACAGCTCCTCGACCGTCGTCTCGGTGCCAATGTTGCCCAGGTAGATCGAGCGGTTGCCGACCTGCGAGGGGTCCATGAAGCCGCTGGTGCCAAACGCAGCGCCGCTGAAGCCCGACGACGCGTCAAAGCCAGCACCGCCAAAGCCGGTGCTAAAGTTGGGCGAGGAGAAGCCAAAGCCGCTGTTGACCTGGCCAGTGTGGGACTGGACAGCAGCGGCGGCCTGGGCGACGGCCTGGCGAACAGCAGCCTGCTGAGCGCGGGGAACATAGGCGCAGCGGTCCTTGCCGTAGCTGACACGCTTGTTCTTGTACGAGGGCTCGCGCGGGAGGGCGTTGACGACCTTCATGGCGACCGAGATGGACAAAAAGTGCACAAACGCAATGTTCTTGTCGCGCACAATCTTGATCTGGTCAATGTCACCAAAGCGGACGAGGTCGGCACGGAGGGTCTGCTCAGTGTCATCGTCGGTGAGACCGCCGATAAACACATTACGCGTGGCCGAGTTGTACTGGACAGCAATGGCCACCGAGGTCGGGAGGTTGGACTCGCGGCCCCATCCAATGCGGAGCTCCTGGCCGCGAAGCGCGAGCTTCTTGACAGCAGCGTCGGCGTAGAACGCAGCGGCAGTCGAGCCGTCGAGGAACGAAATGAAGACGCAGCTCTTGTCGGACAGAATCTTGACGCTCTCAATGGGACCGAAACGAACAAGGTTGAGCAGCTCGTCGGCCGAGGCATCGTCAGGAATGTTGCCAATGTACACGGTGCGGCCAGTGAGGTTTCCGGCAGCGGCGGCGGCAGCAGCGGCAGCGGCAGGGCCATAGTTGCCAGTCATGCGGTTGGAGAACGGTCCGCCGAACCCAGTCTGCTGCTTTGGGTTAGCTCACATGCCACACGCGGGTTCCGACCAACCATGACAGGGAAACCGGGCATGACAGCGTAGTTGAGGTACGGGTTGGGAACACCGTTGCCGGGGCTGACCGACTGAACGTTGTTCTGCATGCCAATGTTGCCGTTGGGCAGAACGCTACCGAGCGAGGCCGGGAAGGCTGCACCGGTCCCAGGCTGACCAAAGCCCGCGGGCACGCCGCTGAGGAACTGGCGGGCCACGTCGGGGTTGGTAAAGTCGGGCGAGTGACCTCCACTCGGGCCGTCGGGCGGCGTCAGGTTCAGGCCGTCAAACGAACGCTGCGGGGGAGAAGAGTCAGAAATGTGGGTGCGAGCGCGTTCTCTTGCAAGAACTCACCATCGCCGCGTTGATGTCGAGCTGGCCAAGCGCGCCGGTAAGAGCGCCGACGTAGTCTGCGGGGAACGGGCTAAGCGGCGTTCCGAGGCTAGTGGGGTACCGTTGGTAGGTGGGGGAGAGGGGAACGGCGTCGCCGGGGCGGTTGACGGTGTAGTCGGTCATCACGTCGCTGGCAAGGGACGAGACGTAGGGAGGAAGTGGGGAAAGTTGGGGTTAGTGGAGCCGAACAGATAATGCTGCCACGTAACAAGGCCGTGAATGGAAATAGGAGGTTGGTGGCGGCCTGAAAGATCGAAGCCTTCAAAGACAGGCGGGTGCAAGTTGGCGCACACTTGTGTGGCCAAAGGGTTGAAAGGTGTGGTGTGGTGGACACGAACGAAGGCGCTTAAGGAAGAGCGACACGAACGAACAAGTCTAAAGGCAGTAGCAAAGAGCAGCCTTGGAAAGATGGTAGGTTGAAACGTCTGCGGGAGGTGGGGGCCGGGGGTGAGTGCGAAACGATTACCAAAGGGGGCGGGGAGGCAGAGAGCACGTTGAGGTGCGGCGGGGAGGCGTCAGGTAGACATGCCGTGGCAGTGCGAGCGCGCGTTGTGATGAGGCGGGCGCAAGGGAGTAAGCACAAGTGAGGGAGGTAGGTGCGTCCAACGATGTAGGTTCGAGTAGAAAGACAGAGCGTCAGTGATGTGGAACAAGTGCGGGGGGGGGGGGTTAAGGTACCGGACCAACTTACAGATGTGACTGGTTGTGAGGATGTACAATAGCGAGTGAATGCCAGTCGATAGCGAGCGACGGGGAGGGGAGGGGTATAGATAGCAAGCAAAGAGTAGTTGGGGGTGGAGGGGAACGTCGTGTCAGCATGTACAGGGCTTGGGTACGAGCGGCGGCGCGTCGGTCGTGCGGCGGCGGCGCCGGATGAGGGATGGTTGCGGGGCGCTGCGGGCCAGCGTGGGCTGGGCGGCGACTCGCGCCTCACGGCACGGTCCAGTGCGTCGTCCCGTGTCATGGCTGGCCCAAGTTTCGGCGACGCAGCGTGCGGGGAGGCTGGTACTCACGTCGAAGAAGGATGACTGTGAATGTGTAAAGGAATGTGGGGGGGTGTTGTGCAGAGGAGGTCGAGGAGTGTAGAAGGGGGGAGAGAAGAGAGAAGATAGAAGGGAGGAATAAGGAAAGAAGGGAGGAGGAGAGCAAGGACAAAGGGAGGGACAGACGAGAGAGAGAGACGACAGATGGATGAACGACAAGAGACGCACCCACCCACCCAGCCAGCCAGCAGGATGGATGCGGCAAGTGCACAAACCACGCGCGTCAGGGCGGACACGCAATGGCCCCTCCTTCGACCCCCGGTGTGGCCTGGTGGCGTCGGCGGGCAGCCGTCGTCTCTCCTGTCTGTACGTCTCTCTTTCGATCTCGCATCTCGTATATGCATCAACGAGGCCGTGTTCTGCAGTCACAATGGGTGGGGGGCACTGCAAAGGCACAATGGGACCCCCATCACACAGGCAGCATGCATTCATCCCCTTTCCCTCGTCCCACATTTCGCCACCAAGACCTAAACAACCTCCGTCGACCGTCACCCTCTCTTTGCCGCCGTTACCTTGCTTTTCGTTCCACCACCCACCCAACCCTCCGCAGCCAGCTGGCTCTCCTGACGCGCGCGCGTTCATGCCTCCGCGCACAGACCTTCCGGGCCAGCGTTATGAAAATACAGTTGCATGGCGCAGCAGCACCACCACCCCGCCGGCCGACCGGCGCATGGAACCCAACCCTCTCCTCTGCGGGCCACCGAGACGCCCATGCCGACGCACCGAGAGGCGGGGTGGGTGCCGCATGCCGGTGAGTGGCCTGAGTGGTCGCGCGACGCGTACCGCTCGCGCGCTCGCGCGCACTGGCGCGCACGGTTCCACCCAAAATGTGAGACAAGCGCTTGATTCCTGGGTGGCGCCATCAGAGAGACCCAGCCAGAGCGGCCAGCGGGGCCAACCACAAGCGCGAAATGCGCCGTGACGGCGTTGACTACCCGGGGAGCCGTAGCCCAGGACAACACACTACTATAGCTGGGTTGTGCATAGGTTGCCGCCAACGCAACGTGTGTGTGTTTTGGTGTGTGCCCATCGGTAACGGGAAAACGGCGCGTCACGCTGTGTGGGACACTGGCGCGGATTAAGATCTGGATGTTAATTACGGCTCAGGACATATTAGCGGAGGCATTTGTGCTTCGAAGGCGGTGTTACGAGGTTATGAGGTTAACCAAATTACATAATCATCCTCCACGGGGCCTTTTTGTGGCGTGTGGCACTCGCTGCGGCTCGGCTGCGTTAGCTGCTTGGTCCTCAGCGCGTCCGGTTGTCGATCTGTCGACCGCCTCCGTCGCATGTCCATTGCTTGGTCCACAGCAGCACGTATATCCACCACTGACGCTTGTGTGTTGGGAGTTGCAGATCCAGAGTGTATCCCTACAGTCGTCAGTCCATTTAAAAAGAATGCACTGTAGCCAGCCCGCGGATCCACAGACGCCGTGTAGATGCCCAACTACTCTCTCTTACGCGCGAGTGCCCGTCGTCAGCTGTCCTGCATTTCCCCCAGCCTGTCGACTGCATCTCCCTCGACACATCCACAAAATCTCAGCTGTGCGCGCTGCAATGTGAAGTATGACGCAGGAATCCCATCGACTGTGACGCGGACGCGCACATCACTCTACTCCACCAACCACACCTGAACTGCAACTGCCACCAATGTACCCTCCCTCGGGCAGACTCTTGCGACCATCGCACAGCTGCATATGCTGGCCTCTCAGCTGCTCCCATCAAACGTGTCGATATGTATACATGCCCAATGCTGTCCTCTACCCTATAAGAGACGAGGTTTAGACCGAGGCAAGAGGAGCAGGCTCGACAAAGTCGCCGCCCTTGATGACACGGGCGCCGGACGCGTCCTTGGTCTCGCCGTGCATCTCCAGGAGCCTCGAGGCATCGATCTTAGGTGCCTTCACGATCTTGGCCTTGCGGACGTAACTGGGGTTTCGTTAGCAAAAGAAAACAAAGAGAAAACGAGACAGAACAAGAAGAAGACGAGGAGGAAGTGGAATGGTCTTGGGGGGTCGAGTCGGGCGATTGATTACGTAATCACTCAACCAACCACTGCCACACCGACCACATCTGTCGCTGTGCGTCTCCATCTCGCCTGCGTATCCAACACGTACACGTTGTGGAGGGGGTAGATGCCCTTCGAGGCCTTCTCGATCTCGCGACCGATCGACTCGGGGAAGAACTTGAGGACAAGCTCCTTGAGGTCGGAGCCCTCAGCCTCGCGGCGCATGATCTCGACCATCTTGGCGCGGATCTCACGGATCTGCGACGACTGGGCGTAGGTGGTCTTCTTCACCTGGTTGCGGTTGCGCTGGGTGAAGCCGATGGCGAAGAGGCGGATGATGTAGCCGTCGGTGGTCTTGACGTCGACCGAGGCCTCAACGAGCGACTGCCACTTGCGGACGAGCGAGCGGAGCTTGTCGGTGGTGAAGTCCATGCCGTAGAACGAGGTGAGGCAGGCCTTGCCCGAAACATCCTCGACCTTGAGCTTGATCTTGCGGAAAGACTGCTCCTGGTCGTTGTTGAGGTCGGCAAGCGAAAGCTCAACGACACGGCCCTTGAGCGAGTCGTTGGCGTTCTTAAGACCCTGCGAACGGTTGACAAGGGTCTTGCCGGCGTTGCGGTTCTCGAAGAACGAGGGGGCCTTGATGTCGTACCAGTCCTTGCGGGTGAAGGGGTCCACCACCCTGGGTCGTCGTCAGTGACAGGTCTGGAGAGGAGAAGAGGGCCTCCAGAGAACATGTTGGACAGGAATGGTCAAAATCTTTGACCGCCAGTTCCTTTGTCGATGAAATTCCATGTTCTCCAGATCCTCCCAGGCGCACTCACTTGCGCTTGATGCCCTTCTTGCCCTTGCTAAGGCGCTTGTTCTTGCCGACAGCCATTTTCTGTGTGGTTGAAAGAGTGTGGAAGGAGGATGAAAGGAAACAAGTGAAGGAAATTTATTCGCCGACAGAGGGTTCGTCGTTTTGCGATGCGATAAAATGCCGAGGGAAACGCGCGAACGGGCAGGCGAGCGGGGGATGTGTCGAGAGGAGGGAGGGGAACAAGCCAAGTCGATGGCAGTTTGCAGAAGAGAGTGCGCGCGACCAGAGATTTCCACCAGACAGGACAGCACAGGAGATTCAAGTTTCCAGTCGTTCCAACAAAGACCAGCGGTTCGGGAAAGCACGAGGAAAGAGCGGACAGCGAGCACGATTTATCGAAGAGGGAGCGTCCGTCAGCGTCTGTTCCGTCGTGTTGCGCGCGCGTTTGCGTTGCTCGTCGCTCCGCCTGCGGTCACTCACGAGTTGTTTGAAGGATGAGGAAGGGTGCGTCCAGCCGAATGTCAAGGTGTCGCGGCGCACCCAGCAGCCACCGGGCACACCAGCTGTTCGAAGTGTCCCGCGGAACCAAAATCCCTCGAGGGCAAATCGCCGACAATCGCCGGAAAATGGCACCCTTGCGCAAACACCGACGCTTGCGAGAGAATTTGGTCGGGCGTCCACGCTTGGCTGCTGGTTAGTCGTGCGCGTCATTGCATGGTGCATGGTGGAGACAGATGGCCAGATGGCCAGATGGCTTTGGTGGTCACTGTCCGGCCATCTCGAGGGACCAAGGTCTTGTATGGCCGAATACGGCTGTACCCCTCGACTGTGTAGCATGGTATCCAGTGTCTCTTAATTTGATCTTGCACGCATAGGTCGTGCCCAGACAGTGACAGCACGAAAAAGGATACGTGATGCGCTGTTGAATGGCGGTACCGCTTGGGGGTGCGCTCGCGCGCTGATCACCAACGCAACGCACAGGCAGCCGAGTCAAATGCACCCTATAGCCACAGTAATCTCCACCTAATCACATATCCACTGCTCATGTCTGTATCTCTGGCCACCACCGCCACTACCTATCTCTGTGTCTCTCTGGGTCTCTGTCATCATCATATGTGTTGCTTCCGACTGATGTTATCGCTCGAGGCCAGGGCCTCAAGCCTTGCGTCGCGTGCGCCTCTGCCTGCCTCTAGACGAGGAGGTGGAGCACCGCGGCGTCGGCGTCGGCGTCGTCGTGCGGGTCACCAGGCGACGAGGCGGCGCGGCCACGGAGCTTCCTGCGGGCGGGCGGCGACGGCGTCGTGCCCACACTGTTCGTGTCGCCCGTGTCACCGCCCGTCGTGTCACCGCCCGTCGTGTCACCGCCCGTCGTGTCACCGCCCGTCGTGTCGCCAGTGGAAGCACTGTCGCTGCCCGTGAGCAGGTCCAGGTCGCGAGATTTAAGGCTGGAAGCAGTGCTGCTCGCGGAAACAGAGTCAGACAACGACGGTAAGACACCCTGCTGTTGCCCGTACTGGTTCAGCTTGGCTTCGAGGCGGCGGCCACAGGGCGTGTGGCGCAGCGTGGGCATGAGGGGTAGGATGGTGGCAAGCAGCTGGGTGGGGTGTCAGCTAGAGTACCGCATGTCACATATTCAGCTGGCTTACCAATTCACGCTGGTCGAGGTCGGCCTCGGAGAGCGCCGTCTGGACGGGGAAGTTGCCGTACTGGTCACGGAGGAGGGCGGCGACACGACTTTGAGCGCCGTCAATGTTCTCGCCCAGGATCTCCGAGATGAGGTCACGACGATCCGCAGCGCTGGCATACTTGAGCGCCTTTTCGACCACATTCGAGGCAAACTTGTGGCGGCACAGCTCCCAGAGACGACCCTTGATGATGGCGACAACCTTGTTGCGGTCGTACTCGTGCGCGTCGCCGTTGGTAATGATGCTCTGGACGACATAGTTGCCAAACTGGTCGGTCATGAGCTTGTGGGAGCACCTGTGCATCTCGTCGAGCAGGGAGCGGATCCTGTCAGGATGGAGGACCTCGAACGACTTTTGAAGCACGCGGCAGCCGAATGGGTGGGTCGAGAGCTCAAAGACGTGGCCTTGGAACGCATCGGTGACGGTCGAGGGAGGGTCGAGAGTGATGAGACGCTGGATGACGTGGTTGGCGTTGGACGACTTGACACAGTCGATAATGTGGCCCTTCAACTCGGCGACGAGCTGGTCGCGCTGGTCGACAAGGACGTACTCGAGCGCCTTTTGAACGACCTGGTGGGTTAGATTTGCCTTTCAACGCTGCTTTAACTCACCCTGCAGCCATACATGTTCATGGAGAGGTGGAGGACATGGCCCTCCATGGTCTTGGCGATGGCAGCCCTTTGGTTTTCGTCGCCGTGTTCAAAGAACTTTTGAATGACATAGTTGCCAAAGACGTCGGTCATGAGCTGGAAGGCGCTGGTGATGATCTCGTCAAAGACAAGAGCACGCTCCTCGTTGGTGGCCGTCTCGAGCTTGTTCTGGATGAGACGCGAGCCGTGCTGGTCGCCGGCAAACTCGCAGATGTGGCCGTACACGTCGGCAAAGTCCATGCGAGAGTTGCGGCGCTGGCGGAACTCTTCGAGACGAAGACTGCGCGCCGGGCCCTCGTCTGAGCGGCGACGGCCATAACCACCGTTGTAGGTGCTCGAAGCGGCCGAGAGGGACGCCGGCGTGAATGGGGCAGCGCCGACGAGCGAAAAGTGACCTGGCGACGGGGTGTGAGGGTAGCTGGCGAGCGACTGGAGGCCGTACCGGTGGTTGTACTCGCTGAGCGAGGGGTACTGGCCGTGCGCGCCTTGGGTGGAACCGCGCCTGCCGCCAGAGTGGGAGTGGGCGTTGATGCGGCGCTGCGGGTGGTGGTGCTGGTGCTGCTGAGTCAACCTCTGTCCTCCTTTGTGCCGATCTGTGTCTGTGTCTGGACTCACGCCAGAATCGCGTCCCGTGCTCGCGTGCTGTCCGCCGTGCGCGCCGTGCATCTGGGTCCAGTAAGGCGCACGATCACTGTACGCAAAGTATCCCTGGCCTTGCTGCTGGAGGTGAGGCGGGCGGTAGATGCCTTGACGACCGGCCACGGCCGCCTGCTGCTGGAAGCCGGCTGGGTTGGCATTGGTGCTCGAGCAGGCCGCGGCGGCAGCGGCGGCACCGTTGGCGGCGAGCTGGCCGAGCTGATGGGTGTGGTGGTGGGGTGCGCCCTGGCGCGAGTCCTGCTGGAGGGGGTAGTTCTCTGGGGGCGTGGGGTACGGGTCAAAGGTGATTCCCGCGGCGCTGGCCATGGACTGCATCGACTGGAGTGGCGTCATGGGCGTGGCCAGTTCAAATCCCGCGTACGCCTGGTGGTGGTGGTGGCCACCGGCACTGGGAGGGGTAAACTCGGTCGTGTAGTAGAGATACTGCGTGGTGCCGTCGTACGTCGCATAGGCGGCCGGGCGCTGGGGTGTGTGGACGTTGCCGTACGGCGGGGTAGGAGGCACACAGGCGCCTGCAACGGGGTGCTGCTGAACCTGGCGAGCGGAATACTCGTCGACCGAGAGGCTCTGGAGGTGGTTGATAAGAGTCTCGTTGTCGGCCGCAGACGACCAGGCAGGGGCTGTGGCAGACATTGCCGACATGTTTGGGCGAGCTTTTTTTGGTGGATGGGGGTGTGGCTAGGAGGGGATACGGGGGGGATGGCGGCCGATGTGGCGGATCAGACAAGGATGAGAGATGTTTGGCGGAGGGCTGGCGTGCGACCGCCGCTGCACATGCACTGGTGTGTGCACAAGAGACTGGGGTAGGCAGGCTGGCAGTGTCGGGTGTGGGTGGGTGGGTGTTCACTAGAAGATGGCGTTAACAAGTTGTGTTCGTGTGCGAGGGGGGAGGTTGTGGACACAGCGATGCTGGAGGAGAGGATACGGAGAGCAAGAGTCTCTGGTGACAAGGGGACTGGGGAGAGGGAGAGGGAGAACGAGTTGGAGACAATGGGTGATGGGGGATGGAAGTGACAAGAGGAGGTGGGAAAGAACAATTGTCTTCCCTCCCTCCCTCCTCTCTTTGAGAGCACACGGTTCCGTGTGTGTGTGTGTGTTCTTCTCTCTCTCTCTCTCTCTCCCGCGTGCTCCCAGTCGCCGCCCTGCTGCAATGGCCCCTGCACCCGCCTTTGACGACGCCCTCGTGTTCACCCATCCATCCAGCCGAGCGCACCTGTTGCTGCACACACACATACCGGTTCGCCCTCGACGACGAGCTCACACGAGCTCACACACGCCCCCAGAAGCGCAGCACACAGCGATCCCCTTGGGCCGTGGATCCGTGGGTCCGTGGAGCACATGGCCACCTTGGGAGCCGTGGACGAGAGCGCGTGCGACCCACCGCGCCCGTCACCTCCTTTTACTCGTCACCTCCAGCTTAACAGCTTGGCTCGCCCCCGACGGACGCCCTCGGATTCCGGCCCGTTGCCTTGTGCCACGACACTCACACACACGTAACACCACCACAAGGCTAAAATGGATCAACTACTCACAATCGCTGGTATGCAATCGAAATGCTGTGTGGGGGGGCACACACTCGTTGCGCAACAACGGCGCGCACACGCCACGGTACCACGGTCCTCGCGATCAGACGTGACCGATTCGCTGTCTTGCGGCGTTGCGTGGGACGCGTGCGTGGTTGTTCTCCAGAGGCCAGAGGCCTAGTCACAGATGGTGGTGGCCGTGACAGTGACGCCAGACGAGACGTACAGTGGCTCGAAAGATCCGCAGAGGCTCGAGGGCGGCAACGGGGGAAGAGATCGGCAGTGGCGATGACGGCGACGACGACGACGATTCTTGGGTGCACACGTCTGCGCACCTGCGCTGTGATATCCCAGCAATGCAATGAACTGCTCAGTGGCCCAGTGGTTCAGCAGCGTACAGCAGCGCAGCGTTCGCGCGAGCGTTGCTGTTGTCGGTGGTGGAAATGCGTGATGCGGGTATCGGTGGCACCCTGTTGCACCCACAGATTCCAGAGCGGCGGTACGCGCGGCGCGCGCCGGTGGCCGGTGGGGGTGGGGGTGGGGGTGGACGCGCGATTATCGCTTTGGAAAACGAGCCGCGGCGGCGGGGCGGCGGCCAGCGGCGGGGACACTCGGACCCTTCGGGTGAGTCGAGAAGCACAGAGGTACAGAGACAGAGATTAGTGTGCGCACGGATGCACACAGAAAGCCAAAAAAAATGTCCTCGTGGCTAGCTGCTAAGCTACTGGAGCGCTGTGTGCACCCGACCAGCAGTGGCCAAAGGAGGGTGCTGGGGTGGGGGTCCTGTTGAGAGGATCCAGCGGGCCAGCGACCGTAGCGACGACGAGCAAGGACCGACGAGCGAACGGGGATCGCCTGTGCGGGGCTGGCAAGGGGCCGGGCGGGGGCGGGGATGCACAAGGTCGCGCCGAGGCCGTGTCCGCGCGCGTCGAGGGCGCAGGGATCGTCGAGGACAGGAGGGGGGAAGGGCGGAGGTGGGCGGGGTTGCGGAGCAGGTGGATCGTGGGTGTATTGAGGCGCGCGTGTCTTTTGGTCGGGGTGTGTCGAGGTGACCAGTTTTGGAGTAGGAAATCAGTTGAAGAGCATGTACACAGTGTGGTGTGGTAGTGTGAGTGAGTGAGTGACACGCGTCGTTGAATCGAAAATAACAATCGTAACAAATCGCGACTTGCAGACGAGATATTGTGTGCATTGCGCGCGTCCTGCGGCGGCGGCGGCGGCCGTGTGGGGTGCGTGGGCGCGTGGGCTGGGGCAAAGGATGCAAGGATGCAAGGCGAGGAAGGCTTGTGCGCGCGCTGCTTCTGTTACTCGTGTCTGGGGGTGAGAGTTCGGCTCCGATTGAACACACTCTTGCTGGGGGGTTGTCGGGTATCACGTATCGCTCGACTGGCGGGCGCGGCGTGTAAACCCTTGTGTTTCGCTGCCTGCAACATGTTTCCAACGTCCCCCCCACAAACCCTGGGTGGCATTTCACGCACGAGGGGGCGTTGGATTTTGCCAGCCGCTTTCCGCGTTTGGTGGTGTGGCCGTCGTGGCCGGTGGGGCGCGATGCGTTGCCGACTGCAGCCGGTGCGCGGTGTGGCTGTAACCTACTTGTGCTGCAACAATGGCGCAGGAAAAAAGGTCTCACGCAACATGTAAACCTTACACCGCGCTGCACCGCTGCACCGCAGTAGCGGCGCAGCCAGCGATACAGCGAGACCGGGGGTCGGCAGCCGGACGCCGGGACGCGGAGGGAGAGAGGGAGGCGTGACACGCTGCCTCGAGGCGTGGAGTGCGGCCTCATGGGCTAGGTGATGCGGTCTGGCCCCCCCCCCGTTGGCCGGCCGTTGGGTAGATTGAGAGACGACGGCGACGACGACCTGTGCGCGCGGCGCTTCGTCGCTGTGTCGTGGCGCTGGGCGGTTGAACCGTTACGAGGAGTGAGACAACATGAAAGCATTAAAGGTGTCACTGTCACTGTGGCCACTGTACCACTGTACTACTCGTTGTCAGTCCGATCAGTGGTTCGCCTGCAGACCGCAGAACCCATGGAGGGCAAGGCTTCTGAGCACGCTGCACGCTGCAAGCTACACGCTGGGGCTCAGACGTCAGACGACGCCAGGCAACCCGACAGGCGTGGCTGGGAACCGTGAGCAACCCTTATACCACTCCCAATGGGCCACTTGATAAAGGTGTCCGTGCTGTAAATGATTGCAGGAGCCTACACTGTACACTGTGCAAAACGGGCCGAAGCCGAAATTTCAGCGGGGTGCGCGTTAGATCAATCAGTTGATCAGCTGGAGCCAACGCCTATCATCCTTCCCCTCCATCCAGCTGTGCTTGACGCAGCTCCCCTTGTCAGCCAGACGAGCATGTCCGCGGTACCGCTGTGGTCAACCATACTGCGGTCCTCGCTCGGGTACGAAGGTGGCTGGCGGCGAGGCGTAGCCGGGGCTTTGCGGGGAGTAAACGGTGGACGATGCGATGGACAGGTGTGCGCAGAGGTGGTGTCCGGAGGAAGGCAAAAGGCACGATAAAAAGCCACCGCAAGGCCGCAACCCGGGCGGGCGGGCAAGCTGTCGTCATCGACAGAATCGACACTCTGTTCCGAGCCACCCTTGAGAAAATGTCGTGAGTTTCTTTTGATACGAGCTACCGTTGCAGCTGTAGGAACCTGTCAATGCCAGATACTCGCAGCGACTACTCTGTGACTGGGAGAGAGACAGCTCCCTCGTCCCTCATCTCCTGCCCAAGTGGTATTATCTACGCCATTCCACAGGCACTCCCATACCTGTCTTCTGGCACTATCAGCCCCCGCCCTTCATCGAACTGTACTCCTATCTTCTCCCTTCGCCCCTTGCCCCGCCATCGTCTGCTTATCGATCTGCATAAGATACAACAGCCTCGCCAACGAGCCCGCACACACACGCACGAGTGGCGTGGACTCCCCAGCGAGGCAGCTAAACTTCGGGCACCCAAAGTCGGGCGGGTAGTAGTAGTGCCGCCGGTTATTCCCCACTTTATGTCACTCGCTCTCGCTTTTTCACATCTAGACGCCGTAAATGGCCAGCTCCTTCATCTCAGCGAGGACGTTCTCGACCTGCACGTCCAGCTGGCCGTTGGCGTAGTCGTCGCGGATGTTTTCGGAAAAGTACCTGGCGCAAGGTGTCAGCTGTAGTTTGGACATGCGGACAGCTAATCGACTGGCTGGCAAGACACTCACCTCTGCACACCCGAGAGCTTCTCGTAGCCCTCGTCGGCGAAACGCAGCTGGCAGCGCACCATCGACTCGAACGACGGGTCCAGGAAGGCTGGGATGGATGTCAGCTAAAGACGACACGCTTTGGTTAGCTGCACTCACGGACACGGAGCTCGACCATCTGGGGCAGCTCGGCAATGAGCTGGTCGTTGAGGAGCTCGTAGATCTCACGGGCCTCGTCGTGCTCAGCCTGAGCCTGGGGAGGACGTCAGTATGCAGCTTCACCACGCGACATCTGGTAAGCTGCTCACCCTGGGAAGCTTGACGGTGTCGTCCGAGGGCTTCTCGACGAGCTTGCGGACCTTGGACCGGGAAGCGTCATAGTCGATCAGCTGGGAGGTGTCAGCATAGACAGACGGGGAAGGCGGATGAGCTGATTGCACTGATCCGCCGCTGACTGGGTCCGGGGGGCACCCACCTTGTGATTCCTCTTCTCAATAGCGGCGTTGACGTTGGTAAAGTACTGGTTGAGCCTGCCCACGGGCTCGAGGACAGTGGCGCGGAATGGCCCGTCGAGGTCACGAGTGACGACATTGTCGAGCTCGTCAACGGCGGCCTTGTATGCGTGGCCGGCCATGGCGCCCTGGAGGAGGGTCAGTGACGAGAACAATGCGCCACCGGCGCGACAGCTCAAACCAACAACTGTGTGTCCAGCTGCCCCGCGTCAATGTACCCACCTCGCTCGCCTTGTCGGCGGTGTAGAACAGGGAAATGGTCTCGGCGATACGCTCCTGCGACGAGGACATGGCTGAGGGGTGTCAGTTAGGGTATTGAAAGGCCACAATCAACTCACTGCGCATGGCATCGAGGTAGGTCTTGGCGTCCTTCTGCAGGCCCGTCGACTCCTTCTCCATGCTGTCGGGTTCCCATCAGTATATTGACACTTGCACACGAGCACGGATACCGCACGCTCCAGGCGGACCGTCTCCAGGCTCCCACGACCGACGGCGTGCAGCACCGCACCGCCGTAGGCTACACTGTCCGCGACTCACGTCCTGTACTTGCTCTCCTGCTCGGCAAAGTCGTGGTCGACGGTACGCTCCACCTGTCCCGTCTTCTGCATGAGCTGCGTGCCCGCACGGGTGGCGGCCTTCTTGAATCTGTGAACACACCCATCAGCACACGCCGGTCTCGAACAAGCTTAGTGCGAGCTTGCACGCTGCGGCAGATACTGCGGAGCCAGCGACGTCGCTCGCTGGGGCGTGTCTCCCCCGTCCCGCGAGTCCCGGCTCTGGCTCCTCACAGCGCGCGCGGTGCTGGTACGTACCCGCCCCTGTATGGTCAGCTTCTACCCCAAAGAGTCCGTAGCTGGGACTCACCAGGACATGATTATTGAGATTCTAGGATGTATATGAGAGATGGATGCTAGAGACAAAGGGGGACACATCACCGCCCAGGCGGGCGGTGAGCGCATCGATGGCAGTGCCCCTGCGCACGGAAGCAATTCGCATCAGTGGACCTCGGTTGGTGGCGAACGATGCGTCACCGCCGTGGCATTAAATGTTGGTACTGGTTCCACAGCTGGCGTGTCTCATGCATAGGTGGCACCACAACGGGATGGGTATGTTGGAGATGTTGGCCAGAGCGTAACACAAGTTCTGCAGGCAGGAAAAGAACTGGGATGTGGGCAACCAGCCATCCACGCCCAGCCATTGCCTCCTACCCCCGCGCACACTCTATCCCTCCCCTCGTCTGCTTCATTTCAAGTGCTGAATAGTGCATCGATGCTGATACAAGCGTGCAATACGCCAACTGTGGTGTCCTCCGCCCACCGGCCGCTCTACGCCGGGGCATATGCTCCTCCTGCACCACTGCGACGACACCCGCTCATCGGGGCGCGCCGCAACCCGCGTGTGGTCCTTTAACCACACCGGTCCTCTCCATCATCGCCGTCGCCGTCGTCGGCCGTCGTCGTCGTCTTCTCTCTCAATCTCATCTCTAGATGTCACCTGTCGCTTACTGCGGGGGGATCATGCCGGCGGCCATCATCTCCTCGGGGGTCATGGTCGACGACTCGATCATGACACCGAGGCCGAAGCGCGAGGTGTTCTTGGCGTGGTCAATCTCGCCGCCGACGAGGAAGGCAAACGCCGGGGTGAAGCGCTGCTCGAGGAGCATGCCGACCTTGCCGGCCGAGTCGACCTGGCCACGGAAGGTGGCCATGCGGAACTCGTACTTGGCACCGAGGGTGGCGACGGCGTCGCGCTTGGCGGGGCCCATGAACGAAGCGGGCTGGATCTGGGTCTGGAGGTCGAGGGCGACGTCGACCTTGTCGCTCAGCTTCTGGAAGTAGGTGGTCTGGATGTTACCCGAGGGCTGGAGCTGGGCAGTGGCGCTCCATGAGGGCACAAAGGGAGCGACGGGGGCGGCACCGGGGACCTCGGGGTGGCCGAGGGGCTCCGAAAGCGCGTTCGGCAGCGAAGTGTACTTCATGAGCCACGAAGTAGCAGGGGTCATCTCAGCGGGCGAGGTGCGCTGGATAATGGTCTCAAAGCCAAGAGACAGGCGAGGGGTGACCGAGTGGAGGAGCGAGACAAAGTGGAGACCAGTCAGGTCCAGGGGGGAGGGGTTGATCGACTTGAGGTTGAGCGAGTAGTGGGGGCCAATGTGGTCGTGCTCGATCTGGAACATGGTCTGGCCGGGAGCCGACGAGAGCTGCACAAAGTTAGCAAGTCTGTATATTGCGACAAGGTGGCAGGTGGAGGATGAAAAGTCGGGGCCCTGGACAATGATGGACGGCAACTGTTTACAGTGCCGCCGCCGCTGCAGGTCCACAGCCAGCTCCCTCATAGGCAGTACGCCATCACGGTCACTCTCACGGTCACTGTCGAGTGCACACGTTCGAACACCATACAGCCTCCGAGAGCTCTTTCCACGAGCCTTTCGACGAACTGCGTCCCTGACGAGACGATGGCGTAGTCCCCCGGACTCCACAGCTCTTCACCTCCACTGCGAGCTCGTCCTTTGCGTCTGTTTCGAAAACTAACCTGAGCCTGGATCTTGGTAACGTCGCTCTCCGACCAGGTCTGGTTGGCACGCATGTTGACGCCGCCGGTCGAGGGGTCCCACTGGCCGTGCATGAAGGTCGACTGGTTGGCGAACAGGGCGCCGAGGGTGTAGTTGGACTTCTGGCCCAGCGAGAACGAGTGGGTGACCTGGAAGGCCGGGTTGGGCGAGACCATCTTGGACAGGTCGGCGCGGGCACCCTCGAAGAAGTAGTTGGTCATGAGGGTCTCTGTGGAAATAAGTCAGCTCTGTGCTGTTTTGCCTCGCCAATGTTGCGGCGCTGGCCGCTGGCCAAGACTTTTGTGCTCTAGCAGCAGCGTCTGGAAGAGGGAGGTGATGGAGCACGCATACGCAGAGCGCAGGCGTACACCACCACGTTCGCCCTCTTTCCAAATGCTTTAATACTCACGCGTCACATCGCGCGTGAGGTTCTCGACGGTGCCGGGCTGGATGAGGCCCATGTTCTCCTTCCAGTTGTGGAGACGGTTGAAGGCGGCGCCGAGGGGCTGCGAGACCGGCTGGAGGAGGCTGGTGAAGACGTCGAGGACGGCGGGCTCGCCGGGGACGTTGAGCTTTTCGGAGGCCATGGTGGTGGTGCTGGGTAGGGTGGGGGGGTAGGGGAGAGGGAGAGAGGGTTGAAGGAGATTGTTTCTGAGCAGCAGCAACGACCGGCGGTGGTGGTGGCCTCTCTGCCTGGCAGCCTGGCGCTGCGTCCTGGCGCATGGAAAACGGGCGACCACGGGCGGGCACCGGGTGATTACAACGCCGCGCCGCACATGGAGATTTGCCCGAGTGTGGCGGATTGGGTTTCGCGCAGAGTGTGTGGAGGGGAGTGTGAGGATGTTGCGAGTCGCCACTCAACTTGGACATCCTATCCTGTCTCTCCTTCCTCCTCACTCTCACACCCACAAGCATGGCCGCCCTCCCCGTCGCCGAGTCTCTCACCCTCTCCGCCACCCTCTTCCACGCCGACGTCGACTCGTGGCTCCCGGCCTCCTTTGGCGTCTCGCGCCCCGACGCGGACAAGGCAAAGGACTGGGAGGCCGCCCTCCGCCAGACCGCGCGCGACAGGCTCGGCCTGGGCCACCCGGACCTCACAGACCCGCTTGCACGCGCGCGCGCAGCCACCCAGCGCGCCGGTATTGAGACGTTGCGCAAGCTCAAGGGCAGGGAGAAGAAGGGCGACGACAGCGACCTCGCACCCACCCCCGGTCCTGGGTCGTCCTCGCGCACCGCGGGCCGCGGCGGCCGCGACGACAGCGACGACGACGAGAGCCGTACGCGCTCCGTGTCCAAGAAGAAGACAAAGACAAAGGACGCGTTTGCGTCAAAGGGCAAGAATGCAGTCCACCCGTTGCTCAACCTCCGCAACCCCATTCCCGGCTACGTGCCGCCTGTGGGAGGCCAGCAGGCCCAGGCCGAGGCGGTTCCCAAGGCGCCTGCAACAACAGCTACCGTCCCCGCCCTAGTGGTTACCGGCATCAAGCGTGCGCGCGAGGACGACGAGGACGCAGACGGAGACGGAGACGACAAGGCAGAAGGCGACGAGGGAGGCGACGATGCCGCTCAGTCAAAGGCGGCAGCTAGGCGCGAGAAGCGCAAGCGCGCCAAGGCCAGGAAGGCCGAGGCTGCTCGTGCGGCTGTTGCCTAGGCTTGTCCCCCTTCTCCATCAGCGACCGTCTGTCGTTCACCACCACCCACAACCTACCACTACCACCACCGCGCACCCGGCGCGACGGATACGATACCCCGCACCCCAATACCCAACTACACAACCATCTCACAACACCACGGACGGCAAAACACACACATTCTTCGCAAAGACACTATAGCTGCATGGGCACTACGGCACTACGGATGCATGGTATGATTTGAGGATTTGAGCCACTGGGAAACGGAGGTATCGCAAGAGTGCACGCTGGGTTGACCGGGGGGGTATGAGATTCGATGGGGGTGACTACTAACTGTGTGGATGTTGGGTGGGGGAACTGCGCGGACGAATAATGCGCGATAGGTATGAACGGCGGTGTGGTGTCTCTGGGACATCTCTCTCTCTCTCTCTCTCGTTAGGCTTAGCGCCAGACAGCTCGTGGCAGGCTTCCAGGCGTAAAGTTGCGCGAAGCCGTGGCGGTCGTCTGCGCCTCGCGCTCCCTCTCGCGGTCCTCGACCTTGCTCAACAGGTCCAGCAGACCGTCCTTGCCCGGAATGGGGCTCGCGCCGTGCCCGAGCACCGGCGTTGTCGTGCAAGACACTGCGAGTGTGGCTGTCGTTGGCGCGGCGCTGGAGATGGTCAACGCGGCAGTTCGCGGCGTGGCCGACATGTCGCGCCACTCGCTGGGGTCCGGCGAGTCGGGTTCGGGTGACTCGGAGCGCGAGCGCGACATGCCCATGGTCGACGCTTGCGTGGGGGACAAGACGGCGGCATCTTCAATCCCCGGTGACAAGCTGGGAGTCCGATCGGCGGGGGGCTTGGCCTCCACTTCACTGCGGTCGGGCTCGACGACGGCGCGGAAGGGGAACGAGTAGATCCTCTTGGAGAGGGTGCTGAGCATACCGCCCGTGACGCTAGCCGCCGTGCTCGTAGCGCCGCTGTTTGTGCCAGTCGCGATCGCGCGGGCGGGGACAGGACCTGCGGTTGATGGAGGACCAGGCGAGAGCGGAGCAATAGAGTCCATTATCGCCGTGCTGCGAATACTCGAGTCGCTAAGGCCACGAGGGCGTAGTGTGCGCTGCAGCGTTCCGCCTGGGATAGGGTCCCTGTCCTCATCGGTCGGGTCGAGGACGGCGTCGACGATAGTGGATAACCGCGCCGGACGGTCCGAGACAGACCGCACTGGCCGGCCACCAAAGTACTGGCTGCTGGCGTGCCGAACACGCGGGACGGGGGGTGCAGCTTGAGCTCCGGCAAAGATACCCATCAGGTCGGACCGCGACGCGCGTGTGCGGACCGGACGCTGCCCTGGGGAGGGTACGGCGTTCGCGACTGAGGCTGAACGGTGGCCGCCGGGGGATGGCGGGGAGCCAAAAACGTCCTCTTCGCCGGCGGCAGTGGCCTGGGGCATCACAGTCTTCTTGGGTGTGGTGGAGCGGCGTGCCACGGATCCGCCAAACACAGTGACGCTCGCGGTAGACGCCGACGTCGACGCGGGTAACTTTGGTGCGGGGCGAACAGGCATTGGCGGTGCAAGGCGGGACCTCTTTGGTGATTGCGGCGCGGGCTCTGGCGCCTTGGCTGGTGTGGTGAACAGGTAGCTCGTAATGGGGGCCGCGATACCCCACAGTCCCGAGGTCTCGGCAGCCGGCTTGTCCTCCTCAAAGGCCTCACGACGCAGCTTCTTGGCCAGCTTGGGGTCGATGGTCACGTCGTTGACGATGCTCTGCAGATCCAGGAGGTCAGAGAAGACGTCCTTGAGCAGCTTCAAGAGCAACGTCAGCTCTCGGCGCGACACCGTGTGCTGTTCTTGGAGGTTGCGGAAGCGGTGGCGCATGTCCGACACCTCAGACTGGAGCGTCGAAATGGTCGTGCGTGAGACATGCCCCACATCAGCTGGAAGGTTTTGCTTCTTGAGACGCCGGTTGAGAGTTGGGATATCGACACCGCGGAGCCTGACAAGGACCTTTGTGAGGAAATCGACGACCTCGCCAATGTTCGGCACTCCGCCACCGCTCGGGGCGGGCATCTCGTGCATGGAGGATGTCTCGGACGGGTCCGCACCGATGACGGGTGTACCGGGCGCGGACACGACGACCTCGCGGACTTCCTTCTTGGGCTGCTGCTTGAACGGAGACTCGGGCAGCTCGGGGATCGCGTCTGGTAGTTGAGGCGGGAAGGACATGCCCTGCTCGGCTGGGGCAAACAGGTCCGCTTTGGCATCGGCCTGCACGTCGGTCGAGCGGCTGAGGAGCAGTAACGTTCTCCTGCCGACACCGCGCTTCTGTGGTCCAATGGTAGAGTCTGCCGGGTAAGACGCCTGGGATGTGGGGAACTCGAACGGTGTGTCAGAGAGCGGGGTGTCATTGCTCCGTGGCGAGGTGTAGTTGGGAAGGAGAACCGACGCACGTTTACGCGAATTGCTTTCGGACGCGCTGACATTGTCATCCTGCTCGTCACTGACACTCGTGTTGGCGCTGGTGTCCACCACGGACGAGTCGTCCGCGGGCCCAAAGGCACGCATCGTGAGCGAACGGCGATGCGCAGTGCGTGACGCTCGCTTGTTCTTTGGCACCCCGTTGTGCACGTAAGGAATACCGCCGCCAGAGAATGAGCCGCGTTGAGCGCGCGCAGCGATACGCGCCTCGGGGCTGGCATTGTCGTCCATCAGGCCGCTCATGTCTCCAAAAAATCCAAGACCAGGGCCAGGCCCCAAGCCAGGGGACGTGACACTCACGCCCTCGGTAGTGGATGTGGACGTAAAGCTCGGTGCAAGCGATGAGTCGCGACGGTGGCCCCAGCCGCCTGTCCGTGGGACAGCTGCACTGGCAACACGCGCGTGAGTCGGGAGGCGGGGACTGCCAGACTGCGGGTGAGAACCCGTCGAGTGTGTGCGCATGTGGGACCGTGTGAGGAGCGGACGGAGCTCCATTGACAATGGCCGCGAGTTGGGCGCGCGCCGAGGTACAGACTTGAGCTCATCGACCTCTTCGCGGAGTGCGCGGTTTTCGGTCAGCGTCTCTGATAGAGTGCGTGCCAACTCTGATGTGTCGTGCTTTAACAGCGCGTTGGTGGCCACCAGGTCCTCGAGCGTGCGGAGATACTCTGGGGTGTCGCTAGGGTGTTCCGCTTGGAAAGTCTCAGAGAGCTAGTTGTGTCAGGTACAATCATTCTCAAACGCGCTGCTCACCTCCTCGTGCAGGGCACCGAGCCTCTCCTTGGCATTGCCAAGTAGGTCCTGAGCGTCTCGTGCGCGGGCCGCTTTAATATCCTCGACCTCGCGTCCGGCGGCCGTGAGCTTGGTTTCGAGGTCGGCTGTGGTCTGTCAGCACACGTCGGCGTCGGGGACACACCTATCCTATCTTCAGCCAAACTACGCCACTTGAGTTCGTCTCGCAGTTTGCGCGATTCGGCCTGATACAGCGTGCGCGCGTCTTCAAACCGCTGCTCGGTGTCGGCTAGGCGTGCCTCCAAGCTCGAGCCCGTGGCTGTTCCGGTGGCCAGAGCGATGCCCTGGGCGTTCGCAGCCGCACGCGATTTTGTCAACTCGCCGCGCACATGGGTGAGAGATTGCTGTGTGAGGGTGTGCGAGTGCAAAGACTGCGTGTAGCGCTGCCAAGGTCAGCACGGTCGCACATCCCATAGGTAGACAGACCACACTCACCTTTTCGAGGCTCTCATACGACCGACTGAGCTCAGCATACTTTGACAAGTGTGTGGTGTTGGCTCGCTCCAGGTTGGCGACGTGACGCAGGCTGTCTGACAGTGCTCTGCGCTTGAGCTCGAACTGGGGTTATTAATGAGTGCCCCTCGGTACCAGGAGACTCACCTGTTGTTCCGCCCGCTGGTACTTCTGTTCCAATGCTTCGTAGCGGTGGAGCAGCGCCTGGCCGATCTCTGGGGGGGAAGCATGTCAGCGGCGACCTTGTCGGCATCGCATGCACTCTGTATCTCACCTCCAGAGAGCTTGAGCTTTGAGTCGACGCGATCACGCGCCGCTAGTGTAGGACAGTCGGTGACCGCACCACAGCAACAACGTGCAGTCAGGTCGGGATCAGACTCGAGCAGTCGCGAATGATCGAGCGCGGTGAGCTGCTGTGCGAGGCCCTCGAGCGTCTCGGCAGTACGCAGCATGGCCACCGAGGCGGATGGCGAGTATGGTGTGGGGGATGGTGACCTGGCCAGTGTCGACTGGGAGGGCACGTTCGTCACACGAGCAGGGACTACAAGAGTGTGCTCCTGCCCGGCATCTCGGTCGCTCGATGCCGGAGATGAAGCGAGGGACGATGGTGCTGGACTGTCGTCGTCCATGGCCGGCATGGCGCACACGACTGTGTGTGCGCGCGGGAATGTGTGAAAGGCGTGTGTGGTGGTGAGAGGTGTAGGGGGGTAGACGTAGACGATGTATCGCTAAGAGTTGTTTGTGTGGACTGGAAAGAAAGGAATGTGGTTTGTATAGGGGGGCAACCCAGGAGACACTCTGACTTGGGCGGCAAAATACAGCACAGGGGGGGCCGGACGGCACAGCCAGGGTCACACAGCCGGGTGAGCGCCGTAAGTCTTGTTTACATGCGTTTACACCTTTCGGGCGGGGCGGCGGTTGGCGGCCGCAAGACTCTGGCCCAGTTGCCACTAGCTGCTAGCGAGTGACTAGATGGATGCGAGGTAGAGACGACAAGTATCGCCGTGGCCGCGTTGCACAAGGTGTATGTGTGTCGATGTGTCTGGCACACAATGCAGCCCGACACTCCCTCTGCAGGCCGCAACCCAAACAACAGCGACGACCCAGGGAGAGAGACGCGCCACTGGAATCATAAGGTACCACGACGACCCGGGGGGGGACTTGCGTTGCGCGCGCGTCGACTCTGCCGTCAGCGTCAACCTCTCTTTTTTTCCTGATCCATTTACAAACTCCCTTAAAGCCACTCGCGCACGAAAGAGGTCGCTTCAAAGAGACACCCCAGGTCTGGACAAGGGGCAGTGGACGGCCAGATGCCCAGATGACTGCCAGACGACCCCTCGTCGTCCCTCGTCCCCTTCAATGCCCGCTGTTGTGGAAACTGCGTCCCAACATCTACGTACTCGGCTCCGCACCGGTACCTTGTCCGTCCGACGGGTCTTGCACTTGGTCTCTCTCTCTCGCAGGATCGCAGTCCGACACAACCGAGAGAGGGCCCGACCGAAACGTCCGGAGATTGCGTTCGCCTTGGAAGACAATCGTCACCGGCCTTCTTAGTTCAGTGGCTAGAATTTTTCACTAGTAGTGTCCCCATGGAACTTGCTATGAAAGGGTCACCCGTTCAATTCGGGTAGAAGGCAGGCAGCTGCGCAAGCAGCTTGTTTTTTGGCTTTGGGGCATGTTACCTTGTCGTTGTAGCCAGTCAATTGATGTTGGTAGATAGGCCCCTGGTGGCTGTTGGCACGTTGTGGGCATGATAAGAACGCCGGGACGAGCTTGGGCGCCTGTCGGCGTCATGATCAAAGTCGAGGTCTGCATCCTCTTGACATTGATCAACCTGTCTTTGACACTTGTTGAGCTCGACGACGCGGGGGGACTATGACGCCGCCCACAGACACTTCTCCTGTTGGCAATGACCATTTGTATTGATTGGCTCAACCGCATCCCATCCATACCGCACGCGTACGACTAGACCGTCTAGTGGGAAGGTGTTGGGCCGCCACAGGTGGTTCGCCTCGTCTACTCCGCTCACGCGTCGTGACAGGTCTTGACCACTCGTTCTCAGTGTAAGCAAGTATGTTACAGGACGGTACAGCCATTATGAGCGCGTGTATGCGTGGTTGTGTGCGAGACAAGTAGAGCCAGGCGCAGGCCACGACAGCTACGTGCCGCACTTCGTATGTCAGTCCCGCAGACCCCAAATATGGGTCTCTAATGCGTGGCAGACATGTCTAATAAACTGCCATTAGAAACCCCCCCGACATTCCCCACTCTCATGACCTGAATCTTTGTGGCGCGTCTTTGCCTGTTGACCCTTGCTTCCAACCACCCTGGCAACCATGCATGGCCAAAGTCCCAGGACACTTCCTCTATCATTTCTCCCAATTAACAGTGGTGTTCGATGCATGCCAAAGACATGGTCGTGGCCCGGTAGAGCGGTGCAAAGGTCGTGAATGAGTAGAAAATCGACCCAAATCAAAAAAAAAATCCAAAAAAATGGAACCCAGACGACTGTTCGTCATCTGCGCTTCCAAGTCACATTGACTCTCGCTACCCTGATTCGAACAGGGGACCTACGGATTACTCTTCCTATCGGAAGGGAGGTAGAACATTACAGTCCGGCGCAATACCACTATGCTATAGCGAGGAAGATGTTCGTTGGCTGGAGCTGAAACGATGAGGCCGGCAAACATTATCGTGTAACTGTCCGTTCCTCTTCACGTCGACCAACGACCTCTGCTTGGGTTATCGCACTGGGCATGAGGTAGGACACTGTCAGGTGAGGTGAGCGTGAAAATGGACATTTTTGTTAAGACATATTTATTCACACCTCGGCGTCTATAAACAAATGGCAGCCAAACGCCCGACTACATGATACCTGTTGTGTAGATAAAGCTGATTGGCATATGTCGCTGTAATAATACGACGCTCTGTGTTGTTCCAGAGGGGAGAGATCCAGAGCCATTGTTCAGGAAACAAAAAAGGAAATAATCTTTTAAAAATATTGGAGGAAATGGTCTATTGCCAGAGAGCCGAGATGTTGCCGTCGTAAGTGACCACGACAGGCGGCGGAGCAGAACACTGTCACACCCCAAGTACTGTTTATCTCTCGAGCGACAGCAAGGGACGAACAATTTTCAGACCTGACAGTCGAGGGAAGTACATATGCCACGACGCTACAACAATGTCCTAGAGGCATCACAGTGCTCAGCACTGACAATACGTACGGACGAGAAAAGAAATGGCTCATGTAAGATCCAGACAGACGCCCACTACTCCACAAGGAGGGCCGAGGCGACGGCTACCGAACACAGTGCTTGGGTGTCGTTGTCAGGATCATGTGGTCACAAAATACATGTGAGTGGGAAAGGCCCAGCCACCCACGTCTCGCAGCTTTACCCCGGCCACGTACAGCGAGAGCCCGAGAAGAGAGAATACGTTGGGCGGCAGACAGACGCGATCAACAACAGCCACATAGCATCTGCGCCACACACACCGCCGTACGATTCCGGTAGGATCAACATCCCCTCCGATTCCAGAGGGCCAAGTACGACCTTGCACTCTCTCTGCTCTTTGCCGTTCTGACATGACCCATCGGTCAATCAGTGTGCACAGGAACCTGACCTCGGAGATCGGCTGTGCCGACGCGACGCGTCACTGGCGCAAGACGCTCGGCACGGTTCCAACCAAAGTGAACGATAATGGGTAGCAAGTGCGAAGTGGTTCCATGCTTTCTGAGGATGCTACAGTGGGGCTTGTGTGATGTACAGGCTTAGCCACAGCCTAGCCTTGAGGAATGGGGGTGCACTCCATGTGTGTCCGCGATGGCTCGGCGGGGAGGGCACAGAAGAAGCCTGGGTGTCGTGGAACGAGGACGTGAGGGGCAGCATGAAAGGAGTAGCGGAGAGAGGATACATGTCAGTACAGGAATTCCGGCATGGTCGCCTCTCGCCTCTCCGACTCACCGAGCGACTGCATGCTCTTGAACAGCTCTGTTCCCTGCGCCGCCATCTGTCGTTCGTCAGTCCAGTCCGTGTGGAGCTCAGGTCGGCCACACATGTGACAAAGCATGTGCGCTTGATACCTGACCTCACGCTGAGCTATCACGGATCCACCCACCTTGATACAGCTCATACCTCCATCAGGCCGCAACCTGCACAGCTCGGCAACATGGGCCTGAGGACCATCGGGGGTCGCGTGCGAGTCAAACGTGTACCTGCTGTGAGCGCGAGCCAGTGGATGTGTGGCATACCTGGCAGCTGGAGCTTCCTGTCCTGGTTAGCAGCTACTCTTCTGTTGTAGAGCTCGGATATAGAATGGACAAGACGGGCAACGCGATCAGAGGTCACGGAGGGACAGAGATGGAGAGCCTGAGCCTTAACGGCATCGTATGGCTCCATGGCGTCCAAGGGGAGTCATACAGCCGAGCTGCAGACGAGCCACACCGACAGTGGGCGCCACAGTCCCCTAAGCCTCTACACCTCTTCTGGTCCTATTGGTCGCGAACATGGTGACCAAACGGTGCCCAGTTCGCAACACTAGAACACCGCGATTCTCAACTCGCCGAGAACGCCTCGTTTTCCAAGTGACCGAGAGAGCGAGAGCTCACCTTGACAAAGTCGACGATACGCTTGTGTGTGTCAGCCGGAGCTGCGTTGCGGTCGGCGTCGGACATGGGTGCTGGGATATCGTTGGCGCCTTGCAGTCCCGGGGCTGACTTGGAGGAGAGAAAGCTCATCGTGTGTCTGAATGAGGTGGAGAGCAACCATGGCTGGCGCTGGACAAAGGGGGCACGAGAGGCGTAAAGCGGGGGTCGCCTGGTGACGATGTTTCACGTGGCCATTTGGTTCCGCCACAAGCTTCCAGCAAGTGCCGTTTGTGGGTAGAGGGGGGTTTCATAGCACCACTGCACTGCACCACTGCACTGCGGGGATCAGTGATCAGTGGGTCTCAGTGGATCAGTGGTGGCCAGCACGCAGTGGCGAGGGGCTAATTTCAAACGAAAGGCGGCTGCGTCGTGTGTGGGCGTTGCAACGAACGGTACCCAAAAGTGGTGTGTTACTTGTGGGAGAGGTTGGTCAGAAATGGTGACCTGTGCGCGCCTTTTCTGTGTCGCATTACCATTCGGGATCTGTGTGGCTGAGCATCCTCGCATGGATCTGTGGATCTGTGGGGCTCAGAATAGACGCCGATTTCGTCGTCGTCGTCGTTGCATCAGCAGCCGCAGCACCTGTCGCACCCAACTTCCGAGCACGCGACTGTCATGCATGGGTATGCTGACAGCACACTCACACTCCCGAACAACCCATATCCCTCGATCGATGCCTGGCGCGCCAACCAAAAAGATCCGTCGGAACCTCGCCCGGGTCACAGGGTGTGTTACCCCGTTGCGCTGAGCGAAGCGTGGGAGACACGGTCCCAAAGAGGGAATAACTGACCGTGGCGGGTGACGTCAAGCCCTCAAGCTCCCCCTTTGAGTGTGTAATCTAGCCCACGCTGAAAGAGAAATGAGGACAACCCGCCCACTCACCCCCCAGTCAACGAGAGAGAGAGAGCATGCCAGCCATTCCAGTCCAAAATGGTGTGTGCAGGGTATAGGGGGGTTGGGGGGATCTCGCACCCACACACTATAAATGGAAGACGGCAGAGGTAGCAACGTCTTCCCACTCCCTCATCATCCGTTTTCTCCTCGCCCATCCGCAGCCCCTAGAGCCTCTTTAGGTGAGAGCCTCCTCCCCTCGCCCCCATCCTCTCAAAGCTCACACACTCTTCAGACCCACCACCTCCACCTCGTCAATACCTCTTAAAATGTAAGCACAGCCTGCTTGGACTCATGGCTGGATGACGTCCTCTGCCCCCACCCCCACCCCCAGCAGTCTTGCGTCAAACGTGCTTGATCCTGTTCCCCTGACCTTGCCCCCCATCCGCTTCACTGAGCTCTACTAACCACCCTACAGGTCCAAGCCCGTGATTGGTGTGATCTTCTACTCGACCTACGGCCACGTCTCGGCTCTCGCCGAGCAGGTCATCGCCGGTGTCGAGGCCGCTGGCGCCATCGCCAAGCCCTTCCAGATCGCCGAGACCCTCACTGAGGAGATCCTCGCCAAGATGCACGCCGGTGCCTCGCTCAAGCCCAAGTACCCCCTCATCACCCCGGCTGCTCTCGCCGAGCTTGACGGCTTCCTCCTGGGCTCGCCTACCCGTTATGGCCGCCTCCCCGCCCAGGTCTCGGCCTTCTTTGACCAGACCGGCGGCCTCTGGGCTTCCGGTGGCCTCGTCGGCAAGTTTGCCTCGACCTTCACCTCGACTGCCTCGCAGCACGGCGGCCAGGAGACCACCCACCTCACCACCATCCCCTTCTTTGCCCACCACGGCATCATCTACGTCCCCATCGGCTACACCCAGGCCTACCTCACCGACCTCGAGACCATCCACGGTGGCTCGGCCTACGGCGCCTCGACCGTCGCTGCCGCCGACGGCTCGCGCCAGCCCCAGGCCGGCGAGCTTGCTCTTGCCAAGTACCAGGGCGAGGTGAGTTCTGCACCCGACTTCCGTTGTCCATGAACTGACATTCTCCACAGTACTTCGCCAAGGTCGTTGCCCAGTCCGTCCGTGGCCGTCAGTAAGTGTCGTGCCTCCGCGCGCGACCCTCTAGTTTTCCCTCGTGTCTTCCTTCTCCGTCTCGCTTCTTGGGCCGGGGTTTTCTATGAGCACAATGGCACTGCCGAGGGGGACGAGGGGCATTTTGTATATGCATGATCAGTAAATGTGCCCTCTCGGCAGTGCAAGCGACAAAGCCAGGAGAGTAAGGGTGTGGAGCCGTGTCGTCAGGTATCGCTTCGTCGTCGCGTGGCAGGTCCTTCCCGTCCATGCGTCTGGCTGCGTCCACGCGTCCACGTTCTTGCCTCGTAGTCAGTCAAGACTCGGTCCATGTTCTAGACCTCGAGGACTGAGGTGGACAACGATCCGCAGCTTGCGACGACTGTTCTTCTCTCTTCCAATTTCCATCCCTCCTCACCTTCCTCGTTCCAAGCATGTTACTAACGCTCCCCACAGGCTGATCGCTGAAGACGCCGCCGGCACCACTGCAGCCGTCGCCGGCACCGCCGCCGCGGGAACTGCTGCCGCTGCTGCCGGCACCACTGCCGCCGCACGCAACGCGCCCGAGCCCGCCGTCTCGGGCGAGAAGGAGGGCTACAAGGTCGACCCGTCGCCCGGCCAGGCCGCCGACGCCGTGGGAGGTGCTGCTGCCCCCACTGACGCCCAGCCCGCCACGACCACGACCACGACCCCGGCCACCGCCACCGTGGCCGGCGCAGACAAGGCTGCCGCTGCGCACCCCACCGCCCCGCCCGCGCAGGCCAAGAAGGGCGGCCTGTTCTCGTGCTGCTCCGGCAACAACATCGACTAAAAAACGGCACTGCCACCACACAAAGTGTGGGCGTGTGTGTTTTTCTTTTTGGCCTGATGATAGTTGTTGGCGGTCTGCAGCTAGGAACTGGGTATTCGTTAATACGCTTATAGTACTAGTGGGCTGAGAGTATGTCGTTTTCAGAGATGAATGGACATTGTCCCGAAAAATAGAGAAATAAATATCAACCCCCGCGCCGCTGCCGCCAGCACGCAGCATTCGTTATCGTTATCTCTCTATCGCTATCGGTCCAGGTACGCACCTGCCTTCCACTGAAGCTTTGGAACATCGTCCTGGTGTTCGGAGAAGGCCAGGAGCTGGGACGGGTGACGTCAGGCAGGGTTGTACCTTCTGCAAAATCTTGTATGACCGAAGAGGGAAGAACGGCGGCTCAGGCAGGGAGGGTTACGAGTACGCAGCCGAGTTGGGTTATCGGTGGAGTGGAGCCACAGGTCAATGACGCTGCGTCAGCTTCAGCTCAGTTGCGTGTCAGTGTCAATGGTACAGTTTAATCCGATGTCGTCAGTTGTCCTTGTGCTTCGTGTCACGCATTCCAGTGTCAGCATGCGATGCTAGCGTACGCCCACTGACAACTCATTACAGCCATCTATCGTCTAACACCTTCTACAACCGCACGTCAAAGATCCTCACGGCACGGTCCTCACCTGCCGAGGCAAGGAGATACTCCTTGCCCTCGTTGACGCGCCACGCGAGGCGGTTGACAGCTGAGGCATGTCCTTGGTCCTTGGGCACGGACACCAGCGGTGCGCCTTCACCCTGCGTGACGGTGAACACCTCGATGGCTCCGCTCTCGGTTCCCACCGCCAGCAGGTTGGCCGAGGGCGAGGGAGTGATGGCCAGGGCAGTAGCCGCGTCCGCGAGCTTGAGGGTAGAGGTACAGCTCCAGGCTCCCGCGTCGTTGACGGACCACAGCTTGACAGTCTTGTCACGCGACGCGGTCGCAAAGGACGAGGTGCTGACCCAAGCGCAGTCGAGGACCATACGCGCATGCGCCTTGTCCTCGCCCGCCACAGCCGTGAAGACGTCGCCGTCACCGCGGGCAAACAGGCGCCATCCACGGTCGCGGCTGACAGTGAGAAGTAGCTTGTCGTCGGGGGAGAAGGCGATGCGGGTGACGGTGAGCGAGTGGCCGGCGAGCGGCTCGCCAAGGAGTCCCCAAGTGGAAGTGGAGACGACACGGACGGTGGCGTGCTCTGCCGATGACGCGCGCGAGGCTGTAGCAATAAGGTCACCAGCATTCGACGTCGCAAGAACGGCAAGCTGTGCGGGTTAGAAACACAAAAGAGGCTCAGGAACCCACCTCGTAGCCGTGACCATAGATCTTTTCAATCTCAGGCCAGAGTGTTGACGTGTTGAGCTCCTCCTCCGTAGGCAGCGTAGTGAGCGCAGTAGACACCGAGTCGCGCGACTCGTTCTGGGTCTTGATCTCGGGCTCGGTCATGTCCTTGCCGAGCGCGCGGTTCGAGAGACCAAGTGGTGGAACGGTCGCGCCAATGGGCAGCTTTGCCTGAGGGTTCGTTAGCCATCGACTAGCAAGGGGAAACCCACCTCTTCCTCTGAGACCACGTCGCGCACTCCCAGGCCACGGAGCGACCCCGCAAAGCCAGCAGTACCCTCAAACACGCGGAACACCTTCTCCTCACCACAGCTCGCGAAGCGGAACGGAGAGAGGAAGGCGCCGTCGACCATGTCATAGCCGTGAATCTGGGGACGGGCAATCTCGGACCACACGGGCTTCTCGCTCGTCGAAGCAGTGGGCTCGCACGCAGCGTGGATACGCGATGTCTGGTCGGAGCTGGTGGTGAGGAGGTAGTCTCCCCTCGGGTCCCACGCGACCGAGCGGACCGAGCCATAGTGCCCAGTCACGCCGGGGGCAGCGTCCCAACCGGCTCCAGTGGCAGAGCGAACCCAGCGTTCCACGCCTCCAGTCCAGCCAGTGGCGACTACGCTGTCGCCCCCTGGACCCCATACTGCGCCGAAGAACGCCAGTCCGCGTCCGCCAAATGCGCCGAAACGGTGTTCGGGCACCCAGATACCGTCCCTCGACTCGGAGCCGCTCGCACCCTCCGTAGGCGACCAGATGATGAGCGAGTTGTCTGCTGCGGACGAGAGGAGGACAGGAGAGGGGGATGGTGACCAGTGGACATTGGTGAGACCGGCCTCGTGACCGATAAGCAGGGCCTCGAGAGTGATGTTGTAGTTGTGGCCCTCAACACCGAGGACGTGCGATTTGGTCGAGATCTGGCCCAGGGCAGCGCCGGCGCTACCGCCCAGTCGGCTCTCAAACTCGTCCAGCAGGTCGAGCTTGCGCTCAGTGACAAGGGGAGCGATGCGCCAGAGACGGATGTAGTTGTCCTGGGCACCGGTTGCGAGGAGGAGGTCGGTGCCAGTGCCGTCGGCCGAAAGGTATGGCGTGAGGGAGACGCAGCGCACCCAGTCCTCGTGTCCCTCGAGCGAGAGCATGTGCTTGAACTGGGGTTGTTAGTGGGTCACTACGTTCCACATGTTGTCTGTACCCACCATGTCATCCTTGAGCGTCCACACCTGCACCTTCCTGTCCGTGCAGCCCACAATGAGGACTGGCGCGGTTGACCCAGGCAGGAGTGCGACGTCGAGGTCGAGCGGCAAACGACCCTTGATGTCAAGAACCTGCACTTGTTCCACCTTGCCCTCTTGTCCAACACGCCAACGCTTCACGCTCCCGTCCGAGCCGCCCGACAAGATCTCGACAGCCGTGCCAGACGTAGGGATGATGCCGATGGCCGACACGGACGCGCCAGAGTGCGCGATAAAGCTGTGTGTGCAGTTGAACTGTGTGGTGAGTATGCTGAGCAGTACATAACTTCCACAACGTACCTGGTTGTTCTCGCCTTCCGCCCAGACACGAACCTCGCCCACGCCGTCACCCGACACAAAGGTCGCGCGGGCGTCGGACTCGCCGGCGCACTTGACGGTCGTGACCTGTCCCTTGTGGCCTAGAAGAGTGGAGTAGACTCCGCGATTGGTGTCATTCTGGAATACGCAGGTCATGCGTCGTATGGCAGAGCAACAGTAGAGTTGTGAGAACAAGGCAGGAGGGTTGAGGTCAGCTGAAGGCCACAAACCGGCGACCTCGACTCGCTACTCACCGTGTTCCAAAGGGCAACCGTGGTACCTGCGGCATAGGCAAGGATACCGCTGCTGCTGCTCGCCGCTCCCGACGAGGAGCGATTCGCGCCGATAGAGATGTAGCGGGTCGACGCAGTCGACATGACGGGGTTGGTAGGTGGATGGATGTTTTGAAGGTGAGGTTGCTCGACATTGAAATGTTACCGCGAAATGTGGAAGTCGTGCCTGGGCGGCGAAAGTTGGGTGGTGGAGGTCATCCACTCGGCACTTCGACCACTTCATCAGCTGAACACCACTGCTGGGGAGCTTCGGCTGCTACAGCGAGTGGGCGTCGACTGCGTTCGCAGAATGCCATTAATGTACCATACTATGCGATATACAAATATTAAGGTAATATGAGTTTTAGAAGATACAGTGTCCTCACACCAGCACCCAGCCTGCCACCACCGCAGCCACGATCAACATGCCCACGGGTCCTGTTCCCCCAGCTGCTCCGCTCACTTGATCAGTCGATCCCGCCGGCCAGCCGACAATTACACTTGGGTCTGTGGTCTGCGACAAGGAGAGGGATGCAACGGGAACAGCTGCCTGCTGGTAGGCCGTGGCGTTGGCGAGGCCGACATCCTGGATCACTCCAGCGGACAAGACTGGCGTGGCGAAGAGGTAGGTCGGGGTCGCAAAGTCGGGTCCGGCGAGCAGGAGGTTAGGAAGGGTGGTCTGGATGGTAGCTGTGAGAGAGGCAGGGGTGATGGCTGTGGGTGTGGGGTTCGAGGCATTCCCGTTTGTGGCCATAGCCGCAGACACTGACGAGGTTGCGTTGCCGTTCTCAAGATTCTGGCTCTGAGTTGCGTTGGTGGGTAAGGGGAGGAAGCCGACGGACGGGGCGAGCACACCGTTGATACCATAACTGAAGATGCTGTAGATGTTGCGGAGGAAGGGCGTACCTAGTGTCCAGTCGATGCCGTCGCCCTGATCTGGCGAAGCCACAGGCCAGGCAAGACACATGGACGAGCCGGCCACTGCGGCATACATCCAATCACTCGGCTGGAGCACGACGTATCGGCCACCAAAGGAGAATGACAAGGTAGCACGAGTGGCGCACGGCACAGCCCACTGGCCGGTGTTGACTTGGCGAGCAAGAGGGATGAGCTTGAACAGCGCCTCAACGTCCTGCTGTGGTCCGTAGATGCCATTGTTGCCAATATCCAAAAGGGCAATGGAAGGCACGCCGACCGAAGCGTACGTCGAGTTGAGGCCGAGATCTGTACCGTTGACAGAAACATGCGACAACTCGAGCGCCCAGTAGAGATACTCTTCCTTTTCCAGGTCGGCAGTTGCCGTGGGGTCCGACCCAGCGGCAGAAAGGGTAGGGGTTGCGACAACCGCTTTCTCGGGCGATGGCTCAGTTGCCGTTGCGTCAATCTCAGTCGCGGCTGTGTCTGTAGCCTCGGTGTCGTTGCTTGAGGAGGAGCCAGTTGCAGAGGCGGCTATGGAGGCAGTATCGTTCAGAGCCGAGAAAGGGACAACGGCGTGCCACTCAATGTCGTTGACTGTCCGACCACTGTCAGGGTCATCGCTCACGTACTGGGCGGAAACTCCTCCAAGGGTCAAAGATCCATGGTGAAGGTTGTACCGTGGCGAGTCGACGACGAGTTCCTGACCAATGCCGCTAGCTGGCGGAGAAAGGGCAATGGCGAAGACGGGGTAAGGAATCTTGGGAGTGCGCACCAGGGATTCGAGGAGAGGTGGGAGATACGCTGACGGCTGAGTGGCGCTCGGTGTCACGACAGCCGCTGTCGTTGCGGTACCGTTGATGGCTACAGTAGCCGTGTTTTCGGCATCCGCCTCGGCGTCAGTCAAGGTAGATGTGGGAGCCGCAGTGTCGTTCCCTCCAGCATCCAGTGCGGTCGTCACGGCGCCAACGGCTAAGATCTGTTGGAAGGTGTCGTTGGTCTCGGCGTTGAGGAGGGCGCGCACGATCACAGACAAGCGAGGGAATCCCAGACCAATAATTCCTGAAGCCTTCTGCTCCGCGAGAGTGAGATTTGTAGCGTTGATGAGGCCAAACGACTGGTCATCGACAGTCACGTTGGCGATTCCGACACGTTCGCGAGCGATCAAGCCGCTGGCCGTCGTTCCATCACCAAATGATGAAGCGAACAGCGTGGTATTGTCATTGACACTGGAGAATGATGAAGAGTATAACTGGGGATCGTAGTAAGGGTTATCCGTGGTCGAGGCTGGGCAGCTCTTGTCGCACGTCTTGGAGGCAACCAGGAGGTCTGCGCTTGACGTGTCTAACTGCAGTGGGTAAGCAACGGCGCCAAGGGCAACAGGAATGATGAATGTACTGCAGCATCAGCATACACCCTATAGTCCATGCTCACCTGCTTTCTTCTGCGAATGCAATGATGGAGCCGTTGTCGCTATCCCGCTTGCGATTGGCACGCAGAGTCTGGTGGTGAATCGCCAGCTCTACGCCGCCCACACTGATGTCTGGAGCTTGCGGTCGATTCGGAGTTGACCGCTTGACTGTCCAGGGAGAGCTAGCAGTTCTCCTCAAACAATCGTGTTCGGCGAGGACCAGCAGTGGGGCGAGGAGGAGGAAGAGTAGAAGCATGCCGGTGTAGGATGACGGGGAGGGGAGGAGGAAGTCCACGGGGCAACCAGTGCTGGCCGTGCACGAGGCCGGTGGAGCGGATGTGTGGTTGGGCCTGGTACGAGAGAACCAGGGCCGCTGTGATTATTATTCCAATGCTAGTGAGAACGCAGGCCGAGAAGAGAATGGAGTAAGAAAGAGAGTGTGAGAGCAATGGGCGACAATGACGAACGATGAAGAGTGAGAATTCAGGAACACAACTATCCCAAAGTGGCCATCGACCAACCAGCCGACCAGCCACGGCAATGAGCGACGTCGTCGACGCCAGGCAACATGTTGTGACGAGCCTCAACATTCTCATTTCTATCACACTACTGTATGCAGACAAGCAAGGAACTATCCCCAGTCCTTCCCTTCCATCTTTACTGCTGCCCCCAGGGCCAGCGCTGAGGCAGTGCTAGCCCAACCCTCGGCCAACCGTCCACCGCTGATGCTGCAGCGGCCTACGGAAACATCCCTACATCTGCGGCCAAGGAGGTTTAATCGTCACATCAAGTACCGTGGGCTCTTGATTTCCGTCCCGCTTGTGGGTGTGCTGGTCTAGAACTCGTCATCGTTGCCGCCAGAGCCGAACCATCCAGAGTAAACCAGGATGGTGCCGTACACGAGCACGCCGCCGGAAATCGACATCCAGCAGGCGCCAGACTCGATCACCTGCGAGTGGGCAAGGACGAGAGGGAAGGCAAAGCCGGCAGCCTGAGCCGTTAGTTTGCTCCTGTCATTGACCACAGTCCGAGATGGGGACGTTGGGTTGCCCACCAGCCATTGCCGACTTGGGGCCAATCCGTCGACATCGACTTACGACAAGGCTGCCAGTGAGGAAGCGGCCAAAATCAACATAGGCCGAGTTGTACTCCGGGGAAATATCGTCGGCTCGGGCACAGCGTGAGCAGATCGAGTTGGGCAGAGGTGCGAGTACGAAGGTGAAGGCTGCGGCGTTAGTATGCCGGACGGGAGGAGGTGGGCAGGCGCGCCAGAGTATTCTCATGCCAGCAGCAGCTGTGACAAAGGAACAAGGCCAACATGCACAGTGACCAGGCAGAATGGCCAATGACCAATCGCTGTACTGCCACATTGCTTGACGTAGCCCGCATCTATTCCATACGTACCGACGAGGAGGGGCAGCCAGTTGTGGTACAGCGCGCACGAGAGGATGACCAGCAGGAAGCCCAGCGCAAGCACAAAGGCGAGGAAAATGACAGCTAGGTGGAGGTCGCATGAAGGCAAGGCGAAGAAGTCAAAGTGCAATTGATATGACGAGCACGGCACAACGAGGATGTGATGGGAGGGACACAGGTCAGCGACGATGGCGAGTGTTCAGCGGGATGGCCTAGAGGCAGGTCGCAGCCTTCCTCCAGGCCAAAATATGAGTACTTACTCTTTAATCCCACTCCCATTGTGCTAACAGGCAGTTATTTGTTGCCAGGTGGGTGGGTAGATAGAGAGAAGGTGGTTAGAGCGGATAGAGCAACAGACCCCTTGGACGAGACGATGTCGTCAGTGGACAGTGCAAGGGTGGGATGGATGACCCTGACACACAAGTCTCGAGCCTGACAATCCCAATTAGAAATGATGGCTCCAAGACCTAATCAATTGCGTCCTCAATTCAAATTGCCGTCTTCTCGTTACGTAACACTTCTTTTGCCGCTGATCGCATGCAGACATCTCCATCGTCCGCGACCTGCACTTGGGCCTGATCGCACCTTCCATTGTCTCTACAACAACATCATGGCGGGCCAAAAGGCCGCACACTCGGAGTCGCACACGCACGACGCCGACGTGGGCAGGGTCTCCTCCGCAATCTCAAGCTGGGAAGGCGGTGGGCGCAATGATCTGTGAGTTGCGCTCAACTCTGTTGATGTCCTCGTTCGCTGACCACCTTCCGTAGACTCAAGATCATCGGTGCGCAGGCCGCAGCGGCGGCCGCTGAGCCGGCAGCAGGTCTGGCGTTGATAAACACGCTGTACTCTGTTCTCGCATCGGAGCAGCCAGCGCCAACTGTTGTCGAGCTCGTCAAGGATGCGGTAGCGGCAAGTCCTGATCATGTTGATGCGATCGCCATCGCGTTCCTCGACACGGTGGAGGAGTTTTGCCACGCCGAGCGCGACGTCAAGGACACTGTCAAGACTCGTGACCCGGAGCTCGAGACAAAGGCGCTCAATGTCGTCAACAGCCTGGTGGTGCGTCACCACATATCGAAGGGATCTAACGGAAGACGTCCAAAGCAGTCTCGCAGCACTTTATCAACCTCCTTCTTTCACCCGAAAACCTCCTCAGCACTGGGTTGCATCCCACTCCTCGTAACCCTGATCAGCTCAGGAGTTCAATGGCCAAGCTCAACACCAGCACATACTTCAAGCAGCGGAATAGCAACCTTCTGCGCGAGGCGAGCGAAGGCTTCTCCCATCTCATCATTCTCCTGACCGGTCCCAACGTGTTCGTTTCCACTCCTGAGAGTGACGAGCAGAGGCTGGCACGCGCAAAATCAGTATGGAATGATATCGAAAACGTCATCGGGACGTACAACCTCGCTCCTATCCGTGTTCTCGATCTCATCATCGAGGTCGCGTCCTGCCATGTCGCCTACCATTGGCGTTTCTTCATGGACCTTCTTCGCGTCTCCTACTGGGGCCGGTATTGCACTGGCCCTTCCAACAGGGTTCCCAAGACGGTCCAGGATGAGGGCGAGTCCACTGCTCACAGTCTTGTCCTCGCAGACACCGACAACAGCACCATCGCCAAGGCCCTTGGTTTCTGGTTCACGTTTTACCAGAACCCGGACAACGGCGAGACTCCCATTGGCCTGCTGTACTTTGCTGCCCTCCTCGTCAAGGATGGTTTCGTCAAGCCTGCATTCCTTCTTCCTAACCTCAGCCCCGATGACGACGGTATGGCCGAGATTGAGGCGCGTTACAAGTCGGCAATGAGCTCGCGCTCTGGGCCCAACAACGCACTCATGAACACGGTCCTCGTTGACGACGAAGCACCCACTTCCTCGAGCGACTCGCCGGCTTTTGTGGAAGAAAAGCCCAAGGCCAAGGCCGAGCAGAAAATCCAGCTCTTGCAAGCGCTCATGTCTATTGGCGAGGTCGAGTTCTCCCTACAGCTTCTCGCAAGGTATCCATGGGTTGCCATGTCGCACCCCTCCATCGGTCAGCTTATTATCCGCAACATCGACTATTCTCTCGACCCCGTCTACCGCCGTGTGACAAACCAGCCCAGCTATGGCACAGTGCCACTGCCGGCCGCTCGCGATGTCGTCCCCACACTCGTGTCTCCTCCTCCGCCATCGACCATTGTCAAGACGTTTGAGTTCTTCTACCCCAACTGGTTCGACCACCTGGATCATTGGGAGACGATCGATGATCTGCACACCAAGGGCGACCACTGGCTGCGACTCCTTGGCGGCCTCGGCGGTCGTGGCATCGAAACAATGACCAAGCTTTGTCGTATTATGAAGGTCCACTTTGAGGGACTGCGGAACGCCAAACTCGTCGCCTTTGGTATCGAGCCTGGAACCTCCTTGACGCGTGCGCAGGCCATGCAGATCCGTGCCACCGAGGGCGAGATTTCTCCATGGGCTGGTCTTATCCGTGGCGTTCTCCTCCCTGCTCTTTCACTTTCGGACGACGCTACCGCCGCTTTCGACCACGAGCTGGAGCTGGTGTTTGACGAGTTCCCGTGGGAGACTCTGGCATGCCTCTTTGGCGAGTGGCGCGATCTCACGGGCAACACCAAGGCTCGCGGCCACCTGCCACCGGCAGCCAACGCCACCACCAAGGCGACACGCGACATCAAGCAGGCGCTTTCTCGTGTGACGGCAGCTCAATCGAACCCCGGCGTGCCAACGCCTTCCTCGCAGGCTTCGGAGCGTGTCCCCGCTCGTGCGCTTGCCAAGCAAGGACGTGCCAACCCGACTGCTTTCTGGACCGTGTCCAACTCGCAAGTCATGGCGTATGGCAGTGTCGGCAACATTGGCGAGCACATCATCGAGGTCGGGCGTTACACCAACCGCCTCTCAAAGGATGTAGCAGTGTTCACCTGGGTAGACCAGCTTGCCAACTCGAGCACAAACCAACGCTCTATCGAAAGTGAGTGTTTCTACTTACTGACCCCTGAAGCTGACAATAACAGACCTGTCTGTGTTCGTCGGTCTCATCAATCGCCGCTTCGTCTTCAGTCTCGACCCCTTACTGCAATTCATCGTCAGCGGCCTCAAGAGCGGCAACTCGTCGACTTTGACCGTTATCGAGAAGCTCATGAGCGGCATGTCTGGCGAGGACATTGTTGGCAACTTTGCGATTTCAGTCGAGCAGCTTGGCGCTTACTCTGCCGGCCCCGAGATGGCCCGTGAGGCCTTCTACTCGAGTGAGATTACTCGCGGAGACCGCAGGCCTCGCCGCTCCATCGAGTTGCTCAACCAGGTCAAGAAGAGTCTGCCTCGTTTTATCCAGGCTCTGCGCTACACCGAGCTCGCCGTTCCTATTCTAATCGGCCTCGCCCAAATGTCTACCAACACCCTTTCGTACGACATTAGCATTTCCGTCAAGGAGATGAGCGACAAGCGCGACTTTGCACGTGATGTCTTTAGCCAGTACTCCAACATGCTTGCTGAGCACCTCCCTCTGGAAGAACGGCTCGATCTGCCCAGCCTCTCGGCGTTGCAGCACGAGTATGGCATCGAATCTCAGCTTGCATGGACTGTCCTGCGTCCCAAGCTCGATGCGCTTCAACAGTCGACCCCTGCAGGGGAGGGCATGGATGTTGACGACGAGAGCAAGTGGTGGCCGGACGCCCTCACAAGGACTATTGAGGAGTTGGACGAGGACGACGCGCTGCTGGATAAGAAAGTCAAGCGTGTTCTGGGCAGGTGAGTTACATGCTGTTCCAATCAGCGGCTGACTTGCAGTGCATTCTATGTTCGGTTCAACAGCCTGCAGGCCTCTGACATTTCGGTCTCGTCGGATATGTACGACAAGGCGATTGGCAAGATCAACAAGCTGGTCGGCGAACTCGCGGGCTCCAAGGTGCAGAGCTCTGAAATCCGCTTTGAAATGTCTCGTCTGCGCGCGCGTATCAAGCAGCTGCAGGTTGAGAAGGAGAAGCAGGAGGCTCACGTCAAGAGTGTCCTTGAGCAGCTCAAGCGCGAGAGTGTACACTGGTTCAGCGGTGCTTCCCAAAGCTCGCCCCAGGTCCTCGCTGCTCAGCTGCACGATCACTGCTTCTACCCTCGTGCCATCCAGTCACCTGCGGATGCCGTCTTCGTGGCCAAGTTTATCCGCTTGGCGCACGACTTTGGCACCCCTGGGTTCTCTACAGCTCTGACCTACAACACCGTGAGCTGAATGTATCATATTTGAGCTGACGTTCTAGTTCTTCTTGCGCGAGACTCTTGCCGACAAGATCTTCGAGTGCACCGAAGCCGAGGCGCGCAACCTTGGTCGTGCCCTGTACTTTATCATGGGCTGCCTCGACTCTTGGTACCTGCACGAGGACAAATACTACAAGGAAGCCCTCGGCAGTCCTGTCCCTGCGGCTCCCGAGGCCGACGCAAAGAAGACTGTCCCAGAGCACTTGCTTACGGGTATGCACTACCGCTCATCGACCACTGTTCCAAACGCGGCTCACACCTGGGAGGACTTCAAGAACTTCTACGCCAAGTTCCACGACAACCTCACCACGTCTCTGGTCAAGTGCTGGAACCCATCGAGCTCGAGCTACAGCCCCAAGAATGCTGTCGTCATTGCCCTCCAGCTCTTGCCGTTCTACCCTGTTATGAAGAACAACGCCGAAGCCATCCAAAAGGCAGTTACGACTCTGCGTGACACAAAGGACGGTACCATTACCCCCGACATTGTACCCGCCTTCAACTCGTACCTCTCGCAGCTGAGCAAGCGCAACAAGACAGAGAGGCCCTTTGTTCCTGCCGCCGAGTTCCACCCCAGTGCTGCTATTCGTGCTGCCAACGCGGCGAAGGCTAAAGCAAAGGCAAAGGCCGAGGCCGAGGCGCAAGCCAAGGCTGCTGCCGAGGCAGCTGGTGATGACACCAAGATGGAGTCACCAACTGCCGAGCCTGCCACTGCCGAGCTCGACTCTGTTGCTGCGCCAGCCGAGAACGCCGATGCTGTCCCCGCTCCGTCTGCCGCCAACTTGGACAATGCCAGGGCCCTCCGTGCCAAACTCGAGCAGGGCCGTAACAGCCGTGCTGCTACTCGCGAGGTCAAGACGGCACCCGTCTCTCCCTCCCCAGCACACCCTCTTCCGGCCAACCCGACTCTACCCTCACGCAATGTGCACCCAGACCGTGCGGGTGGTCTTCCCATGGGTCCGCCTGCCGAGCTGTCTGTCGATGAAGCTCGCGCTGCCGCCCGTGCGAAGAAGTTTGGTCTCATCGCAAATGCCACTGCTCCTCCCACCGGCCCAGCAGCACGCGACGACTCGCCGCGCTCGACACCCCGCCACTCACCACCGCCAAGCAACCGTACTGCTCGCAGCGGCACCGACGACTCGCGCGTCAGCGACCGTTCTCGCCGCCACGACGGCCGGGACGAACGTGACCGCCGCGGAGAGCCTCGTGAGGGAGAAAGGAGGGATGAGCGACGCGGAGACTCGCGCAACGACCGCCGCGAGCACGATCGCCGAGGAGACGACAGGCGAGCTGCCGACCCGCGTGATGCTCCCCGTCAAGACGACAGGAGAACTGCCGACGCCCGTGACGCCCCCCGGCACAGAGATGACCGTCGCCAGGCCGATTCGCGTGACGAGCCTGTCCGTGACGACAGGAGGCGGGGAGACGACCGTCGCGATGGCCGCGAAACTCCTCGCGACGCACCTTCGACACGTGGTGGTCGCGAGGACCGACGTGATGGCCGTGGATCGAGAGACGGAAGGGAGAGCAGGGATGAGAGGCGCGACACCGCCCAATCTCGTCCGGAGGAACGCAGAGACGGCCGCGAGCGCCGCGACGGCCGAGGGGAGCCCCGTGATGCTCGTGACCGTAGGGAAGGTGTGCCGCCCACGGGACCCGCACGCGACCGCGCTCCACCCGTGGACGACAAGGAGAAGCGCCCCGAGCGACCCGATTCTCGTGCAGAGTCGAGGGGAGACCGTGAACGCCCGGTCGACGACCGTGACAGACGCGGAGGAGACCGTCGCGAGCCTGCGCCGCGTGCCAACGACACTCCAGCATCCTCGACTCGTGACCGCCCCGCATCGACCGACGAACGCGACGACAAGAAGCGCGAGCGTGACGCTCCCCGTGAACGTGAAGACGACAGGCGCGTGCGCTCTCGACGTGACGAGCCCCGCCGCGATGGCCGGGACCGTGAGAAGGACGAGCGTGCGCGTGGTGCAGACACTCCGGCTTCGAGAGGCAGCGACACTCCTGCCGGTGGCCGTGGAGGGGCTGCCACACCGTCGCGTGAGCGCAACGACCGTGGACACGGTCGCGACGCCGAACGCGACACCCGCGACACCCGCGATGGACGTGACTCCCGCCCCGACTCTGCCGCAGCGACGCCGACTGAGGCTACCTTTGCAGGCCAGGCCGGGCGCGTTGGTCGTCGCGAAACCCTGCGCATTGCCAGCAACCCCGAGCCCCGTGTCGGCAGCCCATCCAGCACACCCCGTTCCGGCACCCCTCGTGAACGCGAGCGCGACCGTGAGCGCGATAGCAACCGCGGTGGCCGCGAGCTGCTCCGCCCCGTAGCCTCGGCGCCGTCCCTCGCTGCCCGCATGGGCCTCGCCCCCTCGGCAGCCTCGAGCCCGACCGACGATGGAGGACGGAAGCGCGGACATGATGGTAAGTCGAGAGAGCTGGATTGCTCGCGTGTACTGTAGCTGACAAGAATAACAGAAGTGTCCAGCTCGCGTGAGGACTCGCCTGGCGCCGGCAAGCGTCGTCGCGGTGAACGACGGGGTGGTGGTGGCAGTGGTCGCATGCTAGCTGGCGCGATGCGCGCAGCGGCCAGTGAAAAGTAGAGAGAGAAGCAGAAGGAGTAGGGGACGACCAGAGAGAGAGAGAGAGCATCTAGTAGTAGCGTTTACACATGCAGCCTGTGCATCAATGGAATCTTGTACAGGAGACGCGCGAGACGCGGTGGGTGGCCGCGTGGAAACGACAATCCCGGAATCAAGATCGGCATCCCGGGCACACACAAGGTCGGCATCACACCACATCACTTCGACACGAAATGGACGAGAGCAACACAACATGCAACGCAGCGAGCAACGGTTGATGCGAAAAGTGCATACACGGCAAAGGATAAATACAGGGGGATAACTACTACTACGCTGGGCTTTCCACTGTGGAAAGAAATCTGATGAAATGTCAGCGCCGATCTCCGAAGAACGGGATAGAAAGGAGATGGGAAGACGAGTTGAGAGAAGCCCTCATAAGGCCGTTCTTAATGTACATATGGTCGTCACGGTTAAAATCCGACTTAGCATGGAAAGTAAAGAATCATTGGGCATGCTCTCTGCCTCTTGCATGAAAGACTTTGCTAGAGTCTGATGTTGCAAGAGTCGATGTGGGTGGAGGGAGGCGGAAGAAAAGAGTATACTCACAAAGTTACATATTGAGCCGAGCGGTTCCAATTTTCCATGCCCGTTGAAAGTCACTGGAGGATCTGATACTGGTCAGCTTGGGTGTCCCAATCGCTAAAGACCAAAGGGATAGTTGTGAAGGTTCAGTGTGCACGTTGTTTGGCTGGTGCGAGTCGGATCCACATCTCCTGAAAAGGACTCGGACTGGGGCGACAATAGCTCATCATGATGATGGAGTAGGGGATTGGGAAGGGGGAGGGAGGGGCAGATTGGTGTACTCACTGGCTCGGCTCGTGTTGGGGAGGGGAGGGGGGTTGACGAAGAAAGTCGAGAACGTCGCACAGGCGGAGACTTATAGTGTTCTGGCGGGTCGAAAAAGCTCGCACCGGCGGTGCGGAGGCAATATTCGCGCATGATTTTTAGTTTATTTATCCCGGCATGGTTCCCCAGTGACGAGGTGGTGGAGGTCGTCCAAGAAGTCATTTTCGACTCAAGGGTGTGCCTAGAGATGGGGGCACAGCCCGAACAGCTGTGGGTTGATGTCTGTCGTAGTGGTTGACAGAGGGGATGTAAAGGTGGAGAAGCTGAGCGACTCCGGTCTCTCCTATTGTGCTTGGGCTGCAACCATGGAGCTGGCAGCGAGGCTTTGCAAGGCGGCGGATTGAGGGTTGAAGGTAACGGGGTTGGCCTTGGCGAGTACCATCTCAATGTCGTTGGCCAGCTCCCACACTTGAGGGTATGGCTGGGCGTACTGTCGCAAGCCCATCACCGCACCGAGGGCCTCGTCGCGGCCGCTGCGTGCGAGGAACATGCCCGCGTCGTAAATGGGGCGGTAGAGGATGAGCGGGTCCAGTCGCAGGAGTCCGTGCTCAGTCGCGTATGTCACAAGCAACACAATCCGCAGCGCCGAGTGGATGGCCTCGGACTCGAGACGCTGCCTCATGGCCTGTACTTCAAACGTCCACATGTGCCGGGCAGGCTCATCGGCTTCCATGATGCCATAGTCGCGCACTGCACGCTCGGCGACGAGCCAAAGAGCGTGGTACATGATATCGGTCGTCATTGCACGCATGGTGGTGTCAAACGCCTTGGGAACACCAGCCAGCCACTCGGGGGGCATCTGGAGGGTGGTGAGGTACAAGTCGCGCCATGTGCCGTGGTCGTTGACAAATTCACGCAGGGTACCCAGGGGGACACCAGTCGCGCGCACACGGGGCACCCAGACTTCATTGCAGAACTTCTTGGCAATGCTCGATGCCGTCCGCGCTGCCTGGAGGAATACCTGAAGGATCAGCAAAGACATCTGGCAACCTGTTGCAAACGATACGTACGTCTTCGGCCACTCCGTCGGGCGCGAGACACGGGAACGCGTCGACTGGCTTCTCCCAGTTGGACGACAATGAGCCGAGGGACTCGCCACTCCACGAGTCTGGACGCAGGCGGAAAAGAGCCGTCTCGATGCCGGCGACGACAAACATGGTCAGCTCGGTGCGCATCCTCTCGTCTCGCGACTGAAACATCTGGAACAAGGGGCCAATTCCAAGCTGCTCAAGGAGACGGGAGGCAATGGCAATGTTGCACGCATTGTAACTGGTCTTGAGCATTGGGGAGTACGCCAGGAGTCCTTCCAGGAGAATGAGTGTTTGGACATTGGATAGTGTCGGGGTGCGGAATACCTTGTTGGTCTCGGCCACCTCGCGAGCGCGGATGGTAAGGAGCTGGACGAGGCGGGAGCGCGTACGGCCAGGAATGTCGTTGTCACGTCCAGTGCACTCTTCACGATCGAGAGTGAAGGCCGCGTGGTCGACAAACTTGGCGCCAAACGCAAGGACCACCGCGAGGAGCGATTGTGGGAGAGGGCCGTCCAAGTCGCCATCTGGGTTTTGGAAGCGTGACATGAAGCTGCTAGCGTCGAAGATGGGCACTCGTGGCTCAACAATTGAGAAAAATGAGTCGATAAGTTCGAGAGCCACCGACTCGAGTTCGACCTCGCCACCCGCCCAGAGGGCCAAGTGTGCATTGGTCGGGGCTTCGTCCCAGATCAACCCCCCTTGCTCTTCCCAGAGGTCGCAAGCGCCACCGCGAGCGTTCTCAATGGTCCCGACATCGCTGTATCGCCAGTCGTGGTGGAGCACTGGTGTTGGGCAAAACAGGTAGCGCAGCATTTCAGTCTGCCGAACTGAAGCGTTCTTTACAGGCGACCGAGTAAACGACGAAACAGAGGTGACGCCACTGGCACCGTTGACGCCGTTGACGCCATTGGGAGGGACGTCGTTTACTCCTGGAATCCACAGAAGGGCGACGGCGCTGGTTGGTCAGATAACAGTTGGGAACCGATGGGAACCGAACGAGGCACTCACTCGCCGACACGCATAGTCGTCGTCGTCGTCGTTGGACCCGACGATGTTGACGCCGCCGAACTATTGATAGATTCTGGGTCGAGACCAAGACCAGACGTTGTGGACGACACACGTCGAGGAGGGGAGGTGTGGTCCTCGTCCGACCTCTTCTCACGGTCCTCGTTACTCCTAAACCGCCGAGGTCGCCGAGGCTTGTTCTGCAGCTGTTCGATGTAGTTGGAGGTGCACTCCAGGTCCTTGGCTGCACATTGTCCGCACTGGTGGGGTCAGTCATATGGGTCACAGACCGTTGATGGGGAGACGCACACGTTGGGTGGTGCTGATACGCTGCCTGTTAGCAAGAAACAAAGGAGCGAGAGGGGGGCAGTGGGGAGTAACGCACCTGGCAACGAATCTTCTTTGCGCGACAAGCATCGCAGGCGACATTCTGCTTACGCGTCGATCCGCTGAACAGGGAAAGTGGTGGTGGCGGCTCCATTGTGGTGGAGCTCTCGAGGGTGGAGAGAGGTGGTGGTAAAGGGGAGGGGGAGGCAAACAGAAAGAAAGTGCAGAGAGACGAAGAGAAAGAAGGCCGCGCTGGCCGCGCTGTTTGTAATTTGTGATAACCCTGTTGCAAGCCAAAAAGTGGGTGGTTTGAGTAGTGTCACAATGTTTTGAGTGGGTGTTCCTCTACTCGAACCCACACCGTCATCTCCCGTCACCCAGGCGGGGGCGTCGATTCTCGGATCCGAGATTACATGCATCGTGACTCATCTCCTGACCGTCAGCGCTCTGGCCCTCGGGCACACGTGGGAGGGGAGGAGGGGTCACGTGACATATGTATTTGCCACTGTGGCACGCCTGGCATGGAGGCGCGCCTAACGTCTGTCCATGTCAATTTTATGCGCATTAACAATTGCCGTCAAATAATAACGCAAAGTGTAATGGGGACCTACGTGCCAGTCTAGCAGCCTCGGTAGGGGAAGCGAGCTTCTCCCTGGCGAGTAACCTTGGGAAAGCTATTTCCAGGCAAAACGGTCCCCAGTTAAGCCGCAACCATCGAGCGTGGGCTGCCAAAGGGACGCGATGCATGCTTCACCGCTCCAATGCTAACAGACGTCTGTGCGGGGGGAACGTGAGGGGCCAAAACGGTGCCGCGGGCCGTAGTTGTACGCAGTCGATTTGCGGCATGGTTTACAGGGGCCTCAACAGCAAGTAAAGTAACAGTTGACCGATGTATGAAGGATCCAAGTAGAACAATGATATCGCACCATGTACCAATCTCCCTTGCTGCCAAGACTTGGGGACCGACTGATACGCTATCTGGCTATCTGGTGGTGGCGAAAAATAGGCCCAAAATGATCGACCACAGTGGGTGATAATAGCAGCAGTGATCTGCGGGGGTTGCGTACGCTCTGTGACGCGCTGCCCCCCTCGTGCGCCACCGCTGCGCCACCCTGGCCGCGGGCTGTTTCCACCCACGTTTAGACTTTCCTGTCGTGTGCAGTTTCCGGTGACGTTACCAGACACAACCGAGAGACGACGACCCCCTCGACTCTGGCCCTCAAGGTCACCTCCCCTCTTCCCCAACCTTCTGTCACATCTACCCATGTCCGTCAGCCGTTGAGTCTGCCCATCGTCGCCCTCATCGCTGGCCCCCACCATGGCGATACACATCAACGCGCAGGTGCAGGCCGCCAAGGCGGCTCCTCAGCACGATAAAGATGATGGCCCATGGCTGGGCGGTTGGAGCGGGTCATGGCGTCACACCTTTGTCGCGGCTCTGCGAGCCATCTTCGTCCCCGATGAGCTGAGCAGCTCGCGCAACATTGCAAAGTACTGCCCGCTCATCGCTGCGGTGATCGCTCCCATGAGTACCCTCATGGATATACCGGCCCTTAGTGTAAGTCGGCGTGCTCCACTTGGCCGTCAACCCGTCCAGGTCGTTGTCACCTTCTCAAGTTCAGCAATCTTTTGGCCAAAGATTGGACAGACCACAGTGACACACTCTCTACCCACACGAGAATCAAGCTGACATGTCTTCCAGCAACATTGGTATACGTACAACGGGGGGCCAATGCCTGATCCAGTTGCGTGTGTGGTGCTCTCAGCCTTGGGCTTGGCCCTCAACGTCGTCGCCAATATGCTACTGGTTGTACGGTTCAGCGGAACAAGTATTTGGAGGAAGGGTACAACGTGAGTAGGATAGCAGCTTAGCAGGACAACTGTGAGCTCGGTATTAACATGTTGCAGCTTATCGCTCTTCTTCTGGCTCGGCAAGACTCTTGTGGCTCTAGTCAACCTCATCTACTTTGGAGCAACAACCCGCAATGGAGATGGTTTCCGCTATGCGGAAGGATTCTGGTGCGCCGTCGCTTCCATCACCATGTCGGGTATCATCTCTGTTTGCCTGCTCTTCCACTACTTCTTTGCATTTGGTCACAAAGACGCCGATCAGGAAGACATCCGCCTCACTGGACGCAAGTTTATGATTTCAGTCACGTTCTTCATGATCCTAGTCGGCTTCCAGGCCCTCGCCTTTAACCAACTGGAACACTGGGCATACCTCGACGCCATCTACTTTTCATTGCAGTGCGCGTTCACGATCGGCTACGGTGATCTCACGGCGCACACGGCAGCGGGCAAGGTGCTCGTCTTCCCCTTTGCGGTCCTCACCATCTCCCAACTCGCCAACGAGGTCTCCCTTATTGTCGACTTTGTCCGCAAGCGCTCACAAGATAAGCGTGACCACTGGCGAAAGCGCTACTCGGTCGCCATGCACCGCGAAGCGATCAAGCGCAAACCATACGCTACCCTCATTGACGAAATGTCGCTTATCCACCAGATCAACCTTCACCAGGAAACGTGGGTGACCAGAGATTCAGAGAGTCCACAATGCTAACCCACATACAGCATGATCCAGCTGTATGACCTGTTCTGGTCTGGTCTCACCCTCCTGCTCTTCTGGCTCGTGGGCGGTCTCGTATTCCACTACGTCGAATTCTGGGGCTTTGGAAACTGCCTGTATGCCGTCATGGTCCTCTCCTTGACAATCGGCTTTGGCGACTTCTGCCCCGTCACCCCTGGAGGACGCGTGTTCTGGATCTGCTACGCGATGATGGCAGTGCCTATCGTGACCAACTTTGCCGTCCAGACCGTCACCGGTATTGTGAGTCGCAGCAACAGTGCAACCTTGCTAACAGGGCTCAGATGTACACCTGGTCCGAGCACAGGTTTACGCGGTCGCGCTTTGAGATGGAGCGCGAGCGTGACCCAGAGGTGTTTGCACCGCACTCGCACTTTATCCTACGCCACCACGAGCAGTGGGATCCCACACGCCACGAGTACCTCGCTACCAAGGTGGACTCGCCGATCAAGATCAAGATGGACCCCAATTGGGGAGCGAATGCTCCAGTGCCCAAACCTCGTGGCAAGAACGGCGGCAACGGTGCTGATAACAATGTGGGCAAAAACGCAAGAAAGGATAGTGCCGGCAGCAAGTTGAGTCTTGCCAGTCTCGCCAGCAAAGTCAGCAAGTTCAGCACTGCCAGCAAATACAGCACTGCGAGCTCAAACGGCCGTGCCAGTCCCAATGGCAAGGCCAGTATGAACGGCGACACAGGGCGCTTGTCCGAGTCCAAGGCCAAAACCAAGCCCAAGGAGATGGAAACGGTGGAAGAGCACGAGGTGTCGGACGAGGAACTGGACCAGAAGAACGAGACGGCTGAGGACCGCGTCGTCGCGGAGATGCTCTCGGACAACGATGCTCACAGTGACGTCGTTGAGGCTCTCGGCGCACCAGACATGGACGACAGCATGGAGACTGCCCAAGCCGATGACAGCGGCGATCCCGTGAAAGCTCTGCAGGACTATGTGGCGAAGACCAGGTCCTCACCGTCGCCCCTCTCGACCGTGCGCACCACATCCACTCCAGACCATGACCCCAGCGATGACGCCGACGACGAAGGGGGTGGTGACGACGGTGTGGATGATGACGAGGCCGACGAGATCGCCAAAGCCGAGGCTGCCGCTGATCCCAACATGGACTCACCACAGTCTGGAGGGTCGCCGCGGAGACAAAGCCTTGACAAGCCCAAGCCGACGACCCTCAAGCACGAGAAGCCAGTACCTCATCAGCCTGCATGTGGACCCCGTCTCATCATGCCCGACCGTGACACAGAGAACAACGCGCACCACCTTGAGCTCAACCTAATCAAGGAGCTCGTGGACCGCATCACTCGCCTCGAAGCGCAGGGACGCCAGATGTTGATTGATACCATGGACCAGGACCTGGCGCGGACCCTCCTCCTTGCAGACCGCAACTGTGAGTGTCATAAGTAATACCTCCTTTGTCATTCATCACTCACGCTCCAGTGCAAATCCGTGACGCATTCCAGCTGTACGGCGACAACATTGACCTCAACAAGACGTTCAAGGAAGAAGCCGAGAAGACGCGCAAGGACCACAAGAAGAATAACGAGTTCGAACGCCAAGCTCACATTCTGGACACGGACGGGGCCGAAGACGACGACATGCTCACTCGTGTCCGCCGGTACCGCAACACGTTTGCCGAGATTCTCGTCCTCTCGTCTACCCTGCTGAAACTCGAGGGCGACGACTTGAAGCGCTTTGAGCGCTGGCATGTCGGCGACCTGCACCATTCCAAGCGCCGAAACCTCCACGAGGACCCCCAGAGGCCCAAAGGGTCACGCTTGAGGCGACTGTCCGACTGGTCCAAGGGTAGAAAGACGCCTTACAGGCCGAGGAAGGACCCAGAGAAAGCTGAACCCGAGGTCAAGAACGAGACGCAGCATCACCGCAACTTCACCCACCACCACAGGAAGAAGGGCTTCCCCTCGGTGCCTACAGACGCTACCAACGACAGCGAGGCTCCATCGTCGGCGCTGGGAACATCCTCCGCTGCGCTGTTGCCCAAATCCGACACGACAGGGACCGGTACCACGGGCAGTGGACCCCCGGCCGCACCACAGGCGTCTGACCGGAGCAAGCACGTCCATGTGACTCTCCCCGCGGACCCCAACGACACGCGCGGCGAGGCCAACCCCAACCCCAACCCCATCTCACCGACCCAGCACCCCTTCCGGCGCGCGGTATGGCACCACATGTCGTCCAACCTGCTCGGCGACGCGGACAAGGAAGCGGGCGAGGTCAAGGTGTCGGGCATGTCCAAGGTCAAACACCTCGCGTCGTCCAAGAACCCCAAGGAGAAGCAGACGTGGGAGAGCCTCCGCAAGGAATGGGACCACGACAGGGAGATCCTCCGCAAACATGTCGAGCTGAACCATCACACACGGGCGAGGATGAAGCAGAGAGAAGGACAGGCAGAGGAGGACGAGGAGGAGGAGGAGGAAGAGGGAGAGGTTGGAGAAGACGCCTCCACCGAGTCTGAGAGCAGGCCGCCGACGCCGCCCAGGAGGTCGCGGCGGTTCTCGGCCGGAGGAGGTTTGCTGCGCGATTGATCTCGCATCGTCGCTCGTTTCTCTTGAGGTCATCTTGGCACACACCCCAATTCACAGACGCAATTCACATCCATATCCACATCCAGAAGCACCCCACCATAGACAGCTCCGTGCCCCATCCATACTTGCTTGTTGTACCGATGTACCCGCGTGCCCAATGCAGCTTAGCTGTATCCTGGAACACGATTGCATCGAGATGCCCATCTGTGGACCAGACCAGTGTATGAAAAAGAAGAAGCAAAAAGAAGAAAAAAGAAGCCTAAAAACATGGATTTGTACAGCGAAAAGTCCTCCGTTCGTCTCTCCTAGCTCCTTCCTTCCTTCCTTCTCCTTCTTCTTACGTTTCTAATAGCCCTTCCGGGCATACGCCTCCTGCTCCCTCCCGAACCGGCTCAGGTCGCTGGGCGGGCTCTGGCCCGGGTTGTGCGGCTGCCGTCCGCGCAGGCGCGAGGGAAGGTGCAGACCGCGCAGACCCGATCCGGGGGTCAGGTCCTCGTTGGAACTCATCTCGGATCGCTCCTTGTCGCGCTCGCGCTCGCGTTCCCCGCTCGGCCGTTCAGGCGTATAGCCCCGGTCGATTGACGGGGTGCTGGTGTACGATGGCGCATAGGGACGGATGTCGCGGTGGTCCTGGGAGTATTCCTGGTGGTGGTGGTGGTGGTGGTGATGGTGGTGATGGTGGTGGTGGTCCTTGTTCCGCAGGTCCGACGCTGGCGTGCTCTGCGTAGGACGCAGGGAGGACACCTGCATGAGGATGGCACACTCCCTCGTCGTCTGCGTGAGCTGGCTCAGATACTGCCGGACCGGCTGCGAGAACAAGTGCGTGGTTGACAGGACCTTGATCTGCTCTGAGACCTTGACCACTGCCTTGATAAAGGCAGCGGCATTGTCGGGCAGGGACGTGTGCGCAAACGCAAAGGGGTTGGCACGGAGACCCATCAGGCTCTCGCGCAAAGAGTCGGTGACTTGCTCGGCGGTGCTAAGGCTGAGAACGAGGTCGTGATACGCTCGCGGCGGGATGGTTGGCGGGCGGCGCGAGTCCAGAGGCGTGAGGGGTCCCAGCCTGCCAGATCCAGCGGAACTGATGCTGTCGCTCTTGGCGTGGTGCGCGAATGGCGGGCCGGCAGAGGCGCCAATGTCCTCCGCCAGTCGCAGCCAGACCTGGAATGCAATGTCGATGGCTGAGTCTAGGACATCAAGCAAGTCCTCGTCAAACAGGGTTGCGCTTGCCGGCGTCGGTGGGCGGACATCGACCGACAAGTTGCGATGCATCCCGTTCGGCGCCGAGAGGTACGACGACCCGGCTGAGCTCGTTGGGATGTGACGCGACCGGGCGGGCTGTGAATAGCTAGTCACCATAGGCGGCAGGGGCTCGGGGGGCATCATCTGCGGTGGTTCTGGCTCGGCGTGTAATGGGAAAGGCGGTGGCGCGGTCGCCTCGGCCACCTCCTTGTCCTCGAAAATGGTACGCGAGAGATCTGGCCACTCCATCCTCGGCGCACTGGGGGAACCCATGAGCATACCGCGTTCCACATCCTGGGTCGAGAACGAGCCAGCGTGACGACGACTCTTGGCCCGCGGTGACGAGCCAACAGGCGGCATCGATCCGACCCCCAGTGTCGACGACGGCGTGGTACGCATGGCACGCTCTGGAGAACGTGACTCGCCGCGCTCGAGGATGGGCGAGATGGGTGTACGACCCGAGAGACTGCTCGACTTGGACATTGGCGGTGCGAGGTGGGCGCCCTCGGGAAGGAGGAGGGGGCGAATGTCGGCGAGGATGGGTGCCATCAAGTTCCACGAACGGGCAATCTCGGACATGCCACCGTAGATGCTGAGCAAGAGTTGACGGGTGTAGCGCACGTCGGCGTCCTTGAACGCTGGCGTCTGGAGGCGTAGGACAGACACAATCTTGCCAAACACCACAATGCACTCCTTGGCAGCGTCGACCACTCCGCGCACAGCGGTAACGGGTGGGGCGGAGCGGCGTGAAGTGCTGTCAAACCGGTCCAAGGCGTTGATGAGCTGTTGCTGGTATCGCCCCGCTGGCTCCACAACGCGACTGAATACACCAGCAACCCGGTCTGGAACAGCAAAGTTCAGGTACTGTTTGAGCGCAGCATGGAGTTGCGACGTAGCGAACAGTAAACCACGGATGGCGTCGATGAATATCAACATGGCGGGGGAGACGGCCTTGCTGATGGTAGACACTGGGAGCATGCTCAGACGTCGGAAATACGAGTTGCGCGACTCATCAATGGCCGGCACGTCTCGTCCGTCGCGAGCAAGGTCGGCGACTTCGGTGTCCTTGAGCTTGCGGAGAACATCCAACGACCCCTTGCTCTTGAGGGTCCGGTTGCCGGCACCGGCGGCGCTGTCTGGCGGTGGCAAGCTCTTCAGCTTCTGCTGCCAGTTGTTGCGCGGGTAGCCGATTCCGAGGCCAAGTGGTCGCACCTCATCACTCGCCTCGGACCGCCGCTCGGCGATAATCTTGGCGTGACTCTGTCTCAGGTCGGGCAGCGATTTTTTGGCCGTAAGCTGGCCACTATGCCGCTGGGTAACAGTGTAGCTCGCGCCGCGGCTATGCCCGTGGCCACTGGGACCGGCGTGCACCGGCGCAGGCGCTGCGTTTGACTGCGGTGGTTTGGGCAGGTTGGCCGAGAGCGGACCCGAATGGGACGAAGACGTCGTTGATGCGGATACCGGTGGTGTGAGGGAGCTCGCACTGATAGAACGATCGTGCTGGAACGCGTTGGAGGGCAGCGACAATGTCGAACTGTTGAGGTGGATGAGCGAGTCCTCTGACGACGTTGTCGCCGTTCGATTAATGTGTGTAAACGCGCTGCCTGTGGGAGAGGATGGGGCACTGTGTTCTTCTGGGATGGCAATGATGCGCTTCACCGTCGCCTGAGGAGCGCCTTGCGGCGCAGTCCAGGCACCATTCGCGTCGGGTGTAAAGTCACTGATGGGCTCATCCCTATTGTTGGTTAGCACCCCAAAGAAGCATACTGTGTGGTGGCTGCACGTACTCGGAGGTAGCCTCGGCGTCGTCCTCGACTCGAGCATGCTCCAGGGCAGATTCAGCGTCGGTGGCTTGCTCATGAAGCCAGAGCTTCATGCCAGCGATCCACGGACGCAGGTCCTCTTCGCGCTTGGCCTTTTCTCGCTCGCCGTGTTCATTCCTCCGCGGCACTGGATCACTAGTGATGAGAGGGCCCAGGATCTCGACGGGCTTGGGTACGTCAGTCCGTGCGTTCTGGACCATCGACTCACCGGCCACTGGATGGGGTTGTGGTCGACCTTGAAGACCTTGAGGCCATTGAAGTTGACCAGATACGTCGGCAAGGCTGTCAGGCAGTTGTACGACAGCGACAACACCTTGAGATGTGCAAGACGACCTGGAACATCGGGGAACGCCGTGATCTGATTTTTTGAGAGATCAAGAATCTCAAGACCTTGCAGCTCGCACAGCTGGCCTGGTTAGCTTTGACAAGCACAGAACAGGAAAAGCTCACCGGTGTTGGGATTCCCGTAAGCTGGTTGCCCTTGAGGTTGAGATACCTCAGTCGCGTGAGACTGGCAAACCTCGGTGTGATGCAACCGTCCCGAAGGGAGTTGTAGCTCAGTGCAAGACGCCAGACGCCCTTATTGTCCTTGCCAACCTGGGTGCGGAACACTTCGACCTCCTCATCTCCAATCCTGTCAATCCGCTCACGACTGAGATCGAGCGTCTCACCGCCATCCTTACTGTGCTCGAGGGCACGGTGGATGAGCCGGACCGTCGAGGTTTCACTGCCCGGAACAGGCATACCCGGCTGCGAGGGTGACCGTGGCAATGCCGTGGCAGCCGTTGGAGAACGCAATGGTGCACGTGCAGGGCGAGGAGGTGGGTTTGTACCAACTGCAAGTTGTAATGCGCGGGATGCTGCATGAGGCGAGTGGTTGGTGACGGTGTCCGATGACGCGCTGCTCATTGGCGCGTCTGGTGTGTGCGCCATCAATGGCACTGGCGAGTATCCACCATTAGGCGACGCACTGCTCGTACTAGCACCCGAGTTTTGCTGCTGTTGACCGACAGACGGGACCGAGCGGTTCACAGCAGCGCCGAGCGTGGCCCCGTGCCCATGCTGCCCTGCTCCAGCGGCCTGTGGGTTCGCCGCCGCCTTCAGCCCCTCAAGTACCCGTGGAGGGACCTCGGGGGACCGAGAGGACGGGGAGCTAGGAGATGCAAAGGCAGAGTTTGAGCGTAGGCGGCGGGGCACACCAGGTGTGAGGGTTGGATCCTTGGGAGGTGGGCCGAGGCTATGGCTCGAAGTGCTGGGTACGATTGACGACAGCGACGTAGTCATCGCGAGATGAGTTGACCGCCGCTCTGGGCGGGGAGGGGGTGGGGAAGAAGGGATAGTAACGGTTGAGCGTGGCGAGGACCAAGAGATGAACAAGGCCTTGGACGAGAACCAAAGAAAGGGGGTTGGATGCTAGTGGACGCTCCAGTCGTGCAAGAGGAAGGGATGGGTTGAGACGAGACGAGACGAGACGAGACGATGGCAGTTGAGAGCGGGCAGATGGATGTGGATGTCGTGCTTGTGGGTCCTGATGCGGTGTGTGCTGCTGCTGGGTTGTCGGCGCCGCTGGCGCTTAGGCCGTCATGTGTCTTCTGGGAGCAGCGACCAGCGCTGCGAGGGGGGAGTGGTGTTGGTGCTCGACGGTGTCTTGCAGGTATATGAGCATATCCTGTCACTCGCTTGGTCGCTCTCGCCGGCATGAACGGGGCTCTCTCATCGACGGGAGTAAATGGTCTCTCGCCGACGCCACCCAAGTCGCAATGAACGGATGCCATAATGTGCCTGCCCGCGGGAACGTCCTCCGAAGGGTCCGCGGGTGGTATATACATCGTCTCCCCCCAGCGTGACCCCACCCTACGCCGTTGCAAGCAGGCCGCGCTCTGCACTACTATAGTGTTGTGGCCCTACTATTCTACGGTGCTTGCCGCTCGGGCAGCGCTCCATGAAATGTAGCGAATTGCACTTCCTATTCCAACCCGCAGCCCCGGCCACAAGCCACAGCGATTTGACAAAAGGACAATTAACATGTCTCCCCTCCCTCTTGACAGGCGGAAGAGGCCAAATCAATGTATGCTGTATCTACAAACTAGAACGGCCCCTCGGTACCAACTACAAGGGCGCGACTCAGGTTACGTGCCAACGCAAGGCGAACAACCTCGAGCTTGCGCAGGGCAGCCGCCGTACCCTCCTTGACCTCTTCGCGTTTCCTGTCACCGCCACTCTTGGCCACTCCGTTTGTGCCATTGGCAACTTCAGGGGCACCGTCCACACGTGCCAGGTAACGCCACAGCTGGCGAAGGTAGTCGACAGGTGCAAACTGGGCATTCGCAAGCACATCCTCAACAACACGCATGAGGTCAAAGGTGTCGGCAGTGTTGAGAAGAATGTCGTCGTCTGCTTGTTAGCGGGAATTTCAAAGCACACCACGCGACACTGCTCACCTTCCAAGAGGTCCACACTCTCAGCCAGGAGCACGGCCCAGAACTCCACCGGAGTGATCTCAGCTGAAAGAAGTTGGGCCAGCTTCTTGGCCGCAATATCACGCGAGCCCTGGTTCAGGTGGATGAGGTAGTCGCGGAACTCGGACAGGAAAGCGAGGCGCGACGCAAACATGACCATGATGGTGCGGCCGCTGTCGGCGGCAAACGTGCCCTCGTCGTCCATCTCGGGAAGCTTGAGCTCGTTGAACTTTTGAGGTGCCTCCTGCATCATCGTACTCGGAAGGCTGTCGACGAGGCGAAGGAACTCGGACTCGCCCGACTCGACATAGGCGTTGAGAATCTTCTCCGCTATCCGGGACAGCGTGTATCCGTCCTCGGCGAGAAGGCAGATGGAAGCAGCGACACCCACGTCGCCCTGCTGCATCAGGCGCTCGGCCACGATCGTGCTGATGGTACGCCACTCCTCCTCGAGTTTAAACGCGACACAGGTCTCGTGGAGCTTCTTGAAGTGCGAGAGCTGGCCTTCCGTACCGGTCGCTTCCTCCTCGCCCTCAACCTCCATCCCGCTGTTAACTTCGGGGGAGACAGCCTCCTTGCCCTTGGTCTCGTTGAGGCGGGTGCCGACGTGGACAATGTAGGAGCGCAAGCGGCCGCGTCCCTCGGGCCCCGAGGAATTGAGGTATTCGACAATTACTTCCCACAGCTCACCCTGACTGGGGCTCTCCTGTAGCATGTCGGCGTAGTCGAGGAGGTAGTAGTCGCGAAGAGAGTTGTCAAAGCGCTCCTCGTCATCGGGAACGAGGGCAAGCTTGTCGAACACGTCGCCAAGGTGTGCTGCGAGCCAGCGGTCAACGTCGTGACAACCCATGAGGGCTTCGATAATGTCGCTGGAGCACAGGCTCGATTGAACCGAGTCCTCGAGAATGGTCGAGTCGATGGGGAGCTCGTTCAGGATGCGCTTGACGACACCGGGAAGGTCGTCTCGCCTCAGCGACACATCGACAAGCACGCCCCAAGCGCCGAGGGCCTCACGCCAGTCGGCGGCCTCGGCGAACAGGCGCTCCTTCTTGCCCTCGAGCAGTTCGGTGACACTCCTAAAGTCATCCTCCCACTCGATCCACTGGCTACGTCCAGAAATACCGTCCGCATCGAACCAGTGGCCGTTTCCGCGCCCGCCAAGGAACTCTGCAATGTCGGCGCGGAACTGAGCGAGCCATTGCTTGTGGGCGGACACAAACTGGTGGTCGAGGGCGTACATGGAGGTGTTGGTCGAGCGGGGGAAGCGGGAGACAGCACGCTCGACAATCTGGCCGAGCTTGGCTATTGGCGGGTGGGGGTGTGTCTGGAGGGTGCGCAGGAAGGAGGCAGCGGGGAGGAGGAAGCCGCGCAAGAGGCAGCGTACGATGAAGGGCCAGAAGCCCATGTGCTCCCAAGGCTCCTTGTGTGCCATGATCTCGTTGCCTTGCTCGTTGATTTGGATCCTGTCGACCTGGTTGCCCCAGTCGAGAAGCTCCTCGCCAAGCAGGCCCTCGCCGCGTCCGTCTGCGGGGAGGTAGAGAATCTCGGCGAGGTTGAAGATGTGGTACATTGTCTCGTAGCGGTACTTGACATCATCCTGGCGGGTTAGCACAGAAACAAGGTACGAAACTTACGTCAATGTCGGTCACCTCGCGCATCTTGTTCAAGTCGTCGAGGTAGTAGTCGACCACGCGACGCATCTGGATAATAGTCTCGGCGGCTGGCGGGCCGAGTAAGCCGTCAACGGCGAGGAGGTTGCCATTGTTGTCCCACACGCTGCCCATTGTATCGCTTGTCGGTAACCTCATGGACAAGGCCACAAGCTTCTGTAGCGAGCTGAAGAGCGTGTACGAGCTGCCATAGAACTTCTCCTCGGATGCCGCAAAGTTGTTGATGGCAGCAAGGCGCACGGTACGGTCCGACACAGTGAGCGAGGGGTCACCAGAGAGCGTGGCCTCCTTGTTGGCATCTGACGAGGGCTTCAGGTTAGCTCGAGCATTCAATTAGTGAGCCTCACCTGCTTGGTGATCCAGCCAGCAATCTCTCCACCGACAGGGCTGGCAGCAGCCAGCCATGCGCGTCCCGAAGCCTTCCACTTGGCCTTGTCCTTGGCCGAGAACGCGGGAGGCTCAAGGTAGAGCTCATCAGTGTCCTCGTCGCCGACATAGTTGGTCTCAGCGACCATGTCGGTAGTAGGGGAAGTCGACGTGCCGGTAGCTGACCTGGCGCCAAACGAGTTGAACAGCGGAGTGGGGTTCTTGGGAGCGGAAGGGTTGGCGAAGCTGAATGGGGCCGAGGAGGAGGATGCAGGCTGCGAGGCCGTGGAGAAAGAGAACCCCCCTGCAGGCGAATTGCCGAACATGGTGTGGGACCGGCTAGTAGAAGGTGTGGGTACGTGGGTGTGTGTAATGAACGGTCCAGTTGGTGACCCCCAGCCAATATGCACACCGATGATGCTGTCGTGAATCCAGAAATCAGCAACGGGCGCGACAACAAGCCATTCGATCGCCACACGCTATATCGCCGAGATGCCGTGGCTGGCGTTCTCGGCCTCCTGTGGTGGCTCACCATCATTGTTGGTGGCCATTCAACTTCTAAAGCCCCACCTTGACCCAGTGTCGCTCACGACACTCTCTAAACACAGCACTCTTAAACAGCTCGGCACAGCGCGTTACCCATACCGCAAAGCCGCCGCTGGCAAGCAGTGCTCGATTCCCCCCTCTTTCGTCGACCTACAGCCACCCACATGTCCGATCGGTCCGACGCATCCTCCGAGGGTGAGGGCGAGGCCATTCGTCCCTATGGCGAGCCCAACCCCGACCGCGACTCTTCCGACGAGTCGGATGAGGAGGACCCGGAGGAGGCCCGTCGCATAGCCGAAGGCTTTATCGTCCAGGACGAAGATGACGATGATGAGGACGAAGAAGACCCCGAAGAGCGGAGGCGCCGCCGCAAGGAGCGTCGCAAGAAGAGGAGGAGGCGTGATCGTGCGCGTCGCGAGCAGGAGGAGGAAGATGACCTCTTGTCCGATGACTTGGACCTCCTGAACGAGAATGCTGGTCTTGCTGGCCCCTCGCAACGCCCTCTCAAGCGTCTCCGTCGCCGCTCTGGTTCCGAGGATGACAACCTCCCCCGCCTCCAGAACATGTTCGACGACGAGGATGAGCGCCGTGGCTTCGAGTCAGACGACGACCTTGCCGACTTCATTGAAGAGGACGAGGAGGAAGATGTCGCGCGCAACGAGACCGAGGAGCAGCGCAAGGAGCGCAGACGCGAGGAGAAGCAGCGCCGCCGTGAGGCAGCCCGCGCTCGTCCCGAACTTGCTGGTGTGGACAAGGAGTGAGTTGCTTCAGCAAGGTGCCCCAGCTGACGCCCAAAGCTCGTGGAATGAGATCTTTGACGTCTTCGGTGACGGTCACGATTATGACTGGGCACTGGAGGGCGAGGAAGGCATGGACATCGACGAGGACGACCGCGAGAAGAAGGATCTCCGCCTCGAGGATGTGTTCGACCCAGCCGAGATCAAGGCCCGTCGCTTGCAAGACGAAGACCGCGCCATTGCGCAGGTTGATCGTCCTGAGCGCCACCAGCTGGCCAACTCGACGCTGAGCGACAACCCCATTTTGGCGCCAGATGTGCTGTACCCGCCTCCCGACCTCGCCGCTGGTTGGGCGTACACCCGTATCTCGACTCGTACCCAGTACCTCTTCTGCAGCATGCACGCCGACAACTCGTGGCCCGCACCGACATATGAGGACCCCTACCCTGAGGCCGCCTACCGCCGTGCGGACCTTGGCCAAGAGTTTGTCAAGGTTGTCGCCACTGCACTTAACATGATGTTTGTCCAGAACCTCGAGGTGCCCTACCTCTGGCACTACAAGCGCGATGCGTTTAGTGTGCTCGAGAACCAGGGCCAGAGCTCGGTTCAATTCCTCGACCGTGACGAGCTGTGGGACCTGTACACCCTCGGTATCCGCTTCCGCGCCATCTGGGAGCGCTGTGAGCAGGTCAAGCAGCTGTGGAACAAGATCAAGGCTCGTCGCCCGGATGTTGAGGACACGTACCTCACCGGCACGCTTCTGCCCTCGGTCTGCAACATGTCCATTGAGGCCGCCGCTGAAGGCGCCGACTGGCTGGCGTACCACTACGACGCAGACCTGCGTGCCATCAAGGAGGAGGAGGCGGTCGAGGACGGCCTCAAGCGTTTGCCAGAGCGCAGCTCTGCTCAGTCGATCCGTTCGGGCCCGATTGTCAAGCTTGTCGAGGCGTTTGGTATCGACGTTCCCCAGGTCGCCCTTACCTTCAACGACCCTAATGGCGAGCCTGTCCCTCCTACCAACCCCGATCGCCTGCCTCAGGACGTTGCCGAGGAGTTTGCTGGAGAGGGCACACCATTCCGCACCGGCCAGGACGCGCTCGCCGCTGCTCAGCGCATCCTCGTCAACGACTTTGCCCGCGACCCCACCATCCGCCAGCAGGCACGAGACTTCGTTGAGGCATGCGGTGTCGTCACTGTCACTCCTACCGACCGCGGTATGATTGTCATCGACGAGTACCACGCCTACCTCACCTTCAAGTTCCTCACCGAGAAGCCCATTGACATGTTCAAGAACACCCCCCAGTTCCTCCACATTCTCAAGGCGGAGGAGGAAGGCCTGGTCACCATTACGATTTCCGTCCCCGAGGAGCAGATTTCCGACTTCACGGGCACGCTCGTTCGCTGCTGCCAGTCCAAGGACTATGCAGAGGCTGCCACTGCCTGGAACGCTCTCCGTGAGGAGGTGTGTCAGGACGTCGTGCGTAAGCACTACATCCCTGCCGTCACACGCTGGGCCAAGGAGCACATGCGCTCCCAGGCCGAGGACTTTGTGGCCGAGCGCTGTCGCCAAGAGCTCGAGTACCGCGTCAACGTGCGCCCTTACTCTAGGCCGGGTATGCCCAACGGCGAGACTCCCCAAGTTATGGCCATCACTGTTGGCCAGGGCGGTGTCAACGACGCCGTGATGTGTGTCTTCCTCGACGACGAGGGTAACGTTCGTGCGACGTACAAGTTTGACAACCTCCGCGACGAGGAGTCGCGTACCAGCTTCCTCGAGGTCGTTGAGAAGCGTCGTCCTGACGTTGTCGTCATTGGTGGTCTGTCGGTCCACACTGGCAAGCTCCGTGACGACGCCACCAACGCACTGCGCGAGTTCGCCATTCACCAGACTGGCATGCGCGCTCCCGTCTCGGAGAACTACGGTTCGCACGAGGACTATGTCGCTGCTCGTGACGACTTCGACAAGCAGCTCCAACCCATGATGACGCCCCTCATTTTCGTTAATGACGCCACTGCTCGCCTGTACATGAACTCGGAGGAGGCTGGCAAGGAGCACCCTGAACTGCCTGTCAACGGTCGCTACGCTCTTGGTCTCGCTCGCTACACCCAGAACCCGCTCAACGAGTACTGCCGACTCGGCAAGCAGGTCGCGTCCATCACCTACATGGAGCACCACCAGAAGCTCGTCCCCGAGGAGAAGCTTCTTCTTCATCTGGAGCGTGGTCTGGTCAACATTGTCTCGGCTGTGGGTGTGGAGGTCAACTCGTGCGCCACCAACTCTTACCACCGCCACCTCCTGCCCTTCGTCGCCGGCCTCGGTCCCCGCAAGACCGACAGCCTTGTCAACGCCGTTGCCAAGCTTGGCACGCTGCAAAACCGTGTCCAGCTCTCAGAGCTTGGCACCTTTGGCCCTACCATCTTTGAGAACGTTGCCGGTTTCCTCATGCTCGATAATGACGTTAAGGACTTCAACCTGGAGCCCGATGACCCTCAAGAACAGCCCGAGCCTCTGGACATGACCCGCATCCACCCCGAGGACTACGAGTTTGCGCAGAAGATGTGTCAGGATGCTCTCGATCTCGACGCCGAGGACGTGGCCGACCAGCACAAGTCGCAAGTGGTCGTGCAGCTCATGCAGGACGAGGACCGTGCTCGCAAGCTCTCCGAGCTCAACCTGGACGACTTTGCTTTCAACCTCCAGCGCCAGGGAGAAGGCAACAAGCGCTACACCCTGGGCGCCATTGTCCAGGAGCTCATTGCCTGGCGCTCGGACCGCCGGCCCGCGTTCCACGTTCCCGACCAGTGGGACATTCTCACCATGCTCACTGGTGAGACCCAACGCACCATCGGCCAGGGTCTGCGCGTCACCGCGACGGTTCGCAAGGCCCTGTCTGGCCGTGCATTCTGCCAGCTTGAGTCGGGTATCGACGCCGTGCTCGAGCGCGAGTACGTCAACGACGATGACATGGCTGTCCGCTCGTGTGACGAGGTCTTCCAGCGTGGCCAGGCCATCAAGGCTATGATCATCGAGGCCGAGCCGCAGCGCTTCCAGGTCCGCTTGTCTACGCGTGCGTCCGATCTCGCCCAGTCCGTTCCGTTCGTCCAACCTTTCCGTGAAGACGCCTACAATGATATGAACCGCAAGCATGCGGCCGAGGACGCTGCTGTCGCCAAGCGCCGCCGCGAGGCAGGCTCGATCAAGCGCGTTGTCAACCACCCCAACTGGCACGTCATGAACTCTGGCCAGGCCGAGCAGTTCCTCGCTGGCATGCAGCGCGGAGACGTCGTGATTCGCCCCTCGTCCAAGGGCGTCGACCACCTCGCCGTCACATGGAAGGTCGACGAGGACGTGTACCAGCACATCGATGTGCAGGAGATTGACAAGCCGAACGAGTATGCCCTCGGCCGCATCCTCCGTATCGCCGGCAAGTACTCGTACTCGGATCTCGACGAGTTGATCATCAACCACGTCAAGGCCATCGCCCGCAAGTTTGACGAGATGCAAATGCACGAGAAGTACCGCCCGGAGCACGAGTTGGGTAAGTGTTTGCTCATTCTTGCATGGACAACAAAGCTGACACTACAGAATCGTATCTGAAAAACTACGTGCAGGCCCACCCCGGCCGTAGCATGTACGGCTTCAGCATCGACAGCGCACACCCTGGTTACCTCAAGCTTTGCTTCCTGAACAAGTCGACCAAGGACGGCGGTCAGATCCAGACATGGCCCGTCAAGGTGCTCCCTGGCGCGTACCAGCTCAACAACGCCGAGGTCCCTGGTGTCACCGAGCTGTCCAATGCCTTCAAGGCGCAGTACTCGTCTCGTCTCGCCGAGATGGGTGGCGGTGGCAAGACGCCCGGTATCCGCATGGGAGTCCGCACACCACTTCCAGGAGGCCGCACACCCGGTGGAGGCCGTACACCTGGCGGTCGCACACCTGGCATGATGCGCGGTGGCGCGACTCCTATGGCTGGAGGCTACGGCGGCCGCACACCCATGCACGGCGGCATGCCACCTCGCCCGCCTGCGCCTTACGGTGCACCACCACCTGGCTATGGCCAAGGCGGGTATGGTGGACCCCCTCCTCCTCCAGGACCTGGCGGTCCCAGTGGACAGCAGGGCGGCTCGTCGAGCGGTGGCGGTATGAACCCCGAGCGCGCAGCGATGATTGCAAGGGGACAGGGGGGTTATTAGATCGGAAGAGCATGGATGAGACGTGTACAAGTACAGTATTCAGATGATTTCAGATGCATGGCAGCATATGTGACCACGGGAGAGGAGAAAGTGAAGGCAACTTTCGTGTGCGCGATGCGCACTGGATAACGGCATTCGGGATGCTTCGACCGGCCTTTGAACCAGCGCTGCACATCATGCGAAGATTACGGCAAATGGGAGGCAAAAGGGGATGGCAAGGGGATTGCGGCAGATGGTCTTACCTCCGTCACATGAGGACTCGACACCAACCTTACTTGGCCCCAGATCCACGGCCAACAGCAACAGAACGACCCAACACTGTCCCCGAATCGATGAATTACGGCAACAGGACCCTGTATCGGATTCTGCGTCGTGTTTTGCGTGTTTAAGCACGCAGGACGCGAGCACTGTGGCCAGACATACAGAACGGAGGAAATGTTGAAATCAAGCGGGGCCTGGCGCGAGTCACATCGATGGACAATCAGGCGTGTTGGCACACAAGGACCTTCCAGCCCAGGACCCGACAGAGATCGTCTGAGTAGCATGAGCAGTGTGGAGCCATTGTTCTGGGCGGGTTGGGTCCAGACCGGGGGGTGCCGCCACGAAAAGGCACACTCGAACCTACACATCGTGGCAGCAAACATTTGGGTGGCGCAGGTGTTTACACATTATACCTCGGCCGTGTGCATGGACACAGAACCCACAATGGACTCGTGTCCACATGTCAATTCTGAGAGTATAACGCTGGACAATTCTCCGTGAATTCTCTTCACACTCCCACCAAGCGCAGAAAGCCGTACGACAAGTGGGTGCAGGATATCGGCTCCTCTGGACTGGGGCCAGCTTCAACCCGCTATACCTTGACGGCATCGCGCTAGCCGCAAAACACACCGTGGGCCCATGGACGGCAAGATACGGACGGATCAAGTGTGCTCTCGAGTGTACGGCGAAAGCCGGAGAACCAAATTGTGTAAATGCCTTCGCAGCCGCCTTTCGTCCTTCCTTCCTTCCTCCGGCCTCAACAGGAACCAGGTCCTGTCTCCTGTCACATCGACGCGTGCGACAAGGTTGAGGGTTCGTGACGGATTCGAGATCATCCTGGAGCCCAGTTCCAGCGCTTTGAGGTCTGCCCGCAGTAATCATGGGCGTTTCTATGTGCGTGGGTCGTCGCTCTCCACTGCCCCAGTCGCGTTGGACAGGGGACAAGGAACTGGACACTCTCTGATTGAGTTACATTCTCACACTTACCACTCGACTTTTCACCGTCCATGCTGTATGGTGCCCCCTATAGGCGGCACTCCGTACTATTTCTTTCACATTACCACTCCCACATGCCACGATTGAACTTTCCGTAAAAACGAGACGCACACACCGCAGTAGGCCTCGACGACGACGACACTACCACGACTCCCTCGCCCTCGCGCTCCCTCGTCGGGGTTATTCAAGCGACGACCGACTGGATGCCATTGCATTTTCATTGTCGACCATTAACGACTAGGGCGTTCCTCTTCATTACAGAATCACCAATACACTCCCATGACACCACGTAGGAGGCTTTACCAGGACCTCTCGCGACGAGGACATACCAAGGAGCTGGCCTGGTAAGTTGAATAGGTCGCGGTGCCACCAGAATGTGCTCACATAGCACCTGCAGGAGCTCGTCCGACGCGTTTGCGCCCATGCCCTTCCTCCTCATGGGGGACATCAACATGGACGGCAACCCCTTGAACAGCCCATTACTATTCTGCCACGTCCAGGACGCAGATCACATTGTTGGCCGGGTACGAGTGGGTGAGCTGCAGCAAATTGCCGTCCAAGGCCATCCAGAACCGGTGGTCGTCGATGGCTTGTGTTGCCACTACATTCCTCGGCTCAATCCTTGGCATAGTGAGCGCTGCGATGCAGACCTGTTCGCCGAGATTGGAACGATTATCAAGACATGCTTTGCGAGGACGGCCGACTTGAAGCGCCTGGAGAGCGGAAAAACTGGCGTCTTGGGAAAGACCCCTCCTCAGTTGACATTTGAAGCGAAGATGGGAGGTTGGTGGAGGAGAAAGAGCTAAGGTGGTGTACGTGTATTGGGGGAAGCTTTGGGTGGAGCAATCAGAAGGGCTCGGTGGACCTAACCTGAACTATGTAGAGAGTCGCTTCTCGTGTTTGTAGGAGGTTATATCAACGTGTGTGTATCACATCAAAGGAGTAAGGAGTAATGCGACGTCTGCGAACGGGGCTTGCCACTCGAGTTGCATACTGGCCACAGCATGTGGGAGTGGTTGGTGTGGGGTACAATGCAATACAGCTTTGACCATGAACAAGCCCTGGTCTCGATTCCGGTTGTGCTTAAGCTCCAAATGATGATTAGCCAGTCACCATCAGTCGTCGCGAGGGGACATACATTGTTTCCTCGGAAATGAGTACACAATGACAAAGGGTGCTCCTCCACTTCCTTATACCAACTGCACCGCTCAGTGCCACCAACGATGGTGCTGCTGCTGTCGGCTCACCAACCGATAACAACACTAAGGCGTGAGTGGCCATGGGGCTGTGAGTGGCCATGGGGCTGTGAGTGGCCATGGGGCTGTGAATGGCGACCGTCTTGTCAGGGCCTTCCGTTTACGTGAACAAAGGTGTAATATAAATCTGGCAACCTCAAGGGCAAGCAACGCCGTACTTTTTATTCGATCACGAGAAGAACTCCTAGTTAAACCCCCACCTCCACGGCAGTCTTCTTTTATTAGCTGTAGGACTATAGGAAGCCCTGTCTGGCAAGATATGTTCTGCCGCACGGTGGTAGAATTTAGTGAGCTATAAGTCGCCAAAAATGTGCCAATAATGTCGCCTTCCTTGAGCCGGTCATGCATCGGATGTCTCCCTCATAGGGGTTTCATACGAACGCTTGTCATGACGCACCCTCACCTTCCTTATAGCAGCTTGTCGCAAGTCTCAGCGGTATCTGGATAGGAATACCAAAACACCTCTCATTTATTGTCGCTTGTTAGCCCCTGGCTGCCCATTTAATTTTATTGCCTGCTTTAACATACCACCAAGCTGTATCGTAGTCGTCACTCTTTACCATCTTTCGACACTGGCCACTGGGCGGGCGTCTGTCACGTCCATGCTTGAATTCCCGCACGACTCCATACCCACCTCGACGAAGGAACAACTGTGTATCAGATTTGGAACCAAACAAAACCGGTGGCAAAAAACAACACGTCATTATGCCCAAAGATGAGGTGTTATCTCGACGCGCCTGATGTTGTTTCTCGCCCTTCCTTCTCCCAACCCACCTGCTCTTTCTTCAATTCTTGATCACATCTTGCACACCACTACCTACCCAACGCACGCGCAACGCACGCAGACAGCTAGCCATGCCGCCGGCTCGTCCGTGCGCCAATCCTCTCTTCCTGCAGTGGCTTGAAGGTGCGCCCCACTGGCCCTCGCGCGTCACCTCTCTGCATTCTTACTGACCGTCCAGAACTTCGCGACAGCGCGCGCGAAAAGGGTCTCAAGACTGCAGACGTCTACCAGAAGGGGTGTCGCTCACTTGCGGCATGTCCCATCGCGTATGACCGCCCCCGCCAGCTTGTCCAGCTGCAGGGTATTGGACCGAAGACCGTGGAGATCCTCGAGAAAAAGCTCAAGGCGCACTGTGAAGCAAATGACCTGCCCATGCCGGTGTCACCGCCAAGTGAGTTGGACATTCCCAGGTAGTTCTCAGCTCACATATCCAGAACGTGCACCCGCCCGCTCGCGCGCCCACGCTACGCCAGCGCTAGGCGACGATGACGACGACGAGGAAGACGAGACACCGCCACCACCGAAGAAGAAGAAGACGGCCGCTAAGCCAAAGGCCTACATTCCTCAACGAGGGTCAGGGCCATATGGCATTCTCATCGGCCTTCTTCTGTCCATCTCCAACCCGCAGGACACAATCCAGGTGTTCTTGACCAAAGGGGAGCTGATCCGTGCCGCCCAGCCCTACTCTGATAGCAGCTATGACCACAGCGAGCGTGGCAACTTCGCCACTGCGTGGAACGGCATGAAGACCCTCACAAGCAAGGGATATGTGATTGTGCAGGGGAGCCCTAGTCGGTACTGCCTGACAGAGGACGGATAGTGAGCTAGACAGCGAAGAACTCGTGATCTGACAACAGCGATGTCGCGGCGACCCTCAGGAACCTCCACCCCGACTTTGCCAACCACCCCAAGATCCCACCACTGGCACGCAACGACGAACCAGCTGGAGATGAACCACGGGCCAGCATGGAGCCTCGAGCTGCAGCGGGTTCGCCTTCCAAGTTTCTCTTCTGGTACATTGGTGAGTTGTCAAACCAGTTCGTTCAACTGATAACAGACTCCAAGGGCCAGCGAGTCAAGGAGGTATCATCGGCCCGCATGCGCCTCGACCCCGAGGAGTTTGTTGCCCTCCGACGTATCGAGTTCCGCGCCTCTCAGCGAAACCATGTAATCGTCTCGCAGCTGCGCATGGTCGATGCCGACGAGTCACTCAGCGCATCGGGCCTGTCAACCCTGTTTGCATACATTCTCGAAGATGGCGCACCACCTCGCTGCAGTTGCTTCAGCGACGAAGTAGAGTCGGCAGCCCCCTCGCCTGTTCGCCCCTCGACGCGTCCCTCCTTGGCACTGCCTGTGCCGGGTCCCTCCCGCCCACGCGCACCACGGCTTTCATCCCAGCTGCCACTTCTCAACGACACTCGTCCACCACCGCCAGCTGCCAATCAGTTCAAGACATCAGATGCCATAACCTTTCGTCATGGCTCGTACGAGATTGTCCTTGTACTGGACACGCGTGAAGTCGAGTCGAGGTCGAACCGTGACAAGATTGCGGAGAGCCTGGAAGCCAAAGGCGTCCGCGTCGAGACACGTGCTTTGCGCATGGGTGACATGTGCTGGGTAGCACGCAGGCTAGACGGCGACGGCGGCGAAGAGGACGAGTGCGTGCTCGACTACGTCATTGAACGCAAGCGCTTGGACGACCTGTGCTCTAGTATCCGCGATGGGCGGTACAACGAGCAGTGCTTCCGCCTGTCTCAATCTGGTGTCGGCAACGTCTTCTATGTGGTCGAAGACTGGCAGCTCGCCGGCGCCATGGAATCGCACGGCAAGCAGATCATGACCGCCAAATCCCAGATCCAGGTAGTCAACGGCTTCTTCCTCAAGGAAACCCACAAGCTGTTGGACACGATTGAGTTTCTCGCCATGATGACCCGCGTGATCATCAAGTCACACAGGGACCTCAAGGTCATTCCCAGCCGCTTCATTTCCCGGACCAGCTACTCTGCGCTGCAGCGCCGCCTCAGGACCGACCACTCCCCAACGGTTTACCTCACCTCGTTTGACGCGTACCAGGCCCTCAACGACAAGTCGGCGGCGCGGACCCTGCGTGAGGTGCTGGGCCGCATGCTCCTGTGCGTGCGCGGTATGAGCCCCGAGCGCGTTGCTGCCATCCTCGACAGATGGGAGACGCCTAGGCAGCTTTACGACGCCATGGTCGAGCGCGAGAAGAAGGGTGTGGTGGTGGACGGCAGGAAGAAGCGCGGACCAGAGCTGTTCTTTGCCGACGAAGTTCAGGGAGAGGGACGGCGTAAGATTGGAGATGCGCAAAGTAAAGAGGTGAGCTTTTTGGAACTGCCCACCAACACAGCTGACAGACAGTTGTGGAAGTGCCTCTGGGGCAACGACGCCGACCTCGACGATTAGGGGGCGCAGTGTATACTTTGGTGTCATGTTCTTGTAGCTTGCATAGTGTTTGTTGATAGCATTTACCAATGTCACATTCTCGAAGTCTGGAGCGTGCACTTGAGAACACGCGAGACACCTGACATACCAAGAGACGGCATCACAGGCACAAAGGGCAGGCACGTTGTTGAATCTTGGTTGTGAACACCAACCACTTTGTCTCTGCGATCGCCTTGGGTTTCCTTGGGTTGCTGGTACACGGATACATAGTCGTACAGATGAATGTACACTACCAAGGCCAGGTTGAAAGACTCTAACCGTCCCTTATAACACTAAAGATCTTTCAAGAAAGATGTTGTTGTGAAGACTTGAAAAACAAGAGTCGTTTGCGAGTTTTGCGAAGTTTAAATTGCTTGTGGTTGTTGGTAGTGGATAGGCGAGAAGTTTCCGAGATGTGATGAGAGAGGGGTGTCATGGGTGAACAGAAAAGAGAGGGAAAGTTGTCGACAAGAGAGACATGAGTGGATGTGGCGAGATGTCCATGCGGTGTCCGATGTTGTCTAGTGACAGCTCACGCAGAGCGATGGTCTGTGGTCTAGGTTGCCTAGTGGCGGGCGCTGCTGGGCGTGCGGATGAGAGTGAGGAACTCTTCGCGGGTCTTCTGCTGGGTGCGGAAGCAGCCGAGCATGGTGGAAGTGACGGTGGTGGCTCCGGGCTTTTGCACACCGCGCATGGTCATGCACATGTGGCTAGCCTCCATGACGACAGCGACACCACGGGGACGGATAGCCTCCATGATAGCCAGAGCGACCTGGCGAGTGAGGCGCTCCTGGACCTGCAGGCGACGAGCAAAGGTCTCGGAGATACGGGCGAGCTTGGACAGGCCAAGGACGAGCTTGTTGGGAATGTATCCGATGGAAATCTTGCCGGTGAAGGGAACCATGTGGTGCTCGCACAGCGAGTAGACGTCAATGTCACGCACAATGACCATCTCGTCGTGGTCCTCGGCAAAGACCGCATCGTTGATAACAGTTGCCAGACGCTCCTCGTAGCCCTTGGTCATCCACATGAGAGCGTGCGCGTAGCGCTCGGGAGTACGCAGCAGACCCTCACGGTCGGGGTCCTCGCCGATGCACTCGAGAACGGTACGGATCGCACCAGCCAGGACCTCAAGGTTGGCCGCCTGCTGCTCGGGGGTGGACTGGAGACGGAGGTGAGTCGACTTGGCTGGAAAGGAGACGTTAGCATCAGAAGCAAGAGTCCAACGAGTGCCTTATCGCGATTTCCAACTGGACCGCAACAAGATGCGATCGAGCTGACGATTTCCAAACTCACCAGGCCAGCCAAGACCGTACTGATCCACGATACCGCCCTCGGGGATGGTAGCGTCCTTGCCCACAGGTGCGGGAGCAGTGGTAGAGAGAGCGGCGCGGACCTCGTCGTTGAGCTGCTTGTCGTCGACCTCGGCGTCGTCGGTGGTCACCGGCTTGGCCTCGGGGGAGAGGAGCGCAGGCGCCGAGGGGGTGTTGGCACCAGAGTGCGGGCGGAAACCGTAGCCCTCACGAGGTGTACGCGGGTGGAGCGGGGACGAACGAGACTCGGAGCGGGCGGGGATGAGGGGGGCAGTGGCGGTAACAACCGAGGGACCGGCCGCAGCCTGGGTGGAGTCGACGGCGAGCTTGCGCATCGACGTCTCGAGGACCGAGGTTGTGTCCGGCGAGCGAGCGTTGGCAGAGCTGCGTCCGCGCTCCCATGAGCCGGTTGAGGACTCGAGGGCCTGGAGCTTGTCGAGGTTTTGGGTGGGAATGGGCTGGGCCGCCATAATGGTTGTTGTTGCAAGGTGTCGAAAGATTGTTGGAAAGTGTACGAGATACTGAGGGACTGGAGCACCACAAACGGGGCAGGTGCTGCGTGTGGAATGAGCTCACCCATCGCACATGATGCCGCATTTACGCATTTGTCTCGCGCCCGCCCTGGATCTCTCTGGCACGGCAGAGGTCTCCCACGGGTGGCAACCGTTTGACCGTGGGAGAGCCACATCGGGGTTATTGCTGAATTTCCCAACCGATTCAAACTCCGCGAGCAGGGAACCTGCAGAGCGCCTGGGGCTGGGTGTCGTTTGCTGGATGCCTTGTCCGTTGAGAGGTTTCCCATCCGTCAAGGACATCACTACCACTACCTCAAAATGGTGAGCATCAGCGACCCACTGCTGAGCTCGGAACCACCGACAACGACACACGACAGAAGAGCGACCGCCGACAGCGACAACGACCCGGGACTGCGAACTGGACGCTGGGCTGGAAAGGATGGGTTGGAAGATTCGCGGCGAAAGCAAGTTTCCTCACAATCTCACAATCTGCATCCCGACCTTGGCAGATTTGAGGAGCGCTTGCGTGAAACTGAGACAGTGCATGGCAGAGTGGACGCGATGGGGACGTTGGGGGAGCGATTGTACACGCTCTACGACCCGTTACCGGGCCGCAGAATGTGGAAGATACCTCCTCGCAGAGTCTGCCGACCTTGCAGATTTCAGCAATCGTCCTCAACCTTTATCCACTACTCTGTGCGCTGGCCTCCTGTCTCCCATGAGGCTGTACTCGCGAATCTCCCAGCACCATTACTCCATCCTGTCCCAAGGTCCTGGTCCTGTCGTTTGGCTGGTCACCTGTCTCGTGTGCCGTTGTCTGGGTTCCTTGCCCACCAGCAGGCATCCTCCTGGTGAACAACGTACTAACCCTCCATCCAGACCAAGCGCACTAAGAAGGTCGGCGTCACCGGAAAGTACGGTACCCGTTACGGTGCCTCGCTCCGTAAGACCGTCAAGAAGATGGAGATCACCCAGCACTCCCGCTACGCTTGCCCCTCGTGCGGCAAGGTGAGTAACAGGATCGACAACGCATAAAGAACATGTTCTGACTCTTTCTTCAGAACGCCGTCAAGCGCACTGCCGTCGGTATCTGGAAGTGCAAGGGCTGCGCCAAGCAGTACGCCGGTGGTGCCTACACCCTCGGCACGCCTTCGGCCGCCACTGTCCGCTCCACCATCCGCCGTCTCCGTGACGTCGTCGACGCCTAAGCGCGCGTTCTAGACGGATCACAGAGCATGTACGGTTGGATGTATAGCATTTCAGAGCCCAGATCAGAGCAGAGACACACAAAGAGCGCGATGGCGAGGCACAAGGGGCTATCGTACTGACGATGTTGAGAGGCGGTGAAAGTTGAACGGTGCGACTGTTATCTTGGTCATTGTCTGTGCGCTTTGCGAGGTTCCTTTGATCATTCTGAGGGGCATGCTGTGTTCTCCTAGATCCAAGTGTCCAGGTGCACTTGCTTGCCGTCTTGCTGGCCCATCACACCGCATGCCAATAGCTCTGGTCCATTAGTACAATAGTAGGGGCAAGGAAAAGAGTTTCAGAGCGGAATCAAATCGTCTCTGCTTGTGTCAGAGATCTGCGACGCGTCGGAAGTGCAATGTTGACGAATTGTGGTTATTGTTCACTGGCGACCGAACTCATATATCTTGCCACTGCTCTTCTTCCCATCTCACACACAATTCGCCCCATCGCACGGTTGGATACACCTCGTCTAACTGTCCAAGCACAGGTGACGCCGGCACACTCGTCACGACGTCACCATGCAGCCTCCATCCACCACACAGCCTGTAAGTTGTCGATCCACCCACCGCAACTGGACTTCAGCTGCAACCCCCCCGAGCGCACCACTAACATGACCAGCCTGTGGGAGACGCATCACTCCTATCAGCTATGCTTGCCTCGGCGGGCAACAACCAGATCGACATTGCAGCCCTCTTGGGCATGGCTCCCACTATCAACACTCCCGGAACGCCCGTTGGCCAGACGCGTTACGGCCGCACCGTTCGTGCACCCCCGGCCACTCCCGGCACTGCAGCGATGGCAATGGCGGCAGAATTGGGATCGCCCAGACCGGTAGTAGCTCCACCTTCAGCCCCACAGAGCGTGAGAGCAGCTGCGGTGGCAATGACACGCACCCCCAGCTCCACCAGTGAGGCGACGGGCATGTCTCGCGAAACGTCGCTGTCGACATCCCCCGCCCCTCCTGTCACTGCGTCCCAAACGAGCGCCAAATCTAAGCGGACTGTGCGCATTGCATCTCCCGCTGTCACTGCGGAGCCGCTGCCTGCCGCCCCCAGGAAGCGTGGACGTCCAAAGAAGGTTGTCAGTGAAGCCAATGCTGAGGCTCCGGACGCGACAGTCCAGCGCAGAAGCCGCGGCCGTCCAAGGACAAATAACCCAGAGGACCGCAAGGACTTGAACAAGGAATCTGCCCGCAGGAGTCGAGTGAAGAAGAAGGAGGAATTCGAGGCCCTGAGGAACCTCGTCGAGGCGCAAGAGAAGCAGATCAACAGCATGCGCCAACATTGCGACCACCTGGAGGACCAGTGAGTTACGCTCCAAGACTACGGGAGGACTGTCACTGATGCTGGCCAGTATTGAGCTCCTCCAAAAGACGATCAAGGTCAACAACATGCCCGTTCCGCCGCGCACTGTAAACCGCTGGGTAGATGAGCTGGACGAGGGCGAAGAGTACCCAGAGAATCCGACTAGGTATCCCCAGTCCTCAACTGGAGTTGCTCAGCCGAGGCAGCCATTGGAGCCTGTCTCTGTCCCGCAACCCGCACCGACGCCAGTGCCACAAGACTCTTCCAACCCCGGCAACCCCTGGCACCCCAGTCCTGGTGTCAGAGGCAGTGCCCAGTCTACCCCATCACATGTCGCTCCCCCCTTTACTTCCCGCCACACTCCCCATGCGGTCAGCTCGCCCGTTTCGCATGTGCGCGGTAGCGTGCACGAGACAGCGTCCACGCCCACCTCGTCAGCGCGTGACGAACCGGGAGCGTACTCTCCGGCTGCACGCCCGCATGCTCGTGACGGCAGGGCCAACGCCTTCCACCCGAAGGCAACCTTCTCCACCACCCCAGCCATGCCCAACAGCCTGCCCTCCGTCCCCAACCCGCTCGACGCGCCCACGGTGGTCGGCGATTTTGTGGGTGGAGACGACTACGATACCATGTCCATCTCTGCCCTCTTCGACCTCGATGCGGCAATGGAGGAGGACGACCCGAACGACACCAACTTTGTCCCGCCCACCAGTCCCAAGCACGACGGCTCAGATTACGAGAGCGATTTCGAAGAGGAACAGCCTTCACGCAAGCGTGCTCGTACCGAGTCTGATTCAGAGGACGACGAAGAGGACGCATTGGAGATCGAAGTCCACTACGACGACGACGAAGAAGAGGAAGACCTGTTCATGCCCATCGAGGACGTGCCGCACCCAGACCCAGCCGACCCCGAGACGGACAACCGTATCGCAGGGGTCATGGCTGCCCTGAAGGTACACACGTACAAGGAGCTGCGAGACAAGCTCGCCGGTATGGTGAATCAACAGAGCAGCCTGGCCCCGGAACAGGTCGAGATGGTCCGCCGTCTCTTGCTTGTGGCTAGGAGTAATGCCGAACATGAAGGCCAGCAAGGTAGCGCGGGTGACGACGGCGGCGAGATGTTTGAGGCAGAGGGCGAAGAGGTGGACGAGGAGGTCGATGACGACGAGGAGGATGGTGAAGAGTAGTGCCGTGTGTACACATCTGTTTATTTAGAGACGTTGTAGCCATCCATGTAAATCGAATTTCCAGTGAGTACACGTGTTCAGTCCAGCGAGCCTCACTCTGCTGCCTCGTCTCTCGCCGCGCGCGGGCTCTGAGTCATGATGTCGTCCATGCAAAATATGCTATGCTACCTTTCCCCGCACTGCCCACTAAGTAACGTTCTACTTGCGATCCTGGGACCTCTGGGGGTCCATGAGTCGCTGGCGGCGGTTAGGGCGCATACGCGGTGCGACACGCTGGTACCACTCCCACGAGAGGGACATGAGGTTTCCGTCCGCGTCGTATGGCGACGCAATCTCAGAGTAACCGGGACGAGCGGTGGGGTGGCGGACGTAGACGCCCGAGCAGGTCAGGTAGGAAGGGAGGATGTAAGCGGGGACGAAGAGCAGGGCCTGGGCGTAGTCCGGGAGCTTGAAGTAGGAAGGGTCCGACGGGTCCATGGCGTCAAAGACCGAGGTGTCGACGGTGACGTGCGAGCCAGACGCGGTGACCCGGGTGTCGGTGGAAGTGGGGGCAGGGGGAGGGGCAGACGCCTCGGCAGCGACGGCAGCGACCTCGGCTTCGGCAGCCTCAGCCGTCTCCTCGGCGGCTTGAGCCTCGGTGACCTCTGCGGCCTCCTCGGTAGCCTCCTCGGTGGCCTTGGCCTTGGCCTGCTTCTTGGAGGCTTTTGGCCTCTGGAGCATCTGGATGACGTTGGGGTTGATCGAGAACAGGTCTCCGGGGTTCATGAGGGTGTTGGCGTTGCGCACGACCTTGCCGTTGAGCTTGACGTGGCCGCCGAGGACGTACGAGCGCGCAGTCCAGACGGAAGGAGCAAAGCAGGCGCGGAAAATGACAACGTCCAGACGACGCTCAGTCTCAGTGAACATCATGGTGCCGACGGGGGTACGTCCGTCCTTCTCCATCTGCTCGACCTTCCTCTCGTGTGCGGTCCTGCCACCGGCACGCTGGCGTCCCTCGACCCACTTGGAGATCTCGCCAGTCGACGCACCGCTCTGGTCACCGTGGGTGATGAGAGGGAGTGAGTCGGGAAGGTACCAACGCTCAAAGGCGCGGGCACCAATGTGGTCACCGTGGTAGCCCTTGGTCAAGCGCTTGGCGAGGAAACGCTGCTGGTAAATGGTCTTGGGCGACTTGGAGAAGTCGGTCTCCCTAGCCTTGGGCGACTGCGTGGCCGTACGCTGCCAGGTGTTGAACACGTTCTCGACGGCCCATGACTGTTACAACTGTTAGCTATATGTGGGTATGTGGAGTATGGTTGTAGCATTGAAGCACGCGCGGCGCGGTTGTTTCCGACAACACGGGCAACGAAAAGAGTCGGAAGGGGGAGGAAGGAGACGCACCATGCGGGGGACAGCGCGGACCTGGTTGAAGGGCTTGCGGATAGCCACCGGACGCATCGGCATGGTGGGCGAGGTGTGTTGTTTTTGGAGGTGGTGGACCAGACGAGGTGTAGGTAGTGTGACCTCGCTGTGTGTCTATGGTGGTCGACTGCTCGCTGCTCGCGCTCGAACTGGTGTCTCCGGCCACAAAAAGTCAGATCGACATCACGCACGCGAAACCCACGTGTGAGGGCGGGATTATATGCGACCCATCCCGTCGCGCGAGTGTGGCACTTTTTGTAATACCAAGTGTTAATGGCAGCCCGTTTCAGCTCGCGGGCCTAGTGTGTTTTGTGCCCCGCTAATGAAGACGCCGCGCGCAAGCGGAGCCACAGAGATGCACAGATCCACAGACATCATGTGAGCTGCGAAGCATCCTCCTACATTGTGGCGGCGGCTGTCGTGTGAGCGGCGTGCAGTCGAGACGTGAGAGGCAAGAGCCAGTCATTCTCGCTCGTTTGCCGTGTCCCGTCCACGCAAACGAGGTGCAACGGATGGTGATGAGCGGTAAAAGCCCCACCCAGGCCACCCACCCGCGGGTCCCCCAGATAGGGAAAACCTCCACACCAACATCCGGGTGGTTACCGGGGCAAGCCGGTCAACAGTTTGGTCCTCAACACACCACTGTCCTCCCATCAGCGTTCTCGCAGGTCGGAACAAGGGCTGGCGATACGCAAGACGCAGCACGCAATGACACAGGCGCGCAGCAGAAGAAGAAGGCGAGGAACGGGGGCAATGCATGCATACATGGCGGAGGGGTCTGCTAGGGAACGAAGTGTTGCCGCCGCCGCCGCCGCCGGTGAAAGCTCGGTGGATTGGCGGCAACGAAGCGGACCCGCCAGTGAAGCCCAGCTAAGGGCACATGGTCTCTCTCGCTCTGTCCGTTGATCCCACCTCATTGCGAACAGGTCGCGACCCAACCCGCTGCCTAGTCCTCCATCGCACTCGCCGACAGCACAACTGTGCCATCCACTCCTCCACCATCCCCGGCACCCCGGCACCCCCTCCCCCCCCCCTGACTCGACCACCTCGGTATTCGGTCGGCGCTTCTCCTGTGCCGCCGCGTGCTCGACTCCACTGGCCACTTGGCAGTGTGCCACCGGGCTGACCAACTCCCTCCCACCTCACCACATCCACCCCCTCCTCCTCCCCCCACCCACAGCCACCCACCACCCTCTCCCCCATGCCGGACATCTCGCCGGCTAGCCTCGGTGAATCGTCGCGCTCTGGCGCCGCAGACCCGTCTCCATCCGGGGCCGACTCGTCGACGGATGTTGGTGGATCAAGCTCAAAGCGCGCAGGCAACGAAGCCGCAAAAGACGAGGACCCCGGCTCGCCGCCGCCCAAGAAGCAAAAGTTCTCCCGTTCACGCACAGCGTGTCTGCAGGTAAGGCTCCCACCATCACCGTCGGTGGCGGAGTGACTGAGAAGCACGCCTTTCGCGCTCTGTGTTTGCCCGGGGCGCGTGCCGCTCGGCCCGGCTCGCAGTTCACGCGCTCGCTCCGTTGCTCCGTCGACTAACTCCGTCGACCATCAGACTGACGCCGCAGTGTCGTTCCCGGAAGTCCAAGTGCGGCGCGCTCCCGCCTGACCCGTGTCCCAACTGTATTGAAGCCGACCTGCCGTGTCAGTGGCCAACAGAGGACGGTCGTTCGTCCAAGGCCAGGCTGCAGCGGTACCGCAGCGCGCAGATTCAAGCGATGGGCGGACGCGGAGACATCGACATGAAGCCCGATCTCGGCGCTGTACCAACTTCAGGAAGCAGCGGCGTGGCTGTTGCTTCTGGAGTGGGCAGCGTTGCACCGCAGGACCTGCTGGGCGAGGGATGGCTTGACCGTCTTCTTGCAGGCGGATCGCCCGCGTACTCCAATGCTACTGCTGGGGCGAGCAGTACGACCCCGCGTGCTCCTTTCCAACAGTTTACCAACCCGATCGTGCCGCAACAACAGCAGCAGCAGCCACAGCGTTTCCCGTTTTCTCCCACTGGAGGAGGGGCTGCTGAAAGCCAGTTTGCCGCCCCGCTCGGTATGCCTGCCCAAGTGTCGACTCCAGGCTTCTTCCAGCAGTTTGCCAACCAGAACTCGGTAGACCCAGCGCAGTTTGTGTGGGCCGTCTCTTCGCGCCTCCCCACGGTCGAGGAAGGAAGCCCCAACGATGAGCGCAGCATCGCTTCGGACCCATCCCCTGCCAACATGGATCCTGTACAGCGCGCGGCGCGCCAGGCTGCACGAGACGCCAAGGACAAGCGCGAAGAGGGCAAGACCGTCAAGGTGTCGTGGTGGCGTCCACATGGACAGACGGCTATCGCGCCTGGTTTGAAGAAGATTACCCTCAAGGTGCGCGTCAACACACCACAGGACACATGGCAGAAGGCGTCCCCGCAAGTGACAGTTCCCGGCCCCGGGGATACTCCGCAAGAGCTCATTACGACCGACGGCATGCCGTCTGTCATCATCATGCGCCACCTACTGGACGTTTTCATGACGCACTTTGGGTCCCAGTTCCCGTTCATCGACCGCACAGATCTTGAGGCCAAGATTGACGCAAGAACGGGATCCGTCTTCCTCCTGCTCAGCATCGCGGCCATTGCTGCCAGGTGAGTTTGGCCAAACACGGCTTGAACTGACGTCAGATTCTCAACCCACCCTGCGATCGCCCTGCCTGACCTCCAGCCATACGAGTACGGCAATGTGTTCTATACCCGCGCCAAGGCATTGCTCGGCTCCATGCTGGGTATCCCATCGCGCGAGACGGTCGCCGCCTTTGTGCTCCTTGCGCACATGGGCTTTGCCGCGGACTCGGAGTGCGAGGTCTGGATGATGACCGGTCTGGCAGTGCGCATGTCCATTGACTGTGGTCTGCACATGACCCCGCCGCAGGACTCGAGCATGTCGGCCGACGACCGTCGTCTGAACAGGCTGGTGTTCTGGTCCGTGCTACTCATGGACTATGCCCTGTCCTTTGGCGTCGGTCGCCAGACTGCCTTCCGCCCAGACGACATTACCCAGACTTTGCCGACAGACGAGGACCTCAACCCCGCATCGGCATGCACACCAACCGCGGCTGACACGCCCCGCTCACCCTTCCTGTTTGCAACCAAGATGATGCTGTCGTATGGCCCGCTCATCAACATGCTCAACCGCGGACGCGGCGGTGACCGCGACGTCAACGCAGCTCGTGCAGCAGCCATTCGCGAGTACAACCGTCTGCCGGCAGACATGCAATGGAACGTAGGCAACCTGCAACGCCATTCGCGCAACAACCAGGGCTCCATCTTCCTCCACCTGCATCTCTGGATGCACACTATCATTGTGAGCTGGCAGTTCCGTGTTCGCAAGCTGACATTTCAGGCGTCTGGGTACCTCACCGGCTCCAACCTGTTGCGGCGGCAAGCGATGGACAAGCCAGTCAAGGCTGGCCAGGCCGGACTGCGGAGCGGTGCTGTCACGCCCAACACTGCGACTACGAGTTCGCTGTGGCGCAACTCGGCGCGCACGATTGGCGACATTCTGGTCCTGTCCGACATTATCAACCCGTACGCATACTTTGCGCTCCCGTTTGTCAACCAGGCCTTCTTCGTCGCTGGATGCTGCTACGTCAAGGGTACGTTGTTAGGTGCAGGTCGCCGCTAACGTCTCAGAAATAGAACAACATGCGCTTCTCCAGAGTCTCCCTGCGTCGCGCTCGGGATCACGAGCAGGCTCGCGCGCCACTTCGCCAAACCACAGTGGCCCCTCGCCGGCCAACAACCTGACCGTCCCAGGGCTGAGCATGACGAGCATGACCCATCACAACAGCAACGGCGACAAGGAGCATAACGGCGGCGGCGGCGACGATGACGACGAGTCCAACGGACACCAGGAGTCTGAGACGAGCGCGGTTGAGGAGGTCGCCCCGCGCGCGGGTGTCGACCTGTCGCGCGCTCTCCTCACGTCTGTGGCAACCACCAACATCTCCACGTTGCAGCAAGGACTCGCCAAGCTGGCAAAATACTGGTACGGCGCCGAGTGGATTGCCGGCACGCTCCAGCAGCGCATCGAGGGCATCCACGACGTGGACCTCGTGTCTGTGCGCGAAAACTTTGCGTCGTTTGTCTCGTTGCCCGATGCCGGCCTCGTGCGTGCTGGCGCAGCCGAGTCGACTCCAGCCCCGCACGACATTGAGACGCCGTTCGTCCCCGAGATGGACCTCGGCGACCTCGATTTCCTGTCCTTGCCCTTTGACCTGGGTGTCGAGGGAAGCGCGAACGTGGTGGAGACAGAGGTATCTATTCCCCAAGTGTTCCCTCCAAGTTGGGTACGTTAGGGCGGGCATAGAAACCAGAGAAAGAGAAGCAACAAAGAAGTATTTTTATTTTAGCCCGGGACGAGGAGACTGTAACACAATCTGCATAATCTACTTTTTTGCTCACACTGTCGTTGTCTCTAACCTAATTTACTCGATGAGATCCATGACCATGCCGGCCGCAATGGTCTCGCCTGCCCGGCGAATGAGGACGCGGCCCATCTCCTTGTTATCCTGTGCTGTCTCGAGCGGGATCGTGGCTGGCCGACCACCTCCACGCGATGCGCGGAGCGTAATCTCCACCGTGGCGGTGGTGCCCTTTTGCAGGACACGGGGGTTCTTTTTGGTGACCTGGCCGCGCTCCGAGATGGAGAGCAGCTTGGTGAAGGTCGCAGGAAGGTTGACCGAGTGGTGGAACACTTCGACGGCGGTTCCGGGAATGATCGGGGTCGAGACGTCAAACACGAGGATCTGCGCGGTGAACTTGGACACGAGGCGGACGGGCCGGCTGGGAGGGCACAGCACGCTGCCGATGGCCAGCTGGTTGGCGTCCACGTTGGCGAGGTACAAGGTGACGTTTTGGCCCGCGACGGCGTAGGGGGCTGTGTCGTCGTCGACCTCGATGGCTGGAGAGTTAGCTGCTGGTGCCAGCGATGTCATTTCAGCTACTCACTCCTGACGTTTGCGACACAGTCGCCGGGGCAACCACGGACGCTGTCGCCGACCTGGACGACACCACTCGCCAGACGGCCCTGCACAGCCACACCTGACGCAACGGCCGTCTGGCCGCGGAAGACGTTCGAGAGCGGAATACGCAGTGGCGCAGCGAACGGCCGCTCGGGCACGTCAACCTTGTCGAGCGAGTCGATGAGGGTGGGGCCCTGGTACCAGCTGGCCTCCTCAGGAAGCGGCTGCGTAGCAGCGACGTTGAGACCGTCCATGGCTGCGAGGGGAAGGAACACGGTCTTTGTGGCTGCGAACCCTGCCGACGCCAGGAAGGGTTTGAGCGCATCGACAATGTCGTCGTACCTGTCCTGGCTCCAGTTGACCATGTCCATCTTGTTGACGCCGACAATGATCTCCTTAACACCGAGGGAACGGACAAGCCAAGCGTGCTCGCGGGTCTGGCCACCGCGCTCAAAGCCCGCCTCAAACTCTCCAGGCGAGCCGTCGACGACCATGAGCGCCACGTCGGCCTGGGCCGCGCCCGAGATCATGGCTGGGATGAAATCGCGGTGACCAGGAGCGTCGAGCAAGGTGACGTTGCGGTGGCCCGTCTCAAAGTGCGTTGTGGCAATGTCAATGGTCACACCGCGGTCGCGCTCGTCACCCAGCGCGTCGAGACCCCACGCAAACGCAAACGAGCCCTTGCCGACACGCTTGCTGCCGCGCTCGTTCTTCTCCTTTTCCCTCTCACTCATCTCGCCAATGTCGTACAGCAGGCGGCCCATCAGTGTCGACTTGCCCGCGTCAACGTGGCCTGGGATGTGAGTTGAATGAAAGAGGACAGCCTTCAACTTACCAACAACAATCAAGCTGTAACTAGCCTTGCCGCTCTTCTCCTCGTCGGCCTTGACCTTGGCGATAACCTCTTCTTGCTTCATGCTCGGCACAAAGTGCTCCTTGAACTTTTCACGCTCGCGCGCAAGCTCTGCTTCGTCGACAGTGTCATCGCCCAAGTGGAGACCAGCCATGTCCGACTGGGTAGCCGCGAGCGGCGTAGACGGACCCTTGCGCGGCGTGCTAGACACAGAGCCCGGCTTGCTGCTAGACCCAGGAGACGATGCCCGAGAGCCGGGGTGCTCCTGTACCCGCTGCTTGGCGGGGAGGGATTTGGAGCGCGCGGTCGGAGGAGGTGCGTTGGCTTTTGCAACTGTTGGAGATCATGTGGTTAGCGCCATCGCGACTGGGATAATATAACGTGTGCGGAATGTGCGGAAACGTGTGCGAGAGTGAGTCTTGTGCGAGTCGCGAGGAGACATCAGAGTTGACATCTCGACTCGACTAGCTATTGTCCACCTTGGGCGCGTCCTTTGACAGCACCAGGCTTGGACTTTGGTGGAACGGCTCCTCCAGATCCTTTGGTGGGTTTCGATGCCGGCTCCGAAGTTGGTCGACTCGGGTCCGGACGATGAGGCTTGTTACTGCTGCCCCCGTTGCTGGCACTGGCCTTCTTGGGTTTGCCAGATGCCACTTTGGGTTCGCCCTTGTCCTTCTTCTGTTTGGTGCTAACCGCCGCCTTGTCGAACTCGCTCGCCACTGGCGCCGCCGGTGCGGGCGCCTTTGCCGAGCGCTTCTCCACCTTGACAGCCTTTTGCTCGCTGGGAGCGACCTCGCCAGTGCCCGCGCGGCCATCCCGCATGCGAAGTACAATGTCGTCGGGGCTTTCAGTTCCCGGTCCAAAGGCTTCACGGACGCGGCCAACGGCGGCAGCCGGGTCGCCTCGAACTGCAATGTGCATGTTCTCGAGGGAAGGTGGCTCAGGAGGACCCAGTTCGGGGGAATGGGATGTAAGAATGTCGAAGAAGGTAGAGGTGGAGGCTTTGTGAGGAACTGTGGTGGATGAAGAGGGGAGGAAAGACCACATGTCGTCGACTGGTTCGATGACAACCGTCTCGGGAGCGTCTTGAGGAGCAGCAGTGGCACCAGCCGCGGATGACTCGGCTTTGGTGGCGACGCCAGCTTCACGGGCGGCGCGAGCGGCGGCCATCTTCTGCGCGAGCTTCGAGAGTGGCTTGACAGGGGAGGGCGCGACGATCTCCGTTGCAGATGTGGGGCCGGCAGCCGGGGAAGGCGGTGCGCTCACTGGTTCAGCCGTCGCCACTGGGCTGGGAGAGGCAGGTAGACCTGGGGAGGGTACACCTGACCCAGTTCCCGCAGCAGCAGCAGCCTCTCGCCTCTTCTGCGCCAGAAGAGCGAGCTTTGAGACAGGCTTGGCGGGGGAATCAGCCAAAGGAGGAGGCGTGCCGGTGGGAGATGGCGACGAGCTCTGAACGGCTGACGGCGCGCGCGATGCAGCTGCCGAGTTGGAGGCGCTTGCCGCCTGCTTCCTGGCGAGCTGTAGGCGCTGGAGTGCAGTGAGAGGCGGAGAAGGCGATGGTGCAGCCTCGGGAGCAGCGGTGGGGGCGACAGCGGGACGAGGAACCACCTTCCTCTGGCGGCGCAGACGTGGTCGGGGTTGTTGCTCAGGTGTCGGCTCGAGCTCCGGGGGCGTGGGCCCGCCTGTCGAGCTCAGTCGCGGACTCGGGGACGGACGTGGACGTGGAATAGAGGTGGACTAGACGAGTTCTCGTGTCCGAGTTGCTGCTCTGGCCGGCTGCTGGGGGCAAGGGGCACCAGGAAGAGGGACACTGACTCGCAGACACTCGCACACAAAGAAGAAAGGAGAGGGGAGGGGGAAGGGTGTGGCAGGACAGAGCAAAAACAAAACTGGTACGTACCCTTCTTTTCCCACTCTTTGCGCAACCAGGATACAGTCTTGTCAACATCGAACCAGTAATGCCAGAGCGAGTCCTGGATTTCGGCGTCGGTCAATGGTGGTTTGATGTCCTTGAGCTGAGCGCGCGCGGAGACGAGAGCCGAGGCCATTTGGGCTTGGCAGTGTTAGCATTGTGCCATCGACTCATCCCTAGATCATGCTCACCACGCTCGGTGTCGTCCATGCCATCATTGGGCTCCTCGTCGGAGCCGTATTCGTCATGTGCTCCATCATGGAAGTACTCGTCGTCGGACGCTTGGTCGGCGGCGAGCTCAGCTGACAGAGTGTCAGCATGCAACAGTGGCTACCCAACACCTTGTTTACCTACCACCGAGGTCAAGATTCCTGACGTAGCGATGCCTGGACATGGTTGGATATGTGTGTGTAAAGTTAAAATGAGCGCAAACTTGTTGCAACAATGAGTTAACGCGGAGCCCGAGACGCTCCTCAAAGCGTCATGCGCCAGGTCTCGCCAGCCAGTGGCAAAGGCGAGTTAAGAATATATGGACGATCCCTGCAATTAGTAAATATAATTCTAAATCCAATTACAAACGCGTCGTTCCCAAGCCAAGCCGGCAAATGGTGGAATCCTGGATCGACCACCACTGCTCGCCTCGAGCTCCCTGCACCCTGGCTCTCATCGGCCACCTGCGCCACGCCAGGTTCCCGCCGCTGCGGCCGTGGTGGTGTGAGAGCCGGCGCGGCTCCGTGAGCGGCAACTGTGTGGTGTGGGTGCACAAGCAATACATGTGGAGGGTTTGAACGGAGCCATCCGACACAGAGACCAGAGATACGATGGACGGCTCGTGGGTGAAGCGGGGGGTGCATCTTGGGGACTCTACAACGCCCAGGCGGTACCAATCCATCCACATGCCACCGCGTTGTGCGCCTTCTGGGGATGTCTCTTGGGAACGACGCGTTACACGTTTCGCACGCATTATTGCTGGCCACTACAGCCTCCTCTGTCTACTGTACGCTACTGTACAGCCCAACCTCGTCTGTTCATTCCATTTACTGCCTCTTCTTGATGCGAACTGGAACGTTGGGAGCTGGGATGAAGCCCAGGAGACCAAACACGAGCGTATACACGGCCGTCGCTGTTTTGCACATGAGCACACTGCACACTGTCCTGCCCACCTAGAATGAAGCAACTCACCTCCAGCCATGGCGCCCATGACACCGAGCCCAGGCTTGACGTTTTCGACGTTGAGGGCATCGCGGATCGCGTCGCGGATCGGCCCTCCGGGGACAGGGTTCGCGGCATGGCTAAGCGCGCAAACGAGTAGCGTCCATCCGAGGAGGATCGAGGTCGTGAGGGCCTACGGGACGAGTTAGCACGTTCGACGCGTGTTGTCAGGCTGCAGGACGTCATCCCCAGCAAGTGCGGTGCACATGGTGCTCTGTTTGCTATATCTCGGCATACGACAGACGCTCCTCGCTGCACGAGATCCGCATCACCGCAGCACCGCAGCACGTTGTGACCGTCGCCAACGTGCCAACGCGAGATCTTGAAACTCACTGGCACAATGACGCGAAGTCGACGCGACGCTTGCCATTTAGGGTACTGTGGGAGGCGTGAGCACATTGTTGTCGTGAGATACGTGGCAGTGAGGGCTACACGAGTCTGGCCGCCGTGATGTCACTTACATTGGGGATGTAGCCCCTCACCCATGGAAGGAAGAGCGTAAGGTAGAGGAAGAAGACCTGACGTCAGCTTGTGCAAAGGAGAGGACAGATACGCACAATAGTGAGCCCCTGCAGGCCAATATGAGCCTTCAGCATGCGCCTATGGTGTCAGTATCTCGTGGAGTATCTCGTGGAGTATCTCGTGGGGATCGTGCACATCTGTTCTTGCCGCGCGCGTGGGGGCCAACGTTGAGAGCCTGCATTTGTCCCCAACCGCGCTCGCTGCTGGGGCGCCAAAACACACGTTTCCCCACCATTGTGCGCATGTGCGATCCTGTCGCGGTGGCGACTGACAGCGACCGCATGCGTCTTGCAAGCATGCTGAGATACTCACTTTGCCCATCCATCTTCGCCGTCAAGAACGTTCTCGGCAGCAGCGCGCAGGTCGAGCCACCAGATGCCCGCGGCACCGGCAGCAACGTACTTGCCGTGCTTGAGGAGCGCGAGGACGATACGCGTTGGACTCATCCTGGAACGACGACGGTCCACGGCTGCCAGTGTGCTCTGCGACTGGCGACGCTGGCGTGATGGGCCCGGGACTGGGCCTGTGGACGAGGGTTGGTCTGTGGCCATGGTTGTGGAGATGGTGGGGTGTAGGTGGATGGATAGAGCAACAGACAAACAGGAATTAGGAACGCGCACCGGCCCCCATGCTTGTTGTCGGATTTCAATGTTGGTTTGGGGTGTACGGCCGGAATAACTGCCCACGACGCTTTTGGGTGTCCATTGACGTCACACACAGGTCGCGAATAACAACAGCAAATAACAATGGGTATCCTATACACGACTGCATATGCAAACACTATCTCTACCAGACCTTGAGGGGCTCAGCCTGCTCGTTCGGCTCCTCGAACACGTTGATCGACCACCTACGCAGTCAGTCATGCAGCCACTGTCGCTAAAAACGTGCGCGGGGACGCCGGCGGCGCGACAAAGGGCTTGTGGGCAATGGCCCCGCCCTGACGACGCCGCACCACCACAACCAGTCATGGTCTTTGTCTTTCCCAACCACGTCCTGCGGAAACTCACTTGGGGTTGTACTCGCTGGGAGTGTTGGCACGGACACGGTGGGCCTTGCCCCACGCGCTGAGCTCCTCGTAATCAGCGTCCGAGAGGTCAAAGGTCTCAAAGTTGGACTGGGCGGCGTCAGCAAGGAACCGGAACACACAAGCCCGACAGTGGCGGGAGATCGACGCAGCCGAGTGTCACCTCGTTCCGAGGCTTCCGACCACACCAGATCCCCATGTGTTATCTGGGGCCGAGATTTCTGCATATTTCTGATTCAAGTGACTCACAGCAATGCGGGAGGGGGTCACGCTCTTGGGGATGACACAGAAGCCGCTCTTGGTGGCCCAGGCAATGAGGACCTGTGCAGGCTCCTTGCCGAGACGCTTGGCAATGTCCTTGACGGCAGGCGAGTCAATCACGCGGTCCTTGCCGGTAATGTTGTTGCCTGGAATGTCAACGAGTAATCTACAGAGCAGTAGTGTCAAGACACGTACCGAGGGGGCTGTAGGCGGTGATCACGATGCCCTTCTGCTTGCAGTACTCGAAGAGCTCGGGCTGGATGAGCGAGGGGTGGGCCTCAATCTGGTTCATGGCCGGGACGACGCCAGTGGCCTTGATGATGGTCTCGAGCTGGGCAACGTTGAAGTTGGACACACCAATCGCGCGGACCTTGTTGGTCTCCTTGTAGATGCGAACAAGCTCGGCCCAAGTGGCAGCAATACCGGGAGCCTCAGTGTCAATGGCGACCGACTTGCCGTCGGCGTTCTTGGGGGCGAGCTCCGGACCGGGCTTGAAGGCGACAGGCCAGTGAATAAGGTAGACGTCAAGGTAAGGAGTGACGAGCTGCTTGAGGGTGGTGTCGAGGTCGGCCTCGACGAGCTCTGGGCGGTGCGAGTTGTTCCAGAGCTTGGAGACGATGGTGAGGTCCTCGCGCTTCACGTTGCTGTCACGAATGATACCTTCGGCAACCTGAAAGTCAGCTCGGCGACGAAGGAGTGGAATATGAGCTCTAACGCCAACTCACCTCGTTCTGGTTGCCTGAACACAAGAGTCAGTTTGAACTCTGGCGATTATGGCAGTAACATACCGTAGATCTGCCCGTTAGCCAAGAGTTCACCCAGTCCCAGTAGCTCACCAAAGCAGCGTCAATGTGACGGTAGCCGACCTTGATGGCCTCAGCGACGCTTCTTGTCAGTACCTTTGTCTGTTCGCAAATAGCTTACGCCTTCTCGACCTGGGGAAGTCAGCTTTAGGCCAAAGGGCTGTAACACACCTCTCCGGGCGCGGCCTGCCAAGTGCCGAAACCAATCTGGGGCACCTTGACGCCGTTGTTACTGCCAATGTTAGCTTTCCGGGCGGACGGAGCAGCTTACAGAGTGAGAGTACGACCGAGGGACATTGTGGATGATGAAGCTAGAGTATGTGTCTTTTGTGAAGATATGAACGAAGAAGAGATGGAACAAGATCGAAAAAGCAACACTGTCTGGAAGGCCAAGATGCGTGGGGGGTGGGTATGGTTGGGGGTCTCGACGACGCGACAGTCCAGGGTTATGACGTTTTTTGGTCGCCGGTGTCATTTGCAGGCTGGACGTTGCTGACTGCCGCCTGGGCCCTGTTCCGGGTGTAGTCTCGGCAGCTGGGCCAAATCGGCAGTGTTCCCCAACGGCCAGCGGCCAGCGACGGGTTCAAGCGGCTAACAACGAGGTTGTTCCATGCAAGGCCAAGCAGGGTATGAACCTCGGCGCATACATGGCAGCCATATGGACATCTAAGTAGGTCTGGCAACTCTGACGGAAGGACGGGCGGCAGTTGACGGCGGTCACCGATCGGCGACCCCCATTGGACGCGCATGCCTGGCGAGGCGGCCGCCGCCGGCACATGAAGCGGTACGTTGGGCTGCGGCGACAGCCCATGTGAGCCCATGTGAGACTTGGAGAATGGGGGTTTTAGTCGTGGTAGAACTTGTTAAACTTCTCCACAAGTGCAGAGTCGTCCTGACGGTCAATGTTTATCGCAGAAGGGTGGAACGTACGCGGTACCGCTGCTGGAAACCGGTAAAACCCTCACGGAGGACGAGGATATCCTGCTCGGGAGCCTCGTCCTTGAGGATCAACCTGCGGGCCTCGGCGTAGCGCTGTGGTGAATGAGAGATGCAGCGAAGGACGGGAGAGCACGGTGTGACACATTGTTGGATGAGTTAAGAGATGGCGAGTCAGTGACGAGCTAGGACTCAGGAGAACTCCAGCTCTAGCGACTCACACGAGCGGCCTTGGGACCCCTTCCATTAGCACTGTATCGTACATCAAACACTCACCGGACTTGGGACAGCGCACAGTCTGGCCGTCAGCAAGGCGCACGTGAAGGCATTAGCTGGACTAACGGAATACGATCTGGGGCACTGGTCTGTCAGCTTCGGGCGAAGGTTGAGCAGCTAAGAACGGGTGCCACGGCTCTGCAGCCCGTCTGCACCACACACTCACCGTCCTGGGCACGCTTAACGAGGTCATCAAGGCTGGTGATGAACGAGTCGCTCGGGTAGTTGGCCGCGCCGACAATGTTTCCACCCTGCATGTCAGCTTGGCGCCTGCGTACTGAAGGACCACTAGGCAGACACTGTGATTCACCGAACAACGAGAGGGGAGGATGTACAAGACTGGAGGCCGGTTGGACATTGACAACCACGGCCGTTTGTTGACATGGACTATCCCTGCTTTCCCCGCACTGTAGCACAACATCTGCACGCACTCCGCGGTCACTCACCGCAAAATCGCTATCCCGCACGTCAATCACTGCCCATGAGCGGAACGCGCCTCCGGGGGCAGACTTGAGGATGGCCGCCAGCTCGGTCGCGGAGATGTACCGGAACGCAGGTGTGAGGGACATGGTGTGGAGCGAGGAAGACGGTTGTGCGCGGCTGATGGCGATATGAGGCGCGATCTGGAGTAGGGAGGTGGAATCAGACGCTGCAAGTCGCACCGATGGTGCAAGAGCTATTCCTTTTGGCCAGTCTATTGTTTCTGATACATATGTTTCTGCCTTTCTACTGTGTGTCCCATGCATGCTTGCGGTCATTGCTTGCTGCTGCATAAAGGACGCGCATGGGAAACCTCCACCACCGGCCACCACGCTGGTGGGTCCGCGGGACCAATTGAATGGCTCTGGAATTGTCAGCTCGCTCAGCGACTCGGATGCGGGCGGCAATGTTCGGACGCTCACCAACACCTCTTTGGAAACACAAATATCTCCCATCCAACCCAACCATGTTTGCCCGCGCCGGCCTCCGCACACTCGTAAGCTGACGTTCTCTTATCTCAGCTGACAACCAGCACGCCCTCCCCCGCGCCCAGGTCGCTCGCGCGACTCTGCAGCTCGCCCAGCGCCGTTCGCTCTCGGACGAGGCTCGCAAGCTGATTGACGACGTTAGTCACCCACCTGCATGACGAGAGAGAGACAAAGTACTGACAGCTGGGTCCAGGCTGTCAACAAGAACACCCTTGTCGTGTTCATGAAGGGCTCGCCCGAGGCCCCCCAGTGTGGTTTCTCGCGCGCTGTCTGCCAGATCCTCGAGGTTCAGGTATGTGTTTTTGCTTTCAATCCCGCGCACATCGGCTGCCTTCGGGGTCGCTTTCTCAGCTAGCGCGGACAAGGGGAGGTTAGCTGACAGACTCCCAGGGTGTTCCCCGTGAGAAGATCATGTCGTTCAACTGTCTCGAGGACCCCGAGCTCCGTGAGGGCATCAAGGAGTACAGGTGAGTTGTACCCAGCTTTGGTGCCCGGCTGGTGACACAGAGCTGACCAATGCCTTCAGCGACTGGCCCACCATCCCCCAGGTGTACGTCAAGGGCGAGTTTGTCGGTGGATGCGACATTATGATCTCGAGTGAGTTGGGCGGATCCCGTGAAGTCTGAGGCACCAGCTGACACTGCAGTGCACCAGTCGGGCGAGCTCGAGAAGCTCCTCGTCGCCGAGGGTCTTGCCGAGGAGCTCCCTCCCCTTGCCGAGGAGAAGTAAAAACATCTTATACATATGCACATACCACTGACTTTGAACGCGCTTGCACTCCCCTCTAAAGCGCACACACTACTCCCTGCACCAACATGTGACAACGTCAAAAATACATGGCACATAACTTGTTATCTACATCTCTCCGGTTCAAAACTCTCACATGCTAACGCAGTTCACATCCGCCTCGCCCTGTCTCTTCTTCAAGGGAGCACCTTTGTCACGACTCCCAGCACCTTGGTCTTGGCCTCACGCAGCAGGATGAGCTGGCCCTCCTTGACATACTCTGCGTGCGCGATAAACTCGAACACGACCTTGGAGCGGTCGCCCGTACGGATCAATCCGGAAGGGTGGTCGAGGCTGACGATACGAACCGACTGGCGAATGGCGCCGCAGTGGAGCATGGCGGTGTACTTGGGCTGGATGGTGCTCGAGTGGTGGAGGACCATGACCATGCCCTCAAACCTCATGGTGGCCTTGGGCGGCGTCTCAGTCTTGGCAACCAGCACCATTCCCTTGCGAGCCTGCGGGCGGCGTATTCGCTTGAGCGCGACACTGGAGGTGTCAGTTGCGAACTGCTACAGGGATCTGCAACTTACGCGACGCTCTGACCGGCCTCGGCACTGTCGACCTTGGCGCGTTTGCGCTCGATAGTCTTGACCATGGTGGGGAGAAAATGACCAAGCGAGTCGGGACCGAGGAGGACCTGGTCGTTGGACTTGACCGATCCCGCCGTCACCACTCCGCTGACAACAGTGCCGACGAAGGGGACGGAAAAGACGTCGCTGATCTGGAACTCGAAAGGCGCGTCGACCACGTACTTGTCGTCATTTTGCGATGACGGAAGGCAGTTGAGGAACGTGCGCACGTTGTCAATGTTCTGGCCCGACACGTTCGAGACCATGAAGACGGGGCAGATCTTGGAACCATTCGAGAGGGGACGCGAGAGCAGGCGAGCGCAGTCGACAGCCTGGCGCTTGTTCTCGACGAACACGGGCACGCGACGGCACCCGGGGCTCTTGAGGACTTTGGTGAGCATGGTGACGGTTTGCTCGAGGATGTTTGGAGGGGTCATGTCGGTCTGATGTTAGCTAAGCCTCTTCAGTAAACAAAAGCTCACCTTTGTGACGCAGACGGCGATGGGGACGTTGAGAGCGAGGGCCACGCCGAGGTGCTCCTTGGACATTCCTATCAGTCCAGCATTTCCGCCGACCATGAGCATGACGTAGTCGGGAGCGCAGCCAGACAGGCCGTAGAGGGTGGTCTTGAAGTAGCGCTCGTGGCCGGCCAAGTCGATAAACGAGACGACCTTGGACGCGCGTTTGCAAATGGCTTCCCAGCTCAGCTTCTCTCGTTTTGCTCCAGACGCCTCGCCTTCCGTGGACGGGAAGATGGGCTGGCCAGTGGTGCTGAATCCGAGAATCTCGCCGCCGACAGACGACGTGCGGCCAGACTCAATCTCGTGAGGGTGGCGGAAAAGGGCCACACGCGCCTTGCCACGACCGTCATCGAGGGTACCGCGCGTCAAGACGCCTAGGGTGGTGGACTTGCCGGCGTCCACATTGCCCACAACGGCCACGCGCACCTCCATCACTTCCTCGACGCCAGCGGGCCGTAACCTCACGAGCCAGCATCCAAAGGGGCTGTCGGGCTTGTCTTTTGGCGCGTCGCGGTACAGCTCGGTCACGTCAGCCTTGATGTCGGTGCACGTGGCGCGGAGGCGCGTCACGGCCTTGTCGAGCTGCTCGACAGTGACGGGCTCGCCGGTAGCACCCTCGGCGTCGTCTGGGTGCGTTCCGAGGGTGATCATCACTTCGCCGTGGCCGCGCAGCAGCGTGGATGCAAGGTGCGCCTGAAGCTTGTCGTCATCGCCGTTCACCAGAAGGTCCTGTCAGAGGGTCAGCGGATCAGCGGCGGCGGCGGCGGCGTAGACAGGGATGGAGTGGGGGCGCGGGGCACCAGCCCAAAGGACGTACCTCGACGCGCACCGGGATGGCATCCTCCTCGGGCTCGCGTTGTTCGTCAAGAGAAACCTTGGCCTTGACAGGGGACGTGGGCTGAGCGGGGTGCTTGGTGTCGTGCTTGATATCGTGCTTCTTGCCGTGGTGTTTGGCTTGTTCGGCGGCGGCGTGGGCCTCGCGGGCCTGCGCAATCGCCTGGCGCTGCTTCTCGTGCGAGAAGTTCTCAATCTCGGCCTGGAAGGAGCGCAGGGTTGTCATGTCGGATACGATATGAGCGTTCTTGGACTTGATAGGTCGGTGGAGCTTGCTGTATCGGCGTTGTTGATGAGAGAGCTGGCAGGCAGCCGCGACTGGACACCTTGCTGCGCCCCTCACGCGAAAGGAGGTTGGTACGAGGGGGAAGGAGTGGGTAGGTGGCAGATTGGAGTAACCGAGCCTGCCTTATAGCTGGCGCGGGACTGGGCGAGGTGGATGGGATTCAAGAGGAACGAGTCGAGTCGCGAACGAGATTGTCATGTAATGAACGAGGAACCAACACCAGCGACAACGGCGTCACTGGCAGCCACGTGGGTGGCGGTTTTGGTTCCGGGTGGCAAACTGCAACGCGATAGTGGCCACTGGAAATAGTGGTGACGCCGCGTCAGTGTCCCAGTGTTCAATGCGTCAGTGCAATGTGGCCGTGCGAGTCAATAGCGAGTCGAGGAAGAGGACGACCGGGAACGAGTAGAAACAACGCTGTTCTGGTCGGACCCGTGGGCGTTGGAATTCTAGAAGGCCGGGGCAATAATATTCATCTGGAGGACATCAGTCGGGCTCGAACTGAAACATTCACCGCTGATCATTCACGTTTCTGTGTGTATCTCGACGCTCGGTCTGCTTCTGGGACTGATCAAAAGTTGTGCGGATACCCAGAAATGAGGTGATCGTCGTGGTGTATGCTATCAATCGATTGCGGGCAGGGTTGCCGGGGTACGCCCAAAATGGTACTGAGCATGAATGCACCGTGGCGAAATGGTAAACGCGCAGCACACCCAATTGCCTGAAAGGGCCAATGACCAGTATGCTGTTCCTCCTGGGAATGGGGGATCAAAACCCTCCGGTGCAATTAGCTTTTGTGCTGCTCGAGTCACTGTCCAGAACAGATGTTGCTTGCATGCAACAGGGCAGCGTCACAGAGACTGCGAGTCTCGCAAAGTGAGCGTGAACCGGCGACTTGCGATGACTAGTGGCGTGGCAAGCCCGCGGTCAAGTTTCGAGCCGCGCCTGACGCTCTGTAAAACGTCTTGTACGGTTTGACAGTAAACCTCAGAACATTTCGGTTCCAACCCCATCCAGTGTCCTGTGGGGCAACATACTTGTCTGAAGCTCGTCGTTGGTGGCCCGTATCTAAAATATATGTATGCCTAGCCTTGAGGGGTAGTGCGATAAAGCCTCCGCGCATTGTCCAGAAAGGGCGCAGCTTGTTATGGGTGCGTCGCCACGATCGCCACAACTGTTCTTCCTGGGTCAAGTGAATGAGTCCGCGATGTCGCCACACAGACCCCAGCTTTACAGAGGTGTAGACCCGTAGATCAGAACTTTACGGGATCCTTGGACTGTGGGGATGACAAGGAGGGCCGTGACAGAAATCGACCGACCCCCTAAACCATGGTCTCACGGAATCCGCATAGGCAACTTGCAACGGAGCGAGAGGGTGGCTCGGCAATCAACCATTTTGACAATTTCGCCACAGAGCCTCCGTGATCCATGGCCGGCCCGTGGCTAGGCACACAGGACAGGACACCATATTTACATACAACCCCATGGATATCTTTACCCTCTTTGATTGCTCATCCTGTCTAGACCACGAGTGTGCATGCGTCCATGTTGCCTGAGCCACGAACGGCCCACGGCAATCGTCACAGACGAAACGGCGTCCACGGAACGCCACAGAGCCGGTTGTCTCCGAAGTGCACAGCGGAGTCAAATATTGTGGAGGAGAGAGCATGTGGTCGGTCGTTCCATCTGGGATACCTGTGTCCTGTCCATTCGAGTCGCGCTCTTGCTTTGTCTCTCTCCTTCATCAAACGATAGAATAGATCATGTCTTCAGTGAGTGCTGCGGCTGATGTCCGGGACAGCACGTTAACGACGCGCAGTTCACAGTAGCTCCCCTCGAGATCAGGTGCGTCCCTCTTATCCGCCTCGGTCGCGTTCCTGCCCACCTACTAACCCCACACCAGCTCGGTCCTGCACGGCGGCTACCACCACCCCGTGGCTCGCAGGTACCAGAACAATGGCCGTAACCTCACCAAGGGCATGTTCATGTACCCCATCTTCATCTCGGACGACCCCGACGCGGAGGAGATTGTTGCGACGCTTCCTGGCCAGAAGCGCTGGGGTATTAACAAGCTCGAGGGCTTCATTGCTCCCCTTGTGCAGAAGGGCCTGAAGAGCGTCATCCTCTTTGGTGTGCCCATGAAGATGGAGAAGGACGCCCGTGGCTCGCCTGCCGACGACCCCCAGACGCCCGTCATCCTCGCTCTGCAGCTCCTGTCCAAGAAGTTCCCCCAGCTCTTCCTCGCGTGCGACGTCTGCCTGTGCGAGTACACCGACCACGGCCACTGCGGTATCATGTCCGAGCTCCCCAACCCCTTGCACTCGAACATGCCCACTCTGGACGCCGAGAAGTCTGCTCCTCGTATCGCCGAGGTCGCGCTCGCGTACGCCAGGGCCGGCGCGCACTGCGTCGCCCCCTCGGACATGATGGACGGCCGTATCCGCTCCATCAAGCTCGCCCTCATGGAGAACGGCTACGGCAACCGCGTGACCCTCATGTCGTACGCCGCCAAGTTTGCCTCGGGCCTCTACGGCCCCTTCCGTGACGCCGCTGGCTCGGCGCCCATGTACGGCAACCGCAAGTGCTACCAGCTGCCCCCCAACGCCCGTGGCCTCGCCCGCCGCGCCATCAAGCGCGACGCCGCCGAGGGCGCCGACATTCTCATGGTCAAGCCCACCCTCCCTTACCTCGACATTGTGTCCGACTGCGCCACCCTCGAGCCCGACCACCCCTGTGCCGTCTACCAGGTGTCGGGCGAGTACGCCATGATCGTCGCTGGCGCCGAGAAGGGTATCTACGACCTCAAGCAGATGGCCTTTGAGACCTGCGAGGGCTTTGTCCGCGCCGGCGCGAGCATTATCCTCTCGTACTTTACCCCCCAGTTCCTCGACTGGCTGGACGAGGAGCGCACCGACCTCTAAACGGAGGTAGAGAGTGGATAAAAATCAGCAGTTGTGTTTGATTAGGTTTGGCATGCATCACTATTTTATTTGTACAGGTGTATGCTAGCGGTGCGCGCACTATCGAGGAGCGCAGCACCCACTTTGGTGAGAGAATGGGTGGCACCTTCTACCGACAACATGCCATTGTTCAATTTTATTTTATGCCTTGCCAAGCTTGACCGCGTCCCAGTCGACCTTGACGCCCGGCCAGCCCTCGCCGCCGTCGACGATGAGTGCGCGTTCCTGCACCACACGCATCTCACGCAGCCGCATACGGCGAGCCTTGCGCTTCGGGTCGCTGGGGTTGAGTGGTGGGGCGTCGTCGAGCTCTGCGTCCGAGGGAATCACCGAGTCGGGGTTCGTCTCGCCTTCGTGCAATGGGCGAGGAGTGGCCGTGCCCGACGCGGCGACCGTGAGCGAGTACAGGTGCGTGCGGAGCAGAATCTGCTGCACTGTCAAGAGCGCGCGGGAGACGGCGTGCGCCAATGGCGGCAAGGTGGATTTTGCCTCTGGGTGGTTGTAGTGGCCGAGGACGAGGGCCGAGAAGAGGTCGCCGACGCCGGAAAAGTAGCCGCGGATGGTAGGGAGCGCAAACGCGTGTGTATCCAGTGTACCGTCCGACTTGTACGTGCTGGCAAAGCACACGAGCACCTCGTCGTCGGGCTCTCCCACGCCAACAGCGTCGTACCATGGTGGGCGGGCGGCAGGGAGCAGGCGTGTGTAGCTTTGGGGAGGGGCGGGCACGCCGATGGACGACACGAGGGAGATGGGGAGGGGGATAGACGACACAACCACGTGCGGGACACCATAGGTGGTGTGCAGGGCGGTCAATGCTTGGTGGAGGGTCTCGAGCGAGGTGATCTTGACATCGGACAACAGCCTGGATGTTAGCCGCCGAGCTCGGCGACTCCGAGAGATACGAAAGCAGACTCACTCAGTCTCAAACTGGTTGGGGGTGATGATGGTCGCGAGCTTGAGAAGGTCCTTGTACACTGGCACAACGTCTGGGTTGACGTACAACCCCGTGCCAATGTCGCCCATGACAGCTGCGGACAAGTGTCAGCCGATAGGTCCCCGATTGGAACGGGGGTTGGAACTCACGGTCCAGAAGATAAGTGAGCGCTTCGCCGCCGTCCTTCTTCATGCGCTCGACCTGCTTCCCCACCACGGCCAGCGACTCGGCTCCCGGAATGTATCCAGTCAACACGCGTGCATGGGCGACGAGGCCGTTGGTAAACAGGCCCTCAAAGATGGCCGTGAGCTGTTCGGGCGTCGTCTTGTGTCCGTTCGTGTGCCCGTATCCTGTGTGGTTGGAGAACTGGACAGTGTTCACCACGTCCACATCATATCCCAGCATTTGGAGGGGGAACGTGGCCGCGCGGTTGCCTTTCAAACCGTCAGCAACGCGAGAGAGATCCAAGCGTTATTGATATGGATAGCAACGTACCGACATAGCCGCTGACGACGTGCGATTGGATCGAGAGGATGCGGTTGGGGTCGAGAGGAGCGCCCATGGTGACAGATGCGGTCCAAGATGAAAAGGTGGGGTATAGAGTGGTGTGTGCCAAGATGCACACACACAAGTGAGCTGGTCCGAGGCAAGAGAGATAAGTGCAAAGAAGCGTCGATTAACTCGGTCGTCCAAAGTGGAGCCCACCTCGTCGAGTCGGGTGTGACTGGTCATTTCGGAATTCCACAGGTTTATTTGCCGGCGGTAGCCGATGGGTGGATCGGGTATTAGCGGGACTATATTATTTTCTAATCACAATACAAATGACGGCCCAGCTTTCGCTTGTAGCGTGTAGCATTTGGCGTGTGGAATGCAGAATGTGGCAAAAGCCCCCATCAGCAAACAGCCCACAGCGCCCAACAGTTTGGCACACAACTTGCAACTTCCGAGTTGGCAGCTTGCCAGCAGTGGATAGATCGATAGATGCGTGTCTTGCCTGAGCTTGTGCGTGTCTCGATGCCGACGCGTGCTTGGTATGCATTCACATGTCAGATGTGGCAACGTATCTCAAAGATTAGTCAGTCACCGCAGGCAGGTTTACGTAACTCTTTTCTGGGCCAGCTTTCCGTGACGGGCTGCGGACGCCGCACGAGCAAGATCGCAAGAAGAGAGCTTTTCTGGCCCTTTCCCTTTCCCTGTTCACTCCACCTAAACGCCTCGATCGTCATAGAGCAAAAGGGCAGCGGCCACGGGCTATAACGGGCGAGACCACACATTTACAGGTGCAACAACAAACCCGCGCGAGCCGTCACACAAGCGTCGAACGATTGGTGTCACACATCTCGCATTCCATCGCACTCTCTTCTCGTACTAGTCCATCCACATCGCACCACCCCTCACCTACCTACCACACGATAATGTCTCTATAACCATACAACACACACTCCTCTATAACACACACCACACCAAACATGTCATCCATAGCCTCCTCACCCACCATCCCAGCAGAATTCGTCTCGCACTCAATCTTTCGCCCCTTCCCAACACCACAGTCATGGCACGCTAAATTCTACCTGGGCTTCCTCCAAGGCTTTGGTATGTTGCTTATCAGCTAAGATCATGGTTTTGCGGAGCTGACATCGTCCCAGGAGCAGGCATCATTGATGGCTGTGCCAACTTTGGCATTGCCTATGCCATGTATCACGGCCAGAGCGACGTTCGAGTGAGTAGCCGTGTTTGTCCAAAACTGTGCACGCTCCTCCCGCTGTAACCCTCTCGCACCATCCTGCGTGTCTCCCCCGGTTTATTTCCTTGCTGTGCCAGCAACCAAAAGCAGCATGCTGACGGCCGTTCTCAGATGTGGGTGCTCGCAAAGAGCACTGTCGCTGGTGACCTGGGCGTGACGCCGATTATTCAATGCCTGGCGTCAATGCTCATCACGTCCACCTTGGTTCACACCGACCTTCACAACAAGGCGATCCCCCCTCTCCCCTTCGTCTACCCACATGTGGAGCACCTCCCGGACCCTCGTCTGCTCTTTTTCAAGATTTTCGGCCGCTGGAGGTCCAAGAAGAGCGACCCAGCCGCCACTCTGGACATTGACAACGAGAAGTCGCAGGCCGCCCAGATTCGTGGTTCAACCAGCGGCTTCAAGTACTACTACTGGATGCTTGTCCGCTTCATCTTTGAAGGCACAGAAATGAACATGCTTGCGGCACGCCCGGGCGTACGCAACTGGTTCCTTCGTGTACTGTGGACCGCGGCACAGGGTGCGCTGATCGGTATCGTCTTTGGCTTCCCCTGCTGGTGTCTGGCAATGGTCATCCTGGGCCCCATCTACGGCACTGAAAACATGGGAAACAAATGGGCACCGCAGGCCATCAAGGCAGTCTACGGCGCCATTGTCGGATGGATTACCAACCCCGTCATTGCTGCTCTGGCCCTCGGCTCCCAGGCTGAGCACCACCTTCTGCTTGTTGCAAAGGACGAGGAGGCTGGCGAGGCCCGGACCGCCGATGCCGAGTCCACTGCGAACCCTATCACCACGATCCCAGAGGAAGGCGAGGCGCCTGGCTCCACCGGCCCTCCCTCCCCATTCCTCCGCCCATTCCGTGCCGCAACGGCAGGCTCATTGCTCACTCCCACCGACTCGCCCAAGCGTTCCCGCTCCAACACTGTCAACTCGACGCGCTCTCGTTCTGGATCCATCTCGTACCAGCCTAGCGTCGGTCTTACTCCTCAGCGGTCTCGTTCCGGCTCGGTCTCGGTTCGCCCTCCCCTCACGGCCAATGCGTCGTTCATGGAGAAGATTTCACCGCCACCGGCTCTTGGCCGCACTGGTCGCGAGCGTGGTCTCACTGTTTCGTCCTACATGTCCAGCACATCGTCCTCGTTCTCGTACGCCCTCGGTGGCACCGGTGGTCGTGCCAAGCGCCAGCGCTCCAACACTGCCGTCTCCACCAGCGGTATCCCTACGGGAGCACTCAGCAGTGCCAGCACGGGCCGTCCCGTCTCCGCTCACCTGGCGACCCCGGCTCGTGGCGCCCAGTCCCCGCCAGCCGAGTCACCCATGCCCCTCACACAGCCCACGTTCCGCCGCGAGCGCACCCATTCGGATGTCGCTGGCGGTGCTCATCACCAGGGAATCGTCGCCAGCGGCTGCGACGATGAAATCGTGCCGATCGAGCACTCGGCGACCCAGCGTCCGGGCTTTGACGTCTTTGGTCAGACCCAGAGCACAGGCGTGCCCGTCCTCGCCATCCAGCGCCCGAGCATGGAAGCGACCCGCGACAGCATTGACCAGCGCCGCCGTGTGGACAGCTTTGAGAGACCGATGGACAAGCTCAAGGAGTAAAGGACCGCTGTCGCTTTTGCCCCGTGTAGCATACCTGTAGACATAGCTACCTACCCCTACCTACGTACCACGGCCATCCTATAGAACCGGGTTTAATGTAATGCATCGTGCTTGTCGCTGTGTCTGCAGTCGACAAGCACGCACTTTTTTGCTTCTCCCAACACGTGATGGATCGCCACTATGGAGTCGAGTGTGTCCCCAGGTGCCTTTTGAAGCCGCGCGACGTCATTGGCGGCAAAAGCCACTCGCCGCCGCCGGCGTCCATCTCATCTCGGAGACCTTTCAGTCCTCGCAAACTCACTTCCATCTCCCATCCCATCTCCCCCCCCGTCCTCTCTCTTCGTTTCCTCCTTTCCCCAACCACCGCCCAGGTCTCCTCGCTCAGCATGGACGCGGGGCCATCAACGTCAGTTGTCACCCTCTGCGATACTGAATCCGAAAGCTGACATGCACAGGTCCCTTGACACCACTTCGCTCTCCGCGTCCTCGGCGGTCATCGCGGCCAACGCAAACACAAACACAAACACAAACACCCAGCCCCTCACCCCGCGCCAGAGGGAGAAGGCGCCGCTCGTGGCGCCTGGAGCGGTCACGTTCCCGCCCGGAGTCGACCATGTGCGTGTCCCAGCTGAGCGATGGGCATCGGGGTGGAGTGGAGAATGGCTCAACAGAGACAGGGGGTGGTGGTGGAAACGTGCCGCGAGGAGTGGGGCCGGCGGGGTGTGCTCGCCGGCCATGCGCTCCGCTGCACTGCTCGATGGCGTGTGCTTCACCGTACACGCCGGAAGGGGTGCGGTACGATGCGATGCGTCGGCACGGTCGTGTACAGACATCGTGTTGCTCTCGGACTCGGCACACACGTTTCCTCCACTTTTCGTCGAGGTGTCTGCGATCTGCGACTCTTAATTTCCCGACCACCACGCCTCCACCTTCCCGTCTGCCCCTCAACTGATCACTGAACGCCGCCCACTGACATGTGAACACAGGAAATCACGTTGCTGATCAGCGATTACCTCTCGTCGCGCCATCCGCGACTCGCCCACGTCCTCGATGCCGAGCTGGGGCCGGCACGGGACGAGGCTGTGCGCGAGGAGATTGATGCTGTGGAGAGGGCTCTGCTCGGTGAGTGTAGTGTGTGTGGTGTGTGTGGGAGAGATCCGTCGTCGAGGGGCGGTGGGAGAAGAAGGAGAAGAGTGGGAGGACGGAGGTGGGGGACGTCGCTGGAGACGTCGCCATGTCGACCGCAACGGTCGGCGACGGCCAGGTTCACGTGTGCGAGGCGACAACCTGGTCTAGCCTGGAGCCTGGCTGCTCTGAAACGAGGCTAGCCGAGAGATGAGGCTTCCCCACCTGCTGCGGATGATGGTAGTGATGTGGACGGTCTACTCTCGACCCTTCCTTCCCCTCTTTATATGAGCCACAGCACCGTCGCTTAGCTTAGCAACGATCGCTGACTTATAGATGGCGACTTTGGATCGATCGAGGGGCTGCTTGCGCAAGGGTGGCTTGGTCCTCAAACGCAAAAGGCGTTCCTCTACATGAGCTATCGCCAGCAGTTTCTCGAGTACATTGACAACCGTGAGTGTCGGACCTCGAGCTCGGCAACTGGCGGGTACAGCCACCCAGATGCCATGCCCCCCCACGTGCTGCCCCACTGGAGGGGCGGCCACCTCTGTGCGCGATCATTGCTGACTCATATTCAGGCGAATCGCAAAAGGCGTTCAACCTGCTACAGAAGCGCCTAAAGCCGCTCGAGCACTATCAGCCTGTTCCGTACGACTTTTACTCGCTCGCGTACCTCACCTCGGCGTCTACGGTGCACGATGCGCCCGGGCTGCGCGACTGGGCGGGCGCAGGTCCAGAGCGGGAGCGGCTGGTGCAGATGTGGCGCGAGCTCACCGAGGGCCGCCGTCCTGTCGGTTCTGGCGACCTCGTCGCGCCCACGGACCGACTGCTCACGCTTCTAAAGCAGGCTGTGGCTTGGCAGGTGCAGAATGCCCGACCGCGCGGTGCGGGGCCCTGGGCAGTGCCTACGCTGCTAACCGACTATGTGCCGCCAGCCGTGCCCTCGAGGCTCGAGCGGCTCATCAAGGGCCACCGCGCCAACGTTAAATGTGTGGATTGGCTGTCGGACACGCTAGGCGTGAGCGGCTCAAGGTGAGTCTGTGACGTGGGGTGGGCCGTAGTGGTGCTGGCGGTGGTGGTGGCGATGGTGTGCGTGCATGGGTTGCAGGTGCTGACAAAGAACAAGTGACACAACACTGCGTATCTTCTCGGTCGAGGATGGCGTCACCCGCCATGTCCTCACGGGCCACCAGTCGCGTGTGTGGGACGTGGCCGCGTCGTCGAGTGGATCGCTCATTGCGTCTGGATCGGGCGACGGCACCGTGCGGATCTGGTCGCAGCAGGGCGACTGCCAGAGCGTGTTGGCTGGTGACGGCGGCGACATTTACAGCGTGCGCTGGCAGCCCTGGCGCGACGACATGGTTGTCGCTGCGTGCTATGACAGGATCCTGCGACTCTGGGACGTCGAGGCCGGCAAGCTTGTGCGCACGTTCTCGGGCCACGCGCAGAGCACGCTTGCTGTGGCGTTTGACCCGACAGGACGAGTGATCGCATCTGGGTAAGCACAGTACAATACGTGGCAACGAGCGCGTTCTGACCAACCCTACAGGTCCAAGGACAGACACATTAGGCAGTGGGACACTGTCGGCGGCGTGTGCGTTCAGACCATGACTGCGCACCTCGGCGAAGTCACGTCCGTCGAGTTTGATCTCGAAGGCAGGTACCTCCTCGCAGGGTGCAAGGACAACTCGAACCTGCTCTACGATCTCCGCATGGTGAGTCCTTCCTTGCTCTTGGCCTCTCTTAGCATTCCATTCCCAAGCTGTCGGGGGCGTGGCTGGAGTCTTTGCATTCTTGGGACAAGTTTCAGCATCAGCCACCTCGATCCTAGGAATGTCGCATGCAGCCCGAAAAAAACGCGACGCCGACGCCGACGCCTTGTTCAAGGCCTGGCTTGCGCTTGGACGCTCCCCTGTTTTGGCATACTGTGTGGCGCCGCCGGGTTTTCGTTACTGACACGCACTCTCCCCTTCCCCCCCGCAGCAACGCAACATTTACAGGTACACGGGGCACCAGAACACATCCAAGAACATTATCCGGTGCAGCTTTGCGTCGCCGTCGAGCGGGCTCATCGCCGGCGGGTCCGAGGACGGCGTCGTGTATCTGTGGGAACGCGAGGGCTCGCCCGACGACTCGAGCATGCGCTTCCGCGACGGTGAGCGCCACGGCGGTCGCGACAGCGGCATCTCGACGCCCGCGGGTGCCGGTGCCGGTGCCGGTGCCGCGATCACAGGCTCGGCAGCCGCATACTACCCCCCACGCTCGTTTGCGCGCACCAGCTCCAACAGTACCTTGGGAGGCACGGGCACCACCACCACCGTCCGCCCGCTCAAGGTGCTCGCGGGCCATGGCGCCGGTGCCGTCTTTGACGTGCGTGCGCGCAGGGGCACGCTGCTGAGTGCCGGCGAGGACGGCGCCGTGGGCGTGTGGGGCGATGAGGAGTAAGGCAGGGGGAAGGGGGGGGGGGGGGGGGGGGGGGGAGGGAAAAGATGAGGAGGGAGGGAAGGAAAGGAGGAGAGGCACAGTTGTGACGTTGGTGTTGTCGTTTGTTGACTAAAACATCGCCTTGGTGACAACAACAAACCACAACAACAACAGTTCCGCTGGTATCCTCCGATCCTTCCGGCAGTTGTTCTTGTACCTCTGCAAAACCCTTCCGGCAGTTGTTCTTGTACCTCTGCAAAGCCCTTCCGACAGCCATTCCAGCATGTACAATGTTTGTGTCCGTTGTTGTTTCTGTGTTTCCGGGGGCCGGGGGGTTTCTTCGTGGCGACGTGGATCGATGGACGGGACATCAGCTGCCACGGCCTTAACTGACCCCAAGTGATGTGCCTTTGCCGTTGTGAAGGAGGGCAAGGATGCCGGCGGTGACTGACTGACACTACTGACATGCCGCGCGAGACGCGACTGCGAAACCCAGTCTTCGCTGGGGGTATGAGGGTAAGGAAAAACCGGCTTCCAGTCGTGTTCCTTGGCGGCATCCGGGGGAGAAGCCAGTAGCACGCAGATGAAGCACGTCCATCATTGGCGCAGTACCTCCCAGTCAGTGCCACGATGCTCGAGGACAAGGATACCGTACTGTAGCCACAACTCTGCACTCTTGGACTGCCGCGACGCGTCTGATTCACGCGCGTGCTCTTTCTCGTCTTTCTCGCTCGTCCTCTTTCCTTCCGATATTCCGATTGCACGCGTTTTGCGTATCCTTGCCGCCCGCCGCTAACAGTCGGTCCGCGGACACCAAAAAGGGAGAGAGCGATGGTGTGGTGATGTGGTGGTGCGGGGTGCGGAACAGATTTCATGAGCTGTCAGAATGGACAGGACAAGATGAGCGGATAGAGGGGCGCGGGAAGTACGCGAACACGGGAAGAAGGTGGGTGGGGGAGAAGCACGAGGGTCAGACGCGACTGACATTCGGACGGGAAGGGGGGTAAAGGAAAGGATGCGCGTGATGCGGGGGGGGGGGGGGCACAGACTAAACGACATGCGCGACATGACGAGAGTGCCATGTGGCTCATGTCAGGTCTGTCCGGCGATACTCGAGGATCGAGGATGCCGGGTTGCACGTACTGAACGCAGCAGGTCCGGTTTGAATTACACGATCCCGACCATGGAACGCGAACAAGAGGTGTTCGATCTCTGTAGGGTTGTTGAGGGTTTGGACAGCCGCTTGTGCGTTGGCGAACGACAAGGGAAAGGTACTGAACCCTCTGCTCAGCGAGTGATGGTTCACCGGGAGGCACTTGAAGTGGTGACAGGTCCAGTCAAGATCTGGTGTCGTCGGTTGCGTCATGGGCGACGTCTGCTACAGTACCGTACGCAGCTCAATTGGCATTGTGCAACGCGTCCAAATACAATGTCTGAAATTGCATTTCACCCAGACTAGTACCCAGGGGTACAGTAAGTACTTACTTTTGCGTGCACAGTTGTAGGAATAGGCACACCCCAAGGCAAATGGAGCTCAACGGGGTATGGGGGTCGCGTCTCACCCTCCGGGATCTCCTGCCGAGCGCTCCAGACGAACACTTATCGTCTCTAGTCTCAAACGACTCCTAGCTGTGCTAGCTGTGATCCTGGCCAGATTAATTGCGCAAGCAGAGGAAGACCTGAAAAGCCATGTACATATTCGATCTGTCAAAAGCTAGACGACGACGCGACGCGTGACAGGCTAAACCAAAAAGGTGTGGCGTGGCATTAGATGTGGTCCATGTGGACGCTAGTGGGGGGGGATTTGGGCCGCTGGCCCCGCTGGCGTGCCGCAATTTACCCGATCTTTGCATCGACGACCTGAAGGATTAGAGATGAGACAGAGAGAGTCGAGAGACAGAGAGTTGAGACGTGTCTGTTTGTCTCCAAGTAGAGATAGCCACCGAAATGTGATCGATGGGCGCGGTATACGGAGACGGGGTTGGAGACGGGGTTGGAGACGGGGTTGGAGACGGGTTTGACCCCCCCCCATCTGCAGAGTCGTCCCGAGCAGCAAGGGCTATATATGGTGGCGTTGGGCCAGGCTGCGCCGCGTCCCCAGCATAGCAAGGCCGCAGAAGGAATTGATCCAGTGAGCCAGTGACAGACGCCGTAATGCCCGGGCCAGAGATCCAGAGATCAGAGAGAGACGGCTACGAGGTAATACACCCTCTCCAGGGAGCGTGTGCATGTGCGCGGTCATCACGGCCAGACGAGAGACAGAAGAGAGTGAGACACGCGCACAGGGACGCTGACGAAGACGCGGTCGAGAGAGAGACAGAGAGGATCCGAAACACCCACATCCAAAATATCCTTGGACCCCGACGTCCGATGCCGGCAATCCCGAACATGATACAGGGCGGGACACAGGGGGCAGAGAGGTGTCTTTTCTTTTTCTCTCTGTCCCTCTGTCTCCCTCACTCCCGACGGGAACGACGAGACGACGACCCACGTCGGTACAACATCTGACACACCCGCAGCCACCAGCCCAATGGCGGCGCGCGTGCGCGTGGACCCCCACTAAGGACGCGCGCAGGATCTCGAAAAGGCCAAAGGGGTGCAATGCCCGTTTCGCGCATGCGCGCGCCAGATGGGTGGGGGGGTGGATGGGGGGACAGACCTTTGAGCTTTGGGCTTCTTGGCGCGCCGGTGTGGTCCCTTGCCGTCATCCACATGGCCCAAAGTGGCCAAAGTGGACGACCAGCCAGCAACTGGCTGCTAGCGCGCGCCCAACGACGCGTCCAGGAGCGGCCAAGACAGAGCCAGGACTGCTGCACCACCACGACGCAGCAGGTGGTGCAGGCCCGTGCGGCGCGTCACAGATCACACAGCCAGCTGGCCAGACAGACCAGCCAGACAGACCACGACAACCACTACCGACTGACACCTTGCATCATCATCACCATCATTGTCTGGTTCTCCCTCCCCGCTCCCTTCACTCCCACCCTCTCTCCCTTCCTCCCCTCCCCCCTCTCCCCACCCATACAAGCTCCTACAGTGGCTAGTCCTCTGTAACAGCAAGGTTGACTTTCGAGCTTCCGTTCTTCATTGCACCCATCCAGTTGACCGTCGTAAACACACATACACACATTCCTTTTTGCCCATCTCCAACCCAGCGACCAGCGACGGAAACCCTACCCACATCTTCCCCCTCGTCGCCTATCCCCCCGGCCGACACACGCGCGCGCGACGCCTTTACGACGGACGACGGCAACGACATTGCAACGAAAGCGCCGCGAGAGAATCAGTCGTGACACTACTGGGCTGTTCATGGACTGAGACCTCGACACCTTCCCTCTCCCCACTGTCTCGCAAGCCAGACACCGTCCCCCCGCCGCCACCGCACAGGCCTGCACTGGCAACTGTTCACTCACAACATCGCACTCGCCCATCCCTTGTCATCGCCTGTTCGCTATCGTATCGCATCTAGACCCCCCACCATCCCCACTGTCCCACTCGTCCTCGTCGCCTTGCTCCGAGAGAACAGTGGCCCCTCACGCTCTTTTCATTCCCCGGTTGAGATCTGGCACACGATCTCTATACCCACCCCCACTCCCGCCTGAGACGCCGACGCCGCGCCGCGCCCCCGAGCAACGCCCACATTCGTCTGCCCCCAGCCACAAGCCGAAAACCAGCCCACTCTTGTCCTCTTTGGTGGTGACCTTGTTGGGACCTCTTCGTCTGGAACCACCACACACAACGTCCACTTTATCCCATTGCAGAGACTGTGATCTCTTTGAAGGAACCGGCCCCCCGTTGTTGGCCACTGATCCACTGAAACTGGTGAGTTGCACGTGTTACAGCAGCAGCAGCAGCAGCCACCACGAGATGGCAGGAGGCACACGACGTTTTGGACACTGAGCCCCGCCGCCGCCGCCGCCGCCGGCCGCGCGCCACCACCCGGTCCCTTTTTCACTGTGGCGTCTGGCGGCGTTCATGCTCAAACGCGCGTGGGCTCGTGGGGGCTGCACCGGTGCACCCGCCCACCCACGGCCACACCCAGATGTGGTCGCCGTCGCACAGACGAGTAGTGTGTGGGGTGCACAGAAGCGAGAACCCATTGTGTGCAAACCACAGGAAGAGAGGCGTCGCCCGCTACGGCCCGCCCCACTCTCTCTCTCTCTCCTTGACAACATGTCACAAACCGTCGCTCCGCTCTGCATGTGCCAGGTGTCGCTAGCGGTCCGAGCGTGGCCACTAGTAGTACCCCGCTACCGCGCGCTCAGCTCGCCTCCTGCACCGTCTCCTCTCTCTTTATCACGCAGTGGCTCTCGATGTTGTTGTTGTTGTTCAGCTCAGTTCCGTTCAGTTCATTTGTTGACCACTCCTCACAGCCATGTCTCTCTTAATGCCGCGGCCGGCAGCTGGACCGTCGGACCGCGCCTCGGTTGTGCTTCCAACAGTCAAGTGCTCGTCATGCGGTGTCGCCATCCCGCTCAGCTCTCTCGGCGAGCACGTCTGTGTGCCGCTCCCCGCCCTTCCCACCCTCAACATCATCCACTCTGGTAGCCCACGGTCCCTCAACCAGCAGCTGCCTGTCGTGCCTTCTCCCGGCCTGCAGCGTCCCAACGCTCCAAACTCGCTTCACCCTCGTGGACACGGCGGCAATAACAACTATTCATTTAGCATTGGGGAAGTCGTCCCCTCGTCGTCGAGGCTAGGCGACTACCCGGCAGACGTGCCATTGTCCGCCGTCAGTGACAACAGCGTGGGTCGCTGGCCCATTGGTGACTCTGCACCGGTTGGTCACGTTCTCCCCTCTCCGACCCTTCCGGACACAACTTCCGGCGGTAATGCTGGGATGGCTGGGGTGGGGCGACGTGCGTTCGCCGCTGCCGCATGGAGTGTTCGTGCCGGTGTGGCACTGGCAGCCAACGCCGGCAAGCCGTTCCACGCCGACCAGTCGGGCTCCCCGGTCGAGCCCATCTCGATGCCCCTGCCCATCCCCCACCCTTCACCACCTCGCAACACCCAACCCCGTCAGACACCTTCGCCCGTCAACTCGACCTCCCGCCACACCCCTTCCCCTGTGCCTGCCGGTGGTATGCGCATAAACCGCTCCCCCACCCCGCGCGAGCCTGTCATCCTGCCAAAGGTGCCACTGGCTGGCCGCGAGCGCAGCAACACCATCCGCGACACCGACCGCGCGCCGTCACGCAGCGACCGCGCACCTTCCCGCAACGATTCATCGCGGGCTCCGTCACGCAACGACGACCTCCGTGCTCCGTCCCGCAACGACCAACCGCTCCACCCGGGCATGGCCAGCCGGTCGCAGTCCGATGACACCCAGGGCGGCTCCTCGTTCTTTGATCGCTACCGCCAAGTGGTCGGTTCCAAGAGCGACCAGGGCCACGCTCTGAATGGCCGTATCGTTACCTCGCCGTTTGGCGACAGTGACCGCGCCGCCATCGACCGCCACTCGCTCACCGGCAGTCTCGAGGACGTGTCGATGTTGCCGTGGGCCTCATCGCCCACCGAGCCGTCCCCTGGCATCTTTGAGCACCAACGCCAGATGACCAGCGGCAGCATTGACTCGACCACATCGAGCTCGGCTTCAGGTGGCCCCGAGCAGCTGCGGACAGGTGGCTGGGCCGGCCAAGAGGTCGAGCTTGTCATGACCCCAAGCCAGAGCTGGGAGGGTCTGGCGGGCAACGTCAACCTCGAGCCACTCAAGACCAACGGCTACGCAGACGCCAACGCAGGCCTTGGCCTCGGTGACGCAATTCCCGGCCCGTTGGACCGTATTGGCGAAGAGGAGGAGGATGACGACGACGAGGATGGCGAGCGTCTCGTGTTTGGTGTCCCTAGCACCGGTCGCAACAAGTCGTCGCTGCCCCGCTCCGCTTCCGGGGCCACGGTCACGCCTCTGTCTCTCAACAGCCGCCCCCAGGACATTTCCATGGACCCGCCTCGCATGGGCCTGCACTCGCACTCAAAGTCTACCGACCGACGAATGGGCTCGTCCCCTCCCCAGGGCAATGGAGCTCGCCCCAAGCGCGTCTGCGCCAGCTGCGGTGACGCCGTCGGTGGACCGCGCCGCTTTGTCGAGCGTGACGGCGTCGTGTTGTGCGAGGCCGACTGGAAGAAGCTCTACCTTCCCTCATGTCGCCGCTGCAAGAACCCCATCGAGAAGAGTGCCGTGTCGTCGTCGGACGGGCAGCTCAAGGGCAAGTGGCACCGCGCATGCTTCACCTGCACGCGCTGCGACAGCCCCTTTGAAGGCGACGACTTTTATGTCCACGACGGCCGGCCGTGGTGCCAGTACCACTACGCCGAGGAGAACGGAACGCTCTGCGCATCCGGATCGTGCCGCAAGCCCATCGAGGGCCCCTGTATCCTCGCTCCGGCCTCGGGCTCGGGCGCCGACCAGCGCTTCCACCCAGGCCACCTGCGATGCGAGCACCGCGGCGGCGTGAGCGGCGCCCAGAACTGTCGCGAACCCATGAACGAGTACTATGACATTGGCGGCGAGCGCTACTGCGAGCGCCACATGGCCGAGGCGTCGCGTAGACACGCATCGGGCGCGCCACAGCGCGCCGAGAAGCGCCGCACCCGTCTCGTCGAGCTTGGCCCGGGCCAGCAACTCCGCCTCGGCGCATAACTCCCCCATCTCCATCTACATCTTAATCGGGCGCAAACCGCCAGCATACCCCGCCGCTGGACTGGTGTTCAGCGGCGAGCCGGTCAGAGACCTGCAGGCGGGGCCACCGCTGCGCCCACAACGAAACATCACACACTACAATCTCTCTGCTATTTTTCTTTTCCTTCTCGCTCCCTCCGTCACCCCAGCGGCGAAACGACCGGCGTTGTCGTTCCTCGTCCCAACCCATCCAATACCCACCCCCGGACCACGACTACTACTACTACATATACCCCCCCACTCCCCCGTTTTACATCGTTTTCCTCTGCACCCACCCCACCCACCCCACGGCATCGCGTCTTCGTTTTTTTTTAATCCCACAGGGAATATGGGCAGGATCTATCTTTCTCTTTTCTGTATGGCACTTGCAAGCCTAGCTGTATCTCTGATGACGATCTTGGTATTATGAGCCGTGAGCCGTTGGCGCTGGAGTTGCATGGTTGTAGGACATGGGATGGGGTCAGGCCACGACGCGGACGCGGTGCGTCGCCGCCGCTGTGCACATGAAGATTGACGGGATAGGGGTTACCCGCAACATCTCCCTCGCGGCTCGTGATAAGGTTGCGGCTGGGTGCGTGTGGTAACGCAGGAGCGGCCCGAGTTCATGTCGCCTCGTCAGCGTTACCGAGGGTCCTGCCCGCTGGCCACCTTGGTGCCACTTTGTGAATTTTGAACAAAATCGATATATCAACATGCGCTTACATTGGCTAGACTATGGTACATACTATGGACGGTTTGATTCTGTGCGTTATAATGTCCTGGGTCACGGCCATGCCATTCAGAGCGAATATGGCGGATGCCATGATGCCGAGACCCTCTATACATCCCACGGGTAAATCTGTGCCACCGTTTCTTTCGATGCCACGCCGAGGTGGCGTGCCAGCATCTCGACCACGTCGTCGGGGTTGACCACCATGTCTCCCGTGTTGCCTGCCACGGGGTCGACGATGATGGTCGCATACGTCTGCTTGAGCAAACTCGCTTCTTCAAAGTTGAGCCATTCGAGCCGCGATGTCGGGAGGAACTCTAGCACGAGCGTTCCAGGACCCGCAAAGCGGTGGTTCATTAGCGCTCCGCCGTGTGGGCCGACGACCGCAAGCACATTGTTGGAGAAGTGGTCGATGGCGGCCTGCGGGTCGCTGTACTTGTCTTGGTCGAACAGTTCGATCGTCTCGCCCTGGCCACGTTGTTCGAGCGCCGCGGTGATGGCCTCGATGACCTCCTTCTCGTTGACAACGTTCCGACCACCGTTCAAGGTGTGAGCCGAACGTGACATGTACATGACCTGGGGTTAGTAGGAGATCTTGGAGAGCAATGCAAGAAATCTGAATGGAGCGCAGCTCCTGCGGGCCACACCAGAATGTATCCAAAGAGGACCAGACTCACCGTTTTCTTTTTACTCGAATTAAACGAGGTGTTTAGCGCCCACGGCATGCGCATCATCTCCGCGATTCTCCAGGAGAGATAGGGGTGGATGAGGACCGAGCGACACGGCCAGATGAGCGACGCTGCCTGGATGGCGTGCGTTTGCGTTCGCGTTTCGTGGACGCGGTCCGAGTACCCCATGCGGTCCCAGAGCGCGCTCACTGGCCCAGAGGGCCGCCTACCTGTGAGGACTTTCGGCGTGGGCTTGTTGTATGACAGGTGGGCTGCCTGGGTAATGACGTGGGATGCTCTGTCGAGGAAATGTTGGAATGACCACGAATCTGGAGTGTTGACGACGATGACCGCCGTCTGAGGTGCCGGAGCCGGGTGGATAGGCTCGACACGCTGCAGTTTGGCTGCCCGCTCCATACATCCCTCCCCACCCCACGCGTCAATGTTCATCTCCTGTTTAAACTCGACATTGTGAAACACCTGCCGTCAGTAACCAAAGTGCTGCGGTGCCCCCCCCCCCAACTCACAAAGTTCTGCCCATGCTGGCCTCTATAGAGCAGCCGCTCGCCGTCTCGGTCTTGGTACGTCGCGCGATCGAGGCCCCGGTGCGCGCCTTGGAGCCACACGTCCTTGTGCTCGTTGTTCAAGAAGGCCGGGATCGGGATGCTGAAATCGGGGTACACTAGTTCCTCGGCATACGTCCCGTTCGCAAGACCCAGACCCAAGGCAACGCACGGCGCATACGACCGTGGTGTCAACCGCTGGCAGTCGCGTATTGCCATTGGAGCCCATTGACAAGACTCCAAATCCCGGGTTTCCCATGTCGCGTCTTCGAGAAGGGTAGAATATGGGCTTGTGCTTGTGGAGGGGACGTGTGTGACTGCACATGATGCGGACAGAGGGCCGTCGGGGAGGGAAGGTATTCGCAAAAAGGTAATGGTCGCGATGAGCACAACGATGACCACGGCGATGCGGGCCCGCGGCCGTGCGAGTATCGCGGCCACTATCTGCCACCGTTCCGATGCCTGTCATGGACATTAGAACAAGAAACCCCTCCTGTGTAGAAAACATGTTTGGCATGGAGGAAGAGGGCCAATAATAAAGGTCACAACGAGAAGCTCCGTGATCGTGATGTTGCAAGCGGAGATATTCTATGTTTTTGAAAAACGGAGTGACGGGTAGAAAGTGATGTAATGTTCGTGGACGACGAGAGACCCACCATTTCACAGAAAGCCAAGAAGCTATGGAATCTCTAGGAAGGTAAGAAGAGTACCAAGACCAAGTGAGGCGAGAGCGAGAAGTCTCCTGGGTCGCTTGTCTCTCCAAAGTGGCGGGTCGCGTGAGCGGTGGTCAATATCGAGACTTTGGGGGTGACAGGATCAATGTGCTGGCAGCTATATATCGTTCTGGCGTGCGAACCCAAGGCATTTGATAACGCCACAAGGAAGTCTACAGACCTGCACATGTGCTTACCATACATATGCTTGTCATACGCTTGCATGCATCATTGAAGTGCCAGTCTTGCGTGGGGGCCTGTCGGTCTTGAGAGGCTGTCGGTCTTGGAAGTGAAGAGATCTCACACCGCTTCAAGGGTGAGTGCGGTAGGCGAACTGGGGCGCGTGTGGCACAGGGCTGTCTGTGGCACCGCTTTCGACAACAAACCAGAGCATGGCCAGAGCATGGCGGACAGGATGGCGTCGGTCAATCGCGGCTTGTCATTCCCAGGCCGCCACACGGATACAATGGGCAGGGAGGATGGGGGCAGTCGGTGCGTGGCCCGCCGCCGTGCGCTGGAACCGTAGCGTACATAGTTGCTTGGCCCTCGACCTGTCATGGATCTCTGGTGGATACTGTAGTTATTAATCCGCCAGGTCACATTCTCCATTCAGAGAGGCTCTCGACGGGTTGAGCGGTACCACTCTGCATGCCATCAACCTTGCGCACTGCCTCCCACGACACGCTTACCAACATCACCGTACCCCTGGGAGCGGGCTCGACGACAGACTCCGCTCTACGCCCGCAACAGTACAGTAACTCATGCATATGGTCGATGGACAGATAGGACGCCGGCCGCTATAGCTAGTCTCTCTCGCTCAGACACAACCCAGCGGCACGGGCTCTTGTTATGTATGTGGCAGCATGAGGGACGGATAAAAAGCCGGGGCTAGCGCTGCCGCGGGGACGACGACAAAATCGAACGACATCTCTGCCATGTGTCCGTCTCATCCAGGGTGAACGCAGGTTGCTGCATAGGTTGCTTCATAATGCACGAGTGCCAGTGGCCACTGGTGATCTCGTCCTGTTTCAACGTATGGGAGGTTTGCGACGCTCATGCTGCGAACGCGATACACGCGTGCAATGTAGACCGCCCGTGGCAATGCCAATGGACTGACCGGTTGACTGGACTCGTGTGTACCCAGATCGCGAATTTCACAGTGCCACAGTACGACGCGCCGGGCCCATATAAATACGCATTCCGTGACTCGGTTTCATTTCTCAACCACACCATCACTCATCGACCTCGCACTTCGTTTGTCATCACACACACACATTTTGCATGGGACGCAGGGGCAGTATATAACATCGCCACCCACCCACTTTGTACTTTGCATTCACTCCATACTTCATACATCACCTTCCATACATCACACCACCCTCCACACTACATACAAACGCTGCACTAGCACATTTCCATACACCTTTTAAACAGTCTGCAATAATGGCCTGCGACGGTAACTGGGCCGGCTACAACAAGGGCCGTAAGTATTCCCAGGGGACACGCATCTGGGGACACGAGTACTGACGTGGGTGCAGAGCACTGCCATGGCCTGTTTGCGTGTTCGTACTGCGGCCGCCGCATGTGAATAAGCAGAAAACGTGCAACGTGGTCGGGTGGCGAAAAAACAAAAAAAGAAGATCCGCGAGTCACGAGTGGGTGGCGAAAAACGAGCAAAAAAACGAAAACGAAAACGAAAACGAAAAAAAAAAAATCACCGCCGAATGTTCTGGCGAGACGTTCCATGTGCATAGTTTAGCATGTCGTTGGGTTGTTAGCGTGTATGTATTCATTAGTTACGAGACGAGGTCGTGCGAGTACGAGCATGGGAGCATGGGCGCTGTACTGTACTGCACTGATGGTGGTGGTGTCCGCACGGCCGTAAGCCGCGTCAGCGTCAATATCCCCCCGCTGCTCTCCATCTGCGTCTGCATCCGGCCGTTTTGTCGACGTGGTTCTACAGAACCAAATGAGAAGACAGCGCATAGGGCAGCTGGTGGCGCAAACTGGTAAACACAGTGGACGGTTGGGCACCAGCCAGGGGAAGCTCAACCCGGCGTGTTGAGGATGTGTGCCCCATATAACGTGACGATTGTCCAGCCGAGTCTTGCACCAAGGCCGCCTACACTTCCAAGCCATGTATGGCTTGTAATATAGCCCATCTGTTCTTCTATGTGATACCAGAGGAACTATCTGCCTCTCATATCGACTGGGACGTGTCGATGTTCCATAACGAGAACATCCTCGGCTGTGTCAAACTCTGGGGCCACACGAGGACCAAGAAAGCGCAAGTGACATGTACCTCAGAGGGACAGGACCTGGGCAGAAATGTATGTGCATGGCGTGTTTGGCTACCCAGACTCAACGTGTTGTCGTTCGCGACAACGCTTCGCAGGTCTCAGCTGGGTTACCCATTCTACCAATGTAACACAAACAGTTCCTCAAGTGCCGCCGCGGAACCCTGTGCGCTTCCATCTTTGCCACCTAGACCACATCAGACGGCAACGACGTGAGGAGCTGGTCCAGCTCGGCCGGCATGAAGAATGCCTCTAGGCCCGTGAACGGCACTGCGTCGGTCGCGGCCGCCGTCGTGCCCAGGTCACCGTTGAGGAAGAGCGGCAGGGGCCCATCGCGCGTGATGCCCATCAGCCCAAATGCCGGGTCTTCCGGGTTGAGGTCGAACGCAGTGAGCCAGTCGGACGGGGTCGGCGCCAGCGTCATGTCCGAGGCGCTGCCGGGGCCTGAGGTGGTGGCGACGCCTGTGCGCGTGCTGGGCGGGAAGATCTTTTCACGCCGAGCCTTTCGCAGCGTGAGGCGGAGCGAGCGTGCGTAGCGTCCTGCTGGGACTTTTGGTGTCAGCTGGTGAAACACACAAGATGGATTCTCAACTCACGCTTGGACAGCACGGCGGCCATCTCCTCGACGTCGGCGGCGACGCGGGGCAGGTCCATTTCGTCGGGGAAGAAACGGGCGATGCGGATGAGGAACGAGGCGATAAAGGCGGCGCAGACATGGGTGTAGTGTGTTCCATATGGCAGGCCGGCGGCGTACTGAAGAAGACGAGTGTTAGCATTGCAGATGCTGTGCAAGAAAGATACATCTGCTGCCACTCACATGTCGTCCACGCAGGGCAATGTCCATGCACCTCAGCGCATTGTGGATTGCCCGCAGCGCAAAGCCGCGCTTCTCCCCGCTCATAGCCGCCACGTCCGCCTGGGACTGGATGCCTCTCAGCAGCTGTGAGTTGAGGAACAGCTCGGCGAGCTGGCGCTGCATGAGCAGACTCTCGCGGATCCAACCTGTACGCTCCGGCCCAAACCGGTCAATCAGCACCTCGTGCCAGTGTCGTTCCCAGGCGTCAAACTGCTCGTTTGCCCAGGACAAGCGTGACAGCATGTCTCCGTCTAGAGGAGAGTCGGGGCGCGCCGTGATCTGGACATGGAGGGGCGCACGCAGGCTCGTAAGCTCCACGGCGTAGATGAGGCGCACATCCGAGTCGAGACTCAGCGGGTGGTCCAGCAGCGCGCGCGAGTTGTGGATCGTGTCGTCTTCCTGGACGATGGCCGGGCGGCCCATGCCGTAGCTCATCTGGTGTTCGAGGCGGTAGACAGTGTACCACACGCGAGCCTGCTCGAGCAGCGCCTGGTCGTCGCGCTCCAGTTCGGCGCGGGTACGTCCTTTGCCCATTCCACGCTGTACGAGCTTGTTGAAGGCTAGGTTGAGCTGGAGGTCGAGTGCCAGGCGCACTGCGTGGCCGGCGATGAGCCAGCCGTCGTCTGTGAACGCCGCAAGCAGGACTGGGGGTGGGTTAGCACCGAATCACGACTACAGTACCCACTGAGAGCCTTGACGTCCTCGACCGTGGACCCAGGCAGAACGAGCGTCTTCATCGCTGTCATGAGCGGGTGAACCTTGAGGACGAATAACCCACCTATCCGCCTCGCGGCGGTGAGACACATTCTCTGAGCCTCACTCATCCGCCCGCCGCCGTCCCGAACCCGCGCCCCAACCATCATGACGGCCGTGAGGCCAAACGGCGATCGCTCGCGTAGGGCATAAAAGCTGTCCTTCTCGGGATCGTAGCAGTTGATGAAATCCGACGAGCCGGCATAGAAGACCTGCACGAGCTCGGCGGCCTCGTCGGCGCCAATGAGACCGAGCGACAGCGGGTCCTCGTCGCGGTCCTGCTCGCTCCTGTCGGGCCCGAGTCCTTGTCCGCGTTCGTGTCCGTGTCCGTGTGCCAGGCCCGCCCCCGCTCCTGCTCCTTCGCCGGGCACGGTTCGCGGCCGTTTCGGCGGCGGCGACCCGCTGTCCTCCATCTCCATCCGCGTCGCGATGGTCCGCAGCACGCCGAGGGGGTTGGCCATTTCGTCCATTGCGAGCACGTCTTCAGCGGGCGTCGACGACCGCCGGCGCCGCCGGCCGAGTTCAGTCTCGGGACTGGTGGCGGCCTGCTGGTGCTGGTGCCCGTGCCGGTTCTGGTGCTCGTCTGCATGCTCGTAAGTGTGCGGTTCGCCCATCCCCCGCAGCTTTTGCAACTCGGGTGGGCCCTCGCGCGGCTGTGGGTTGTGGTGGTTGGCCGACACGTCGGGGCTGCGGTGCCAGAACTTTGGCGGGCGGTATCCAGAGCCAGACCGATACTCGCTCGACACGGACGCGGCGGGAGACCGCCCCGGGTGGCCCTTGTCGCCCATGTCGGGGCACACGGCGTGCACGACGTCCTGGAGCAGGTGGCGCATGGTCGTCATTTGGTCTTCGAGGTTGTGCAGGCGGCTGCCTCGTCAGCTTGGTTATTGGACTGCCTAGCTGGCTTACTCCTCCATCGCGTTCTGGTCGGCGGGCTTGGCGGGTGGCTTCTCCAGCACACACTCTGCGCCAGTGGTCCGGCATCGTTCGCACGGTGGGGTTTCTGCGCCGATACACCTGATCTTTGCGCGGCGGCACGCGTTCTGGACATGTCAGCGAGCCACATCAAGAGGGCAAGGGCTCGGGGCACAAGGGAGGCACGTACACATGCACCTGGACTGTCAGCTCATCTGCAATACCTACCAACTGGCTAAAGTGCCAAACGGTACGCTCCACAGCGATACTCACGGCTCACGCGGGTGATGACTGGCCGTCTGGGCATGGAGCCAACGTCCTTGTCCCGCTCGCGCTCGTGCTCGCGCTCACGCCTGTCCCTATCCGTGGACCCGCTCGACTCGCCGCGCGGCGTCACTTGTCGCCGGGACGCGTGCCACTCGTACGAGCTGTAGTTGTCCATCCGTGTCGAGTGTATGTGTACAGAACATCAACGACTACCGCAAAGCCCACCCTTTCGCCTTGTGTGTGCCCCGCTTCTTCTAAAGTGGGACCCAACAATCCATGATCGAGGGCGCCCGGAGCGTCGGACCGCCGCTCCGAGGTCCGGGGCATTATTCAACCCCGTCCCGGACGGCCCGGTGGGCACAATGACAATGACGCACACCACGAGGCCACGACCATGCCCATGTTCGTACGTCGTCAGGCCAAGTCAAGTGGCATCTCATGTCCTTTAGGTATACTGCAGCTCTCTGTACAACGCCTTCCCTATGCTCCCCCTGGGCTCAGTTCTTACTTGGCAGCACTGGCAAAGGCGCCAAAGATGAGGGCGAGACCCCACGCTCCCGGGTCCGGCACGGCCTCCTTCTGGAGTGCCTCCTGGTCGACGTACGCTGCACGACCCGCCGATGCGACGAGCTTGGCCGTGTTCTCAGCCGCAGCCTTGGACGCGGCGGCCGCAGCGTCGATACCGGACTTGGGCAGCGTCTCGGTGAACGCAAACAGGGGGTCCATGAGGGTACGGCTGGGCGGGCGTGCGGACGTGTAGCCGGACAGCACGTCGAGTGCGGACGCGGCGCTCTGGGCCCACTGCGCCGGGGTGATTTCGCCCTTGGGGGCGGCCGCGAGGGCCTTTGCCAGGCCCGAAAAGTAGATGGCATACAGCGCGCCCGAGGTGCCGCCCATCTCCTCCTCGATGATGGCCGAGATGGCGCGGATCGAGTTGACAACGTCGGTGGGGGTGATGTCGCCGCGCTGGATGCCGGCCAAGATGGCCTCACCGCCAGCCTTGAGGGTGAGACCGCAGTCGCCGTCGCCTGCAATGACGTCGTAGCGCGTAATGTCGGGCTCGGCAGCAATGACGGCGTTGCACGCGGCAGTGATGGCGGCGGTGAAGAGCGGGGACGCGGTCAGGCCCGAGGGGACCTTGGACTCCTTCTCGACCTTGGCTGGGGTGGGCTCGGGGTTGAGCGAGGGAATGGTGGGGAGGCGCCAGCCCGGTGCGGACGAGGGTGCGTCCACGCCCTTGAGGATCGTGTCGACGTCTGTCTCGGGCAGACGGAGGGTGGTGATGGAGAAACCAGGCATGTCGAGCGAGGTCATGAACGAGCCGACGAGGAGACGGACCGCCTCAATGTTGCGCTTCTTGAGCGAAGCCAGAACGAAGGGGACGAGACCCACGAGCTCGAGCTCGCTCAGGCCACCGAGGTTGTTGACCATGACGACGGCCTTGTCGCCCTTGCCCTTCCAGTCGATAAACGAGCGCTCCTTGTCGGTCGTCGAGGTGAGCATCTCCACCATGTCGTCGATGAGCTTGTCCTTTGTCTGGATGGCCGTCTTTTTGATTCCATTCTCGTTGTGGATACCCATACCGACCTCCATCTCGCCCTCGGCGAGGTGCGACGGCTCCTTCTTGGTACCGGGGACGTGGCAGTGGGCAAAGCTCGAGCCGATCGAGCCCACATTGTCGGCGACCAGCGACGCCAGGCGCTTGACCTCGTCGACATTGGCGCCCTGCGCCGCCGCCCATCCAGCGACCTTGTACACGAGCGTCGTGCCCGCCAGACCGCGGCGGCCGACAATGGACCCCTGCGTGCGGCCCACAGCCACGTCGTCGCCCACGACCAGGAAACGCACATTGTCCTGCGCCGACTCGCCGGCCAGGCCGAAATTCAACACGTCGCCAGTGTACCGCTTGACGACGACGAGCGTGCCCTTGTCATTCTTGACGAGCTCGAGCGCGCGGCGCACCTGGCGCGAGTTGGGCGACGCAAACACGTTACCGCCCACCGCGGCCGTGAGCGAGTTGCTGCCCACAAACCCGGCGTCTGCCGCACCTGTCAGCTACTACAACTACGTACAGATTTCAGCTGTACTCACGCGCCGGCTCGTGTCCAGATCCACCGCCGCTGATGAGCGCGACCTTGCTGCGGTCCGGGTTACGAATGTGGAGGACTGTGTGGAGAGGGGTTGTATGTCAGCACGGGTGTGTTGGTAGCGTTTCCCACGGGGACGACCTCTCCGGTCGCCCCCTCCGCCGGGCACGACTCACCACGGCTTCCCTCGTCGACGGCGACGCCGGAACTGATGATGGCCAGGCCACGGAGGTAGTCGAGCGGGAGCTGGGATGCGTCGCCTGCAAAGTGCGCGGACATTGTGGTGGGAGGGTGTGTGTGGATGGGAGCAAGAAGGGGAGGGTGTGAGGGGAAGAGAAACGACAATGAGCTAGTTGTATAGTGTGTTGCTGGGTTGGAATGGTGACAGGACGCGAGAAGCCGTGTGGGGAGACACCAGGTGACCTCTGAGGTCCGGTTCATGATCGGTCGTCGGCATCTACCAGCAGCAAACCCAGGGACCCCCGCCATTATCCGGCATTTGCCGCACGCTCTCCCGCCGGCACTATGCTCGCAAGATGCAAGAACGAGCCTGCGTTCACCCGTTCATCCGTTCTCCCCCGTCACGGAGAGCGCTGGCGGGGCACGGGCGGCCCACACGGATACACGGACATGGGATCAGTACAGTAGTATAGCAGAGACGGGCGCGGGCGTACACACTGTCAGGCATGTCAGGACACGGCAGACAGGCGGCCAGGCGGAGAACAGTCGCGACAACAACGGGCAGATCTGGTAAATGTCCGGTTGGCCGGTTGATTGGGGGCAGACGGAGATGTGTCGGCCACATGTCGGGCGTGGGTGCTCGTCTGCTCTACGCATGAGCGGGCCCGCCATTCCGCGCGGAGATGGAGAACGGTGTTCACTACTGATCACTGGATCACTGGATTCCAGGTCCTTTCATACCATTTGTCGACCGAGGAGAGGCAAGCACCGCAGCTTGTGTACTGCAGCTTGGGGCTGACAGAATTGAACCACACAGGACTGGGGCGCCAGCGAGCGCAGCCTTTTGCTTTGCCTCTACTCTACACTCTGCTACTCGGGGCCGCGAGTCTCTTAATCCAGCGTTAGTCAGGCCTTGGTGGAGTCAGGAGAGAATGCTAAATAAATACAGGCAAACCCCGCTTCATTTTACACCATTTGCCAGCCGGCCCAGCCTCTCACAACTGACCATTTGCCAGCCAGTCCTTTCAATGGTGCTCCCCGCCTTCAATGCAACTCGGCGCCGCAGCGCCAAAAATGGTGGACTTGTAAAAACTTCTGCTGTCTGCTGCTCTTTCATAACAACTGAGAAAAAAAGTGCGGTGAAGCAAGTAGTACAACGAAAACTGAAATACAGTACTGCCTTCTTCCTTCTAAGTGTGTTGCTGTGTCGTGAAACCGTTCACTGCCACAGTCCTCGCGTGCGTCTAGGGGAATCGGCCGCCTCTGCTGCTGATGAATCGCGGGCCATGGGCTCGAGGCCGTAGCCCTGGGCTTCGAGGAGCTCGTGCTCGGCCTCGTCGTCGCCGTCAAAGACCGTGTCGCCACGGGAAATGTTGTTGTCGTTGGCGGGCCGACCGCGCATGCCAAAGAAGCCACGCTGGAGCTCACGCACACCGTTGAAGGCCTGCGTAAACGCCGAGGTGTAGTAGGACAGCTCGTTGGGGCCGGGCTCGGTGCGGGTCGGGGTCGGGTCGTCGCCCTCGTCGGGGTGCAGGCCGTCAAGCGAGTCTCCACGGGCAGCGCGCTGCGCGCGCTCCGACTCTTGCTGGGCTTGCTTGAGCTTGTGCTCAAAGCGCTTGACGCGCCACCAGCCGCCGACGGACGCGAGCACGAGGAACCAGCCAATGGTCATGAGCATGAATGCAAACCACTCGTTGGCGCGGCCAACCTCGGCATCGGACGGCAGGCCGATAATGTCCTTCAGCGTGTGGTTGTACTTGTGCACAGCCGCCTCGGCCTCCTCGACCGAGTGGAGGACATAGGTCTCGCCGTGGCCTCCCCATTCGAGGGGCGGCTGCCATGGCTGAGGCCACTGCATCTTGGTACCCCAGGACACCAACGTGTCCTCGGCATCAATGTCGGCTTGCGACTTGCCAGTGGCCGGATCCACCACGTTGTAGTCGCTGTCCACGCCCTTTTTGAGCATCTCCTCGGCCTTCTTGCGAATGCTGAAGCCGACCTGGATGAGGGTGATGCCCAGGCCAGCGCGAGAGCCAAACTTGGCGGCATGGGTGGTGTGGAGGACGTAGGTGAGGAGGAAGCCGACAAACTGGAACGACACCGACACGACGAGGTTCCAGAAAAAGCCGAAAAAGTTGCCAGCGCCCATGCCGTCGATGAGGATCTCATCGCCGTTGATGGAGCTCGAGAGGGGACCAAACGGCGACGATGACGAGGGAAGCACGACGGTGGTGTCCCAGTACGGAGGCACGGCGTCACGGAGAGCCGACTGGTACGATGGCGGGGCGTCCTTGCGCTCGTCCTCGTTGGCCCATTCGGGTCCGTCCTCGCGAGGCTCGTCCGAAGGCGCCGAGTTGTCAGGGCGAGCCGACATGTTGGCGAACACCCCACTCTGCCCACCGCCGACGTGGTCGTGGGGCGCTGCCCTTTGGCTTGGCAGGAAGGACAGGGGAAGGATACCGCCGAGAAAGTGTCGACGCGGCTTGGGTCGTGCGACGTGGCCGGTGGGGAGAATGCCATTGCTGTTGCCTTCTGCGGGGTGCGATGCAGAGTACGGCTCGAACGGTGGTGGTGAACCAGGCGGTGGAAGGAACTGGAGGACATCGTCAGCAAACTGCGCGCAGGGTTCGTGCAACATCGCCAAGAGCAAAGGGTACCGGGCGGTACCGCTTTTTCTCTCTCGCGCTTACTCACATAGTCACGGTCAAAGTCATAGTCACCGGGCATGCCGCCCTCTCGCTGACTTGACTGAGTATGCGACGTGTTGCCTAGAAGATGATGTTCCTCGTGAGCGTCTTCATCGTCGTCGTCGTGATCCGGGCCGTCAAATGCGCGGTTCATCTCTTCAGGGTCAGGGGCTTGGCTGCGGCTGCGGGAGTGGCCACCGAGGATGCCGCCAAAGGACACTGAACGGCGCTGCGGCGAGCCCGATGAAGGTAATGGAGTGTATGGTGCCATCGTGATAGGATTATGGAAAGAGGAGAGAGAGAGGGGGGAAGAGGATAGGTGGGTGTCTATATCTTGTCAGCCGAGCACTTTCGGGGCAATGGGACTGCGTGGTCGTCGCCAAGGAAAAAAGTGGTAGGTGTGGTTTGAGCGATCAGAGGGTGGTGCATGAAGTCGATGCACATATTATGTCGCGCTCATCTGCATTCCCCCCTTGCCCGAAGGCGCACGAGTTCAACAGATGGCTAACGACGTCGCGACTTCGTTGTATCGTCACTTCGCTAGTGGATGGGTGGATGGGTGGGGGGGTGGGACGACACGCAGGCGCCAAGGGGGGGGCTTGGCAAGACTTACCTGTTTACAATGGGGGATTGTCAAACGACAAAAGTGTGTGCGAGAGAGTGGACTAATCTACTAGGAGGCGGCGATGCCGCCTCTGAGGTGATACCTCGGAGTATATCCTGCTCTCCTGTTGCGAGGAGGGAGGAGTGAAGAAGAAGAGGATGGGCGGAGACGGGGGTGTTATAAAGGTGTCCCTTTCTCGCACCCGTAGGAAGAGTGTAGAACGACGAAGATGACCCGTCTCGCACCCGTCTAAGCCAATCGGCACAGCGCACCCGCGCACCCAGGTGGAAGCGGGAGCATTTGTATTACAGATAGATAGGCACACATATCCCATTGCCTATTATTTTGCGTTAATTCCGAAAGTAGGCGTGCACTGGCCGTATCGTTGCCGTCTGGCCATCTGCCCGGGTTCCAATCGTTCGTCGCCACTCTAGGGCATCGAGAGAGTGCTGCATCTGTGCGTTAGTTCCGTGTTCACGGAGACATGGATGACGGTGTGAGAAACGTTCATGGCCTGGGGCTGGCTGGTGTGTCCGTGTGCGCTGCATCGCCCCCATTCTTCCCTCCGTACCTCTGGCCTCTGGGCAGGTACACCGCAGCGTCAGTTCCCCCAAATGGAAAGTAACACGGAAGACAGAGATAAACGTCCCCTTGTCTCCCAACTTTTATCGGCATGCCCGGCTAGCCTAGCTAGCATCATGTTCGCGACGCGACGGAGTGCGCGCGTTCTCGACGGTGGCGCGCGCTAACGGTGGGCGGCACAGAGGTGCAGAGGGAACGGAAAGGCGTCCTTAGAGGGTGGGGGACAATTTCGGGCTGTTGGCCTCTCTGTGTCAGAATAGAGGAAGAGCATGAATTGTCACGTTTTCCACCAGGTGAGATCATGAGATCATGAGAGAGGTAGCATTGTGAGAGCCATGGCCCAGCGCCGGGTGCTGTTATTGGTGTGTGCATACGGGTAGGATGTGGGTTATTATTATGAGCGTGCGTTGCAGGCAGGGAGCGCAGGGAGAGTGCGATGATGCAGCCGGCTGTGGCCGGGTGGGAGAGGCAAGGCAGCCAGGCGTGCGGCCAGGCGGAGAGCCAGCGAGTGAATAACCCACACCCGGGCGACAGGAAATACCTCACTGACGCCAGAGTACCAGAGTCCTCTCCCTCTCCCCCTTAGGCCCCCTTTACCCCTCTCGGACCCAACTCTCTCTCTGTCTCTCTGTCTTTCACATCTCCCCCCCTCTCCACCACAACAAAACACACCACACACTCCCACTCATCCACATCCCATTGCATACATATCCCTCCACCTCCCCCGGACACAACACCGCACAGCCCCTTCCACCATACCACCCAGTACATAGGCAACTCGGCACAGGCAGCTCGATCACATCAACCCCCCCCCCCCCCCCCCCCCCTCCTTTAATTCGCTCGACTTGCTCGTATCTCGAGAACATTATACAAACGTGGGACCCCCACGTTCGTCACCTATCACATTTCTACCACAATAACCAGCGGCAGCACCTGCTCCACTTGTACATCCTGGGATGTGCCCTCTAGCACCACCAGCCCACCCGTCGAGTACGTGTTGACTCGTTTCCAAAACACAATCCGCACACCTGTGATCTCACCCCCCGCGCGCGCGCGCAAGTGGCGATGCTGACTCTACGCAGCGACATTTCTGTAACGGCCATGCTTTCTCCAGCGACACGTGTAGTGCGTGATCCCCCGCGAAACATTAGTCCCCCGCCACCCAAGGAGACGGTCGTGCATGACCTCGCATCACCCATTTCTGTCTCCCGTCGCCGCAACAGCAGCGCTGCCAAAGGCAAGATGAAGGCCGGCAGCAGCAACGGGCGCGACCGCGAGGTGGGCAGTGTTACAGTCTCGCTGCGCCCCACCGCTCCAGGAAGCTGTATTATCGACGATGACGAAGACGACGACGACGACGACAGCTCGCCGGCCCCCTCGTCGTCCCGGTCCCCCATGGCGTTCCGGCAACGTGCATTCCGGCCGCGCGCCAACTCGCTCCGCATCCCTCACCAACCCGCGTCGAGCTTGGGCAACAAGTTTTTCCTCCCCCATTTCTCTACGGACCAAAAGTTCTCGCTCAAACACGGCGGACCGTCTGTGGGCCTCCGGTTAGGCGACGGCGACGACTTGGACGCCAGCCTCGGCGATGCGATCCGCCGCGGCGCCAGCGGAGGCGGTGAAGTCGCACTGCCCAAGTCTGCGCTCCGTGTCCTCAACGAGGCCAAGGAGGACATGAAGTTTAGCGCCCGGTCCAAACAGACTCGTAAAGGCAGCATTGGCATGGGCCTCTTCAAGGAGACCCGCCCGCCTTCCCAGGACAGACGCAAGTCGCTCGATCGCCCCAGTCGTGACGACCGCAAGCTTGACGAGGTCAAGGAAGTCCCCGAGCCAGCCGTGGCCTTTACGTCGCCATGGGCAAACGATTCTGTTGCGACTGCAACTGTCAAGAAGCTCGAGTCGCCGACCAAGGAGGAGGCTGTTCACTCGCCACGGCGGCAATCGCGCGAGGAGCGTGCCGCGACGTCGTTTGACGAGGACAGCGGATGGACGTCTACCTCTTCATCTGGCGACGCTGATATCTTTGGCAGCGACACTGAGACGGACGACGATGCCATGACCGTGCCCCTCCAGCCTTATGGGCACAAGGTCGGCGGCCATTCGAGCATCTACCAGTTTACCCGCGCCGCCATCTGCAAGCCCTTGGTGGGGCACGAGAATGTGTTCTACGAGGACGTCGAGCGCCTTGCGCCGGCATTGCTTCCCTTCATTCCCCGATACCTGGGCGTCATGGTAGTCAACTACCGTCGTCTGGCCCGTACAGGTACCGAGGGATCAGCAACGCCCGCAGCCGAGCGAGACATGGCGCTGTCGCCCGCGGCATCTCACCCTCCTACCCCGGCACACCGCCCCGACTATCTAAAGGACGCCTCGGACATTGAAGTGCCGGAGGTGTCCCTCGACTTTAACCGACATGTCGTTCCCGACTGGCTGTTCCGGTCCACTGGGTCCATCGACCGCGGACGTCGGCGCCTGACCTCTGTTGACGGCGACGACGGAGACCGTGACCGCCGCCCTTCGTCATTACGGTCACCTGGGTCTGGCGTTCAAGACTCGTTCTCGCCTTCCAGCTCGTTTGGCCACATGTCGTTGAGTGAAGTGGCCGGTTCGCCCAGTGCGGCGGTGCCTGCACGTCTCATGCGCGACGAGCCGGCCACTCCGGCACACTCGCCGGCGAGCCCGTCTTTGCACCACACACACTCGTCCCCGGCCCTGCACCGCCAGCATGGTCTGTTTTCCAGCATGGACGGCACAAACAGCGGCCTGTCCTCTCCGCACCCGGCGTTTGGCGGCACCGGTTCCACGACCGTCAACAACAAGCTCAAGGACCACGTCTTTTCGTCAATCTTCAAAAAGCTCAAGAAGCGTGGTGTGCACATGTCGTCCCGCCACCACGACGACGATGCCGACGACGAACATGATGACTCGGGTTCCAACACTGGCTCGGTCTCACGACGCCACCAGCGTGCCCGGCCGCCTCTCCACCACGCCAACACTGCAACGGGGACGCCCGAAGTGCGCCGCGCGAGGAGCGAGGTCGCCCTCGGCAGCAGCGGTCTTGCGGCCAGCACCCAGTTGCGCAGCAGGAATCGCGACCCGAGCGCCGAGCGTGGTGTGTTTTCCATGGACGACGACGAACACATTTCGATGCAGTCCAAGCGCGTCCCTGCGCACATGAAGCGTCCCACCTCGGCATCGTCCGAGACGGAGGCTGATACACTGGATATGCTTTCGCCCAGTCACCGCGGGTCATCCCGTGACGGCGGCGTGTCCTTCCCAGCCTCGCCGTCGCTTGCTGCGTCCGTTCTCGGCGACGACTCGTCGCGGCATGAAAACTTCATCTTTATGGAGGACCTCACGGGCCGCCTCAAGCGTCCCTGTGTCCTGGACCTCAAGATGGGTACCCGGCAGTACGGGTTCGACGCCACGCCACTCAAGAAGATCAGCCAGAGGAAGAAGTGCGACCAGACGACGAGCCGGACGCTCGGTGTGCGCATGTGTGGCATGCAGGTGAGGCTATATACCTGATGTGACAAAACCATTCACTAACCCATCAGGTATGGAGCAACGCGTCCCAGTCGTTTGTCTCCAAGAACAAGTACCGCGGCCGCGAGCTCAAGACTGAAGATTTCCCTCGTGTCCTCGGCTTCTTCCTGACGGACGGCGACAGTGTTCTGGTGGACCAGATCCCGGCTCTTGTGCAGAAAATGTACAACCTCGCCGCCATTCTCGCCACGCTCAATGGGTTCCGGTTCTACGGCTGTTCTCTGCTCCTCATTTACGACGGCGACCAGGATGTGCAGACGCACTATGCGCGCCAGATGAGGTCTCGTCGCCCGACCCATGAACGCGCTGAATCAGTGTTCACTTCAGCGACACCGCGTCGCCGCCAGTCACTCGCCGGTTCGCGCCGCTCTCGCAGTGCCGACGTGTCGGATCCCACCCGCTTCCCACCGCAAAAGGTCCGTGGCGAGCTTGTGGTGCGCATTGTCGACTTTGCACACACCACCACGGGGCAAGATATCGTCTACCCCTATCCGCCGGACGTAGTCGACCCGCCTGACATGGGCAAGGGGTACCTCACGCTCGAGGACAAGGCCACCGGTCGTCCCTTGGCCCGGTTCCCGCCCCACCACCCCGAAGGCCCCGACCTCGGCTTCATCTTTGGCATTTGCTCCATCGTCGCGTCCCTCAGGTCCATCTACGCTTCTGAAATGGAGCGTCGACGCGCCAACGGGCAGCCCGCCCCGGCCCTGCCGAGCTTTGAGAACGCAGACGTGTTTGACAAGCTCTTCCCACCGGACTTCGACAACGGATACTTGTCGACTTAACCTACCACACACACCATCAGCAAGGACGATGCCCGCCCGCTCCAGGAGCGCGAGGCCCGATTGATTTCTTGCGCACCCAACCCAAACCAAACCCAACCCCAACCCACCCCAACCCAACATCGCATGTACTACTGTAGCCATTTTCCACGTCCACTATCTACCACCACCACCACCACCACCACAGCACGCAAGTAAGCAAACATTTCTATTTTTCGCTCTGGGTCTCTCTCTCTCTTTCTCTTCATTTGATTTGTCCATACACATCCACCCCACACACACACACATACATACACTACATATATGCAGAGTCTGTCTGCGTCAGTCTGGCATGGCACCAAAAATGCACCCAAAATGCACCATGTGTTTCGTGTTTTATGCGCTGAACAGACCTTCCTCGGCGCGAACAAGGATACTGGCGCTCAGCTCTCCTCATCTCATCTGATCTCATCTGCTGGCCTGCCCGTCTTCTGTGGCGGGTCGGCCACCTTCGTCAAGCAGCGCCGTGACCTTGCTCATCGGCACAGTCTCGTTATCGCTTATGCCTTGGGCCAACCAACGCTCTAGGTCCCCGACACGATCAGTGCGAGCACGCCCACCAGCGCGCCAGCGCTAGTAGTGCGCGCATGAAACAGCCGGTGCGGTCGACAGCCCATGTACTGTACCGTATCGTGCGGTGGATCGGGGCCGCGGGCATCTAGTCGCCGAGGATGCAGTGCCGGTACACTACGGTGTACCGGTGTCGTACGTATGTCGCTATTCCGCCATGAACCTGCAGCAGCAGCGGCTGAGACAAGCACCCCAAGCGACGCGAAAAGGAAGCCAAAAGGCGACAACGAACGGGGTCAAGACGCAACAAACGGCGCGACGACGGCAGCGGGGGTGTGGTGTCGATTCCGTCAATAAACGACGTCGGGACGCCATATTCGCCATCTGGCAGAAACACGTTTGGGCGTGGGAGGCTTAGCTTCTGAGCTTCTGAGATGCGGGGGGTAAGGATATGGCATTGGATTGGGTTGGGTTGGGTTGGGTTGGGTTGGGTTGGGTTGGGTTGGGTTGGGTTGGGTTGGGTTGGGTTGGGTTGGGTTGGGTTGGGTTGGGTTGGGTTGGGTTGGGTTGGGTTGCGCGACCCGATTCTGAGTTTGATGACAGCGGTACAGCGGGTAGGTACTGTACTAGGTCATAGGTAACGCTGTGTGCGGCATTGTGTGCTATTTGGGTCTCTCGCGGACTGTCAGTGTACTGTACCAGTGTGTCAGTGTTCAAAGGGTCGCTACTGGAAAGTCTGCGTTGCGAGCAATCTCCTCATGTTACGGTCTCACAGCACCTTTTGGCCTTTGGTGTCGCACAAGTGTAGACATGTAGAGATGTGCATTGCAGAGAAGGGTTTACAAGCTGCAAGCTGCAAGGACACACGTTGACGTGTCCACCAGTGCCCCGGCCCACCACTTTCCATTGGGTCTGTCGGAATGATCAGAATGGCGGGTTAATGTCTGTGGGGAGGGGCGGTTTGGCTGTTCTCGTCATTCATTAAAGCAACGACGCGCAAGAAAAGGCGCGGGCTGACGGGGACCAGCACGCACCCCCGCATGGCCGCCAGAATAGGGCCATGTTGGGCCCATTTGTGTGGCCTGGCCCAAACATTCTGCCGCGGCAGGCGAAGATGGCGAGACCAGAGGTCCACACCCTGGGGGGGTTTCCTGCAGGCTTTCTGGCGCGGATTGTAGAGCGCGCGCGTACATGCGTACAACCAGCGGGGGCCATGTGCTGCCTGCAAAAGGTGAGATGGCATGCGTGAGTGTCGCAATGTCGCTTAGCTTGACGTTTGGCATTATCCATCCGTGGATCCTCCTCGCATAGAGTAGGCCACCCACCACCACTCCTTCACACACATCTCTCTCTCTCTCTCTCTCGTCGCGACAACAACGCGAGCATCCCTTCCTGCACACACACACCTTTTTGCCCGACGCCCCCGCCGCCGCGACGGTCCAAAGTGGATTGTACCTAGATTACCAAGAATCCGAAAGCCACCCCACCGACACACCGTTTGCCTCCCACCACAACATCCACCATGCCCGCCTTTGTCAGCGGACACGGCGGGCCTGCGAACGACCACGACCATGACCACTCTCGCTCCTCGTCGCCGCACCAGTCGCCGCGGCCCTCTAGCTCAAGGCATAGCAGCAGGACATACAGGCCACAGCGGATCGCGCCCGCTGGCCTCGTGCTGCAGCCTGCCGCGCCGGCGGCCAACGAGCGGACAAGGCTGCTGAACCATGCGCGCACGCACAGCTATGCCTCGTACGCTTCTGCAGCGAGCGCCAGCAGCACGTCGACGCTGGCGCCCAGCCCGCCCGGGTCCAGTGGGCCCGCATCACCGCACACGGCCAGTCCGTACGGGAGTCACTCGAGCACGACGACGGGGTCGCGCAGTCACAGCCACTCGCGCAGCGCCAGCCCCGCCGGCAGCGAGGACACGGTCATGTCCAGAAAGCTGGGCAAGAACGGTGTCGTCAGGCATAGCCACCGCCATTCATACGACCGCGAGCACCACGCCCACCACCAGCACCAGCACCAGCCACAGTATCACCAGCACCAGCACCAGCACCAGCAGCAAACGGCGCATCACGAGCACCATCGGACAGCTCCGCTCAAGGACAGCATGTCACGCGCGAGGCTGTATATTATCTGGTACGCCACCTCATCTCACTCACACGCCTCATGGCCACACGGTGCACGGTGCCCACCGAGCGCCAGCCACCCGGCCACCTCCTATCTCTTGTGTTTTTTTTTTTTTCTTTGCCCTTGCTGACAGTGTCATCTAGCGCCGGTATCTGGGCGTCCAACTTCACCTTTGCGTTCCAGTCGACGGCCATCCCGACGCTCGCGCCGTCCATCTCCAGCTCGTTCAACCATGCCGAGCTGGCCGCCTACCTCGGCTCGGTGTTCACGCTGGGCAACACTGCCGGCATCCCCGTGTACGGTGTCCTCATTGACACGCTGGGCCGGCGGTTTGCCATGTTGACGGCGTGCTGCTTCTTTGGTGCAGGGACCGTTGCGTGTGCGCTCGCTCCAGGGATGCACTCGCTCATCGCTGCGCGCGCCCTGAGTGGGTTGGGTGGCGGTGGGCTGTTGACAGTGTCGGCGGTTATCTGCACCGACCTCGTCCACTTGCACGAGCGGGGGTTCTACCAGGGTGAGTTGGAGACTTGCCACGATGATGCGCTACTACAGCTGACATTCCAGGCATCATGATGACCATCTTTGGCGCCGGATCCATGATCGGCGGCCCGTTCAGCGGCTGGCTGTCAGACACGTACGGGTGGCGCCTGTCTTTCTGGGTCCAGATCCCCATTATCGCATGGTGCGCGTTCATCGTCGCGTGCTTCCTCCCCGAACCGCCCATCGCACCCACCCACCAGTCGGCGTGGGCGGGCCTCGCGAGCTTGGACTGGGGCGGGATCCTCCTGCTCCTCGGCTCGGTGTCGACGCTCATCCTCGGCCTGTCGTTCCACACGTCGTACTTCCGCGCGTGGTCCGACCCCGTGGTCTGGGGCCTGCTCCTCGCCTCGGCGCTCAGTGTGGCCGGGTTCATCCTCGTCGAGAATAAAGTCAAGCGGCCCATCGTCCCCCTGTCCATGTTCAAGAGCCGCCAGCTCGTCGCCATCTGGCTTTCGGGCACGTTTTTGAGTATCGCAGCACAGGCGTTCCTCTTCCATGTGCCCACGTACTTTGCCGTCCTCCTCGACAGCTCGGCCGCACAGGCCGGCCTCGTGGTCAGCATCTGTTCCGGGCTGGGTCTCAGTTCCGGGTCGTTGCTGGCTGGATAGTGAGTTTAAGCTGAGACAGCGTCAACTGACATTTCCACAGCCATATCCGCAGGGGAGGCAGGTATACATGGCTCGGCTTCTTCAGTCTCTTCCCGGCCATCATATCGAGCTTTGTCGCTAGCCAGTGGACACCAAACTGGCCCACTTGGACATACTACGCCACCGTCCTGCCGACCAACATTGGCTACGCCATCTTCCTCTGTGTCACGCTCAGTAAGTTTTGAGCTCGTCTGTTCCTGTCCGTCTCCACGCCGCCTCCACGTCTTGTGCCGTGGGGAAGCCCCGTGGTCCTCCTGCCCGTTTTATTCCCAGAATCACACGCCGGTTTAACAACCTCAACGGGTCGTGGCGGAGGATAGGAGAACGTGGTAATGCCGCCCCCCTGCAGGCTGTGCCTTGCTCTTGTTTCTTTCTGTTTCTTCGTCCCCATCGTGCCTGCCACTTGCTGTCGGGTCGCGTGCATCGTTGCGATCGCAACGATCGCGGCGTCGTACGAACCGCACCGCTACTGTACCTGCAGTGTTCTGTACATGGTTCCGACCGCTCTGTGGCCACCACATCCAGATGTTCCCGCCCTTTACAACACCAACACTTTCTTGTTCCTGTCCGCTGACATGGTACACAGTCGCCCTCATCTCCAGCGTCGACTCGCACGCGATGCCCAAAGCCACTGCGCTGCTGTACACTGTGCGCTCTCTGGGCTCGACGCTCGGCGTGTCGCTGGGCGGCAGCATCCAAGTGGGCGTGCTCGTGCAGTCGCTCCAGCGCAAGTTTGCCCACGTGCCCGACGGCGCCGCCATTGTCAGTGCCGTGGTCCACTCCAAGGCGGCCATCAAGGCGCTGCCGCCCGCCCAGGCCGCCATGGCGCTGAGCGCGTACGCGCGCTCCCTCAGCGCCGTGTGGATCGCGGCCGGGTGCGTCGCCGTGTTCACCCTCGTCTCGGCCTTGTTCATCCGCCAGAACGAGATCCCGCCACACAAGGGTGCGCTGAAGAATGGCAATGGCCATGGCCATGGCAATGGCAATGGGAGCGGCAGCGGCGACGACGACGTGCGCAAGCCCGTCAAGAGCAAGCGGCGCGTCAGGATGGCCGTGGATGTCGAGCAGCATTAGTGCAGAGCGCAGTGTAACGTGTGTGTGTGCGTGTAAGCGGTGAAGGGCGGTCTGTGTTGGGAATAGAGTTGGGGGGGGGACTGTACTGGTTAGTAGAACGCATCAAGATAAGTTAGATAGGGCATACCGCGCGTAGCCAAACAAACAACAACAACATAAACACCATCCAATAGACTAGGTTTTTTTAGCGATATGATATGCCTCTTTGTCACGTCATCACTCCCGGTGGTCGGCAGTGGCCGTGGCCGCGATGGATAGATCGAGAAGGAGAATGGGCGAACGGACATGTGTCCGAAGGCGACCGACCCGTCTTGGCGCCCGCACCGGCTGACTGAACCATGACCGTTGCTGTGCTACTCGGCCGCCATGAACGCGCTGTATGCACTGTGAGTGGGCGCCAGCTGTGCCCGTCGAGTGTCGAGTCTCGAGAGTCAGGACGGAGTGCGCGCGATTCCGACGTCATCGGCTCCGAGGATCCCACAAAGGGGACTCGACCTGGCGGGCGCTGTGACTGGCCACTGGTCTGTGCGGCGTTGCGCGGCGTCCGAACAGTGCCATCCATTTCGTTGTTGTCCTGCACCGATGTTGCTCCTGAACCGAGCCTGAACACCCCGGGGCTGGTGACGGCGCGGCGTACCGATCGCCCTCGACGTCGAGTCGTCGAGCCCCCACACCACAGCTCCGATGTCCCGGTCAGGTTCGTTGCATCAGTGTGATGTCACATGTCAGTGGCCCAGTGGCCAGTGGCCGGTGGACGAGAGGGATGAGGGACGAGTAGGACGCGCCAGTGTCGCCGGCAGCAGTGGTAGCCGTGCAGGACGCGTGCACCCCCCCCCCCCCCCCCCCTCCCCCCGCCGGTCGGCGGAGTGTCGTCCCTGCTCGCCATTGTTCTGCGCTGGGGCTCCGGCCCCACCTCGAGTCCTGGATGCGCCGTGGCCCTGTTTCCGTGGTGAGTGGGCTGGGCAACCGGTGATATCATCGTCATCATCATCATCGCCTCGGACGTTGGCGTGCTCGCTGTCGTGCCCTCTTGGGCTCTTGGCCTCTTGCTCGCATGTTCCATGTTCCATGTTCCATGGTCTGCAGTCAGCAGTTTGCGGACGACGTGAGCGGGGGTTGGGGGTAGATGATCATTGCTGCATTGCTTGGAATTGTGTGGGGGGGGGGGGGGGGGGGGTGGCTTCTTCCGTTCTCTCGTTTCTCTCTCGTTCTCCACACCATCTGTTGTGTTTCTAAAAGAGCTATCTAGCGGCGTCCGGCGTGGCCACCACCGACGTGGACGTCGCCCTGGCCGCGGGAAGGGTTGAGGTTCTCGCCGCCGACGTTGAACTTCTGGCGCTGCTCGATGCCGTTCTGCAGGATGAGGGCAATGGCGGCGCTAGTGGCGTGTCAGTGGATGGGGCGGCTGGGAGAAAGTGGGCAAGAGAAAGAGACTCACTCGGTGGACTTGTCCTTGATCTTCTTGTCATCGCCAAAGAAGGCAGACTCGGTCTCCTGCTTTGAGATGGCCAGGAGGGTGCCGGTGTGTCCAGTGCCGGTCTTGTACTGAGGAGAAGAGTCAGCTGGGGGATGGTCACACGAGGGCGCTGGGGTGGTGGTTGCCATCCACACGCAAGCGGTACTCACAATGTTGAAGTTGCCAATGAAGCGGGCAAGAGCGATGTCCTTGCCTCCCACGGGCTCAGCCTTCCACTGCTTGAACTCGACCTCGTCGTCGATGAAGACGAGGTACTCGTCGGCGTGCTCGTCGGGGCGGTAGATAACAGCAAGGGTCTCGACAGTCATGTTGGCTGGGTGTGTGGTGTGGTGTTGTGGTGGTGGTTGTGGTTGAGGTGGGGTTGCGAGGTGAAGTGTTGTGGATGTGGATGTGTTGTGTGTGTGTGAAGTAAGAAGGAAAGAACGAGGATGGACTGCCCCCTTTTAAGAGTTGCGCGAGACACCCCACACCGCCCGGCCCGACTGACTCGTCGAGGTCACGGGTGGACACGCACACCACAGCTCCAGCAGGATGCGTGATCAATGGCCCACCCAACTCGGACGGGGCGTGTGACGTCACTCTCGGATCCGACGTCAATGAATACCATCTCAGGTTCCTTTGTGTCGATTGTTGCCACGTGGCCACATGCCTATTTATTACAGTTATTCGAAAATGTTCCACCGCATGCCTTCCTGTTGCATCGCCTATTCTCCGGGCGATCCGGGGTCTGTGTTTTCTTCTTTACGTAACATGTCGGGATATGGGCCAATGTCTCTCGAGATGAGCAATTTGATGCCATCGTGCCATGGCGGCGGCGGCGGCGGCGCGGCGGCGCGTCCCAAACGCGCGTGTTTCTCGTACGACCTGTGGGTCAGCAGTGGGCGCGGACCGTCGGCGCCGCGCCGCACGCGTGTGAGAGCAGCACCCGTACCCCCCGCGACATGCCCGCACACGACAGTTTGATCCCCCCCCCCCACCCGCGCCCTGAGCTGGCAGAGCGCGTGTCGCCCCAAAAGTCGACGGCCAAAAGTAGCAGCGGCGGGGGACAACGGGTTGCGGTCGTGGAATAATCGTATCACACTGGCTCTGGCTGGCTGGCTGGCGCGCGTTTGGGGAGAGAGGGCCTTGATCGGATCGCGCGCATTGTCCACAAAGAGAGTGTCACTTTCACTTTCCTCATCTCTCTCTCTCCCTCTCCTCACACACTGTCCTATATTCTCTCGTTTCAGTCTCTCTGTCTCTCTCTTTAGCTCTCTCTCTCCCCTTCACGACCCTCCCTCCACCCCCACACACACCTAATTCACAATGGTCGCTTTTGACATCCCCGCCCGCCCCACCAACGTCGGCATCCACGCCATCGAGATGTACTTCCCCAAGCGCTGCATCTCCGAGGACGACCTCGAGGACTTTGACGGTGTTGCCAAGGGCAAGTACACCATCGGTCTGGGACAGAAGTACATGGCCTTCACCGACGACACGTAAGTAGCAGAAACACAGAGAAGGAGCTATCCGGGGGAATTGCAGCTGACGACCCTTCCAGCGAGGACATCAACTCGGTGGCGCTGACCGGTACGTGTCCTTATCCGACCTGGATCTTGCGCGACAGAAAAGGCTTGTCGAGTGCAGTGCTGACCTGTTCCCCTTAGTCGTCTCGCAGCTCATGGAGAAGTACAACGTCGACCCCAAGTCGATTGGCCGCCTCGACGTTGGTACCGAGACCATTATCGACAAGTCCAAGTCGACCAAGACCCTGCTCATGGACCTGTTCGCCGAGCACGGCAACTTTGACATTGAGGGTATCGACTCGAAGAACGCGTGCTACGGCTCGACCGCCGCCCTCTTCAACTGTGTCAACTGGATGCAGTCCGAGTCGTGGGACGGCCGCAACGCCATTGTCATGTGCGGTGACATTGCCATCTACAAGGAGGGCTCTGCTCGCCCCGTCGGTGGCATGGGCGCATGCGCCATGCTCATCGGCCCTGACGCGCCCATCGTCGTCGAGCGTGAGTGTCTGTGTGTATACAGTAGATCATCTTGGCTGACGTATCCAAAGCCGTCCACGGCACCTACATTGCCAACACCTGGGACTTCTACAAGCCCGACCTTTCGGCTGAGTACGTGAGTATCAAATTGCCCAGCTTTTTTTTTTTTTTTGGTCACGAAAACAACAACATGGCGCTAACATTTTTCTCCTTAGCCCACTGTCGACGGCCCCTGGACCATTGCCGCCTACCTCGGCGCTCTCGACAACTGCTACTCGACCTACCTCGAGAAGGCCGCCGCCTCGCGCGCCCGCGCTGCCAAGAAGGGCATTGCCAACGGCAACGGTGTCAACGGCCACGCTGAGGAGGCCGAGGGCCTGAGCCAGTTCGACTACGTCTGCCTCCACTCGCCCTACGGCAAGCTCGTCCAGAAGGGTCACGCTCGTCTCTTCTACAACGACTACCTCCGCAACCCCACCGCCCCCGAGTTTGCCAACATCCCCGAGGAGATCAAGTCGCTCGACAAGACCAAGACTTACACCGACAAGGCCGTCGAGAAGACCTTTATCGCCCACGCCTCGGAGCACTACAAGGCTGCCGTCCTCCCCGGCTCGGACTGCGTCAAGCGCTGCGGTAACATGTACACTGCCTCGCTGTACGGTGCCCTCGCCTCGCTCATCGCCAACATTGACTCGGACTCGATCCAGGGCAAGCGCATCGGCATGTACGCCTTTGGCTCTGGCTGCGCCGCCTCGTTCTACGGTCTCCGCATCAACGGCTCGACCGAGGAGATCCGCACCAAGCTCGACCTCCAGAAGCGTCTCGCCGCCATGGAGGTCGTCCCCTGCCAGGACTACGTGGACGCCCTCAACACCCGTGAGGCCAACCACAACGCCATCGAGTACAAGCCCACCGGCTCGATCGACAACATCTGGCCCTCGGCCTACTACCTCAACGGCATTGACAACCTCTACCGCCGTACCTACACCAAGAAGCCCGTCGCCTAAGCGCGTCACCGCGCCCCCTCCAGGCCTGGCTCCCCTCGTCTTGATCTCTATTTAGACAGCACACCATACTCGCTTCGCGCTACCACCGGCACTTTTAACACCGGGGATCCAGCAGCGAACTGTAACATCTTACTCTAGACCCATCTATTGTCTACCTATACCCCTCACGCAGGATGCATTTTGTTGATGCAGGACACACAAAAGAGGAGGGCCCAAATTCCCCGCACCGAGTCTGTGCCGCCGCGTATTGTTGTCGTCGGTGACACGTTCTTGCCAAGTGATGGCAAAAGCCCACCGATGGGTCCATGAGAAAGAAGCTGATGGGCCTGAGAAGCATTACACCAAGGCTGCCCGCTTTTCCCCAGTTCTGATCACTGACTTTGCAGTCTCTCTCGTCGATACATCAAGCTCCCTCCCTCACAACACCAACCCACTCTGAGCAATGCCCGACGGCACGGCCTCGCCCGTCAGTGACCTCGAGCGGGAACAGGAACTGGACACCCCGCTCGACCCACACGCCCTGCTGCCCCGGTACAGGGAGCCACGGAGCGCGCTCGACTGTTTACTCTACTTTCGTCCGCCGCCCCAGGCATTCGCGGCCCCCACGCCGGATGATGTTTGGCCAGCCCCGGTCTCGACCCCCGCCCCCGTCCCCGTCCCCGTCACTCCACCACCCGCGACCGTCACGGCCATGGCCGTAGATGGAGACGCGTCGCAGACGACCCCGACACCCTCTTCTCCTCCCACCCCAACTCCTCGTAACCCTTACCCGACCGTCGCGCCCGTCGACCCCGTCCCCGCCGCCGTCACCACCCCATCACCGCTCGCGTCCTTGATCGCCACTGTGGCCGAGTCGCTCGACGCGCACGGCATCGACCACTTCTCAGTGACACTCTCGCCGACGCTGCTGGGCCTCCTCGACCACCGCCTCCAGTGGGCCGTGGCCGACACGGCGGCGCAGCGGCGGTACGCGTGGGAAAACAAGGACAGCGCGTTTCTGCAACAGTGGATTGCGGATGTGGAGGGCATCCACCGCGCCGCCGCGTTGGTGGCGGTGGCGGCTGCAGCGTCTGGTGAGGAGTCGGACGGAGGAGATGGAGCGCGTGACGGTGGCATCCCCACATCCCCGACGGGGTCGCCCTCTACACCCACCGCACACGACTACCCGCCGTCTCCACCTCGACCGGGCACGCTCGGCACGCACGACTGGGCGGCGTTGGCGAACCGCTGGCTCGGCGATGCGAGCCACTTTGACAGGCCGCACGTGCCCCGCGGCACCTGGCAGCTGGCCCCATTCCCGTCGATGGCAGGCCCCTCGACATGCCACATTGCCTTGCGGCCGCCATACGCCCAGACAGCCAATCTACCATGGAGCGACACGGAGCGCGCGCGGCTGCTGCGCTATTATCCCGGAGGGACGGTCACGCACACGCACACGCTCCCGCCGCTGTCTCCCCAGTACGTGTGCAACGGGCTGGCCAGCGGGATGAGTACGTGGCAAGACAACGTGACGTCCGACACGCCGTTCCAGTGCACGCCCAAGGGCGGGGGCGGCGGGTGGGCCGCGCAGTGGGCCAGGAGCGAGCAGGTGTTTGCGGGGGCGAGGCCGACGAGGAAGGGGGAGCGGCATGAGGCGCTGCCACCTACGCTGGCGGCCTTGCTCGACCTGTCCGACGCGGGATTCACGGGCGATGTTCGAGGTGGCCTCTTCCGCGTGCTCGAGACCCTCGTCACCACCCTCCGGCGTATGTGGGCGCCCGAGGACAGGCTCGGGTTCGGCATCCGGGTGGTGCGCGATGAAGAGGACGGCCTGCGACTGGACCTCCCCTTCAAGTCAGGCGACAAGGTCGGCACCGCGTTTGTGGCGCAGCACTGCGGTGGTGGCGGTTTCGCCGGCCTCGAAACTGCCCTCATGTATCTCGTCCTCACGGTGGGTGCGATGTTTCTGCTAATAAGCATTCACCCGCTGACGGCCTACCACAGGTGTACACCACTGCCCAGCGCTACGAAGCACCCCTCACCATCACCCTCGCGTCCGACTCGCCGACGGGCGACGCGCTCGTGTGGCAGTATACCTCGCCCAGCGCGCTCAAGGTTTCGCGCGTGATACAGGGTGATGCGGCGCTGGACGTTCCCGATCACATCTCGCTCATGCGCGTGTTGGTCGCTGGTGGGTGTGCGTATGTTCCCGACAACTCCTGGCCGGGGAGGAAGGGGCTGGTGGCGGGTAATGGTACGGGGGTGTCGGCGGGGGAGCAGGAGCGGGTAGGCGAGGGCGAGGAAAGCGAGTTCACAGAAACGACGGCGACGAGCAAGGGCGGCGGCGAAGAGGATGAGGCGGAGGATGAGGAAAAGGCCGCGAGACAGATGACGAGGACCTGGTGCGGGGCTGTTGGCAGAGTTCCGAGTGCCACTGGCAGCAAGGAGACTACCGCAGAGGCGAAGCCGGCCGTCAAGCCATAACAGAACCGTATAGCTGGTGATGACAGCGCCACGCTGGAGAGGGAGAGCAGACTCGTACTCCTCCAACACCGACTGGCCAGAAGACCATGGACAATGGGGTGAGTTGGGGAGCTTCTTCAATCCAACTCTAACGCGAGCCAGAACTCTCCGCTCTCAGTAGACGATCTCGAGTACCTCCTCCACCAACATCTCCCACCTTGCTCAGGCCCGCTAGAAACCTATGCAATAGTACATGCTATAATACAGTAGATGCCTACAGTCTACACCACACCCCAGCCATAAGCGTACCCAGCACTCTTTCCTCCCAAACCCCTCGGCGCCCTCCAGAGCCGAGGCGCCGGAAACTCGCGTGGCGGCCTCCTCCTGCCGCGCTTGCGTTTCCTCTCGGGCTCGTCGTCTCCTGCAACCTGCTCGCCAGATCCCAGGCCTGTGACTGAGACTGGGAGATACACGTCCACGGCTGGCAGAGCTTTACACTTGTTCTCGGCGTCGGCCCACTCGTCCATCATGCGCTTGGCGACAAACGACACGGGCAACGGTGTCGCAGCGTCACTGTGAAACTCGACGGCAGGCTTTTGGTAACGTCTCGAAGGACCGATGTCGGGGACCGCGGACGGCTCGATGGCCGCTTCAGAGGCCACACGACGGATACGGGCTTGCACACTGTCGGGGAGCGGGCGGAGACGGGGGTTGGTGGTCACTGGGTAATCCTCGACAGTGGAGAGCGAGACGGGCCCGACGGGGGCTGATGAGAAGAGGCGGAAGTCTGAGGTGTCAGCTGTGTTGCGCGGACTTAAAGAAGAACTGGAATGAGACGCTTTATCGATACTTACCCACAGTCTCCTCTTTGGGCTTTGGTGGGGGTGGCAAGGCCGCCGCGCGTGCCGCCTCGATCTCTAGTTTGAGCTGGCGCTCGCGCTCCTTTCTCCGCTTCTTCTTAGCGTTCTGCTTCTCGGCCTTGGTCATTGGCAGGCCACTAGCGTTGAGGCCAGAGCCACCTTCGTCGTCGCTACCGGCGTCTGCAGGGACAGGCTTGGCCGTTGCGGGCTTGGACTCGAGCTCGAAGTCGACCGTCACGGGCTCCATGGGCGGCATGAGACCCGCCATGAGCGTATCGTACGCGGCTATGATTTCGGGCGAGGGCGGTGTATACACCTCGGACGCCTCTGAGCAGTGCGAGGGTGCCGGGGAGGGCGCCCTCGAGCTCGCTGGGCTGGAGGACATTGTTGTGGATGGTCAGATGCAAGAAGTGAGCACCTCCACTTCAACTTCTCAACAACCTCCCAACCCGCACGCCACGGGATCAAAACACCGCAAATTGCCGTCGCCACCACCCCCGCGCGTAGAGTTCATCCCACTTCACGTCTCCTTCACCAGCGCTCCCCATCAACAACAACAACAGAAGCAGCGAGCACGTCCGTCATGTCGTACAACAACGTCGGTCTCTCGACCGCCCGTGGATCGTGGGTTTCACCTCAGCCACTGAGCTAACCCCGCAGCGGCACCAATGGTTACATTGTCAAGAACACGTCCCAGCTCCAGATCCGCCAGGGTCCCCCCGGCTTCTCGGGTCAGCAGCGGTACGAAGACTACTTGAACGAGATTGCCAAGCCGCCCGTCCACCGTGCGCCTGACGCGGGCATCCTCGAGCACGAGAGGAAGCGCCAGGTCGAGATTAAGTGTATGGAGCTGAGGGACAAGCTCGAGGATGATGGGTGAGTGTCGGTGTTAGGCCCGTGGTTGTTGTTCCCCTATTGCCTGGGTACCGCACAGCTAGATTTGTCCATGCCCGGTTGTCTTGTGGCTACCGAGGTGATTTGGCTCGCGAAGAACAAGACGTGTCGCTAAGGACCACATGCTCCACGATATATGGGGTATGGGGGACTGTGAACACGACATCTGCTGCCCTGCCTTGCCTTCCCTCACTCTGCCAACGTGGTTCCGTTTGCTAACGCCTAAACCACAGTCTTGAGGATGACGAGATTGACGAGATGGTCGACGCTCTCCGCAAGAAGCTCTCGGCATCCAACATGGCCATCCCCGGCCGTCGCGCCACCGACTCGCACTCGGTCGCGGCCGCCAAGGAGGTCGAGATGAACCGTCTCAAGAACGCCCTCGACATCCGCTCCGACCACGTCGAGGGCCGTGCCTTCCACCGCGAGACGGACGAGGAGCGCGCCGTCCGCATGGCTGAGAAGGAGGAGCGCGAAAAGGCCCGTATTGAGGCGGCGCTCAAGCGCGAGGAGGAGGAGGCGCGCCGCGTCAAGGACCGCGAGGAGCGCGAAAAGCTCAGGCGTAGGGAGGAGTACCGTCGCAGGCAGGAGGCCGAGCGCCGTGGCCGCAGGGACGACTCGCGCTCGCGCTCCCCGTCGCCCGACCGCCGCCGCCGTGCTCGCGACGACGACTCGCGTTCCCCGGCTCCCCGCCGTCGTGACGACTCGCGCTCGCCCGCTCCCCGCCGCCGTAGGCCCGACACGCCCACCCCGCCACCCCGTGGTCGTTCCGAGTCGCGCTCGCCGCCTCCCGCTGCTCGTCGCCGTGCCGACTCGGACTCGCGTAGTCCTCCCCCGCGCCGTCGTCGTTCCCCCTCGGACTCGCGCAGCCCGCCCCCGCGTCGCCGTTCGCCTCCCGACTCGCGCTCGCCGCCCCGCAGGAGGCGGGACTCGGACGACGAGTCGGACTAGGCTCTGTTCCATTTCCAGTGTTGATTGAAGAAGAAACAAAAACACAAGCATTCAGATTGCATCGTCAAATCGCGAGTTTTGGAGTTTGGAGGGCTAAAGGGGGGCCTTCGGGGGGTAGCAGTGTACGCTGGTAGTTAGTTTGCGCCACGCCATGTATCATCGTTGTGCTCATGACCATTGTGAATCGTTATAATGGTTACATTGGAAGAAGAGGGGTGGGTATGACAAAGAGGTGACAGAGAGGTGACAAGGGGGTAAAAAGTGTAACAAACAAGAGTGGGTGTCGCCAGGACCAGCACAACCAGTTGCGATGGTCTACCCGCGGACGAGCCTTGCGAGGACACTTGAGCGTGTAAGCCCAGTCAAGAGGAGGAAGGGGGGAGGGCTATACCTACTTCCAAGCGGCATCCTTTGCCTCTGCAGGTTTGGATACATGCAGTCCTTGCAGTTTAGCCCAGTCGAGGTACTCTTCATACGTGGCTTTGGCCTTTACGCTGCCGTACACTTTCATGGAGATGGACTGCCACAGGTCGTCGCCGACCTCGACATGGCCACGGTACCCGGCCTTGTGGATGAGGCTGAGCACTGCCTCTTCGCGCGTCCACCCTTGCTCGGGGATGACGTCTGGCAGGTACGTGGCGGACAGCGAGCGTCCCGTCGTCGGGTGCGGGAATGTAATGTGGATGCCGTGCACGCCGGGTGTCCATGCGAGCGGGTCGGGGACGGGGGAAAACGGCGTCAGGAGACTGACGCCGACGGACAGCGAGGCCAGCTCAGCCGCGCGGATGGGCGAGAACCGGTGGTCTTCGAGGGCGGCGACGAGTGCGTATTCGGCCAGCCCGCGGTCCAGGCGCATGGGCGTAAAGTTGCCTATGCATCCTCGAAGAGACGGTTTCTTGCTTCCTCGCGAAATGTTCCACGTCACAAAGAGGGCACTGGGACAGAAGTCAGTAACCAGGGTTCAGGCAGAAGCGGTGTGGGTCACCAATGTCGTGTGCTGTGCGTTGTGGGTTGCCAACCATTTGTTGTCCCAGAGCATACTACATACGTCATCGAGGCGCGCAGCCAGCCTCGGTTCTCATCGTCCCGCCATCCAGCAGTACTCACTAACGGTCCTTGCCGTTGGGGAACGGAGGGCTGACGGGGTCACGGCCGTCAAACTTGGCGACGAGGACGTCAAACGCGTACAAGGCATGCCCGATTGTGCAAATGGGCTCCTCGGCGGGCGTGGCGGGGACAGAGATGCCAGGCGTTGGGGTGTCACTTGGCGTGAGCGCCGGCGTGGTACCAGTACCGGATGTCGACATGGTTGAGGTGTGAATGGTCTAGCTGGTGGGGAGAGAGGGCAAAAGAGACGAGGTTTGTTTGGTAGACGCTGTGAAGACGGTGGATGACGACGACAAGGTGTACTGGGAGGTGGCAAACGAGGTATTAAAGAAGGAGGAGCGGGGATGAGAAGCAGGTGGACGGTTCCCGGGCTCTGGGGGTGGCGGATGGGGTACAGGGGGGCGGCGGTGGCGGGCGGCCAAGGGGGGAAGCAAGGGGTGGGATAAGCCAGGGGACACGGGGTTGAGGGAGTCTAAATGAGTGGGAACGAGGGTGAATGGACGGGATAAGATGGAGAGGTGGAGGGAGGGATGGGGGAGCGAGGCCGCGGATCCGGAGATCACGCGCCTGTGTGTCCTGTTGCGGCGTGTGACGTGGGGAGCAGCAGCACGAGGATGTTGACCAAGGCGGAGGTGATGGCGAAGGGGGAAGGATGACCGACGAGTGGGGGTCACATCCTCCTCTTACGAATGGGCCAGAATTACGGAGATTATACCCATCTCCGTCTCTACCGATATTTACTTCCGTTACGTTGTCCCCTCCTGGCTGTGAGACGCGATCGGCTGCAGACGACAAAGGGGCCAAGCGAGCACGCGCGCGCGCCGCACACAAAAGGGACTGGAGACGCAGCTCAAGGACGCAGGATGCGCGATTGATTTCACCTCAAACTCGACTTGCTTTCAACGCATATCTTTCGTCTTCTTCCACTCTCCTTTTCGCACAACAACCTACAACTGGGGGAAACGCCCTGTTGCATCCTCGACGAGCCCATACCTCGCTCGCCTCCAAACCCCCTCCATCCACACCGTCCGCCTGACGCGTCTTCTCCGGCGCGTCCCTTCCAACCACTCCCATCACCATGTCGTCCCCTAAGCGTAACTTCCAGCCAACCGCAGCAGAGACTACCGCCGACCACTACGGTCGTCTTCACGGTATCCCCGATGATGTGCAACTGGCTCTTCAGAATGTCGGCCGCAAGAACAGACAATGTGAGTGGGACCAGTCCCGACACCTGGCCGCTGGTCAGCGTCTTGACAGCCTTCCTTGTCGCCTTCCCTCCTCACCAATCCCCCCTTTTTACCACACCTCCCGTGATCCCATCAGAGACCATATGCTGACAGCCCGCAGTCGTCGCCATGGGCCGCCCTCTCGTCCCGACTCAATCGGCCCCTGTCCTGACTTTCGGCAACCAGAACGCCAACATCTTCGTGACCGAGGCCGAAATGTACCGCAACGCTCAAGGTATCATTAACAAGGAGCTTTCGCGTGCCAACGAGGTTCAGCCATACGCGGCGAGCGTGGACGCTCTTGACCTGGCCGGCGGCAGCTCGGGCGGCGTCGGTCTCGGCTCAGACCTCCCTGTCCGCGGCTTCAAGCGTCACACCGAGGGCGACACCAGCGGGTCCGAGTCCCCCGTCATGGTCCCCAGCGGCAGCGCGTCGCCAAACTTTGGCAGTCTCACCCCTGCCGACGACTTCCCCTCAGTCTTCCGCGCCAAGTCGCCGCTCGCCAACCCCGAAATGGCATCGAGGGCCATGCCCCCTCCTCCTCTTCCTGCCGGCCGCATGACGCGCGGTCTCCCCCGCCGCAACCCCTTCAGCAAGACCATGTCCGCCCCCGTCAGCCGTCTCGGTACCTGGTCAGGCATGGAGGTCGACGGTAGCTGGGTGCCCGGTAACCCCGCCAACACGAACGCGTCTGGCGACGCCGCCGAGGAAGGCGCCGCGACTGGACCCGCTGCCGCTGGTGCTGCCTTTGTGGGTCTCTCTGGCCCCGTGGAGGAGGAGGATGGCTTCGACGTGTCGGAGTGGGCCAAGAGCGAGCAGTTCTAGAAACGCTGTCGTTTCTTCACCTTCATGTGGACTCGTTTTTGCGCCAGAGCCAGAGCCCACATGGCCTGGACTGGACTTTTTTCTGTATGTACAATGGCATGAGACGCGTATACCATGGTTCCCTATAGGGGAGAGCGGGTCGTACGTGAAGAAACAAAGATGAGGGAGTCGGCCTCGCAGAGCTTGCACCAGGTGCGCTCGAATCAGCGCGAACGAAGCGGGAGAGACTTCTAGTCTGATGACTGTCACCACCTGCAGGCAGTCAAGTTCAGCGCGGACGGTCTCAAAAGCATGGCTGGATCGGAATTGGAGTCGAGAGTGCTCATCGGGGTTCTTGTATGGCTGTTACGGGATGCTTGAAGACGGTTGCATTCAAGTCCAACAGTGGCCGCCACGCAGCACTGCAAACGTCGTCATCGCCATCGCCACCGCCCACCGGCCGACCGGAGGAGATTGCGGGGGTTACTAACGCCATTTCCCATCCAATTACCCCATCTCTTCTTCCTCGCTTTCCATTCTACTTCTTCATGCGCCCAACCCTCACAACCCACCTCACCCGTATTGCCCATCTCTCCCGCACCGTCGCCCCCCGTCGCGCATCTGCAGTCCTCAGCCACGCCGCCCGTCGTCCAGTTACCGCAGCTACATCTCTTGTTGTCACCTCGGCCAGCATCCTCCCTGGATCCCTCTTCTCCACCTCTGCCCCCACCATGACCAACGTCCAGAAGACTGATAGCGAGTGGAGGGCTCAGTTGAGTCCTGAGCAGGTACGTGTTGGTCGCGGCCGGCTGGCCATGGGTCCATGAACTGGCACACTCCGTGTTGCACCCAAACAGCGAGTCATGACTCTCCACTTGGGTCCCCGCCTGCTATACAGTCCTCGATACCTATAGCAGGACACTGTATCCTGCCACACGTACTGACTTGACAGTTCCGTGTTCTCCGCCAGGCGGGCACTGAGCGTCCCGGCTCGCACCCGTACGACAAGAAGCAGGACACTGGCGTGTACCGTGAGTCAGCGCTGTCAGCTCCAACAGTCACTGCCCAACGAGCTTTCATCACGCCCACTTGCCTTCCTTCCCCACCTTCCCTCTTCTCCACTCTTCCTCTTCCTCACACCTTCCTCGAGATCAATCACTTACAAGGCAGACTGCGCCGGCTGCGACGCTGCCCTGTATACCTCCAAGACCAAGTTGTGAGCAGCTCTGCCTTGTCTGCTTAGCTGACAATCTCAGCAACTCGGGCTGCGGCTGGCCCGCGTTCTTCGACACTGTTCCCGGCGCCGTGGTCCGTCGCGAGGACAGCAGTATGGGTGTTGTGCGCACAGAGATTGTGTGCGCTAACTGGTGAGCTTTGGAGACTCTGGAACTAGCTGACAGCAGTGGTGGACACCTTGGGTGAGTAACTAGCTGGGCTCGTCGCAAGAACACACCAGCCCAGACTTTCACCTGCTCGAGCCGGTGCAGAGGAGAGATCATGTCCAGCTGGGCTGCCTTGACCATCGTACCCAGCTGGATGGAGGGCCCTGCACCCGCTGAACACCCGTGCTCTGTGCTGTCAGCTAACATACAGCCATGTCTTCAAGGGCGAAGGTTTCTCCACCCCGACCGACGAGCGGCACTGCGTCAACGGCATCTCGCTCAACTTTAAGGAGGACGAGGGCAAGTAAAATAAGAGTAGCTACAGTAGTCTATGCATATGCGTTGGAAAGGAGTGGTTTCCGGTGCATGCTGGTTGGTTGGTCCTACCCGAGCGAATGTCGCCACCGGGAGCCCCGCGCGACGCGTCAAAATGACTTTTGTGCGCCAAAGCTCAATGTTGTTGACTTTCGCTTCACTCTTGTTTCTTCCACCATTCATGTCCTCATGACCAACGAACCCACGTCGAGCTCGACAGCAGCCATATCCTTGGCAGGGGGAGACGCTGCTGCGTCCACCACGGCGCAGCAGGCTCCAGCACTTCCTCACCTCGACACGCCGAACGCGTTTCCCTTCCCTTACCCACAACCATACAGCATCCAGCTGGACCTGATGCGCACCGTCTTTGCCGCTATCGAGGACGGCAAGATTGCCATCGTGCGTCAATTGTGTTTGCGTGTTTCTGACACGCCACCCAGGTCGAGAGCCCAACAGGAACTGGCAAATCGCTCACCCTCCTCACATCGACTCTTTCTTGGCTCGCCGCGCACCGTAAACGGCTCGACACCGCAACGGCCGCCGACCTCCACGCGAGGTTTATCGCCGAGGACCCAGACGACCCGCCATGGGTTGTTGAGAAGGCCGTGAAGCGGCACATGGCGGGGCTAAAGGCTGGCGAGGAGGCTCGCGTCGCACGGCTCAGGCTCGCGAGGGAGAGGGAGCGCAAGGCCAGGCGGGATGGAGGCGTGGGCGGGGGCATGTTTAGGAAAAAGGCTAGAGTCGGCGCCGGAGAGGACCAGGAGAGCTCCAAAGGGGACGGGGAGGACCAATTCCTGCCCGATGACGGCGACGTGCAGGAGGACACCAACCTCTCTGCCGAGGTGCGGGCGCTCATGGCGCAGTTGGCGCCCAAGGACGTCGAGGAAGAAGCAGACGAGGATGTGCCAAAGGTGGGTCTCTCTTGCTGGCATTCAGATCTCACCCGCCCAGGTCTACTTTGCCTCGCGAACCCACTCGCAACTCCGCCAACTCACCGCCGAGCTGCTCAAGACGACGTTTCCGGCCGGTAAAGATGGCGTCCCAGAGGACGAAGGAGTCAGCCTCGTGCCGCTGGCTAGTAGGCGGCAGATGTGTATCAACGACAAGGTCCGCGCCAAGGCCCACGGACGCGAGGATAGGTTAAACGAAGCGTGTCTGGACATGCAGAAGAGCGGTTAGTTGTCTGGGGGATCGTAAGCGCGACAGCTAACATTACAGGCGCTGCACGCTGCCCTCATCTTCCCTCCAAAGCTGAAGAAGGCCCACTCCTTGATGCGCGCGACGACGTACTGGCGACTGTCCGTGATATCGAGGACCTCGTCACGGAAGGACGTCGTGTCGGCGTATGCCCATACTATGCCACCCGGCGAGCCGTCAAGCCCGCCCAGCTCGTCACGCTGCCTTACAACTTGCTCCTCCAGGCCAATGCGCGCGAGGCGCTGGGCATTGACCTCAAGAACCAGATTGTCGTCATTGATGAAGCGCATAGTGGGTACTACAAGCGTGTCGCATTCACTGACCCAGTGAAGACCTCATCGATACCATTCTGGGCATCTACTCGGCCACTCTGCCCGCTTCTCGCCTTGTATCTGCCTGTGCCCAGTTGACACAGTACTTGGCCCGCTTCAAGTCCCGGCTCAAGCCACGCCACGCGCTCTGGATAAAGCAGACACTCTCAGTTCTGCGCGGCCTCGTTCGTGTCACCGAGATATACACCGCCGAGGCGCGCAAGGACAAGACCAAGGCCCGCGGCGAGCTCGTCGACGTCAACACACTCATGTCCCGTGTCGGTGGCGGCGGCGATGCTGTCAACTTGGTCGAACTCGTTGCGTACCTCAAGGAAAGCAAGCTCGCTCGTAAAGTCAGCGGCTTTGCAGAGAGCCTCGAGGCCGCTGCAGACAAGGAGAAGCGCGGATCCGCAGCGAGGCATGCGAGCATTGCGGTCTTTCACGCTGTGGAAGATTTCCTCCTCTCCCTAACCGACGCTCGCGACGACGGTCGCATCACCCTGTCACTCGAAGCAGGCGACAGCGTGGTGGTAAAGTACGTCCTCCTCAACCCGGCCGAGCGGTTCGCCGACGTGGTCAACTCGGCGCGCGCCGTCGTGCTTGCAGGAGGCACGATGGAGCCCGTGTCCGACTTCTACCGTCAGCTCTTCCCCTCCATCCCTCGCGACAGGTTTGTTCACTTGTCCTGTGCACACGTCATCCCCAAGTCCAACCTCCTCACCCAAGTCGTCTCGCGCGGTCCGCGCAAGACCGAGCTCGAGTTCAAGTTTGCCAACCGCGGCGACGAGGGTATCCTGGCTGAACTGGGCGCCATCCTCCTCTCGACCGTCGGGCTCGTACCCGACGGCGTGGTGGTGTTTGTCCCCTCGTACGCGTTCCTCGACAAGGTCAAGACGGCGTGGGCGGGCAGTACAGGCGTGCTGGCCAAGCTGGGACAGAAGAAGAGCGTGTTCTACGAACCGCAGACGGCCGCAGACGTCGACGCCACGCTCAGAGACTATGCCCTCGCGGTCGAGGCGCCGAGCATGAACGACGCGGGAAGGCCGCGGACAGGCTCGTTACTGTTTGCTGTTGTTGGCGGCAAGCTTTCCGAGGGTGAGCTGCGTCGTCCACCTTTTCTCTCGGAATGAGCTGACAATCCAGGTATCAACTTCTCCGACCGGCTCGGCCGCTGCGTCATCATGGTGGGCCTGCCGTTCGCCAACGTTGGCAGTGTCGAGCTGCAAGAGCGCATGCGCTACGTTGAGCGGTTGCCCGGCGCGGGCAAGGACGCAGCCAAGGAGCTTTATGAGGTGAGTCTGGGCTAGTCCGGTAGCTGAGATGGCCTCTCTCGTCTCACCACAGCCACATGGAATGGAGTAGCTGACTCGCTGGCGCTTTGCTTCCTCTCACAGAACCTGTGCATGCGCGCTGTCAACCAGTCCATCGGCCGAGCCATCCGCCACGCAAACGACTACGCGACCGTCCTCCTCCTCGACCGCCGGTTCGGCACACACCGTATCCGGTCAAAGTTGCCAAAATGGATCGGCGACGACGTCAAGGTCTGTGATGAGTGGAGCAGTGCGGCGAGGGGGGTGGCGGGATTCTTTAGGGAGAAGAGGGCGAACGGTGGTGGACAATAGAGGCGTGCCATGTTGCGGAGGGTGTGTGGCACTGGGGGCCGCAGGAGCGGTTAGAGAAATGGCAGTCATGTGGAAGTTGCATCCATGTGAACATGCAGTGTGCATCGCATCTACTAAGAGTACAGGCCCCGCACGTATCTATACACGTGCAGTGGGCGATGGAATTATATTCAGAACAAGACGTCAAGATGCAACGATGCTTTGATGATGGGACCGGGAAGCGATTGTGGCGGATGGGATTTTCTAGTTTTTGGTGGCTGCTACTCGTTGGCTCCATGTTTTCGACAACATGTGCAAAGTCGATGGATGGAAGGGCGAGCCATGTAGACTTGCAGCGCCACCAGAGGCGACAAGGGGTACGATCGTTACTTTGTGCCGAACGTGCTCTTCGCTCGCACCCTCGCGCCGATGCGGTAGAAGATGAACGGCAGGGGCAACGTTAGGAAGAGCAGGCCGGCGAGGAGACATGTGCCGCCCACAGCTCCCAGACGCGTGTACAGCTGAAGCCCGAACAGGGGGAATCCAGCCGCGAACGAGGACCTCAGGAAGGAGTTGGACGCGAGGGCCGATGCGGCAACGGGCCTGTACGCGTCGACGAGGTACGTGAACGTCGAAGTAAAGCTGTAGACGATGCCGGCGCCAAAGAACGTGGACATGAGGATGGGCACGATCCAGTGGACGCTCTTGAAGCTCGTCAGGCCCATGAGCAGCAGACCCACGGGGCAGAGGACGGCGCCGTACATGCCGACAACGAGGCGGGACTCGGGCGGGGCAACGCCGCCACCGGCCACCACGGCAGCGCGGTACTTCTTGTTAAAGTAGGGCTGGGTGCCAGCGGCAATGATCATGCCCGCGCCAATACCGAGGAAGGCCATGCCCGTGTCCTGCACGTTGAAGTTGTGCTGGTGCTTGAAGATGAAGGGCACGCCGCCGAACGAGAGGTACAGGATGCCCAGGATCAGGGCGGACCAAAGGTCGAGGAAGAGGACCATGGGCTGGGTGATGAGGAGGACTGTGCGTGGTGGTCAGCTCAAGAGCGGATGTCGCAACCAACCACTACTCACCGAAAGGTGTCTTGACACTGTTCTGAAGGGCACCGATGAACGAGCGGTTGAGGTTCTCGATCGGCGCGCGGTAGCGGTCGTCGCCAGTGGACTTGCGGAGCCTTCCAATGTCAGCTGGGGTACCAAATTCAAGGCTTACTTCTTGGCCTTCTTCTTCAAGAGCTTGGGGTCAAACGTCTCGGGGACGAAGGCTACCAACAGGGCCATCATGCAGCCTGCCCAGATGAGGATGACATAGTACGTCCACCGCCAGTCGGGCTGCTGCTGGTTGATGAATCCCGAGAACAGGGGGCCTGCAACGGGACCGATGAATGGCGCTGCCGAGAAGATCATCATGGGACTGGGTTTCGTGTCAGCGGCGACTTCAATTGGCGGTCGTCCGCTCGGGTCCTCTGCCCGTGTGGTCCTCTGCCCGTGTGCTCCACAGCTTGTACTCACGTCGCGACCTTGGAGTTGTGGAAGACATCGGTGATGGCACCACCTGACACGGAGAGGAAGGACGAGCCGGCAAATCCAGTGAAGAAACGGAAGATCATATGAACGGCGACGTTGGGGGCTTGGAGGTGTCAGCTAATCTTCACCAGGGAAGTCTCGCGTGACGCTTGGGGGAGGGTGGACCATGGATCTCATACTCACCAAACGCGACGGGAAAGTTGAGGAGGAAGAATGCAAGGAAGCTGTAGTGCAACACCGGCTGACGGCCAACGAACTCGGAGACGGGACCGAGGAGGACTGGGTGGTGTGGTCAGTTACCAAAGACATGATGGTCATGAGGCACATGGCGGTGGGTAGTCACTATCGGCAACTTGTGACGACAATGTGTCGGCACCACTTGAGACAGAAAGAAATACTCACGAGGTCCAGTGCCGAGTCCCATGACGAAGATGGAGATCGAGAGGATGCAAACCTCTTCGCTGATGTGGAACGTCTCGATCATACCCGGATAGGTGTCGCTCGCCATTGACGAGCAGCAGGTGACGCAGATACAAGACACGGCAAGAACGATGACCATGGTCCTGTTTCCATTAGCCTCAGGTTTCCAAGAAGACAGAACGGGGAGCGGCGGCACGTAGCAAAAACGCACATGCCCGTAGCCAGAGCGCCAACCCACACCAGTAGGATCGGCGCGCACTTTGTGTGGTGCCACTGGCGAGACGGTCACTCGCCAACTCTGGCCTACTCACCATTTACGCCATTTGGCCTTGTTAAGGGGGCACATGGGGTCGTTCTCGTCGTCCCACTGCACTGCAAAGAGATCTTCGTTCTTGAGAGCCTTTTCGTTCAAGACTTCGCCCGCACAGGAAGGGACGCGAGTGAGGGAGCCGATATCGCCATCGGCCGGCAACTCAATCTCGTGCTCGTGGCGGTGTCCGCTCATGGCACGCTCGAGGTCAGGCGTGAACGTCACTTCGGACGACATGGTGAGTTGCGACGGTGGTGAGGCAAGTCGGGGTTGCTGTTCTTCGTCGGACATGGGTCGTGGGAGATATAAGGGGTGGAGGTTGGTGGAGGGTTGTGGAGTTGTGGGGATCGGGTGGTTGGGTGGCTCGGTAAGCCAAAAGTGGCTGCTGTAGTCGCTGTTGTGGAATGCCAATTGTTGGTGGAAGGATAATCTGGATTGCCGTGTGGAGTGGGTCTTTATGTATCCATCGCGTGTTGGCAGTAGTTGCTACAGACCGTGCGTGTGATAGATAGACAAACACAAAAAACCGTCCATGGATGGCGCAGAGGACCCTTGCGGCGTTCATCGAGTCGTCCAGGGTACGCCGGCCCGGGCAGGTTGACCGAGCAACGACTTTCCGATGTCTCACGGAAGACCCAGAATAAGCCGTGCAGCCTCCCGAGTCTTAGTCACCCCACTTTTTATACTGGTGTTCAGGCGGCGTCATTGTGCATGCGTGCACAGGCGGCGGTAGCGAGGAGCCCCAGCCGTCCGCGGCGCCATCTCAGATTCCCATACAGGGTGGGACTGTGAGAGATTGCTTGTTCACTTGTTCCAATGGGTAAGGAGAATCCGTTGTAGCGCACGCAATGCACTCGGAAGTTCCGTGCGGACGAGATGGCAGGGCCACAAGATGACCGCTAAATGACGTGAAGACGGCCAAATAGCTAATTAGCGCGCTCGAGGCATCCCTCCCATGCCTCCCATGACATGATTGCTGGGGACCGATTAGCAATACGCTTCTGCTAGTTCGACGTTCCACACATCTTGCATTCAAACACGGAGTCGCCCGCAGCTTGCATCTCTTCTCCTACTCCCTCGGTTTCCTCGGCAGTGAGACGACGCAGCCGCAGGTTGGCACACCATGGATCGCATGTCGTGGGTGCTCATCCCGAAACATAAATTGCCCTCACTGGAGCACCAACGTAAAGTGACGCGTGCTCGCATGCTGGCAATGCAGTAGTCGCGAGTGGCAGTGCATGTTGCACGTTGGTCGGTGGGTGTAGTCGGGTGGTGGCGGTCCCGTATCGGAGCAGACCGCGGATGTTTAACATGCTGAGCATAATCTGTCGACGAGTGCGCGTGTTTGGTTCCTCATAGGTCCGGGAAAATAGACACCATGGTGGCGCCGTTGTTCGTGCGATTGTCGTGAGAACGGCCGCAGACTCCGTCCAGTACGTCCGGGGGATCTGTACAATCCGCAGGGCCTGCAGATGTCGAGTGCTGATAGAGGCTTCTACTCTGACGCAGCCTTGGCCTCGTCCGACACATCCGCAACAGGCGCTGGCGAAGGCAAAGGCTCACCAGTCTCGGGGTTGCGGCCCTTGTATCCCAGACACACCCAATACGCCTCTGAGCTCTCGGAGCGTGAAGCCTTGGGTTTGTCCGTCGCCACTTTGGTAAAGAAGGGCTCCAGCTCTGTTTTGCGGAACTCGTTGAGGTCGGGGTGCATAAAGAATTTGAGGCTGGAGAGGAGAGGCGACAATGTCAGCCGCGACGATGAAAGACAACATTATGAGACACCCAGAAAACAGCGTGGGCTGGACCATGTGCTCTCAGACCTTTGACACTTACACGAGCGAACCGCCGGGATAGGAATCCTTCTTAGGCCTGAGCACCACGTGTGCAAAGGTCGTGGCAGCCTGGACCAAATCCAAGCTGCTCTGGACATCACGCACGCGCACGCCCGACATGGCAGCCATCATGTCCGACAGCACCGTATCAGCGCTGCCGTCCTTGTTGAACCCCTTCAGCCCCATGCGAACCTGTTCTTGGACAGAGTGGTCGAAGAAATCGCCCTCGACAACCTGCACACCTTCCAGCTCCTCCATAGGCAGCAGGTCGACCGCCACCACGGCGCCTGGGATGCCGCCGTGGCCACGACGTGACTGCCGCCGGATGGCCTTGGCGGCTACCTGGCTCCATCCGCCCGGCGCAGCGCCGAGGTCCACCACCGCCCGGCCGTGTAACAGGGGGTACTTGCGCGCGAGCTCGCTCAGCTTGAACCCGCTCCTTGCTCGGAGCTGGGTGCCGGCGCCAGTACCCTGTTGCCCCGTGGCTCGCGAGCGCACAAAGGGGTCCTGGGCCTGTCGTGCGAGCCAGCGGTTCGAGGAGGACGACTTGAGCGCAGTGAGGGCGGGGCGCATGGCAGAGTGTAGACGGAGACGGACGGTGGTTTGTTCGTGTTGTTGTTGGCAGACGCTCGTGAACAGGCCAGAAAGTTGGATGAGATCTGGCCGCGGAAGCAAATTACCCGGATGACGCCGAGATCGAAAGCGGCGGTGGAGTGGCCAAACGGGATCGCGTGGATCCACTATTTGGTCTTCTTCTCACCTTCTCCAAGAATCGACAATGGTGGGTTTGACAGCGAACAGATCGTCCTGACCCATACAGGCCAACGCATCGAGCAAGCGTATCGCTGCGGCGAACGAGACCGCCCTGCGGAACCTCGTGCGCAACATGGTCATCATTAATGTGAGTTCCACGCCCAGTTGGTGCTCTTGCACCTCGATATCGGCGGAGTGTGTACAGGATACGGACTTCTGGGACTGTGGAGAGCATGTCACCAGGATATGCGATGTTGCCGCTTTCCTACACCATCCGGGTTCGCCGCAATGGTCACCACGCCTCCCTCCTTCCTGCCCTCCAGAATCATCCGCCCACATCCAATTATCCCAACTAACATCGCCCAGGTCCTCGCCTTGGCTGTCCGATGGATGAAGGCCCGTCGCCACGTCCGTCCCCTGTGGCCCTCTGGTTTCCCGCTCTTCCTCAACGTTATTGGGTTCATCGCCGTCCTGTTCATCTGGCGTTGGTTTGCGGCGATCGGTACCCCCAGGCGTGACGCTAGCGGCATCAAGGTCGGCGACGACCTGGGTGGAAAGGGTATCGTGGAGCTGGCTTGGGATGTGTGAGTAAGAAGAGTTGGAGGAAGCCAGAGCTGTTAAGGCCGTCGTCCGGCTCCTGCCACCTTACCGCCTCCAATGATGTCGCTGACAACCCGCTCACAGCATCTACATGACCTGGATCTGTACCCTCGGCTCAGCCCTTCTGGGCAACTGGGTGTGGTGGCTGTACCTTGCCATCCCCGGCTTTGGCGCGTACAAGGTCTTTGGCATTGCCCAGCCCTTCCTGGCCATGTTCATGCCGGGAATCTTTGGACCCAAGGCGCCCAAGGGTGCCGCTGCCGACACCCCGGCAGCTGGCGCTGCTGCTGCTGGCGAACCCGGCGAGTCCAAGCGCCAAGCCAAGCTCCGTGCCCGCATGGAGAAGGGCGACAAGCGTGTCCAACAGCAGACGCGTAGGCAGGCGCAGTAAGGACAGACAGCAGAGGTTAGAAATAGATGGGACGTTGGGTCATGGTGCGATGCATATCCTATCCTAGCCTGTTTACTCATTGCGAAATGGGTCGAGTAGTAACTGGCGGTCCTGTCTTTTGCTCTATGTCTAGGAGCAGCTCCTCTCTACATGCCGTCCTCGGTGGTGTTCTCGTCGATGACATCGCTCTGGCGCCACTCGGCGGCGGCGCTCGAGACAGTCGCGCCCTTGGCAGCGACGACGTCAAGCACACCCTCGAGTCCTGGACGAGTGACGTCGTCGGATCCGCGCTCCCACGTGCCGAGAATGGCCTCCTTGACGAGGAGCTCGCGCTCGGTCAGACCAGAAGCGGCGAGACCGTGGCTGCGTGCACGCGCAGCGACGTTGGCGCCGCGGCCACCGGTACCGGAGAGCGTGCGCGCGGCAAACACGTTGCGAACGGGGCGAGCCATGGGTGCTGGCGCCTTCTCCTCGCCTAGCATGCTACGTCCGCCGGGCATGCCTGGGCTGCGCTCTGCCATGCGGCCAATCTTGGCGCCGCCAGTGGCATGGGCGCCGTACGACTCGGACACCTTGATGGCGTGGCCGGTGAACTGGTTGAACTGGAAAAACTCGGTGCGGTACTGGCGGTGTGCGTTCTCAAACGCTGTGGGGATCTCGGAAGGGTCGCGCATGAATGTCGCAGCCGAGTGGTGGAGATCAACGAGGGTGCGGAGGGTGCCGATGGGAGCCTTGCCGTTGGGAAGGAAGGGGGCGTGCTTGGCGTGCGAGGCGGGCTTGGGCTTGGACGACGACGCGGCCGACGAGGGGCCGGCACGGGCGGCCTGGCGGACAAGTGTGGTGGCGCGCATTGTTGCGACGGGGGGAGGGAAGGGGTGTTGTGGTAGCGTGGACGGGGTGTCTGTTGGCGAGAAAAGTCAGAACAGTGAGGAGAGGATCGCGGATTCCGAGCAGGCGTAGCAACGCCGCTGGGGAAATAACACGTCATATTGGGACACTCCTCGGCGGAGTTCACCTGCTCTCCGTCGACCTGCAAGGCGCCCCCAAGCGCTACCGTATATAAAGATCTACTGTTACGAGCAGCAATGCCTCTATCTCTTCCTTTCACTCTATACGTCATACGATCTTTTTAAAGTACCTACACATCAGACGCCCCACGGCTGCACGCCGCGCCACGACTGTGCCCACAACAGCGACGAGGAGGACGGGATGATGGAGCTGGCCCTGGCCGCCTCCAAAAAGTTCCAGTAGACCAACAGTGAGTCTTTGGTGAGCCTTGCACGTCAAGGGTTGGAGGTTCGGGGCCCGAGACTGACCGTACAGTGCCTTCAACGCCAACGAGCAGGGATGCTTTCTTCGATTCGACAGAACCCATCCAACCCATCCGAGTAGCGCCCATGTCCATACCTTCCGATGTCTTCCGCACTCCATGCCACATGCACGTCCCTTATGTGCTTCTCACTTCATAATTCATACTAGACCACCTGTCCTTCTCACCAACAGTGTACATGAATACTACTTCTGACGTGAAACCCCATAGTCACAATGTAAAACCGGGGACCCCAGCGGCGATTTACTTATATTTTTGCGTTCTTTTTCGTGCCGTTCTTTACAGCTTGGCAGTACCGGTCAACTGGATCCTTTCGGCCCGCTCCTTCTCGGCCCGGTCGCGCAGGAAGCGACGCAGAATCTTGCCCGAGGGCGTCTTTGGGATCGCGTCGACGACGTGGACACCGCCACCGAGTCGTTTGTGGCGGGCCGCACGGGCAGCCACCCAAGCTTGAATCTCCTTGTCGAACCACGCACGCTTTTCGGCGGTGCTAATATCCTCCTCCGGGTCGATGCACACGAACGCCGTCGGCAGCTCGGTAGCCTGCGATGCGTCGTACACACCCACAACGCCGACGTCCTTGATCTTTGGGTGGGTGAGGAGAAGAGCCTCGAGCTCGGCCGGAGGGACCTGGAAACCCTTGTACTTGATCAACTCCTTGACGCGGTCCACAACTTTGTACCACCCGGCGTTGTCCCGAATCAACACGTCGCCCGTGATGAACCAGTCACCGTCCATCGTCTTGGCCGTTGCCTCGGGGTTGTTGTGGTATCCCTTCATGACGCATGGGCCCCGCAGGTACAGCTCGCCGGGTTGACCTTCTTCGGCATCCTTGCCTGTTGCTGGGTCCACCAGGCGAGCCTGGTAGTATGGCAAGAGACGTCCAACCCAACCTTCTCGGCCTGCGACTGCCTCTTCTCCGCAGAATATATGACAAATGGGGGACGTCTCGGTCAACCCATAGCCTTGCGTGATGCGACAGTGAGGCAGACGGGCGAGGAAGGCGTCAATGAGGTCCTTGCCGAGTGGAGCAGCGGCGGACATGAGCGTTCGGAGCGACGAAAGGTCGAATTTGGGCAAGTGCTCCGAATTGAGCAGCACAATGACAATGGGCGGAACGATGAGGGTGTGCACAACCTTGAACTGGAAGGGTTAGCGGTGGTAACGTGCTGTGTGGCCTGTATCGCATAACTTACCTTCTCCAGCGCACGCAGGCAGGCAATTTCGTCGAACCTGGGGAGAATAACGGCACATGCGCCGACCGAGAACGGCTGCTGAAGAACCATGGTGACGCCATACGTGTGCGAGAGGGGCACAAAGCCAAGCATCCTGTCGTTGGGACCAAGCTTCTGGTAGCTAGGTTTGAGGCATTGCATCTGGGACGTAAAGTTCCAGTGGGTCGACATGACACCCTTCGGCAGACCGGTCGTGCCGGACGAGTAGCACAGGAACTGCGTGTCGTGGATTTGTTCTCCCGAGAACGCCTCCGCACGGCCAGGCATGAGATAGAGCTCCGATACGCACTTGTACCTGCTCGGCTGGGGCTTGTCCTTTGGCAGACAGAGCAGGATGACGTGCGAGTCGGGGATGGGCTTGTCGACCATGGGTCGGGCCTTGTCCAAGTTCTCCAGCAGCCACGGCTCGGTGAAGATTACTGTCGAGCCAGAGTTGTTGATCTGGTAGGCCAGCTCTTTGGGCGAGAACGCATAGTTGGCGGGCGAGATGGTCATGCCAGCCGCCATGCATCCCCAAGCGGCCTGGATCCACTCGAGCGAGTTGAGACCCCAGATACAGGTCGTGTCGCCGCGCTTGACGCCAAGCTTGCGGAGACCAGTGACCATGCGCAAGCTGTCGTTCTTGACGTCGGCGCGGCTGAGTGTACGACCCGTCACGCCGTCGATGTACGCCGGGAGCGCTGGGTCAAACTCGGGCCTCTCGGGGTGGTGAAAGTGCCAAGTACCGCATTTTGGGAGCGGAGGTTCGGGATAGTCGGAGACGTAGGGCATGGTGCGTATGGATGAGCAGCTGGGAGAGTGGGTGATGGGTATGGGTAGCAAGCTGCCAGAGCTGCGCGGGCGAGTGGGCAAGAGTGTGCTCACCAGGGGTGACCTTCGAGTACTCTTTATAGGGAGTGATCCCACCTCGATCGCGGCGCCCGGCGAGCCGCCGCTGTTCGTCTCTTCCACTGCTCGCTCGGTATTGAGGCTCAACTGTTGCCGAGGAGCCTCCAGGAAGCAGGCTGCGCGTTTCTCCACGGTGATCACGCGGTCGAGCATGGCAATACTGCTCGGGTGCCCCGACAGCCGACCGCAAGGGCCCCACATATGCGAGCTGCACAGACAGCAAGGCACGATGCGGGTCAACCAAGGTGTGCGATGGTGCGGCCAATGTGCGGCGAGGGGCTGGAGTGTCTGCTATCCGCGCGGCGATTCCGTGGATCCCGGCAGGTGGGCGGAGTGAACAGCATGGACGTCGTCGTCGTTGACGGCTTCCTGCACACTCTTGGCACAGATTGCCGAAATACCCCACACGAACCGAGAGTACCGGATATCTCGCACAGTTGTCATGGCCGCAAAGGCTTGGCTCAACCTCCACCGGGACACCAGGGGGCGATTTAAGCACGACCAAAAGCAACATACGAAAGGGGTACAAGTACAAGGTGTGGGTACGGCGACTGTGCCGGCGTGTGACGATGTAGGCGGGCCACCGATATTGCGTTGCTGCCCATCACCGATCGCCTGTTGACCGGTTGTGGACGGTGGGTGGGCGTGGGGTTCTGTGGGGTAGGCGGAGGAAGCCGACAATCACATTACGTAAATACAATTGGTCATAACCCCTAATCCCACGTCATTTCAAAAAGTTGACCGTTATCAGTCGTTGAGATTTCAGTTCGCATCCTCGTCCAGGTGGGTGCTCGGGGCAGCTTTTGGTCGTCACCACAGACAGCGTCGACAACAACCATTCGAGGCATTCTGGGAACGGGAGCCCCCAGACAGCTGTAACCACCTCTTTCCTTGAAACTTGTCCGCCATGGAAAAAGTCCAGTTCCAGCTCGAATCGACGCTCCCAGAGCTCAAGGACCTCTACGAGAAGGGCCTGTTCTCCAAGCACGAGATCGACCAGATCACCAAGCGTCGTACCCAGTTTGAGACTGCCCTCATTCGCCGCGTCACTCGCAAGAATGACTTTTTCCAGTACGCAGAGTACGAGATCAACCTCGAGCGTCTGAGGAAAGTTCGCTGGAAGAAGCTCAGTGAGTCGTTACGTGGTGTTGTTGACGATAGGACGCTGACCACCGGTTTCCAGAGTACCACATTAACCCTCCTCCACCTTCGGCGTCAACGTACTCGCTGCCGCGTCGTACTCTGTACATTCTGAAGCGCGCCACAGCCAAGTTCCCCGGCGACCTGGCTGTCTGGCTCGCCTATGTCGAGTATGCGGCACGCGAGGGAATGACCAAGGTCGTTGCCAAGGGCCTCAACTCTGCTCTGCAGCACCACCCTCTCTCGCCCACTCTTTATCTCCTCCTTTCCTACCACCACCTTCACCCCGGAGCTCCCCTCCCGCGCTCCTCCATCCCGTCCACCTCTCGCCTGGACCTTCCCTCGGCTCGTGACCAGGACGACTCGACAGCCGCCGCCTCGGCCTTTGCTCTCGAGGGTACCCAGCCCGCGCGTACCACTTTGCTCCTCGGTCTCCGTGTCTTGCCCCGGTCACATACCTTGTGGCGCGAGTACGTCAAGCTCGAGCTGGGATGGGTGGAGGCTCTGCGTCGTCGTTGGCGTCTGCTGGGCATCGACCTCAAGAAGGGTGCCGATGCCGAGACAGACGAGAACTTTGATGGCGACGCTGCCGCTCTGGCTGGTGGTGACGGAGCGTTTGGCGAGGAGGGAGAAGAGGCACGTCGTGCTATTCTCTCGGGCCAGCTTGTGGTCCACGCCCTCGAGCAGGCGCTCAAGGAGGTCCCCGCCAAGGGCCACGAGGAGGACCAGGGCGAGCTGTTGGATGGTGTCGCGTTCCGCACCAACATGCTCACCATGTTGAGGTCTTACCCTTCGCCACTGCGCAAGAAGGCCCTCGGTGTCGTGTATGCCGACTTGGAGAAGATTGCTGCTGCTGGCGGTGTTGAGGGCTCCAACGCACGACTCGCCCTCACCATCCGTTCACTGTACGACCGCGAGTACGAGGCTGGCGAGCCCAAGATCGACGGCCCGGTGGTCGCCGGCGTCGAGCTTGTCGAAGCCCTCGGTGCTATTGGAAAGGAGATCCGCTCCGTGGCCAAGAAGGCCGGTCCCGAGTTTGTCAACGCCGCCGGCCTTTGGCTTGCGGACCACATCGCCCAGTGCGGCGACAACGCCGACCTCGAGCGCTACCTCTTCTCCACTCTCAAGGCCCTTACAAAGGCCTCGCTCTCGCCGTCGGCCGCTCTTCTTGCTCGCCACCTCGAGCTCGTTTCTCGCCTCGACGCGGATGCCTACCTGACTACTGCCCGCTCCCACGTTGCGCAGCACCCCACCTCCCCGATCCTCCAGCTCGCCCGCTTGCGCGCCGAGGTGGCCGAGACCGACATCGCCACTGTGCGCAAGGCCTGCGCTGACGCTGCCGCCGACGCGACCGCCTCATCTCTCTCGCCCGAGGACCAGCGTGCCGTCATTGCCCTCTGGACTACCTGGGCCGCCTGGGAGGAGACTCAGGGTGCCGAGAACCCGCACTGGAAGAAGCTCCTGCGCGACTCGCTCCGTCTCGGCGCGGGTATCCCAGACCTGCACTCGTCCATGCTTGCATCTTACTACGGTGCACGTGTGCGTAGCGGTATGACACCCGCAAAGGCCCTCGAAGTCGTCATTGCTGGCTACCAGCCCACGGCTGCTTTCTTCGCCCTCGCCTTCCCGCTCCTTGCCGAGCTCAACGGCGCACACGCTCCCCTCGCCAAGCTCTACGGCGCCTGGCGTGCCGCCTGCCGTACGTCTGAAGAGCGCGTGTCGGCCGTCTTGACCTGGGCCGAGTGGCTGCTCGAAAGGAGTAAGGGCCGCGAGGCTTATGACGCTGTCGAGACGGTCCGCCGTGAGGCCCGTGGCGATGAGGCTGAGATTGGCCGTTTGGAGGCCGGCTGGAAGGGACTGTTGGATGAGGTTGAGCGTCGGGCTGCTGGGGATGAGGACATGGAAGAGGATGAGAGCAGTGGAAGTGACGAGGAGAGCGACGAAGAGGAGGAGTCCGGAGACGAGTCGGGAGAGGAGGAGGCCTCCGGCTCGGACGACGACGAGGAGAGCGAGGACGACGACATGAGCGGCGGCTTTGAGATTGCCATGTAGACTAGCCCCATCCTCCATTCCATATATCCTGCATGCGATGCCATCAGTCAGACTCCCAAAACCAGGAGCATAACGAGGCGAGGACGAAGCGGTCGGTTTCTGGTCGAAGGCCCGGACCCACTCTGTCCCGCACGACCCAACGTCAACTTTGGGTCGCCAAATGACGCGCTAGCGTCAGGTTGACTGTATTTGTCTAGTTCATCTCATCTCATCCATCCCATCTCACCCATGTCCGCCGAACTCGCCGAGCTTGGCAGCGAGCTCGGCATACGTTCTGCCCGTGCAATGTTCGCAGCAATGTCGACGCATGCAGCGGCTATCACGCGCTCCAGCAGCCCCACCACTGCAGCGCCCGAAGGTGGTCCAAGCACCTCCACAGGCGGCGGCGTCAACTCACCACCCGCTAGCATCTCGTCTTCCTCCTCGTCCGACTCGCCACCACGTAACGCGACACTTCCTGCACAACCACAGACCCCTACGAGGCCGCGTGCAGTGGGGATATACTCCCCGCTGGCAGCTACCTCGTGCACGCCGCCGACCTCGCCCGCGCGTCGCGGCCAACTACACCCTTTCTTCCAGCGCCGCGCGCCTCCCCCGCCAGCGAGGATGCCGCGCCTCGTGGCCGAGTACGCCAGTTCCAGCTCGGAGGCATGTAGCCAGGAGAGCAGGGCGAGCGAAAGTTCATGGGGCAGCGGAAATGAGAGCCCATCCGGGAGTCCTACAGGACAACGACAAGGGAGGGGAGGGGATGGGGCAATGGACTTGTTCGCCGTTGCGGACGAGCTTGCGCGGTTGAGAGTGTCCGACACGGGCCATGGGTTGCCTCGCCTCGTGCCTATACCCAAGGCGGTGGACACTGGGACGGCTACGACGTTCCGTCCAACAGCGGTCGAGGTCGCGGCCGATGTCCCAACCGCCGCCGCCAGCGCGAGCGCAAGCACGAACAACGCACCACCACTGCCGGCGTGGGACGAGATTGACGCCAGCACAAACGCATTCTCAGACCCCGTCCTGGACCCCATCGAGCCCGAACCGGCCCCCTTTGAACCTCTTCAACCGTCGACCTCCCTCCCGTTGTTCACCTACCGCACCCCTCTCACTGGCCACTTCACAAAGCCTCCAACAGTCGTGTACACGACCAACCCGGCCGAAGCCGACGACCTCGTAGCCTGCTTGAACGGCGATGTGCTCGGCCTGGATCTCGAGTGGCCCCTGCCAGGTGCCGGGCCCGTCAAAGTGATCACCAACAAGGACGGATCCACGCGGTTATGGCGTCAAGGAGAATGGGACGTCGTGCAGCGCAAATACGTTTGGAACGAGCGGCGGACCACAGTGATTCAAGTCTGCGACGAAAAGATGGTTGTCGTCCTCCATCTCCTGCGAGGAGCTGAACCTGGTCCCGGTCTCGTCAGCCTCATTGCCGACCCAACGCGGTACAAGACGGGAGTGGCAGTTCGAGGCGACGGACAAAAGCTCATGCGCGATTTCGCAGTGTTCAAATCTACCCCGCCACAAGGACTGCTGGATCTGAGTTACATTGTCCGCGAGCTTGACACGGAAAAGTGGGGCGCAGGGCGACGGCTCGTTGCGCTCAGCAAGATTGTGGCTGCATATCTCGACACAGAGCTCGATAAAGGGTTGGTGAGGAGCTCATTCGAAGGCGAGACTTGGGACCCGGAGCAGCTTGAGTGTGAGTGCAGCTATGTTGCACGGACCGCACAGAGCTGACAATACAAGATGCTGCCAACGACGTGTTCGCTTCTCTGCTTGTGTACAACGAGCTCGCTCGCCGTGCTTCTCTCAAGGAGACGAAGATTGACCGCAACAAGCACGCTGTCAGCCTGGCGCCTGTCCCGCTTCAACCCAGGCCACCAAAGGCCAAGGCCAGCACTGAGCCTACTGCCAATATCAATGTCGCCAACGACGGCGGCGCTGTTGAGGTGCCTATCGATGACTTTCCCTTCCCGGCTCTATCCCGCCACCCACGTTGGACGTTGCTCGACTCGTACTCGCGCGGACGGCAGTTCAAGCTCTTTGCCGCCGGAGGCGAGATTGACCAGCTCGCCAAAGACTACAATCTCAAACGCACCACAGTGGAGAGCTATGTTGTGCAGACGGCTATGGAGTTTGACGTTGGCGTCCTGCCGACCCCCATCCGGAGGAGGATTGTTGATGAAGTGGAAGTGGACGGGTGGGCTGCGACGAAGAACGAGTTCTTCTTCCGCAAGCTGAGGGACAGTTTAGAAGACGTGAAGGAGGACGAAGTGGTCACCGCTGGGTCCCAGTCGCTCAACGCCTTTGAAGAGCTCTTTGTGCAAGAGTACGTCGAGCACCACCGGCTGGCTCCGCAGGACATTCCACTCCCAGACACCCCGACGGACAGTGGCTCTGCCACGCCAACGTCCTCAGCGTCATGGTGGGGATACTTGTTTGAGAGCTTTCGGTCTCCCGTCGCGTCGCCTGCGCCATCCTCGTCTTCTGCCAGCCTGTACTTCTCAGCCTCGACACCTCCAGCCTCTCCCAGCCGTGACATGTCACGAGACATCTAGGTCACGTATACGAATACACACGCACGCACGATCAATTGTAGACTACGATACATATTTTGGCCATATCTTTTATGTAACAACACCTGCACTACAGCCTCGCCACAAGCTTGTCCTCAAACTTCCTCTCCAGGATCGCCATCTCCTCTGCCCCGGGGACGACAGTCCACTTGCCCATCCTGTCTTGGAGGTACGTCGTCGCCTCGCCGTTGGCCGCATCCACCACCTCGACGCGGCGCGGCACAATGGCGACGAGGACAAACCCATAGTGCGCGTTATCCACGCCCTCGGGCCCGGCCTCCCAGTCCTCCTCGGGTCCGTGTCCCTCGCCTGCGGGGTGCGTCGCGCGCCAAACGCGTTCACGCGTGTCCGACCAGTACTTGTACCCGCTCTCGGGGGCCTGCAGTGGCAGGTAATAGCTGTGCATGAGGCCCGCGGCGCGGAACTCGTTCCGCTCGCCGACGACGACGGCGCGCCCCCTGATGCGGAACGTGAGCGTGGGGGAGAGGTTCCATGCCAGTTCAATGTGGTGGTTTTGCGTGACGTCGGCGAAGTGTGGCGACGTGCGGGTCGTGGCTACGAGGAGGAGGCCCGACGGGGAGACTGCAGGAGGTTAGTAGACGGGAAAGGAGAATGGGGGTGGCTTGGGGGCGAGACAGGGAACTGGGGATGCGACGTTCTTGTGCTTCTCAACAGAACTAACCAACTACACACCGCACACATAAACGAGCGACTCTTTCACGCGCACACGACACGTCACCCACAACCGCGTCCCCCCGGGCCAGCGATGCTCCACTTTCTCGGCTTTCTTTCGACATAAGACAAGCGGGGCAAGCGGAGTCCGTTGATCCGTCAGTGGCGCAACGTCAAAAAAGATGTTTGTGCGCGACCAGGAGTGCGGGGGTGGCGCCCAGCATGTCGGGAATGTCGTGTGGTAGGGGTTGTGTGTGGTAGGGGGCTGTGTGTGGGGGGGACACAGAAGCGGGGAACGGGGTGAAGCATGTATATTTGGGGTAGAGAAGGGATGGCGAGATGGACAATAGGTGACGAGTGATGGAGGTGCGGGGTCAAGGCACAGAAAGCAGAGACACTCACATCCTTGGTGCTGAACGTAGCGAACTCGAGGACGTCTGTCGCCAGCGCCAGAGGTTGCAAGGGCATATTCTGAAGATGTCAGCTTGAGAGCTCATCGACCAAATGTGGATCTGGTGAATGTGATGGCCACTACCCGGCCTGCTAGTGACGTGTGGTACATAGCAGACATGCGTGGCCCTCGCATGAACCCAAAGCGGTGAAGCACGCACCAGTGCTAGCAGGGCTGGCCTCCAGTGCAGCGTCGAGCTGTGCGCGCCAAGGGGCGTTCTCGTTTGTGAAAGGCATTGTTGATGAGTAAACGGCTGATGGTTGGAAGTGGTCGATGAAGGAGAGAGATGTCGACGTGTACTCTACACGTCTCGCTTTAAGTACATGCCATCAGTCGGGAACGCGACCGCACCCACACCCCACACACGATGCGAAGCTCAAAGTATCAGCTGACCAGAGCTCAGATCACCATCAGAACACCGAAACCAAGCCGAACTTGCCGCTGGGCCCCGGATTGTGCTGTTCTCGAGATTGCGGGGTGGTGCGTTGTGCGGGCTGACATCAGTCCGCTTATGCCCATGGCCACCGCTCGTACTCCAATTGCCCGCAAGCCCGCACACGTAGGACCTCGAGACAGGCTTAGCTGCCCCACTGGTCTTGCGCAATGCCTCGCTTTCACCCTGGCGGCGTCCGCCGTCTGCCATTCTTGGCGTTTGGCGTGCTCTCCTGGCGTTCTCATCAGCAGCCAGACGCGTGTGCGTAGCGTGTGCTTGCAACCTCTCCCAAAGTTGTGGCCGATCAGCCGAGAGGCCTGCGCGGGGGCCCAATCTCTGACGTTCACGTCAGGAGGTTGAGAGTTAGTGCACGAGGCCAAAGGGGGTGTTGCAACGTGTGGTCACTCGAAAAGAGGTCGGAGGTCAGTGCGGAAAGAGGCGTGATCGAGACACCGTCCCACCAGTGCTCGTTTGCAGCCCTTGGGCTGCGATCGACCGGGTCGCGTGGTTTGTTGTTTGTCCGTGACCTTTAAAGTCGCATATACTATCTACCATAGAGTCTACTTACACCCTGTGAACGTTAGCAAACACTCGCTTGTGCCAACTGCCTGGACTCACTCTGGTGCACAATGGCCATACCGTGCTCCTCATACTCCTCCTTTGTGACCCAGAGCTGGTGGAACGTGCCCAGCGACGCGAGCACCGAGCCACCGAGCCACGACGAGTACTTGCGCTCGAAGGGAATAGTAGGGGAGTGGATCTTGATTTTTTGCTGCAAAGAGTTAGCCGAGGAAGGAACATTTTAACTCACGCTTGGGAGGAGCTGCGCGAGCTCGAGGTCGAGACGCTCGGTAAGACCGCGGGTGAGCGACGTGTTGCCGACGACGACAATGTTCTGCAACAGCGAGGCACGGACGTCGACGTCACAGGCCATGATCGAGTCGTGGACCAGCTGGCTGAGGGGGACCACGTCCTTGAGGCTGTGCGAGTGGTCGCCCGTAGGGGTGGTGCGGAGCGACGCGGGGGGCTCGACGGCCTGGTTGAAATAGTTTTTAGGGTCAAACAGCATCTCGGTGAAGCGGTAGCGCTCCTCGCCAAAGTACTGGTGGTAGCCGTCGGGGAACTCGTAGAGCGACTGGGGCAGGTCGCGGGCAGAACGGAAGTCGAAACCCTTATAGTTGATGACCTCGCCACACGTCTCCTTCCAAGTGTCGACAACGACCTCCTCGGCCCACGAGCGCCACGAGCCAGTCGTGCCGCTCAACCTGTCCTCACGGAGGGTGGGGTGGGGCTCAAGTCCAGGCTCGGACGTGGTGTCGCGCTTGGCGATCAGGTGGCGCGGCAAGAGCGACAGAGGGAAGCTACGCGTCGCGGTCGGGCTGGAAAAGTGGTTGTGCAGCTGCGAGAGGAGCAGTGACGAGGCAAGAGGCTGGCGCATGGTGCCTGCACGAAGGGCATAGCCATCGACAACGGGGACAGCGCTGGCATTGGCGTAGCCGACGTCAAGCACAAGGGCGGTAGGCTTGCCGGCAGCGAACGCGGACAGGACCCCCGACGAACCAAAGTAGATTGCTGGGACACCTTCACCCTCGAACGCGAGCTCTACGAGCTTTTCGCGGGCTGCAGGGGTGTTCCATGCGGGCTCGGTGAGCATGAGAGGGTGCTCGGTGGGGTCGATGTTGAGGCGCTCGCGGAGCAGGTACTTGAGCATCTGGCCAGCGGCCTCGCCATCATTCACTGAAAGTCAGCTGTCGCGGCACGTATGGCGGTTGCAACGCCCTCCTTCCCATATCACACCACACTCACCAACGCCATCCACCATAAAGTTGCCGACCTCCTGGTTGGCGCGCCAGACATTGGCGCCATCGTCGCCAAAGTAATAGGTCCGCTTCTTGGTCTTGTTGACCTCTTCCTGTTCCGGCTTCTGCTCGCCATCCATCGGATCGTCGCCATCGGCCGGGGCACCGTTAGAGCTGCTGGCCTCGGCATCGGTGTAGCCGTAGAATGTAGGGGTAACGATACGTGGGCCGTCCTCGCCTGCCCAACCAGCACGCGTCGTGTGCGAGCCAAAGTCGACAACGACAGCCGACACCTCGTCTGTTTACGCGTTAGCTCGTGATTTTAGGGGCGCATCCAGCCAGTGGACGCGTCAAAAGCGGCGGCAGTATGACACACCTCCGTTGTAAACCATACTGTCGGCGCGGGTGTGCTGTCGCGAGGTAGTGGGTGGTAGGACGGGAGAGAAGGGAGGATTGTTGGTGTTAGCAGTTGGCACCTGTGGCTCAATTAGGAGACCACATTATCCCAGGTGGTACTGAATCGGCGCGCGGTGTGTCGCTATTTAAATGACGTGTGCGTAATGATACTAATACTTCCGTCTCAACCACACTCGTTACATGGCATGACCTCAATCCTCGATCCCATCCATCCATCACAACCTCGGTCTCCACATGCCCACAACACCATGGCTCGTCCGCTAATGCGCTTTCCCAGCGCACACGCGCTGCCGCCATTGTTTCCTCCGGTCCTCCCAGATATGACCGCCGAGAGCTTGACGGCAGCCGCAAACGCATACCGACAGCCTGCACCCCCGCCGCAACTACCACTCCTCCAACTGCCGGGCCGGCACCAGGACCCCTTGTTCGACGATGGATCCGGTGCAGGACCATCATGCCCGCACAGAAGGCAATGGCCAGGACGCGGAGACCATGCTCCTACGGCTGACACGACACTGCGTACCGCCCGTCTCTCGGATGCCGAGCTCGACGGCATGGTTGGCGACATGGCCGTGCTCGTTCGCCGCGAGTATGACTGCTGGGTCGAGGCATGCTGGTGAGCTACTCAAACACAGCTCTTTCGTAACCCAACTGACAGAGTTCGCGAACAGGACTGAGGCCTTTCACCACGTCTTCACTCGCACCATCCCGACATTTCTCATAACTCTTATCGTAGCCGGTGCCAGCCCGTCCTTTATGCGTCGACAGATCGTACACGGTGGGCCGGCATTAGACGAAATATTCATGGCCGACATGCTCGATAACCTGTATTCCGAGCTCGAGCGACGTCTGTCGGGCAAGCTCATGCCGGATGTCCGCGGCGAGAGCTCGTCGATGGCGACAGCCGCCGCTGCCATTGGCGCCGGTGGACTCGGTGCACAGCCGACAACAACGCCCGGTCTTCCCCGCGACGGCGTGTGTACACACGACCTCGGGCCTGCACACGGTGCGCCGGCTGACGACGACGACCACGCGGCCTGCCTGTGCCAGCTGGCCGCGTGCCCTGCCTGTCTCCACGACGCGGCTCACTCGCGCAAGGCGCCCGTGGGACTGCTTCCCTTTGAGCTGAGCGGCACGCCCGTGGCTGCTGGGTGGGCCGGTGTGGTCGAGACGGAGGAGCAGGCGCGGGACCGCGAGTTTGGTTCATCGTCTACACGCCCAGCACGTCGGGACCCGCCAGAGACAGCTCTTCCAGTGGGCAAGGGGTTTGTTCACCACCCAAAGAAGGTGCCGACGCCTTCGCGCCCTCCCATCTTCCCCCATCCACAAATGACAGACGTGCTGGCCGTGGAGGAACACTTGCGCTGGCGACTCAAAGAGCTCGGTGCCGTGGATCCATCGGTCGAGAGTCGGTATGGGCCGAGCACGAACGCGCCCGCTGCGCTCGAGGGACTGGAACGCGCACTCCGTCTGGACGAGGACGACGGGAGCGAAGCGAATGCACCGAACGGACACGGCGGCGGTGGCGGCAAGAATGGCCGCAAGTTGGCTGTTGGTCGTAGCAAGGCCCGCTTCAACAAGGCTGTCAAGGCGCCGCCCAAACCCAAGGCAGAGAAGAAGAAGGTCTACCTCCCTGTGGAATGGGCCGAGGCCGACCCAGCCGTGCGCAACATGGCCATCGTGCTCACCTTCCGCCACTTTGTCAAAGTATGTGTGGAAATACCCCTTATCGGGTCGTCTGCTAACACTGTGCAGCTTCTCCACCAAGCCGCTGTCACCTCGTCACCCTTTTCGTACGCCGGCTACTCCAAGGACGTTGCCGCGCTCGCCTCTGTCCACCCTGTCGCCCTGTATCGCCGCCTGACCGAGGCAACAGCAACACGCAAGGGCCGGCCGGCACGCGAGACTCGCGCCTGGATCGAGTGTATGGACAAGTGGACCGAGGAGCTGGGCGCGCGCGAAAAGGCCGCCGGAAACGTCCTCGTCAACTCGGGCCAGCACTTTGACGCTGTCAAGTGCTACACGCGCGCCATCTCGCTCGACGGCAAGAAGACAGTGTACTACTCCAACCGGGCCGTCGCGCTCAACACCTTGGGCAAACACGTGGCCGCCGAGGCCGACTGCGTGCACATTCTCAACAAGGACGCCAAGAACAGTAAAGCGTTTTACCAGCGTGCTGTCGCGCGCAGGGGACTCGAGAGGTGGCGCGAGGCCGAGACGGACTTGAAGCATGTCCTCCGCCTCCAGCCGGGCAACGAGGCCGCCAAGACCCTCCTGGCCAAAGTCAAGGTCGAGGTGGCAAAGCTGCCCAAGCAGCGGTTGGAGGATGTGCTCAACTTTTAGGTGAGGGGGTGATGGCGGCACCAGGCTCGGCGCTGGCTTTTGTTGCGCCAGAGTCGCGGAGTGGGTCTGGGCTGAGGGGTTCGGTAGGTGGAGAGGAAGTCTATCAACGGAGTAGGAGGAGGGACAGGAGGTGTCACTAAGACCCTCGGTATGAATCCTCTCGGAATCACCCGCCCTCTATCTAGCCACACTATATCTAGTATTTGTAGCCATGACGACCATCAGCTATAGACACGCATGATCTCGTCCACCAGCCCCACGCCCTGGCCAGTTGGCTCATGTATATCAGTCGTAGCATCTCACAATCCTACACAACGACGACGCAAAAACCTAGGACGCTGCCGCCTGCTAGCGAAGGGCTTTTTCTCTCTCTCTCTCGCTTCCACCTTGATATAATCCCAGTTCTCTAGCGACGGACACCCTGGCCTCGGGGCGCGCCGCGGCGGGCGTTGGCTGGAAGAAGTGGTCAGCAAACTGTTTCTGTGTCTGGGTCTGTGTCTGTGGCTGCGTTTGTGGGGAGACAAGAGTCGGTTGGCCAAGTCGCCAGCGAGACCCCCGCGAGAGCGGTCGCTGGGGACAGCACCCGGTACTCTTGAACATTTGGTTCCCGGGTGACTCGACATTTGTCCGTGCCCGTTCGAGTTGACACTTACCTCGTTGGATAGTGGCACGGCCACGGGCGGCACCGATACCGCGTCCACGCATGGCGTTGGGACCCACGCGCTTGAACATGGGCGCGTTGGCCAGCAGATCCGGCACGATGATGAAACGGACCTGTGGGTGCGTGTCAGGTAGCCGCCAAAAAAACAGACATCAAGGTGTGGTGGAGGCCCAACGCTAGCAATGAGGAGCCGTGGAGAGTGGGGGATGGCGGCTGGGGGAGGGGGATGGAGGCTGGAGGCGCCGGCTAACGTGGTCCACGAGACGAGACGAGCTAGTCCCGATTCACCGGTCGCGTTCCTCAAGCCTCCCCGAACGAGATCCGAGAAAAAGCGATGACATCCAAGAAAAAGCAACGAGATCATCTTTGGTCACATCCTCCAACGAGGTCCTTAGACCTCCTTGAGGCTGCGGATGCGGCGGTGCGTCTTGAGACACATGACATGATCTCGTGCAGGAGTGGCTGGCGAGGGCGCGACTGGGGCCCTTGTTGGGCCTTGCGTTGCGGTGGGTGAGGCGTGGGGCGTGCGCCAGGCGGCGCCGGCACGGAGGCGCACCGTGCCGTACCATTGCTGTGGGAGATCGGGGGCACCGGACACTAGTGTGTGTCCAGCTCGACGCCCGCCCGTTCCCATCACAAAAGCCCACCGACAAGCTGGATTTCCAAGCCCAGGCCCGGGCTCCAAGTCACTGGGAGAGACAGCAGGTGGTGAATGTGGCCGCAGGCGCCAACAATTCACTGGCCTTGTGTCACGAGACGCAAGAGTTCAGTCATGGTCGTCGGATCGTCACACATGACAACACACGCCCCATCCAGCGGATGAACTGTTTCAGAGAACGGGGGCTGATGGCAGGATGTGAGAATGGAGAGCAAGGCCGGTAAACCGGGTCCCCAACGACCACCGATGACACTTTTGCCGGCGGCTGTTGTCTCCTGGGATTCATGTGGGGGGGGGATGTGGGTACGCGAAGACGCGTCATGGTGGACTTGACGTCTCGAGAAATCCAATGCGTGGACGGCGCCAAATGGCCATCGCTGGCCGCTAGCGTTGTCTCTCGAGGTCGAGGTCGCGAGAGGGGAACAGACGCTCCCTCCCTCTCAATCGCACATGAGGGCGACGAGGGCGAGCCCCGGCACTCGCGCCCAGCAGAACATCCTCCCACACCTGTCCACTTGTTCTCGAACAGCTCCACCTCCATGGCCCATGGCCCGGCCTGTGAAATCCCCACTCCACAAGCTCTCCTTCCCCTTTGCCTCTCCTCTGTCTCCTCCTCGTCTTCTCCACGCCGCCCGCAAGGAAATCCAGAACCAGAACCCGGAACCAGAACCAGAACCACACACACAGGCCCACATGCCTTGCAAAACACAACACTCACCATGCTGCCACGGATGTACACCTGCTCGAGCTGGGACACGCGTCCGTCACGCGCGGTGACGGTGATCTCGCGGAGGGCCATGTTGAGCGAGTCCTCGGCTGTTGGGGGACGCGTGTGGAATGGATAATGAGCGGAGCGGAGCGCGCGCGCGAGTCGGGCAGTTGGGCAGTTGGGTTGGTGGGCGCCGCGGGAAAGACAAGGCGGGACAGTGACAGTGAACAGCCGGGGGCACGTCGAGGTCACAATGAGGTTGGCAGCGAAGGGAGGAGGATGAGAAAAGAGGGGAGGATCTACGTCAGGACAGAGTAACAAAGGAGGTCAGCAGCGGGTTCAGCGACGTACCCTCCATCAGCTTGCCGCGGTATGTCTGTAGCGCGCGTCAGCATCCTGGTACACCCACGCCGTTGCATCCCATCTCTAGGAGGGGACGGGCACCGCGACTCACCTCGCCAGTCTTGAGCTCGACGGTGATGATGTGGCCGAGCGACTCGTGCAGGAGCTTGATGGGGACACCGAGGTTGGCCATTTTGTTGCGCGAAGTTGTAGACGGAAAGGGCGGGGGGGGGGCAAGTGAGGGGGGAAGGCGGGGAGGGGAGGACGGCCGCGGGAGTGTGTTGTGTCGTGTGCTCGGCGAGAAGGGCGGATGCGGCGTGCTAGACGGGGATATGGATGTATGTAGACTGCGGGTTTGTTGCCCTTTGGGATGTGTATTGAGTAGTTGGAGGTTTCGAGAGTGGCAAATAGAGGGGGCGCGGATAAAGAAAAATGGCGCCGCGCGCCGGCACAGTGCCATGGTGGTGGGTCGGAAAACACACTAGGGTGAAAGAGGGACGTACATCGAAAGCCATATTGTGTTTTTTCGTGAAAGGGGGACCTACATTCAATGCCATGGTGACATTGTTGCGACTGTCTCATCAACCCACCATGTCCCTTTCTGGCTCATCATCTGCATAGATATCCCTTCTCTTCCTCTCTACAACGCGGGCCCTACGGGAGACGTCTCTCTACAGTACGACGATACGATACAACACAGCGCAAGGGAGACAATGTATAGTATCTGCTATTCGTAGGCAGAAACCAAAAAAAAAGTACTAATAAAATGGGACGCGACTGGGCGTCGGCGTCAACAGAGATGAAACGAGATTTCGAAAAGTGACTTGGGGGGGGGGGGGGAAGCTTCGCAAGAGACAGTGGCGCAAATCGTTAAATGGACGTGACAGTTCGGGAGTCATTGACAGGTCGTGTCGTCCGGAACATGGAGAAAGACAAAAGACATAACAAAAGGGATCACAAGCTGTATTGTCAGTTGTGGCCCTTCTGCGAACGTTGCTCAACTCACGACTCATCGAGCTCAGCGTTGGTCGACGAGCTCCGCACGTTGAGCTCGCCGCTGAACAGCTCGGGGGCTGGGAGGTACGCGCTCGGCAGACCATTCTTGAGGTCCGAGTCGGCGACGACCTCGGGAGTGGCGAAGAGGCTGCTGCCGTCGATGGTCTCGCGCCTGCCGCCAATGTTGCGGGCGGGCATGGTCGAGGCACCCATGAGCTGGGGAGCGCGCGAGCGAGGCGGGCTATATGGGCCCGTCTGGGAGTTGCGGCGCTCAATCTTGGTCGCAGTCGCTGCGCGAGCGCCGAGAACAGGGGTGCCGCGCGGGGAGACGTTGTTGAACCCGTTCATGGGGACGTGGTTACCCATGGGGAAACCCACACCCTGGTATGCGCCAGGCGAGACTGTGCCGGTGCTGGTCATGGGAGACGAGGCTGGGAGAGGGTTGGAGGTGGTGGTGAGCATGTCGACCGAGGTTGGGGTCTTGGTGCTGAAGAGGCTCGAGGAGCTGGTGTCAGGCAGCGGGTTGTTGTTGGGGTTGATGGTCACCGGCTGGAACATGTAGTACTGGGGCACCGAGTCGAGCGGGGCCACCTGGATGGGGCGCATACCATCGCCCAGAGTACCCAAGCCACGACGGACCCAGGTGGAGGGGTCGTGGAGGCTGAAGGAAGGCGGTTCCTGCGTGCCGCGGAGGACGCGGTCGTACTCGTCATCGGTGGTGATGGCGTCGTCGTTCAAGAACAAACCGCTGAGGGTCGACGCAGGGGAGAACGCTGGAGTGTCCGTAAGACTTGGAGTGGCAACGCCGTTACCAGACGTGAACTGGAGCGTGTTGCTCGCGCCAGGGAACATTGAACCGCCCGGTGGGGCAGACTGGGGCGTCATAAAGCTCGAGCTCGCGTAGGTCAAGTTGAGGGACATGCTCTTGTGCGGGACGTGCTTGAGATGGTTGTTGTTCTGGAGGGCAAACTGGCGTCCGAGGGTGCTCGACGTAGGCTGGAAAGCGCTGACGTTGGGACGGCCAATGCTGGAGGGCATGGAGAAGCGGCGGTGCGACTCGATGGTGGCGGCGTCCAGGCCGCCACTGTTCTCAACCATCATCGAGGCATCGCTGTGAGATGACGAAGGTGGTGGCATCTCGCTGTTGGGGTCGGGGGTGGCAAAGATGATCTGCTTGGTCTCGTCGAGGTCGGCAAGCATGGGGTTGGGATACGCGTCCGGAGGCGAGTTGAAGCCGTCCGAGTCTGAACTGACGGACAGGGTCTCTTGCTGAAGACGGGCGGCATTCTTCTGGGCCTGCGAAGGGCGAGGAGGGACACGACGCTTGAAGCTGAGGATCTCCTCCTTGGTGGAGTCGCGGCGGAGGAAGGTGTGGGCTGTGGCGGTCAATGGTCTAGTCTCCTGTCTCAACAGCCCAAGTGCACTTACACCAGGTGCTCGCGTCCGGGTCGACAATCCCACTCTCGACATGACGAAGGCTGACCTTGCGCATCCAACCATAGATCTAGAGGGAAGTAAGCGTTGAACCACCACCGCCACAGGCGGCTGTCTACTCACGTTGAGCTGGCGCGAAAAGCTCGCAAAGCGGCTCTGCCTGTAGATAAGGGGAAGGACCTTGTCGGCCAACTCGTCCGGACGCTCAATGATGATGATTTCACCGGCGTCGTCCCAGCGGATGATCTGAGAGGGGCGTATCAGCATTGTCTGTCACATACAAAAGGCAACACAGCGCCCCTGGGCGACACCTGTGGTGCGGCGTGTGCCACTTACATGGTGGAACTCTGCATTGTTCCTTATCTGGTCAGTACACTGTTGCAAAATGGGTTGGGGCATGTGCTTACAAAACACTGGGTAATGTGTCAGCATGTATGGCTCATGGGGGGTCACTCCGTTGGTACTCACTCGTAGAGCTTGGTGAGGAACGTGGGCTGCTTGCCGTCGACCTTTTTGGGTCCCTTGCCGCCCTTTTTGGGTGAACGGGTGGTGAGAGTTGGCGTGGTGGCAGTTGCGGCGGGGGCGAATGCGGGGTTGTACCATGGATCGTCCTCCTTGGCAGGAGGGGCCCACCCAGAGGGGCCGGGAGCAGACGGGGTGGCGGGGGAGCCTACCATACCGGTGCTGTCTGGCCCAGGCACCCAGCTGCTAAAGCGCGGGGTGGTAAAGTAGTCTGTGGCGACCTGCTGCTGCTGCTGCTGCTGGTACGGCGACTCGAGGTCCTTGGTGTTGCCGGTCATGTTGCGGGGGAAGTTGGTAGAGTCGAACAGCTGGCTGTTGAAGCCGGTGGCGCTCATGTCGACGCGGGGAATGTAGTTTGGCACCGAGCGGGAGAGGTGTGACGAGTCGATCATGGACGACTCGGTGTCCCAACGCGGCTGCTGGAGACGCAGTGCGGTCGACGACGTCAGGCTGGCTGGCATGAGGAGGTGTGGGGTGAGGGGTGGTACAGAGGGGGTGTAAGTCTTGGGCTCGCTCATTGCGGGAGAAACCGGCCGTTGGGGTGGGTGGGCGGTCAGGTGGACGGCCAAAGGTGGTGGTGGGTGGTGGGGGTGTGGGGGAGGCGTCCGGGGCGGTAGTTACTCCGGTGCAAGCGGCTCCTGCTTGTGGTGTAGGCTGCTTGCGGCGACGCTGAAGAGAAGGTGTCACTCGTCGTCGAGGATGAAAAGGCAGTGGCTATCTAAATCCAGTTCACTGGGTAGGGTGTGGGAGGAGACTGGAGGAGACGGTCAGCGATCTGGTGTCATTTGCCACCTCGTTGTCCGAGGCGTTTCCCAGGCGTGGGAGCGGTGGTACGAGGCCCACTGATGGCCGCGACTGGCGTGTGCCTGCCGGCCTGCCTGCAACAAGTGGAGTTGAGGAGATGCACGACTCACAAGATGAGGGAAGAAACCGTGTACTTGCCTGATCTATAATGATGTTTGTGTTCCACGGGCGTTGGTTGGGGGGATGTCGTGGTCGACTGATGACGACAAGGGGTGACTGTGTCTGAGCGGCGGTTTTGACCGGAGTCGGCGGGCTTGCGCGCTCGAGTATGACTGGATTCCAGTAAGGTTGACAAGGTTGGACAAGCTGCTGCAAGGACAACGGGCTGTGCAGTGTGGGCAGACACGAGATGGGGGGGATCTCAGAGCTGCTGGTGGGGCCCAGATGGGAAACAAGGTGGACACAAAGGGTTGTGTGGAGAGATGAGGTGGCGGTCAATGCCGCGGGTGGGTGTGAGGGGGCACAATGTCTTGTGTGGCACGCCAAGTGTGTTACAGTGTCGTGGGCGTCGGGGGGGGGGGGGGGGGCGACGCGTTGGGATGGGTCGTCAAGGTGGTGTGTGTCCTTTGGCAGATGGGCACAGACGAGAGAGCTGTGGATGATGGTGGTGGTGATGATGATGATGGGGGGGAGGTGGAAAGGAGGGACGGACAGACGGGGGGGGGGGGGGGGGGGGGGGGGGTGGCAGCTCTCTTTGTGTGTTCGGGCTTTTGAGTGGAGATGGGGATAATGGGGACGACTGGCGGCGGCGGCGGCGGCAGTGACACCAGTGGCCACCCGGCTGGTGGGTGGCCTGGGTGGCCTCGAGGCGTCACCCGTTGTTGCAATGTACACACCGGCTACCTCGTCCTCGGGGCTGATGCCCATGCCCAGGACATGACAGGACATGACAGGATCACACACACACACAGGCTCCAAGCACGGATCCTCGGCGTTCCATGGCGCACGCTTTGGCGTTTCCCCCCAGGCCCCGAACAGACACACACCACACACACACACGGACATGCGCTGCCGCTGCCTGCCTGCCGCCGTCGTCGTCGCCGCCGCCGCCGCCATCACGACGCCTCTGACGAGAGACGAGCTGTCGCCCAGGCACATGTCCGTGGATCACCGATGCTCTCCTCGTCGGCCTCGTTCCATAGCGCACGGCGGCGGCGCCACACCGTTACGCCACACACGCCGCCGCCGCTTGGCCGTTGGGCCGTTTGCCTCGCCGTCCCCCGCCGGTCCTGCCCCCTCCTCCCCTGGCGCAAAACGCCACGCAGTCGCCGCGCGCTGTACGCTGTGCCATCATCAATGCATCCACCATTATGGGTGGGCCGCGGTTTGCACCTGGTCCGCAGCTTTGGAGAAAGAGAGAGCATAAACGTCAGCTGGGGTGTACCTTTTGCCTCTCTCTGTGCCTCCCTTTTCACAGTTACCTGGGCTAGGCCTCTAGCGCAACATCCCCCGCCGGACCGCTCCTCTCTCTCTCTCTCTCGGGGATCAACGAGTGGGCCGACGTCGTCCGCGGCGGCATGGTCGACATGACAGCCGAGAGAGACCCCGTGATGATGGATGTGCCCGTGAATTTCCATGAGGCCACATGTAGGGACACACCGAGATCCTCCGACCATGGGCACCACCGCACGTCCCCCCGCCCCCTTCATCCGCGCCATTACCGTGTTGCATCCCACGTTCAACCCACTGGTCAGATGTAGACTATACTGTTGGGGGACCCACCGCTACCGCCGGCAAAGACACACCCCATACACCCAGCTGCACCGCCGCAACCCCTTGGCTTGCTGGCTTGCTGGCTTGCTTGCTGACACCTTTCAACATTGCCGGTTGGCTGACGGTTGGCTGACTCTCTGTGCGGAGCTTTGTGTCGTGTGCCTATCCCAACGGGAGGGGCCTCGGGGACGGCTCTTAGCGTCTGCACCAGGAGTGGACCTGTATACACCGTGCGCAGTCGGCGCTCGGAGCGTGCTGAATGTTGCTGCAGTGACCAAAGGCAACAGGTTTTGCCACGGCTGACTGTGCAAAGGTGTCCAATTTGTCCGGTGCCACTCGCCGGGGATAGAGGTTGTTTTTGTCTCTTGTTGCTCAAATCGCCACACACACGTCCTTTTGGTTCCCACGCTGCCCCAGCATTTAGCACAGCCCACCACACACCCTCTGGTGCCTCCATTGACCCCGCGGACAAGGCCTTGTATACTTGTAGAGTCTACAGGTCTTTACAGATCTATGGATCTCTGTCCAGAGCCGCATACACAAACCCGGACATGCCGAGGGCACACCCGGTGAGCAAACCCGTGTGCCCGTGCCCGACGAGGGCCAGGCTAAGGACATGCTCCCTTGAGCGCCACTCTCAGGTTCCACCAAAAAACAAACGCACGTAGAGAGGCTCCAATGGTCCCTAGTCGCCCGTAACTCTTTGTTGCCCACAATGCAACGGGAAAGAAAAGAAAAAGGGGGGGGCAACGTCGTGTATGCGCGGTTACACGGAGAGTCCGTGGTGTTGAGCCTTCCTTCCATGCCTCGGACGATCGTGGAATGCTCCTCACCCAAACAGGTGTGGAAAATCTGGAACAAGTCGGCAGTCGGGGCAGCAAGCTCAGCGCCGCGGCACCCCCTGTGACCATACCATTCGTCCTCGACGCCATCTTGACAAGAAAGAAAAAGCGCCAAGCAACGCCTCACGCCTCACCCTCTTGCTGTCCCCCTCGCGTTAGTACAAACACTCCTCGGCCCCTCGGGTTTGCAACCTACAAGTCGGGCTCGGAACATTTGACGAAACAGATCCTCCACCACCCCAACATGACAGATGGCGTCGCCCCAGGCTGTAGCCAGCGGGGTTGCCAGTGACTGTTCCAGCACTTTCAGAACGAGTTCTGAGACACACATACAGTAGTGTCCCAGCCACACATCACCACGGCCTGTCCATTGGCGATCATTCCGGCATACATCTGACCCGGTGGCCACCCATCTCGCTCTTTTCCGCCCACATCCGGCTTGTGGAGACCCGACTGGCCCCACAACGGTACAACGGAAAAGCTTACTCACCACCGAGCACGACACCTCCTCTAAAACGCCTCTCGATCCTCTCGGCTTGCGCGGCCCCCATGCAGCCGACGACGGCAATACCCACACCGCAACGCTCCACGCCAGTACCGGGTGGGGCTGGTGGCCGCGGCACCGGGGTTCACACACACTCAGCCGCGTCCACACGCCACACCCACGCCCGCTCCGGACGGCCAACGGCCAAATCTAGCTGGCGATGCGGCGAGGAGAGAGCCTTTGTGCGATCTGTGTCTGGCGGCCGCTTTGCTCGGATCGCTCGCCTGCCTTTGGCTGCCATCGGACGAACAAGCCTTTTCGGACATCGGGCTGTTCGGGTTTGCCACATCACACATTACAGTTTGCCCAGGTGTGGTGGCCTCCTTGTCTCAGCGTCCTGTCTGCAAGTGGCGTTACATTGGCGTTCCAGGTTCATCCAGGTTCGCCCAGGTTCGTCCAGCCTCGTGTGCGTGCGTGCTGGCCCAGGGGCCCAGGGGTCCCATGTCAAGCAGCGTCATGGCCCCCAATGGCCTCTCCGGACAGTTGGGCCGTCGGGCCAGTCCGTAACCGCCCCCACCGCTCCGCTGCAACCACCGCCGCCGCCGCCGCCGTCCATGCCGGCCGTAGGCCGTCCACCCACACTACCCCCCAATGCGTGAGATCGCAACGATCGCAAGTCGTCACGCGTTCGTCAGTGCAGTTCCTGCAGTTCCTGTAGTTCCTGTCAACTTCAGGTGTCTCACAACGTTGCCCCCCGTCAGCCCCGCCACACCCGCTGCGCCTGCCCAGCGGCCAGCAGCCAATCCCGTCCGCAGAGTGCATCGCCCCAAGATCTGCTGCAGGTCCTATCTCCACGTTCCCGCGTTACCCATTCAGTGTAGTTGCATTTTACCTGCAGATCCCCTCAACCGCCAGTGGAGCAAGCCCACGCCCGCAGGGTTACAGGTTACATGGTCTTGATCTATGCCATGTATCGGTCCACCCCCCCGGGCCTCGGCATCTCGGCGGGTCCCTTCGGCTCCACCTCCCCCCCGGGTGTCGGGTCGGTACAACTGTGCGCGCGCCGTCACACTCAACTGGCATCTCGGACCGCGGCGAAAGTGACCAGGTTGGTAATAAGAGAGGTATTACCGACACACACACACGCACGCTTGCCAAAAAAAGGTAAAAAGAAACATCACAAAAATAGGATTTTGGTGTTTAACAGACCTCTTGGCCCAACCGTGCGGCAAGTGGCGAGCGGGAGGGAGGAAAGGGAGGGGGGACACGGACAGCAGCGATAGGGACATTCGCCATCGCCACACACCCGTCCTAGGCGTCCGCACACCGAGGTTATTCCCCGGCGATCCCACCACCCCCGCTCCAACGCGCGGCGGGGCGGGGCGGGCGGGGCGGACGGGGCGGAGCAGCCATGCCGCTGACGTGAGGACAGACTGTGTGTACAGGACATAGGACACCACAGAGTGTATGGTTGGGCCCGGGGCGGGGGCGGAGCAACATTGCGCCTCGGCACGTGCGTGCTGTGGAAGGGTATATGGTGGCATTGGGCACTTGCGCCACACTGTGCGGGGTGGGGTGAGGCCGGTGAAGGGCTCGAGTCTGTCAGTTCATTTTGGTGTGTGTAGTGCGCCCATGCCCATGTATAATGCGTACAATGGTGACAGAGGCCTCAGGCGCAATGGCGTGTGGGTGACAGATAGGCCGGGAACATTTGATGGAAGGGAAAGAAGGTGAGCGAGCACTGGTTACATCGATTCTGTCAAGGGGCTCAGTACGCAGAGTCGCATGTAGGGACAATTGTTGAGTGTTGGTTGCAACTGGGCGTTATATTGACAGCGGCTGTGGGCAAGAGATCAAGAGATCAAGAGACCAGTCCTGACGAATGGCATCTTTGGTCGCTTCAACGGGTTACCAGTCGTCCTCGTCCAGGAATCGAACCTCCGACACATGCTACCAGGGCCCTGGGGACGTATCTGAACGGTTATGAAGGCATTTAACGCAGTTCACAGCAAGTGGCAATGCCTGTCACCTGCATCCAGGACGGTGGACAGTGGACACCTTACTGAGTAGCCTTACTGTATGAACTGGAGATGATGTGCACCTCATCGCCCAACACAGGCTGCAGGGTAAGCATGCATAAGCACATGGACCATCTACAGCGTCACTAAGAGCACTCCACCCAGACAATGCCACAGGGGAATATCGCCGAAAAGCTCCGGACATGCACTCGGACGCGTCACGCGTCCTACCGACGCGTCGCACCCACACGCCCACAGGAGGGTGGCAGCCAATATGACGGACAGGTGGGATTAAGGACAAGTAACATTACAACAACATCCTCCATCAAACCACACACACACCATGGTAAGCACACCCGTCCATCCACTGGCCATTGGCACCACTCATACTCCCCCCAGAGCGGCTTTGATCAGAACCGCGTGTACTCGGTCCAGGTCTTAGAGGGCAACCAGGCGGAGAACTCGCCCTCCACCACCGAAGGTCTCTTCCTCGAGTTCCTCAAGAACTTCCGCGTCGGCGGCGAGTTTGTCTACCGGTATGTCTTCAGCTAGGAGCCGGCGCGACGTCAGCTGACATTCCAGTGACCGCCTGCGCTCGTCCCTCCTTCTGCACCACCACACCCTCGAGGTCGACCTCCGTGACCTCGTCGTCTACAATGAGGAACTGGCGCAAAAGGTCGATGACCAGCCCGGCGAGATGATTCCTCTGGTGGGTTTGGCAATTGCAGCGATAGTGTGCTCACCCGTTCAGCTCGAGTCGGCGCTCCTCCGCCTCGCGCGTATTCTCGTCGACCCTGCCGCGTCCAACGATCCAAGCTCGTCGCGAGCCTCGGAGCTCGTCCCGGAAATGCAGGTTACCATCAAGAGCGGCAAGAACATGCTCCAGTTTCGTGAACTCACTGTAAGCTACCACACTGAGACGAGATAAGCTGACGCCCAGGCCAACACCCTCACCACGCTTGTGCGCCTCCCCGGCATTGTTATCAACGCGTCGCAGCTGTCCTCGCGCGCGACCGAGCTGCACCTGCAGTGCAAGTCGTGTCGTTCCGTCAAGATGACCAAGGTGCCCGGCGGCATTGGCGGCCAGACTGCCGCGCTCCCTCGCCGCTGTGACGCGCCCGCTGCGGAAGGCCAGAAGAAGGAGTGCCCATTGGACCCCTACGTCATTCTGCACGACCGCTGTCGCTTCATCGACCAGCAGACAATCAAGCTCCAGGAGGCCCCCGACATGGTCCCGGTCGGAGAGCTGCCGCGCCATATGATGCTCCAGGCCGAGCGTTATCTGACTGGCAAGGTCGTTCCCGGATCCCGCGTCATTGCAACCGGTGTCTACTCTACGTTTGCGCCGCAAGGCAAGAAGAATGCCGGTGCCCCAGCCCTCCGCCAGCCCTACCTCCGTGTCCTCGGCATCGAGCTCGACACGTCCCTCGCGTCGTCGCCCGGTTCGCGCGGCTTCTCGCCCGAGGAGGAGGAAGAGTTCCAGCAGCTCGCGAGGTCCGAGGGCCTGTACGAGCGTTTCGCCAAGAGTGTCGCGCCCAGTATCTTTGGCAGCCTCGACATTAAGAAATCGGTGACGTGCCTGTTGATGGGTGGCAGCAAGAAAATTCTGCCCGACGGCATGCGTCTGCGTGGCGACATCAACGTCCTCCTCCTCGGTGATCCCGGTACAGCAAAGTCGCAGCTGCTCAAGTTTGTGGAGAAGGTGTCGCCCATTGCCGTGTACACTTCGGGCAAGGGTTCGTCGGCTGCGGGTCTGACGGCGTCGGTGCAGCGTGACCCCGTCTCGCGCGAGTTTTACCTCGAGGGCGGCGCGATGGTGCTCGCGGACGGCGGAGTCGTGTGCATTGACGAGTTTGACAAGATGCGCGACGAGGACCGTGTGGCCATCCACGAAGCGATGGAGCAGCAGACCATCTCGATTGCCAAGGCCGGTATCACTACCATTCTCAACTCGCGTACCTCGGTGTTGGCGGCTGCCAACCCCGTGTTTGGTCGCTACGACGACATGAAGTCGCCCGGCGAGAACATTGACTTCCAAACCACCATCTTGTCTCGTTTCGACATGATCTTCATTGTCAAGGACGAGCACAACGAGGCGCGCGACCGCACAATCGCCAAGCACGTCATGGACATTCACATGAACCGCCAGGCCGACGACGAGATTGTGGGCGAGATCGACATTGACAAGATGAAGAGGTACATTTCGTACTGCAAGTCTCGTTGCGCGCCCCGCCTCTCGCCCGAGGCTGCCGAGATGCTGTCGTCGCACTTTGTCTCGCTGCGCAAGCAGGTGCAGCAGGTCGAGCGGGACAATGACGAGCGCTCGTCCATCCCCATCACGGTCCGTCAGCTCGAGGCCATCATCCGCATCTCCGAGTCGCTCGCCAAGATTACCCTCTCCCCGCGCGTCAACCAGCACCACGTCGAGGAGGCTATCCGCCTGTTCAAGTATTCGACCATGGACGCCGTTGCCGCCGGCCAAGTGGACGGCATGACGCGTTCCGAGCTCAACGACGAGATGGAGCGCATCGAAAAGGAACTCAAGCGCCGCCTGCCCATTGGCTGGAGCACGTCGTACCAGTCGCTCGTGCGCGAGTTTGTCGCACAGCAAGGATACTCGCAGCACGCGCTCGAGCGCGCCCTGTTCATTCTCGAAAAGCGCGAGGTGATCCGGTTCTCGGGCCAGAAGAAGGTCGTCAACCGCGTCGGCGTCTAAGTGCGTGCGCGCAGCGGACGTGCGCGTGCGAAGTGGGTTCCCTTGGGGTCGTGGACAGTGTATATCAGACGTGTCTTGTAACAGGTAGATGCATGCAATTATAGGAACCGCACAAAAACGAAAAGAGACAGACACGTTGTGATGCAAAATGCAGCTCTACTCTAGTTTTAACTCTACTGGCCGTGTCCACGGTTTTTTTTTACGCGTTGAGGCCATCACGCGCGAGCAGGGCCATCATGGCACCCGTGACGTCGTCGCGGATATCCGCGGCGCCGTGCGGGCTCTCGACCTTTTCAGCGAGCTGGGCATCGAGCAGGCGCCGGAGCTGGGCGCACAGCACGCCAATACGCGTCGCGGCGCGCAGCTTGACGTTGCCGTCTTTACCGAGCATGAGGCCGCCGGCCCAGTGGTTGACGGTGATGGCGCCGCCGAACAGCAGCAGCGCGTACAGGGGCACATCGGTCGCGTCGCGCAGGAACACCTTGGACGTCTCGGCCTTTGAAAAGTACGCGAGGTAGCCCTTCTTCCAGCCGGCTTCGTCGAACAGGATCGAGGACGGGTGGAGGAACACGCGGCCTGCCGAGTCGAAGAATTTCACCTGCTTGGCCTCGTGGTCCTTCTGGATCGCGCCGGCGTGGATGCGCTCGTACTGCGCCTCGGGGAGCGCGATGCGCGCCACGCGCGGATACAGACCGCCGACGATGATGGCCTTGACCAAGTTGTCCATGTTGGCATTGACAGACGCCGCGGCCAGGGCGGCCGACGACGACCCGACAAAGCCAATCTGCGAGAGCGCAGAGAGAAAGTCGCCGCGCAGAGAGGTAATGTCCCGCACCGTCGAGGGCGAGACAAAGTTGCGCTCGCAAAAGGACCGCTGCTCGCCGCGCCTCAAGCCCGCAACGGCGGCGAACGCCTTGGCGTCTGTAAGCAGGTCCGAACGGGCCGTGGCGAACGATTCACGCGCCTTGCGCGCCTCGTCCCTCCTGTCCATGGGCGCCGTGAAGAGGGGTTTCGAGGACAGGAGGGCCGCGACGGTGAGGATGGGGTCGAGACACTTGAATATCGTAGCCAGGACAAGCATCTTGGCAAGACGCAGGTCCACGGGCAGCAAGGACATGTGCCGGCCCATGGCCGTGAGCTTTGACGTGTGCTTTTCGCTCTCGACCGCGCCGAGGTCCAGCAGCGTCTGCCAAGCCGTGTCGATGGCGTTCATCTTGGGCGGGTCGATCGCGCGCGACAGGAACGCCTTGACGTCCGTCTCCTCGTTCATGGCCTTGACTTGCAGGAACAGGGCCTCGAGCGGCGTGCGAAGAATCTCGGGAACGGGGAACCGCGGCATCGAGTTGTTCTCGGTACGTTTCGAGTAGAGCTTGTAGCACTGGCCGGGCTGGGTACGGCCCGCACGACCACGACGCTGGCGGCCCGACGCGCGTGACGTCCATGCCTCGACCAGGCGCTGCATGCCGTTTTCGGCGTCGTATTGCGTCTCCTTGACACGGCCAGAGTCGACCACGTACACGACATCGGGGATAGTGACGGACGTCTCGGCAACGTTGGTGGCCACGACAATCTTGCGTCGGGGGGCAGTGGGAATGAAGACGCGGCGCTGTTCCGCGCTGGACAGGTTGGCATGCAGGGGCAAGACCTCGACGAGACCCAGGTCGGCGCCTTGGAGCTCGGCAACACACTGCCTAATCTCCATGACACCAGGCATGAAGATGAGGATGGCACCGCTGTTCGAGGGAGCAGTCTTGCAGATATGCTTGACAGTGGCAGCGACAAGCCCATAGTCGATACGGTCCGACTGGGAGAGAATCTCGAGCGACCGCAAGTCGTTGGGCGCCAGACCGAGCTTTTCATAGTCTTTGCGCATGGCTGTCTTCTGCTCCTCGTTCATCTTGGGGCCAAAGCGCGACGGCGACGGCTGGTAGCTGATGTGCGGGATAACGTCCTCGAGGTAGTGGTCCTCGACAGGGTGCGTGAATCCGGGGATCGTGAGCGACGGGCAGCCGCCAAAGTAGTCGATGAAGATTTGTTCTAAATGTCAGCTACCGGTTTTCAGTTGTCACAGCTCACCATTGATCGTAGCAGACATGAGAACAACCTTGATGGTCTTGTTACGCTCAAGAAGGTCACGGAGGAGACAGATGAGCAGGTCAGTGTCGACACCACGCTCGTGCGCCTCGTCGACAACGACGTGCGAGACCCCAGAAAGGTCTGCGTCGCCTGTACCCAGGCGGCGGAGAACGATACCCGTGGTGCAGAAGAGGACCTTGGTCTCGGGACCGGCGGCGCGCTCGCCACGAATGGCGTAACCGACCGACTCGGGCCTCTTGTCGACATCCTCGAGACGTTCCTGTGCCACACGAGCAGCGACACCCATGGCAGCGACACGACGGGGTTGAGTGACAATAATGTTCGTGCTCGCTCCGCGTCCGTGGGCAATCTCGTGGTCGAGGAGGAACTGGGGCAGCTGGGTACTCTTACCACAACCAGTCTCACCCACGACGACGAGTACGCGGTTGGAATCGAGGGCGGAACAAATTGCGTCGCGCGACTTCCACGCCGGGAGCTTGGCGCGGTCGGCCAGCATGGGAGCATAGTCCGGGTTGGCGAACAGACGCGCCTGGGCAGCAGCGACAGCGGCGTGTTCTTCCTTTGTAGGCGCGCGGCGAGGTCCATTGCGACGAGTCTTCTGAACCTTCTTGGCTGCCACTGCAACGGGCTCGTCATCGTCGTCAGAGTCCACGCGGGGGACGAGGTGGCGCGTAACGTCGGCAATGTCAGGAGGTGCCTCGATGACCGCAGGCAGAGCACCCTCGAGGTGCTCGACCATGCTCAGCACGGCACCACCGGTTCCCGCCTCGAGCACGGAGGTGAGGTCGTGCCTCGCGGGGTCACGGAACGCCGCCAACATTTGCTGGTGCAGGTGCAGACGCATGTAGGACGGCAGCGTGTCCGAGGTGAGGAAGAAGGCGGGCGGGCGGGTCGGATACTGCGCCGATGGGTAGGGTGAAAACTTGTCAAAGGTGACATTGAGGACCAGCTTGTCGGTGCCATACTCCATCGTGACGGCCAGCTCAATGCCGTCCTCGTTCTCCTCGCGCACAAACCGGTCGTCCAATACTGCTTCGAGGGCGAGCATCTCCTCCTCGCGCATCATGTCGCGCTCTTCCCTCTCGCTATCGGCGTCATCCGGGAAGGGCATCACCTCGGCGCCACCCCAGCCGCCGTCGGCCTCGCCATGCCATCCACACAACCGCCGGCCGAGGATTTCCAGCGCCAGACTCTGACGGTCCTCGTCCTTGACGGTCGTCTCCACGACTTTACGCGGGAAGCCAGCCTTGCGCACGAGCTTGTCGACGAGCCATCCGCGGACAAGGGCCGACTTGCCGCCCTTGGCCACACTCGCACCTGTGATCATGTCGGCGGCACTCGAGCTCGGCCTGTAGCGAGGCGGGAGGTCATCCTCTGGCAAATGCAGCAGAAGCCACTCGATGGCCGCTTCCAGAGGACTGAGGATACTCAGACTGAGCACGAGCGGGTCCTTGTTCGTGTTACCGCCCGAGTGCAGGCGAGCGTTGGCCGCAGACAGGGCGGACAGGCAGGACGTAATGTGTGTAGGGCGGAAACCGAGGGTCGTGAGCTGTGCTTGGAGCGGTGCAATGTCCAGTGCTGGAGTAGCTGCACCGCTCGCGCCTGGCGTGCCAGCTGGAGTGGCTCCCGACGAGCCGGCACCCATCTCGCGTGTAGCGTCCACCACCGCCGAGGGAAACCTCTTCATCATCTGGCATGTCAGTTCACTCGTGCATACCTTCGCGCACTCACTTTCTTCACAGTCCCCTCGATCATCTCGCGCAAAGCAGGCGCCATGCGCACCTCGGGCGCCTCCTCCCAGTGCTTGCCTCCGCTGCTACCGTCGTGACCACCTTTACCAGCCGGCGTCGAGCGGCCCGACCCACGCGCACTGTCTCCGCCACCACCGCTTCCACCACCGCCATTCGCCACTGCCGCCTCCTTGTCCACACGCTTCTTCTGCCGCGCCTCCACCTCGTGCTTGGCCGCAAACGGGTCCGCGGCCCACTGCCAGTCCTGGTGGTCCGCAGCGGCCGCCTTCTCGGCGAGCAACGTGGTCCAGTACGGCCTGATGGTGGGCGGGAGGGTGAGCGCCATGGGGAGGTGGTTGCAGAACTGCCGCATGTCAGATAGGTGGTCCATTATGTCAATACCCTTTCACGTACCCGGAACATGGCATAGGTGGCCAGCATGTGCTTTGCCATCATCTCGCCCTCGACCTCGAGCGGCGGGTGAGGCGTCATGCGCACCGTGTCGAGATCATACACATTCTTGCTCACGCGCTTGCGCATGACCACCGTGCCCGAGAATGTCTGCGGGTTGGACCTCGGGTTGGCTTTCTGTTGAAACACGCCATGTCAGCTGAACATTTGGGAAGATTGTGAAGCTGTTAAGCTGGGCTCACTGTCTCGATACTGGGCCGCTCCCAACCGGCCTTTTGACACTTTTCGTTCAGCTGCGTCACGGGGCTCTTGTACCCGACAGGAAAGAGGGGTGGGGGTCTGGGAGGAGCCTCTGGCGCGCCGTCTTTGCCATCTTTGCCGCCCTTGCCGTCCTTGGCATCCGGTTTGGTGGGTTTCGAAGAATTGCCAGCGTTGCCCGACCGCACGACGTTGACGGGCCTGCGTTTCGGCGCCATGGTAAGTGCCAGGTATAAAGGGCCGAGTTGTGGTTGTAAACACAAGACCTGCAAAGGTCTGTTTGTGAGAGAGAGGGCAATAGAGGTTGACTTTGAGGTGGTGTGGTTACGTCTTCCTCCACCTCGTGCAACGCCTCCACTTTTAAAATGCCACCGCGACTGATATTTCGCAGATATGAACACCCATCTGGCCCCGCTCATCTCCCAGTTCTCGGCTGACCGGCAACGTCGGGGACAACAGTACGTCAGTGCGATGGGACCTGCAGGGTCTGCTGCAGAAGGTTGGGATATGGAACAGGTAACATCATTGTTCTGCTGCCTCTGCAGTTGTACATTCGGCCTACACGTACAACGGCTCCCAAAGTGACTGACTCTCTGAGAAACACGACTCTTTTTAAACAGGAAGAACCGAACTACTAATCACGCGCATGTATAGAGGTGCCCCCATAGGTTTTCGACTCACTGGGCGTGGTCGCCCGCGAGTCATTGGTGCTGCCCGTTCAGCTGCTGGATGACTTGGCCAAGCGTGCCGGGCTCGAGGGGAGGGAGGCCGAGGGCGGCCATGTCGCCCTCGCCGTGGAGCGCAGGGTCGATTGGCAACGACGTGTGGTCGTGGCCGCTGAGGCTCTGCTCGAGTGCACGGAGGTCGTGGCCGTGTTGCAGGTCGTGGTGCGCCATCGAGGCGTCGTGTGCCAACGAACCGTCGTGTGCCAACGAACCGTCGTGCGCCAACGAAGCGTCGTGCGCGTGCTGGAGGTCGTGCGCGTGCTGCACCTCGTGGGGCTGGAGGTGAGCGGCGGCGGCGGCAGTGGCAATGGCGTGGACGTGCTCGTCGTCTAGGCGGACCTGCTTCTTGTCGTTCTCGTCAAGGGCCTCGGACTTGCGCTTGCGACCGGGCTTCTTGGGAGGCTCGGTGAGAGTCGAGGGTCCCGCCTCGCCAGTCAGGTGGGCGAGGTCCTCGGCAGTGGGGAGGCCCAAGCCAGCAGCCTGAGCCTCGCGGGCAGCACGTTCGCGCATCTCCTTTGTGCGCTTGCCAGGGCCGCGTCGACGGACCTGCTCATCATAAGAACAGACAAGGGAACGCTTGGCACAGTGGCTGCAGGTGGGGCGGCCGCCGTCGCACTTGAGCTTGCGGCCACGGCAGAAGTGGCAAGCGAGAACGAGCTTTTTGGGCTTTTCGCCCAAGGATTGGGCCGTGAGGTCGCCGTTGGGAGGTTGGGCGTGAACGAGCGTGGGATCGTCACCGCCGTTGACAGGAGGCGCCGCAACGCCCATGTTGAGACCACCGTTGCTACCCTCGGCTGCGGCACTTGCCTCGGCCCAGTTACTCAACGTGGTGGCGACGCCACTGTAGTCTTCGCCCGTGGGGACATAGTGCTCGGCGTTGAGGCCAGGCATGACGCCATTCATGTTGGTGTAGTCTGCCGGGTTGGACATGTATGCGACTGGTCGGGATGGCACAGGGTAATACGAATAGTGGACTTGGGCTGGGTTCCAAGGAGCCTGAGCCTGAGTCGCGGCGGCGTGGGCGGCAGCCTGGTCTGGGGAAGTCTCCACCGGTGGTGGTGGTGGTGTGGTTTGAGTCTCGGGTGCGGCAATAGGCTGCTCAACTTGCCCCGTTGGCTGGGGGGCGTCCGGCGACGCCGTGCTGACGTTCTGGGGGGCCTCGGTCGCTATTGTAAAGGGCACCGGTTGGCAAGCCGGGCTAGATGAAGCCGATAGGACTCCCGTCGAGGAAGAGGGGGTTTGGGTCAAGGGGAAAAGCGAGCCCGAGTCGAACGCGACGTGACCAAACGAGGTGGTGGGCTCGGTGGGCGTTATGGGAAGGACCGTTGTGGTAGGGCTCAAGCAAGGATAGCTGTACGCGTCGCTAGAGGTGGACGGTTGTTGTTGCTGGCAGTCTGCTAGAGCAGCAGGAGGCGACCAATCGTGGACCAAGGGAGGTACAGGAGTTGAACACTCTAGCGCGTCTTGTGGACGGACCAAATAGGCAGGGACGGTGGGTTGTTGTGCCGGCGCGGCGGTGGCGTAGACCGCTGTTGCTGGGTTGAGGGACGCAGCGGCTAATGCAGGAGAGGGCGGAATGCGATGCAGACGCTTCGACTGATGCTGAAAGACGCAAGCTGGAGGAGGCTGTGGTCGCGATTGGAGATGCAGTGGCGGCGGCGGCGCGTGCCAAGTGGTGACTGAATTCGGGTCAGTGTTGTGTCTCTCTGGATGCGCGAACAAAAGGCGGCAGGGGCGCGCTCGAGAGACAAAAGCGGGGGTAGGGGGGAGGCAAGGCCGGTTGTTGTGTGAGAGGGGGCGCGGTTTGGATGATCACAGAAGGGGATAGGGCCTTTTGACTTACCAGGCTGTTCTGGGGGTGGTGCTGTGGGGTGGTAGGTGACCGATGGCTGTCTGGTTACGGTCGTAGGTACACGAGGTGAGATGGATGGGAGGAGCGGGAGGAAACGCTGGTGGAGGTTATGCGCCTGGGAACTGCAGCCGCTTGGGTCTGTAGGGTGTGGGAAAGGTGGGTTGTAGTGAGAGTGGCCAACGTTGTGTTGGTGAGAGCGGCAGGTGGGTGACTGGAGGGGGACAAGAGAGGGACTGTGCTGTGCAAGATGCAAGGGATAGGATGGATGCTTTGTGAGGAGGAGCTGCTGCTGCTGTGGATGGTCGCTCCAGCTGCTGCTGTGGTAGCGGTGGTGGTCGGTGACGGCGGCGGCGGGTGTAGCTTGCTTGCTTTGGCGGAGAGGATGATGCGCAAGAGGGAAGGCGGGGGCAGAAGACATCGGAGAGACAGCGGGTCCTATTTGATATCGCCAGGCTGGGCGGCTGGCGGTGGTCGGTGGGCGCTGGCTGGCTGGCTGGCTGGCTGGGCCGGCTCTCTCTCGTGGGTGCGTGTGTGTGCCCGCAACGGGGGAGCGTGTGTTGCCCCAACGGAATCAACCGGCGTTATAAACCGGCGTTTATTTTGACCACGTGGGAGTGGCACTCGCGTATATGGCTCTGTAGGGTGGCACTCGGGGATCTCGGGAGTGCACGGTCTCTTGGCACTCGAGTACGGGGAAAGCAGGCGCAGGGCGCGGGGGATCGACGGGTCGCGCGGTGGGGTGGTGGTCTCGCGGTGGTGGTGTTCGCGGTGGTTGATGGTTTGGACAACAAGTAAAAGCAACAGCTCAGCTCATCGACTCGTGCTGGACTAAAGTATGGTCCTGTCAATGCAGACAATGGGTGGCAAACAAAGGTTCACAGGCAGACAGTCGATTTCCAAGAGACACAGAGCGCGGCAAGTGGAAGTACGGTTGTCGAGGCGCGTGCGGCAAGGTGTGGCAAGTGGCCGGCGAGATCAGGCGGTTTATGCCGGAGGAGCACAAAACAGATGGCGAGGTTCGTCCGTTGAATGGGCAGGTTCGGTTATGCCGGCGGCCGGCGATAGTTCGAGTTTCCAGGATGTTCGAACAGACGCTAGCAAGTGTGTGAGTTGACATACGGTACAGCGGAGGTGGTCATGGGTGCGAGGAAGCGCAGGTGGTGGCTCAGTGTTGGGCCACCCACAAGTGCGGAGCAAATGGCACAGTCCTCCTCATGTTGCTGCGGCGTTGGTGGCGACCCGTATATGGGTCTGTGCGCCGTCTTCCCTTCACGGTTCTAGTATGGCCGTGCAAGCGGGCAAGGGTCCGCTTCTCCCACAGACGAGAGAGATATAGCGAAAAGCCAAACAGACAGCCGCCTCGAAGAAACACTCACCTTGTGGTTGCTGGGAGTCAGATCGCCGTGGTCGTGTGTGTGGGGAGCTCTTTGTGGGACAGTTGGTGGGGAGTTGGAGTAGAGAATATCGTTCTTCGACAACAGTATAGTTATGTAACTGGTACAAGATATGGTCATAGTCAGACTCTTCGTTGGTCGCCAGTAAGTACTGCTTGGCAATCACACGATGGTCATTCTATCTCTCCGTACTCCCGACCTCTCCTGGAACTGTCTGGCCCCCCGCACAGGTGCGACATGACCTTCTGGCCATGAGTGAACCCCAGGATACTTCTCCCCTTCCCCGGTACCCCAAGAGGTGCCCGCTCAAAGGTTGCCGCTTCAGATAATCCAGCGAGATAGGGAACATTCCGCCACCCCGCCGAACTCGTTTTTTTTCGGATTGGTAGCTACTTGCCCGCTGCCCTTTAGGCGGACAACAGACTGCAACAGAGATACAATGGTCCGAATGGGTTCTAGTTAACAAGCCGATGCTGGCGTGTTTTGCCTGAACGAGTACTGCTGGAATGGACTTCTCTTATCCCATGTTCCAAGAGCACAAACGCCGACGCGGCGGAGCCAGCCGCTTTGGGGGACATCCCCCTCCCCCCCGAGGTATAACGCCAGTAGTATGTACCTGCACTCTGGTCGGTGTGCCAGTGCCAGCTGGACACACCTGAATCCATTGCTTTCTCCTTCTGAATCACGTTGCTGCATCTCACACACTCTTGTCAACGCTGAGTGGACGCTGACAAGTGGCGTTTTTTGGGCTGAGCCGCGCCGTGAAAAGGGTCGTCCAGTGGCGTACGACGTGTCCGCGGGGAAAAATGAATGTGACGTGTGCAATGCCAAAGCGGCGAGTCTACCTTGCCTGTAGAGATAGAGTACAAAGAACAGGTACAATTCCTAGGTCTGAGGCGCGCTGTTGTCTGATGTGCGGGGTGGGTGATCCTCATTCGTCACTTGGCCAGCAAACGACCGGCCACCTCGCTGGTTCAGACTGGCGGTGACTGCCCCAACCTTCGAATCATTGAGACCTCGTGGTCTGTCGTTCAACTCTCTCTTTACTGTGACGATCCATACTACGGAATTGGAGGTACCAGCGTACCACCCTTTCAAACAATCCGGGCAAGTCATTGCTGTCAGGCTATGGCCTTTTGGTCTTGACGTAAGCCGGTGATCTGGTGATCAGCGGGCACCCTGACTGCTGCCGGAACATGGTTCCCAGGAATGTTCTCCGCCCTAAAACAATGAGACTCAACCGCCCGCCCGCAGGTGTTTCTCTCCGATTAGGGCCTCGAGGGACGGCTGGACACCTGGGAGGTCGTAGTGGGAATTGAGAATGGCGTACCAGACAAGATGTCCCGGTGCCACACGCCTCATATTTCTTTTGTTTGTCAACTGAGTCAGCCGGTTGACGTCCCTATTCAAGGTCCAGGGCCCCACAAGCGAATATCCATGGCTGACGAGAACGCGCCAGTTCGTCATGCACCCAGACATCAACGAGACACACGGCCAGTACACAATGCCGCCAGCCACCATTCAGCGTGGATGTCCACTTGGGTGACCAAATTCAAAGGTCGCCTGGCGCTTGCCTCCAAGGCTGCTCACTGGTTCAGTGCTTCACCTGCACCTGCGAATCCCAGTGTGTGGCGACGGAGACGGGATTTCGTAACTGCGATACCCAAGACGTTGATTCTTGGCGTCAGCGGACGGACGAACTGGCAGCGCCCAATGACCTCGCAGCGCCAAGCTCATCCTTCAACAGTGTCGGCCACTGCCGACGCGTAAAACCACGACAATGGGCTCGACGCCGTTTTCCGAAACATGCTATGTACCGTCAGCAAATGGCCTGCAGAGTTGATCCACGACGCAAGCAACGTTGTATATACAAGAGTCTGGGTTCTAGCTCTCGTCCCCCTTCCTCAGCGTTAAATAGACGGTCTTACCTAAAAGAACCAGTCGACCGGCGGCCGCCTTTCCGACCTTCCCCCGGGTTGAAGGACGGTTATGATAGTCTGCAAGCTCTCCCACTCCCGCTCGCCAAGGTCAAATACGCTGGGACCAACTGAATTCAGAAAGTACTGCCGCGCTGTTTCCGAGGCGTTGGATGCAGTGCACGGACTTGGCGGCGGGGTCCTTCGAACGAAGCGTGTCTCCTGTGTGTCTCCTGATATGAGGCTGGAGGAAGGCTGACAAGCCCACCTGTTGTGACGTAAATTCAGAGGCGTGCATGGCATTTCACCCGCACCGAACCCGCCTAGAATCGCTGGCTTATACATCCTACTGCCAAGGGGGGAAAAGCAGTATAGGTGGGATGCCGTGAGAGACGTAATGGGCCGCAAAGTCTGATTAAATGCGTATTTTATTGAAAATATCGGCAAGGCGTTCAGTATCCACCAAACCCACCACAGCCATGCGACATGGCCAGTCTACGACTGCACGCCACAAGTGACCCAGCAAAACCCCCCTCCTGTTACCGACATGTATGCTTAGATGGAATGTAATGCGACTTGCTTTTACGATAAATACAGAAGCGGCTGAGCGTCGATCCTCGACTGCACCAAACCCCGAGAAACACATAGAGAACGACGAAATGGATGAAATGATTTCGTCTAGTGTGTTTCTCCAAAATCTCAACCTGTTTCATGACCTGGAGCACGCCACAGAGCAGTCCTGGGGATGGAACAAGCGTTCCAGGGGGGCACCCGAGTGTGGCCTTGTGCCCGAGTACACTGGTGTGTAAGCGCGCGGACTGTGGCGGCGGTCGCCGCGGATTATTTGTTTGCACTATAGTCGCGGCGTAAGGAGTTTGGGGTTGACGGTCCGGCAAGGGGTACTGGAACCTTGCCCGATCCATGTGGTGACGCTCTCCTAAGCCATCCCCAGTCCTGGGCCACTGCCCAGTGAAGCTACGCCGTTATGGCTGGCTTGCGGCCATGATGATCGCAAATGTCTGTCATTTTCGCCTGGATGACTTCTGGGGGGTGTCGACGGGAGGGAAGCGTGTTACTACCACGGTCGCACATGACAGGCGACCAGAAAGCGTCATTGCCTTGCCCTGGCCCTTACTGCACCCACTTTGTCCTCGTACGCAGACCCCAAACACACTGGGCTGACGCATGCGAAACCACTGCACACCTGCTCGCACCGTCATCGAGTCAACCCACCCCTCTCACCCTGACCTTTCCTCGCCTTGCTGCCAACCAGCTTTCTTGGATGAACCGCGCAACTGGAAGGCTTCAAAGCCAGATCAATGCTTTCCAACAAGTGCACGATGCATGTCCATGATCCATGAGAGCCCGCGCTGGCTGCTAGGCTGCTGCTTGGCTGCTGCTGGAGATGCTCGTTTCAAATGTCCATTTCAAAGTGGCCTCCACACCCATTAGACCTCGCCTTATTAATCCACCTTTCTCCGAAACGCCGGATTTGGTCCCGTTTACCCATGGATTGCCACCAGGCCACCAGAGCCTTCTGCAGTCGCCGTCGGCGACGAAGGTTGAGAGCGGGGCCGGGCAGACGCGCAGGTGTTCCATTTGCTGTTTCTATTGCAACCCTCTCCACTACTCATATCCCAAACACAACTTTCCTACAACCACAGAGGACCTCGGCCACAAGGAGCAACCCCCTTCCAACGAGCTCCTTATCTACGGCCATGTACCGCCTCCCCCTCCGCTCGGTGCGCCATCTCGCGGCGGGTGCGCCCGCGGCTCGGCTCCGTGGCTCTGGCCTGTCCAACCCGGCCTTTGCGGCGATGCGCGGGTACGCTACACCGAACAAGGGCCCACGACCTTCGCAGAACACTCCCGCCCCGGCCGGTCTCGAGGGCGTGTTTGGTGGCCGCCGTTCGGCGGGCAAGGTCCAGCCCAAGTCTGAGTCGTCGAGCAGTGCCGAGGGCAGCAGCAGCTCGGCGGCCGAGAAGAAGACGGACGAGGAGGACGACGGTCCTAGCTTCAAGGACCGCCAGTTCCGCCTCAGCGACGAGATGAGCAAGCAGCCCGCGGGCAACAAGAAGCCCGCTGCGACGGGCAGCGGTGGCGGCGGTGGTGGTGGCGGCAAGGGTGGAGGTGGTCCCCAGCTTCCCAACGGCTGGACCACCAACCAGCTCGTGCTCGTGATCTTGGGGTAAGCTCATTTTCTACCCTTAGAGTAACAGTATAGCTGACCAGCCAGAGCGTACACTCTATACACTGTTGTGGTGCCCGGCGAGAGCAGGGCTCGTGAAATTACCTGGCAGGAATTGTGCGTTACTGTGTCTTCGTTGGTGCTAACGCTTCAGCCGCAACTCGCTCCTTGCGCGTGGTCTCGTGTCCCAGCTCGAGGTCGTGAACCGTACCCGCGTGCGCGTCTACCTCCACAACCCTGTCCCTTCCAGCGGCATCTCGTCGACAAGCTCGACTGGCGGCCAGGCCATGTCTGGTCCTGCCCACGGCCCTGCTCCTTACACCTTCACCATCGGTTCCGTCGACGCCTTCGAGACCCTCCTGCGCGAGACCCAGGACGAGCTCGGTATCCCTGCCGCGGAGCGCATCCCCGTCTCGTACCACGAGGAGACGTCGGCTGTCCAGATGCTCATGCACTTTGCGCCGACCGTGCTCTTTGCCGGTCTGCTCTTCTGGATGTCTAGGCGAGCAGGCTCGGGCATGGGCGGCGGTGGTGGCGGCATCTTTGGTGTTGGCAAGTCCAAGGCCAAGATGTTCAACGAGGAGACCGACATTGCCGTTCGTTTCCGCGACGTGGCCGGTATGGACGAGGCCAAGGAGGAGATTATGGAGTTTGTCAAGTTCCTCAAGGAGCCCCAGAAGTACGAGAAGCTCGGTGCCAAGATTCCCCGTGGTGCCATCCTTTCGGGCCCTCCCGGTACCGGTAAGACTCTGCTTGCCAAGGCCACTGCCGGTGAGGCCAAGGTGCCCTTCCTTTCGGTGTCGGGTTCCGAGTTCGTCGAGATGTTTGTCGGTGTCGGTGCCTCGCGTGTGCGCGACCTGTTCGCGACAGCAAGGAAGAATGCCCCCTGCATCATCTTCATCGACGAGATTGACGCGGTCGGAAAGGCCCGTGGCAAGGGCGGACAGTTTGGCGGCAACGACGAGCGTGAGACGACCCTTAACCAGATCCTGGTCGAGATGGACGGCTTCTCTACCAAGGAGCACATTGTCGTTCTCGCCGGTACCAACCGTCCCGACGTTCTCGACGCTGCCCTCATGCGTCCCGGCCGTTTCGACCGTCACATCGCCATTGATCGTCCCGACATTTCGGGCCGTCGCCAGATCTTCCTGGTTCACCTCGGCCCCCTGACTCTGTCCAAGGACCTCAACCCGGACAGCATTGCCGAGAAGCTCGCCCTCCTGACCCCTGGATTCTCGGGTGCCGACATTGCCAACGTGTGTAACGAGGCTGCCCTCCGCACTGCCCGTCGTGGCGGTGAGGCTGTGACCGAGGCCGACTTTGACGGAGCCATTGAGCGTGTCATTGCCGGTCTCGAGCGCAAGAGCCGTGTGCTCGGCCCCCACGAGAAGAAGACCGTCGCCTACCACGAGGCCGGCCACGCCGTCTGCGGCTGGTACCTCGAGCACGCCGACCCTCTCCTCAAGGTGTCGATTATTCCCCGTGGTGTCGGCGCTCTTGGCTACGCCCAGTACCTGCCCAAGGAGCGCTTCCTGTTCTCGACCCAGCAGCTGCTTGACCGCATGTGCATGACCCTCGGCGGCCGTGTCGCTGAGGAGATCTTCTTCGGCCAGATCACCACTGGTGCCCAGGACGACTTGCAAAAGATCACCAAGATGGCGTTTGAGGTGTGTGCCAACTACGGCATGGACCCCCAGATTGGCCCAATCTCGTACGGCGGCCGTGAGAACCAGGAGCAAGGCTTCCAGAAGCCCTTCTCAGAGGCCACTGCCGAGGCCCTCGACAAGGCCGTCCACAAGATGATCAACGACGCCCACAAGCGCACCACCGAGCTCCTGTCCAAGCACAAGGAGGACGTCGAGAAGGTCGCCCAGCTCCTGCTCCAGAAGGAGGTCATCACTCGCGAGGACATGCGCAACCTCCTCGGCAAGCGCCCCTTCGAGGCCATTGACGAGATGGACACGTACATTGACAAGAAGCTGGACGAGCACCAGAAGAATGTCGAAAAGGCCAAGGAGGAGATCAAGCTCAAGGACGAGAAGGAGGAGTGAGTCTCGGCTGGCGGAACATTGGGCAATTATCAGCTGACAAACCGTGTTAGGACCTCTACTCCCCCCAGCGGCGAGCCCCAACTGGCGTCGAAGAAGGCGGATCTGTAGAGTCTCAGTCGAGTTGGCCGGGGAGTTGCGGCGTTCGGAGAGCGAGCTTTAGTAGCAGAAGCGCGCATTGGCATATCATCACTGCATCGCACCAAATAGGAGAATGTCACACCGTTCTTGAAGTACATACAGCACGGTGACCGTCGTGGGGCGGAATAACAGGACGGGAGGTGGAGATGCGCCCGGCAATCAAATCCAGATACCGGATCGGTGTTGTGACTTTGCGGAACTGATTACGAAGCAATTCACCGTGCGCGCGGTAGCAGTGCGACCAAGCCTCCAGCCTCCAGCAGTTCGTTCATAAGGCGCCCGGCGCCACCCACGCACCACGCGCATCCCAAGCCCACCCTCTACACAGTACAGTCTACACCATGTCCAACGCTGTATGGCAGTATACCGCGCCCGGCCGCCTCTCGACCACTCTCACCGCGTCCACCCGCCCAATCCCCACTCCCGGGCCGGGCGAGGTGGTCGTCGGGGTCAAGGCCGCGGCACTCAACCCGGTCGACGAGCAGCTGTGAGCTGAACTGGGAAAGGAGCAGCTCAGGAGCGTACTGCAAGCTGACAACGCAGGGCACAGAGTAGTCCCCGCCTCCTCAAGTTTATCGGCGCGACCGAGCCTAGCGAGACGAGCCCTCTGACCCCGTCGTCTGACTTTGCTGGCGTCATCACCGCCGTCGGCGATGGCGTCACGCAGTTTACGGTCGGCGACGAGGTATATGGCCAGCGCTTCTCTGCAGACGGCAATGGTTTCCTAGCCGAGTATGTGTGCATCCCGGCGTCGGCGCCCTTTATCCACAAGCCGGCCGGGCTGGACTGGGCGCAGGCGGCGGCTGTGCCGCTCGTCTATTCGACCGTCTACGACGCGCTGGTCGTCTGGGGCCGGCTGCCGTTCGACCCGACCGACGAGGACAAGGCCAAGCAGCGCACCGTGCTGGTCCTGGGCGGTAGCAGCGGCACGGGCTCGGCGGCCATCCAGCTCGCGCGCAAGATGGGCCTGCGCGTCGCTGCCACTTGTTCTGCCGCCAACGCCGAGCTCGTCAAGAGCCTCGGCGCCGAGGAGGTGAGTCCCCCGTTGGGTCAAGTTAAAGTAGCCCAGGCTGAGACTCGCAGGTCATCGACTACACGACCGAGGACGTGACTGCGCGGGCGCTCGCCTCGCCTCTGGCCCCGTTTGCCGAGATCCTCGACTGCGTGGGCGGCACCGACCTCGTCCCGCACCTCGACGCGCTCATCCTCGCCGACGCCGCCGCGCCCCAGCTGGGCGTGTACGTCACCATCGTGGGCGACAAGACGTCGCGCGACGCCATGGGTGGCGCCGTCACAAACTTGTACTATCCGGCCCAGGCGATCCGCACACTCAAGGGCGTCGTGGGCGAGTACCTGCCCAACTGGATTCCCGGCCCGCTCCGCTCGCTCGTCGCTGGCAAGCGGTACGCGTGTATCAGGCTCGTGCCGACAAAGGACAAGCTGGCGACGTATGAGAGCTTCATGGCTGCTGGGGGCAAGATTACGCTCGACTCGACGCACGAGTTTGCGCAGGCCAAAGCGGCGTACGAGCGGCTCGAGAGTGGGCGCGCGCGCGGCAAGGTGGTTGTACAGGTCGCAAAGTGACGCGACGCGCGAGAAGTCAGGAGTTGAAGGGAGTGGATACATGCAAATATGGTTGTTGTGAGGGATGTGTAATATACGTGTTGTGGATAGAGAGTGGGGGTCTAGGCGTCGTTGTCGGCACGGCGTGCGCGGGGAGCCTCGAGACTGGCGTCAGCTAGGAGATGAAGACATAACTCACGCCTGAGCGACGGCAGAGCCAGCAGGAGCAGAAGGAGCAGCAGGGGCCGCGACAGCAGTCTTTGATGCCTCGGCCTTGGCCTTGGCCTCTTCAGCCGCCTCTTCTCCGGGGGGAGGCATGCGACCGGTGACCTGCTGCAGGGGCTCGTCCCAGATGTACATGCCCGAGAAGGCGCCTGCAGATGTCAGCTTACTGTGACCGAAGGGCGTTAGCTCACCGACGCCGATGCCGAACAAGATGGGCATGTATCGGCTAGCAAACGACATTTTGGCGTGAGGTGTAAAGGTGTGAGTGACAAGAAGGTGTAGTGGGAGAAGGAAGCTGGAATGCGAGGAAGGCGGTCTCTCGATCTCTCGTCTGAGCACCACTCGGAGGCGACTTTTGCCGGAGGCAATATCCGTTCGTCCGCCAGAGTGGAGGTGCTTCAGTCCAGTCAATCCCACACAAACAAATCCGTCTTCGCTTCCTCTTTGCCTTCTCGCCCATTCCTTTCCAACAATGGCGGGCACACATCCAAACGGCGCGGACGCTCCAGTGGGTTGTAATGGGTGCCGCAATGCTAACCCACGCAGATCCTCGTGGCGGAGACACACGACGTGCGTCTCTTTGCGCGTCTCCTCCGCGGCATTGGTCTCAAACACGTTAGCTCGCCCGAGCCTTTGCGTCAGCTGACAGACACAGAACGCGGTGATGACAGTCTCCAAGGCGGGCTTTGAAGTCACCGTCGACGAGGTCAAGTCGCTGTGCGCGACGGCGTGGATCCCGACCAACATCTTCACGACGTTTAGCTATCCCGACGACGCCGATGCCGAGTGCTTTGAAATCTCCCTCGACGCCCTGCTGCAGTGTCTCAACATCTTTGGCAACGCCGGCGCTGGCGCTGCACCAGGCGGCGGGGCTGGGCGGGGGCGTAAGCGGTGGGCCGGCGACGCCGAGGACGGCGCGGACAAGGACGCCGCGGCCGACGAGGACTGGCGCGTCCGCGGCAGGGATAAGCGGACAGGCATGCGGCTGACGTGGGGTGGACCGGGCTTTCCACTGTCTATTCTCTTGTGGGTCGCTATCTCCTGTGAGGGACCTAACCCACGCCCCCAGGCGAGACGACGCAAAGGGCCCAGTGACAAACTGCGAGCTGTACACCCTCGAGCCAGAGGACCTGCTCAACCAGGCGTTCGACGACGACAACCGCGCCGTATACCTCATCATGAAGGCAGGTGGCTCCATGTCGTGACCTGCCGCTGACAACCGCACAGTCCGAGTGGTTCCGCGACGCGCTCATCGACCTCCCACCATCGTGCACGCGCGTCACGCTGCGTGCGATGCCCGCCGACCCAGAGGGCGGACGCCGGCGCGACGGTAGCTTCTCGATCCACGCCGAAGGCGACTTTGGCACTGTCCAGGTATGTTTTTTTGTTGTGGGTTCTCGGCTCAAGTTGTTCACACCCACTCTCCAGTTTGACTACCCCAACGCCCGCGAGGTGATGGACGCGTTTGAGTGTGCCGAGGAGGTAACGTTCAGGTAAGCTGGTCCCTTTCCCTTTCCGCGCTGGATAGCTGATAGCTGACCTCGCAGCTACGCCGCTGCCCACGTCTCGCTGCTCGGCCGCGCGCTCCAGCACTCGGTCAAGATTTGCCTCCAGATCGAGTCTGAAGGCTTTCTGTCCGTGCAGGTCATGATGCCCATTCCGGAGAGCATGGCGCCCGACATGCACAATGGTATCTTGGATTTCAAGATGTACGCGCTCGAGGATGAGGAGTAAGGGAGGTATGGGAGGAACGGCATCGTTAGGGGGCATAGGGGGGTGTATAAAAGCCATGTATCATTCGTCATGTGTTCTCCCAACTCAATCTGCATCACACAAATGTACACTGCACTCTGCCCGGCTCAAACGACATGAATGCATGGGTCTCGAACAGTTACACAACCGACATCTAAACACGAGACGCTAGCAGCCACATGCAAGTAATGTGTGCGGGAGAGCGAGACGGAAACGGGAACAGGCGGAGGCGGCATAGACAGACAGGCAGACCCATACACAGGTTGACACAAACACACAAAACAGCTGGAAATTGGAGGATGTGGACGGGGGGCAAAATCGTTGGGCGAGTGTATGAGATGAGAGCTGCCTGTGGCCGGGGGAGCGTTTGCGTGTTGCTTGTCGCTCCTCGTTTTGCTGCCCTTAGTAGCCGTGGATGACAATCTGGTCCTTTGCCTCCTTGGCCGCGACGATGCCCGAGGCGAGGAGGAAGTCCTTGACGGCGGTACGCTGGTCGCCCTGGAACTGGAGCACCTTGCCGTGCTCGTCCTTCTTGGCCGGGGCGGGCGAGTCCTCGTCGTCCGACTCGGCAGAGTGGACGACGTGGCCGTTGCACGCAAACTCCTTCTTCATGGCCTTGAGGAGCTTGCGGGGGTCGTACTTGTCAGGGATACCCTGGACGGTGGTGATGGTCTTGCGGCCATTGCGCTGCTGAAGACCTGGCGAGAGTCAGCAAACGACGATAATTCGTGCAAAAGAGGTGAGAAAGAAGGGGAAGCGGTGGGACGGAGCGGGTGGTGGGCAAGGATGCGCCCTCATCGTATGTTGACCGCCATTGCCACCTCTAGCAGACCCTATACGCGCACGCGCGAACGGTCTACCAGAACCGTAAACTCGGTGGAGGGTTCTTCTCGGTTCCTCGCCACCGACACCGATACGTTCTATTCCAAAACACATCTTCTTCGCCACTTTGAAAATGTCCCGCCAAAACGACATGTATACTCACGGACGTGGATCTTGTCGGCCTTGCCAACGCTCTTGGTGATGGTAGCGGCGGGGCTGGCCTCCTCGAAGGGGTCAGCGGTGGCGAACGGGTCGTAGGCGGGACCGAGGTTGAGGTTGGTCGCCCCGGACGACGCCGGGGCCTTGCTCTTGGTCTTTCCGGCGTCCACTTTGGTAGCTGGCGGGAGGAGAAGTGGGGGCGGGAGTGAGGACACAGATGGGCGAGATGGACAAAAGGGGACGAGGGGGGTCGCGGGTGAGGTCAGGCCAGAGGGAGCGGCAGCGGGGTGGACAGCGGGCGGTGTGTGTGCAAGGGGAGGGACGGTGGCGATGTGTAATGTATCGAGTCGAAGCGATGCAACAGTGTCGAGGAGAGGGCAAGAGTGTGATGGGACATTGGTCAGCTATAATGTACGTGCAAGGGGGCCAGCGAGCGATACCACACCGCACCCGGCCGGCAAGTACTGCAAGTGCTGCAAGCACTGCAGCGCGTCACGCGATCCCATCGTTAAATGAGAAGCAACGCGAGTGGGGTGGGTCCGGTGCGGTGGGAGCTCGAGGGTTTAAAACGCACTTGAGGTGCTCATTCAAAAGGATGTAGTGTGGTGCGGCTGCTTTGTCGGCGGCGAGCGGGCTGTTGTTGGAGAAGGGGAGGGAGGAGGGGAAGGGGTGGGGATCGAGGTGTTCGAGGAGGGTTGTATGGGGGCAGGCGACTGCTGAATACACACACCATCCTTCAACAACCGCTGGCACAGAGACGCTGGGACCGACGGAGATAGCGGAGATTTGGCGAGTGGCGCCAGGGGGTGGGCGCGGGGGGGGATGGGCCGCCGCCTGCGCAGTACGATAAGTGCTGTTGCGACAACTTGGGCCTCGTGCGTCCCACCCCTTCATGCATGTGCGCATGCGTGGCTGTATGCAGGCGCCAAGAACGCCAAATCTGCACCGGTAGCTGTCTGCAATGGGTCATCTCCTCTTGTTGACGTTCACAATTGACGAAAGCGGTAAAAGCTCTTGAATACGTCCACCTGCCACAGGGGTTGCTTGCCTAGTTTGCCACACCGGCCACACCGCTCAGCAGATCAGCAGACCTCCTGTATCGCGTCGACCAGCTCACGCACTGCAACACACGGTCCCGTCACCACATCCATAGTTCGCAACACATGCGCGCGAGTCTCGTGAGACGTGCCCGCTTTACGGCGGGAGAAAGGGGGGGAAACGAGATAGAAAGGAAAGTTCTATGAAGGTGGTCGTCTGTACAACAAAGAGTGTGAGCGTGCAAGAGGTCCATGGCCATGCGAGTGTGGTGAAAAGAGTCCGTCCCGAGGCCTCAGTCCCGGGAGATAAGGGTTTAGCGAGCGTGATGGGGGCCGCCGCGCGTATATAAATGAACTTTTGGATGTTTTTGGCCTGTTTTCGTTTTTTTCGGGTTTCGGTTTTCGTTTCTTCTATTCTGTGTTGGGTTCTTGTCGGCGGTGCTTTCGTTGCGTTTGCTTCTCTAGTAGTTGTCCATAAAGTCGCGGGTGACGCTGTTGAATTCGCCGAACGGGTTCTTTGCGTCGGTGAGCTCCTTTGGTGTCGAGATGCCCGGCGTACCGGGCGAGCCGGACAGACCGGCCTGCGCTCGGATGACGTCGCCGCTCTCAAAGTCGACACTCTTGCTGTCGCGGATGGTGCGGAAGTTGACCGTGTCGATCCCGTTGGACTCTTGTGGGATGATGGGCGGGGTCATGTGGCGTAGCAGGCCCCATGAAATGTTGGCAAACCACTTGTGCTGCTTGACTTCAGAGGCACCCGAGCTCGACCCCAGACGCTTGTGCTCATCCTTGATCAAGAGCTTGCGGATGCACGACTTGCCCACGCTCGACATGCTCCTCTGCTCGTCGAACGGCACCTCGTTCTTCAGGACGTTGGAGAACGTAGCGTTTCGGTTAGGTCCCTTGAAGGGAGTCGTTGCAAACTGGGGTGTTAGCAACTTGAAGAGAGAACCACCTGGTAACACTCACAATCATCTCGTAAATCAGAATTCCCAAAGTCCACCAGTCCACGGCCGACGTGTGGCCGCAGCCCTTGATGACCTCTGGAGCAATGTACTCTTCTGTTCCGACAAACGAATTTGTGCGGAAGTCGGCAATACAGCTGCGCGTGTCGACAAGGAACGCGCCGTTGGTGCTGTTCTGCTTGATGGTGACGGGGGCACCGCCAGGCTCGCCCGACTGTTTCGACAGGTCAAAGTCGGACAGCATAATGTGGCCACTCTGGTGGAGCAGGATGTTTTCTGGTTTCAAGTCGCGGTAGATGTAGCCGTTGAGGTGGAGGTACTCGAGCGCAGCGGTGACCTCGGCGGCGTAAAACTTGGCGTGCTCCTCGCTGAGACACTTGCCCGGGCGGGTCTGGAGGGCGCGGAAGAACTCGCCTCCCATGCAGTAGTCGAGCACGAAGAAGAGGTAGTCTTGCGACTGGAACGAGTGGAAGAGGGTGACAATGAACGGGTGGTTGGCCGTTGCCAAAATCTCCTGCTCGGCTAGCGCACGCTTGATCTTGTTGCGCTTGATCATCTCCTTTTTGGACAAGACCTTCATGGCAAAGAGCTTGTCCGACTTCTTCTCGCGGACAAGGTAGACTTTACCGACATCGCCCTTGCCGAGCAGCTTGATCTTTTCAAACGAGCTAGGCGACACCTCGACGTCGCGCGTCTTGATAGAGTTTGAGCTGTACGTCCTTCGGAACGCGGCCTTGTCGTGTAGACTGGCAGCAAGGGATGACGACGACGATACCTTGTTCCCCATCACACTTGTAGAGTGCGCACGTACACCACGGGTACCTGTGACCGACAGGTTGGACGTCGGTTTGAGTAATGACGGCGTGTTGGATCGAGCAGGTGTTGACGGCGTCGATAGTGGCGACGAGACGTTCTTGTTGAGGGCGGCGGGCATCTTGGCCACTGGTGGTTGAGGCGGCGACGCGCTCAGATCAACAGCCCCGGCGCCGTGCGACGGACGCGACGCCGACGACGAGTTTTTCGGTATGGGCGGAACCTCGGGGGCATGGTTGAAGAGGTTGTTGGTAAACAGCGCTTTTGCGTTGGGCGCAGACACAACACGGCGGATGAAACGCTGCCTGATCGAACTCTTGTGATCGCTGTTGCTGCTGCTGTTCTCGTCGCCTCGGGGAGTCTTCACCTTGGTCGAGGTGCGCGGAGACGTGTCTGGCGAGGTGTTTTCCTTGGAGGAGCTGTGGGACAGGGCAATGTTTGGCGGCGCCTTTCGTGACAGGCCCTTGTACTTGTCCGACTTTTTGGTAGGGGGACTTGTATCGGTTGAAACGTTCGTGCTGCTGCTGCTGCTACCTGGGGTGGAGAAGAAACGGCCCTTGAAGGCACCACTCTGGGAGGCAGAGACCTTGGTGGAGCCTGTGGTCGGGGCAGCACCACCGCTGGTGCTGGTGTGGAGCGACGTGGTCGAGCTGGTGACGATGGGGATGACTGCGGGGGAAGCCGTGCTGTTGTTGTTTGCACGCGACGACGACGACGACCGGTCCGTGGTGGAGATTGAGTACGAGTTGGAGTATGGCCGGTTGGGAGGCTGCGGCTCCTGGGAACTGGACGATGGCATTGTTGGTGACGACGAATTCCAAGGCTCGGCCGGGTACGCGCTGGGAGGGAAGGGTGAAGGAACAGTCACGACTTGGCCGCCATAACTCGAGGTCGAGAGGTCGTCGCGCATCTGCTCGTCGTCGTCGGTGGAAGGCGGGGCGGGAGACGAGGTTGCGATGCCGAGAGCGCCATGACCAGGCTGTTGCGAGGGCTCGGGGCCGCCCGCGGCGGCTGGGTGCTCGGAGCCAACGCTCAACAGCGCCGTCTCAAAGTCATTGTTGCCAACGGCAAATGAAGTGTTGTGGAGAGACAGCTCGGGGATGCTGGGAGCGGTGGGGGCATCGTCAGGATAGGCGTTGGCGGAGCCCTTGCCCTTGCCCGACTTGCCGCCTTTCTTGAACACTGTCCTCCAGCGCGAGTGGTGACTGTGGGCGCTGGATGGCGACATGGGCCGCAAGGGAGGCGAGGTAGCGGTGGGCATGATGGAGTTGGAAGAAGGGAGGTGAGGGGGAGCTGCAGATGCCAACGAGGACATGGGAGATTGTGGTTGGTAACACAACAGGTCGTGTGTTTAGGAGGGGGCGGAAGGGGGATGGCGTGCGACAACGATGCGTCGACGCTAACTAGCGGGTACGCTTAACAGCGGGGGTGTGTTGGCTGTTTTGGTAACAGGTGCTCAGCTGCACGGTTCAGCTTAGTGAGCCATGCCAGGTGGGCGAGTTGAAATGTGTTGTGGGCGAGGGGAGGGCCGGAAAGCGCGGGAAGCGAAGGGATGTTGGGTGTGTGTGTGTGTGTTGGGTGTGTTGGGGTGGAGGCGGTGTGGTGGTGCAGAGTCTGACTAAGTGGAGATGGGGGGATGGCCGGGATATGGTATGGGCACAGAGACGAGGAGCTGAGGTGGAGGGGGAGTGTGGGTTTGTGTGTAATGGGGTGGGTGGAATGGAGAGAGAGAGAGGAGATGAGTGAGCAAAGGGCCAGCGAGAGAGGGGTGTGGTGTGGTGTGGGTGGGTGTGACTGTGTACCGTGTGTGTGTGGTGTGTGCGAGGGGTGTGCGTGTGGTGGGTGGGTCGGACGGTGAAAGGGCCCGCTGGCTGGGCCGATTTGGCCGTGGGTGGTGTCTACTGACGCCTGAGAAGGAAAGGCCTGGACTGGGACATCTCTCTCTCTCACCGCTGGAGCCAAAATGCACCATCTGCGGCGGAGGCAGAGAGCGTCGACTGGCCCAAAAAGGCGGGGTCCGCGCCCAAAAGGTCAAAAGGGGTTTTACCACGCAATGACTGAAAGGGCCCTGGCGGGCGCGGGAGAGAGAGGGTTTGCTGGGCCTCACATCTCTCCGTCCTCCCTTTGTCTCTTGAGATCTCTTGTCGCTCCCAAATAGCTCATGTAAACGCCTCTATCATAACGCTTCGATAGCCTGCAAGCACCCTTTCAGTTGTGCTGTACTATACATATGGCAGGTAACTGCGGGGCTGGACACGTTGCCTGTCGATTCACCGCACCAAACCCCCCTTCCTCCCCTGCGTTGCTAGGTTTTGTCAGCCTTGACGTGCTTCTGCCAGGTTTTGTCGTTGCCGCCGTGCTTTTTCGTTCAGTTCCCCGCAGCAACAGGCGCGCACGTTTACACCATGCACCATGGTTGCCCTCCATTGCGGCCTCTTCCTCCGATCTTTGCAAAGGACTGGTCCCGGCCGTCGACTGCCCACCCCCTTGGGTCGCAGTTGTCTGCAGATCGACAGACAACACACAAACCAAAGGGGCTCTGTCGCTCTGGGTACATCTGGCTTTGATCCTTTTGGTGGCGATCGCTCGTGCACCGTGCGCCTACATGTCTGTCCCGTCCATCTCATCTCTCTGTTACCTCGCTGCATTTCGCTTCAGCCCAACACCCCCATACAGTGTCTCGCGTTCGCCACATCCTCTCATGTGCTTGCTCGACTCGGCGCCGCCCCTCTTTCGTTCCCGGGGGGTGTTGCCCGCGCGCCCGCGCCAGTACCCCGCGCCGGCTTGCGTTGCTCCGCGTTCCCGCAATGGCATCTCAGGCAGGTCTCAGGCAGGGACGATCCCATATCCCCCTTGTTTCCTGTTTCCCAGCTCTCGTTCCGCGGGCACTGGTCAATCGTGGGGTCGTCCGTCTCTTGCTGCCCAGAGCACCAACTGGGCTTGACTGCCTTGCACAACCACAACTGGGCACAACGTACAGAGAGCATGACCAGTATTACGGGCAGTGCAACAGGCGTCCAGTATAGTGGGTCCTCTACATCTGCCCGTGCAGTACCACCAACGCATCCCCACCCCCGTCCTATATCCTGATCTCCTGAACGTTCATGTGCTTTTTGCTCGACTACCCTTTGCTCCCAAGTGGGAAACCTAGGCACACGTCGGCCGGCGCGTCGCGTCAAGCCAAAGGCCATCAGGCATCAGGCAAGCGTCGCAAAAGGTCGGGATGCCGAATATGGACTCTCTCGGCTTCGTATGGACTGTCTAGACTGTCCCCCAAGGTCGAGATCCCGTCTAGCTGCCCACTCGCTCCGTACACACGACTGTCGCTCCGCTCGCCAACGAACGCATGCTGGCACATATGAGCGTATGCGAATCTAGCCCTGCAGCTGCTGGTGCCACCCCTTCATGACGCTCGTGTGCTCACTGTCTCCTCCTTCTGGGGCTACTTGGTGACAGTACAGTATACCGCGGCCCGCGGCATGTGCGTCATCTCTGCATCGTGCAGCAGCTCGTCTCTGATCTCTGGTCGTCTGATCGCCCACCGTCGCCTTGTTGTCACAAGTGTCACCCAAGGTTTCCCGTGTTCACATTACACGGATCTCAACCTGGCGACGAGTCCCGGCACTACGGTACATACTACCGTACGACGTCAACGATGCGTGCGGGTTTCCAGTCTCTCTCTCCCCGGCTCTCCCACCATGCACCGAAAGGACCCCAGCCATGTGCGATGGATACCGACTTGGATGCATCATCTGTCCATCACGTCACCCAGTCGTTCTTTTCGCTAACCTTGTCCACGACACACTGGCACGCTCTCTTCAATGTCGGCCAGTCATCAACAGCCACAAGCCCACTCTGAACAACAACAGCGGCGGCAGCAGCAAGAGCCGTGTCCTCTCCCACAGCACTCGACAGCGACAGCGACCGGTGTGTCTCCACCTCCTACCCGATCCGGAATACCGGTGGCGAGTGCGAGTGCTGGGCCACCAGATCTGAACCTGGCCGGCCTGAGGATATCAGACGCGGACGTGGACACGGACGCACCCACACCTCGTTTCTCAAGCGACACGTCTGCCAGTGTTCCATCTGTCAACAGTGACACACGGTTGGCCGCCAGGGCCGCCCCGCCCCAGTCTAACTGTACGAGCTCCAGTCCCAGCCAGCCCCAACCACCGCACGAAGAAGCCGTGGCGCTGGTCCGCCTCACGTCGGCAGACAGCGAGGGAAGGCTTCACCGCGGAGCGGCGCTGCGGTCGCCACCAGGCTCGATCCGGCGGCCATCAGGTGCCACCGGTGCCAGTACCGGTGCCGGTGCCGGCTCGATGGGCGCGCGGCGACAGGCTGCTCGTCCCCTGTCCCTCCTTGGCGCCCCGCTGGGAGACTACCAGAGCGACGACGTGCTCAATGCCCCGGCGCCAGTGAGCCCGCACAGCCCGCACACGCCGTCGCCGCTGTCCCCGCTCGACGGGAGGGGCAAGGGAAAGGGCAAGGGCGAGGGCGAGATGGACGTGGGCAGGGAGAGGAGGCCAACGGCCTCGTCGCCCATGGCCACCAGTACCACCTCGTCGACCGCGGCAGCGGCCGCTGTCGACCAAGCGACTGCCGTGTCCGTGTCCCCGAGCAGTACATCCGTGACGGCACCGCTACCGGTGCCAGCTAGCGCGCGCCCGCAGGCGTCCACGGCCCGCGTGCCGCGCGTACGGACGCCGACGGTGCCCCGCCCCGCGTTCGCGCCACACACCGCCGACTGGACGCGCGAGGCCTGGGCAGGACGTAAAGTCGCGCTGGTGACGGGCATCACGGGCCAGGATGGCAGCTACCTTGCAGACTGTGGGTGTTGCGTTGCGCTTGGGCAAGGTTCCAAGGTTCCTTCAGCCAGCCATCATGACTGTGGCTACACCTTTGCGCCGCTGACAGGACCAGTACTCCTCGCCAAGGGATACCACGTCCACGGGATCATCCGCCGCTCGTCGTCGTTCAACACGTCGCGCCTGCACCACCTGTTCGGCAACGAGCGCGTCGAGCGCCTGGCGCTGCACTATGGCGATTTGACGGACACCACGGCGCTCGTGCACATCATATCCCAGGTCCAGTGAGTGGAGTGGATTGGGGGGGAGGGGGGACCGGGGGGGGGGGGGGGGATCTGGATCGAGCCAGGTTCACAGAGCTCGTCCCGCTGACCTGGCACAGGCCGTCCGAAGTGTACAACCTCGGCGCGCAGTCGCACGTCAAGGTCTCGTTCGAGATGGCGCAGTATACCGCCGACGTGGACGGGACCGGCACGTTGCGGCTCCTGGACGCGATCAGGACGTGTGGTCGTGAGTGTCAAAGTCAAGGTGTGCGAGGTGTGCGAGGTATGCTGCCACGGCTACGACCCGCCTACGCCTACCGCCTACCTCTCTCTCCCTCTTCCATTCCATTCTCACTGACGCCTGCTCCCAGTCGACCAGCTGGCCAAGTTCTATCAGGCGAGCACGTCGGAGATGTACGGCCAAGTCCAGGCCGTGCCTCAGGACGAGGACACACCGTTCTACCCGCGCTCGCCCTATGGCGTGGCCAAGCTGTACGCATACTGGATCACGGTCAATTATCGGTATGTGGCAGTGGCAGTGGATGTGCCGCCGTGCTGTGTTGGGGACAGTGGGCCGGAGGGCCATCTTGAGGCCCGCACTGGACCGCGCCTCGTTGGTGGTGGAGCCTCGGTGTCCCGAGGCGGCCGCACCCACACAGACAACACCAGCTGTCGGCTCGTCCCACCAGAACTGACACTCCTGCACAGCGAATCGTACGGCATGTTTGCGTCCAACGGTATCCTGTTCAACCACGAGTCGCCCCGCCGGGGCCGTACCTTCGTCACGCGCAAGATTTCGCGCGCCGTCGCCGAGATCTCGCTCGGGCGGCAGGAGTGCATGTACATGGGCAACCTGGATGCGATGCGCGACTGGGGACATGGTGAGTACGGCATGCATGTAGAGGCGCGGCACGGCGTCCACTTTCCTTCCCCACGCAGGGTCTGACTCTTCCCCCACAGCACGCGACTACGTCGAAGGCATGTGGCGCATGCTCCAGCACCCCACCGCCTCGGACTTTGTCCTGGCCTCGGGCGAGTCGCACAGCGTGCGCGAGTTCATCGAGGCGGCGTTCCGCGTCGTCGGGCGGTCCATCGCCTGGTCGGGCGCCGGCGTCGACGAGGTGGGCACCGACGACCTGGGAAACGTGGTCGTGCGTGTCGACCCGCGGTATTTCCGCCCGGCAGAGGTCGAGCGGCTCCTGGGGGACGCGGGCAAGGCGCGGACAGTGCTCGGGTGGACGCCGACGGTGAGCTTTGACCAGCTCGTGGAGGAGATGGTGCTCGCCGACATGGCGAGTGCAAAGTATCTGGTCGAGGATTTGAACTAGACGTTCTTGCGTTTGTAAAGAGTAGTATTCGGTTGCAACCCTTGTCGGTCTTTGTCTACTTGGTCTGCGCATGGTGCGGTCCCGCCTCGAGTGTAACCTTCAGCGCAGCGACGCTTCGTCAGCCATGAGCGTATGTTAGTTTCATCTCCCTTTCGCCACACTCCCTACCCCTCGTCTGCCGCTGGCCATGTGACAGGACATGCATATGACGCAGTGTTCGCGCGCGCACGCGCGGCGGCGCTGTACAACAACCTGGGGTGTAGAGTCCGAGGACGAGGTCTGGTCGGGAGCGGAATCGGGATCGTGTGGCCGCTTGGGTAAAGTGGCGAGTCTAGCGTGGGGCATGGGGGCGTAGGGGTACTGTAGAGACGAGGGTGTACCGTTGTATAGTCCGAGAGGCGAGGTGGTGAGGGAATGAAGAACGAAGCAAGGATCAAGCCTAGGTGATGAGGTGGTAGTTGACAAGGCGCTTCTGCAGCACGCCCTCGCCGTGGAGGAGGGTGATCTCGTCGGAACCGCCCAACGAGGCAAAGTCGACAATGACGTTGGGGACGGTGCGGCGGCCGGTGAGGAGCTGGAGCATATCTTGGATGTGGTGTCCGTCGGCTGTATGGTGTGAGTTTAATTCGTCTGTTTCGAAACTCACGACGCTGGTCCAGCTCGACAATGTAGGGATAGGGACTGATGTGGTACTGGTTGAGGATACCCTTGGCCTTGCGCGAGTAGGGGCAGTAGCTCTGCACTGGTTAGTACAAGTCAAGACTACCCGGAACCCACCTTTGAGAAGACTGTGACGCGGGCAGTGTGGGTGGCATTCTCCTCCCAGCCCTCGTAAAACTCGGACGTGTCGTCGAGGGCGAGCAGCTTCTTCTCGAGGCCGTCGGCGCCCATGCCGTCCAGTGCCTCGGCAGAGGGCACGCCGCCGTAGCTCTCCGGGAACTCGCCGTGGTTGTACAGCCACCAGATGAGGACGCGCAGCTGCGCCGTCTTGGTGTCCTCGGCGTCCTGGGCCGCCTTGACCTGCGCGGCCTCGTATGCCGCCGCCTCCTCGGGCGTACGGTGAATCTCAATCTCGCTGTCGACGGCCAACTCGTTTTCGGACAAGATGTCTCCCTCGTCCAAGACGTTCTGCTCGCGCTCGTAGCCGCCCTTGCTGCCTGGCGTGCCGTAGCGGGTCGGGTCGACAGCCACTGGGGCGCGCCGCTGGCCCGCAGCCACAGTGTCGTGGTCATCGAGCCCCACGTCGTACGTGTGCGAGCTCGTCATCAACGAAAAGACCATGATCGTCGCAATGGCCATCAGACCCAGGACCCAGCGTCGTCGGAGGAGCGGCGAAGTTGAGCGTGGTGCCGCCGAGCGGCGGGCGCCGGTGGGCAGAGGGAGGCCCTCGGGCTTGGAGAATGGGTGAGGCATGGCGTGCACAAACGACGTGGCGGCAGTCGACAATGGGCGACGCTGGAATGGGCTCTCCATGCGTTGTGGGCGTTGAATATGTGGTCGTCTGTAACGACGGTGTCTACAGGATCCAGATCTCGCTCGGGCTCGAGGCTAGACGTGGAGCAGGGGTGGGAAGGCGGATAACAATGGCCGCCGTCTTGAATGCCAGAGAATCACGCACAGTGTTTACTGTTGAGTGGGAAGGGAGGTGGGTGTGTTGTTGTGAAAACGTCTTTCTGGTTCCTCTTGTGTCGAAATGTACCTCGCGTCGTCGTGAGGGTCCACTCGCGCGTCCTGGAACAGGCAGGGGGGGATGGCAGGTGTGCGGGCGGGGGGACGGTGGACGTGAACCCTGGCGTCACGTGAACGGTCTGTTGCTGTATCTCTGGGACGCTGCTGTGAGACCGATGCACAGTCGAGGGGAAACACAGTCCAAAGGTCAAGACGACTGCTTTGCGATGGGATGGTGTGTGTTTGTTGTGAATGGGAAAGGAGAGGTGGACAGCAGCACTTGTCGGACGTGTCCAGCTGATCGAAGCTGTAGGTGACGCGTACGTGGTGGGGGAAGGGAAATTGAGGCTGACAAGGAGGGAAGTGGGCGAGAGGGATAGAAGGGTAAAGTGGTGGTAGCGCGACGTTGGGCAGAGCCCGGCAATGTTAAGGTTCTGAGTGAGAACGAGATCTGGTCGTGGAATCGGACGACGAAAACAAAACGAGGATGGGTGGATGCTGGAGGTGGTGAAGGGAGATGGATGATCAAGTTGAGAGAGTGGAAAAGAGTGAACGATATAGATGTGTAGAGTGTTCATTGGGCACGACGGTTTTGCAAAACGCGATGCATGTGCGGTAGCGTCACCACTAGCGTCAACGCGAAAACACACCAAAATTGTCATCTCCTGGACGATGGATTCTGAGATCTGATTGTGGGTCGCTGCCGAAACACAAACGGCAGAGGGGCGTCCACCAGCCACCGGCCACACCGCGGTCCCGTCCGCCCGATCGACACACCAGCGTACCAGCGAAGAGGTGTCCTTACAGCCTGTTGCACGCAACCGGATGGCGCGGCCAGAAGCAGCTTTGCAGATCGTGACAGCAGTGAACATCCCAGCGCCCAGGGATCCTGCACTTCACACGTCGCAGACGCTCACACCACTGTCGTTCGTTGGACGCGCCGCTCTGATCGGGAGGACGTACGCCGGTCCGCATGCAAGGCACGTATCTTGTTTCGTGGGTCTCTCCCACTCTGCGCGCTCTCTGCCCTCATATTTAGTAGCAACAGCCCCTCGCTCGGCACACCATTTCCTGGGCGCTGGGTTGGGCCAGCAGGAACAAGCTTACGATCCGTCAGGCTGACGCTGCCAAGTTCAAGGCCGGAAGACTCTTCGGCACATTGTGTGGCGCTTAGTGGCCCAGTGGACGTCTAAAAAGGCTGCGTGATCGTGTGCCAAAGCTGCATGCGCCGGTGGTCACTATGAACCCACCCCATAGTCAGCCCCCCAGCTGCAGCAGTGATCAGTTCATCCACTACGGCCTCACCAGCCCAGTGCACCAGGCGACAACTGGCGGCTCTCTGAGCGAGCCGATCTAACAAGGGTCGCCGCGTGCGGCGCGCCATATTTCCTCGTCAGGGCCTCCAACGCGAGCGAGCGCGTCTCGAAGAAAGGAAAGCAGCCATCTATCGCGATAACGCAGACAACGGCCTCCTCCCTCTCTGCAGGCGTATACAGTGGTACTGATGAAGCATGACGGAGAGCCTCTTGGATTCCTGGCCATCGCCATTCAACGTGCTCTCTCGGTGGCTCGTTTCAGACACCCACTAAACGCATTCACACGCATTCGCTCGCCGTAACCCATCTCGTCTAGAGCCTTTAATGCAAACGCCACTGATTCAATATCGTTTCTCAGGGGTCCTCCCTCGACGTCAGCTTTCGCATACCATACACGTCCTGGGCCACAACACCCTGTTATACTCGGCCCAACGATCCGGCTCTCTGATCTCTGTAGACGCTCTGGGTCCCACTCAGTACATGATCATAATAGGCCAGCAAGAGGCCCTATGGAGATGACGGTCGCGAGACGATTGAGTGCCTGTTAATATATACAAATGGATTTGATTTTTTGTGGGGTTGCTGGTCCAAGGTCCAGCAACGTGCACAATGATTCGGAAAACTATGCAGGTCATTAGGCCGCGGCGGCGGTCTCGGCCTTCTCAGCCTCGGCGTCGCTGGTGCTTGTCAGCTGGGTGTGCGAACTACAGCTCAGCTTGAACACTCACGCCTTGTCGGCCTCAGCCTGGATCTCTTCAATGGGCTTCATCTCTTGGGCAATCTTGGCAGTGATGGTGCGGTCACCAATAGCCGAGCCGTTGATCTTCTCGACGGCCTCCTGCTGCTGGGTGGGGTCGTCGAGCTCGACAAAGCCAAAGCCCTTGGAGCCGCGGAAGGGACGACGGCCGGGAAGGCGGCGGAGGCCACGGATAACGTGAGCGGTCTTGACCTTGATGGACAGGTCGGTGAAGAGGGCACTGAGGCCCTCGTCGTCAATCGTGAAGGGAAGGTTGGCGACAAAGACGGTGGTCTGGACAGGTTAGTCTCTGCAACCAACACATCCCGACAAGATCAAAGCTCACCTTGCTAGTCTCGCCGGTAAGCTGGAGGCGGGGCTTGCGCTCGGCAGGCTCGGCCTTGGCCTTCTTCTCGGCGGCCTCGTCACCGTTGGCGCCCTCCTTTGGCTGCTTGGGTGCCCGGGCCTTCCTGGTCTTGGTGGCGGCAGGAGCAGCCTCACCAGTGGCCTCAGCCTCGGCAGCGTCGTCGCCGTCCTCGGGACCACGGCGACGACCAGCCTTCTTGGCCGACTTCTTCTTGGGCTTGTCAGCCTTGTCGGCCGACTTGTCCTCGCTGGTCTCGGCGGCGGCGTCGGCAGCCTGGGCCTCCTTGGGCTCCTTGGTCGCCTTGGCCTCGCGACGCTTCTCGAGGATGACCGACTTGCGCTCGGCATTCTCCTCCTTGGAGCGAGCGACCTCGAGCTGGATCTTGCGCTCGCCAATCTCTGCGCCCAAGTGTCAGCGAAATGTATGCCCGATGGACATCGCACACGGTATGACGTCGACAAGGCACGGGACCTCAGTAGCAACGCGGAACGCATGTTCGTTTAAGAACGCACCAGTCTCGTTGAGCGTCTCGACCGCCTTGTTGGCGTCGGCCTCGTCCTTGAACGTGACAAAGGCGTAGCCAGCGGGGCGACGGCTCTTGTGACGGGTGGGGAGAATCACTGAGACGCTGCGCAGGAGGGTCAGCTTACGGTCCCGAGTTCGGCCAGAGCTCTTAAGCTGTGCCGCTCACATTTCACCGCCAACCTTGTCAAAGTGCTCCTTGACCTGCTCCTCGGTAGCCTGCAAGTCAGCTTGGGTGTCATCTTCAGCACAAGCTTGAACCTACAGTGAACGCGAGGTTACCGACATAGACCTGTGATGCCATCAGTGCACGTTCCCATCTTCCCTCCTGCCTTCCCCCCATTTCCCGAATGGGCCGGGCCGGCCATCGCGCGCGCCAGCACCATCGCATGGGCTGTGCACGCTGGGTCCAGCCACTCGTACGTTGCTGTACAGGTGGTACAAGAACTCACCCTGTGTCCCTCGACCTCGGGGACGGGAGAGGCGGCGGCGGGGCCGGCAGCCGCGGGGGTGGTCTCGGTAGTGGTAGCGGACATGGTGAGGGGGATTGAAGGTCGCGTGCGAGCTTGAACGCGGGGGGTAGTCTTTGGCGCACGAAGGGGGGTGGAGGTGTGGGTGGGATGTAGTCTTTGCGAGCTGTGAGTGCCCTGCTTGTACTCTGATGTATGTTGTCGTGGAGAGTCTGAAGAAAGAAGAAGGGAACATGGTGGACGAGAGAAGACGACGACGAGCGGCCGGCGGGCTGCCAGCTGCCAGCACCACACACTCACACACACCCGATGGGGGGGCGACCGCTGCATGCGCGCGCGTGGGCGGTGGCGGGGCACACGTCTGGCTTGGGCCCCCGGCTCTGGATTGCCGCCGGACTCTCCCACGGTCAAATTGCCTCACCCTACGGAGATACGGTATTACAATGGATGACCGATTAGAATTTGAATGAAAGTCTAATTGTCTTATTTCAGTGACGTCATTGAGCATTAGAAATCACCCATCCCTCATCCACCATCATGTGGCAGCGATTAGGGGCGCGAGTGGCATCCTGCTCTCTGTGTTCTCTCGTGATGAGCAGTCGGTGCTCTGCGCAGGTCACACGGACGCGCCCCCCTCTTCACACTACTTGACATTCTCACGTCTCTCCCATTCATCTTCAACTACACCCACGTCTCCTTCACCATGGCAGACAGAGCTCCAGTCGCTCACAGCTGCCCCGTATGCCGCAAGCACTACCAGAGGTGGAAGTGGCTCGAGAAGCACTTTGTCAAGGACCGTACGTCTTGTTCCATTCTCGTGTCGCTCACGCCCAGACCCCCGGATGGACGCTGGCATGTTGCCTCCCCAACCTCCCGCAACCACCCCTGCGACCACCCCCAAGCCCCGCAAGCCTCTTCCCAAGAAGGCTCAAAAGCGGTAAGGGGACCCTTGCGTTTTGTGACCAGATGCTAACTCGTATCCAGCAAGGTCGGATATGTCCTCCTCGCACGTGGATCGGTCGGTGGAAACGATAATGCCCGCCAGGCTGCCGATATCATCGAGATTGTCGACCTGCGTACGCCGTCGCCACCCCCGCAGCTCCCCAGCCCACCCAGCTCAATGCGCTCCCACCCGCGTTGGGCAGTTGACAATTCCAGGACCCCCGGTCCCTTGAACAATGTCGCCACTCGGGATCTCTCCCCATCACTAGACAGCGACATTGACAGCGACATTGACAGTGACCCTCCTTCCCCTCCAAGCATCCCCAAAGTGACCCAGGCTGCGGCGTTGGAGCACATCAGCAGACTCCCCGCCGAGGCGGAAGGTTCTGCTCAGTCCGCCCAGTCCGATGCCGACAACGAGGACGATGACGAGATTGAAACCGACAGCCATAGTCCCCACCCTTTCAAGGAGGCCGCACTGGCCAAGAAAAGGGCCCACTCTCAGACCACTCTCCGCAACAGCCAAGGGTCGCGCGCTTCTACGGCCGCCACACACTTCATTGACTCGGACACGCCAATGGTCTCCCACCTGCCCTCGACCGACTCTGAAGAGATCCCCGCCCGTCGTCTGGATAAGGGAAAGGGAGTTAAACGCCGCAGCCCCACCCCGGTCAGCGGACATGGGCAAGCGCGCAAGAAACAGAAGAACGAGCGCCCCGATCCCAACCGGGCGCCAAACGTCGGCGCCAACGACAACGACAAGTATGGGACATGGTCCATTGGCAGCTGGGCTAGGATGGGGTCTGCCCCTAGTGCTTTTGGCCAACCGTCCTTTGGGCTTGGTTCACCCTTCCAGGAGGCAGGACCTTCGTCGAGACCCTCCCAGACCTCTTCTCACTTTCCACCATCGACCCAGGAGCACTCCAAAATGCCCTCACCCTCCAAATCGCCATCGCCTGAAGCCACCCCGGCCCCCGAGCGGAGCGTCAAGGAGTTCATGACCAAGGCCAGCGCTGCGACCTCCCGCAACGCCAGTCACATTCCAGCCCTGTCCCCGCAGCCGGGCCCCAGCCAGCTCCCGGGCACTCTGTACAGTGATGACGACGAGTTCCAAGAGGTCGTGGCGCAAGTGACCGCGGCTGTCGCGGACCCCCAAGACCCACCGGCGCTTACCCCGTTCCAAAACTCGGCCACCACCCTCGCCGACATGTCGGCGTCACAGGCATCCACGCTGGCCGGTCCCTCCCAGAACTTCCAGCACGCCATCCAGCACCCACTTTCGGGCGGCACGGTCGCCAGGTGCGATGCCATCCGGTGCAAAGCGTGCCACGGCCTCGCTCACGCTATACACTGGGTCCACAGCCTGCCCTTCTTCTGGCGCCACTGCGAGCATCACGAGCTGGAGGAGTCAAAGTAAAGAATGAGTGAGATTAGAAGGTGTGTGTGTGAGGATGAGAAGCTATTGTGTGGATGTCAACTCGTGAAGGCGCGGCTGAGCAATTTCGGTTGGGTTTTCGACTAATTGCTTCATATTTTCCGTGCCGATGCACCAGTGATCCAATGACCGCCCTAGAGGTACACCACTTGCAGAACGCTTATGTGAGCATCCTCGGCGATACACCGCCTTGCCCGATGCTGACCACACCATGCCGTTTACTAGAGACCGGGCGGTGTGTGAAGGTGACAAAGATGCCCCAGTGTCGCTTGACAGACCGCATGGCCACTAAGGACACGGCCTCCGGCGTGGCGGAATGTCAGTGCCGGCGGCCGTTGATATCGGCTAGCAGCGGCAAGACTGGGACTAATCGTCTCACACCCTCAGCTGTGACCGCAAAGTCGGGAGTGTACTCTTGCGTCATCTCCATGCGTGCCAGGTCTCACGGCTTCGGGTGCCTGGCGATATCACCTGCACAACATAATGCAACGTCGCTGTAGATGGCGACTACCAAATCGCTGGGAGAACAGGTAAATGATCCACGACCTTCCTTGTTCTTTCCGTGTCACACAGTTGAGAAGCCAAGCGAAATGAGCCACGGCATAGGTAAGCATCCTCCTGCCACCCATACATTTAGTCAGTAGTTTGTACATATATATTAGGTCCGGCATGATCCCCTTGCTCTCCCATCTCATCTCATCAAGTCGACGGACTCCTTCCAACCCTTCGACTCCTTCGACTCCTTCAGCTCCTTCAACTCCTCTCAACACTTCGACTCCTCAATCGCCAGCCTTATTATCAATGTTCGGTCTCGGCCCCAAGAAAGTGGTGGTCTTCGGCGTCACTGGTGAACAGGGCGGCAGCGTCGCCCGCGCCCTCCTCGCCGACACGCCCGGCACCTGGGAGGTCTGGGGTGTGGTTCGTGACTCCACGTCCAAGAAGGCTCAGGACATGGCGGTACGCGGCGTCCTCCTTACCACGGGTGACCTCGAGGACCCCCACAGCTACGAGGATGCCCTCAAGGGCGCCTACGCCGTCTTCCTCAATGCCAACTGTGAGTGCCCTACCAGCTTCATAGTGCTTCGCTTAGCTGACACGGTCCCAGTCTGGCAGTGGTACAACGGCTCCAACCCCACCGAGGCCAAGGAGCACGAAGTCCGCCAGAACATTGGCGCCGCAGACGCCTGCCAGCGCCAGGGAGTCGAGCACATTGTCTTTTCGACCCTCCCGTCGTTTGAGCCCAACTTTGACATCCCCCACTGCGAATCCAAGCAGGTCGGTACGTACCCAAAAAGACCTTTTCCCACTGTCCACGCCGTGCTAAACCATTCCCCAGTGGTCAACTACCTCAACGACATGGGGTACAAGTGGATCGGCGTCCAGGCGTCGTGGTACTATTCCAACGTGCTCCTCTTCCCGCGCAAGACGGTTGGCGACGAGATTGTCGTGTCGTTCCCCATGCCCGACAACGCGCCCATGGTCGGCTTTGCGGTCGAGCAGATCGGCCTGTGGGTGCGTTACGCTCTGAACAACACGCAAAAGTACACTGGTAAGTGCCGACACCCACAGCTTGCATTTGGACAGCGTTCAAGCAAGCCTCGGCGAGGCTGAGCTGACAACTCTTCCCCACAGGCAAGGTCATCGAGTGCAAGGGCGAGGCCAACACGCCCAAGGTCATGGCTGAGAAGCTCTCGGCCCACACGGGCAAGAAGATTGTGACGGACGGCCTCACCCGCGACAAGTTCATGTCGGAAGAGTACAGAAAGTCGCTCCCCGAGGAGCTGTACCTCAACTACCTCGCCATTCTCGACGGCGGTATCAACCCAGACTGCTCCGCGTCGAGGGCGCTGGTGCCCGAGGACTATGACTTTGCCGAGTGGATTGCCCACACCCCGGCGGTCAAGGCCACTTTTGTCTAAGCGTAACACGCTCGATGCAGTGTGGTGGTCTGGAACGATTATTCACATACAGAGTGGCACTACTGCTGAACTATTGACGAACGAGCTCGACGCTCGCCACTTAAAAATGTTTTACTTATTTCCATTCTTTCTTCTTTTCTCGCTCTTTACTCGTCAATGTACTCGCGGATCAGGAGGGGCATCTGGAGTCCTGCCTCTTCTTCTCCCACAACGCGGGGTCGCATGACGATGGTAGTCTTGGGCTCAATGACAGGCGCCGAGGGGAGGATATCAAACGTGAAATTGCGGACCAGGACGAACAACACCGCCTTGATTTCAGCAAGCGCAAAGCGGTATCCGATACAGTTGTGCGGTCCACCAAGGAACGTGAGGAGGTTGCCGTACACTCCCGGCACGCTCTTCATGGGCAAGCCGGCGCGGTCGTAGCGGTCCGGGTTGAAGCGGTCGGCGTCGTCGCCCCAGATATCCTTGGAGTGGTTGACCTCCATGATGCCAAAGCTAATCTCCGTACCCTTGGGCACGGTGACAGCGTCAATGAGCGTGCCGTCGCGGCCGCGAACGGGCTGGCCGAGAGGGATGACAATGTCGCGAGCTGCGCAGCGCTCCGTTCCGGGAACAGGGCCGTCAAAGCGGAGAATCTCGCGGACAACCTTGTCGAGGTAAGGGAGGGCGTTCATCGCGTCCTGGTCTGGGCGGTCGTCGGGGACGCCGAGAAGCTCGTCACGCAGCTTCTTTTGGATGTCTGGGTTCTGGGACAGGCGGTACAGGAGCCAGGTGAGCGCAGTGGAGGACGTCTCGTTACCAGCAAGGATCTGGATTGTCAGCTGGGGTAGCACATCAGGCCCATCGCTCAGGTGACACGGACAAAAGTAACAATCTGCGCCACCACTTCGGCGTCGGTAAGCTTCTGGTCTGGGCGGAGGTCGGAAGACATGTTGGCCTTCATGAGCAGCGTGAGGAGGTCGCGGCCGACGATGGATCCCTTCTCGACCTGGCCAGAATACTCGGCCTGGATCTGGCGCCGCTTGCGCCGCACAAACTCGATACCGTACTGCTTCAGCTTTTCGGTCGCGTCCAGGATGGTGCGACGAGCGGGCGAGACGTAAAAGTAGGCGATCCACGGGAAGAAGTTGTACAGAATGTTAAGCTTTGTGAGCGCCTGTCCCTCGCTGAAGAGGTGGAAGATTGCCTCTGCGAGGTCGTTGTGCGTCTGAGCCAGCGCTGGACGGTTAGGACAGTGTGCAGGGGCGACCTAACCGATACAGGGACCCCTCACCATGGAAGTCATAATCAAAGCCGGCAAGACCGATAACGTCGAGGGTGGTCTGGGCGAGGTACTTGGAGATATCCATCTTGCGGCCGCCCTTGGCCTCGTCGCCGGGGGCAGGGGGAGTGGGCGAGGGCACATCGTTGCTCTCGCCGTGGAGAATAGAGACCAACTTGTCGCGGAGCTCGTAAGCCTTGTCAAAGAAGATGGGGTCCATCCCCTTCACAGATGCCGGTCCAAACGCAGGGTTGAGCACACGGCGCTGCCGGTGGTGCACTGCACCCTCCGTGACGAGGAGGCCCAGCGGGGCCGTGGTTTTGCCCAAAATGTTCTGAAGGAAGTAAGGCTTGGGAAAGTCGCTGTCGTGCTGGAGCATGAACGACATGGCGGTAATGTCCCGGGTGCACAGCCTGGGCTTGCTGAGGAGCATGCTGTATCGGACCGTGTCGCCGTGCTCGTTCATCCATCGGCGCTGAGCCAGGGACGGCATGCTCTCAAAGACCTCTCGAAGGTTACCCCAGATGAAGCTCTCCGTAGGCGGGCCAGGGAGGTTGGCGTACGGAATGGTGGCATTCTCCCAAGCTATGTAGATCACCAAAGCGACAAAGAGCAAGATCGCACTGCCAAGGGCGGTGAGGATGGGGTGGGCGTCCATCTTGGCAAGCGCCCCGCTCGTAATCGATGTGGCCATAGCTACGAGAGACGACATGGAGGAGCGTGGGAGTAGGGAGTGTCGTGCGTGCGGAGAAGTGGGATGAAGAGGTCGACGGGAGGGGGTCCAAGAGGGGAACCCACGGGGTCCCAGAGGAGTCTTAAGTGAGAAGCTAGAGGCCCCACCGGATGGTAAGTGTTGCCGGCGGTGGATGAATCGCTAGGCAGGCTGTTACCAGCGTTGGACGTTTGCTAACGTGATGGATTGACAGTGGGTATCTCGCACCCCGTGCGTTGCAGACACACTAGTACAAGTGCGTATACGCATGTGTTGCGGGATACGGGTGTTGGGTGGCGTTTGGCAGTCGGAGAGGCTTGCGAAAATGAGCCAGAAGCAGCAACACATGCAACGCACACGCACACCTTGCACCCGCCAACAGATGGCAGATCGTGCCGTACCGGGTGCTCGCTGATCACCGAGGTCTTGCCCAAGAACCAATAGGTGTTCGGACGTTGTGATGCACGTACGCCCAGAGCGCCAGAGCCGACCACACGTAAATGTCGAGAACGTTGTGCTTTAGTGCGATGTGGGAACTGTCCTAAGCAACGGCTATAAAGGTGGCCGTTGTTCTTCCTCGCATAAGCGGAGACGGGCAGTCGGTGGGTCCGTGGCGTTTGTCCACCTCCGATGTTAAACAGCCGACGCTTCTATTACATTTCACGCAATCAAACGTTATCTATTACACACCGTTAACACCAGCGGCCTTGGCCAGCTCCTTCTCAAGCGCAAGCACGCCCTCGCACTCGCTGCGGACGTAGGCCTTGGCCGCCTCGGGGCAGAGGGGCAGAGGCTTGCGCGCCAAGGCGCTCTTCTCCGGGTAGCCGTTGGCGTAGGTGACGGCCCACTTGGTGCCGAGGATACCGCCGCGACCGAGAGACCACTCCGCACGGCTGACCACCGACGCGTACTTGAGAGCCTCGGCGTGCTTGCCTGCGTTGTACAGGTTGAAGATCTCGACACAGACGCGGGGAGCGACGTTGGCCATACCAGTGATGGCTCCCTCGCCACCGTAAGCCAGAGTGCCGAGGATGTAGTCGGTCGCACCACCGAGGACAGTGAATGGAGCTGTGGTAGGTCAGCTTATGGTTCTTATGATTGTAGCACAATGAGTGGGATGATGCTCTGAGACCAGCCCCCAATGCTCGCAGCAGACTGCAAACAGGCGGCGTAACGGGTGACTTGACTTCTTTGCCGACAGCCACTCTCTCCCAGTCCAACTCACATCCAAAGTCCTGAGCAGCCAAACGAGCGATCTTGCCGACATCGTGGTCAGTGTGCTTGATGCCCACGATGCGGGGGTGACGGGCCAAGGCGCCGAGCAGGTCGGTGTCCATGTTAATGCCGCCAGACACGGCAGGGTACGAGTAGATGATGAGGGGAATGGGGGACGCGTCGGCAACATCCTCAAAGAATCCCTGGAGGGCGTCGTTGGTCATGGGGCCGGGGTAGTAGGAAGGGGGGAGCACGAGAATGTAGTCGGCGCCCTCGGCAGCGGCGTCAACGGCCAACTCGATGGCCTGCTGGGTGGACTGGGCGCCGACGGTGCCGGCGATGATGAGGCCAGGGGAGTTGGGCAGGGCGGCACGCGAGACAGCGGCCTTGGCACCGCGGACGAGCTGCAAAGTCAGTTACTGAGCTGAGGAGATGGCGGTGTTGCGGTGAAACGGTCACCAAGACCACCCACCGCTCCGCTCCACTCACCTGCTTGCGCTCCTCACGGCTCAGTGTCACAGCCTCTCCAGTGCTGCCCATGACCACTACACCGTGGCATCCGGCGGCAGCGAGCATCTCACAGTGCTGCTCATGCAGCTTCAGGTCCAGCGCCTGCGCGGCCGAGTCATCGAAGAAGGTAATGACCGGGCAGTAAATGCCGGCGGGAAGAGGGGCGACGTCGGCGGGCATGGTGAGCAGTACAAGACAAGGAGGATGGAAAAGGCGAAAAGTACGAGTAGCAAGGTGTTGAGTGCGTTGTCTTGAGTGAGTGTGCAGGAAGATGTATGCCAGAGGCTCCAAGTAAGGCCAGTACCATTCTGTTGAACGGGCCGACTTGCGACTCGGGAGCAAGGTTACGGGATCGGACCGAACTGATTTTCGGCAATGCCGAACTCGTCCCGCAGCGATATTGAGCCGTTTGACGTGATGGACTGTCTGAATGATCTGAGGGCACGCACGACGGTCAGGGAAGGGCACGGGAGAACAGGCCCCATCACAAATGAACCGCAATACCGCATATTGTGGGACCAGCCAACATGTGGCTCTGCCAACTGCAGCATGTCGCCTAGACCCAAGTATTCATATCTACACATGTCTATTAACAACCGCAGGGGCACTCGAGGCCCTCGCTCATGAGGCTCTCGATGCGGTCAATACGCTCACCGAGCTTGTCGAGAGCAGAAGTAAGAATGTCCGCCTGGCCTGGCTCTGTTAGCTTGGTGCCCGTTCTTGCGCAAGCTCACCCTGGCGGTACTCCTCAACCATGGCAACAACGCGGGGACGCGCTCCCTTGGTCTCCACTTCGCGTCCGAGAGTCTCGAGCTTATCCTCAAGCATCTCGCCAAGCATACCCAGAACATCGAGCTCAAGGTTGAGGCCCTTCTCCTCAGCCTCGTGGTGGGCATGCTCGTCCTCGTCGTCGTCGCACTCGTGCTCCTCCTCGCCAGACATGGTGCGCATAACCTGCAGGAGGCCCTGAGGGAGCACGCCATCACGGCCAACCGCAAAGCGCTCGGTTGCGTCAAGGCCCTTGGCCTGTAGCCTGGCAGCGGCAGCAGGGGGAGCACCACCGAGACGGAGAACGACAGTGTCGTCGGGGTTGGAAGGGAGGACAAAGCCGTAGCCGAGAAGGAGCTCCTCATTGGGCTTTGCTCCGTAGTTGTTGAAGAGCTCGGCGTCCTTCTCATGCGCGGCAGCGGTGCGGAGGGAGATGGCGGAAATGTCGCCGTCCTTGGAGGGAACGCGCGATGAGAGCCAGAGGATAGGCTGACCACGGGCATCTGCTGGGTCAGATCATTCAAGAGTCTGGTGAACCCACGGTTAAGCATGTCAACGCCAGGGAGGAGCACGGGGCTCACTCCATCGTCGTCCGTCTCCTCGTCCGGCAGACGGAGGAGACGGCTGGGGAACGCGCGGGACGAGAGGTACGTGGCAACAGCAAGATAACGGTCCCTGAGAGTGAGCTTAAGGAAGTCGTTAAAGCACTTACCAAGTAAGGCCGTCCTCCTTGAGCACGGCACGGACAACGTCGGCCTCAGCACCCCACTCGCGCTCACGGTCAGCGACAGCACCAGCCAGGTTGGTGCCGGCGAGCATGGCACGCTCGGTGGGGTTGAAGTAGAGTGGGGTGGTCAGCTCTTCTGTGGTAGGGAGGGCGGCAACGTAGGGGCCATGAACGAGCGAGGCAGGGCGGCTGGTAGTGTCAGCTGAGTCCTCGCGTAGGTCGCAGCTAAACGCACGTCTTGCCCTCCTTCTCCCTCTCATCCCACACCCAGTGCAGGCCAATGTATGCGGAAGCGAGCATGCGCTCATTCCACTTCTGGCCCTTCTTCTCGCCCTCGGGCCACACGAGCTCCGACTCGGCAACACCAGTGGCCGCGGACACGGAAGCCGAGGCGAGCGATGAGGTGATCGCTACGCTGAACGGGCACGAGACAAGGCGCTCGTCCGCAGGTATGGGGGCAGTGGCAAAGAGGGACAGGCCAGCATCGGCATCTGTATTACGTTTAGGAGGATATTTGTGTGTTTGATGTAGGTGTGTCACGATCACGGTTACGTGAGGCAAGCGTGAAAACAAAGGGTGAAAGAAACGTTGTCAGCTCAAGTTTGGAGGGACCGCGCGGGCTGCTCACCGTCCCTCAGCTCGGCAGAGGGGTGGACGTATCCACCACTCGCCACCAGCCAGTCGAGCATGAGCTGTGCGCGTTCCAGAGCCATGGTTGTTATGATTTTAGAGATAGGTCGAGTTGAATCTCGATCTTCTGGGCTGACAAGAAAGTTGGCCGTTGCGTGATCGACAACGGTGGCAAATGTGCGGGGCCCTGTTGAGCCGATGACAGAATGATACGTTAGTGATGGTTTGGACAATTGCAGAAATACTGCCCGGAGTTCGATTCGTCAATCGGCGGATCACCTACGTCTTTTGGAGCTCGGTAGAATGTGGCCCCGGGGTGTGTCGGCAACCAGCGGCGTCTTCAATGCGCCATGCGCACCCACTGTTCTTCATCAACTGCATATTTCCCACTATGCATGACGCTAATGTCAGCAGGCCGCCAATATCTCAACTGATACTCATCACAGCACCTCGATACAGCACCTTGACAATATAATTGATTAAGGTCGGCGACCTGGCCTCCAAATAAAACACAAGTTGCACCAGTTGCACCAGTTGCACCAAATCATGCCGCTACTTGCCGGCTGGTGCCGCCACATAGGACGAATGAAAACCCTCCGTTCCACACTCTGTCCCACCTGCGCGCCTGCGCACCGGGTGTCCGCCCCGCTCGCAAACGCGGCTGAGCATCACCCCTTGAAGACCGCAGAAGCGAAGTGGTGTGGGGAGAAACAATCCAGGGAGCACCCGAACCCCGCCCCCTTTTGGAGACCGTATAGGACATGGCCGGGTCGGTCCCGGCTCTCGGCCCGAAGATGTACCGTGGACCGAGAGCTAGGCAACGCAAGGCTGACTGGGCTGCCCGTCTTCGCCCACCCAGACGCCAGAGGCCACCAGCTAAAGTACAACCTCCATCTTGCTCTCTTCCTCTCCCTCACTCACCCCACCTCTTTCTCTAATCCATATTCACCATGGTTTCCACTATGCGCGCCAACGCGACCCTCAAGAACGCCCTCACCAACAAGGAGAAGGGTGTTGGCTTCTGGCTCACGTGAGTAGAGTGTACGAGCCCGTTGTTGGCACCAGTGGCTTTGCAAAAACGGAGCGTTGCTGGGATGACGGATCCCACCATGGAATGGGGTTGGCTGCCAACACCTTGACTTGATTTCATTAGCTGACCTCGCAGCTTCCCCGGCCCCACTGTCGTCCGCTCGCTCGTTTCCCTCGGCGGCTTCAACTGGTGCCTCATCGACGGCGAGCACGGCCAGATTGGTGACACCGACTACTTCGAGGTGAGTAGAATACCGCTTTTGATAGCAGGAGAGGGCTACGTGACATGCGGCGGCTATGGCTTCTGCGTCGCATAGCCGTGGTCTGCAAAGTCCGACCTTTCACCATATGGATCACCAGCTGACGCGTCCAGCTTGCCAACGCCTGCCGCCAGTACGGTGTCTCGCCCATTGTCCGCATTCCCAACGCCGAGGAGTACATGATTAAGCGGGCCCTCGACTCTGGTGCCCACGGTGTCATGACCCCCATGTGCCACACCGCCGAGGACGCCCGCAAGATTGTCTCGTGGAACAAGTACCCTCCCACCGGTACCCGCGGCTACGGCCCCATGTTCTCTGGCCACTCGTTCGGCGTCGCCGAGAATGACTACCCCGCCGAGGCAGATGCCACTCTGCTCGTCATTGTCCAGATCGAGTCGCGCAGCGGTGTCGAGAACGTCGAGGAGATTGCCAAGGTCGACGGCATCGACGTCCTCTTCATCGGCCCCTACGACCTGTCCAAGCAGATGAACGTCCCCTTCGGCGGTGAGGAGCACCAGGCCGCTATTGCGCGTACCCTCGCTGCCGCCCACGCCGCTGGCAAGACTGCCGCCATCTTCTGCGCCAACGGTGAGCAGGCCGCCCAGCGCCTCGAGCAGGGCTTCGACATGGTCTCGATCGCTACCGACGTTGGCGTCATCACCCAGGCTATGCAGGCCGAGCTCGCCAAGGTCGGCCAGTCCTCGAACCACAAGAGCAGCTACTAAGCTATGCGTGTAACATTCAGTAGCGGGGGTTGATTTTTGTAGACTTCAAGTAGATTTACAGGCCAAACATGAGACACAGTATACAGAGATTTCCAACATGTAAGGACTTGATGCCGTTTAGAGCCCGAGACAGATGGTCTTTAGGTGGCAAAGTATCTTTCAAAAGAGGATGGGGATGCATAGACGTCTACAGAGCTGTTTATATACACACCGGAGGGTGGTCTGAGCGTCACAGAGATCTACAGTTGCAAGAGCGGAACCCTCGTCCGCTCTGGACTTCGAGTCTCCGCTTCGCAACGAGTCCTTGTCAAGAGGAGACTCGTAGCACTCTCTAGACGCTGTAAACGACTGCGTAGCTGGTTGGACGGTCGATAGAGAGATGTAGCGAAGAGAACAAGTCTGCGTAGTACGCAAGGAGGCATATGGACTGTCCCAGTCTAATATGAACCCGTAGCAATAGAAACGGTCAAATAGTCCTTATTCTAATATCTACTCGAGCGGCCGTGTTTGCAGAGCGGCTACTGCAAGCAGCGAGTAAAAGTCAAAGCAATTTGAACTTGACACGTCCAACGGCCGGGGCCGTGAACCGAGGATCGATTCTGTTGTGGAACCGGATATAAAAAAGTATCCGCGCCCCGGGGAGCTTGCTCCTGCCTGTGTGATCACTCCAGAATACCACGGCTGGGACCTAGCAGGTTGCCCAGCCCCAGTCCCCCAGGCAACACCACACACTCTTATTGATGCCCAGCAGGGATGCAGAAACGACAGCAACAGAGGATGTATGTAAAGCGCGACACAGCATTACATGTGCTAGTTTACAGAAGTACGACTTTCCGTTTGCGCACGCACTGTTTGTTATTCTCGCTCATCGCCTACTGCATCATCCCCATCCCAAAGCCCTCATACTCAAAGCTCATTCCAGACCCAATAGCCGAGCTGTCACCGGGCAGACCCAAGAGGTACCCCAGGTCGACGTGCTCTTCGAGGTTGAACAGGTTGTCGAGATCCCACGCAGGGGTAACGGTACCCGTCCCGGTTCCTCCTCCACGACGCTCGAGGTCGGGGGCAACCTCGGCGTTGTTGACACCGTTTCCGCCCTCGCCACTCTCCTGGAGCTTGTCGGCACTTGTTGGGCGGCTGCCCTCCGCAGTGACAATGCCGTTCGTCCCGTCCAGACCGTCGTCGTCGCCCACAGGGATGCCGGCCGCGCGTGAAATGTCGCGAAGGGTACGCGCGAGGTAGCTGCTGAGACGGGTCTCGCTCAGGTCCGAGACGGCCAGCACCTCGATGCTCATCTTCAGATAGTGCGTGACCACGGGCGGGTCGACCTTTGCCGCAGCTTGGATGGCGGGCGAGGCTTTGGCGATGCGGATCAGGAAGACGGCAGCTTGGCCCAGAGTGATCGTGAGGTACTGCCGTTAGCTCATGGCACCACCACATGGGGAGAGTCTGGCACTGCTGATTTCCGTCTCTCTGGGCAGCAATTACCGTTAAGCGACTCACATCCGTAGCAAAGCTCAACGCCAGATCCGTCTGCGAGCTCTCGTGGTAAGTCTGGATTGTGCTCATGGCCGCCTGGAGGCCACGGGCGAGCGCATCGCCAATGAGCTTGAGTTCGTCGGGCGGGGCCTTGAGCGCAAACGAGTTGAGGCAGAGACGCATGTGTTCGGCCTGCAGGCGGCCGATACGAGCCGAGGGCCCAAGGTATGCCAAATAGGGCGAGTCTGGCAAGTCAGCTCCGGCGTGTGCTCGTGTGCTTCTGAGCTGCCACTCTATACTCACTAGACCAGATCCACCTCTTACTCCACTCATCCAGGCGCGCGTTGAGCTCGCTAAACATGGCCCTCACGCTGATATCCCTCCCCTGTAGCTCCTCCACCTCGGTAGCGCGGGGATCGCTGAGCGCGTCGCCCCAGTTGATGAGGTCACGGCCAATCTGGGTCAGCTGCACTTGGCCGGCAATGTACGCGTCGCCATAGGCTTGGGTAGCAGCCAGAGTTCCGGGAACGGGTAACGGCGACGAGAGACGCATCTGGAGGAACCCCGCTTCGTCGACGGTCTCAAACTGGGTGGACTGGGGACGTCCGAAGCCAAGTGAGAGGAAGCCGTCAAACGTAAACCAGCAAAGCCAGGTACGCCACTTGGAGCCGTGACCTTCGAGCTCGGTCCACTCTGGCGAGTTTGGCACGGCAACACGGGCTGCAGCGGCTGCCGCGGCGAGGTCGCGCGGGATACCCAAGCGACGGGCGATACGCGCGGCGTGGCCGGTGACGATCCACGCGTCGGGGCCCTTACCGCCCGACTGCAGTCCCCAAGCCGCGAGGAGGAGGACGGCCTGGACATCGGTCAGGTGGTGTTGCTTCCTGAGCATCGTTTGCGCGAGATGGTGTTCGGCGAGCTGAGCCAGGCGCGCGGGCAGATCGGGAGCGATGGGCGGCAGCGAGGCCGAGGGCTGGCGCTCAATGTACCGGGGATAGAAGCGGGCTGCGATAGCGAGGGTGGCGCTCAGCAGAGTTGCAGACTGCTGGCGCACGCGAAGGAAGGCGTCTTCGTCGGACACATCCACGACGGGACAGAAGGGGTGGAGATTCTGAACAAAGCTGAGCGTTGTCAGCTACAGAACGTACGGAGCTAGAAGCTAACAGATGAAATTTACGACTGCCACATCTGTCAGCTTGTACTCACAATCCAAAGAGAATCCTGGCCATGCCCTCGTCCACGAGTTCGGTGGACACGGGATCGTCACGTCCACGGTGCATCATTGGCAGCTCGAGCATCATATCTTCCGAGGTACGACTAGCCCCACTCGAGAGCTGGGGGCTAGCGCGCCTGCTCTCTTCGCGGTTGTCCCACACAGTAGGCTGGTAGAGAAGCGGTTTGAACGGGGCGTCGTCGTCGGTGGCCGCCGCGAGGCGCTCTTCGGCTTTTTGGCCACGAGACCTGCGCCTCTGTGGGATCCCACCACTACCACCCGCGCCCCCGCCGCGAGAACCACCCGTTCCGCTAGCGGGGCTGGGGCCAAACACGCTCGCAGTGCTGGTGTAGCTTGGGCTGGTGTGGAGCGGGGATCCGGGAAAGTGGACGTGTGCCTCGGGGCTGCGCGGGAAGCGTGGGGGGTCAAACGGGCGGACGTGCGTCGGTGGTGGAATGTCGTTCCAGTTGCCGGCACTGGCGCCGTTGCTGCTGCTCTCGAGGACGCGTCCGTCAAAGTTGAGGGGGATACGGGCTTCGGGTTGAAGGGGACGCAGCATCTCGGCCTGGGGGTATACGTCCGCGTCTTCCGAGGCTGCCTGTTTCGGCTTCTTCTGCCTCTGCTGCTGCTGCTGTTGTTGTTGCTGTTGGGCAGCCTGCGCCTGTCCCGAGTTTGCACTCATGCCCGCGAGGAGAGCAGCGACGTTGGCCTCGAGCGTCTCAATACGATGTGCAGAGTCCACAACGCGAGGCCCGGGGGCGCCTGCCGGTCCACCAAAGTCGCACTGGTGCTTGGCCCTGGGTTTTTGTCAGAACGGCGGCCGTGGTTGATCGGGATGACTTACTTGACGCAGCGCGAGCATGGGTATCCTCCTAAACAACGTAGCTTTTGCTTCCTGCAGCGAAGACACGCCTGGCTGGCTCTTTTGGGGCCCGAGATGGGTGTGGATGGGGACTGCTGGGCGGGAGGGTGGATGCTGTGTCCCGTGTGTTGATGAGAAACATGCGACGGGTGGCCACGACTGCCTTCAGCGTCGTCGTCAGGCCGGGGACGCTTGTTCGCAGAGTGGTAGTAGTCTCCATAGTCGTACTGCTTCTCATCAGCCAAACCCGAGTCGGGGGGACGTGTATCTGGGGGTTGGGACATGGTGTTTAAGTAGGTGTTGTGACAAGAGGATGGAGTGGACCATCCAGCAAACAGTCTCATCCGAAGCCTTCACACTTCGGCTCGCTCCAAATTGGGCCGGGTGGGCGGGACCTTTCGGTGTCGGCCCGAGCGCCCTGAATAACAAGGCCATAAGCCTGCCTTGCTCATCGTAGCCCATATCGTTGCATTTCATGCCATTAACTGATCACACTGGCTATAAATGAAAAGCCTAGAAGGTCTCCTCGTCCTCGTCCTCAAGTGGCAGCTCCTCGCCGTCTGGCACCTGCAAGGAAAACGTCAGTAAACATCGTCCAACGGTTTCGCTCTGCGCCACACGTCGGTGCCTGTGGCAATGTGGACCGGCCCCCGCACGAGCGCGCCATCATGAGGCCATGCTCCATTGTGGCAAGTGGTGGTCCACACCTGGCCGCGTCGAGGACGCGCCTCGACGCGCTCGCGGCTCCCGGTCCACGACCCTGGTCCGAGCGCTCCCAGCTATAGGGAGTTGTTGATCAACTAACCTCGAATCCGTCCTCGGTCTGGTACAGCACCTCCTGGATCTTGGCAAGCGTATCCCTCTCAGCAGGGTCAATGCCGTCGAGGTTAATCCTGTCGCCAACAATGAGCTCGATGGAGCGGAGCTCTGGGGAAAGTATGCGTCAGCCAAAGCAAGTTTTGAAAAAAGTTGGCAAAGCGCCTCGACGCCACGGTGGATGTTGTGTAACGGTGTAACCCGATTGCAGCAGTTTCCGTTTTCCACCAGCACACGCCACCACCCAGTCTGCCACTCACTTGCAAAGTAGAAGTCACGCTCCTTCTCGAGCCCCTCGCAGGTTGCCTGCATCTCCTGGATCTGTCCGTTGAGGAGCTGGACCTGGGCGGCAGACGCAGCGGATGGCGCACGCGGCCCAGCACCGCCAATAGGACGAGTGGCAGCGGCACGAACACCCGATGAAACGTTGCGCGAGCCCGAGGGAGCACTGGTCGAGTGGGCGATACCGCCGCTAAAGGATAATGTCAGAATATCTCCAATAAATGAGGTGTGTGGTGGTGATACGTACGTCCTCTCAAGAGCGTTGTACTCCTCTCCACGCGAGTTGCTGTCCCAGAACTTCTTCATCCACTGGAGGAACTCGAGGTTGTCCTGCATCTTACACCTGTCGGTTAGCGTGGACATGGCTGGGGCGATCGCGCAGGTTGGGGTGGAGGTGGGATCGGGGAAGAGGACACGCTCCGTGTAGCACAACTCTTGCAAAGAGGATGACTGTTGTCTGCTCCAGCCCAGCCGACCACTCCGATCCTGCGCGGTCACCAGAGGTGGACTCACTTGACAAGCCTCTCGACGAGGACGGGCTTGTCAATACGGTGCTTGGCGAACGCCTTCTGAAGAATCTTAAAGTTCTCGAGGTACTCGTACTCCATCTTGGCGTTGACCTTGACGCGCTGCATCGGCAGGTCGCCTGGGGAGGATTGTCAGCATGCCGTTGTTTGTCTCGCTGGCTGTTGGTCCGTTCGGCGAAGCGGTGCCGCGGTGCACGTAGGATCGCGAGGCCCCTAAGGCGGAGGACGATGGCGGCTGACAGTCTCTTGTCGACACAGCCTCGATCGGCCAAGACGCGCACTCCGTCCCGACACCGTCTCGCCCTCCCAGCACCCCGCGCCGCACCTCCACTTCGTGGCCAGAGTAGCCAGAACGGAGTACGGTGGCCAACGCAAGGACACGCAGAGGCACTACTACGCACCATAGATCGAGTCAAGGACCTGCACGTCGTCAGCAACCATGCACTGCGGGCCACACCCAATAGCCTCTCGGCGGTCTCCAGGGATAATGTTGGTGGTCCTCAGGCGCCGGTGGACGCTTGACGGCGGTGCGGGCGCAAGAGGCGCCCGAGCACCTGTCCGAGCACTCGACACGCGGTCTAACAGGCGACGACGTGCGTTCGCACCGCGCGCGCGCAGGCAGTCCAAGCAGAAACCGCTGCCGAGTTTCCATTCCATTCGATTCCTCGAACCACCTCGGACGTCGCCGCGGGGGTGGTGGTTTATGCATGGGGTGGAGTGCAACTTACCTGGCAGTAGATGACGCCCTTGCCGCACTCTTCGACCTTGGTGATGACGTTGGGCGCGAGCAGCTCGTTGAGCCATGCGAGGAGCTCGCCGCGGGCTGGATAACGCAGTCAGCCGACATACCCTCTCACACACAAGACACAACAACGGTGAGACACTGATGGAACCTGGCGCTCGCCGCCAAACAACCAAACAACAACCTCCCCCCGTCTCCAGCGCGACCACAGACTTACACTCTCCAGTGTAGACAGACATGGCGGGCAGGTATGTGTCTAGAGCGTAGAGCTGATTATTAAAGGTGAGGTGTTGGGGTGGTGTGATTGAAGATTAACAACGTCGGCTCTCTGATTGTCAACACGTCGACGAGTACTGGGCTGGACGCTGCTGCCGGTGTCTCGCGCGCGCGCACGGCCACGGTCCACCCGCGCGCGACGACGCGCGGAAGACGGGGCGGGTGGGAGCGGAAGTAACTGTATCGCGGCCAGATTGAAGATGGTCATGTACACGTCATTGTTGAACTGCAACGCCTACAGCTCATGCAGCCCGCCATACCACTTCGCCGCCGTCCTGCAACCTGCGGTCCCGAGTACAGCTACATGCATGAGGCAGAACACGCACACACGGACGCGCGCCCGCGCACAAGATAGATGCTATGGAGTGGTAATCTGCGCAACAGTTGTTATGAAAAAAGAAGGAAATAATTGAAATGATAAAAATAACCCAATTTGTTTTAGTTTGTTGCGGAGAGCAGAGGAGGAGGACATGGAGGAATGCTGTGTGCTGTGGTGGTTTGCCATTTAGTCGTCGTTTTGTTCGTCGTCGTCGTCGCTGTGATGTTTTGGTTCTACTACGTCGCCGGGTTTGAAACGGTTTTGAGACAGTGTTTAGAAAACATGATTGAAAAATGTTGTCCCGCGCTCTTTGTTGTCTTTGTTCTTTGTTCTGAAGATCGTTGAAGAACCCAAAAATGGAGATGAAAGAAGAGAGATGAAAGACTCCACAGAAAAAAAGGTTGGAAAGAAAGATGGTTGAGAGATAGATGGCGATACTTGATGAGAGAGAGAGAGAGAGAGAGAAACATGCGGGAGCGATTGGGGGAGGAAACATTGTTGATACCCTTTAATGCTGGAAGAGGTCGTGGAAGACGGTGGGGATCTCGGCCGACTTGAAGCGATAAGCGCACTCGGTCGAGCGGAGCATTTCGACGTCGCCGCCTGCTGCCTGGACAAAGCTGACAATGACGCCGTTGATGGGCGGCGACGGCTGGCCCTGGCGTGCGGTCGGCGGGACGGCCGCAGCGGCGCGGAGGGCGTAGCCTTCAACCGACCTGGGCAAGTCAAAGTTGATAACCAAGGGCGACCAAGGAATGTCCGGAAGTTTGGGGTTGACGTCAAAGCACACGAGGAAACGGGGCCCGGCACCGGGACTCGACATGCGCCATTGCTGGAGAACGGCCTTGCGCTGGCTCGGAGGCATGTCCGAGGCGAGGTAGAGCGTCTCCCAGTTGCGGCCCGAAAGCTTAAAGACCACAGCTTCGAGCATGGCGTATGTGCCCACGTGGATGATGCCCTGCCACAGAGGATAGTCGTCGAGCATCTTGACGAGCATGTCGAGCTTGTACTCCTTTGCCCTAGTCGCCTCTTCGCTCGCCGCGCTACCAGCGTTGGCACGGCCAGAACCAATGGTACCCGGCCCAGCCTCGGCAGGCTGGTCCTCGGACCTGGCCGATCCCGTGATGGTGAGGTAGACGTACGTGTGCTTGAGGTTGATTCCGGGGGTAATGGACGAGACCGACTCTTGCGAGTTGGTCGACCCCTCACGACGCACCAGGACACGCACAGGGTCGCGGACCTGGAGTGACTGGGAGAAGTTGATCACGTCAGTCGGAATCGTGTTGGAGAACAAGCACGTCTGGCGCTCGATCAACGGGGTAGGGGATGGCGGGGCACCGTTGGGTCCCGGTGTGCTGAAGCGCGACGGCTGGGACGGGAACGGCGTCTTGCTCTGGGGGTTGAAGGGAGACTGCTGGCCGTTGTCGTAAGGGCTGCCAATGACGGGCGAGAACGGTGATGGGCCCGGGGTGAGTTGGCCAGTCGCTCTCACGCCGCGAGGGGTGGGGAGGAAACGCGCAACGCTGAGCACGTTCTCGTATAGGTTGCGCGCAATCAGTTGGTCCACCTCATCCAGCTAGCAATGTCAGCGCATTCCACACATCATGAGCTCACAATCAAAAGCCTGCACTCGGAACCCGCAAGCCCTCGGTTGTTGACCACCTCGTTGACCTTTGCTGGGGTGCCGATAAGGATCTGGATAGCATCGCGCTGCATGGCCGCAACCTCGTTGGGGAGCGAGGATGAGCCAGAAGCACCCGCCGCGAGGGCTGCCCGCACACCAAGAGGTCCACCGACATTGCGCACCACTGTTTCCGAGTCAGCACAACTGCTTCTCCTCTGCCCGACTCATTACGCACGCTTGTGGCACTGAGTGGCCTGGTCGACGGTCGTGGTGATGATGATGACCGAGGGTCCACGGTAGGGACCTTGTGGGGTGGGGAGGGTGAGGCACAGTTGGAGTGCGGGAATGACACTAACACAAGTCAGTAACAACCCCCTCGGACACGTATTCCCCGGCGGCACGCTTTTTACATACTAGGAGATGATGCGCTCTTGCGTCGGTGGGGCCTGGGCGATGATGTCCGAGCCCTTGAGCATGAAGGGAAGGACACGCGCCTGGATCTTGTTGGGTGGTCCGATGCTGTGGGATGCGTCAGCGGACAGTTTCGTACACAGAGAGAAGAGTGCACAGGTTCAACGCACCCATATTTGGAAATGGAACGCAGCAGCTCGACCTTGAGGTTGAGGTGCTCCCATTTCGTCACCACAATGCCGGCGCCAGGCGCAGCTGCACCGCCGCCCATACCAGCGAAACCGTTGGCACCAGGTCCGTTGGGTCCAGGACTGGGCCAGTCGCGTCCACCGGGCCCACCAGGCCCACCACCGCCACCACCGCCATACTTGTTACCTGGTCCGCCTCCCCACTTGTTGTCCATGCCATCGGCGAGGAGGCCAGACGAGAACGAGCGGTTGCCGGGAGTACGTGGGCCGTCGTTGAAGCCGCTGCGACCGGGCGCGGACAAAAGGGCAGAGTGTGGGCCGATCGGGCCCGGGCCAGCGGCCGACAACATGTCCAGTGGGGGCGGGGCAATGTGTCTGCCCATGGCAAGTGGGCCTGGGCCATGCGGCGAGTGACCGCCGGGACCCATCGACGAGGGCGGTGGAGGCACCACGCCGATGCCTGGGCCGGATATGCTCTGCTGGGTCTGGAGACGCTGGAGCTGCGCGACAGACGACGAGAGCGCGGCAATCTGCTGCGTAAGAAGAGCCACGCTGGGGTCACTGCCAGAACCGTCGGGCGAGGGCGAGTGAGCGCGTGCCGAGCCCGGGATCGAGGTGGACGATGTGGACGACGGCGTGTCAAAGGGCGAAAAGAGCCGGCCGGCACCCAATGTCGAGGGAGCACTGGACGCGAAGACCCCCGACGTGGACGCAGAGGGCACGACCGACTTTACAATGGCGGCCAGCTGGGCGACCTGGGCCTGGAGAGCGACCAATGTCTGTTCTGTCGCGGCGACTCGTGCTGCCAGCGCCGCGAACGCGGGCGAGCTCGTTTCTCCATCGTCGCTGCGCACGCTTACCGATGGCGGGCCGGGGGTTACAGACTGTGACTGCGCTGCGCTGCTGGAAGGGTTCGCGGTCAGAGCGGCGGTGGCTGCTGCTGCCTCGACGTCGGGGCGAGACGGTTCCGTCGTGGGCGCTACGGGCGCTGCTGTAAATGGGTGTGTCATTTCCGATAATGGGGTGTGCGTTCAGATGCGAATGGTTTCCTCAGCCTCGATAGACAAAGCGTGTTGGCGGTGGTGGTCCGGTCCCGTGTAGAGAGACACCTACACACCGTGGGGACCGGGGGGCAGGTGGGGGTTCTCGGGGTGTGTTCTGGACGCTTGCCGGGGTCGTTTGGACACGGCGAAGGGTCGGGAGGGAGGGGTGGTCGTAGCAGCGGCGCGTTCGGTCCGTTCAACGGGCCTGCGGCCGAGCTGCTGTAATAGAGCTGCAGGGGTCTAAGCGGGTGGCGAGGGGACGAGGCGTGCAAGGTGTGGAGACAGGAGTAGAAGGGAGAGAGAGAGAGATGCTCCAAGAGAGCCTGCCAGGTTCTGTATGGGCGGTGACTAAGGAAAAGCCACGGCGCGGCGCTGGATACCTGCGGGCCCGGTTTGGGGGCGTGCCGGACGAATGCCGGGAGCAGAGAGCGAGCGAGCGAGCGAGGTCGGGTGGAACGGGTGGGTGGTGATGGGGGGAGCTGTAAAGTAGGCGACTAGATGAGCATGGCACGCAGCGGACAGTAGCGAGGGGGGGGGATGGTGCACGGCGCGAGGCGCGGTGGGAGCTGGGAAAGAGGACGAGGGTTGGGGTGTGGAGACGAGACAGAGGACGACGAGGTGGAGGGGACACGAGATGGGGGGGGATACGAACGCTCGAGCGAGAGACTGGGGGCCTGAGTGTGTGGGTGTCCTGGGTGAGAGAGGCCGACACCCCCGCGGTCTCTCGTCTGCGCGTTGGCTCTCCTAGGATCCTACATTTGCCAGCCGATACAAACCCCCCTTCTCGGGGCTGTGGGTGCGCCAAATCCGACAGGCGTTTCCACAGGCCACACACCACCCATTCTAATTTTGGTTCCGTGCATAGTCGACAGCCGGGGGGGGGCGGGTCTGGAACACGGTGTGCGTGCCCGTATGGACAAAAAGGTGTTGGGTATGCGGGCCATTTTGAACAGCCCCAAACAGTCCCACAGCAGTGTGCAGTGTGTGTCGCTGTGTCTGTCCAGAGGGACTGGTTGGATCTGCTTTGCTTGACATTGCACCGAAACAGTCCAAATAGCCACACACACAGCAGACTACTGGCCCCTACTGGTCGCTGCCACACCGCGTTAGCGTGAGACACGAGACAGAGCTGCTGCTGTCGCTCAATCTGCCGCGGTAGATGGCACATGGCCACATGGGCTCTTGTGATCTGCAATATCTGGTACGGCCTTGGTTTTCTTTTTTCTGCCGTGCTGCACTCTTCTACTCTTGACTCTCGAGAATCATCCTTCGCTTTGAAAGACTCCAAGCTCCACGTAGCCTGGTCCTCGTGACCTAGGTCTTCCCTAGTCCTGCAACCTGCGGCCACCGCCAGCGGCCAGCGGCCATAGCGGTCCGCGCTCGCACCCACCTTCGCACCTGCCCGCTCACCTGGCCACTTCCTGTCGTAAAGGGTTTACCTCCGCGCAATGGTCAGTTCCCGGTTCACAAAATGCAGCACATAGGATCTCGCCAAAAGCTTGTTCAGAAGAGAGAGGGAGGGGGGGGGGGGGGGGGGGCCAATACTGTTTCTCTCTCCCCGGGACAAACTAGATCTGCCGAGCGCTGGCCGCACTGGTGCTTCTGCCGGCGGCTTGTTTCAGTGCGCCCAGATGGCCAGATCGGGGCGAAGCCGACCGCTTGCACGCACAACTGCTCTTGTCGTTACGAATATCGCTTACATCCGACGACGCTGGGTGCATATCGCCATCGCGCACCCCTTATGGCGAGCGTGGTGGCGTGCCGTCTGCCTTTTTCTGGAGATACACACACAAGAGGCGAGACCTATGTAGAAGCCATCCTGAGGGAAAGAGGGCCGCGAGAAGGGGGCGACTGAGGGCACGACACAGCCATCGGAATGCAGAGGCCCAGAGGCATCAGAAAAGGTCTCGGACAGCATGTATTGGGGGCCATGCATGGGGGAGGGCACAGGCGCACCGGTCAGCTGCAGCACACAGTACACAGTCAGCCTGGAGTGCAGTGGTGTAAAGCTTGGGTTGGGGGGCTCCATGAATGGCTCCACTGGTACAGGGCCACTCAGGCTACTCAGGCCTTAAATTGGACGTCGGTTTCTGCGACGCGCGCCTGCATCGCAGGCGGTGGATCGGTCCGAACTCGTCGCTGCCTTGAGAGTGGGATTGACGCCACGGGATCCAAGGCTGCACGGAGGGATGTTCGGAAACCTGATCGGCGAAAGTGGCACTCGAATTACACCCGGCCTAATCAATCCTCCTTACTGCTTCGCTCCGTCACCTTCCCAGTCACCAAGCGTCCCACAGCTTCATTCTGTCGCTGAGAACTGCCTGGCCAGGTGCTCTGACGCAGGGCGCACCGTAATGCGTAATGCAACTGCAGCAAGTGTGGCTATGTGCCCTAAAAAGTGTCATGTAGGTGGTACATGCCAAACAACTCGACTAGACCGCTAAAATGATAGCAGACATCTACTCGGCCTTGGTCTCGGCCTTCTTGGCGCTCTTGCGTGCGAGGATCGCCTTGCGATCAGCGTCGAGCCGCGAGGAAGTCAGCACGAGTTCTTGTGAAGGTTGTATCTCAATGACAAGGTGTGGGGCCGGCAATTTGCCATGTGGCGCCACCTTGGTCACTGTTTTTCAACTAACCTTGAGCGAGGTGATGACGACGTTCGAGGGAGCGATGCCGATGGGGACGGTGGCGGCGTTCGACTTCTCGACGTGGACCTGGTCGACGTGGATGACCCACTTCTTGCGGTAGACCTGGAAAACAGAGTTAGTATCGCGGTGAGGGAGGCGTTTGTCCCGCGCTGCTCGCACCAGACCAGCAAACTACCAGACAACCAACTCGTGTGTAAAGTCTCGAGGACAACGAAGGTTGGCTCCTAGGTAGCAGCGTGCGGTGCGAGCAGCGACGGGACCCAGCGGAGCAACGGCGCTTCACGCTTTTCGTAGGTAGCCTCGAGCGGACGATAAAGCGCCGCCTCCCCGATGCGATGGATACATACCTGGGTGACCTTGCCCTCACGGCCCTTGTACTTGCCGCGGACAATGAGAACCTCGTCGTCCTTGCGGACGGGGATCGAGCGGGCACCGTGCTCGGCACGGAGCTCCTTCGAGAGGGGCGAAGACATAATCTTGCGCTTGAGGCCCGAAGGGGCGGCGAAGTGCGCCTTGCGCGACTTGCGGCGGTCCGAAGCGAGGCCTGAGGGATTAGTATGTGGCTGCATCGCGAGATGTCACAGCGACAGTGACGGAAACGGCACACGGCGAACAGCGAGTTGGTGGTGTGTGGTCGGTGGTGGTCCGGGTGGCTGGAGACGGGGGATCAAAAGTTTTGGTTGGGTGGGCTTCGGTGTCACAGGACGCTGTTCACGTTGTTCACACCGGCCACACCTGCCAGAACCCTCTGCACGCTGCGTGTGCCATCCCCGACGCCATCCTTGTCCGTCTGGTCGCCGTGACCAAAACTTCAACAGAACCGAAGAATTTGTCTGGCGACCACCGCACGGCCCAATTTCCATCTCCCACACCACCGATTTCGCTGTTCGCTGTCGCTTGCCGTGTTGCACGATGCCATTGCCGTGTCCGTCGTCGTCGCTGCTCGAGGGTGTACGCACCGTTGGAGGAAGCCATTTTTAATCGATGGGTTGAAGGGTAGGGGAAGCAGTAACCAGTCTGAACGATTTGTCTACTGCAGCGAGGGGTGGGTCGCTGCGACTGCGAGGGACCGCGCACACGCCCAGCCAGTATGCTGCCACATTCGACGACGGAAGTAATTGGCCATTTCGCCGTATATTCCCGTCCATGTGACAACCACGCGGTCTATCGCCGAATGAGTGCGGGGCACCGCGGTGGAGGTGATTCACGCGGCACGAGTGATGATCCATGATCCATCAGTCGCCATCGAAGCCAGAGCACAAACGTCGCGACTCCATCACTTTTGGTGGTAGACTTTACGCCAGCCCTCTGTACCTCTGTCCATGTAGTTCATAGACTGATGACGGTCCCAGGTCTCTTCCACACTACCAACCTCGACCATCCATGTCTTACTACTCTGACAGCGACTCATCGCGCCACTGGAGCGACGACGCCAGCAGCAACATGACGGTCCCGCTGAACCCGCAGTTCATTCCCTGTGACTTGCACACGCAGGAAGCTGCCGAGGCACTTGTCGAGTTCTCCCACAGCTCTCGGAGGACCTCCTTTGGTGCCTCTTGGCCGCCACGATACAGTACATGGCTGGACGGGGAGTACGCGGACTATGACGGCGACAGCGAGGGATACAGCCAAAGCGACGATGAAGGTGAAGAAGAAGACCAGGATTACGACTGCTATGGTGGTGGAAGTGACACATATACTGTCCAGGAGGAAGAGTACGAGGATCAAGAGACCGAGGAATGGGAACAAGACTGGTCCGACGACGACGAACTCCAAGACTTGGTCGACCACCTCCACCAACAGCCCGTCCGCCCGCTCCTGCCCCGGTACATCCTTCGTGACCCGTTCCGCCATACGGAGCGTATACTAGTCGACCTGTTCACTCATATTATCCACGCAAAGCACGGCGCACCGCGGTTGGGAATGAAGTTCCTGAACAAACTGGTGGACAAGTGGTATCGGGAGGTTGGCGCAGGTGAGCTTTGAGTTTAGTGACACGAGCTGACAAAAAGCCGGCATACAGCCTGTTGTGGCTATAGCCTGGACGGAATTCTGCGCATGGAAGGCCCTCCACTGTGGCCTCACCGGCGACGTCTCCGTCGAGTATGTATTTATACTCTTGGGCATCCCACCTACATGCTGACGCTGGCAGAAACACTCGACTCGTGGTATGGGTTGCACTCACTCTCAGCGGAGCGCTCACCTCGGCCGATCGGCTGTTTGAATGGAGTATAGGGCTGTACACCAGTCCATGGTGGGCCTTGGCGTTTGTCCGGGACCTGGGAGGCGTGGGGTGGATGCTGTGGGGCATCCATTCGTCGTTTAAAGGGACGTACATTGCCATGGTCGAAATAGCAGAGGAGAAAGCTGCCCGCGCAGAGAATCGCGGGTCTCAACAAGGCGAGTGAGGGGCTTTGTTGCGCGACGCTCCATATGAACATGTGGTTCTACGATGAGTATCCAGTGATGCATGACAATCCTCAGCCCAGCCTTTTCGCGGTCCACTATCCGTGCTGCCTCGCCAACACCACCCATTTCGCCAATATTCCTCGTATTTTCCACATTTGTTCTCCGCGCACAGTGACCACCCACCCCTACGGCAGAGTACCACCGAGCCCCCATCTCATCGACTCAGCAGCAGTGAGAGCATGCTTGCGCTCCACGTTGGTTTGGTTGTACACTGGCCGCTCATGTGCCTAATATGCATATATCTATCGTTTCCTGAACGCGTTCTTGGACGCGCTACGTCCAGGGTGCCTGCGCTGGGTACGTCCACTACCGAGCTCGGCCTCGTCGTCCTCGTCATTGCCCTTCTCCAGGCCGGCACCAAACTTCTCCACTTTGCTCCGGCGGTACGAGCCGCCAGAGTACTCGTCCTCCTGGTCGTCGTGGATGCCCTCTCCGCGCTTGGCGTTGCCCGTCTTGGGCACAAAGGACATTTCCATGCCTCCGTCCGCGGCGCGGCGCATGGCGAGCACTCCGTCGGGCTTGTCCTCGGCCTTGGCCTTGCCGTTCTTCTTGGTGGCTTGCAGGCGCTGACCAAAAGTCTGCGGGCGGTTGGGCAGGTTGCCCTGCGCGCCGACGACGAGCTGGGGGCGGCGAGAACCAGACGCAACGGGGAAGGAGCGGGACGACGAGGCAGACTTGACTGCCGAAGGGTCGAACTGCATGACGTCTCCATCGTCGCTCTCCTCGGCGCCGCTCTCGGCGTCGCTCTCCTCGACATCGTCCTCGCTCTCGTCCTCTTCCTCCTCCTCGACATCCTCCTGCTCGGGCTCGTCCTCGTCGTCCTCGTCTTCGCTGAATCCGTCCGAGCTCGACTTGTCGCTGTCGTCCTCCTCGTCCTCGACAGCCGTCCTGAGGCGGCCGTTGACCAGCCTCGACGATGTAGCGGGGTTGAGACGCTGGAACGTGTCGGTCTCCTCGTTGATCTCGAAATCGGGGTTGGCGAACATCTCGGCGAAACGGGGGTCGGAAAGGAGCGAAGCCTTGGACGGCTTGGGCGCCTTCTTCTCGCCCTCCTCGTCGTCGTCCTCCTCGACCTGCATCTTCTCCTCTCCCTCCTCGGCGTCGCGAGCACGCTTGGCACGCTTGCGCTCCTCGACGGCCTCTTCGCGGTCGGCCTCCTTCCGCAGACGCTCGGCGAGGCCCTTGTTGACCTTGGGCTGCTCGCGCTTGGCGCGGATACGCGACTCCGACTTGGACGCCAGACGCTCGGCAACGACCTTTTCGCGGTGCTCGGCGTAGCTCTGGGGGTTGGCGATGAGGCGGGCGGTCGAGTAGAGCTTGAGGGCGAGGAAATAACCGTGCATGTACGGCTTGAGGGCTGGAGTACCGATGAGGTGGCTGAGGCCCAGGGTCTCGAGCTCGGCGCGGTCGACAAACTTGTAGTCGCTGTAAGCGCCCTTGCCGGCACCAGACATGTCCTCGGCGTTCTCCTCGGTGATCGAGTCGAGGAACGAGGCCCAGCGAGGGGCGGGGCCAAACTCGGGGATGTAGTAGGTCGACAATGGCGAAGCGTCGCATGCGACGAACATGAGGCCCGAGTCCGGAACGGGGTGCAGGTCAACGAGGGGGTTGGGAGGGTGGAGGGAAACGTGGTTGGTCTCGGGCGCGTTCTTGTCCCAGACCTTGATGACCTTGGAGTCGGCACTCACAACGCGGCCAGAGTCCTCCTGCTGGCCACCGCCGCGGAGCCAGTCGACACAGCGCACGGGTTCGCCGTAACCCTGGTCCTTGACGGCAAAGGGCGTAGAGCTACGCAAGTCGTACAGGAGGGCGTGGCCCGACGACGTTCCGATGGCGAGCGAGAGACCGTCTGTGGGGTGCGACTTGAGCGAGGTGATGGACAGCTTTTGGCGCGAGGCAAAGGGCGAGTCGGCATCGATCGACATGGCAGGGAGGAGGGTAGCGGCAGGGAGAGTGAGGCGGGTCAGAGCCGAACGCGAGCGGGGGTCCCAGAACTCGACGACACCGCCGCCACCGTCCAGACCAAAGCTCCACAGGCCGTGGCGAGGGTTGACGTCGAGGCAGTTGACGCCCTCGACCTCGCGCTCCATTCCATTGCCCCAGTTCTTTGCGACCTCGAGAGGAGCCATGTAACGGCCCTCCTCGAGGTTGAAGCGGAACACCTCGGTGCCCGTGCACGCAATGAGCGCATCGGTCGACGGCGAGTGGTAGCCGAGCGCGCGGCCGTAGATGGGGAGACGGATGGTGTGGTGCAGACCGCCCTGCGTATGGAGCTGAAGCGAACGGTCACGCTGTAGGTGAAGCGACTTTGTCCAATCGTTCGAGAGCAGGCAAAAGTCGACGTTCTCGGCGTCGGTCGTGCGCTCAAACTTCTCGGTGAGCTGCTCCAGGTCCCACACCTTGATCTTAGGCTTGTACGTGCCCGTGGCCATGGCGTGCAGACCATCGCCAGTGGTACGAATCTTGATCGCGGCCGTCGTAAAGCTAAAGTCTTGGATCAGCTCGAGCTGTCCGAGCTCGTGACGAGTCTTGGTGCGCTTCTTGTGGCCATCCTTGCGGGTAGGACGCGCCTTGACGGTCAACCACGAGGGGAGGGACGACGACGAGGTCGACGACGGTCCGTTGACCGTGTAGATCTTGGGGAAGGCGGTGGGCGCGGGCATTGTTACAGTAGCGCTCGTTGACGACTTGCCCGTAGTCGTTGTAGAGATGTGCTTGTTGTCGAGAACACACACACCGCCCTGCAAACCGAAATCTTTCTGGACCTCCTTGGGCGGCGACGGGAACAAATATCGAGTGCGGGGCCTCGGTGCTGTTACTTTCCCACGGGTGGTCCTTTCTGGGCGACGCGCAATGTCCTCTCGTCCGGCATATTGGGCTTCGTGTCCGTTATTGTGTTTGGTCACTCATCATCACGTCCCGACTCCTCCACAGCAAGAGGTCAGCCGTGGCCATGTCTCTGAGGCTATTCCCCAGGTTTGCGGCGGGTCTTACTCGGCCCACTGCGCACCCGCGCTCAATGGTCAGGCATGTCGCCACCACTGCCTGTCGCGCATCGCCGACCCGATCGCCTCCTCCGCGTGTTGGATCGCAGCAGTTCTTTACCCCGCTGCGCCCCAAGGCCTCGTTCGGCTCGTCCACGACTCACTCGGCTGCTCGTTCAAGTTGGGCACCTGTTTCGTTCACATCAACGTTCCTTCGTCGCGCATTCGCAACTGGGCGTGGTCCTCGTCCTGGCTACATCCAGATGGGAGGGCGGCGTCCGCCTCCTCCCGGGTTCCTTGAGAAGCTCCGTCGTCGTGCCGACAGTTGGGATCCGACCAAGGTCGTTTACGCGCTCATTGCCATTAATGTTGGAATCTACCTGCTGTGGAAGTATGCCGTCTATTCTTATGTGAGTGCCAGCCACCTCGCTACTCTGCTGACTCTTACAAGCAACGGTTCGGCGACGCGTCCCTGTTCAACGCCATGTACAAGAACCTCGTCACCAGCGAGGCCAACATCAAGGCTGGAAGGATTTGGACCTTGATCACCTCTGCCTTTTCGCAACGCGGTGATTCCCACATGCTCATGAACGGCATGGGCCTCTACTTTGTCGGCCCCGCAGTCGCAACGTACGTCTATTCTGCTCCAACCCTCTGCTGACATGTGTCAGTTCCCTTGGCTCTGCAGCCTTCCTTTCGCTGTATGTTGCAGGAGGCTTCTTAGCGTCCATTGCTTCCCTCACGTTCCATCATTTGCGAGGGGTGGACCCGAGGGTAGGCAGTGAGGGCGCCTCGGGTGCCATTTACACCTGCCTGGCGTTTTTCGGAGCCATGTACCCTCAGGCCCAGTTCATGTTGTTTTTCATTGTCCCCATGCCCGCATGGCTTCTCCTTTCGGGCATGTTTGGCGTGAGTCATTGTGGTTTCCTCTCCCCCTCACGTGTCCCACGTATATTGACCCGTCCAGTACGAGGGGTACCAGGTTGTCGCCAACCCCAACCGCAAGACCGACTCGGCAGGCCACCTGGGTGGTCTTCTTACTGGCGTGGCAGCGGCGTATGCCCTTCGCCGCGGTCACTTCCGCAGGTTTTTCAGGCTATAGACTGTAGACTGACCGGTTCCGCCACCCCTTGCATCAACACCACATGTATCGCCTCTCCACTGCACACCACCCATCAGCACTGCCTTGGTCACTAATCTCCTGTGCACATTGTTCACTTCTGATGGTGGCGCATGTCGCTCGACACTCATGTTCCTGGATGAAAGTGGTGTCGCAGTCTAATCATTCCAGTTGCTCTGGGTGGTATAAAACGTGGTGCGGATGGCAGCTGTCTCATCCTCATCAAACTGGCCATCCAGCCCCCGCCATCAAGCTCGACACTTGCTACTAACTCTTCAGTAAGGCGAACCAAACGCAAGCATGCCCAAGTGTGTCTTCGGTAGTGAGTAGCTGCACCGTCCTTTCTAAACAGTCTAACTGTTATCAGACCACTGTAGCCTCGTCCAGGACGGGATCATCTACACTTGCTCCGTGTGCGGTAAGACCTTCATTTGACAGGTCTTTCAGATGCAACGCGGTTGCCACTCTGGATGTTGATGGCGATGACGAAGAATGAACATTGTTGCGTCTGTGCTTCTGTTGCATTGTTTGTGAGTAGGGTTTTATTCCTAATATCCTCGGATAGCGAGGGGACGCCTGAAAGACATGTGGAGTGATCCCATCAAATACGCGTTAATGCTGGGACGCCGTCACGGGGAGGGACGGTCTTGCTCACTGATGAAAGAACGAGTCTCCCAGTCGCCTCTGCCACTGTTGCTGGTAGGGCGTACCACCAGCTGCTTTGAGGGATTGTTGCATCGGACAGCCTGTTATCCCTGATGTCCCTTCATGTCGGAGGCCACCTTGCGACATCCAGCTGCTGATGGACAGCCGTCAAGACCCCAATCAATCAATCACTGGACTCGAGCTGTCAAGTGGCATAAGAAGCGCGTCCACGTAACTCTTTCGCACCCACCATCCTCGCCATCCAGTTCTCCTCACCACCTTCCTCCACCTTCACAACTTCACAACCCACCCCGACCTCTCCCGTAGCAGCGCAGAGCAATGCCCAAGTGCCAGTTCGGTAGTCAGTTGTTTCTTGTGCCACTCTTGCAAAGACGGTTTGATCTAACAAGAGTCCAGACCAGTGTAAGTTCGCCGCTATTCTCAACAGCTACCCCCCGACGATGAGGTGCTCCCAGTGCGGCTTCACCTTCATTTAGGAGGTGGTTTGATGGGGGTTCGCAACGAAAAGGTAAAGAAGGCAAAGGCCCCAGAAAATAAAAATTGGCCGGAAAATCCAGGCCAGAAATATCATTATCAGAAACCCGCATAACGTGGGCGCAGGATGAATCAGCATATGTTGTCGCTGCATGTTGCTTGTTGCATAATTTTGAGAGAAGGGGCACCTTTGGGGGGGGGGGGGGGGGGGTCATAGCCGGGTAGAGAATCAGAGATCAAAGTACCCGGGCGCTTCCAAACGCCCACACACGGGACAATGGGTTTTACTGTTCGCCGTAAAACCCATTGCCCATCAACGTCAAGCCGAAGTCGACCCGACTCCCACAGAGTTTGACCGAAATCAACTGATGTGCCTGGCGAACTGCCCAACATCGGGCCGGAAGTGTTTGGCACAGTGCGTTTATCAGTGGTCGGAGAACCGAGTATGGCCCCCCGTAAGGCCATTCTTGCTCGCGTTATGCGTTTCGCGTTTCTCCTGGAGAACCGAGGTATACCAGGGACCGCAAGACCATTCTCTGGCGTTACGTGTTTCTCCAGGGGGGGGAAGATTGGGGGCGCATGCAGATCTCTATTTGCAGACGTTCTGGGTACACAGCCGTCATATATCAGCAATGCACTTTGTCCACGTCTCCTGGTGCACACCACAGTAGCTAGCAAGCGAACATGCAGTTGTTGTCAAGTAGAGACACGACTTTCTGGTGCTTTCCTGCTTCCATGTTCTAGCCACGCCTGGCCACGTCTCCTCAACGCTGTTAAGGTTTGATTAGCCCTGATTAGGGCCCTAATTGTAATGTCATTAACCTTTGGTGTCAAATGGAAGCTTTGGCCAGACTATTTTCCACCCGTGCCTGAGCGCGTCACGGCCAGCTCCGGAGCACCGAAACAGAATGTCGTCGTCGTCACTAAACTGGGCGGCGCATGTTCCACCATTCTTCACAGTCTTAGACCACCCACCTCTTCTTCTCGTCTTCCCATCTCACCACCACCTGGGCGCCGACCGACCCTTCTCGCCGCCAATCTGTCGGGAACAACATCGTCGCGCCCACCGGGCCGGGCCTCGGGGTCGCACGGCCATTCTCACCACCCTCCAAGACCCAGGAGTGTGTCATTGGGTTCCAGCTCTCCTTCTCCTTCACCTCCGTCCTCCCCACGCGTCAGTGTATCGGCGTTACCCCACACCCACGGACATGTGCACGGCAATGCCCATGCGGCGGGCGCTTCGGGCGCTTCCACGTCTGCAGCAGCCATGGTAGCAGCTGCAGCGGTGCGCGACAAGCGTCGTACGTCATCGCGTTCCGGGTCTGGCCGACGCCTGTCCGCCACGACAAAGACGACCCACCCCATCGCGCCTTGGGTGCTGGAGTATCAAGGCTCAGCGTCCAGTGCCGCATTCCCCATGAGCGCCGACGAAGGTCCTGACCAGAACGGCTTTGTCTTCCTCAACGCCGACGACACCGAGGCGGAACGCGCAAAGACGCGGAAACGCGGTCAACGCGACTTGCCGCCGGCGCCCGAACGACGAGCGGATTCCCCCCGACCGCTAACGTCAATGATGGCGGCGACGCGAGATCGGGTAGCAGCAAAACGCGTACCCACCGACGTGGCACAGCACCCCTTGCCTGCTCGCATAACTCTCCTTCCACGGACGATTGGGGTGGGGCCGCTGCAGTACACTGTGACACGGCGACGGTGCGAGACGGGGCTACTCCTCAGCGCCGTTGTCGTGGGTATTGTGCGACTGGCATATACGTGGAACGAGCGGGCAGTCGCTGGAGGTGAGCTGCTCCTGACTACCACGCGACCCGAAAGCTGACCCATCAGAACTCTCCTCGCTCCTAATCATGAGCATTGTCTATGTCACCTTCCGGGTTCGACGGATTGTCCCCACGTCGCCGTCGTCACCTCATGTGCCGCTGGCGCCGATCACACCGCAGCCCAAACGGTCGGGGTCTCTCCCGACAGAGGCCAAGTCGGAGCGGTCGCGAAAGACGAGTATGCCAGCAGCCCGCTCGTCGGGGTCGCCGCGATCGGGGACACTGAGCCTCGAAGACGACGCCCCCGTTGGTGTAGGCGGACACGGCTGTGTCTGGGGCACAGAGGACCGAGAGTACCGGTAGGTCAACTGGTGCTGTTTGATGGGCTAACAGTGCAGCGAATGCCTCGACGACGGAGCTCTATTCGCGCTCCTCCTCGCACCTCTGACGGCAGCGTCCATGCTCCATGGTTCATTGACGCGTCTCAAGTCTGAGCCTGGCTCGGCCGTGTTACCAGGCTGGGTCATCGAAGCGCCATTGGTCATTCCCACCACACCCATCCGTCGCATCTCTGCCAGTGTGCCCAGCACATCGACCGAGGCTATCCGCGCACTATCTGCCCTGGCCATCTCACGCCGTAACCTCGTCCAGCTCTTCACCCTTCTCTCGTTTGTTCTCCTTATCCACCTCACATGGTCATTGCGCAAGGAAGTGATCCTCGCCAAGGCGTCCGGGAGGACCCCGTCGTCTCCCAACGCCCTCCAGACCGAGACTGAGAGCGACGCACGAGCCACGCCGACGTACTGGCTGCGGCGCGGTGAGCTGCGGCGCAACTTGTCCGTCATCGGGTTCTCGTTCCTCGTCACTGGCTTTTCAGTTATTTTCAAGATTGTCACCGCCTATGTCGGGCATGGCGTTTGGAGCGGTTAGCTACTTGCGCCTCATTCCCAGCTGACGTCAGACATGTCCCATTCGGACATTATCCTCGCCACGCTCTTCTACCAGTTCTGTCTCTACGTCTGTGTCCGCCTCGCGCGCCGTGGCTTTACGCTGGGCGAGCTGGGTATTGTCACCCACGCGGCCACGGCGCTGTTCATGGAGACTGTCAACATTACTCGCTCCAAGGTGAGCTCGGTGTCGCCTGAAACGCTAGCTCACTCCAGATCTCCGTGTTCAGGACGCCGTACATCAAAACGTATCGTCTCCCAACCCCACTGCTCATCTTTCAGCTGGCACTCATCCCCGGCTCGCTTCTGACCGGTATCCTCCTTTCGCCGCTGCTCTACCTCTCGCGGCACCTCGCCCAGCGTCCAGTACATCGTTTGCGCTTCCCGCACGAAAAGCCCACCCATCGCCGTCTGCTAGCTATCGGCTTTTATGCCGGTGCGGCCATTGTCGTCGTTGGCGTTGTGGGCGTGTGGGCGCGGTGGTGTCTCGGCTGGCGTGACCCATGGATCTGGACCATCTTCTTCCTTCTCGATGGCATCCACGTGTGGACTCGCCCAGCGCTCATCGCGTACTGGGGTGCGCTTGCCCTGTTTGGCGTCGCGGCATGGCAGCGGCAGCTGTCTCGCGCACGCCGGCACAGGCGATACATTCCCCCCGGCGCCGTCCGCGACTCTACGTCGTCCACGTCGTCGGCGGGCTCCATCCCCCCGGCACACGTGTACCCTTCGGGTGCCAGCGCGGTGGCTACGCAGATGATGGACGCGGCGGACCAGCGCATGCCCACGCTCTCTGTCAACGCGCGCCGCAAGTCGTTCCACGCGCTCGCAGTCGCCATGTTCATCCCGGGCATGGCTGTCGACCCGGCATTCACACACCTGTCATACTCGGTCGCCTTTGCCGCATTCACGTTTGCAGAGTATGTGCGCTATTTCGCCCTGTGGCCCCTAGGCGCCAGCGTCCACCTGTTCCTCAACGAGTTCATCGACCACAAGGACTCGGGTACCGCCATTCTGAGCCATTTCTACCTGTTGGCCGGGTGTGCCACACCGCTTTGGCTCGAGGGGCCCTCGCCGATCCTGGCCTTCTTCGGCGTCCTGGCCCTCGGCATCGGCGACGCCGTCGCGTCCATCGTAGGCCGCAAGATCGGGTACGCGCGCTGGTCGCCTGCGAGCGGCAAGACGGTGGAAGGGTCCGCTGCGTTTTTGGCCAGCGTCGTCGCCAGCGCGGTCCTCATGTACTTTGTCGGCGCGGTGGACGAGTTTGCCTTTGTCCAGTTTGTGACTACTACAGTGCTCGTCACCCTCATGGAGGCGTTCTCGGCGCAAAACGACAACTTGGTGCTCCCCGTGTATGGATGGGCGGTAGGCACGCTCCTGGGCGTGTAGGTTGGGATTAGAGTGGTTAATAATGTGGGACATGTCATTCGTGCGGCCCCTTGCATGGCTTGTACCTCGTCAATACCGGTGACCTCGACAGCAGATCGCAGAGTGCCCGCTCGATGCTGCGCCGAAGCAACTCGGCCCGAGTGGTCACTGATGTGACGGGTCATGGTGGGTTGAGGGTTGGTTCTATCGCAATTAGCAACCCAAGAAAGCACATGTTGCAGGGCCCGAGAGCGAGATCATCAAGCGATCAAGGGCATATGCAAAGCAACCCTCAAACGAACAAAACAAGCACAGAAAAAAAAACGCACGCACACAACGAACCGCACGCCCAATGGCAAACTGCGCACGAATGTTTCCAACACACGAGTCTGTCCCGCCGGATGCACTGCACACCTGATATCCGCAGGAAGGGACCAGATCGTCCACCCATATCGCCATATCCCATGCCACCCATATGGCAATCGACGACCGACGAGCCCCTTGCCGCCACGACCGCCACCGGGCTGTGAGGGCCTCGGAGACGGCACAACCACGGATCCCTGGGGGTGGGTGCGTGGGTAGCCGGGTTTTGCCTGAGGCAGGCAGCTGCACAGCTGTGCAGCTGTAGCTGCCTCCAAGCTGGCTGGGATGGTTGACGCCGGGTTTCCACTGGCCACCAGCTCACGAATGCGCAAGAGGACACGCGAAACGCGACTGGTGACAAGACAAAAGGCCAAAAGGACGCCACCCAGCGTCCACCGCCGGGCCGCGCGCGCCTGGGGTACGTGGGTACACGCCTGGGTACGCGTGGGCGGCGCCGAGGTGCGCGCCCACAGAGCCCAAATGAGCGTGGCGAGAGGTACAGGCGCGTGCTGGCGCACCGCGCGACCGGGGCGCGTTCTGCGCGTGTCTGGAGAGAAGCCCGATGCATACCACTAAGGCTACCGGTGAAGCCATCATGGAGAGGGGGATGATGAGGTATGTCGGATGAGTGAACCTGGAAGGAAGCTGACCGTGTGCTTTTGTGTGTTTAGGGCAGATCCGCAGAGCCGGCGAGAGGCGTTGCGGCCGTTTGCCTCTCTGCCTCTCTCTGCGTCTTTTTGCGTTGGGACCGAGTGACTAACCGGCCGGCCTCCAGGGTGGGTGGGTGTCTTGCCGGGAGGAGAGAAAGGGTGTTGCGGCATGTTGCCAAAACCCGGGCAAACGCTGGCCGTGCGCCGTAAAAAGCAGACGACAGAAGAGCACGGCTGGATGTGAAGAGAAGCAACACGATCTGTGCACAGATGTCCTCTCTGTCTCGCAGTGTCGGCTTTGCATGGCGGGGAGATGTGCAGCAACGACGACGGTACGACGACGGCACCCACACCATAAAATACGGTTTAACGGTTTGCGGCCTGAGCCGCCATACGCTCTTTGTGTCCCACCCGGACCGCGACTCCCTGTTTCTCGGCGTGGCGTGGGGGTTGTTCAGGGAAGTGCCGGAGCGCCAAAGTGTCATCTCTCAATCTCTCCCTTTGGTGTCGCTCGATCGCACTCTGTGTTTTTGGGTGTACGCGCGGGAGAGGAAGGAGAGAGACAGATGCAACGGCAGAGACAGCAACGAGCATCTCTCCTTGCCGGGTGGACGCGATTTTACATGTGGTTGGGTCGCATTTGTCGCACTTGTCGCACATTCCTCAAATCTCCATCGACCCAGACCCCATCCCCCACCCCCCACCAGTCTCTTGACACCACACACACACACACATTCTCACTCACTCTCTCTGTGTCTCTCACTCCCACCCCACCACCCATCACCCACCTTTTCCCCCGCGGCCCCTCGGCAGCCGCAACCACACCACCTGCCATCCCGTCTCTACTCCCCCGGTCCTCCCAGTCGTCAGCCGCCCAGGCCGCCGCAGCCATGGCGCTAGGCAAGGCCAACTCGAGCCAGAGAAAGGACGGCAAAGACCGCCCGGCCCCATCATGGGACTATCCAGAGTGGAAGGAGCGCTACGACTTTGCCGTCGCCCAGCGGCCCAAGAAGGGCACAGAGCGCAAGATGGCCATCCTCACCAACATTATCGAGAGCCGGCCCATGTTCAGTCTCTTTTCGGGCAAGGAGCGATACTTTTTCACGCAGTTCAACTGGACAGACGACGACGGGCGCGATAGGACAGTGAGTCGGCGTGCGCGAGGAGAAGGAGAAAGATCAGACGATACGATGGCTAGATACACACTTGTGCTGACACCGCCATGTCCAGACATCCCGCGACGACGTTGTCAAGACGTTTCTCACGTTCCTCGCGCACTGGGTGCCCGTAGAACGTCTGAGCCTCGACCTGTGGTTCCTGCTGCAAGAGGACCGCGTCGAGGCCCTCCAACACCGGCCAATCTACGCCGAGGCCAAGGAGATGCTCAAGCTGCTGGACGGGCCCAACAAAAAGCTCCACCACCTGTGCGGCGGGTACGGTATCAAGCTCGACTTTCTCGCCGACTGCGAGGAGCAGTGCCGCATCCCCTCCAAATGGCGCAAGCACGAGGGCCCATACGACATTGCCACGCTGCGCGAGCAGCCGCACGTCCGCCTCGTCCGCCACGAGGGCACCATCACAGACTATCCCTTCCGCGTCGCCGAGGAGCTCAAGCGGACCGGCTGGCCAAGGGACCCGGAGCACGACGCCCTCATCGCCGAGGCGAGGCGTGTCCGCGACCAGCTCGCCACTGCTGCGGGGCTCACACCGCACTCGACGGTCAACCTCTTGAAACAGAACGGCAATGGCATCGGTAATGGCAACGGCCGCCTGGGTCCCATGTAAGTACAGTAGGCCGGCGCGGGCGGGAACATGGCGCAGCTGCTGACAAGTCTTCCACAGGAAGGGCGGGTCTCTCTCGACCATCTCCCAGCAGTCGTCTGGCAGCCTGCTCAGTGGCCACTAGGCAGACGCGCCACTGATCCACTGAGCGTTTTTCCCTTTTATTTCACCTTTCCGATATACATACCACAAAACACAGGATGGCGTAGCGAGCGCGCATACAGGGCAGAGGTAGTTGTTTATAGTAAGCCGATTAGTGCTGGGTCGTAGAGACGAGAAGAGGGTCACGGAGGAAGGGGAGCCACTACTGTTACGCGAGCGCGCGGACAATGGAGGCGTTTCACAGATTGTACATGGTGATGCAGGACAGGCCATGGTCTTGGGCTTTGGATACTACTGGTGCTTGCTGTCTGTGCGTACGAGGTCCACTCACGCACTCATAGCCAGTCATGCCCATATATGGCTCGTGGCCAATGGCATCGCCCCTGTTTGCAGTTGCACAGTTGCCGCTCCCCTGGTTGCTTGCAGCGAGCCTTGTCTTGTAACATGGCATGTTTCCAAGAATGCGCGCAGACGCTTATGAACATGAGCCAGGCGTTCTGCAAACGAGCCAAAGCGTCTGCAAGCGAGCTGTACCTTCCCGCCGGGCCACATTGTCTTTCCTCTGCCCTCCGCTTCACGTTGCCCATGTGTGCAGTGTTGGCGCCAGAGGGAAGGGAGAGGGACGACACACCGGGATCCATCACGTATCGCGCGTCGCGCACCCGGCGCAACTGGCTCTGAGCTTCGCTCCCCGACGTATCCTTCCATCCTCCTCCTCCACTCAGCAACAAGCAAGCGACGCAGCCAGTGCAACGCACAGCCAGTGGCCACAGCCGAGAGGCCTACTTTTCCAGTGCCTGGTGGCCGACCACGGGGACACGGCGACCACGTCGCGATGCTGCCTGTCAAGGGGAGGGTCGTCCCGCCGTCCACAAATATTTATTGCCAAAGCAAGTACGCAAGTCTCCAGACACCCTCGTCGCCCCCCAGCACTCGTACTCTTTTTGGGTGGATGAAACACGCAACGTGGAGGTTGGGACGAGAGTACGTACCGGGTAGCATGTGCAGATGAAGTACGACGGCTGGGCACATGTTGTTCGGACGCGGGCGGAGCTCCGTCGGAGGCGAACAGGAGGAGAAGGTGACAACTCATGTGGCGAGGCCGTGGTTGAGTATATCAGTTATGCGCATCGTCTATCCACGGTACCACGGTGGCTCTTTGCTGTGTGCGGCATTGTGTAAATCGCCTCCAAAGCCGTATTGGACCGCGCATGACCTGACCGTGCCCAGAAATGTGCACATGCCCACGCTGGAGAGGCCAACCTCTGTACCTATGTACCTCTGTGCACCACACGACCAGTGCGGGGAGACGTCGCCGCTCTTAATGAACTTTGCGCGTCTCGCTCCCCCGTATCCTCGGTCCTAAGGACCTACGGGTAAGGCTTGGCCAAGGAACGCAGGTCCTGTACGTCAGCAGCTAGGTGGGCCGCGCTTTGCGTACAGTCCAGTACGTGTTGTACCTTTGCTTGGAACTTGAATGCGGGACAGTTAATTCAGCAAAAAAGAAAAAGCCAGACAATAACGCAACAAGCTGCTTTTGCGAACGGCAGGTACCGTCGCGTTTGCTTTCACACACTCCCTTCCCCTCTCACTCATTTCATCGTGTTGGTTGCAGGTTGTTTGAGTCCCCCTTTCGCCACCAACCCGACCTTCTCTCTGGTCTAGGGGATCTTTGGGGACCGGCTTTACAATTTCCGAAGTCACGGCCTAATGACTCTGGGTATCCATTTCAAATGCCCGCACTCACAATTGATTTGAATTTCGTTGATTAAACTGGCCGATTAAACTACTTGCAACTTGGTTCGTGCCTGAAATGTCGATTGCGCGATTGTGGATCCAGATCCAAAGTCGCAACTCTTGGTCCCATCGCCACCTCTCTGTCATCCACAACACGCGCAATGTCCGACTCCAACACCGTCTGTGTCGACTGTGCCCCCGACCACACGCACGGGGCGTCTGCTTCTGCGGCTGCTCCTGCCCCGGCCGCTGCCCCCGCGCCTGCGTCCAACGCAACCGCCGAGGCCGCAGCGGACATCCCTCAGCCAACGCTCACCACGCCGCACGTCTTGATCGAGTACTGTGACCGCTGTCGATGGTGAGTGGTTCTCCTTGTGGATATGTCCTTGTGGCTATGTCCTTGTCTATGTGGAGCTTGAGCAGAGTCGCGGGACAGCAATCCCTCCCTGTGCCGCTATTATCAACAGCTGCGTGACCTCCGCGAATGTCAACAGCTGGTTGGCTCCCTCACGCTAGCTTCCACTCTCTTACGACCAAGCTATCCGCACACGCCGCCCATTGGCGGTATCCTACTATCCTACTAACCCTCTCCACAGGGCGCCGCGCGCGAGCTGGACCTCGACCGAGCTCCTCCTCACCTTCCCCCCGCCCGTCATCAAGACGATCACGCTGCAGCCCCTCAACACCCCGGAGACGGGCGGGCGGTTCCGCGTCTGGGTCGACTTGGGCGACAACGCCGGGTTCAAGCTGGCATGGGACCGTAAAGTGAGTCGAGTTGGTGGTGTGTGTTGGGGCTTGGGCCTTGAACCAGACTGTGCGCTGCCGTGTCGTTGTCGGAAGCGCTCGTGTTCCTTGGTCCTGCCATCTGGCCTGGCCCTGCTCTCCCATGTTCTTGTTCAGGTTCCACGATGGAGTGGTCTAACCTGTCCAGTCTGAAGGCGGCTTCCCGGAACTCAAGGTGCTCAAGCAACGTATCCGCAACCTCGTGCAGCCCGACATGTCGCTCGGCCACTCGGACGGACACAAGGCGCAGCCGGCGCCAGAGGCTCAGGCATGATCGCGTTCCTGCCCATACTTCTAGCATCATTATTATCGCACACACCGACCCCACACTGGCCACACTCCTACTGGAGGACACACTATACTCTATGCTCTACACCCGACACCCTACACATTCTTACACACGGCTGCTAGAACCCGGCAGTCTTATCCAAGATGGCCGCAAACCGTTCTGGCTGCGGCGCGGGGAAGCGTTTTGGTGCCGGCGTCGTGTCGTCGACGGTGAGGACGCGGCGGAGACCGTCGAGCAGGGAGCTGAGGCGGGTGTCAGTAGAGTGGTATTTAGCAGCGAGACAGCATGAACCGCATTGGACCATGCGGGCGTGAGCCTCGTCCTGGGCCGGAGGCAGAGGTAGAGGCAGAGGCAGGGGCAGATCGGCAACTCACTCGACATCAGACACCGTCAGGTACTTGCCCGCCGCGAGCGCGCCGGCGAGCTCGCGCTGGTGGTCGTCCATGAGTGCCGGGTTGGGAACGACGAGGAGGCGTGGAGGGGGCGACTTTCGCAGTACTTCAAGGATCGTTCCAGATCCTAAGCCGGGTATTGTCAGTTGCTGTCTAGACCACACCCACGTCAGAGAGGCAGCTGCTTGAGGACACCCACCGGCATGGCTAACGACGACGCCCGCGCGCGCAATCAACGCGTCCATCTCCCTGGCCCCCTTCGTGTACCGCAGCACATCCACACGCAGCTTGCTGCCGTCTCCTCCATGGGTGAACGCTCCCTCGCCAGCGCTGGAGAGTTGCAGCTGGACAGCCGCGGGAAGCTGAGCGCTGCCGAGCTGGACGACAAGGTCGCTGACGCCCAGCTGCGGGAGGGCGTCGAGGACGGCCGGGGCGAGCACGGCGTCTGTGAGTTGCTGGAACTGGGTCGAGCCCACTGTGACGAGGAGGGTGGTGGCCATGGTGGGGAGATGGAGAGAAAGTGACAGGAATGGGACGTGGTCTCAACAGTGCCTGGACCGCCGGCATCCATCGTCGTCACCACACAGTCGCGCACATGTACCGGGCCCTTCGGGCTGGACCGCCCCTGCTGCTGCGAGGGAGTCAGCCAAAAGTGGAGGTGGTTGCCGAACGGTCTCCTGTGCTGACTCGAGAGATATCTCGCTTTCTCTCTCATCTCTATCCACCTCTATCCATCTCTCTTGCACGATGCTGCCCCCGCCCATCAACTTCCCCAAGTGGCTCAAGGAGAATGGCCACCTCCTCAAGCCCCCTGTCGGTGCGTATCCCTCCGTGTCATGGGTGACCTTTTTGGGGGTATTGTTCGATACAAGGCTTTGCGAGATGTCGCCGAGCGTGGCCGAGCATGCGTCAACGCTACCTCACATACGCGTCTCCGCCAGTGTTGGGCGTGTTGCGGCTGTGTGAGGGGTGGTACACGCTGCCGCCCCGTCTGTGAGGTTCCGCACCTCGTCACGCACCAGCAAACCACTCTATCTGCCCCCATCCACATGACACACCCACCTTCTCCCCCGCTGACACACCCCAGGCAACAAGTGCATGTACAAGGGCGAAAACTTCATTGTCATGATCGTCGGTGGACCCAACACGCGTACCGATTTCCACATCAACACTACTGAAGAGTGGTTTTACCAGTACAAGGGCGCCATGACGCTCAAGGTCGTCGACGAGGGTGTCGTGCGGGACATTATCATTGAGGAGGGCGACTTTTTCCTGCTTCCTGGTGAGTACAGGAGCACCCGAGGTTGTCAAGTCTATATCTGCTAGGAACCTGGTAGTCTACAGCAGATCGTAGACGAGGGTGTGGACAGCTTAAGCGTCGACGGTGAATACACAGCTGACCTCACCCCAGCCAACACCCCGCACTCGCCGCGCCGTGTTGCCGACACCATCGGTGTGGTCCTGGAGATGGTCCGTCCAGGCGACGCTCTCGGTGAGTAGTCCCACTAACCGACCTGGCTCTCCGCAGCCAGCTCCCGACCCAGCGTATACCGTGGAACCTCCCCAGCTGACACAAACCAGACACCATGAGGTGGCTGTGCCCCAACAAGGCCGCGCACGGCGAGGAGCTCGTCGTCATCCAAAACGTCCAGTTCTACTGCTCCGACCTCGACACGCAGCTCAAGCCCCACCTCGACAAGTGGATGGGCGACGAGGAGTGGCGCCGGTGCCCACAGTGTGGCGTGGCCGCGCCGGCAAAGTAGAAAAGCAGGCCGTAGGTCGTTGGGAACCAGCGTGATGGGGATGGGGAGGGGGTAAGGGATGGGATGTAGGGCACAGATGTAAATGGATGTACCAGAGCCTGTCATTGCTGCGCTCTCACTCTTCTTCGCCACGCTCACCGCTCTTGCTCTCGCTCGCTCCAGGAGTAAATGCATACAAGGGTCAACACATATCTATTCCCGCCCCGCGCCGCCGCCTCAGAACATGGTCTCTTCGTCTCGCAGGTACTCTCCCACATCGGCTTGGTGGAAGACGACGATACCGGCCGGGTCGAGGTCACGCGTCTGGATGGTCGAGCGGGCCGTGGCGCCAAAGCCGAGGGGCACGTCGGCCATGGAGAACACCACGACACCCTGGTGCTCGGGAGTGTCCTCGGTGATACGGCCGAGGTGGGCCTTGAGGACGTGGTTGCCGTACAGGAAGGGAAGCTCACCAGTGGGCTTGACCCAGACCTGTGAGGGTGGGTTAGTGGGGAGCGACAAGGGGGAGAGGAGGGAGATGGAGAGGATGGCGACAGCTATGCTGAAAAGAATGACAGCTGTCGCTGCAGTGCCGCTGCTGCTGGCTCGTAGTCAGAGGTAGGCAAAGGGACAAGTTCTTGCCACCTCCACTTGACGAGACCAGCACCGGCACATCCGTCCATCATGTCCCGAGCAAGCAGTACGCACCTTGTACTTGGCGTACTTGGCCAGCCAGTCGAGGGCGGTCACGCCGAGCTTGAACTTGCCCGACTTGGAGAACTTGCCCATGCAGGTGCCGAGCGAGATGAGGTTGGGACGGGCCACCGAGGTCGCGAGGTGGAGCATCGGGAGCGGGAGGTAGTACACACTGGCACACAGGTCAGCCAAAACATCCGGCAAGAAGGGGGACAGCTAGAGCGACGACAACAGAGGCCATAGCTGCAGAGATGCACTTACCGGTCCTTGTGGAGACGGAAGCAGTACTGGTCATCCTCGTCGCGGTCGATGAGGTGGACAATGTTCTTGCCAATGTAGTTGGCGAGCTCTGTTCGCAAGTGGTCAGCGTTCGTTCGGGCAAGGACAGAGCGTGAGGGGGCTCTGTGGACGCACTCTCAAAGACGGCCTTGGTCTCGTCCTCGGTAAGGGGCCTCATGGTGTAATGATGTCAAAGGTGGTAATAATAAGAAAAGACACACACACGCTGTTGGTCGTTGTTGTCGCATATCTTCACCTCCGCCCAGCCGACCACGCCAGGGTTTGCAGAAATCTCAGCGAGGAACGCCCATGAGCAGATGGGCGGAAGACGGGATAAATGATAAATATAAATAGGAAATAAATATTCCACGTGGCTCCAGCCTCATCCTGAGGACGCGCGGCGACGACCATGACGAAGCGCTCGCTGGTGATCATACACGGGCAGCAACAACCATCAACGACACCTCTCTGCTCTCTCATTCTCTAACGGATATCGGGAAACGGCTCACAAGACAGTCAACACAGTCTTACACACCGTCCCACCATGGTGAGCTATGGTACCAAAAGAGTTTAGCTGACTGTCCAGTTCCGCAACTCCTACGACTCCGACAACACCACCTTCGTATGTCTCGCCGCGCGCCAGGTGTCGCTTTGCGCCTTCCTCATCACTCGCGCACCGCGCAGTGTGAACACTCAGAGGACATGCAGCTGACATGCTCCTAGTCGCCCCAGGGCAAGCTCCACCAGGTGGAGTACGCGCTCGAGGCCGTCAAGCAGGGCTCGGCTGCCATCGGTCTGAGGTCCAAGACGCACGCCGTCCTCCTCACCCTCAAGCGCTCGACCGGCGAGCTGGCCACGTACCAGAAGAAGCTCATCCGCATTGACGACCACGTCGGTATTGCCATTGCTGGCCTCACCAGCGATGCCCGTGTGCTGAGGTGAGTACCGCAGTAGCTGGGATCAGAGCATCCGTGGATCTCTGCCAGCTGCTCGCACGCGCTGTGTGTTGTGGTTATGCTCACACCCACAGCAACTCTATGCGCCAGCAGGCCATGCAGTCGCGCATGCTCTACGGCCGCCCCATCCCCGTCGCCCGTATTGTCCAGACCATCGCCGACAGTGGGTTTCTTCTAGTCCGCGATGTGGAACATGCTAACCCGTGCAGAGGCCCAGAACAACACCCAGATCTACGGTCGGAGACCCTATGGTGTCGGCTTCCTTGTTATTGGCGAGGACGTGGGTAATATTCTCTTAGCGCATGGCTGACCCAGACAGGAGACTGGCCCCCACCTCTACGAGTTCTCGCCATCGGGCACCGCGTTCGAGTACTATGCCCACTCGATTGGCGCGCGTAGCCAGTCGGCCAAGACGTACCTGGAGAAGAACTTTGAGTCGTTTGAGACCTGTCAGTTATACTCACTGTGCCAGCTCTGTGAAACTGACACTATCCCAGCCGACCTGCCCGCCCTCATCAACCACGGTCTCTCGGCCCTCGCCGACACCCTGCAGCAGGACAAGCACCTCACAACGCTCAACACCTCCATTGCCATCATCGGCCCCGCGTCCGCCGAGATTGAGCAGGCGTCCTCGGGCGCCGCCCGTCGCGGCTACTTCCGCGTCTGGGAGAACGACGACATTGACGGCCTCCTCCGCTCGTGGCGCAGGAGCCGTGGCGAGCCCGAGGACGGCCCGCAGGAGGAGACTGCCGCCGAGGCCGAGGTTGCGGCTGCTGGTGAGGAGGCTGCTGCTGCCGCCCCGGCCCCCGTGGCGGAGACCGAGCAGGCGGCCGGTGGTGACGACGTCGAGATGCAGTAGAGAAGAGACTCCCATTGTGATGTATTGGCATGATATGTGAAGGAAAGAAAGAGAGAACGCAGTGGTTGTGGGTACGCGCCAGCCAGTCGGGTTTCCAGTGCCTGTGGCCTGTATGACGTTTGAGCGGTGGCCAGTGGACACAGAGCATGGGTATGACCTGAACGCTGCGCCAAGCCAGACACGCTGGGGTACGCTGGCGTGGCCCAAGTGTCCAACAGGTGGAGGCTCTTTGCGACAGTGACTGGGCGAGTGGCAGAAGTGCCGCCTCGAACGCACCAGCACCGTACAGCCTCCGTCTACCTCCACTCCCTCCCCGACGGTCCACCGACTCGCCCGCCGCCCGGTGCTCGGTACCATGCGCCGCCGTGCAGCGTCGCCAGCGCCGAGTCCACTGGGCGTGTACGGGCCGTCGGCCAGGAGTGACAGCAGTATAGTGATGACAAAACGGGTGACCACGGAACTCGCCAGAATGTTGAGCTTACGTAATTATTTCTTTCGGTGGTTCGCGGCCTGCCGACAGAACGCGGCCGTCTCGGCAAAGGGAAAGAACGGAGGGGGTGATATTTCAACCGGCCAAGGGAGGTCATCTTGTTGCTTTCTTCTCCATTCCTTTTGCCACCTAACCTCATCCAACATGCCCCGCTCGGTGAGTCTAGCTCGTCGTCGCTGGCACGAGGTAGTGCTGGGCCACCTGCCCATCACTCCCTCCTAGCGACCAACCACTTTGTGGCCTCTGGCTGACCCGTGGTCCCCTCTCCAGTCCCGCTCGTCCGCCCGCCCTTCGGCGTCCACCTCCCGCCCGGCCCCCGCCCAGCAGCAGCGCCAGGCGTCGACCGCTGCCTACCCCCAGCAGCACGCTCCTGCCCCCGCTCCTGCGGCCACCCACGCCCCCGCTCCCCAGCAGCCCGGTCTCCTCGCCCAGGCCGCGTCGACCATGGGCGGTGCCGTCGCCGGTTCGGTCATTGGCCACGGTATCTCGAGCATGCTCTTTGGCGGCTCGTCCAACGCCCAGGCCGCGCCCCCTCCCCCCTCGGAGCTGCCCGCCCAGTCGCAGGCTCCCGTTAACGGCGCTTCGTGCGACATCCAGGCCAAGGGTGAGTCATGACGAGTGCCGAGGCGCCGGGTGGGTGTTCTGCCATGTTACACACCACCCGGGCAGCTAGCAGTATGTCGGTACCGGTTTTAGCTGACCCGTTTTGCAGACTTCACCAAGTGCCTCGAGGCCACCAACGGCGACATGAACTCGTGCTCGTACTACCTGGAGGCCCTCAAGGCCTGCCAGGCCGCCGCCCGCCCTTACTAGATGTCTCGCGAACGCATAGCATAGCAGCGCGCATGTGTGTCGTTTTTTGCAAGAGAGTAATTGGGAATCAGTAGCATGCACATCATTTTTCACAGTGAACCAGAGGGGAGCAGAAGCAGAGAGTCAGTTAAAGGAGGGCAGTGGTGGGTTGTGTTTTCTCGTTCATTACAGTCACGACCGTTGCGCACGTTGGCGGCAGTGCCCATTCCTTTTGAGGCGGCACGTTCCTCAAATGCGGGGGTGGCCACTCAAATGCTCTGTATTTGGCTCTTCACTGTCTGGTGATGGGTGCTATGCATATGAAGTCTTCCACTCGCCTACTCGTCTCGGTGTTCCGCCTAATGCATACCGAGTTTTCACGCGCGCTTCTTGGCGTGGTACATGTAGTTGCAAAGCTCGCCCATGCCCTTTGCCCACGTACCCTCTACGCCGGGCCAGAGTCTCCACCGGCCGCCGAGGGGGTCATAGATGATGCCGCGGGTTTCGCCGACCTCGCCGACGCGGATATCGCTGGCGTCCTCGTTGGCCTCCCACACGGCGTGTCCGCCCATCTCTTTAGCCACGAACCGGCGCAGCTCCTCGGGCCGGACGTACTTGTGGTAGTGGTGTGTTCCGGGCGTGACGAAGCGGAGAATGTCCTCGGCCATCGTAATGGTCAACAGCTGGGCGAGAGGGGTACGCGAAATAGTCGACATGGCGAGGTGGCCACCGGGCTTGACCATGTCGCCGAGACACTTGAGAAACTCGCCAGGCTGGTCGACGTGTTCCAGGACCTCCATGCTGCACACGACGTCGAACTTTTCGCCAGCGGCGTGGAGCGCCTCGGCCGACGTGTGGCGATACTCGAGGCGGCCCGGGATGGACGCTGGAGTCGAGGGCCCGGCGCCGTGCTCGTCCACAAAGGGGAGCAGCGGGTCGCACGAGGCGTGGGTGCGCGCAATGGCAATGTTGTGCGCCGAAGCGTCAATCGCCACCACGTCGCCGCCGAGGCGCGCAAGAGTCTGTGTACACATTCAGCATATACCCCTTCCCTCCCACCGGAGTGTTCAATTGACACCCCCACCCACCTCGGCAAGGAGACCGCCGCCACATCCAACATCCAAGCACCTCTTGCCCTCGAGCCACCGGCCGGAGCCGCGCGCCTCGTCCCGGCGCTTGTCGTTGCTGCGGTCCGCAAACGTCCATTCAGGCTCGGCGTGCGGATCCATAGCGACTTTTTGGCGCAAGTACTCGACACGTTCCGGGTTCATACGGTGCAAAAGAGCAAACTCGCCAGTCTCGTCCCACCAGTGCTGGGACAGGCGAGAAAAGTGGTCAATTTCATCCTGGTTGATGGTGTTGAGAGTGGTCTGTTGTTGGGTCGAGTGGCGCCTGGTGGATGACGGGGTCGCCAGGCGGGATGTACGAGTCGCCAGGAGCGCGGGGCGAGGGCGAAGGGCTGTGCTCGCTAGCCTTGTTGCAGCGCGGGCTGTGCGACAAGACGACATGGTGGTGTGTGCGGATGCCAGAAGTCAACCGCTCGCTCCCGATCATCTCCCTTTGTCAATAACAAATCCATTTGATTAGGATACGGGCATTAGACATCAACGATAATGAGGGGACTACAAATTTGCTTCCGGCGGAGTCTGCTGTCTTCTACTCGCGCCCCCCACTTTACGCGCGACGCGTCGAGATTGCTTTTTCCTTCCTGCGCGACCGTCATCGTCATTTCACCCAACACATCCATCACAACTAAGCAACAATGTAAGCTCCTCCACTGGCATGCCACAAGCTAACAGATTCAGGTCTTCTGACACTCCCGCTGTCGACGTTGTCCCCGCTGTCGCTGCCACCGAGGGCACCCCCAACCCCGAAGACACCAAGGCCCAGGTGGCAAAGCTCGTCGCCGAGGGCAAGAAGGCCATTGCACTCAAGCAGTGGGAGGAAGGTGTGGCCAAGTATGGCGAGGCTCTCGACCTCCAGTGAGTTAACGACACGATTCCGTCAAACTCGGCTAACCCTGTTCCCTAGGCGCGAGATCGTGGACGAGTTTGACATCACCATGGCGCCTCTCCTCCTTTCGTACGGACGCGCGCTGTACGAGCTCGCCCTCTCGCAGCAGGGCGTGATGGGCAAGGAGGAGGTCGCAAAGGGTACCGACCCCGCCACCCAGCTCGAGACCGAGGCTGCCGAGTCGTCAAAGGGCAAGTTTGTCTTCGAGGGTGACGGCGACGATGACGACGAGGATGACGAGGACGAGGAAGGCGAGGGTGAGGGTGAGCAGGGCGCCGCCGACGGCGAGGATGAGCCCGAAGACGACTTCAATGCCGCCTGGGAGATTCTCGATGTTGCGCGTACCATCTACGCCCGCGAGGTCGAGACCCTTCCCGCGACCGAGGGCCGCGAGCAGCGCCTCCTCCTCTCCGAGTGCCACCTCTCGCTCGGCGACGTCAGCTGCGAGACCGGTGAGTTTTATGTCTGGTTTATATGGCGGTCTCGAGGTTTTGCTGACCCCACCGCGCAGAAAACTTCCCCCAGGCCGTGCAGGACTACACCGCCGCCCTCGACATCAAGAAGGCCCTCCTCCCGGCCTCGTCCCGCGCCCTTGCCAGCGCGCACTACCAGCTCGGCACCGTCCTCGAGTTCACCCCCGCCGGCCGCAAGGCTGCCCTCGAGCACGTCCAGGCCGCGTTGGACGGATTCAAGCTGCGCGCAGCCGACATCACCGCCGCGGACGCCGGCAAGGCCGACGAGGTCAAGAGCGAGGACGTCGCCCGCATGACGTCCAAGGAGCGCGAGGCCGAGTCCCGTGACGTTGCCGCCCTCATCGGCGACCTCGAGGTCAAGATTGAAGAACTCAACAGCGCGCCCGAGCCCGCCGATTTCGTCGCTGAGAGCATCAACCACCTCCTCGGCGGCGCACCTGCTGCCGGCTCGTCGGCCGCCGCCGTCGACTCGCGTCCCGTCAACGACCTGACCAGCATGGTCCGTAAAAAGGCTCCCAAGAAGCCCACCGCCGCTGCTCCTCCCGCGGCCGCAAATGGCGCTGAGAAGCGCAAGGCCGACGACGAGGCCGGCGCCGCCGACAAGAAAGCCAAGGCTGACTGAGAAGACCGAAGTGGGGCACATCCCTCTTTCCGCTGTTTTCTCCGGGTGTTGGGACAAGACCACACATTGACCACCGTTTCTTCTGTGTGTATTTCGCTTTTGCTCTTTCCTTTATTGCTGTATGCATCATGTAGTTTGCAAGTGGGTGTGTCTCTGATGCTTCGTCGGCGAGAGTCGATGTGATCGTCAGCTTTGGCGAGAGTCTGTGTGGTCGCTTCAAGGCACTGCTGGTCCACAAGACACATTGTAGGCTAGGTGTAGGTGTAGAGCTTCGGGCTTTGGGAGGTAACGACGTGTCGGGCCATGGCAACGAGCCTGCTTCGTAGCACGCCATTCTCATCACACGAGGATACCCTATGAGCATGCAGTACGCCACCACACTGTCGTCGGTCAGCCGGACCGTAGATCCGTAGATACCCCAAAGATCCACAGATGCACCTTTTCCGTCGGAAAGATACCTGAGCCTGGGATGCCCTCATGGCTTTATTTGCAACTTGGCTTATGCAGCGGTGACAAAGTCACTAATCACTGATCACTGATCACTGATCACTGATAGTCACGTTGACTTCTACGAGGCACTACATGCCTGAGAGGCGCCGCGCCGCCGACGGTCCGCCTGCAGCTCCTGCAGCCTGACTGCCGTCGGCCAGCGAGGCCGCCGGACAGAGTCTCCGTGCACTTTCCCAAGTCTGAAGGTCAGCGCCCGCGCGAGACGAGTGTGCGCATTCCTAGTGTGCACCTTCGGCGGCCGACATCTACTTTCGGCACTGACACAAAGCGCAGCCATCTCATGTCGCTCGGCTTACGAATGACTTGGAAGGGCTGGTTCCATAGAGGCACTGAGGGATAACACCCAAACATGATATAAAGTGGCTCCTTTGTAGTACTTGGTCGACATCTCGACAGAGTCCAGTAGCTTTCATCAGACTGCTACAGCCAAGTCCCCCCTACCAACGTCCTCGACTTGACCAACATGTCCACCAACACTGTCGCCCTCCTCAGCGCCACTGGTCTCCTCGGTAAACAGCTGGCCAAGACACTCGTCTCCCTCGCCTCGGCGGGCAAGATCAAGCAGGTCGTCATCCTCCACCGCCCCACGTCCGACCTCTCTGACATCCCGGACAGCGTTGAACGCCGTATCCTCGACATTGAGTCCACTACTCCCGAGCAGGTCGCCTCTGCTCTTGAGGGAATCGACGTGCTCATGTGCGTCCCCCTCCCCGATGTCGCTGCATAACTGACATACCAGCTCTGCCGCCGCCAAAGTCCCGTTTGACGCCCAGGAGCGTTTTAACAAGTCGCTCGCTGCAGTCACGACCCTAAAGGCATTCATTCCTTCCGAGTTTGCAGTCAACTGGACCGCCGAAGAGGCTGCCGACAAACTCAACGTTGTCGTACACTCCACGTTTGCCCTCAACGCGCAGCTACGTTCGCTCGGTGTACCCCTCGCTGTCGTGCACAACGGGCTGTTTGAGCCCTTCCTCTTCTTCACGCCCTTTACGGGTCTGGATGCGGCCAACAACACTTTGGCGTTTTATGGCGACGCTCTCCACCGTCCTATTCCCGTCACGAGCCCCCAGTACCTCGCACATGCGATCGGGGAGCTGGTATCGACATACCCGGTCCATGAGCTTGCCGGTAAGCAGTGGACGGTGATCGAGTACGAGACGACGGGCCAGCAGATTGTCGACGCCCTCGCCGCCGTTCACGGCAAGCCGCCCACGATCACATCCATTACAGACGCCGACATTGAGGCGCAGCGTGCGCTTGGGCCCGCCGCCGTCATCGGTGCTGCGGCCAAGGTCAAGTGGGGCGCTGGGGTCTTTTCCAAGGACGACCAGTTTGTCCCTGCGGGTGTGGCGGCGGGCAACCTTGAGCAGACGGTCGCTGCGGCCTTCAAGGCTTGATGAGCCCGAGGGGTGTATGTAGTTTTGATGGTTGTTGCAGTCACCCAGGGTATCCTAGTGCATGTGAATGAATCCCTATGCAGATATAGTCTGACCTGCACGACCTGTATCGTGCAGTTGCAGTCGGCCCAACTTTGCTCCGGCCCCTGGGAAACCCACACTACAGCCGGGCGACTTTGTAACCTACGTTCATAGTGTGTTTTTGGGCCACCTGATAAACGCAGTATAGGCCTAGTCAATTCCGGTACCCACTGCGATTTCGCACCAGTTGTGTGTATTTCGCCCCACTGCATGCGATGAACGCCATACTCGGTTTCGTATCCGGCTTATCCCTTGCAGCTTCCACTCCGTGCACCATCATGAATGCTACACATCACATCTCTCAAAAATCTACTCTCTGTCATCGTCTCTGCCTTGACACTCCACTCCACGTCCCCTGCCTCAACTAACCGCGATCACTGCCTAGTCCTTGCGAACATGCGTAAACGTGCCCGAGGCGAACCAGCGGTCGTTGGCCTCCTTGACGCGCTGCGCGGCCGAGAGCGAGGGCGTGACAATCTCGATACCTTGCACGGGGGTGAACGACAGGGAGGTCTGGGTGCCGGATCCAGCGTCCGAGGTGAGCGCGGAACGGCCGAGCATCTGTGTGCGCAGCTTGTTGGCGCGGGAAAGCTTGGCTGGGGAAAAGAGTCAGTACAGTACAGCACAGCACAGGAAACGACAAAAAACTCACCTTTGCTCTTGGTGTCTGCCACTTGGGCACGCACACGACCGGCCTGGCCAATCATGCCGAGACCAACACTCTCGTCGTCCTGGTCAATCTCCTCCTCGGCCTTGCCAAACTCGACACGGTTCTGGAGCTTGCGCAGCTCCGTCTGGGCATACTGCTCCTTGAGCTTGCGTGCGCGCTTGCCTCCGCGCTTTTTACGCGCCGTCTCTTGAGGGATGGGCAGAGCCTTGATCATCTTGTTGGGGGCGGGCTCGGCCATCTTTTCAATACGTTTCTGCAAGTCGACGAGGAGCTTGCGGCCGTACGAGCCGTCACGGCACGACTTTCCGGCATCGATGCGTGCTGCGAGGGCGACCTTGGCCGAGACAACGCGCTGAGCACGCCGCCGGTCCTCGGGCTGGGCGGACTGGACGAGCGGAGACTGGAAGATGAAGCCAGTGTGTCGCTGCTGCGACACGGCAGACAGGTGCGAGGTTGCCAGCGTCTTCTTCATGGCACCATAGAGCATAATGTTGCAGCTTGGTGCGCGGGAGAAGGCGTGGAGACCGCCAGCGAGACCCAGGAGCTTGGCGGCGATGCCGGTACCGACAATGACGGAAATGTTCGGCGCGACGGCAGACATGCGGCTCTCGACATAGTTGAAGATCTGCTCACGGGCATCACGGAGCTGCTCGGCGACCTCAATGGCACGCTGCACTGTCAGCCACTCGCCGTTGGAGAGCATCCTGCCACGGGTGCTGGTGGCCGTAAGGGTGATGGAGAGGACAGTCGCCGGAGGAAGAGTTGAGGGCATGACGGCTTTTGTGAGGTCGTCAACGTTGCCAATGCCTTGCACGGCGGCAATATACGTCCATGGGTCGGCGATGAGCTGCTCAAGCTCGGGGAAACGCGGTCCGTAGTGGTCACGGATAAACTTGTGGACGAGCATGATCTCGTTGTCGACCTCCACGCTCATGTTGTTGGCCGTGACGACAAGGTGGTACTCGGGGTTCTCCTCGAGGGGTCCACCAGACGAAGACGACATGTCGGTCGGCTCTGCTGTATACCGCGCAATTCCCTTGGCTGTCAGCGCATACCGCTCTGCTTGGGCATGACTCACCTCCAGCACTTCCTTGAGCTTCTTGCCCGTCATCAACTTGGCGACCTTGGCCACATCCTCGATGCCAGCGAGGTCGGTACGGTTGACCTCGTCCTGGTCAAGCTCATCCGCAGGCCTCACACCTCCCTCAGGAACATAGCCTGCAGCGGATGTTCCATCCTCCATCTTGAGGTCACCGTCACCTCCATCGAGGTCGTCGTCGTCCTCGAGGTCGTCGAGAAGCGAGCGCTTGGTGCCCTTGGATGGTAGGGGCGGAGGGGGCATCATACCTCCGTTGGACGACGAGGCCTGCACCTCCTCGGGCTCTCCATCTGAGAGGCCATCGAGATCTGCCAGGAGCGAGTCGGCCAGAGACATGGTTGTGGATTGGGCGTTGTCAATAACAGGCGTAAAGACACCCATTCCGGTGGCAACATACAACAACTCGCATATGATGGGGCGTCAAAGATAAAGTGGGGGGACGTATTAAATGGCCCAAGACCTCCACCCTTTGCCATCTTCCGAATATCATATGGCTCGTCGTCGTTGGTGTGTCGTCCAGATCCCGCCACGGCCTTTGAACGTAGCAATGGAGCTCTGTAAGGTCCAGTGGCCAGTAGTCTTGCAGGTGGGCGACTGATACTCATGGAGATGGTATACGAATGCTCCCATGCATTCAGTGGGGTATGATGCAAAGCTCGCAGACGCAAATGTCGACAGTTGCGGGTGGCAGTTTGGCTGTGACGTCGGCTGTCTGGGTCAATACTCTTTCGCCCAAGCCATCCTTCTTCTGCTCCAAGTTCATGGTCATTTTCCTGGCCCCTCTCAGCCTCTGTTGCTGTTGCGGACTCGCCCATTTATTGTTCTGTGCGCACCGTAAAAGGGAAAATGGCTGCAACGCCATTTGCCCTCCCTCCACCGGCCACCACAGCCAGCACACGCGCGCGCGCCGGGCCAGGTCGCGCCAATTTGCTTCCGTCTCTCTCCTGGCTGGACGCACCCAGGCGATTTTCTGTTTGGGCGCCCAAAGTCAAAGAGCATCTCGACACACAAGCAAGCTCGAGCAAGCCCAATTATCCACGCACCATTCGTTTTCTACACCACACCGCGGCCTCCCCTTCATCTCCTTTGCCGTCTCGTCCCCTCAAACAATGTTCACGGCTGTCCAATAAATACCCCTTCTCACTGCAACATCCTCTCCCTTCCTTCCCCAGCTCGGCGATGGCCTGCCGTGCGCCTCAGGCCATCGTCATGTCTGGACGACTGCCCCCCTCAACAGTCACGCATGTCTTGCGTCTCGTCGGCACGTCGTACCTCGACAATGGTGCCGGACCATCGCGACGAGCGTTTAAAGTGCTCCCCCGCACTTTACTGGTCCACGTAGGTCGCGACGTTCGTTGCCCTTGTGGCATACTGACAGCGCAGCCCACCGTTGCGACCTTGCAGGCTTCGCGGCGATTCGTTTCGTCGGCCCCTGCTCCGCCGCCAGCAGATTCTGATGAGACCACTGTGGTGCCCACCCCAGAACGTCGCCCACGGGATCCAAACCATCCACGATTCTCTTCTGATCCAGAAGTCAGAAGGACATCGACAGAGCCAGCCTGGGCGCGCTTGCCTGAGGACAAAAGGCAGAGGCTTTTTGGTGACGCACCTCGACCTTCACCAACACAATTCCGGGAATGGTTTGACGCCCTCGAGAACCCAGCCATGATCCTGCCTGCAGACCGACTGGTTGCCGTCTTGAAAGTGTTCAGCACCACAGAAACGACCCAGGACGACTGGAAGTGGCTGGGCCTGGTGCTTGCTGAGGCCAACCGAAAGGAGAACTGGCAGTGGGCCAAGCTGCCCGGTTCTGAGCAGATGTTTCGTCTGCTCCGCGGCCTGTCGTTTGCCCACTGCGAGAAGTGGGACGCAGCTGCGACGAACATGGCCCTTGGTCTCAAAGCGTCTCTCGTTGCCGGTGACCTCAACCAGCAGTTCCGCTGGCTTCGAACTCCCGAGTTGGACGCTCTCGAGGAGTACACTGTCATGCTTTGGATGAAGCGGCGAGTGGAAGATATTGGACGAGTTGTGCGGTATGCCGGTCCCCACTGGCACAAGACCCTCCTGTTGATCCCCGGAACCCGTGACATCCACCCAAGCGCGCGACGAGCACAGGAGATCGTCTTCACCGCTCTCAACCAAATCCGTGACCCTGCCAAGTACATTACTGTCCAGATCGAGGACAGAGAACACGCGTCCAATTCTGTCTACACTCTCGCCATCATCCTCCTAACTGGCCTTGTTTCAGATCGCTTGCGAAGCAGTGACGCCTTTACATTTTGGAACCACATCATCAAGCATCGGGGGGCAGTCAAATTCATCTCGCCTTTCCTAGGCTCAAAGCTTGCCATCAACCTGTCGTCGGACAAAAAGAACCTGGCAGCCAAGGAGGTTTTCAAGACGCTCTATGAGACGTTTCCCAAACTTTCGCACTCTGTGCTCAGTCGTCAACTCCAGTTCCATTCCATGGACGGCGATCAGCAACAGGTCCAGGTCGTGTGGGCGAAGATTACAAAGAGCTTCAAGCCCACAACGAATGACCGCATATGGGTCGCCTCTGTGTTTGCTGCTACAGGCGATATCGATGCCACTCGCAAGGCTCTTCGCAGCCTGTTTGGCGCTGGCTACACGGAGGATGTGGATGCCCTGTGCATTCTCACGCAAGCGTTTATTGCTGCCAGGGAGGCGGAGCCTGCATTTGCGGTTATTAAGAAGATCAACACCATTCAGCCCAGGTTGGCTCCACACCACCAGCTCCTGAGACTCTATGCCGCGCAGGCTGATGCTGCGAATGCCATCAACGTTTTCGACACGATCATCCAGGCAGGTCTCTCACCCACCGAGCCGTGCTACAACACCCTTCTTTCCGTGTTTGCCAATACAGCCGACTACGCGCACGCCCAAGAGGTGTTCAACGCAATGGTAAGGGCAGGTGTCGAGCCTTCTGCGAAAGCTTGGACTTCGTTGGTCAATTCCTACATCGAGGCTGGCGAGTTTGGGGGCGCGGCCGCACTGTCCGACAAGATTCCCCTGGAGCATTACCTCGATGACGGCATGTCAACAGCCATCATGAAGGCGTTTGTCTACGTGTCCGCGCCGCTTCCGCAAGTGGTCCGCATCTTCCGACAGCTTCGCTATCCGTCCGCTCAAGCGTGGGCGCTCATGATCCAGTCGGCCGCCGACTGTCAGGACATGGACCTCGCTCGCTCAATCTTTGAGGAGATGGACGCCAGAGCAACCGTCGACTGTCTTTCCCCGAAACCCAATGTCTACGTCTTCTCCATCCTGCTGCACGCCTACCTTCGCAAACACGACCGTGAATCGTCCCGTGCCGTTTATGACGCCATGATTGAGCGTGGAATTGTGCCCACCAGTGTCACATACGCTATCATTACGAACTCGTACGCCAAGAGCAAAGACCCAAACTCGTTCCAGCAAGCGCATGACTTTGCCACGTCCGTGGTGAGCAACCTCTCTCCTGACGAGAAGACTACTGCGCGCGGCAAGCCAGCCGAGAATGTCTTTGGTCCCCTCATTATCGCTGCAGGCAAGGCCGGAGACCTCTCGCGCGCTAAGAGCTACTACGAGACTGTGAGGGCTTCGGGTGGCACTTCCGTAATCCTCACCTCGCAACTCATGAACGCGTACCGTCACGCTCGTCAACCGCACGAGGTCTACCGCCTGTGGCTTCGTCTCTTCAAGGACACTATGCGTGCCATCCCGCGCAAGACGCCCAGCGACAAGGCATTCAAAGTCACCCGTTCGCGTAACAATGTGTTGTGTGTGCCGCTCTCGATCATGATCCGCACACTTGCCGACACCGGCGATCACGGACGTCTCAAGAAAGTGTGGCATGCTGTCCGCACAGCTGGTTTCGGCGTCGACGCTGCAAACTACAACCATTTTGCGGCGGCAAGTGCCCAAACTGGTGACATTGAAGGTGCTTTCCACATTATCGACCGTGTCATCATGCCCCGTTATGATGAGGTTCGCGAGCGTGAATACAGGGACATGCGCACTGCCAACGGTCTCGCCGGTGTCAACCTCGCGAGGAGCTCCGACGACCCCGAGTTGGTTTATGGCCCATTCCGGGAGATTTCACCCAACACGATCACACACCGGCTTCCCGAGATACCAGTCGACCGCGGTAACACGTGGGGTCGTTTCATTCTTGCTCAACGTCGCCATGCCATGAACATTATCAGGAGGAACTACTATGAAAAGTACCCTGCCGATGATCCTCAGGTTTTGACAAATGACGACGTCGCCGACCCCGACTTCCGCCCCAACCGTCGTTACCGTCGTCGATCACGCAAGGTGCCAGATTTCGAGCACGATCCGGACCAGCCAACGGCAGTCAACACTGAAATCATGTCCCACTGGCGGCCAACCGATATCATGTGGCGACCCGACGAGCGCACGCTCAAGGTTATCAACCAGGCGTTCCTCCAGCTCCAGATCGAGAACCGCCGTAGGGTCACCGAACGCAAGTTGGCGGTGTTTGGTGACTCGGCCAAGTTGTTGCCGCAGTACGGCAACCGACACGCGCCAGAGTACCGCAAGGCTCTCCTCGAAGGTCGCAAGGCCTACCGCGAGGCCGAAGCCGCGGAGCCACCTACGCCTGTTACCTTGCCGTACTTCAACTTCAACCCCACCGTTGTCAACTACGACGGCACCGTCAAGTTGATTACGCCTCACGCAATGATTGCGCGTATCCGCCGCAAGTATCCCCGCATCGTGCAGATGATGATGTGGCACCGCCGCAAGAACAGGCTCCGTACGGGTCGTGTCAGAATTAGAAAGGCGCTCCGCAAAAGGCGACAGCTTGCCTGGCAGAAGAAGCGCCGCTGGCTTGACTATCAGCGCAAACGTCGCTGGTAAATCCTCCGTCCTCCCCTCCCATCCCCACACTCTCCCCCCACCCCCACCCCCAAATCAACGCGCGTTCTCCCCTCGCTCCCCTTCCTTGCATCTACCTATCTCTCTCGCTCTTTGGCTCTCTCACTGCATCTCACTGGTGTTGAGCATACATTGCATTCATGGTCTGCCCTCCCCATTCATAGCATATGCATATTGGATCCCTCGTCGACTTGCCACACATTTTGAGAAACTGACCTTGGCTGCGGCCGGACCCTTTGGCCTGGGCCGCGTTTCCGATTGCGCGTGACGTCAAGCCGCGGATCGTCGTATGGTGCGGGCTCCTCCTATTTTCGGGTCACATATCCACTCAATCTCTCGAGGCCTCTTCTTCTTCCTCTTCTTTTATTCCTCCCACACGACCATCTCATGCTTCCCCTCAAACATCCTCTCCGCATAGCACGTACATCGGTTCTGGGGCGGGCGTCGCGCCTCGCCACACCGTCGCTGTCGGTTCTCTCGGCTACCAGCACCATCGGACGCATTCCACCGCGCCTCCCGTCGCCATCGGTGCGCGTCTTCTCCACCAGCCCGACGCGACACTCCCCTCCTCCGCCAGCCTCGGAGACGCCAGAGGAAATCACTGTCCCCGAGCGCGAGCATGCGTCGTTTTACATCTCCAATGTCCTTCCGATCCAAGTGAGCTCGCTGGACCCCCGCCCGTCGATCGCCCGACTTCGCGAGGAGACGTTGCTCGACGACCTCATAGCCATCACCAACGAGCTGCGCGGCACGCACGCGTTCCGCGTCGAGTCCTGGGAGGTTGCAAGGAAGGACGGTGGCTTCTTTTGTCATTTCAGCTACCTTCCCCCCTGTGCTGCCGACCTCCCACGACACGTACACGATCCGGCAATCCACACCCCGGAAGATGTCGCTGTCGAGCCCACTTCGCCCGCGAGCCTGTTCCTCCCACGCCTCATTGATGCGGCACACAAGCACGGCGGGTGGCCCCACTGGGCTGGTCAGTGGTGGGCCAACTTTATCGCTAGGGACAGCACCAACTCGCGCACGACTGACGAGGCGGGCCACCACCTCTACCGCGGCGACACGCCACCGGGCCAGCCGAGACCACCAGAGGACGTTCCTCAGCTGCAGGGCTGGCAGCGCGTTGCTGGTATCGGCCGCATCTGGATAGTGCGCGGTAGGCAGTGGACGGAGGACCTGTACCGTTTCCCATCGTCACGCCTTCGCGTCGAGTTTGACGGTCCCGACGTCAGCCAGGAAATGCTCTATCGACTGTTCAGGCCGTATGGTCGCCTGCTGGAGATCATACCGCCCGCGCCCGTGCCAGCAGGCAACCTGCGTTTTGCCCTGCTCCACTTTTCCCGCATCACCACTTCGGTGACAGCTAGCAACTGTCTGCACGGGTACAACTCGCCCATCAAGTCTGCCGACTATGACTTGAGAAAGTCGGGGGCCGACGGCGAGGAAGGGTCAAAGGTCCCCTCGTCTCGTCTGCGTATCTACTACGAGCGCCCGCTCAAGGCACACTACATTCGTGACTGGATCAGAGACCACCCGCGTATTTCCCTCCCCGTCCTGGCCTTCCTTATTGCCACGCTGTCGTACACCTTCTTCGACCCTATTCGCTCCTTCTTCGTCAGCTCGAACATCGAGGGTGTGTTCAACATCGAAGAGTACCCCGTCGTCAAGTTTGTCCGTGAAAACGTCTGGGCGCCACTCATGAAGTTGGTCGGAAGCAACAGGAGGGTCAACCGTCGCAACGTCGAGCACCTCGGCCGCGCGTCTTGGGAGGACCGTCTCGAGGCCGAAAAGTCGATCCAGAACTGGCTGTCAGAGTTCCCCAGTACATTCATTGTGGTCCTGGGCCCGCCCGGTAGTGGCAAGCACGACCTGGTCGATCATGTCATCAAGCAGGAGAAGAAGTGAGTTGTGTGCTTCCTGGGCTATAACTGACATTAGGCCCGCACTGGTCATCGACTGTGCCGAGATGGCGAAGGCCAAGACGGACTCAGCCCTCATCAGCGCCCTCGCCGACCAGACCGGCTACTGGCCCGTCTTCTCTTTCCTCCAGAGCGTCAACGGTCTCATTGACCTCGCCTCGGTCGGTCTCATTGGCCAAAAGGCCGGATTCTCGACGCCTTGTGACCAGCAAGAGCGCAGCATGCTGGACATTGTCAGTGGCGCGCTCAAGGACACGTCGGTGCATGCACAGAAGGGCCGTGTCGAGAAACAGGAGTGTGCCGAGGACCGGATCAATATGGCTGCCGACCGCGAGCACAAGCGCCACATGATCGAGATGGGCGTTTGGCATGACGGCCGCCTCGACTGCGTCGCCGGCAACGGTGTCATGAGCGAGCTGGGTGTTGGTATCGAGGAGCCTACCATCTACGACATGCCCGCAACCCCGGCACCACTCATGGGTAGCAATGCCCCGATTGACGGTGAAGGCGTCCCACCCCAGACTCCTGCTCGCTTTTCCGAGATCACGGCTGCCATCCAACAGGCAGCCGAGGAGAATGTCGACCCCCAGGCCGACGCGATCGCCACCTTGCCCATTGTTGTTTTGCGCAACTTCTCTGCCAAGCACGCTCGTGGTGACATGTGGAACGTACTCGCAGAGTGGGGCGCGTCCCTCATCGAGAACAAGATTGCCCACGTCATCGTTGTTGGCGAGGGCTCGATCACTACCAAGACCCTCACACAGGCTCTCCCCTCCAAGCCTCTCGACTCGGTCACGCTCGCCGACGCAGACGACTACAACTCGCTCGAGTTTGTGCGTGAAAAGCTCTCGACCAATGACCAGCCCTACAAGCTCTCGGACGCCGACAAGATGGACATTTCCAAGCTTGGCGGTCGTATGGTCGACCTCGAGCTTCTGGTGTACAAGACGCGCGGCGGCCAGTCCATCAACGACGCCGTCGACGACATTGTCGTTCGCAATGTTATCGAGATCCGCAAGGCGGCCTTTGGCGACGACACAGCAGAGGCCAAGGGCTTGCCGTGGACGCGTCCCCAGGCATGGAAGATTATCAACGAGCTGTCCAAGAAGGGCGAGCTGCCCTATGGCAAGCTTCTGGTCGACTGGCCCTTCAAGGGACAAGAGCCCAGCCTGCGCGCACTGGAGGAGCACGACATCATCTCCATTTCGTACACCGAGGGCCGGCCCTCGACTGTCCGCCCCGGCAAGCCCGTGTTCAGGCAAGCGTTTAACCGTCTAGTCAGCGACCCTCCCTTCCGCGCCAGCAGCCAGATCGAGTACAACAATGCGTTTATCACCAAAATCGAGACGGACATTGCCGCCATTGAGGCGGAACTGGCCCAGCTCCGCAGCATTACCGCCGAGGGAGACAAGCTGGGTGTCGGCGAGGGCGGCTGGTTTGGCATGACCAAGGGATCGGGTATCCACCAGCGCGCGCAGTACCTGCTCGCCAAGCTTGAGACCCTCATGACCAAGCTGCGCAATGCAGACGCCGACAGTGATGCCCAGAAGCTGGTGTTCTCGGCCCCACGACCCAAGCCGAAGCCGTCTACTGCTTAATTTACATAATACAATGCAGACCACTCTGTGTAAAACACAAACAGAAGAAGCACCTGTTGTCGCTGACAATGCATGCATATGGGTTGTGCGGAGAGATAGAGGCGGAGAGAGAAAAATGCAACACAAGGGGGGGGGGGACAAGACACAGTAATCGGCAAAAGAGTTGGAGACTAGAGCTTGAGACGCTTGGCGTCTGGGTTGGCCTCTTCGCGCTTCTTGCGCTTGGCGTCCTCCTTGTCGCCCTTGCCGACGACGGTGACACCCTTGCCAGACTTGACGAGGGCCTGGAGCGCCTCGTCCTTTTGCTCCTTGACGCTCTTCTTCTTGGCGTAGAGCTGGGCCGTGGCTCCCAAACGGGCCTTTTCGGCCTTCTTGGTTTTGCGGGCCTTGCCGCGGGCGCGACGGGCCTCCTCGGGCGTCTGCTCGGAACGGGCCTGGAGCTCGGTCGCCTTGGGGCCCGCGAAGAGCTCGTGTGGGGCCAGCATTGTCGTGGCCTGCTGGGTCGAGGGCAGGGCAGTCTCCATCGAGGTCGTGGCAATGTTCTCGACGGTGGTGATCTGGGCCTTGGGCTGGAGGCTTGTCAGTTGAATGTTCACACTCGTTATTCGCGCGTTACTCACCGCCTTGGGGACAAAGTTGAGCGAGCTGAGGGCGTCGAGCTTGTAGCAAATCTCGCCCCAGAGGTTCTCAATCTCGTCGTGCTCCTTGCGGAGCTTCTCGTCGCGGGGGTCCTTGGCAGCACCACCGGCAACCTTGGCCTGGAAGTCGTCCTCGTAGATCTGCGCGAGCGACTTGGTCGACTGGGTGTCCTGGAGCTCAAAGAAGCGCGAGGGGAGGAAGGGAGTGGGCTCGTATGCGCGCACACGCTCGGGAGAGTCAAAGTTGTTGTCGAGGATACGCTTCTTGATGAGCTCCTCAAGCGTGGCGACGCTCTCCTCGGTGATGACAGGGACGACCTTGGCGACGTGCTCAAAGTCGAGGTTCTCCTCGAGAAGCGAGTTTTCAGGACGGGCACGGGCCGAAGCCTCACCCATAAGCGTCCAGTCCTTGGGACCAATGGCCTCGCTCTCCAGCTGGGCAATCTGGTCTGCCAGCTCGCGCTGTCGCCTCTCGTGCGTCGAAAGAACCTTTTCGCTGTCCTCGTCGTCCTCACTGTCGTCAAACAGGTCGCCCTTGACGCGCTCCATGGCATCACGGGTCTCGTCAATGTCGTCCTCGTCGGGCCACTGAACTGGCTCGTCCTCGTCGTCCTCGTCGGCAAACGCAGACTTGCTCTTCTTCTTGCCCTTGCCGCTCGCCTTGCCCTTGCCCTTGCCAGCATTTCCTGTCGCCTCCTGTTGGGGAGGTGGTGCGAAGAAGTCGGCGTAGGAGATGTCTGGTTGTCAGTTATCTTCGCACGAACTCGGTAACTCACCGGCATCGTCATCGCCCTCCTCCAGGAAAAGGTGGCCCACGTCGTCGAGGTCGGCCTCCTCATCCTCGTCGCCTCCCAACCTGCCCGAGGTAACGCGGGTAGCCTCCTGCTCCTCGGTCATGCGGTTGAATTCGTCGATCGAGAAGAACTGGTCGTCCAAAGTCGGGTGTTGAGCCTTGCTGGACTTGCGAGGCTTGGATGGGCCAGCAGCGGAAACATCGTCGTCGGACTCGTCGCCAGAGCCCATGGCAACATCGCCCTCCTCATCGGATCCCTCCTCCTCTTCATCTTCGTCGTCCTCGTCCTCGTCATCCTCTTCCTCCTCCTCGTCATCCTCCTCGTCCTCGTCCGATCCGAGCGACATGTCCTCGTCCTCGTCCGAACCGAGCAACTCGTCGTCCGAGCCCTCCTCGGCGCTTCCCAGGTCACTGGCACTGTCGCCCTCATCGTAACCCTGGTCGCCCATCATCTGCTTCCACTCCTCGACTGTCATCTCCTCGGTGCTGTCGTCGTCGTCACCATAGTCGCCAAAGTCGCCATAGTTGTCGCGGGTCCTCCTCGTCGTCCATCTCGTCCCTCTCCTCGCCGGTGCCAACCTCCTTGACGACACGGCAGATGCCCTCGGCACGCAGCTCGAGCTGTGACCAGACCTGTTCCGGGTCCATGCCGTCGGTGGTGAGGACGCTCAACGGCGTGTAAGGGAGGAGCTCGGTCGGGTCGGGCACAGCGGGCTCATCCTCGCCGCCCTTCTTGGTGGAGGAACGGAGCGAGATGGCAGGAGGCTGGAGGATCGAGACAAGGAAAGGGTGCAGGTGAGGATGGGACATGGGCTCGAGCGAGATGGCTACGGCCTGTCAGCTAAAGGTCGCCGTGTCTAGTATAGCTGCTGGTGCTCACCGAGATCGAAGATGCCCTTGGCAGCCTCAATCGCGCCCTCTGCAAGCGCCGCGTCGCCTCCTTCGCCCGCAAGGTTGTGCTCCTTGCTCTCGAGGAGACGCGCGAGGCGGTCGAGGCTCTGCGGGATGTCGAGCTGGTCTGTATCGTTGGCCATCTCGTCGGGTGGTGGTTGTTGTGTCGAGGAGATGTGCGGTGGAGGTGCTGTGACGGCCCAGAATTTTGAAACTGGCAGCCAGAGAGAGGTGATCTCAAGGGCCCAGGTGGCGGCGCGGGACCAAAATGGGCGCTAAATAGATTACGTCACCTCGCGGAGGTGGAGGCGGGGACAGTAATCATCAATCTTCGCTAGTATATCGGTTAGTATAACCGCCTCTCATTAGAGAGTTTCCTAATAGGATCATCGCGGTAGAGCAGGGTTCAACTCCCTGGCGGAGAATTCCTTTTTGTCTTTTTGCGCCAAGAATCGAATGAGGACAGGCAAACTACAGGTCTGTCTGTCTCATGCCGTCTGGTTCGCCACTGTAACCTGCGTTTCCAGTTGAAAATCCTTGGGCGAGCTGGGTCATGGGCATCTTGTGTAACTGTGGCTTCTCCCGGGTGCATTGCAGCGTACCACATGTGTGGCAATTCACGAGGACACACGCAAGCGTGTGGCACCAAGGGGGATGGGTGTTGGTTGGCCTTGCCAGGCCTTGTGGTCCCCGCCCGGGCCTCAATCTCTTCATCTCGGCGACTGGTGAGCCACAGGCAGCAGTGCCAACCAGAATGAAGCTTATAGCTGCAATATCCTCCATGCCCCTCTCTGTACCCAGCTCTGTGGCACATCCAACGGCAGGTATGCGGAATAATCACGTAGTCCACAGACACCATCCAAACCCACCTTCTCACCTCCCCGTCCGGAAACGTTACGCTGCTCCAATCGCCACAGATCGAGATGCACCAGTGTGCAGTGGCACCACTGTCCATTCCCGACCTGGAAAACACACCATTGCCAACGGCATGTTCATGCCTCATCTCTAGTGTGTATTTCGGCCTGTCCAGGGTGAAAGCCAGGTGGCGGGGAATGCACACCGAAACGTAACGGGAAGGATGGCGAATCTGAGCATGAGCACAACGCTGGGACGCGGGACGAGATCCGAATCGGATCTGGGTACGTTTTTTTCCCAGCCACGCATGCACGCACGTTGTGTCGTATGCTTCTGTCGACGGCGATCTGGGTAGATCATGTCTTGTATTGTGAACAGGCGGTGACCTTGGGTCGCCGGAGAGTGGCAGCGTACATTCCAGGTTGAGGGGAATGTAACCCGGCAACAATCCCTGCTTCCGCGCATCTGTCACTTAGACACTTGAAGGTGCCACGAGGTACAGTGCGCAGCACGCATGGTCAGCTCTCCCCCTTTCCTAGCTTTCCTAGCTTTCCTAGCTTTCCTGGCCATGCCCCTTTGCCGTCCCCGTCAGAATGTAGCCCAGCAGCGAGCGCATTGCCCAGAAATGTCAGTACCATGTTTCTGCGCAAACCCCGCTCCCTCATAAGCACTACTTGTATCATGTCATCCTCGTCCTGTATCTTCACAACGCGGCCGCCCACCGTGCGCCGCCTAACACCGTGCTTTCGGCAATGGTGCCGTCTAGAGCTGGTTGATGCGCTGAGTGACGCGCTCCTTGAAAGTGGAGTCTGGGGGATACGGGTCAGTACAAATCCAAACTGACGCGCGTGTAGTTTGTCCCCTGGGGGCCACTCACAGGCATTGAGCAGGGTCTGCTCGTTGATCACAATGTCGGTGGTGTCGGGCTTGGGACGGGTGACGCGGCCGGCGATGGCAGCGGCGTCGGTCTCGAGGATGATTCTGGAGGAGTCAGTCCTTGATCGTTGGCTGGAGGCGGGGGAGGTGGGATTTTGAGACCTAGATGCGTGGCTCCATCTTTCACGAAGGCTGCTAGGATGATCTGAAACAGCTAGCAGCCTCGCGGCAAGGGAGCCTACGCTCTGCTCACATAGAGCCAGAACCGTCGAGACTGGATGACCGCGATTATTGAACATCCAGCCGACAGCACGACACCATATGCTCCTTCTCGATCCCCTTTCCACCGCACTTCCATTCTCTGACGCGGGCGCGCTACTCACCCATCATCAATAGTCTCGTCCGCGGCAAGGAGGACCAAGTCGAGGCTCTCGAGGACGTTGCGCTTCTCAATCTGACCGCGGAGGAGGAGAGAGACCGAGTCGTGGAAAGCGGTGAGCGCAGACTGGAGCATGAGCTCGTTCGAGGTGGCCAGGGGCCCAACGACGTGGAAGTGCAGGTCGGTCGAGGCGCGCGAGAGGATCAGGTGAGGAGGGAGAGGGTGGATGTCGCCTGTGGGTGCAAAGTGGAGGGAAGTGAGGAGGTGGATGGGTGATGACAACAGCAGGTGAGGGCGGAGACGAAGGATCCACACGGCGCGCAGGCATAGGGGACACCAAGTAGAATGGTACACGGCGTCGATATCAATAGACGAAAGCGTAGACGACCACCATTAGAGAGAAGAAACACCATGGTCAGCGCCCAACTCTACACGCGACTAGACACTTGACGTACCAGCTCCTCGCCTAGTCTTCTCAAACACGCTCTTCTCAAACGCCCGCTGCTCCTTGTAGGTGTGCAGTCCAGACATTCCTGGTCCACCGGGTCCGGCGCCAAGCTCGGCGACGATGCCAGTCTCGGCAGAGGTCTGGTGTGGGGGAGCATAGTACTTTGCGACCACGCGGTTGCCCTCGCTGTCGAGGATGAGCAGCGCAGTGACCGTGTAGAGCGAGAGGTTGGCCTGGAGTACAAGTCAGCACGTGCTTGGCGGTGTATCCGTCATGCTGTGCGCACCATGATGGGCCGTTTGTGGTTGGGGGGAGGACGGGGTAAAGAGGTGGTTGTTGAAATCGAGACGATGAGGAGGTGGTGGTGGTGGTTGGAATGAGCGTGTCAGGCCGCGTTCTGAATGTTAACGTGGCAGCCAGGCACGGATCACAAATGGGTGTGGTGGATGCATTACAATTTTGGGCTAAATTTGTTATGAACAACTATCTACCACTGCAGCTATTTACAATTACAACCATGGGGTATAGCTCTCCCATATGCAGCATGCTGTTTTCTCTCTCAAACGTCCTGTCCCTCCACGTCCACATCCGGCGCCATGGACGACACACCCTCCAGGCCGAGCAAGTTGGACGCGTCACCGAATGGGGAAGCTGTCACCGACTTGATGGCCACCGCAGAGGGATCAGGCAGGAGACCGATTGGCGAGCCTAGCCCCGGCTTGGCTGCGAGTTCCTTAATCTTGTCCTTGTCCTGCTGCTGCTCGTCGGACATGATCTTGATCGGGTCGCCAACCAAGACAGTGTGCCCCGGAATAAGGCTGAGGGCGATCGAACCGACGGTCGAGGTGACCAAACCGGCCATGCGACGTGAGAGCCAACTGAAGCGCTTGGCAAACGGCACAAATGTGTCGATGACGTCTTGAACGTCCACAACGTCACGCACATGGGTGGCTTTTCCCACCTCATTGAACTCGACGATGGTAGAGACGGGCAGGTTCCAGCGGAGCAGGAAGTCAAACTCACTCAGCAGAGAGGCTGCAAGCGAGTAGACAAAGGAACGTTGTGGGAGGTCGAGGGTGGCAAGCGAGTCGGTCGAGTCGGTAGGGGTGACGAGGCCGCGTGGTGAGGGCCGTTTGATAATGGACGGGAACAGACTGAGCGAGATGACATGGTCGATGAGCGCAATGTGGTAGCCTTCTGCATGGGTTAGCCAAACGAACTCGACCAGGTACACCCACCATAACACTCCATGCACCCAATGTCGCGGCACTCGGCAGAAACGTCCCAGAGCTTCCACCACCCGTCGTTCTTGTGGTCACGGTGAACTACGGGCTGTCGGTTACCCGAAGTCTCGAGCCACTCATCTACCGGGTCAACCACGCGCTTCCCCTTGGCGTCTCGTGCGCGGGCCTCGACAGCTGGAATCTCGTCCGAGCTGAGGAAGACGCCGCGAATGCGGGATGTGAGGTTGCGGGCGTGAAGAAGCATCGAGGAAGGCGTGAATGACGGCACATAGGCGGTGGAGAAGAGCTGGAGGAGAGCAAAGTGGGTAAGGACCGATTGGCGTGACGACAGACGGATGAGTGGGTGGTCGTAGACTATTTTGGTGGAGTCAGCACGGACCCGAGGTTTCTAACCGGCGCTCTGCTGGACACGTACCGCAGTCGCCCTCAAACCACTGTTCGACAACGCGCTTGACTTCCTGGCCTTGCTCGGACCACAAGGGGTTATCTGACGAGAGGTCTTCACTACCGCGATAGAGCACACGGTGGATATCGATAAGGGCCTCCATGGGATCGCCGGCAACTCGGCTCCACATGTCTGGGTCCCACTCGTGACCCATCAGGTCGCCGGAACTGGCATCGCACTCTCGTCCGTGGACGTGAACGTGCTCGCCCTCACCTTCAGGTGGGACGGGGAATGGCGCGCGGTGTGCACGCGACATCTGCCGTGGTGGAGTGAGGGGGTCGACGTCGCCGGCTCCGGTCCCACTTGCAGACGCGTGGGCGTGGTACGAGTGCAGCACATGGCGGAGTTGAGCGAGCGAGGTGCGCGACGCCGAGCCGTAGAACGAGCCTGCACGATTGAACGGTGTGCTGTGCCCGGAATATCCCGTGTCGAGGACAGACGGGTGTCGCGAGTGCATGGACAGTGTCTCGCCGACCAGACCGGCGCTAGATGGGCCCGGGCTGTACGTGGACCGATCGGGAATGTAAAAGCGGGGCTGGTGGCGACTCAGTGTTGGATGTGGGAGGTCATACTCGGACGAGGCGAACGTGTAGTAGGACATGGTGGACAGAGGAACAGCAGCAGACGAAGACGAAGCGCTGGTGGGGATATCGGCGGCAAGGTCGCGTCTACGTAGGGGCTCCACCGCGGGGCCCGGACGCCTTGGATTTGGAGGTGGCAGGATTGGTTAATGGGTGGTGGTAGGAGGGGATGCTCCTGCCAGAAGTGGCGGTGACAGCGGAGACGTTTGCGAGAGTGAGAGAGAGGGGGCGATGGATGGAGAGGACGATGGGGGGGGGATGCGGGTGGCAATTGACAATGTGATCGACACAGCAGCCAGGAAGCAACGGCGGCGGGGGTGGCGGGAGTGTGCCGAGTGGGGAATGAAGCAAAAGGTCAAAAGAGCCGGGGGGGATTCTCCAGGCAGACGGACTGAACCAAAAAAACCCGAGTGCCTTTTAGCGTCCTTTTACGGCAAGAAAACTGTGTCTGCACAAGAAAGAGTCGTCCATCCCCCAATCTAAGCTCGAGAGCTCTAGAGTATGTCATTTTCTACCAGCAACCTGGGTTGTTTCAGTATACAGGCAGTATTGCCTGCCCCGCGCTGCATAGAGTTAAAAGACACCACCCACCCCCACCACGTCAGGGCGATCAGCGGCACACGCCCCCACCTTTGTGTCTTCCCCGGGTATTCCAAGATTAAATGACGCGCAAACATCGCGTCCGTCCCACCGTGGTGGCCACTTCCTACGTGCATCTACTGCTTTAGCGCTAGCCCTATTCGCCCATCGATCTAACGAACGTGCTTACTGCTCTGCGGCTGCTAGCGACCACTCTGGCGCTCACCACCACCATTGCGGACGCACTTTGCTCCACCATGCTCGCCCATCGTCGGTGCTTTGCGGCCTTGGATGGTGTGTGTCGCGGACAACAAGCCACACCCAACGCCCACCCGTCACTCTCCCGGCGTGCCCAGCGGCCAGCGGCCAGCTCGCTCCCACGGCCCCACACGACCTACCGCCCATACAGGAAAGTGGCACTCACAATGCTTACGTCTGCGGTCGTCTCACCTACTACTTACGCCCGAAGCCGAGATAATCCGTGTCTGTGCACGAGACAACAACGCCCCCGCCATCGGTCGGGAATGGCCAAATGGGCTTGCAAAACAAACTGGGTGTCATTCGCTGCCCCCCATAGACAACCCCACCGCATGTGCCAACAGACAACAGACCATAGCCGGCTTACAACTGAACCGGTGGCAAGGGGCCCAGAAGGTGCCACCCACATCGTTCGACAGCCTCGACCAGCCCGCACAATAGACGTGACGCAGCAATGGCGGTGGGGTGGGGATGGAATGTTCGGACATTGTACATTGTCCTCCTGTTTCGCGGTGCTTGTCGCCCTCGTGCAGATCACGTCAGCCGATCACAGCCGCCCTCGGTCGCGTAACACAGTAAATAACGCCACCTCCATCAGTCTAACCGCTGCAAGAGAGAGCGGGCAGTGGCGCCCGCTCCCCACAAGTACTTTGGTCAGAAGTGTTCTGTTCACGCCCCGATAGGGGGGGACGAGACGAGATGCCACAGCTTGACGCAACCAGTCCACAATGCCCCAAGGCCCCAAGCGTTTGGATCTTGTTTCGAACACGCGCCGCCCCCCTTGGCCCCTTGGGCCCCTCGACTGCTCCCGGTTTGCACACAGAAAGTACCCCGGCCAGAAGTGAAAGGCTTCCACCCGGGCTTTTGACATGTCCCGGAAAACTATGTACTACTACGTCCTCGACATGATGCGCCCGCGCGCCAAGCACGGGCTCGCTGGTGCGCGCGCACCGCAGCCCCCGAGCCCCACGCCGCCCTGCTCTTGCTCCTGCTCCAGCATGGTGCCCACTCGTACGTTCGCTGCTCATTACGCCCGTCATGATCACACACAACGACGACGCGCTTAGTACGAGCGACCGAAGAGGGTCCAGCTCTTGGCCTTCTTGCCACACTGGATGCACTGCTGCTTCTCGCCCTCGGGGAAGGGGCCGAAGCGGTCCTGGTCGAAGGGGATACAGAGCGACTTGGCACCGGCCGAGGGGGCCTTGGAGTCCTCGGCCTCGCCGGCGTTGGCCTGCGACTTGGAGCGGTCCTTGATGTCGTCCTCGCACTGGGGGTCCTCACACCAGGGAATGACAATGGCGCACTTGGAGTCGAGGGTGGGGACAACGTCGTCCCACACGAGGGTCTTGCGGACCGACTTGTTGAAGTTCTCGAGGGCGCGGGTGTACATGGCGGCCTGGATGTCCTCGAGCGACTTGTTGACAACGTTGACAATGTCCTCGAGGGGGTACGACTCCTTGTGGTTGTCGTAACGGCGGACGGCAAGGGCCGACTTGGCAGCAATGTCGCGGGGGCCGAGCTCGAGGCGGAGGGGGACACCACGCATCTCCCAGTCGTTGAACTTCCAGCCGGGGGTGTAGCCTTCACGGAGGTCGGCGTGGGCACGGATACCGGCAGCCGAGAGCTCGGCGGCGAGCTTGGCACAGGCGTCGTAGATGGGGGCGTTCTTGCCCTCACCCTTCGAGAGACCGACGGGGACAACAACAACCTGCTGGAGAGCAACCTTGGGGGGGAGGACGAGACCCTGGTCGTCACCGTGGGTCATGACGGCCACACCGATCGAACGGGTCGAGAAGCCCCACGAGTTCTGGAAGACGTGGACCTTGGTGTCCTTGCCCGAGGCGCGGGCGGCGGCGTCGGCCTTGGGGTCCTCGACGGTGATGTCGAACATCTTGGAGAAGTTCTGGCCGAGGTGGTGCGAAGTACCACCCTGGATACCACGACCGGTGGTGGGGATAAAGCCCTCGACGGTGGTGGTGTAGTCGGCACCGGCAAACTTCTCGTTCTCCGACTTCTTACCCTTGATAACGGGAACGGCAAGCAGGTTCTCGTAGATCTGGCGGTAGAGCTCGAGCATGACAAGAACCTCCTCGTCGGCCTCGTGCTTCTCGAGGAAGGCAGTGTGGCCCTCCTGCCAGAGGAACTCGCGGGTACGGAGGAAGGGCTGGGGGTTCTTGAACTCCCAACGGACGACCGAGTTCCACTGGTTGAGCTTCAGGGGAAGGTCACGGTGCGACTTGATCCACTTGGCGTAGTAGGGGTACATGACAGTCTCCGAGGTGGGACGGATGGCAATGTGCTCCTCGAGCTCGGACTGGCCGGCACGGGTGACCCAAGCAACCTCCGGGGCAAAGCCCTCAATGTGGTCCTTCTCCTTCTCGAGACGGGCACGCGAGACGAACATGGGGAAGTAGCAGTCGTTGACACCAGTCTTCTTGATCTCGGCGTCGAAGAAGGCTGATCGCGTTAGTGGCTTCATCGTGACAATGTTCGCCGCGCCCGGTGTATTGACTCACTCTGGATAGCCTGCCAGATGTTGTAAGACGAAGGGCGGAGAATGTAGCAGCCCGAGATGTCATAGTAGTCGAGCATCTCACCCTTGATGAGAACGTCGGTGTACCAGCCCGAGAAGTCCTCGTTCTTCTTGTACTGGATAGCCATCTCGTAGAGGTCCTCGTCCTTCTTGGCGGGGGCAGCGGCAGCGGGCGCCTTCTTGGCGGCGGGAGCGGCCTTGGCAGCGGGGGCGGGGGCAGCAGCCTTGAGCTCGGCAAAGTCAACAACACGGACGGCCTCGGGCGACGAGATCGACTCGAGGTAAGCCTTGATGTCGGTACCCTTCAGGAGGACAGTCGACGACGAGGCGGTGAGGTGGACAGCGTACTGCTCAGTCGACGAGGCAAGGGTCGAGTCGAGGAGGAGGAAGATGGTGGAGGGGACAGGCGAGGGGAGGGCAAAGGCCGAGACTGAGAGAATGTCAGCTTGTGCACAGAGGAGTGGCAAGAGGAGATTGGACTGGTCATGGTGACGTCGAATGATCATTTATATGCCCAGTGGGTGGCAAAATAAAAGGCCAACAACAGACTCTGACCGAGTCGGCGACTGTTGAAAATCTCGACTCGGGAGGTGGCGAGCAGCGTCGCTGCCACTGTGCCACACCTGCATCGATCGCTATCCACGCGCGCAGCAGGTGACGACAAAACGCAGATGCGTTCAGTACACTAACAGGCCCCGGCCGAGGACAGGGCCGTCTGTGCCCAAGGCCAAGGCACTTGATCACACAGTGAAAGTGTGCAAGTGGAGGTCGCGTCGACTCAATAGCCGCCACCTGGCAGTGCACGCGCCGACTTCCCCATTCAGAGTAGCAGGTGGTAGTCGCTCAGACCACCTAAAAAACACCCAGGAGAGGGACACTCACCGTCGTCCTTGGAAGCAGCCGAGGGGATGACCTGCTTGATAAGGTCCTCCGAGGCAAGACGGAGCTCCTTGAGCTGGAGGAGCGAGCCGATGAGGCCCGAGCTGGTCTCGGTGTCCTCCTTGGCAAGAACGAGCACGGGGGTAGGCTCAGCAGTCTTGGCAGTCTTGGGCTTGAAGAGGAGCTGTTGTTTCCTATCAGCGCTCTGCTCTCCGCTGCGCAGCTATCCCGGTCCTCCATTCCAGCACGGTTGGCAGAAGAGCGCTCAGGACACGCCAGCACCACTCACAGTCTTGGTGAGCGCGACGCCGGTCTGGCCGACCTTGTCGAGCTCGGCACGCCACTCGGCACCGCCCTTGACAGGCTCGTGGGTGATGACGGCGGGGGCAGCGCCGAGGTTGAGCGCGCCGAAGCGGGCGAGAATGTCAGAGTCGGTAATGGCCGCCATTGCGAACTTTGTGATGGAAGGGTAGGTGAAGGGAGCGCGGAACTTGGCAGGGGAGCTGTAGTAGCGAATGTGTGACAAGTAGGCGGTCGATGCTGTCGGGCGGGACTGTCTAGCTGCTCTGAAGAAGGCCGCGAGGGGGCGTATGGGCATGTAGCTGTCTCCAGTGATGGGTGCGAGTCGACTTCGTCTGCCGCGCTCGATGTTCTCTCTCCCAGTACAGATGGCAGGCGCGGGATGATAAGCAATCGTCTGTTGACGTGGAAATGACACGTCATGGATGATAGGGAATTAATTAGTGTTGTCCTAATTGGCCCACGAGTTTATTACCCCGGTGGCTTGCCAATTTCAAATGTCCCACCTGTGGCAGGCAATCGAGTGATGAAAGGCATGTGGCCATGTGGCGTATGGCACGGTGGTACGGTGGTGATGATGGCGAGGGGAAAGGGGGGCAGAGTGCAGGATAAGCGGGCGTTCATGTTGCTTGCAGTTACTTGACAGGTCAAGCTGGTGGACATACAAGATGAAATAAACAACCCCAAGTGTCGATGATGAGAAGCAGGTATCTCCCTGGGACGCAAGGCATGTCAGCCAGACGGGCACATACACTGTCCAGCCTCGTGCCAGTTCTGCGATCTGTCGTTTGTTTGCAACCTTTCATCGTTGCACGACTGTCTCGCAGCTGGATCTTTCTGCATGGCTGGTGGGTAATGGTAGCTTGGCCATATAAATTAATAATACAATAATAATAAACAATTGATGACGCCCAACAACTCGGCGCGCCTGTCCTCATACTATCCCCACAGGGTATACTGTAATGTCCAGTGCTGGACAGTAACCCCGTGGCCATTGCACCAGCACGTAGCCACCGTGACCCCACGGTACTTCAGAAGGAGCCTAAAACATGGCGTTTTGGGATTGTGTCCCGCACCCATGTCCGTGAGCCCCCCTCGGGCCAGGCCACGGATCACCTCAGTGCCACTGGCCACAAGAACGGAGCCTTAACGTTCCAACAGTAACATGTGCGTTGAACGAGACCAGCGGCAAGCCGGGCTATCTGTCAACGCCCCAGAGGTCGTATGCTGAGGTGAGCGGCTCTGAGCTGCAAATTGGTCGTGGGACGGCTGTGGGACGGACGGGTGACGGGCTTCGACTTGTGAGGTCGGTGACGACCAGGGGGAGACCAACACTCAACACGGAGATGATCGTTCCGGACATGCCCCTACTGCGGTCCCAGTGTCACAGTGTCGGTGGAGCTATTGTAACCTCGACAACACAAACCCAACCCCCCCCGGCGCATTAACATTCAGCCTGGATCTCAGCTTTACCGCTCTCCACCTAACAGCACTTTGGGGGTGTGTTGATCTGTGGACACGTAGCGTCCTCTCCCACGCTGCCTTTTCTCTTCGTCTTCCTGCTTGGCTCTCCTCACTTGCCTCGCCACACCACTACCTCCTCGCTGCACATGCCTCTGCCAAAAGCCACCACGGCGGTTCAGGACTACCGTTGGTATCGTGCTTGTCGGCGTTAAGCCACGACTCAACTGTCCCACGGTCAATCACCATTGGCAGTTTGCTCCCGGAGTGCACACCCACACGCTCTCGCTCCGCGCACCGCTGGGTGGCCTCTTCGACCAAAGCGATCAGAGCTTCACCGCCAGCACTCACTCACCACCATCAAAATGTCCGCCGACCTCACCTGGCTCCTCGTCCGCGGCTGGAACTCGTTCCAGCGCAAGTCGTCTAACGGCCCCATCTTCTCGGCTGAGCAGGTGAGAATCCAACACCGGCGACAAATCGGGGCAGAATTGCGACCAAATTCAACATTTCGCGGACGGAACACGATGGGAACGGAGATGGACTGGGAATGGGCTGGGCGAGACAGCGAGACAGCGAGGGAAGGGATGCCGAAAGCGCGTTATGGCTGGGCCATGCGTGTTGGAACGCGGAGGTGAAAGTCTGCGTTTCTGGGAAGCGCCCTGTGTGAAGTCCTCGAGGGGTGTCGTGTTCAACCAGCCGTGCGGTCCCAGTCCACAGTCCAGTCGTCAAGCCGCTCCGTTCGCCAGAAGTGTTGGAATTGCGAGATCTGCCCCGGAGCCGCCGTGTCTATGCCGAAAGAGCGCTTGCTGACTTGCTAGGGCAACCTCCTCAACCTCCACTCGCAGAAGTACTCGGGTCTCGCCAACTCGAAGGTCCTCGCCATTGACGCCAACGCCGAGGGTGCCATCACTGTCACCAAGATCCAGCCCAACGGTGGCCAGGTCGCCTCGGCCCGCAAGGCCTCGACCCTCAAGCGCTCGACCGGCCCCCGCCGCGCCGCCAAGATCGCCGCTGTTGAGACCGCCGCCAAGGGCTACCGCGCCGACCTCCGTGCCGTGAGTATTTCCTTTCCAAGAAGTCTCGCTGTGTCCTCGCGACGGACACAACAACAAGCCCTCCTCCATCCCCACATTGCAGCTGCTAGAACTCCCCGGAAACTCTATGAAGGGCCGAGCGTATTTGGCTTGCTAAACCAATGCCATCTTTTAAAAGATCCGCGACATCACGCGCCGTCCACGCAAGCAGCAAGTATGCCATGCGTGGACGGGGCCTGAAACGTCACGGCACATTATTGCCCCATTTCGTGTTAGCTTTTCATAAGACAATTGCTGACGCTACAGGCCGCCGTCGCCCGCATCTCGGCCCTCACCCGCGTCAACCGCCGCGCCGCCAACCCCCCCAAGGACAAGCGCAGCAAGAAGGTCGCCGCCGAGGAGAACGCCATCGAGCTCGACTAAACGCATTTCCCCATTTATGAGGAATTCGTGTATGCAGTAGAGGTCCGGTGCACAGGCTGGCTGTGCGCCTGGAGAGAGTTGGTAGAGGTAGTCATGCCAGCATCTCCGCATTCCACAGCACAAAAATGTCCTTTAATGAGCAAAACGAGCAACGTTGCGTCTGCTAGTTCAACTAACGATTGTTTTCGGGGCCAAGGGCAGGTGTGGAAGTTGCACATGGGGTAGCTCGACGACTGGAGGAGACTGGCCTGGTGACCGCCTAGGTGGCCACCAGGTGGGCAGCACATTGACCCCAGCTCTTGACTGAGTGGGGTGCCAGGAAAAGTGCCATTGTTTGTGTAACTCCTGGCAGGGACTGATGATGTACAGCATAGCCACTCTCCTCTCCGTACCCAGTCCATAAGCCGATATGCCCATGGACAATGGCGCACTGGCGCATTGCAGAGAACAGAATTATGCAGAAAGCGGGCTCCGCACATGAGACGCGCCACGAAGCCCATTCAACCACCAGACAATAAATCATCCCCCCAGTTTAGGATCTGGATCGTCACCCTCCAGCAAGTCGCGCCGTCTCGTCGGCCTCCAACGCGACCGCAAGAACACCACCACCTTCAACCTCCATCCCATCTCCCCTCCCCCTCCCCCCACCCTCCGTCCCACCTCACAAAGCAGCGCGAGGGCGTACCGCTCTCTCCCTCCCCCCTCCGCTGACCCCCGAGAAATCGCTTAAAGATGGTGCGTAGAGAACCAGTTGCGAACGAGTTAATGTGCCTGCTGACACCCGCCCCAGCCGATGCTCCTCGACATCACCGTTAGTCCAGCCCGCGGCAATAGATCGTGCGAACGTGTATACTGATAATGTTCTCAGAGGAAGCTCCTCGCTAGGTCCGACAGGGTCAAGTCGGTGGACTTCCACCCGACTGAGCCGCATGTCATCTGTGGTCTCTAGTGAGTTTGTTGTTCACGTGTTGGTAGCTAACCCAACTAGCAATGGTCAGGTCAAGATCTGGAACTATGAGACGCAGACCGACCTCAAGACGTTTGAGGTGACCGACGTTCCCGTGCGCTGCGTCAAGTACATTGCGCGCAAGAACTGGGTGAGTCAAACACAAGCCCGCCCAAGCAACATGATGGCTAACACGATTCCAGTTTGTGTCGGGTTCCGACGACTTCCAGCTGCGCGTGTACAACCTCTCGACTGGCGAGAAGATTACTTCGTTCGAGGCGCACCCCGACTACATCCGTTGTTTGACTGTCCACCCCACGCTGAGCTTGGTGCTTACCGGCTCGGACGACATGACGATCAAGTGCTGGGACTGGGACAAGGGATGGCGCTGTGTCCAGATCTTTGAGGGCCACACGCACTACATCATGGCTCTCGCGTTCAACCCCAAGGACCCCCAGACCTTTGCCTCGGCGTGTCTTGATCACACTGTCAAGGTCTGGTCGCTCGGCAGCCCTGTGCCCAACTTCTCGCTCGAGGCCCACGAGAAGGGTGTCAACTATGTCGACTACTACCACGGCGGTGACAGGCCGTACATTGTCACCACTGGTGACGACCGTCTTGTCAAGATCTGGGACTACCACGCCAAGTCGTGCGTCCAGACCCTCGAGGGCCACTCGGCCAACGTCTCGTTTGCCATCTTCCACCCTTCCCTCCCCATTATTCTCTCCGGCTCTGAGGACGGCACTGTCAAGATCTGGCACTCGTCCACTTACCGCCTTGAGAACACCCTCAACTATGGCCTCGAGCGCGCATGGTGTGTCGCGTACCGCAAGAGCGGCAACGAGGTTGCTCTTGGTTTCGACGAGGGTGCCGTCGTCGTCAAGCTTGGCCGCGACGAGCCCGCCGTTTCGATGGACACCTCGGGCAAGATCATCTACGCGCGCAACACTGAGATCTTGACGGCCAACATTTCGAACATTGGCACCGACGGCCAGGACGTCGAGGACGGCCAGCGTCTCGGCGTTGCCCTCCGCGACCTTGGCACCACCGAGGTCTACCCCCAGAGCCTGCAGCACTCGCCCAACGGCCGTTTTGTGACTGTCTGTGGTGACGGCGAGTACATCATCTACACTGCTCTTGCTTGGCGCAACAAGGCGTTTGGCGGCGGTACCTCGTTTGCTTGGGCCTCGGACTCGAACACGTACGCCGTCCTCGAGGGCAAGTCCAAGGTTCGCGTCTCGCGCAACTTCAAGGAGCGCCCTGGTCTCGTCAAGTCGCAGGGCGGCTGGGCTATCGAAGGTCTCCACGGTGGACCCCTCCTTTCCGCTCGCGGCTCGGGCTTTGTCATGTTCTGGGACTGGGAGACTGGAGCGGTCGTCCGCCGTATCGAGGCCGACGCTACCAACGTCTCGTGGTCGGGTTCCGGCGACCTCGTTGCCATCACCACCGAGGATTCGTTCTACATTCTCCGCTTTGACCGTGATGCCTACGCCGCCCGCCTCGAGTCTGGCGAGATTCTTGGTGACGAGGGTGTCGAGGAGGCGTTTGACATTGTTGCCGAGGTCTCGGAGCAGGTCAAGACCTGCCGCTGGGTTGGTGACTGCTTCATCTACACCAACTCGGCCAACCGCCTCAACTACCTCATTGGCGACCAGGCCAGCGTCATCAACCACTTTGACCAGGGCATCTACCTTCTCGGTTACCTCCCGGCCCACAACCGCGTCTACGTCGCCGACAAGGACATGAACATTTACTCGTACGCCCTGTCGCTCATGGTCGTCGAGTACCAGACTGCCATTCTCCGCGGTGACCTGGCCGAGGCTGAGCGCATCCTGCCAACCATCCCCGCCGACCAGCGTAACCGCATCGCCCGCTTCCTCGAGGTTCAGGACCTCAAGGAGCTCGCCCTCCAGGTCTCGACCGACCCCGACCACAAGTTTGAGCTTGCCGTCTCTATCAACGACCTCGAAGTCGCCCTTGACCTCGTCCGTGCCGCTCCCGAGGCCGGTTCCGAGGCCAAGTGGAAGATTATTGGCGACAAGGCTCTTGCCGCATGGCAGCTCGACCTCGCCCAGGAGGCGTTTGAAAAGTCCAAGGACCTGCCCGCGCTCCTCCTTCTCTTCACCTCGCTCTCGGACCGTGCCGGTCTCGAGCGTCTCGCCACCCTCGCCAAGGAGAAGGGCCAGAACAACATTGCGTTTGCCGCCTACCTCCAGCTCGGCGACAGCGCTGCTTGTGTCGACCTCTTGGCGGCCACCGAGCGTCTCCCCGAGGCTGCGCTGATGGCCCGTTCGTACAACCCCGCTTCCGCCCCGGGTGTGGTCAAGAAGTGGCGTGCCGACCTGGAGAGCCAGGGCAAGCCAAAGGTCGCCGCGACCATTGCCGACCCCGAGGAGGACCGGGAACTGTTTGACGAGCTCGCCACACCTTCCAAGTTTGACTCGGAGGGCTCGGGTGTGGTCGTCGACCACCAGGAGGACGACGACGATGCCGAGCCCACCGAATCCGCCGAGCCCGTGGACGGTCTTGCAGACCAGGTTGCCGAGCTCGCTGTCGAGGAGAAGTTGGTCGACGAGGAGGCAGAGGCAAAGGAAGATGACGGCGAGGAGGCAGAGGGTGCGGCCGACGCACAAGCAACCACGCCGACCGGAAACGGCATTAAGAAGTAGTCCCCCCACCCCCCAACCCCCAACCCCCCTGACCCGATCACGGCATGTATTCTCTGCGCGGATAGCGGAAAAAGGTGGCACAGAATTCTTGTCATGAAACGGCATTAGACCTTGACCATGGACTGCACAGAACGTGGGCCATGGAGTGGTGTTTTGGCATCGTTTCCCCCACTACAGCGTCTTTTCTCAAATGTGGCACTGACGACAGTACACGCGCTGGTGATATGGCACTGTGTGATGTCTAATTAAGTTTGCCTGGGTCCATCCATGTGCACTCCCGGGGAACCGATATGAGCTGTAAAGTGGAATGTGATGTGATGTGTGTGGCTGGCCACATGTGGTTATGCCATGCCATGCTTGTTAAACCAGACGGTGCCTGTCCGCAGCAGCCCCAGAAGGCACTCTGCACGATCTGTACTGTGCATGCTGTCGAGATCTCTAGAGCAATGCAGTGGGGGTTTGAACGCTGCACAGCACCTGTCGTGTGCCGTATGAACATGACATTTGGGTGCCACAAAGTGATCATCCATCGCGCATCGCACAGAGAGGCGCTCTGGCGTTGGCGCTGGGGGGGACCATCGGCCGATCCAGGAGAGCGACAGGGAAAAGTATGACGTTGTGCGGGGGGTGGGCGCCATGGCTGGGAAAAACACATTGTACCCTTGGTCTCGCGTCCTCGGGTGGCTCCTAGTGTGTTTTTGCGGTGCACAACCTTGCTCTCTCTGCTCGAGGTCCAAGGGCCACGCACGCAGTGAATTGGCATGTGGCCATTTACGGAGAGGGGCTGTGGTGGCCGTAGTGTGTCTGCATGCATGAAGTGAGACGAGCGGGGGGGGGGCGACCTGACGGACACTGCTGCCAAGGCAATCGCAGAGTCATGGCCTTGGCGCGGGGGACTGTTGACCCCGGCGCAGGGCGGCCAGAGCGCCAGAGCGTGACAAGGCCGTTTCTCCCCATCCGTCAAGCCACCTGACAACCATCTCACATCGCCCATTTTGTTCCTTGTCACAACTCTTGTCACAAACCCATCAAATCCCTTCCACTTCCTACTCGTCTCGGCCTGCGACCTCCCTCCTCCTCTTCCTCTTCCTCTCCACACACACTCTCTATCTTCTTTCATTCGTTCCCGTTCGGTTGATGCGTACTGCGCGCACGCAATGATCGTCAAAACAGCAGCAACCATCGCGGCCCTTGCCGTCTTGGTCCCCCTCACCTCGGCGCAGCAGCTTACTAGCGACGGATGCCTCTACATCACTGGCTCATCCACATGCAAAGCCTGTACGTCCCCTCCCTCCCTCACAACACTTGTCGCTGACGCTCCGCCCCCAGTCCAAACCTCATACGTCAACGCGACGGCGCTGGCAGACATGTACAGCTTCTTTGACAATGTCTACGATGTGTCCGACTTTGACAAGTATGTCACACGCTACTTTGCGACCGCAAGCCAGTGGCCCAAGGCCAAGTTTACCACTGGTCTGGGCTGCTCCAATGCCTCGACCGCTGTCATTCGGTACCAGCAGACGGTCATGTGCTCTCTCTGGGTCAACGACGCGAGCAGCCGCAGCTGTATGGCCACCTACCGTGAGTCGTTTTGTGCTCCACCTGCTGGGTGGCGTCCGGAGTGCTGCGCAGTCTCGGGCGCGAGGTCCTCTCCTTCTGCCCCGCAACCACCCCACCCAGGAGCGCGCCCAAGCACTGCAGGGGTTGCAGTCGCGCGCGAGGAGTTATGCATGTGCACGAGAAAACAACCTGTCCAACATGCTAACACTGTTATTACAGAGGGCCAGACCGCTGCCGATGGCCAGGCTATGGCCTGCTCGGATACGTGCAACCAGTTCTCGGCGTCTGAGGTTGCCATTGTGAACAACACTGAGCTGTGCCCTGCTGGCGACAGCACCAAGCGCGAGACCACCATCGCCACCGACCTGTCCAACTGTCTCACCACTGGCGGCCAGCAGGCCTCCGCGTCCAACTGTATCCTTGGATCGGATAACGAGGGCAACTGCGGCTACGGCAACTCGACGACCGAGCTGTGTTCGTTCTGCGGCGCTTCCAGCCCCGAAACTTGCTGCAACGATGTCGACCTTGTGACCATGTGTGGCTTTGCCCTCTCCGCCTCGGCGACTGCCACTGGCGCCACGACAACGGGCACTGGTTCGGCAGTTGGCGCATCCAGCGGCTCGAAGAAGAGCGGTATCTCTAGCGGTGCCATTGCTGGTATCGTCGTCGGTGTTGTTGGCGGTCTTGCCGTCCTTGGTGCCATTGCCTTCTTCATGTGGCGCCGCAACAAGCGCTCGACCAACAGCGCTGCGGACGGTGGCCATTCCCCATTCATCGACAAGGACGAAGACCGCCTTGCTTCTCCCGACTCGACCCCGTCGGCCACCAACCAGGGTCTTGCATCGGAGAGCCACAACGGACACGGTGCTCGCAATGCCGCCATCGGCGTCGCTGGTGCTGCAGCCGTTGGAGGTGCACTGGCTGCCCACCACAACCGTGCGCCTTCGCCTCCTCCCAAGCCCGTCTCGCCAGTGGCTGCCACGCACCCCATTGCTACCGCCAACGCCCCGACCGCCTCTGCCTTCCCCCAGTCGGCTCCCAACGAGCCGCCCTCGTACAACTCGTTTGCTGATGAGCCTGTGGCACAGGCTACGCGTACGCCCGCAGTCGCTGCTGTCCCAAGTGCGCCGACGCCGCGCATCTCGTCCACCCCTGCCGCTGCCGCTGCCGCGGCAGAGCCGACCAACGCTGGCTTTGCGGGTCGTGGCGCCGGCCACGCCTCGGCTGTTGGCACTGGTCTCGCTGTTGGTGCCGGTGCGCTCGCTGCTGGTGCCGCCGTCCACCACCACAACGCTTCTTCCGCTCCTTCTGCTCCCCCTGCTCCCCAGGTCTCGTCTGCCCCCTCGGGTATGACCACCTCTCCCAGCGGCGCCATCTCGGTCAACAGCATTCCCGACCAGCACAACCCGGGCCACTGGATCAAGCAGGGCTCCGAGGTCAACGTGCTTCACCCGTACGCGGCCGCGCTCACCGACGAGCTCACTCTCACTCCGGGCATGACCATCCTCGTCGAGCAGCTCTTCGATGACGGCTGGGCCACGGGCAAGGTCATGGATGGCGACATGTCCCAGGCCGGCAAGACGGGCCAGTTCCCCGCAGTGTGTGTCTCCACCCTCAACGCATAACGACGAGACAACGACGGACAATTTTTGCAGTATATACGGTCTATGTAATATGGTGTTGTCTCGCAAGGGGTTTGCGATATCTCGCTCACCGGTCGGTTGTCGGTGTACGTTGGCATTGGGAGATGCAGCTCATATGCGCCGCATTGCGTAGAGCAGGTGTGCGGCGCCGCAGGGTTGATTGAACCCACCGCGACGTCGCCCCCTGTTCCTTTGCGGCACCTATGTGGCAATGTGACGGATAAACCCCGAGCAAAACGTATCACGCACCGTGGTACATACAGAATATGCGATGACTTCCCTTCCCCGATGCTTGCATATGGTCCTCAATACTGCAACATATGTTCGGATGTGCTCGGCATGACCCCTTCTTCTCGCTCGATGCGTACGGTATTGACCAGCGAATTCTCGCTGCGCGTCACGCGCGTTGTCATGAGTCGGTGCGGCGGAGTGGTGTCGACAAGAAATAACGTGATACTTCGGACTGGCGATGCTCGGTCTGGCCGTACCGGTAGTTCTGGACAGTTGGCGCCTGGGAGATGACCGATGGTGGGATAAGGTAGCTGACGTCGGAGGTTTGGCTGAGGACCCCCATTCTCGAGCCTTGCGACGGCTAATTACAACTTAAATACTGGATGCGAGGGTGGATCTGATGCCGTGTGTGGCACACACCGACAGGCTATTAGACTCCACGGTGCTTGTATTTGCCTTGAACGTGGCACACTTACAAGCTCCAATGTGTACTGCACATCCGCCAGAACGTCCACATGTGACTCCACCATCCAATATGAAGGAGCTTGTGGCCGGTGGCGCCGCTCGCCTCCGGTGCTGGCCTTTTGGTATAGTTCCGCGTGTTAGTCTCAGTAGTGAGAACAGAACACATTTCAAACGATCTACTTTAGTCCTCGCTTCGTCCTTGCTCAGGATGACGAGGCCCAGCGCAGAATCGCCGTCGGCATTGGTATGTGGGCGAGTTTGCGATCCGCGACTTGAAGGAGGCTCTCGTCAATATCCGGATATCCAGCGAGCGACGACCAGCTCATGTGGCCAATGGAGATGCCGGGCAAAGCGATGGATGCGGGTTGGGTGTGAACGAGGAAATGGTGTGGACGACAGCAGCATGCCAGGGAAGACACTTGAACATGGCTGGGGCAGCAGACCTATCTCGTTACTGTTGACGATACTAATATGACGGCGCGGCGCGGCGCATGTGGCAACATTATGAAGGGGGTTGGATTGGCAGCCTGACTTGCGGCATTGGAGGTCAACAAGAACGTGGGCTTTCCTTGCAGCATTGACCATGCCCCTTGACGCTCTGAGCCCTGAGCTCAAAGTCGGGCGTGGGGAGTTTGACAAAGGTGAGAAGCCGGACGAAGGTGGAAGAAGACGCCGACAAGCTAACAGACGTGCCACTCGAGTTTCAACCACGAAATATTGACCTCCAGAGCGACCGTTCCAACAAAGGGACACACTGGGGGTACGCCAGGTGGGCTGCCGTGCGCAGCTCTAAGTCATCGACAGGCGATCGTTTCCGTGTCTCGAAGATAAACCTTATTTTTTCTTGAAGAACATCACGGGGATATAGCGAAGTGGTATCGCGTTTCATTTGCAGTGTCGCTTCGACAACAGCACATTGAAAAGATCCTGGGTTCAATCCCCAGTGTCTCCATAATATATAGCAGCTCATGAAGCTGGGTCTTCACTTTTTGCATGTGGTTTAGTGCAAGAAGCTCTCAAAAATCAGTTGTGGATGTGTAGGAGGCAGGAAAAATGGCCCGGAGGTTTATTGTCCGGTGGCTCTGTGGCAATTCATCTTGCAAGAGAGGCCTGTTTTAGGTTCCCCAGTGTCTCCATGAGCAGCTCTAGCAGCCGTATCTTTTTTATTATGGATGCAAGAGGAGCATTGGATGTATTTTTGGGAAGAATTAGGACACAACAAGTACCCCCAAAACGAGCGGAAGTTTTGTCTTTGAAGGGTGTGTGGTTTTCTTGATCGGCGGTTTTTGGTTCCGGTCCGTGGACTGTTCTTTTTAGAAATCCGCCCCACCAGAGGAGGGGGGGGAGAGGGAGCGTCAGAGGCATATGCACACGCAGGGGTACATCTTGTGGAGTGGTGGAATGCATGCATGACACTGTCAAGTTGGAAAGGGACGCCCGGTAATCCAGTGACCCTCCTCCAGTTACGCTTCGGAGGGAGCGGGTGGAATATGCCACAACCGCAGACAAGCGTTCTCTTCCACCTAGCAACCGATCTCTAGCGAGCCACGTTCTTGAGTATCGACACCATTAACGCTCTCGTCGCCTCCTGCTAGTCATTCTCTGATGAACTAGTCATCGTCCGGGCACCCTTTGCCATTTGTTTTTGTCTCAAAAATACAAAAATAAATCTGTTTTTAATCGTCTTTTAAATTGACATGTGTACAAAAACATACAATGCGTAGTCCGCTTTGTAGTTATGTGAGTTTATCCTTACACTGCTATAGTGTGCTATCTCTATCCTACAGCACAGTACCGTCCTGCACATACTGACCTGCACTTTGCTTCGTATCTGAATATACTGTCACTATGTGTGGATGTTTGTAATTTAACTTCTCGTCTATCCTCGAGTTGTGCGCTTTGGAAGCAGAGCAACGTCTTTTTGGCGCTTCTGGCGAGGCTTCATATGCCTGGAGCATTTCTGGATACCTCAAGGCTCGATTCAAACCCAGTGGCTTAAAGTCCTCAGATCACAATAGCACCAACAGTGACTTTACCAGGAAAATCACCGCCTTCCCACCCAACGCCGCCCTGCCCTGCGAGGGGGTCACGTCAACCTCTCTACAGTGCTTGACCACACGATTCGGCTTATCACACACCCTCTGGGACTTTATCAGGATAATCGACAAAAACATGGCTGAAACCGAATAACCACTGCATATATTTCTGTTACCTGCAGACACCGTTACAAACTTCCCCGCCGCCACTCCCCAAAACTTCCCCCTCTCCCAACTCAAACAGCGGCCGATGGGCGGCGTCCCGATTCGCGGCTAATCGCACGCGACAGACGACGGGTGAGTCCACCCGCGTGCTCGGGAACATCACGGTCTGCGCGGCCCAGGATGATCTCTGCCTCGCGCGAGCCCGCAGGCGGAATGTCGCCCGAGACAGACACCTTGACGGGGTTCTCGCCCGTCTCATAGGCAAGGGCAAAGATGATGTCGAGTTCCTCGAGAGAGTACTTCTTCGTCTCAGGGAAGAAGAAGTAGACGCTGGGCGCGATGATGAGGCCGTTTGTGGCGGCAAAGAGGGCGTAGGTTCCCCAACCAATCTTGTCGAACATGGGGCCAGTGGCCATGACGACCATGAAGCTGAGGTATGTCAGAAACAGTCGACAGGAGAGAGAAGAGGATGAGATGCACTCACTTGAAGAGCCAGTTAGTGGCTGTCGACATGGCATTGGCCGGAGCACGGATACGGAGGGGCGTAACCTCCGCGGGGTAGAGCCAGGTCATACCGAGCCAGCCGACCGAGAACCAGGTGTTGAAGAGGAAGAGGCAGAGAACAGAGATGACTTGGGCTGGAACGGAGCCGGCCTTGTTGATCTTGTATAGTCCAGCGAGGATCGCCATTGTGGCGGCTTGAAGGATCGCCGTCCAGACCATCAACTTCCTTCGTCCGATTCGTTCGATGAGGAACAGTGCGACGAGAGACGTCAAGAAGTAGGTCGTTCCATTCACTCCTGCAATGACTCTTGACATGAAGGTGGAGAGACCCATGCTCTCAAGTACAAGAGTCTGGACGTCAGCACGGTTTTTTGAAAGGATGGTCCGTGAGCGGCCATTGTTGGAGGTACCACTTTCAACCACTCCCACCTCATTGTCCACCTCACGAAGCACTTACTAAATAGTAGGTAATGAGATTTATACCTGTGTGTGTTGCATAAGCGTACAATCCATGTGGTCAAGGGCTATACATACCTGAAATCTGCTGGTGCATTTGGCTGGCCATTCCGAGGAGCGTACGACGGAAGTTTTGTGTCTTTCCACCGGTGAACAGCTGGCGGAACGAAAATCCAGACGCGTCTTCAGCCTTGACGGCATCTACAATACCGTGCCAAGTACGCCGAACCTCGGGGTCGCTGACAGACGTGTTGTCGAGGGCCGCAAGGACAGCCAGAGCCTCTGCGTTCCTGCCCTTTGCGACGAGCCAACGGGGAGACTCGGGAAGGCGGAACATGTACATGCAGACGATCATGATGACGGCAAACACGATTTGAAAGGCGATGGGGAAGCGCCACGACACGGAAGACTTGGGGAAGAAGAAGCCGACGTTGATCCAATACGAGACCATGATGCCGAAGGTGATCAGGGAGCCTTCAAAGAGGACGAGTTGGCCGCGGCGTGCGGGCTTGGCGCACTCGGACTGGTAAGCCGGGACGGTTGAAGTGAGGAGACCGTTTCCGAGACCAGTGATAACGCGTGCCACAAGCACTGGACGTCAGCCACATGTTAGTCCAACGCAATCTTACTCATTGGGTAGTTGACAGAGGCAGCTTGCAGAATAGCTCCGACAATCATGATGAGACCGCCACTTTTCGTTTTTGTCAGCAAATCGATCCTCGCCGGCGCCACTTCCGAGATTTTACTCCGGCCAGGCGGTGTCCGCCCAGCGCAACAGCCACTCACAGACTGATGGTGTGGCGACGGCCAATCTTGTCACCGACCCAGAGGTTGGACAGAGCACCGGCCATGCAGCCGAGCTCGTAGATGGCAATAAGGAGCGACTGCAGCGTAGAAGCGTTCCCGCCGCCGCCCTGCCAACGGGTAACGGTCTGCGGGAAGGTGCTCTCAAAGGACTCCAACGAGAGGAGGCCTCCCATGACACCCTGGTCATATCCAAACAGGGTAAACTGGAGAGACGACGTCAGCATGTACTATGTTTGCGGTGTTGCTGCGGATCTCCTCTCCGGAACAAAACCAGAAATGGCGCGAGGAACACCGACGGAGGCGGAGGAATAGCTCCACTCGTTGTCGTCACTCGTCGTCGTCGTGCGTTCAACTCACTCCAGTGCCCGCCACAAAGGTCACCATAAACGTCAAAGCCTTGCCCTTGAGGCGAGTGGGGGCGATAGCGGCAGCTTCCTCATAGTCGATGGGGGGTGTCTCGAAGCCTGACTCATGACCCTCGTGACTCGTCTTTTCGCGGTGGGTGTGAATGTCGTTGTCCAGCTTGTTATTGTGTGCTAGAGTGGTGTCGGTCATGGTTGCGATGTTTCTCTGGGTTAGTTGCGGCCGCCAAAGATGTGAGGAGCAAGTGTGGGGAACCAGAAGCTGTCGGCGCCATGGTCTTGCTTTTATGTGTTGGCATCGCTGGTGCGACTGTTCTCTGCGATTGCCGTACCGGCCCTTGAGGTTTCTACAGGGGGGCCTGTCGGTATTCTTGGCAAACAATGCCGGATCAACCCCCGCTTCGGTATCGCCCTGAACTCCACGATGCCCCGCTCGCAAATCGCCGGGGCGTGTGGAGAGGAGGCGAGTGGAGCAGTGGCCCAGCGCAAAAGTAGTGGGACACGGTAGGAGTAGCTCCGGAACGGCTGTACGGACCGGTCCTTAGGTCGTGTCTTGCCCTGGTTGCCGGGGGGTGAAGTTGCTCGTCGCATGTCTCTTAGTTTGGCAAGTTTCGTAAGGGGAGAAGAGAGCAAGCAGCGTATATCCCGCGACAGCCGAAACGCATGTGCATGTGGTGCTGCTCCCTGATCAACGCCGCGACGACGTGGGCAAGAGACCTTTGGGACTTGCAGCAAAGCCATCTTCTGGTCGCCGAGTGGGCCTCAGGGCTTTCAAAGGTGGGTTACGTCATGGTAACTCCACAGCGGCGATTACTGGTTCTTGGTCTGGGTCTGACCTGGCTTTTGGACCTGTAACTTGACACGAAGCCCGCAGCGATGGTACGTTTTGGGAGAATAGGGTGATTCCTACCTAGCGGAGTACTGTGAGAAGCCGTTATGACTCCTTGCGGAATCACAGCGGACGGGAGTTGATCTCAGTTCCAACGGCCAACGGGCTAAAGCCACACCGGAGAACTTGTCGTCGTCCCTCACTGCAACCGTGCTGGTCGTCCGAATCGGCAGGAAGGGATGCTCTGCGCCTGGAGATTCAACATGTGGTCTGGGCCCCGTGGGGGGGCTGGAGGTTCACCAACTACGGAGATTTCCCGCCAACACATCGACAAACATGCCAACCCGCCATCTCAGCTCGCCACGCGAGAGGGCTTCTTATAATTTATATATTATATCTTCAGATAAAACCGGTGTTCACCAGTATATCCTGTCATAAAAGTGTGGTCAACCCAATTTTCTTCCGCCCAACCCGGACCTGGGTCCGAACCGGAAGGGTCCCAAACTAGAAGGGTCTCGAGAATACCCTCATTCGCCATCGCTTTCATCGTCAACAGTCGACTTGACGGTCTCGTGCGCTCTAAATGCAACGCGGCCGGACGCGCCGTATCCGCCAAACAATAGACATAAGCATCTTCGCTAGTATATCGGTTAGTATAACCGCCTCTCATTAGAGAGTTTCCTAATAGGATCATCGCGGTAGAGCAGGGTTCAACTCCCTGGCGGAGAATCTGTTTTGCCTCTTGCTCTCTCGAGAAGGGATGCAGAAGGCCCACATGCTTTTTGATCGATTGAAGGGGTGCTGAACGGCAGTTGTGTGGACGAGAGCGGCTGTTGTGGCGTTCAGAGAAGGCGACAGAGGAGATTTGGTTCGATATCGATTGTGCCACAGTTTCCGTGATAGGTGGGCATGTTGGATGCCCGCCTCAGTCCTCTCTTTGTCGAAGACGTCGTTGTTGTTCGTGCTTGTTGCCTCGCCATCTGCGTCGGAGTCGGCGGTGGTGAGGTCGGCCTGACGAAGACCGAGCCATATGTGTGTCCATCTCAGATCACTGCTTCCGTCATGGGCTCGCAGCACCGAAGGCCTCCTGTCAAACAAGGCCGTCCAAACAGGCCACAACATACCGCTTGCCGCGACATATGTGCATCGAGTTAGGATGTTACGCCTAGCCGTGAATGCATCCACATGGAAGCGCAGTGTATATGCTGATTGTGATGGAAGAGGCAGTCGTCTGGGGGTATTTTGTAGCCAATTTTTAGCGATATTTTCGCGCCGCACATTTCTGTGTACCCAGCTCCCTTTGTCCAGTTGCGGTCTTGGCAACAATGTACACGGATTCATATCTTGACCGCACCACTGTATACTAACAGCTGCGAATCTACATTAATGCACCCCTCCCTTCCCCATGCACCAAAAGTCCTCTTATGGGTGATCAGACACCGTCTGCGCCGCGCTAGCCACACCGCCGCCGCCGCCGGTGCCAATACCGCCCGCCACCTGCTTCCTCCAGCTGTCAATGTTGGAGCCCGGGTCGGGCGCGTCGTACGCCGGCATGCCGGGGGGAACGACAGGCATCGGCATGCCCATTCCCATGGCCATCTGGGGCATCCCCATTGGCATGCCCATCTGCGGCATGGCGTACGTGGACATGTAGGGCGACGCGCCATAGCCCATGTTCGGCATCATCATGCTCTGAGCGGTCCTCTGGGCGTGCTCGGCCTTGACGTGCTGCTGCTTCTGGGCGGCGCCGGCGTGCTTCCATGCCAGGGGCAGGTCGTCCTCGACCTCCTCGGGGTTCTGCACACCGGACGCGGCAGGCTTTTCAGGCGACTGGGCCGCAGCGCGGTTGCGCACTTTGCGGAGGAAGAGGGGTTCATCGTCGTCGTCGTCGACACCTGCGGCCGGAGCGGAGCGCACAGCGGGAGACATGCCTGAGGCCTCGAGACCGAGGGAGCCAATGTCAATGCCGTCCGTCTTGATGTTCGGTAGTGCTGGTGCCGAGCGGTTCTGGCTAGACACCACCTTGATGGTACCTCCACCGCTGGTGGCGCCGCCGCGGAGCTGCGACAGAGGCACCTCCTCGTCCGAGTCGTCCTGAGCAACTTTTGCCTTGACACGAGACAGGGGCTCCTCGTCGGACGAGTCGTCGTCGTCGTTGCCATTATTCTCAAACTGCATGGCGGGCAAGACGGCGCGGATAGTAGACACGCGCTTCGTTGCTGGCGACGAGCTCGATCCAACGGGCGAGATGGGCGATTGCACCTGGGGTGACGACCTTGCCTTACCCTTGGCTGCGCGGAGGGGCGTGTTGTCGTCCGAGTCATCCGACTCGCTCTCAGCAAACCACTTGCCGACACCGAGACTGCTGGCGGGGCGACGCTCGGGGGCCGGTTTGGGCTGCTCGGGCTCGTAGCTTAGTCGTGGTGCTCCTTGCTCGGGCTCGTACATGACTGTAGGCGGGCGCTCGGACGAGATCGAGTGACGTTGGTTCGCTTCCGCCTCAACCATGGCCATCATCGACTTGGGGCGTCTTGCGTCACCACCTTCAAACTCCATGTTGAGGTCTGCCGGGTGGATCATCTGGCTCTTGCGGCCACCGCCGAACATGCTCCTGCGGTTGTTCATCTTTTCAATCTTGAGCCTCTCCTTGTCGAGCTGGGCAGCGTCGGCCTGCTCCTTGGCCAGCCTCTCCGACTCTTGCATGGCGTTGAGCTTGGTCATCTCACGCTCCCACACAGTGTCGGTACCAAAGACCGATTTGGACCTGACCGAGCGGCCGAGGGATCCGGGCTGTTCGTCTGGGAGGTTGAGCTGTGGCACGCTGCCAAACGTTGTCAAGGGCCGCTGCCCCACTGTGGCCGCGGGAGGACCATTGCCAGCAGCCCCGTCGTAGTCGGCCGGAGGCGTCACTTCCAGCAATGTCGACTGACGGTTCATCATGGACGGACGGTTGTCGCCATAGAACACGCGCTTCTTGTTGTGCAGCAGGTCCTTGCGCGCCTCGAGCTGGTCGATAAGACTGGTTCCGTAGAGCTTGCCTGGTTTGCGGCTGCCTTCTTCGGGGTCGTCATCCTCTCCGCGCAACTCTTCACCTTCCTCGGCCTGGCCCCTAAAGAAGTCATCGTCACGCTGGCCGCCAACCATAAGACTGGAACGGAAGGTGCGCTGAGACAGTGACAAGGGCACACCGACACCCATGTTGAGGATGGACGCGCGCGCATCGGTAGGGAGAGGCTTCTCGCCCATTGTAAAACCGTCAGGGACGTGGACTGAAATCGTCTGGCGCTCGGTACCAGCCAGCTGCGGGGGCATGAGAAGCGTCTTTGGACGCAACAGCTCGTGACGCTTGACGCGAAGGACTTGGCTGGTATACTTTGACGGGCGGAGTGGGCGACCATAGTCGGCAGCGTCCGGAATGTCTTCGTACTCTTCAGCCCCTTGCATCATGGACAACCGGTTGGTGTTGCCATACTCGAGTGACGAGCGTCGCTCCGAATACATCGATGGAGGGAGGTCGGGGGCTGCATCGTCGTACACCAGGCTGACACGACGTTGCGGACCGCCAGTGTCGAAGCGCGACGAACCACCTTCGCTGGCAGGAGTAGGGATTTCGAACGGGTTGCGCAACAGCTCCTCCTCGTTTGCTTCAGGGTCGTACATCGAAGCACGTCTGGCAGCAGCGCCGCCGCTCATGGAAGACGAGGAGCGGTGTTGCCGGCCGTAGCCGTCGTCGGGCATAGACACCATGACTGGTCGGTCTGGTCCCCAGTCGTCTTGCATGGACAGCGCAGCAATGGACGACCGGCGCTGGTGTTGTTCGTCGCCCTCGCCGCCTTCTGCCATACGCCGGACACGCTCCGAGTCGCGCAGGGCCGCGTCGTACTGCTCGTCGGTCGAGTTTCGGGCCTCGTACACGGACCCTTGGTCCTCGTTGTCAAGGTGTTCGAGGTGGACCGAGTGCGCACGGTCCAGAGACTGCCCGCTCATGGCCGAAAACGACACGTTGCGAGCGCGCGGGACCTTGCGCATGGCGCCAACGTCCATGGAGGCGGGTCGCTGGTGGCCCTGGCTCGACAGCGGCGAGAGAGGCATCGTCCATTGCCCGCCATCATCGACACTGCCTCGCTGGTCATTGTACTGGGCGCTCTGGCGCGGCGGCTGTTGCTGTCCCTCCTCGCCGATTTGGAGGGGGGGAAGAGACGGTGCTGGTCGCTTGTTACGCAGACCAATAAAGATTGCAGAGTGTTTGTGGTTGACATTCTCGCGGGTCGGGTCGTCCAAGTCGTTGTCGTACTCTGGCGATGTTTGTTAGTTGTCTGTTCCACTGGACCTCGGCCTCTGGGACGTGATCTATGCTCACCGAGGAGTGCGGCAGCAAGTGCGAGACGGGAGAATGTCGGTTGTGAGGCCATGGTGGCCAGTGTGGACTAGGCCAAAATGCGAGGTGTTTGCTGAGAAGGCAAAGAAAAAGGTGTAGCCAAGAGATTGTGACGGCGCGACCATGGGATCCATCCCACCCAACGACGTGGACTTGAAACACGCGGATAGACCCGGGGACCCCGCACGCTGGTACACCGCTATTTGGCCCCCCTCTCTCACTTCCTCGCCACACCTTGCACCTACAGCAGCAGTCCTTTTCGCCTCTTATGAATATGCACGACGCGTCGACCGAGTTGGATGCTCCCGCATCAGGTACGTGGAAGTCGGCAAGTATGCACGCTGGGTACGGTGGCATGGCGTGAATGCCAAAGGGAGACCCGTGCGGACATTGGGGTGTGGCTGACGGCGCGTCGTGCGCGCATGCTATTAAACCAGTCCAGGCGAACAACCTCTCCCAAGATCTGTGCCCCCCCCCGCCGCAACGTTTTACCTATCTACAGCTGCCTATCGCGCGCGCAAGTTCTACAATTCTACCGCCAGCCCGGATGATCCAGTCGCCACAACTCGCCCCTGCCTCATCTTCCATGGTTGAGGCGCGCTGCCGCGATAGTCGCCTCCGCACGTCGTCCAACGAACTCCGAGTCGGACACATCCTAATTGCCGACCCGGAAAGCCAAAACACACCTTGCACCTGGGAAGAACGGCCCCGCGGTTCAGGACGACGCAACATGACGGTACTGCTGGCCCAGAGCTCCAGAGGAGAGTGAGTGATCGTGTTAACATGTGTTGCCATCAGGCCTGGAACGACTACGACCGCCAACATCCGCGGCACGCCCGGGGCCCGGTCGGGGACCATGAGGAAGGACCATGGAGGTTGTGTGGAGAGCACTACTGGTCTCCTGTCAGTCATGCTACAGATCGTTCACTCGTCCTGGCGGTTAGCAACGATGTGACACGCCAGACCTGATGCAGCGGCCAGGCGTGCCATCGAAGCGGGCGTTGCCATCGAGTCTCCACAATCTCCAGAACACACCGACGACACGGCAGGTTTCTCGATATCATCACGTCGATCACCTTTTTTCTAACTGGCTGTATGCTGATACCCATCCGTCCGGGGATACGCTGCCGCGTCTCGATGCATTGCGTCTGCTGCCCACCTACAGTTGTCATCGTGCATGACTGCTGAGAGAACGTGCAAGGACGAGGTGGAGGAGGCAATGTGGAGGGCAGGAGAAGTTCGGCTTCGGACGGCAGATGCCGGCCGTAACGGATTGTCCGGGGCAAAGAAGGCTTGGCCGCCAGGTGGAGGGCTGACCTAACCGTCATAACCCCCGTGCTCAGAGGTCCTTACCGTTTCTTTTCCACTCACTCACTCTTTACAAAACATCACTCACCATGTCGTCCACCGAGGGAAAGGTATGCAGCTGTGTTGCCCGGCCGTCGCAATGCACAGCTGACCCTGCAGACCATCACTTGCAAGGCCGCCGTCGCCTGGGAGGCTGGTACGTTCTAGGTGGGCAGTCACCTCCTAATCTCTCACAGGCAAGCCCCTCTCGATCGAGACCGTCGAGGTCGCTCCTCCCCGCGATGGCGAGGTTCGCATCAAGATTCTCTAGTGAGTTGAAAGAACCTGGGGGTAAAGCAACTGACAGTCCAGCACCGGTATCTGCCACACGTAGGTTTCTTTGCGCCCACGCGCCCGTGTAACCGACTGTTGGGGATCGCAGCTGACGTCTTTAGCGACGACTACACTCTCTCGGGCAAGGACTCTGAGGGTGTCTTCCCCGTCATCCTCGGACACGAGGGTGGTGGTGTTGTGGAGTCGGTTGGCGCTGGCGTCGACAACGTCAAGGTCGGCGACCACGTTATCCCCCTGTACACTGCCGAGTGCAAGAAGTGCAAGTTCTGCCTTTCGGGCAAGACCAACCTCTGCGGTGCCGTTCGCGCTACCCAGGGCAAGGGTGTCATGCCCGACGGTACCGTCCGCTTCACCTGCAAGGGCAAGGAGGTCTTCCACTTTATGGGCACTTCGACCTTTTCGCAGTACACTGTCGTCTCGCAGTACTCGGTTGTTGCCATTGACCCCGCCGCGTCGCTTGAGAAGTCGTGTCTCCTCGGCTGTGGTATCACCACCGGCTACGGTGCCGCTGTCAAGACCCCCGGCATCGAGGGCTCGACTGTCGCCGTCTTTGGTATTGGCTGTGTCGGTCTCTCCATCATCCAGGGTGCCCGTGCCAAGAACTGCTCCAAGATCATTGCCATCGACGTCAACCCCAAGAAGGAGGAGTGGGCCAAGAAGTTTGGTGCCACCGACTTTATCAACCCCACCGAGCTCAAGGGCAGCGTTGTCGACCACCTCGTCGAGATGACCGACGGCGGTCTCGACTTCACCTTTGACGCCACCGGCAACGTCCACGTCATGCGCCAGGCCCTCGAGTGCTGCCACAAGGGCTGGGGTGTCTGCAACGTTATCGGCGTGGCCCCCGCTGGTGCTGAGATCTCGACCCGTCCATTCCAGCTCGTCACCGGCCGTGTCTGGAAGGGCTCTGCGTTTGGTGGTGTCAAGGGCCGCACCGAGCTTCCCGGTCTCGTCGCCGACTACCAGTCCGGCAAGCTCTGGGTCGACCAGTTCGTCACCCACCACCAGCCCCTGGAGAAGATCAACCAGGGCTTTGACGACATGCACGCCGGCGACTGCATCCGCTGTGTTGTCAACATGGGCTTCAACGACGCTCCTTAGGTAGACGGTCTCAGCGTATTATGTCATGTAACAGGTTACAGTAGAGTAATGGGGGGTAGCAGATGGACGGTATAGGCGGGTGTCGGACACCTCGTCCAGGAGACATTTAAGCAGTTCAGCGTACTGCGTGCTGGGACAGCGTGGCTGCGCGCGACTGGCATAAACTAGACTGGAAGCTGTTACTCATGAGCTAGAGGCAACGCTCACGATCGCCGCAATTAGCAGACATGGATACAGCATGGCGGCGGTGAGGAGCTGGCTGGCATGCAGATCTACCTAGGCTGTCCTGTCTCACTTTGTCTCGCTATACGCGCCGACGCAACTGATCAACTGACGATGCTTTCGTGGTGCATGTTAGCTCCGGTGCTATTGCTGACGTTGGCTTGACAAACTGGGACGCAACTTGCATCCCACCCACCTGAATCGAGGGCCCGACAGCGCACGTCGTCGTTTTAGCTGTTGCGCGGTCCCACATGTCTGGCAGCTTCGTGAGTTTCCTGCCGAACCTCAGGACCAAGGAGCCAGGAAAGAGGGATGCGTATTGACACAAGGAGTGACTGCAAGGTAAGAAAGAGACCAACAGACGTGTGGTGTGCCACAAACGGATCGGAAGAGTCAATCACGACAGCTGGACGGACCGCCCTTTGGCTTATTCTTGCAGCTGATGGAGTGCATTGCCTCGTACGCCTGTCGGTTTGCATTCCAGAACAGCGTGTTCCTCCTGCGTGCCGGTTATTGAACGGGCTAAAGCGTACGGCCTAACGGACCCAACCTTTTCACGGCCGCAGGGGGGAACGACGGGTAGTTTGTCGCACGAACGAATGCCACCCCAACGCCACCGGCTTGGCTCTGGTAGTCTGGTAGCTCTGGGTGCCAGACGCGTTCACACACCGAGATGCTCGCCATTGCTTGTAATCGCTGTTATATCTTTCTGTATCCGCAGCACAGCGCAGCCACCTGGCGATGTACAGACAGCACCTGCGCAGCAGTCTCATGCTCATGTCAGACCCGCCGGAGCGCAGCGAGTACGTGGGTGTGTCTCGCTGGCTGGCGGCGGGCGAGAGTGCCTGGGAGGACATTTTGGGACCGAGTGCGGAGAGGGGGGTCTTTTGGGTGTGCGTGCGATCGTGCGAGCGGCCCGCCCCGCCACGACGACGAGAGCGGCACACTTTGTGCAGGAACATGGCAACGCCCAAGGAGAGATCTTGTATTGAAACGCGTTGCATGTGCGAGGAGCGTGTACGTGTCACTGTACACTGTTGCAGCCTTTTCTCATTCATCGCCTTTTCTGTACTTGTCGGCACACACACAACCCACCCACCCCACTCCAAACGTCACCGGCTGCTCGCGCTCCCCCGACGCCACGTCCTGACCAGGACCACCTCCTGAATCCACCTTGGACCCGCCGACTTTACCATCACACTGTTCACCTCTAACCGTTCTCGGGCACGGGGTCGGTCGTCCACTCCACCGAGCCCCACTTCGCCCATCGACAGCTACAGCTCTGAAGACGAAGCATACTTTGCCGCAAAGGAAAAGGACGGCATCATGGCTTCCAATGCGTACGATCCCGAGGCCGGCAAGTTCGCCATGCCGGGCGGCCGCCGCACACTCCGGCTCATGCTGGCGCGCAAGTCGCGCCTGGTGATTGGCGTCGCCGCGCTCTTCACGATCATCTTCTACCTCTCCCAGAATGGCCCCAGCACTGTCGTCCCGCCACCGCCCGTGGTCGTACCAGTCGGCGGCGACGGACGGCTACCCGTTGACGACATCTGGGACGACGTGCCGCCGCCCGTGGAGGGCGTTCAAGGCAAGGCTCCCGCCCCACCCAGTCGCCCTCCACGCCCCGACCACCCGAAGTACTATATCATTGACGAGAACGGCGACCACTTCCTCCCCAACGCCGGGCGCAAGGTGGCGCCCATGCACCCGGGTCAGAAGGATATCGTGGACCCCGCAGACCTGTTCCCCGAAGTCGAGCTGCCATGGCACTTCAAGGCGCCCAAGTCAGACCCCTTTCCACGCGAGCGCATGCGTGAGATTGTCAGTGAGGCTCCCGACCCACCAAACGCCATCGTCAAGGCCACGCTTGACAAGAAGGACTTTTCGCAGACGTGGAAGGGTCCCGCGGACTGGAACAAGGCCGGACCCGGTGTCAAGAACGTCCAGTGGCCCAGCTTCGAGCTCAAGGACCGCGATTGGGAGAGCACCGAGCAAGCCGAGAGGCGTGAAGAGCGTCGCAAGGCTGTGAAGCGCGGCTTTGTGCACGCGTGGCAGGCATACAAGGACCATGCGTGGGGTGAGTGTGCTACAAGACAAGCGAGGTGCTGCGAGGGTGGACAGTGTGCTGACATTCCCAGGCCATGACGAGGTGATGCCCAAGTCCAAAAAGGCGTCCGACCCTTTCAACGGCTGGGGCGCGTCCATTGTGGACACCCTCGACACGCTGTTGGTCATGGGTCTGCAGGAGGAATACAACCTGTGTCGACGACACGTCAACCAGATCAACTTTCACTGGATCACCGGTCGCGACTGGTCGCAGGGCTACATCGGCCTGGATGGCGAGCTGGACGCTCACGGCAAGCAGTGGACAATCGACCGTGACCGCACTGCCGGCCTCCCCGTCTTTGAAACCGGTATTCGCTACCTCGGTGGACTGCTCGGCGCCTACGACCTGACTGGCGACAAGCTCATGCTCGACCGTGCTGTGGACATTGCCGAGGTTCTCGGTCGCGCATTCAACACCAAGTCTGGTCTTCCGCAGGGCTCGCGTATCGACCCGGGCCAAGAGTCGGGCGTGTACCAGCTCGGCAGTGTCTCCGTCGCCGAGGTTGGCAGTATGACCCTCGAGCTCATGCGCCTGTCGTTTGCTACTGGCGACCGCAAGTGGTTCGACCTCGCGCAGCGCGCCATGGACTTTATCGACAAGAAGATTGTGCCCCGCTCAAAGTTCAAGCCCCTCATCCCCATGCACTTTACCCCGGACGCGGCGTCCCAGACGGCCCTCACTGGTGGATTTACGTTTGGCGCCATGTGCGACTCTTACTACGAGTACCTCATCAAGACGTACAAGCTTCTCGGCGGCAACGAGATTGCCAAGCAGTACAAGCGCTTGTACGAGGACAGCATTGACGCAGCGCGCAAGCTGCTCTTTGTTGACATTGACATTGTCCCCGACACCAAGCTCATGACGATTGGCAAGTGGGAGCACAACGGTCTCCACAACGAGACCGAGCACCTCGCGTGCTTTGCGGGAGCCATGCTGGGTCTCGGTGCCAAGCTCCTCGACCGTCCTCAGGACATGTCCGATGCCGCCAAGTTTACGGGTACTTGCTACTGGCTCAGCGCCGCGACCAAGACTGGAATCCAGCCCGAGGTCGTGCACTTTTACAGCGGCGACGACGAGTCGCGGTTCCAAAACATGACGACCGAGCTCGGACCCAAGGGCGAGCCCCGCATGTGGCACCCGCCCATCAGCCAGCCGTTCCAGGAAGACCAGATCAACTATGCCAAGATGCACAAGAGCATGAAGGGCGAGTGGCTCTACAACGACGACCACAGTCCCGTGGCCAACAACTCGGGACGTGTTGGCAAGAACCCCATCACCTACTACCGCCACCTCGTGGGCGAGCCGGCTGGAACCAAGCGCGTCGGCACGTACTACATCAACCGCCCCGAGACGATCGAGTCGGTCTTTTACATGTGGCGCCTCACTGGCGACCGTGGATGGCAGGACAAGGGTTGGCGCATGTTCACCTCGTGGATGGAGCACGCCAAGGTCGACGGCGGCATCAGTTCCATCCAGGACGTGACTGTCGACCCCACCACTGGCCGCGGCGTCCTGCACGGCGACAACATGGAGTCGTTCATCTTCGCCGAGACGTTCAAGTACCACTACCTGCTGCAGGCGGACCCTCTGCTCCTCAACCTGGACGACTACGTGCTCAACACCGAGGCCCACCCGTTCATCGTCGACCCCAAGACGACCAAGCCGGGCTCGCAGGGCCTGTGGAAGCCCGTCGACGACGCCGACGCCGACCTCGGCGTGCGCGGCGAGGGCACCGACGCCCAAAAGTGGATGCGCCTCAAGGCCCTCGAGGGCAAGCGTCCCAGCACGGCCAAGCCCATAAACCCCAGGTTAAATGGTGGAGGCGGGCATGGAATGGGCGGCGGCGCCGGAGCTGGAAAGCTCGGCGTCTCGCCCGATGTCATCGTGTAAGTAGGTTATCGTCGTTTAGATGGACATGCATATATGGGTTTAGATTGGGCGGCGCGTGGAGGAGGTAGCAGCGGACATTGGGAAACCTCCCAAGATGGACATTGTCAAGCCACCCGAGGTGGACATAATGTTGCGACGGGGATGCCGGCCGAGATCGTGAAACCTCCTAAGATGGACATCGCGGACCTTGTGAAGGCGCCGAAGATGGACGCCGTTGCCATCATGGCGCCGCCCAAGATATTGCGACGGGGATACCTGCCGAGACCGTGAAGGCTCCTGAGATGGACGCCTTGGACCTCGTGAAGGGGCCGAAGATGGACGCCGTCGAGAAGAGCCGCCCACGGTGGACAAGATCCTCAAGGCGCCCAAGATGGACACATCGGATATCTGGTGAAGCCGCCTAAGATGGACGCTTTGCACCTCGTCAAGCCGCCCAGCGTGGACACCGCCGAAGTCGTGAAACAACCCAAGACGGACATCGCCATGCCGTATCACCGGGAAGCCTGCAAAGCTCGTGAAGGGATGGACAAACATGGGCACAGTGTGCATCTTGATTTCGCCCAAGATGGACACCTTGGACATCGTCAAGCCATTCCAAGACGGACACCTTTCATATGGTCAAGCTACCCAAGTTTGATAGAGGCAAGGTGCCGAAGCTGGACTTTTGTGACTTTTTTGTCAAGGCGCCGACACTTGTCAAGGGTCAACACGTCAACACCGCAAACGCACGCCACACTTGTTCGCGCGCTCGCTGCTCCATTGCACCAGCAACACCACACGTGTCGTTACTTCAAAAGCTGCATACTGCGTTCGATGCCAAGTATATTTTGTTTACAACTGCCTCTCTCATTCCCCATGTCTAATGTAGCTAGCGTTTTAGAGCTTGCTCTTGAGCTGGCCGCCGTTGACGAGGGTGACGGCAGCGTTGGCCAGGGCGGGCGCGTCACGCTCCTTGACCTTGACCTGGAAGAGGACCTTGTCGCCCTCCTTCCACATCTCAGTGACGAGGGTCTCTCCGGGCACGACGGTGCCGACGAAGCGGACCTTGATGTCCGAGAAGGGGCCGTAGGTGTTGATGATGTGGCGACCGGCGAAGCCCATCGAGCAGAGGCCGTGGAGGATGGGCTTCTTGAAGCCGCCGATGGCGGCGAACTGGGGGTCGATGTGGAGGGGGTTGTAGTCGCCCGAGAGGCGGTAGATGGCCGCCTGGTCCTCCGAGGTCTTCTCCTCGACGACGGCGTCGGGGGCGCGCTTGGGGGCAGCGTTGGCGGCAGTGGCGGCACCGCGGTCGTCGCCCTTCTGCTGGCCACCAAAGCCACCCGAGCCACGGATGAAGACGGTCGAGTGGTTCTCAAAGATGAGCTTGCCAGTGGCCTTGTCGCGGGTCTCGACAATGGTGGTGACGGACGCAGCCTTGCCCTTGTCAAGAGCCTCGAAGATACGGGGCTCGTTGGTGAGGGTGCCCTCGGTGGGGATGGGGCCGTGGATCTTGAGGTACTGCTCGCCGTGGAGGAGCTTGGCAGGGTTGAAGTTGGGGACAATCTTGCCGAGGTCGATGGTCGACGACGAGATGAACTGCGGGACAACACCGAAAGTGGGGAGGGCACCGAAGCTCTCGGCGTTCTCGTAGGTGTTGTTGAGCTCAGTGGCGTGGGCACCAATGCCGAGGTTGTAGAGCATGACGTCACGCTGGGTGTAGGTGAAGTCCTGGCCCTGGGGAGGGTTGCGCTTGGCGTGCTTGATCTCCTCAGTGTCCTTCTCGTTGATCTCCGACTCGCGGTTGGGCTTCGAGGTGGTGCCAAAGTTCTCCGAGATCTGGATGAACGACTCGCCGGCCGAAGCGGGGTGGGTCGACTGCTTGAACGAGGTGACCTTGTCCCAGTTGGCAGCGAGCTCCTCGGGCGAGACGGGCTTGTCGTTGGGGAAGGCAACGCCCTGGGTACGCTCCCAGCGCATCTGGGCGGCGAAACCACCGAAAGTCTCGTAGAAGGTACCAGTCTCGGTGCACTCGGGCGAGGTAAGGAAGGCGACGACGGGAGCGACAAACTCGGGCTTGAAGGTCTCGAGCATCTCCTTGGGCCAGACAGTGGCGGTCATGGCAGTGCCAGCACGGGGGGCAATGCAGTTAACAAGAACGTTGGCGCGCGAACCCTCAATGGCAAGGGTCTTGCAGAAGCCAATGATGGCAGCCTTGGCGGTACCGTAGTTGGCCTGGCCGTGGGCGCCGTAAACGGCGTTGGGCGAAGCGGTAACGAGGATACGGCCAAACTTCTGAGCCTGGAAGATGGGCCAGACGGCCTTGCAGCACCTGTAGGTACCACGGAGGTGGACCTTGATGACATCGTCCCACATGGCCTCGGTCATGTTGACAAAGGCCTTGTCGCGGAGGATACCAGCGTTGCAAACAAGAGCGTGGACCGAGCCAAAGGCGTCAAGACCAGCCTTGACAATGGCATCGCCCTCCTCGGCCGAGCAGACAGCAGCGACACCCTTGCCGCCGGCAGCGTTGACCTCGGCAACGACGGCGTCCGCGTTGGCCTTCGAAACATCATTGACAACGACGTTGGCACCGAGCGTGGCGTAGTAGAGAGCGTAGGTGCGGCCGAGACCAGCACCGGCACCGGTGATGATGACGGTCTTGCCCTTGTAGTCAATCTTGGGGCCCTGGGCGTTGGGGGGGAGCGAGGGCTGAGCCTCAATGACACGAGACATCTCCTCGGGGTTGCCGGGAACGGGGTGGGTGTTGCGGGTGAAGTCCATGACCTGGCCCCAGCGGGCGGCGACAGCCGAAGCGGTGAACGACGAGTCAGTCTTGTAGATGACACCCTCGGCACGCTCCCAACGGAGCTCCGAGTAGAAGCCAGCACCGAGCTCGAAGATGCGGCCGGCGACCTTGGGGCCGTTCTTGGCGGTGAGCACACCGACGAGGGGGGCGATGTGGTCGGGCGAGAGCGAGCGAAGGACGTCCTCGGGCATGACAGTGGCAGTCATGGCGGAAGCGGCAACGGGGACGATGGCGTTCGAGGTGATGTTGTACTTGGCACCCTCCATCGAGAGCGACTTGGAGAAGGCGGTGAGACCCATCTTGGCGGCCGAGTAGTTGGCCTGGCCAAGGTTGCCGTAGACACCAGCGGGCGAGGCAGTGTTGATAACGCGGCCAAACTTCTGCTGGCGCATGAGGGGCCAGACGGCCTTGGTCATGGAGTAGGCACCCTTGAGGTGGACGGCGACAATGGCGTCGAACTGGGCGTCGGTCATCTTCTTGAAGGAGGTGTCACGGAGGATACCGGCGTTGTTGATGAGGACGTGGACAGTGCCGTAGGCCTTGACAGCCTGGTCAACAACGGCCTGGCCCTCGGTGACGGAGCCGACGGCGGGGACAGCCTGGCCACCAGCTGGTTTACAGTCAGCGCGGTCCGTGAGAAACCAAGGACAAAAAACTCACCCTTCACAATCTCGTCAACGGCAGACTGGGCAGCCTCCAGCGAGACATCGTTGATGACAACCTTGGCACCGCGAGCACCGTAGAAGTGGGCGTAGCTGTAGAAGTGGACCGTTGTTTAAGAAAAAAAAGGCGACGGTGTGATTTCCGATGACATGTGTGGGAAGCGGTGAGGAGGACGTGCCGGATGAGAAGGGAAGCGTCAGCATTGGTTCTCGTCGTCACCAGTGTCACCGAGTGGCCTGGGAGCACCGTGTACACCGTTTCCGATGTATCCGGTGAGAGGTGTACTCACGCCTTGCCGATGCCACCGCCGGCACCGGTAATGAGCACCACGAGGTCCTTGAAGTCGAGCGCGGGCGAGGCCATTGCGATCGTTTAAAATAGACTAGGTTTGGAGAGAGGGGAGAGATACAAGAGAGAAAGAGAGAAAGGGTTGGGCGTGCTCTAGCTTTATGTTTCGAGGAGAGAGGAGGGACCGGCACGAACGGTTAGATGGATGATGAAGAAAGCGGAAACATGTTGCGCGATGCGGCTGGCTCTAGTTGTATGCCAGCGACGACACGATGCGACCAGGGTATTCGATGCCCCGCCGCCCGGTCCCGGCTACCCAATCGCCGGAACGTGTGCTAATGGCCATTACCAATGAATTACAAAATGCAGTGCATTCAAGCTCTAATCCCGCTGCTCAACTCTAATCGCCCCTTTGCCTCCGGATGACGCTACCGGCGCCCGTGGCCGAACGAGACCGTGGCAGAACCGGGCCCGGGGCTAACGAGGCATCCGTGGCACCCGGACACCCGGCTTGTACCCGCGCTTCACCGATCCACGCGGCGCCATCGCAGCAGGCTCTGTTAAGAGTGGGTCGTTCACAGATCAAAGTCGCTGTCGTCGTCCTCATCCCTGGCTTGGCGGCCCTTGCCGGTGCCCAGTCCTCCTCCAGACCTGATACCCCCACTCCGTGCGTTGACGGTGCCTACATCGCCTCCATCCGAGTCGCTGCCGCTGTCATTGGCCCCGCGGGAACGCAACGCTGGGGACGGCTTTTCCAACGCCGAGTAGCGGATCAGGAGCGCTTCCAGTTCTGCGATTTCCTTGTTAGATCACCGATACCCATACGGAGTTGACCGTGAACTGCTCATAAACCCCGCACTAGCCGACGTTTCTCCCTTCTTCAGTGCCCTCATACAGGCTCTTGGGGTGTCGCCTCCTCGGTGTTCCACTGCGGGGAACGGACGAGGCCGTTTACGCCCAGTCCTCACATGACGGAGATGGCCTAAACCGCGTCCGCAATGCCCAACCCTCTCCTTACTTGAAAACTCACGACGTGCTGTAGTCTTCATGCCATTCAGGCCCGCGCCCGCAACAACGTTTCCGACCATGTCACCATTACGGTAGATGAGAAGGGTAGGGACGTTCTTGTCCGGGTAGTTGGGAATACACATGCCAGCGGGAATGGACAAGAACTTGGCCTCGGGGTGAGCAGCGGCGCACTGCTGAAGGAGGGGGCGGAGGTGCTGGGAGAGGGGTACTCTGCGCAAGTATTTAGTTTACCAAAACGTTTTGGAGCCTCTCACAACACTCACGAGTCCTTGAACAGGAAGACGATGACACCGGTGCCCTTCAGCCTACGAGCCTGGAGCATTTGAGGAGCCTTGGGCTTGTCCTCGTCCTCGGAGTCGTCCTTGGCCTCACCCTCGTCGTCCGACTCCTCGGTGCCGTCCGCCTTGGTGCGGCTTCCCTCGGTGACCTCGCGCACAAAGTCCTCACGCGCAAGAGGCTCCATGCTGCCAAAGCGTCCGCGCTTCTCCTCGGCGCGCATCTCGGCCATGCGGCGGCGACGGTAGTCCTCAAACATGCGCTCGTCGTCCGAGTCGAGGTTGTCCGCCTCGAGCAGCTGGCCAAGCTGGTCGGCATCGGCGCTGGCAGCAACTGCGCGGATGGCGTCTGCCTGCGTAATGTGCGGGATGTCGGGGGAAGGCGAGCGCGAGGGAGGCTTCGGCGGGAGGATGCCATGCGCGCGGAGCGCGTCGTTGCTGGGACGGCGTCAGCTTCCGGGCAAGATGATATTTGTGTTTCCTACGTACAACTCTGTGTCTTCGTTAGGGTTGGGGTTCATTGTTATTATTGTTGTTGTTGTTGCGTGCTTGTGTCAAATGTCTCTTTTCGTCGCACAGATGGACCCCGTCATGTCGCCAAGTGCGCGCGCAAGCGTAGCGTCCGTCGTGGAACAAATATACTTCCGTGGGTAGATGCGGAGACCCCACAAGGCGTGCGCCAGTCTCTCTCGTCATCTGATCGCAATCAGATTTCTTCCGCGTGGGTGCCGAGGGTTGTCGTGCTTTCTCGAACGTCTGTTGATCTGTTGTTATCCCGACTCGACTTCTCGCCCCGCGCCTCACCGCAACACCGCCGTATCGCCTGACGACGTGTCACACAACTTGACGGCACGCTGTTTACAGATAGCGGCATGCTTCAAGAACTACCAGCCGAGCCTCGAGTCACGTCACCCCCAGCATCTCGCTCAAAGTCTACGTCTGCCAGTCACCCACCAAACCACAAAGCAACAGCACCTGCAACAGCCATGGTGGATACGTTTGACAACACGACCAAGGAGAACGATGGTATTCACCTCTTGCTGGACTGGCTCGGCACCTTCAAGGGCTTCCACAACAAACTGACCCTTCTGTCCGCCAACAGTACGTTCCCCCACATCGGCCTTCCTTGTGTGGACGCTAACACTCTGCAGATGCTGGTCGTGGTCTGTTCGCCTACGCCAAGGCCCTACAGGTGAGTCGACTCGAGTCCACAACGTCAAGCCTCCTTCAAGCCACTGACGCAAACAGCCCGGCGAGCCCATGCTGGTCATTCCTGCGCAGTCACTCCTCAACCCCTTGACACTGTCGCGCTCACCGCTGAACACCATCCCGAGCGAGCTCTTCCCTGCGTCTGCGTCGACGTCGTCACCACCCCCGCGCTCTCCCGGTGGAGGTTCACGCCGCCTCACCACCACACAGCTCCTCACTCTCCACCTTGCCCTGGCACGCGATCCCGAAGGTCGTCACAAGAGCGAGTGGCAGGTCTTCGTCGACTCGCTCCCCTCCTTCAGACCTCTCCACCCGGCCACTTGGGTGATCCCCAACAGCGATGCCCCCAACGACCCTTTCTGGCCGGAACTTGAAGCGTGTCTCAGCGAGAGCGTGCGCATCAAGATTGCTGCCGTTGTCAAGCGCTACAGGGAAGACCTGGCGATTCTCCGTCGCGTCCTGGTGAGTCGAGAAGGGAGAATAGCAACGCAACGGAACCGAATTTGGGTCTCGCTAACGATTCCAAGACGTGCGAAGAGCCATTCAAGTCGCAAGACCTGAACGACGTCATCTCGGATGAAACCTTCCTTTGGGCGTGGCTTAACGGTGAGTGGACTCGATGATGGGCGGGGTGCATACCGCGGGGGACTGACTGCGATACAGTCAACACTCGTACCGTTGCCATGCCACTTGGCCTTGCTGAGCCTCCCAATGCTGGCTGGCCCGTGAACAACCACTCCTTTGTGCCCCTGCTCGATATGATTAACCACTCTTCGATTCCGCACGTCATTTGTCCCAAACCCGAACCCTTGCCGTCTCTGTCCGTCTCGAAGCGATCAGCTCGGGGAGCACAGCGTCCCGGTGGCAACGTCCACCTGATCCCCGGCAAGGTTGACCTCGTCCTCTTCGCCCCCCTCCGTGGTCTCGACGAAGGAGAAGAAGTAACCTTCCTTTACGGTCCTCACTCCAACGCTGTGCTCTTCGCCGAGTACGGTTTCACGGAAGTGGACGAAGTGGGCGACACCTGGTGGCCCAATGCCGATATTGACGTGTCCCCCTGGCTCGACCAAGTGTGGGCCACGCAGGGAGGCAACGACGTCAAGCGGGCAGCGCTCGAGGCCGCGAACATGTGGGGTCACTCCAAGCTGGCCGCCAACGGTGGTGAGCCCCAGCCCAGCGTCGGTCTCATGACCACCCTGTGCGTCATGTGTTCGCCCGACGACGCAGTGTTCACCCCGGACGCGCTTCGCGTGCGCACATTCTCGCGCTCGGCAAAGCAATCCGCGCGCCGCGCACTGGCGCGTATCTGCGAGGCCATCCTCAACGACGTCGAGGACTGCCGTGCCGACGCGGCGGACGTGGCTACTCGTGCTGGTGGGGATGCGGACAAGGCTGAGGGGCTGCGTATCACCCGTGCGTTGCTTCGTGAGGAGGAGTGTATCACCAAGGGTGTGCTCGACCTCGTTGAGAGTGGAGGCATCATTCCTGGTTTCTAGAGGAGGAAAGAGACAGAGACAGACAGAGAAGAGTATAGAAGAACGCGGAAGCGGAAAATCAAAGAAGACCACAACCATTTTACAGTAGTTAGACGCAGAGGGCGCGTGTGTGTGTAGCTTGTTATGTATCGCATTACTCACTTGAAGGCAGGTGGCAGGTTAGACGGGACGACATTGACGTGGACCGCCTGCAAGAGTTAGGTCAGCAGACGACGCACCGAAACATTCACATACACTACATACGGCAAGGACCAACAGTACTCGAGCTAGTACTGACACAGAACCAACGCGTGAAACGATAGCACAGAAGTCGTATTAAAAAACGAGCCACACACCGTCAAGAGCCTCGCGTCGGCGCGTCCGGTGCCTAGCCTTGATCTCGGTGTCGCCGGGAGTCACCTCTTTGTCTCTTTTTTTTTCTCCTCCAGATGCGATCGATGCGAGCAAACCCGATAAAATCTCCTCCTTGCATCCCGGATAGCCCTCCTCACTTGCCGTTCGATGTCGGGCGTATGCGAAGAACGTGGTGCACACAGGTGGACGGAGACGGCCCAACACGGCAGGGAGGTGGTCGCTGCCGGCTACGTTTGCGGCCGGCCGGTGGGCTCCGGGGTTGGCCGGGTGGAGGCAGAGCCGGGGGATTCAGTGTGAGACTCACTTCTCAGCCCCACCAGACACCTGTCGCGGTGGTTCCGCGGCGCGTGTTACAGTACGTTTTAGACATTCTCCACCTGGCCACCTGTCTCCTCTTCACCTCCTCACACTCTTCAATAACAACAAGCAGCCCCCTCTTACCTACCCTCACCCACCCACCACATTCCTTCTCAACCTTTACACACAATGGGCGACTCTGCGATCCACGCTCTTGCCGGCGCCGTCGGCGGCGGTGTCTCGATGGCCCTCACGTACCCGCTCGTCAACCTGTCGACGCGCGCCGCTGTCGCCACAAAGAAGGACCACATGTCCATCACCGACGCTATCAAGAAGACTGTCAAGACGGAGGGCATCTCGGGCCTGTATTCCGGTCTGGAGTCGAGTCTGGCAGGCATCATGATCACCAACGGCGTGTACTATGTGTGTATTGCAAGTGGGAGGGATGGGAAGGGAAGCAGCACATGTGCTGTGGGATCTTGGAAGTGTGAGCGCGAGAAGGGGACACACCTCTGTCCTCTCGTCCCGTTCTTCCAATCCTCAGACGCCTTCTGTTGTTTTGATTTGTTGCCTCGACTGACAGAGATAGGCCTTTTACGAGGAGACGCGCTCTTTCCTGATGCGCCGTCGCCCCGCCGGATCCCCCGCCGGAGGAGCCCTGTCCACCAAGGAGGGTATTGTGGCAGGGATGATTGCCGGTGAGTGAAGACACCGAACCGACGCGTCGTTGTCTTGTTGTTACACCATGGTGATCCGTGCGCACAACAGCCGGTGTACACTCATAGCCGCGCGTTTCACGTTTGGGTGGCCCAGTGACCAGTGGACAGTGGGGTTGGGGCAGTGGCGCAGTGGACTGACGGCCAGGCTCGATCACTACGATCCTCACCAACCCCGTGTGGACCGTCCAGGCGTACCAGTCCACCCGCGCCGTCACCGGCAATGCCGACGACAAGCCCACCGCTATCCAGTCTGCCAAGGCCATCATCAAGCAGGACGGCGTCAAGGGTCTCTGGCGTGGTCTCGGCCCCGCGCTCATCCTCGTCATCAACCCCGTGATCCAGGTGAGTTTTTAGTTGGCACGGAAAACGTCAAGACAGCCGGCTGTGGTTGTGATTCTGGTATCGAGAGACTGCCGGCCGAGAAGGGCATGGGGCGGGATGGCTACGCACATCGTTTCGGGATCCCGTCTCGGCCGTCAACATACCGGCCAACACCGACACGGCCGCATTCTTGTCTGTGTATGCGTGTGCACGCCACTGACAATCCATAACAGTACACCACCTTTGAGCGCCTCGTCTCGCTCATCCTCGACTGGCGCTCCAAGAAGGGTGTCAAGGTCACCGGCCGCTCCGCCCTCAGCGACTGGGACCTCTTCATCCTCGGCGCCGTCTCCAAGCTCATCGCCACCGGCTCGACTTACCCCTACGTGAGTTCGGTAGGCTACTGTCTGGGCTGACCTCTCCAGCTCGTCGTCAAGTCGCGCCTCCAGGCCGCCACTCACAAGTACAACTCGTCGGTCAAGGCCGTTCTCCAGATCTTCAAGACGGAGGGTATCTCTGGTATGTGTCCTCGCTTTTCGGCATTGGGGAAGGGAGATGGTCGTTTTTCGCTCCGAGAGTCCTTGAACTGATACCCTCCGCAGGCCTGTACGCCGGTATTGGCCCCAAGCTCCTCCAGTCGGCCCTCACCGCCGCGTTCATGTTCGTCGCCCAGCGCCGCATCTACGAGGCTGTCAAGGGTCTCATCGTCGTCCTCCAGCAGCGCAAGGCCCTCCTCAAGGCCTAAGGCAAGGCGGGGGCCGCGGGCGTGATCTTGGTGTGGCTGAAATGTAGTTGCAAGTGGAAAGTTGTTAGCAGCCAGATATATTGCTGAGCAGAGTATATGTACTGTAAAGCGCTGCCTGCATGTTGCTACTTGTAGGGGCGGGGAGCTGTAGAGGCGGCGGTCAAAACTAAGCTCCCACCATGAATGGCAAGTGGCGCCCTTAGAGTGTGGTGCAATGGGACCGGTCAGTGCGGAGCAGAGTTGATTGTGGCTTTGAATGTGTGAAAGATGCTGCATGATTTCGTTACGAATACAACCGCGATAACTAAAATTATGCGAATGACAGAGAGAGAGAGCGAGAGAGATATGGAGGGAGAGGGTGAGATAACAAGAAAAGGAGATGAGAGAACAACTGCTGTCTGGGAGGCCGTTTGTCGTACACCTTAGAACTCAAACTCGGGCTCGGCGTCTGCCTGGACTGGGCTGGTGTGGACGCGAATGGACTCTTCGCACAGACGCCAAAAGTCGTCCTTGTCCGCCTCGAGGACGTCGTGGACGTCCTTGGCCGCCTCGACGCGGGCGCGGACCACGCCGGCGCGCACGTCGCCGAACGTGGGGGCCGGAGCGGCGACGGGGACGCCCCACGACGGGCGGTCCGCGACCTCGCGGCCGAGCTTGAGCCACTCGAACGCGGCCGACTCGGTGTCGTACTCGGCGGAAAACTCCTCCCATGCACGCATGAGCTGCTGGCGCACCTTGGCGCGGACTTTTTGCTCGAGGGCGGAAGGGTGGGCGGAACGCGACGAGGTAGGCTGCTCGATGTGCGATTCGGCCTTGGCGGCGTCGGCGCCCAGGCCCTGGAGGAGCAATGAGAGCGTTGCAGCCGGGTCGGGCGCCGGAATGGTGACGGTGGGCGGGGTCAATGGCTCGGGGTCCGTGCGGGCATCGTTGGTGGTGTCCACCTCACGCTCGTGTTCGGGCTCGGGCTCTGGGACGCCGGCGCCATACTGCGCCCAGTAGTCCTCCTCGTTTTCGTCGCCCGGCAGCTGGACGCGCTCGTTGGGAGGCGTGAACCCGGCCCAGTAGTTGTCGGGGGCGTTTTCATCGTCGTACCCGCCACTGTTGTACTGGACGTCTTCGACACGGTTGGTCCAGTTCCACTGGTCACCGGTGCCGTAGCCGCCGAGCGAGGCGCCGCGGTACACCCAACCGCGGCCCTTGTCGCCGTCCTCGTGCTCGAAAAAGGTGTCGACCGAGCCGTCGTCGCCAAACTCGGGTGCCAGGCGGGTGCGTGCAATGGTCATCTCGCCGTCGTGAGCGTACTCGGTGTCGCTAATCTTGAGGCTGCCAGATAGGCGTTCGAGGGCTGCGTGGAGTGCGTTGGGGTTACGGGCGTCTTTGGCCATCGGGTCTGCTGCGGTCGATGGCGGCGCAGGTGCGGGGGGGAAGGGGGTGAGGTGAGCGTCGAGGTCGTCGGGATCGGGAGGGAGAAAACGAGAGGCGCTCGAGAAAAGTACGGGCAAGTACTTGCGATGGGAGAGGGAGTGCTGGGGGTACGAGGTGGGAGAGGATGAGGTCGCGAGTGTCTGGGGATAAAGAGGGAACAGTCATGTTGGGCGGCGGGGTAATATAGGGAGCAACAAGCCTTGTGTCTCTCCTCTCGGCGGTGTTGGTCAGAGCGATGTGGGTTATTGTGCGTCGCCAGAATGGGTTTTGCCAGAGCGGCGGCGTACAAGCCGAGTGTCCGATTGTGTGCGCCGGCTGCCCCGGTTACTGGCCCAATTTGACTCGCTGTGCCTTCCCTCGCCCCACACCAGGCCCCCAATCGCACGGCGGGGGATTTGGTCCTCTTTTCCCCGCTCGCCAGCACGCAAACCACCGCAGCTGTCCCACACCTGACCGCACGAGGCCCCGGAGGCATGTAGCGAGGACCCGCAAGGACAACGGCGAGCGGCCATAGAATGGAGTGTGCGGGGGAACAACGTCCCATGCGGGGTCCCAGCGATACCACTCGGCGCCGTCGGTGTTGTGCTGGCCAATGGCCACCTCCACAGCTTCGTCTGGCTCCCACGAAGCATCCAGGGATGCTTTCAAAGGTGACAAAAGGTCCAAGGGGTTGGGCATTGGGCTGACGCGGGATGTGTGTTCCGGGCAGAAGAGCGGTGGGGAGGGTGGGGATGGTGTGCGGAGGCGGAGCAGAGTTGATTTGATATCGTCAGGGAGCCGGCAGCCAAGAAACGTTGGGCACACGCTACGTGCTACTACTCTCTGGCCCTCTGGCTTTTGTGTTTTTTGCCAAGGCTGGGCACGGCACCGAGTGGTATGGCCACAGCATTCGTTGCTTGCCAACTGGCCAACTGGCCAACTGGGCAAATGGCACTCCAGGGATATCGTAAAGGCCCCCATCCACAGCCTGCGTGGTCTTGACGGAGCCTATAGCGGCCGTCGCGAGGTCCCGCCTGGCAGCTGGCAGCCTGGGGAGAGTTCCGTTTCGAGATGCGGAAGTGTGTATGGGAGTAAAAGAGGAGGAACCCAGAAGTCCAAGAGGTCCAATGGCCAATGCAACAGTTGTTGCACGCTTAACACACGGCCACAGATCCGCAGATCCGCACCTGCCGACGCCCCGCCCGTTCTGTGTGTGTGTGTCCAGACCAACCCACCCGATGTACCGCGAACCGCTATCCAGTCAGCGTCTCCCGTGTTTGCCACCAACGACGGCGTGTTCGGAACACTCCGCAAAATGAGGATCTGCTCTTTTTTTTTATTTTTATGGGTTGCTGTTCTTTCTATTGATCTATTGATCTATTGCCTATGGGGACTGAGGCTGGGTAACCGTGAAGGTCCCAGCCAGGGGGATTCTGAATTGGTCACCTGGCGAGAGATAGTGCGGCCATTACACGGGCCCGGAGAGAGCGGCTATTAAATATGTAACTTTTTATACACGAGTGCTCGTCCAGAATCGAACCTCGGCTCATGGCCCCGGCCGTCGGGTTTCAATTTCCCCGCTGCCTGCAGTGGCCGCCCTGCAAACATTAAACACGACCGCAATGAAATAGGCGTGAGCGCTGCTCCAATGAACCTAAACCGCGTGCCTATAAAATTATAATCCCGGTGTTGTGGCGCCGCGTGGGTATGGCGTGTGCAAATTGTTATTTTTTCGCCCTGGTATTAATTTTTTTTCTCCCAACGAACTACGTCACGGGCACGCTGCCTCGCCGATGACGAAACCTCATCTTCTTCCCCCTCCGTCACCCACCCACTGCTCATCGTCGTCGTCATTAACGATCAACTCAGCCACACCTCCACTCTACATTTCCGACTTGTCCCCTCGTCCCTGCTATCGATAGCACCTCTGCAAAGGTCATATACATCCAGCAGACAGTCTTACACTCGCAAACTTGGCCGTGGGACATTCCGACTCGCCGCAACTAGTTCCAGGCAACAGCCCAAAAAGCCCTTTGCAAAAGAGTCATCGGTAGGTATTTGGCGTCGTCCAAAACCCCTCACTTTCCAACCTTCTCTGTCCCTCACTCTCGTGCGTCACCGGCTTGGGCATCCACATCTGCATCGACGCTCGGACAGCGCCGCACCATCCTCCATCCTCCCTTGCACATAAACTCCCTTCCCCACCAGCACAGTCTCGCTGACAACTCCTCCCCTTCTCTGCGAACCCACTCCCTCTCCCTGCTCTCTCTCCGCCCCCCGCCCCCCCCCTTCTCCCCCTCACCACTCCCCATCGCACTGCGTCATGCCTTAATCATCCACCCCACTTCTTCCCCTCGTCGTCCACCTTTTTGTTTCCAAACACGGTTTCACCTGTCCGTGTTGTGGCCTGTAGTACTAGTACGCTCCTTGCGGACTGTGCATACATCCGTCTCTTGCGTGAATACGTCCTTCGCCGCCACCCATCGCCCCTCTAGCGCCGGCTCCACCCCTCTTCCGCCTCACTCCTCCCGGTCGTGTCCGACCCGTACCTCTCGTCCTCATTGACCACCTCTTTGCACTCGCGAGTAGTGCGTACCACTGTTCAATACAATGACCGCCGTTGCACCCCCTCCCGCCGCCCTCCCTACGACAGTGGCCTCTGCTGGTGAGTCTTTTGAATGGGAGCTGGATCGTGTGACTCTCACTCAATGCTAACCCCACCACACAGTGGCACCAGCCCCAAAGGAAGCCAAGGCCGAGCCCGTCGAGGAGAAGACTGCCGAAAAGCCTGCAAGCAAGGCCTCTGAGGCTAGCAGCGAGAAGGACAAGCCCAAGTCTGACGCAGGAGACAAGAGCGAAGGTGAGTTTTGTTGTGATTAGTAATATGGCCGTGCTTTGATCTACCGTCATATGCGGTCATGATTCCGGCGTTGGCCGGGCCTGCCAGTGTTTTGGTATCGTCTTCCATCAGCTTCTCGTCCTCAGCCACCAGAATGGCTGCTTGTGATCTCCGTTCCTTGTCTGTGTATAGCATTCCCATGCTTGTTGTGCAATCAACACACTCCCCCTCCTCCAATTGCCCCACCGTGCTATTCTAGACCCGGTGAAACAAACAATAGCTGACCTATTCTTCCCACCACACTCCACCATCCGTATTACTCCATCTCGCCTGCATCTCCCAACCATCTCATCGCCCGCATCTCCCAATACGACGCCATCCCCACTCGGCACCCCTTCCCTCGACCCTCAACAATCCTCAACACCAACAGCCCAGTCTCCATCTGGCCCTCCTGAGACCTCCGACACCGATGGCCGTCCTCGCGCGACCTCTGGTGGCCGTTCCATGTTCGACCTCGAACCCAACCCATTTGAGCAGTCGTTCTCCAGGGGCTCTGCGTCCACCGAGCGCACAACGCCTCCTCGTGGCGGCGACGCGACCAGCGTCAAGCACAACGCTCTTCCACCCCTCTCGAGCTTGACCAGCCCTGCGGCTGCCGACCCTTCTCAGTTCCCGTGGCTGGCTGGCCACTCGTTGCGCTCGGGCCCACTCAGTCCCGCCATGCTCGCTGGCCCGCAGCAGAACAGCCAGAACAACAACAACAGCAACAACAACGCGGCAGCTGCGCCGCCCAACAACGGTGCCACAAACACCAACGCCCCTGCCAGCAACAACGCCGCCAACAACGGCAACAACAACCCCCCGCCTCCCAACCCCAATGCTGGCGCTTGGGGCCCTGCTGGTGAGGGTGGTGCCGTCGAGGGAGAGAACTTTGAGCCTGGCAACTTCCGCACTGGATTCACCCCCGGAACTGGCTCGGGATTCACCCCCGGTTACAACGCCCTCCTCAACTCCAACTTTGGTCAGCTCCCGATGCCCAGCCCTAACACTGCTGCCTTCCTCAACAGCATCACCAACGTTGCCACCGATGGCGTCGACTCGAACGGCGCCCCTGCCGGTGGACAGGGTGGCGCGTACGCTGAGCCTCCTTCGGCAATCCCGCCCCACATGCAACAGCAGCAGCAGCAGCACATGCCACAGCTCAACCCCGGAATGCCCGGTGGTCCGCAGGAGACTATCACTCCCAACACGCTCAACGCTCTCACCGGCGCTGTCGGTGAGATTAACCGTCAGCAGGGTGGTATTCCCCAGCAGCCCTACTACCCGCCCGGCATGGTCCCTCAGGTCGACTATGCCCAACAGAATGCCAACGCCGCGAGCCAAGCCGCCAATGGTCTCTTCTTGCTTTCGCAGGCCCACCAGGAGCTTTCGAAGCGTGAACGCGAGGAGTCCCAGGGTCCGCTCATGAACAAGCGCACTGCTGTCGGCGCTGCTCCCCCTGGTAGCGGCAAGCCCCCTTCTGCTGGGCAGAAGCGCAAGGAGGCTGCTCCCAAGGGTCCTGCCGCCAAGAAGGGCAAGAAGGGACCCGGTCCCAAGGAGGAGAGCGAGTCCGACGAGGAGGAAGAGGACTTTGACGACAAGAAGCTCGGTCGCAACGAGACTGAGGAGGAGAAGCGCAAGAACTTCCTGGAGCGTAACCGTCAGGGTGAGTTAACAAGAAACGATTCAACGGTCGGCCTCTCAGCTAACAAAACAGCCGCCCTCAAGTGCCGTCAGCGCAAAAAGGCCTGGCTCAACGAGCTTCAGAACAAGGTCGAGACACTGTCCATGGAGAATGAGCGCCTCCAGCACACCGTCCGCAGCATGGAGGACGAGCTGCAGAGGCTAACCACCATCCTCATGCAGCACCGTGACTGCGGCCTCGCCATGCCGCCCATGGCTCCCGCGTACGGTCGTCCCTTGCGTTAGCTCTAGTCCGCGCAAACATCTTCGGGCTTGTACATTGTTGGGCCCGCGGTTGGCCGCCTACATTCCAGCCGCCGACCTTCAACCCCGGCTCCCCCATTCTCTCAGCATGCCACCACCCCCATACCACCATCCTGGACTCTCTCGGTCTTCATGCGCGGGCCTCGCCCGCACCGTACCTTTCGCTTTCGCTCTTCCCCCTTCCACCTACTGTTGAGACCGAACTAGTCACATGTATCACAGAACCCGATGCAGCTTATGCCCTGTCGCGTGCGTGTCCTTTGCCTTGTTCCTGTCGTGTGCCCTTTGCTCCGTTCAACTGACATCATTTTTCGTGTTGCGCTGACATCATCGTGTTCGTTTGTTGTTGTTTATCGGTTTTGTTGTTGTTTGTGTGCTCCAGCTACGTCAGTGGAGCACTGGCAGCCCAGCGATGACGTCGTAGTCGTAATTACATTAACATGAGTGTTCTATCAAAACTGGGTGTCTCCACAGGTGGCCATAGGGAACGAGGCTAGAGAAAGAGAGTGTACGTTTTACTGGGTGGGTGGTGTGTGCGGTGGCGGTATTTGAGAACGGCGTGTGCCAGAATGTCCGTTGGTGGAAGGAAGGTAGGCAGGTATTGAGACAATTTGAGAAGAGGAAGAGGAAGGTGGGGATCGAGATCGAGGAAAACATCTGGGGTTTTGTTTTTGTTTCTTAGGCGACGCGCACTGCGTACGCGATGCACACGAAGATCATCGTGTCCTGGTAACCCCTCGTCAGCACCCATCCCACAGGTACAGCACGTCCGCAACCAGAGCTGGTTGCCACTCACGTTCGAGTACATCTCCTGCACTGCACAGTCTGTGTCCTCCCAGTGGCAGCTCATGTCGGCGCGGCCTGCTTGGCCAAAGTTCTCGCTAAACTGGGACGTCACCTGCGTATCGTGTGTCAGTGTACCATATGTCAGAGGGTCAGAGCCTGTGGCCCACAGCAACACTTCCACCGCCATCGCTCATTATCTCGGCATATGCACGCCCCGCCATCACCAGCACCCAGCACCGTTCGCAGCCGCTCGCCGCGTCCGTTGGAACAATGTCAGGTGTTGGCCTTTCGTATCCGCTCTGGCCAAGGCCACGGCTGGCGCACCTCTCCCTCCTCGTCCCAAAGGCACGGACGACATTTGGGACCTGTGGACCAGAATCCTCGTCCCGCGGGCCAAAACTGGGCCACGGCCCACTGGCTGGCGACTGGACAACAACATTGGCAGAGACGGCAAGCACCCTTTCGCCACCGGGGAGAAGTCAAACGCCGGTCGTTTGGTGTTTGGGGGGGTTGCAAGCAGCAAGACAGTTCTGTGCCACACCCACCACCCGCCAGGTCCCCCCTAACGGCGGGGTGAGGTTGCAGTACACATGCAGCCAGAACGGGTGTGGTCGCGAGCTCGAGCATGAGAACGCTGTGCGACCCTACTCACAATGTACTTGTATCCCTTGGGGTCGAGCTCGAGCATCTTGTGCTTTACGCGCTGGTGAACGGTCAGCTGCCACTCCGCCTGATTATTGTAGCTTGGCGTTCTGTCCACACCGAGTGCGAGTGCGAGTACGACTGAAGAACACGACAAGCGACAGCTCTCTTCTGCAACCCACTTCACAGATCTCCTTCGAGTAGGCGCCCATGCGTGCGCGGTCATTCGAGTCCCACTGTGCGCCGGCGAGGGTCTTGGCGAGGAGCTGCCGGACATACGGGCGGAGCTGGTCGGCGGGGAACCTGGTCGAGCGTGTTAGCTGGGCACTAGCGAGGGAAGGTGGGGGAAGGTGAGGAGGGAAGGCGAGGGAGTGTGCTTCCCATCACCTGTACACTGCAAGAACAGCAGTACACACTGGGGCCGACGGCGGTCGCTGGCTAAGAAAGTCGATACAGCTGGCGTCCACAACAGTGATGGCCAGACCTGTAAGGCTCAGATACGTACTTCTGGCGCACTGGACGGAGAGACTTTTCCGAGGAAGGCATCGTGGTAAGAGAGTCGATGCGGTCGCGGAGGGTACGGGAGTAGTGCTCTGTGTCGGTTGTGGTCATGGACTTTGATTTAAACGCGTCGAGAAACATGGTTGTGGCTTGGGCCGTTGCCAGCTGGGGAAGCGGGACCGGGGGTGTCGACGGCAGCAGACGCGGTGGCAACGGGGCCAGGACGGGCAGGGCGGCGGCGGCGGCAGCAGCGCGACGCGCCGGTTGGGATGACAGGGTGTTTGCCGTCAAAAGAGGAGATGCGAGTTTCGTTTATCCATTTCCTTAATCTTCATTCCAACCACTTCACTTATCTTTTAAACGCGTCGGATCCACTCCTCTGCACATCGCTCTCGCCCTTGCCGCCGGCCACCTCACACCCCGTCCTGTCCATGAGCGAGTGGTCGACACACGCGCACCGGTACACCCATCCCCCCTACTCCCCGTACCCGCACGCTTCGCCGCACGCGACTCACGCCGCCGCCTCCGCGGCGTACGTCTCCGTGCCCTCCCTCTCCCCTCACTCCATCCACTCGCATTCCCCCCACTCGCCTTCGTCCTTCTCTCCCCGGACACCCCAACTACACGCGTACCTCGCTCCTGCGCACCATCAGCAGTACGGCCACCACCAGCCGCACCCGCAGCAGCAGCAACAACAACAACAACACCCTCATTCGACGCGACACAGGGCCTCCACCCAACTAGGCCTGGCGTTGCATCACCCTTCGCCCGTGCGCGCCCATTCGTACCCTTCACAGTACGGCTACGCGGTCAACTTCTCAACTGGCTCAGTACACTCATCTACTGGCTCCAAGCACAACCTTCCTTCACCACCGCTTTCCACCAGCGCGATGCCTGACCCTTGGACCGCAGAGCGTCCCGAAACGGACGACGACGAGTGGGGTGTCACCAGCGGCGGAAGCCCACGCAGCATGGGTTCAGCCCCCCGGAACGGCCACGCATCACCGCCTCGGGCGCTTGGTCTGCATCGCAGCGCGTACTCTCCCCCTATGAAGGCCGCGGCTGGACCACCAAGCAAGAAGAGCTTCGGCGCGCCGTACACGCTCGAGGTGTGGGCGAGCGTCATGGACAAGAGCAAAGGTCGTGACAAGGTCTTGGTGAGCACAACTTTTTTCCCCTTCCATGGCCCCATTGGCGTGCCGCCTCCGTGCGTCGGTTGCTGACCTCGAACCCCTACAGAAAACGGTCCAGTACTCGCTGCGCACATACCTGTACCTCCTTGGCCTCATTGCTGCTGTGCGGCCTCTGACCAAGTGGTTCCGTGCCAACCAGAAGCGCGCAACACTCGCTGTTGCTGGCCTTTCTCTCACGCGCAAGTGTCTGCTCTTGCTCAACCCTCTGCGTCCCGTTGGCGCGCTTCTCTCTCCCGAGCCCACGTCGGCGCGTGAGTTCCTCGACCACCTCATCGACCTTATCGGCGCCGTGGCCGACGACGTGTTCTGTCTCTCCAAACTCGGTCTCGTCTCGCGGCGCAAGGGCAAGAAGGCGGACATGTGGGCCAAGTGAGTACCCTTCCCCTCCTCTAGCGCGGAGACGCATGCTTGTGCCCACGGGGACTCCACTGACACTTGTTTTTCTTCCTCTGCAGCCGGATATGGCTCTTTAGCACCGTTACCGGGCTTTACGCCCTGTACGCCAAGTCTTTCCGTCCTCGTAGCAAGGAGGACAAGACCGAAGACGAGTGGAAGCAGCGCAAGCTGCTCTGCGACCTGGTGTTTGTCTGTGAGTTCCTCCCATGTGTGCCCACCGTCAATGTCCTAACACCTGGCCAGCATACGACATTTTCGAGATCTCCTGGTTCAAGGAGCCCGTCCTCTGCATCTCTGGTCTCATGGCTGCACTGATAGGGTGAGTTGCTTGTGCGCGGCGTCGACCGTAGCGTGCGAAAGTTCGCGTCGGCATCCGGCTATTCTTGTGCCGGTTCACAGCGGATTTGTGCTGACCATTCCTCCCACAGCACGGGCCAGCTCTACCACAAGGAATGGCAAGCCATGTCCAAGCAGCGACTGCAATAGGCAGCACGCACATACTATAGAGGGTGATTCCATCAAGGGAAAAGGGAACGGAACGAAGCGTGTACGACCTTTTGGTGTGGTGGGAACGCGTTCAGTCATGCACTAAGTAATGATTAGAGTTTGGGAATCGCCTAAATTTCTAATTCGGCCAAGTCCGAGCCATATTTGACGACCGTGGGTGGGGTTGAAGCGCATGCATTTGTCACTGTCTATTGTCAGCAACGCCAGCTCTCATCCTCCGTTCTCCACGCCACGCTGAATCCTGTTTTTCTAGATTCTCTGCGACCATGCCCAGTCCCGAATGACCTCTTCTCGTTCATGCGTCCACCCCCTGATTCAGAATCGAGAGGCCACAATCGATAGCAGAGCCTGGCCAGGTCAAGATAGGGGGACCGAGGGGTCTCGGTTCCTTGCCGCACCCAGAAAGTCACCATGAACGCCGAGGTTGTTGAAACAGTTTGCCGATCCCTGTCCTTGGAGGTGCCAGCTGCGACGACGACTCAGTCGTGATCCGTGACACCGTGACAGCTCTCTGTTTTGGGTCTTACTTGATTTTTTTTTTTTCATACGAACACCGCCGTTGGCCCTTACCGTTTGCAGGCGCCGGTCGGCGCCAATCCGCCACCAGCGGGAGCTTGGGCGATAGCACAGCAACGACCTCGTGACGTCCGAGTCGAATTGCAACCGAGGTGGTGGTAACCAATGCCGACGCGTTTGAGTTTTCGAGTCACTACTCGCGCAACAGCAACACCGCTGCTCTATATATCAAAGGGCCTTGCATCCACTCATCCACTGACCGCTCGACGTTGCCGGCATTCACCTTGAACACAACAGGCACTCGGCGTAATCCGCAACTCATCACACCTTATTGTCTCCCACTTGTCTCCCACCCGTGGACTTCTTTCGACCCAACTATTTTGCCCTTTGGCTCTACCACTCGGACAACATCTCCACAATGACACCTCGCCCCGAGACATACACCATTGCGCCGAACAGCGGCAACGCGCTCGTGGTCTCGCGGCTCATCACGGGCCTCTGGCAGCTTGCCGGCGGACACGGACAAGTCGATGTCGCCGCGTGCACCCAGTCAATGAACGAATACGTGGACGCTGGGTTGACGACCTTTGACATGGCTGATCGTGGGTGCCAGCTGTCGTTTTTCATCTCGAGCTGACGGACAGACTACGGTGTGCGTTCCCAGCTTCATTGAGCCGCCTTCTAGCTGACCACACGCTGTAGCCCGCCGAGCAAGTCATCGGCGCCTACCATACCTCTGGCAAGAGTGGAATCACAGCGCTGACCAAGTGGTGCCCGAAGCCCGGCGTGGTTGGGCACGACGCGTGCGCGGCCGCGGTCGACCGCGCACTGCTGCGTATGGGTGTGCCGAGCGTCGACCTCCTGCAGTACCATGCCTGGCGGTACGACGACCCCAGCTACCTGTGAGCACACCTGGCTGCATATTTACGACGCGTAGCCAAGAAGCTGACCTCATCCAGGACCAACCTGTACCACCTCGCCGAGCTGCAGCGGGCCGGTAAGATTAAACAGCTGGGCGTGACCAACATGGACCTCCTGCACCTCCGCATGCTCCATAGCTCGGGTTACGTCCTGGCCACGAACCAAGTGTCCATGAGCGTCCTGGACCGCCGGGCCGAGACGGGCGGCCTCGCCGAATGGTGTGCCGCCAACGACGTCGCCCTCCTCGCGTACGGTACCCTCCTGGGCGGATTTATCAGCGAGAAATGGCTCGGCGTCGCGGAACCCAAGGACGAGCAGCTGTCCAACTGGAGTCTGAAAAAGTACAAGCGCTTCATTGACAACTCTGGTGAGTGCGAGCCATGGGGTGGTGCTGGGCGCCTTTGTACGTCGATCACCGTGATCGTCTGGCTCTCCTGAGGGCCGTCCTGAAGAAGCCTGAAGTGGTCCATCGTCTCTGTGGAGCGTTCCACTCGCTCCTGACAGACGACGTTGGATCACCACTTTGAGCAAAAACATAACCTGTCCATGTCGATCGTCAGTGTGTCCTGTAGAAGACACCTTTGACAGGGTTGTTCGTGACTTCAATGTCCCAATGTTGCTCTCTGGATCTCTGTGGCCCTCAAAAGTCCTCCCAGCTGACCACTCCTTTTTTGTTACCCTTTTCGCGCATCCCTCACCCATGTCCACATTGGTATAATTCCACATTGGTATTCCATCCCCCGGCCTCGTGCGTCCTGCCTCAATTTGGAATAATATGGCCTCATCGCATCCCCTCTTCCCCATCCCTCGTCCCTCTTCCCCCGTGTCGCCCCCCAACCTGCAGGCGGCTGGACTGCCTTCCAGACCGTGCTGGCGGCCCTGCACTCCATTGCAGGTAAGCACGGAGTGACGATCCCGGCAGTCGCGACCCGTCATGTCCTCGACATTCCGGGCGTGGCGAGCGTCATCGTCGGGAGCCGTCTGGCCCCCAGCGAGAGCGACGGATCCGCCTCCATCTCCGCCTCCACCACGACCAAGACCCAGACCACCAACACATACATCGACGCCAACCTCGCCGCATTCACGTTCACGCTTGACGAGGACGACCGTCGCGCCATCAAGGACGCGCAGGGCGGCCTGAGCGACCTGCCAGGCGACTGTGGCGACGAGTACAGGTACCCGCCCTACCTCACGGCATCGGGGGACCTGGGTGACCACCTCGCGGAGGCCGATACCGCCGCCCAACGCGACATGGCCGCGCAAGTGGAGCAAACAATCCGCGAGGGCGGGCGTGTGGAGAAGTCGTCTGGGTCTCCGTGGGAACCCGTTGCGGTGCGTATTGGCGACACAGAGGGCCACATGGAATGGAGCGAGGCACGTTCTGGGCAGTTTGGTGATCCCATCCGAACGCTGTTGTTGTCGTCGCCCTCTGGCCTCTGGCAGTGTGTTGATTCTTGTTTCATCGCTAATGCCTGTTGCAGGGATACTGCCGCGCCGTGCGGATTGGCGACCACTTTGTCGTGGCGGGCACGACGACGCGCGCGCACCCGTCGGGCGTGGGTGTCCTTGGCGGCACGTCGGCCGCGGACCAGACCACCAACGTGTTTGACATCATCGCCAACGCGGTCCACAGCGTCGGCGCGTCCATGGGCGACATTACGCGCACGCGCGTCTTCCTCGTCAACGTCGACCAGTGGCGCGGCGTCGCCCACGTCCACGGTGCCACGATGGCGCGCCACGGTATCCGCCCGGCCAACACCATGGTCGGCGGCAGCGCGCTCATTGGGGATGGGATCCTGGTGGAAGTCGAGGCAGAGGGCGTCGTGGGGTCCAGCCGGGGTCAGCGTCTGCGGAATGAAGGACATGTCGTTTCGCATCTGGGACTGCCGCTCGTGTCAGAGGGAGAGAAAAGAGGGAGAGAAAAAGGAGCAAAGAAGGGGAAAAGGGAAGTCTTCAAGCGCAAGCTCGAGGAGCTCGGATAAGACCCAAAAGTATCCAATATCCACAACCGAGGGATGCGGTTTGTCCACCGGCCACACCGGCGGGATGTGATGCACTGAGGCTGACGTACTCTGCCTTTGTTTTCCTTCTACAGGCTCCACGGCCCGCCGGTCGGCATGCCCCCGCCCCTTTTTTTCCCCTTCCCGTTCCCCTTCGATGGACGTACGTACTCTTCACAATGTCTTCACGTGGTGGTTGCCGTTTGGTATCGCCCATGCGTTTACACACTAGACTGCCCACAGTTGTCCACACACACGCGCGCGCGTCTCAACACAACCCCTGACACCGGTCCCGCGGAACCGCCAAAGGGAGGAGCGGGGCGGCTACGGTCGGGTCAAAGCAAGGAAGCGCAGCGCCACGGCACGTCGTCGGCGCTCTGGATGTTTGGAAGCTTTCGGGCGGGTCGGGCTCCCATAGTCAGAGCGAGAGTGGAAGAAAGGGGGGGGGGGGGGGGGGGGGGGGGGTTTGGGAGCGCAGGTGTATGGAGAAGCGCGATTACACACTCCTTCCATGAGTGAGACCGGACTTGCCCGTCCGACAGATAGGCTCTGGAACAAGGTCAGGTAACAGGTTGGGAGCTGTTGTGGAGCAGTAGTGTGTGGAGATGTCAAGCAGTGGCCAAACGTCATGTGCCGACATGCCTGTGTAGCTCTAGTTGGCGGCCGAGCATGGAGCAGTCAGTTGCTCGCGTGGTGACAGTGTCGTTTTGCCTTGTTCGGCCTGGGTGTTCTTCCACGAAAGGGCAAGCGTCCATCCGTCCAACAAGTTGGGCTCCTAAACTCCACGGCAACGGCACGGGTAATTGTACACCGCATAAATGGCGAGCGCGCCGCTAGCTGTGTAGCTTTGCCCGTGCCCGAGAAGACGAGAAGACGGGTACACGGGGCGGAAGCTGGGTGGGGGGGGGGGAAATGGGGAAAAGCGTGGGTGGGTGGGAGAGTGGACCGCGTGGCGAGGCCGCTGGCCGCTGGCTGCAGTTGGCAATGTCCCAAAATGCTCGAGAAAAGGTCAGGCGCGTGAGAGGGCCGGGACAAACTCGGGTCAAAGAGGATGATGAGAAGATAGAGTGACGTACACGGCCTCGCCTCGTTTGTCGCGATCGCACGGCTAGAGCCTGTTCTCTCCTGGACCAGTGCTTCCCTGCTTGGAGCCGCTGGCCTCGGAAACAGCTAGTTCAGGTATTGCCACATCGACGAGCTGGCAAGGCCGACCTGGAGGACGACGAGGAAACAAGTGTCTGACAGCTCGCAGAGATCCATTTTGGAGCTATCAAGCGAGTTGTCGAGCTCGAGAGGAATTAGACTGGTTAATGCGTTTGCGGGAGACGGGAAACAGTCTCGTCCCCGGGGGGAGAGGGGGAACAGGGGTCGTCCCAGTTACGTGTTGGCGTGGACGGTGGCACACGAGGCACCAGTGGGATATGGTGGATGGGAAGGGGAGGAGTGGGGTGGGAGGAAAGAGTGGTGTCAGCCAGCATGCAACATGCTCTGCCCTTCTAGGGCAGCCATCGCAGCGACGACAGGCTGACGAGAGATGGCGGATTACGGCGGGTCCGCTGGGGGTGGTGCGTGTCTCTCCATGTGTTGGTTGCTCTTTTTCAGTTGCTGTGTAATAATGGTGGGGCTGAGCGCTCTCGGTCTGGTGGGGGAGAGGCCAAGGGCGATCCGGGAATCGGACGCCACCGAGCGCATTTTGAGATCTGGAGGCGGCAACGGTCTGCAAGTTGTGCCAGGTATGCGCCAGGACCACAGGATCAAAAGGAAGGATTCCGTCGGTCAGGTTTCTACGAGTTTGTTTTCTGTGCACCAGGGGAACACAGATATGCCTTGCCAGACGAGCGCACACGCGCATCCATGGGCCTGGGAGGAGAAGGGGTTCCCGAGCGGTGATGTCCGCCAGATGCGGGCTTGCATTAGTGGAAGGACGGGCGGTGACAAACGGCTCGACTCAAGGAGGAGGGAGGGAGGGAGGGAGCACGAGGACGGCAAAAAAGGACAAGGATATGGTTTTGCAGGAGAAACGAGGTGGTGTCATTTGGCTGCAGCAGCCAGACAGGGAACGCCGGGCGCGGGCGGGGCTGGGTGTGAAACAGGGCAACTGAATTTTGGCTTCGGCACGAGGCGTGGCACGAGAACCTTTCGGATCCTGGCCTGTTTGGGCAAACAGAAAACTGCGTGCCGTGTGCATCACTCAAAACGTCTCGGAGGCGCAGGGCTCACCCTGTGCTGGGCTGGGGGGGGGGGGAGGGCGGCGTCTCTGATCTCTCTCAAGAGCCTGGGCTCGCTAGCAAGGCTCCGAACAAGGTCGAAAAGGGACCGCGGCGTTGCGGACACCATTCATCCGGGCAACGGAGGAGGGGGAGAGCTCGTGGCCCGTGGATCGTAGAGGGCTCCCATGGCATGGCTTTTTTAATAATTAATGACGAACGAATGAAAGGATACGGGCGGCGGTGGCGCCTTCGCTTGGAAACGTCCCACATGTGGTGTTCTCGTGTAGTGTGCGTGTGCATGCGTGTGCGTGCGTGTGCGTGCGTGTGCGTGTGGGGTGTGTTACATTGTGTTTGTGTGTAGAGGATGGGGGGTTTCCTGTTGCGTAGGTCCCACAGAGAGAGAGAGGCCTGTTTCACAGTAAGGGCAGCAGCTCCCTCTCTGCCCGTCTCGCCCGCTGCTCCCTCCTGTACCACCCAGGGCCTCGTGAAGAAGCTCATTGCCAGGGCCACTCCAGGGCACAGAGAAGGCGAGAAGGCCGGTAGTCGAGCCAAAGACGGGTCGTCGTTGTATGCACGGCCAGGACCCAAACCCCACCCACAATCCTCGGGCCTCGGAGCTGCCGTTTAGCGAAAGAGACCCCCACACGCTGCAGAATGCTCTCGCTCTCTCGCAGTGTCCCACCGCACATGCACGGCCCACGGCGGGGGATGCATTCCCCCACCCAACGGCATCGACGGAATGGCCTGGACCGGAAGCGTTCCAGTCGAGAGAGAGAGAGAGAGTCTCCAACTTTGGAGCAGCGAGACATGGCCGCAACCCGCGCCCTGCCCCTGTCATGTGTGCATGGTATCAAGAGGCGGTGCGTGTGGAATAAATACAGAGTGGTGTGTGTATGTGCTGTGTGTGTGGTATGCGTGGGGCATGGAGTTCTGGCCATACGCCCATGGGGGGGCACAAGAGAGAGAGAGCGCGAGATAGAGAGAGAGATCTGACTGAGGCGCCCATCAAACACCACAGACACACAGACACACACACACACGCCCAACATGCAGCACAAAGATCCAGACAGGCCAGACACAGGCGTCGGATGCTCGCCGCCGGAGAGACCCACACTGGCCACTGGCCACACACAACCACCGAAACAGGACCTTCCGCCAGGCCCCGCGTTCGTGTGCGTGGCATGGTGGGATGGCCATGCATTCAACCCAGGGCTCGGCCCAATGCTGTGGTAGGCATCTCTAATCGAAACGGGCCGAGCAAAGGGGGGGGGGGGGGGGATGGCGGATGGCGGAGAAAGGTGGGCTCTCTCGCCGCTCACTGTTCTGGGTCCAGAGGTTGTCGTCGTGGTCGCCGTCGTCCAGGCTGCGCTGCTTTGGCTCTCATGCCCACATCGTTTCCCACTCTGTGTGTGTGTCTGGGTGGCGTGCGTTGGCCGTTTTTTTTCTCCTTTGCACGGTGAGGGGGGGTGTGTGGGTGCCGTCTTTTTCTTTCTTTCTTTCTTTCGGCGCGCAAGCAGAGGGAGGTGGGGGTTTCCATCACGAGAGAGGAGAGATGCAGTGGTTACCCTGACATCACCGGCCAGGGACAGAAAACCCGGTCACAGAGGTCAGTTCCGACACAACCGTCATCAGAGCGCCAGAGACCCCGTGTTGCGCGTTGCGAGCCACAGATCGCGAGAGAGCTAGAGAGCTTGAGCAAAGAGCGCGTGAACAGGCAGCAGTGCAGAGCGCGCGGGAGAGACCTCACACACACCCAAAGACACATGCATGGTCACATAAGCGCATGCCACAGGTACGCACCCAGACGACACAGAACCGGATCTGGCGCCTCGGTGGACGGCTCCATTACCAGACCCGGCAAGCAAGCAGCAGCAGCAGCAGCAGCGGCAGGTGAACGTAACACTGGCACACACTGGCACCACCCCACCCGTGTGCCCGCCCAGTGCAGCGCAATGGCCGGCGCCCAAGCATACCGCTCCCTGCCTTGAACCTCCCTCCATCGACGAAAGAGAACACCCAACAAAGGGCTTCCCCAACCCCACCCAAACCCCTTTGGCCCTTTTGGCGTTGCGCAGTCGCACGGTGACAGACACGCATATCTCGCAGAGAACGCCAAAGGGAAAGCCAAACCCACCCAACCCCTAGCCGATTCCCCCGAATCCCGGCGTCTATCCACGGCGACAACGCACACTTTGGTGGTGTGTACCAACCAACATTCTCCACTTTGGCTTGTTTGATCGACCTTGCTTTCTCTCTTTCTTCTTCACACCTTTGTCATCACACACACCCCGCTGCCCCCATCCCCCTCCCTCCCCTCCCCATCCCTTCGTCGTTCCTTTTGTTTTCGCGCACGCTGCTGCGGGGAGCGTGCGCCATGCCATGACAACATCCCGGCAACCCCATCCAATCGACCCTGCCGCTGCCGCGCGCAACAGTGCTGCTGCCCACACCGCCGACGCCGACACCGCAGACAACCCCACTGCCCGCCGCGAGCTGCAACACCGCGAGCGCCGTGACCACCACGAGCGAGCGCACGGTCCTCACTACTACACCGTGCACGCTGGTGCCGCCGGCCCCGACAGGCCTGGTTCTCCTTCTTCATCTTCCTCCAACCACCGAGACCTGCATCTGAGACACGCAAAGCAGAGTCCCGACGACAGCATTCCGCGCTATTCGGCGTACCCGGTGGCTCATCCTCCATCGGCTGCTGACCGCGACTACCACACCCTTCACAGGCGCTACGCCAGCGAGGACACTCGAGCTCACTCACGCGAGCCCCTCGCCGGCCTAGCAGCCAACCCAATACATTCCACCATGGACCGCGGAGGACGAGACCGTGAACGCGAGTACGAGCAGCAGCAGCCGCGCGGCGACTCGCGCAATGAAGAGCGCTATCCACCGCCTCCGCCGCCGCACTCGCATCACCATTTGCACGCTGGACGCTCAAGCTCGACGGTTGCACCAGAACCTGGGCCTTCACGCGCCCGCTACGACCACTACGACTATGCGCCCCATGAGCAGAGCTCCCCACCGCCATCGTGGGCGCCAGGAAGCGGTAGCAGCAGCGGCAGCAGCAGCCGCTACCCAGGTCCGCCTCCTCTCCACCACCAACCACCACAATACAGTTACCCCGCTTCTTACCCATACACCTCTCAACACGCACTTCCGCCGCCTCCTCACCATGCCGCAGCGCACACAGACGTGCCTCCAGGATGGGGAGGGTGGGGAGGGACACCAGCATACGCCGGTGCGCCCTATCCCACGTCGGGCCCGCAAGCTGCGCCCCCTCCGTCGTCGCGCATGCATCCCACCGCACAGCCCGCGCAGCCTTCGCCCCCTCCGCCAGCGTCTCCAAGCCAGATCCAGCAGCGTTTGCCTCCACCACCTGCATCAGCACCGTCGCCCCCTCCGTCTGGCACCCCCACACCGGGTGGCTACTTGCCCGGATTCCAGCCCGATTACGAGAGGGGACGTGCAGTAGGCCAGACCCAGACACGCCGGCCCGCTGCGCCCGATGAGTTGGGCGGCAATGGCGGCGCTGTGGCCGTCATGGGCTCCGAGGTCCGCCCACCGCCCACTGAAGCGTATTTGATTTTGCGCCCCCACAACGTGCCGCGCGTCGGGTGGCAGTCGACTGCAGATGCCGCTCAAGCGTTCGACGCAAGTGACTGGTGAGAGAAATTCCAAGAGAGCTCCTTTTCCTCCCTTTTTCGCTCTAATTTTCGTTTTGATATTCTGACACCGCTTTCTTTTCTTTCCCCACCGTTTGCATCGCCCTCAAAAAACAAACAAACAACAACAACAACAACAACACAGGTCGTTTGAGCTCAACGTTCTCCAGCACCCCGAGCGCGGTAAAGCATTGGGCGTCGAAAACTTGCGCCGAGTACGTTTGTTCCTTTCGGGCAGACTCGGAAATATCATGGTTTGGCGGCGGCGTGCTGACGCCGCAGGGATGGCCGCCACTCACACCACCGCTCATCATCCAACTCGTCGTCAAGGACCAAGACGGCCACCCTGTCCCCACCGAGTGAGTAGCGCAGTGGACGAAGCCCGGTTTGATTTTTTAAGAACCGCGAACATGTCTGACCGCGGGGCCTAAACCCTTTTTATTTTTAACACATTCCAGCAACGCAACCCTCGCTAGACGTCTTGTGCACATGACCATGAGCGTTGAGCTCGTTGCCCCCGATACCAGCGAATCGCGAGCATTAATGCGTGTGCGGCCCTCGAGTCGTGCGTCCTCGCCTTCCGGACCCGCTCACCCGACCTCAGTCCGCGGCAATGCCCAGCCATACTACCCATCATCGGCGCCACCACCTTATTCTGTCCAAAAGACGCTTTTAGGATCCTCTGTGCGCACAGCCCAGGTACTTACGCGCGACAGCCGCAAGGGTCTGTACTTTATTTTCCAAGACATGGTACGTTTTGGTCGCCACACGCCAGCCACGTGAGGAACAGGAGGCAGAGACGCGAGCGCCTCGGGCGCGGTGCGGCGTTGCTGCTGGCAAAGTGCCCCAAACCCGTTCCCTTCCCGTGTTTGGTGGCATGCTTTCGGCGACATTGCCCACTTGGACGTGGCGGCATGCGTTCGCCCAGTGTGTTGGCTGACATTTTAGATTGTCCGTCCCGAGGGACGTTATGCGCTAGAGGGCAAGATTCTCGATTTGGCCGGGTACGTTGTGTTTTCTGCGCGGCTTGCTGGGGCTTTGGGCTTATCGGCTTACATCTCTCTGCAGCCCGCCTCATGTCGGCACATCCATTGGAGTGACGCACCCACTCGCGCACTGCCGGACCAACCCTTTCGATGTCATGTGAGTAGCGTAGACAGGTGGACGACTGCCCATGTGGCACCGGTGCTTGTTTTATTTTACCCATTCCAAGACTGATGACACCCACCCACAGTATCCCGCAAGAGTACCCCGGCCCAGTGTCCATTACGCCATTGTCCGAGGAGTTTTTGCGCCAAGGCGAACGGCACCTCGGGGTGAGTGGCAGGGACGAGGAAGAACGCAGACGAAGGAAGCGGCCACACTGACACCTGCCTCCAGCGCCGTCCGCGCAACGACGACGGCGACTCTGATCCAGACGACAACACGACCCAGGCCGAGTAGGCAAGACGAGACCGACCCTGTGCAACGACGCAACCTCCCCGACGCAGGAACAGGAAGGATATCACGAGCAGAGCAGACATGATGATGACGCCACTTTTGGCAGTGGAGTGTAATCTAAGAGGGACAGCGGAAGAAGGGCCAGTCTAGAACACACTGGGGACACGGGCACGACGACCATTGGCCGCTCCAAAGCCTGTAGCGTGGGGCGCTTGGGCGCTTACGCTTTGTGGCTGTGGCTACAGTCCCCCCTCCCCGCGTGGGTACGAATCAGCAGTCATCCCCCCCGAGATAGAGACAAATCCTCAATGAATATGCACCACATGTAGTCTACACCACACACACACGCTTGCTCGCTTCCTGTAGCCTGAGAGGCGGAGTTTGCTCCTGGCATCCTGGATTCTAGCCTGGTTGTCATGCACACACACACACCCCAACCCTCTCGCGCGCCCGTCCACCCTACCTTGGTCGCTAGGCCATCCCGTCCACTCCACCTGTGCCACAGGAGCGTTGCGCACACCGCGCACCAGTGCGTTGTCACTAACGTGATCCACGCTCTGTCACCCTTCGATCCTCGTTCCCTCCCCCTCCCCCTCACCGAGCGTCCGTGGCTTCTTAAGCGCGCGCTTGGACCTCGCAACACGCGCAACACACCCCTTCGCGCTCGGGTGATTCGAATGTTCCCCGACTCCTGCAGCCTGTGCATATGGAAACGGCTCTTCTTTACACACAAGCCCTGCAGTGCCCTTGGCCCCCCGTCCCCGTCCCCGTCCCCGTCCGAGCTACAGCTGCTGCTCGCCAACCGCCCCACAGCAATCCATGCTGCAGCAGTAGTAGTACAACTGAACTGCAAAGGACTGGACCAAAGCGGCGCGTGCGCCGGCACGCGCCGGCGCCCGGGTACACACACCACACCTGTCCATTTTACGTTTTCTGTGGCGCCGCAGACGGCCAGAGGGCCCAGAGGGGTGGGCGGCAGGGAAACAGGACCTTTTGCGCACGACGAGAAGAAAAAGGTAAAAAAGCAGAGGCAGAGGCAGAGGAAGAAGGCGGTGGGCAGTAGATGATGCATACGACTCGCCGGATCGCTGGATTGGGTTCGCAACGAGGCGCTCGGTGTTGGGGGTAGGGAAACAAAAAAAGGACGGGTCGAGTGGGAGAGGGAGAGGGAGAGGGAGCGCGGAGCGCGGTAATGGCGTATGTGGACGAGAGGGATAAGGACGTAAGACGGGCAGGCAGGCAAATCACGTCTGAGCGCGCGGACAGGGACATGGATGGGCAAGGAGTCAAGCACAGTGAGCCGCCCAGCGCCGCGCCGAGCGAAAAGGAAAGGAAAAAAACGAACGAGAAATGTGGGGGACGAACAGCCGATAGCCATCCCCTTTTCCTCTTCCTCTTCCTCGTGCTCGTTCCTTGCCTCTTGACTTGCGCGCTCAGGAGCATCGGTCATCGACCAGACGTCAGTATACAGGGCTGGGCTGGGGAGGGGCCAACATGGCCGTCACGCTGGCATCACCGAGCCAGACCCTTGGCTGCCTGTCGTGGACCAGCGTATGGTGTTGCGAGGAATCTGCTATCGGACTCGCCGCGGAAAGACATGGTGGCATGCTCGCTCGGCTGGCAACCTTTTGCTCGTCGGGGAGATGAGGCAGAGCGAGGAGGCGAGGAGAGGAGAGGAGAGGCAGAGAGTCTCGTCGGCCACAGGCCACAAAGGGGGAGGGGACACAGGGGCGGTGAGGTCAGGTTCCAGCGCCACCGACCCCTGCTCGCTCCATTTGGTCTATTTGGTCCATTTGGTCTCCGAGTTGCGCTCTGCTGGCCAGCGGCCAGCGGCCAGCCGGCACGCCCGGTCTGTCGAGAGTGTGGCCTCGCCTCATGCTTGGTCCTCTTGAGGCATTCCTCACAGAACGAGAGCCACACCCCTCGCCCATGGCCCATGGCCTGCACCGTGTGTGTGTCGCTTTTTGCTGCTGCGCGAGCGCGCTTGGCAATGTCGCAAGCGCCAAGCGCGACGTGCGACTGCAAATCACAACCCCCGCACCCGAGATCGCCAATATGCAAAATCAAAAACGACAGCACCACCGGCATACACAGGTGCGATCGGCGACGCGCGAGACTAAGAACGTCTCGATGTCTTGGTCAGATCCCCCTCCGGCCGAACTGATCGGACAAGACGCCAGCATGCCACCATGGCATTGTCTCTGCGGCATCGGTTTGTGGGAAGTGTGGCTGCTCGGTTGCGGCAAGGTTGAACGCAATTTAATTCCCACATTCCGCGTTGGGCCAGCAGTAACGGGCCGGGTGAGGGTGTCTTTGTGTGTGTGTGTGTGTGTGTGTGTTGAGTGACATTCTGGCAAGCTCGCCAGCGGCCAGAGCCTATACCCTGCCTCTGCTGCCTTGATTGCCTCATGTGTGGCATGTGTGGGTGGCCTCTCGGTGGGCAAGCCAGCCCCGCCAGGACACAACGGGACGGCCGCGGCGTAACCGGATTCGCTTGAGCGAGGCCCAGCGTGGCACTTCCCCACACCACCACGATTGTTCTCTCTGCCATTGAACCGAGTGCCATTGACAAGCCGTGAGACACTGCGCAGTGCATCCAGAAAGCCAACAACGAGCACATGCGGTAATGGAAAACCCGGGATTTTTTTCTGACACACTACGCTCCCTCGGTTCGTTCACATGAAGGGCAGTAAAGGGTGTGAGTGTGGGCATGTGTTGCGTGCTGTTGGGCGAAATTTCAAGGGGTTGTCTCTCGGTGTGCGGGATTGAAGGGACACAGTGCAATACCCAGGGTTTGGTGGTGGCGCAACCCATGGCGCAGGCGACGAAGGAATGGAGCGCCCGCTTGCGCTGCGAGTGTTGCCAGGGCCCACACGGATCGCACATCGGAGGCCGGAGGGGGGCGGTGTTCGAGCGGGCAGCATGGATGTGGCACTCTAGAGGCTTCCAGCATGGCACCGTGGTGTGCGTGTTGGCGAAACAGAGGCAGAGGGGGGATAGACACCCCAAACTCCGCTCTCGTTTACATGTGTGGCTGTCTTGCGCCGCCGCCTCGCGCCTCTCGCACGGAGGCGGGCGATACGTGGCATCGCGAGAATGGGACGGCTGCAAAGGGAGCTTCACATGGCGACTCCCCATCCATCACCCCACGCTGTCTGCTCCCAGCTCGCTTTCCACCGACACACAGCTGTGCAGTGGACAGAGCGGTCGACAAGACATTTCTTGCAATTTCACAGCTACAATTTAAAATAAGAACTCATCGCTCGTCACAGTTTCAAAAATCCGCACCAAATGTCGCGCGCCCCGGTCTGGAGCGTCACATCTGCTCGCTTGACCTTTGGTCGGCAGAGCCAACTGATCCAGAACTTTAAACTGACAGCGTTAGACGTGACACGCAAGATGGCAATTACTGTGTTTGCTTGGCGCCATCGTCGCACGCGCTTCGGGAAACCCACGGCCACAGCGGCAATGGTGCATCTCGCGCTCCGACAGAAAACAACAGAGGGGGGGGGGGGGGGAAACGACAGGAAAGAATACGGATCCACAGACACAGATCCACAGAGCCGGCTTGGGGCTGCCAGTCGTCTGGGAAAGTGTTTGGAGCAAAACAGTGCGGCCCAGGACCAAACCCGAAACGTCTGCCGGAAGGTGGTGCGTCCAGCAGGGGGGACATGTTGCCCCCACCTGGTGCTAACGGAATGAGTTGAAGCGAGGGGTGATAAAAACGTGCGACTACCAGATAAGAGTACGACGCGTCCGCGCAAGGTTCTGAAACGTGCAGATTGTGGACTGGGCTACTGGCGGCATGAAAACTGCAGCAGCGAGCAATTACGTTGTTCTGCCCACCTCGCTGGGAGCCGAGGAGCGGGTGAATCGAAAAGAGCAAACCGAGCAGGCGAGGACCAAACTGGTGGACGGACAAAGTGGAGCCAAGTCTGAACGATGACGACGAGCGTGTGGTGCTCTTTAATTATGCGGAGGCCACGGGGATGTGAAACGCCAGGATGGCGGAGAGAGTGGTCCAATTAGGGAATGTGATGGACAGCCAGAGAGGACTGCTGGCTGCGGAGTTGTCCAGGAAAACACGAAGTGTGTGAAGACGGAGGCAGTGCAGTTCGGAATACTGGGTTTACCGCTATCCATGGCCTGTTATGGATCTAGCATAAACGTATGAGCGTCCGCACGTATCGGATGGACCTACTCACACGATGCTCGAAGGCTTCCCTGCTGTCGACGGCGTGGAAATGGTAACGACGACGTTGATGGCCAGAGATCCCGCATGGAAGATTGAGCAACAGAGTTTACCCGGGTAGGCGGTCTCTCGTGCTTCGCCATTGAAGAACCATCACTGAGGCTGAGGACCTTGCAGAAAGTGTCATTGGCGTTGGCAAGGGTTGTGGCATTGAAGTCACGGGTACGGTGGCCTGCCATGCGGAAGGGAAGACCACGAGGAGGGGGGTAATAGATGTGGGCCTTGACAAGTGAAAGAAGGCCTGAGCACACCGATACACATCTGCGAAGGAACAGATGCAGTCCCGCCGTGCTCGGCTGTTCTTGACAATGTGTTGCTCTTGGCGACCTCAGGATTATTATCCAGAGACTGCTAGGTCGATGCAATCGCTGCCGACGATCGCGGATGATTTGTCTCCAAGAACGGTGGCCTTGGTTTCCTGAACGTGAAAGATTGTTATTCCATGTCACGCAAGAGCAAAGCCCGTCACGTCGTTGTTTGAGATACATGCTCCAACGTGACACTCGTGTGGTCTTGGACACATTTCAAGCGAAAGCAGATGACGAGGATCGCTCAGAGTGGTGGACGAAATGTTGAAATGCCCGCCCGGAAGCCATCCTCCCGAAGCAGTGCTGTGAATGGGCGAACCGGACGTTCCACTCGATCCAGTCTCAGGCAAAGACCGTGTCACTGCAGAGCAGCCGATTATCTTGTCTGGCTGGAGGCACTGTGGAATAGATGACAGAGATCGCAGCGCCCCCAAAAGGCGACAACGGTATCGGCGGCGATAATAAACCCAGAGGCCGGTCGGTCGACTCGCGGTCCAGCGAAAGTCGCGGGCCTCCGAGACTATATGAGAACGGTTGACCACGGTGTTCGCCTTCCCGCGAGCAACAAGATGTCGACTCTGGTGGATAGAATAGACGACAGAGACCACAGGGTGTCCAAACAGCGACGACATTCTCGGCAGCGACGATGAACCCAAGGGCCGACCGGTCGCCTGGTGGTTTAGCGAAGGTCGTGTGGTGCCGAGATAATATGAGAGCCCTTGACGGCGGTCTTCGCAACCCGTCGACTCCAGTCGATGCTCTGCCGGCGGCTGACTATTCGAAACACCTCACGGTGTTCATAGCCGACAGACTGTGCACGATATACCGAGCAGGGTGGCAAGGCGAGAAAACGAAGCCGATGCCAAACAGCAAGATGAACCAGGCGTGGTGATTCACCCGAGACAACTCTTGCAAGCAGATGCGTTCACCAGCAGATGCACTTTTTGCAAGCAGCCGTGGCCACCAGGAGATGAGAGCGAGGGTCCCGGTCGACGAAGAAAACGAGAACGTTGGGATGACGAGACCTTGAGCTCCTTGTACGCCGCATGTGGACCACAATGGCCATCTTCGTCCCGACAACGACCTCGGAGGGTAAAGACACTGCCCCCAGACACGATTATGACCGCGATATCGTCCGTACAGGCGCCTGGGACCAGCGTCGAGGTTTGCACGCCGTCGATGCACGGCTCCAACGGGCCGAGTTCTTTTCCTTCTGGCTCGGACCATTTCGTTGGTGGCTGGCGGAGACAGACCATGTTCCGCCCGAACTCGCATTCCTTCGATCCATGTAAATCAGTAACCCATGTGCCGCTAGTGGCCGTCCATTCCGTCCAAACGCTCCACCCGAACCACGGGGAGTCCTGCGCGCAGCTGTAGAACATGCGTCGCGTGTGTTGAGGAGTGGCAGCGAGTCCATGTCGCCACGAACATCGTGATAGAAGGTTTCGGCGGGAGGGACGGTGGGTGGAGTAGCGCTCGGGCCTGGCGAGGTACGCCGCAGTCATCCCTGAGCTTGGTTTCGATATCCATGCAGTTTCGACTCCCCAAGCAGGTCAAGCAAAACGTTCACGTAAAGTGAAGGAGGGCGACGTGGGAAGACCTGCACGACGTTGTGGAATGTTGGCTGAGGCAATGTGTTGTCCAAATTTGGGTTCTGGGAGCCGCAGTTGTGGTAACCAAGCGCGCCGAGCAACAGCACATGGGGCGATGCGCCGGCACGGTCGTTGTACTGTCCACCCTGTCGAACAGCACGAGAGGTATGCGTGTTGAGCGCAGAGCGTGCAAGCAGACGACGACAACGGTGACAAGGGGGTTTCAAGATCCGAGTTCACAGCCCCAACTGCCAGCTGGGTGAAAAGAATGATCAGATCGCGGTGCCGCTCGTTCGGATCACGATGGTGGACGGTGGACGTGAGACATCCGCGGACGCGGCGTCCAATCGATCGCTCGATTGATTGCACTCGGGCAGTATTTGGGCAGCGGGGGTGGCAAAGTTAACAGGCATTGAGATAGCAACCAGTTGGGTCTGCGAGGAAAGCAGAGCGCAGAGACCTGCACACGATGAAGCAACGTCGCTGGTCCATGGGGGAGATCGGGTCTCATGATGAGACATTTGACTGAACCATGACTGGGGTTAACAACGAGGACCGCCAGATAGTGTACGAACCTGTGTAAAGTCCCAGATCAAGCGACTGGCAGGATTCTGAGACGACGAGGAGTCTCACAGCAACGGGAAGGCGACGTGGACATTTTGATGACGAAGCTGTGAACGTTGTCCGCAAAAAAACACGTTCTTGAGACGGATGCTGTTCAGAGATTTCAAAAGATCACTGCAAGACGGATGCGAAGCAGCTGCTCGACGCAGAGATAGTGGATGGATGACTGGCGAATGTGAAGAGTTCGAAATAGGAGATGCTTTGTTAGCCAGCGGTCGGGGATGAAGGAACATTCCGAAAACCTGGGCCAGCCATGCCCAGCCAAGGGGTGGGAGCAGGCGGGAAGCTAGGCGATCAAGCGAGATGATTGCGGACATGCATGCCTTCCGTCTTCGCTGCCACAAGGCGGTGGACGCTTCCTACACGGTAGACCGAGCATAGAGACGAGCCTGCCCTACATTTTCTGTCTCTGCATGCTGCTCTCCCGACATCAAGGAGGGGTGAACTGCACACTGCGAGGTGAGAGTGGGTATGGTCAACAGCGGGACTAGTAATTTCGCTGGGCTTGGTGGAACCTTTCCATTCCATCGGAGCAATCGTTGATGGCCTTGGCGTCGCCGAAGGCCCAGATCACACTGTGTCATGAGTGTGGAGCGCCGAGATCCCAATCCAGTCCAGACACCGTTGCTTTCTTGCTTCATCAGTAAAGCCATGAGATTGCCATTTTGGCGATGTGGGTGATCAGCGCAGCCAGTGGCTGGTTTGTGTGGATCTCTCATTGGTCCCGTTGACAGTCGGCCAGAGCCGAGATGTGCTGCCTCGCTATCTGCCTCGATCAGGCATGCCGCAGGCCTCGGTTGCACGCGCAGTAGTCGAGTCCCACATCCCACAATCCTGAGCTGATCGAGGTGGGAGTTGAAAATGAACAGCTAAATCGACTAGTCCGACATGTGACAAGGAACTATTATGGTGTGTTCATCGTGCAGCCGTCGGGCCGTGGTCTGAACCGGCACCATGTTTTCGTTACTCGCTTGCTCAATATTGCAGGACCGACGTGACGGAGACGAGACCCACGAGATGGCTGGCTGAGATTGCTGAGAGCCTCCAGCCTGGCCGATGCAAAAATGCCGCACACATGAGAGATTTAATTTGAGCATGCGAGGAGAATTGAGCTGCGAGGTCTGTCAATGCCATGGGCATGAAGGCCAACATGCAAGTTGCTTCCCAGGATGCTTGCTTGGGTCTGCATTTTCACCCAAACCCCATTCCGTGAATCCCGTGGATGGATCCCGGTGCCTTCTGAGCCACAAATCACGTGACTTTAGACGTTGACGTTGCACTCATGCATGTAGGCAGCTGGCCGGAAACAGTCGCCAGCAAGGCGGTGCTGAATCGGGGCTGGTTAGGACGGCGTTGGACGTTCGTACGACCCCCAATTGCCAATGTATCAACGGTGCTATAGAGCTATTGAGCTACTGAGTTATGGAGCCGGTGGCCACAGGGCCACTGAGTGCGAGCTGTATGCTTGTGCCATCACAGAGTTATGACAGCGCGGCAGGTACAAAATGCGGCTGCTTCCTGCCAGAGAGGACACGGTGTGGGGGGCGAGGGGGGCGAGGATGATCTGCGTAGGGTATCCGCTCTCAGCCTGACAGACATCACAGTCCAGAATAGTGGGACACTGGAACCTACGAGTATGCCACAGGCAGTGAATACCAAGGTCATCAACGAGCGCGTTCTTGGCCGTTATTGCCATTCTTCAATTGGTAAAGGAAAGAATATGGTGTCCAGTATCTGGAAGCAAGGCGCTCCACGGCTAAACAAACATCGGCGTCGCCTCACTGGAGAGCAGCAAGACGTCGGCTCACAAAATAACCAGCTGATGGACACCTACATTCTTCATGTTATTAGAATTATAGCTCATGTCCAGGCGTAGACGAAGGAACGACATCCGTCTCCTGGTCGCAGCAAAGCCAGCCAGCCAGCAAAGTGGACGACCGGTCCTTTTGCACGGTTTACGATTTAGAGTCTGAGTGTGGCTTGACCCACTCAATTTTCCCACTTTTCTGTGGCCCGGCCCCACTTTTACCCCATTTTGTGCTGCGGCGCCCATCGACGACGGTCCGGCCCTGGCTCGTCCATGAAACGCAGGGACACGAGTCCTGTTAGGGTGGCTTGCGGATGGCACCAGGTCCCATTCCAGGACGAGCGGTTCACACACTCCGAACCGATGAGGTCCAAAAGTCGGGCGAGAGCGCCAACACCTGAGAGCAAAGTGGGCGCCCTGGCAACAACATTCACAAACCTCCTTGGCAAGGCGGTTGCGGTCCGCCCACTTCCGCAGCATACCTTGTCTTGTTCACCGGTACCCATGAGCCAACAGTCAAACTATTGTGGGTCCGTCGTTCTATATAGTTTGACGATATTGTTTCGGGTTGACATATTGCTGGCCACAGGCCACCCATATATTGCCGATGCCGGACCGCCTCTCGAAAGGTCTCATGGCCAACGTCGGGACTTGTTCGCTTCAGCAGTCCTGTAAGCCCCATTTCAGGCGCACAGTTGCCGTCACTTGCTACTACTGCACTGCATCCTGCTACAAACGCTCACATTTCTTTACTTTCCAACCAGTACTACTGCGTATGATTCACTTCACTTCTCACGGCACTGCCTCTGGTGTCTCGCACATCTCCTCAGGCGGAGCAGACTCCTTACTTGGGACCACCGTTGTCAAACGAGCTGGCGTGCTGTTGTGAGCAGTCAGTAGTGGTATCGCGCTGAGGTCAATGATTGAGTACGTACGGTCATGCTGTTCGCCGCCAGGGGCTTGCTCTTGTCCATGCCGTTGTTGCTGCCGTTGAAGACGACGCCCTTGATACCCGGTCCACCCTTGACGCCGGTCGCCTTCTCGAGGCGGGACGCGAGGTCCTCCGAGACCTCACGGAAGATGGCAATCTGGCGAGCGATGATCTCCTTGTCGCGCACGGTCGACATGTGACCAGAGACGGTCTCGATGAAGCGCTTGCGGCCAGCGTCGTCAAACACCTTCTCCCAAAGCGCACGGGGGGCGTTGAAGTCCTCGGGACGAATGGTCGAGAGGAAGGCGATAGCCTCGGCCTGGAAGTGGCCGTGAACATTGTCGACGTCGACGTAACGGGGCTTGAATTGGATGGGGTCGAGGGTCGAGATGTAGTTGGCGCGGCCACCCTGATTGTAGTAGGCCATCGCACCATCACGCTGGAAGTTTGCCATCTTGTAGGCAGGGTGAGGCTGGTTGACAGGCAGCTGCTGGTAGTTGGTACCAAGACGGTGGCGGTGGGTGTCGGGGTACGAGAACAGACGCGACTGGAGGACGGGGTCGGCTGACGGCTCAACACCGGGGATCATGTGCGAAGGGCTAAAGGCTGCCTGCTCAACCTCGGCGAAGTAGTTCTAAGGCTGTTAGTGTCTATCCACACTTGGCGCGCCGCCTCCATCAATACCAATAGGCGACGAGACTCTCATCGAAGATGCACTCACCTTGGCGTTCTTGTTAAGGGTGACCTTACCAATCTCGCGGAGGGGGTAGTCCTTGTGAGGCCAGATGTGGGTGAGGTCAAAGACGTTGATGCCCTTGTTCGCCCAAGCCTCCTCGGCCTGCTTGGCAGTCATGGTCTGAACCTTCATCGTCCACGAGGGGAACCTGCCCGGGTGTCAGTCGACGGCATACTGTGGTAGTCATCACAACAACTCACTTGCCCTCCTCGATGCTGTAGTAGAGGTCCTTCTGACCATGGTCAGGGCTGTTCTTGGCAGTGGCGACGGGGTCGGTCTGGTTGACGACACCCTGGTTCGAGAGCAGGTGGAACTGAGCGTAGACCCACTCGCCCTTGGCGTTGACAATCTTGAGTGTGTGGCCATAGTATCCGTTCATCTGACGGAAACCATCTGGGATACCGCGGTCACCCATGAGGTACATGATCTGGTGAACGGACTCGGGGTTGTTGCTGATGTAGTCCCAGAACTGTCACTGTTAGCCAGCCAGTCCGCCATCCTTCCCACTATGAACTCACCATGGTCGCGTCATCGCCACCGCCGAGGTGAGTCGCGGGGTCACGCTTCTGCGTGTGGATGAAATGCGGAAACTTGGCCGGGTCTCGCAAAAAGAAGATTGGGGTGTTGTTGCCTACCCAGTCCCTGCGCGGCTGTCAGCTCGGTGCTTGATACACATGCAAGGCGAAGCGTGCTACTCACCAGTTGCCCTGCGAGGTCTTGAACTTGACAGCAAAGCCACGGGGGTCACGGGCATTGTCGGATGAGCCCGATTCGCCGCCGACGGTCGAGAAGCGGAGAGTGAGCGGACACTTGGTACCCTGCTTGAAGAAGTCGGCAAGACAGAGGTCCTGAGCATCGGCAGTGCACTCCCACTCGCCGTGGGCACCGGAGCCCTTGGCGTGGACGACGCGCTCGGGGATACGCTCGCGGTCGAAGTGAGCGAGAAGGTCTGCAATGTGGTCAGTTCACCACAGGGGCAAGGAGGCATGCGGAGCACCGGATTTGTGTGGACGGGCTTGGCGTGGACGCCACGCATGCATTGGCCCACGTGCAGCCCGACATGTCGCTTGGCGCTGCCTGCATCCTGCGTTGTGGGGATGTGGGGGGCTGGGGAGGAATGACAGTAACATGTTGTCCCATACGAGGTGGGCATGCACACGATTCACACCCATGGTGTGAGAACAGGCTACGCAGATTGGCCGATCGGATCGGAGGCAATGCCGGACCATGCGACGGAATGACATCGAAACGCGAGCAGCATCATCGGTGGCGACGTTGAGAGGGGTGTGGAGGACAGTATGGAGGAAAGAGTACATACCGATGAGATGGTAGTCCTGGAGAAGGAGGGGACCGTTGTTTCCCGCACGCTGGGCACCGTACGCGTGAGGGTACGGAGCACCGTTGCTGGCGGTATAGACGCTGAGGACGGTCAGACAGGGCATCTAAAACAGCCAGACGAGCCACATACGTCTCCTTGTTGGTTGCGTCGCGGTCGGTAGTGTAGCGGTCGCTCATGGTGTGCAAGTCAATATACTGGGTGCAGTTGTTGACAGATGGGTGAGAGTAGGAAGAGGAGGCGACTGGTGTGCGATATGTATCCATGTCATCAGCCCGTCACCTTCCTTCTCGCGGACCGGGTTGACTGGACAGGACGCCCCACGCACACTCCAGCTGCCATTCACGTGCATTCACCCACCAACACCACGCGTCACCTTTGTCAGCCCGCAGCAGGCTCTGTAAGCGTGCGGAGTGCATATCGGGACTCGAGCGGTGACGCACAGTGCGCTAGTTTACCCGTCTGGGCCTCAGAAGCAAAAAATACATTGCATGTGTCGCCTGATGTATGGGTTTGGATGGGGGTCGGCTATGTCATCGTTTTCGCAACGTCACATGCTCCAGGCAACAACACCCTATATCCGCTTCTCGCACTCGTCGTCGGTGCAGAACGCGAACCACTCACTCTACACAAGCTCTGCGCCTCCGCAGTCGGGGGAATGGTTTATCCACCAATCCCAGCTGCTAGATTGAACGCCGTCCGTCACTTTGGTCATCACGCATGCATCCAAGCCCTTGGCCGCAGACTGCGGCAAACTTGGCAGACTGCGGCGACCTTGGCGGGTGGCAATATAACGTCCAGGCCAGGCTCTACAACCAACCACTTCAGCGGCTCGGCGCGAGCACCATCGTTCCACAGTACACACAGAAGAGGCGGCCAGTGCGCGGGTCCGGCCATGGAGCGCAGGTGTGCCACTCGGTGCCGTCCTGGGTATCCTTGCTGGCGCTGGGCTCGGGAACGTTGGCGGTGAACATGATCTCTTGGCGGGTTTGGATGTCGGTTGTGTGTATACCTGTCAGTTGAACGCACTAATCAAGGCTGGATCTGAGCCCTCTTATGCACGATGTGCCTCACTAACTGATCGCAGTCGCAAACAAACTTGTGCCATCAGACAGGTGTGCTCTCCTCTGTTCGAGTGGCCGCGTACGTTTGAGTAACGATGCGGCGCCAGGAGAAATGGCTTCAGTTTCACATACAAAACTCTTGATATCAGTTGGAACCATACCTTGATCCAAGCTGGGCAGGGGCCGGTGATGTACCGGTATGTCTGTCACTGTTCATGCGTGAATGTATGGTAGGTACTACAAGGTAATGATCGTGCAAATAAGGTGTGTGTGTGATTCGTGTTATGTGTAAGCCATTGTCCGTCTCAAGCAAGCATCATGAGGAAGCCGAGCGCTCCTGCGGCAGCCATAAGTACCCAGGAGTAAAATGTACTCGCGGTGACTTCTGAGGACGACTGCAGTGCGCCTCGGCTGTCGGTCGTTATCGCTGTCGCTCCGGGAACGAGGGTGAGAGCAACGTGAGACGTGAACGTCTGATGGAGGCATCAGCTGCGCCACCTCCATTCCAGTCATGTTCCATCAACTCACCTCGAGCACAGTGTTGCCATTGGCGTCCACGGACGAACCTGTAAGGGTGACGACGACTATTTCGGCCGTCCCAGCAGTCGCCGTGGGGTCGGTTGCGGTAAGGGTTACGAGGGCTGTTTACTCAGCAACGAATCGACCAGTATCTCATGCTGACTCACCCACTCCGCCGCCACCTGCGACAGTCTGTGCGGCGCTGGCAGTCACAACCACGATGGCTGTGGCCACGTTCGCGCCAGTAACGACCTGGCCGTTTGGTTGTGTACTCGTGTAGGCATTGGTGACGACTTGAGTATAGGTGATGGGGGGTGCCGGCGTTGCAGCAGCACCACCATTTGCAGGCGTGGCAGCTCCTCCGTTCGCAGTTGTGGCAGCTCCCCCGCCTCCCCCATTGTTGTTGCCTGGCGTGGTCACCCCGGCAACAGGCGTAGAAGCCACACCGCCTCCTCCAACCGGTGTAGTAGAGGGAACACCGTCGCCTCCAACAGGCGTGGAAGCAGCGGCGCCGTCTCCAACAGAGACCACTTGGCCGCCGCCGGGAGTTGTTCCACCTGCAGGAGATGGCGAGCTCGATGCGACAGCATCGCCCGTGTTGGCAACAGTGTTGGGGTCAAATGGGAAGGAAGAAAGCGGAGGATCGGATACAACAGACGCTGGCTGCTGTGTGACGGGATCGCTTCCAGCGACGGTTGGTTGTTGGGTGACGCCGCCTCCAGCACCAGACAAGGTCGAGAGGTCGGCAGGGCTCGTGCTCGCTGGTTCTTGGGTGATGCCACCACCGGCACCGTTATTGGTGCGAGATATACCTGATTCTGAGCCAGTGCCCTATCCATATCAGTTTTATTCCCTTGAACACACCCTGCTTGCTGTCACTCACACCTTGAGTTGTGGGCGTTCCCACAATGCTGATAGGTGGAACAACGGAGCCAGTTGGAACAATGGCACCGGTTGGTGAATTCGTGACGTCAGAGATCGGGGTCGCGATTGTGGCAACATCGGTATTCGGACCAGTACCCACAGCGGGTGTCGTAGGCGCAACGGGGGTCAAGACGGGGGTCGGGACGGGGGTTGAAACAGCGGTCGAGTCGGGGGTCGAGACGGGGGTCGAGACGATTGGCGTAGGCGTAATGGGGGTCACGATGGGGGGCGGGTTGGAGGTCACGACGGGGGTCGAGTCGGGGGTCGATACCAGAGTCGAGGGAGCCACAACGGGGGTGAGGTCGGTAGAGGTCGGAGGTGTAACAATGGGAGGTGTTGTTGGCAGCGAGGTTGCAGCGTCAGTGGGGGATGTCGTCATAATAGATGAGATGCTAAGGGTTCAGAGATCAGTGACCTGATCCCGATCACTTTTGGGCCACACAATGGGAGAATAACGCACACTGAAGTCTCCGCCGGCGGGGACTGGGACGACGATGTAGTGTCGGTTATCGACGCCGGCGGAGGTGCTTCGGTGGAGGTGGGGGTTGCAGGCGGGTCGCTTGACGTGGGAGGGGCAGGGGGAGTGGAAGGGGATGGAGGTACTGACGTTTCTTCGCCAGCAGTTGTGGTAGGAGGGGAAGAGGGTGGAGGTGCTGACGTTTCTACGCCAGCACTTGTGGCAGGAGTGGGAGTGGGTGGGGATACTGACGTTTGTTCGCCAGCAATTGTAGTAGGAGGGACGACGACAGCCGTGGTCGTTGGGGGAGGCGGTGTCTCCGTGGTGGTCGTTGGTAGGACCGGCGGTGCAGCAGTCGCGGTGCTGTGAGGTCAGTCATACATTTCCCCCAAAGGATTCAGACGGTTTCTCTACCTACTCGTTGTTTGCACCTGTAGTTGTCAGCATTTGCGAGGTGTGTTCGCGACGAGAGAGCCAATGGCAGCAGTTCCCAGAGCCTAAAGGTGATTGTGTCACTCACCGACTTGTCTGCGTCCAACACCGACTCGGTGATGGGACGCTGTCGCATGCTGGGGCGCGACTGCAAAGCCGACAAGGAGCACGAGTAAGCCAACCCGCATCACCGATGACTGTGTAGTGTTAAGAGCTGTGGTTAGCAGACACACGAGGCGTATATGTGTGAGAGAGAGTCAGAATGTGTGGGACATGGAAAGAGATGCAAGGTGCCTTGGAGATCGAGCAAGGGCGGGGCATATTGAGCCTGGCTTTGGATTGTCCTCGGCAGATCGGCATGTCAAGGCATCACCGCTGTGCGGCGGAAGCCGTCGTTGAGTTTGCTTCAATGTCGCTTCCGCTCCGCTGGTTTGGCACACATAGGCAACCATGACGTACACCAAAGAATGTGGTGGGCCGTGGTAGGACCAAAGCCGCCATGTTCATGAAACCGCAACTGCCGCTGGTTGAGGAAAGCCTCGGGCGTTTCGATGGTCGAAATGTCCTAGACGTCGTCTGCGCGCGGCAACACTTTCCACTCATTTCATTTCCCCCCGGACAACAGCCGCACCGCTTGGATCCTATACATCAATTCAAGCTTCAAGCTCTTTGTCTACGTTGCCGCGCCAATTGCAGCTTCTCTTGCAGGTTGGTCCATTCCCACAGCACCTCCATCGTGCTCGCCCGTGATGCCAGATCGAAATCAATCAGGACAACATCGCCACTGCCATCCAGCCGCTGACGAATGTGGCGTGTTTGCAGTTCACCGTGTCTGACTCCCACAGCATGCAGCAGTCGGTATGCTCGTTCAATTGGGATACTGGTGTCAGCTCTGTACTGTCTCTCAAGAGTGCTCACATCCAATTCGGATGCAGGGAGCTCCAGTCATCTGAGACCGCCGGGCCAACTCGCTCGAGAACACACAACCAAGCCGTCCCTTCCTCTCCTCCATCGTCAGCACACCAAAGGCCGTAAAAGGTCGGAACAACGGTTCCCATCAGGGGAGCCAATGGGCCAAAGTATAACTCGGCCTCCTTCTTAACCAGCTCGTTCGCTTCGTCACAGTCGAGGTCGGAGTCTGAAGGGCAGAACTGGTTCGAGTTGTCGTCACCAGAGCTGCGGTGCGTCGGTTCCGGAAAGCACTCGGGGTAGGTGATCTTGACCACGACGGGGATCTCAGGTGCTCTTGTGAAACGAACGATATCTCCAGAGCTGGACACTGGCGTTCGAGTTGACATGGAGGCCCTGTAAGCTGTCCACAGATGGCCCCTGCCGCACGCTTGGTCGATGCACACCAAGTGGTGCTTGCCGGCGAGTCGCGCGCGTCGGTCAAAGCTCACTTCGAGACCATCCCGAGAGCCCCAGCTCTCAAGCTTGAGACACCGCAAGTCGACCCCAAAGCCGAACCGCTGGAGGTAGAGCCACTACCTGTCAGACTCGTACCGCATCCACGGACATACCTGATCCCACTGATCCAACTGGGCTCTGGAGTCTTCGTCCTCCGTGGTAGTACCTGCCGTGGTCTCGCGCGCGCCAGGTAACAGGTGGCCACTGTTATTCTCAGCGGCATCCGCCGCCTTTGAGGACTCGGCTCTCGCCTCGTTCACTGGCTGCAGTGGTTGTGCGACCGTCACAGAGTCGTGTGTCATGGGTGGGGTCAGTGAGTGACAGCAATGTCAAGCCATCAGTGATCAGTGACAGAAAGCCGGGAGGCCCAAGCTTGTTCAAGAAGCACAGCACACATCACACGTGTGCCCATTGTTCCCATCAACCATGCAAGATTCAGACATCAAGAGCTTCCCATGCACGACTGCAGGGGATAGGGATTGATCGTGAGAGTCAGATAACCACACGCAGTCAGTGTATGAGTTCACGGTGAATCTGCATGCGGTGTACGTACCCTCTACCCACTACCACGAGGTGTACCCTTCCTCCTCCTTTTCTTCACAGTCCCAGTCTTCCTCCTCGTCACTCGTCGGCCGGACAGGTTCCAGACGGTCCATGAGTTGGAACCATTCAGCCTCTCGTACCCCTTCATCCATCGCGCACGCGCGATCAAAGTCGATGAGACACAGCGCGTCGGTGTTGAGGCGGTGTCGGACATGTCGGACTTGCAGCTCGCCGTGAATAAGACCGGTCGCGTGAAGCCGACGGTACAGCTCTTCGATGTGAGGCCTGCGTGTCAGTCGGAGGGGCTGCTGTTCCAAGCTTACAGCCAGTATTGGCCAATCATGGACCATTGGTCGCTCACTGGACAGCCGACCTGCTTGAGAATCGAAATGAGCAGCTCGTCGGTGGTTCCTGGAATGACGGCGCGCCAAAGACCGTAGAAGGAAGGTACGACTGAGCCGACCAGACCATGCTGCGCCAGAGGGCAGACGTAGAGGTACGCCTCGTCGCGCGCCCACTCAGACTCCATGTACAGTGCATCACGGTGCAGACCTGGACGCGCCATCTTGACTACCACTCGGATCTTTGATGAGGGAAGGATCTCATCAGAGACGTTGATGGGTGTCAGCTTGGCGGAGAAGACCGTCCATAGATCGCCGTCGCCTTCGTGCTTGCCGAGATCCAGCTGGAAAGTGGGCTGTGGAGGGTCTGTCGTACCGTTGAACGAGATGGTGATGTCGCCGTAGGCATCGGGGACGATACAGGGGAGGAATGAGAGGGTGGTGATGTCAACCGCCAGATCCAGCCGACGCAGAAGGACGGTCTGCAGATGAGCATGGTTTTCATCGCACCTCACTTACCTCCAAGCTTGGTGAGTCACCCTTGGCCCGGGGCGGGTGCAGTTGGTTGAGAAACGAAAGCTTGGGCATGGGGTTTGATGTTGTGGGTGGCAAATGAGGCAATGGGAGACAAGGAGGTGTGAGGAGGGAAGCGGAGGGAACGCGTGTTTGTACCCAGAGGGAAGACAGCCGAGGAAGGTGGGTCCAGGCTGTCGAAGGAAGGTGTCTGCCATATCTGGATGGTTAGACTCGCCGCGTTGGTGATGGATGGGAGAGACAGTTGCGGCATGCAGTGGATTCGAGACGCGACGCGCTCTGGCTGGGGCCGATTTGAGGGGCGCAGTCGAGCTTTCAGCATGTCACATGGGTGCGTTTGGATGGGCCGTGTTTGTGAATCCAACACTCTGACTGTCCTCGCTTGTGTACGCTCCCACCACCGTTCGTTCGGTTAGTCAACTCATGAAACGATCCATGATGGGCACCAGGTCAGTTCCGTTGTTACTGGGCTCTCACAAATGCTTACTTGCCGATATCATTACGTTCCTGCGCACAGGCTATCACCTCGGCTGATTTCCAGGGCAGGCAATGTTCTAGCATCAATGACGCATCCTGTTGCGATTTCCGGCCGAACGACCAGGCCGAGACAACCACGACGGCTCACAGCAACGCCTGCAGGGAACCCATATAAGCACGCCTGTGTTCGCTGGCGTTCTTTGAACCGTCCATCGCACCATGGTCGCCCCCAACACTGCCCTCGTCGTTCTCCAGTCTGTTGGCCTCGTTCTGTCCTTGGCCACGTTTGGCGTGGCCCTCGCCAGCCTCATCTTCTGGTGGGAACATGGATGGGACTGGCGTGAGTAACGACATTCCCACCATTTCACCCCGCTTGCACACTCTTACAGGACACAGTTGTGTTCAAGCTGCCCCCGATTCTAGCAATATTCCTGTTCTCTGGCCCTTCGTTCGTGTATTATCTTGCACGGTGAGTCCCAGTTAAGGCTGTGTGGGGTGCGTCACTGACAACACAACAGCCTTGCGTTTCCCGACAGCGCCTCTGTCAAGAAGGACTGCTCCATACTCAGCGGGTTCTTCTTGAACGGCATCCTGTCCTCTACCATCTCGACGGTACAGACAGGGGAACTGAAGTAAGTGTGTAGTGCATGACAGTCGCTGACCAGGCAGTCAGCTCGGCCTCGCAACCACAATCCTTAGCTGGATCCTCACCATGCTGGTGCGTTTCCGGTAGCGCTGTGTTCGCTGATTCGTTAGATCCTTGGCACGGCCCTGTTCGAGGCCTACTACGTCGCCAAGCACTACGGAAGCACCCCCGGGTCTACCTGCAGAGCTTCAAAAGGGCTACCCAACCCATCAAGCTTCCTGACCACGACGATGACGATCAGCCTGCTTCTCCCGACCTTCCCGACACCATGGATTCAGATGCGGTTGGAGCCCTGTTCGTGACTACCAGTGGAAGCGTCGTCCAGCCGTATGATGCCCTCGTGGCTCTGCGCATCGCTGGCGCTGTCATTGCAGTTATCAGTCTAATTGCGGCGATTTTGAGTCTTCACCACAGCTGTGGGTGCCCGCGTGTCTCTGCGATAACTGTTTGACTGACTCGTTTTATCAGCGGGTGGTAACGTCTTTGTCCTCATGAGCCTCATTCTCGCTGGCGCGGCCACAGTTGAGCACCTTCACTAGTGTGTGGCTCTCCATAACCTCTGGGAACGGAAGATCTTGCTGATTCGATTGAAGTCTCGTTCGCCTTTGGTGGACGCCGTCGTATGCTACGGCCGTCGTCACCGACACTGTCTCGCTTGGCCTGCTGTGCATCTACGGGCTCATTGTCGGAGTTGCCGAGCTGGTCACTGACAACTCGTACGGTTGACCGTTGATGTTAGAACTGACATTCTCCAGGTCGCTTGGAGTCTTTGCATGGTTCTTGGCCCTCACTGTGGGTGGAGCCTCACGACAATGGTCTCTGACGCCAACAGATGTTCATCACCGTCCTGCTCGAGACCTTCTACACGACCCTCCACTATGGCGGCGAGTGGAAGGCGTGGTGGCGCAGTTTCCACCACCTGGCTCCCAGTCCGGCACTTGTGGGTTACTGAACGGACCGTCGACTAACATCTACAGGCCGAAGACTAAGTCTCTTCTGGGCATGATGTGCATGATGTGCTGGTGGATCTCACTACCGATCACCAGGCTGCTTCCTACATACTGTAGTCACAGTGACGGTGTGCGATTCTGCAAAATGTAGCGGGAGTTCCGAGTCCCACTGGTGGTTCATCCCGTTTGCACGTTTTGACTCAACTTCTGACGTCTTATAACAAGTCTTATACAACGCTGCTGACGCGCTCCGAATCCTTCGTACCTGTCATCTGGGCTGAAGTCTTGGTCTGAGCGAACTTGCGCGGCGAGATACCTGATTCGAAGAGCTCATCGAGCTCTGAGTATGTCCTGCCAGCCGTCTCGTTGTTAGTCTCCGTTTGGTTTTGTGTACTGCTTACCTCCGGTGTGAGAAAGTAGATTCCGATCCCGCCGAGTATAGCTAGGCCTGCAAACAAGTACGCAGCTTTCACTCCCCAGTCGGCACCATCCTTGGCTAACATCAATGGCACACAGAACTGGAAGATGAGGCTAACGTCAGCGTCATTTGACAGGTGACTTACTTAAGGGCCGAGTAGCAACCAATCGCAAATCCAGTGGTCAAGGACTTGAGGTATGGTGTGGCCGTTTCGGCTGCTGAGATCCAGCCCAAGGGAGCTGCTGACATAGAGTAGACAAAGACCTGTAGTTAGCTCACAAATGAATGCTCTGCGAGCCTACCCAAATGCAGCTCATTGCCAGTGAGCCCCGTAAGGCGCCGTCCGTCGTTTTAACTGAGCCAGTGATTCCCAGTCCAATGTTGGCCAGGACCATGAGGACACATCCCCAGAGCAGGACAGGTCGGCGGCCAACGAGTTCTGTTGTCCAGAAGGAGATGGTAATGCCGACCAAGAGGATCACATACATGATGACCGTCGATTGGAACGGATCCTTGATTCCAGCCATTTGGAACAAGTCTCCAGTCAGCTCTCGTCCTGTGAAATGTCGCTTACAAGTGAGGTATGAGAAGAAGATGGGTACTCCACACAGTTGCTGCAGCATGATTGGCATCATGGAGGCCAGCGTTCGACGGAGGTTCACCCCCTTGAAGATCTCGGCAAACCGTGGCAGTTTACCTTCAGCGTGGATTGCCTTCGAGTGGGCGATCTCCTTCTCCATGACAGCGTACTCCCGGTCCACATCATAACCAGGGATGTTTCCATACAACCTGCGCAAAGAAGCTTTGGCTTGGGCGACATTCTGCTTTCCAGCCCAGTACCATGGGCTTTCGGGAAGAATGACCATTATGATCATCCAGATGCCAATGAACACCCATTGTGAGTAGACTGCTCGGCGCCACTTTAGTGGTTGGGCGGACTATTGTCAGCTGGCCACCCAAACGTCACGACGCCTTACCGTTTGGATTATCTGCAGAGCAATGGCAGATGCGAACTGGCCGAGGGCGAATGCCAGGCTGTATCCACTGAGCAGGGCTCCACGGATTTGGGCTGGGGCCACTTCGGACACGTACTGCTCATCAGTCTCAGTCTAAGCCTTCCGAAACCCACTGTGGTGATAGAAACTTGAACCATCCCAAGGGCTACCCCCATGAGGGTCTTGGCTGCAAGCCAGAGTTTCCACTCTGTCGCAGCGCATTCCAGAGACACTCCCTGGTCGTCAGTGGGCAGTCTCATAAGGGATGTCCAACTCACCACGATACAAAAGACGGTGAAAGTGTACATGGTCCCCTTGCGCCCAGTAGCGTCACTGAGCCACCCGGCAACTAACTGGCCGATGAGTTGCGTGGAGGCCAGTAGACCGCCCCACAGGGACATGTACACGGCGGGAATGGCAGCGGTGCCACTAGCATCGACTGTACCAAACTGATTGATGAACCCTTGATTCGACACAATAGATACAGTGACACTGGAAGTGAGTAAGCCGCACACCCAATGGGGACCTACACATATTCGTATCCGTCTGACAGACCAGCCCACACGGCCAAGGCGCAAAAGAGGGTAGACTTCCAGAAGACACGTAGGACTTGCGCTCGTGAGTAGCCGGCGTAGGCACTCTCGCAGACCTCGGCGCCAGTGGAGGTGTAATGGTGAGGATCACTCCCCTTGTCGTCTTGGTGTTCGATATGCTCTCCTACAGGCTTGCTGTCCTTCTCCATGTTTGCGATTGGCAGCAGATAGAGCAGATAAGGGCAGTTTGGTGTCACCACATGCCCGTATATGTACGGTGGCGACAACAAGCCCAACGGGCGCTCGGCGAAACGGACGCCGAAGCGACGGGGTATGGGGGCGCGGGGGTATGGGGGCAGTTGGAGCGCCACGTGAAGAGTGAATCTCCCGTAGTCCTGCAGTTGAGGCCCCACGGGCCACGGGCAAGAGGGCGCCTTGACTGCACCCTGGCTGTGACTCCAATTGTTCAACCAGCCGATAATGGGAACGAGAGGCTTGCTAGTTGACAACGGAGCGGTAAATCATGGGAGGCAGTTGTGGTGTGCATTTACTGCGGCGTCTCCACCGCCGGTGGGCAACACTATCAGCCAGACGCTAGTAGCCGGACTAGTAGCCGCAGAACATATCCTGGTATCTATCGGTGACCAACTCACCGAGTAACCACAGGTCGACTCCTGTGTATGGGACATGCCTCCAGCTGCATGTGCTTATAATGAACTCCTGTTGGCAACACAGCTCAGCCCCATCTGAAGTCCACCATGCCCATTGCAATCCAAGAGTAAGCTTGTTTACGACTAGCGAAGCTGACAACAGCAACCCCGTCATCATCACAATCTCGGCCGAGGAGCGCGCCCGTGGTGTCGCCTCGCAGGCGACCATCCTGAAAGCCATAGTTGCTATCGCCGAGGATGGGCTGGTCGTCTTGGACAATGCCATCGACTTATCCCACATAGACGCACTGAACAGGCGCATGGTCAAGGAGGCAGAGGACCTCATCAACCGCCCAACCACGCACTTCAAGTAGGTACACGGATGACAGTACCCCACCCACCCCATTGGAAGAGATTTCGCTGACACACCCTGAAGCTCGCCGGGCAACCTCTCCCAAGTTCCACCCATCTGCGCCGACCTTATGTTCGAAGATGTCTTTGCGAACCCTTTCGCGGCAGCCATTATTGAGGGCATGCTTGGTCCCCACCCCGAGGTCCGCTACCTTCACGGTAACACCGCTATGCGCGGTGAGGAGAGGCAGGATGTCCATGCCGATTTGGCCTGGCGTCACTGGCACTGGCCGTTTGGTCTGGTAGTGAAGTGAGTTGAGAATGTGGCTCTCAAGTTGGCTGACGAACAGTATCATGTTGATCGAGGCTGATAAGACCAATGGGTCTACCGAAGTGTGGCTGGGAACGCATCGGGACACGACACTGGCAGACCACATCGCACCCGACGCTGGAGTAATCAAGCCAGAGCTTCTTGCTAAAAGACGCAGCGTACGCCCGCCTATTCAGCCGCGTATCCCTAAAGGTGGAATGATCATTCGTGATCTACGGCTCTGGCACGCTGGTGTAGGTTGGCAGTCGGAAGAGTCATGACGTTGACAAAATAGATGCCAAACGGCACTGACATTCCGCGGTGCATGATGGCAATGGTACACACACCGGCCTGGCTGGGCAACAAGCTGCTCTTGACCCTCCCCGAGAGTGTCCAACCTATTATCGAGTCTTGGAAAGGCCCAGTTCGATACTGCGCAGAGTACATCGATGACAAGAACTTTGACCACTTGGCTCTCGAGTTCAAGTATGACATGAGTACGTGTATACTCCATTAGTCGCGACTAACGTTCAGGCCCAGGAGGAGGACTGCCCAAGAACGAACGCGACAAGTGGGAAGCGAAATGGATAGGGGAGTGGGGTCATAAGTTTTGAATCGTACCCCCATCCATAGTGTTAGCTCACCGTCTGGAAAGCGGGACAAGGATTATGAACTAGTTGTGGTTCAATGAGAATAAGACATGCGTCCGCATGATGTTTGTAGTGCTCTGAGCATACAGTGACCACGGTAAATCTCGAAAAAACTAAAACATTACCCAACCGGCTTCGCCTCAGGACTGTCACCGGGTGTACATTGTTGAGATGCTCGTGACGTCTGAGGATCAGTCTGAGCATGGGAGTGCTCGGAGTGCTCGGAGTGCTCGGTCTGAGCATCCTCATTCGGATGCCTGAGCGCCCTGAGCAGACACTGACTCCGAACAGGGTTCGAGACTCAAAACTGCTTCGGACCAACACTTGTAGTTGTTCATGTACTACCATTTGTAACATACATTATGTACGTCACATGTTCCAGGGTAGGTTCCAGTCCATTGCCAGACTGGCATCGTCGCTGTTCGCGACAACCCTGACGTTTTCCTCCATTCTGTAGGTCTGTCGAGTCACTTGCCCTCCCATACGTTGTTGATTCACTGCGGTTGGGATTTCGACGACATCTCCGAGGCCCACTAATTGCTGTGAAGATTGTCAGACACACTTTTATGCAGACACTACGAAACTGACGTCCCATACTGCATGAATCCAATCGGCATCCTGTGCCGCCGTAGAGTTGTTGAAGAACATGAGAAGGTCATTGGAGATAGTGTTCCCATCGACCGACAGCCACGGTGGAGTTGGGTGAGAATCGTTCTGCGGTAAGTCGCCAGAGGCGATTGAGAACCGCGGGGGTGGTAAAGGTGGGTGTGTAGTCCACGAGCATGCGTGGTGAAGAAGTTGCCGTAGAAAGTCGGCATATAGGTACTGGGTGCACTCTCTGTCCGTCGAGACCGTCTCCAGTCGCACGACCATACTGGTGACCAGACCCAAATGTCTCTGACGCTCTTCGTCCGATGCAAACCGAGCAAAAGTGGGTCGACTGTGGAGGTCAGTATATAGCTGGGGAGATACCCTTTCACCTGAGCTTTAAAATCATGCAGCACGCATGTGTGACGAGAACGAGAATGTGGTCAGGCGCGTACTTCAGGAATTCGTTCCAACTGTCGTCAAAGTCCGAGAGTGCCTCTCGGGCATAACCTTGAGTCTTGTCCGTTAGTGAAGGGCCGTCATCTTGCACTCTACCTTGAAGAAATTACGCCAGACGTTTGCGTCCGCCGGCTTATTCAAAGTCATGTGGAGGGCGAGGGAGTAGATATTCATGAGCCAATACCGCTTGTAGCTGTCCATGTCAGTTGCCGCTGTGTTGATAATCCGCTGTGCTAAGTACAGGTCCACTCACAAACGGAAGACTTCCGCCAGCGGTGGTGTTGCTTCCATGTACGCTGAACCAGTTAGAGCAGAATTTAGGGACTACTGACGCTCATGGTCATATCTGAACAGGCAGTTAGCATGCGAACGCACTGCAAAGTGTGTTGTATGTACCTTGATAGGGCGTGGCGGGATGAAATGAGCCAGTTGGCAATCTCCCTTTCTGCGAGATAGAGAAGCTCATGTTCCTGTTGAAAATCAGTGTCGTCTACCACAATTGAGTCTCACAGGCCAGCCGATTGTCTTTGCGACTGTCTCCCTGCGTACGAGAGTCATCTGCCTGTTAGTGCATTGAAATGTCAGAATGCTTACCATCACTCGTTCCACTATCTGGTGGAGAGTCTGTTGAATCAGCATGACTGGTAACAATGTGCCTCACGAAGACGAGTTTCACAGGCCTATCTCGAGGGGGCAGGCTGCTCGTTTGTGCACTCGATACGAGATCTTCAGTCATACTACACCATCGCCCCAGCTGGTGCGACAAACTGTTTGTTAGCCAAATTGGCCCTGGCGTCTCACCTGTAGTCTTGTTCAAAGCAGTGCAACCTGGAGGATTAGGTCAACTTCAGGCAGGTAACCCACCAGGTGCGTTGTGCCGCATAACGCTGTGCCCGCTCAGCGGCTGTGCATCCGGTCGGCAACCCAAATATTGGAGATCGTGCCGCCAGGCTCAAATCATTTGCCATTCTGAGAGGTCAGTTGGCTTGCTTCAACTTGCAGTGCCTACCGCAGGCTCATGCCGAGAAGTGTCCATGATCTATCCGACAAGGTTTGACACTCAAATGAGGCGTGACTGTACATGGACAGCAATAAAAAGGCTTGTGTAGCCTGCGAAGCGGTCAGATAAACGCGTTTACCAACAGCACTCACTTCAATAGACTTGGCACCTGCTTCAATGGTTTTGACGACCAGCTTGTTAACCATAGAGCGCAGGTATGGTTTCAATTCACTCCGGGTAGGATAGTGCGGAATTGCGATGGAACAGACTGCAGTACGTCAGCATTTGCGGTTGCAGGGCCCCACCAGTCATGGTCAAGAGAGTGCAGAGTCGCATAGTGCGGTGTGGAGTGTGAAATGCGGGGTCTAATATGGTACAGTGTCCTGCGACGATCAGCAGTTGTGAGCGGGTCGAAGACCTACTATCATAATGAGTAAAGTAGATATCAAAAAGACGGTCAACATCTTCGGGTGTCAAGATCGAGTTGGGATTGTCAACGTCCGCCTGTGGATAACAGTCGTTGGAGTTGAGCAAGAGGCTCTTCCGTCGAGCGGCAATGATATCTCGAAAGTGGGAGAAGGGAGGTGCAGGCGATATTTGCTCCAATACCCGATGTTCGGCGGCGATTTCCTCTTTCTCTTGGCTAATGGTGGGGAATGGGGGGATGCGGGGGGTTGGGGACGACGGCTGGTCGATGGGCGGCGACGAACCTTGTCCAGAGCCTGGCCAACGTCCAGTTAGATCAGTGCATGCAAGGGGTTCATGACCTGTAAGGAAGGCATCGTCACATTGGTGATCCTCCAGCGGGGAACCGACGGCCTCTGACGTCTGTCTCGATCGTCGACGACGAGTGAGCTCCGGCACCGATTGGGTTGACGCTGCAATCTGCCCGTCAGCGAGCTCCAACTGGCCACCCACCTGGCGCAGCAGGCCCTCAATTGATATGAGGCGGCTCTCGAGTCCTTCATATTTCGCAATCACTTCATCGTATTGCTCAGTGAGGTTACGGAGGCTGCCCGTCAGCTGATGGTCGAGAGGTCTTCTTACCGCCCCATGGCTCTCCCACGGCCACTCGGCAGGACAACACAATCCAGACCAAGGCGAGTGCATTTCTGACAGGGAGGGTCACTGATCCCTACACATCGGGTCTCTGGTCTGTCAGCATCAACATGCATGGAGCTATCGATGTCCTCACTTGCTTTTCGGCACTCCACACAAGCGACTGGTGCTATTGAGTCGGGCCGGTCTGAATCGCCATTCGGCCCGCTTTCACGTCGCCGCTTCTGCCCACGGCTGGCACGGTGATTGTCGTCCGATGATGGAGAGTCCATTCTGCGAGCGGGTGGATGAAAGTGAGAGACAGGACAGGGGGCCTAGCAACCCGATAGTGCCCAGTCCCAGGTTGGTTCAGCTGTCGTCAATGTGTCAGGTGGTTTCGGCGGATCGGTGTCTGAGACGCCGGAACGCCGACACGGCCGGGATGACGACATACCTCTAGCGGGAAAACAACAGGAGAATGTCCGGAACAACGTCGGCCCCCCTTCCTCGATGCCATCCTTGGAAGCATGGCCCCTCATTCCGGAGATGGCGTCTGGCTTGGTAACATGAATCAGCCAGCGCAGGACCTGGTGTGCAGTGGTGTGACACGCTCTTGCTGGACTGGGGATCCGGTGGGCGGCTCGCTTACTCAACACACTTGCAGGACCGATGGCTTGGATCGTCGTCCTCGGGCCGATAAATACTCGGCACCCCCTTGGGCCTTTCAGACATTGCGAACGTCAGCATCCTACACTTCACACCTCACCATGGCGAACCAGAAGCCCATCAACGTCGGAATCGTAGGGTACGGTAACTCAGCAAGGGTCTTCCACCTTCCTTACATCACGCGTAACCCGGATCTCAACGTCGTCGCGTTTGTCCAGCGCACACCTGCACCTAAAGCAGGTGACAAGAGCATCCGTCACTGCACCGTCGACTACCCCACTGCCAAGCACTACACTACTGTTGCAGACTTTCTCAAGGACGCAGACGTAGACCTGGTTCTTGTGCTTACTGGGCACGGCGCCCATGCGGAGGTCGCAGAGCAGGCGCTCCTGGCGGGCAAGCACGGTAAATACCGGAATTCGAAAGCGCCGCTGACGGGAATAGTGGTCGTCGAGAAGCCGTTTGTCATCAGCTCCGCCGAGGCTGAGACTGTGCTGGCAGCACGGGACAAGAGTGGAAAGATCCTCAGTGTCTTCCAAAGTGAGCCATACAGGCCCAGACTAAGCAGCTAACGCCAGACCGTCGGTACGACTCGGACTTTCAAACGCTCCTCGATCTCACTCAGCGAAATGCGTTCGGCACAATCACCGAGGCTGAGATCCACTATGACCTGAATCTCCCTGGCTGGATGAGTGGGATGACCAGCCCCGGTTGGAAGCCTGGAGAGGGTATGAACTTTGGCATTGGCTGTCACTCTCTCGACCAAGCTCTCAGGCTGTTTGGCCGCCCCAAGAGCGTGACTGCCTTTTACCGCACGTTGCGCGGTGTCGAGTCCGAGGCCGAAGACTCGTTCACCATGACTTTCCAGTATGCCGACTCGCCCCTCCTCGTACATGTCAAAACACACGTCGCGAGCACGATGCGGTACCCACTCAAGTACTTTGTGCGGGGCTACGACGGGACCTTTATCAAGCATGGCACCGACCAACAAGAAGACCAGACCAACGCGGGATTGACACCTGCGAGCCCCGGGTTTGGCGTCGAGCCCGAGGACATGTATGGCGAGCTCACCACCAAGACCCAGGTGCTCGATTCGCAAGTTCAGGTCGGTAACCTCTGGATCGGCAAAGTCAAGAGCCACGTCGGCGACTATGGCCGTTACTACGCCGATGTGGTCAAGGCGCTTCGTGGAACTGGACCCTTGGTTGTCGACCCGGCCATGTCGGCCGATGGCATCCGGATCATTGAGCTAGCGAGGGAGAGCGCGTACAAGGGTGTCACTCTGCCGTTCTGAAGGGAGTGGTAGCTGGTATTTAACACAGACAGTCAGCGAAATGGATATGTATCGTTGGTATTTGAGATAGCCGCGATCACTGCTGGCATGACACGTGGCAAGGAGGCCGCAGGGGAATGACGCTCGAGGACATGGACCGGATATTGCACGCCCATGCGGCTCGCGAGGAGGTCGCTGCAAAACACGATATCGTATACATACTGGTCATCATTGGCAGTGCGTCAGCCAGCTCCATCGACGAAGGCAAGGGTGACGGCAGGGACGCCCAGGTCTGCATTGACAGTGTGTGAGAGGGCTGTACCAGCGGTGGCAATGAGGGACAGACGTATCGGGATGAAGGAGAATGCAGAGTGAAAAATAAAATACGGGATTTACTAGATTTGATACCGTGTGTGGTCCACACCAACAGGACCCACCTGTAGTGACGAATACGTCGTGAGGAAGGTCGTAGGTAGTAATGGATAAACGTATACATAAAATAGAATAAATAAACCCAGTGGTCAGTGACCTGTCGTGCACATGGTCTGCCTAGGTTCCATCGGTGAGTCCAGGGGCGGAGAAGGAACGGTGTGGCATACTGAGCGAAACCAACCGCGATCGAGGTTTCTGCCAAGACCCCTTTCTGGGTCCCCAGACGCGCTGGGCCCCGACGGTCACGGCGACACGGTAATATAAGAAGGACACTGCTAGGTGGCAATTTCCGTCTACGAGATTGAGGCCGACGTCGATGTGGAGATGGCGGGCGCCCTCGCAGCGCGCAGTCTGTGGCCGTTTAGCCCCAACCACCTACAGTCGTGCCGGGTCCCCGGGTCATTTGGGTCATCGACTCCCAATGCCTGCTGCAGCAGAGGGATGGGCGCCAGAAGGCCAGTAATTCAGATACAGGGCGTGGTGTGTGTGTCGTGCGTCGTCGCGGGATCCGCGCAGGGCTGGAGCGGCAGAGGGGCGCAGAGAGAGACACACACACACTTGTGCGCGCACAAGTGTGCGCACACACACACCTGTGCTGCCCTCTGGCTTCTGGCCGGCCGCCTCTGGTTCACCCCGAGGCCTGTGCCCAGGCCACTGCCTACTTGGCTCCCTAGCCCCGTTGGCCGTGTTTGTCCAGTCCGGTCACCCTCCAGGCATGCACAGGCAGGCCCCCGCTGCAAGCTATATATGCCTGCACAGATGCATCTTGTCTTCTCTCTTCTCTCTCTTCTTCAAAACAGTTTCTTTTCTTACCATGGTCGCGATCACCCCCGCCATGGTCCGTCTTATCAAGACAGACAAGGCCGAGTCGGAGGCCCTCTATGTCTTCGCCGACATTAAGAAGTTCTCGTACTTCGCTATCAAGAAGCAGATCATCGGCTTCGACTTGGACCCCAACAACGGGCAGGTCCTCTTCGACGTTGCCAAGGTCTCGGCCGAGGCCGAGAAGAACATTGCCCCCGCGGGCAACCACCTCGTGAGTTGAACTTTTTTTAACCCAGAACATTGGGAAACTGACCCCCTTAACAGGCCAAGCGCCGTCGTCCCGAGGACGAGGAGGTTGACGAGGAGCACCGCGCTAAGATGCGCCGCATCCACGAGTGGCGTGTGGTAAGCTCCCTCCCCGGCGTGACCGGACTGCGAAACTGCCAACCTTTACAGACTATGGCCAGCATCGAATCGAAGTCTACATATATTAGCATGCCTTGCCTCCTCTTGTATGTACATCCTTCGCAACCTCAAGGTGACCTCTCCAACGACGAAGACAGTTTCCAGGTGGCCAAGGCCTCCGTCACCCAGCACACATGTTGACGATGCAGGCGCGCTCTATGACGACCAACCACGGAAGAAGAAGCCTCCCACACGGGTGGCAAGGCTGCCGATGGTCGCAACGATGCCAGGCTGGTCGACCGCATCGGCCTGGGCCAACGCCTGCTGAACGGCGGGGGCCATGAAAGGGGCCTGGCTATCGTTGTCGACCTCGTCCAGAACCTGGCCAAGGAGGTGAAGCGGCGCCTGATGTTGAGGCCACTGCTCAACAGGCGCATCGGGGTCGGGCTGGAAGACCGCGGGGATCATCTGCGCCGTCATCACAGCCAGGGCGTTATATGGAGGAGGTGGCGAGGGAGAGTTGCGCGAGTACCGGTTAACTGTGTAAGTCGGCAGTGAGGGAGTGGATGGAGTAGGACCAGGCACCCGGCGACGGAGGTGCGGGGGTGGCGCGGAGCGGATGATGGGCTCAAACGGGAACTCGTAGCGAGGGGCAGGCGACTGAGGACCGTCGGCAACGGGCTCTGCAGCGACAGCGGCAGAGGTGGAGATGGCGGTGGTCGAAGCGACCGGCGCGGGCTCAGCAGGCTGGACAAGCTCCACCGCACGCTCTGGCTCGACCAGCATGTCGGGCGGGGGTGCCTGAGCACGGTGCTGTAGCTCGAGCTCACGGCGAGCGGCAGCGGCTGAGGTGGAAACGGCGGCTGTGAAAGCGACTGGCGCGGGCTGAGCAGGCTGGACGGGATCCATCGCACGCTCTGGCTCGCCAGGCATCTCAGGAGGAGGCGACCGGCCACGGTGGAGGTAGTCCAGCAGACTGCGATCGCGCTGGGCAGGACGAGTGTAGGGGTGAGGTTGCGTAACGTGACCGTTGGCGGTGCGAATGACATGCAGTGGCGCAATGTGGTGGTTGGCGCTTGGAATGACAGTGTGACGCTGGTGGGTGCGGTGGGCCTTGGCTGGAATCCCTCCAGTGCGCAACTGAAGTTGGCGACGAGCAGACCAGGCGTTCGCAAATTGTTGAGCCTCGGCCGCACGGGCTTGTTCGATTTCCTGGGCACGGCGCTGATCCTCTTCCAGACGTTGAAGGGCTTCCATTTCCTCACGCGCACGGTTGGCGGCCATAATCGCTGCACGAATACGCTCGACCTTCTCGGCCGCCCGGACAGCCGCAGCCCTGCGGTCGGCACGATTCTGAGCGAGAGTCCGCTCAACCGAATTGGCATATTCGGCCATTTCTTCTTGACGGAGGGCCGCTCGACGAGCAAGACGGTCCATGCTTTCGTCGTCCGTGTGCCTGGTGAAGCCGGGTTCCGGAGTGGGCCGCTTCTGTCCGCCACGGAGACTTTCATGCTCCACAAGCTCAACGTCTAGCATGTCGACGTCGTGGTTGTCTGGGTTGCAGCGATCTGCAGGGGATAACGTTGCCCAGTGCGCATTGCCGCGATGCTCGTCCCACTTGTTCTTCCATTTGAGGTAGCCCTCACGCACGCGCTTAGCAACACGGCGCTTGTCGGCTTCCTCGGCCCATTGCGCTCCAGTGACAACACTGTTGATACGAAGCACATCGTGCTTGGGTGGGGTGCCGAGTTGGCCTGCGGGGACGGGTCGGACACGGTCCAATAATTTGCTGAACTCGGATGGGCCGCGACGGCGTGCGGAAGACACTGGGGCGAGGGGTTTATTGTCATCTGCCTTGCGCTGCGGAGCCAGCCATGATTGAACAGGGAGACTGGGAGACGCATGGACCAGGTCATCGAACTCAGGAGCCTCGTCGATAACCATGGGACTGAATGGAGTCACCACCATGTCCTCGACGATGTCTTCCTGGGCCTTGCGCTTACGCATCGGTGTCCTGGGTGCGACAGTGGGTGGAGGACTGTTGGCGATGGGAGTGGACGAAGACATCCACTTCGATGAGAATTGCTTGGATGGCGAGGTGTCTTGAGCGTGTTCATCGATGAAGTGAACCTCCGTGGCCGCGTCGACATTGGCCTCATCGGGGAGACGAGCAGCAGAGGTGGCGGGAATGGACGCCTCGTTGGGTACGATGACAAGACCGAATTGGGCCGCCAGGGTAGCCATCACGGTCTGAGGGTTGCCCTTGATCTTGACGCGCGTCGATCCAACGGTGACAACCACACAATCGTCATTGTCGTCGCTGTGGGCCTGGTCGCCAGCAGCGCGGGAGCCACGGGGTTGGGAGGGGCCAGCAAGAGAAAACCTGGATGGAAAACGCTGGCGCAAAGGGCTGTCGATATCCGATTCGCCTTCCGAGCTCATGGGCTCTGGAGACGATGTGGCATAGCCCTGCCTGTAGCGAGTCAGGCGGCGAGAAGAAGGGACATTGAGGGAACGGGGGAGAGCACGCCCCTTGCCCTTGCTCTGTGTCGGGGAGGGGAATTCCATGGCGATAGAGGGAGTGCCCATGGTGTTGGAGTCGGTGTCCATGATGATGGAGTTGGACACATTCTTCTCATCCTCCTCGGTGTCAGTAGGTTCTTCGTCCTAGAGCGCGTCAGTACTGAGACAATCGAATGGACTACTCACGATACTGTGACGGTTGCCGGTCGTCGTGCCAATGGAGCTGTTGGATGCAAGGCGGCTTGCACGACCCTTGCCTTTGTTCTTTGGAGAATCGGTGTGCATAGAGAGATGGTCCATGACGATAGAGTTGGAAACAGTCTTCTCATCGTTCTCGGTGTCAGAGGACTCTTCGCTCTATAGGGTCAGCATTGACATATCGGAATCAACTACTCACAATACCGAGGCCGCCAGCTTTCATCACAATAGAGCTGTTGGACGCAAGACGGGAAACTCCTGCGCTGAAACCGATTGGCTGACAAGTTAGCCACAGTCATGCATCCGTCCACTTACATGGTGACGATAGTTGCGACCATACATCTGGCCGCTGGCCCTGCGCTTGTGGTGGCGGAACGCATCGGCGTTAGACCTGGGTGCAACTGTGCTCGAGTTGCTGGGAATTGGGGTCATCTTGGCGCGCACAACGCGGTAGTTGACAGCATTCTCGACGTCAGAGAGCGTCGACTGGGCGTCGCTATCGCTCTCCCCGTCGGCTTCAGAGTCTGAGGACTGTGTGGGTTCACGGTACGAGAAGTGAGGATGCTTGGTGTCACGGGGGAAGCGCAGTCTCAGGCCTGTATTCTGGTGGGGCCCGGGGGATGGGTGGGACGTGGGCGAGACGCGGACGCGCCCGCTACGTGACATGGTGGAGGCTGTGAGGGAGGGTGGGTTTGTTTAACAAAAAGGACTGGTGGAGGGAAGAGGATGGAGGATGATGGTTGGCGAAGGGTGGAAGGGTGGAAGGTTGAATGGTGGATGGTGGATGGAGTGGTTGCAAGGTGCGAAGATGGGTTGACTGGACTGTTGAACGTGAGTCTGGCCCCGTGGTTGACTGGACTATGTAGCCTCCGTGCTGAGAGCGTGGTCGGCCGCGTCCTGGACGTCCTGGGTGGTGAATGGCAAAATCAGGGAGAGAGTGGGGGGGGGGGGGAACGCCAGGGGCCAGGGGGCTCACTTCTTGCCTCCACCAGAAGTCACATTGGGGGGAGACGATCTTTGATTCTTTTCGCTGCACATCCTCGCCGCCAGTCGGCGATTGCTACGTGTACGGGGCGGCCCTATTGTGTGTGAAAGCTTTGATGGCTGCTCGCGATTGTTCTGCAAAGACGAACATGCTTGTTTTCATTCATGCACAGAACGGAGGAATCGCGGTGTGCATGCCAGACAATTGAGACAGCTCGAGACAGGTGGCCAGAGATCCAGAGATATGACGTTCGTGGATCCGTGTCCTGGCACTTGCCGTTTCCGGCGATTCACTTTCGAACGCGTATGCCGCAAGAGGAAGGATGGCGCCGCTAGCGTCCAGGGCACATGTCGGGCACGTGACCCGACCTCCACCGGAGGGGTCCACCACATGTCAACCCACATTTTGCAAAAAGCACTGTGCAACTGTGCACTGTGAACAGAACATGCAGAGACGGACGTGTGCAGACCGACAGTAGGCCAGGTACCCGGATGGACCGAGAAGTGTGTGTGTTTGCTGCGGGACCGCAGGTTGGCGTCCTCCACACCTACGGGTTGGCCGCGGGTTGACGGCGAATGCCGTCTGGGGACGAGGTAATTTGCAGAGGTGACACGGCCATGAGGTGTGGTTGTTGACATCGGCTAGACAGCTGTAGGACTTCCACCGCGGCGGAAGAGGGTGTCCGGCCTGTACCTCGGCAGTCACAGAAGAGCAGATGGTTTTATCTGCATGCGCCACAGGCCACGGGGGAAGGGACCTGTGTATTAGATTTGTGGGGAGGATCAACAGTGCGCAGTGAGACAAGGCCAGTAGACACTCCAAGTTTGGGGCACGGATATTCACCGAATTCACATTCATGCATTCCTTATTTACCACCCGCAAGTCAGAGTTGGAGGGGGGAACTACAACAACAAGATTCCTGCTCCTACGTGCTGATGCGGCAGCTGTTGCAGTTGGCTGTGGCGTTGTTGTGGGCAACGCCGTGAGGGAGCCTGGCTGGTGGGAGTAACCTCAGGGACGAGGGAAGGCGGCTGATCTTGTGATTCAATGCGCTTCGCCGTCTTGGGGCGCTTGGAGACGGGCGCGAAGAACTAGTCGACGACGTGGCTGAGAACGAATGACTTGGAAGGAATCTTCTGCAACAGGTGTCAGTATCGCACTTTTATGGATTCAAGTGGACGAGAGCTCACGAAATGACGGTAAACCTCCTGTCCCTCGACATCAGCCATTTCGGCGCACTTGCGCTTGCCACCGATGATTGGGCCGGTGTCAAGGCCACGGCCGAAGCGGGCCTTCTGGAGCGGCGCCTGGTGTTCATGCCACTGCTCAACAGGTGCATCAGGGTCGCGCTGGAAGACCGGGGGGATAATTTGCGCAGTCATCGCGGCCACGGAGGCGCGTTGTTGCACGGAGGCGGTAGCGAGAGAGTTACGGTTGGAACTGGCGGCTGTTGCGTGCTTGACGGCTTCATGAATTCATGCTTCACAGTAGTCCCTTGTTTGACATGTATGGCAGTGTGTGCGCCTTCCACATGGAAAACTTGGGCGCAGCCGTCGTCGAACATTCGCAGTACTCTGGCAACCACCGAGAATTGGGTTTCCAGCGCCATGATGAAGTAACTCAAAGTTTCCTGCAGTAGTGAGTAACAGGCCGGCTTGGCCTGTGCCACTCACGAGTTGCTCCGAATGCTTCTGTTCCCAGGCTGAGAGCTCGGCAAGGGCGTTGTCAACGCGATCACTGAGCTGGCCGGCCTGCGCATCAACAACGCACAGTATCAATATACAATGGCTCGTCCAAACCTACTGGCTGATTTATCTTTCTCATCCTGTTGCGTAGGCTTGGCGACGAGGAAGATACTTCAACGATGACAGGTTATGTTACAATGGTAGTATGTGCATGAACAAAACATCGTTTAGAGAAAGTCGCCTCGCCCGAGTGCCACATTGGCCGCGGGTTTTCCTGTCCCTGTTCTCAGTCACGTGACTGGTCCCCCCCACCGCCCACGGCCAGTACGCCGCTCCTTGCAGTGTTGTCCCGTGGCTAGTGAGCGATTGCCTATCCTCGACCCTCGAGTCAAGATCACACGGCCCCGCGCCCACTCCCTCTCGTACACTCTCCCGCCTAGTTTTGTCTTAACGCAAACGCGTAGCAGTTCTCGAGCCTGGCCCGATTCCTGACACACACACGCACACACCACAATATCCGCAGAGGTAAAATCTCATAACAGAGTAACTTTTGCCTTGCACAAAGGGGCGACCCCACCGTGTCCACGCTCGTTTATATGTAGAACCAATAAAGCGCCGCATACGGCACTGACACCGTCTGCCCCCTCTGACAGCGACTGGGCGGTGCCACCCCGCCCACGGTGTCTGTGCGGAAAGCGGTGGTGCCGAAATCGAAGTCGCCATCGATGGCCGCTAGCTCCAGCCAAGGGACCGCAGTGGCAGACTGGGGTGCTGGAAATGATGCATTGACGGAAAGCACGACGAAGAAACCGGTGCCCGGATCGAGGAATTGAGGGAACGTGCCAGCTCCACCGGCAGGATTGGGACTGGGTCATAGTTGTCAGACCAGTCCGCGTAATCGCATGGCGGTCACTCACACAAACTGATGCTCAAGTGCTAGCTGGGGGATGGCACCGATCTGCGGGAACCGGATGTTTTCAAGCGCCAGAGCGGGCAGACTAGCCGCTAGCTGGCTGGTGGGAATCAGGCTTTGCCCAGTGAGGAAACAGCCGACATCGTACAAGCTGGAGCTGTCAATCACGGCTCACGGCACTAGCACAGCTCGACTCACTTGGCGCGGGTACCGTTGCTCACGAATGTGCGGCGTGAGCATGTATAGTCCTGCACGCCACGGCCGACTGTGACAAAATTGAGCGTCTTGTTGGTAGGTAGCCCCAACACCGTCTGGTTGGCTGGGAAGATGGGGGCCGCGTCGCCGGCAGGACACAGGTCCTTGACCCAACGTGCAGTGGCGGTGACGACGAAGAGGATGGTGATGAGAAAGATGCGCATGGTACTCATTGCAGCAACCGCTTCTTGGAGTGCTCCAGGTGCCCTTTGTATGTTCTCAAGTCTCGCGCGTTGTCGACGTCATAAGTGAACGCTGACACTGCAAAGCTTGGCTCACCGCCACACTCTGTGACACCAATCCGTTTACCACTGCATTCCAAAGTCCCATGCCTCATTATCTAGGCGAAATCCAGTCCATATGCATCGCAATGAGTACTGGCGGGGATCTGGGGTCCACGGTATCGGATCTGCACAATGATGAAAATATTGAAAAAATGATGGAAAATCGGAGTGATCGTCCCCTGGTTGTGGCACGCATGTACACAAACCTCGCAGGCGCAGCTCCAGATAGCACGACTGCGTCAGCCCTGTTTGTGATTTCCATGTCGTTGTGTCATCCTCGCCTTACACCCAAGTTCGTAGGTTTACCGCCTTCGATCCTTTCCCTGCACTGAGCCAACTGTCGGACACTCACAGCCACCGATCTCGTCCGATGTCCTGCATCCGTTGGATATCCGTTTCGTTCTCTATTGGAGGAATCGCCACTCATTCAGAGACCACCATCTAGTTGGCTAGGAGTCAACACACATAGCCGGGCAGGGGCAGATGTGAATCTGAGATCCCATCTGGTTTGTAAGATCTCGAGGTGCTCGACGAGTGCATGGATCTGAAAACTGAGCGGTTGACTAGGGAAGCTGTCCATGCCAAGTGAGTACACACAGACGCGTCATGATATCATCTATGAGAAAATTGGCCGGGTGGTCATCATCACTCGTGGTTGAGCTCACCCGGACATCTGACTTGGGCCAGAGTAAGAGCCGAAGGTTTGTGGAAATGTTAAATCCTCAATATTTGTCGTTGGGGGAGTTTTTACATAGAACCGCCGTTCTGGGGGTTGCGTCTTGTCTGCCCTGGTCACAGCTCTTTTGTCTACCACCGCGGTGGGTAAAGTTTGTACATGATGTCCAGATCCAGGTGCAGTCCAGAAGCGGCGGCTCAAACTCATTCATTTTGGTACATGATCTTATTCTCTTTGTGACTTCGGACAAGCTCCTCCAGTGCATAGCTCAGATTAGCAAGAGAGCGCGTTACACTTCTTGCACGAGTTGCGAGGGCCGTAGACACAGGTAGTGTGGCCGTCGGTAGAGCACTGGTAAACAAGACCACGGGTGCAGCCAAGGACGCCGTCACCGCAGAAGAGTCCAGCCTTAAGACCAGAACAGTTGCAAGGCGTGTTGTAAGAACAAGCGCGCTGTAGAGCGTAAGTTATACGATGTATATCTAAAGGTTGCTGCATTATCTCGGTTTTCTCACCTTCATGACATCCGCGTTAGACATGTCGTCCAGAGAGCGCATGGTGTGACCCTCCTCGACGACCCCGGCGTCACGAGATCCAATACGGGCAGCGGCACCTGCGCGGATCTCCTCGGGTGTGAAAGGGACAGCAACGACGAGGCTGGCGAGGGTGATGGCAATGAGAGCGAACTAACTGTCAGTAACGTCCAGAGCCAGGGGTGGTGTACTGACCTTCATGTTGGTGTTTGTTGATGAACCGTGTTGAAAGTGGGAGGTCAGAAGTGAGTGAGGACTCGATGGGAGGGTTTCTTGCGCGGCTCCATTGTGGCCTTATATCTCTAATTGTGCTCTGTCGTTTCCCACGGTTAAGTATGCTCCACTGCTGATTATGCCTCTTGCGACTCGCTGCTATTCGATTCTGAGAAGGGAAGCATGAGAGGAAGAGAGAAAAGTGTTCGTGACGGTACGGCACCACTCGGAGACAAGGGAAAGGCCCATCACTCGAGGTGTCACAACAGAGGCTCTGCGTATCCCTGCTGATGCATCCCACTCCCCGTTCTCCAAGTGTTTGAAGGAGATATGGTTCTTAACGCGGTCGCCTCATGCCGGTAGTGGTTGTAAACGTGGTTCTCACGGGTCGGTAGGACCAAGGCAGTGCATTGACACCTTCAGCTATGAAGGTCAAAGAACAGGCTCCAGCAACATCGTAAACCTAGGTCCTTGAACGGTTACTTCTAGGTTGTCCCGTGGCCGAAGGCCTTATTGCCAGTTACGCCGGCTGAGGGTGTGTCTGTTCCTTGGATTCTTGGAAATACTGGCGGTTTCTGGAGAGTATCAATGGTCCTCGTTGCTCGGAGATGAACAGACTTCCCCTGTCCTGTCAAGTTACTGCAGCTGTGTCAATGTCGACTGGAAGGAAGTGAAGGATATCGGCAATTGTATGTGTCCTTACGTGAGGAGGAAGCCCAATCCCGCCTTGCCTGTTTCTCGTCTCCGCTGAAAGCGGAGGCGCGTCGTAAACGGACGTGACTAAATCTACGTCACATAGCTCCAAGGTACTGATGGGTGGGAAGTTCTTCGCACCATCCTGACCCCAGTCCCTCGTTTCGTCGCGTGAGCATGTGTTAACCTTAAGAGCCTAATTAACAGAACCGTAGTTGCCTGTCCCGGTAACCCCTGGGGGGAGCAATTGAATTATGCGTCTTTTACGTCGTGTTGGGGCAGGACGCCATCGCCTTGCAACAGACTCGCGGCTTCCATTCGCATCTTCGGTACGACCCTCTTTTCCCCGTACAACTCCGCTCTGATTTCATATGCCTCACAGTGAAGATGGGCGGTGAGAGGAGGCGGATAGGCTGTCGGGGTGGATAGTCGGAATGCAAGAGTATTGCAACGCTTGATACGTGCGAGTCCACTGCCTCGGCATTTCTGCGACCAAGTGCTCAACACCGACTGGAATCTCCCTCACAACCAGGCCCAAACACCGTAAACCGAAACTCACCCCCAGACAAGTGTTCTGGAATTCCAAAACACAAGCGGGATCCGGCTAGACGCAGGCACGCCTTCCTCTGCCAAACCCCCACCAATATTGCAAGATACCAACGGTAGGGCTTGGCTCGTGATTCCAGCGTCAGACTGTGGGTTCCACTGGCCTGCCGTACAGAGAAGCCAGCGATCAACGATGCACAGCTCACCACATACGGCGCCAATGGTAGACGCACGGCAGCTGGGCGGACCCGTTTTTGCGGCACACAAACTGTTATTCGCCAGAAACATTGTGCACCTCGTTACGTCAAGACAGCACTCGCGAGCTTGGGCACAGAACAATCACACACGGGATAGCTGTGGATCTTCCCCCAAGCGTGAGCGGGACTCTTTACGCGGCCTTGAGGTACTGCGGAGAATGAGGGTCGTAGCATGTTGGTCAAGGAGCGCCTCCGCTTAAACCCTTGCTCCAAAGCCTTGCAGATCTGGCCGTCGCTGTTGTAGGACAAGGCAAGCAATATCCCCGTTTCTCACTCAAACTGGATGACTTGTGGCATAATTGGGAAGCTCCCCGCCTCTGTGCTACGCAGACTCATTCTCTTTATTGTCTGTCTATTGACCGCTGCAACTGCTACGCAGAACTCTAGGCAGCCTAGGGAGTACTGTACGTCTCCACTTCATAGTACTGCAGAAAGTACTGGCGGCAAAGATTGTATGGGTTAGAGAGTGAAAGGAAAAGAGAGATACACGGCTACAGCAATGTTCGGTGGCTGATTCATGGTAGCGCTTGGGGGGTGCGGGCAGCGGAGATGGAGATCAGTTGAACTCCGTCACTGCCGTCAGCGGATCAACGGTCGTGTTTGCGGAGCCATGAACCTGGTTCGATTCTTGATCTTGTCCCAATATATAAAAAGTTATATTGGGCCCCGGGAGCTCAAAACTCCGCTGTGGACGTCTTCCTGAATCACCAGCTAGGGCCTTGATGGTCTCCTCAGCTCAAGTCCCCTAAGGCAAAAGAAGAAATGAAAGAAAAATAGAAGCAGCACACACAGATCACAGAGATCACAGAGGTTGTGTGTCTTTTTACTTTTTGGCGTCGTTTGAAGCTGGGTCAAAGTACCATCGCCCGCTCGCGCTTCGAATTCATCAGAGTAACTAATGTATCAATACAACAGAGCGTCGGATCGAAGTGGTTAACCTATGTACTGCCGCAGACAGACTGTGTGTCCACACGGACGTGACGAGCGACCCATGCCCAGTACTGCGCATAATGCCTATGCAAGGACAACAAGGTGCGTTCATCAAATGTCGGCACATCTGGCCAGGCGCCATGGGACGCCGACACGCCAATACGCCGAGTGTTGTGTTGTGGGTATGGCAGGCTGGACACGGACAGTCCCGTGGCGCGGGGGGGGAGGGGGGAGGGGTGGGGACAGGTAGCCATGGCCGGCTGCTGGACAATATGTGGCCTGTGGGATGGCAGTAGGGAGCTGGCCCGAGCTGGCGCGTGGGAGGGAGCCGCATTGACCCACTGATGCACTGATGCATTCACTTGCGACTGGCTCAAAAAAGCCGCAAACGGTGTGCTTTCTGGAGCACAGTTCAGCGAGTAAGGGATGAAGTCGAGGACGCCGTACGCCACCCTTCTTCCTTCGGTGAACCAGGCCCCAGGAACAGAAAAGCCCCTCCCAGACCCAGCAGCCTATCCAATCCAACGACGAGGCAGAAGTCTATGTATCTATGGATCTATGGATCTATGGAGCTGGTAGACGTGGCCACGGCGTTGTCCGTTACCAACAGGGGCAGGCGGCCAAATGGTTCTCCACAAGTCGTGTCGCGTGTCGCGTGTTTGCTATTGACCGTAAGCGGTATGTGGGAGTTTAACTGATCAAACAGGACGGTGGCGGTCAGTTTCCCGTGATTCCTGGGTCCCGCGACCCTACGCAGCCGCTCAGCTCGGGACGCCAAGACGAGCCATGCCATTGGCGAGGATGCTCTTGCAGTGCTGCGTCTGCCAGTATTGAGGACCATGCTAGCTGCACTTTGAGCGTTGCTAGCCAAATGGCAGGCTGGGCAGGGTGACGTTGAGCTCACCCGCCCGGTCGAATCTTGCGGACATGTGCAGGTCATGGTTTTCGGGAGTGGGCGGTGGGCGTCTGTGCCCCATGCAGATACCCGTATGTGGCATCCTGATACGGAAAGATATGGCCATCGTCTCAGAGTGGACGAGACGAGTGATGCGGAGGGGCCACAGGGCCAGGGAGCTCGAGGAGCTCGCAGGATCGCAGGAGAAGCACGAGCAGTGCTGCTCGGCCGATGACTGGCGTGAGACGGACGATTGATGGGACGTGGGGACAGCGACACATTGCCTCACAAGCCACCATCGACCCGAAGCCGGGGCCCATGGCGGCAGACGCCCATCATCGGCATGGGGGACACAACATGTACAACGTCGAGCGCGCACGAGGGCCCGGCGGCCCAGGTTAAAAGTAAAGACGCAAAGAAGAGAACACAAACGCGCACACATGACCTCGTCTCCCTCATAGGATCATAGGCCGAACCTACCTCCCCATCAATACTTCCCCATCCCCATGATCCGCATCCAGCAGCGCACCTTGCCACCCGCAGGCAGCGTATCCCAGACGAATGCCAGCGCTCTCCAGGTTGCCCTCCAACAGGCCATTGGCAAGTCCATCAGTCGTACAACAACCATCATGTCTTCCCAGGCAGCCTCGACTTCTGCATCGGCCACGAGCAGCAGCATGGCGTCGTCTGCCCAGGACGCGACGCAGGACGCGTCTCCTGCGACACCTGGCACAGTCACCCTACCACGAAAGAGTCGCGCCGAGCGGTCGCTTCTCTCCGTACTGGAGCGGGAGCGTCGCATACCCGTGACCAGTCCGCCACCGTCCACCGCCGTTGTCACCATGGTCCGCCCGCACCCATATGCGTCCCCGCAGCAGCAGCAGACCACCGCTTCCTCAGCCAGTGCCACAGCTTCATCGTTAGCCGCCGACGCAGCACGACCTCGGGAGCCGCCGCCCATCACGCCGTCACCCACCATGTCGCGCACGAGTACGCGATCACGCACCGGATCGCGATCCAGCAGTCGCGTCGGCGTGCGGTCCCGCGCTGCATCGCCTGCCTCAGTCAACACCGGCGGCGTACGCGAGCGCGGCGAGGTTGACCTGTCGACTCTGGTACAGCGAAGCATCGCGTTCCAGAGCAGCAGCCCTCCACCGCCAACACCGCCTGCCTCGCCACCCCAATGCGCACGCCGCCCACACTTTTCGACCTCGCCTACCACCGCTCGTACGACCCAGTTTGAACCATGCGACAGCAGCACGAGCCATAGCTCGGAATCCGACCAGCCGGCCCACCGCAATCGTCACCTAACGTTGACTCAGCGGCTGCCGAGTCCATGTCGCTCACCAACGCCGGAACGTGAACCGCGGAATCGCCATCGCCCGTCGAGCAGTATCCCGTCCTCACCGCAACAGTTAACCGCAACACCATCGGCTGCGTCGTCCCCCCGCCTCCAGCCCGTTGCAGTCGTCGCTGCGGTTCCAGCCTCCCTGGTCCCCATTCCAGCGCCAGCCAGTGCTCGCCACGAGTTAGCGGCGGGCGCAGCAGCGATGACGCTCATAGGGCAAATGCAATCGAGCCCGACTGGTGGTCTGAACGCCGTGGCTGTCGGGTATCCGCGCGCAACGACCCTTCCAGTCCCTCTCCCTACCATCTCCGCCACCCCAGCCGGCGTTTCCTTTCCCATTAACACGTACCCTCAGACGACAATGCGCATACCGACTGTCCAGCCCGGTATCCTTGCCCCATCACCAGTTGTGGCACGCCCCTCATCAAGTACCCAGCTCCTCTCGCCCACCTCTTCACGCTCAAAAGGGCGTCGCCAGCGCACCGTCTCTCCAGCCCCTCGTCCCATCTCTGGACCCCTCCTGATCCCAACCGACGATGCGATGGATGTAGATATGGGCTTTGACCTCGAACGTGCTTCAAGACAGCTACGGAACCAGCCTGGTCGGGTGTGCTTCGACGAAGTGGCGCTCTTCCCGCCCGACTACGACGAGACAGAGTCTGCCGACGCCGATGCCGATGGCGAGGACGAGGACGACGCACGTGATGGGTCGAGGAAGCGGCCTCGCATGGCATCGAGGCGGTGGAGTCTGTGGTAGAACTCCGGCCACAGTGCTCGCCGGGTCCATCTATTCCCCAGAGTGCGGTGACAGCGTCATTGCTCGCAAGCCCCGCGCGTTGGTCTCTGGGATGCCTGTCTGTACTCAGAGTCAGCACACATTCCTGAACACCACACATTCCTGAACACCAGCTCTGGCCTCCCTGGCCTGCACCCAGCCACCTTGACGCTGCCCTCATCGCCACTCTGTCTGTGCCGGCCCATACACATCTCACGGCCTGCAGCCCATGCCGCGTTGTACCACCAGTTCTTATTAACGAACCGAACCATTTCCCCAACGACCTCATCTGAATCCGAACCAGAATCAATCTTCACACGACCACACATCCGCACGTCGTTATCCGAACCGGGGGCGCGGTGGGATGCGGCACGATACCCATTCCATTCTCATGTGGCGGCAGAAGAGTAGGATCCTCTCAGACGCCGTCACTGGGGCCTTGTTTGTCACATCCCCGACGACCCCACCTAGACTCTCCTGTCTCCCATGTCTTCCCATGTTCACATCAATGACTTTGGCGACCACCATGCCCGCATCCCATGGCGTGCATTACATCTCCCTTCTCGACCCCACCCTCGTTCTCGTCTGTCCTCTCACACCGCAAACGCCACGCCTTTCACGAAACCCACGATGCCACGAATTGCCCCTTCCCTCCCACCCAGGAAACAGACGACCCATAGCATCACACATTGCCTCCGTACGTCGATTGTTGTATGATGGATGTATATCACTGTGCATTGTATGTTCCATGGGGGGGGGGTTCGTTGGTAGGCGTTATGTCGGGCATATGGTGCTCAATCCGGAAAGTGGCTCTTTGGACACAGAATGAATAACAATATCGGCCGCTCTGTGGCCCTCCGCTCCGTCCCCTCTCAGCAGGACTGGCAAGAAGCCCCACATTGATTGACCAAGACAGAGTATCGGCATTCAGCACACATGGTCAGCTCTTGCTGCACGACAAAGAAGCAAAGGTGCGGGAAGGAGCCGACGCCGGGAGTGGGTGGCCAGTCCTGGCGCGGTGGAACATTTCGGTCCCATGACGACGTCAGTATCTGCCCTAAAAATATGTCCCTTGTCTGCACTGGGTTGGGTTAGTCACCACCTCGCGGCGTCAGCTGTGAGGCGTGGCTCAACCGTTCCCGGTCGTACATAGGTTGCATCACCAATGCTCTAAAGACATGAAACGATGAGTCTATCATGGCGACGTGGTCACAGGGTATACGGTGGCAAGCGAGATGAAGAGGGTCGTGTGGGTGGGTGGTGGGTGGTAGCACCGTGCGTGTTTTTAAAAGGGTTTGCGTCCCAAGTTCGCGTGGTGCGTCGTTTACTGCTGAGCGCACTGGACACCGGGGCGGTCCTCGTCGTCCTCGTCCATGTCGTCGCCGTTCGAGTTGGCGGTACGGCGCTGGCGGTCGTTGGGCTCCTCGAGAGTGACCTCGTCGAGGTGGATCTTGGCGTCGTACTTGGGGAGAGCAGGACGGGTAGGAAGAGCCTTCTCGAGGAGGGGGAACGACTCGGGTCCAAGAGTCTCGGGGAAGATGACGTTGAGGCGGACAAAGAGGTCACCCATCTCGTGGTGGCGGAACGAAGGCATACCCTGGGACGAGATGCACTTCATGGCTCCGGGCTTGATGATCTCGCCAGGAACGATGGTGACGTGGAGAGCGCGCTCGTCGAGGTGGGGGATGGTGAACTCGCCGCCGGCAAGGGCGGTGAGAAGGTCGATGTCCTGCTCGCAGAAGAGGTCGTCGCCCTTGCGCTGGAAACGCTCGTGGGGCTTCTCCTCAATCACGATAACGACATCGCCAGGGATGACACCTGGAGCCTGGTCCGACTCGCCCTGGAACTTGATCTGCTGGCCCGACTTCATGCCCTTGTCGATGTGGACCTCGAGGACCTTGCGCTCCGAAATGACCTTCTTGCCGTTACAGGTCTTGCACCTGTCCTTGGGGTTCATGATCTCGCCGGTACCCTCACACTCGTTACAGGGCTGCTGGATCTGCTGCATCATGGGGCCGAGCTGGCGGAACATGACCTTGAAGCCCTGGCCACGGCATGACGTGCAGGTGTGGACAGCGCCCTTCTTGCCGCCGCGGCCGTCACAGCCCTTGCAGAGCACCGACTTGGACAGAGCAAGCTTCTGCACCTTGCCCTTGTACAGGTCCTCGAGCGAAACGACGATGCGGTGAACGAGGTCCTTTCCGCGACGGGGACCAGATGGGCGACCACCTGAGGTGTGTGTCAGAAACATACGCCGTTAGGTAGGGGCTCTGTCATGAACTCACCACCGCCAAAGAAACCACCACCGCCGCCGCCGAAGAGCTGGCTGAACAGGTCCTGAGGGTCCATGCCGCCCATACCGCCAGCGCCGCCCTCAAGGCCCTCCTTGCCGGCCTGGTCGTAGATTGACCTCTTGTTGCCGTCCGAAAGCACCTCGTAACTGTGAACGAACAGTCAGTTACCTGACCTTGCCGGGAGCCGAAACGGTTTGTCACTTACGCGTGGGTCAGCTCCTTGAAGAGCTCGGGGTCACCGCCCTTGTCCGGGTGGTGCTTGAGGGCGTTCTTGCGGTACGCCTTCTTGATCTCATCGTCACCAGCCGAAGGGTTCACACCCAAAAGGTCGCTGCGAAGGAGAGCGAAAGCAACGAGAGAGGAAAGGGAGAGAGAGGAAAGGGAGAGAGAGGAAAGGGAGAGAGAGGAAAGGGAGAGAGAGGAAAGGGAGAGAGAGGAAAGGGAGGGAGAGAGTCGAGTTTGAGACGAGAAGAGGAGCTTGGTCAGCTCTAGTGCTCACGGGTTCCACTTTCACAAGTCCGGGCAAGCTCACTAGTACTCGCTGTTGTGCGCATCAGGTCATGTGCAAGTGTGTGGAGCATGTTGCAAGAGCATAGATGCAAACCGTGAGTTGAGGAAAGGAAGGCGGCGGCGTCAGCATCATGGATTTGGGGTGGCCTGGCTTGCTGTGATGGCAAAAGGAGTGGTCGGGACGAGGCGCGTGCACAATGTTCGGCGCGCACAGCAGTCGAAGGGGGTTGTGCACATGCACCGTCGAGTTGTATGTGATGACCGCAAGAGCCAGTTGTGTCTACTCACGTCTCCTTAACCATGACGAAGGGTGGTTGGTGGTTGTTGGGTGTTGATTAGTTGAGAGGAGAGGAGAATTGGATGTAGGAAATGGGAATTTTAGAAGCAAGGGGTTGCCGCCGCGACTGCCCCGACCGGACTGCCAGCAAAGGACGTGCCGCCCGCGCGCGGCAGGGAGCAGGCCGAGCAGGGGGAGAGGCAAGAGGAACTGGGGCCGTCACGGCGCAGAAAAGATGCCTCCGGCAGCAGCGATGCGAGAATGCTGTTCTCTCTTGCCACCCGCCTGACTAATCCAATTGAGCACACTGCATCTTGGTGGAAAACGCATAACGCGACGCTGGACGATGCATGTGCCATTCGTAGTGTGCATCTCAACAGAGTCGGGCTTGCGCGGCGTGGCTGTGACGAAGGGCAGCGAATTCTCCAGCAGCTTCGACGCCACCCAAATAGGCGGCGACACGACGGCGGAACTAAATTTCGGCACGGTGGTCGCCGGCGGCCTTGGGGCGGGGAGACCACGTGTATTTAATTCCGCGACCGCCGCTGTTTAAATATACCGTCCCCCCTTTTAATGTGTTGGGCCGATTGTTGTTGCGTCCGCCAGCGGCCAGCGAACTCCAGTCGACACACAATCCAGCATCCATCACCCAACTCCCGTCCCTCCTGACTCCTCACTCATCGTTACTGTTCCTAGCTCCAACCAGGCTCTTGCCCCCCGACAGACCCTTCCAATCTACACATTATTACCGTATATGGCGCCCACTACAAGGGCATCACGCCCAGTCAAGCCAGGTTCGTTTGAACAAACAATCCCAACGAGAACGACAAAGTACAGTGGCTAACGAACGTCCAGAGGTAGACACGGTGGACAACGTGTTGGAGAAGCTGGCCCAGACGGCGAAGTTTGAGTGAGTACTGGATGCAGACGTGCAGGTCGCTCTCAGGCCGTGCGTCGGCCACACACCGCCGATGTTGCTCACACGACACAGCTGCGACTGGCCGACACTCCGACACCACTTTTACCTCGCGCTCCTCGCTGCTCTACCTCTCTTCCTCGAACTAGGCCCCCCAGTGTCCTTGGCAGGAAGGGTACCTGTGGTTGCTGCTGAATCCACACCACCGCGCACAGGACCCCGTCCCGGACCGAGTGGCGCAAGCAGCGGCAGTGCGAGCAGCGATGCGCTCCTCCTCTCCCCCGGCCGTGGCGGCTGGTCTGATGGCGAGGGTTCAGGGGGTCTCACCCCTCCTCGGGATGACGCGGCTGACGCATCTCTTCGGCCATCCACGCAGGGTGGGCTTGTCATTCTTCCCTTCCCTCCTCTCGACTCTGGACGGAGACGCCGGTCCATGTCCGGCGAGCAGCCGCGCGTGAACGGCGGTACACCTTCAGCGCGGGGAAACCCGTTTGACGAAGAGTGGGATGAGGAGGTGATCATTGGTGGTCGCAAGTTGACTGCGTACCTGGATGAGGAGGACGGCAAGAAGGAGGTGGCGAAGGTCGCCACCAGGCTCGAAGAGTTGACGTTGTGAGTTTCATCAACCTGCCGTTCACTGACATTTCAGTGCCCCATTCACGGTACAGCGCCTCGCCGAGCTCCTTTTGGCACCCACAAAGCTCCATACGTCGTTGGGCAAGTTCCTTCGCGCAATCGAAAAGATGCTCAACGTGACCACGGCATACACCCCGCCCTCATACACCTACGTCCCTCCCACCAGTCTACCTGTGGAGGCATTGGGTTCCGCAAGTTCCCCGGGCTCCACCTCTGCCGCGGCGTCCATGTCTGGTTCATCTGAAGACTCGACCGTGCCTCCCGGCTCAATGACGCCAATGTTCTCCCCCATCCCCTTCCTCGTCCACGGCCATGACGATGGTTTGGGTGAAGCCATGCTCGACTCAGACGGGGCGATGGAGGATTCCCTCATGTCCCCACTCATGCTCGAGACTGGCAGCAGTGGAGCGTTTGCAGGACAGCAAGCTGAGAGGGCGCGCAGTCCTACTCCAGAGCCTGAGGAGGAGGCCAGTAGTGTAGGCCCCAGCACGGCTGCCTCGTCCGAGACGACCAGTGCCAACGGCAATGGCGACTCCTCCGACCCAGGCCACCAGTCATACCTGGGCCGAGTAGACGAGCTTGACGCAGGTCCCATCACGTCGAACGGACACGCCGAGACTGCCTCGACCGCGCCAGACGCTGCCGGTGCCGGCTCCACTGGTGGCGTGGGCGAGCACGGTGCCATGACCCCGCACGGAATGAGTGATCGCCCCGTCCCGCTCAGCTCCACTACCGTCATTGGAGAGAGCGCCGAGGCGGACCTGGCCGAGCGCGAGATCGCCCCCTTGCCTCGCACGGCGAGTCGTGCGGATGTGCCTGCTACCGCTGGCGACGAGGATGCTGAGATGGCGAGTGCTGAGAGTGCTGAGAAGGAACGAGACGAGAGTAGTGTGGACAAGGCGGACAAGGAGAATGAGGAGTCCAAGGAGGGAGAGGGAGCGATCGAGGTGGATGAGAAGGACGGCAATGAGGACGGGAAGAAGGAATAGTAGAGTTATGTACGCGACTGAAACATGTAAGGCATCTGGGGTATCTCTGAGCAAGGTGACAGCTTCGAGCAGCAGTCCAGCAACATGAGGTCAGTAGACTGTTGACCCGGGACGCGAAGAGCTGTCTCAGGCAACTCGAGCAATTCTGGGTCTTCTCCCCTCGGGTCCATTGACCCCGCAGCACTAGCGATCAAATGCATTCTGCACACACACTTCTTGTCGATTTGTCCATAGGTTTCAGGCTCTCATGAACTGAACGCTCGACAAAGCGCGGGCACCTTACCAGAGCTCGCACTGGTCCTTCTTGAGCGGGTTCATCTACGTCCAGTTAGCTTCTAACATCGCAACATTGCCCCAGCTGCAACTCACTCCAGAACCAGGCTTGCATGCAAACGCCTCGTGGAACGCTGGCAGGTTTCGCAGCGTGCCGATCGCACGCCAGTACGGCGGCGAGTGCGGGTCAGTGCGCACGCGCGCGACAGCCGTGGCGGGGCGTGCGATCTGGGCCCACACGCGCGCAAACGACAAGAAGAAGAGCTGCTCAGGCGTAAAGTCGAGGCCAGGGAGGGAGAAGGGCTTGTCGTCGGGAGTGACGGCACGCCATGCGGCGTAAGCTTGGGCGAGGCCCGAGTCGGCAATGTCCTCGCCGTTGGTGAGCTGGAGGTGTTAGTGGGCACAACAACAGGGAGGTTTCCTCACGTTTCCGTTGACGAAGACCTTGTTGCCCTCGGGGTCGAGGACATAGAACTTGGAATACTGCTTTGCGACGCACTGCGCACGCTCCTCAAACGCAGCGACAGTCTGGTTGGTCCACCAGTCCCTCAGACGCCCCTTCTCATCATACTGCGCGCCGGAGTTGTCAAACGCATGTGTGAGCTCGTGTGCGGCCACTGCGCCAAATGCGCCGTAGCGGAGGTATGCGGGCCACGAGAGATGGTAGAAGGGCGGCTGGAGGATACCTGCGGGGAACACAATCTCGCCGTCGGGAGGGCTGTAATAGGCGTTGACTGTCTGTGGGAGCATTTCCCAGGAGTCTCGGTTGCGCTGGCGACCCAGGGTGAGCCATGTGCGCGAGTTGTCGAGGAGCTCGGAACGGAGAACGTTGCCAAAGAAATCGGAGCGGTCAATGGAGAGGCGAGAGTACCAGTTCTTGATGGATTCCGGCTTGGTGGTGTCGGGGTACAGCGGGTAACCAACCTTGGGGAGGATGGCCTCGGCTTTTTTCTGCGCAGCGGCAGCAGACTCGGCGTCCATCCACTTGATGCTGGGGAGCTTCTTGTGGAACGCCGAGACAATGTCGGTGATGATTTTCTCGCCGTCGACCTTGGCTTCGGGCGAGAAGGCCTCACGAACGAACTCGCGACCGGCAATGTAGCCAACGGTGTTGTCGACCCAGCGAAGGCAGACGTCCTGACGGTTCTCCTCAGTACCCTTCTTGATACCCTGGAGGACTTCCTCGAGACGGCGCTTCTCAGAACGCACGCCGACCTCGGGGCCGAGGGCGGGAGCGTAAGACAATGCAAGCTTGGCGACAAAGTACCCAGACAGGACGTGGTCGGGGACGTTGGCCACGAGCTTCGTGATGGCCTTGAGGTAGGGTGGATAGGTGACAGTGATGTTGGAGGGGCTGATGCGCGGTGCAAAGGTGGACAGGTACGTGGGCAGGTCGAGGAAGCCAAGCGCGTCGTTGACCTCGTCAAACGAGTACGGGTTGTACGCGTAGTGCGGGTTCATGAGGAACTCGAAGTCAGTACCCGCTTTGACAACCTTGCGCTCAAACTGGACGACTTGGGCAGCGAGCTTGCGCATGCGCTCCTCGAGCGACTGGCCTGGCTGGGGCTTGTCGTCCCCAGGCCACGGCCACGGCCATCCGTCAGCCACATCGGCTGCGAGCTCCTCGGCAAGCTCTTGGGCAACGTCGACGACGATGTCGCGCTTGATGAACGAGTCCTTGTCAGACGTCTCGGCAATGTTCTGCAGGATGCCGGCAACAACGCTCTGGTAGAGGTCCACAATCGGCGCCTCTTCGTAGTACTCCTTGGAAGGCAGACCTCCAAACGACTGGTACAGCCAGAGAGACTGCACTTGGGGGTCCTCACCGCCAGCGTCGCCCTCAATGGCAAATTGGACCAGCGAGTCGACACCACGGGAGTGGAGGAAAGCAAGAGTCTTGGTGATCTTGTCACGGCGCTCTTTGGAAATCTCCGGAGTCTTCAGGTCGACGAGGGACTCGGTCGCGACATGCTCAGTAGGGGCAGGGCCAAATGAGCCGCGGTTCTTGGCATTGCGGTAGTACTCGACCTCGGCCGCAGCCTTGACGAGCTCTGCGGGAAGCACATAGTCGTCGGTGTACGCTCCGGTGACATCGTCACCACCCACAAACGCATCGTCTCCGGGCATCGGGTTGAGGTTAAACTTGCCAAACGATTCGAGGACAAAGTCGGAGAGCGGAAGGAAGGGCTCCAGTCCGACAGTGTTGAGGGTGTTGACGTCCATGCAGCTATCGTACATGCGCCTGAGCTTCTGGAGGTTTTCGTTCTCGGCATCAAGCGAATCTCCTTCTTCCTCGGGGATAGCCTCAATAATCTTCTTGATGATACGCTTGTTGTTATCGGCAACCTCGTAGAACGAGCCAGCGAGAGCCCGGTCGGCAGGGATTGTCACCGAGTCGAGCCAACCGCCAAGGGCAAACTGGTAGAAGTTGTCGCAAGGGTCGACAGAGGCATTCATGCCCTTGAGAATGGAGGCCGACAGCAGTACACAATCGGGAGTGGTGCAAACACCCTGGGCTGGTTAGCTACGGGTCGTTTACTGGGTGCAGCGCGAGCTCACCTTGGAGGGGACACCACCGGTGGGGCCGGGGACAGGGACAGTCGTGGTCGTCACTTCGGTTGTCGTTGCAGTGACAGTCGGGTGGTCGGGCGAGTTGTCATGGTGCTTGCGCTCCTTCTTGAGGGTGTGCTCTGTACCCGCAAAGAGACCGATAAAGGTGCCCGAGACGAGTAGGAGGAGCAACGCGGTCACTGCAAGGACGCGCTCCAGGGCCGTGAGGGGTCGCGACGGATCGTATATGCCGAGAAAGGCCTTGCGCTGCGGCTCGTCATCGTCGTCGTGATCGTGGCCTGCGCCGGCGAGCAGGGGTGCACTCTCCTGGTCTGTGGATGGCCTTGGCTCTGCCATGGTGGATGTGGAGATGGGAAGATGGGCCGAGCGCGAGACCTGGGAATGTGGCGAGTAGTGACCAGCGTGAGCCCCCTTGAAATGACGCCAATACACCGCGTGTGTGATCTCATCCTGGCCTGGGTGGGTCGGGTCAGTCGGTCGGAGCAACCCGATGGGAGTAATGAGATTTTACGTAATATTATCGGAATCAAAAACGCGTCGAGCAGCACTGCGACCCAACGACGCGTCGAGGGCCTCACTCAATGTAATCTCCCCTGCCCTCCTCTTCATCTCCACCACCACCACCCATGTCCACCATGTCCTCCCCGTACCACGTACCCATGCCCCCATCCTCGGCACCAGGAGGTTCACCCAATTCATCAATCAATGCTTCCCGCCCGGCCATCGACCCTCTCGCCTTTGACGACGTCCACGGTTTGGGCGGCAGCCGTGGCGCGCCTCGCACAGAGGCTCAAACAGGCCAGAACGTAACACAGCGTTCGCGTACCCGTGCACGTCTGGCGACCGACACTGACGCGATCCCCCGCGTCAGGGATGCTACTGGCGAGAAGGTATCGAAGGAATTGGAGACATTTTTGGAAACGTGAGCGTTGCGCCTGCCGCCATCACCGGGTGGCTGAACGTGGGGAAGAGGGAGGAGCTCGCTGACCATTCTCAGCTATACTGGGCAAATCGCGTTCCCCGAGACACCTGCATCGATGAGCGGAGGTGTCGATGTGGATGAGGCAAGGCCTTATATCCAGCAGGTCAAGGAGTTGAAGGAGTTTGAGAAGACAACGCTCTACATCGACTTTGGCCACCTCCTCGAGTATGAAGAGATTCTGGCACGCGCCATCCAGCAGCAGTACTACCGCTTCCTGCCGTATCTGCGTCGCGCATTGCAAAACCTCGTCAAGAAGTATGAACCGACGTACTACTACATGACGGCCAGCTTTTCAGACGACCCCACGCTCGTCAGCCAGGCATCCATCAGCACGCGCGAGTTTACCATTGCGTTCTACGGCCTCCCTCTCACCAGCGGTATCCGCGATCTCCGCATGGACAAGGTCGGCCAGCTCATGAGCATCTCGGGAACCGTCACCCGCACCTCCGAAGTGCGTCCCGAGCTCGTGTCCGGCACGTTCCGCTGTATGGAGTGCGACACTTGGGTCTACGACGTCGAACAGCAGTTCAAGTACACCGAGCCGATAATGTGTCAAAACGTCACTTGCTCCAACCGCAAGAGCTGGCAGCTATCAATCGAGCAGTCCAAGTTTAACGACTGGCAAAAGGTCCGCATCCAGGAGAACGCCAACGAGATCCCCACTGGTTCCATGCCCCGCTCCCTGGACGTCATTCTCCGCGCTGAGGTTGTCGAAAAGGCGAAGGCCGGTGACAAGTGTACCTTTACCGGCTCTTTCATTGTCGTTCCCGACGTCTCGCAGCTTGGTCTCCCCGGTGTCAACGCCGAGATGATGCGCGAGAACCGTGGTGGCCGCAACGACGGCGGTGTCGCGTCGCAAGGTGTCTCGGGTCTCAAGGCCCTCGGTGTCCGCGACCTGCAGTACAAGACTGCTTTCCTCGCGTGCATGGTTCAGAACGCCGACGCTCGCAGTGGTGGCACCGATCCCCGTGTTGATGCGGACGAAAACGACCGGGACACGTTTCTCAAAACCCTCACTCAACAAGAGGTCGACGAGCTCAACGCCATGCGCAACACCGACAACATTTACCAGCGGATCGTCTCGAGCATTGCCCCTACCGTTTACGGCCACGAGATTGTCAAGAAGGGTATTCTCCTGCAACTCATCGGCGGTGTCCACAAGCAGACCCAGGAGGGTATCAACCTCCGTGGTGACCTCAACGTCTGCATTGTCGGCGACCCGTCGACATCCAAATCGCAGTTCCTCAAATACGTCTGTGGCTTCCTCCCACGCGCTGTCTACACGTCGGGCAAGGCGTCATCGGCTGCCGGTCTGACTGCAGCTGTCGTCAAGGATGAAGAGTCCGGCGAGTTTACCATCGAGGCCGGTGCACTCATGCTGGCCGACAATGGTATCTGCGCCATTGACGAGTTTGACAAGATGGACGTTGCCGACCAGGTCGCTATTCACGAAGCCATGGAGCAGCAGACCATCTCAATTGCCAAGGCCGGTATCCAAGCTACTCTCAACGCTCGCACCTCGATTCTTGCTGCGGCCAACCCAATCGGCGGTCGCTACAACCGCAAAATGTCTCTGCGCCAAAACGTTGCCATGTCGGCCCCTATCATGTCGCGTTTTGATCTCTTCTTTGTCGTTCTCGACGAGTGCAATGAGGCAGTTGACCTGCACATCGCCCAGCACATTGTCAACGTCCACCGCTTCCGCGACGCCGCTATCCAGCCAGAGTATAGCACCGAGGCAATCCAGCGCTACGTGCGCTACGCGCGCACCTTTTCGCCCAAGCTTACTTCGGCGGCCTCGGCGGTCCTGGTCAACAAGTACCGCGACCTCCGCCAGGATGAAGGTGGTCCCGGAAAATCCAACTTCCGCATCACCGTCCGTCAGCTCGAGTCCATGATCCGTCTTTCGGAGGCTATTGCCCGCGTCAACTGCAGAGATGACATTACACCCAACATTGTCAGGGAGGCCTACGCTCTTCTCCGCCAGTCGATCATCCACGTCGAGCAGGATGACATTTCGTTTGACGATGACGAGGAAGCAGATCTCCCGGGCCAGGCCGGCGAGGCCGGTGACGACGCCATGGACGAGGACGAGATCGATGCCGCCGACGTGGCCGCGCTCGAAGCCGCCGAGTCGAGCTACAACAACACCTTGGCGGAGACTAATGGCGACTCGTCCTCGGTCCCAGCCCCTGCCGCGTCCAAGCCCAAGCTGCGCATCACCTACAACCGCTACATGGAAATTATGAACCAGATCGTCATCCACCTGTCCGATCTGGAGCGCACGACTGGCGCCGGTGTTGACCGCGACGAGCTCATCGCGTGGTACCTCGAACAGCGCGAGGAGCACATGGAGTCTGTCGAGGACATCGATCGCGAGGGCGAGCTCATCGGCAAGGCCCTTACCAAGCTTGCCCGTGACAACTACCTGCTTGAAATCCGCGGTGATGTCCGGGAAGGTCTGCAGCCGTCGGAGCAGGACGAAGACACTGCTGCAAGTGCGGATGATAAGGTCCACTACCTCGTTCACCCGCAGGTTGACTTGAGCGACCTTTCGAGCTCTGTCCCCATGCCCTAACATGCTTGATTGCCTATATGGGGCTGGGTCACAGGGAGCGTCTGGTTTCTGCCCGTGTGATGGAAGGAGATGTAGATAGTGCTATTAAGTTACTGTATTATGTGTGATGTTATGCCTACCGGACAATGGCCTGGAGAAGGACATGCTGCCTGGAGAAGGAGACGCTACCCAACCAAGTGCGAATCGATGCGAGCTGGGGTCCCAAGGTTCCCGGGCATCCTGGCGGCACAACAAAACTCGTAGCGCGCAGACGAGACACTCTACATCAAGCTAACGAAGATATTTACAGACGCACGCCTCCGCCCCGCCTCTGGCCGTCAATCCAGTCGACCTCATCCTCGCCACCAATCTTGACCGCGTCATCGTCGCCATCGAGGCTCGTGTGCTCTGTGAGCTCGTACGCCTCTGGCCCATCGTCCTCCTCGTCACCAAGGGTATGCGGTGCGCGCTGGCTGAGGGTGGCGTAGCCATTCTCGGTCGCCGTCTCGCCCGTCACTTCAGTGTTCTTGGCGGCGTTACGTCCGGAGTTGGAGTACAGATGCACGAGGAACGTGATGACGAGGTAGATGAGGAAGCTGAGCGAGAAGTCAAATAGGGCGTACGTGACGTGGTCGATGCCGAGGTTGTCGGCGTTGTGCATCTCCTCGTCGGTGGCTGACATGAAGAGCGTGCCGCCTAGAGTAAGGAGCTAAGGGGGTCAGGGGAGGTGGGGAAGGTGGCGGCTCACGTAAGGAGGGAGATGCTGGAAGATGCGGGCATGGCCTGGCACCGAGGGGCCGTCATGGAGGACAAAGCAGATCTCGACGATGCGGAGGACACCAGCGGCCATGAGAGCGTAGCCGAACATGGCGTGGATCTAATGGGTCAGTGAAAGGGAATTGAGAGTGATGTTAATACTCACCTTGGACGAGATCATGAGCGCCTGCTCGTGAGCCGACATGCCCCAGCCAGTGAAGACAATGATGACAGCAGGAACGAAAGAGCGCTTGCCGTTACGGCTCAGAAAGATGCCGAGCATGCCGCCTGCCCACCAGAGCACGCCCATCATGGTGTGCTGCATGTCCTTGTGGGACCAAGGCCCGCCGTGGTGTTCAGTGAACGTGTTGACAATGCCCTGGTGGGTCAGCAAAGGCATGCTGCAAACGACCGAGATACCCACCCAGGCCGTAATGACGCTGCTGTCGAGCATCTCCTGGCTGCGACCGGTGCGCTTGAGCCACTCGCCGCCGATATTGAGCATGATCACCAGGATGGCAGCATAGCCAATGAAAGCCGAGCCCATGATATAGTGTGCAGCACACTGACCGAGGTTGCCGCCACGACAGAAGCCAAGGGCAGTCGCGACGCCGAAGAGCATTTCTGAGCATGTCAGACAGCGCTCAACAGAAGCAGTCCACCTACGGGTCCAGCCAATGACGGGAAAGGCCATGCCGAGAGGTCCGTGGGCGCGGACGACCCATGGACGGACCGTCTTCTCGAGAATGTGCAGCTTGAGGAAGATGCCCATCGCGGTTTGCTGGCGGGTCAGTACGTCACATTGAACAATGGTCGGCCACCACGTACGGCGACCAGAACGAAAGTAATGATTTTGGCCATCGTCCCGTGTACCTGCGGTCATTAGCACAAGGTGCACAGCTTAGACAATCCCCAAACCTACAGTCTCTGGGAATTCACGTCCGCCATGGTGGTGACCAAGCCATGAAGCGACAGTGGTGACCACCACGCCAACGCTCTGGAGAGGCACATGGTACTTGGACCTATTGTCAGCACGGCGGCGCCTTTGAAACTCACTTGGAGAGACCAAGGACCATGCCGACGGGGAAGAGCAGCCCCCACACAAACGTCTGGAGACTCATCTACGCCTCGTTAGCAGGTTGCAGGCTGCAAGGCGGGGCATAGGGGTGTGTTGAGGGGGTGGTGACAGGGAAAGGGTACGCCTTACACGCCAGACGGATGGAGCTGCGGCACACTCGCCCATGACCAGATACTCACATGGACATACATGACGGCGTCGATGGGCTTGCTCTCGTCAATCTCGGTGGCATTGTGGTGACCGTGTGCGTTCACTGCGAGCATGCGTGTCAGCGGGTGGACGTGTCCACGCCTGCCCCCTCTCCACCTTCCCCGCAAACACGGATCGCGCGTGACGTACCGAGGGGAAGCGCAGCGGCGGTGAGCAGTGCGGCGGCAACCTTGAGCATTGCGCGAGTATGCTATCTTGTGTGCGTGCTAGAGATACAAGTGTGGGACCAGGCCCAGGCGAACAAGGGGGAACAAGGTGGATGGTGAGAATGAAAGAGAGACGTGTTGTGGAGGTGACGCAGGCCGAAAGTGCGCAGGCGCTAAGCAGCGAAGCAGTAGCCTGCGTGGCGCGCGTCAGTGGCGAAAAGTGGGGTGGCCAAGCGTCGCACGCAACACCCAACCACAGCGAGCATAATGCAATGTTAGCAATTGCATTATCATTCTATGCATGAACATATGGTCCAAACAGGACACGTGCATTACTGTCATAAATGGAGGGATACAGAATAGAAAAGGGGGTTGAAGCCCTTCAACAAGTACAACTACTGGCCATCCAGAACGTCCACGATCGCATCCTCATCGGCATAGCCGGCACGGCGGCGCAGACGGGCAACACCGGCGGCAGCGAACCGCTCGCGCTGCTCCTCCCAGCGCTCCAGACGCTCCCGGACAGCCTCCTTAAAGCCAAACTGGATCTGTTCGAGATTGACTTTGGCTTGTGGCAAAGCGGCAGCCATTCCAGACAAGGTCGGAATGGCCGGGATCGGGAGGTTGGCCATGGTAGGGATGGTGATGGTGGGGAAGAGGTGGGCGGGAATCATGACTGACGGCTGCGAGGGCGTGTACGGGGTGACGAGTGGCGAGTCTTCGGGAGTGACACCGCCAAACTCGGGAGTAGGCACCTCGAGGGGTGCCAGCTTGGCCACCAGACGCTCCTTCTCGGCGGCTTTGGCAGCGTTCTTGCGGCGCTTGAGGTATCCCTTGATGCCACCGTGCATCCATGTAGAGTGGAGTATAAGGGCCAAGCTGAGGATGGATGTGGGAACCCATGAATTCTCCAGGACTGCGCGAGAAGCAGGGCGGGCACAGTCAATCACAAGTACCAGGTTGAACAGGATGCGGGTGAGCACCATCAGGCCGAGGAAACGCTCGTCGCTTCGCACTTGGGGCCACAGGTGCGAGATGGCCAGGTCAAAAGTTGGTAGCTGTGCGGCGTCAATAGACGTTGGGGCTGCAAGGTACGACGTTCGGCGTCGATGCCGCCCTTCCATGCAGCCGTGGTTTTGCAAGGGCTATTGAGATGACCAAATTGCCACCCTACACGTACCTCCATGATGGCACCAGTGAGAAAGACACACGACTGCTTTGACGTCGCAAGGTGAAGCATGATGCCCATGTAGGATATGTGGTGAACCCAGCCGGTGATGAAACCGACCTCATTGCGGTAGGCAACGTAGCCGATAGCGAGCTGAGTGTCAGTTCAGCAAACGGTGGCGGCCAGACAGCCTGATAAAGAGAAGCTCACATCAGCTGTGACGGGTCAGTAAAAGCTGCGTGGAGATCATACCATACCACTTACCAAAGAGGTATGTCCCGAACGCAGCGACAATAACGGTGGCGAGCGTATGGGTCCATCCTTCCTGTCCAGCCTGAAAGATTGCGGGCACGCCGCCATTGCAATAGGCGTACAGGAATGGTAGTGACGATAGGGTCAAAATGGCGCTGGACAGCGTCGAGAGGATGTATGCACGCGAACGAGCGTCCGGCCATCTTGGTGCAAAGGTACAGTACACGGCGATGAGGGTGGCCAAGGCCGGAATGGGGACGAGAAGGGACAGGTGTTCGGCGGCAGCTGTCCGCGCCGATAGGGCGTTCATGAGCGAGTCCATTTGTTGTTGTGCAATCTCAGCCGCCCAGTTTCTACAGCCGGTCGCAGTTCGTTGGGTGTTGGGAGTCTGGGTATACACCGAGTGTGTTGGGAAGGTGCAGTGTGCGATGTGAACGTCGCTACGGCCTTGAAAGGTCTAAGGCGGCGCTGTCTATTCTGGCTAGAGGGGGCGATGTCCGTCGGGGGAAGGAGACACACGGGTTCGGCAACACGTGCGTAACGTGACAGGGTCCGACGCGTCCCAGACAAGAACAGTCCTCGTAATGTGCAATTGGCGATAAACTGTTGGGGGACACAGGACGACGAGTCGAGATGAACGATGAGACAGCGACGAGACAGCGACGGTGAAGTGAGGTGTATGGATTGGAAGAGAAGGCAATGCGCAGAAGGATGGATGGGTAGTGAGGTGAGACAATGGCTGTGATGGCGCAGAAGCGGTTGTCAAGCCTCCGATGGTCACCCCAAAAGACACCCCACCTCAGCCGGCCCGCCGTTGCGCACGCCCCGCGCATGCACGGCGTCGTTACGGCGGGGGTTTGGGACGGAAACGGACCGACACGCGCCGAACACAGCAGGCAGCTGGCAGCTGGCAGCTAGGCTTAATGCACCGCCAGGCCGCCAGCCCACAAGGGGAACGCTTTGGGGGGACACCCATCTTATCACACCCCGTCGTCATCAGTGCGATCAGTGCAATGGTTCGGACGCCGAACATCAGTCGTTCGATGATGCTGTCAACCAGGACAGCACTTGCTGGCGCTGTCACCGTCCCCTTGCACACCAAAACTCACCGATACTTCTCGTCGCCGGCCACTCCCGAGTACTCTCGTGCTTCCTTTGGCGAAGAATACATCTCTTCCTGGGACGGTTCAGTGCTTGAAGTGCTTCACCTACTGCAGGGCTGAGAAGACGCGCTCCTACGAGGCAGCTGCTCCTCAGTGTCTGCCACCACCACGATTGACAGCTAAAAGATGGAACAAGCATGCAGAAAGGGGTTGCTTGGTATAAAAATTACAATGTCAACAATAAGAAAGTCTATCTACAACAGACCGGCGAATCCAGCCCGCGCATCCTCTTCGTCAGGAATACCCATCGCGCGCTGCGCGTCACGCTCTTCCTCCCAGTCAATTGCCTCGGATGTGCCCGCGATGCGGGCGTAATAGGCGCGGGCGGCTGGTGAGATGCTGTCGGGAAAGACTAGTTCGCGCGCGACAGCAGAAGGTGTTGCTTGGTCCTCGCCTTGGTCTTGGTCCTCTTGTGCAGGCGTCTCTTCGACAAGGGGAACGCCAGCAGCGGTAACGGGCACTTCCGGGTTGAGTCCGGTTATGACAGCACGCATTGCTCTCTCGCGCCTACGAATGGTGCGAGCGCGCTGCACCTCAAACGCGGGGATGAGGGTGATAAACCACAGGTAGATGCGGAGGAAGATCTGGGTCATCCACCACGCAGGGCGGGAAGAGGGTGCGTGTCGCAGGCGAGGAGCGATGTTTTGGTGGGCTGGCGGCGCGGGACCGCCAGCGGTTCGGGATGCCTGTTCAACGCTCGAGCGAGGAAGGCGAAGCTGGCGGCGGTCGACATCAAGGTGGTAGAACACAAGCGAGTTCCAGTCTTGCCCTCCACGGCGCCGCGGCTGCCGTTGTCGGATCTCCCCGGCGCCTGCACGAGCTGCCGCAGCAGCATGGATGGGTGCGTCGGCGGCGACACGCTGGGCAGCGTCCATAGGGGCAACGTTGCCAGCAGGGTCGAGACCACGTTCCCGGGCCTCGGCTTCAGCCTCAGCGGCTAGGCGGCGAGCACGGAGCTCAGCCCTCACACGCTCCTCGCGCTGCTCGACCACCCAATGGTTGTATCCGTCCACTACCCACCAGCCCAGGCAGCCGCCGAACAGGAGCCAAAACTTGATGTCGTCCCAGTGCATGCCACGCGTAATCATCCACAGAATGGTTGCGATGCGCATGGCTGACCAAAAGAGGTGCGTGAGGAGGGCGAAGGAGATGCGGGGTACCCGTAGTTGTATCGACCCGCGATAGATGATGCGCGCTTGCGGACCGGCAAGGACGGCCGTCGGCGTCGGCGTTGGAACTGTGTGGGTTGACTCCGGCGCAGGCGTTGCTTGGGCTGTGGCGGTTAGGCAGCCCGACAAACGAGCAGCCAGGTCCGCAGTGCGAAGATACAAGAGAAGGTTGATGAGTTGACTGGGGACCATGTCTTGGAGAGCTGGAAGGTAAAGATCGTAAACTGTGTGGCTAGGACTGTCAGTCACCAGTCGCCAAACGAGGTGACCACACTCACTCTAATTCGATGCGGCACTTCTCGCCAGTCGAGCCATACTCGCTGCCCATGCCGGCGGTCCACGCCTTGGTAATCGCGTTGCGCAGGCCCTCGGCGCCAATTGTCACCCAAAGGTCCTCGAGAGAAGCACCGTCGCCAGCGAAGGCGCCCTCCCACTCCCAGTGCGGCTCTGCGTACGCCCTCACAACTGATTGCACGGCTGTGCGGGCCTCGGCACGAGACACGATGGGGGTTGGGTGCATGCGCTGCCACTGGAGCACAGGGGCGCCCAGGAGGACGGCGAGATGCTCGCGGCATAGGAAGAGGACGTAGTGGACCGTGTCCGCCAAGGCTGTAGCTTCAGGCGACGTGGCCGTGGTCATGGCGGACACCGCCGCAGTCGTCGAGTAGGGTGAGGTACCGTATGCGTGGGTATCCAGCGACGAGGCTGGCGGCGCCTTGTTGGTTGGCCGGATACGCGTGGCGATGGGGCGGGCGACGAGAAGGAGCGTCGGCGAATCGGCGCCTTTCAGCGCAATACCGACCAGTTCGTCGTCGGCGAGCATTCGTCCGCGCCATACGAGTCGCAGACCGGACCGCTCCCAGTGACCGTACCCGGCGCGGCCGTCCGCGATGGCATCCTTGACGTCTGTGACGCGCAGGCTGCCGCGTACATCCCACCCGGGGCTCCGTATACCGCTTGCTAAGCCCGTGTCCCCACCCAGGTCGGCGTGCGGGGTCTGGAGGTGAATGCGCAACGTTGTACCGCTACCGCTGGTCGGGGTCGAAGTTGGTGCTAGGGAGTGTGGTGTCGCGGCTGGTGGCGAGATGGAGCGCCGGCGCCGCAGACCATCGTGTGAGGCGAGTCCGCGCTCATGTAGGGGTGCGGCTGTGGGCCTGACGGGTGCAATCTGTGGAGACGAGGCGGGCACCGGGTCTGGTGCGTCTGCCTGCATGGTTTTGGTGGAGTGTGAGAATGCAATGTTACCAGCATATCCAGCATGGTGGTGGAACAACAACGCAGGCGGACGGACACGTCGAGCGGTTTACGTAACCTGAATTGGGCAATCAATATTATTACGTAAACTTTAATTACGCATCTCCATGTAAACAACACCCCCGCCTGCTTTCTTTCCACACAACAACTCCTCTCCCACCATAACGATGAACTCAAACGATCCAGAGAGTGCACCACTGTCGTCCTTGAATGCTCAGCTCGTGGCACACGGATACACCAAGCGGCCTCTCAAACTCACGGCACTCAGCAATGCCGACCAAGCCCATGTCTCAAGCGTCATCTGCGAGCTACTGGGGGCCAGCGTTGTGAGTTGGACTTGGGCGGCACACCATGCCGTTGCAGCTGCGTATCCTTTGATGCAGACGACGCTAATTGTAGTCCAACCTCAACTCTCTGGAGGACCTGAACGCGTCCCACCGTACTCTGCAGTACGAACATGAACGACTGGCAAAGACCATTGAGAAGGGTGAACGACAGGTCGCACGACTGGAGAGCGATGTCGAGGTGGCAAAGGCGCGCGCGGTTGAGGCCGAGCGCCGCGTCGCCGTGGAAGAGGAGAAGGTCAAGCATCTCCGTGAGGATGTGAACCGTGGACGCAAAGCGGTGGACAATCTCCGTGTTGCAGCAGCAGTGAGTTTGCTTCGTCATGTCGTTGTTGGCGGTGGCTGACACCAATGCAGCAAGAAGCGAAGCGGTCCCAAATCAAGCTCGACAAGGTCCTTGGCCAGCTAGCACGCACCATCCCCGCCGTACCTGTGGGGTTCGAGCTTCTCAACCCCCTGCCAGCTGGCGGTACCGCACCCGTAGCCCCCGGCCCTCTCCCATTGCTCGAGCAGGCGCTCGCGGATCTGGCCGACATCCGACAAAGCCTGCAGGAGGAGACGGAAGCCTTCCGCACTGTGGTACTGAGCGCTGCCAACTCGCTACAAGAGGCCCTTTCGGCCGGAATGGGTGACGAGCCACCGCATCGCATGCTTCAGGCCGACTTCTTCGCCATGGACACGGCTGCGTTCCCTGGCCACCGAGGAGTACGGCAACAGGCCAGCTGGACCTCCCATCCCGCCATTGCAGATGCCCGTCTTAAGGCCCTCATTGCGGATGTGCGTGTGGGACTTACAACTGAGGTGTCTCCGCTCATGAGGGATGGCAGTGGCGCAACCGAAGCAGAAGCTGAGGAGCAAGAAGCCGCTGCCAAACGTGAGCGTGAGAGGCAGAGGGCTGAAAGCGACCTGCGTGACAGGGTCAAGGATCTCGAAGTCGAGATTGCTATTGCCAGAGGCAAGGAGCAGGAGGCCAACAAGGTCATTGAGGAGATGGCGAAGATGAATGTTGGAGCAAGGTGAGTCCGGCTTGTCACAATAGTTCTGACATCTCGCAGTGTCCCATCCACGACCGACTTTGAGGATGCCCGTCTCCGCGACGAGCTCGTCCGTCAGAAACGTGTTCTCGACAACGAACGAGATGCCTTGCGTACCGCAACCGTCCGTCTCACCGAGGACCGCGTTGCTCTGGACTCTGCCAAGGCAGTATTCGAGGCCGACAGGGAAGCCGCCATTGCAGCTGCCGTCGAGGCAGCGACCCCTGTCCCGGCCGCCAATACTTCGCCAATTCCCGTCGAAGCTGGTCCCTCATCCCCACAACCACCAACGGCGCACGCCCTTCCTCTCAATCCCGTCATATCATGGGAGAAGAGCAGCACACCGCAAAAGCACAAACCCTCTTCCCCTTCCCCTCTGTCCCCCCACAAATTGGTCCGTCGCACACCTTCGGGATCGAAGCAGGGTGCATCACACGTCCACGTGGCAGGGAAGCGCAAACCTCGTAATGTGCCACGCACCCCGCTTAGCAGGCTCGTCCTCGAGCGAGCTGTGTTGGACCGTGATCGCGCGAGGAAGACCAGTGGAGGCGGTGCAGGCGCGGTTGGGAAGGCGAGCGAGAGTGGCAACGGCAACGGCAACGGCAACGGGGTCTTGGGCGAGAGTGGCAAGCGTGTCAACCTCGCCACATCGACCACAGAGTCCTCCGTGACAGCGGCGCCGTCAGGCCCGCGGACAGGCACAGCCCGTCTGTCAGGGGACAAGCCCCGCATCGCCTTTTCGCCCGAGCACAAGGGTAAAGCCGTCGAACCCCAACGCCGTGTGTCTGGTCCGCCCACCGAGAAGCCTGACAGGACCGTGCAACCGCCCTCCAAGACAGAACCGCGCAAATCGTCGTTAACGGCGATGACAGCGGCCAGCGCCGCGCGAGCGAAAGAGATGAAGGAGATGAAGGACGGTCGAAACCAAGAAGCCAAGGACGCTGGAGCGGTGCGGAGTGCCGCCAAGACGGCGCGGGTGTGGCGCTGACGGCGGGTTGGATATGACATTTTAGCAGAGAGGAAGGGAGTGCTGTTCTTCGTTACAGGTCGTACATCGACACATGTTATTATTAGGATACTATGTTTCACGCAGCGTTCACACTCGCAGGATACAATCAGGCGTGTGGGGGATGTGGTGTACGGGGGGTCCAGCAGCATTCGCCGTGCACGAGCGCGTTTACTCGGTCTTGGGTTTTCCCAAAGTCACGCCGGATGCGCGCAGGATGGGCGATGTGTCGAGGACGACATTAGAGGTGTCCGGCAAACCACCAGACAGTTCCATCGCGGGTACCTCGCTGCCGCTCATACTGGCGTTGGGGAGGACCAACGGAGACGAATTGAGCGTGTCGTCCGCCTCGTTCGTAATGATGTCGTCCGCAATATGGTCGACATAAGGCGTGGATGGTGTGGAAGCCGAAGGCGTCGCGCCAGTTGACATAGCTTCCATCTCTTTGCGTAGTTTCTCCAGCTCGCGCTCAAACTTGCGTCCAAACACCTCCACGTAGAAGGATGCTCCGTTCCACACCGAGACGACGAAGACGGTGCTGAGCGCAATATACGTGGCAATGGCGCTGTGGATGAACAAAGTCGCGGCTGGGATCATGAACAGGATGGTGTAGATGAGCTGAGCGAATATGAACCACTGTTCACGGTGCTCGGGGCGAATACCGCGGAGGGCGTGGCCGATGGCACCGCGTTTATCGTTGACGAGGCTGATTGTGAGCTTGGTGCAAGGGAGTGGAGCTGTAACTCACTAGTGGAAACTGTTCTGGCGCTTGCCGCTTTCAATCTTCTCTTTGCGGTCGACAGAGATGAACTGGAAGTCAGTCGGGGCATCGAGGATGGAGCTGTACCTTGAAATAGGCTGCCTGCCAGATGCAGTACGGCACTATCGCCATTGTAATCTTCGTGTACCACGCGTACTCGCCTAGGTGTGCGATGCCAGGATAGCGAGCAACAGCGTTGTCGTAGCGGAAACTAACGTCAGCTGACAGACATGCCTATTCACTCACAGTATGATATTGAAGACGATCGGGGGGTAACTGCCATGCGTCAGATTCATTCCACTGCTATCACTCACATATGAATGAAGAGGCTGGTGACCTTGTCGAGCGAGTGAAAGACCATCGAGTTACGCCACGTGATAATGGCACTCGCGAGCGGGCCCATGGTGAGCAAGTAGCAGCAGATGAAAAGGGTGGTCGACTCGGGAGTGAACCACAGCCAGAGGAGGTCCAGCATGTTGACAAAGTAACACATGCTGAGGGGTCAGTCACGATCGTGCAGCTCATCAACGCACTCTGCAAGGTCAGCATTGTGATCACACACCCGTGCACGTACCAAAGAGGAAGTAGTGCCACGCCTTGCGCTTGTAAGTGTACACGCGGACCGGAAGGTAGAAACCGCACTGGACAGTGTAGGCGAATGGGATCCACTCGGGTACGAGGCCCCACATGAGACATGTGGCAGCGAGCGTGCTGACGCCAAACAGGAAGGCTACGTGCGTGTGAGCAGCCCAATCCCAATCCATTTGTATTCTGGCACGTACAGATCTTCTCACGGGTACGAACAATCTGAGCCGACCGCCATGTCTCGCTTAGCTTTGTGAGCCGATCGGCGAGCTTGACCTTCATGCGCGACATTTCACGCTCCATGTCGGCCTTGTACCGCGCCGCTGCACGACGGGCTTTAGCCTCAGCCTTGCGACTGACATCCTTCTTGCTGTCGCCTGGTGCGGGGTCGTTGGCTTCGTCCTCACTGTCGTCCAAAACAACGAAGTGTTTGCCACCGGGGGTACGCAGGCCCTTTGGAATGAGTTCGCCGGCACGACGGCGGAGCTTTGCCGACTGTTCTTTGAGTCGGCGTTCCCAGAGGTCCAGACGCGAGTCTGCAGGTTAGCAATCACATCGTGCCTCCTCAGCAGTAGGAGGGAGACGGGAAGCATCCGCACTTTCCAGTGAAGTGCGAGGGCCCATCGACATCACTCTTGCTTCGATCCAGAGACCACTCACCAAAGAAAGTCTCAATCACATCTGCAACGTGTCAGTGGCCCAGTGGGTAGATTCTTATGAATACATGCGGTACTTACCAAGTAGGACAAGAGGTTCGCTCCATTCGTCTCCCACACGTTCGGCGCCGCGCGAGAGTAGACCGGACAGAGAACTCGAGGATCGACTCAGATGAGGAGGCCGCGACCCATCGTCCGAGTGAGGCGTTGTCGGGCGCAGGGTTGGAGATTCTGTATGCTGTGTCATTGTCTGTTGTCGAGAGTGGGTGGACGGGAAGCGATCAAGTGAACTCCAAATGGGCGAGACGGCACATTGACTGTTGACGGCAATGAGGTCATGAGCCGTAGGTTTGATCCCGCTTATAGGACGAAGGACGGAGAAATGTAAGATGTTTCACTTTTTCTGAAAAGAATTGGAATACATATCATTCGAACCAGGTTTGCTATTTTAAATTCACAGAACAATTACGCGGACTGATTGTAGATTTTGCCCCAGAGTTTCGAGTACCAATAAGAGAGTGTGGGGTGCCTGGGGGACTGGGGCTGGGACACCACATCGAGTGCCCAGCCAAGACAATTCTGGAGGTCTACAACACTGTCGGGAACAAGCGCAGCGAGCTCCCCGGGGCGCGTCTATAATTCTTTTTATATCCGCATTCACTCCAGAATCGAACCTCGGTTCTTGGCCCCGGTCGTTGGACGTGTTAAGTTTAGATTACTTTTACTCGCTGCTTGCAGTAGCCGCTCTGCAAACACGACCGCTTGAGAACTGGGTGTAGAAGATGGCAGTCGTGTAATCCTCGGGATGACAGCCGTGTTGAGATTACATAACCACTTGCGCCACTGCAGTGTGGCACCGAGCTGACCGGAGAACGAGGGTACTGCACCAATGCTGCTCTTTCTGCTTCTTCATTGTCCTCGTGCTTCTCTGTAGTGCTCGGGCCTCCCTTCTGTGTGCATATAAGCAGCTCTGTAGACGCCTATGCATCCCCATCCTCTTCTGAAAGACAAACTGCCAGCTTAAGACCATCGGTCTCGGGCACTAAACGGCATCAAATCCCAACACAGCCGAGCCTAACTGATGAAGCGTACTGTACTAGAAACCACTCTCAGTTTTTACTAGAGACCAAGCTAGCCCTGAGTGAGCATTATAAACATGACCCTAATAAATGAAATCAAATCAGAGCAAATGGACATTAGAGAGCTCATTAGCGGAAGCTTAATTTGGCCCCGTGACGTGTCCCACACAACACACTCGACTTGTCGTCTCCCACTCTGCCACTGTATTGCCCTTTACCTCGCTGCAACTCTGTCCACATCGATGATATCCCCTTTACAACACCACGAGCGTGTTCCTCATCATCAGGGGAACATGTTCGTGGTTCAACAGCACTTCTACATCAAGATGCAGAGATATACAGCGAGGATGTGGTAAAGGCAGGATGCTGAGATGCATACTGCACATCGAGCGATAACTATGTACAGCGGCTAGTCGCAAAAACAGGTGACTAGCCTAATAGAGACGGAACCTAAACTAACTGGTGCTCAACACTGGTACACTGGACTGGGCAAGAGAAGACTCCCCCCATGTCTCTATCCATCGATCCGTCGTCGCGTCCCACTCTGCAATTACGTAACTGACTGCAGAAGGAGATAATGAGGTGGGGAACAGAAGATTGTATGTGGAGGAACGCAACATTAGTTGGCGGAATGAAACATTAAATCGGTTTGCCGAACTAAACGTGGGTGGAACGGAACTTTAAATGGTTTCGCACTACGCGCTGGTGTGCCACTGTAGATGACGAACGAGGGTACCGCGCCAATGCTGTTCTGTCTGCTTCTCTGTTGTGGACGGGCCTCCCTTCCGTGCCCATGTGAAACAGATCTGTAGATGTCTATGCATCACCGTCCTCTTCTGAAAGATATTTTGCCACCTAAAGACCATGCGTCTGGGGCTCTAAACGGCATCAAATCCCAACAACGTGTGCCTCGTGTTAGAATAACTCTCTCCGTATACGCGATACGCAGACTTGTTCTCATTGCCACAGTACTCTGTCGATCGTCGACCGTCCAACCATGCTACACACCGTTTACAGCGTCTGGAGAGTGCTACGAGTCTCCTCTGCGTATCCGCGTTGACAGATGTGCGGGACTAGATTAGCTTCCGCCCAATGACATAAGAACCCCCAAGCGCTACCTATTGAAGACGTGTACTATTCATCCATCTCGTTTGCTCCTTCACTTCCTACCACATACGCTCTTTAACCGCAGGTACTTTTTTAATCAGTACTAGCCCCCTCACCCCCTCACTATCTCGCTTTGAGACTCTATCACGCGGACATTAGCACCATTTCAAGCAATCCTGCTCACCAGCGTCCGATTGTCGTTCAGTTTCACATGTCTTTCAGGATAGGGATGCATGCACGTCTATAGACATGCCTGTATGTACGCATGGAGCGGTCGAGCCCGACAGATACTCATAAGGACAATGGGGGTAGTGACCGACAAATGGTCCTAACCTTTACACACTCCCTTCAGCCTGCACTTACAACTTGGCGCGCACTTCCTCCTCACCATCAGCCAGCTTCAACTTTACCCACTCCGCAAGTGCCCGAATCAGGCCGTCCAGTGCTCCAAGGTCGATTCCCGCTCGGAGACAGATGCGCACACGCTCCCCACCAGGTGGAACTGTGGGGGGCACCACTGGACGGACGACGAACCCGCGCTCGAGGAGGAAGGCGCTGAGCGCATGCGGTGTGGGAGACAGCAGGCCGATAATGGGCGCCGCCGGGCGGGGCGGTAGAGTCCTTCCATCGGGGAACGGGACTGGAGTGGGGTCTGGGAGTCGGAGAATGGTTGGCCGCGTAAACGCCAGGAGCGGGCCGACGCGGTCCATGAAATAGTTGATGGTGTCGACGAGGAGGGCCCGGCGGGTCTCTCCTTTACTCGACCCAAGAAAGTCCCATGCAGATTCGAGGGCAAAGACCGTGCTGAGTGGGAGGGCTGTGGAGAAGATGAATGGACGGGCGAAGTTGATGAGAAAGCTGCGAACCGTCTCTGAGGCGAGGAGGACGGCGCCCGAGCAGCCTACGCCTTTACCGAATGTCATGAGGCGGACGGTCACACGGCCGCTGCCCGTGCGGGTGGTGCCTTCACCAAGGGCATCGACGACACCACGACCACCAGAGCCATACACGCCTGTCGAGTGGGCCTCGTCGACGATGACACATTGTTGAGCACGCGGGACATAGACGTCCAACACATCCAGGAGTGACGGGATCGGCGCAAAGTCACCGTCCATAGAGTAGAGGGACTCCATGGCGAGGAAGATGGTCGGCTTGGTCTTGCCTGCATTCTTCTTGCTCTCGGTCGTAATCTTTTGCAACACCTCCGCCAGCGACTCGGGGTCGTTGTGGAGGAACTGCACCTTCCTGTCGGCAGCCACACGGCTGGCCCTCATACCCGAGTGGACCGAGGCGTGCACCAGCTCGTCGTACACGACCCAATCGTGAGGTTGGGGCGCGTTACCAAAGAACGAGACGTTTGCGTCCCATCCCGAGTTGAACAATAATGCACTTGGCGCGTCAAAGTGGTCGGCCAGACGACGCTCGAGCAGCCTGTGCGACGGGGTCCCTCCGCTTAACAGTCGCGAGCCGGTGGACCCCAACACCATTGGTTCGCTGGCGATGCGGGAAACATAGGCCTCTCGTAGACCAGCGTCTGTTGTGATCGAGAGATAATCGTTGGACGACTGAACGTTGGGAGTTAGCTCAGGCTTAACCACAGGTCTGGAGCAAACACACTGCTGGCTTTCGGTTTGGTGACTCACAAAGTCCGTCAGGCCCGATCCGGCACGGGTGTCATATTCTTTCAAGGACCTGAAGCGACCCTTCTGCTTCCTCTTGTCAAGAAGGGCCTGGAGGTTGGTATCGAGCTGGCCCATTGCTGTTTGCTTTTGAGCTTGTGAGGGAGTGCATGCAATACATGGGCGGAGATCGGATGATGGATCTTTGGGGAAACTCGTGGCCTGGAGACCCCGGATTAATCTAGGGGCCAGATAAAGAAAAGTCGTGGTGCGATGGCCGTCAGGCCCTATGACGACCACTCTCCAGGACGGTTGCTCGTCTCGTAAACGATCACTCACTCACTCACTCATCAACGATGGTCAACTGGAACCGCGTCTGGTACGATGGTCGCGACTCTGGTGTAGCTGACATCCAGGGTGGTGGGTACCACATGCCTCATCGGGTTCATCTCGTACTCCAGCCAGATCTTCCTCATCTGGCCGTGGTACGGGAGGGAGGTGAGCGTCGACCTGCTCAAGCTCCTCATCCCTTTCAAGTGCGATGCCAAGCAAGGTTGAAGCTGACCATCAGTCTCCTCGTCTGCATGGTGTGGTGGAACTACCGCCTCTGTGTCATCACCGAGCCTGGAAGTGTGCCAACAGGATGGGTGAGCACTGTCTCAGCGGAAGGCTACGACGCGTCGGAGGGGAAAGGCGCCATTCAGCTGACATCGACAGCGCCCAAACCTTGACGGGTCCGAGCATGTTGAAGTGAAGCGCTCCTCATCTGCGCCGCGTTACTGCAAGATGTGCGACCACTTCAAACCACCCCGCGCGCACCACTGCCGAACCTGCAACGCCTGTGTCGTGAGTGGTGTTCATGAAGCTGCGCTGACAAGCAGTTGAAAGTGTGTCCCGAGAGCCTAGGTGTGCCTATATGTACTGACACTTCTTCCTTTGGCCGTACAGCTTGACCGTGAGCTGTCCAACAGGTGCATCATGACTGACGTCCAGACCATTGCCCATGGATCGCTAACTGTGTGGGTTACTTCAACCATGCCCACTTCATCCGTTTCCTCCTCTGGGTCGACATTGCCACTTCATACCACCTCCTCATGGTGTGTTCCAAGGTCATGGATATTATCCGTAATCCATTCGTGAGTACTGTCACAGGATCCGTGCCTGCTGACGATCAGGACGAGCCGTCGCTCAGCGAGCTCCTCTTCATGGTCTTCAACTTTGCGGCTTGCGTCCCCGTGTGGCTCTGCGTCGGCATGTTCTCGCTGTATCACCTCTGGCTTGTATCCGGTAACACGACAACCATCGAGCGCTGGGAAAAGGACAAGGTATCGACCATGGTTCGTCGTGGCAAGATCAAGGAAATCAAGTATCCCTACGTAAGTCACGCACACAGGGTCAACCAGTCGGCTAATGTGATAGAACATTGGCACGCTGGCCAATCTGAAAGCCGTCCTCGGTCCCAATCCGCTCCTCTGGCTCTGGCCCCAAACGCAGAGTGGCACAGGTCTCTCGTACCCAGTCAACGCGGACGGTGAGTCAGAAGACGACTGGGCGGGAGCAGTCCACCCGGAGCAGGTGGTATTCCGCGGAAGCGGCCCTACGCGCGGTCCGGAGTTTGCATCTGGGTCATCTACGGACACGGACCAGCTTCAGGCGCGACTGCGGGGCCACCTCCGCGCCGACGACATTGTCTGAACCCCCTAAACAGTGAGTGCTGCGGGCAGTCAGCGACAGCGGCCTCGGCACCTCCCCGCATACGTTAACACACAGACAGTTTCTTGCGCTGACACGATTTCTGCTCTCTTCAGACACGGCGGCGCAATACTCCTGGCCGCCACGCGACCCCATCAAGGATTTTGCGAATCGCGGTCAACCTCAGCTGGACGGCGACCCCTTCGTGTACGGTGGGGACGGGCTCAACCCTGTCCTCATGAAGAACCACACTCGTGTACGGCGACGCAAGTACGTCCCACCTTGGGAGAACGCTGTCAACTCGGACGACGAAGTGGCGGAGGCCACTGGAAGCGAGAGGAGCTCGTCTTCGCCGGAGCCGTATCTTTCAGACTATGACTCAGACGACGTTCCATTGGCATATCACGCCTCGCAGTCGATGCGTGTTAGGAGAGGGAGTGAAGGATGGGAGGTGCGGCCTGCGCCTGGATGGAGTGAGGGGTCGGCTAGTTGGACGCATGATGTGGAGAATGGGAGGGCTAATCCGTGGGAGCGGCCTGGAAGGTACAGAGTGTACGATGACGACAATTAGACAGAGACATACATGCCTTGCGACAAATTCACTAGATAGGACGGACGATTGCTGTTCTTCTCTTTGACACCCATGTATAGAGACTATTTGACTGCTATCCTCTTTCCTTTCCCTCCTGCTCTTCACAAGTACACGAGGTCAGTCCTTTCCGTGCACTCGGCCAATTGTATGTCGCCGTCAGTCGTTCAGCTCACTACATGCATAACATGCGTTGACCTGGCTCAAGTAACTTCACAGGACTCCTCCTCTGCATGCTGCTGTCTCAGTCCATCGCTCAGGCACATGCAAAGTGGTGCAACATACGGAAAGTAACCCTCGTCTGCCACAACTGGACAGAGTCGCAAACGACGCCGCGCTTTGGTTGGTGTCCTGTGAGGAGTCTTGTTACGATATGATGCATAGAGACGAAGAAAGATACGGATCGCACTCTAGTTAGTGCGAGCGTGCAGTGGTGCGAGCGTGCACGCTCGCACCACTGCACGCTCGCACCGTACGGAACCAAATTGTAGTCGCGCGCGCACGACTGAGAGTGGCACTTGCAACAAGGAGAGGGCTTAGAGGCTAGGTAGAGACGAGCCGCCCGGACCTCCCGGTGTCTTGCCATCTTGTAGCCCTCGTTTCGCTGGGCAGGCGGCGGCCGTTGTCGCCTGTAATCAAATCCTCTGCCATCAGAACGTCGTTGTTTATATGAACCAGAAGGGGCTACCACAATGGGAAGCCATGGTGGGATTCGAAAACGTTGAGGTGGGCGCAATTGCCGAGGGGAGAGTGAACAGAGTGGGGCTGGGTATGTAGGAGTGAGGTAGCAGTGAAGTGCGAAGGTTAGAGGGGGAGTTTACGTCATGCACCGTTTAGACCACCTTCGTCATCGGCATTGTCGTTGATGAAGCCCTTCACCCTCTTGACCGCCGTTGTGTCGGATTCAAGGTTCCTGTGTTCGAAGTATGTGGTGATATGTAGTCTTCTCGGGAGCCGGTGGGGCTCTGTTTCCAGATCAGACAGGGCCCATCACTGGCGGCAAAGAGCACATCAATCTGGTCAATGGTGTTGTCACAGAGTCGCCTCGGAAACCGGGTGGGGTGCTGCTTCCCAATCAGACGGGCCGACCCATCACTGCAGCCTAAAAACCACACAGTAATCTGACCCTTGGTGATGATAGGGAGGCAAATGGGGTTGGCGGTGCGTCAGATTTGGATCAGAGTTGACATGCTTCACAGAGGAGGTGCGAGCGATGGAACGTCTGGTCTTGGTGCACAGCCTGGACCGTCAGCTTCGGTTCGGGGTTGGGAGCTCACGAAGGACGAGATCCACCCTGCACTGTCCGGTTCAAAACGTTCAGCGTGCCCATCCTGTCGGGGGGAGCGCGTACGAGCCTCTGGGTAGTAGCACCAACCATGGGCGGCGTCGAGGTGGGAGGTGGGGCTAGGGCAAAACTTGTCGGCGCCAATCTCTGGCGCACGTACCCTCCTCTGACACGTAGACCTCAATCCATTGGGGAACCCTTGGGTTGGTAGTTGTGCTGGTGGTGGTGGTGGGCCAGCTCTGACAGTGTGTGGCCGCTGATATTGAGTATTGGAGCACTCGCTGGTGGGAAGCTCGGCGGCACCGGGATCACCTCAGAGAGGGGGATTGGCCATCACGAACAGGACAACGAAGCCCAGACCGGTGCTACTTGCGGGCCCACAGGCATCTCCTCATCTCCTGGAAGCCTTGGACCTCGTGGTCAATAACCAGAACTTGATGCTACTGAACAGTTAATCCTCCATGGCGTGGTAGGTGATGGTATTGATAGTTGACAAATCTGAACGAAGAGGGATGGGTCATTGGCGACAATCACCTCGCGCCCTACCAGAGGCAGGTGGGATCAGTGGTCAGTAGTCGCGATACATGGCCGATTACAAGGATGGTTTGGGTACCAATTGTTACAGGGCATGCGATTGAGATCCAAAACATACTACTTTGCATCTTGAGTATGTACATATTGCAGAAACAGAACAAGGGACTCTGCCACTACTCTCCTTAATTTATACCACGCTACACCTCCTCAAGGCGCCGCTTGAAGCGGCGGATGGTAGGAGCGATGGGGGTGTGGGCCTTGTTGAAAGATGTATTAATGAGGGTGTGGTCTGGCGCGGTCTCGAGGGGCTCGGACTGCTCCTTGGAATCCTGCTCGGCCGTCAGACCCAAATCCATGACATTGGCAGGGGATGGAACTTACTTCAGCCGTACTAGCCTCGATGTTGACTTGGGCCTTGGTCTCCGCGGCCTGCGTGATGTGGCTGTGCTTAATCTGGGTCGTCAAAATCCAATGCGGATGGCCACAATGGTAGTGCAGTGCACTTAGTACGTACCTTGGTAGCCGCGGGGGAGTCGGCCACATCCTTGGGCTTGGGTTCGCAAGCTTGCTCGTGTCGGGTTGCTGTCAGACTTCAATGTGGATGGCAACAGGAACAGTCGTATACAGGGTGGCTTACCTGGTGCTGGGCGACAGCATTCGCATCGTGCTGCTCGCCGGGCTTGCCCTCGCCCTGGGTGGTCAGATCAGAATTCAGTGAAGATTCAATTCGACTTACGGGGCTGGCAACTTGGGTAATGGCCATGGAGGTCATGTTGGCAATCACCGCCTCGACGGCGGGCTGGGTCGTCAGACCTCAGTCTAGTGCGGGCGGTCGCACGACATTGGCACTTCCCTCGGGGGTGACATTCATGGCGACGACAGCGGGGAGGCAGGCGCAGTTGATAACCTTGGGGGTCGTCAGATACAAAAACAAAGCACGTCGTGACAGGGAATTGCCACTCAAGGGTACTTGCTTCATTGGAAGACGCGTGCTGGTGGCACTGGGTGCTCATCGCCAGGGCGCTGATCATATCAGTGTCCTGTTCCTCGTCAACGCCATAGTCGGGTGACGACCTTGGTGTGTCCGCGGTCCATGACATGACCTGTGCTTTTTGCAGCGGCCCTTGTCCACCCAGATGAACGGGATCTGCGCCTCCGTGTAGTGGATGGTTGATGAAGTCGCGTCCGACTCGTGGCCCGCGCCGTCGTCGTCGGCGGCCTGGTTGTGGGAAGAGGTAGCCGAGGCATCGGACTCGTAGCCGGCGCCGTCGTCGTCGGCCTCGCTGTGGGAGTAGGTGGATGAGGGGGTCCGACTCGTCGGCGCCGTTGTCGTCCTCGTCCGACTCGTACTCCTGCAAAACGAGGAGCGCACTGGAGAGGTTCGAGGACGTAGAAGGGGGCGTGATCATACCGTTGATGCTGGTGCCGAGAGCAAGGGACGTGCTGGACGCCTTTCCCGGGGAGGACCCTCGAGGAGATGAAGGGGACGAGGTGGGCCGACATGGTGAATGGCCTGTGGTTAGAAAGAGAAAAAGAACAATGAAAGTGTTGTTACGATATGAGGCATATGTATGTAGAGACAAAGGGAGATACGAATTGCACTCTAGTCAGTGCGAGCGTGCACGCTCGAAGTATACGGAACCAAAGCGTGATCGCGCACGACTGAGAGTGGCACTTGCAACACTCCTTTGACATGTGGTGCTCAGCAACAGGAGTGTCCTGTTTATTGACGGCGGCGCCAGTCATGAAAGTATGGCCGTCGATACCAACAGTGAAGTTGGGTAACATTTCCTTGATCTGGCGGTTGCCGTGATCAACCGTCTGAGGCAGAACATACGACGCAGTTCCGACCCCTCCCTCCCCCCTATATTGTAATGCATTAGTGTGTCATCATCCACAAGTGCGTTGCGCTGGTGGTGAAAAAGGTCAGTAGTCGTGAGTCAATCTTGGTGTCGACAGAGAAGAGAGAGAGGCGGGGTTTGCAACGTGTCCAATGCGAGGCGGGAAGGGACAGGAGAATGGTATGTACATGCATTTCGGTATCCCAACCGGACCAGCTGGTTGGACGTGGGGGAGCGAATATATGTAAAAGAGACGGCGCACATGCACGGGCGAGGGCCGACACGGTACGGGGTGTTGCGAACCCGGGTTCTTACGTCCACATCCTTGTGACAAGGGACCATGCCCAACGGACACCGACGCGTCCCGGAGCTTGGGTCGGGGCGTTGGAATGGACGTTGGACGGTTGGGCACCAGTGTTACCTCCAGGCAGGTGGCCAAGCGAGGGAGGGAGGAGGTTGGTCACCGTGTGATTGGGGTTGTTGATTTGGTTCAACACTCCCGCCTGCCAGAATAAAGGTGCATTGACAGGCCAGGTAACACGAGGGGCTGAGTTGGCGTCAAAGCGTGGAGCAACGAGTTGACTGGTTGACCAAGCACAGGCGTTAAAGGGGGGACAGGGGTCGGAGACAATGTCTGGGTGGAAAACGGGTTCAAGGCGGGTGTAGGGAGGCAAAGAGACGAAGGGTGCGGCATCTTCAACGTCCTCATATTGAGGTGGTGCTTCGCCTTGTGTGTTTGGCGGCTCTCGAAGGAGAGCTCCGCGAGCCTGGCGTCGCGCAATAACACGCTCGAGCCTTGAGTTTGGTGGGACAGGGCGGGACGACGAGGCCGGGCTTGCGGCGAGGGGTAGAGCTGCCTGTTGGTTGGACACTGATGGCGCGCGCGCAGGATGGTGGTGGTGCTCTGGAGTGTACCTGGCGTTGTCGGCAAGGTACTGTGCGAATGCGCGGAATGGTGCAATGGTGCATCACATGCCAGCAATCCCAACCAGGCCGGCTGGTTTCATGTGGGGAGGACTACATACAGAAATGTTCCGAGTTGTCTATCCCCACCACCGAGTGGCGAGGAGCCAGACACGACGAAGAATGCCAGCGCGGCCAGCAAGTACAGGGTTGTTGTTGGTGGGAGGAGCAACAGGAATGACAGGGTGGTTGTTAACAACAGGCGCAACCGGAGGTGCCGAGTGGGCGTTGAGAACATTGGTCGGAACGGCAGCCTGCCAAAACAACGGACCCTGGGCGGGCCATGAAGCTGGTGGGGCTTGGCCAAGGTCGAACCTTGGCGCAATGACCTGGGTTGAGCACCACACGTACGCGTTGTACGGTGGGCATGGGGGAAGGAATGTGGCGATCAGAGACTGGAGCAAGGTCGGCATAATCGGGCACGGTTGGGGAGTGCGGAATAGCGTCTTGGGAGTCCTTGTCGTAAGGGGGTGGGTGGATGTCGCCTCGGTTGCGAATGCCGGCGCGCACGCGACGTTGTTGAGCAAAGTGTTGGAAGCGGGACTCTGCGCGGTGGCGTGGGAGGCGAGAGGGGACAGATTCGTGACCGCTGGAGACGGGGGGTGGGCGCGCCACCAGCGGGTTAGGTTCCGGGTCGGAGACGTTGGACAAAAGGAACTGGTGGAAAGCAAGGCGACTTGCCGACTCCCTTGCCTCGACGTCCGCGCGGTACAGCGCACCAAGCATTTGGCGGCGCTTTCGTGTCATTTCCTGCAGCTGCTGGCCCGTGCGACGCCGGGCGAAAGGAGGCTTGACGAGCGCGTTCGCCGTTGGACGGTGGCGCAGAGCTGGCGCCACGGTGGATGGCCCATCGCCGAGGGAAGGAGAGGGCCTCTTGCAAGGGGTGGTCTCGTCGACAATGGTAAGCATGCACAGGTCGTAAGTCAAGTCCTCCAGCTCGGGACCCCCCACTGGGGGTGCTCCATCTGGAGGTCTGCAAACGCCTCGATCAGTCCAGCAATGTCCGCTGTAGGTGTGCGAGCAGTGCGGCCCGGCTGGTGGGAAATAACGCGGGACCTCGGGACTTAGGAGGCGACACTAGCGTCCGCGGCAGGACGGACACGAATTAGCTGGAATCCGTGCTGGGAAACAACGTCGACCAGGATATCGAGGACGGCACTCCCCGAGTTATACGTGGCGGTGACCTGCACGTTCTGGATGTCAATGACGAGATATCGAGCACCCAGTACTCACGATTGACAAGGGACTTGGGGCAGAAGCGCTGTGGACGCCCGTCTGCTACCAAAGTCAGCCACAGCCACAGCCACAGCCACAGCCACAGCCACAGCCACAGCCAACCATTACTCACCCGGTTTACAACGCCCGTGACTTCCATGGTTCCTCCAGGTATGGGCGGCAGAAGCTTGATGCGACCCCAGAGGGCGAAGGAGAGGGTGGGAGGGGGTGGTGATGGTTGTTCAACAAGGAAAAGAGTCGAGGTGGTTGCCAAAGGACAAAAACGAGCAAGACGAACGGGAGGACGGGTGGATAAGAGATAAAAATGAGACTGTGAACAGGAGAAAGAAGAAGAGACGTTGTTGAGAGCGACAGTCCCCAAGATGACAAGAAGAGGAGGGAGAATGGGTGAGGGAAGGTGAGGTGGGAGGAAGACACAAAGGAAGACGATACATCGCTGGACTTATAAACCCAGCCGCAGTCTCTGTGGATGCTCGCTCGCCCATTTCTGGTCCTCTGGGAAATGCGCCACAGGGAGGGTGAGTGTTGGACATTTTGCATTTCGTCGCTGGCAAAGATACAGGGTCGGGGTGGGTCGAAATGAAGAAGGATGCAGAGTAAAGAATACCTACGGGAATTACAAGGATTATGTTTTATTTTTTGTAGATATGAGGGCGCATTTGATACCATGTGGCGCAACACCAACAGGGTACACCACCCAGTGGCGAGGAGCCAGACGCGACGAACGATACCCACGGGGCCAGGAGTTACAGGGAGGTTGGCCGGGAGGTTGACCGGGGGTGGGGCAGTGGCACATGTGCTGCCTGTAGCGGCATTCACCTGAGCGGGAGTGGAGTTGAGCTTCGCGGCAGGGGTTGGGTTGTTAACTTGGTGCAGAATGGAAGGTTGCGAAAATAGGGGAACATGGGCAGGCCATGTGGCTTGGCGTGTTGAGTTTGCGTCAAACCGTGGCTCGATGAGTCGTATGGAACACCAATTGTATGCATTGAAAAGTGGGCTGGGCTCTGCAGGGATGTTCCTGTTGAATACTGGTGCCAGCTGGGTGTAGGTGTCGTTACGATATGGTGCATAGCGACGAAGAGAGATACAGATTGGCCTCTAGTTAGTGCGAGCATGCACACTCGCACCGTGCAGAACCAAAATGTGGTCGCGCACGACTGAGAGTGGCACTTGCAACAGTAGGCAGGTACCGTTGGGGAGTCTGGCAGACGAGTGTCTTCGATATCCACCTCCTCGTAGGCGGGTGGCAATCCGGGTGGGGCAGTGCCGCCTTCGCTACGGAGACCGGCGCGGATGCTAGGTCGCTCAACAAAGTGGTCGAAGCGGGAGGCTTCTCGCACACAGGCCTCCCGCGGCAACGTGTCGGCTGGCGTGTGCGCCCTTTTGAAGGGAGAGAGACCGGGTGTCGAGAAGCCAGAGACTCGGAGACAGGCGGTTACGGCATGTAAACGTGCAGTCGGGTGCCAAAAGGCTCGGCCGGCTCGGCCCGGCTTGAGCAACGTGCAAGCGGATGGAATGTTGTTGTCACTGGAAGATGGTGTACTGTATGTACGTACAAATCGAGTCGTGGGGTGACTGATCTGGATTGTGCAACAGCTAAAGACCTGCTGTTGGAGGAAAGTGTCTGCCTTTTCAACGACCAGTTCTGCCATATGACAGCAACAGAAGAGGATCATTATTGAGCCGTTGGCTGGTTTCTGGACGTCCGTCGAAGTGCGCCATATTGTGCCCCCAAACACGACACACGTCTCAAAGATGTGCGGAAAGGACGCGTGGTCGAGCGCTGGTAGGGTGGGGGAAGGTGGTGTGACCGTTATGTATCATTGTGGCGATCCACTGTTCCGTATCAGCCACAAGGCGGAGAAGTAGGGAGTAGCTGGGTTTCTCTCGAGTTGAGGAGTGTCACTTGTTCAAGTGGAAACTTCACACGATTGTGTTCAATGTGGAGGTGGAAATCGATGCCTCAGCCTACGCCCCTGATTTGTGTGACCGACATTTCCCGTCGCAGAGCCGGCGATGGAACCGGGATGATTGTCCTGGGTGGCCAAATTGATGGCCACAATGACAGTGGCATACAATGGGTATTTACGTCCCCGGTAGCAAGCGGGGGTTGGTGACGGCGACCTTGGCCTGAGTTGTCAGATTCCAATGGGGATGAACCGGGAGTGTAATATGGACTTACCTTGCTGGCTGATTGTGGCAAGAGCCTCGCCAAAGCCCTTGCGTCCCTTGCTTTGTCACCGGCTGTGTGGCTATGGTGGATGCAGCAGAGACATTGATATGACAAGAAACGGGGTAAAGACTAGAAAAAAGACAGAGAGAGAGAGAGAAGGCGAATTGAATGTCCAATATATGTGGTTGAGTGGACTCCGGCGTGTCAAACCGCGCCCGCCTTCCATCTGGCAACAAACACGCGGCCCACCCTGCCGGGCCTGGAAATTCAGAGAGCTGGCGAAATAACGCGCGCATCCACCCCGCCATGCCCCTCCCAGGGGGATTGGCAAACGCCCCGCATACCCACGCATATCGCTGCCGTGTGTCTTTTGAGAGCGAGGAAGACCACACTTTACGAGTCCCCCCTTCGCAACCCTCAAACCCAACCACTGTCGTCGCGAGCGCTCTCCCGGGTTCCAAGGCGCACCTGAAGGCCACAAGGAACAGACCCAAGGAAGGGGGCCGAGCAAAATCATGGGAACTACACACACACACACTCACAAGGGAAGAACCTTTCTCGATCTTTGGGCGCGCGGGCTCCTCAGCTCTCGCTGAGATTGTTTTTCAATTTCCTTGATTTGTTTGAATTTTGCTGTTTTCTCAATCGCGCTTCCAGCGCTGTTAGCCTGGGGTATTTGCCCACTCTTGACGTTATACGGGCGTCTGTTAAGGTGTGCCGTGCTGTCTTACTTGATCACTCGTCAGAGCGTACCAGTCGCCATCAGCCCTTCGCCCAAGCCCAGCCACAATCGAGCGCACGTTCAGCGCCGGCTGGAGGCAACCAAATGGGTTAAGCGGGACAGTATCATAGTATTACATGCTAGAATTTACCCCTTGGAATGCTTGGATGTGCGTGTGTGCATACTAGGTCAGGCTCCTGGAGATGACCACCCCACCTCTGGCTGCCGTCACTGCTGTGCGTGGACCAATATTGAACCGGAGCCCGATGGAGAGGCTTACGGCTGTCCTCCCTGGCGCCACATTCATCCGTCCACTCTGCGGCGTGGGCGAGAAGCGAGTTATTTTTGGAATTTTTGAACGTGTCCACGGAATTCATCTCTGTTTGACACAAGATATGTAAGTAAGCTTTCATACCCCGGAGAGTACCACTGTGGCTTTCTCAAGTCAGTCCTTGACGCTGTACTGGTTACACAGATCGTATACTGGCACTGACAGCGATATTGTGCAACGGATGTTGCATGAATCGCAGAGAGAGACGGATGGTGCTCTATCTACGGTTGCGAGGGAGCACGCTCGCACCATTGCACAGAACCAACTGGTACTCGCGCACGACTGAGAGTGGCACTCGCAACAGTTATGACACTAGATGACCCCGCTGCATTTTCCTGTTTGTCGGACCTGTGCCCAGTGCCTCAAGATGACAGTGAATCTCCAGCTGGCTGGTTATGTCATGGCCAGTGTTAGCAAGAGCTTTTATTATGCTTCCTAATGGGCACGCTTGCGACAGTCAGTAGTGTTGGAGGGGCACTGTGCTCGGGCTCGGGCTCAGGATCTCATAGTCTCCCTTCATAGTCTCCGAGCACGCATCTCTCTTCTCTCTCTTCTATGCAACTCGTTTCAACAAGTAGCAGAAGATAGATGTAGCCCCCTCGACAGGGACGTTGTGGGAAGCGCAGCGGGACCGCCAAAGATACCGTTAGAGTCCATTTCATGTCGCCGTCGTTGGCAAAACAAGTATGTATCTGAGTCCGAGCGCTTGCGGCTTTGTGACCGTGCATAAAGGTCGGCGCAGTCCTTAGTGGCCCATAAATTCCAGGCAGATAGGACAGTGTGCATACGCCTGTGGCACATGGCGCTCCAGCCTGCGCTCGATGGTCGCCTCTGGGTCGGGTTGAAAGACCGTAAGGAGGAACGCGGCCTTGCCCAGGGGCTGAAGTGCGGAGAGGCTGACGGGATACTGAGCTTTTAAAGAGTGATGAAGACTGAGCGAATGCCTGATGTTAGTGTAGTCGGAGATGTTTGGAAAAGACTGAACGCCGAGGAGTATGTTGAAGGTGGCGGCGAGCTTGGGCGCGGACGACTGCGCAAGGGAGCCACCTTGATATCCAGGCGGAGACACTAAAGCGGGGTCCACCACAGCCGTGTCGCAGCATTGTGTGTTGCTACCATGGTGTGGCAGTGACCGTAGAACAACGAGGTCTTGGGGCATAATCAACGCGGGGGAGCGAGATCCTTGGCCGTGGGAGAAGCAACCTTGTTGCTGAGTTGAGACGATCTTCATTTTGTCGTTACCAACGTCCTTTATGGACAGGCTGAGCTGTGACAGTGTCAGTTTTGCATTGGGTTCAAAAGAAGAGAACCTCACAACCTGCTCCCTGTGTTTATGTCAAGATGGTGGCAGCCGCTGCAATTGCTGTCCCCTTCGAACGACGCTCGGGTGGTCCTGTATGTGATGAGTGAGAGTTCCAGGGTAGCTAATACCCTGGTACTGAGGTTGTGAGTGTCGCTGAAAGAAGGAGGAATGAAGCGGGCGTTGAGAGGCGAACACTGTTGGTACTGCAGTGCGATATCTCCCCGTCGGCAAATTGATGCGCGCATTCCTCGGTGACGAAAGAAACACGGCGAGGGCGTCGGCTTCGGGGCTTGGTGTGTTGGGTTTGTACGCCTGGGAGTGCTGCAATAGACGTGCATTATGACGCCTTTGCCTGCTTCGCAGTTCCCGTCCAGGTGGGAGTGCCGGTGGTCCAGCTGGACCGGCGGTTCGTCGCCGTCTTCAGAGCCGGAGAGGATAGGCCCGTGGAGCTGGTTTTGCCGTACTGGGGAGGGGCGGCGCAGTGTTGAGCGGCTTCACAGTCGTATCGGGATTGTAACGATGCGGGTGCGGTGGTAGGAGGGTGCAGAAGAAGGTATGCAGTGCCGTGGTGTTGATGACAAGGCGCTCCTGGCAAATGATTCTCATTGCTACATAGGTGGTCCGTGGAGTAGTCGTTCTCTTCGAGTGACGTGGAGGGACCTTTTGTGACGTCGAACGGGCGTTGTACTCAAGTCTCTGTGTGCGGGGCATGCGGACCTCGCTCTCCTCTTGATACCTGCGGACGGACACGAGAGACGAGAGAACTTGTCCTTCTTAGCCGTGTGGAGGCCACCTTCGTCATCGGCATTGTCGTTGATGAGGCGCTTCACCGTCTTGACCGCCGTTGTGTCGTATTCATGTTCCTGTGTTTGAGGTACGTGGTTACATAGTCTTCTCGCGCGCCGGTGAGGTTCTGCTTGCAGATCAGACGGGGCGGCCCATCACTGGGGGCAAAGAATCACTCATCAATCTGGCCGATGGTGTCGTCGCAGATTTGCCTCGGGAACCAGTGGAGTGCTGCTTTCCGATCAGACGGGGTGGCCCATCACTGGAGGCAACGAACCCCTCAGTAATCTGGCCCATGGTGATGATGGTAAAGCAAATGGGGTTGGCGGTGCGACAGATCTGGATCAGACATGGGATGCTTCACAGAGGACGTGCGACGAAACGTCTGTGTGTCTTGGTCCACAGCCTGGATGGAAAAGATTGCTGCAGCCGTCAGCTTCGGTTCAGAGTTGAAGAGAAGGGGAACTCATGACGAACTATGAGATCCACATAGTGCACTGTCCGGTTCGAGATGTTCGGCGTACCCATCCTATGGGGGGGGGGGGGGGGGGGGGGGGGGGGGGCGTGCGTACGAGCGTCTGGGTGGTGCAGCGACCATGGGCGGCGTCGAGGTGGGAGTTGGGGCGGTTAGTGCCAACTTGTCGGCGCGATCTCTGGCGCACTTTGCCGTCCTCTGAAACGTCGACCTCAGCAATGGGAGAAGCCTGGCGTTGGTGATGGGGCTAGCCCTGACAGTGTGTGGCCGTTGATATCGACAATGAAGCGCTGGAAAGCGTCCTTCAGCTTGTGCTTGTCGAGATCAACCGTGTGAGGGTCATGTCGACGTGTCGACAGAACCCGAACACGCGGGGGCTCGAGTTCTTCCACGCTACAAGGTATCGGCCTGTCGCCATCCACATGTATGTTGCTCTTGCGCTGGCGAGGGTGCATGGCAGAACGTTTTGAGCGGAGGCTGAACTGAGGCAGGGAGAGGTCGAGGTCGACGTTGAACGTCCTCGTAGCTGTCCGTTGTTGACAGAAAATCTGAACTGTCGTGCGACGCTTGAGTGATGGAGTGGTGCGGAACCGCCATTGTCGCCGCTGCTGCCTCGTGCGGCCAAGTCAGGTAATTCTGGAACGCGGCCGCTCTGGGGAAGCCAAAGGAACCGCCGACTAGGAGCTCAGGTTGGCGTGCTCCACACCTGCGGGCTGAAGACAACATAAGAGGGATGTAGAGGGGGGAAGAGAAACGATCCTGGGAGAGCTGGCAGGTCGAACGCTTTGACATACCTTGATCGCCGACAATTCGGGTGGGAGGGGTGTGTTGGACAGGATGGGATTAGGGGATGAAGGGGATGAATGGGATGAATGGAATGAAGAGGATGTGTGGTTAACGAGATGAAGGAGTTCCTACATCACGGGATCATCATCAGTGTATCAGTCTGTCACCATTGAACGGATAGTAAGCTCAAGTGCTCAGTGATCTGTACGTGCATCAAAAGCAACTAGCAAAGCAAGTGCATCGGTAAACACGAGCTATAAATGGAGTCAAAGAACCGGTAGAACTGGCACAGTGCGCAGTGGGCTTGGGGGTGACAGGTTCTAAGCGTCGACAGGCTTGCGCTGAGCGCGACGCTTGTTCTTCGGAATTGGCGCGAAGTACTGGGCGTCGTCACACTTGTCGCCCTTGATGACGCGAGGCGATCCGGGCCAGAGGGGGAGCGCGGGCTTGACGAGGTTGACCTGTGTAACGAGGGTGTCAGTCTCGCAATTCAGGTATGTATAAGAGGAGAGATACTCACGAGCTTGGGCAGGTCGCGACCGCCGACGTCCTCGTCCTCGTTCCTGCCGTTCATCTCCGCCCAGGTGCGCTTACGCGCTCCGGAGCTGTAGATTTTCTTTCCAGCCTTGAACATAACCTTCTTAATCTTAAAGATGACATAGGACGAAACGGCCAGAGCGTACGTTCCGTCGGGGTTAAACTTGTCCTTCTCGAGGGTCTTCTGGACGACAGTGCAAACAGGGAGCTGGTTCTCGCCAATGTTGTCGAACTTGTCGAGCTTGTCAGGCTCGTCGTCGGAGCTCGATTCGTCTTCCAACTGGAGGTCCTTGAGTTGGTTGGCGAGAATCAGATCACGGAAGAGAGACATGGTGTTGATGAGAGTGTTTGGAAAGAAGAGAAAGTGAGAAGCAACGGCGGGCACCCAATAAATACATTTCAGCCGCTGCCTGGGGCTGCCTAGGCTGCCTCTACTGACCAACCATGCCAAACCGCGCTGGAGACAAAACAGGAAGCGGAACAGCCAAGGATATGGGGCAGGAAAGAGGGGGGGGGGGAGAGAGAGATGTGTGTTTGGGCATTTTGGATTTTGTCGCCGGCAAAAAAACAGGGTCGAGGTATGTGCGATGTCGTCGCCCAGCTGTTCTGCTGCTGTCTGGATCTCTGTCTGCGCTACCCCCTCTCCCCCACCGGTCGCCTCCATTCACTCTTAGTTTGGCTACTGGGTGTGCGTGCAGGAACGTCGAGGGGGTCAATGTGTCACCAATCCTTGGCGCGTGGGTTGCGCGGTCCCGTCGCGGCCTGCCGAGTGTGTCTGCTGAACGCAGGCCGAGGGGACACGGTGTGGGGTGGCAGGTGGGGGGGGGGGAGTCTCCCGCACGCGCGAGCCGGTGCCCGGTGGGGGAGATGAATACGTGTGCAGGCGGTGTGTGTCTTCACACACCGGGGCCGTGTTGTCGCCACCGACGTCCTGTTGGGTCTAGGGCGACCGTCTGCCGGCCCGTTGGGACCCACACACGGTTTTGTTGTAGATGGACAGTCATCCCAAATTTTCGGTGCAGATTCCATGCTTCGGAGTGCTTGGATGTGTGGATGCATGCTTTGCGGTGGCTCGAGACCCAAACTGGGCGGCGGGGTTGGGTGGTCGTGTGTGGGTGTGGGTGAACTGCGTTCCTGAATTCGAAGATTGCGGGGCCACAATGTCGCCACCAGTGTGTGGCATTCCGTCCGGCCCCGGGTGCCACCCACATCAGAATTTCCTGCCCACACTGCAATCTTCACCACCAGATACATGCTCACAGAGAATAGCTTCTTGCTTCCTTCAATGTTGTCCTCGACAAAGGTCGTTGCTGGGTATACGTTTTGGCAGCCGGTTGCCGCAACTAGATAGCCGGCTCCCGAGTTTTGGGTGGACAGAGATACGACGGGAGCGGCGAGAGCTGTCCGCCGGCAGTGGCATCCCCCATTGCCATGTCCCGGTCGTCTTCAATGGAGACAACTGGCAACCGGTCAGCATGAGTACAAGCATGTGTGGTGGCGTGGCCATGCGCTCACCACTCGCCGCAGTCTGCAATGGCCAAGGGTGCGTCATGCATGTGGGACAGGATTTGCGGACAAGACGGTGCGGATCTGCCGTGGCATTGCCGCTTTCGGAGCCGTCGAGTAAATGTCCTCGCACCAGGACTGCTCTTGAGAGTTTGCTTGTGCGGTCTTGTATGAGGCTCCTCTGACACGGCCTGGTCATTCAGACGTTCAACTCGCGCATGCCTCGAGCTTTCGTGAGGCGAATGTCGTTTGGAGTACGACAACCACCAGGTTTGCCGTGATAAGCGCGGCAATGAAAGTGGCCTTTTCCCTATCAATCCGTTGCTTTTCGTTTCTCCCTTTGACATTGTGGCTTGGTCGGGGCAACTGGAGGCGCAGCACGGTATGCACGCGATGTGCATGGAACCTGCTGCATCCCTTTGCGGTATGCTGGAGTAACTCGTTGAATGGCTGGAGTAACTCGGCGTGTGGTGTGGCGGAGTGCGGGATGGGAGGCACCGGCGGCAGTGGCCGCAGTCGTCTTCGATTCCGCGTTGCAGCTTTCACTGTTCTTTACAGGCACGGACTACGCTGGGCGTGTGGGTATGGGGAATCTTGCTTGAGAGGACACAACGAGCATCTTGGCCACGGAATGCGAGTAGCGACCTCGCTCCGCTGCCTGGCGGAGAATTGTTGTGTCCCGATCGGACACTGCTCGGATCGGCGCTAGCAAAGCAACTGCCGGGCTCTCCGCACTAGAGAGGTCGATGCCGGCGGCTGGGATGTGGCTTGGCGTCTGGCGCATGTGGTCGTGGTGGTCACTGCGTGTGTTGTTCTGTTCGCTCCGGAGGTGAAGCTGGGGGTCGAGAGGCGGCGTGGCGGAAATATGGCGGGTCCAGGCGACGGGATAAGGTGTTGCTGCCTGCGAATGGTGGTCAGGATGTCGCACCGCCATCTTGCGGAGCCACAGTACCCACAGGCCTGCGCCGACTGTTGCTGCATGGGAACCCCCACACAGCCAGAAAGTCCAGCTGCAAGCACATCTTTTGGCGGTGTGGCGATGCGGCATCGTGACATCGTGGCGGTCAGTTCTTGAGAGAGCCTTGAATATTCGCATGGTGGGCTGAACGTGAGCCGCGGTCGAACACGCCACCAAAGTGGATATTCAGGGTCCGGTGTTGTGCTGGTTAGAACCCTTGCAGAGGCCGTGCACAGTGCGAGGGTATAGTGTGAGGGTGAGGCGTGGGCGATCACAAGCCGTCCGCGGCGGTCGATCACCGGGCTGCCACCACCGAATCTGGGCGATTGTTGCCACAACGCCACAACAGCAGGCGGTCAACGTCCATTGACATGCGTCCGCACCATGATATGGGCAAGGGCGAAGCACTTGCCCACGTATGAGACACGGAGACACGAGAGTTCCATCAACCGCGTGTGGCTAGACAAGAGTGTGACCAGGAGCGGCTGTCGATAAGCAAGGTTCGAAACAGGTGCACTCTTCCGGATGCGGTCGGTTGCAAATGCTTGTGGTGCGCGATGGACTCGGCCTTGGCCGGTCGGTTTGCCGGTCGGTGTGGTTGCACTTGGGGGAGGGGGGTCATGGACAAAGGACGGGAGACACAGAGAAGATCGTCGACAGAGAGAGAGCCCGGTCCGAAGGGTGAAAGGATTGCGTGCCCATTTGCTGCCGCTCGACAGGCAATTGCCGCTGGTATTGGTGGTACATTAGGTTACCGAGACGGCGCTAGCTGTGCAGGTAGGAGGTCTGGGGGACGACACACAACACGGTCTCTCTCTCAAGCGCTTGACTGAGGAATTGGATGAGATTGTCGAAATGGCCGATTCGACGGAAACCAGATTCCAGCCGCCACGGGAATCTGCCACACAACCGCCATGCCGCCATGAGACCTCATGGTTTTGGGCCTGCTTTTGGTGCTTGGCGCTGTGCAAAGCAAACGAGCCGTTGGCGTGACCCTTGTGGAGGTGCTTAGCGACAGGATACAAGGACATATGCATGGAACTCGGATCGGATAGCAGAGGATCTGGAGAGAGAGGACATACTGGCAGTGTGGACGGGGACACTCTTTCGAATCCAGCGGCCGGCAGATCCAGTGGCCAGCTGCCAGCAGTCGCCTCCTGTACCAACGCGTCTGTCAGACTGTGTGTGTACATGAGGGTGCGGCAGGACGTGTCGGGTGGGTCGGGTGAGAGACGAGGCACACACCACTCGCCCCCCCTTCCACACCCGCCCAGCAACCAGCCATATGCCTTTGAGCGAGAGTGATCCCAGCCAGCAGGCAGCTGCCAGCCAGCTGCCACCCCAGCCGGCACCGTGTCCGCCAGAGCCATGAGCCAGTAGAGCCAGAGTGGGCGAGCGAGCACGCGGGCAACGCGCAACCCACGCGCTCTGCACATGGGCGGCCGCGCGTGCACTGCGTGTGGATTTTGGGTTTTCCATTAGCCGTGTCTCAGATCTCATGTCAACAAGTCCAGGGCTCCAGGTGGGCTTGGCGTGGTCGACCGTTTCAGCACACGCCAAGCGATGTCCATGAATTCTGAATTGACCTCCAGCCAGCCATCTGACGCGCACAGCCTCTCGGATGCATTCAGTCACGTGACCAGCAGCTCATCGAGCGGGAATAGCGCCGTCGGCGTTATGTGTGTGGCCCATGTATTCCCTCACGTGACTTCACGTGACTCGGATCACGCCGTAGGATCACGCAGGCCTCACGTGACTAGGATCACGCAGGTGAGTCAACCCCGGTCAGCTGCAATCAGCTGGGTGCATTTTCAGCAACGTCACTGTAAATGAAGAACGTGGCAACGTCGTGAGTCGCACGTGTTGCGCACGTGAAGCTCGACGCTGCGCAGATCGGGCTATCGGCCACAGGCCCGTAGTTTGTTCTCCCGCTCGATGCCCCAGCCTGCTGAGGTGTCTTGAGACAGATTCCCGTGGCAGCGGGCATGAGTAAGTGGTAGGTAGCATCCTCGTCTTCGGGTACATGCCTCTGTGGTTCTGACTTGCTCACGAGACTGAGCAATCCGTGGCAGTGCGGCCTGCTCTCATATTCCAAAGCCATGTCGACATTAAAAAGGTCCCGACAGCTATGTGGCGTCGCCACTGCAAGAACCAGCACCCTCGTTCTCAAGCTGTTCTCAAGCTGTTCTCAAACTGTTCTCAAGCTGTACTCGACTGGATACAGGGAGGTCGCTTCAATGCACAATACGGTGCGCTCTTTCGGATCTACATGTGAGGACGGATGAGCTCCGTTGCAAAGAACAAAGTGAGGACGCATGTGGCTTTGTGGCGGAAAAAAAAAAAAACGGCCGGGAATTTTGATCTTTGGTCAGCAGTCATCAGTCAATGGTCTGTGACAGGTAGGTAAAAGACAGCAGGGTGGGCACTCAGCAGCGCTCCGTATTCAATGCATGCAGATATTGCATAGAAGGACAGCGAACTTGAAGCAATAAGATGTCCCGAGAATGGTAAAACGCGTGTGGCAGTGGGAGCGTAAATCGGACCATTCCTTCACAGTTGGCGCGACGTTGCTTGTGGCACCTTTTCTGGGAACGGACATAGGTGTCCCCTCCCTTGCTCTCGTTGTCACTGCAGGTGTGTGCGCCTGAGATAGAGGTTGCAGTTACGGACCGGTGATGTCGTCGACGGGCCTCCATGGTTGCGAGGACGGTCTTGGAAAGATCCTTGCTTCGGCGCGTAGCCTCCTTGCGTGCAACAAGTAAGATGGTCTTTGGGCTTCGTCCCTGGAGTGCCCGTGTGTTCGCCGTCAATCTCGGAGAAGGAGCGGTCAAGTTCGTTCTCGCGGTCAAGTTCGTTCTCGCGGTGGAGTTCGTTCTCGCGGTGGAGTTCGTTCTCGCGGTGGAGTTCGTTCTCGCGGTGGAGTTCGTTCTCGCGGTGGAGTTCGTTCTCGCGGTCGAGTTCGTTCTCGCGGGCTAGCTCGGCGTCGCAGTCTCGCCGTCACGCTCAGCGATGGCCGCAGCGGCGTGCTTGCAATGGCTATTCCATGTGTGCCCAGGTTTCAGAGGATCAAACATGACTGTGTCTCTGGTCATCGACTGCAAAAAGGTGGCAGAGGCAGGAATCGTGGCGGCCGACAACGCTGCCATCTGAGGTGGTCGAGCCCCCAAGGTTCGCTGACGGCGCGTTCAATCCACAAGTCTGCGGTGGTGTGGCATATGCCAGTATTGTTGGAACAGGTTCATGGGCCTCCAGAAGAGAGGCTGAGTAGTGGTGGCTTGCGGAAGAGGGTGAGTTAGATGCGTCCATGGCTTCGTCGCGATGCTCTCGATGGTCTTTGGTGACCTCGAGAAGCGGACCTGTTGGTTGTCCTGGTCCTCGTTGTCCGCTTCGCGGTCAGCACGGCTGTGCTTGAGATTAATACTGGAGGAGATGAAGTCGGTGGGAGCTTCCAACCCGATGGGCGAGTTGGTCTGGTCCTTGGCGGCTTTGTCCTCGCTCCCCAGCGTATGTAAAGCTTGGCGGTGGCAGGGTTGGGTCTTCCGCCGGCTGGTTGCATCGCCCTCGCCCTACACCTGGCAGACGAGATCCATGAGCAAGAGAAGAGTGATCTTGATAGGTCTGCGCATGTGCGGGTCTAGCTGGGCGTCGACAAGATAGGAGGTGCGAGGGACAGTGTTGAGGTGAAGCCGATCAGGACGTGGTCCTTGGTCTTGTCCCCAAAGCACGAGTCTTGGCCTACTTGCGGTATCCTTGTGATGTGGGACGTCCTGTTAAACGACATCAGGATGTGAGAGGCGCTCATCCTGAGACGAACCATTCCTCGTCGAGGCGTTGAATAGGGGGAAGCAGCCGAAGTGGACGTGGGAGTCAAAACACTTGGAGGTGCTGGACGACAAACCGAGCGGGAGTTTGTGTCTCGACTGGGGACCGACGGCGGAGTTTGAGAATAGAGGGATTCCGAGGATGAGCGCAGGCGAGCCGAGCTGAAGTGTCACCTCCTCAGATGTTGAGCACAAAAGGTATGGGCGAAGTAGCGACAGTACCCCAGGCTGGAGTCGGGAGTCGATGGTAGGCGGACGGCCGCTTCCACCCACTGAAACGCCGATTGGGATCCCACGTCGGCGTCGGGAAATCTCTTGCCGACAAACGCGCCCTCCTCCGCCTCTTGGTAATCCGACGTGGTGAAGGTCAGCCTTGAATCTGCCCCGGTGGGTGCGTGGGCCGGTTCCGGCTCTTTGTCAGGCTGAAGCTGCTGACACCGCCAGCTGCTGACTGGCAGCTTTGCCCGCTGAAGCGGTTGGGAACGTGGCAGCTGCAGCGTCGGATTGGAGTTGGGGTGGATGTACCACCGTCGAAGCAAAAGGTAAGTCAATTGTCTCCGGCCTTGTAGAACTATGAGGAGTGTCAGTGGCTGCTCACAAGGGTCGTTTGTTAACGGCAATGGCTGTCACGACGAGTTGGAGCACTGCCACGGACACGTACCGTATAGTTGTCTTCCTGATTCGGGTCCAGGGCGACCGAGATCCCGAGAGCTTGTCTTTCGCGTGGTAGACCTGTGGAGGTAATAAGAGTAACGGAGCTCCGCCACAGCGTCAATAGGTGGGACGCTGTGACCCCAGTTACCAGGACAAGGAGGGCCCGCGGCATCTCTACATATTGACGACGCTGCCTCCGCCTGTGGCACTCGGAGCGCAATGGAATTGCGCAACGATCCTGCGATAGCCAGCGAGTCTAAAGCTTGACATGAACCAGCAACACCTGACGGATGGCAAATCATCGATGGCCGACGGGCGCCTGCTGACCACTGACTACTGCCTTTTGGACGCACCTGAGCGACGTGGTTGTGATGCGGTCCTCGGCCGTCTCTGGTCGGCAAAATACCACCATGTGACGTCAATGCGCCACCCCTCGCTACCGTGCTCTCAGACACGACACCACGGATGAGCAAACATCGAGAACAGTTGCCCCCAAGTAGACCAGGAGTGCTCTGAAAGCTCCCAGGGTGTTGGTATTTGTGCCAGGTTGACAAGACAGGTTTGGGCACGAAGACAGCAAGGCACCACGATCTCACCAACACAACCGTCTCCGCGCCGAGCTGTGCGACTGGAATCACCAGCACCCTCGCCACCGCTTGAAACCCGGCGTGGCTCACGGCAGGGAGAACCAGAACACGTGGGGCTCTCATCGAGTCCTTCCACGCTGCAAAGCATCGTCGTGTCGTCATCCTCGTGCTGGCAAGTCAGGTAGGTCTGGAACATTGGTGTGGCTGTTCGCACGTTCGCGGCCGCTCTGGAGAAGCACAGGGCACCGCCGAGTAGGAGCGCAGGCTGGCGTGCTCCACACCTGCCGACGGTTGTAGAGGGGGGAATAGGAACGATCCCGTGAGAGCTGGCAGGTCGAGCGCTTTGCCACACCTTGAGCGTGCTGTTACGATATGATGCATAGAGACGAAGAGAGATACGGATCGCACTCTAGTTAGTGCGAGCGTGCACGCTCGCACCGTACGGAACCAAAATGTGGTCGCGCACGACTGAGAGTGGCACTTGCAACAGAGCGCCGACAACTCGGCTGGAAGGATGACGAGGATGTGTGGCCTGTGGTAAACGAGATGAAGGAGTTCCTACGTCACGGGGTCATCACCAGTGTATAGTTCTGTCACCATTGTACGGATAGTAAGCTCAAGTGCTCAGTGATCTGCACGTGCATCAAAAGCAACTGCATCGGTGAGAGACGAGCTATGAAAGAGGTGGACGAAGGACCTCTAGGACTGGCAGCTGGGCAGTGCGCAGTGCAGGCTGGACCGGGTGAAAGCGTCTAGGCGGTGGCTTGAATCTTGCGCTGGTTGCGGCGCATGTTCTTGTTGTCGGCAGCAACGTAGTCCGTGTTGTGTCACCTTGTCACCGGTGACGACGCCGTTGGTCTTGTTGTTGGTGTGGTCGCCGTTTTAGTAACCCGCTCAGTGGGGGAGACCACGAACGGTGCGGCGCTGGCGAGTGTGCTTGCGGGGAACCTTCGGGGCAAAGAACTTGGGGTCGAGGACGTCGCCGCGAATCAGGCTCTTGCGCGCAATCTTCTGCAACGTGTGTCAGTTCACACATTTATGGATTCAAGTGGAGGAGAGCTCACGTAGTGGGTGTACGTCTCCTTGTCGACGTCGACCTCAGCCACTCCTCCACTCGACTCTGGTATCTGGACCTCTCTCTCACACCATCCGTCTCAACTTTGTGGGGCTCCCTACTTCCCTTGCGAAGGAGGCCCTTGATGGAAACCTGTAACGAGTGTCAGTGTTCCAGCCGTTCTAGATTCAAGAGAAGGAGAGCTCACCTTCTTCTCGTCCTCGAGGACGAGAACCTTCTTGAACTGTCCGGCGACAAGCTTGACGCCGGGGTCCTGTAATGGGTGTCAGCTTTGCTGGGTTGGGTTCGAGACGAAGGGAGCTCACCGTGTCGAAGCGCACATGCTTGTTAGTCGCGGGGTCCTCCGCGAGGGTCTTGCGCTTCGTCGTCGTGTCGGCGACCTGCTGGAGGTGGAGCTTGGAGGGGGGGAGGGGGTTGCCCTTCTTGATGTAGAGGCGCGCGGGCGCAACCTTGATGTCTTGGGCGCCCTTCAGTTGAGCGACACGGCGAGGGAGGGGGCAGATGAGACGAGAAGTGGCGTTCATCTTGACGTTTAAGGTAGATGGACGAACGAATGAAAGGTTATGGGTGATGGAGAGAAAGAGAGAAGACAGAATGCATCTGTGCAGGCATATATATACCTTGCAGCGGGGTCTGCCTGGGGGCTGGGATGACTGGACTGGACAAACACCGCCGACGTGGCTGGGGAGAGGGTGGGAGCGCAGCACGCCCAAGAGCCAGGAGGTTGTGGATCTGTGTGTGTGTGTGCGTACAGGTGTGTGTGGCCGATCCAGACCAGCCACGCCCGGCTCCCAGAGGCCAGAGGCCCACGGTGAGGCTGCAGCCTCTGGCCCCTCTGGCTTCCTGCATGCCGCGTCGATCAGCTGCGCCTGTTACACGGGGGGCAACGTCGGATCGTCGTGTGCGTGTCTACCGCTCCAGATGCGCACACACACGTCACGGCGTCCTGCTCTCCGCTGATCCGCTGGCCGAGTGGCCCGGGCCAAACGGAGTGTCATCGGGCTAAACTGTGACACTCTTTCCAAGGCCATACCTGTGGCAGACAAGGGGTTGGGAAGCGACACGGTATGCGGGGCCATGCCTCTTTCTGCATCAGACACGGCGAGCGGTCAGTATTGAGCAAGATGGAGAGTTTCAGAGCGGGCGAGGGTTAATGTCGGGCAGTGCATCAACCAGCGTCCTGTACACATGAGAGAAGGCGGCAAAAGAAAATCCCATGGCAGCGGCGCAGAACCGTCAGGCAGTACCAGATCCAACGCCCAGGCGCCCAGATGCTGCACATGACGTGCTTCTGTGTCATTTTCTGTAGGACAGCTTTTTAGGGCACAATGGTCGTGCACCTTTCCAATTGTACATGGTATGAGAGCGTGGGATTATCGCTTGTGTGAGGATCAGCAGAACCTTCACACGGTGTGTGGCAGGGGAGCCGCTCCGTCACCAGGCGCAGAGTGCACCGCCTGCTGTCTCTCTGGTTTCTGTCTCGCCCATTGCAAATTGCGAAGGGATCAAGGCGGTTTCCTTGGACATTCCGGTACACTCTGCTTGGTTTGACCGGGCGTGGTGCACAATACAGAGGCGGCAGCCGGCTGCCCGAGTAAGTGTGGGCCGCCGCTAGCTTCATTGTCACGAGCCCCGAAGCCGAATCGTCACGTCAATTCGTGGTGAGGAACTGCTCGGCCACGAACAGAAGCTATCTAGGAGATCCCTATGACGCGGGTACTTAGTATGTGACCACTCATCGTCTCCTGCGACTGCTACGGGCGATGTATTTACCGGCTGAATTTAATGGATTAAATTAGGAAAAAATAGGCAAAAACATTCTGGAGGACTTCCGTTTTCAATGTTATCCTCCCTCGCGGTGACGATAACGCAGGATTCGCAGGATCCAGTCCTTCCTCACTATGACCTATTGGTTGGGCAATACAAGCGACGGCCTCGTCAGTCACATTCGACCTCAGAGCGCCATTTTCATCGGTAGCCAGCGGAGCTTAGGTTGGGTCTGCGGTATTCGGGGGAACAGAAGTGTGGTCTACCTGCTAAACACAGCTAGTTCATCTCCTTTTCCGCCGTATCCACGGTCACTTGCCACTGGTGGAATGACGCCCACATTCATGCACTGCATGCACTGCCCCGCCCCCACGTGCCCCCACAGATCGGCAGATCGGCAGAGGACGAGCACGCCCTTGCGAGAGAGGGGAGGTGGACACCGCCTCTGTCTATAGGCTGGGCGGTCTCGCGGGGATGGGGGGTGGGCTGGTACACCGGAGTCCAGTCAACCACATATATATTAGGCATGCAACTCACCTTCTTTCTCTCTTTCTCTTTGTCTCTTCTTCATTCTTCATTTCTTGTTTTTTTTTACAATCATGTGCACCGGCGCCTGCAGCTGCGACCCCGCGGCTATCCCTCTCCCCCCTTCTCGCCCCTCGTCCCCCTTCAACAAGCCCGGCACGCACCAGCGTGAGGCCGGCGAGGATCTGGAGTTCTGGACCGACACTCGCGCTCCCAAGCGCGGCAAGAACGAGGCGACAATCCTCGTCAACCTCGACGAGGAGTGCTGGCAGCTGGACGACGGCAATGATACCGTGATGGGTTCATCCCACACCTGTTTCAACACCGCCCGCTTCGCCAGCGACGGTGAGGACATCAAGATGATCGGCGCCCTCACCGTTCACCGCGGCTGCCAGGTAAGTTCCATTGCGTTCCATGTTATGTTGCTACTCTGATTGGATTTGGGACTAACACTACAACCGAAGGGTCAGGAGGAGACTGTGACCATGGGTGTTGCCCCCGGCAGCGACGTACGTAGCAATCCACTGCCATTGTGGCCACCCGCGTTCGATGCCGATCACCCAGTCTGCCGCCACCACCCTCGAGGAGCCCGCGACCGCCGATACCCCTAAATACCCCTAACGCCGAGGCTCAGGTAAGTCCATTGCACTCCCCTGTCACTGTGGCCATCCGCCTTCGATGCTGATCACCCAGGCCGAGAACGAGGATGAGCCCGAGGCCGCCAACGCCGTCGCCGCCCACGACGAGCAGGACTCGGATGACGAGGTAAATCCATTGCACTCCCCTGCCATTGTGGCCATCCGCGTTCAATGCTGACCACCCAGGCCGACGATGTCGAGGAGGAGGAGCGCGCCGCCAGCGTCGCCACCTCCGATGAGGACTCGGACGCCCAGGTAAGTCCATTGCACTCCCCTGCCACTGTGCCATCCGCGTTCAATGCTGACCACCCAGGCCGACGATGTCGAGGAGGAGGAGCGCGCGGCCGTCGCCGCCCAAGAGGAGGACTCCGACGCACAGGTAAGTCCATTGCACTCCCCTGCCACTGTGCCATCCGCGTTCGATGCTGATCACCCAGGCCGAGCCCGAGGACGACAACAAGGAGGTCGACGACTACTCGTCGGAGGAGGAGGACACCAACGGCAAGGACGACCCCGCGGTTGACAAGGTAAGTTCCCATGAATGTCACTGCCATTTTGGCCACCTGCATTGAGGACTGACAACCCAGGGCAACGACCCTATCGCCGCTCTGCAGGCTCAGTTCTCTGTCCTGCAGGCCATGATGGGCAACCTTGCCCAGCAGCTGGCCGCCATCACTCCTGGCTCGACGGACTCCGATGTAAGTCCACCGGTATGAGACTTGCAGCTGACGCCCTAATCAGGTTTCCCAGCACCGCACCGTCACGCGCGCGACCCATGAGAAGCAGTCCCGCGGTGGACCCTCGCAGCCAGGAGAACGAGGAAGTCAGTACCCATTGAAAGCCAGCAGCGGCCACGGTTGTATCGGGATGCCTTTCGCGCCACATGCGATCACGAAGAGGATGTAAGTCTTTGCGACAAGAGGGAGGAGGACCTCGTGCGAGAGGCTGTGTCGTGGACTGTGCCCCAGACTGAGTCGCCCCCGAGATCTCCCTCCCTCTTGTCGCAAAGACTTACATCCTCTTCGTGATCGCATGTGGCGCGAAAGGCATCCCGATACAACCGTGGCCGCTGCTGGCTTTCATGGGCTCGGGCCACACCCGCGCCAACACGGCAGTATTTGCCGCTGATGGCCCCGACGTCCTGATGGTGGATGTCCTCCAGTGCCACCTTCGCCGCCGACGGCCCCGACGTCGTCAGCGCTGAAGATCCGTCGTGGCTGCCAGGTAAGTTTCATTGCGTTCCATGTTATGTTGCTTACTCTGATTGGATTTGGACTGACACCGCAACCGAAGGGCCATGACAAGGTGATTCTGGCCGTGGGTGATGCCCCGGTCAACGACGTACGTAGCAATCCCCTGCCATTGTGGCCATCCAGCGTTCCATGCTGATCACCCAGGTCGACGACGACGAGGACGACGAGAGTGTGGGTGCTGGACAGGTAAGTTCCCATGAATGCCACTGTCATTGTGGCCACCTGCATTGGAGACTGACAACCCAGGGCAACGACCGCATCTCTGCGCTTCAAGCCCAGGTTGCCCTCCTCGCTCAGATGCTCGGCGATGTGGGTGAGGAACTTGCCAACCTCAAGGTCGCCTCCACCGCCCCCGAGGTAAGTCCACCGGTATGAGACTTGCAGCTGACGCCCTAATCAGGTCTCCAACAAGAACCACCGCGCCGTCACTCGCGCCACTCAGGACAAGAAAGCTCGCGGTGGCCCATCGGAGTGATCTGTCGAGAGTCTCGTATGGGAGGGGGGCTTGTGACATGTACCATAGTAAAGGCTCAGTGTAGGAGTTGTCGTTCGGCATGATGAATGTTGCTGTCTTGTATGCCAGTCACAGAGCACTGACCACTGATCCCTTGAGGAAGACACAGTCCATGGCCGCCGACTCTAAAAACCGCCGCATCTGGTTTGCCGGACGTGATATGGATGCTATGTAAAGGGCCATCTTCAATTCCATCACCCACCACACATGGTTTCTCTTTTTGTTTACTGGTCTGGGTTATATGTCACTCATGTAAGCCCGGATGCCCATCTCGAGGTGCACGAGAGTTGCGTGACGACCAAGAATGAGTGCGCACCACGAACAAGCTCTAGTACACTCGGCTGGCTTAGCCTCTCACCCTTTTTGTTGCGCAAGTGAAATATCTAGGCACTCTTGTCGCCCTCTCTACAATTCATGCGACAGTGCAGCCAAATACGCTCCGGTAGAACGCATCTCGTCTGCTATTTCAAGGATACTGCATGCCTCTGTGTTTCTGCTTCTGTTCGCTGCTACCCTCGCTGTGCTAGCTGCTTCCTGTCTACCGCGCTTAAAGGTACTTGTTGTCCTTGAGCCACTGCTCGACGTCCTTCTGGTCACGCTCAAGCCAGTCCGAGGCGGCCTGGATGGTGTCGTAGATCTGGGCGACCGACAGACGGAAACGGCGAATGTCCTTGTCCTTGAAGAACTCCTGTACCTTGGCGAGGTCCTCCTTGCTCGATAGCTGTGCAAGCGCGCCCTTGATGAGGTACGAGATACCAAACGAGTCGGAGAAGCGCTTGTTGAGGGCGTCCCAGTTCTCCATAAAGTAGTCGGCGATGCGGCGGCGGGCAGCACGGTTGCCGCCGAGGCCGAAGAAGAAGATGTACAGGTCCTGGTCCTTGACCGAACCGTCGGTGAACATGTTGAAAGTGCGTTCGAGCAGCTTGTCGTCGCGGGCAGCACAGAGGGCGTACATGGCGTCGACCTTGGTGGAAGGGTTGGGGGGCTTGTTGTAAGTGGCGAGAATCTTGTTGTACTCGGCCTCACCACCGTAGCGAACGGCGTTGGAGTAGATGGAGCGCTGGAGGTCGGGAGGGATACGCGAGTCATCGCCGCTCTCGAGGAAGGGCTGGAAGCGAGCGTTGAGCTCGGCAAGGACCTGAGGATCCTCGGCGGCAGCGGCGGTCGAGACGGCAAGCTCACGGAGCTCCTTGACGTCGGGAGCGTCGTCGGGGCCATGCTCGTAGCCCATCTTGTCGACAATGGGACGGAACACCTTGATACGGAGCTTGTTGATGGCGTCGCGGACCTCCTGGGGCTGCTCCCACCAGGTGCCCGAGATCTTGCCCAGGGCACCACCGATCTGGGCGAAGGGCAGGTACTCGGTCTCGGTCTCGGCCATCTCGTTGATGAGGTTGAGCGAGCCCGAAGTCTTGGCATAACCGGCACGCGCGATGCTGGCAGCGTCCGAGACGAGGCCAACGCGGTCCTCGACAGTGAAGTCGGTAGCCTGCTTGCCGAGCTTGGCAAGACGCTCAGGCGAGTACTTGACACGGTAGACACCGACGGTGTCGGCGTTGAGCTTGAAGGTCTCGGCGCCCTTGACATCGTAGACAACCGAGCGGTCCGAGAGAACAGCCTTGTGGTCGACCGAAGCCTTGCCGGCCTCGACGGTCTTGACCTCGAGGGGAACCCACCAGAGGACCTCGTCCTCCTCGGGCTTGACGTCGCCAGTCGAGAGGAAGCGGTTCTGGGTAAGCTTGATCTTGCCGTCACCCGACGACTCATCGACGGTGATCACGGGGAAGCCGACCTTGAGGGTCCAGTTGGCCATGATCGAAGCAACGTCAAGACCCGAGGCCTCGGAGATACCGTCCCAGAGGTCCTTGGTCTCAGCGTTGCCAAAGACGTGCTTCTTGAGGTAGATGGACACGCCCTTGAGGAACTTCTCCTCGCCGACAACGCCAGAAAGCATGCGGAGGACCGAAGCACCCTTCGAGTACGAGATCGAGTCGAAGATCTGGTTGATCTGGTTGGCATCGGGGCAGTCGACCTCGATGGGGTGCGACGAACGCTGCGAGTCGAGCGCGAGAGCTGAGGTAAGGTGCGAGTTGAGGAACTCGGCGCGGACCTTCCACTCGGGCCAGATACGGTCGGGGATGACCAGCTCACCCATAAGAGTGGCAAAGGCTTCGTTCAGCCAGAGGTTGTCCCACCACTTCATGGTGACAATGTCGCCGAACCACATGTGCGCGAGCTCGTGGCACTGCACAGTAGCAACACGCTTCTTGGCGGAGAGCGAAGACTTCTCGGGGTCGTACAGGTAGGCAGTGGTACGGCCAGTGATGAGACCCCAGTTCTCCATGGCGCCGGCGTCAAAGTCGTGGGCGACGAGGGTGTCGAGCTTGGGGAGCGGGTAGGCAATGTCGAAGATCTCCTCGTAGACGGGGAGAGCCCACTTCTTGATGTCGAGACCGAACTGAGCCTGGCCAATCTGGTTGGGGGTAGCGTAGATCGTGAGGGGGACGGTCTTGCCAGTGAGCTTGGAGTGGTGCTCGCTCTCGAGCTTGGCAAACTCGCCGCACGCAAAGGCGACAAGGTAGGTCGAGATGAGAGGAGTCTTCTCAAACTTGGTGATGGTCCAGTTGCCCGACGAAGGGTTGGCCTCAGTCTTGCCCTCCGTCTTGCCCTCCGTCTTGCCCTCAGTCTTGCCCTCAGTCTTGCCCTCAGTCTTGCCCTCCGTCTTGCCCTCCGTCTTGCCCTCCGTCTTTCCAGAGGCGTACGAGCGGTTCAGGAGCGAGCCCAGCTCGTAGGTCTCAGTGAACGCGTTCTCGACAGTAATGTTGAGAGCGGGCTTCCAAGGCTTGACCGAAACGGACGGCATGTTGGCGAGGACGGTGTACTTCTCCTCGGCAATCATCGAGATGGTGAACTCGGACTTGAGGAGGGGCTCGTCCCACGAGGGGAAAGCACGGCGAGCGGCCGTGGGCTCAAACTGAGTGAGAGCGTAGCTGAAGAGTCAGCGACAAGTGACGATGAAAACAGCGCGTGGCTGCGTTGGTAGTTGGTGGTGACATCGCACCGGGGTTGCAGGTCCCCGTCCTCGACAGGGCCAGCCAGCTCACCAGCCAGTCTGCGCTGCTTGAAGCCATCCTCGATCACACTCACATGGGGGTGTTGCCCGCCTCGTCCTTGTCGCCGTCACTCTTGTAGTAGCCGACCATGTTGCCGCCGAGCTCGCTCTCCCAGCGGAGGAAGAGCTTGACCTTGGAACCCTGCTTGAGGGAGCCGCCGGGCACGTTCGAGAGATCGACACGGCCACGCTCCTGGTCCTCGTCGACAGTCAGGGCCGAGACGGGGATCTGGACCGTCGCGGCCGTCTTGAGCTCAGTGGCCTGGAGCGCAATGTGCGTGACCTTGAGGGAGGGGTGGAGGTTGAAGGTGATGTCCTTGGTATCGGCCAGGATGTCGAGCGAGATCAGGCCCTCACCGCCAAAAGTAGGAGGCGAGGTCGAGAGGTCGGTCTTGAACGCCAGGTCGTAGTGACGAGGGTAGACGGTGGTCGGAAGACGGTACTCGTCGGGCTTCTTGTCCGAGACGGCGGCGCCGCCAGAGATAGACTCGGCCATCTTGTCAAAGTCGTCGGGTGCGCGTGAGCAGAGGCAGAGGGCGCGGGCGCGGCTGCGGGAGATGGAGAGGGGGGAAGTGGTGGTGGGAGTGGAAGGAGCAGAGACGCGGTGGGGAGCGAGCCAAGAACGCGAGAGCGGCGTGGAGGTGGTTGCGACGGACGACTGTGGAGGTTGTGAGTTTCACTGGCTCGTTTTCTCATTTCTTCACACGGCGAGCAACGAGCGGACAGTGTGCGATACGTACGAGTGCACGGGATGCGTGTGGGATACGCTTAAATGCGAGCTGGCGAGCAGTGATGGGCCAGAGCCGTGCGGGGGTGTAGAGCATATAGATGAAGGAGAAGAGGAGATGGGCGTGCGATGGGAATGGGGTATTTCAAGGCCAAGCACGCTGTCGTCACCACACGCTTGAGTGACGGGCAACGGGGCACGGCCAGCGTGCGCGCGCGCTAATCAACCGGCAAGCTCCGACACGCCGCCGTCCACCGCAACACCGCCGTACGCCGTCCTCCTATTCGCACCCACAGTTTTGACCACTCCAACCGCGTGCTACCAACTAGGGTCGACACCGCGTGCATCCATACATGGCAACACGCCCATGCGGCTGTCTACAGCTACCACACACTCCTAGTCAAAGTCTTCGATGTCGTCGTCCTCGAGCCATCCCAGTTGTTCTTTGCCCTGCTTTCCATCGGCATCTTCGTCCCAAAGACCAGGATGACGCGCATCAGGCACCACTCCCAATCCGTCCTCACCCGCCGCCGTCGCGTCAAAACTCTCGTCCTCTTCGCCTTGTCGCGACACACTGGACAGCTCCTCTCCTAGGAACATGCCTGATGAGTACGCCGAATAGGGTTGCAGGGCCAGTGGCTGTACAGATATGGGCAACAAGGGTTCTGTGTGTGGGGTTGCACGTCAGCTCAACGGAGGATGAACGGTTGTTTCGGTGGACCCACTTCTCGAGAGCGACTGGATCTTGACTGCCATGGGCACTGTTTCCGTCGCAAGAACAAGCTTAGACTCAGTACCTCCCCATGGCGGTCCATCGTCAGCCTCGCCGTCGGCATAGGCTATGCTGGCCGACACGGCCTTTCTGGCGAGGTGGCCAGTCGCCACGTCGAGGAGTGACGTGTTCGCCCTCTCCGTGTGGTATGACTCGAAGAACTGAGGCTTGACCACCTTTTGGTGGTTCCTAGGGGTTAGCTCGCCCTGTGTGTTATAGAACGTACCTCGGCACGGGTGAGGGGAGGCCCATGAGCGTACCCCGCACAGTCAGGTGAAGAGCGTAAGCAATGGCTTGTGGGCTGGATTGCCACTGTATGTGTCAGTTGATGATACGTTCTTCGCACAACTCACGATATCGTCCTCGGTGCGCATCAGGTCGGCGCCACATAGATCGTCCATGATGGAGCTGACCTGCTCAACGTCGGTGCAGAACTGTGGGATGTTGTGGTGGAGCCACAGCGCAAACATGGACGTGTCGACGGGAATTGTGGGGATAAAGGTCTGGTTGGTCAGCTGCGTCCCACACAGCGTACACACCTCCATCTGGACCATGGACTTTCGGCGCTCAAACTCTCCAAGATGGGGTGGAAGTGGGTCATCGAGTGCCAGCTTGCGGATGGCCGCGATAGCCTCCTGATCGTCGTTGTCCGTGGTTGGGTCGTCGAGACCTGGCCGTCAGTTAAACGGCTCACGAACATCGCGCCTTACGTTTGTTGTAGAACACCTTGCCAAGCGCATGGAACAGATTGAGTGACTGCTCACGGCGCGTGACCGCATCCAGGCTGCCTGTAAGCTACACCGTACAAGGGAATGCGGTAACTCACGCGGCGCGAATCTCGTCGCTAACGTCAACCTTCGTTCCCCTGCCACCTCTGCTCCCACGCCCAGTAGCCTTCTCCCTCGACTCGCCCGTCTTGCGCTTCTTGTTCTTGAGCACGCTCCCACTGCACAGCATCTGGAGTGAGTTGATAGCTGAGCGGAGGTCGCCGTTCGCCGACAACGAGATCAGCTGCACGGCACCTGGGGAGGGGCGTTTCGCCGGGTCCGAGATGGCCAGACCGAGGACGCGGTTGAGCGCCTTGGTGAGGAACGTGGGTGCCAGAGACAGGAATCTGGCATGTGAGCTCACCTCCCAATCCTACTGTAACTTACTCAATCTCGGCACACCAGGGTCCATCCTTGACCTCCCTCCCAACGACTTCGAGGATACCCTCATAACCACCGCGCTCACGGTCCATCCAGCTCTCCTCCGCGCGGCCGCCTTGTCCTGACTCGCTATGCACGATGATGAGGGGACAGCTGGATGGCGTATAGTTGTGGCAAAAGCTGAGGAGGGCGTCGTGGAACGCGGTGCGCGTCGCTTGGTGGCCGATGTTGGGCAACGAGGTCATGAGGAGCGCACGGGGGCGATGCATCTGCGTCTGGGACGAGCTCGAGGCACCCAAGCCGAGGTTGAGAGCCGGGTAGGCGTTGCGAGAGAGGAAGGAGGAGAGCTTGGAGATGGCAGATTCGGTTTCTTAATGTCAGCTGAGAATACAGAGAGGGCAACCCACCAAACCCGACGCCCAGATGACGCTCCTCTACGCCTTCTGTCCACTCCACAAGGTCGATACCGAGCTGACTCGCAAGAAGGCGGACCGTGGTTGCTTTGCCGATACCCGCGGGACCCGTCACAAGAAGGATGCGCTTAATGTCAGCAAGACCCAGACCACTTAGCTCACCTTGTACTTTCGCAACCGGTCGCGCACAGCAGTACTCGGGCTGTATCCCTGGCTGTGTACCGCTGCCTCGGGAACGCCGTGGATAGCTTCGTACAGCCATTCGCGGACCTTCGTTATCCTCGCTTTACCTGGCGCCAGTTCGGCCTGTAGTACAAAGGTCAGTACGAGCTGCTCCAGCTTACGTCCACGCAAGATGACCTACCTCGGTCTCAGGTCCAAAAATATCTGTCCACATCGCCGCCTTGTCCATGTCCACGGCTGGCTCTTTGCCCGCGCTAGGTGCTGCCCATGTTAGCCGCACACACCTCTTGGAAATGGAAATGACGTTGCGCACCTGGTCGTCGCCGCTTCTTTGGCATGTCGTCCTCATCGCTGCTGATCACCTCGACGACCTCATTGTCTTCCATTTTCAGCTTTCCTTTACCCTTGTCCCCTGTGCTCTTGGTCGCGGGCCTGCCCTTGGCCGCGGGAGCTGGCACCGACTTGGCTTGGCCCCGTCGCGGAAGTGGAGGCGGCGGCATGCTCTTCGAGGTCGACGCCACCGGGCCGCTGACACTGCGACCAGAAGCGGGCCGCACACTGGGACCAGTTGTCGCATTTGAGGTCGAGCCTGAAGCTGAGGCTGGTGACGATGTGGACACACCGCCGGAAGGGACGCGCGCGAAGTTCAACATTGGTTGGAACTGACGTCAGTTATGACCTCTACAAGAGTGCACTCACTGAGCTGAGGCTGCCCATGCGCTTTGGCGCCGCGTTGGTTCTAGACTTGCCTGACGGCGAGCCCTTTTTGGGTGGCATAGCGTGGTATGAGAATGGGTAGGAGAGAGGGCACAATTGTTGTTGTGTTGATTGTGTGCAGATGCGTTCATGCTGTCCGAGCGCGGAGAATGCGGGGAATGCGGGGTAGACGGGAGCAAATATCGGTGGACACGACCTTGGCCGCCACCAAGTGACGCGTCCATGCTGTTGTGGACATTACAACCACCTTCATCTCCACCTCAACCGCTCCCCACCCCCTTTTACTTTTCAGTCGAGCAAGCGTATACTGGCAGGTGCCGGAAGCCACCATGGCGGGTATCAGAAACCGCTGATTTCTCGGAGCTCTTAGCTGACAGCCTCTTCCTCCAGTCCGCGCTCTTCAACTTCCAGTCGCTCCTCCTCGTCCTCCTCCTCTTGATCTGCACATGCACCTACGTGCGCGGTGCGGCCCCGGGACTCGTAGACAGGAACAGGGAAGGGTGAGTGGATTGCATTGCATGGTGGCATGCCAGAGAGTTTGGATAGCTACAGGAGCTGTCGCATCACATCTCAGCAGCACATCCCTTCGTTAGCAACGCAGGCTGACCCGTGGCCCGTGGCCACCACCCAGATTCACCGGTCTCTTTTACAAGTTTGCAAGGATAGGCGAACGTCTCTCGCCATACGTATCGCTTGCGTGTATCATCATGGGAGTCATGATGCTCACCGGCAACTAAAACGCACCACAACGCACACGACATGTATTCATAGATGACGAGGGACTGGGAACTTGGGGCTATATCGGGCGCGAGCGCAGCCAAAGACTCATGATAAAGAGGCGTAACGTAATAGAAAACGACAGGACACAACACACACGCAAGACACAAGACAAGACAGGCGATATCAACACACACATGGCGAGAACGACGACCTTCCACGGGGATACCAATCTGCCTTCCACTCCTTCCTCAAAAATCATTTGCTGGCCTTGTTGGCCTTGTTGGCCTTGTTTGCCTTGTTACGCGCCTTGCGTGCCTTGCGCTTGAGCGACTTGCTCGAGACGGTCACGGGCGGGGGGATCACGGGCGGGGTCAAGCCGAGCTCGATGTACCAGTGGACTGGCCAATCATCCTCCACCTCGTCTTCTTCCATCTTGGACCAGTCGAGCTTTGGGAGGGTGGGGACAGTGGGGACGAGCTTGACGGGAACGGCCTTGGCCTCTACCTCGGGGACCCTGAGCTCCAGCTCGGCAAGCACGTTGGGAACCACACTCTCGTCACCACCCTTGCCTCCCTCAAGAAAGCCAAGCCACTCGACCGGCGAGATGACCTCAGGCTCGTGCTCGGGCTCGAGCTCCGAGCGCTCCTCGTCGCTTTCGGACGTCTCGTCCACAAGGGACGGCACGCTGCTGGGCGTGGGAGACGACGGGCGAGCGGCCGAGGCGCTGTGCGCCAGAGCTGGAGCCTGAGAGGAAGGGGCGGAAGAGGGAGCCGAAGGGGGGACAGGCATGCCCGCGCCCACGTACCACTCTGCCGGGTAGTCCTCCACGTCGGCGTCATCGTCATTGGCCCAGTTGTGGATGGGCATGACTTCAGTCGAGGAAGGGGCTGGCGACGAGGTCGATGACCCAGTGGTGCAGGACGTGACGGTGAACAGCTCGGAGGTGGGAGGGGATGCGGAGGGCTCGGTTGACGACTTGACGGTGGCCAGTACCGAGGTGGCAAGGTGGGATCCTGAGATGGCACATCGGTGCTGCGGCGCAAGCGAGGCCTCTTCAAACTCTGCAATATTCGCAGCCGGCTTGAGAATGGGCACCGCCATCGAGCTGGTGAAACCACGCTCATATTCGAACTGGCAGGAGCCGATGAAGAGGAAGAAGTGCGCTTCAGGCTTGGAGGCGAGCGGGTAGGGGCGATCCATGGCGACAGGAACCGACTGGTCTGAAGACGAGTTAGAGCTGTCACTGACACCCGGTGTACTCACTGTTCGGCCACGACATCTCGAGACGGTCCTGGTAGTTGAGGACGGTGGACGGCGTGAGCGTGATCGCTGGCACAGTTGGATGGGCGATCATGGTGGCATCCTTGAGACCCTAATCGTGGATCAGCTTCAATTCCATTCTGATGGTTACTTACGTCGACCGGGGTAAGGGGGTGGACCGAGTCGTCGCCGTGCCGCAGAGTTGGGTACCAGAGGTTCTCGCGAGACGCAGTCTGGGGGAACTGAAGTATCAGTGACGGTTCTGCTCGGTTGTCGGATCACTCACCTGGATGCGTGGGGTTACAATGGCCGTGTCCTCGCTTGTGTCATCAGAGGTGTTGGAGGTTTCAACCTCGGCCTCAGCCTGGTGGCATCAGTTTATGATCAGCGAAACTCCAAGACTCACCTCGGCCTCGGCAGCAACGTCCTCGGCAATAGTGGCCAGGAGGACCAGGTTACCCTCGTGGGGGTCCGCGCAGACAGAGGCGAGGAGACGGAGGTTGTCGTCATTGGATGCCTTGACAAGAGTCGCAGCGAGGACCATGTCGGCCTGTCGCTGCCGTCCATGCCACAGTCGGCTACTACGACATCGGTTGGAACGATGGCGACCTTGGCGAGCATCTGGGAAACGTCCTTGTCCTCAGTGGGGGCATCGACTGTGACAACATCCGTGGTGGGCTCGACCGCAGTTGTGTGGCACTGGCCATTAGTGGAATGCCCGAATGATGAGACTCACAGGAAGACAGGCCGTGGAGTCGATGGGTGGGTTGACCTCGTTAATGGTAGGGCTCGACTCGCTGATGGACTCGCGGCGGAGGGCGGTAAACCCCATGGTGATGACGGAAGACTCCTGAGCGACCGTGAGAACATCAACACCTTCATCAGTGATGAGAGGCTGGAACGTGGTGACGTCCTCCTCGAGTTCGGCGATGATGGGCCCGGAGACTGTGGTCGCAAGGTCCTCGCTGTCGATGGTGATGGCGCTCAACTGGCCTGCCATAAGGGTCGTGGGCTCGGACGTGTCCTCAGCCTCGGTATCTTGGATGATGGGTGCGGAATTGGAAGGGTCGGCAGTGGTCTCCGCAGCCTCAGAGGTCTCAACAGCGACGACCTCGACCACCTCAGGTTCATTGGTGACGGGCTCGCTGCAGGTAGCGGAGCTGTCACTCGTGCTGACCGAGGACTCGGAAGTGATGACAGAAGTGCTGTCCTCGTCTTCAGTATTGACAACGACGGGTTGTGGGGCGAGAGTGGCGGACTGGTTGTTGACGGCGCGAGGCGTGTACGTGCCCCAGCACACATCATCGCGGGAACCCAAGTCGACCGCGCGCTGGTGGTGATCAGTATGGCCACTGTGGAAAGCAATGGTGAACCGACACGTCTAGCGTGCGGGCGAAGGTGGGGGTGAGAGGGTGATGGGGAGGAGAGGGGGGGAGGCACGAGGGACTCACGCCATCAGGCAGCTTGACATGGGTGGGGAGGACCTCGACGGGCGTCTTCATAGTGGCCTTGTGCACCTTGCGCATAACGTGGGCCATGGCATGGGAGACGGCCTCGCGGAGGCTCTTGATGTGGTGAACCAGGACCGTGACGAGGAGACCAAACATGGTTGCCAAGGGGATGTATACGCCGTCTTCAAGGTGTCGAGAGGAAACAGGGAGACTGGGGACGAGGCACATAGAGTACCGGAGGAAGAGATACAAACAAGGGGAGGGTATCGCTGCAAGAGGAGTACCGCTGAGCGATGATGAGAGGAGGGGGTATGGTTGAGAGATGAGAGCAGAAACCGAGATGGTGAGGGGAAGAGAAAGGAAAGCAATCGCGAACCCACTGTTTATATCCCTTCGCCATCACTCCGCCTGATCAAACATCTCTGGTGCTGTTGTATGCCAATCACTTCTTCCAAGATGGCGAGGAAAAGATGTAAAATACGCACAGGCCACAAGTGCCACCTATGCACACCCTGGGGTAGGCCTTTGGGTCTGAAGCCCTTGCTCGAATCCTGTAGATGTGGTAGCGGTGGCGAAACCGTCTGCCACACGAAAGCACCTCCCTCTCGTCATCCGCCTCCTGCCGAATTCACTGATGAGAACCACAAACGCACTGGGCGTCTTGTCCAAGACGTACACACACCAGATGCTAGCCACCGTGAACAGGTGTGACTGGAGTCATGGTGTAGGTCTCTGGAATGTGACCCGAGCTACATGCCAGCGTGGCAAACACCCAACCGCATGCCTCTCACCGTCCGCCTCGTCCGTCACCTCTGATGGAAAAGTGCATTGGGCGCCTCTCCGCCTGTTGACGCGCAACCACCCGGAAGAAAACATGTCAGCCATCATCAACGAGCATGACCTGAAGTGTACGTCTCGAGTCGAGTCGACTCGACAAGCGACTGCAGCGTATGAGGGCATCAACACGCCTACAGCTTGACGATTATGGGTGGCACCGTTGAGACTCTCCATCTCGAGATCACCGTGGCCGATATCGTGATGAAATAACAACCCTGTGGTGGTTCTGTCTCGCGGCGTGGACTCCTATCAGAGTCGTATTCGAGCTCTGTCAGTGTTGTTAGTTCCTGGTAGGGATGGTGTGTCGAGCAAGTCAGAATGTCAGTGCCTCCTACACCCAAGGACCAGATTCCCGTCGCCCACCCAATGCTATGCTGATACATGCTAGATTTGCTCTACTTTGCCTCGTCGCCGGTCGTCTTCTCCTTGAGGGTGTCCTCGAGGCCCTGGAGAGTACGAACGAGGCTGCCACCGCCAGCCTGGGAGAGGATGCCGACGAGCTGGCGGCTGGGAGTCTCGAGCAAGCCCAAGAGCTGGGCGCGGAGGCCGTCGAGGTCGGGCAACTGGGTGAACTCCTTGACCTGGGCTGCGTTCAGAACGCGGCTGCCCTCCATGACGCCGGCAACGAGCGAGAGGGCCGGCTGGGTCTTGGCCTTCTTGGGGTCGTCCGACTGCTGCTTCTTGACGGTGCGTGCAAGTACGGCAAGGACCTTGCCGACGTACAGGGGCGACAGGGAGGGGCAGGTGATGAGAGCGGTCTGACCGTTAAGGTGGGTCTCGAGGGCCGCACCGCCGGGCTGGGCGCGGACGACAGGCGCAAGCAGACCCGTACGCGCAATGGTGAGGGTGGCCGGCTCGGGGCTGGGTGCGTCGTCGGCGAGGGTGGCGGGGCGCGGGACGGGGATGGAGGCAATGGCATTGCGGAGAGCATTGCTGTCTGCGACGCTGAGGTTTGCGTGCTGGAAGAGGAGAACGAGCTGGGACCGACGGAGGAGGTGGTTGTAGTAGTCGAAGAGGAACGCCTTGCGCTCGGGGAAGACACGGCCTGGGCGGGCTGCCGAAGGGACGGCGGTGGTGGCCGATGACGAGGCCACAGTGTCTGCGGCGACGGTGGCATACCGCCTCAGCGCGGGAAGCGACGGCCTGGGCGCCATGGTGTGAGGATAAGGTGAGTAAAGGTGGTTGTGTTCACCAGATCGAAAAGTCAAGAGGACATGGACCTCTGCATCGGAGGGATCGCTGTGGATTAGGGGCTCTCATGCTGACGTGGGAAATACCCATACACGGGATCAATTGTATCACTGTCACCAGCGGTTACGCGTTCGCGCGCGATGACTTCAATGTCTCCAGCACCGTCCGTCATCCTGCATACATACACCCCCACACACACAGCGACCACCATGGACATCGACCAGCCAGCAGGTTCCTCCTCCGCCGCCAACCCCCTCCCCTTCCTCGAGAAGCAGGAGGCCGCCGCACCCGCAGCTCTCCAGTCAAGCTGGACCAAGATCCGCACCGCCTACGAGAAGAAGTGCGTCATGACCGTACACACAGACACCACCAGCTGCTGACACTTGTTCCAGGCTCTGGCACAACCTCACCGTCGCACTCATTGAGTTTGTTCAGCTCCCGGGATCTGGACCATACCAGATCGAGCTCTTTGACCAGTGAGTTGGCAGCCCCCGTTCTCTCTCTGACGCAATCCAGGTTCATCACCACCGTCGAGAGCAAGATCAACGCTCTCAAGCTCGTCGAGATTGCCCGCCGTGTTGGACGCGAGTATTCTGAACCCGACCGCACCCTGCGCTTCCTCGAGTCTGTCCACTCTCGCCTTACGTCCCCTTACGCCGTCGAGGCTACCGCCGACACTCCCGGCTCTCCCATCCCTCCCCGCCCGTACCCCGAGGCGTATGCCCTGTCGCTGAGTTCGATCGCGTACGCATACCTTCTCCTCGGTGACCTGCCTGGCTGCAAGAAGCGTCTGGACGAGTGTGAGAAGCTCCTCGGCGACCAGGACACGGTGGAGCAGGTCGTGTATGCGGGCTACTATGGCGTTGCTGGCGACTACTACAAGGTCAAGGCCGACTATGCGCCCTACTACAAGAACGCGCTGCTGTACCTCGCCTGTGTGGATGTTGACCGCGAGCTGTCTGCCGATGACAAGAAGGCGCGCGCACACGACCTGTGTGTTGCTGCCCTCCTCGGCGAGAGCATCTACAACTTTGGCGAGCTGTTGCAACACCCCATCCTGGCCACCTTGACGGGCACCGAGTACGAGTGGATCAAGGACCTGATCTCGGCGTTCAACTCTGGGGCGATTGGCAAGTTTGATGCCCTCGCCTCGCACTTCTCCTCCGAGCCCATCCTCGCCGAGTCGATGGCGTTCTTGAGGCAGAAGATTTGTCTCATGGCCTTGATTCAGGCGGCCTTTTCGCGTCCCCGCGACGGCGCCACGCGTCTCATGACGTTTGAGCAGATTGCCGAGGCGACGCGTCTGCCCGTCAACGAGGTCGAGCACCTGATCATGAAGGCCCTCTCCTTGCAGCTCATCCGCGGTACCCTCGACCAGGTCTCGTCCACCGTCGACATTACTTGGGTCCAGCCGCGTGTCCTCGAGGGCGCCCAGCTCGACACCCTCGCCGAGCAGTTTGGCCACTGGACCGACGCCGTGGGCGAGACCGCCAACGGCGTCCAGGGACTGGAGAACGGTGTCGCCGTCAACGGTATCGTCTCGGCCTTGGCTTAAAGCCAGTGTTGAGCTAGATAGGGTACATGTCGGTTTAGCAGTAACAGTATCGCAGGTAGATGTACGCATGAGAGCCTGAACAGAGACTTGTGCATGAACAGAGACGTGTGCATCTCAGTGATAGGTATACAGTATACTCTCGCTTGAAAACTAAACTACTAAACACCGTCCCTCCCTCTCTCTCTCGTCTCTCCCACTCTCTACCATCCACGACCACGGCCACGGCCACGTCCGCGGAAGGGGCGGCCACGACCACGTCCACGTCCACGACCGCGGTTGGTCATGTTCATGCCTGGCACATTGGTGCGCTTCTCACGGACCGTGATGAGGCGGCCACGGAACGACGACTCGTTGAGCACCAGCGCGTTCTGGACGACGGAGGGGTCGGCAAACTCGACATAGGCATAGCTATAGGCCACGGGTCAGTTGACGCAGCAAAGAGATGGAAGAGGGCATGCACTCACCCCTTGGGGTGTCCAGAGAACTTGTCACACAGGATGGTGACACGGTTGATGGTGCCACAAGCCTGGAAGTGGGCCTGGATCTCCTCTGGGGTCGCTCCGTAGTCGACCTGAGCCGAGTCAGCAACAGTTCAAGATGTAGCTCGTCTCCAGGATGTTGCCAACGACGCCGGATGTGACGGTTAGCAATGGTGCGACTCACGTTGCCGATGTAAACGCTTCGTGCGTCGACGGCGGCAGGTGCCTCGTCATCGTCCATGTTGGCATCGGCTGTCTCCCCCTCACCGCCGGCGGAGTCTGGTGCGTCCTTCTCGAGCTGCGAGGTGTCAGTTCTGGATGTGGAACGAGACAGGGAAGGAGGAAGCAGCGGCAGGCAGTGCAATGGCAGAGATAGCAGCCAGGTTTCTCAGCCCAGTATCCTTGCTCGCTGTTCCTCTCCCCATGTGTTGCCTGTTGGACCAGACAGAGTTGCAGAGTTGACCACCTACCGCGTGCTTCTCGGCCTCCATCTCGGCGAGCTGCGCCTGCATGCGCTTGAGCTCCTGGAGAACCTGTTAGCTTGGAGCAGCAAGGGAAATAGGCAAAGGGAGACGTACCTCGTCGACGTTAACGTCGGTGTCGTCTAGGCGCGGGGATGGGGGTTGCTCTGCCATGGTGGTGGTCGAGGGTGGTGTATCGAGATGGGTGGTTGAATAACGTTGTTGTAATTAAGCTGGAGGATTATTGTTGATGACGGAGGGGTGGACGGCGCCACACTCACGGGATTATACGGGGAATTACGGCCGGGTGGTCGCTCCGCCCAGCCAGCCAGCAGACGGCCCCCACCGCCCGGATTCCTCCGCGGCCAACCAGCCAGAGCCAGCCAGCCAGCAGCCGCCCGCCCAGCCAGCACACCCACCGCCCGCCCAGCAGACACCGCGCAGAACGACGACGGCTCGTGGACACAAGTCATCTCCCCATCTCACCGCTCCTCCAACCCCCTCCCCCACCTTCTTGTGCGTGCTCGCGACCAGCACCTCCCCTCCCCCCTCCCCCCCCCGACCCGCTGCTCACACACACCCAGCACAATGTCCGCCGTTCGCAGCGCGTCGTCCAAGGTCGACTGGACCAAGATTTACTCGCTTGGCCTTAACAAGGGTTCGTTTTGAATCTTGTCCGGGTGTCAATGTGTCTCGCCGTCTTTGTTGTTCCGTCTCTTGCAACTCGGACGACATGACATGCCTTGGCTTGGGACCCTTGCACCCCGCCTGGGGACGCATGACAGTTATGCGCACCCTCGACGCACTACTGACAACCCCCCGCAGAGACCGTTACCGAGCTCCAGGCCTTCCGTGCGCGCAACACTGCCGCGTCGAACAAGAACGCCGCCGTCAAGGCCTCGATCCCCGAGCTTGACCTTGCTTCGTACAAGTCGGTCCTCAAGGACCAGCGTGCCGTCGAGCTCGCCGAGAAGGTGCTTGCTGGCTTCAAGCCCGTGACCTACGACGTTTCCAAGTGGAACGGCGTTGTCGACGCCTTTGAGGGCAAGGCCGTCTCGGCCGCCAAGGAGACCCTCACCAAGGTCTCGGCCGAGGAGGAGGGCCTCAAGGCCACCCTCGCCAACATCCAGAACGCCCGCGCCTTCGAGGACCTCACCGTCGCCGAGGTCGGCGCCGCCCGCCCCGAGATCACCAAGGCCGTCGAGACCATGATCAAGAAGGGCAAGTGGACCGTCCCCGGCTACCGCGAGACCTTGTGAGTTTGCTTTCTTTCTCTTTCTGATACTCTTGCACGAATGTTGTATGCTGACACTGGTGTGAAGCGGCGAGCAGTCGCTGTTGTAAGGATCCGGCGTCACAGCGTCACAGAACGATCCACCAACAGAGGCAAAAACGTAGAATTAAGTGAGATGCATCACCCAATCTCGCCTGCAGTGTGCTCTCCAAAGCGGCCTAAAAAAACGCCTATCGCGCACACCATCGCCGGCTCCAGGCGGCATGCGTCGTCAAGATGTTGAGGTGATGTCGTACCACTGCTTGAGGGTGAGGTATCGACGGGCGTGGGGTTGGGTCAGTCGGGTGTCGGCCACAACCCGAAAAACTCAGTTGCTGCTCCGAGATTCCACACGGTTGCGGACGCCACCTACAAGGCTTGCGCATGACGGCAGTGCCAGAGTTTGCGCAAGTGCACAAGCCATGTAGTGGTCTGCAAACGCACGAAGTGACTGACGTGACGTACTGACTGGGGTCTGTTTGAGTGGGCCCATAGACCGCTGTCGTGTGCCACTACTCACTTCCATCCTCAACTGACCGCTGATGTCGCTCGGACCGCCCGCAGGTATGCAGACCCGCACACAACATGTTCATTCTGGTACGCCGAATGGATACATGTTCTGCCCGGCACGAGCTGGTGCGCGCTCAACCAGAACTGGTGAATCCACTCAGTCTCTTCCTTTTCTATTCCCATCCTTTGGCAGAGATCCACCGCCGCACCAAGTCCCTCCAACGCCGCTTCCGCCCCCCCTTCCCCCTTGTTGCCCCGCGTTGTCGGCGGCCAGGCCGACTACGGTAACACGACCTCAAAGCTGCGCATGCTGTGGTCCAGTTGACCTCATATATACGTATGCCACTTCAAGTTCTGTCTCGCGTTCTCTTTCTCTCACTCGACATCCTTCGTTTTCTTGCAAGATTGGCCACCTCCCCCGTCCCCACCTTCTCTACTACGTTCCCCGTCCCCGACTCCTCTCCTCCATCTCCTTTCCCCGCTGCCGTCACTCTCTCGTCGGCTGCTACTCCGCTTTTCGTCACCCGCGGTCCATTCGTCCCTCCCATTTCCTCCAACGCATCCAGTGTTGCCCAGCCCATTGACAAGTTGGCTTACCCTACCGCCGTCGTGACATTGTCGGGTACTTCTTCGTCGGGTGCTTCCTCGTTGGCCACGAGCCACGTCCACTCGTCCGCGTGCGGCACCTCGTGTACCCACCTCGGAGCTTGGGCCGGCCCCCAGCGTGCCAAGAAGACGACGAGCCGGGTGTCGGTGGTTGCCTTTCAACAGCTGGACCAAGGACAAGTCCGGCGACATCGCCATGAACGGTAGTCGTTCTAAGGGAGTCACCGCTGACTACGAGGTGGACGCCCAGGTGGATGTCTGCATCTCCCAGTGCGCTCCTGTGAGCCGCGTTTGTTTGGAGTAACGTCGGATTGGTGCCACTCTGTTGTGTAGCTACGCAGATAGATTTAGGTCCGACCGCTCGGGAGAACTCATCGGAGTACGGTCGCCACATTGAGTTTGAAGCGTCTAGTTCGGTATCGACGGCGGCAGGTGCGCTTTAAACAGAGGGCAATGGGGGCAGCTATCGTGCAGTACAACGAGTGGCGAGGTGCTATGCTGTCTCGGTGCTGGATGTCAGCGGTGCTTCTGTAAGCTGCACCAAGTCCCATACTCATGCCTTGGCCATTAAGCGGGGGAAGTTCTTTGCACCAGATCGCAGTGGGTGGGTTCAACCCAGTACTTGCCCATGGCCACGCAGGGATCTTGTAACCACCTCTCGCTCCCCAGCCATATCACATCAGGCATCGGTCAGGCCCCACCCGCACCCCAACAACAGCCTCGGAATCACCCAATATGTCAGCAACAGAGGGGGGCAGATCTTCTTGATCGGCACCCGGTCTGGTGGAACCTTTTCGTCACTACCACCATAAAATCCGTGATGCGCGGTGCAAACCACGCTTTGCCGCAGCAACTCCCCCCTAAAGCAGGTGACACTGCAGTAGTACATAGAGCTACGTGTCGCGCGGTTATAACAAGCTGGGTAACAACAACGACGAGGTGGCCTGGCGTTCACTCGGCCGCCTGGCCTTCTCCTCCTCGTGGGTCTCTTCTCTTCTCTCCAACGCCTAAAAAGGAAAGCTTACAAGGAAAGACATCTTCCTGCGCTCTCTCTGACGAGAGTGGGATTCGAACCCACGTCCGAAGACTGCGGAGAGCAACAACGACATTGATAACCTGAACACAGCGCCTTAGACCACTCGGCCATCTCGCCCACGAGACATGAAAAAATACAAGAAAATACAAGAAAATCAGGAATTTCTGTCTTTCAAAAGAGGATGCCGGTGGCATGCCCCTCCTTGGAGCTATTTACATGCACGTTTGGAGAAGTCTGAGCCACGGGAGACAAGGGAATCGTGGAGGAAGCAGACACAACCCCACCCTCGTCACCATCCCACAGTGCCACATGGTGTTGTGGCAGCAGAAGTATTAGTCGTAATATCCCTGCCGAGCGGTCAGACCGTCAGTAGATCGGTCATACCCAGGTTATACCTATCTAATCAAGAGTTCTAGTCACTGCTCTCCATGCATATCTGTTTATTCAGTCACCCATGCGATTGTTTATTAGCCACCAGCTATCCAGTCTGCCGATCAAAGAGACGGAGATGAGGGAGTCTAGACCGCGGACCCCAAACGGCAGCGGCCAGACGCCGAGCCGTCGTCCAGGCGTCCATCCAGACGAGGCCGCCGAGATTTGCACCAATCCAGCTTGTCGCAACCTCAATGAGCACCTGGCCGCTCACTCGACATGTGATTAATATGAATAAACATAAAATATGCGTACTCCCAAAACTTCCGCCTGCAATCTTGGCTATCACCACCCGGTGCTCATAAACCACGACTGTCGCATCATGTATACCACGTCCGACAACTTAGAACACACGCTCTACAGCCTACAACATGTCATACACTGGCATTGACTCATCCGTCGCCATCCAATTAGCCACCCACACCATGCCCGCTCGTGTCCATGAGTTGGCAAAGGACAAGTTACGCAGCCAGATTCGCCAATAGCTTGGCGGGCAAAAGAACTCTCCCGCATTGCCCGTCTTGGCCACACTGGCGGGCTTGGCCATGACCCTGTCGTACTCTGCAAAGGCCGCCGCATAGTCTCCATGACACTTGACGAGCTCGCCGGACAGGACGTACGCGCCCATCAAGGCGAGGCCCGAGCCGAACCCGCCCAACGTGTTGGCGTATCCCGCGTCGCCGACCAGCGCCACACGTCCCCGGGTGTACGTGTCCATCTTGGTGCGTACCAGCTCGTCCATGTAAAAGTCCGTGGTGCCGACGGCTGCGAGAGCTTGTGGGATGCGCCAGCCGCTGCCCTTGAAGTGGCTATCGAGAAACTCGTGTTGTGCCACTGCAGACCTGCGGTCGTACTTGCTGCCCTCCTTGCCCGCAAAAATGAACAGGCTTGGAGCCTTTTGTCCGCCCAAGCACGCAAATCGGTACGGCTCGCTGTAGGCGTATGCGACCGCGCGGCCGTCGGCGAGCTTGATCTCGAGATTCTCCAAGGGAACGGGGGCCGACGCGATGGCGTAGTAGAATCCAGTCTTGACGAGATAGTCGTCCTCGGGCCCATATGCTAGACGCCGCACAGCAGAGTGTACGCCGTCGGCGCCGATCACGAGGTCGAACCGCTCCGGCGGCCTGTGGGCAAACTCCACATCGACCCCGCCTCCGTCATCGTGTAACGCAGTGATCTCGTCGCCAAAGACGTACGCGGCGTCCTTGGCGCTGTGGCGATACAGGATGTCCGCGAGGTCGCCGCGCAGGATCTCGACGTTGCCACCGAGAAACTCGCCGGGCAAAATCGCCTGTACCTCCTCTTTGGCATTGATGATCCGCCAGTCGGTCCTGGATGTCTGCGCGGCCCAAATGTCGTCGTACACGCCCATGGCGTGCAGCAGGCGCATGTGGGTGTCGCCCTTGAAGTCGACGGCCTGGCCACCGGGGCGGATGGAGGGAGACTTCTCAACGACAGTGACGGAAAAGCCGTTGCGGCCAAGCCAACGGGCTAGGGCTGGGCCAGCAATGCTCGCGCCAGAGATGAGGACCTTGGGGAGTGGCTGGGTGGTGCTGTTGGTGGTAGAGCTGTTGTCCGTCATGGCTAGTGGATGGCAGAACGCCAAGGGGTGGTCAGTCCGGTCAGTGGGTTTAAATGACAGGCAACGCGCGTTTGACCTTGCTGCAACTCACATGATCATCCCAATACACCGCATGCCCACACGCACAGCGGTGTCCGCAAGCTTCTCGCGTCTCACATGTCTCGGCTGCCGACAGCAACCGAACGTGCATGTGGTTCTCGGTGTGTCAAACAAAATGCTTACGTAATGGTTTTTGGCCATTCCCGCGCCGCCGGCGGCTCTGCACGCGATCGCCCACAGGCTCATGACGTCGACGTTGTTCAAAGATCTCTTTCGTCGTTGTCGACTCTTCTCTGTTCCTCACACCGCCTGGTGCAATGCCTACCGAGCTCCTCGCCCTCCCACCCTCATACACCCTGGTAGGGCTTTACCGCCTGTTGACCGACCCGTCCATTCGCGAGCCGGTCCTCGCCAAGGTCAAGCATGCCGCCGTCCGCGGCGCGGTCGTCGGCGCGGCGTACGCGACCCTCGGGTGGGGGTTCATGAGCTGGATCGTGAAGCGATGGATCGTCAAAGGTCGCGTCGGCGAGCGCGTTACGCTTGGACACGGCTCGGTATCCATGAACATCGACTTGGTGCTCTGTAAGCTGGAGGGCCCGGGGGAGTCCAGTTCATGCTCTCGCTGACGACGTCACTTCCACAGACACCCACCTGCTCCTCCTTATCCCCCAGGTCGGCCAGATCATGAAGTTCTTCATGAGGAAGAACCTCCGCATTGCGCGTGCTCGCGCTTACGCTTTGACTGTTGCGTCGCGCAAGAAGCCGCAAGAGTTCTGGGGCCTCGTGAGTGTTGGGCACCACTTCCCAAGGAAAACTATGCCAACACTGATTCCCAGGGCTACATTGAGGAGTGGCAGCAGCCACCAGTCATGACTCCCGAGCAGCGTGCCGCTGGAGGCCGCTCACACGAGGAGAAGTGGCTCCGCTGGTTCCTCTGGTGGCCATCGCAGATGCTGCTGCGCCAGTGTAAGTGCTCGCAAGTTTGTGACTGGACCTTCAAGACCTAACTGTCCCAGTCATTCTTCTCCCTCTGAGACCCGAGCTTCCCCTGCTTCTTCCCATCGTGATTGCGGCTGTCAGGAGCGTCGGTACTGCCCAGTACCTGCACAAGCCCTACTTTGCTCAGAAGCGCATGACAAAGCAACAGATCTGGCTTTGGATCGAAGAGCGCAAGTGGGCCTACCGTTGTGAGTTTCCCCGTTCTCGTCGTAGGCTGGAAACTCACTCCAGCGTTCGGTTTCACCTCGGCCCTCCTTGAGAGGCTTCCCATCATTGGCCTCTTGTTCAGCATTTCGAACAACATTGGCGCCGCCATGTGGTGAGTTGTGGTCCATCGATCAGCTTGCTTATGCCAAGGGCCCACGACCTTGAGAAGCGCCAGCACCTCTTCGCCCACGGCATCCTCCAGCCCCTGCCTCCTGCCCGTGTCGGAATCTTTGGCTCGGGAACCCCCAGAGACATTACCACCGAGGTGGTCGTGGCCGAGAAGCAGATCGAGGCCAGGTGGTCCACCCGTCCCGTCTTCCATCCCCAGGTCATTGAACGCCCCGACTCGGAGTATCCCGATGTCGCCCCTCCCAGCTACGAGGCGAGCGCTGCTGGTGTGGCCGCCGCAGCCGCTGCTGCCGGCTCCTCAACCGGAAAGAGCTCCGCTATCAAGGTCCCCCCTCCCCTTCCTGCCCGCACGAGCGCGGCGACTACGTCGACCGCCGTCCCGCCTCCCCTTCCACCCCGCCACGATGTCAAGTTGGACGCGGAAACCAGCATGCCCGGCGCCCTCTAACGAGCTCACCTCATTCATATGCACACAATACACGTCAGCCACAGCCTGCCCCAATTTTAACACCTGACAACAACACCTGACAACGTTTTGAGCTATGGCACACGTCTAACTTGCATCGCTGGCTACCCACAACGATGCTACAACGCCGTTTGGGCACTGGCGGTTCAGCTTTATCCAAGGGGGTTGCTCAAGTGCCACTCGCTGTTCTGCCACAGTGTGAGCGCTGAGGCCGACTCGATGCTTGATTCTGGAGAGAGTAAGAACCCAGCGACCCACGCCTGCGCTTGCACGTCTTGCACATACCTAGCCTTGTCTTGCCGTCTACTTGGCCGGGACATAGCCAGGGGGAGGCGGCATGGGCCTGCGCTTGGACGAGTCGCTGCCGGCGCCAGAACCAGAGCCAGAGCCAGAGTTGTTCTTCTGCCCCTTGTCGCCCGTCTTGTTCTTCTTGTCCTTGTTCTTCTTGTAGATGTAAGAACCGAGGGCGATCATTGTTTGCTTGTGAACTGTGGGTACGACTGTACGGGGATCCTGAAAGGTGTTGTGGTGGTGGTGGTGATGACTGGGGTGGTGACAGTGGTGCTGACTGATGAGGGAAGGGTGTCTTGGTGATATCCGCCTTTATCATGGTATCGATAAGCTGCGCCGCTCTCCACCTCGGTTCCTGTCCGACTGCCACTTTGCTGCCACGCAGACGAGTCCAGCTCACCACCGCCGCCGCACACTGCTATCCATCGTCTGCCCCAGGACGTGCACACGTTGACCAGCAGCGCGAGTACGAGGCGCGCAGGCCACCTCGGTCGTCTCCGTCGTGGCCGGCTGCCCTCGCATCTCCCGTCGCCCGACGTCGGACCGACCGTACCCCCATCGAGGCTCTACTGATCAAGCAAGGCCCACGAGTGTGGCCGTAAATAGACCCACCCGCACCCTTTGATTTTTCGTAACATGATCGGAAACGCATCTCAGCTTTCCCACTCCCATGTCATTGCACCAAGCTCTTGGAGGCGGGCAGAGTGCGGATCGCCTCCTGCGGACTGCGGGCGCGGGAGCGAGCCAGCGCACGAGCACAGGTGCATCACGTCGCCCACTCTGTCTGGAGATCTGAATGTGGGCCATACTTCACCAGTGCCGGTGACTCACGGTGCCGCGCTGGGAAGCGAGATGGAAGCGCAGGGCGATTTCGCCGGTGGATAATCGCCGATGGGTCGGCTTGCTCGTCACCAGCTGCCCTGCAGACCGACAGGCTAATGGCGCAGCAGGCGGCGGTGTGGGGACGTCCATTCCGAGATCCACAGCCCACATGGCCACATGTGCGATATTCCACCTCTGCTAGCAGAACGCCAAAACGGAACCCAATGGCGTTAGGTTGCTTTGCGGCATGAGGTGTGCCTTGGTGTGGCATGTTACGTGGCAAGAATCCGTTGCTATTTGCTGAACAAACGTCGTCGTCACCCTTGCGTTCTTTCTTCATGCAGTGAGGCAAGCGTGCTTACTAGTACGCGCAACTGCCGTTCCTTGGTACCGCACATTCCACGTTCTGAGCTGGCCAACAAGCAACCGGTGTGGGTCATCCACCAGCCAAAACTGATCTCGGATTCTTTTTTTAAAACACCAGTGGTTGCAGCGTGTGGTATGCGAGCCACCCTCAGCTCCAAATCGTGGGTTGGTTCGCTGGTTGTTATGTTGTTGGTTGACCCGAACCGTTTCTGTCTTCTGCTTTTTGTGCGAGCCACAAACAGCCGAACACAGCACGGAATAACTGCACCCCCGCCAAAACCCTTTGATCGCGACTGACGTCGGTGGCGAGGCATTGTCCAGGCTGTCCGGGCTGTCTGGGTGATGCCTCGGCCCGAAAGACAGACGGCCGCGGTTCATTGGGCGTTCCCGCGACCACATACAAGGATGGAAGAACAAAAAAGGTTCGGTTTGGAGTGGATCCCGACTCAATATCTCGGATCTTTTGCCTTGACCAGCTGGCTCCGATTCTCGTAGTGCCACTTCTGTGGGGGGTTGTTTTTTTTGGTTGCAAGGCGCTCGCACGACTACCACTGTGGTGGTTCCCATGCTGCCATTCCCAACAGTTCCGGGAAGAGCATGGGATTGGGAGGCACTCTTCCTGGGAACACGCACGCACATCATATGCTTTATGGAGCACCATTTGCAAAGTCGTTGGAGAAGCGGAAGTGAGGGACGACGCCGATACGTCATAGGAACGTTGCCCCCAGATCGAGGTGCCGACGCGAGGAACACCCCCCGAGGTTTGTCCTTGCTGCCTCTTGTGTTGGCCCCGCCATGGGCTCGGCGTTGGCGGACTCGTTCTGGGCCAGTGAGGGTGAGGGGCAGCCAGAACAAAGCAAAGGCGTAAGGGGAGGAGATCCTGGCGAGTCACCCGAGCCGATGGACCGGACAGGTCTCCAGATACGCGCGCGGGATAGAGTGATTGCTCATTGCTTGGCCGCATGTACTTACGCTCCGCACCTGTTGCAAGTCAGGCTCTGTCTATTGCCCATTCACCCCTTCGTCGTCTGTCGACTGTCGACCACCTGTCTCGTCAGCCACAGTACTCGGACCACCGCTCAGTCCTCGTGACCCCCACCATCACCATCAAGCGAGTCGGTCAATAACACGTTCCGAAACACGCAGAGGCGGGCTCCAAGAAGACTCCCAACAACGGCAGCTCGCTCCACACCAAAGTGTATCTCTCTCTCCACACGTCCGCTCCTCCGGGCACTATCTCAGCTATATACGAGTAGGGCGTGTGTCTCATGGCATAACCCAGCATCTCAAACATCAGCACACTGCTTCATCCCTTCCACTCCTCCCCTCGCCACCATCATCAGCAACTCTCATTGACAGCTGGATCACAAAGCGTACTGCCAGGAAGGACATTGGTCGTCTGCCAAGACCCTGCCCGAGCACACCCTCGTCCGCCGATCACTCATTGTTACGTTATCGTCCACTCCACAAACTCTGCTATCCATCGTCCCCTGTCGATCCCCCCGTGCTTTGCACTGCACACATACATTACGCTCCGCCTGGCATTGCTGTTCACCTTCTTCCCCACCACTCCACCATGGCGTTCACGACCCGCTCCCTCTCGACCCCGTCCAACATGACCACGTCGGCCGAGTTCACGGCCCACTTCAGAGGCTACCTGCGCGTGATCAACATGCGCATCTGGTCCAACCTCTCGGCCTACGTCGCGAGCCGGATATCTCTCAACGGGCGCAAGATGTCGCAGGACGCCTTTTCGTCCCTGATAGCCCCCGGCGCAGTGTTCAGCGCCGACATGGTCGTGGCCGACGTGTCGAAGCGCACGCTCGCGGCACGCATGGACATTGAGTTTCCCGTCACCTTGGCCACGAGCGACACGGCCATGGAGAACAGCGACCCGGTCCACGAGCAAGACTGCAAGATTGACTCGCTGGGCGGGAAACGCGAGATCCGGCGGATAAAGGAGCATGTGTTTTACCACTTTAACGAGGCGTGGCGGATCGACCAGGTCTGGAGCGTGTTCACGTACGGCGAGAGCTGGACACGCGAGCCGGCGGCCGCGGCGCTCGACCCGACAGTGCTCAGCTTTACGGGCGGCCCGCCGTCGCCTGCGGCCGTCGCGGCCAAGAGCCGCTTGCGCCATGGCCCCGGCAGGCCAAACGTCAACAACGTCAACAACGTTAACAACATTAACAGCGTCAACGCCAATGGCCATGCCCATGGCCATGCCCACGGTACCTCCCACATGTTCGATTTTACAGAGCACGGAACGCAGCGGGCCGTGGTGGACCACGGTTGGACCTCGTTGGTGAAGGAGAGGGAGATCCGACGCGCGGCGGACGAGTGCGTCGCGGCTGTGAGCGCCCTCGACCTCGGCGGGGTAGGGGCACTGGAGGACGGCGACGGCGACGCAACCCCACGAGAACGTCTGCTCACAAGAGCGATGTGACGTGTGCCGGCTTGTCCTTGTCCTTGTCCTCGTCCTCGTCATCGTCGGGCCGACTGTACATTGTCCCAGCCCGCCACATCACACCGCACAAAGTCCTCACACATCGCCTCCTCGCGCGTCGCGCACTGCTGTACCACCACCACCATCACCACCACGTCCACCATTCCAGCATACAGACCATACATTGATATGCGCTTTCAGACTGCGTCCCATCTTAGCTGCATGTAAATGTCAATATTGCATAGAGAACAACACGTGGTGGCGGAGCGCTAAAGGTGAACTATAGAGGGGGCGCGAAAGGGGAGGAGACGTCTAAAACGTGAGATAAATGGAGTGATGAGAGCGAGAGAGACGTCGAACAAAAATAAGATGCGGCGGCGGCGCGCGTTGAGCACGCCGATGAGGGCGATGGGGGTCGTTGCAATAGCAGTCTGTTGGGGGTTCGTGGGCCGGTGTGGTGTGTGGCCAGATAATGGAGACGTGGTGGCCGTGGCAGTTGGCGCACCTCGTGTCGTGTTCGTTGGGGGTTCTACCGGAAATTGAGCTTGATGAGGAACAGCAGAATGTTCATGGACACATGGACGCTCGCCCACCCGCAGGCCGGGACCAGCTCGGGATACTCGCGCATCTCGTCCAGTCCCACCTGGCTGACGTCCACGCCGAATCCGGCGCGCATGAGCTGGCGCGCGACAAACGACGAGATCAGTTCAGAGCCCTGGATGAGAGAGTCTTGTCAGCTTGAGAAGGCCTCAGCTGGCGACAACATACCCAGACGGCGCAAGAGGCGACGAATGTGAGTCCGAATGTGTACGGGTCTTCTTCGGTGGGTTGAAACTTGAAGAAGGGGTAGATTTCTGTGGGCACGCGTCAGACGAGGTCGAGAAAGGACGGCGTTTGCGGCTACGTACGAGAATTGGAACCAAAATGGAGGATGCTGAGCCAGCCTGGATGTTAGCTCGAATCAAAAGGACGCAGCTTACCTAGGAACCCGACCATGGTGGTGTTTTGTGCCAGGCTACGACAGTAAAAGCTGACAGCGACGTTATCGAGGTGATCATTCTGATATTCGTCAGTTAACGAGGCGGGCCGTGCAACTCACAAAGGGCTGCGAATACCCAACAACGATCTGAAGCATCTTGTACCACGGCTTGGTCATTTGCAAGGGGAAGAAGCACACGACTGCAATGGATGACAGCAGCTGGACGGTGGCGAACTGGCTTGGGGACCGGAGCCGGGCGAACAGGTTGCGATAGAAGACGTGGTAGACGAGCTGGAAGAAGAGCTTGTACAGGAACAACAATGCGCGAGAGCGGACTTTGGACGTGATGATAAAGTACGAGATCTGGGCAAGGAGTTGCACCGCTGAGAGACAGTCAGCTGAGTCCAGTACCTCGGAAGCTCACTGATAACCCATGACCAGACCCAAGTACCGGCGTCCAGACTGGTGTGCGGGAGAGTGGAGAGGAAGAGGGACGCGTACGCCTGGCCGGCAATGACCGAGAACGAGGCGATGGCGAGACAGGCCATGAACCACAGGAAGCGGAGCCACGACGACGGCATACGGCGGAACGCCTGCCCAAAGAACGTGTCCTGCACGACGGGCTGGATGTGGCGGTATATGTGTCTCTTGTCGCGTTTCAGTTTCGAAAAGCAGGCTATGGCGGGTATGTGCATCGCTGCAAACGACAGGACGACCCAGAAGGCTAGCATCTGTTAGCGGGGCACAGCCGACCGGAGACTGGGCTCACTCTTTCGTTCCCAGTCAAAGCTGTCGCTGTCTGGCTTGGTCTTGTATCGCTGGTGCAGGCCAAACATGTCCAGATGGTGTGCGGTCAGCCCGAACGCGAGGGTCAGGCCCCAGATGAGCGAGTAGGTCGTCTTGCCGCCGAGCAGCGATGGCCACCAGTCTGGGATATGGGTTAGATTCGACCACTCAGTGCCACACCCACTGAGGCGATAGAGACTGAACAGGTTGGTGATGAAGAACAGCGCGACGGCGAGGTACATTCCAAAGTACCTGCACGCAATGTCAGCTGGTCACGAGCATTGTAGCACACTTCAGCTTACCAGAACAAGAAGAAGTAAAAGTTGGCGTCCAGCGGCAACACTTCGTCGTCGTCCCCTCCCATCCCGCCTCCGCCGCCTCCCTCGTCTGGCGTCTTTGGCCGTTTCGGCCACGAAGGGATATCAGGCAGTGGCGAGTCCTTGTACGGGTCGTTGACGGGGAAGGGCATCGCGACCCACACCCAGACGGCAAGGCAGGGCAGGACGGTGAGCACCAAATGGCGTTTCCAGAAACTCGAGAGCCACCCGTCGACGCGGCGCCGTGACGGCTTTCGGGGGGGTCAGCACATTGTCATTGTCGAGCACATGCGCTCCTCTGCACACTCACGCGGAAGAACAGCTGCCACCACGTCTCGTCGTCGACGTTCTCCGCCTCGCTGACCCGCCGCGCATGCCCGTGCCGCCACTCGCGGCCTCCAGCGCCGGCGCCGCCCCCGCCCCCGCCTCCGCCGCCTAGTGGGCTCGCTGGCGCCGTCAGGCCGCCATTGCCAAACCGCGTGGCTGGGGAGGTGGTGCGTGATGAGCGGCGAGGACGGCCGAGGCCGCCCAACCCCGCCGGAGAGCCGAGGGGCGCGCGCGGGCGGGGTTTACGCGCTGCGGCAGAGGCGGCGCGGTCGCGGTCTGCTGGAAGGGGAGGAGAGGATGCGGAGAAGGGAAGGTGAGAAGGAAGGCCAGGCGGTTGTGAGGAGCCGGGGTCATCAGCGGGACGCGTTGACGGGTGGACGAGCGCGTGGACATGGCACAGTGCGGGGTGATGACGGTGGGGACCAGGTCGCGGGTCACGGTGACGACGAGGACAAGAGGAGGCCATGTGGTCGTGGAGAGGCGCAGCATGACGAGGTTCAGAGGTGAAGAGGTGAAGAGGACGCACATCAGCTCATGGCTCCAGCTCGTACACAGCACAGCAGCACGACAAAAACATACCCCAGAGCTTATCTTGTGCACGTTCCGAGCCCGTCGATAGCGGGGTGAACATTGCGCGACGCCGGCAGTGAGAGAGGCGCTACTGCGTGCAAGGCAGTGAGTGCGGCGCGGCGAGAGGGCGATATGCTGTAGGTGAGGGTGAGAGATGTAGAAGATACAGAGACGAAGCGAGATGGCACGCTTCCTTGACAGTGCTCTGCTGGCGCCATGGAGACGCCTCCTGGCAGTTGGCGTGACCGTCGTGCCTGGCTGTATGCTGTGGACCTGGGGTCAACAACAAAATAGTGTCCGTGTCTCGGCGCGCTCGGCGGGCTCTTTTGGGTTCAATGATCGAGCGAGATATGGCGACGCGAGTGACTTTTGTCGCACCCATCGATCCATCGCGGCATGCACGGAAAGAAACGAGTCCAGTACATTCATAAAAAAAACCACCTATCTTGCAACTAAACACACCACTGGGTCGTATTAAACACTCGCACCTACAAAGCCTCCAGGCATCACATGTCGTCGTCCATCTCCTCTCCCGCGAGCGCTCACTTGTTCAGCGGCGGCGCTCTGCTCGTGGCCCTCTGCTCTTGCGACCTACGCGATCAAACACCCCGACAGGCGTTGTCGCGCGCGCCACTCTGCAAAGAGCGGCTCGTGTTCATGCTGCGTATGGGACCTGCCTTGACCTCAGCCCGCCTAGAACCGGGGACCGTACGGGGGGTACCACGAGCGACCGTCGTAGGACGAGTATCCTTGTCCTTGCTGAGAGCGCGAGTTAGCAAACTTGCACACTGCCCTCGTCGCTCGAGCCATTGCTACTCACCATCATCGGGTCATATCCCATACCACCGCCGGGCCCCATCTGCGGCATGTACCCAGGCATGCCGCCTTGCATGCCGCCTTGCATGCCGTACGCGCCGGGCACTGCTCCAGGCATACCACCATACGCGCCCGGCACGCCGCCAGCCATGCCGTAGCCGGGCACCTGGCCCGGCATACCGTATGCGCCGGGCATGCCGCCAGCGCCTGCGCCGGGGTAGTATCCGGGCTGCCCGGCGCCATACGGCATACCACCGGGCACGCCGCCCGCGCCAGCGTACCCCGGAGGAGGCGGGTATCCGCCCGCACCGCCTGCGCCGTTGTAGTACCCCCCAGCCTCGTTGGCGCGGTACGCGCGCTCGCGCTCGCGGTTCGCGCGCCGGCGGTAGTCGCCGTCCGTGTCGGACAGGTCGCTGTCCTCGCCGCCGAACGCGCGGGCAAACGTCCCGCTCAGGCCGCCGCGCGAGCCCGTGTGCGACGAGTGGCCCAGGTCGTAGTGTAGGTCGAAGAGGTGCTTGGCGGTCGCCGACGCCCATTCGCACGACTCCTCGCGGTCCGCGTCGGCAGGGTGGAGCCTGTCAAACAGGGCGTACACTGCAGAGGTGAGCATTGGCCTTGCGGGGAGGACTACCTACCCTCGGCGACGGCGAGCGCGACGAGACGCTGCCTGTTCTGGTCATTGGCAAAGCTGTGGTAGATGCTCCAGTGGTCGCGGTCCCAGATCCTGCCGCCGTCAGTGACTCTCCACCCACTGCGGAGGCCCCACTCACAAGTACGCCTGGTACGCTGCTGCGCCGCCAAAGTGCTTCGAGTTGCGGTGGTACTCGTTGTTATAGTAGATGCGGCGGTGGGCCTTGCGCGCCTCGCGCTCTTTGAGGTGGCGTTCCTTGTAGTAGACGCCCATGTTGCCAAACTGGCGCGCTGTGAGCAAGCGAGCGAAGCACGGGTGATGGTGATGGGCCAACACCTTCTTCCACTTACCACTCGGTCCAGGATACCCTGGTTGAACGCGTGCGACGAGTGTGTGCCCGCGCCGGCGCTGTAGGCCTCGCGCGCCTGGGTACATGTGTCAGCATCACATCACGCGTGAACTGCCGATTGGCATGTCAATCGCGCATCACAGCGAGCCACATGACGTCGTCGTCGGCGTCGTCGCGGCCCCTTGCCATCCCATCCCATCTCATCCCATCCCACCACGGCCACGGCCACGGCACACTCACCAGGTCATACGGAGTCATGGTGGGCTGCGGTACATACCCCAGGTTTGGCAAGGTATACTCGTACCCGAGGTTGGCCGGCAACCACGCCCCGCCAGCGTTGACGCCCGGCACGCCGGTACGCGGGTCGACAGCGACGCCGCCTTGAGGTCCGCCGGGGTAGTATCCGCCTTGCATGCCTTGCATGCCCGGCTGCATCTGCATGCCTTGCATCCCCTGCATGCCCACGGCGCCGGGGTAGCCTTGGTATCCGGCCTGGGGCGGGTAGGCTCCGCCGCCGGGATACTGCTGCTGCTGGGGGTATCCGCCGCCGGGGTAGTAGGCCATGGTGGTGGTTTGTGCTGAGTGTGGGTGTGGGTGGGTGCGTCGAGGGACGCGGTGGCCCGGTGAAAGAGCGGTGGGTGGTGGATGGGTGGTTGGATGGATGGAGTTGGATGGGGTGGATGGGTGTCAAAGGGAATGGTTTGGGTGGCGGAATGAGAGTAAATGAGCGGTGTGTAATATGAGCACTCTAGCGAGCAGGACAAGAGAGCACACCCAATGCACCCAAATGCACAGATGGGAGGGTGGGGTCTGTGCGTCGCAGTGCGCGCGTGCGGTGTGTGCGGTGTGTGTGGCGGTCTGTGCGTGCGAGTCCGCCCACCCTTTTTTGCCTTTTCTTTTCCTTCTGGGATTTCACGCAAACGCCACAATAGACGGGCCGCAGCCAACACGCGCACCACAGTTTTGATACACGAATCGGACGGACAGGTCAGTCACGCACCTTTCTGTTGTCTGTTGTCTGTTGTTCTGCACATGTAGACGCAGATGGTGCACCAAATCAATGACATGCTTGCGGCACAAAAAAAGGCAGAAAAAGATTGTATAAAGGGATGGAGGGGATGGATGTGAAACCCGCGCGCGCCCTGGTTCTCTACTGGTTACAACACTTCGTGGTTCTGATTCTGATCTGGCACAACTACACCCCCCTCTCCTCAAATCCTATTGTCCAGCAACCCACTCTCTCCCGTAATTGTCCTGAAGCGTCCTTTACTCCTTTACTCGACACACCTTCACACTGCCAGCCCAATGTCCCCATTGTCACCAACGTCCGCACTCGCCGGTCGGGGGAGATACACCCCAGCCATCATGCGCCGCTCGCTCTCGCTCCCGCTCTCGGACGGCGGCAGGCTCATGTGCCGGCCATGAGTGTTTCCGTGGTATGCCGACGTGGGAGGAGGTGGGTAGGCGGACACTGGAAATGGGTGCACTGGCCGGGCCAATGGCTGCGACACTGGCCTGGGTAACGACCGCGGCACGGAGCGTACACTGAGCCGCTCGTCCTCGAGCCGCCTCGGTGTCGGCGTGGGGAAGTGCAGTGCCGGGATGTAGTATGGCGCCGCCGCCTGGTGTTCGTGCTCGTGCCCGTGCGGCGCGTGTACGGGTCCCGGCGACGACTGGGCGGACGAGCGCAAGTATACTGGCATGGACTGGCGGTTTGCCGGAGAGTGCGCGTTGGCCATGACAGGAGGATGCTGCTGCTGCTGCTGCAGCAGCAGCTGCTGGGTGTGGAACAACGGCAGAAGCTGTGGAGGCGATTGCATCTGACGGCGCCCTGGGACATCCGCGGGGTGGCGTCGGGGATCATCCACAATGACGCCAATGTACACCACACCATTGGGGCCCGGGTTGGGGATCCCCGCCGGCAGCGACATGGACATGCCGGGCACGATGCCGAGGCCGTTCGGGAGGACGTTGGCCACGGTGAGCGGGATGGGTGCGCTGTGGCGCACACCCCGGCGATGGTGGTCCTGTGGCACAGTCACATTCTTGCGCAGCGCCAGAGCCGGCCGGTCGAGGTGGCTCGAGGACGAGGACGGCTTGAGGATCCCCCCGCCGTTGCCGCTGCCATTGGAGACACCGCTGGTCGGCGCGCTGCGACGTACCTCGGCCCTCCGCCTTTCTGGCCCATGTCGCTGGTCTCCGCGAGCTCCAGGCGCTCCTGGCGCGGGGCCAGCGAAGAACGGGTGCGGCGTGCCCACCGACATTGCCACGGCGGCCTTGGCGCCCGGCGGCAGGCTCTGGTTCTGGAGAAGCACCGCCGTGGACCCACCCGCCGTTCGCCGGAGGGCGGACATGTGCGCCTGTGCCGGCCGGGCCGGGTCCATGTAGGTGGTATAGCTCGTCGGCAGCGTGTACTCTGTGTGTTTCATGGGCGGACTCGGCGTGCCAGCGCTCTCCCCGGACGAGCCCGAGCCTGATCCTGATCCCGATCCCGACCCCGAGCTGTGCGTGGTGCTGCTGGGCATGCTGCTGGGGTTGGAGCTGGGTGCGCTCGTGCTGGTGCTGGTGCTCAGGCTCGGCGTGTCGGAGAAGGACACGCGCTTCGTGGCGCCACCGCCGCCACCAACGAGACCCAGTCCCATCGGCCGCGTGCTGTGGTAGTGGCCGCCCGTCATGAGCAGAGGGAGGACATCGCGCAGCTCGTCTTCCAGCGGGTTCCGTTCGGTCCTGTACGTCTGCGGCGCGTGGGGCAGGCTGGGCACAGGCGGTAATGTGAGGGTGAGTGAGTGGGAGCGGCTGTTGCGACGCGGGTTGGCGACAGGTGCCAAGGACACCGAGTGGGAGCGGTTGGCCCGGCGCGACGATACCGACGAGGTAGACGACGGCGGCGGCGGCGTCCACCGCTGTACGTGCTGTTGCTGCAACACCGCCATCGCATGCTGCGGCGTCCCGTTGAGCAGTGGTGATCCCAGCGACCTCACTAACGCCAGCGACCCAATGGACCCCAGCGACCCAATGGACCCCAGCGACCCAAACGAGCTCATGGACGCATCGTTCTTGTGACCCCCCAGGACTGGCATGCTCGCACGCTGGCTTGGCACTTTGCCAATGACGAGGGACAGCGGCGAAGTCGGCGTCATTGAGAGCGGCGGCGTCGTCGGTGGATACGAGTGCTGCTGCTGGTGCTGCTGGGCTGCTGCTGCTGCTGCTGCTGCTGGCAAGGCTGGCGTCGGTGGGCTCAGGGGTACCACCCAGTTATCCCACGCTGCTGCCGCTGTCGTGTGCGGCGTGTGTGGCGGCGACGCCACAGGTGGGAGCATGGCTGGAACCGAAAAGTGGCGCGAGACACTGACGTTGTCATTTCGACCCGTCTGGGCCGCTGGCACCTGGATCGACTGTGGGCGCGGTGGTGGGCGCTGCTCGAATGGGAATGCTGGTGGGACTGGTTTCCTGCGGACAGGCTGGGAATAGCGGCGTGGTGGGGTCTCGGTGTTGGCGGGGTCGTTGGTGGAGACACTGCTGGCAGGTTTGGCTGGCTGGGAATGGCGGCGCGGCGCAGGGGTGGGAGCGACGGCGCCGTTCGCAGAAGGCAGACTGGCGTACGACGACGACCGGCTGGCGTCGTTCACACCAGTTGTGGTGTACTTGTCCTTGCTGGCCAGTACGCGCGGGGGGTTCAGCAAGGCAGTGTGCGCAACTTCGAGCCCAGTCCCAGTCTTGCCGACCTGGGCACGCCATGACGCTGGGCCGTCCCCGGCCACAGTCGGTGTGGCGAGGGTGACCTCGTCGACATTGACCGGCGCTTTGGTATCGCCAACGATCGGTGCACGTGCATGTGCACCACCCACTCGTGGCCGGAAGGGGTTGACGGGGAGCTGCCGTGACTCGCGATAGAGCAGCCACAAACATGTTCCAGCGACGCCGACGAGGACGAGGACGAGAACTGCGATCGCCGCTGAAGACTGTTAGCTCGCGAACACAAAGCCCCGAAGTTGGTATTTAAGGATCCAGGAAACAACCGGGGAGCGTGCTCCAGGACCCGGAATGGGACAAGCGTACCTGGGTGTGCAGCCCACCAGTGTGTGTCGTATGCTGCAGTCATGGCGCTCAGCGCTCGCTGGGTGGTGGATCCAGTCCAATGGGTGGTGAAGAGCAGAGGGTATATGTAAAGTGTGAGAAAAGCGGTGGCAGCAGTGTGGGTTTGCCCAATGATTCGATATAGGATTCCTGAGAGAGCACTTTGCCGTTGGTTCGCAATGTCGGGTGTCCAAGGAGAAACGACGGTGGGTGGGTTGCAGATAGAGTTGCGCGGGGATGGGCGGGAGAGAGAAGGAGGGGGCGGTCTGTGCGTAGGTCCGCTGGGCCGCTGTTGAGCTGTTGAGACGCCGCTGCTGTTCTGGTTTTGCTGATCACGACCGCGGCAGGCAGCCACAACCACAGCCAAGGCGCCGAGTGAGGGTCGGGTGTAGGTTGTAGTCAAGGTGCGTTTACCGGACCGTGTTTTACTTGCTTACTAGTGGGGCAGTGGGTGAGTGTTCTCTGCACGACCAGCGTTGGAGACAGGTGGAGAGAGAGGAGGTAGTAGGAGTTGAGAAAAGGGGCGAGAGAAACATGAATATTTCTGCATGCCTCCAGGTGTGTGTGCATGCTTGACTGTGTACCTGTGTGTTTGTCTGCGCGCTGCATGCTGCGGGCGCGGAAGGAAGAGAACAGTCTGTGGGTGCGGTGCGAACATGCGAATAAGAATAATTCGCGCGGGACGGGCCGCCAAGATCCCAAAGCTGAGTTTCCAAAGGGGAATTACATGATCAGGTCCCACAAACGACGGTGAATGCAGGGAGGGAGGGGGGGGGGAAGGGGGGAGGCAGAAGGTGGCAGAGCCAAGAAACAGAGAGCAGCAAGGGCTTGGATGGGCGGGGAGAACGTATGTAATCTGTGGAATCTCGCCTACGCGGTGGCTGTATATGTAGCCATCCGCCCCCGAGCAGCGCGCGTACTGTAAGCGAAGAGGAGAGCAGCCGCGCCAGAGAGAGTGTTTACGTAATTATCAACACACATCACGGACATTGGCCTCCAACTCCACGTTCGGGTGTGTCCAATTTCCCCACGGGCGAGACGGCGGTGCGGGGACGGCGACGGGCCACGGCCTCCCAGCTCTCCCAGATCGGCCCGCCCTTGCCGCTCGCTGCCGCAGCCATTGCCGCACCCAAGGCCACATTTTACTTCCGTGCCGTCCCCAATGACCCCCCCACCCACGTCTCTGCTGCACATTGTCGGGACGCCGAGATATTCGCATTACGCTGTCCTCAACAACAACACCCCCCACACACCCTCTCTCCTCCCCCCTACAACACTCAGACAAACATGCGCGCAGCGTCTTCCATCGCGCGCAGCTTGCGGTCCGCTGCTATCCGTCCCCGTGCCAGTACGTGTCCAACGCACCCCACCCACTGGACGTTGGGCTCGGGCCCACCACGCCCCGTCTCTCTCCTTGCCTCTGCTGACATCATGCCTTAGTGCACGCGCGGTTCGCTAGCACTCTCCTCAAGATGCCGGCCATGTCCCCGACCATGACCGAGGGCGGTGTCGCCGGGTGGAAGGTCAACGAGGGCCAGGCCTTCAACGCTGGCGACGTTATCCTCGAGGTTGTAAGTCGAACTCTGTGCCCAATACACCGGACCCTGGTGTTGATGTGCTCTCTTTTTTTAGGAGACCGACAAGGCGACGATCGACGTCGAGGCGTCCGACGACGGTGTCATGGGCAAGATCCTCGTCCAGGCCGGCTCGAAGAACGTTCCCGTCGGCGCCGCCATTGCCGTGCTCGCCGAGGAGGGTGACGACCTCGCCAACCTCGAGATTCCCGCCGACACCCCCGAGTCGGCCATCCCCCACCGTGACGAGCCCGCGGCCGAGTCTGCCCCCGCTCCTGCCGCCCCGGCTGCCAAGGAGCAGCCTGCTGCTCCTGCCCAGGCCACTCACCACGTCGAGCTGGACGCGTCCAAGCCCGTGTTCCCCTCGGTCTCGAGGCTACTCCACAACTCGACCCTCACGTCCGAGCAGGTGGCCCAGATCAAGCCGTCGGGCCGCCACGGCATGCTCACCAAGGGCGACGTCCTCGCTGCCATGGGCAAGATCTCCAACCCTTACGGTTCGGCGGAGAAGATGGTCAAGGACCCCATGGGCGCAAGCGGCAAGCGCGCGTCCGAGCCCAAGACCGCCTCCGCGGGCGCTGGCGCCGCCGCCGCGGCCCCCAAGCCCGAGCCCCCACTCGACGGCCCTGCCCTCCGTCGCCTCATTGCCGCCGGTCTCGCCAAGGCCGCGGCTCCCAAGCCTGCTCCCAAGGCCGCCGAGGCGACCGCGAGCGCCCGCACCACCGACGCCGAGTTTGACGACCTCCTCGCCGACTACTTCCCCGCCCGTCCTGCGCCTGCTACCGCTCCCGTCGCTGACGGTGCCGCTGCCCCCGCGCCCAAGGACGAGTTTGCCGGCCTGTACTAGAGTGCACAAAAGGGAGAAGTACATTTTTATCCTAACCTAGTTCAGTTATACCCCAACCCCCCCGCATGAGATCTTAGAGCAGAGCACAATCACCGTTTTTCCCATAGTCTGGATATGATGATATTTATCCGAGATTGACGCTTCTCTTCTCGCTCTACTCACATCTCTGCCATGCATATGCTACGCGAAGCCATGGGGTTCGCTGGTGGTCTACAGTATCCCCTTCTACGATGTACACTCTCTTCATCACTTGGCGACCTGGAATATGCTCAGGAGCGCAAAGCACCCATACAGCATGCCGACGGGGTACGCGACCAGCAGGCGTTGGTGGTCCATGTGCAGGACGGCGACGAAGATTGTGCTTGCAGAGTAGGTACACCACACGACGGAGATGATGGACAGGACGTAGCCGATGACATGGTCGATGCCGACGCCAATCCCGACGCCGCCCAGGCCGACCATGGGCAGGAGGCAGTAGCCCAGCACCGAGGCGGTGCGGTACGCGTCGATCCCGTTCTCCGACATGAGGTTGAGCAGCGTGTAGATGGACATTGTGCCCAGCAGGCCCACGCCGTAGATGTATGAGAACTGTGGCTTGCCGCTCTGTAGAAGGAAGTTGCGTCAGCGCCGGGGGGATGATGCTAGGGCGCGTACGAGTCCGATAGCAACCCCATGGCTGGCTGGGACCGTGACTCACCAGGAGAAGGACAAAGGCGAACGCAAAGCAAAAGACGAACGGGCCGGCCATATCTGCGTCGTCCATGATGGTCGATTCCACCTTTGAGAGCGGGTTGAGCACTGTGAGGGCCTTGTGGAGAATGTGCGTGGGGTTGATACCGAGTTCTGGAGGCGACGACGTTAGCAGTGAGCGCGTTGGGAGTACCAGAGAGTGAGTGCCGGCGGCGACGTGTGGGCCAGGGGAACGCTCCGTCCAGCTCAAGAGCTTGAAGTCGACCAGGACGACCAGGAAGCTCTCCACGGGCACCCATCACACCGTCGCCACCGCCACATACACACACAACCACTCACCCTCCATCAAGCTCGGCTCGCCCTCGAACCCGCCGGTGCCAAAGGCCTCCCACCACCGTCCCTCGCCGGCCAGCATGGATCCAACCCGGCCCGCGCCCGACATGGTGCCCATGCTCCCCATGCTGCCGGATGCGCCATAGCCGCCGCTTCCGCTGCCGCTGCCGCCGCCGGCGCTGTTGCTGGGTCCTCCTGCCTGGGAATAGTATCCGCCTGCGCCCGAGTTGGACGACGACGGGCCAGAGTAGAATGCGAGTGGCTCAGAGGACGAGCTGGCGCCGTAGGGTGAGTTTGAGGAGTAGGCGTTCTGGTTGAACATGGCGCCGCCGAGAGGGAAGGTGGGGGGTGGGGGGGTGTTGGTGGTAAAAATGGAATGTGTGATGGACGTGGCTGCAATGTATCAGCGATGGGTATGCGTGACGCGTTGCTGCCAGCCTGGACGTCGCCTGTGGACGCAGCCTGGACGTGGCCGTGGGCCGTGGGTGTACCGTTGCCCCGCACTCGGTGGCTGCCGCCCGCCACGGTGGAATTCGCCGCGGCCTTTTAACTCCCACCGTGGCCTCGGCGCCAGAGTGGCTGCCCGCGAGTCTCCGAGTGCCCCCGGTTGCCCGTCCAGCCAGCCAGCCAGTCAACGAGGATCTCTTCGTCCTCGAGCCGTTAACGCTTGCATCTCCAACCCACCCCCCTCTCCCACCCCCCTACTCTAGACACCATGTCCGCCGCCCGTCTCCTCTCCCGGGCCGTCCGCCCTGCGGCCATTGCCCGCCAGCCGGTGCGTATCGCCCACATGCCCCGCAGCATCGCACACCCGCGAGAGTAGCTCTCCCACCTGCGCTACAAAGTCACCATTGCCCCGTCTCCGATTGGCCCACCCGCACTCGCCCTACTCCCAACTCTGAGCGCACAAGCTCTCCTCCTCCCTCCTGTCCGCCTGGCATCACCGCATGCAGACCTCTGCAGACGCACACAGTTCGCCCCCTTGGCCTGTTCTATAATCGGCAGGGACGGCCTTGCAGGGAGCCAAAGAGTTGGAACGGAGATGCGGGTTGTTCGGGTGACAATTGGGAGATTGGTGACGCGCGATGGCTTGGCTTGGGCTGGAGCTTGAGCGACTTGCGCGCGCGTGCGCGCGTGTGCCGCGGGCCCTGCTCGTCGCGGACCTCTTTGCTGACGTTTCTCAGATGCGCGCCCGCTCGCTCGCTACCGCTGTCCAGCACGCCGACCCCATTACCAAGACCTCGGTTCTCTCGAACGGTCTTTCGGTCGCTACTGAGACCATCCCCGGCGCCTCGACCTCGACTGTCGGTCTCTGGATTGACGCCGGTTCGCGTGCCGACGCCTCGAGCGCTTCGGGTACCGCTCACTTCCTCGAGGTGGGTAGAGAGAGGAGAGAAGAGCGTGTGCGAAGGGTCTTTTTTTTCTGACGTGACGTTTCCCAGCACCTCGCGTTCAAGGGCACCAAGTCGCGCTCGCAGATGCAGCTCGAGCTCGAGGTTGAGAACCTCGGCGCCCACCTGAACGCCTACACCTCGCGCGAGCAGACCGTCTACTACGCCAAGGCCTTTGACAAGGACGTTCCCGCTGCCGTCAACATTATTTCGGACATTCTCCAGAACTCGAAGCTTGACGAGTCGGCTATTGAGCGCGAGCGCGACGTCATCCTCCGCGAGCAGGAGGAGGTCGACAAGCAGATTGAGGAGGTTGTCTTTGACCACCTCCACGCTGTTGCCTTCCAGGGCCACGCCCTCGGCAACACCATCCTCGGCCCCAAGGAGCACATCAACTCGATCAACAAGGCCGACCTTTCGGGCTACATCTCGAAGAACTACACTGCCGACCGCATGTGCCTCGTCGGCTCGGGTTCCGTCTCCCACGAGGCCCTCGTCGAGCTCGCCGTCAAGAACTTTGGCTCGCTCCCCGTCTCGTCCACCCCCATCCCCCTCGGCAAGTCGAGCCACGCCCCCTCCAAGTTCACCGGCTCCGAGGTCCGCATCCGTGACGACACCTCCAACACTGTCAACATTGCCATTGCCGTCGAGGGTGTCGGATGGAACTCGCCCGACTACTGGCCCATGCTCGTCATGCAGTCCATCTTCGGCAACTGGGACCGCTCGCTCGGCGCCTCGCCCCTCCTTTCGTCGCGCCTCAGCCACATCATCTCCTCCAACAACCTCGCCAACTCGTTCATGTCGTTCTCGACTTCGTACTCGGACACTGGTCTCTGGGGTATCTACCTTGTTTCGGAGAAGTACGTAACCACGCGTGTTTTGTGCTGACCTCCCCAGCTTCATGAACCTCGACGACCTCGTTCACTTCACCATGAAGGAGTGGACCCGCATGTCGCTCCAGCCCCACACCTCGGAGGTTGAGCGCGCAAAGTCGCAGCTCAAGTCGTCGCTCCTCCTCTCGCTCGACGGCACCACCGCCATCGCCGAGGACATTGGTCGCCAGATGATCACCATCGGCAAGCGCTACACCCCAAGGAGATTGAGCGCGCCGTCAACGCCGTCTCCGTCGCCGACGTCAAGCGTGTCGCCGAGAAGTACCTCTGGGACAAGGACTTTGCCATGGCCGCCCACGGTCGCGTGTACGTACCCCTCGGGATCGGAGTGAGGCGCGGAGGCAGATTGAAAACAAAGTGGAGGTCGGGTGGCACGGGTCGGGGAACATCCCCCAACTCGTCCTCCGACCTTCCTCGACATCTACCTCTTCGTTTCTCTTCTTTCTTTCATCCCTTGTGCATGAACAGAGCTGATTAAAAAAAAAAGTGAGGCTATTCCCTCGTACGACAGGTTGAGGGCCGACATGAGCTCGCTCACTTACTAAAAGGTGATTTAGGCGATGGTAGAGTAAAAAATGCATGACTTCAACCCGAAAGAGGAGGCGGAGGAGAGTTTTCGGCGACCCGACCCCGCCAGGCCGCTGGGAGGCGCCTGCAAACGTTAGAGTGTGCACCCCACGAAGCTTCTGCGTCTCCTGGTATAATGTATGCACCAGAAAGTGAGACGTGACGAAGACGAAAGACATGGTCGAGACATGGTCGAGGACACAGGGGGTTGGTGGTGGGATCTCGGGTGGAGGCGCCATCCAAAGATTAGATAACGGATTCAAAAGTGCCACATACACCCACAAATCCCCGGGGTGAGTCAACTCGCCGGATCGCCGTGTTGGTGTGCACACCACACGCCAACGACTGGACTTGGTCAACCTGCAACCTCCCGCCTGCAACCCCCACTTCAGACGCTGGCAGCTATATCGCCCATGTTTGCCGTTGTTGGCAATTTGTGCTCGGCGGAGAGCACAGTCTGTCGCCATTGCCTTCTGCCTTTCGCCACGGCCACATGACGGCGAAACCGTAGGCTGACCCATACGTCATTTTCGGGCCACTGTGCACCGCCGTCGCGCGTGTTGTAGCAGCACCCGTGTGGGCGATACATGTGCACAGGCGTGGACTAGTAGTGGCATAACACGGCGGACAGCAGCGCATGTCGCCCAGAAGCCCGAACGCCAGCTGGCCAACGGGCCAGCTAGCCCACTAGCCCACTAGCCTACTGACCGGACACAACCCCGCCGACCAACGCATCCACTCATGCAGGTGACAAGTGATGCATGCACAGCCGCACAAACGATATATTACAGCCTTTTGATCCTGTTGAAGCACCGCCATGGGCGACGGCCGAGGACAGGTCCGCGGTACAGGAACTCGACCGGGACGTCGAGAGGGTGGGTGGCTACACCATGGCTGTCCGCCAAACGCCATACTTCCTAGGTCCCAAACTGTAAAAATGGCACAGAGGCCCATCCGTACACGGGGACCCAGACCCAGAGACCCAGAGACCCAGAGGTCCAGAGGTCCAGAGGGCACGCACAGCAACGTAGGCGGACAAGTCACGGTGATCCACGGGCATTTGAAATATCGACCTCGAAGACGGCATGGGGTGAATGTGGATGGGGGAGGCTAAACATGGCAACTGTGTCATGGCCATATGGCCAAGTGGCAACGAGCAGGAATGCCCACAGGTCACAGCACCTGTTGATAGAGTTTTTTGACGAAACGTGTCCCTCCCCCCGGCCCCCGACCGCATGGCATGGCATGGTAATATCCATCGTTCGTTGTGCACACCCCCGAAAAGGTAAAGGCACCGGTAAGCTAAGAGTTTCATCTCTGTGTGAGGAGGCCACTGCCGCCTGTGTCTGTCGTCTTGCCTAGGTTACCACGTCTGCGTCTCCCAAACCAGTCGATGCTAACCAAACAGAGGGGGTTAGAGATCTAGAGAAGGCGGTGTGCCAAGGATATCGTGAACTGAGCAGTCTGGGGATACGGCGCCGCCGAGTTACGTGACTTGGTCGTGCCGATGGATGTCGATGCTGGGCAAGCTGTGTTGGCCACCGTCTAGTCCGGAAGAGAGACACATGTTTACAAGACGCGTTGGTCGCAGAAAAAAGGGCATAAAAGGAGGAAATGGGAGACCAAAAATGACCCCCATCACCATCACATCGACAACGCCACAGAACAGCTACACCTACACCACAGACAGCACAGACAACCACCATGCTCTCTTCACACCTCGCCTTTGCCCTCCTCTCTGCCATGGCCATGGCCAGCCCTGTCCCTCAGAAACGCGCTGAGACCACCTGCACGGATATCAACCACTGTGAATTCAAGGGGTGCTGGACAGAGATGGACGGCCAGTCGTGGTGCAGTCCAGACGATGGCAACACGGCCTCGACGTTTTCGCTCAATGAGATCCTGTTTGACACCGGCATGGACCTTAAAAAGCGCAAGGCCTATACAGAGGGCATCCCGAGCAGCCTGGTGCTCGAGGCCATTGGCCGTTCGCCCACGTTTACCGGTGGAGCGGAAGGCACCGGCTCCATCCTCAACACGATGAGCCTCCTCGCCAAGCTCTCGGCTACGCACGCCATTGAAATGAGGAACGTCATCAGCTGGGGTGTCGAAATTGGCGTCGAGTCGGACCGCAGCGTCACTTCATCGTTCTACTACACCGGTGAAGGCAGTGCTAAAAACGGTAAAATTGTGTTTTCCGCTTCCAACGTCCTCGACGGCAGCCAGGAGCAGTCGATGGGGTTCGTGGCTCACGAGATGGGTCACGCCGTCTTTGACCATGGTGGATACAGTGCCGACCTCCAGAACAGCCTGAGCGGCCAAGGCGACCTCGCCAACCAGGACATCTATGGTAACCTGGCTGGCATGGTCAACGAGCCGTTCGCGGGTATCTTCGCCCAGCGTAGCACTCTGTACCAGCACATTGACAACCCCGACAAGAGCAAGTGTTACTGGAACCGCCTCGTGTGGTCTTGGGATGTCAACAGCCTCTTCAGGACGCCCGACGAGGGCTACTGGAAATACTACGGCCTTCACAACCCCAAGTCGTATGAAGGTTTCCAGCCGCTTCTGGACATTGGCGTCAACGTCCTCTTGCCCCGCCTCGCGGAAGAGTACGGCCTCACCAACGACCCGTACCTTCGCGCCGGCATTGAGGCGTATGTCTCAAAGGATGCCGAATGCAAGGATTAACAGTTGCCCAAACCGCTTCAGCAGTAATGTACAAACAAACCCACTTCAGTACATATGTACATGCCTGTTATGAAATGCCACTTGGTGTTCTTCCCAGCCTTGGTGTTCCGCCACACATGACATCATACTGTGGCCACAACACTGGAGACAGCACTGCGTCGCACGCATGCATACAAGTGTCGTCGTCAGCTGCGCAGTACCGGACATCTGATGCACCTCCAATGTCGAGGCACGAGCCAACGGAGAACAGTATCCAACGGAAGCCCGCGCTCGAGTGGCGGTTGAGCAATTCTTACTGCCACAAACCCCATCGTGGGTACACTCGCAAGGCCGTCAGCGGTCCAAGGCTCACAGGGCGCCAAAGGCAAGCACAAAATGTTGGGATTTGGATGCGAACCAAGACATTTGGACAGTAATGTTCGGGCGCACCGTAGCCCACGTAACGCGTGTACACGCACACGCACACGCACACTTCGATTGGGATGAGGGCCTCGCGGTATCCAATTCACCCTCACATCTGCATTTTTCTGACATGTCGGCACATGCACAACGGGGCATTCGTCGCACATGCGACCGGCAGGGTGCACACCATCCGCCGTTCAACCATTCTCCACCACCCGCACCACAGTGACAATAGCCTGACCGCCACAAACGCCGCACCAGTAGCCGCACCCCAAAAAATCAGTAAAATCATCAAAAAATAGGCCCCTGAAGTTGCGACGATATATGAAGGCTATTCAAGACGTTGTTACAGCCCACGTCTCCCGCAGACTATCCCAGCATAGAGCCATTGATCGTGGTTGCAGAGGACAAGCCTGCGGCAAATGGCTGCGGTGAATTCAGAATGTGGAGCAAGGTTACTCCGCTTCACCCGTTTTCGTCATGTGATGGTGTGGTCATCCTCCACTGTTCGCGCCTACCGTTATCGGCTGCCCACCCAGCCCATTGGAGTGGGCGCGGTTGGTCAGCTGGTATGGCAAGTGCCTCCGCATCCCCCTAGCTCCTGCCTAGTTTGCTCCCAGCTGTCGGTCAGACACAAAGAATGGGCTGGCACTGAAACCCTGCAATCAATCACCAGATCATCAGAGCATGAGGGTTGTCAGCCGGCTGACCGCGCGTTGTCAGCTCGGGGGGTCGGGCACCACAAGACGTGTGTCTTTCCCAGCAATTCCGTCGGAAACTGCGACAGAGTCTCATGACATGAGGATCGTATATAAAGGTCGGTTGACGGGAGCTCGAGTGCGCCCACCCCCACCCTAGTTGTTCACTGCACCGACCAAACCACACCTCAGCCCGTATCCCCGAAACCGTCTTGACAACATGAAGCCCATCGAGTCCAAGAAGTGGATCCCGCATCAGGCCCCGGCGAAGGGTGTCAATGTCATCCCGGGCCGCCGCCCATCGATGGACACGGCTGGCACGAGCCCCAACAAAGCCCGCCCCTCGGCCATGATGGACGCCATGGCAGGCCGTCGGACGAGTACGAGCAGCACTGGTAGTTCCGGAAGCGCGATGGGAACGAGCCCCGGTGCCAAGTAGTGTACTCGCTGGTGACATTGTGGTGAGTAGCATGGGAGGCGGGCGGAGTGGGCTGTCAGCTGACCCTTGCCCACAGCCCACACCCACCACAGGTCACCTCACCCAGCCACAAGTAGCCGTCCGAGTCAGAAGGTCAAGAAATAACACGCAAACAGATAACAGAGGTCATGTAGTCGTAGTATGTAGTAGCGCAGATGATGTAGCGTGTGACACGAGGACATGTCGAGCAGTTCGGTCGTCCCTAGTGCCGATGGGATCAGGCTCGGCCTCGCCACCCCTCGCCCATGGTGTCCACTTTACCCCCTGATGGAACTGGTTACCTGTTCGTGTCAGGAGTCACCCGCTCGATTATCGCACGTCCGTTGAGAACGCCCGTGGCGAGGAGCGTACTGTGGGGTCCACGCACACAACTTGGGTCATCTATGGTCGGACCGATTAACTTTCGCCACTTCCCTACTGCCGGCGATGCATTCCAGGACACCCTATCACCCGCAAGACGGCCAGAGTGGGTGTCCGTCAGTCAAGTGCAACGAGACAACGGCATACATAAAGTACGAGCAGATAAACTGCTATGCGGTACTGTTTCTTCCTAATTTTCCTTCTCTGCGACAAGAGAGGTTCACAACTCGGTCGTGCAACTGTCCCCTCCTCCCACCGTGAGCCACACCAGGTGGTTCCTCTATTGGCTTTTCTTCGCGAGCACGAGAAGGCGAGAAAACTCTTCTTCGCCTTGCGCCATACAGAGGGCGCGGAAGGACGAGCCCTCGCGCTGCATGAGCGTAAGTGGTTTGTCATTTTCGAGCACGTGCCCGCGATCCATGACAAGGACGCGGTCGCTATCGGTTAGCTCACCCAGACGGCGATATATATCAACTCACTAAGCCACGATTGTTGCCAAGCGGTGAGCAATGACGAGCATGGTCGTGTCGGCAAAGCACTCGCGGATCGTGGTTGTGATTTTGGCGTCCATCCTGTCGGTCAGCAGGCCACACGTTGTCTCTCCCCACTCCGTTTTCAAACTTACTCAAAGTCTACTGAAGATGTGGCCTCGTCCATAACAAGAATCCTAGAACGCTTGAGTAGGGCACGGGCAAGACACAGAAGCTGCCTTTGTCCGTGACTGAAATTAGACCCCTCTGCCGCAACAAACGTGTCCAGGTTGGCAAAGGGGTTCGTCTTGACGTCGTCCTGAGTCACGACTTCGGGGAGGAGGTGGACACGACGCAGCGCATCGTAAACCTCGTGGTCGTCGCGCTCGCCGGTGACGTCGAGGGCGTTACGGAGCGTACCACTAGGCAACGATCCATCTTGGGCGACCATGTTGAGGCGGCTGCGGAGAGCATGGAGGGAAACGGACGCAATGTCCTCGCCGTCAATCTCGATATGGCCGGCATGCGCCTCCATGGCGCGGAAGAGGCTGAGAGCGAGCGTCGACTTGCCGCTGCCCGTGGCGCCAACGAGGCCGACACGCTGACCGGCTCCGACGTCGAATGACACGTTCTTCAACACGTCTGGGAGGTCTGGTGCGTAGCGTACGCAGAGGTTGCGCACACTAATGGCGCCGCGTTCGGGCCACTGCGGTTCAGGGACGATGCCACCGCTCGGCTCCTGCTCGGTGTTTTGGATGTAGTAGTTGATGCGCTCGGCGCTGACGAACGTTTGCTCAAGGAGGATGAACTGCTCGAGCAGGCTGAAGAGGGTGCCTGAGATCTGGACAGCAAAGGACAGGATGAAACCCGCCTTGGACGGGGTCATGTCACGCCCGACGAGGACAAAGCCCGTGGCAGTCACGAAAACGCTCGAGAGGGTGAGCACCACGGCGCGCACCCAGTTGTAGCAGATCCAGTTCCAAGTCTCTGCCGAGCGCGAGCGGTTGATGAGGGTCTTCATTGCCTGAGTCATGACGTTGGGCATGCCAAAACTGGGGTCAGTCGCAGTCCATACTGGGTGTCAACTCACGCTCGCAGCATGACGACACCATCCACCGAGTCGTGGTACAAGCTGATGAGCGGAGAGTCGGCCACCGCAGCAAGACGGCGGAGGTTGGTACGCAGTCGGCCGAGTCTGGTGGGTTAGAACAGAAGAGTACTCAGAAACCCACCCGTTAGCCACCATGAAGAGCGGCACGCCAAAAGCAACGAGAACAAGCATCATAGACTGGGTGGTCAGTAGACGCGGAGGCTGTTGGCAACTCACGGGCTCCTCAGATGCCACCACAGCTGCAGCCGCGACAAGACGAAGCACTTGATGGGTCAGCGGGGACACGACCTCGGCACTCACTTTCCATTGTGGTCCGACCAAAGTCATCAGCAGACTGGCTGTCGATTCGCCTGGTATCCTGGGCAAAGACGTTGAGGAGTCTGCCCGCCGGCGTCGTCTCGAAGAACGACAAGGGTGCGTTGGCAATCGTGGCAAAGAGGCGGCGGTGAATCTTCTTGGTACCAGACGAGTACCACCCGACGTTGCCAATACCATACAGCCAAACCCAGCGGAGGGCACCGAGCAGCGTGGTCAGAAGGTTGGCTGACACGTACCAGACGAGGTAGTGGTCCAACCTGTTGGGGTCCGGGTCGGCAGTCCACCATTGGAGCACCCAGCTCACCAGCATGGATGTGCCCTTGGTGGAGGAGTAAATGATGGCAAAGACGAGCCAATACCACCATCCGCCAGCGGCCGTGATCATCATCCAGTAATGCGAGGTCCCAACGTGGCCAGTTGCCTGGTGCTCGGCTCGGTAAAGGACACGCCTGTCGTCCTCGTCTTGTTCCGAGTCTAGGTCTGAATCCTCTGGCAGGTGAGGTGCTTCAGCCTCGTCTGGGGGAACAGCATAGTCTTGCAGCTCAACAAAGGTGTTGAGAACTTGAGCGGCGTCTGGCTTGTCAATGGGTGAGGTGACGGACGTCGGGGAGGCGGGTGGCAGGTCCTTCTTTGAGTCGGCGGGCGAGGTGAGAGCCACCAGCGACGCGAGTTGGGCATCCTTGGCACGACAGGCCTGTTGCAGCCGGCCATCCGCAAGAGCGACCACATACGACGCTGCGGGGAGACACAGGTCCACATGGTGGCTGACGAGGACGAGGGTTCGGCCCTTGACAAGGCTGCCGCGGAAACACTGGTCGACGATGAACTGGGCCGTGTGCGCGTCGACGGCTGACAACACGTCGTCGAGGTAGATTGTCCGAGCACGCGAGTAGATACAGCGGGCCAGGTTGATGCGCGCCTTTTGTCCACCACTCAAGTTGGCGCCATTTTCGCCGACCTCGGTCAGGTCGCCATCCACAAGAAGTGCAAAGTCGGACTGGAGTGAGCACTGGCGGATAACCTCAACGTAGCGGTCTTGCCAGAATGGCTGACCAAAGAGAATGTTATCGCGCACAGTGCCGTGACGGATGTAGCTCATCTGCGGGGCATATGCGACCGAGTTCTCCAACCACAGTTCATTGGTCCACTGGAACTTGATGATCGAAGCATCAAGAGGAGTCATGTCGGGCTGGGAGCGGGGCGCAATGATATGGCCGCTGTCGAGCTTGGCCTCACCGAGAAGAGCGCGGAGCTGGAGTCAGACAAACTTCGTCGCTCGTTTAACTCACGAAGAGGGTCTTGCCAGAGCCAAGGGGTCCGCACACGAGGGTGAGCTTGCCCTGCGGGATCGCCAGGCTGTAGTGAGACATTTGAAAGGCCGGGATGCCCGAGTCGCCATGGCTGTCGGCGCGTGGCCACGAAAAGGTTGCGTCGTCAAGCAAGATCCTGCCATCCGACACGTCTGTCTTGTCGACATCGACTTCGGCTTGGTTGAGGTAACCCTTTAGACGGTCAAGAGCGATCTTGGTGCTCAACACAATGTCGATACTGTTGGGGAGCATGTCGAGGCCGGCTGCAATATCAGCTTCGGTAAGGTCCAGGAAGCTTACATCGAACGCGGAGGAACACCGTGATGGCCACAAAGGCTGTGGCAGGCTCCAGCGTGTGACCCATGACCTTGGTGTAGAACACGAATGTGACCAAGATGGCAAAATTGGGCATCTGGTCGGCCAGGATATTGAACACCGTGCCGAGGGTGTAGCGCCAACGCTGCCAGCTGGTCTCGACATCGCGAAGTGCGCCGATGCGTTCAGTTTCGTAACCTTCAAACGCGTTGAGCTGGACAATTAGCACATGCTGTAGCCAACGACCAACCTTGATAACCTTGATGCCCGCGAGGAACTCCTTAATGGCTCCGGTACGCGCGTCTCGCTCGCGTGCCCAAGATCGGTCACATTCTGCGAGGTTAGAACCACCTTTCGCAGCCACACCTCACCATAGATCTTCTTTGCACACCAGACCGACATGGGCGTGAAGAGCGGAATGCAGAGGAGTCCCACTGCTGCACTGACACCTAGCATGCTGTACAGGAAGACCATGCCGATGAACACTGCAGTCAGCAACAGTTCACTTTTGGTGGCTCACGTCGGACAAGACCATTGGTAATGTTCCAGAGGTACGTGGCGAGAGAAGACACGGTCGTTACGTCGATAGTCAAGAGATTCATGACCTGGGCACGTCCCTTGTTCGCCTTTGCGTCCTCGGCGGAAGTCAGGTGCTGAGCTTCCATAGCTTTGGCGTCTGTGGCACGGAGAATCTTGGCGTAAAGCTGTCGTAGTCAGCGCAGTTTGCAGAGGCCGCTCACAATTGCAGACAAGGTCATCCGCACGGGGTTGTGCAGGATATAGTTCTCGCGAACCCTGTATGTCAGCTTGCGTGGACGATCGCTAACGAACCAGAGGTAGGCTGATAACAAAACTGATGGGTCAGCCGTACGTTTTGGCGGATTCCACCCACCTTCAACACATTGCCCGAGGAACAGGCCCCAGCACATCAGATATGCGTAGCTGAGGTCATCGCTCTTGCCAAAGGAAGCAATGATTTCATGCAAGGCGGTAACACCCACAAACGACAACACAGTGTTCAGTGTCTCAAGTGCAAACGCTGGCTGGGTCAGCAGAGGTGAATGCCATGTACACACTGAGGAAGACGGCCCATCCCCGACCGGACCACAGGACCTTGACCAACCCCAGGCTAGTGTACGGTTGAAAGTCGGCGCCTTTGGGCTCTTGCTCTTCGAGATAGCCGTTTCCAGCTGTACGGACCCATTCTTCGAGCATGGGAAGGTCGGCTTGGACAAGGTGGTCCACCTTGCGCGACTTCTGCGCCAGTGAGACACTCTGGTTGGGTTAGGAAAGTTCATCGTACAAAAGACACCCACATATCCCAAGGTCAAAAACGTAAGCATGGTGCAGTTGCCATAGTCGATGACCTCTTGTCCGAGATCATCGCGAAGCTTCGAGGCCGAGGGGTCCTCAGCCAACGATCCGACACCAAACGCGGTACCGAGCGATGGTTCCCTGGCGCGCAGCTTGGGGCCGCGGCGCATACATCCAGAGGTGATGAGAGAGGCAAACAAGGCCAGCACATGAAGGTATCCCAGAACGACGGTCGTGCCAGGAAGTGGAGGCGTTCCCCGCTTTGTGAGAACAATGTAGACGATTCCGGGGGTCGCATGGAGGATGATGGAAATGAGGGAGGCGAGGAAAATGAACACACATGCCGCACGGTGGATTCCCATGTTGGCGAGCCCGCCGAGATCGGCGGGTCGCAGGCGTGCTGGGAAGGGCCGCCGCACGAGCGTCGCAGCTAGCAATGTCGCGCTCACCACCTAGAGGTGTCAGTACACCACCAACCCTTCAAGGGGCACTAACCGTCAACGCCAGTATGACGACGTCAGTCAACCACCGTGCCGCCGGCAGCCATCCTCCGTCTTTCTCAATGACATCTGCGCGTGGAAGGGGGAGGAGGGTGAGGTGAGCCACACCTGTGGCCAGCGCTGCTACCAGACAAGGGGCAATAGCAAACTTGTTCTGTCGTACATTGCGGCGAAACGCGCGGAGGTGGTCTGGTCGATCGGCGTCTGGAGACAGCTCGTTTACACCCAACGCGGGGCCCAGCGACGCTTCGCTCTCCGACGAGGGATACGACGGCATCTTGCAAAGGTAAACGCAGGTCGTGGATGGGTCGGTGCGCGCCGGATGCTTGATGTCCGCTCTGCCGTGTTGCAAGGGCAATGACAAAACCGCGGGCAATGTTGATGGAGCTATTGGACAAACAAGTGGTGGAGGTTGGGGGGTACAGGGCTTGAGGAATGCCGAATGACGACGCAATATCTTTGGTTGCCGGCGGCGTCGGACCGGTGAAGTGGGCGGTCTGAACGGCTGAACGGCGAACAGAGCGGACACCGGAACCGCAGTCAGTTTATCGTTTGCAAGTCGAGGGAAACTGCAACCTGTTGGCGATGCATTTATCGAATCTTACGGCCATGCCGAATTCGTGCTGGGGTCGGCCATCAACGCACTTGGAGAGCAATGCCAGCGCAACATGATATGCAGTAAGGCAAAGGGACACACGCGGCCTGCGTCGGTGGAGACCGTGGAGACGTGGAGCTAGAGCTGAATGACGCCGCTTTGGCCGACGCACACAGTATACGGATGCCTCTATTTACGTGTGTGAGCCGCCCAGTTTATCTGCGGAAAATATGAGGCTGCCCGCTTGAGGCTGAATTCGCCTGGCGCGATCATCCGCAAGTGCTCTACGATCCCGATGCAGCCAAGTTCGATTTGCCTTTGAAGGTTTCCAAAAACGTGTAAATAACATTCACGGATTGTAATAGCGGTGGTAGACATGGTATGATACGTTTATCAATTGTTTTGAATTTATTAATAATATTGTTGTTATCGTATATTTAGAATATTATTAATGTTATTGTTAAACAATATGGGAGCTTCTAATCCACTCTTGGAATCGTAACTGCATCACGACAGGTGAACTGTGTGGCCACGTGTGGACCATGACAGACCTGGAGTATTTATCTGAGCGAGCGCTCCTGCAGAAACGCGTAGTTCCCCTTCGGTCGCATCGTGTCGACGCGTATCGTGGCGTGCCAAGTTGTCCCAACTTCCACCAGCCAGTTTCACAGCTGCGGCCAGGACGACGCTCGTGCAGTTGCCCTGACAACTCATATACGGCTCGAACACCTCATCTCAACCGGGAACCCGCAGTGTGCTTGTTGCGCATGTGACGTGAGCGGCCACCGCAACAACGGGAAGTCTCGGAGTGTCTAGTTGTCTTGTGGCTGTGGCTTCCTGGCCACAGTCGTTTCGAGTGGGCGGCGCAAGGCGATGAACCTCAAGTCAGCCCCGAGTTCTTGGCGGTGCGTTGTCTGGTCACGTCGACACAGACTAGATGCTATGACAAGCACGCCCGCGTCCCGGCTATCGCGATCCCGTGTTCCATGATGTCGATGAGATCACAAACCGGCTTGATCAGATACTCACGTGCCGACCACTGCCGCTCTCTTTGTATCACAATCGACCGGTTATAGTTACCGGCAGGCGGGTGGAGGAATGGACCTGTGTGGTTGCGGTCAAGATCGTCCAAATTTCACAAAACTGTGACGTGTGGAGGTGCAGCCACCCCCACGAACGGCAGTAATGTAGGTCGGGAAATCAACAGCCGTGACGACTCAATCACATGCCAGCGCGATGTGTTCCATCGCCGCGCCCATCATTCCCCGAATTGTGTATAGACGGGCATGCTAGAGCGCCCGTGGCCGTGGTCATGGGAACCTTTTATTCTGTCTGGATCTTCATGCGATGAATGGTACAATTGCTCTTGGTCTCTCGGCGACTGGCCTTACCGGTCGCTCGGGTATCTTAAAGAGCGACCTGAACGGGTCTGGAGTCGAGAAAGTGGAGGTGGACCTTCCAGTCACGTACCTTCTCCGGTACCTCGTCCACCATTACCGCGTTGCCGGCGGCGGAGACGACGAGGCATGCGCCTGCGGGACGCGTCGGAATGGCCGAGGCGTTCACGAGGCGCGGAAATTTCGACTCAGAAATCAAGATGAGAGTCAAACATCCATTTTGTGTGGCTAGAGCCAACGTTTGTTCGGCCGCTAATGCTGACATGGTGGAGGGCTCGGTATGCCCGGTCCGGCATCGAGGCTTGGCGTAGGCATTACTCTACGAGGATTTCCCCCGCGGGGGGCGCAAGGGTGTGGGCGGGGCACCTAACCTGCCGAAAGGATTTGGATTGTGGAGGGAGTGGCCGAGTGGAAGGCGACACGACGCGATGGGTCAGATGACAATCTCTGTGTGTGTGTGCTACTACGCGCCACAGTGCCACGCTTCTAACCCCACTCGGTCTATTTTCTCATGGCAGCGCGTAGGATGTGCAAACATTGAACAACCATGGGGCATGGGGGTGGACCGATTCGAATCTGCAGATTAGAAATCGTCAGCTGGGACCCCATGGCGCTGGGCTGGAGCCAGGGTCTGTCGGTGTCGCCCGAGTGGCGCGAGCAGTGGGCAGGATACCACACAGCGCGACACTCCGAGAACTACCGGGTCAACCACCGGCATGCACACGACCGCTCAGCGGAACGTTACGGATGTGTGCGGGAGCACGCGAGATATGCGCAGCAGCAGCTCTTCGAAAAGCTCGGTTGTAGCGTGCGTCTAAGTTGCAAGGGACAGTGCGGGATAGGGCGACATGGCCTCTGACGGTGACCGGCACGGTGTTCATCACGGCTTTGGAGCAGAGGGTTTAACAGCAGCTCTGTATCGATGCAATATGTCTACAAGGTTCAGGGAGCTGACAGGCTATATCCCTGGTAAACTGTGGACGCGCGCGCTTTGCCCACCGCTAGATGGGGTGCATATGGCGCGTACATTCGATAACTCTGGGCTCGTATTTTCGAAGAGTCGGGTGATGTCGGGCCAAAAATCATTAGATTTGACATCGTTTCCCTATCGTGCCAGGTCTGTTTGTGGCGACGGGCAGGCGACTACCTGATCCTTGATCGCCGTGGCTGATGGCTGTGCCAGTGCGGAGGTCTGTTATGGCATTGACGAGGCCGTTGAAGATGCTGTTTGGGCATGCATGGAGGGAGGGTTTGCTGGCAACAGATGGACGGTCATGCCTAGCAATGGGGGAGACCGGGACCACTGACTGTGTGTCTCGGTCAGTCTAATAGCCGTGCGATGTGTGGGAGGAAATTGCGCGTGGAGCGACCGGAGCGATAGCAGTCTGCAGAGGTCGTTCCTGACAAATTGTTCCACCCTTACCCGAGCAGAGGTGCGGGGGCGACTCGAGTCGCAATGCCTGCAATGCAGCTGGCTGCCCAAAGCGTGTGCAAGCAGCCGCGCCTCCACACCCACTGCTGCGCCTGGCGCCGGTGCGTGGGCGGTTCCGTGTCTGGTCTGGCCCCCCACAGAGGGAAACTGGTGGATCCAGAAGGCAAATGTCGGGTTACCCCTCCCACAGCTCCCCCTCTCCCCAGTCGTACTGTCACCAGCCCCAAGCAGTGTCGTCGTCCTCCTGCATACATTCCCCTATAAAGCTCCAACACCTCGTCACCATCCCAGTCCCCCCTCATGCTTCTTACTCGGGCTCCCGCCGCTCGCCACCTCCTCGCGTCTCGCCACACTCTTGTTCGCTCGACCACCCTTGCTACTACCCCGCTTTCAAACCCAACCCTCACGTTCAGTACGTCGTATAGTGACTATGCCCCACCCATTGTGGCCCTAGGTCATCGCTCGCACTCGCCCCTCTCCCCCTCTCCGCAACTTCTTCATATGCTCCACTGCCATTCTCCCCTTCGCACATTCTAACACCTCTCCAGACATGTCTACGTCGTCCAAGCTCGCCAACGGCTCTTCGGGCCCCACTCCTCCCCTCACCCCCAAGTCCAACTCGCTCGCTCTTCGTAAGTCCCGCTGCCAGCTCCACTCGGTACCTTCACCAAACTGACTCCTGTCCCCAGCCCTTGGCGCCTGCATTGAGCGTTCGCGCCCTCGTCTGAGCCGCGAGCAGTCGCTCCTGCGTCTCCAGTCGCAGCTCGACAACATGCCAACGCCGCTTCTCAAGCACGGCCTCCTCTCGCGCGTGCGCCGTGAGGACCCCGAGCTCTTCTTCTCGGCCATCCAGGCTGACCTCGTCAACCTGTAAGTATTTTTGGGGATTATGTGTGGCACGACGGTCATTGCTGACATCATACAACAGCGCCCCCATTGTGTACACCCCGACCGTCGGCGAGGCATGCCAGAAGTACTCCCAGGTGTACTCGGGCCCCGAGGGCTTGTATCTGTCCATTGACGACAAGGTGAGTCCCAAAGAGTGCAGAGGAGACTCGCACTGGCCCGTCAAGGTCGGCTGCTCACACCAACAATAGCCTCAGCTCCGTCAGGTGCTTTCGGAGTACGCCGCCACCGCCTCCCACCAGCCCCAGATCATTGTCGTGACCGATGGTTCGCGTATCCTTGGTCTTGGTGACCTTGGTATCGGTGGCATGGGCATTTCCGTCGGCAAGCTCAACCTCTACGTCGCTGGTGGTGGCATTGACCCCAGCGGCTGTCTCCCCGTTGTCCTTGAGTAAGTGTACACACGCACACAGCAAACGCCACCCGGGAATGTTGTTTTTCTGGTGGCGGGCCTGGACAATGCGAAAAAAGCGCGCTCGCGTGACGCCTCCAGAGCTGACCATTCTTTTTTAGCATGGGCACCAACACCGAGTCTATCCGTGACGACCCCCTGTATCTTGGTCTCCGCCGCCCCCGCGCCTCGCTGGAGGAGGCTACTTCATTTATGGACGAGTTCATGGCCGCCGCCGCCGACGTGTTCCCCAACACCGTTGTCCAGCACGAGGACTTGTGAGTTTTGTTTTCGAATTATCCACACATGATCGGCCCGAAATCCGGACCCGCGGATTTTATGGCGCCGTGATTACGGAGAGCTCGCACTGACGACACACACAGCTACTCGGAGGCTGCCTTTGCGTTCCTTGAGAAGTATCAGGACAAGTACAGGATGTTCAACGACGACATCCAGGGGTGAGTCTTGACGCCACCTCGTGATATCCCCGCGCGATCACCCATGTGCCTCGGCGCCGGGTTGTCCGGGAAGTGGAGGTCTGGCCACATTACGAATATCCTGAAGCTAACATCCGCAGTACTGGCTCGGTCATCCTTGGTGGTTTCGTCGCTGCCGCAAGGCGCGCGTCCGAGGCCTCGGGCAAGCCTCTCCAGGACCAGAAGGTTGTCTTCCTGGGTGGTGGTTCGGCTGCTGTTGGGTGAGTAACGAAGCGGCACTGCTGCAACACCAACTAACATGCCACAGTGTCGCCAAGGAGATGATGACCTTCTTCCGCATGCTTGGCTTCACCGAGGAGGAGGCCCGCAACCGCTTCTGGCTCATTGACACCAAGGGCCTCATCACCAACACCCGTTACGACGTTGTCGCCGGCAAGCTCGCCAGCCACAAGGAGTACTTTATCCGCAACGACACTGAGGGCAAGGAGTTCAAGACCCTCGCCGAGGTCGTCGAGTACGTCAAGCCCACTGCCCTCGTCGGTCTCTCGACCACCTACGGCGCCTTTGGCGAGGACGTTGTCCGCCGCATGGCCGACCTCAACCCCGCCCCCATCATCTTCCCCCTCTCCAACCCTACGTCCAAGTGCGAGCTTTCGTTCGAGGACGCCTTGAATTGGACCGACGGCAAGGTCCTCTTCGCCTCCGGTTCGCCATATGACCCCATCACCTACAAGGGCCAGCTCCGTGAGCCCGGACAAGGAGTAAGTACCAATCCCAAAACCACGCACATCCCTCCCAATCGAAAATGGAAACATATCGCGGAAAATAAAATCACCGAAGTGCCACTCGGTGAAATAAAATCACCGATGTGTCTTCCACCTTTCAACTCCATTTTCTCGTCTTTCCATGCGTCGTTTCGCTTCGTTTCGCGTGCTGATGCCCATTTCGAATAACTTCCTTGTGTTTCCCGGCATAGGCCTTGGTGCGCTGTTCTGCGGCGCGTCCAAGGTGACGGACTCGATGATTACGGGCTCTGCGATTGCTCTTTCGGAGGCTGTTGACGCGGACGAGGCGTCTACTGGTCTGCTGTACCCGCGCCTGACGCGTATCCGCGACGTGTCTGCGCAGGTTGCCGTGGGCGTTGTGCGCGCTGCGCAGAAGGCCGGTGTCGACACTGTGACCTCGCTGCGCGACATTTCGGACGACGAGCTGTTCGCGCAGATCAAGAAGGCCCAGTGGTCGCCCTACCAGAACGAGGGTGTTTCCACGTCGCGCCTCTAAGCAAAGACGACAGGCAGCAGCAACAAAAACAACAACCGTACCTCCTGGAACGTACAGGGAGGGAGGATGGACTCTCTATTATTGATACGAGGCAAAGTTGGAGGAGCGCGAGCGCGTAGGCGCCGTACTGTGTGTGGCACAGGTGTATAGCATGTTTAGTGCGATGTCATCGTATATTCATACCAACGAGCACGGCGAGCGCAGCGAGCACAGCGAGCACGAAGCGTATGAGCCGGCTTCAGGGCGCCGTGGTGACGCATCGGTGACACCAGGTGACGACACGAGGAATGGGTCTGAAGACGCATGGACAAGTTGCCGGACGCCTCCACTTTGCCACTTGACATTTCGCCAACCCTCAATTCCTCATCCACACCATCCACCATGTCCGACGACCTCAAGCCCTGCGACCTCGCCACGCTCAAGACGTTTGAGTTTGAGCGTGTCCTGTCAGAGAGTGCGTGTGCATCGGGTCTTATACCTGCTGCATCCATATACAGCACGCTGCATGGGTCCCTGGTGCTACGAACCCCGCTCACAACATAGGCACTGCGTCTGGCTCGGCATTCCTCCTCGGCACGCTCCACGGCGAGCCTGCCATCATTCACGTTCAGCGCACGGCACTGGACCCCGCGGCGGCGCCGGAGATAGTCCAGCGCGGCCTCGAGACGCTCAACGTGTTTCTCGACAACCGACCCGTGCGTCCCGCCGTCGATCAACACACGCTCCGTGACCAAACACCCACGCTGACCTCCGGCACAGTACTTTTCCGCGCACGCGCTCATCGCCCGCGGCGAGGACACGCTCCCGGACCTCGCGCTCAAGCTCATCTGGCCATGCACCGACGTCCACATTGCAAAGTACACTGCCCAGCCGCGCAAGCTCGTGAGCGAGACGCCCGAAGTCTACGCCAAGGTGGTCCAGCCGTTCATCGCCTCGTTCCCCGCCGAGCGCACTGCGTGGGTCGACGCCATCCTCAATGGCGAAAAGGAGGCCGAGCGCATCCTCCACCGTTCGTCTGGCGACCAAGGGTTCGTCCTCCTCCCAGACCTCAAGTGGGACGGCACGACGCTCGCCGCGCTGTACCTCACGGCGATTGCGCACGACGGCCGCATCAAGAGCATGCGCAACCTCACGCGCGCCCACCTCCCGCTTCTCCGCAAGATTCGCGCACAGGCGTACGAGACCGCGGGCGAAAAGTATGGTGTCGAGAGCGGCGACCTGCGTCTGTTTATCCACTACCAGCCGAGTTATTGTGAGTGGTCGAAAGTGCGGCGCCTCGGCGGCGCGCCTCTCCCACGGTGGTTTCGAACTCGTGTCCTGACCACACAACACCACAGACCACTTCCACGTCCATGTCGTCCACGTCAAACACGAGGTCATGGCGGGTATGGCCGTGGGGCAGGCACACATGCTCGAAGACGTCATCAACTGGGTGAGTCGACGAATTGCGAGATCCGTGGGGGAGGTTTCGGCGCCTAGTTGGTTTTGGCACCGCCACTGTGGCACCCACGTTTTGCTGTGGGGTGTGGGGCAATGCCTGTGTGGTTTTCTCATGGTTTCTCAATTTCAGAGATATCGTACCCCACACCAACACGCATTGCACACGGCCAGATTGTGTTTTTACACATGCATGTCCGAAGCGTCCCGAGGCCGAGGCTGTCGTGTGGTGTACGTACCGTGCGACTTGCTACCGTGCGAAACCGCCGCAAACCTCCCGCCGCAATCGCATCTCAGCCGCGATAGCGGTAGACACCGATAAAGCCCCTCTTGATAACAAACGTTCCGAAAATCACCGTCGGTCGCTGACAACATGTCCCAGCTCGAGCTTTCGCCCGAGGACGGCCCGGCCCTTCCTGCGCGCATGACGTTTACGTACGCGCTCGGCGTCGAGCATGCGCTGTACAAGCTCATTGAGCCTACGCAGGACAAGTAAGCCCGACAACGGCGGGGGCAAGTTGAGTCCTCCGTAGCGGACCCGCCGTCGGCACCGGCGGAGTGTACAGAGCTTGGTCAGAAGCGGGGAGTCGGCTACAGGCGACACTGTTGATAGAACTGTTTAGAGGCACCACGCGCGTGCGGCCTGGGAGAACGACCTTCTCTCGGGCCTATTGTCGATAGACAATTACAGCCACAACCGCTCGGATACACTGCCCATACCGGCAGTTTCACCACCACTGCGGTAGCGTCATGCATGCCATGGCACAAGTGTGTTACACGTACACGTCCATCTATACGCGACGCACTAAGCCGCTACCTGCCAGGCGGACTTGCAAAATGGACGATGCGTGCCCCCTCCGAGCGAGGATATCGCCGCTCATCGGAGGTTTGTACGCCGCCAACCCCGATTTGCGGACAACCCCGCCACAGGCGTGTGGCCGCTAGATGTGCAGTCGGAATCGTTCCGCGCAGCAGTCACAGAAACCTTCGTGCTCGTACCACTGCGGAGGGGAAGTTGCCTTGCTCCGGACGGACTTGCGGGCGGGTCCACGGCGGGACGATATTTGGCATCGGTCGGGACGTGTGCCTTTACTTTTACAGTAGGCTGTCCCGTATCTCCCTTACCGACGCACCGGGCACTCCGACGTCGGCACCCGGGGCAGATACTAGGCGTAGCCACCTCGTCAGCGTGTCAGCGCCAGCAAAGGCTGTGTCGGGGTCACCGGAGGGCCGGTATCGGGGATGATCGTCGCCAGAGTCCGTTTCCACCGCGTCGCGGTGGACCAAGGGGGGTGCCGATGCTCCAATACTTAAGTCACGCAGACAAGAAGAGGTCTGAGGGTAGTCGTACGCTCGTGGTAGATTGTCAATCGCGGAGATGGGTCGGACGTTGGAAACGTATCTGCCTGCCGGGACGTTTGTGCTTGGGACCATTAACCCGTGCTTGCGCTCGCCTGTGGCTATTCCGGCTTCTGCGCCCACCCAGCAGGCTCGCATGACCCCTCCCCGTCATCAGAAGAGCCAAAACATGCTCACACCCCCACCACGCTATTTATCCATATTTTTTATCAATTAAACATACACCTCACGTTAACACCACACTGCTGATCTTGCTCACGTGATTCGGCCGCTTAGCTCAGCTGGTTAGAGCATCGTACTAATACCCAGAAGCCCTTGGGCCTTGGTTACTAGTCCATGCGGAGGTCGGCAGTTCGATCCTGTCAGTGGTCATGAGGCGTCTCTTCGATGAGAAGAGTTGCTATCCTTTTGCTGGGGACGATGGCGGAGATGATGATCAAGAGGAGGATGGACGGATGGAAGGAAGGTTCGGCCGGCTTTGGGCGTATTCTCCGGAAACTCGAATCTCAGAAGGCTAGGTTGGCTCGCGGAGTCTGCCGGGTTTCTTGTGGCACCGCTCCTGTGTTGTTGGTCTGGCGCCGACACCCTTATGCTTATGCTCATCCCCAAGGGTCCCTCGCGATTCGACTCCACCAATCCTCACCGATGAGATCGACCTCGGCGAAAAGGGTACTTGCCGGTTATGCGATGGACACTGACTCGCGGGGGAGCGTTGCTCTGGGGTGCAGTACGCTAGAGACGTCTAGCAGTCTCAGTCTGGTCGTCTTGTCGGTTTCGCCGTTCAGCATGGCACCACCAGCCACCAGCGGACCAAGAGGGGAGAGAGAGGAGAGAGGAGTATACCGTTCGACCGTTCGACCTAGAGCTCGTTGTCAGTTCGGACACAGCCACGGCTGGCGGAAGAGAGTACGCTATGCCTGATGCCTGGACAAAAGACATGGATATGACACATGAACGCGTCCATACGTCGCGATCGACGCTGTGACGGTCACGCACCTTGCGGGTGCCGGGTGCTGGGTGCCAGGTTCGGGAGAGTACGCAGGTGTGGCAGTTTGCGGAGATTTGTTTCGATTAAACCGGGCCAACGACATGAAGAAGGCTGAGCACGCGCCGGCGTATAGCGGGACGTGTTAAGGGAGAGAGGGTGGTTGTAGTATGTATGCGGGGCAGAGGGCAAGGTCTGCCATCTTTGACACTGAGTTCGGACCGATGGTGCAAGGAAAACGCAATGGACTGACTGACGAAACGGTGTGCTCTTTCGGTACTGGCGTTTGACGGCCGGGCTTGACTGCGGCATGGCCGCTTGTCCCAGGACATGGTATACATTACCAAGTACCGTACTGTTCATGTGCATGTGGATAGACAAGGCACGTTCAATCCGGCCCATTGTTACAGAGTGAGAAGCGAGTTCTGCGTGACTGGTGCCGATCCGGACGAGGCGTACCCCCAGTCGAGCCGACTTGCGTATGTACTTTCATCCCGAGCCGACCGGCTTGGGCCGCTATGAACTGCGTATACATAGTGCGACAAGAGGTGTAAAGAGCATGGCTCCTCCAATTCGTGTAGTCCATGTCTACGCAAGTGACTAGGTGACTCGATTCCCGCGTCCTCGTCCTGCAAGTACGCCGCCACTACTACATACACTCGCTCAGGTGGAATCTTCCGCACCGCTCGAACAAGGTTGACGGCCCGCCCTCGTGCCGCACAGGGAGCACACCCGGGCGTGCCGATCGCTGTAGCGAGTACGAGTACGAGTCCGAACATGACTGAGCAACATGGCTGAGCCGCGGCTACCGCACAGGAATAACGCACGATGGAGAGGGCGGTGGTGATGCGGCGTGCGGACAGTACAGTACGTTCTTGGGAGCAGCTGTGCAACTCTATACGACGACTGGAACAACCGTGTTAGGTTGGTGCTGTAACGCATCCACATGTCAGTAATGCGCCATTGCTGTCGTACGCGTACCTCTATACTGCGGCGTACTGGCAAACAGTAACGCTCCCTGGCCGACGACGTCTCATCTTCATTAATGGAGAGTTACGCGGCCGGGACATTAGATAGCAATAGCTGGAATCCATGCTGGAATCCGATGCGAGGCATCAGGGGCGGCTCGATGCTTGTGTCAACGGCAGGACAAGGAGAAATGAGTGGTCTGGATATCATGCTTTTCTTTGTCCAGTGTCGCAGGCGGAGGCGAATGTGCATATAGGGATGGGATGCCGGTCAGATCCGTTAGAGGCTTGTGCCCGGTTGGGAGACAATGCTGTCGAAGTGCCACTGGCGATCATGATCTGCCGCAGTGGCGCTGGCAGGCAATGTCCAGCATTGGCAATGTCATATCCTTGTGCGGTACTTGTCATGTATTCCGGCTGTGACGACATGTGCTTGGACGGCCACGCCGAACGCGTCGTTTCTGTACCCCCCAGACGACAATGGGGATATTGCTCCTGGAGTCAGACACTGGTGGTCCCGATACATACGGTCCGTTCCCGCCGTCTGTGTAGGACCAGCTTCATGGTAAGGGGAAAGGGGGGAAGTGTTTGCAGCCGAACAGGACTGCAGACGCAACATGCCATGGTCCCGCAGAGTTTGCGCGGAGGTATGAGTGGTTTAATGTATCACTTCGTCAACCCCTCTTGTCTCCATGTCTCCTTGTGTCCGTCTCCATGTCTCCTTGTGTCCGTCTCCATGTCTCCTTGTGTCTCCATTACAATGTCCGCTGGTGGTGGATGTTTCACTCCAGATGATACATTACTCGGATGCGTGACGGCGGGAAAGACGAAACTGATACCTGCCGGCTTCAAGGCAATGTATGAACTGAACAGTACATGACCACAGCCGCATCCCCTGGGTACTATGCATGGAGTACCCCTCGAGGGGCAAAGTCATGTCCATATCGCTCCCGGAACTGTCCCCACTGTCACAGGTGGACTGGGGTGGCAGATAGCACCGCATGTCGCACACCGCGCCGCTGCACGCAGAGCGAAGCCGCCTCATTAAACCCACAAAAACACTCGTGTGCAGAACCCGACGGACCGTGGCCGGAAACCTTACCTCCCCTATCCCAGCATCTCTGACAGCACGGTCGGACAACAAGAACACGGACCGGGTTAGGTATGGTTTTGGTTATCCAGAACCGCTCCCTTTCTCTCGTAAGTTTTGCGTAGGCCAGTGCCGGTGATCCACAGCGTGAACGAGCGTAGCGAGGGTAGGTAGGCTGACGTGCCACAGAGTCGCCTGGGTGTCTGCAGGCATAGTTAGCTGTACACTACGCTCGTACTCGCCCCATACTGCTTTCGAGTCTGCCGCCCCACTACGCGTGGGTACGGGCGCCTTTGGGAGGCTCCGACGGCTCCGTGGTTACGGCTTGTGGCTACGGCTCGTGGCTGGTGGCTACGAGCGGCGTACTGGACGCGGGTGAGGCGTGGACCCGACGCCCATTGCAGAGCCACGCCGGTAGCCAGCCAAGAGCTTGCGCAGCGCCCAGCCGAACGGCTCAGCTGGAACCTGTTCACGACTACGTCAACGACAGTAACCCAGCCGGACGACCGCGGAGCGTGCAGGCGCACACGGCATGGACAATGACGATGGGTGTGGGCGTGGCTCCCTCTCCCTCGCTGCGCTCCCACTTGCCACCGACGCGTTCTCTCGTACACCGCTCACGTATCCGCACTGAGCAGGTGGGACACGAGCCACCGGAAGCAGCATGTCCCCGCAGGCCCATCACGTAGTGTACCAAAGAGGAGACTGATTCCTGGCAAGAGCCAGGCGGAATAACGCCCTGCTGAAAATCACCGGCGGGCGGTGCCACGCTGGCTGGCGCGGGAGGGACGCGTCACGACGCGTCCCTCGTTTCCTCCGTGACCCTCGCTCGTCCTCATTCAGCAGGTGGCAGGTCTGGGAGGGGCAACTGCGCGTCATTAGTCTACACCGCGCAGTTCTCTCTCGCTCTCCTATCTCATGCAGCCAGGTTGAGCACGTTATCGGGGGGAACAGCCGCACGTGCATGGAACGAATGCCAACCCTCCCAAGCTCCCAGACGATAGAACGAAGATCAGACAACCCACCCGCGTCCGGGATCTCGTGATCCCGGCCGTTGGTCCGGTCCTCGCTAGTACAGTACCCCGTATCATCCATCCCCCCCCTGACGGCTGACAGCTGACTAGCTGCAATGCGTTTTACCGTTGGAGGGGGCCCGGAGGCCTTGGATCCTTGGGAGGTAAACAACCCCAAAACAAGGCCCTATCCAGAAAAAGAAATCAGGCAGCCAAGGAAGGATCCAAGGATCCAAAGGACACGCGCGCGTCGAATTCAGTACGCCCGGGTTCTGAAAAGGAAAAAGGAAAAGGAAAAAAGAAAAGGAAATGAAACGCGCCGCCCTGCTGTAATGCGGGGGCGCAGGCGCGCGTACACAGTTACACGGGGGCCGCCCGTGTGTGTGTGTGTGGGCGTGTGTGTGGCGGAATTGTCCATGCATACGCCTCCCTGCTGTCCTGCGACTGACAGGTCGAGCGGCAGAGATCAGCGAGGTCGCAGACAGATCTAGAGAGCACGGGCACACCGCGTACCGTGCAGCGCGCAGTACGGTACGCAGTGCAGGTACAGTACAGGCTACGCATGCTACGCAGCGTGCTTTAATTATACACCACACCACACACAGCAAGAGCGCAAGCATGAGCCGCCCGCGCGCCTCCGTCGTCACCATTTTACGGCGGGTGAATGCACGTTTTAACGCGCGTTCTGCCTCTGCCCGGACAAAGGAAAGAAGCGCCGATGACGACGAGGAGACACAAGAAAAGGACGGACAACGGTGGGGGTGCCTTGTTCGCGGCGTTCCCGCATCCTGGGCCTCTGCTGTACTGCTGCTGCATGCTGGATATGTTGGATCTTGGGTGTGCACATGGTTGACCGCCGCGCGGGACCGGACGGGCTGGAGGCTTTTTTACTATTTGTGCGGATCGGGAAACATGATGTGGAGGAACCCAGACAGCTGCAGACGTACTGTATGTACATGCAGACAGAGAGACCCAAAAGGTACAACGGGTACAACACCACACCCATGTGGTGCCTGCTGCCTGCCCCAAGTGTGCGCTCGTCCAGTGTCTTTCCGCTTCTGGGTAGTGGTTGGCATGGTTGGGCTCTGGTAGCTCCAGGGGGGTTCGTTGGAGCAGGTCACAGTTGGTGTTGTACTGTACAGGACTGTCACCGCCCAAGCGGGCGAGGAGGAGCGCAAGAGGGAAGGAAGCTAGGAAGCCAAGCAAGACATTTCTCTGGGCGTGTGGCATCTGTGGGCAGAGACGAATGGCCAGAATAGGCGACGACTGCCGTTCCACCAGCACCACCCACCATGGCCACTGCACACTTGTGAGTGCCCCAAATCAACAAACCAGCTGTGCAGGGAAAAGCAGTGCTGTAGTGTATAGTATTTGCTGGCGCATCGGACCAAACAAGCAATAGACACAAACATGAGACACAAGACACACACAGAAATGGCCCCTCTTCCCTTTCCATGCCCCGCATGCCCACGCGCCCACCCTCAAGACGCGTCCAACGCCTCATCAACAAAGGGGGGGCACACGGCCCATTGAAAGAAAAGAGACAGAATAAGGAGGCCGAATTCATACAAGTTGGTGGGTCAAAAAGGTGGTGTGACGCGTTCGGGCGGGGGGGGGCGTGGGCGGGCGGGAGGCGAGGAGAGGAGAGGGAGAGGGACCCTTAAAGGGACACACGCAACCAGGCTCCGGAATAGGGGAGGACACACACCCTGACAAGAGGACGTGCGACGACGGGCGGGCGGGCGACAGGGCGGCGGCGGCGGGGGGGGGGCTCGTGTGCGCTGGCTGGGGATGGGCCCTCTCCCTCTGCTCTCCCGCCTCTCTCTCCCTCTCTCTCCCTGTGCGGGCGGGCGGAGAGACGACGGGGACGCGTCTTTGTCTTTCTTTCTCTCGTCTCTTTCCTCTCTCTCCCGTCTCTCTCTCTCCTGGTCATATCCCCTCACATCCACATCCACCTCTCCTTCTTGTTGTTTGTCTCTCTCCCACACCACACACATTCTACCCCCGTCGCTTCACATTCTCGCCCACAGAGAGAGCCCTGGTGGTGTTATATCTGCACCCCCGCAACCTTTTGGGCTCGTCGAAACTCCCCCCCGTCACTCTCCCCTCCTCCCACCATCACGCTTGCCCCCTCTTGTCCTCATCTCGTTCAATCCTCCGCCAATCCATCCACCGCATCCATCCACGCACAGATTATATCCCTCTCTGCTCGTGCTTCCTTTTCGCCGTCATCGCATCCTCTTCTTCTTCTTCGTTTGCTCTCCTCTTTTCCTTTCTTCCAGGTTGCTGTACTTTCGACATCCCAGTTCATCCATGCGCGCGTAACAACCCTCATAACCCAACCCACTCCACCCATACACGCCCCCTTGTTCCACCACCACCGCGCGCGCGCGACTGTCGCATCCAACCCACCTCGCAACCCGGCTGTCCTACCTGCTTCTCTGGTAGAAGCTTCCAGCACACCCGACCCTCCCAAAACACACACGCCGTTTAAAACCACCACAACACTTCACACCTTTGCCCACAATGTCCTTGACCGCCGCCGAGAACGAGCACCGCTGGACAGGCGCAACGGTGCGCGCAGCTGGCACCGAGCAGGTCTCGGCCCTTCTGCCGCCCCGCACGCCCGAACAGCGCACCGTCCTGGGCAAGGCGCGTGCATACCAGTGCTACTGCGGCACAAACGTCGTGGACAAGAGTGACAGCTACTGCTCTCAAAGTGAGTCCCGTGCACATTATGTATATTGGCCTGCAGCCTCCTCCGGAGCCACCCCGTAGCCACCACGGGATGGCGTTGCCCCCCCAGCTTCTAGCTTCTTTTCGCTTCCCCATCGCATCGCCATCGCACCATCGCCACACCCACATCATGTACCCCCGCGCGCCTTATTGTACCCCTTTGCCACCACCCATTTGCTAACCACCCACTCTTCCCAGACTGCGCGCGCAACGACGCCTTTTCGTCTCTCACACACACCCGCGGAGCCTCTATCGGACGCGGCCTGGCGGACGCACTCAAGGCCCACCAGCAGCTCCTCCAGGAGCCCTTTGACGACGAGGCATCATCCCGTCGCATGGCGCGGACCGACCACCGCCGTGAAGAGAGGCGCGAGGAGCGGCGCCGGCGCCGCCCCGACCCCACCACCGACGGCGGCAACCTCTCGCCAGTCTCTTTCCGCGCTTCCTCTGCCCTCTCCAACCTCTCACCATCTCGCGTCCCGGAACTCGTGTCCTCGCACTCGCGCAACACGTCCAACGCGTCCAGCATCTTTTCGTTGGCGTCGGGCGGGTCGCTCTCGCGTAACCCATCCACCTCGTCGTCGCGACACCCCAACGCGGCTTCGATGCTCATTGACGACGCCATCATGGAGGATGACGGCGAGGACCTCGACATTGGCTCCCACCGCTCCACCCTCAAGGCTCAGTCTCGCCGGCGCAACCACGCAAGCTCGCCCAAGCTCACAGTCGCTACCGACATGAGGGTGCACGACATGCTCGACGAGCTCATCAACATGGAGCAGGACTTCCGCGTCTCAGAATCGCCCGAGCCAGAGTTTGAGGAGAGGCTGGCTTCACCCTCTACCCCCATCCAGTTTACGCCTCTTCACAACCGTCCTCCCCGCACACCTTCACCCGTGCTTGGTGGTCAGCCCAGCATGCCCCCGCCCGCTCCCAACGCGCCAGACCGCCGCAGCTCGCTTGTCCACTCGCGTCCCTCCAGTGGGTTTGTTCACCAGTCGTCCCTGTCCGAGTCCCACACGGCTCTGTATCTCGCCACGGCCTCGCCCATGCCATCCAAGAACAGCCGCCACCGTCGTTCAGCGTCGCCCAAATTCAGTGTCCGCCGCAGCATCTCGTTCACACCGTCGGCTGCTGGCCCTGCGTTCGCGCGCGCTCCTCGCAGCCGCTTGGACTCGCCCAACGTCACTCCAGTCCACCGCAGGCATGTCACCCCGACTGCCCACCACCCCGCAATGGACGGCTGGCGCTTCCCCACATCCAACAACGTCACCCCCACGCGCCCCGCCTTTTCAACCCCAGGCGAGCCGGCCTCACCTATCCAGCCTTCCCTTCTTTGGCCCGACGAGAACGCAGACCTCGGACCAGCGTGGTCGCCGGGCCGCACCATTAGGGCTCCTACCACCCACATTTCTCCTCCTCGTTCGGCCCTCCGCCTGGGCGACCTGATTCGCTCAGGCAGCACCAACGACATCGACATGGATGATTCGGACGACCGCTCCGCCACCATCCGTGGATCCATCCTCATGGCCCCCGTGCCCCCATTCGCACAGCGCGGGTGGTAAACCAACCATCTACACCACACAAAAAATACTTGTACATCAACGCACTACCCCTCATCCTTGTATCCCACCTGGTCGCGAGCCCGCCACGTAGGAAACCGCTTGCCCTCGGGCTCTAGGTCGGTCCTCGTCACGGCTCGTGACCCACACCAGCACATCATGTCCACACCAACAGCATAAACCTGTACAATCCATAACCCCAATCCCCGTATGCAGCATCTAGTAGCCCATAACCCACGGATCCACGCACCAGGACCACATGCCCATATGTCTCCACTAATGCCTCGCGCCTGGACTGCTCACTCGCGCGCCACGGTGGACCTGTGTTTAGGAACTACGCTAAGTATGTACCCCGCACCGCGCGCCAGAACGAAGTCGTGGGATCCGGGGGGGCTCATACTTCTCCGTCCGGGTATACACCTGGCCGCTTGCGCGTACTCTAGGTTTTGTCTTCGCAGGTGGGTCAGGTCAGGTGGGAGCGGCGGCCGGCCCAGAAGCAGCCAGCCAAGCCTCGAGGACGACGCCTAGGCGCGACGGTGGGGACGGTGGGGACGCGTGAGAAACAACAGCCCGAGACACAGCGTCGTGCGTGTGTGCGTGTGCGCGTGATCGTGCGCGCAAAGCTACAGTATTAAGCTAAGCTCTGTGATCTGTGGCGAACGTGGCAACGTCCGCCAAACCTTGAGAGCGCCTCCGGCTTCCAGACCCTCCAGACCTTTGATACCACAGAGGCACAGAGGAGCCCCAGTCGCGTCCCCCCGGCCCCCCCGCGTCCCATAGAGCGCGGCCTGGGTGATCGTGTGCCCAGACCATGGAGACGCAGACACAGGCGCAGGCGCAGGCACACCATCAACCGTCATGTCAAGCGTTCAAGCGTCGTGTATCCGGTTCGGTTCTCGTCACCCTCGTGCCCCGTCGTCGCCCCGTCGTCAGTGGCCATCAGTGATCAGTGGACAGTGGCATCAATGGCATCACAGCCTGTGCGCGACCTGCAGCCCCCGGGGCCTGCATTCCAAGCGCCTTTGGGCCTAGCTAGCTAGCCATAACCGTGTGCATTCAACATTGACATCGAAACCACCCCTACCCCCTGGCCCCGGTCCCAGTGTGCAGGAACCGCTTTGTGCTTTTTGCTTCCTGCTTCCTGCATCGTGCGTCCTATAGTACGCACGTACGCAAGTTTGTTCCATTTGGGTGCCAGGCTCTTGGGGGACGCGTTCGGTTCGCATTCCCAGGCTTTTGAATGGTGAGGCGCGAGGCATGAGGCGTGAGGCGTGCGACGACGAAGATCGACGATCTTGGAGTCTGTGTACTGTGTGTTTCCGTTTCATGGCGTCGCGTCGCGTCGTCGCGTCGTGTACCGTGTTTCGCCGCCTGCCTGAATGCTGATCTACTGCTCTGGCTGCTAGCTGCTGGGATCGTAGCAGCACATGCATGCGTTTGTGTGTGAGGTGAAAAGTGGGACCCGTGCGACGTGACGCGGCGGTGTGGGCGACCACAACAACACCGCAGGCACCGGCGGCAACCCAATTACCTGTGCTGGAGCTGTGCCAGTGCGTTGGGGTCTTGGGGTGTTGGTGTTCTGTTCTGCTGTTGCGTTCCCGATCGAACACGCGAGGGGCGAGTGCATCACACTTGGGATCTTGGGACTTGGGGGTTGAAACGCTGGCCCGCTGGTGCGTCGGGGGAGAGGGTGTAGGTGCAGCGCGCGCTGCGCCCAGGTGAGCAGAGACGCGGCTGGCACGTTGGCACGCGACGAGCGAAGACGGGTCGATGACCCGCAGCTGCCTCCATGTCCACTGTTCATCGTGGATCTGCACCTATATGAGACCACGATGATGTATGCGAGGAAAGAGGCTGCGACGAGCACCACCAAACTGCGATGCCAGGGATGCCACAAGGCGATCCATACGAGACCAGGAGCTACATACGCTGACGGTGCGACGTGGGTGGGCAGAGTGACCAACACAGACCACTTACGAGCGGGAAACCGTCGCATCGGCTAGCTATAGCCTTGCGTTGGACGCAATCGCATCGGCATACCGTACGCCAGCGATAATACCTCAACGGTGCCTCCAGGCCAAACACACAAGCTCACCAGGACTCCTCCCCACTGGCCACTGGGTACATTCCACACTCGACTTTGCCGTACGCGTTGTTGTACGCCTTGTGTGGCGCACAACGCCAAACTGTGAACAACTGACGCATTAAGTAGTGTGTGTTCCGCGATTGGTTGATGCCACCACGCCTACGCGCAAGGCAGTAGGAGGCAGGAACGACATGCGTGCATTTCGCCGTGTCTCGACCCATGGGTACGGCTTGGGCCGACGCGTCGCGTCGAGCGAATATGTGGCCGAGTGGGCGTGTGGCGGTACCTCTTCTCAAACGGTGTCGACTCTCCTGCGGTCAACAACCAACATGGCGATAGGCGTGATGCACAACACACGAGACAGTGCACATCTGGGTCAAGGTACCCCCCGAACTCGGACCCCGAGAGACAGAATACGAGGGGAAGGGGAGACCTTCTCTCTCGGTCTTCTGGGCCCAGGGACCACCAACATCGGCGTACTGTCGGTTGGACAGAGCACGAAACACAAACAAACAAGAGGGGGAGCACCAAGTTCCATGCCTGCCGGGAACAACAACAAAACAAGGGGTTTGGCAACCACGACACAACACGCAGTCGAGAGGGTCCCTAATCTGAGGGTGTTTGACATAGCTTATCAGAGGGTGGGGTGCCGTATGCCTGCCGTTGGATCTACGGGATCCGGACCTTTGACGAGGGCCGCCCGGGATGTGGCCCCGAGGTTTTGGGAAGGGGCCGTGTCCACATCGAGGTTCGCGGTTTGAGGGTGCGTCGGGTGCATGCAGGCGTGCACTGCAATGTTGCAGTGTATGTTTACATGTTTACATGTTTACATGTTTACTTGTGTACTTGTTTACTGGTGTGCTGCGGAGGGGGGTACTTGTACACCAGCGAACAGACGGAGGACGCACTTGCCGAAACGAGACGGAAACGGAAATACGTTCGGATCTGCGATCCCGAAATCGAGCTGTGCGGCGCGTCCTCAGTTACCTGACTCTGGCCTCTGGCCTCTGGTCGGCGCCATGCAGTGTGCGGCAGGGCAGGCATGAGACGCTGAACTGTGGCCTCTAGAGACGGAGGTGCTATGCTACCGAATAATGGACCAGGCAAATTGATGCCAGCGAGCCTGGCACTGTATCAGCAGACGCCGCCGCATGCCGCGTGCTGAAGTGGCATGAGGCAGGACCGGCATTCTGTTTTTGATCCACAGCGTGTATCAGCCGTTACCGCCCTCGAAGAGAAGGCTGAAGCGACATGCTCTGGCCCAGACGGGACACGAGCGTGTGATTGAATGGGTACGCTCTGGGCCATTCTAAGAGCCGGCGAGGCGGTCACGAGCCGTCTACTCGACTGGGCAAAAAAAAAAATCACCCAAAAAGCACACCAAAAATGCCTCAACCACGCACGCCGCCCCACCCTACTCGCAAGCACGCCCTCTCCCTCTTTCTCATCTGGACCACCTTGCACCGCGCGGAAAAACCCCACGTTCCGCGAGCTCCTCAATGCAGACAAAGGCCAGACCGGCCAGACCGAGGGCAACGCATCAGCCCCACCACGTAGCCCAGGGCTGGGGTCGTGGCGCGCTGCCCGGGCCGGCGCGGTGGTGGCGACCAGGTCGGCGCCGGCGCCCGCGCCCGCTGGCCGCTGGCTGACCCTCAACCCCGTCAGCCCTCGCGAGCTGCTGGCCGCCATCCCTCAGGCCCAGGCGGCGACCGGCTACCGCCCACACGCCCCTACTCCGACGATACGTTCGCCGACGACCCACTTCCCATGTCCGAAAAAACAACAAGCCAGCGCCGCCGGGTTTGTACCTCGTCTGCCGCGGCGCCACTTTGCCAGCCCGGGGGATGAGGGGGAGCATGAGACACCGCGTCAGCGTGGCCGTGGCGCTGGCGCTGGAGCTGTCCACGCCTGCCTGCGGCTCGGATATGCACGCCGCACACCACGGCAGATAGCCCACTCACTCAGCGAGGCTGGCAAATTTAAGAGTCGCGTTAAAGGGGGCCTGATCCGGCGCCACGGTCGTGCCCCGGTGCCGTGGCTACGCTGTGGCCTCCCGCGTGGCTCGCTCTAATGCCTTTGTGGTGGTGCCAACCCCAGTCTGGGGGTGGCGGGGTGGGAATGTGAAGTGGGTGGGCATCAGATTGGAGGGAGGGAGGTGCTCGCGTTGGTCAATGGCGAGGCGGCAGTGTGTCATACATGGGAGGTGCGGTGCCAGCCGCGCCGAGAATGGACCATCGTGGACGTTACCCAGTTCTCACTGTTACTATGGCAGTAGCGTCCTCGAAGACAGCCTGCGATGGAGTCGACCGTGCAGATAGAATTCTGGCCGCGCGCAAGTGGCATTCTGGCTGCGCGATTCGAGGCCCCGATTATCACGTCCCCACATTCCCCCGGTGCTCTGTGAACTTTCCGGGGCCTTAGTGTCTTCGAGAAGGCATTGTCTCACCAAGACTACAAGACTCCAACCCACATGGCCACATGCTCCTCGAGCGCGTGTCTGATGTCTGAACGGCGTGACGCTCCAACAGACTACCAGAGGCACCATTCAGATCTCTGCATGTGTGGCGCGCGACCACGATGATCAGGTGGGGTGGCAGCAAGCACAAGGACACCAGAACCAGACCGCATGTTCAAGATGGCGGTGTAAGCGCAGTCAGTTCGTCATGCAGATCGCGTGTGGCACGGGATGTCACTCCAACAGAGGCAAAAGAACAACACACAAAAATGTCCTATGGTATTGATCGTTACTTGTTCTACGACAGGTGGGGGTAGGGGTTTCTAAGTACAACTGCCACACTGTGGCACCCTCTCTCCTGCAAAACAACTGCTTCGTTATGAATGGTTTCCTCGCCCTCTCCTCTGAGTGGTGATACCCTCCTCGTCCTCCCTCGCTCCCCGTCTCTACTCGTACCCGTCGTCGTTGTCGCTCACGCGGAGCAAGCGTTCCGCCACGTCGACGTCTTTGCCCTCGACGAGGATGTTGGCCGTGTGCGTCGTGGACGAATAGAGCATGCGTACCCCGCCGTTCTGGAGCCGCTCGGAAAAGCGCGTCACGAGACCCGACGTGTCGGCGTGCGTCTGGCCCAGGATGAACGACATGGGCGCCACGGTCGATTCCTCGCCGAGGCCCGCGTCGTCCGTCTCGCTGAGGCCGCGCAGGTCGAGCTGGAGACAGCGCATCGTGCGTCCGGGCTCGCGCTCGCGCTCGTCAACAACAGCAAGGGGAGTAGAGTTGCGGTCGGACATGGAGCCGCGCGACCCGCGTGACCCGCGTGACCCGCGTTCGGGCGAGTCGTTGTCGTGGCACAGCGCCGCGTGCGCGTTGGGCGTATGGTCCGGGTTTATAAACGCTTCCATGAGCAGCGCACCGTCGCTTGCGCGCCGCGCATGGGGGTTGCTGCCGTTCAGGCGACGCACAATGCTCTCGCTGTTGGTCCGCGAGTGGGTTGCGTACGCGTTGACCATGGACGTGAGACCCACGGGCGGTGGCGGGTTGGGCCCAAAGCGGTCAAAGTACCGTGTTGTGGGCGTGGACGTGGGAGAGGTCGACATGCTCGCCCAGTGAAGTGGGACGGGGGCTTTACTGGGGCCAAACGACCCGACGATGGGTGTCCCCGGCAACGAGTGGTTGGTGCGTGGCGACGAGAGGTACATGGGGGACATGGGCTCGGATGTCTCCTCATCCGACTCGTCGGTAAACTCGCCGCCACTCTGCCGGTCCAACTCGTCGGTGCTCAGGAGCTGTTCCAGCTCTTCCGGGGTGAACATGCACCGAATGACGCGGACCTCGGTCAAGACGCTCGAGCCATGCTCCTCGGTCCGCGTGTAACTGATAAAAGGTCGGTTGGTTCGGCGTTCAGCCGACGAGCGACGCCGGGACATGGGCGGAGGTGACAGAGTCCCCTCAGCACGTTCGCCCATGGTACTGGCGCGCTCTCGCTGCTGCTGTTGCTGCTCCTGGGTCGCAGCTAGCGCGCGCTCAGGCCATACCAGGTACTTTTTCACGCGGTCGATGGACTGTGCCTCAATGTCCTTTGACAAGCCCACACACGCCAGAGGCGCCGAGAGTACCGTGATCTCGGCGACGGGCGGCGGCGGCGGTACGAGTACGGGCGGAGGGATGGGAGGGTACTCTGTTGGTGTGCCGCCCGACGACAGCGCCGAACGTCGGCGAACAGAGCGCTGGTTGGGGTCGACATGCCCTGGAGAAGAGGACAGGGCGTCAGCCAAAACAACCCACATCGCGTTCGGCCCACAAACAACCCTAAAACTCACATCCGCGGGCCGCAAACACCCTTGATGCAAGCTCAAAGTCGACGGCTTTCACAAGCAGAAAGTCGGTCTGGTAGCTCGACTGGTACAGTATTGTGACGCCTGCTTCCGCCAGCGGTGCGGACACGTAACGAAGATGCGGCGAATCTGTCCATGGTCAGCGGTTGCGATGGGACACAGTGGATAGAAGCAAAAGAACCCAATCGCCAGCGGATCTCTTGATCTTCGCAGTGACCTCGTGTGTCACGGACCCATGAACGCACCATAGTTGGACTCGTCGTTGCTGTCCGGCGACGAGATCTCAAAGACGCGCCACGGGCCGTTGATGCACACAGCGGCGTTGTATACAGAACCCCATTCGGCAATGACAAGGTCAGTCGCTGCGAACAATGCGATCTGTGGTGGGTGTGTATCAGTGTTGTGGTCCACAAGGGTTCGGCCCGCGGGGAAGGGAGGGTGCATGCGCGGGAGTGGAGTAAGAGTGGACGGAGTCGTGATTCCGAGACACACAATCTCACGTACATACCTCGATTCGGTTCGATGTGAGGTTGAAGAACTCGCTCGAGTGCTCGCTGGCCCGGTCGATCGTCCAGAAGAGCTTGGTCACGTATGCGTCGACGGCGGCGACTGGGATATGGACGATGGAGACCGGTTCGGTCAGCGCCCTGCGGCGTCAGCGGTGTAGCTAGCTAGTACATTGGCCATCACTCCCAACATCGAGCACACGGTGGGTTGCTTCGCCGTCGCGATCGCGAAGCCTGCGTGAAGGGGAGGGTGGCCAACCGTGTACGTACGTGATGCTAATGCCGGGCATCGCGAGCTGGTCGTAAGGGATTCCGGCTCCCATCGTCGGACCGCGACTGAGAAGTAGAAATACAAGTAACAGGAATGCAGGAAAGAGGGGATGACAGGACTGTGGCCATCGTGTCCGACGGTGGTCGACTGTGCTGCTAAACCTTGATCGCCGGGAGCAAGTAGAGTATGGCGGCGGTCTGTGCGTGCGTGCCGCCGACTCTCGGGGGGAAGCGAAGGGCAATGCAAGGAACAACGCCTCCCAATGTCCACCACCGTCACATCCAGTCAGCACGCTCGCCGCAGCTGTGGATAAGCCTGGCGGGCCGGAACGCGCATACACACAGAGTCCATCACAAAGAGGGGCCTCTTCCATGCACACGGTGCTGTCCTGTACCTCGGCACGAGCATGTTCTTGCTCGAGGCACACAGCAAACACCATATCCCGTGTGGCCCACACACGCACATGGCCCACCAAGCCGCCACACCAGAGCCCAGTGCCCAGTGGCCCCCCTCTCGTCCCAATCCTCCTCAGCGTCCTTGAATACGCCGCCGCTCGACGTCCGACAAGGTGGGAGAGCGTGGCACGCCACTCCCGGCGCCTCGGAGGAGGCGGGGTATGCTGGGTGGTTGGACGTTAAACCATGGGAGCTGGAGCAGGGCTAGCAGGGGTGTCCTCCACTCTTTTAGCTGTCCGCGTCATCTCTCCCCCCTAGTCTGCCCATCTCGTGATGAGTCAGAACCATTTTTGCTTCTTCTTTGTCGGATTCGTCACGGGAACCATCACCATCATCGTCACCTGTCACCCGTCACTCCCTCCCTCCCTTCTCCAACAGCGCCATCAGGCCAAGAGCTGTCTCATTGTTTTCTCTGATGGGGAGGTGTTTGCTGTGCGGCGGGCTGGAGGAATAGAGAGAAGCGTGCGGGCAATATGAAGAGTGACACGGCACACACCTATCGTCGGCGGCGGCGCCACTGCGCAGCTACGCTGTGGGTGATGGCGCAGCGCGGGGAGGCTACCGGAGGCGTTGCGACGAGGCGTCACGGAGAGTGAGGCTACCAAAAGGCCCTTTCAGGCAGAGCGCAGAGTGGTGTGCCTGCCATGTCCGCCGTCGTTGGATGAGAGTAGGATTTGCGGGCACTTTGTGTGGCGATCAGTGCGCCATACGCCGTGTTATACCGTCTCCATAGTAGTCGGGATGACGGGATGGGTCAAATTGTCCACAACCCATCAACCTGAGCACCTGAACAGGAGTGACATCAGTGGTGTAGTGTTAGAGTATCTCGCCCGATAGCTGTAGCACCGTCGGGGAGGCGTCAGAACGGAAATTGAGCACAGGGCAAGGTGGTCAAGACGATGGACAGAGTGGACAGCTGCGGCCGGCAGATGACGGCTCACTTGTAAGCACAGACATTAGGATCGTTTGGTCCAGTTGATTACATTTTTGATTCCGAAAATTCTAATCATCCCCATTCCAAATGCTGGCGGCCCCGCCCCCGCCACCAGCAAAGGCACCAACAACAACAAAGACGTGCACACACTCACTACCTCTGCATTCGTCCTCCATCCTTCATTGTCACCAACACACCCACGTTTCTCGCCTCTCACGTATTCTCCATAATGGCCTCCCGCCAGTCCTACGCACACGGGAGGCAATCCTACGCCCCGTCCTATGCTGCGTCGCGCAGCGCGGCCCCGCGCGCGTCCACGTACCCCGTCCCGAGTAACGACTATCTCAACAGCATGGAAGAGTGCGTCAAGGCTACAGAAGGGTGTGCTGCTACTGTGAGTGCTGGGTCTTCATCTCCATGTGTGCGGAACTGTACAGGTGGGAGCAATGTCCCTGTTGAGGCAAGACTGCATGGCGCTCAGCCGCAACAGCGTGTCTAGACGGACAGATGTCCTCACGCATCGTTGGGCTGCGTGCCGGCTCGTCGAGCGCGGAATACCACCATGCCTTTCAATGACACTTGCCTTGCATGTAGCGAGGTGTGACAGTATCATCGGTACCTCGTGGAGCAGCAGGAACGTGGGATTGACCTTTCGCAGCTCGGCCAAGCCATCACGAACTTTGAGCCTGGAGTCGCAGACCTGCCGCGCTTGAAGAAGGTGTTGCACAACCACCATGTGAGTAGTGATATTGGGCCCACGTCGGCGCCGGGTTACGCATCCAGCTTGCGCCAACCCGACAATCATCCCTTCGTGTTAGCCCCCCATCTGCTCTTCCGCCCACATGGCCGCTGACAACGCGCCCACAGCACTTTCTCGTCTTCACCTCGCCGGCCGTCGCGCGCGCCAAGGCCGCGCACGCCGCCTCGCTCTCGCCGCAGATCGACGCCCTCCTGTCCCGTGGCGAGTCGCTCGTCGCGGCAGAGAGCCAGCAGCTCGACAGGCTCGAGGAAAAGCTCGCGCTCGTACAGGCCGCCCAGGCCAACCGGCTCCCGGCAGCCCCGCGTCTTCCGGGCACGTTCAAGGACCTGGACGCGGCCGCTGCCGACGAGGACGAGACGCGTAACCGCCTCGAAGGGGTGGACCTAAAGGACATTACGCTGGCGCAGAGGAGAAAGATTGGATTCTTGAGGAACAGGCGGGATAAACTGGAAAAGGAGCGGGCGAGGCTCGCCATGGCTGCTTGAGCTTGGGCTGGCCTGAGGCTGGGCAGCCAGGTGTTGTACGATATACAGAGCTGGACGATAGACCGATGACAAACAAGATCGCATACCTTTACACCACCGCCACCACCATCACTCCTCCCTACGAAAGGAATTGCGTTTACAACGTGCCTTGATCCCTTCACCCCACACCCCACGCATTGCCTCTTTTACGCATCATGTTTCTTGTCCTTTGCGGGCCTGCCGCGCTTCGACCTGGGCTGGCGGGGCGGCCGCGTCCAGAACTTGATGCTCCCCGCCCTACTGACCGTCGCAACCGTCTTGGGACCCATGTGCAGGCTCGTCATGAGGTTACCCTCGACGACGCGCGCGAGCACGGGCTGCAGCAAGGCCACCTCGGATTTCGGCGGGGACGGGTGGTAATGCGCCGCCTCTGGCTGCGCGGCCAGTGGCAACGAGGTAGTCGACCCCGCGGGCGCGACGCGGAAATGCGACGAGTTGGAATGGTGGTGCCGCGGCTTGCGCAGTGCCGCGACGGAAAAGTCCCACAGGAGCAGCTTGCCGTCCTCGCCCACACTGCCGAAGCGGTATCCGCGGCCCTCGGAGCGCATGGTCGGGTCGAACGCGATGCCCGTCACAAAGCCCGTGTGGCCCTGTGCGCGCGCGACGAGGCGCGACTCGCGCGGCGAGTAGATGGTCACCAGGTCGTCTTGCCCGCCCACAGCGACGAAGCGCGAGTCGGGGGACCATGCCACCTGGATAACATGTCAGCTCAAGGCCATGGGGAGCACACTGGGCAGCTGGGCAGCTACGTACACAGTTGAGGGCGCCAAAGTAACTCTCAAACACGTCGGTGACGCGGTTCTCCTCCGTCTCGACAAGACGCAACAGGCCGTCCCTGGACACGATCGCGAGCCAGCGGCCATCTGGCGAAAACGCCATGGCAGCGATATCCGTGTTGCTCGCGAGCCGGACCACGGCCAGCGGGTTCTTGCCTGCCCACGGGTACTTTTCGCCCTTTTTGTCCCTCTCGCTGGCTGGGACGTGCCACTCTTCGTTCCTCCAGCGCATAATCTTGCCGAGCGCGGCGGCGCGTTCGCCAGGCGGCGTCTGCGCGCCCTCGGCTTTCGTCTGGCCTGCCTCTTGGTCAAAGAAGTTGGTCCATGGCCTGGGCAGAGCCGAGATGATGGCCATGGCGGCTTCCGTCGGGTCCTCAGCGAACAGGTAGTACTGCGCAACGGTGTTGTCCGCAAACGACACAATGAAGCGGTCGCCGCCGCGCGGGTCAAAGTGGATACCGGTGACGGCCGATTTGATAATCTTGCCCTGGGGGAGAAATGTCAGCGTGCAGCTGTCGGTGTGCCACCCAAGAGACTTTTAGCACTCACGCCAATGTTGAAGCGCTCTGTACGGTCATTGATAAAGTCGACGTAGACAAGGTCGCCCGTCTCGAGGCCGACGACAATGTCCTGGCGCTCGGGGCCGACGGTGAGGTGCGAGATGGCATGGGCCGTCGGCGGCTGCTGGAAGACTATAGCCGCGAGGTTTTCCTATCGTCGTCAGTGTCTGTCGTTGTCTCCAAACGGGGATCCCTCTCCCTCAGTGGAGATCACTCCAGCCTAGGGGCCCTACTCACTGTGACGCCACCTTCCTCTGCCCAGACGAAGAGACGGCCCATGTTCCAGAACGCCCAGCGCACACGCTCGCCGCCGTTCTTGCCCTTTTCGTCCATGATCGCGCTGAGGTTGACGTTGGGGCTCACGCGCGTAATGATGCCGCCACGCGACGTCGACAACGACTTCTTGTCCTGCTTTTGCTTCTTGTCCTTGCTGCCAAAGCCGCCTTTACCCTTTGCGCCGGGCGCAGAGGCAAGGGGCACCGCCGAGGCGCCGCCGCCGTGCGGGCTGAGGTGGTCGTGCATCGCCACCGGAGCCGGTGCGTCATCCGAGCTCGCGTCCGACGCCGAGTCGCTATAGTCGTCGTCTTCATAGAGGTCTGGCGGCGGCGCAGCGCTCGGCTGCGCGGCGGGTGCGTCGGCCTTTTTGCCCATGCCCAGCCGGATGAGGTTTCCGAACCCGCTCTCCTTGCCCGGTGCGCGCGAGGGGTACCACACGTCGGCAAACTGCAGGCGCGTCGAGTGGCCCGGCTGCCACTGTCCATTCACAAGCGACGAGCCCGCCGACACGGCAAAGATGTTGGGACTCGTGAGCGGCGGCAGGGGCGCGAAACCGGGGCCAGCCATGGCGAACCCCGCCCCGCCCATGAACGCGCCGCCGCCGATGGGCATGGCGCCCGGCCGCAACTCGGATGGCAGAGGACCGGGAAGCTCGACCTCGGGAAAGTAGTTCTTGGCCAGGTGGTAGCTGCCCTCTGGCGCGGTGAACATCTCTGGCAGGTCCGGGGTGGGCACCACAGGGACCGTGGGCAGGGGAGGCCGAACCGGCGGCAGACGCGGCAGGTAGTGTTGTGGTGGGGGGATGTACATCTCCATCGTGCCGAGGTGTGCTGCTGCAGAGCAAGGGAGGAGGTGCGGGGAGAGTGAGAGGGATGGATGCGATCAGATGAGGGGAGAGAAGACAGTGAAGTGTGTGTAGAGTGTACAGCGCTGAGATGGAGATGGCGTAATGGCCTGAATCGCATGGTCGCAGCCCAGACGGACAGGCCGCAGGCTAAACGAACGTCCGCGCAGGGAAGGACCGACGTCAGTTGTCCCGGAGCGGCGTCCGGCCCGGCAAGTGTGTCACGTGAAGCTGTCAGTTGTCGAGAGCGTACGCAGTGCGATGCATATGCACACCAAACTCCAATGTTGACAAACATTTTAGGCTCTGCGTTATGCATCTGTGCATGTGCGGGGCTCAACGATGCTCCGTGGGGTTAATATTGCATGTCAATGGGATTGTTGTTTCATGCCGGCCGGCAGAAATGGGGGTGGGGGGCGCGCCATGGTGGGCAATTTGGCGCAGGACACGGACCAACAATTGGACCAACATGGGTTTAGAGCCAGGGCCCCGGAATCGGCCCGTCCACCAACCGAAATAGAGAGCAAGTCTAACTAGAGTGTGCTGTGCGGTTCCTCTGCCGTTGTTCCATTGTCCATTACATTATATCTACTGCAAACCAAGTTGGGACACACTAACCCGGCGTTATCGGGCTGCCCCTGAACTGCCATGGGAAAGAAGAACTCTCTTGAGCGGAGGAATGCTGCCCATGATCATTTTGGTTGTGGCCCGCCACACATTGTCGAACGAGGCCACGTCTATGCCCTAGTTCTGGCCGTTCTGGCCCTGGCCGTTCTGACCGTTTTGCTTGTGCGTGGGGGTACTGTGGTGGCTGCTCGAGGTGCTGGTGTGCGATCCATGGCCGTTGCCGTTGTTGCCCTTGGAGGTGGTAGTGACGGGGCTGGTGTTACCGCCACGCGACTTGTACAGCCAGAACGAGTCGAGGACCGACGAGTTGCGGCTCGCAACAAAGTCCTGGCGCATGTGGGTGGCGTTGGCAAAGTACAGGCGCGACCAGCCGTACACGTGCTCGATACCAAACTCAATGTTGGCAGGCAGGGTCGCGTCCATGTCGTCCATGCCGTCATAGTGGCCGCCGAGACCGTTGGTGATGTAGACTGGGTACTTGGGGTCGTTGTAGCCCGCCGGGTCGGCCGTGTTGTTGTACACGGCCGTCGAGCGCGAGTAGACGTGGTCGTGGCCGGTCATGACGAGGTCGACGCCGCCTGCGTTCAGGACGGGCTCGAACGCCTCCTGGCACTGGGTGCAGCGCGCGTCCGCAATGCTGACATAGTACGGGCGGTGGCCGAACGCGAGGACCCAGGGTGTCTTGGTGCGGTCAACCTTGGCGAGGTCGGCCTTGAGCCAGTCAATCTGCTCGTTGACCTTGCCGCGCGAACCAGACATTTGCTTGCCCGTACCGCCCACCTCGTCGGGGCCGTAGATACCCTGTCCAAAGTCGGTCTCAAAGTCGAGGATGATGTAGTGCACCATGCCGTCGTCGTACGAGTACCAAAAGTTCTTGGCGGCGCCAGGCGTACCGGGCATGTTCCAGTGCTCGGCGTACGCCGTAAAGTTGGTCTGTCCAGGCATGCAGTACGAGGCAGTGTACGAAATGTTGTGCGTCTTGTCGGTAACACCGCCATTGTCACAGTTGGACTCTGAAAACGAGGTCAGCTGGAGGCAAACGTGAACATGACCTCTTGGACTACTCACCATGGTTGCCTACGGCGACCATGTACGCCTTGCTCGACGTGAGCGGGGTGATCTGGTCGTAAAACTCCTCGTTGAGCTCCTCGTAGCGCTCGACAACCTGGGTCTGGTTGACAATCTCATTGTCGGCGCCAAAGTATCCGCCCACCGACTCCTTGATGAAGTAGTCGGCGTACGCAAGGTCACCAATGTGGATAATGTGCTCGAACGCATCGAGGTTCTGGGCGAGCGATTGGACCGTGTTGGTCTCGTTGGGCAGGAGCGTGCCCGCGGCACCGGTGCCAGCAACGGTCGTGAGGCCGTCGGGTCCCATGAGACCCATGTCCGCCACAACGGCGATTGACTGGAGGGGCACGTCAGCGCTCGGACAGCGGTGCAGAAAGAGGGTTGTCACCCACGTATGGCTCAGTGTCCGCGGGGCTGCGCGGGGTCGTAAAGGTGTACGTGGGCCTGTGGGTTAGTGGTCGTCGTCGACTGCACGTGTGGATCGTGGACCGCTTACAGGGTGTTGCACTGTGGCGTCAGCTACCATCCATATACCCTTGTTGGTCCAGACCACCATGGGGTCACGTCCACCCTGTCTGTCGTCCGTGTCATTGAATGTGGCACTCACTGCATAGCAATTGGTGTGAGCGACGCGGTAGTGGTACAGCGTCTTGGGCTGGAGACCAGAGAGCACGGCGTGGTGCGAAAAGGTGCGCGAGGTCTCAAAGGTGGTCTGGTTCGAGTATGCCACCTGGTCGAGGTTGAGAGGGTCAAGACCATAGTGGACGGTAGCCTCCGAGTCGGGAAGCGACGCGTATGTGTTCCACGAGACGGCCATGTTGTTGGCATCGATAAAGGCCACACGCTGCTGGAGTGGCTCGACCTTGTTGAAAGGTGTAGTGCCGGGGACGGTAGCGAGCGGGTAGGTCTCGTTGGGGAGAGGCTGAGGCGAGTGAGTAACATGCCTTGACTGAGCTTGTCTCCTTGTTCACTTACCACGCCGACCACCATAGTGGCGATACCCGCGAAAGCCGCGAGGACGAGCTTGACAGACATGGTATTCAGAGAGCTAGTGACAAGAGGCTGGGGGGAGCAAGGCTGTGGATAGCGTCGGCAGTTAAGTACTCGGTGGCAGCCGAGTGGGCATGGTGCTACACAAGTCGGGACACGCATGGGTCAGTCCGCACGCCGTCTTCCATCGCACGTTTTGCGCCCAGCTATGTTCGGCTAGCACATGGTTAGGATAGAACTGCAGCGGCAAAGGGCCAAAAGTGAGTGTGATGTAAGGTTTCGTCTAGTTACCGAACGTGTCTCATGCGTCGTCGGGATCGTGGTGTAATCTGAGCGTGGTGACTGGCTGGAGATGAGAGACGCGTTTGCACGTGCGTGAGTGGGTATGGTTAATAGCGTCGTCGCAAACGCATAGGATGGTCGAGTTTCTACCCCAAACTGGCATTCCTCGGCCGAACAACTGGACCGTCATGGTGAGTGCGGATAAGAATAGGAAAAGGCGACGGCTTGGGCATGGTGTGAGAGAAGTCGATGTCAATGAGCAAAAAGATACCTACAGGTGTCAATGGCTGTTGAAAGGTTCCAAACGTCCAGACGCTCGGAAGCTCGGAACTCACCCAGGCACACATGACGTCAAGAAAAATGACGTTTCAAAAACGGATGATAACAAAAGTTCCGCGATAACACAAACACACAAATGTGTGGCATGGACAAACACAATTGCAATACACTTTTTTTGCCCAAAATGGCGTGTACGGCGTGTGCCCCAGATGACACCCCCCAAAGAGAGACCAGGGCTCGATCACCCAGACCACCGCCACAACCGACGAGGCGCCATATGGCCCTGGGCGCCCTGGGGGCCTTTCGGCGAGAGGTTACCGCCTCGAACCGATGCACCGATGGCTGCACACCGCTCTCTATCGCTCACACCATACATGCTCACTGCACATTGCTAGCTGCGAGCGCATACATACAGAGAGACGCGCGGCCCCGACGAACACCGCATGACGGAGGACGATGGAGGACGACGTGACCCACATGCCCCCCCATCCACCGTCGTCTTCTTCACAGATCGACAGTGGCTGATGGGCCCAAAAAGAGCTGTGCGTACGCCCCGCCAAGCCCTTGTCTCCGAACGCTTGAAACGGTTTAGCAGGGACCCGAAACGTATAGGACAGGTTGGTGTCCACCCGTCTGCCGTCTGGTGCTGGGGACAGCGGCACAGCGTACAACGAACGGCCCGGACGAGGCCCGAGAGAGCGGAGGGACACGTCGGGAAGGGGAGGGGGGGGGAGAGGGGGAGAGGGGGAGAAAGGCGCCATCGAGACATGTTGACATTTTGGGTGCGCGCCAAGGTATGCTGGCTGCAGCGACAGGCTGTTCAGGCGGGGTGGCGGCATCAATAATGGGCAAGACATGCCAATGACGTATGAAGGACCTCGCCTGTTCGGACGAGGCGCGGGGAGAGGGAGGGAGTCTCCTGTGTACCGCGGCACAGCGTATGGGGCCCAAGGCATATCTCCAAAAGCATGCAAGCCCAGAACAGCGCAGCACAGCGCGCGCATCCCGTCTGTACGTCTGTGCTGCCCCCCCCTCTTGAAAGCCAAATCCCCCGGCGCCTACCCAAATTACCACCCAGTCACGCACCAGACACACATCCCACACACGCCCACACACACACGACCCACGGCCACACTCTCAAAGTCGCCACACGCTCGCCATCGCCCTTTTGCTCTTGTACTCATTGTCTCACACACCTCATTCCTCTTCTTCTTCTTCCCCCACCACTCCCTCCCAGCTAGTCACCTCCGTGTCTCTAAACACATAACTCCCAAACACCCAAACACAGCAGACATGAAGTTCACCGCCGCCGCTCTCGTTCTCCTTCCCCTCATCGCCGCCGAGGCTGCCCCGGCTCCCACGGCCGTCCAGGAGCGCCAGCGTACGTTTTGCCTGTTGGTTTGGAGAAGCACGATCTAACCCCCATCCACAGTCGGCTCGCTCCTCGACGCTGCCACTTCGGCCATCGGCTCGGTCGCTGGCGATGGTGAGTTGCACTTCTTTTTGTCGTGGCACAACTGACGCCTCAGTGACCAGCGTCGTCGGTTCCGTCGCGACTGTTGTTGGCAGCGGCGCTGCTTCGGTCTTCTCTGAGGGTATGTCTTTCCCCTCTCAGCGGCAATCGTGTGGATCGCTTCTCTAACTTTGAACACAGCTACTGGCGGTGCCGTCTCCGTCTTCTCGGTCGTCACCAGCGGAGCCGCCTCGGTTGGCACTGTCGTCGCCTCGGGCGCCGAGTCCGTTGCGTCGGTCGGTAAGTCCTTCAGCTGACGCTCGAGACCCCTCTCTCTAACTCTTTTTTTAGTCACCAGCGGTGCTGTCTCGGTTGCCACCGACGCCGCCACCGACGTCAAGAGCATCCTCGGCGTTACTGGATCTGGATCGGGCACCGCCGCTGCCGGTAGCGCTACCTCTGCTGCGTACGTGCCCCTTTGATGTTCTTCTTGTCCATTGCAGACGCTAACTGCCTTCTGCAGCAACTCGGCCGGCTCGTCCATCATCTCGACCGGCGCTGTTGGCACCTTTGTCGCCGCCGCCGTCGGTATCGCTGCCGGTGCCTACATGCTCTAAGCATGTTCAAAAGAACCAACCCCAGCACCGCCCCCTCTTGCGATCCCCCCTCCCTTTGCCCGAAGATTATGCCTGGTACAAAGCACTCTACTGCAGTGCATGGCCGGCCTGAAGAGGCGTTTGCTGTTTATGTGGCGGCGCCTCTCCTTACCCCCCAATTTCCCTTCGCTTTTAGCCTACCTTCTTTCGTCTCGTATTCCAATTGAAAATGTAGATAAACACTGTCTTTAACTTCGTATTCGTCACCATTGCAGTGTGTTCTGTTCGTGTGCCGACGCAAGTGCCTCTCAATGTTCGCGTAACGTGTCTCCAGGGTGGGCCCGATTGCATCTTGTTTGCTAGTTGCCTCAGCCAGATGGTGGGCAATCTCATAACCGATTCCCACCGTGGGAAACCTCCCAGCCCTCATCATCTCTTGGTTGCGTCACCGTCAGACCAAGTACAACAATACCGGGACAAGTCCATACTCCAGTCACCCAACCGCATCTTTTTCATCATACACTCCCGTTTACGCTCAGCAACAGAGATCACACTTGTTGTGCACCTTGATACCCGTTTTCCATCCTCGGCGCAAAAGCTAGACGCCCCGGGGGAAGCAAGGACGCGACCCGGCCTCGACTCACTCACGGCAGGCACATCCGTGTAGTGGGACCCCAACAACAATGTTCAAGCTCCTCAAAGACCTGACGCGCGCACCCGAGCCTCTCAACCCAGTCAATGCTGGAGGTGAAGGTGGTAGCGACAGTGTGCCCTATGCTACGCGCTCGCGGTCGTCGTCGACTGCTGCGCCGCCAGGTCCAGCTCAACGGCAAGCGACACCTAGCCCGCTTCCCCCGTCCGAGAACGCCAGCACCCAGCTGTCCACGGGCGTGTCAAGCCTCACACTCGAGGACGAGCAGGACAAGGTCAATGTCGAAGAGACAGACAGGGACGCCATCCAGGTCGTTGGCCTCGTGCACGCCCTCCAGGATGTGTCGGGGACCATGTACTACGTCGAGGTGGGCACTCAGCTGAGCATCGGACTTGAAGCTGACGGCAGACCTTCTCCGAGCTCCTTTCCATTCCGGGGACGTTTGCAGCCCGCAGGGCGTTCGGCAGACACGACGGGTTTCAGCGTCTCGTTGACGCCCTCGACGTGCTTGCCTGGCGACCACGCCCAGACGACTTTGACGCCGACCACTGGCAAGTGGAGGAGGTGCAGCGCGCTGAGGGACAGCGGCTCTGTTTCGAGGTCTTGGCCTGGGCCATGGGAGACCGGGAGGGCGAAAAGGCATTCAACGTGAGTTCACGAACATCCATGCGCAAAACTCTGACAGCAGGACTCGTTTGGGTACGCCTCGCTCCTACCCGCCGTGAGGAAACTGTCACAGAGGCCAGAAGGCCTATCTGCCTTGGATCCGGACCCGCGCGTCCTCGGTCTTCTCCTCACCCACCTCTTGGGCAACAACTATGTCCTTTTGTCGCTTTTCAACTCGGACATTGACTCGCTGCTCCCCGACAACGCGCTGGAAAGCAAGCTCGGCGACGTCACCTTGCGCTGGGCGGCCGCACTGCCCCTTGTCTGGGCATACGTGTGGGGCCTCGACAGCGCCGACACGGACAAGGGTCTTCCCGATGCACTTGCCGCTGGTGACTTTGAGGGCGGCGCTAGCGACCTCCAGACCAAGTTGATCACCCTCACGTTCCGCATCTTGAGCCTCGCAGCACGCCAACTGACCGACCTGCTCCTCACCCACTCCCATCTCCCCCACCTTCCCGACTTCCTCCTGACCCGCCTGTATGGCTGGCAAGAGGAGCGGCCCGTCGAGGTCACCTTTCCCCCGCGCGAGGAATGGTACCAGAACGCCGACAGCGAAGATGTCCCGCCACGTCCCGAGTGGATCGCACCCACTGAAGCGATGCGGTCGCTGTACCTGGCGCTTCTTCAGCGCCTGCTCGATGCCGGCGTGACCACAGACCAGACATGGCGCCTATTCTCGCTCGTTCGCAAGCTTCCACCGTCGCCAGAACCAGCGAGCACCGAGGTGGAAACACCGGCATCGTCCGCGCCGGATACCCCCTCAAGACGCACAAAGCCTACTCTGAAAGTGACTCTGCCCGGACCCGAGCAGGAAGGCGAGACCCTCGACAACGAGGTCATGGACCTCATCAAGGGTGCGATGAAGAGCCGTGCTCCCGACGCGTTTGTCTTCCGCGGTGGACAAGGAAGCGCAGCTGGCGGTCTGGAGATTCACGACTTGGGGCGAACCTGGCCCAACTCGACCAAGGGCTTCATCTTCACTTGCTGGCTGTACATCTCCAAGCTCAACAATTCCGTCACCCTCCTGCACCTGTCGCAGGCGGGAGATCCGCACCCACTGCTCCACGTCCGCGTGCTGGAAAACTCCCAGATTTGCATCTCGTCCCATACCGACGGCCAAGCGGGCGAGCCAGAGGATATCATCTGTGGTGCACCCGACGCGCTCATCCCGCACAACCAATGGATCCACTTTGGTGTCGGGTGCCGTAAAGGACGCAGCACGGCGGGCGGGGGTGGCGAGGCGCGTATCTTCATCAACGGGCAACGAGTCGGCGTCGTGCGCGTACCGTACCCCACGCCCAAGGTCCAGGCCGCTGCGGCACCGCACCTGCACAAACAGCACCATGGGAGCGGCATCCGCGCCAGTGTCGGCCGTGTCTGGCACGATGGCCAGTCGTCGGGAGGCGACGAGACTAGTAGTGGTCTAGGACGCGCGGATACCGAGTGGATGCTAGGCAGGTCACTCCTTCTCGAAGAGGTTGTGTCGGAGGAGCTCGTGATGCTCATGTACCACCTGGTGAGGACGAGGACGCTGGCTGTGGTTGTGGTATCGCGCTGACAGGCAGGGACCACGGTACTATGGCAACTTCCAAGACGCCCTGAACAAGTTTCTCACATGTTGGTGTCATGGTTAGGAGGAGCCACCTTGCTGACCAAAAACACAGACGACGGCGCCACCTCCATCCATCTCTACCTGCACGGTATGTCGCAAGCGGCCCAGCAAAAGGCCCTCGCACTGCTGCCCGCCAACTCCGCTCTCGTGCGTGCGATCCGCGTCGGCCCCGCCATCCCAGAGGAGAACATCATGCTCTCACTGTGCGCCAAGGACGTCTTGGATCGCGACCACATTCTCAACGCCGCGGTACCGCACGCCTCGCGCGCCAAGGATTTCCGATACGGCCGCGCCAAGCTGGTCGGCACCGTCTTCCCCTTTGTGACCAGCGACCTTGACGTCGCCGTCTCGACCGTTGGCGGCGGCGTGGCGGTCCTCAAGCTGGTCGATTTGGCAACGAATACCGACGAGCTCACGAGTGCACTCACGATTCTGCACGATATGATCCAGGAGAGCTGGAGCGCAAGTGAAGAAATGGAGAGAATCCGTGAGTCCGCTGTGGCATACATGGTGCTTGAAGCTGACATCCATAGACGGGTTTGAGCTCCTTGCTGCCATCCTCCGCCCCAAGATGGCGTCCATGATGGACATCAAGTGCACCGATATCATCATGTCGATCTTGGGTATCTCCATGGACGAGCCAGAGTAAGTATAACCACACTCTCAATCACCTACATATGACTGACTGACCTCTCCAGGCTTGCGACCGTCCACAACTCTGCCGCTTACCGCGCCCTCGGCCTCGAGTTTGAGCTGTGGTCGCTCGCACCTCTAGACGTCCTCAACCTCTACTTTTCTCACTTTGACTACCTGCTCTCCAAGTCGCAGTACCGGCGGTACAACCTCCTCCGGACGTTCCAGAAGAGCAACATTGTGCGCAAGCTGCTATTTGCCGTCCGTTCGGGACTGTTCGAGGAGGACGCGCTGCCGCCCGCTGTCGCGACGCTGCGACTCGCGCTCGTGTCCCGCTGGAGCGCCGAGGAGTCTATCAAGCCGATATTCGCGTATCTCGTCTCGGCTCTGTGTCAAAGTGGGTATTGCTTCAAAGGCAGCGCTGACCCACCAGACGTTGCTCCAGCCGAACTCATTACCACCGCCCAGCCCACCCAATCCCAGCTCCCAGCCTCGCTCATTCTGGACATGATGGCGGACGTTTTACACAACCAGAAACGTCTGGTCAAGCTCAACAAGTCTCTGTCGCTCCACCGCCTCCTCGTCGTGTTCCTCCAGAGCAACCCTGCTCCCTTTGTCGCGTACCCGTGTCTGGACATTCTCGCCCACTGCCTCTCGACCCCGGGACTCGAGTCGTTCCAGCGCTCCTTTGAAAGTGAAGGTGGCTTTGCGCTGCTTGCCAAGGTCCTCGCGCCGATCTGGAACGATGCCGTGCAGGAGACCATCTTCCGCATGGTGTTTGGCGACACTGGACCTGCCGGCGCTTCCCTTGCCTGTCCGCCTGCCATGCAGTCGCTCATGACGGCGCTCGACGCGCTCCTCCAGGCCGCGACTGACACTGCCGGCGGAGGAATGGGCAACTCGATGTCCCGGTCCATTGGCTCCATTCGGTCTCTCGCAATGACGACCCCTCTGACGGCAGTCGCCCCCGCCCCCGCCGACGACGACGCCGACTCGGACGACGACGCAGGCGATGACGACCGCCTCGAAAAGCTCCTCAACAAGCTTGCCGCAGTGTACCGCCAGTCCTCGGCGTTCCGCCGTGCCGTCCCTGCGCGCCGTATCGAGTCCATGCTCCCGTCCATGGTCGATTTCGCCGCCGTGTCGGCCTCGTCGAGCCAGCCCGAACGCGTCGAGGCCCAGCGCGCCGCAGCGGTCAACTGGCTCACTGCGCTTGTCGATTTGTCCAAGGCTCCATCGACTGTTATTGTGCAGGTAAGCTTGTTGCCAGTTGACCGAACTCGGAAGCAGCTGACAATACCAGTTGAAGCTCCTCGTCGAGCAGCTCAAGGCATCGTCGACGCTCGGTATGAGCTCGTCGCAGCTGTCGCTTGCCAGGTCGCCGCCACCGCCGTCCTCGTCTCTCACGCGTCCCTCGCTGCTTGGCACCTCGGTTGGCAGCTTTACGACCACAACGAACATGACGGGCTCGACCACTATCCGCCGCCGTCCCTCGACAGACGCCGGTCTCCGTCCTGTTCCTGGAGGCGATAAGTCGCTGCAGCTGCGTCGCGTGTTGACGGGCGAGTCCATCTTGCGCGAGGAGCAGGACAAGAACGCCGCTTGGCGAATGATCATCCTGTCAACGGTGAGACGATGGGTGCCAATTGCATAGCTGATACCACTTCAGGATGCGCAAAAGTTCGCCACCATGACCCTCGACCGTAAGGAACACTGGCACCGTCTCTCCGAGGTCGAGTGGCCGCGACAGGTCGCCACCCTCCGCGCCGAGAATGGTGTGTGGGCCGACCGCAATGTCCAAGTCACCTGGCGCCTGGACGGCAGCGAGGGTCCTCTGCGTATGCGTAACCGCCTCGAGCGCGTCGACGTCGTCGCCCACAGCGGACCGCTGCGTGGCCGTAACAAGCTGCGCGACGCCATTCCGTCCACGGACGAGCTGTCGTCGGCTGTGTCGAGGATCAACAACGCGCCGTGGGAGGATCCATTTGCGCTCGCGCTGGGAGATGCGGCGCCGATTGCCGAAGAGGGTAAGCTTGGGCCTTGTTGAAAGTTGCTAACAGCTTTGCAGACTCGCCTGTCATGGCGACCCCCAGCCAGCCCAGCCAACCCACGCCGGCAGATGGAGAGGACAGCGATGAGGATTCCTACGTGGACGTGGACGACTCGTCGAGTAACAAGATGCGCCTCGTCGCCAAGGCACTTCAGGCAGGCGACGTCGTGGAGGAGGCTCACAACATTGTGCGCATTGTGGGCGTCGACGCTCTTCCGGGCTTGCTCATCCTCGGCTCGCGTAACCTCTACCTCATCGACGGTCTGGTCCAGACACCCGACGGCAAGGTCGTCGAGGCCGACCAGGCGCCCAAGGACGTGCTCTCCATTCCGTCCGGCACCCTCGCCGACCTGGACCCGACCGACCAGCGCTCTCACCACTGGCCCTACGCCGACGTCGTGGAGACGAACAAGCGCGCATTCCTGTTCCGCGACGTCGCCCTCGAGCTCTACTTCTCAGACAAGCAGAATTTCCTCGTCGTGTTCAAGGACAAGCGCGCGCGCTCGGCCGTCGTGTCCAAGATGCAGGCCAAGCTCGGGACGGGCGACCCCCTCTCGCGCTCGATTCTGGGTGCGTTTGTCCTTGACCTCGCGCGCGCGAGTCGCGGCGCCCAGCTCGAGGACATGACGCGCAGGTGGCAGTCTCGCGAGATTTCCAACTTTGCCTACTTGCAAATGCTCAACCAGCACGCCAACCGCACGCCCAACGATGTCACACAGTATCCGGTCTTCCCCTGGGTCCTCGCCGACTATAGTTCCCAGATCCTCGACCTGACGAGGCAGGGAACGTACCGTGACCTGTCGCTGCCGATGGGTGCGCTCACGCCTGCGCGCAAGGAAGCAGCAGTGGAGCGTTATCAGGCGACCGAAGGCGTAGGCGAGACCCCGTTGTGAGTTAGCCCATTTCTGTATCCGCGAACTCACACTCCAGCCACTATGGAACTCACTACACGTCCTCGATGATTGTGTGCGGTTTCATGATCCGCGTCTCGCCATTTACCGAAATCTTTCTTGCCCTCCAGGGAGGCACGTTTGACCTCGCTGACCGCCTGTTCTCGTCCGTCCCGCGCGCCTGGGACTCGGCGTCACACACGAACCGCGGCGACGTGCGCGAGCTCATCCCCGAGTTCTTCTACTCGCCCATGTTCCTGGTCAACCTCAACCACCACGACTTTGGCAAGAAGCAAGTCTCTGGCGATTCGGTAGACGACGTCGCCCTCCCACCATGGGCGCTGGACGACCCGCTCCTCTTCGTCCACTGGAACCGCGAGGCCCTCGAGTCTGACTATGTCTCGCGCCACCTCTCCGAGTGGATTGACCTCACGTTCGGATACAAGCAACGCGACGCGGCAAGCTACAACTGTTTCCACCCCTTGTCATACCGCGGCGCCGTAGACTTGGACCGCATGAAGGACGAAGGAGAAAAGGCGTCAAGCACGGCTATTATTCACAACTTTGGCCAGACGCCGTTCCAGATCTTCAAAACCCCACACCCCCAGCGCCTGGTTGGCAGTCGCAACTCGCTGCCTGCGGGAGTGCGCTTTGGCGTCGCCGAGCACTGGCAGCTGCTCCTCCGCTCGGCCCTCCCGATCACAGAGGTTGCGAACCGGATCCACCACATTCTCGAGCCGCTGCACGCCGATGCCAAGCCTGGTGTACAGCAGCAGCACCGTCTCATCGTACCGGGCCACCATCAGCTCAGCGTGCAGTACGGCTTTGCCGACCTGTCGCTGCGTCTTTACTTTCAGGACACGACCCACCGGGTGAGTTAGATCGCTCACCAGCCGCTAACTCGTCAGCTCGTGTATATTGTGGAAGGCATCGAGGTGCAATACGCCGCCTTTGCGTCGCCTACGCTGCTTATCACCGTCTCGCCGCTCGGCGTTATCACAGCCTGGCGGTTGATTGTCAAGGGCAGCGGCGCGCGTCGTGGCGACTCGAGCCTTTCCCGCGAAGCGACACTTCGCGGTGCCCGCAGTGTCACATGCATTGCGGTCAGCACGGCTTGGAGTATCCTCGTCACTGGTTCAGAGGTGAGTTAACAGGTGCTTGAAAAGCTAGCTCACACAACAGGATGGCACTGCAGCTGTCTGGGATATGAACCGCTTGCGCTACACGCGTGCCCTCAAGACGCCTCGGTCGGATCCGATCAAGTTTATGACTGTCAACGAGTCCAACGTGGGTGCCAGATGTTATGTCCTGTTGACTGACCCATCAGGGACACATTGTCCTCGCATCCGAGCGCTACCTGTACATGTACAGCTTGAACGGCCACCCCATCGCCGCCACGTCAGTCGACGGCGGGCGCATGAACTTTCCGTCGTCGCTGGGCATGGATGCCGCCGAGGCCGACGTGGGCCCGACCGAGCCCCAGCGCTTCACGGGTGGTCTGTCGTTCCTCAAGCGCGAGTTCCTTCGCTGGGGTGACCTGTTTGTCGTCGGCGTCGGCTCGACCATTGCGCTCTACCGCTGTGTACCTGGCGTCCGTCGTTTCCAGGACCAAGAAGTCGAGCCGTGGCGTCTGGTCAAGCAGGGCATACTGTATGGCAGCGACGAGCATGGGGCAGGAGAGTGCACTGCCGTGCGCTTCATTGGGTAAGTTATGACCTTATTGGCTTTGCTAACTTGCAGCGAAGCACTGTACGCGGGCTTCGAGCCTCCAGCCGACGCGGCCAAGCACCACCACAACAAGCACCTTCTTTACCAATGGTCGCTGCCCGAAGCAGCCCGCCACGTCCCCGACAGCGTTCCCGGCTGCATGCTCTGCCACACCCGCTTTGGTCTCCTCGAGCCCAGGCGCCATTGTGGCGGCTGCGGCGGAGCGTTCTGCGGCTCGCACGCACCGCACGTCGAGGGCTTCAACTCGCGCTTCTGTCCCCGCTGCCGCGCGCAACTCGCTGCTGCGGCTGACATTGGCGTGCTGCAGAGCAGGACCAGCCGCGCCGGATCGAGGGCCACGAGCAGGACCGTCTCCCGCCGCCCGAGTATCGTGCTCGAGTCGGCGCCGGTCAATGCCAGTTCGGGCATCAGGACGCCCAGGGAGAGGAGCTCGTCGCACGCGAGGGGTGATACGCCGTCGAGGTCGAGTAGTGCTCTGGCCGGTGCTACGCCTGGTGCTGCCACACTCGCCGCTCCTTCCCAGCCTGGGCTTGACAGGCCGACAACGCCAGTCACACCCCCGCCTCCTGCCACTCCGAGCACGGACGCGTCAGCGGAGTGAGAAGGCTATGCATTTGTTGTACGTTCTTGGAAATATTGGCAAACACAGCGCCACCGTATGCAGTCTATTGAATGGGCCATCCATGACGGTGGGGATACGTGAGCGTCGCTTTGAGGCTGTACACACAACAGCGTAGGTCTCGGGAGATAACGCAAATGTAGTCACCATTGGAGGCGTCCACCTCTCATTTGCTTCCGCGTATCCTCCACGTGCGCCCCCCTGCTTCGAATTCACAATGACGTTGGTGCTCGCCGCCCAGCCAGCCGCTGTCATCATCGCCCGAAGTGTCCATCCAGCTCTCACAGCCCGTATCATCCACAACAACCCTCTTTGTTGTGTCTCTCTTGACTTTGTAACACACACACCATCTAACAGGCATGTCCAAATTCAACTCGTTTTTCGACAAGGTCAAGACCCAGGCCAGCTCGGCCGGCGCGCAGGCCAGCACCATGTTCCAAGTGGGTTTTTTGTCTGAGAATGCTGTTCCCAGGCGACGGAGACCAGCTGGCGATGAGGCTGTCGTCTCTATGCGTCTGGCATATCGGTGTGTGTGGTTGCTTTGCGAGCCGAGGGCAGTGGGAAGACGACTGTGCTTCCCATATGACCCTCTGTCTGGCGAATCGGCGTCTGGCGCTTGATGCGCTCGCCGTTCCCTCACGCGGGGCATGGGCATGACGGTGGCAACGCCGACGCGGCGAACACACATGCATCGTCTGTCCGCGAACCTTGACCTTTCGCGAAGGCCTTCAGACGTCATGCAAGACCAAGGCCGCTGCTGCGCCGCGAGGTGGTTCTACCGTCATCACCATCGCTTCGTCGGGAACGGGATGGGAATCGACGGCCTGGCCTTGCCGCCCGATTGAGATCGAGGAGGCGCCATGGTGCTGCTGCAGAGCAACATATCATCGCTTGCCTCCCCTCTTTCAAAGCGCCCAACACAGGCCCATCCTGTGTTGTGCCCCGTTGCCCTTGTGGGTGACGATCGTCACGGAGCTATCATTCGTCACTCGCGCAAAACGCAACGTTTGGCTGGACTTGACGCTGACATAATGTGCAGGAGGGCAGCTCGCGCGCTGCTTCCGGCAGCCAGAGCTTTATGCAGGGCTTCAGCCTCCCCGGAGAGTCGCAGAAGGCTGCCAAGATCCTCAGGAGCTTCCTCGGTAGGTGTTTGGCGAGGTGCAAATATAGCGGTGTTCACCTCGTCGGTTGCTGGCACCCATGAAAGTCTGTGGCACACGTTCTGACCCCGTAGCCGACCCGTCGCACCCCCAGTCGGCGCTCAACTCTGTCCCCAAGGACGTCCTCCTCCGCTGCAAGGGTGAGTAGCTTGCCGGTACGCTGTTTTGACGCTAACGGTCAGGTATTGCCGTCTTCACGATCCTCAAGGCGGGCTTTGTGTTCTCGGGCAAGGCCGGCTCCGGTATCGTTGTTGCGCGTCTCGCGGACGGCAGCTGGAGTGCCCCTAGCTGCATTGCCACTGCTGGTGGGTTTAGCTAGACTATTCGCGCTCCGGGCTCTTCGCTGACCGCCAGGTGTCGGATGGGGTCTCCAGATCGGTGCCGACCTCACCGAGGTCGTCATGATCCTCAACAACGACGCGGCCGTCAAGGCCTTCTCTCGCGGCGGCAACGTAACCATTGGTGGTTCCATCTCGGCTGCCGCTGGCCCTATCGGCACTGGTGGCCAGGTTGCCGCCTCGCTCGTCAACCCCGCCCCGATCTTCAGCTACTCGCGTTCCAAGGGTGAGTGCTGTGAATGGTGGTTCTGAGTGTGGACTTTTGCACGTGGACTTTGGGGTTCGTGTTTCTGTTCGTGGCGTGATTGGGGTGCTGGCCAAGTGTCTCGAGACGCGCTACCGTGTTTTGCTTCGGCATGCGCGACTGTGCTACTTGAGATTGGCTTTCCATCCACAGCTGCTATCTTGAACCGAACGATTCTATTCCTACCTCGACCTGGTGACAATCGCGTGCCTTGAGCACCACCACAATCCCCAACGCTGCGGACCCCTGTTTAATTATCGTTGTTTGTGTGCAACGCAGGGTCTCTGTCAAGCGAGGATAATGAACGAATCCAGTACTGTCCCCTTCCAGTGACAGTAGACGCTCTCCGCTCTTCGCCCCTCGACGGCCAAGAGCGCAGTTCCGTGCCGCTATTGGGGACGGATTGTGTTGTTCCGTCCCAAATTCGATTCGATGACGGACTGTCGTCGTTCCTCCTCGTCCCGTCCGATGATCCTTCCAGTCCGACCCGAAAGCGGACGAAAGGACCTTCGCACAGTTATACTTATGCGGATGACGACCTAAATGTGGTGCAGCTCCAACGTTTCTGGAGTGAAGACGTTTTTCCGCAAAGTGCCTCACATTTCACTCTCGTCACAGCGTGACAACCCGTTAAGGAGTTGGTGCAGTTACCAGCGTCACCGGAATAACCTAACACGGTGCTGCTGGTGGTGCTGGTACGGGTACCGAGCGAGTTGGAAAGGAGAGTGGTGGTTCTGGACCGCGTTTCTTGGCCGAGTTGTGGAACTCGACGGGCCTCGACCCTCATCAATCTGTTGTCAATCTGTGGTGTGTGAAGTGGCCGTACTCCACTCGCTCCACTTAGTTACTGCCAAAGCTTCCCGCCAACAAGCTCCAGCTAACATGTCATACAGGTCTGTTCGCGGGCATCTCGCTCGACGGCACGGTCCTGGTTGAGCGCTTCGACGCCAACCACTCGTTCTACGGTTCCAACGTTTCGACCACGGATATTCTTACGTGAGTCCACGAGTTGCCTGGATCGCTGCAATTCTTGGTTGATTTCGGTTCGTTGCCGTCAACCGAGATCCAAATTGCAGTGGTGCTTCCAGCTTGGAACTGGTCTTGGTCGAGGCCTAGAGTTAACCCGACCACGCAGCGGTCGTGTGCCCGCCCCGGAAATTGCGTCGCCCATGTACGACGTCATCGAAGGTCCGTAACAAAATCACGCAGCGATTGCGTCCAAGCAAGAGGCACCCACGCCTCGCTTGGCCAAGTGCTACCGCGTTTTGTGGCTTCTCTATCTCAAAGCGCTGACCAGTCTCAGCGGCCGAAGGCCTCGACGACAGTGGACTGCCCGCCCAGGGCTACGTGCCAGCGCCGGTCGCTCCCGCCAGCGCGCCACAGGGTGGCGACCAGACAGTCTTCGACTCTGCCGGCGCGCACTGAGGTGCCAGATAACAAAGTGTGCTTGCCCTGCGCCGGCCCGCTTTGGTATTGTACGTCTATTCGGACGGTACCTTCCCATATATCCCCCGACTCTTCGATAACGAGAAAGACGAGACACCCGGCGTGCCCCAAAAGAAATAGTATTGAGGGTGTCTGCTATGCCAAGAGAATGCGCCGGCGTTGTAGAACGGCCGGAATCTGGGATGAGTGAATCCTTCCAACATGTTCATCCAGAGTTGGGGCAGAGATATTGCACCCGGCCGCTGATATATGCCGGCGTTGACGGAGGACGATCGGGACCGATTCCCCGCCCAACGTTTCATAGTTTGGATTGACGCTAGAAGGTTTGGGCGTCGTCGACTGGAGCAGCGCTTGAGCCGTAGCCGGTGCTGGTGGAATTCCAGGCTTTCAGTGGATCTACATCTGCTGTGTTGTCTGGATCCAACAAGATGTGCGATTGGAGCAAAGCTTCTCGGCTCAGAACGATCCCGGGGCCATTATCAGTCGTGTCTTGCATACTGCTTCAGCACCAGTCAGCTGAACAGCACTACCGCTGTTCCACCTCTGTGTGCGCACTCTCCGGCAGCCCGTTCGGCAGACCCGACGCTGTATTGTTACGTTGTAGTGCTCACCCTGACCCTGCAAAATGGGATCGACATTGATTTGAATTGTGCCGGGAATGGCCCAGAAATTGCCCTTGCACGCTTCTCCCCCCCGAGGCCAAACCGAGTACCTCGCCGAGTAAACAGGCCAATGTCGGTGTGTGGCCCGGTGATCAGGCTGGCAAGTGACTCATGCAGCAGCACGTATGAGAGAGTAGTGCTCGTGATGTCATTCTGGGAGCTGGGAGTGAAGAGTGAAGCGGCGTCCACCGTGAGCTTCGCCAGCCCGGGCTGCACCCGGTGACGCTGAGCGCAACACTAAGGAGCGCAACACTAAGGCCCAGACGTAGTCCTCTGTCATTAAAGCCTGGACAATGCGCGACCAGCGGCTGTATCTGGCACGTACGTACGGAGCGAGCCACGGTCGCGGTCGCAACGACTTGGGCGAGACAAACACCCTGTCGATCTGCAGATCTCTCAGCGATCATGACGCCACAAATGTGGCGTCCGGAATGGCGCTAGAGGGCGCACGTTTTGCTCGTGGTGGCGTCGTGGCGTTGCTGGCTGGGCGCGCTCTGGCTCGGCCATCAGAGAAACCCATCCGCAAAGCTTGTGAGCGAGTACAGGCATTGCTCCAAAGACTGATATTTTGACTTTGGCTGTTTGCAGTTTGAAGCTTTGGTGTGCAAGTCTTGTTTCTTTTTGCATCCGCTCGTACTTTGTTGGTCCGGAGCTGTCCTGAACGGCGCTTCACGTTCCTGGGGGTAAACCAACGGAGAGAACAACGAGAGTGGCCAAAGGAGGGGTTGCAACGTTACGGCAACCAGCCGTCAGGGGGTGGGTCTGGAGTGGGGGAGCGCAGCGACGGGGAAAAAAGACATTTGTGCCTGCGGTTTTCTTGCGCACCCCCATCGTCGGCACAGTCCGTGCTTGGGAAATGCACTGGGGGCTGTTGGGCTCAACTCGGCCTTGCTTCAGCGCGGATTGGACGACCTGCGTCGACGACGCTGGAAAACAGGGGGGACGAGGTGCGGAGACAAGCTTCGTCCTGCTGTCAGAGGAGGTCAAGGGCCTCAGTGCATGTCGACCGTGCACGGCCCAAGGCTCAGGAGTGAGGCTCGACACTGCTGAGTGACAAGCCTTGGCGCGAAAGCGCGACCAGGAAGAGACGACGGACGGCAATAAGTACCAAACGGCAGTCAACTGATCTCACCGCCCACTCATCCATCTCACCACCACTGTGCCACCACACCATCATGGACGCACAACTCCTTACCCAACACCACCAGCGCCGTGAGGCACCTCACTCCCACTCTCACTGCCACTCGACCACACGTGACGACGATGTTGTTCTTGTCCACGACGCATGGGCAGCACCACCCATCGCTCCCGGCGTCTATGACCTGGATACGTCTATGGACTATGAAATGAAGGAGGTCGAAGACCCTTTCAAGTTCCACTACACTATCCCCATGGAGACTCCTGCTTTCAGCACCGGTGCCGGCCTCCCTCTTGGTGGGCTTGGGTTCTTCGCACCTCAGCACAACCCCCAGGCCATCGCACCCCCAACCCAACCGTTCTCTCACCCGTTCACCTTGAGCCCGGAGAGCCAACAGCATGAGCCTCTTCTTCCCCCTGCACCACGGCCCACAGGCTTGAACCTGGCGCCGTGCTGTTCGCCCGAGGAGGAGAGGCGTGGTCGCTCGCCGCCACTTCACGTCAGGGCCGCTTGCCCCCCAGCTCCTCGTCTTGGGTGCAGCGAGCTTGGCGATCTTCCTGCCGCTGTGGTCGTTCCTCCTACAGAAGGAACTCGACCCCCTGTTCAGCGTGGCTTCAGCGCTCTCGGCCTCGACTTTGCGCCTGGCCCTTCCAAGTCTTCTATCACTGTTACCCCTCCTTCTCCTCCCGCATCCAACTCTAGTTTCGCCGCTCGCCGCCGTCCTCGTGCCCCGACTCTCGACGCCGAGGGCGAGCAGCGTGCTCCCACCCGCCGCGCATTGGAGCGCCGCGGTAACTCGGACCAGGCCGACGTCACCTCTCGCGTTGCCAACTGGTGTGGCGCCGTGGCCGCCGCCACCTTCAGCGGAGCCACAAGGGACACCGACGGGGAGTTTTGGGCCGATGAACTCTCTACTCGTCTTGGCCGCCTGGGTGATGATGGTGACAAGCATAAGGGTATCCGCCCTCGCCCGCAGCATACCACCTCGTCCACAGTGCAGCGCCCATCACTCTCGCGCCAGCACAGTGACGGATCGCGCAAGTCCGGGTACAGCACACCAGGCGGCGCCGACCAGCTCGACTCTTGGGCTTCAAAGGTTGGAAGGGCCAGAGGCCGCCAGGTCGACATGCCGGTGCAGCGCCGTACCCGCGCCGTCTGATCGCCGCACTGCGGCCATGTGCTACATTGGCTGAAGGCCTTGTTCGGCGTCTCCGTTCTCGGGCTGCCCGTATCTGTGATAACCTATCTCCCTGCCCCCATCATTCATCCGTACAATACCTACCCACCATGCGCAACAAACACTCGTCTGCACCGCACCGTCAAACACACACGCATCGCAATCGCCGACCCACCCACCATCACGCATAACACATCCGCATTCCTGCCACAGACATTGGGTCAGTTCCGTCTGCTTCCCCTGTGTGATCATCGCCCAGACTGTCCCTGCCTTACACCCGTCCCGGACGCCACGGGACTGTATGCCGCAGGATGAGACTGTTACGGGGGTTCATGGAATTCGCCAAGGTCGCCACAGAAACCGAAACGCAGAATACAGCACATGGCCAGGCCACGACAGAGTGACAGCCACGAGAGTGTGACAGCGACGACGCTGGAGTGGGGGGGCGGGCCCCCGTCCATCCGCGCACGCCTCAACCTTGACGTTTGGCTTGGCTGGGTTGCTGTCAAACAAAACGTCCCTTGCGGCCTTGCGGGGTACCCCTGAGGGAGAATACACCGCCCGCCGTTTTGACTTTCGAGTGGCAGTTTGGGCCAGCTCTCGTCGCCTTATGCGTCTTCGCAGCCCATTGTAACTCTCACCAGCCTGTTGTCCACGAGAAAACAATACATAACACTGTACCATCACCCTGTAACCAATCATACATGCAAAAGCTCGCTGCTTGACGACTGGGGCTTCCATTTTCATTTTCCATTTTGCCCTCATTGTCTGTGTTTTTTTTTCTCAGACCCAATCTCGGTCAGGTTGACGACGAGTGTGTGTCATTTTAATTCATCAGCAAGCTGAGCGAAAGCGAACAGCGGGTGCTCGGCCCCCGATCTACAAAAATGGCCCATGTCATTCCTCTTACCACGGCTTACGTTGCTGAATTTGACACAGTCCCGCGTCGCGCGTTCCGGCGTACCAATGGCTTCCAGGCACAGGCCTGGAGTCACCGGACCAGGGAGGCCAGGAGAGCCACAACCCATTTACCCACACTACATACATACATATGTTCGGACGGTTTTTCCAGTACCTCTCCGGGTCAGGTGGAAGAGACGCGGCGATTGGAGGTGTGTCCGGTCCATTGGTCCGGCGGCATACATCGGTACTGGGCGGCACCCAGCGGCACGCACACACCACATCGTGGCGACCGTCCTCCGTCGCCATGTCGCGACAACCGGAACTGTAGGCCGCCGAGCCGACTGTACGCCGAGCCGACCGTACCCCGGAAGCCTGTGCTCCGTGGTCTCACGTCCTCGTGTCACCCGTGTCCGTTACCGGGCCAGCCGTGCAGATCGATACGTCTGGCCGAAAAAAGAACGCCGCATGACGCTGATACACCGAGGGGACGAAAAGTACAGCTCTCACGGACTACTAGATGTCTCACGAGAACGAACGTGCCACGCCGGCCTGTACCTCGCGTGCGCTGTCTGCGGGGAAGTGCCCTGCGGCCTTGGAATTCTGGAAACTGGGGGGTTGGCAGTGGACGGGTAGGCAGATAAGGTGCCAACAATTTAGTGGGGGTGAACAGAACGGGTGTTCAGTATCCATTGTCCTGTTTCTCGGGTTGCGAAGACTGGACCTGGGAGTACGGCGGCCAGGCCAGGAGTACGAACGCTGGAACAACGCGTGGGCACGGTGGTGAGCGCCGCCATATTTTTATTCCAGCGTTGTGCGCATAGAGCCGTGCACGACTGCTTGCCAAGATTACGATTGGCGAGGACAGCGAGCGAGCAGCAGAAAAATGGGTCTAATGAGGCCCGGGTTCAATCGTTCGTGCCGGCAGAACCAAACCATAAACTGGACTAAACTGGTGGCCAATGGCTCCACCATCCCAAAAAAAGAAACAAAATCGGAAAAGTCTGCTGATTCCTTCCCTCCTCAGATCGTTAGACTATCGATCAAGGACTGGATGCATGGTGTGGGTATGGATAGGAGAATTTCGACCTAGCAAAGTGGCACGTGAAGCTATCCGCACTCTCGGTAATCTCCTAGTCTCCGCCACCAGGATTAGATGTTCTGTGGCGTGCTCTGGATGTCTGGGATTGAATTCAGAGGACATATACATGTCACGCACAGGTAGGACACCAGCATGTGCATGTCCTCACATTCGATCTATGGGATTTGTGCGGACTGCTGAGAATATTGCACACTTGGAGCCCCCAGAAAACTGAAGGAAACAGCGTAAATACACACAATTGATGAGGCGGGCGGCGCCGCCCACCACGGCGCCGTGCAGTTGGGGCTCCGGGGTGACGCACCGTCCTTCAACGTCGCCTACTTGATCTTGAATGCCTTGGCGCTTGCTTGTGCTTGTCTCGCGGTTTCAGCACGGAAACATCCAGGACAGAATGTCGTTTTCCGGCGTCACTCCACTGACGATGGACACGGGACGCGCAATCACAGCGGTCTAGCGACGAGCGTTGACCTACGGCTATGGAATATCCTCCTCCCTCACTTACCTGCTGAGCCACCCCATGGGTACGCGACAGCGTTTGCGCTCTACACGCGTTTCAAGTGAGCACACAGCATGCGTGCTGGGCAAAGAGCGGAATGGTGGCGGGTTTGAACACTCCCCCAACAGGGCGCAACCCCGCACCTGGACCGCGGGCAACTCAATATCCCAATATCCTCCAACAGCTCGCTCGCACGGCCCACACATACTCTTCAGCACCCGTGAGCCAAATCCATCCACGGCCCTGGATTCCGGGGTGGGAGAGAAACTTCACACATGGAGATATACCCATGATCGTCGCTGACACCTTGGGTTCGCAGTGACGACGCGACGGCGAGTGCCGCCTCACGTGCAAACCGACGTCACTCAACCGGAAGGAAGAGTAAAAATGGGTCCTACCGACGTTGAATTCACCCGTGTTATCGTTCTTGCTGGGGAAACAAGCTACTGTACATGTGCGATAACTGCTCCGGTGTAGACCGTTGTGTCGCCTGTGTCGTATATCATGTGATGCCACCTGTTTCTCAGGGACATGACTTAAAGCGACTGGGATGACCTCGTTACCCTCCGCTCGCTGCCAAGTGCGCCAAGGAGGTTTGCCTATTGTACATGTAATGTGACTGTGGCACTGTGCGGACAGCACGAGTAGATAAACGCCAGGGCGAAGAGGACTCTGTCGTGTTATCTTGGCGGCAAACTCAAACTTAGAACGCACAGCTTACAGCAGTTCCACAGCGTTCACCTAGACGTGACCTAGACAGAATCCCCCCCCCCCCCCCCCCCCCCCCCCCCCCGAAACGTATTGTTCGTCGCCTCCGACGCCACACTCCTGACCGTTGATCGGTGTCACATATGAGCGAACACGAACACCTGCGGATAGGATCCAAAGGCGTGCGAGCCGTTTCGCCACATCAGTGTGGAATGCATTAACTAGCAAAAGAAGAGGTCAGCTGGACCCAGTATAGACGCGCAACTCTGTTTTTGTGTTCCGCCACACTGCGCCAATCTGGCGGAAGGGAAGACGGATATTCTGACACATGGAGAGGGAGGACTATGAGTTTTGTAACCCTTTTTTTACTTGCATCCGCGTCCCATTCCTGTAAAGCACCTAGCTTGCCGTGGACGTTCCTCTCCCCCACCCACGGGAGGGGAGTCGTTGCGCGGCGAAGAGGAGGAGGAGGACAGCGGGGTTGAGCCTTATTTTCCTCCCCTGAGGGCTGTACGGTACATCCACCACCGTGGTCAGGACGTGTACTGCACCGAGGTGAAACCCTAGTTGTATTAGACTCTCGCGCATGGTGTGTTCAGGACATGGGCACTCAGCACGTTCACGGTTGAGGACTGTGTTGTTCGTGATAACGTATACTTCAAGCGTTTCGGACCATGCGAGGCATTGAAGTGGCGAATGTATGTATTTATTTGTGGCTATTTTTCCGTCATGCCTCCAACTGTGTTCCGTCGTGTCCTATTTTTACAACCATTTTCACTCGGCTGGCTGGCTGTTCTCGCTTTCGTCGGCTCGCATTCACATGTGCACAAGCGCTGCTCGGTTCCAAAATGCAAAATGGTACATGCCAAACGATCTATGGTTTTCAAGGAATTTAACCCCTGGTTTCCTACGCTCCATCGCGCGGAGGGTGCCACACTCCCGCGCCCCCCGTCACTTCTACTGCGACCGTTCCCTTGGTCGAACCCAAACACCGTGTTCCTCTCTCCCTCCCCCCTCCTCTCTGTATCTACAAACACGCCTGAGCGCGCAGTAGTGCGTTGAGGCACCCAACATGGTGGAAGCAACGGCTGCACACTGCGTTCGAGGGCACACACATTGTCACCGGGCTGTTCTAAAGTGACCCGATGTCTGTGCGCACTCCCTACGCTTCTGTTGTATGCCTTGTCGCTGCTCGCCCAAGTCGCGGGCTTAGGCCCACGACTCGAGGTCGGTGTACGCGACACCGGGGGTGGCGACGACCTCACCCATGACGAAGGCGCCGGGCTCGCCGTTGGTGTGCAGCGACTCGAGGGCGGCGGCGGCCTGGTCCTTGCCGACGACGATGACCATGCCGACACCGCAGTTGAAGGTACGGGCCATCTCGGAGGGGGCAATGTTGCCAGTCTTGGCGAGCCACTGGAAGAGGGGGGGCAGGGTCCAGGTGCCAATGTCGATGCGGACACCGAGCTCGGGCTGGCCGACAAAGACACGGGGAATGTTCTCGGTGAAGCCACCGCCGGTGATGTGCGACATGGCCTTGAAGAGGTAGGTGCGGATACCGGGGAGGAGCTGCTTGATGTACAGGCGGGTAGGGGTAAGGAGGGAGTCGCCGACGGAGAGCTCGGGGTTCCAGGGGGCGGGCGAGGCGAGGTCGAGACCGGCAAGGGTGATGACCTTGCGGACGAGCGAGAAGCCGTTCGAGTGGACACCGGTCGAGGGGAGACCGATGAGGACGTCACCGGCGGTCATGTCGTTGCGGGGGAGCATCTGGTCGCGCTCGACGGCACCGACGGCGAAACCGGCGAGGTCGTAGTCGTCGGCATGGTACATGCCGGGCATCTCGGCGGTCTCACCACCAATGAGGGCACAGCCAGACTCGAGACAGCCCTGGGCGATACCGGTGATGACGTCGGCAGCGACGGGGACGTCGAGCTTGGAGCACGCATAGTAGTCGAGGAAGTAGAGGGGCTCCGCACCCTGGACGATGAGGTCGTTGACGCTCATGGCGACAAGGTCGATACCGACAGTGTCATGCTTGCCGTGGCTGAGAGCGACGCGGAGCTTGGTTCCGACACCGTCAGTGCCCGACACGAGGACGGGGTCACGGAAGCCGGCCGACTTGAGGTCAAAGGCACCGCCGAAACCGCCAATCTCGCCGTTGGCACCGGGGCGGCGGGTAGCCTTAACGACGGGCTTGATAGCCTCGACAAGGGCGTTACCGGCGTCGACATCGACACCAGCGGCAGCGTAGGTGAGGCCCTGGGTGGGGGCAGCGGTCGACTCGGCCGAGAGAGCGCGGTAGGCAATGTCACGGCGGATGGTCTTGCCCTTGAACTCGACGGCGTCAACACCCTGGTAGGCGAGGTCGACGGCGGCACGGAGGGTAGGGGCGCTCGCGGCAACGGCGAGAACGCGGCCACCGTCAGTGACGGTCTGGCCGTCCTTGACAACGGTACCGGCGTGGAAGACCTGGACGCCCTGGGGGACGGCGCCAACGGTGATGGGGACACCCTTGGGGTACGAGCCCGGGTAGCCCTCCGAGGCGCAGACGACCGAGACGGCGTAGCCCTCGCGGTAGCCAAGCTTGACCGAGTCGAGACGGCCCTGGCACGAGGCGAGCATGACCTCGGCAAGGTCGGTCTCGTCGTCGAGGAGGAGCATGAGAGCCTGGGTCTCGGGGTCACCGAAGCGAACGTTGTACTCGAGGACCTTGGGGCCGTCGGCGGTGATCATAAAGCCGGTGAAGAGCATGCCGACAAAGGGGAAGCCGTCCTGGCGCATACCCTTGATGGTGGGCTGGAGCGACTCCTTGAGGACACGCTCCATGATGTCGGGGGTGGCAACGGGGGCCGGGGCGTAGGCACCCATGCCGCCAGTGTTGAGGCCAGTGTCGCCCTCGCCGATGCGCTTGTGGTCCTGGGCAGCGGGCATGGGGACAATGGTGTAGCCGTCCGAGAATGCAAGAACGGAGATCTCGGGGCCGACCATGTACTCCTCGATGACGACCTCGTCGCCGGCGTCACCAAACTCCTTGGCGACCATGACCTGGGCGAGGGCCTCGAGGGCCTCAGCCTCGGTCTCGGGGATGAGCACACCCTTGCCAGCAGCAAGGCCCGAGGCCTTGATCACGCAGCGGCCGGACGAGAAGGGGTTCGACTTGATGTAGGCGACGGCCTCGTCGTACTGACCAGCAGTAAAGTTGCGGAACGCGGCAGTGGGGATGTTGTGGCGAGCCATGAAGCCCTTCGAGAGGGCCTTGGAGCCCTCGAGGAGGGCCGCGGCGGGCGAGGGGCCAAAGGTAGCGATGCCGGCTGAAGGAAAAAAAGAAAAATGTCAGCACAACTGATACCAGCGACCACCCCTCCACCTCCACTTTTTGGGTCCTGCGATCGAGTCATGAATACCGAAGGGCCTATAATGTGCCTTGGATCCAAAATAACGAACGCAAGATTGTGAAGGAGGGAGGAATTTCAACCGAGATCCAGAGACTCACCCTTGCGGAACTCGGCCTCGACGCCATCGACAAGAGGCTGCTCGGGACCGGGAACGACGAGGTCGACGCCCTGCTCCTGCGCGTACTGAACGACGCCAGCGTAGCCAGCCTTACCGCCCCATGGGACGGCGACGTTTTGGCATTTGCCGCCGATGAGGGCAGTGCCACCGTTGCCGGGCGCGATGAGGACGCGCTTGACGCGGCTGGACTGGGCGAGCTTGAACGCAAGAGCGTGCTCACGGCCACCCGCTCCGAGGAGGAGGACGGTGAGGTCAGCCTGCTGGGCGGGGAACGTAGTGAGCTCGGGCATTTGGGTGCGAGAGGGGGGGTGCGGGGTAGCCGGGAGGGGCGAGGTGGGATGGAGGATGAGGGTCACTGCAGGCAACTCTCAGAAATCCTGAAGAGAATGCAAAACCACAACACATGGCCCCCAGAGTGCCACACTGGCGGCGTTATACAAAGTGAAATGCTCCCGTCAGGCCAGCAGCAGGCGTGGTCGGTCCGTCTGCCGGCGGGCCACCGCTCAGTCTCTGCGCCAGGCACGGATTGAGTGACGCGTTGGCTGCTGCTGGCCGCTGGTGTGTGGCTGCTGGGGTGGGCGCGGGACACATGGCCATGGGGCAGGACGGAACAGCCACCACCAACCACCACGGGGCATTCTCCTCTTCTCTCTTCTTCATTGTCCGTTGAAAGACGATCAAGAACGCACAGCACAGCGCTCTCATACCCCCTCCTCTCTCGCCCCTTCTCTCTCCCGGCTTTCAAAATGTGAGTCCCCCTTACCTCACAGCCAGAGCAGCTGCTCACGTTGCTCCCCCCCAGGTCTGTCGTCACTGTCCCAACCACCCCCTTCTCCGGCCAGAAGCCCGGCACCTCGGGCCTTCGCAAGAAGGTGAGTGCGACATGAAAAGAGCTGGCACACACATGCTCTGTGTGTGTGTGTGTGTGTGTGCTGTCTGTGTGCTGTACTCACACGGTTCCCAGGTCAAGGTGTTCCAGCAGAAGAACTACACCGAGAACTTCATCCAGGCCACGTTCACTGCCATGCCCGGCGGCAGCGAGGGCACTACCATTGTTGTCGGTGGTGACGGTCGCTTCTACTCGCCCGAGGTGTCGCAGACCATCCTCCGTCTCGCTGCTGGTAACGGCGTCAAGCACGTCGTCATTGGCCAGGACACCATCCTCTCGACCCCTGCCGTCTCGGCCCTTGTCCGTTCGCTCAAGGCCGACGGTGCCATCCTCCTCACGGCCTCGCACAACCCCGGTGGCCCCGAGAACGACTTTGGCATCAAGTTCAACATCTCCAACGGTGGCCCCGCTCCCGAGGATGTGACCAACAAGATCTACGCTGTCACCGAGGACATTAAGGAGTACAAGACCGTCGAGCTCCCGGACGTACGTGGTGTGCTTGTAGCCTTTTGTACTAACCACCTCAGCTCGACCTCTCCAAGACTGGCGAGTTCACCCACGGCCCTCTCAAGGTCACGATTGTCGACTCGGTCTCCAACTACCTCCAGCTCCTCCAGGAGATCTTCGACTTTGACATGATCAAGAAGTGGCTGCACGAGACGTCGCCCAAGCCCTCGGTCCTCTTTGACGCCCTCAACGGTGTCACCGGCCCCTACGGCCGTGCCATCTTTGTCGAGGCTCTCGGCCTCCCCGAGTCGTCGATCCAGAACTGCACCCCCCTGCCCGACTTTGGCGGCCTCCACCCGGACCCCAACCTCACCTACGCCCACACCCTCGTCGAGCGCGTCGAGAAGGAGAACATTGAGTTTGGCGCCGCCTCGGACGGTGACGGTGACCGTAACATGATCTACGGCAAGGGCGCCTTTGTCACCCCCTCGGACTCGGTGGCCATCATTGCCGACTGGGCCGAGGAGGCCATTCCTTACTTCAAGGGCGGCGTCAAGGGCCTTGCCCGCTCGATGCCTACCTCGGGCGCCATCGACATTGTCGCCAAGGCCCGCGGCCTCGAGTGCTTCGAGGTCCCCACTGGCTGTAAGTTTTTTGCTGCTGAAGGGAGGGGACGCTCTCTCCCGACGGTGTCTGTGCACGGGCTGTGGTAGTCAGGCGTCCGCCACAGTCCTTGGTGTGCACGTGTGTGATGGCCAAACGCTGACTTGCTCTACAGGGAAGTTCTTCGGTAACCTGATGGACGCCGGCCGCCTCTCCATCTGTGGTGAGGAGTCGTTCGGTACCGGCTCGGACCACATCCGTGAGAAGGACGGTGTGTGGGCTGTTGTTGGTGAGTAAACACGGTGGCTGTGCTTGAATCCCTTCTCACCTGCCCCTCCCAGCCTGGATGTCGATCCTCGCCAAGGCCAACCAGACCAAGCCCGGCACCGACATCAACGCCATCCTCCTCGCCCACTACAAGAAGTACGGCCGCTCGTTCTTCTCGCGTTACGACTACGAGGAGGTCGCCTCGGAGGGTGCCGAGGCCATGATGGCGCACCTGCGCGAGACCTTTGCGTCGTCGTCGTTTGCCGGCTCGGCGCACAAGGCCACGTCGTCGGACGCGTCGTTCACCGTCGCTGCCGCCGACGACTTTGCGTACACCGACCCCATTGACGGCTCGGTCTCGACCAAGCAGGGTCTGCGCATCATGTTCACCGACGGCTCGCGCATCATCTTCCGTCTCTCGGGCACGGGCTCGTCGGGCGCCACCGTCCGTCTCTACGTCGAAAAGTACTCGCGCAACGAGGCCGAGTACGCCGACGACGCCCAGGTCGGCCTCAAGCCCCTCATCGAGGTCGCGCTCCAGCTCTCCAAGCTCCAGGAGTACACCAAGCGCGACAAGCCCAACGTCATCACCTAAGCGCGGGTGATGTGTTGTGTGCTGTGTGCTGTGTGCTGAGTATGTGCGCGAGCGCGTGTGTCGCGAATAGGTTAGGATTAGTACCCAGAGAGTTTGACGCAGAGAGAGAGAGTCAGAGAGAGAACCAAAACAAACCCCCCACATTAAACAACTTCTTTCAAATGATAGGAAAACACATGAATATATTGGCGCCAACCCGTGTGCTTTACGATTGGGGCTCGTTCAATGGACGTGGAGGTGCGGACGCTGAGGTCGTATTGGAGGACCGGTTGAGGGTGGTCGGAGCGCAACACGATTACTGCAGCAGTGTGCGTGGGGCGGGTAAGAACACTCGTGCAAGGAATCGTATGCTAGTCTCGGCAGGCTGTGTGTACACGGCCACAGGCAGGCGATTCAAGTGCCACATCGCCGGGACTCACTGATGGCTGTGTTCCAAGCCAGCCAGCCAGCCAGCCAGCACGCACACACGCAACGCAACGCAACGCAAGGGCGCGCGTCTCGATGCCTATATCCCCGCCTGACCCATCTACGTGCCGCAAAGCTCACCAACAATCCGCGCCGCGCGCCCACGACACGCTCAGCTCACTGAGCTGCCTCAAGTGGCACCCACCCATCCACCCACCCACCCACCCAGAACGCGTCTTCCGACACGGGAAGACGCATGCCGTCAGGTTCCGGGTGGAGAACGAGCGCGAGGCAGAGATCCCACCGAACACCTGCGAAATAGGAACGAGGGCAATGTGAGGGAGGGTGGACAAGGATAGGGAGGGGAGGGGGAGGTGAGGGGGGGATTTCATTTCAGGGACATACATCCGAACGACGACGGCGGCCCAATTGCACAGTTGGCCAGCTGTCTGCCCATTTGCGTGCGCAAGGAAAAGTGGTGGTGCCGATGGGGGTGTGGGTGGTAAAAGGTTGGGGCCAAGGAAGGGATGGGGCGACTACTGGGCTGGGCCTCGGCTCGCTCAGGATACGAGATGTATCTACCATAAGTGGGGTGGGTGGGTGTCGGGATCACATCACGGGGGGCAGGGAGCTGGCGGCATGTCAATCAGGCAAGGACCAAGAGTGCAAGAGAGCCGAGGATCAAGGAGTATTGGCAGCGGCGTTCATATGGACTCGTCCGCCCAAGGACAGTACGACGAGGGCTTGGACAGTGGATCAGTGGATTGGCGTTTACTGGCCGATGGCTCCGATGTGGCGAGATGACGAGTCCTCCCAGCGATCCAGCGGCCAGCGGGCCAACGACTTGGTCTTCGTCGCATGAATGAACGCTCAGCGAGCCACCAGCACGCCGGGGTCCAGTCTAGGTCAAGGTTGGAAACTAAGGCTTCCCGCAAAAGGCATCCATCAAGCGCAGGCGGGCGGGCTCCCATGGACGCGTGCAAGCGCAAACGCCACTGCTGTTCGTGTTGCGCAAGCGTCTTCTGCCTTGTCGGCTGCGCCCACTGCGCCGCTGCTTGGCTGCTCGGCCTCTTGCGCCTCTCAGCTCTGATCGGCGTCATTTGTGGCTTTTGCCTCACAGGAGCAAAGAGCAGGAGCAGGAGCATCTATGTCTGTACAAAAAGCTCACAGCAGTAGTGGCGCCTCGCCACATGGTTGCGCATGGGTTTGCCAAGCCCGTGGCGTACCATGGCGTCCCCGCGGCAAGGGCGCCTGGCCGCGGCTGTGCGCGTGACTGTGGCCGTACTGTGGGCTGGCTTGTGGGCTTGGGCGTGCGGGGATGCCAATTGTCCAGGTTTTGACGTCCAAGTGATCAGGTGAACTCAGTATCAGTACCGAGTGTGTGGGTGTGCGGGGTTGGCACTGGCATGCGGCGTGGTGAAAGCACTACTGTATGCCCCTCTGAACCCTACAGACGCCACATCGAGATCGATGGAGCCGCCTCCACACCCTCGACGCTCTCATGAGCTCATGAGAATATGAGAATGATGGCAAAGGTAGGTACCCGGGCGTCCATTTGGATGCTTCTGCCATTTACGTCGCGGATCTTGGGATATTGGAGCAGAGCGTGTACAACGGAGCGCAAATGAGCTACCCATGGCCGTGGCCGCAACTGTGGCCAACGATCCGGGCCTTGGCCAAAAGGGACTCCCGTGCCGAGAGCCACATTTGCCCACTCTGAAGCTCTCTGCCAGCGGCCAGCTGCCGGTCGGCACGATCTCACTTGTACACACTTGGGCACGTCGTACGGCTGGCTTGTGCCAGCGCCACAGAGGAGCGCCTCGGGCTGTGGAGCAACGGCGAGGCAAGGACAGAAAGGTCGCGACAAAGGCCAAGCATACGCCAAAAGGCAAAAGAAAGGTCCAACTGCAAATCCCAACAATCGAAAAAAAGAAACTCCCCCTCCAGCCAGAGTCCCCCGACCTAGCAGGGTGCGCTCCAAGGAACATTGTCAATTAGGGCAGCACCAGCACCAGCACCAGCACTGGCACTGGCGGCGGCAGCACGAGTCAACTCGAGTAACCCGTAACTCATTTAGAAGGTACGCCCCGCCCCGCCCCGGCCGTTCACGTTCAGTCACACGCCGCCGAACGCCGGTGGTGGTGGTGGTGGCGACGAGACGCCGACACCGAAACAGAGACAACTGAATGGACCGGCGGGCCGAACTGTTAGTCGCTCAAAGGCCGCGATGGAAGCAAGCATATGTTTAGTACTGTCGTCGTGCTGTGGGTGGGACCTTTGGGACCTTTGGGACCTTGGGGGGGGGGGGGGGGATCCGCGGAACATGTTGTTAATGAGATTGGCGCGCGACAGAGGTACTGAGGGGGCCTTTTTCCGAGATTTTAGAAGCTTGATTGCCAGAGACATGCACAGTGTGGCCAAGTGGCAAGGCATGGCAAGTGGGAACCACACGATGTGAAGGCACCGAATTCAGGCGCGCACGGCACGAATGCAGGAAAAGGGGAATTATACCTTCCGGGATATGGAGAGGCCCAGACCATGGGCGGGACTGGCACTTTGGGAGGTTTGGCTGCGCGGCCCCATCTACCGCTGTATGCGTGCTACATTCTAGAGCAGCGCCGGCTGGCGGAGTCGTGTACAGTTTGGAGCCAAAGCCGCCAAGGCCAAGCAAGGCCACGCAAGGCAACGCAAGGCAACGCGAGGCCTACCGCGGCGGGGGAAACGGGTTGGGGTCTCAGCCAGGCTTGGCCGTAGAGAAAATGCACGAACAAGCGCAGCACGTGCCGTGCAACGCACTCCCGTGAGGCCATGAGGCGCGGCCTAACCCCCCCTTCCTCCGGCCTCCGGACCGCTCGGGAATAGTGCAATAAAACGGTAAAGGCGGCCAAGACGGACGGTGTACCGCGCGCGAGTCGCATATACCTTCATTCCGCCCACTGCGGCCTGCGTCCGCTCGCTAGCCTCGTTGCCTCGCTGTGGGTGTGTCAAGAGTGACACGCTCTGCTGTTGCGTTCCGAGACCATGGTTTTTCTTTTGCGATTCTTAAATATTATTCTGGGCTGGGGGATAAGGGCCGCTGAGCCCCCTTGGTTGCTGCCGCGAATACGGGGTGCGGGGTGTATCGGTCTCTCTCCTGCCATGCCGACATGCAAAGTAAGCTGCGGCTAACATGCATGGAAGGAGTCTATAGGTGGGGTTATTGTTGACGCGGGGGGTGACTGTCCGGCGGCCGTTTGGGCTGTTGGGTATCTAAGAGTAATCGCAACATGGACCCTCACACAGAGACTGCGTAGAGCCCCCCCCCCCCCCCCCCCCCCGGTGTTGGGCGATCTTGCTGTCTTTGTCCAGCGAGCCCTGTTATACCTGTTAGACGGTCTTTGGAATACGGTGACGGGCTGTGAGTGACCGTGCCAGGCGCGAAAAGGACGACGACGACGACGACGACGACCCACTGCCACACGATATACAGCAGCAGCACCGTAGCAGCACTACTGTAGCAGATTACCAGAGTGGGTGAGCCCAAGTACCTTATTTTACATATATATATCCACTTTGCGGGAGCGACAGAGGGTAGGGACTGAAGGACAGAGCGCCGGACAGTGGTGGGCACAAGAGCCGAGGTGTGCGAGTGCGCGCAACATGCGCCCAAGCGGGTCCTTTTTTTTGTTTTTTTTTCTTCTTGCCATGGGCGCCGGGAGAGGAGAGAGAGAGTGAAAACAGGGAAAAAGGGAAAGGGACACACACTCACACCCTGTTGCGCGCGCGCGCGCATATTATGGGGGAATGGGTGTGGGCTCTGGGTGCTCGCTGGGATCGCTGCCTGGGTGCTGCCTGGGTGGATGGGCTGCTGGCCTGCTGGCTGGGTGCCCGCTGCTGTGGGAGGGATGGGATGTGTGCACTGCGCTTTTGTGTTGCGTCGCTCTTCTCCCGTCTCTCCCTCTTACTCTCTCTCTCCCCATTCCCGTCAAGTGTTGAAAGAAAACCATTCTCTACCACACGACACACATCACACATCACCCACATTACACAGACACACACAGACACACCCACGACGACGCGCGCCAGCATCGCCCCCCCGCCCGAGAGTCTGTCTGTCTGTGTTTGAGACGCCAGGGCCGTCCCCCCCCCCCCCCCCCTCCCCCGTTTCTCTCCTCGGAGCCTCTCTGCCTCTCTCTGCCTCCCCGCGCGCGCCTGGGCCTCTCCGTCCATCCCACATCGCACACACACACACACGCTCTCCTGGGTCGTTCATCCATCCCATCACTCCTCTTTTTCAACCACCACGACCACACACACACAGATACCATACCCCCCTCCCATTGCTACTGCCTGGCGCAGTACTTCATCCTCACCCCCCCTCCTCCCCCCACATCCCCCCGTCTCCCCCCGCGCGCCGACGCCGAGCGCCTCCCGATCGAGCCTGGACCCACGCCGCAGCCCCCTTTCAGTCGGACCCCTGTGCACCGAAAGCGTCTGCCCAGTCTCCAGTCCGCCTCTTGGTCCCACGACATCTCTTTGCTTTGCCCTCCTCCAACAACTGCGCCGACGTATTGCGGCCTCTTTTCCATCCATCACCTACCACATAATCCCCCACCCCCCCGGCTCTCCCTCCTCGGTGACAACAGCGGAGCTAGCACTTGCATCCCGCACCCCGTGGTGTCACCGCAGAGCCGGCTCGTCGTTTCGCACCACCCTCCCTCCCTCTCTGCCTCTTCTCCTCTTGCCATCCCGCACCGGCTAGTCCGACCCGCACGCTGAGCGTGCTCATCCACCCATCACTCGAACATCGTCACTCGTATTCGACCACCCTCGTTTCCCTCCCCATTCCCCCCCCCCCCCCCCCCCCCCCCCATCCTAACCACCATGTCCTACCCATTCGACACCCCAGGATACACCAACGTCCTGGACGATACCCGCCTCTGGGGCCGTAGCTGTGTGCAGTGCACCGACCCCGCGCCAGCATGTAGTTGTGCCAAGGGCGAGAGTTGCGTTCAGATTGAGCGGTGAGTGACAACCATCTCGTGCGGCACACGCGTGTTGCGTGTGTGCGCCGAATGTCGGGCGCCGCACGGACGGGGCTGTGCAAAGAGACATCCGCATCCCGCTTGGCACACTGAAACTGATCGTCCCAGAACATGTAGCGAGTGCGTGACCGTCAAGTGCATCAGCTCGAGCAGCTCAAAAGGCATCAACCCCGGTATCATTGCTGGCCCAATCATCGGAGTGGCCCTCATTGCTGCCAGTCTTGTCCTCTTTTGGTGGCTGCGGCGGAAGAAGGTACGTGCCAGCCAGGCAGAGGCCCTTTTCCTCCTGGATCGCTTTCCGCTGACACTCCATTGCAGCAACGTGACCTTGCGCGTCTCGAGGACCTGGCAGAGCGGGCACGGAAGGGCGAGTCGTCGGCCTTCCACCTGTCCACACCAGCATCACCTTCAGCAGCAGCGCGCCATAGGTCTCAGCAGTCTGGCACGCCGCGGAGTCCCGCGAGCGGCGGAAGCGGTGGCATGCGCCAAGCGCAGCGCCAAGTGCTTCCCAACGTCCCCGCCGATGCAGAGTTTTACGACGAGAATGGTGCGACCATCCGCGTATACTCGGCGTCGCGTGGCGTCATCAACGCAGACCCCAACCACCCGGACAATGGTGGCACTGGCGACCCCTTTGCCGACCAGCGCAGCATGTCCACATCGGGCAGCGGCCACTCGACCAACGTTATTCCTATCCACTTTGTGCCCGCCGGCCAGTCCGACGACTTGGCCAACGGAGAGCAGCCCTCTGTCGACCAGCAGGCCCAGGCCGCGCGCACGCTCGACCTGGCGCGTCAAAACCTCTTCCGTCCAGGCGCACGCCCAGGCGTCGCACCTCCTCCCCGTCCCGCCCGTGCCCCCGACCTCGACCTCCGCCTCAACCCGCCTCGCGCCGGCAACATGGCCGAGGCGAACAGCGGTTCGTCGCGTATCTCGATTGCCTCCATGACGTCTGGTGCTCCTTCCTTCTTGTCGTCCAACACTGCCGATCTCCATCTCGATGTCCCCAAGATTGTCACTCGCCAGCAGGTTCACGTCGGTCGTCTCCAGGCCGCCGAGGTCGTTCAATTCAGCACTCTGCGTGCGGCCCAGGAGTCGGCCGACAACCGCGGCGCTGCTGCCAACCCGTTCAACGAAAAGGAAGAGGTCCAGAGTGCTGCCGCCTCGCAGGAGACGTTTGGCAGCGAGGTCCACAGTGGCGGCGAGGCAGCCCAGAGCCGTGTCTCTGTTGGCTCGCGCCGCTTCGATGACGACGGCAACGCCGTCTCTCAGCCCAGCCCCACCGACCTCCGCTTCTCCATGGGTTCCCTTGCCTACGACCGTACCTCCGTCTCCACCAACGGCACCAGGCAGATGCCCCCGCCTCCTCCTCCTCCATACACTGCTGCCGAGCGCCCACGCTTCGAGTCCATGTCGTCGGCACACTCCGTGGGCGGCGACTCGCTCCTCGGCTCGTTCCCCATGATTGCCCCGCATGCCGGTGGCCAGTCTCAGCCGCACCCTCTCAGCGGCGGCATCCCCCAAAACTTGTCCACCACCTCGCTGGACCTCGCCAACTCGGCGCGGCCCCCAACAGCGTTTAGGGGCGCCCAAGCCCGCCCCCTCACCGCCACCTCTTCCCACTCTGTCGCCGACTCGTTCCTCGGCAGCTTCCCATTCGTCCCGCCCAACGTCAACGGCGACGGATCGCCTGTACCCCCCATGCCAGGAGCAAGGGGCTCGCAGCAGGCCAACCCGGGCCGCCTGACACTGGGCATGAGCGCAGTCAGCGAGGGCCTCGGTGACTTTGACTTTAGCTTTGAGAGCAGCGGTCACCCAGCGTCAGCAGCAGCAGCAGCAGCAGCAGCGGGCCAGGGCCACGGCGGCGAAGAACACGAAGAACACGTCGAGGACCCCACCACACCCCGCGCGCCTACAATGCGCCGCTGAGGTCGAAACCCAACCCAACCCCCACCACCCTCATTTTAATGACCAACGTAGACATCGGCCAGAGAGAGCCATATCTGTAGGGATGTTGTTATGCCACGCTTTTTACTCCCCATATACCAAAAACACGGCTGCACGGGAGTGAAGAGACGGAGACGGGTGGTACAGTTGAAGTGACTGGAGCAGACTCGAGCGTTTGGCTTTGGCTTTGGCTTTGGCTTTGTCTCGTCGCGGGAGCGCACCGGTGCCCACAACCCCAGTTCTCGCTGGGAGTGCTGGTGCTGGTGCTAGTGCTGGTGCTAGTACATACAGTGCAAAAGACGGGTATGTGTGCCGATTACGCGTCGTCATTACACAGTACACAGCACACAGTACATCACACCACATACCGCAGAAAAAAGGCCTTGTAACTGGCAGTATGGGCCATGGACCACGCACGGTATTTGCCACAAGCGGGAGGTGGGTCGCATTCGTACAGTACGGCGTCGACGGCGTCTCGATGGCCTACACGGCCCAGCCTCCCACAGCCACCGGGTGCGTATGTATGTACGCGCGCGTGTGTGCGTGCGTTCGGCGGGGGTGGGCCCGGCTCGACGCGCCGTCCCGTCGGGAGAGGGGCAGTGGGGTAGCTTCCATTGGAATTGGGTGGGACGCAGGATACATACCCGCAAAAACACGGATGTACTGTACATACTTTACACGTACTCTCTGCCAGCTGCATTACTCCAGTACGACTGGGGCGAAACGAGGTCTAGGTCTAAGTCTAGGTCTGGGACGTCTCCACGCGTCTTCTTTCACGGCGTCACCTCGCAGATCGAGGGACTGTGGCATTCGGGAATGGCCAGGCTTTGGCGTTCTGGCCAGAGATCCAGAGACCGCAGACACCGGCGGCACAGGTGCACGGGTGCTGGGTGCACGAGTGACTCGTGTCGCGACTTGCCTAGAGAAGCAGGTCGCGTATGAGCGGGGCATGGGATCATGGGATGGCATGTGGCACATTGGTATGAAAGAAAATCCAGACGTCCAGACGCGGCGATTCGGCGTGTGCCTGGTAGCTTTATAGCTGGTGGGCTTTTGGGCGCGCCGTCCCGTCCACCGGCTGTTGTGCCTGCATGGACTGTCGAGGTGGGCCCGGGCTCGATTGGAATTTGTCCATCTTGACTGTGAGCAGACCAATAGGGCGGTGGACGGTGGCACTGTACTGTACGTGTCCATCGAGTGTGGCTCGTTGGCGCCATTCTCAAGTCGTCCGTGTGCGGGTCACCCCAGAACCGTGGTACCTAGTCCCCTTCGGCTCTGGCTCTCTGGGCCACCTGTGTGTTGTTCACAGCTCTGCCGCGTTATCCACGACGCTTTCACACATGATCCCCAAGGCCGTTGGGTACGGGATCACGTACAGAAGAGAGGAGAACCACAGCGAACACCCAGACGCGACGTTTCTGCCCTAACTGCGTTTTCGTTGTCACCTCGATCACTATGGCAACAGGCGCCGGGGTCGTCGCGACCGTCAGAACTGGGTTGGCCTCTTCGGTACCCCCCCGCGCTGGAATGAGGAATGGGAGCCAAACGTGGGAACCGCCAAAATAAAACTCCCCCCACCCCGCCAAACGGAAAAGGCTCGGTATCGTAATCGTAACGAGGACGGCAACGGCAAAACCATGCTGCTGGATTGTTAGTGTCGTGGAAGTGGGGGCGTTGGGGGGAGACGTGGGCACGCAAAGTGTGCCAAGGTACATGGATACGTGCTTGCCTAAGCATGCCTCTGAGACATACACGAAGGAACATACACGAAGGAACTGACATGGGTGGAACAAGTACAACTACGTGGTGGAAACGAGCAGGTCCAGCGAGGATGCGCTGTGGCTCTCGGTCAATTACTATCCGCCACAAACGGGTATGGCCTCGTTACTCCACGTTCACGAAGGTCCTTGCAACCTGGCTCTGATCTTCCGTGAACACCGATTGGAGAACGCAGGGCAAAACCCCTCTTGTACACTCGCATACAGACTGCATACTAGTCCCTGTGGGCGACGAACTGTACGGAAAGTGGGGGTCTACTGGGTCCTCGAGCCTCACTACAGAACCGATCATTCTAGATATGTGGGGCAGCGCATCCGCGAACAGCCGGTAAACAAACGCGGCACACTGGTATGGATATGCGAGACCAACATGAGAGTGCCTGTTGCGTAGGACGTTTATCCAGCGAGAGCGAGCGGTGTAACACTCACTTAGCGTGGATCGGAGGAGGATGCCGAGATGTCTCGGGTAGTAGAGTGTGTCTCGTAAGCAATCTTATGTCCAAAGCTAATCTGCACGGACGTGGGGACTAGTGTGGGAGGGACGCCCTGCCACGAGCGCCAGAGGTTGTAAGCGTCAGTTAGCCCTGGGGGGGTGAAATCTGTATGTTTCATTCACTTTGATAAATATACCTCCGTTCACTCCAAATGCCACCTGTCACATCTCTCCTCTTTTGCTTTACGTAAACACTCCTCGTCGGATCGCAACGGTCTCTCGACCTGAAAGTTGGAATCCGACTTTTGCACCTGCACCAGCCTCTAATACACCCAACTAAAACCCGCTGCCATGCGCTCCACTCTCGCCAGGCAACTCGGAAGCGCGACCGCTGCGGGGCGTGCGGCTGGCCCGCTTGCCTCGACCTCGCGGCCTGTTCTGCGCGCCGCCATCTCGCGCGCCTCGCCCATGGCCTCGGTCGCCTCGTCGTCGCGCTCGATCGTCACCATCCCCCACCCTTCCCTCGACCCTTCCCTCGGCGAGACGCATTTCGTGATCAAGTCGACTAGCAAGATTACCTCGATGATCCAGGTGTTTGCTTTGGTGCGCGAGGCTGAGCGCAAGCTGGGCCCCATCATCACCATGGACGTCCCAAGGAGCGCGGACACTTTCCAGCCCGGCAACCTTGTTTTTATCACCCTCCTCCATCCCGTCAAGTTCAACAAGGAGGAGCCGATTGTGTTTGAGATGGACGCCCCCTTTGTCAGCAAGGAGAGCACATACCTGGGAGGCGTCACTTCTGCCGACCTCAGCCTCGCCATTAGTGGTAAACCTCCCCGCAACGGTCACCAGAATGTGGGTCCCAACACTCCTATGCGTGTCCGTATCGAGCTGTGGGAAAAGCACGACGAGCGCATGTACTCCCTGGCAAAGTTCCCCGAACAGCGTGTCCGCCCCAGTGTTTTCGAGAGGCGCGAGGACAGCAAGCTTGTGGACGCCCTCAAGGCCTTTGACGGCGGCTTCTTCGGTGGCCTGAACGGTCTGGCGGACAAGTACGCCGACCTTGCGGGCGTGCCGGAGGACGAGCACGTTCCCGAGTCCGAGGGCAAGCAGAAGCCCACCCCCCTTCGCAGGCCTCAGCCCGTTGCCGAGGTCGTTACCCCACCCGAGGCCGCCGAGCCTGTCGCCCCCGTCGAGCCCGTCGAGCCCAAGGTCCCCGCCGCCCCCGCCCGTGCCACCAAGGCCGAGAAGATGCGTTTGCAGGCCTTGGAGGTCGCCCGGCGTAACGCCCAGCAGGCGGCTGAGGCTGTCCAGGCCAAGAAGGACGCCGAACAGGCCGCGGCCACTGCTGCTGCTGCCGCCCCCGCCGCCCCCGCCGCTACCCCTTCGGTCGTTCTGAATATCAAGCCCAAGCAGCAGGAGGAGAAGAAGAGCGGCTGGAACTGGCTGTCAGGCAGCAAGTCCTAGGGTTGTAGAGCTTGTATATAGACCAATATACCGTCGTTAGAGCAATGCATTCTTTACACACTTCATGGGCCCGCCAAAAAGAAACTGTGGATGGCACCAAGATGTACACGGTTCTTGTGATGACCGGCGGAAGCAAATTGTTCGTTGGGATCCTGATTGTTGCCATTGACGGCGCAGAACGCTCATGTTGGCATCTGCTTTCGCCATCCATCATCCCTTTCATCACTCTTACCACCCACCCCATCCATCCACAATGTCGCAAGCGCATCGCCCAACATGGAACCCGACCATGGGCAAGGAGACCAAGTCGGGCAGCCAGATGGTCTCCAAGTGGGGCCTGGCGTCGCACACAAAACTCAAGTTCCGCCAGCCCGGCCAGACCAACACGTCGGACGTTGCGCGCCGCGACCTGCGCGCCGAGCTTGCGGCTGCCGAGCGCGTGGCCGAGAACAAGAAGCGTAAAGCCGCGGGACTGCAGCCTCTGCCGCCCGTCGCGGGCGCTCTGCAGATCGAGAACGGCAGTGCGGCCGCGAGCGAGGCGGCGGCCGACGACGACGAGGAACGTGCCAAGAGGCGAAAGGTGCTCGAGGAGGCGGCCGAGCTCGACAAGGACGACAGCAGTGACGACGACGATGATGAGGATGAGGATGAGGCGGATAAGGGCAAGGGCAAGGCTGGCGGCGATGACGATGACGACGATGAGGACGACGACGACGACAGCGACGAGTGAGTTGATGTCCTTCTTGCGTTCTGCTAACTCGCAGCGACAGCGATGACGAGGACGACACCGCGGCGCTGATGGCCGAGCTGGCGCGCATCAAGCAGGAGCGTGCAGAGGAGAAGGCTCGCTTGGTGGGTGCCCTCCACCCTCTTGTCGCAACCCCACTAACAACAACACAGGAAGCCGAGGCCAACGCCGAGACCGCCGCCGACCGCGAGGCCGAGATTGCCACTGGCAACCCGCTCCTCAACCTCCAGGCTGCCCTGGGACAGACCCCGAGTGCGGCCAGCACCACGTCGACGTTTGCTGTCAAGCGTCGGTGGGATGACGACCTCATCTTCAAGAACCAGACCGCCGGCCAGAGCGACAAGCCAAAGGGCGAGTTTGTCAACGACCTCTTGCGTTCCGAGTTTCACAAGAAGTTCATGCAGAAGTGAGTCATTGTGGGGTATACAGACGTTGGCGGGGGAGATGGGGGCCACCTCGCTGTCACCTTGATGGAGTCGCTTCGCGCGCCCTCGAGACGGAGCAGTGGGGTGGCAACGGCTAGGTGTGGTCCACCGTAGCCGACTTGTTTGTCTTCCTCCCCTGTCCCTCTTTTCCCTCTTACTTCTCTCGTACTGACTCTCCAGGTTCATCAAGTAAACTTGTGGTGGTTAGCATGTATATCCTGTACTAGAGGGCGCAATGCATAACTGGCGCTGTTGACTGTGTCTTGTGGAAACCTGATTGACTGCGCCGAGCGCTGAACAAAAGCCGACGAGAACCTTCCTCTGCAACTGACCATGCATGCATCAGTGGCCCGTATCTTCCCTCACCATGCATACAGTAGCAACGAGCACGCTGCCAGGCCGCCTCAGCTCGCCATCGGCTTGGACGTCGTCGTCGGCGACAGACGGCGGCTGCTCAGCACCGTCATCCATGACGTGTTATTCCCCCGAGCTGTATCATATACCCCCGCGCTTGGCGATGACTGCACGCGCGCCATCCATCTGATCAACCATCCTTCCTTCCTCCCAACACCCACCTCTCGGCGACCTCGCGTCCTCACACTGCCCCCCTTCTCCTCCCCGACACTCTCACCGTCAACGCCAAGCGAGCCTACCATGCCCCCCGCCGCGTCAGGCAGCGTGTGGCGTGAACCGACCAAGGCGGACAAGCCTCCAAAGTGAGTGGGATCAGCGGCGACTCCCGGGTTGTCTGCGAGCCGCGCGACGCGGGCTGCAAGCTGGTGTGTTGTGAACACTGCATTATCTGCAGCGCGAGCTGTGGAGCAGCAACACCGTGGAGATTGCTCGTCGCTGTCGCGACCTAGTGGTTATGAAGGACATGTGCTGATCGGACCACAGGGATGCAGACTTGCAGGTACGGTGACGTCCGGCGGCGACAACTGACTGACAACAGACGGCATGGCTCTTCCTCCAGGATGGTGTGGAGCACATTATGACCCGGTAAGTGTCCTTGCCCGTCTCTCTCTGGCGCACGCAGTCCACCATAGTGTGCCGAGATCCAGACCCCAGGTGCCACCGAAACACAATCGCACGCTCGTACTGACGCTATCGCCAGCCTGCACCTGGGCATGTCGTATCAGTACTACATTCTGCTGTACACGGCCATCTACGACTACTGTACTGTCCCCAGCCGTGGCGGCATCTCCTTCAACCAGAAGGGGGGCGCCAGCCTGCAGGGTGCGGACCTGTACAAGAAGCTCAACCAGTTCCTCACAGAGCACTGCAAGCAGATGCGCGACGTGAGTCGCCTGTTGATTTATCGGGGGGTGATGGATTCACGGCTGACGCACCGACGCAGGAGGGCGAGAAGCTCAACGACCTCGAGCTGCTCAAGTACTACGCCAGGCAGTGGGACCGTTACACCACTGGTGCTAGCTACGTCCACAAACTGTTCAACTACCTGAACAAGCACTGGGTCAAGCGCGAGAAGGACGAGGGCCGCAAGGACGTCTACACCGTCTACACTGTGAGTGGTTAAGCGCGTGGGCGATTCTAACTGCCCAGCTCGCCCTCGTTGCCTGGAAGCGCAACTTCTTCCGCTACATCCAAAAGGACACCAACGAGGTGTCGCGTCTCACCCAGGCCGTCCTCAGGCAGATTGAGCTCCAGCGTAACGGCGAGTCGATCGACAACGGCCTCCTCAAGAAGGTCATTGAGAGCTACGGTGGGTGAAACCAGAAAACACACGTGGGGAAGGCAACACTGCTGACAGGCCCCAGTCGCGCTTGGTATCGATGATGCCGACGCCCAGCGCCAGAACCTGGACGTCTACAACGAGTGCTTCCAAAAGTACTTTATCCAGGCCACGGACAAGTACTATGCCGCCGAGTCGGCTGCCTTTGTCACTGCCAACTCGGTGCCCGACTACATGAAGAAGGCCGAGGACCGTCTCCAGGAGGAGGGGGACAGGATAAACCTTTACCTGCACGACAGCACGCGCCGCGAGCTCAAGGAGAAGTGCGAGCTTGTCCTTATCCAGGCCCACCAGGAGCTCCTGTGGGAGGAGTTCCAGTCGCTGCTCGACGCCGACCGCGAGAGTGACCTTGCCCGCATGTACGGTCTCCTCATGCGCGTGCCCGCCGGCCTCGACCCGTTGCGCAAGAAGTTTGAGGACCACGTCAAGCGCGCCGGTCTCGCCGCCGTTGAGCGTGTCCTGCCTGCCCCCGGCGCCGTCAACGAGGCCGGCAAGGCCGAGACCCTCGACCCCAAGTCGTACATTGAGGCTCTCCTCGCTGTCCACAGCAAGTTTGGCGGCATTGTCAACGGCCCGTTCCGTTCCGAGCTCGGATTCAACGCCAGTCTCGACAGGGCATGCCGCGAGTTTGCCAACACCAACGCAGCAGCCAAGAGTTCGTCGCGCTCACCCGAGCTCCTTGCCTCGTATGCCGATCAGCTGCTGCGCAAGAACAACAAGGACCTCGACCCCGACTCGCTGGAGCAGGCTCTCAACCAGGCCATGGTCATCTTCAAGTTTATCGACGACAAGGACGTGTTCCAAAAGTTCTATCAGAAGAAGCTTGCCCAGCGTCTCGTCAACGGCGGTTCGGCCTCGGACGATGCCGAGTCGTCCATGATCTCCAAGCTCAAGGAAGTCTCGGGTTACGACTACACCAACAAGCTCACCCGCATGTTCTCGGACGTCAACGTCAGCCGCGACGTTACTGAAAAGTTCAAGGAGAAGGACCGCCGCGACGGCCAGTCCGAGGACATTGACTTTACCGTCATGGTTCTGGGCACCAACTTCTGGCCCCTGGCTCCTCAGCAGACCGACTTTTCCATCCCCCGCGAGATTGCGCCCCTCCACGAGCGCTTCACCAAGTTTTACAACGACGTTCACTCGGGCCGCAAGCTGACCTGGCTGTGGCACGTCTCGAAGAACGAGCTCCGCACGACATACCTCTCGCAAAAGTACATTTTCATGACTAGCGCGTACCAGATGGCCATTCTTACCCAGTTCAACGAGAATGACAGCCTCACGTACCGTGACATTCAGACCGGCACCAAAATCGTCGACGGCTTCCTCAAGCCGCAGATGGCTCTCCTCGTAAAGTCCAAGGTCCTTCTTCTCGACGGCGACACCTACGACTTGAACCTCAACTTCAAGTCCAAGAAGATTCGTATTCAGCTCAACATGCCCGTCCGTGCCGAGCAGAAGGCCGAGGCCACCGAGGTCCTTCAGGCCGTCGACGAGGACCGCAAGTTTGTCTACCAGGCGACGATTGTCCGTCTCATGAAGGCCCGCAAGGTGAGTTTAAAATGAGCGTAGGCGAGCTAACTCTTCAGACCATGAAGCACCAGGCACTCATCCAGGAGGTGACGGCGACCATCTCGACCAAGTTTACACCAAAGGTGTCGGACATCAAGAAGGCGATCGATTACCTGATTGACAAGGAGTACCTGGAGCGCGGCAGCGAGAAGGACACTTACAACTACCTCGCCTAAACTCCTTTCCTCTGCTATGCTTCCGTTTCAGTCTCCTCCTCCCTCACCACCCCGTCGTTCCCCATCAATCCCCCGTTTGCCCGCGTCCCGACCCCCCTGTGTCACCTCTCTCAGCTGCATATCTTGCATCGCGTCGTCTGTGTACATTGATACCAAGTGTGATGGAATAATGTGAAGTACAATTCTGCGCCATGGATGCTCTAACAAAATGCATGAGTGATGTGTAGTAAAATTGTGGTACAAGTATGTTACGACGACTTGCCAGACGACTCCTCGGGCTGCGCTCCGCTCCCAACTTCAACCTCGACCTCCGCCTTGACCTCAGCAGCACCAGCCTCAGTCTCAGTCCCAGCCAGAGCCTCAGCCTCAGTCCCAGCCTCAGCCTCAGCCTCGGCGTCATTCAACTGCTGCTCCCTCACCTGCTTCGAAGGCCTAATCTCGCCCGCCGCCCTCTGGGCTCCGCGCTTGACCCTATTGGCCTCCTGGAAGGCCGCCACGCGCTCGAGCGCCTCCGTCTCGGCCTCCCACCACGAACTCGTTGCAGCCGCGGGCTTCCACTGCGACTTGATCTTGTCGTACGCGCGGCCAGTCGCCTTGGCGTTCTTGCGCATCTTCCTGACTTTTTCATTGGGCGCAGTCCACCACACCTTGATGGGGCCGTCGGTAGCCGACGAAATGGCAGGCGTGATCGGGTCGGTGGCGTACGTCTCGGGCGACGGGGCGCTGGTGCTGGCGGCGTCCTCGACTTGGTCGACGGGCTCGGCGGCGTCCTCGGTCTCGCTGGGGGACACAGCCTCGGCGCTGGAAGCTCCGTCCTGGACAAGCACCTCTGCGTCGTCCGATGTAGATGTACCGTTGCAAATCTCCTCCAGGATGTTGACGTCGTCCACGTCGTCATATTCGAGACCCAGGCCCAGGGGATCGCTCTCCTCGCCGTCCTCGGGGACCGCCAGCAACGCCTCCTCGGCGGCAGCGCGCTCCGGGTCCATGTCGCGCAGGTTCTTGCCCTCGGGAATGACGAGCGTGCTCATCCTCTTGATCATGTCGCACAGCGACGTGTACCTGTTGCGCGCGCGGATGGTGGCAGTCACCGAATCGTCCGAGATGGCGAGGTTGTACTTGACAGACCCTGCAGAGTATTGTGGTCAGTCTGGGCCACTTCTTTTGTTGCTTTTGTGCATTGTAACTTACACTTCTGGTTGGCCCGGGTTTTAGGGTCCTCGGAGAAGCTGACCGGGCCCTCGACGAGCTTGTCGTCGAGGCTGCTCGTAAAGTACATGTCCATGGTGCGCACAGGCTTGGGGCCCTCACCGGTCCACTCGGTAGGTTCAACGGCGATCTGGAGCTTGTTGGCGCCGTTATTGTCGTACTGTTTTGTGCTATCGAAACGCTTCATGACCATGTTGAAGGACTGGTTGGGGAACAAGGCGGCGGCTTGGGTGAGGATCTCTTCAAGGATGGAGACGCTCAGCTTGAAGGCCTGGTTGCCCATCTCCGACGAGCCGTAGAGGACCTGGTCAATCTCTTCCCTGTACGTTGGTCAGCCCGTTTCCGAGATTGATAAGGGGGGAGATAGGGTTTCACTCACAATGACAAGTACTGGAAACCAAAGAGACGAGCAGTGTTGTGGTACGCAACAAAGATGCCGTCCATTTGACCAATTCGGGCTTGGAAGCTGGTCGGTCAGTATCGGAGGACACAGCCTGAGTCAATACCCACTTGTACTTGAGCATGCCCGAGCGAGCAAGCTCATAGTACTCGTTCTCAAACGAGTTGGTCATGCCCTTCATGTAGGCAATGTTGTAAGCCGAGTTGGCAACGTAGTTGGCGCGGTCGTGGCGGATCGGCTGGCATGCGCGAGTCTTGATGTCAAACGTACCGTTGCCAGGCAGGCGAATGTCCTGACAGTCAAGCTGGGAACGCATGAGGATGCCCTTGGACTTGGAGTACGCATAAGCCTCACGCTCAGTGCGCTCCTCTTCGGGCACTGCCGACTCTGGGCTCGAGCTGAGGAAGCGCTCAAAGTCTTCCTGCTCGACAGTCAGGAACTTTTCCAGGATACGGCCATAGTCGCTGAGCACGTTCTCCTCGACGTCATAGTCCTTGATGTTGTCGATACCGTACGTGCCGTTCGGAAGGAGTCTGACAACAATCGCGGCAGGCAGAGCCGCGCCGGCCGTATAATCGTTACGCTCGCCGGCGAAAGCCTGGCTCATGTGCGAAAGGTTGACGGGCTTGCCACCGCTGATGGTAAAGTAGATCTGGGACAGGGCCTTGGTGAGGGTGGACGTCGAGCCGATAAACTTGGTATCAGCGTCGGCAGCCATCTGGGCAAGCTCCTCGTCTCTTGAAGCCGTAATGTACTGGGGGAGACGATGGTATGCAAACTGATCAAAGTTTGGGATTTTGCCAAGGGTTTTGTCAAAGTTCCACACGCCTGAGCGAGGGTCACGCAGGAAGTGTACGCCTTCAGAGAAGAGTACGCGACGCAGGCCACGGGCGAGGCGAGCAACCTTGCCGTTGCGTGGTGCGGTGACGGGGTCGATGGCGATCGAGGTGGCGTGCAAGTTGCCTCTGGCAACCTCCTTCATGAAATTGATGTCGTCCCGACCGGAATCGATTTGGATCTTGGTCTGCTCCTCAAAGACCTCTATAGTAATGTTAGCCCCAAGTACGTTGCCATATCTAGCGTACCGATCAATTCGTCGTCTGACACTTGCTCGAGTTCACGGCCGCCAAACTTGTGCTGGAGTTCTGCGTAGATGTTAGGGCCAAACTGATGGGCGTGATTGCACCACTCACGCGAAACACTCTTGTTGTCCATCACGTGAAGGTCATCGCGCCTGCGGCCATCTAACCGCAGGTGTGGTGGGAGATCACGCTGGCGATTGGCCGCAGCCATACGGGCTGCCACTGACACGTCCACCGACTCCATCTTCTCCTCGAGCGTGTTTAGGATAAGCTCACGAAGCGCTTTAGGCTTGGTGATCAAGTCGGGCTTGTCCTTGAGGATCTCTGCCTCGGCATTACGCCATTCCTCAGAGCTCCAGGTTGGCCCCCCGCCGTGGGTTGGTGGTCTATCACGCATGCCGGTTCCAGGCATGTCGAACTGGGCCTGTGGCCGCCGAGGGTTCGTGGCCTTCTTGGTCCACTTCACCCCCTTCGGCGCAAACCCCTTGGACCCACGTTTGGGCGGTCCAAACGTAACCTCGCCTGGTTCCTGCTTCATGATATCTTTCCACACGTTGTCAACGGCGTCTCCGTTTGACGTCTCGCTGGTCACGACGTCCGATAGGCGTGACAGAAAGCCGCCAGTGATGGACTTGGACTGGGGCGCAGACCGCGACATGAACTTGGACTTCTTGCTGGGAGGGTTGCGAGGAGCCGTAGTGATCACGGTCTCGGCGCCGGACTCGCCCTGGGCATTACCGGCCGTGGGCGTCGCCGAAACCTCAGCGGTGGGCTGAGCGGGTGAAGCGTCTTTCGTCGCCGAAGACGAAGATTCAACATTCTGTCCAGCAGATTCGGTCTGGCTAGCGTCGTGGGTCACTCCCCGCACCTGGGACATTGACGTGCGCTTGTTGTCAGTTGCAAGGAAACAAAATGACGCGCTCATGGCAGGACAAAGCCACTTACAAACTGCGACAGCACCGGGACGGTTGCAGCTGCATACCGCCCATTGTTGCGCACGAAGGGCGAGACGCCCGTTCGACGAACAACAAGCATTGGTGTGGAGTTGTGACGGTGGTGAAGGAGGAGGTTGTAAATGACACCCTTGTCACCACCACAAAAACAACAGACACCACAAATCTCAATGCTCCTCGATTCCAAGTCACGTGACTCTGCTCACGTGGTCGACGCCCAGCCAGCTGCAACGCGCAAGCATCCGTTCATGAACACTCATCCTCCTCGCGTTCTTTGCATCAACAACGACCCCCTTTCATCTCGCAACATGGCCGAGAAGAACGAGAAGAAGCCCGAGGAGACACCCGCTCCTGCCGCGGCCCCCGAGAAGAAGAAGCTCCCCCAGCTTGGCGCGCTCGAGGACGACGACGAGTTTGAGGTGAGTTGACACTTGGTTGTGCACTTGGAATCGTAGAGCTGATGCGTACAGGACTTCCCCGCCTCTGGTGAGCTTTTCGGCACAGACAGAAGTGATGCATGGACCCAGGATGGTGTCACGGTGGCGGTTCAAGTCATCCGTAAAGCACCCTTCTTGTTGACCCATTCGCCCTTCCTTCCTCCTCCTCGTCATCCTTCTGCATAACAACCATATAGCTTCCATGCTGACGCACCCAGCCGAGCAAGCCGGCACCGTGTCCGATGCCCTCGCCGCTGGTGCCCCCGGCGCTGACCAGCTGTGGGAGGACAACTGGGACGACGACGACGTCGAGGACGACTTCCAGAAGCAGCTCCGCCAGGCGATTGCCGAGCGCGCGGGCGGCGGCGACGAGGCCATGAAGGAGTAGGGCGTAGACGCCAATGGAACATCGACGCAGTGGCACCACGCGCACCAGTGTCACCTGCTGAGAAGGGCGTAATAGTGCGTGTACGGTTGCACGCACTGATGGGATAGCTAGAGAGACGGATAGAGCCGTCACAGACTATGCACGCAGTCACGATATCAAAGCACGACACGAACGGCCCACACGGCGGTCTCTCAACACGACAACTCTCGCGCGTCCGCGAGCTGCCACTGACTGATACTCCAGGATCGCATGCTTGTTCTGGCGGCAACTCATGTCTTCACTGACTTGCCCCTCTGGCAGTATCGATATCGACTGTTACCGCTTCGGATTTCGGCCACGCTACGCAGACTTGACTGAACGCGTATCATCGAGCTTCGCCGTCGGTCTTGCTCGCCAGGTCCATCACATCTTCCCGACTTACCTGTCCCCGTAGCTATTCCCTACAGTGTTCGAACTGTCGACCTGGCTGGCCGACATCACCGTTCTGGCGCCAGCCAGATCGCGAGTTCGATGTTGCCCAGGGCGCTCTCCAGGCCTGCTGTGGGACACACGCAGTCGGCCATGATGTCTGGTATGCTGTGGGCCACAAGTAGCGCGCCCCAAGCGATACGTGGACATTTGCGAGTCCTTGACCCTTTGCGACTGATTGGGACCTCTGACGTGGCGATACATAGGAGCAATTGTCATGAAGGGAGATCTCGACATTACATATGGTCACTGTACCGACGTTTATCGACACAGACCAGCTCGAACGCAGGCATGCCCCACCGCAGCGACACTTGCAACCTCTCACAGGTTGCCGACGACCCGCGTTGCGGTACTATGTGCATTACGCAAATATACTAACAATAAACAATGTGGCGTAACCTAGATAGATGTGTTTCGTCCGCTCTCTCTCTCTCTAGTGACCCCATCCTCGTGGTCCTCGTATCACCGCCTGCCCATGCGGTTGCGGTACGCTGCAAGCTCGCGCATGGCCTCCTCCTCAATCATGTCCGCCTCGCGCTCGGCCTCGAGCCTCTCGCGCTCGGCCTCGCGGCGCTCCCACGCATCGGCCTCTCCCGCAGCGACCTTGTCGGCCATGACTTGGCGCAGGGGCTTGGGCGCGCCGCTGGCTGTGGGCGCACCGGCCTGGAGGATGGGGTTGCGCTCCAACCGCTCAAAGAGGGCGTACATCTTTTCGGCCTCGCGGTCCTTCTCCTCGTCGGTCATGCCTGCGAACGGCGACGACCAGCCGTCGTCGGCCGGCTGCTCGAGCGCCGTGATGGGGTGGCGGTTTCTTGTTGTGGAGGGCTGCGAGTGCGTGGAGAGGCGCTGAGCAGACTGCTGAGAGTAGGTCGACACGCGGGGCTGAGCCTGCGAGGCAGACGACTGCTGAGAATAGCCAGATAACCGCACCGGCGAGGGAATGCGGGGCGGTGGGATGGACGGCGGCGGTGCCATGGGGGGAGGCTGCATGGGCGGTGTCTTGGACGGCGAGGGCACCCTGTTGGGCGAAGGCACCCTGTTGGGCGAAGGCACCCTGCTGGGCGAAGGCACCCTTGGAGGTGGCCTCGAGGGTGGGAGCGTCGAAGGTGGAAGCGACGGAAACGTCGCTGATGGAGGCGGCCTCCCCGACGGCGCATGCCTCGGGGTCGGCGCAGCAATCGGTTCTGGCTCTGGCTCAATCTCGCGGACACGAGCGGGAGGAGGGCCGGTCATGCCCTTGCGGAAGAGGATGCCCGAGGCATTTCCATAGCCAATCTCGTCACACAGCACAGATTCTGGCGTCAGTTGATGGAAAGAGGCCACAAACTCACCGTCACCACCGCAGGCGGCCCAGAGGAGCTCGCCGGCAGTATCGCGGCACTGGAGGTGGGCGTGTCCGTTCATGAGCCGCAGAAGGGTTCCCAGGAGCCCCTCACGCTTCTCGAGGGGCTCGGACTTTGGCGAACGGTCGAGGTCGACGGGGAAGAGGGCGTTGTGAAAGTAGGCGCGCATCTCTTTGCTGCCGTTGGCGGCGTTGACAGCCAAAAGCAGGATAGGAGGCAGCACGTTGTCGAGAGCGAGACCTGGGTCGGGATCAGAACGACCATGCAGACGGTCCTTGACAAAGCCCGCGAGGATAGCAATGAGGCGCCGAGGCAAGGCAGTGACATCGGTCATCCTGGAGAGCAGGGCCTTTCCGTTCTCGTCGGACGCCGCTGACGTTGTTGACAGCGTCGGCGATGGCGACCGGCTGCCACCGCTACCACCACTGGGTGGAGACAAGGTACCGAGGTTGTCATCGTATGATGTAGGCCGCGGCAACCCTGGCGGGGGGTCGTTGGACGACCGGCTCATGCGACCAAAGAATCCCTTCTTCTTCTTGCTGCCGTCATCGAACAAGGACGCTGGGGCCGAGTTCCAGGTGGGGAGGAGCTCGGCATTGAAAGGGATACACAAAAGAGCGTGAAGGGCGTGGGTCAACGGGGCGATAAGGTCTGTGAATGGCAGGGTGTAGACAATGTTCAGCACTGGGTACAGCAGCCTGCGATCGTCAGCTACGGGTCGGTTCGACGCGCCCAGCTTACGCCTTGAGTGCAGGATCCCATGGAGTCTCGGTGGACCTGGCATCCTTTGCTGGGTACCATCGCAGGATGTTTCCCACGAGCTTCAAGAGCTCGGACAGCGTATCGTAGTGTGCCGGAACCGGGGTGACGTTGTGGAGGTGCTGGCGCGCACAGTCAGGTCCTAGAGCTTGTGGGATGGGCCAGCTCTTGTTCAACTCACATAAACGAGGCGCGGGACAATGTTCTCCTTGTCGACCATGCTCTGTACCCCGCTGCCATAGGCAGTCACGAGGAAGCCGACACGACACAGAAGGAAGAGTCGGTCGGGCAACGAGTCGTCCGCCACTGCGCGCGCGATAGCCTCGGCCGCGCCCATGGTGGACAGCTTGTTGCGCGTGCTGGGGTGCAGAACGAGGGTGTTGGCCAGGCCACGCAGAGCCTCGAGCGCGGGCTTGGAGGTAGGCTGTACCGTGCTCCTCCCGCGACCTGGAAACGGCAGAGCTGTGTGATACACGAGGGTGGCGAGGTTCTCGTTCTTCAGAAGCACTTCTCCCGATCCAACGGGGTTGCGTCCCAGCACTTTGAGCGTATTGAGGGCTGCAACATGGACTGGATGTCAGCTGATGCAAGAGACAAGAAGGAGCTCACTGTGTTCAGGCCATTGGGCCCAAACGCCTCCTGGCCGGAGGTCGTCGAAGATGGCCTCGAGCAGCAGTGTGCGATCCTCTGGCTTGAGCTCTGTGGGCTTGGCCTCGCTCACGCGGTCCAGCTCTCTGCGGACATTGTAGAATGCCAGCGGGTTGCCGCGGTTCAGACTTGTGTAGTTGCCGGCAGATAGGTATGCTGCCATGGTGGTGTGCCGACGTTGTAGGTTGTCAACAAGGGGCCATGAGAGAGCGGCAAGAGATGGCTCCAAAAAGTCGACACGCGGCGGCACTCTGTGCGGGGTCTGGAACCGGGGAGTGGGGAGCGATGCGATGTCAAAGGGGACAGTTGGGTCGAGGGTTGTGGGCGATGTATACGGGTATGCCGCACGGTGTGAGCAGTGGGTGTGTCTAACTGGTGGGCGGACACTTGACGACGACCAAAGTCGGACGAGCGGCGGCGACGCGATGAACGCCGGACGGCGCTGCACCTGAAACGTTAAGTAAAGGGCGGCGAAATGTGCGTCTGTGCGGGGCCTCACGGCGGGTGGGTCTCTCAGAATGGCTAGAGACTGACCGTCCCCGAGACGGACGCCGACAGACTGCGGAGGGCAATGCATATGCACCTTGGACAGGTATCTGGTCGACCTGCTGACAAAAGACCTGCATGCACACGTATAACTGGGGAGGACCATGCCTGGACCGTGTCTGCCGTCGCTTGGGTATCGGTTACTCCGGCTCGCACCCATTTTGTACGCGCGCTCGGACCACAGTCGCCGCACCAGACGTTGCTGTCTCGGAGACCCTCTAGGGTGGCATGGATAGAGTTTGGCAATGCATGACAAGCAGCAGGACGTAATAAGAGAATATAAGAGCTGCTGCAACAAGCCATGTAAGAGAGAGAAATGGGCCGTGGGTGGCTGCTCGGGGCGCTTCGGGGCGGGTGGGTGGATTGACTGTTTGTGGCCGTCATGGGAACAATGGACAATGGGAGTGCCATGCTGTACGCCGCCGCCCCGCCGACACTGTGGCCCACACGCTGGCAGCAATGCACGCATGGCACGCATGGCATTTGGCTGCACACACATTGACACCTCGTACTCATACACCCCTATACACCACTCACATCTCCTGCTCGCCATGGCCATGCTCCTCCGCGCCAACCCCCTCCGCGCCGTCGCTCGCGCCCCCATCCGCCAGCAGGTCCGCGCCCTGCACATCGAGAACACTGTCGACAAGTGCGTACTGCCGGGCAGAGACCCAGTCGTGTTCCTTCCCCTCCTTGGCATCATCTCCTCTAGCCCGCTCACTGAACCTCTTGCTCACAACAACTCAGCGCCATCCCCGCTGGCTCGGGCCGCTCGACCGCCTTCAAGCTCCGCTTCATCGCCTACGGCACCGTTGGCACTCTCCTCCCTTACATCGCCGCCTACATCTCGTTCCAGAAGGCCGCCGCGGCTTAAGCGCCCCGTCCCAAGACCCCTCAAGCACACGGCGCGAGCCCCGGCTCAGCACTCGAGATGGTAGTAGAGACAGTGAAATGCAAACTAAGCAGGCATGGATGGATGCAGAGTGGACAAGGACATGGAAGGTGTTCACAGTGCTTGGCATTGGGCGCGCTGGCATTGGACGATGGACACTACCACAGAGCGTGGGAGATGTCCACTGATCGAGCACTGACCAGCGGTGACCTCACTTGGCGGAGGAGGAGCGGTGTCTGTGTGACCACCGCTTCCATAACTGGGCGTGGCCAGTCGCAGGATGGCAGTCGTCGTCGTCGTCGTCGACGTGTCCAGGACCCACAGCTTTTTCACGACGCCGCCGAGGTAGTCACCTCTCGGAACCGCACGCCGACGTGCCCCGACGCCGCCTCTGGGTACCGCCCATTTTGTCAGGTTGGCCGCCGAGAAAGTGGCTGTTGTTTGCGGCGGCAGGATGTCAAAAGGCGTGAACGAAAATGTCCAGTTGGCTGGCTTGAAGAAACAACTGGGTGCCACACTCGGGATGCTCCTTGGATCCTTGGCCTATTTTCCAAGCCGTGTCTTGCTGGCATTTTCTGTTAAGAAGTAAGGGCCGCCCAGCTATATGAGGTACTCAGCTGGTAATAAGTGGTGGTGGCGAGGTGCTGGGTGGCCCTCGATGGCATGTGTACCAGTTATGTAGGAATAGGAAGCAAGTGGGAAGATGGAACGGCGTGGAGAGTTTAATTGAAGACTCCCGTTTAATGACTCCCGTCGCCAACTTTTGGCATTCCAAGTCAGTACATGGCTCACCGTAAAGGTCGAGAGAGATATCCCACAAATACCAAGCTCCCCATATGTGACTCATGGCTCACTCGCAACACGTCACAGTAGCCAAAACTCGGCCAAGTAACAAGAAACACGAAATACGTTCATGTCCACCCAACCTGCCACACTCACGCCTGCCTGAGCGGATGGCCCCAGCGGTACTCCGCCTGTCCCGCGGTCGGCCACATGGGGCCAACCACATCGGTCGGGAGACACCCACGGAAACCCACGCGGGTGTACCGGAGTCCCCCTATACCCCCTCGTATACCCTTATCCTTGCTGGCCGCTCGCACCGCCGGGGTGGACGGGGCAGTCGGGAGTTCCATGGGGTGTCCGCTAGGCGAGGGGGGGTTAGCGTCGCGTAGAGATTGAAGGCAACGGCGGGTCCCACAGCCCACAGGCTACAGTTCACAGCCCGCAGGACCAACCACGACGGCGGTGGCATTTCCATTAGCACATTGGCGACAAGCGACGATGCACCTGCGCGACTACGGAACCTCGGCCAGCCTTGCCTTGCCTTTGCCTTTGCTTGGCTCGGGCCGGACATGCCGTGCGTGCGTCCGTTTAGTGGCCACTTGCGACGTTGAACCCCGAAACGACTGGAGCCTGTTGTTTGAACCTGGCTGCAAGGACGAGATCTCGACCTGGACGTGCGCGTGGGTTGTGGCAAGAATGACCTGCCTGGCACGTTTGGGAGGCTCCCAAACGTGCCTCCGCTTGCTCGTAGTGTCACATTCGAGGTGTTTACCTCTCTCTCTCTCTCTCTCCGTGTACAGGAGAGGAGGTCTTCGAAATTCGATCCCTCAATTCCTTTCGTGGTCGCAGGAAACACCCTGATACCGGGTGGTGGTGTGCGATTGCAGGCCAACCCAACGTCCTGAACCCCGTCTCCCCCCTCTTCGACCCTCGAGGTGGTGGCGCCGGCCATCGACCCTTCGGCGCCATCGAGCCCTTAGTCGTCACCCCATCACACTCCCAAGCCGGCGGCACACGCTGCGGCTCTTTTCCAGCAAGCCATGCAGGACGCGACCGCCGACCCCCGGCTCCGGCCCGGGATGGCGCAGCAACGGACACGGTACACGAGAGAGATCGGTCGCGTGCTCGGCGAGTCGTATGGGCACAGCAGCAAGCAGGCCGCAGGTCGATAGGGTCAACCTGGGAATCGAAAATCGAAAAAACAAACACACCAGATCCACAGAGGAAAATGGCGCGCTCCTGTGCGGAAATCAAGCGGGCAGGATACACCAGCGTGCGCAGGAGGAACAATCCGAAATAGACCGCAACATGCACACGCCAACACGCCACCTCGGCGGAGCTGGCCGTGGGTTTTTTCGTTTCTTTTGACGAGATGTATGCGCCTGCGAACGAGCATGCGTCGGCTGGAGGGGTATAGCATTGGCATTGGCTCGGCGCGTTACTGTGGCACATGCATAGTACTCTGCCCCGCGCGTCTACAGCCGCCGTCGTCGGGGCCAATGTGAGGGGCGTGAGGGTAACTGTGGCTTCGGGCGAAGGACATGTCCGACGCCGAGGTGAGGGTGTGACCGAGGCTCGACGACCACTGCCGGCGGCCGGGACGCCTCCGCCAGTGACGAATGGCCAGTGACAGGTTGCACACGACGCAGCCGATCGCTCACGAGCTCACGCGAGCGAGCACATGGTACAGTAAGCTGGGGGAGGTTATTGGGCCAGACAGGATCGGTCTGGAGGGATGCAGGACCAAACGACGAGATTTTGTAAGTGGCATGTACCGAGATCCGAGTCGCACATGGGCCTCCACTCCTGGCCCGACGTCGGGTTCACCGTAGACCCGAGCACTTCAGAGGTGGGTGACCTCGTGTTCTAAGATGGGGTGGAGACCCCGCTCGACGCGGCCGCTGGAGGATCCAAGTGAGGCAGTGCCGGAGCCAATGCCTTCACTTGGCTGGCGTGTTGTGATGCTGCACAGTCCACGCGTCCCCGAGGCTGGTACCACGTGTACGTCATAGGGGCATCTTAGTAGGTCATGGACCGGTGGGTACGCATCTCGTTTGATCCAGACTCACTGTTGCTGGCACCAGGTGTGGCCTCCATATATTCAAAAACAAAGTGCTCGCAGTTTATTTCCCAGTTAATGGTATAGTTCAGCCAACATGTAAGAGATGTATGACATATAAACGGCACAAGGAGCTTCATTTTTGGCCCTGTCTGTAAGTGTAGTTGGGGTGACGCGTACTGTCACTCCAAGTACCTTCATTGTGGTAATCTTATTTGATGGCTGCGACAAAATGTCGTTATTTAATTTTTAATGTTTTCCGCAGCGGTGGTGGATCACAATGCGTCGTCCAGGCGTATCCACTTCAGCCCCCGCTTGCCTCTAGAAACAAACTATGTCAGCTCATCGTCATCGCTAGATAGCCACAGTGTGTTATTGCGAACAGCGAGGAGAGCCGTGACCACATTGGCCAGTCCACGGATGCCCACCGACGTCGCTACCCAACAGCAAGTCTCTTGGATAGCCCACGCCATTTATCGTCATTCCAAAGCCGCATTCACGGAGAGACGACAAGTCACGGCTCGTCTTGACCAGTGGCAGCGTCGCATCTATCGTCAGGACGGCTGTCAGAACGCAAGTTGATTTTCGATTTCTGCCTCGACCACTCACCTACGAGCCACTCATCTCAAGCTGGCGTCCTTTTGCGAGACGAGATACGCATACGCCGAGGCCGGTGTGATACCCAAGCGTATGGAGACGCCTGGTTGGCTTCTCTTGCAATCCCCAACTCGATGAACGATTAAATTAGGTGTTAGCGGGCCGTCTATCAGTTGACATGCCACTCCGCCTGTCTTTCCTATCGGGTGTATCTACTCTTGTCCTGTTATCGAGTGTATATCTGTTCATCTTCCTATCGAGTGTGTGTATCTCCACCGCACTTGCCTATCACTTGTATCTTGGTGGCGTGCGATGACGTTCGGTTCATGGCAATTAAACATCAATGACGCACAACTGTGCACGTCCAGATAGCCATACAGTTGCACCCAGATAGCCTTGGATCCTAGCCCTATCAGCCTGCCGCCCTCCGCACACCTTGTCCCCCGCACACGATTACAGCGTATCTGGAGATACGACGGCCTCCCACGCCTCTCACGGACCGCGGGGGACCCGGGGACAAGACCGCACATCACCTATCTGCCCAATGGGCCCCGCCGGTCTCCGCGAGACCATGTGTGGAGGCGGCGTTTAAGCCCATATGCCAGTATCAGGTAGGTCCCAATGGTGATTGTGCGCGCCACTGGGCTATCGCTGGGGCTGATCGGCGTGAGAATGGAGATAAAACGCAATAGTGGAGATAACGCTGATAAGCCAATTCAAATACAGACTGCCTTTTGCCTCTAGTGGGAAAACAGAAACAGCAGCTGGCGTGTGGGGGACAGTCAGTCGCGTCGAGGCTTGCATTCTCGTCCAATGACGTCCTGTCTCGACGAAGCACACCTCCAGCTCTGGTGTCAACGTCGATCCTTTGGGCGCGATTACACACACCTCGGTGCCGATTTTTTCGAATTTGTGCCACCAAAACCAATGCCTGCCTCACTTATCACTGCCCACCTCAGCGCTCCACTTACCGCTGGGTCACAAGACAACTGTATCAAGCAGTGCCTTCCGCGAGCTTAATCGAGCCCGCAATCGCGATCGGGAAATCAAAATCGTCTGGCAGGAACGAGGTGGTGGAGCTATTGCTCCACCCCAGCGAATTGGTACTCGTCGGTGACTGGCTGCCCCCACTCGTGTGATATCTGTGCACGATGGGGGGGCGAGCATATCCCAGACAAAGCCGACCGGACCCCAGCGTCCCCATGGTGCCCCCCTGCCGCTCCACTATTGGCGGAGACGCCGCCGCTAGATGGGATACGTGAGCGCTGGAGACGCTTACTTGCCAGTAGCCTCCTCAGTGATCAGTGGAGCTGGCAGCCTGGCATGGCAGTGGCCCAAAGATTGTCCCAATGCCAGTGCTATCGATATCGTCGCGACACGGAACAACTGCTCCGCGGTTACTGCCACACAACCCGTGCCAGCGGATCTGATACGCGCTGAAGCGAACAAGCTTGCGCCCAGCCTCCTTCGCTTCGCTTGGGTGGGAGCGGGGGCCTGGCCCGAATGGGTCACATGGACGGAAACGCGACGGCAGCGGAGTTGGAGCGCTGGCCTCGACAGCGGAGCACAGATCCTGCCGGCTGGCATGGGAGCAATGTGGCATGGCCTGAAAGAAGATACAAACAAGCACAAACAAATGCCAGAAAAACTCGCTTTGCCACAACTGATCTACTTTATCCACACCGTCCACCCGCCTAAGCCTTGCCCTCGTCTATATTTGGCAGCGTGCTATACCTGGCACACAGACCGACCTGATTACAGTCGACTCGCCCAAAGTGCGACTGACTTTCCTGTGTCCTTGCTTACCTGAGCGATTTTGCCTGGATTTTGTCTCACTTTTGCCATCCGCCCTCACTCCATTGGCAGATGGCAGCCAGCAGATACTCGGAACGGAGCATACGACCGACCCTCAGTGCCATACTCTGCGAATCGGTGCAGGCCACAGGCCACAGGTGCAATGCGGTCCGGCTTGGCCGACCGAGTGTGCCTCCGGGCCGTATCCACACACGTCCACGTCTGTACGCACGCACGCCACACCGGCGCGCGCGATGTAAAATTCTCTGACACACACGTAGTGCACAAACATCCAGTGGCCAGCGGCCAGCGGCGCCATGGTTCCGGGACGCTGCGAACCCGTGCAGGCGACTGAGCCGACGGGGAGGGGAGAGGGAGACAAACAGCAATGCCGAGGCCGAGGAGGCCGAAGGGAAAGCCGACTGGACCCTGTTCGGAAACGGCGCCCGCAGCGTTATCATCGAGAAAGCGTAAGAGTGTTCGTCTTGGCCACGAGCAGCAGCTTGTTCCGGCTTCGGCTTCGGGGTGTGTACACGGTGTAGCGGACGCGGTCGATCCGCCCCGCCCCGCCCCGCCGCCGCCGCCCAGCCCAGCCCAGCCTCTCGCGTCACTCGACCCCCCCGGCACCGGCGTGTGTTTCGGACACTGCCGCCAGCGGCGCGTGCTCCCTGTGGCATCTGGGGTGGTGGGCGGGCGATGTGCTTCGTTTCCCGACGACCATGTGCCGATGGGTGAAGTTGATGGCATGCGTTCCGACATCGGAGAGTCGCGACGGTGAACGAATCAGTGGCCCAGTGGCCAGTGGGTAGGTGAGGTCAGTGTCGGAATCGCGGTCCGGCGCAGGCAGCCAAAGGTCGTGTGTACCCCCAGGAGTTTAGGAGCAAGTGGGTGACGATGGGCCTGAAAGGTGAAAAGGTGAGTAAGGGTGGATGGCCAGGAGTACAGGAGACACGCACGGCCCGTGTACCGACGTACCGACGCCTCGGCCGGCGCCATGCCATCCGCCAACCGCCACTGGTCCGACACGCCGGTGGTGGACTTGGCGCGGAGCGTTGCTGGGGCCAGCAGCACACTGGCTGGCTGGCTGGCTGGCTCGCTGACACGCTGGCACGTTCACGTTGGGACTGTCCGGGCGCCGACCAAGGTCGGCCACTGAACCAACAGTGAGCGATCCCCGAGCTGACATGGTGGGCTGGCGGGTCTTGGCTGCAGCACACGACAAGCCATGGCATGTGTGTCTGCACAAACAAACAATTTCGAACTGGCTCATTTTCGAACGCCGCGACTCCCGTTTAGGGGTTTACGGCGCGATTAAGGGTCTTTTGCCCACTGTTTTTTTGGATTCTTCTTTGGAAATGCCAGAAGAGCACGCAAAATGGTTTGTTGACCTGTTGGGTGTGCATGGGATCCTTTGTGCTTGGCCTTATCCTCGGCCTGCGAGTGGCCAGGACGCAGATCTGGCCATGGGGGGGACGCCCACGGAGTCGGTGGGCCCGAGGCTTGGGACCCCATTCCCCGGTTCGGTGTCCTGCTGCCCCGTTGAGCGACTTTTGTGTGTGGCCAATGAGGCCGCCGAGGCGGGCCATGTGCTCGGTCCCGGTTCGCAATGTCGCAGCGCGCAGCACGCAGTTCGCCGGGCCATGATGTGCGTCCGTTCGTGAAAGCCAAGCAAAAAAAAAGGACAACGAACAAGACACCAGACCGTTGGGGGCGAGGACAAGACATATTCCGCATTTGCAACAGACCCAAAGACCGTGTGTCACCGACGGACTGCGAGTGCTCACGGAGAGATGCATGTGGGTGCAGGAGCAAGAGCCAGTGTTTGGCCTGTAGCCTGTAGCCGCCTGCAAGCAATGAGATCCACTCCGAGCCGCCCGACTGTGGGTGAGCAATTGTCTCGCAAATATGATTCTGATTGTAATGCGGGCGCCTCAGGGGCATTGGAGATGGATGGGGGTTGGCGGGAGATCGAATCTAGGTCTGGAGCCATCGCATCGTTCCTTTTCCTGGAGACACCTCTTTGTTTTTGAAAGTCCATTATCTGTAGCGATCGCCGTGGAATTATGGAGGAATTACGGAGAGGAATTATGGAGCGGTAGCAGTAGCGTTCCTCCTGTTCCAATCAGCAAGTGGCACAATCCACAAGCCATGTGGGGGTGTGGGCATGGCTGTACTGCTTGGATCTGCCACACCCCAGCAACCACAAGCAAGCGCTCGCAAGGAACCACCAATGTGCTCGGCTGTGAGCCAATCAATAAGGATTAATCTAAACAGGAAAAAACCCAAAACAGGCGTTGATGGTGCGGCAGCAGCGGCGGCAGTAGCGGCAGTAGGCGGCAGGTACCCGCATACCATACGCCTCAAAGCCGCCGGTTGGGGCGGCACGACCAGCCCCCCCTCTCCATGCGCGCACCACGACAGCCAGCCAGTCCAGCCATCCACAGCCATGCCAGCCATCAAAGCCTCCCGCGTTTTGCTCTCGTCCCCTGTGCCCCGAAGAAGACCCAGAGCCAGGGGAGGAAGGGAGAAGGTGACGTTATGATCGACATGACAGTCGGCGTACGCACTCACACTGTGGATTTCTGCGGCTGGTGGCGGCTGGGAGCGGTAACAGCAACGCACAATGTTCGTGCGTCGTCATCTGCCCCCACCAGATCAGGATGGATATGGGTTGCTTGTGTCGTGTTTGACAGCTCTCACGAGAGAGGCAAGAGACGCGACACACGCCCGATATGACAGCAATGCACAGCGATCTGCATAGAGACGAAACGAACGCGAGTGGCAGCACGGCACGCGGATTAACAGACGAGCAATGAACGAATGATGCACGCAGAGCTCTACCTGACGGTTGCTTCCAGGTCTCAGCCCGCTGTTGCTCCACCGCCGCAGTTTAGCCGCAGGCCGCTTGGCAGGTGCATTGGCAAGCATTATCATACGGGTGGGATGTGATTCGACCCAACGAACGCTAGCAGCAAAAGCAAGCACGAGGGAGATTGCATCAGCGATTCATGCACTCTGGCAAGAGGACGTGCGGCGCCCTGGGTGTGGTTGATGAGGCAACTAGGCGTTTCTTGAATACTTGAGAGGTCAGGAGCACACTGGGACTCTGGAACTCGCGAGCGAACGAAGCAGGTTGGCGGCACCCAGCACTCTGGTACTCTGGCCACCTGGGCGGCCCTCTCCTTAGCCGCTGAACGCCATCGGGATCGCCAAGCTCCTCAGCACGAGGGCTCACTAGCCCACACGACCACCTGACTTGAGCCGACTACAACGTTCGCACGTGTACGACACGGCGGCGCGCAGCATACCGAGAGCTGGCCAAGCGGGCCAAAGCTGGCGCTGACGAGGTGGCGGCGCTGGCCTCGCTGGCCTCGTCCAATACCGAGGCTAACGAACGCTTTGCCCGCTGTACCGTTAGTCGCCGTCGTTCAGTTCCCCGCCCATATCCATTCCTTTTGGCGCTGAATTCTGACCGACCCGGTCCCCACTGACCAACGGTCAAAGAGCGGTCACAGGATCACAGGGGTGTGTGTTGGTTCGTCGAGGACCCTGCCTGGAGCTGCCTGCTGTGTACTGTAAATGAGATTGCGACTGGATGGGACGCAGCCACCGTCGTCAGCGCGCCTCAGTGGCCGCCCTGAGTGACTACATGCCACAAAGAACGCACCACCCACACTGGCGCTGGCCGCTGGCTGGTGGCCGCTGGCTGGTGGCCGCTGGCTGGTGGCCGCTGGCTGCTGGCCGCCGATCGCGATCATCGTACACGACAGGATAGTGCGTCAAGAAAGGCAAGGTGGAATCATAGGCCAGGGGAGTGGGTGGCAGTCAAGTGATCCATCGTGCTACCCACTTGTCTCATGTCCAGCAACCCAGCTGTTGGAGATCGCACGGCCTGTACAGTCTCTGTGCAGCACAGCAAAGTTCACTGCTGTCCCGCTCGGTTTCCCTTGCCCACATGCCAAGACCATCACTAGCCGCCGGCAGGAATCGTTGGGGAGGGTCATATGTGGGCGGGTGCAGATGATCGCCGATAAGCGAACGGCACGGCAACAACGACAATGGACCATTGGGGTCATGTGAGGTGTGTCTGGCGCTCCCGTCGTCTCCTCGTCTGGCACAATGTGCCCGTCTCCGTGTGGGCCAGGTCGAGTCGTGCTGAGCTGCAGGAGCTGCTGAGTTGGGTTGGGTTGCAAGGTACAAACCAGAGGAACCGAAACGCCTCGCGCGAGGAGCGGTTCTGGGAATTCTGACCAGCAACAAGCAGCAAGCAGCAAGCAGCAAGCAGCAAAGCACAACCAGCGTCGTCTCGCCTCGTCTCGTCTCGTGCCACAACCCTCTCCTGGCCCTTCCCCCGCCCTCGCCCTCGCCCTCAACTTGCCCTCGCCCGTTGCCAGATGTGCATGCGTTTGAAACGAATGCGACGTGCGGGGCAAGGTCAGGCCCGGGGCGGGGTTGTGGGGAAAGTGACGGCAGGCAGGCTGCGTACCTGTGCTTTCATTACTGCCCGCCCGCCCGCCGTGTCGTCGTCGCCGTCGTGCTCGTGAGGAGCGAGAAGCAAGAAGCGCCCGAAGTGAAACTGACAGACAGACAGCAAAGGAGCCAGCCTGGTGTACGAGACCCGCCGATCACGGCCGCCTGACCTGGCCTGGCCTGGTCGTCTGGACGCCGTTGGCACACGGCGTTTTCTGTGCCACACGGCCTTGACTTGCCGCAGGAACCGCTCTGGTCCAAGGCCCATGACCACGACCGCGAACCGCACGTCTCTGTACCTCTGTGGCGTCGTCTGGTTGTCCGGGGAACATGTTTCGAGAGAAGTGGGGGAGGGGTGAGAAAGGACAGACGAGTGCTGCGAGATCCGGAGGGGAGAGTGGGAGGAATGTGAAGAGCCGGGGGGATAAGTGAGATTGTGCATGATACCACCCGAGGCCGGGGCGGGGAGCGATGTGTGGGATGTGTGGAGCGACGAGTGCGGGTGCGCTTGCTCTTGCTCTGGCTAAAGCTCTGGCCCGTGAAACACCGACCAGTACACCGAGCTCGGTGGCCGATGCTGCCTCAGCACCGACTCGGCGCACGCCATGCAGCGACTTGTCACCTCATGGTTTTTGTGTGTTGTGCATGTAGCAACAGGTGGTCGATGGCTAGTTCCAGAGCCTCCAGAGCCGTCCCAAGCGACCAGGCCGATGGAACATTGAGCGCTGTTATCTCTGCACCCCTCATACTACAGCACATATCACTGGCTGGAGCTTGCATGCGACCGCCACCTGGCCACCTGGTCGTGTGCCTCGCCGGAACCGGAGCGGTGGACGTGTCCTGGATCACCGGCCGGTGAAACACCTTGTGCCAGGTTTTTTGCGTCTTCTCTCTTGCATGACTGGCTGGCTCGTCACGATCCTCGGGGCTTGCCCTCTCGGCCGAGCGAGGCAAGGCCGTGACCGGCGTGGTGGCGGCGGAAGAGGCCAACGACACACCCCGCCGACATCGAAATCGAAATCGAAAAAAAAGTTACACTTCCTGGTGCCTACGCAGTCCGACCCTTTTGCCAGCGGCGCGAGAGCGTCTCTGCGGTGTGCCCTTCTCTCTGGCTGTCTGCCCTCTGCGCTCCCGGCCCGCCACAAGGCCCAGTTTCGGCAATCAAACATGGGCGCGAGAGCAAAACAGTTCGGTCACTCCGGTCACCTGCGCGGCCGGCCAGCGCCAGCGGCCGCTTGCGTCCGTTCGTCCACACGCTGTCGCTCTTGTCGGGGTGTCGGATGAATGCGACTCTCCTCCAACACTGCTGCATGCGCATGCGCATGCAATGACGACGGGGTGGAGGTGGCCCGCACGATGCGAGCGATAGCGTGGACGTCGACAGTGACGACGGCTCACTGCCGTCCGCGGCCGACGGGGAGATTGGGGAATTAACCCGCCTATTGTCCTGTTTAATCATTTGTTTAATTTTAATTTTTAATGATATTGTCATCCACTGATCATGGACAGTGCCAGATCGGCGGAGATCTAATGAACGCAGAATGACTGACTGACTGACTGACCGACCGGAATTTCCCTCTGTCCCTTTTTTGTTTTCCTTTCTTCTGTTCCCGCCTACGGCTCGCGACGGCATTCGACCGATGGGCACGCACGCCATGGCCTAGATGAGATGCGAGATGCTAGCGAAATGACGACCATGGCGTTCCACAGCCGCGAGAGGAGCATATCCACGGGCCCACACGGGGCCTGAGACATTGCGATACGGCATTCCGTCCCGGCGGCAATGGCGCGGCTGGAGCATGCAGCCCAGCGGTACAGCAGTGTGTGGTGTGTGTGCCAGAGCAACGCCCAGGCGTGGCCGTGGTCTGTGTGGTCTGTGGACTGTGTGGTCTGTGGTCTGATGTCAGCGTGCCGCCGCCACTGGCGCCCAGCGCCCAGCCCAGCTTGACGCGAGGAACGGACAACCACATTCGGCAGGCTCGGTTGGAGGAGCGTGGGTCGTCTGTACGTCGCTGGCGTTCTGGGCGGTTGCCCTCTTTGTCGGACGTTTGTCACTGGCTGTCGCCCGCAATCGCCTGGTGTGTCGCAGAGGGAGAGGCGTCCGCATCCGCCGCGGGTTTTAGCGATGGTGTGCAGCGCAGGTATTCCGACCCGACATCGGAGGTCAGTCATTGGGCACACGGCGTCGCCCGAACGGTCGTGCGTGCGGTGGTGGACAGCGGTATGCGCGATTTCATGCAGCGAGACGGTCTTGAGAGAGAGGGGGGAGAGCGCACGGCACGGGTGCGAAGAGGGGGTGGGTGTAAAGGGCAGCAGGGATGGAGAGCAAAGGGTTTGCGCATCTGGGACAAACACGAGGGTAGCACAGACGACACAGACGCACAGAGAGTGACAGCGTAACAAACCCCGTCCATACTGCTGCTGCCAGGGAATGGACTGGGTTGTATTTGGACCATGGCAAAATTGTACAGGACGAGCCACGGGTGGATATCCAGGATGGGTGGGGTGGAGCTGATTGAGTGGGAGTTGCCCGTCTGGTGGGCCGTGAGTTGCAAACCCTGGGCAACAGGTGGCTTGACGGGTCAAGGGCCAGGGGAGAGACAGGGAGGGAGCCCAGCGAGATGCAGTTTGACACAGCCAGAAGCACCGTTTAACAGCGTACAGCGTACATGCACCGGGGGGGTGCTTGGCGTGTCTCCTGCTGGGACCTGTCTCGACCTGCCTGTTTGGGAGAAGCGCATCGACGGCCGGATAAGCGTCATCACGCAGGAGACGCAAAGAAACAGGCTCGGTTGGCACCTGTTGCTCCTGGCCCCCTTCTCCGTCCCCCCACCCACCCCGCCCGTCCGCCCGCGGCCCCAAGAGATGACGAAGAGCGGCTGGCTCGGCTGGGGGGCGACGGCGGCGGGCGGCTGGACCGAAAATGTCGCCTCTGGCTCAATCAAGCGCTATCTCCAGCAGCAGCAAACAGTGAGAGCGAGCAGCCGCGCCGCCGCGCCCGCGGACAGAAACGAGCGAGGAACGGGCATGCCAGCAGAGCCCTCCTGTGTCTGTCGGCCGTGTGTTGTCGTCAGCCCCCAAACTGCCCCCTCATGCCCCGCGCGACCAGCCCCAGCGGAGCAAAGGGATTAGTAGGCAGTAATGCGATCATATGCAGGTGGTGGTGGTGTGATGTGATGGGCCCGGCCGTGGACGAAAGAGCAGCAAAGTGAGCGCGCAAAGAGCAAAGAAAGAGGCACGACAGCGCGGGCGGCAGGACAAGCGTCGTAGTAGTTGGCAAGGAGGAGGAGGGGCACATGAGCAAGCAGCAGCAATGTAGCATAAAGGTGGAAACAGTGGGCCATACTGGGGTGTCTTTTTCCATCCTCTCGACCGTCTTCTACAGCCGCCACTTGTGCTCCTCAGCAACCCCTCAACCCATCGCTCGTCCGTGCAACACACCGCACCCCTCGCGAGAGCAAACACCCCACCCAGCGTGTGCACCCAACTTTTTGCTCCTTTTTTTTTTTTTTCTGCCCCCGATTTGATCCCTATCCGAGGCCATTGCGCTTTTCCCCCCGTCCGTCCCCCTCTCAGGCGTTGACGTAGACCGGCGTCGCCAAACAAACCTCTCGCCCTCTCTCGTCTCTCTGGCCCCCCACCCCAGGCCACCCACCCCCTTTCGTCCGTCTGCCTGCCAATCACAGCCCAGTCATCCGGGTCACTGCCGTATTTAGATAGACCCCCTCCATCGCCCACTTTACTTCTCTTCCCACCTCTCCCCCCCTCTCTCTCCTCACCTCTCTACCCCCCTCTCCCCCCCTCTCACCCCTCTCTCCCCCCCGCTCTCTCTAGACCACCATGTCTGAGAACGAGAAGCACACCCCGGAGGAGGTCCCCGTCAAGTAAGTACCACTCCACACCATCGACCCCCCCCCCAGCCGCCAAAACAGCTCCACCCCCCCCGGTGGACCACAACATACCCCCACCCCCCTTCTTCCTCTTTTCTGTGCATATGTTTGCATCGTGAAGCGAAAGCTCTACTCCACACATACACACACCGGCTATGCCGATCGCACGTGTGCTCTAGCAGTGCATTGCGCCCAGCATATCGCTCCACTGCCCCCACTGCCCCATTCCCTCTCTCGCACCCATCGCACCACCACCGGTCACCGTCCACATGCTGACTTTCCCCCAGGGAGTCCTCCCTCCCCGCTCCCGCTGCCACTCCCGACTCCGTTGCGGAGCCCGAGAAGAAGAAGCGCGAGTACAAGGACATGGAGGAGAAGCACGAAGGCGATGCCCACGCCAAGGTTGACCTCAACACCGTGAGTAGTCGTTGTTTGCGCACACCCACCGACACCTGGCTGCGGAAAAGCGGGCAAGAGGGGCCATTCCCCCCCCTCCGTTACCTCCTATCCAGGGCCGGGCCTGTCTCGCAAGTGTTTGAGATCACGTGGCTGACCGCGGCGCTTTTTTCGCTTTGCAGATTACCCTGACTGCCGGTGACCTGTACGACAAGGACAAGGTCGACATTGAGCACGTTGTCATGGAGGAGGTCTTCCAGCTCCTCCAGTGTGACGACAAGGGTCTCACCGCCACCGAGGCTGCCAACCGTATTGGCATCTTCGGCCCCAACAAGCTCGAGGAGAAGTCGGAGAAGTGAGTAACAAGAAAAAAAGGGACAGCCATCCGGGACCAAACATCCCGGATGGGGTAACAGAATTGCACCCCAGGACCCTGAAGCTGACTCGTTCTTCAGCGTCTTCCTCCAGTTCCTCTCGTTCATGTGGAACCCCCTCTCGTGGGTCATGGAGGGTGCCGCCCTCGTCGCCATCGCTCTTTCGAACGGTGGTGGCAAGCCCCCAGACTGGCCCGACTTTGTCGGTATTATTCTCCTTCTCCTCGTCAACTCGACCATTGGTTTCGTCGAGGAGCGCAACGCCGGTAACGCCGTCAAGGCCCTCATGGACTCGCTCGCCCCCAAGGCCCGCGTGAAGCGTGACGGTGTTTGGGCCGAGGTCGAGTCCGCTGAGCTTGTTCCCGGTGACCTCGTCGCCTTCAAGCACGGTGACATTTGCCCCGCCGACTGCCGTCTCGTTGAGGCCATTGATGTTTCCATGGACCAGGCCGCCCTTACCGGCGAGTCGCTTCCCCAGGGCAAGAAGGAGGGTGACGAGTGCTTCTCGGGCTCGACCTGTAAGCAGGGCGAGTGTGAGGGTATCGTCATCTCGACCGGTCCCAACACCTTCTTCGGCCGTGCCGCCACCCTTGTCGGCCAGGACAACGACCAGACTGGACACCTCCAGATGGTTCTTGCCCGCATCGGTTCGTTCTGCCTGGTCTCCATCGGTATCTTCGTCGTCCTCGAGATCATCATCCTCTACGGTGCCCCCTCGTTCCGCTACTCTTACCGCGACGGTCTTGACAACATTCTTGTCCTCTTGATCGGTGGTATCCCCATTGCCATGCCCACTGTCCTTTCGGTTACCCTCGCCGTCGGTGCCCAGCAGCTCGCCAAGCACAAGGCCATCGTCACCCGTATCACTGCCATTGAGGAGCTTGCCGGTGTCACCATCCTCTGCTCGGACAAGACCGGTACCCTCACCACCAACAAGCTTACCATCGACAAGGAGAACGTCAAGTGCTACTCGCACTGGGACGTCGAGGGCGTCTGCCTCCTCGCCGCCTACGCTTCGCGTACCGAGAACCAGGACGCCATCGACGGCTGTGTTGTCGGCACCCTCGCCAACCCCGCCGACGCCCGCAACGGCATCGAGCTCCTCGACTTCAAGCCCTTCAACCCCGTTGACAAGCGTACCGAGATCACCTACCGCGACCACGCCGACGGCAACAAGCTCAAGCGTGCCACCAAGGGTATGACTGGTATCATCATTGAGCTCTGCTCGCGCAACAAGACTTCCGAGCTCGAGGACCGCCTCGAGGCCGACGTTGAGGAGTTTGCCCGCCGTGGTCTCCGTGCCCTCGCTGTCGCTTACGAGGATGTCCTCGGTGAGACCCCCGACGCCCCCGGCTCCGGCTTTGAGCTTGTTGGTCTCCTCTCGATCTTCGACCCCCCTCGTTCGGACACCAAGCAGACTATCGACGACGCCATGGCCCTCGGTGTCAAGGTCAAGATGGTTACCGGTGACCAGCTCGCTATCGCCAAGGAGACTGGTCGCCGTCTTGGTCTCGGTGACCACATGTACCCCGCCAAGGTCCTCAAGGACGGCCCCGAGCCCGGCTCCAAGCACGCCAACCTCGACGAGATGATCATGGACGCCGACGGTTTCGCCGGTGTCTTCCCCGAGCACAAGTTCGAGATTGTCAAGCGTATCCAGGCCCTCGGCCACCTCTGTGCCATGACTGGTGACGGTGCCAACGACGCCCCCGCTCTTTCGCGTGCCAACGTCGGTATTGCCGTCGAGGGTGCTACCGACGCTGCCCGTGGCGCCGCCGACATTGTCCTTACCGAGCCCGGACTTTCGACCATTGTCCACGCCATCTACGGCTCGCGTGTCATCTTCCAGCGTATGCGTAACTACGCCATCTACGCCTGTGCCGTCACCATCCGTATCGTCTTCGGCTTCGCTCTCATGGCCTTCATCTGGAAGTTCAACTTCCCTCCCTTCATGGTCCTTATCATCGCTGTTCTCAACGACGGTACCATCATGACTCTCTCGCTCGACCGTGTCCTTCCCTCGACCACCCCCGACTCTTGGGACCTCGCTGAGGTCTTCGCCTTCGGTATCGCTTACGGTGTCTACCTTGCCGTCTCGACCATTGCTCTCTACGCCGTCATGCAGGAGACCACCTGGTTCGAGGACACCTTCCACGTCCAGCGCGCCGCCGACGACAACAAGATCTCGCACATGGTTATCTACCTCCAGGTTGCTATCATCTCGCAGGCTCTCATCTTCGTCACCCGTTCGCACGGCCCCTCGTGGACTGAGCGTCCCTCGGTTGCCCTCATGGCCGCCTTCTGTCTCGCCCAGCTTATCTCGTCCATCATTGCCGCCTTTGGCGACTGGGGCTTCACCAAGGTCCAGGGTATTGAGGGTGGCTGGATCGGTATTGTCTGGATCTGGAACATCGTTTGGTACGTTCCTCTCGACCTCATCAAGTTCATCATGAAGAAGACCGTCATCGCTTGGCTCCAGGCCCGCAAGGCCGCCAAGCAGCCCGAGGCCCTCGTCGACGAGAACGGTGAGCGTCTCCACCGCACCGCCTCGCGTCACGAGTCGCTCTACTCGAACCGCACCTCGTTCCTCGGCCGTGCCGCCGGCGCCCTCAAGGGTGGTGCCAAGGTCAACATGTCCAAGAACGAGCTCCAGCGCTTCTCGTCCATCCAGGCCCAGCAGTCGGGTGCCGCCCTCGCCCGCGGCGCTTCGCGTCACTAGACGTTTGCTTCGTGCGAACCACCCCCCCCTCCTCCCCAAACCCACCACAAACCCTCATCTGCGGTATATCCCCACCGCATCCCCCAACCTCACGTTAGCTAGCCTGTAATCGTGTGCGACCATTTGCATCACATACACACATCCCCCTTTCTTCTCCCTCTCGAGTTGATGGTTCCCTTTCTGGTTCAAATTCTGAAAAGACCGTCCATCTCGAGAGAAATCCGCCCCCCACCCTCCCTACCTCACCCAGGCTCAAACGTTCCCTTTTCTTTAAATTTGAGCTGTTCTAATTTAGCATTTGCGATGCAAGTGGTCGGCTTAGACTTGATAATAAAATAAACCAAAACAAAACGTTGCATTGGGACACTGGCACTGACTGACATGAGTCTGGCGCAGGACTGACTTACGACTGCCACAAACATGCTCTGCCCGTAGTGTGCACCACTCACTCGCACGTCGTCCCACTGCCGGGGGCGTGCTTCTCGCCTGTCACACCACACGCGCCCCCCCCACGCACACACGCCTGCGCGCCCGTCCACGGCCTCATTGCTCGCGACTGGCTGGCAGGTCAATGCGGGCGCCCACAGGTCCCAGGTCAGAGAGGCTAAGCGAGCGTGTGGGAGTGGGAGTGGGAGCGAGAGAGCGAGAGCGATACGGGCTATGTGTGGATGTGACGAATCTGACATGACATGTCGTATGTGGCTGACTTGGGGGACGGTCAGGCGCCGTGAGACAAGGGGGTGGGTGTGGGTTGGTGGATGGGTGGTGGGCCGGTGCCGTGTTGGGCAGGTCCGCCGTCCGTGTTCGCCTCTTTGGCCTGAGCGTTTGCAGCAGCAGCAGCACCCCAGCCATGAGCCAGTTGCAGGTAACACGCCGAGCGCCACCGACTGCAAACGTCCGCAACGGCCACAACGGCCAAGCCCCCCCGCCCAAACCCAAGCCCAAGCCCCAGCCCCAGCCAAACCCGACGCCAGCGGCAGCCAAGCGGCAGAGGCGCCGAGTGGTGAGGCGTCGAGCTCAAGCCCAGAGCCGTCATCAGCCGCCATGCCATGTCTCTATTGCTAACTGAACGCACGGCTGCCGATCAATGCCGATCAATGCGGACCTTCTCTGCACCATTTTGTCATTTCTTCCTCCTGTTGATCAGCGGATCAGCGGGACCAGCGGATGGTTTGGAAAGGAGCGAGAGCTGGAGCACACGCGCGGAACGGAATAACCATCTGGATATGGCCATGGATGGTTGTCTCTTGTGTGCGCACGTTTCCCAGAGCGACGGCCGTACGGCGTGCGGCGAAAGCAGAGACGCCCAGAGGCCAGAGGCGAGATTCGCTGGTAGCCGAACGGCCACTACCGGAGCAACGCTAGTGGGCAAGTAGACCAACCAGGCTTTTGGCAGCAATCGCGCAACGAAGCACGAGCACGATCACGAGCAACAGTACGAGCACGGGGTCAGGTCGGGTCATGTGCAAGTCCCAAGTCCCAAGCCTGCCCAAGCCCATTGCGCCATCGATATCACAGATATCACAGATCGCATATCCCATTGCTCAATAGCAGAGCAGCTGCAACGCTGGACCAACAGGTGTTAGTCCCGGCAATGCGGAAACCAATGTCATTTTCGACCTTTGGCTCGCCATGGTGGGCAAGAGGCGTCACGGGTCGAGCGGGACGATCACGAGGACGGTGGTGCTCTGGCGGCTCCACATGGCTCCGATGTCCGCTGATCCGCTGACCGCTCGACTAGGTGACCATTTGACCACACCATTTTGCGCGCATGTGGGCCCATGTCTCATTGGCGCGCCAAGCTATTCAACACCGTACAGGTGACAGGCAGGTATCAGTGGTCAGGTGGAGTGAGAGTAGTCACATGCCGATGGGTGTCGCCTCGGCGCGACTGTCATGCTACCGCATTCCATTTGTGACGTCAGTGGTGGCACTGCGCTGGGTATGAGCGGGGGTAGTCATGGCCTAACATGCGACTTGCGACTGGTCGGAATGCACTGGTCGAGGCACAAGTTGCCGTTGTGCCCCGTTGGAACACACGTTGGTCCTGGTCTACAGCCACCAGCGCCAACATCACTTTCTGTTTCGAGCCTGCCCGGACCGAGAACAAACGTTTGGAGAGGGATGGCGAACGTTGAAGAGGCGGGGAGCCCTCGTTCGTTTTACTTTCGTCGTCATTGGGTCAAATCTCGCACCTCAGTTGACAGGAGGGTAACAAACCGTAGTCGCGGTGACCAGATACCCGCTGCACGTGAACGGCTCACGCACGCGCACGTCACGAGCATGTTCGTTGTTGCTGACCTCACGTAGCATACCTAGACCTGCCTCCAATCGAGGTGCCATCCACTTGCGATGCGTTCCCTAGCACGTGCTATCCCCGGACGAAACACCACTTGTGTGAGTGCAGCGTCAAGGTACAGATGAGCCAACGTCAGAAGAGTCAGGACGGCAATGAGCCGGCTTTTTGTTGATCGCACAACTTCAGGTGTCGCTTGTCACAGTGAACACATCATAGCTGTGACGGTAGGGTACGCCGTTAGATAAGAGAAGAGTCCCAGGACCATCCCAGAAGTTGTGACTGTGCACTGCATGGCACTGTGCCTCGACGCTGAAAGCAGCAAGGCCGGCATAGGAGTTCGCGAAACGCAAGAGTGTGGATGTTGTCCACTCCATGTATACGCTCACCCTCATCCTCGTCACTGAAACCGGTTGCCCCACGTCCACACCGTATAGCTTCTGCTGCCCAGCCTGTCGCCGCCGAAAGATCCAGAGACGAGATGGCAAGCTGGTCGCTGGACCACCATCGGTGTTCTGTGCCACAATCGGCGATGACCGCCCGTCCCTGACAGCCTGTGCAATCTCGACACTCGGCCGCCTTATCAGTCCAAACTTCTCAACATCAACATCCACCACCATCAAACAACCATGAGCGTCTTCCGGGGCACGCTAGTCGACACGCCGAGCCCAGGCGAGCTGCGTATCCGCCGGGACCATGTCATATGTACGTCCCCAGCTATCGCACGCCTTCCTACGCTCCAGCTGACGAGACGCACCACAGCGGTCGACACCCATGGCGTCATCACCCACCTGTCGCCGGCCTCGTCCACGCCATCCGACCTCGTCGCGCAGGCCATTCCGCTGACCGAACGCGGTTTCCTCCTGCCCACATTTGCCGACTTGCACCTCCATGCCCCGCAGTACCTCAACGCCGGTATCGGGCTCGACCTGCCCCTCATGGAGTGGCTCGACGAGTACACGTACGTCGCGGAGGAGCGCGTCGACGCAGACCCCGAGCTGGCGCGCAGACTGTACGCGCGGCTTGTGGAGAGGTTGATTGAGGCGGGAACGGGGTGTGTGGTTGCGTTTGGCACCATTGGGGTGCAGGCCAAGTGAGTCTGGGGACGATAAAGAGGCAACCTGACCCCCTCCACAGCCTGATCCTCGCCCAAGCGTTCCAGGACGCCGGCGTGCGCGGCTTCATCGGCAAGCTGTCCATGGACCAGTGCCCAGTGAGCTTGTCCGTGTCGTCATCAAAGCTGACCCCAAGCGCCCGACCTATGGCGAACCATCCACCGCTGCGTCCCTTGCGTCGGTCACCGAGTTTCTGGACCGCATGGACAGCCTGACTGGCCCACTGCCGCCCCACCAACGCGTCGTCGCACCCATCCTCACACCCCGCTTTGTCCCCACGTGCTCTGACGAGCTGCTTCGCGGCCTCGCAGCGCTGGCCAAGGCGCGCGGCGTCAAGGTGCAGTCGCACATGTGCGAGAGCAGGGACCAGATGGCGTGGGTGGAGGGCACACGCGGCAAGGCCGACGAGGTGGTGTTTGACGAGGTGCGCTACATGGTAATTGTGGTGGTTGCGCTGACTCCAGGCCGGCCTCCTCACCGAGGACACGGTGCAAGCGCACGTCACGTCCTTTCCGCCCGCGCTTGTCGAGCTCGTCAAGACCCGCGGCGTCACCGTCGCCCACTGCCCGCTCTCCAACGCGTACTTTTCCGACGCCGCCTTCCCTCTCCGCGAGTGAGTCCAGAACACATCACACACACCACGGCACCTCTGCGCCTACAGCACGTCGCTGACAGCATGCAGGGCGATCGACGCCGGCGTCAAGGTCGGCCTCGGGTCGGACATTGCAGGCGGATACGCGCTCCCGATCCAGACGGCGATGCGACAGGCCGTCGTCGTCGGGCGCATGCGCGAAGGCGCGCGCCGCGAGGCGGGCGGTGAGCAGCCGCATGACGGCCGGGGGCTCAAGGTCGACTGGGTCGAGTCGCTCTACCTCGCCACCCGCGGCGGACACGCCGCCCTCGGTCTGGGCGGTGCGTTCGAGGTGGGCCTGCCCTTTGACGCACAGGAGAGTGAGTAGAGTACAAGAAACGGACGCAGTAGAATGGTGTCGGTGGCGCTGACTCTGCAGTCACCCTGGTACGCGGTACGCGCGCTGTGGGCCAGCTGGACATCTTCGACCTCGCCGACACGGACAAGTGGTGGACCGAGGCCGTCGAGCGGTGGTGGTGTAATGGAGACCACCAGAACCGTACGGGCATGTGGGTGCAGGGTAAGCGGCTGCTCAAACAGTCGGCATGACCTGGAGAGGCCATTAGAGGTCGGGTGACAACGGCCCAGACAGGTCTATGGAGAAACATATACTCAACCGTCCTCAGTTGCAACGTGTCCCGGCCAAACTGACGGGATACATCATACCCAGGCGACACCTGTACAGAAGTTAGGCCTACTCACTGCTAACCCGGCGTTCAACGCACGGTAGAACAACGTGGTCGGCGGGGTACGAGCAGAACGTTCTTTACATGCCACAACGGTCGGTCTCTCCACGCGTCAATCCACAGTGGCAAGAGTAAGCGGGACATTGAACCACGGATGCCGCTGTCGTACGGGATGGACGGAGGCGCCATGGCCGGTCCCACTCACCTCGGTGACGGCCTCGGTGTCCACTCATGTTCGGGCCAAGCTCACACACATGTCAGCCAATCTGATAACCCAAGGTTGCTATACATGGCCCATGCCAAGCAACGCTCAAGCGGACCTGCTTCGTGTGGCGGCTCGCAAACCACCGTCGCGCCCTATGCCAAGGGTTCCGCGCCCCGATGAGTCAGGTCACGGGCCGCAAAAACAAACAAAAAACAACGGGAAAATATGGTTATCTGATTAGGGGTATACGCCACACGTCCACCTGTGTGGCAGATCGGCCGACGTGCTTCAAGTGCAAACGAGTGTAGAGGTCGGCCGACATGTGGCCAATGTGATCATGGAGAAGGTGCTCTAGTTAACCGAGAGACATGAGCCGCATGGGGAGGAGGCGTTGGAAAGAGGTATAAAGAGGCCATGTCGGCCGTGAGAGAAAGACCCCACTCAGCTCGTCAAACAAATCTCAAAAACACTCTTCTCCCCCACCACAACTCTCCCAAAAAACACAACACCACAATGGTCGCCATCTCGCTTGCCCTCCCCGCCCTCGCCCTCGGTGCTCGTGCCGAGTAAGTTTCCCCTGCCCCAACTACCATCCGCTGACAAACAGTCTCACCACCTGCCAGTCGGACTGTGTCGCGCAGTACCTCTGCGCCGGCGTCACCGACTACCTCGACTCGTCGTGTATCTGCTCGGATGACTTCCAGCAGAACGTCAAGGGATGCCTGTACGCTGCCTCGTCGTGCGCCAACGACGTCCCGACCTGGTTCGACTACGCCGAGTCGGCATGTGCCGCTGCCTCGTCGGGCTCGTCGGGCTCGTCGGGCTCGACGGCTTCTGCCACTGAGACGGCTGCTGCCGACTCGACTGCGCAGGCCGACTCCAGCTCGGGCTCCGCCACGGGCTCCCACACTGGATCCCGTAGCTCGGCCACTGGCTCGGCCTCGGCTTCAGCCACCTCGGAGGCCAAGGCCGCTGCGTCGTCGACGGCCGCCTCGTCCGGCGCGCTTGGTGCCAAGGTCCCCGCCGCTCTCGGTGCCCTCGGTATTGCTGCTGGCCTCCTTCTCTGAGCCAGTCCTCTGTTAGACTTATCTCTGGTGTACTCTTGTTCCGGTCTGCGATATTAAGAGTCCTTTAAACGTTCTACCCCTTCATGCATATTTTTATTCCACTGTGCGCACCTTCCGTCCGTTGAGTCTCCGGTGACAGTTACTTTGCTGACATTTTGGCACGATTTTTTTTTTCCGCGGGGAGGGCTGGCAACAAGATACCGACACGCTGCGGGCCGCTCCCCCCTCCTTCTGCGGACCACATGTCCCACCTCCCGCTTCTTTTACGTTCACAGCCGAGGCTGCCTTCCACACCTCCCAAGTGGACGACCGGCCGAAACAACGTCGCCAACAGACACCCTAGTGGCGCGTCTCCGCCCTGCTCCCATCCACACGCGAGCGTCGTTGCCTAGAGGCCTATAGGCGAGAAGAGAAGGAGAGCAGCCGGGCTCGCCTCGAGGAGCTCACGACAATGGGATGCGGGATACAAAGATCATGCAGGGTCTTGGACGCACAGGGAAATGGCGGCCGACGACGACAATCACAAATGGCCGCGACCAAAGTCTAACATGGTTAAGAGTTGCGCAAGTGACTGGGGATCTGATCGTCCCGTCTGCGCGATCCGCAGTCGTTCTCGTAGATTATATGCATACCTTGGTGAGACAGTTCCGATGGTGTGCGTCTTGTTCAGCTTGCTTCCACCTCCTCTGGCTGCTGTCCACGGCAGTTAGCGACGCTGAAACACCCCAGGCGCCAGCTCGGGTTTCTGGTTTGTTCGCTGCCACAATCCACATGCACATCCTACCGACCCCCAAGTCTGGCCTTGGCCAAGCCTCTTCCGCCAGAGTAGGACCCATGTATCCTGCCAAGCCTCTCACTTTATTGCACAACCCCTCCCGAGAACCTGTCAGCAACGCTTCGGGGGGCGGCCTGACGCCGTAGCACGCGCTGCCATTTGGTCGCCACTGTACACGTCGGCCGTCATAGGCAGGCGAGACGCGAGATAAGCTGCCGAACTGCCGAGGGTGTGTCGAGTGCTTTGGTGTGGGCCCAAAACACATGCTGCATGTAGTCTTGGCAGCAACGACGATCAGAAGCGTATTGGACTGTGCGATCCGGAGCCGCAGCGACCGCGCGAATGGGATGGAGTCGGATGAGGAGGACACGAGGCGTGATCCGCAATGGTGCCGTCCTTTTTCTGGTGTGCCACACGACAACGTTCTTCGCTCACGGCGAATCTGTCTCTCTGCACGGCAGCTCGCTGGCCATATGTCCTTGTTCGGCTAACTGACTATTATGGACAGAGTCTACTAAGTTTGAAACTCGCTTCCTTCAAAGGAACGACCGTTATGTGCTGGGTAGCCACAAGCGACACTGGCCGTAAGCATTTCATTTATCTTCCTCCTCGTTTGGTCTCCGAGGACGCTGTTGTTCCTATCATGAGTTCACAGGCCTGCCCATAATTCCGCCCCAACAGCTAGCTTGTCCCCTTCAACGCATGGAATGCCCTCTCGACACATGGAATGCTAGGGGGGAACCTAAGGCCAGGCTCACTCTTGACATGGGACTTATTCCCCCGAAACCACATCGTTGAAGCGGAGCGCGACCCCCAATCCTTTCCAAGCATTCACTCGCTCGTCAATCCATTAGCCCCGTCACATTCCAGCCCCATTAATCTTATACACACACGCCTGCAGGCTGCGGCAGGCAGTCTGGCCACCTCTCCGGTGTATTAAGACTGTCGGGGCGGAAAGTGGCGGAGTTTCGTGAGAATTCGTCCCTGCTCACTGATCACTCAATGGCCAAAGGCGGTCTGTGGCCATGGTATCGAAAGGAACGCCCAAGTGTCCCCATACTGGTTGAGAAACATGGCTGCAGCATTAGCTGCTGCCCCAATCGACCAATCCAATACGATGAGTGGGTGGGAGGACGGATGATCAGGTTGCCTCAGCACCGTGTCGAGACACATTCACGAAGCAGAAACCCGGATCGCAACATTGGCCGCCTCATAGGTCTCACCCAGCGGGCGAGATACACGTAACTCGATGGGCGGGGATTTGTCCGGTGGTCTAGTGTGTTTTCTGAAATGTCTTCCCTCTGTGTCTTCCCTCGGTCTTCCCTCACACGTTATGTGTACCTCATACGATCCCGACGACGACGACTGCGTGACCTGGGTATTCGCTGCTCGGCACAAATAGTGTCAGAGCACACCTCTCACACGCGCCCGTTGCAACCCATCATAAAGTAGAGGCTCCCAATCATCACATACACTCTAGCTATCTCTACACGCTACACGCGTCTGTGTCTACAATGGTGTGATTATATCGCTTCAGATCCCTTTGTTGGTTGGATTGGTTGTTGGAACACCCACCACCGCCGTTAAGCGATGGTGGAAAATATGTCTCTCTCTCTCTCTAAGCCTTAGGCCTCGACGACGGCCTCCCACTCAACGCCGACCCACTCCTCGCCGACACCCACACAGTCCTTCTCGCACGAGAAGACCATGATGGTGCCCCACTCCATCTCGCTCTCGCCCTCGCCCTTGGCGAGGCGGGTGAGCTCGGCCTTGCGCTCGTCCTCGGTGAGGTTCTTGGCGGGGGCCGGGACGGGCGCGGCACCGGTGGTGCTGAGGGCCGAGGGGCGGAGGACGTTAATGAGCTGGGGCACGAGCTGGACCTCAAACACGCGCTTGCCCTTGCAGCGCGGGCAGGGCGGGATGAACGAGGGCTTGTACCAGTCGGCGAGGTAGACCTCTTCCTCCTCGGACGAGGGGGCGCGCACGGGCGCGCCGGGGAAAAGCTTCTTGAACAGCGCCGAGCTCGACGAGTAAGGGAGGGGCACGGCGCCAAAGTCGTACCGCAGGACCTGGGTCGAGCCGTCCTCGGCGCTGTCGAGGCGGCGGACAAAGCGCTCGAAAATGTCGTCGACGCCCTTGGGCAGCAGACGCTCCCAGCCCTCGTCGCGCCATTCGGCCTTCATCTCGGGGGTCTCGTCGTCGTCGCTGTCGACATCGTCCTCGTCGTCCGACTCGGGCAGGGGGAGGTACTCGTCGATGGTGGCGAGGTACTGGGCCGGCTGGTAGGCAGGGAGGGGAGGGCCGAGGGTGACGGGCTCGGTCGCGATCGAGAGGGCCGCAACGGCCTCGGTGGGGGCGGCAACGGCAGCAGCCGGAGCGGCCTCGCCAGCGGGGGCAGGAGCAGCAAAGGGGTTGGCGGCGGCCGCACCGAACAGGGGCTGAGCCGAGCCAAAGAGGCCACCGGTAGGCGCGTCCTTTGTCGTAAAGGGGTTGATGCGAGCCTTGGCACGCTCCTCAGCGGCGATGCGCTCGGCCTCGGCGCGCTTGGCAGCAACGTCGGCGACGTACTCCTCGTTGCGGGCGCTGGCACGGAAGGCGCGGATGCTGCCCTCGCGGCGCTTGCAGGCAGCACGGGCACAAGCCCACACGTAGACGGTGCGGTCGTTCTCGCCGTCAACGAGGGGTGCGTACACCTGCGCAAGGAGGGGGATGGGCTCCTGGCACACGCCGCACTTGACGGCCGCGGGGGCCGAGGAAGCCGTGGAGGGAGGGAAGGCGGGGTAGCCTCCAATGTAGGAAGTGGTGTGCGAGGGGGCGGCGCCAGCCTCGATGGGTCCGTCGGGGAGGGCGAGGAGCGTGGTGCCAACCTCCTCCTCGGACCCGTCGTCCGATGGCGGGGGAGCAGGACGGGGGACCATGGTCGTCGTCGTCTCGTCCGCCAAAGCGTCGGGGTCTCTGATTATATCGTCAGCCTCCGTTTCAAAATAATAATAATATAATAGACAGAATCCAGGAGGTGTGGGGTTGCGTGTCAGAAAAAAGTCGCCAAACTAGTATGGGATCGTCATGCCATCCATGCATGCGCGTTCGTTCCCCAACTCTTCCGTGAGCCCGGTCCACAGTGGGCGCCCACTGAACTGCCGCCAAAACGGAAGCAGACCAGCGAGAACACCACCATGGCCCGGCGGTAGAGAGGGTCGCGAAGCGTACGCACGGGGGCGTAGGTCTCGTCATCGTGTCATCATTCGTGCAACCCCTCATCAATGGAGGGTGGTGGTCTTTGGTAGAGGACAGGAGGGGGGAGAAGGAGGGCTGATATTTACCTGGTTGTGGAAGTGGAATGAAGTGAAGAAGAGAAGTGGACAGAGTTTGACCCAGATTTTGTTGCCTCGCCAAAACGGTGCGAGCGGTGGTTATCAGGTGTACACGTATTTTACATTCTAGAGGTGAAAGCCCAAAGAAACCCCCAAGTCATAACAACCAAATGTTCCAGTGCTTCTGTGGTATTCCTTGCAGCTTCCAGGTTTGTAGACAGGGAACACCCGCATAATAACATGTATCGCTATAGTACAAGACACTTGACTCGCCTCGTCGCTGGTGAGTCATTCGCACATGCGCCATCTAGTCCGCCTCAGCGAGGACCTCGTCGCCCCCCTCCTCGCCTTCATCGCCAAACGCAGCGTCGTCCGCCTCAGCAACCTTCCTCTTGCGACCGGCAGTCTTGGGCGCGGCCTTCTTGCCTCCCTTGGCCTTGGGCTCCTTGACGGCAGGCAGGCCCCCTTCGATCTTGTCGAGAAGTTCTAACGTCAGCTACCAATACGCAACGTGGCTAGCTCACCGTCAAACGTCAGACCTTCACGGTCGGGCACCGTGTTCTTCAGGTGGTGCCACTTGCGGCGCAGCTGGGCCGGGGTAAGGCCCCACTCGGGGAGCATGACGACACCGTGCTGAACGTCCGACTCGTGCTTGATGCCGAGCTGGCGCATGCGGGCAAGGAGGAGGCGGGGGTCGAGACGGGGACCGCGCTTCTTGGGCTCTGGGGTGTTGCGGTGGCCGTAGCCCATGGTGTCCTGCCACTTCTTGCGGCACTGCGTACGAGTACGAGTGCCGCCCATAAGGTTGACGACAACGTCCCATGGCGTGTCGGCGCTCAGTGGCTCGAGGCCCAACTGCTCGTTCGCCTTGGCGACAGCCTCCTTCAGCCTCTCAGTCTCATCCTCAGTCCAGGGGCCTGAATGTCAGCTGACTGTCGCAGAAGAGTTCAACTCACCAGTGTTGCGCCTGTCCTTGTCACGCAGCTCGCACTTCCAACGGTCACGGCAGTCGTGAACCGTACGCTCGACAATGTCTGAAATCTTGGTCCACTCGTTGGGATACTTTTCATACGCCCTGAGGAGAGTTAGTACCAGCGGATATTAGTCTTAACTCACTCCAGCAGTGCAGTGTCTTCGGCTTGTGTCCAAGCACCCTTGCGGGCGCGGGGGTCGTACATGCGCTGAACAGCGGGGACAACGTACTTGACGGGGCGGCCAGGGACCTTGGCAGCTGTCTGTCAGCGTCACCAACAGGGAATTGTACTCACAGAGCTCGGCCCAGAAGTGCGGGTAAGCAGAGCGCTTGTCGTAGCGGCCCTTGCACATGAGCACCTCGAGGAGTTCGGCGTCGCCGAGGTTGCTCTCCTCCTGGAAGCCCTTAATGTGGTCGCGCATGGCCGTACGCTCAGCCTCGGACCACTTGCCACGCTTGTACTTGATCACTGCTGTCAGCTCGATCCTCAACAATGCGGAAGCTCACGACCAAGACCCTCGAGACGGTGGAGCTCCTTGGCGTCGATCCATTTGGAAGCGAGGTACGCGTTGGCCTTCTCCTCGGTGTCAAGTAAGGAACGGAGGTCCGAGTCGACGTCCTCTTGAGTACGGCCCCAGCGGTTGCGTGGTGCGGCAATGGGGAGTTGACGAATAGCGCGTGGCGCGGGCTTGGGCTTGGGCGAGCGCCTTGCCTTCTCCGACAGAGGGGTACCTTCCTTGACATCGACATCGGTAGCCTTTGCCTTGCCCTTGCCCTTGGGCTTGGGCTTGGGGGCGGGCGCCTTCTTGACAGCAGCAGCGCGGCGGGAGCGACGGACGGGGGCCTCGTCTTCGTCCTCCTCAAGCTCATCCTCACCCTCCCAGTTGACGCCTTCCTCCTCATCCTCGTCATCGTCGCTGCTGTCATCATCCAGCTCGTCTTCCTCCTCCTCCTCCTCTCCACCGAGCTCATCCTCGTCCTCGTCGGCAGTCTCACGGACAGAAGACTTGTCGTCCATGTCGTCATCCTCGTCCTCTTCGCCGGCAATCAGGTCGTCCACCAGCTCGTCGTCCTCGGCGTCATCCGCGTCGTCGTACACTGACGCGGGGCGGGATGGTGTGTCGACTGCGACACCACCAATGGCGACACCGGCGCCGGTGCTGGCGCCGGACCCACGACCGCGACGAGCGCGCTTCGCAGGCTCGGCGGCGTCGGAAGCGCCCGATCCGCGTCCGCGACGACGGCCCTGTGTGGTGGATCCTTCGGCCTCAGCCCCGCCGTTGACAGCAGGCGCGTCATCCACAGGTGCGGGCTCGGCGGTCTCGGCGTTCTTGCGCGCACCGCGGCGGGCGCGGCCAGCTGGCAGGGCGGTAGTGCCGTTGGTCCCGTTCGTGTTTGGGAGAGTGGGTTCGGCGGCGAGGTCGTCAACGGTCATGGCGCCGACAGCCATCCGGGTAGAGACGCGGCGCGACCCAGACGCAGCGGGCGCGGGAGGTTCAGGAGAAGCCGCTTCAATCTTGGTCTTCTTGCGTTGATCGGCAGCCGTGTCAATAACTGCACACAATGTTTGTCAGTGGGACCACACTTCGTTTTCCCGGATGTAGCAACCCACGCTTGCGCTTTGGCACAGGCGCCTGGGGGACGGGGGCCGCCGACGAAGCCGCTGCCGCTGAGCGCCTGCGGGAGGTCTCTGGTGGCGCGTTGCGTGCGCCGTTAATGCTGGACGGCATGGTGTTGGGGTTGTCGCTTTGTGTGTAGGACGGAAAGGATGAGGTGTGAGATTGACTGGACTGGCAGAGACTGAAATCTGGATGGGCGAGGCGCGGCTGCTGAGCGTGGCAGACACGTTACGTAAGTTGTTGGGTTTGTTGTGTTCCAGAAAATGCGGCCATTTGAGACTCAACACTCTTGTAATAGCCCAATTGAAATTGGTTACCAAAGGTCCCGAAAATCCGGTGCCGGATGCGGGGCATGAGCTTTTCGTCGTTGCGTCAGTCTTCAGAGGGGCTAACCAGAGGGACACCCATGAACACTCATTAGCAGGCCTGCTGTATCCCCATTAGCATTGGCTGCGGCTCTCGAGGGTCACTTTGTCAACCTTCGTCAGCCTGCATGCAGCCTCCTTGGTTGTGAACGGCGAGAACATTAATTTAATGACGTCATTAGATTGTAACCGCGAGTGCCACATACTAAACGAGGCACCATATGTAGGTGTGAGGCTGGTAAATGAGAAAACTGTCCCAAATGTCCGTCTCGTCTCCCGACAGCCTTTCATCTCTTGAATCTTGCATACTGGTGTGCTCACGATCTCACACTACTGGTACTGGTCATTACCCTGCGCTTGCCACAGGCCAGTGCCGGCCATGCACATCGAAGATGAGCACAGGAGCGGGCACATCTCGTACTTGCGTAGCGATTGTAACAGGCCAAGTCACTGCACAGAGTAAAAACGGGGGGCAAGATCAATGCCAAGCAGCGCAGCCACCCCAGCTCCTCCTCCAGTCCAGCCTCCTCAACCCAGTTCTTGGGCAGGCCATTTCGTTCATCGGACGCGTTTCATAAGGCTGTGTCGACTCCCGCAGCACGGGGATACTCGTGGCGAGGGAGGGATCGAGAGTGTCAACAGTTTAGTGAGGATGCGGCGATGCATTGTGCAGGTATAGCGAGCTGTCACAGTGGTGTCACTGTCCAAACTGGCCGGATCCAAGCTGTGTCAATGAAGTCAAATGTCACGCGATCAAATGCGAAGGGGCTGGCGGCTCAGTGACCAGTGAGATCAGTGGTCAAGCAATTGCAAGTAACCAGGTGGCCGGTGGCGTATGTCACAGCTGTCACCGGTCGATGGCCATCACGACAGATGTACAGATGTGCGGCGTGTAGATATGGTCCGGGGTTCTGTATGTGATGTCAAAGGGAGTCTCTCTAGTAGACAGGGGGTGGTCTCGCCAGACGTCGAGTATCGTGCATCTGGTCGTCTATGCATCCAGACACCCACTGGACTTGGCGAGACCGGGAGACCTGTTCGGGGGACTTTAGGCTTGGCAGGTGCCAACGAGGTCTGGACAGGTTATAGGCCCGCCACTCAATTAGCCCCAGGCGTGGATCGAATGCCGCGCTTGCCGCTTCTCGGCGCAATGGGTGGGTCACGGCGGCGGCGGCGGCGACGCTTTTTGGATGGCCAAATGGCCAGATGGCCTGGCTTTGAAGGGAGAGAGAGAGGTGAGGGATCGGGGCCAAGGGAAAAAAAAAAGGTGGCCAACAGGTGGCCGGTGGAGGGGCGGCACGAGTCATAGCAAGCACAGAGAGAGGAGAGCGTTGGTTGCCCACACACCACCCAGTCAGCCGCCCATTCCGCCCACCCCACCGACCCACCGACCGCCGTACCCGCCGTGCCCCCCCCCCACCCCACGCACGCACCCGCGCACCCACACCCACCCACACCACCCAGTGTCCATCCCGCAAACTGCCCTTTTCGTCTTGGACGCCTCTGTCGTCAGTCACATCGCCCACTCACATCCATCTCTCTTGTCCTCATCTCCACACCTCTCCCCCCCCCTCATCTCACCGCTCAACTGTGTAGCACTTTCCCTCCCACCCCCCTTTCCTCTATCGCCCACTCCCCTCCTCCTGTACCACAACCCCACTCCACAATCCTCCCCCCCCGTCATCACACGCCGCCGCAGCTGCCCAGACTCCTCTCCACCTTCCAACCGTCCATTGGCCCCTTGTGCACGCACCAAGTGTAGATCATCCTTAGCGAGAGATTATCGGCGTCTTATCCTTCTCCCTGTACCCATCTGGCATACGTGCATGACATCCTCATCCAACATGCTCAAAGGCGTAAAGGTAAGGCGGCGCTTACAAACCGCAGGCGGCAGGAGGAGCTCTGCTCGCCACCGGTCTCCATAATGCTGACTGATCGACAGCAGCTCTGGCCCTCATCGTCGGGCACGGCGCCTCCTTCGACCCAGCCCTCCAAGGAGACTGCTCAGCCTACCTTGTCCCCCTCGAGCTCGTTCAACCCCCTCGGCGGCCCGCAAGACCAGGCGACGCCGCGCGCTTCCAACACGCCAAACCCGTTCGACTCGGCGCCCCAGCAGGTCCCGACATCGCCCGCTCCTGGCCTCGCAAAGGCCACTTCGGCTCTCTCGCTCACGGGCAACTCCCCTGCGGGCAGCCTGAACGGCATGCGCACCCCGACTGCAGTGGGCTTTGGGCCGATTGGCACTCCTGGAGTTGCACCGCCCACCACAGGTGTGACGATCGGTGACACGCTCGGCGGCGTCGGTGGTCTAGGGTTTGGTCTCCACGAGCCACCCAAGATGCTCAAGGCGCAGTCGTCGCTGCAGCATGGCTCGGGAACGCACACCCCACAAGAGTCGGGCGTGGTGACCCCCGGTGGCGACGCCAGCACCGATATCGTCCCCGGATCGGGTGGGCCGTCGATCCGCGGCACACTCAACGTCAAGCTCATCCAGGCCCGTGGCCTGAGCGTCTCGCTCGTCGACAACCCCGACCCGCAGCCCTACGTTGTGATGCAGTTTGAGCAAAACGAGTTTGTCTCGCGCGCTCCTCACTCGGTCTCCAACCCGTCTCACGTGCCGTTCACCCAGTCGCAGCCCCAGCCGCTCAAGGGATCCACGTCTTCTGGTGGTCTTGGCTCAATCACCCGTGCTTTCGCCGACGCCATGGGTCGCAAGAAGGACACTGGAGCTCGCACGCCAAAGGACGAGGGCAACGCGCAGGCTGGATGGCTCGGCAAGCCCGGCCCAGGCGACCCTATTTGGAAGGAAGAAGTCACCTTGTATGTATCCACCAAAGGAGAGAAGGAAGGAAGGAAGGAAGAAAAACGCCACTGACGCATGTTCCGTTAGCGACCTCACGCAGGCAACGTCTGCCATCCTCGTGTCCGTCTACGACCGCAACAAGGCCGGCGAGGGCTTCCTCGGCATGCTCCAGATCAAGCCGGTCCTCAAGGACGGCTTCACCCTCGATCAATGGTACACGCTCGCCACCCGTGGCAGTGAGACTGTGACTGGTGAAATCTGGATCCAGACCACTTTCACCGCGCTCCGCAACAAGGTCCATCTCAAGCCTGCCGACTTTGAGTTCCTCAAGCTCATCGGCCGTGGAACGTTTGGCCGTGTCTTCCAGGTCCGCAAAAAGGACACGAAGCGCATCTACGCTATGAAGGTGCTCTCGAAGAAGGAGATTGTGGCCAAGAAGGAGGTCGCCCACACCATCGGTGAGCGCAAGATTCTGCAGCGCTCCCTCGAATGCCCCTTCCTCGTCGGCCTCAAGTTTTCGTTCCAGACCGAAAAGGAGCTCTACTTTGTCACCGATTACAAGTGCGGCGGCGAGCTGTTCTGGCATCTCCAGAAGGAGGGCCGCTTCTCAGAGGACCGCGCCCGGTTCTACATTGCCGAGCTTGTTTTGGCACTCGAGCACCTCCACAAGTACAACATTGTGTACCGTGACCTCAAGCCCGAGAACATTCTTCTCGACGCCACCGGCCACATTGCCCTTTGCGACTTTGGCCTGTCCAAGCCCGACCTGAGCAACGACCAGCTCACCAACACGTTCTGCGGTACCACCGAGTACCTCGCTCCCGAGGTTCTCCTCGACGAGAAGGGTTACGGCAAGCACGTCGACTTTTGGTCGCTCGGTGTGCTCCTCTTTGAGATGTGCTGTGGTTGGTCGCCGTTCTACGCCGAGCAGACCCAGGAGATGTACCGCCTCATCTGTTACGGCAAGATTCGCTTCCCCAAGCACGTCATTGGCGACGACGGCAAGCAGTTTGTCAAGGGTCTTCTCAACCGTAACCCGCAGAACCGTCTTGGAGCCAAGCGCGGCGCCGCCGAGCTCAAGGAGCACCCCTTCTTCAAGGACATTGACTGGGACCTGCTGTACAAGAAGCAGATTACGCCCCCGTTCAAGCCCATTGTCGACTCTGACGAGTCGGTTGCCAACTTTGACCCCGAGTTTACAAACTCGTCGCTGTTGGATGCGGGCGTCGACGTCCACAACGACGAGGACTATATGCCTCAGCAGCCTGGCAAGCACTCGTATGTTGGCCCCGGCGGCAGCCTGTCCAAGCCGTCGTACATGGGCCAGGCTGGTATGGCTATCAAGCCCCAACGCCCGGCCGGCCAGCACAACGGCAGCCCCCTCACGTCGTCGGTCCAGGAGAACTTCCGCGGATTCACGTACATGGGCGAGTCGGTCATGGTGAGTTGGGACAGTGATGTAAGCGGCGGCTGGCAGCTAACTCTCGCAGCCCTCTTCGTTCTTTGGCGACCGCGACCATGGCATGGAGGATGTGGAGGAGGACAACGAAGAGGCTGTCGAGGACGACGACGAGTACTCGGACGAGGACGAGATGGAGGGCCAGCGCACGCGCAGGCAAAGCGATGTTGACATGGAGTAAAGGCCGCCCAACCCCCCCATTCGCATATTCTTGTTCAATTCAACTTTCACACTTCCCCCTCCACCGTCATCGCCTCAACGCAAACCTCAACCGCCCCCTCCCTTCCCCCTTGTCATGAACGTTTCCGAATCAACACAAAGCAAAGCAGCAAATCACAAGTATAATTCGATAACCCTCGGCACTGGTCCTGCCATGGCATTTTCAAATGTCAGGATGCGTGTGTGCCCCAACCATCTCATTATCCACCGTGACCGTGGCCGTGAGCGTGAGACACCAACCATCAAGCCTCGCGCAGGGCCGCTCGCAAACGCAAACAACAACACCTGCAGTGTACCACCATAGTCTTGGCACCTGGCCCGCTGCGAGTATCCGTTTTTCTTTTTGTGAACGGTTATCGCGGCCCAGGAAGTGTATCTGTTGGAGAGCATGGATCGTGTGCAACGAAGCAGCGGAGCAGCGAAGCAGTGAAGCAATGTGGGCAGAAGGCGTAGCAGTAACCGCCGCCGCAGCGGTGACAGCCACGTTCACAGCAGCAGTAACAGCGGTGACGGCCGAGTCCATGTGTCAGCAGGGCAGGCACGTTGAGATAACGCTGCGGGGCCGACTAGGGAGCAGTTCTGAAGCCCGAGTCTGTCGTGGAGGTTGCTAGACGAGTGCATGACTTGCGTTTAACTTGCGTTTAACTCGTCTCAGTCGTCCGCGGCTTGGGTCGGTATCATATGTTGTCGCAGTTGACCGCTGTCTGCTGGTCCGTGTTGTGTAACGGCAGAGTGGCCAAATCGGGTTGTAATGAAGCTAACCGCGGGCATGTCCGACATTAGCTTGAAGCATTAGAATACTGATCCGCCCTACCGGACGGGCCGGCCTTATTTTTCCGTTCAACCAGGTCATGCCTGTGAGGGTGCTAGAGCCGAGCCGATGGTCTGGGATAGCGGCGTTGGCTGGCTGGCTGGCTGGCTCGGTCTGCCCGAGTCGAGTCTGGACGTCTGGACACCGGCGGCTGGAATCTCCCTCTCCCTCGCGGACTGATCTTTAAACATCTCAATAGTCTCTTGTTTCCTTTCCCCCACACACACTCACCACTCCTCTCTTTCTCTCGTCCCAAAAAGACATGACCCGTCTCCTTGCGTCCCTCTCGCGCGCGGCCCGTACTGGCGCCGCTGGCCCCCTCCGCTCGGCGCTGCCCCGTGCCGCCGCTGCGCGCCCCGCCCTCGCTGCGTCGGCCGCCCCGCGCCTCGTCGCCCTCAAGCACTCGGTCCCCGTCCACGATGTCATGACTGGCGAGCTCATCTCGACCCCGGACATTGATGTAAGTAGCAATTGGCATTGTTGGCCCGACTTTTTTGTCAGGATGAGGATGGCAGGGCGCATCATTGGGACGAGGTCACGCGTGCGCGCGCGACATGGCGAGACCCGAGAGGTTCGGTGGGCATGCGCCGGCCGGATCCCGCGGGCTCGGTTCAATGGTGACGAACCACCCTTGACTTGACTCGGTCACTCGACCTTTTCGTCAACTGTACAACACACTGTATACGACGATGCGCCGCGCCATCAGCACCTCCGCCTCTGCGCTCCGCAGCAGCCGTTCTGCGCAGCTCCAGCTCCCCTCGCTGGGAGCTGTGGCACGACGCTCGTTTGCGACCTCGTCCTCATCCTGCCAGGCAACCCCAGCAACACTCTCTGACTTGCAGGTGTCCCAACTCCAGGTCGAGTTGACCAAGAACCCCAAGACTCGCCCGCCGGCGTCCAAGCTCATCTTCGGCCACACCTTCACCGACCACATGCTCACCATCCCCTGGAGCGAGTCTACTGGCTGGGGCGCTCCCGAGATCAAGCCTTGTGAGTATGGAGCAAAAGTTGGCGCGAGGACGAGTCCTCCAGTCGCGTCCTGTGTGCTCCTGTGTGCACAGATCACAGTACCACAGTGGCAGGCGACGCAGTCTCATGTGCCCCGACGATCGTGTCTGCTGCCATGAAAAAACAGTTCCAGCTGACCTCCCCCCTCAGACCAGCCTCTCTGCCTCGACCCCTCGGCGACCGTCTTCCACTACGCCTTCACCCTCTTCGAGGGCACCAAGGCCTACAAGGACAACGAGGGCACTGTGCGCCTCTTCCGTCCCGACATGAACATGGCCCGCATGAACCGCTCGGCTGCCCGTATCGCTCTGCCCACCTTTGACGGTGAGGCGCTCACCGAGCTCATCAAGAAGCTCGTCATGATCGACTCGGAGTGGATCCCCAAGGAGAAGGGCTACTCGCTCTACATCCGCCCCACCATGATCGGTACCCAGAACGCGCTCGGCGTGGGACCCTCGTCTGACGCTCTCCTGTTTGTCATTTGCTCGCCCGTCGGCCCTTACTACGCCTCGGGCTTCAAGCCCGTCCAGCTGTACGCCACCACCGAGTTTGTGCGCGCCGCTCCCGGCGGCACCGGCGGCTACAAGCTTGGCTCCAACTACGCCCCCGGTGTCGTGCCCCAGGCTGCTGCCGCCAAGGCCGGCTACAGCCAGAACCTCTGGCTCCTCGGCGACGAGCACGCGCTCACCGAGGTCGGCACCATGAACCTCTTTGTGGCGTTTAAGAAGCCCGACGGCACCATCGAGCTCACCACCCCTCCCCTCGCCGACGTCGTGCTCCCCGGTGTCACCCGTGACTCGGCGCTCAAGCTCGCCCGCGACCACGCCGCCGGCAAGATCAGGATCCCGGGCTTCCCCGAAAAGCTCGAGGTGTCGGAGCGCAAGCTCGTCATGGCCGACCTCGTCGAGGCCGAGAAGAACGGCACCCTCGTCGAGGTGTTTGGCACCGGTACCGCCGCCATCGTGTCGGCCGTCGACAAGATTGGCTACCTCGGCCGCGACATTGTCATCCCCTGCGGCCCCGCCGGCCAGGGCATGGGCGACATTGCCAAGGGCGTGCTTGAGACCTTGCAGGGCATCCAGAGCGGCGAGCTGGAGAGCGAGTGGGCCGTCATTGCCAACGACAGCGCTTAGGACAGCGTTGTTGTTTGGCACAGGTTATATTAGTAGTTTTAGCACACAACCAAAGGGCCCATCCATAGCCATATACCTCGGGATTTGATGAAATAGACAACACATTTTGGTCACCGTTGCGGCAGGCGCACGAGGCGAGCTTGGCTTGGTAACAGGAGTGCGTGATACTCACACGACGTGTCGATCACGGCTACTCAGTCATGGCGCACGCTGATCACTGGATCACTGTGGCACATGGCGCTCGCTGATCGCTGTGGCACACGCTATACTCTGTCACACGCTACTCTGTCACGACGCAGTGATATACATTAAAGTCTACGCTTCTTGCTATTACACAACCGATTGTTCTACACTGTCGCCTAGTAGGGAACGAGACCAGCGAGCTTCTTGGCGCGCTCCGAGAGCACAGGCAGGCTGCGCGGTGCGGTACGCTCGCCCTCCTCAATGTTCCAGTGGGGCTTGTACCTCGCGGCGTTGATACGGAACTCGAGCGGGTCATGCGACGTGCCCCAGTGCTTGGCAAAGCACTCGCGCTTGGTCTGGAGCTTGTCGGGCTGCATGTCCTTTGCGGGCTTGTAGCAGACATAGGTGGCGACGCGGGGCTCGGAGCCCTCGGCCGCGGCGCCATAGTGGATCGTGCGCGAGTCCCAGAGAATCAGGTCGCCGGGGCCGGCCTCGACCTTGACCCACTTGCAGCCGCGGTCGTAGAACCACTTGAGCGTGTCCTCGTTGTGCGCCCACCAGTCGGCCGTGGGCCAGCCCTCGGCGGGACGCAGGTCCTGGTGCGTGGCAAAGTACTCCTCAAAGAGGGGCATCGAGCCCTCGAGCACAGTCAGGCCGCCGTCCTTGGGGCCGTTCGGGTACAGGTTGAGGATACCTTGGATGCAGTGGCGGAAACAGCGGGTGGGCGACTGGTCGACGTGCGGCCAGGGGGCGACGCGGTCGCCGTTCAGCTCGTCCTTGGGCAAGGGGAGCGAAATGTTGACGCTGTCGTACGAGACAATGAGCTCGTCGGTGCCCCAGATACGTGCAAACGTGTCCACAACACCAGGCTCAGAGCGCGCGTCCCACGCAAACTGCTCGTGGGCCACACCGAACCGGTGGTACAGGCCGCCCTTGTCGAAGAAGGGCACATTGTCAATGTGCCAGGTGCTCCGGTCGTCGCCCTTGAAGCCTGCCAGGTGTCAGTGGACCGTCCATGTGGTTGGGCCAAAGCCTCTAGATCTAGACTCACCCTTGCCAAACGACTCGAGCCACTGGTACATCTCGTTGACGTAGTACTGTGCCCTCTCGGGCGAGATCACGCTCTTGACAACAGCGTACTGTGGCAAACACGTCAGCTGCCACCCACACAGACGTTCATTGATCGCTACTCACACCCTTGGTCTCGAGGCCGGGGAAAGCCTCGACGGCAGGCTGGGTGCTGCCGCGCAGCTTGAGGGTGGGCTGCGCGGTCGAAGCCGAGGTGGTGGCGGTAGCAGTCTCGACAGTCATGGTTCGGGGAGGTAGAGTGTGTGTAGTGTGTAGTGGTGTGGTGTGGTGTGGTGTGGTGTGGTGTGGTGTGGTGTGGTGTGGTGTGGTGTTGTGTGGTGACTTTATCGCCTTTGCGTGGGTTTCACTGAACACTGCGTTATCGTCTTGTCTCTTCTCTCCCCTCCCCTTGCCTTTATAACCAACCTGCATCCTGCAGCAACCGCTCAACTCCGCCTCGCAGGCCAAGGCAACACAGGGGGGGAAATGGGCTCGGTGTAATTGTAAAGGCGGGAGAACGGTCTTTTTTGCGGGGAAAATGTGCGGCCCGAGCGTTTTGGCCCACCTTTTCAAACCCCTCGCCTCTCGTCCGCTGCTTAGACTGCTTTTGATCCTTCCGTCTGTAGCCGTGTAGCCGAGGTCCACCAACGGCGTTGAGCCGTTTTCCCCGCATTGTGGGCCAAAAACATCAACAGCAGTACAGGAGTTTGGTTTGGCGCAGTCAGGAAGGATGCGCCTTGCGGGCGATGGCGACAACCTCTGCCAAAAGCCTGTCATCGCTCACCAGATTGGTAGTGTCCTGCACCACCCACTGGCCACAGTCTTGCATTCGCTGTTTGTTTGCTGCAGCCGAGGGACCAAGGGGGCCAAGAGCATGCCAGCTGGCCTGCTTTGCGCAAACCCCGTGGCCCGGTGCATTGATGGGGATATCTCGGAGGCAGTACAGAAAGGCACACCCTCCAGAAATGTCCGTGATTCTCAAAAAGAGAGTCGGTCGGCTATGGCCGCCGTGAGCTCCTCACAGTAGTACCACAATCCCACAGCAGTATCATCGTCAACAGCAACAATAATGTCCGTGGGGGGTGCGATAACGGCCCGGTTGTTGCTCCTGGGCCCCGGATGTTGCTCCTGTTCACAGCAGTGCAAGGCCAGAGGCCACGGCCCACAGCGCGGTCCAGCAACCACCACACGCAAGTGAAGGTCATGGCCGCCATCGGTCCATTGATCCGCAACGCGCAAAGAGACCGTGGTCACGAGGCGCAGAGAACAAGGTACAAGGCTTGGCCAACTGTGTCGTCCCCCATTCACCGGCCACTGGCCACTGACATGTTGCAAAGCAACAAGAAGAATGTCCTATGTCGCTCTGTTTTTTTTTTTTTTATTCAGAATCGACCGCCGCAGTGGACTGAACGCAAACTGACGCGCGTGACGCGCATTCACGACGACAGATTTCCCGCACGTCGTCACCGCACCCACTGGTCCGTTTATGCGATGTTGTCCCGTGGCCCGTCCGTCGTCGGCGGCTTAGGACTACTGCCAAGTTTGTCCGCATGCCCATATTGTCCGTCGCGGCTGGTGACGATGCTCGAGGTCTTGGCCGGGCGGGCGGGCGTGTGGAGGCGCGCCATTGCATGCGACGGTGACGGTGATGACGATGAACCAAGGAAGCAACACAGTAAGTGGCGGGCAGGCATGTCCCTCTCTCTGCCAAAACCCCACCTCGAAAAGTACCCACACTGCCACCAAGCTCCAAGTCCCACTACCACATCCCCATGCCCCCCTCCCGCACCCCCCGCTCAAGACTGCCCAGCGTCGCGGAGTTGCGTGCAGACTCCTAGTAACATCCTGTCATTGTTCGCGCGCGGTGGGTACAGAAGGGGGAAAAACGATGGTTGCGCTGGCTATAGTGGTGTTACAGACGGCAACAAAAAGTGTCCATATCGCTGATCATTGAAAGTCATACGTGCGTGCGCTACTCGCGTGGGGTCGGTGGTGGTGTGTTTGTGTGGGGTGTGCTGTACCTGGAGCTAGGCGAGAGCGAGTGTGTGTGTGTGTGTGTGTGTGTGGAGAAAGAGAAAAGAAAAAGCGAGAGAGAGAGAGAAGAAAGAACAGGTCCCAGTGTATATCCGTTTTTTGTGCTCGGTTTACGACGAGCAGGTGGGGATGGTGATGTTCTTGAGGTTGCGGTCCGAGTCGAAGAGACCCCAGAAACCCTCGACACCTCCGTACTCGACGTCCTTCCACTCCTCGTCAAAGGGCTCAAAGTAGAAGTATGCGGTGCCGTTGGTGTTGGCGGCGCAGACGTAAGTGTCGAGGAAGTACTGGAGGTTCTCAACGGTGGCGTCGGCGGTCGAACGGTCGTCATCGGTGTTGACCTTGACACCGTGGCCCGAGGGCCAGCCAGTTTCAGCAATGGAAGTGGCGGGCTTGTTGGTGGACGCCTCAGCGGGGGCAACGTCGTTGGTCTCAAAGTACAGCCAAGTCCAGCCGGCGGCGTCCTCAATGGTAACGTTGCCGAACCAGGGGTGCACGTTGGCCATGAAGTAGTCGACGTCCTCGGCGAGGGTGGTGGACATGACGGAACCAGCGTCACCAGTGCCGACAGGAATGTGCTTGCTGAGGGTCATGTTGAGGAGGGTCTCGTTGAACGAGGTAATCTTCTTGTCCAGGAACGTGAGGGCGGTGGTGTACGTCGAACCCGAAGTCACCGAGCCAGCCTCGTTGAGAATGTACTCGTTGCCCACGGCGATACCCTCGACCATGTCGGCGCCATACGTGTTCAAGGCGTCGGTGATGGCTGCGACTTGGACGTCGAACGCAGTGTCGTTCGAGTCGACGTAGATGGCAGGGTAGATGGTCATGTTGACCTTGGTGTCCTGGATAGCCTGCATGACGAGAGCAGTGGTGTTGCAGTTTGCCGAGTAGAGACGGAGACGGGTGGTGAGCTGCGAGAGGATCTGAATGTCCTTGGTAATGTTCACCAGCATCGCGTCGCTGTCACCACAGTAAGGAGGGATACCACCAACCGGGGTGTAAGCCATGCCGTAGAATACGTTGTGGAACCTAGAGTCCTTGGTGAAGTCGGAAGGGTCGGACGAGCTTGACGTGGTTCCGTTGGTAGAATTCGACGACGAGTCGGCCGACGACGACGACGAGCTGCTCTTCTTGCCGACGCTCACACCGACACCGACACCGACACCAATGGCAATGAGCAGGAGGAGGATACCACCGCCGATCCACCACTTCTTCTTGCTGCTGCCGCTGGCACCCGCGCCGTCGTAGCCCTTGCCGCTCGAGGTGCCGCCGTAGCCGTCGCCGTAGTTGGCACGAAGGCCGGTGTGGCCCTCGTTAATCTTGCCGCCGTCCATACCCCAAAGCTGGTCCGCAGTCTGGCCCTCGCCGCGGTCGCCGCTGAAACCGTGGTTCTGGTTGGCTGCGGCGTAGGCTCCGTAGCCAGCCGCGCCTGCAGCACCGCCAGCAGCGGCACCCGCGCCAATCTGGCCGTAGCCGCCGCGCTCGGGACGACCCTGGGAGTACATGGAGCCTTGCTCAGAGGGGAGGAGGTTGTTGGAGGGCTGGGGGGAAGGGCGGTCCGTGAAGGGGTCTTGGTAGTTGGGTCCGCGGCTTGGGATGCTGCCGAGTTCTGGCGGAGGTGTGAGTGGGGGGTGGTCCAAAGGAGTGTAAAGGAGAGAGAGGGAGTGTGTGTGTGTGTGTGTGGAGAGAAAGAGAAGAAGAGACGTAGGAGGGACACGTTCGAAACGAAGAATAAGAACGGGAGGGCCCGCGACCACGCCGTGGGTGTGCACCACCAGAATAGATCCTTCGGTCTGCGTGCGCAGTCTGGTTTCTCCCCGCAATAGCCTGCAGGCCTGCGCGCGCACGGGGACGCGGGGTAACACAGCACAGCCATTGCGCAGCGCCCACTGGCGGAAGACCGTCCAGGATCCAACGTTGCTCCCTCATCGTCTAGTGGCGCGTCAAACGGACGCGTCAAAAGAGTTGAGGCCAAGAGGTATCCCTGCTTGGAATCGCAACCCCAGCGTCTGCCCAGCCCTCGGCGCCCAGACAGTGCGATGCAATGCCAGTAAACAAGAGGCAGCAGCGGTATACACCACCCACACTGTACCCGTGACCCGGGTCGGGTTGACCAGGACGGAGCCCGGGGTGGCTGCTGCCGTGGCGCGAAGGACATGGCGCGCATGGCGTTGCGGGGACTCGCAGCCACATCAAACCACGGCCGCAGGCGTGGCCGAAGCAGTTTGTGCACACCAAAAGGGACCCACCCAGACTGCGGCTGTCCCAATAAAACGCGTCCAGTCCACAAGTGCATGCACTTGTGCACTCGCAAGGGATCGATTGGGTCCAACGCGCTACGCACTGGTGGCTCGGGCTCGGCTGCGGTCGTGGGATCGTGTGGGTCGGACTATCGGAATGTGCCCAACCCCCGTCGCCTTTGAACCCTCCCCGCGTCGCGATCGCGCTCGCGCTTCCGGCAGGGCCCGTTGCCCGCCTATACCAGCTGCCAGCATATGCCCGCGCGCAGAGAGAGAAAAAAGCGCCCATTTCAGGTGTCTCAATTGGGGCCGTGGGTCATGAACTAGCAGGAGCGCTGACCCATGATGGGCCATGGGTGTGTGTGGGTGTGACGAGGATCGCAGATCGGACCTCGCCGCAAGAACAAACCCATGTCCCACCGGACACGCGTGCCGGGCCCTTGCGGTGACCAGGAAAAACGCATTTTGCAACAAAAGCCCCGAAACCATAACAACCTGGGCAAGGATGAATGGGAGAGGCGATGCTGCTGGTCCTGCGTTTTCTCCCTGCACACAAGCCAAATGCACAGACTGCACCGCAAAGCAAACAGATCCCCATGTCGAAAAAAGGACACAAGATCCCTCTCTCCAGCAAAGAGAGATCCAAAGCGATGAGAAAGACACTCCCCCAGCCTCACGCATCCTTTCTTCACAGCTGAACCGAGAAGCACTGTACTCACCATGGTTCTCGTCGAAGCCTGGTGTCGTGTTGCCGCTCTGGCCATTGTTGAAGCCGGGCACAGCGGCGTAGCGCTGCTGTTGTGCGGGAGCTTCCCACGACATGCCTTGGGACGCCATGGTGACCGGGGGAGGGGGGTTGCTGCCGGAGTGCTGTAGAGGGGGTGGGGATGGGAGGTGTAGAAAGGCGAGAAGAGAAGAGACGAAAGGGAGGAAGAGGAAGGAGGAAGAGTGTACAAGAGACGAAGAATGGACGCTGGTTGTTGCCGATGCAAGAGTGAAGAATGAGGGCTGGGGGGGGCGCGTGGCGGGCGATGGGCGTGCGCGCGGGGCAAGGCGCCGTATATGCTGTGCGCCGTGGGAGAGGGAAATTGGCCTCTTCTCTTTGCCGTCGCCCTGGCTCTGGCGCGCGCTGGCATGCTGGCGTGAGGTGTCTCGCGTTTTTCCCTGGGCGGGTGTCTCGCTCGTTTGCTTCCACTCTCTCTCGACCATCCCAAGTGCCATAAGCCAGCCCCAGCCTCTGCATGCATGCGTGCATCGAGGCATGCCCAAGCTCTCCGGTCTCACCCCTCTCTGCTTTCTCCAACCGACCTGCCATTTCCCATAATCCCACGTCGTACCTTTTACATTGGCGCATACTGTACTGTAAGTGCTCTGCAGTACTACAGTCCTTCTCCCGTCGTTCCTGTGACGGATCCACCAAACCAACAACATCGCAGCGCAGCACTACTCTGTGTGTTGTTGTGTCAGAGCTCTCACCTCTCACCTCGTTTGAATAAGAACTTATACACTGTTTTGCCGCCTCACGACCAACCCACACAACGTTCCCGCCCAGCCGTCCGACTTGGACTGTGCAATTCTCGGCCGCCTCCATCATGCTCAGACGTTCAGACGAGCGGGGAACACGTTTGGGCCGACTTTTTACAGTACTGACCAGAGGAGCCAGCCATACACAGGAACTGTTCAAGAAACACGCCCTTGCTTGGTCATGCGCGCAGGAATGTCGACGTCAGAAGCTGCAGGGATCCTGTGGGCACATCCTGGCGCCGGTGTCCTGCGCCTGCGATCCTGCGAGCGTCCTGACAGACAGCTGACCCGCCTTTGCCGCGCCGCAGCGCCATGTCCTTTGGGGTGTACAGAGCAAGGTTGTTTGTTGTGTTCCCAGGTCCCCCCGGGTTGCTCGCATCGGTCGTCTAACCCTGCCGCCCTGCGCAGCAGCTCAGCAGCAACCCGGTTTAGCCACTGTTTATCAGCTTGCGAGAGATGGCTTTTAGAAAGAGACACAGAAATAAGAGATATAAAAAGACGATCAATTAAAACGCCGAAGACGGTCAAAGACGACGCGAGTGCTATTTCTTGCCGCCGCGTGTTGTCCGTTTATAGCAACACACACACAATTCACGAAACGCGACACGGGATCCCTATACAGTCCCAACTGACTGTTCTGTGGAGTCTTTCTTCAGCAACGAAGAGCGTGGACACTGCTGTCAGCCCTCCCTGGACTGCTTTGCTGATGCTGACAAAATGGGGGCCCCCAGACACGCGCCGTGCCTCGACACCCGACCCGAAAGACGCAAAAGCGCAAGGACCCTCAAACCGTCTCTCTGCGATCTCTGCGCTACGGATGGACCCAAGGATCCCAAGGATCCCAAAGGAGGAAGGACGCGGTGTCTTGAGCCCCCATTGACCTGCAGGCAAACGCAGCAACGGCTTGGGGACTGTGCGCGGGTCGGTGGTCAAGGGAAGGTAAGGGGGCAGGTGTCGTCTCGGCATCTTGGGCCGTCCATGGGCCGTGCACACGAAAGGCCGGTCCTGGCGTCGCACGTCTCATGAATGTTTGCAAGTGGTGTGGTGGGTGAGAGATCAAGAGAGAGTGGCACGTTCGTGGTGTCGATCGCACAGGAATGCAGAGACGTGCCGGCCGATGTGTACTTTTTGCACACGGAACCCGGCCGCCGCGACCATCAAGTTGTCCGTTCTCTACCCATCGACTGGAGTGGTACATTTGGCTCGCCAGCTCGCCAGTCAGACTCAGTATTAACTAACGCTGTAACATACTGCTGCCTTGATACATACGCCACCGCCAACGACCCGAACCGTAAACAAAGACAAGCTCTGCCACTCGCGTGAATCGAGGGCTGCAGAGCTAGTCCGGAAAGCAAGGCGGTACAATTACAATACGCTCGCTCCACAAGAAGGGAAAACAAAAAAGAAGTTTGCGTCCAGTCCGCCGTGTGTCGTGTCGCGTCGCGTCGCGTCGCGCGTCTCTGTTGTATGCACCCTGAACAAACGTGAAAGTGTCTCCAGCGAAAGTGTATCCGATACGCGCTTGTCACAGTTTGAGGCCGAGCCGCGAGCAGCAGACGAGACCGATCGTGTGTGGGTTGCTACCGAGTCAGTGATCAGTTTCAGGTAGGGTACGCCCTGCATCGTCGCTTCAGACATGTGCCTCACCTCGAGTTGCTCGGGACCTTCTTCCCCCCCTCCATCTCACCACTGCGCGCCCATTGGAGTCTGAGAAAACGACGCGATGCCTCCGACGGCACAACTGCCAATGTCAGCAAACAACCCACTCGACCCAGAGGCCAGAGCTGTCTGGAAACTGGCCCCCTTGAATCCTGTATCCACCTCCAGAAGTACTCACGATTCACGCGTCGGGAGGCGACATGCCACTGCCATTGGTGTCCGTGCCCGTGCCCATGCCCACGCCCACACCCACGCCCGAGCCTACGCCCGTGCTGCCGGACGCACTGCCAAAATCGACAGACCCCTGGTGGTCGTCCTCGGCAAGCGTCATTGCGAACAGGGCGAGGATCTCGTCCGCGTCCATCTCGTCCATGTTGATATCGCCGACGTTGAAGCTCGTGGCGGGGGCGGGGGCCGGGGCGGAGACGGGGACGGGGGTGGTGTTGGGGTGCGCTTCGGCGTTGACGGCGGGTTTGGCCATGCCATTGGCGTTACAGTTCTCGTCAGTGGCGATGGCGAAGGCGCCGGCGCCGGCGCCGGAGTGCTCGGTCCAAGTCACCAGGGCAGCGGGCGACACGTCCTCACGGCCACTCTTTGCGCTGCCACTTTGCTGAGCGAGACCCAAGGGAAGTGGCTGGGCGAACGACGGCGTTGTTTGGCCCAACGAGCCATTCAGCATGGGCCAGGACACCGTACGTGGCATCGGCGGTGGGTGCGGAGCGCTGGAGACAGCGAGTTCGGCCGTGCCGAGACTCATGGCGCGGAGGAGGCCTGGCGGCGGGGGTGGTGCGAGGTGGTGGTACGCTGGGGTGAATGGCGAGTGCGCGTCGACCGTGGACATGTGGCCCGGCCACGCCGAGCCGCCGCTGTGGCTGTGCGTACTCGCCGTGGTTGGGCTGGGCGAGATGGGCGACTCGACGACAGACCACGCAAACAGGGCCGAGGTCGGTGTCTGCACCGTCTGCGGGGTATATGGGTGGGTGGGTGCCGCTGCAACTGATGTGGCGGACTGGGCAGGGTGGCAGACGGGCTCGTGTGACTCAAGCTGCAAGTGTAACTGATGCTGCTGGCGCCTCTCGTGCTGTTGCTGGTCGACAGGCTGGGGAGGCAGCGCCGGGAACGTAAAGTCCGTCGAAGCGGGCTGGTGGGCTGGAAGCTGCTGGGGGAGTGGGACCGTCGCGGCGGGGATGGGCAGAGGTGGCGGGTGAGGACGCGCGCCGTCCGGGTGGGTCGTGTATGGCGCCGAACGGCGGCGGCCGAGGACCTGTTCGGCCGGTGCACCCTCTGCAAGATTGTTCAGCAAAGCAAAGTTCACGTCAGCGCTGACAAAAGGTACTCACCCATGGCGTACAGCCTCTTGCGCCTCTTGGCGCCGACGCCGCTGCCAGCGCTCGCCTCGCTGTCGCGCCTGCTGCCGGCACCCGCGTCGCTACCGCGACGAGCGCCTGGACGGGGACACGACCCAGGTGCGAGTCCGAGTCCGACGCCAAGCGATCCGTGGGGGTGTGAGGCAGCGTCGCTCATACGCCGCGGGCTCGTGCCAGCTGAGACTGTACCAGCTCCGCCCACCGACGTCGAGCTTGCGCGCCTCATGTGAGTGAAGACACAACGCTTGTGGCGGCGGATACACGCTGTACAGGGCTCGGAGCCCGAGCATTCCTCGCCGTTACGCCGGCTGCAAAAGGTAAGCAAGCCATAAGCGACAGGTTAGCCGATGAACATACCATGCCTGACAGCTGTGGTGGGGTGGCAGTGCGTGGTGAGCTTGCGACGGCGCGCCAGGTGCAGGGGCATGTGGCGACATTGGAGGAAGAATGTCGCTGCTGGCCGGTGCCGAGTTGGGAACAGAGAGCTGGGGCAAGAAGTTGGCTTGAGGCGGGACAGCAGCAGCAATGTGGTAAGACATCCTGGGTGACATTTGGGCAGCGTGGTGGGTGTGGTGAGCCGTATAGCAGTCACTCGTCGTCGAGTGAGGTGGGATTGACTTTGGGTGTGGGCGTGGCAGCGGCGGCACTGGAGCGCGCACTCCAATACTGTGGTGGGTGTGGACTGGGGAGCCGACACTGGCAATGGCACCCATCACTCGTTGCTCGGCGGCCGTGCGCGGCATATCACGCAGGTCCGGGAGGGTGTTGCGCCTCGCAAAGGTGTGCACGGGGATTGTGGCGGGTGGTGACATGGAAGACGCGCTGGACGAGGACTGGAGGGAAGAAGTCGGTGTTTGATGCTCTGTTTGCGACGTGTTCAGCCCCGGCGTGTGAGGAAATGGGTGTTGGCAGCATGTCTCTTGCTGACCATGCTGAGGAGCTTGAAGTTGGAGCGGAGGGGGCCGGTGTGGAGGACGCCCAGCTTGCGCCCGCGCCTTGCGGTCCCTCGCGTGCTTTGGCTGAGTGGTGACAGTAGACTGCATGTGTACATCCCATGACGAGCCCAGCGATGGAGAGGACGACATGGCAGTTGTCCCAATGCCAAAAGTGGTGGCCGGCGTCGTGGGGAGTCCGCGAGGACCGGCTTTGGCTGGAGAGAGTTCGAGGGGAGACATGGCCCCGTCCCAGATGACGGATGGTGCGAGGGCCACGGGTGCTGGGGCGCGCGGGAGCGTCACGGACACCTTTGGAGAGGGATGTGGGTGTGGGTGTGGGTATGTAAACCCATGAGGGAGGGCTCTTGGAACTGTTGAGGGCATGGTGTAGAAGGAGGCTGTGGTGCGAGCCGTAGGTGGCATGTCTGGGAGGTGGGTTGCGTGGTACTCCCAGTGCGGAGGCGATGGGGCGGGTGCCAGGGATGTCGTTGGTGGGTGGGGGTGAGAGTGAGGGTGCGGTGGGACGACAAGCGGGCGGGGGAACACGTACGGGGTTGTGTCCATGATGACTTGTGTAACTCTTTGAGGAGACAGGTGAGAAGGGGAGAGAAGACGAGGAGGCTGGTTGGTATATGGTCGAAACGAACGAGACGCGTCACACACCACCAACACACTCTTTGCCTCTCCAAACGCGCTTTCCGCGTCTCTGTCCTTCTCCGTATTTACAGATCACAGAAATTCACAGACGGTGCAGCGCACGGTTCAGCCTGCTCCCAAGTCTTGGCACACGACGGGAGACGCGGCGCAACGATGATCCAGTTTCAGCGGCGGTCTCCGCTCTAACCATGTCCCATCCCCGTTTGACAGTCTAGAACCGCTCTTGCGACACAAGACCGCATGCTACGCTTCACACGCGAGACGCTACTCGCTGTTCGTCGCATAGTACCCCTGCTCCAACACCCCAAGAATGCAACCAGTAAATCCAGTAAATCCAGCGCAAATTACTCACACGCTCTAGCTGCCACACTAGCGCCTGGATTTGCCTCCAACATCGCAGCTTGTACGCTTGTCGATCGATCCTTTATACGGCGACTGCGATCTTTGCCTATGACGTCGACATGTACACCCACAGGCCACAAGTCCGAGCGCCCGCTATGCGTGGCGGGCAGGAGAAGCACACCAGTGGCCAGCGGCGAGTGCCGGCCAGCGGCGGGTGCCGACGAGCGGCGGGTGCCGCGGACGTGACAGTGTTCTCAGTCGCATTCTCGACACCGGGAGCAGAGCCATGACCAGCTCAAGGGCGTCGGGGACAGTGCCATGTGCCTCACGCTGGGAGATGGTGTTGTCTGCACGCCGTTGTCGAATTCGTGTTGCAAAGTGGCACCTCTGTTTGACCTAGCGGGATGCGTCCGAGTTTTAGCGGCTATCATGCTGTGCCATTTGTCAAGGTAGTTGGCAGTCACTACCCCTTGGGGGTCAGAGAGGTCAGAGATGCCCAGGTATGTACCAGCGGCCGTTCGCCAGCGAGGAATTGATGGAGACGGAAAACAAGAGATGGGAACAAGATGGCCGCTGTCTTATTGGGGACTGGGTTGGCGGCTGTCGTCCAAGAACGGTACTGCCTCTACATTGTGTGAGGAGTTTTGCGATGCATGCATGCACCCTCGTTCTTGTCTACCCTTACCTCCTAGAGTACGCAATGCATCCGGCAACCGAGGGACTCGACTTGTCAGTGCCCACAGAAACTCAGGTAAGGCAGCGCCACACCGTCCATTGTACCGTTGTACGCGGCGCCGCGCACATTGAAACGAAGCAACAGTAGTGTTTAGCAGGTGAGAGGGGGCCTGGCCGGACCGTGCGCCGGCGTGCGTGCATGCCAAGAGTGAGGACGCCAAGACCTTGCTGTTATACTTGATGGTGGCTGTCTCGCAGAATCCACGACGCGACATGCATGATGGTGGTTGTTCGTTGGGGGAAGGGGAGGGGGGCCGATGGATTGCGGTGCAGAGGAGACTGGCAGGTGGTAGGAAAAAAAAGAAAAAAAAGAGCATATGACGCGTTCCAAGCGCTCGGAAATAGAACACCGTGTAGACGGCCAACAAGGTTTTGTATGACGGCGAGAGACCTGTCTGTTCAACGGGTTGTGGGGGCCCGTGCGCCTGTTTTGGGATACAGCAAAAGCCCTGGTTATATGGGCTAGCGCGCGCGCGCGGAGAACAGCGAAAAGCGAGAAGAGCGAGAAGAGGGCGCGCATCGCCTCCTGGCATCGCTCCGCTTCTCCGTTCGCTTCTCGTCACCGCTTCCCACCTCTTTCCTCTCCTCCATCGTGCGCAGGCCGCAGTCTGTCTCGTACATTACATCCACCCACACCCTCCCATACACCCACGTACACACCCTGTGCACGCAACACACTTGGCCGCAGTCAGTCGCCACCGCACTGCAGCGCATCACACACCCCTCCGCGCACACAGCCAAGACGCGAGACCCTTTCCCTCTCCACACCACCCCCCCGTCATTTACCTTCCCGACACTCCCCTCCGCCCCCCCGGTGTTTCAACCCAGTGCACTGTACCTCTTCACCACCCACACGCGCCGAGATCCCAGTTCTGAAAGTTCAACACTTCTCTCTCTCTCTCTCACACACACACACATACAGAGAGACCTTGTTCTCATTCACCTCGCACTCGACCGTGTTGCTTTAACCCAGCGTTCATTCCAACCCCTGGCGGGCAGCAACCTCAACAACAACACCACCACCACCACCACCAACCCCCGACATGGCGTCCCATACCTTTCCGCCCAACGCGGCGAACGTGGGTTACGCGTACAGTAACGAGGTGGAGATGCAGTCCTCCCAGCCCAACCTACACCACCTGCATGGCTCTGCAGGCGGTCAACCGTCGTCCTCATCCGCGGGCGGCTACAACCCCGACGCCGGGTACAGCTACGTCGCACAGCCCTATGGCCGGGACCACAACGGCGAGCTCAAGAACCCGACCATCACGACCTCGCCGCCGGCAGCGAGCTACCCGGCCTACGCGCACTATGACATCCCAGACCGCTCACCAGTCTCCGCGTCAAGCGTGACGCGCGGGGGCGGTCTCGCAGGTGGCAAACAGGACGACGAGTACCCGGCAGGGTGGACCAAGGAGGACATGGAGGCCGAAGCCGAGTTTCTCAAGCGGGGGTTGATCGACTGGAAGACGATGCTCTCGTGGCGATACTGGATCCGAAAGGAGTGGTGGCGTGAGTACTGAGCGAAGCGGCAATGCGACGCGTGCGTGCGTGCGTGTGCTGACGATGATACAGACTACTACATCGCCCTGACGTTGATCCTCGTATTGGTCATTCTCATGACCGTATTCCACGACCAGATTGTCACCTGGTTGGAACCAGCAGCGCGCTGGATGCAAAAGTGAGTTGACACGCTCGTGACATAGCCTTGTAAACTGACAATCCAAAGCGTCACCTGCGGCTGGATCATCCCCATTGCCGTCCTGTTCATCATCTCGTTCCCACCATTGTTCGGCCACGAGATCGTGGCCATCATCTGTGGTCTCGTCTGGGGCCTCTGGATCGGGTTCGGCATTGTCGCCGCAGGCACCTTCTTTGGTGAAGTCGGCAACTTTTACGCGTTCAAGTACTGCTGCCGCTCGCGCGCAGAAAAGTATGAGAAGAAGAACATGAACTATGCGTGTCTCGCGCACGTCATGCGTCACGGCTCGTTCTGGCTCATCATCGCCGCTCGCTTGTCTGCCATTCCAGGCCACTTTACCACCGCCGTCTTCGCCACGTGTGGCATGAACATTTGGATCTTTATGATCGCGGCCATCCTGACGCTGCCCAAGCAGGTGAGTAATAGCAGCCAAATGTTGGAGCGTGTGGCTAACGATTCGCAGCTCATTACGGTTTACCTTGGTGTCCTCTTTGGCATGCAGAAGAACGGCGAGGGAAAGAGCACAAAGGACCGCATCATTTCATACTCTGTTCTCGCCATTGGCGTCAGTGAGTTAAACATATGTGTTCCTTTGCTAACTCTGACAGTTGTCACCGTCGGCGCGGCGTGGTACATCTACCACGAGATGCACAAGGTGCGCGTGGTTGTGTGGCGCAAGCAGCGTATGGAGCTGGCCTCGCGCGGCGTCTCGCTCAGCCGCCTCGAGTACGGCGGCAGCAAGCTCGACCGTGACCCCGAGGCGTTGGGCGACATGGACTCTGTGCGACCCATCCTCGCCCGCCAGCGCTCACACACGGGTGAGGCGCTCCTCGCCCCACCCGGCGACTCGCCCAACAACAACCGCCACAACAGCTTCCAGACATACCACACACCGTTTGACATTTCGTACAACAAGACAGGCGACATGTCCGTGTACCACCTGCCCGTCGATGCGGCAGACGACGCCGAGCAATCTGCCTATGAGCTGGAACGCGCAGAAGCCGACATTGCAGACAAGTTGCGCGCCCGCGCCTCGCAGCCCACTTCGCCCACCAAGGCCGCCACCGGCCGCGAGCCGCAGTGGCCCGCAGCCCAGCCCGCCAACCTCTACCGCGACCCGTCAACCGCGACCGTGTTCAACCGCCCACCGCCGCAGGCCATCCCAAGCCACTTCCCCGACGCAAACCCTTACGGTGCCGTGCCAAGCCAAGGTATGCCCAGCGGCGACCCCTACGACTACGAGACCGCGCAGGCCGCAGCCTCGCAGCAGCAACAGTACCAGCAGTACCAGTACCAGCAGCAGCAACAGCAGCAGCAGCAGGAGCAGCACATGAACCCGTACGGCCCCAGTGGCGGGTACAGGTAGTCGTGTGGGATGTGTAGCAAGCTGGCCCACCAAAAAAATGACTGGTCTCTTTTTTTATAACGTTATTTTACGTGTTTTTTAGATGTGATGTATGTGAACCCCATTTTGTCAAACGAGTTGGAATGCGTGTACGCTGGATATGGAGGCAGTACATCGTATGTGACGACTGTGAGCTTGACGCTGCTGTTGACATCACAAGCACATCCGATTAATGCGACGTCTCGTGCTGGGTTTCGGTGGTGAGTGGCGAAAAAAACACACTATGCCAGCATTATCAGGCTTACCGTCGAGAATCTGTATGGACTATGCGTTTCTCAACCACTACCGAAAACACACCATGTTAAGATACTAGACTTAACAGTAAGAATCTTACCGGTCTTATGTGTTTTTCTAGACTATGGCCCCGCTTTTAAAAAACACACAACGTCCCGAAATCACACTTGCCGCCGAGAGTCTTGTGTGGATAATGTGTTTCTCGTGTTTATCGACCGCCGCTGGGCGCAACGGACCGCACTGACCTTCATCTGGCCTCTGGCACCTTCCTCGACAAACACACACATCCTTCCACACACCTCACCTTCTCTCATCCTCATCCTCAACCTCAACCTCCTTTCACAGTATCACTCACTACTTCTTCTCTCACAAGATGCCTGGCTACAAGCGCGGTCGTTCCGACAGCCCCAGCGCCCAGACGGCTCCCAAGAAGACGGTAAGTGATGGATGCAAAGTGGCCAAGAGTCGCCACCCGCACCTGGACCGCACCCGCTGACCGCGTCCAGCTCCCCGCCGAGTCTGTCAACGGACACGCCGACGGACAGGTCAACGGACACGAGCAGGAGCAGCCCGCCACTACCACCACCAAGCCCGTCCCCGCCTGCGACCCCTTCATTGCCATGTCCCCCGAAGACATGGTCGCGCAGCTCACGCAGGCGGACAAGGTCGCCTTCCTCCAGCAATCGGCGCAGCGCGAGGCCACCGTCCGCTACGCCCACCTCGTGCGCGAGGGCGGCCTGCTTACCCGCCACCACCTCGAGTTCCTCGTCAAGGAGCGCGGCGGCGCGTACACGCTCCCCGACACGCCCCACCTGCTCGCGGAGCCTGTCAAGACCGAGCTGGACAAGTGGCTCGACGAGGTCAAGGCCGCGATCATCAAGCACCTCAACAAGGACCTCAACAAGGACAACGACAACGACATGGACGAGGATGAAGACGACGGCGAGGACGAGCAAAAGGGCGGCGACGAGGGCGGAGACAATGGTGAGGTATGCGTTACGTGCCGCACGCTGACGGCGTAGACCACAAGGGCGCTGCGGCTACTGCTGCCGCTACCGCTGCTACCGACGTTTCCCTTGCTACCGCCGCTGCGGCTGCCGCTGCGACTCTCGTTCTCGCCGAGGACGGCGGCAAGTAAAGTAGCCACAGTAACCAAGTACCTGTACATATGGAGGCGAGCGCGGGTGGCAGGTCTTTGTACAACCATTTCCGTACACTCCTACCGGGGTCCTCATGCATCCACCTGGGCCATGGCCCGTATGCCGACCACCATGTCGCGGTTGACAGGAACGTCTGCGTCGGTAACCTCCATTGTGCCAAGGCCATGTCTTGGGCCTTTCTTGATCGGTGATATCCGTGGCGTCGCGGTCGAGGCTGCCGGCGGTTTGATCACGAACCTGACCCCGAGCACCAACGCAGCATGGCCGAGCCGCGCCACCTGCGATACCGGTCAGATAACAGAAGCGAACAGGCGCGAGTGAGAATATCTACATGTGTGCATGGGTGTATGGGTGTCAAAATGTCTCCTGGGCAAGGGGAGAGTCTATGTGTTTGAACAGGCGCCACACGGCGTATCCTGCCGCGAGCGTGCCAACTGCCTGAGAGGGTGGTGTCAGCGATCACCTCCCAGCCGCCGAGGTTGTACCAGCCCAGCTACGTCGTCATCCTTGCACGATTCTCTCAGCTGCAATGGCATCTCTGCGGACGAGTAACAGGGAGGAAACACCACTCACAGTCAAGGCAAACGGCCACACGAGCGCCGGATCGTGCATAAGCGGCAGGAACAGCAACACCACACCGGCGCCCGTAGCTTGCATGAAGAGGAAGACGGCGGTGACGATGGATTTCAGGCCCGCTGGGTATGTCACATGTATATCAGCAGCAGCACGAGGAGGCCCTTAGCTGGTACATACGAGGGCTCATGGTGTATCCGAGCTCCATGGCCGTGACGACGGCGATGCTCTCTGAGAGACCGGTGAGGAGCGGCGCGGGGAGGACGAGCCACGCCGACTGCGTCGCGGGTAAGCTTGATTGGGCAGATTCAAAGCGGTACTCACCAGCGGGGACACGCCATCGCACGTCGTCGACTCGTACCCGCACGGCGAGGTGTGGTACACCTGTTCGAGGTCAGCTACACGTTTCGACGGAGGGTAGCTGGAACACACCTTGTACTGCAACACGGCGCACCAGGCCATCGCCAAGGCTGCGAGCCCAAAGCCAAACACAATACGCCGGATGGGGCCGAACGCAATTCGTCGTGCGTTGAGGTATGGGTAGACGATCTTGTTGAGGATGGGGATGGAGAGGACGATTGCAAGGGGGTTACTGAAGAGTCAGCTACGGAAGGCAATAAATAGCTCTACTCACGCCTTCTCCAGAAAGTCGTTCGGTACGCCCTGGCGGTCAGTTACCGATGCCGAAACTACGCAACTCACGTTCGTGGTCATGCTCCCCGCTAGACTCGTCATGAGCGAATTCAACCCTCCATCAGCGACGTTGTACACTGTGAAGAACAGGAACAGCTTGATGACCTGGAACACCTGGCGGACATCGGTGTCCTCGTCGTGTTTGGACGTATGTGCGCGGCGGGCGAAATGATACACGTCCAACACGGCCGTGGAGGAAGGCGCGACCGGGGGCCGGAGGTGTGGTTGGACTGCGAGCAGGACGGGAGGCATGAGGAAGAAGATTGCCTGAATGTTAGCTGCGCTACAAGTGACATAAGGGAGCTTACCCCTGGTATCAGGAATGCGAGCCAGAACCCGACGTATTTCTCGGCAAACGTCGAGGTGACTGCAATAAAGGCGCCAATGTTGATCGAGTGGTAGTATGCCGCCATGATCTTTTGGACCGTCGCTGCAACGAGTCAGCTGGGGATGCCTTACATCAATGCAGCTGCACGTACCTTCCCTCTCCACAATGACCTTTTCGCCTGTGGGGAGCTCGTCGATGTAGTCGTCTGCCACGTACTGCTCCGCCATGAGCGGGGCAATGTTGGCCTTGATGAGCCCCGCCGAGCCCCCCAGGAGGATGAGGGAGGACAGGAAAGGTGTGAACGCGTCGCCCTGGAGGACCGAGGGGAGAGCAGCTGGTCGTGTGAGCTTTTTGACCTGCCCGGTCCACAAAACTCACCATAAACACTCAAGATGTGCGCGACACCCGCGAGCACTGTCCCGAACGCAATGGTCGGGAGTTTTCCCCAGCGCATGTCGGCCAACGCGCCGCCGGCGAGCGGTGTCGTGAACGCCATGAGCGTAAACAGGGTGCTCAAGGCCGTGGCAACGCGCAGACCCATGCCGAGCGCACCCGGTGTCCCGTTCCCATCTACTGGTGCTCCTGTCGTGCTCCCCTCTGGCATGGGCCGTTGTATAAAGTTGGTGAACACGCCGCCGACGCCGTAGTAGCTCGCGCGCTCGGCCAGTTCCACCAGGGCCAGCGTGTACGCTGTCATGGGTACCCGGCCTGGGACGCGTCGGAGGGTAGCGAGCTGGGCTGTCGAGGGTAGCGGGTGCTCGTCCGCATCGTCTACAGCGTGAGTGTCACTGTCGGGGACTGGTGTGTGTGGTGTGGTGTGGCTGGTGGTTGTGCAAGGGACGTGGAGGGAGGGGAACACTCACGGACTTGGATGTGAGGTACACGAACGCGGGGCCGTTCGCCGCCGTCAGTGGGGAGAAGCTCGTAAGCTGAGCCGGAGGGTAGGCTGGGCGCAAAGGTGCGCCTCAGCATGGCCCACATTTAGACGATATTAGCTGGGTGAGATGGGGAGGAAGGGGTGGTGGATGGGTTGTGATTCTGACGGAGGGTTGGAATGACGAAAGGGCCCTGTCTGGAGAGTGTGGGTCCCCGCGGGTGCTGCATCGCACTGTTGCGCAGTCGCGTTTCAGCGTCCCCGCTTCATCGATCCGTGTAGCTTATTTGGTCGTCGCGGTGTTGCTTGCTTGCGGGGTGGGGTGTATGCGATGAGGGAGTGTATGTCTTCAAGGACTGGTGTTGTTGTTGTTGTTGATAACACACATATTCATTCAACGCTGATTACAGATGGGACTAGCGCGGCTCCCCGAATGGTTGATCCAGCCACTCTTTCCATTCCCCATTTCTCCTCTCGCCCTCTCCCGCCCTCCCTCGCACCCAGCTGGGTCTCGTTGGCCCCTTACAGAATCACAGAATCACAGAATACAGACTGCATGCCACACCTTGGAACCACCATCAACGACGATGACTGTATGACTGTATGCGCCTGTTTGCCACCCTTCGCCATTCACCTTGTGAGCGTCATCAGAGCCCAGCATTGCGTTTACTAGCCCTAGTCGATGCGGTTCAAGAGCGGCGCGACTGACCTTGCCCCCCGGTAAAAGGCGGGCTGTTTGCCTCCGTATGGCCCCGCGCATCCCGGCGAATCTCACTGGCTGCGAGTGGTGCCGCCGGCGCAACGCGGTGGAGGTCGGCCGCCGTGCAGGGTGGTGGCCGTGGTGTGGGTGTCTCGGTGCGACACGATGATAAGCGAGAGCAAAGACGGACGAGCGAGGGTACATGAGAAAGGCGCACCTCTGCAACAATGCACGGGTTCACAGGTGTCTCCATTTCGACGTCTGACAATGGCTTCTGCCCCAGCATGTTGACAGCCCGACCGTCTCCCAGCTCCCCCAGTTCCACCGCAATGGGGCAGGCAAATCGAGAGCGCCGTGTCACCACCCAAAAACGTGCTACGCAAGCCTGGGCTATGGGGACTAACCTCGCGGGTCCCCAAGGAAATGGCAGTAACCAGTGTGTGCTTTGAATACAGACCATGTTGTGTGTGTCTGTCTGTCGCAGCAGTCGACGTTGCTGCACCACTCAAAAACACACTACGCGGTCGTCAGCAGTCTGCAATGCTGCAACACTCGGTTAAGCATCATGCACACACTCTACTACAGATCTTAACGGTGGGGTCGCATATGCCACGGGGTTTTCGGAGTTATTGCCGGGAGGCGGCATCAGGGCGGACGGCCTGGGGGGTGACGCGGAGAGGGCCGGAGCGGCAGAGACCCATCCCACCGCTGCCCCCCCACCCCCCTCTCCCACCGCTCGCCGGCCGGCGCGATAAAAAAGAGCAACCACTCCCTGCATCTCACCTTCACCCACCCCCCTCCTCACCACTCCCAAAATGCCGTACCGTGCCAACCCCCTCTTCGCGCCCGGCGTCTCCAACTTCTACGCCCCGGCTGCCACCGAGGCTAGCGCCGCCCCCACTGGCGTCGACCTTTACGCTCGGTACGTCCCCGCCCCCCCTCGTCGCCGTCGAGAGGCGGCGCAACCAGGGGGGGAAAAAACGTTCTGCGCTGACCATCTAACAGCTTCGCCCTTGCCGGTGCTCTTGGCTGTGCCGTCACCCACGGTGCCCTCACCCCCGTCGATGTCGTGAAGACCCGCATCCAGCTCGAGCCCGAGGTTTACAACAAGGTGCGTAAAATAATGGGGTGTTTTTGTGGGAGGGGGTGTGTCGTCCAGATGCGGCGCGTTTGGCTTTTGCCGAAGGGCGAGATGGGATGTGTGGTGTTGTTGCACAGGGGATTTGCCCAGTGTATACAGTTGCCTTTGGGTGCATGCACTGCACTGCAGACAGGTGGATCAGCATCGCCTGCATGCCCAGTCTGCAGGCCATGCAAAACGCCCAAAACTCCACTGCTACATCGCTATCGGGCGGGCCAAGCGGAGCGATGGTCCGCGGCAGCCGAGCGACGGAGATGTCGGCGGGCAACGCGAAAACGTGCTCGTTCCGTACCTCCGGCCCGGCCGCCGGCAGATGCAGCCATCATCCAACGCCGTGTTCTGCACCAACGTCCATCATGGATGTATGCATAGGACCCAGGCTGCGGATGAGGCGGCATGCGTGGCCATCTCGCACCCGCAGACGTGACACGGTGGCACCCAACACCCGCACTCACACACCCGCACCACCTCTCCTCAACAATATACCACCACCCACCAACATGTTTGCTGACTCTTCCTCTAGGGTATGGGCAACGCCTTCAAGCAGATCATCTCGACTGAGGGTGCCGGTGCTCTCCTCACTGGTCTCGGCCCCACCGTTGTCGGTTACGCTCTCCAGGGTGCCTTCAAGTTCGGCGGTTACGAGTTCTGGAAGAAGACCGCCATTGACACCTTTGGCATTGAGGCCGCCACCAACAACCGTCAGGCCGTCTACCTCGGTGCCTCGGGTATTGCCGAGTTCTTCGCCGACATTGTCCTCTGCCCCCTTGAGGCCACCCGTATCCGTCTCGTCTCGCAGCCCACTTTCGCCAACGGTCTCGTCTCTGGCTTCCTCCGTATCCTCAAGGAGGAGGGTGTCGGTGCCTTCTACGCTGGTTTCGGTCCCATTCTCTTCAAGCAGGTCCCCTACACCATGGCCAAGTTTGCCGTCTTCGAGATTGCCTCGGAGAAGATCCTCCACGCCGCCGGCAAGACCAAGGACCAGCTCACTGGTGGCCAGTCGACCGGCCTCAACCTCGGTGCCGGTCTGATCGCCGGTATGGCCGCCGCCGTCATCTCGCAGCCCGCCGACACCCTCCTCTCGAAGATCAACAAGACCAAGGGTGCCCCGGGAGAGTCGACCACCTCGCGCCTCATCTCCATGTCCAAGACCCTCGGCCTCAAGGGTCTCTTCACCGGCATGTCCGCCCGTCTCGTCATGATCGGTACCCTCACTGCCGGCCAGTTCCTTATCTACGGCGACATCAAGAAGGCCCTCAACGCCAAGGGCGGTGTCGAGATCGCTGCCGCTCCCAAGTAAATTAGAACTTAGCGGTTAGTTTGGGGATGTGGGGATGTCATCACCTTGTCTCTCTTAGTTAGCATCTGGAGCAGGGCGCGTGGGGGGTTTTGTGCATTGGGCCGGGACGCAGTGTGCGAAGGGCAGCTTTCAATTGGGCCGTCCACTGATCGACCTTGTCCGGAAACGGTTGGGAGCGAGGACTGGTGGTGGCCACCGAGCGGACAATGTGACCAGAGGCATCGGACAAGTTGCCTCCTGTTCTTGGTGGGATCCTGTAGCAACTTGTGGGACCCATTCTCAGCCCTTGCATATAACTGATGCCTGGTAATACGCTTGGCCCGGTGGTATGCATGTATCACTGAGACTGACTGAAGACTGGAAACGGGTTCCAGACCAGAAACGAGCGCATAAGGCAGTGGGCACGGAGCGTTTGGCCCCGCTAATGTCACTGCTAATACAGTGGTGTGTTCCAGGTTACAACTTGTCAGTGGCTCGACATGAGATGGCTTGCGCCGCCAGGCTCTGACATTCGCGCTCGTCTCGACTGGCGGCCAGTGTATCTGGAGCAAAGTGGCACCCCCGTCGCGGGGATCGCGTCGATGACGCCACACCCCCCGCTGGCCTGCATGTTGACAAGCTCACGAACGCAACGCTTTCTTGATGGCACCACCGTAGTGGTTTGGGTGGAACACAGGTCGCGCCCGCAGACTGCACGCTGCACGTACACTGCTGTGGTCGTATTCTATCATGCATGGACAACGGCGAAGAACAAGAATGAATGATGTGCACCGCTCCGCCGGTCAACGGCGGGACAGGTGGCGAAGTATAACCAGGAGAGAGACAGAGAGGAATAGACACTCTTTTATGTACGACTTCGGGGGGGGGGGGGGGGGGGGTCACTGGGTGTGTAATGAATGGGGCAAAGCACAGCACGGGGCAGTAGGAACCGTATGTGGGGCGTGAGATGGAAAGGGTTCGTTTAGACATGAGGGAGGTCGAAAAGGGGGGCGTTTGAACGGTCGCGTTATATGATACACTGAATGACCGTGTGCTTGTCATGTGGCGTGGGGTCGGGGGCATGTAGGTGGGTGGATACGTCAAGGAATGGCCAAAGGAGCTTGGGAGCGCTTTGGTCGGCGTGTATTTTGTTCGTATTTTCTTGGTATTTCTGTGATTTTTCGGAATAATCACCGCGGTGCTGTTGCACACTCGCCGTCTAGCCGCGCTTGAACAGGTTGAACAGTCTACTGCGCTTCTCGCGAATGGTCGCGGGGGTCTGGCGGCCGCTGATCGTCGCGGGGGTCTGGCGACCACTTGCAGGTGGCTCGGGTTCGGGGAACCGGGCGTTGCGAGGGAGAGTCTTGGCGATGCGTTCAGCACGCTCGGCGCGCTCACGCTGGGCACGCTCGCGGTCCGAGTTTGCGCGCTCAGCCGCCAGACGGCGGTCTTCGCGATCACCCCTGTCGCCGTGCAGGATGTGGCGGGCCTTTTCGCGCAAGCTGGCCATGCTCGTTGGCTTGTTGAGCGCTGTCGTGACGGCTGGAGCTGGGGGTGCGAGCATTTCAACCTGGTACGGCGCGCCCTTGGGGTCGTGTTTGAGGTCGCGCGTGGCAGTCGGCGGCGTGGCGGTCGGCTCGACAATGCGCGGTGGACGCATGTCCGCTGGCGCGGTGCCAAACTTGTCAAGGGCAGACTCGGACTTGCGCGAAGGGATACGCTTGATGGCGCGACGGAGCGGGTGCTCTTGGCCGTGGGTGAATGAAACGCGATCGGAGGTCTCGCCACTCAAACGGTGCCCAAACACACTGGCAAGCGTGGGCCTCGAGTTGCGCTTGTGCTCGACCTTTGGTGGCGACTCGATGGTGACCTTGTGCGGCTTGATGACGCCAAAGGAGGAAAACTGCGGTGGGTCGACAATAGATGGCGTCAGGGGACGCAGGCTGATGGTGCCCAGGTCCTCGGGCATGGCGGGTAAAGGAGGGAGATCTTGGCCCTCGGCGCGCGCCTTGCGTGCTTCGTCGACATACAGTTCAACAGTCTTGGCCCACGCAGCGAGACGGTGCAGGTTGTCGTCACTTGGTCCGACGGCCTCGGGCGCGGTACTCTGCTTGGCGTGGCGACCGGGCGAGGTAACGGGACGGTTGGGCCGAGGCAGCTCGCCACGGAAGCGGGATACAAGTGTAAGGTCTGCGCTGGCGATACGGGCACGCTCGCGGCCCTGGTCACGCCTCACCTCGAGGTCTTCGGACAGAACACGCGCATGACCGCTGACCGAGCTGCCCCCACGGAAGGTGACAGGTGTGAACAGCGTATCACTCGAAATCGACACGTCGAGCATGGGCGCCTTGGATCCGAAGCGCGGTGGAGTGTAAGGCGTTGCTGCTGCCTGGGCGCTAGGTGTGCTGGATACGGTCGGGAGGAAGGTAGAATCAAAGGACGTGTCCGTCTCGGCCTCGGCGACAGCCGCAAGGCGGTCAATACCGGCACTGCGGGACATCTCGCCCTTTTTGTGCAACTCCTTGGCGAGGTCGAGACTAGTGCACCTCTGGTGAGCATGCTTGCTAGGTGACTGGGTACGTGGGCTGTTCTGGGGTACGATGACACCCGAGGCCCGGAGACCTTCCAGGGAGCGCATGGCGCGGGCCACAGCATCTTCGCGCGAGTCGGCGACGGGTGGAGGGCTGGTGCCCTCGAGCGAGCGCATGGTGCGGGCCCTAGCCTCTTCCTCGCGTGCACGGGCATTGAGACCCTCGAGCGAACGCATGGTGCGCGCAACGGCCTCGTCGCGGTCGCGTGATTGTCCGGGGGACTCGTACGTGTCGGCCTTGACTGGTGTGCGCGAGCGCTGGTTCTTGCCCTTGGTGAGCACCGCGGCCGCAGAAGACGGGCGTGGGAGCGCCTGTGCCTCCCCGGCAGAGACGCGTGGCGCTTTGGGGTCTTTGACAAGCTCTTGAACACGCAACGGCTTGACCTTTGTGGCTGCAAGAGAGTTAGCCAAATATCGAGGTCTGTACAACTCACGAGTTCCCTCACGAGTTGCCTCCTTGGGCTGGAGACGGGTGACGCGCTTGACAGGGGTCTGGCGCGGTTTCTGCGCCTCGACAGCCGACACGGTCTTGGCTGGACGAAGGTGCATCTCGCTAGCGGGCTGACCGAGTGCCGTGGCAGGTCGGGCCTTCTTCTTTGTGCGCTTGACCGTCATGTCGCTCTTGACCGTCTTGAGCTTGGGCTGCTGCTGGGCAGGTGGTGGCTGGTGGTGCTCCTCAAGCGACTCGTCCATTTCCGCCTCGTACGACCTGTCCAAGGACACATCGTACACTGCCTCACGGACAAAGGTCGGCGTGGAAAACATGGACGGCTTGCTGGGCGCGAGCGCCTGGTGCTGGTACGCCTCGAGTGCCGTGATGCGGGCGACGGGGTCGGGACAGATCATGTACCGAAGCAGGTTCTCGACCGTGGGCGGCATGCTCCAGTGACCCAGCCACTCGCCGAGATACGTGCGGTGGCGGTACTCGTCGAGACCCTCTTGCTCCTCAAACGTCTCGTCCTCGTCCCACTCGAACGGCGTGCGGCCAACGAGCACCTCGTAACAGGTGACGCCGAGGGCCCAGACGTCAGCTGCACGTTCGTCGTGTGGGGCACCGGCCGAGCGCTGAGGGTCGAGGTACTCTGGAGTGCCGAAAGTGAGGACCGACAGGAACCGGCCGCGCGATCCGGCATCGTGCTTGTTGGCAAAGCCGAAATCGACGAGCACAGGGACGTCATTGTAGTTCATGACAATGTTGGGCGGCTTGATGTCGTTGTGCGTGATGCCGCGCTCGTGGAGGTATGCCACGGCGCTGGTCAAGGCGCGGAACCACGGGCGGGCTTGTTCGAATGGCACCTTGAGCGGAATCGTGTGGGCCAGGTAGGGCATGATGATTCTAAACGAGTCAGTCAAGTCATCGGCTGCCGCCGCCACCAAACCGTTCCGCCAACCAACAAACAGGCCCAAGCGTTGGTCACGCCGTGACCCCCCAGGAGTACACCGTTTCGGCGGTTCGGCGGTTCGCCCATCCACTTACAAAGCATAGGTTGGTGTGATCACAAAGGCTTCAAACTGGATGATGCTGGGGTGTGGTTCGTGGCGGAGCGACCTGATAATCTTCATTTCGCGCCAGAGAGCCGTAATGCGTTGTTTCTGGCCCTAATTTTCATCGTGTCAGTTCCATGAATCCATGACCTCACTGTCACGGGTGGGCCCGTGCGCGCGCGGCCAGCGCCGACAATAGCGCGGACACGCGTCCCCGCGCCTTTGATGGTGGTACTCACTGGGTCACTGTCGCGATGGACGAGCTTTATCGCCACACACCCAGCGGCGCCGACGCCGCCATTCATGGCTGCCATACGGCCCAAGCGGACGCCGGGGTCGTTACGGCGCATCATGGATGAGCGCGGGTCACGCAGACGACACACCCAAACACTGCCCCAGTTACCGTAGCCGACCTCCTCGACAAAGTCGAAGCGGTCAGACAACTGCTCGTCTGTCAGGTTGTAGATGCCCGTCATGTGTCCCGCGGCGGACGCCGAGGGCCGCTGGGCAAACTGCCGATAGTGTGCTTCGGTAGTGGGCGCGACGGCACCGGGACCAGCATTGGCCGCTGCACGAGCGAGGAACTTTGAGAAGCGGGCAAACTCGACTTCGTCGCGCGTGAGCTCGGGTTGCTGGGAGGCCGGCGGGGTGGGGAAGGCATGGCCGCGAGGGGTCCTGGGAGGCACGGGGTAGTTGTAGACGTGGGAAGAGGTGACATTGCCTGATGCCAGCGCGGCCAGGGCGTTTGCCGTAGCGACCTCTTCGTCCTCGTCTGAAGAGTACGACAGCGTGTTGAAGCGCGGTGGGCACGGAATGCCCTCGGTGTCGTACATGAACACGGGGGAGAGCGGCGATTGAGCAGGGGCAGCGGCACCGCGAGCAGCCTTGGGCGACGGGCTGTACTCCACCGTCTGGTGGCGGCGGGGTGTCGCAGAGGCCTGCTGCGGGACCGCTGGTCGGGAGGTGGTGTGTGTAGCTATGGTGGTGGTGAGGTGTGAGAGTTGAGGTTGAGAAGTGTAGCCAACAAGTGTACGTCTACCCCCCGGGTCTCCCATCATGATAGGTACGGTCTGTGCTGCAAACTCGAGTGTTGACCCCAGGGCGGCCGCTTCAAGAATGTCCATTTGCCTGGCCTGGGCGGCGTGTTGGTGCACCTGAACTCGACGGGCTGTGTCGGAGAGGTCGGGGTATCGTCGGCCCGCGGAAGAGGCGCGGTGCTTGCTTGGGTCGTATGGGTGGTCGTAGTACGAATTGATGCCTGCAATAGTGTCCCATGCAATCTCCTGGCGTGACTGCCTCTTGTTTGTTGAACCGGCTGCTGCAGCTGCTGCTGCCGCTGTCGCTTCCATGGCCGCAGGAGGCGAAGAAGGGATCGTGGCCGCCGAGCTCTGCGAGGGTGAGGAGGCCTGGCGAAGAGAGGGAACACTAGGGTGGCTGGAGGCGATGGCGCTGTCAGAGTGCTGGCGCTGCTCGTCGGTGGCGTGGGTATGGTGGCTCAGGAAGAGTCGCTTGACTTTGGACCGGCGGCGTCCAAGGGTCATACCGGCGCTTTGGTACGAACAAGTCAGTCGGTAGTGACGACCAGGAGGGGGGAGTGAGACGCAGGCGCAGTCGAGACGTAGGGTCGCGTAGAGGTGATGGAAGGTGGGGGGGGTGCGCGTGTTGTTATCCGGGTACTGCTAGTGGATGGTAGGGGCAATGGAACTTGCTGCTGGGAACCAAGGAACGGAACCGGCGGAGAGCAGGCGCGCAGGCCGATGTATTGGATGGAGGATGAAGAGGATGAGGATGAGTGTCTGTGTATGGGGGAGAGACAGAAAGAAGACAAAGTGGCAGGTGGCGTCGTGTTGTGTTTGTGTTTTTTGGCGTGAGAGTTGTTTGTTGTTGTCTCACCCCCCCACCCAGTCACGAGGAGGGATGCACAAAAGACAGGCGCGTGTCTCTCTTGACAACCTATCCATGTCAACACCTTTGGGCACGCATCGTCGCTCCGTCGGGGCCACCTCTAAAGCTTCTCTGTGCATCCAAGCGCAAACGCGAGCGCACTTTTGGGTCCTGTGCATGTCGCACGCTCCGTGGCAACAAGGCAACGAGGCCCCGGGGCCACCCACCCCAGTCACGAGACATCACCGGAGACACAAGAGACAGAGCGCGCAACTTCGTCAAAGGAGGATCTGGCGTTTGTCGTAGGCATCTTGGTGGATTGCAGGGGCACGGTTCCCGCGCTCTAGAAGAGACCGTCAAGACGACTCTAGCGACGTTAGACGTGCGTACTAGCCCTTGCGCGACGGAGAAGAAAGAGGACGGTTTCATAAGAACTTTCACCGCGTCCGTGGTTGTCTCGAGGCCACTGCATTGTTTGTGCGGCCGGTGACGATCGTTGTGGCTCGGGGCAGGGACCGTCTGCGCAAGGGGGTGCAGCCAGCTAGCAGCTTTTAGCAGCGTGCACAGAGCGTGATCTCTGGCTGCTAGGGACGTCAAGGAGAGTGAGTAGCCCGTGGGCCGTGGGGGTCGGGGTAACAGCATGTCGCGCTCGGACCACCTCCACCACTGCCCCCACCATCCACGCCACACGGCCGAGCGTTAGCGGGGGTGGCCCCTGTGGGACGCATGCATACACCATGGCCCCTTACGGCCACCAGACCACCTCTCCATGCACGACCCACTCGACTACTGTATGTGTGGCATTCACCACAATGGTGCAATGGTCAGAGAGTACCCGAGCACCACACAGCTGTCCAGCGCGAGGGAAATGGTATGGCGTCATGTTGACATTACGCCGCCGTACGCCGTCGTCGTCGTCGCGCCAGGCATGTAATGTGCCGAACATTGGCTGTCACGCTCGACGGGCGATTCCCACCCAGGAAGCTGGCAGCTCTGCAGCTTTGCAGCTTTGCGGCCTACGTAACGCGTCCTGCGTGGGGTCATTTGGGCGCACACCAAGACATTTACGGGGGTGCAGTGTTCATGTTGACCTCTGCTGCGTACCACCTGGCCACTTGGCCACCTGCGTCATCAGGCGTTCGGCACACTCAATTCTCCCTGCTCGGACTGATTCCAGTCCCATCTCTCCCTACATTTGTGATCGTGATCATATGGCTCTCTGAACCGGCCTGTGGCCTCTCTCCCCCACGACGCTGGCACCGCACACCGCATACCCGCGAGCGTATGTTTCTCGCCGCTCTGGGGCTTCTAGTGTCGCTATGCAGCGCCTACACCCAGCGTCCAGTCCGCGATCTCCGCGACGCACACGACGCCACAGCGTCACACTCACACCCTCTAGTCACGGCGGCGGTGCCGGCGAGTGAAGAGTGGAGCAGCACGACTGTCACGCTCTCTGTGCCTGTACGCCGTGGCCGCGAGGTCTCTTGACCTCGAGGACGTTGGCAGCGTGGGCTGCTGTGGGCGACTGCTCCAGCTGTGGTTGTGCATGGGACCTGGCGCGTCCTAGCAGCCTAAACACCAGTGCGCAAGTGCACGACCCCGAGGAAAAGAGTCATTACCCTCCGGGGATCCGTGGGAGAGAGAACAACAAAAGGGCTGTAGCGCGGTAGAGCGAGAGAGACGAAAAGAAGCGCACCGTGCACGCTACTATGCTCGTACACCCCTGCGGCGTTTGCAGGTGGGGGGGGGGGGGGGGAAGGAAAAGGGCAAGGGGGGCTGCAGGGTTGGTTTTTTGTTCTTTTGGAAAGAAAACAGCCGCGAGCATACGAGGACACGACAGAGACGAAACTGAAAGAACCAGGGCCGACAAGAGCCTGAGCCTGAGCGTTGTTTTGTGAGGTGTAGGTGGCATCTGGCATGCAGTAAAGTGGAATAATCCGAAACAGGGGAGGGATCCCATGCCCGAAGATGGGTCGTGGGAATGAAAATGTAAAACTGTGACAAGAGGGCAAGAGGTCGGTCGGCCGGCAGGCCGTGGGAAACAGATCCGAGACAGTACTCGATGAGACCGCGCTCGATTCCAAACGCCAGACTTTGGCTCTACTACGGCGACGCGAAGACAACACTGTGGGCCTGCGAGTTGTCGGGGAACGGGTTCCCGGGCGTCGGCGTAGCGGACAGGATGGACGAGGCGAAGAGTGTTGTGCCCTCGGTGCCGTTTGGTGCTGGCTCTGGCGAAGCAGTGCGCAGTTCAATGGGGCTAGGGCCGCCAGAGTCGACGCGCGGACGCGGGCGGTGCTGGGCTCTGTGGTATGGTTAGCCATATGTGAACAGGGCAGCGTAGCTGTGGCTGCTTCTACCGCGAGCTTTGTTGGACGTACGGGTTGGCGGAGGAGTAGTCGCAGCTGCGAGCTGTCAGTATCATAGGGATGGACTTGGTCAGCTACGTACTGGACATATGCGCGAAGAACACCATCGAGGCTAGGGGGTCAGCTTGTGTCGACAAAGTATACAGGTGACCGTCCTGTAGGCTCACTTTTCCAACATGACCCTGAGAGTTAGCTTCTTCCCAAGATGTGCGCAACTCACTGAATCGTCTCTCCGACATCGTGGGCAAAGTGCAGAGAAGTGTTGGGGAGAATGACATCGACTTCGACCACAAGGTCGTCACTGAGTCGTCAGCTCATCTGGAGGAGGGCCACAGCTGCTCATGCAGGTGACACCCACCCAATGTGGTAGCACTCGAGATCGGCGACGTGCAGAACGGGGTTGAAGCGCGTCACCATGTACAGCATGCGAGTGTACTGGTCTCCCGAAGCCGCGCGGCCGGACACTGCGGGGTTAGCCCAACGAAAGGGTGTGAAACCCACGGTTGGCAAAGTTCTGCAACAAGGTCTTGATCCACTCGATGATGATGTACAGCGAGATGACCATACCGCCGATGGGGTCGAGGAGGTGCGAGCCGACGATAGTGCCGAGCCACTTGCTGTTAGCGCGGCTGGGGATGACAATCATAGGGCAGCTGTGGCAGGCTCACGGGGAAGGCGAGTGAGGTAATGTTAAGAATCACATCGTTCTCAGCGTCCTGTGCCAGCGCCTGGACACCCGAGGAAGGGATACGGGAGCACCACACCCACCTGATGTCAGCTGAGCTCAAGACCCGGAGCAACTCACAGAACAGACTTGGTGCCAATGGTAGCGAGCATGGTCGCCATACCGATGCCACTGAGGTCGACGGGGCCGTCCTCGCCAGTGCCCCAAACCGCACGGTTGAACGCCTCAATGAAGACCTGGGTAAACGACGCAATCATAACCACCGAGAACACGAGCTGGCAGGTTTAGCACGTGAAGGAACATTGTAACCCACCACACCGAGAGGCTCGAAACGGCGCTTGCCAGCCGGATACTGCTGTCAGCTTTGCGGCAAAGGACAGAAAGCCCACCAAGTGGCGGTCAGTGGGGACACCGATCGCCCAGCTCGTTCCCAGAATAATAAACGTAGACAAGAGGTCGAGCACCGAGTCGACAAACGATGCCGTAAGCGAGATGGAACTCGAGTACCACACCGCCACACCCTTGGCGAGGACCAGGAGCAAGTTGACAATCGTGTTGACTATGGGTCAGCTTGGACATACACGGTTCAGCTCACTGTGCAGGGCAAGCTTGGCAATCCGTTCCTTCTGGCTCTCGCGCTCGGCGAGGATCAACGGCGTGCTCTCGCCAATCTCGTCGACGGTCGGGCGACGAACCGGATGGGGACGGACCTGCCATGCCTGGTGAATCGTCACGTCGGGTCCGTGGACGTCGACTGAGTTGTAGCTCCGGGAATGGTCCGCAGGCGGGGCGCGGAACGCGCTAGCGATAATGGACGGCAGCTCGCCGCTCAAGAGGCAGTCGACTTCCTCGTAGTGTTCCTTGATACACCCCATGCGCTCGTAATATGGGCGGAGCTGGACGTGAGCTAAAGATCACAGCAAGGGCTCTCTAACTCACCTTGCGAGGGTACTGTTTGATATCGTCGTCGTCGCAGGGCAGCTTTTCAAAGTCGATGGTGCTCCGTTCATACGATGAGATGATACTGTTCGTTTAGCTCCGTCCCAACGAGTCATAGCTAACCCATTGCCACGGATAGCATCAAAGGACATGCCGCGACGCATACGGTGCCGAGTAAATGTCGTAGGGTTACTCAAGACCTCCTCGGCGTCCGAGACCGGAAGAGTAGGCGGCATGGTGGCCAGGCGCTGCGCGCGCGGGTTGGTGTATCCCAGCGTGCTGGCGTACTGGGGCACCGGGTGGAACCCGCCGCCGGTGGCCGAGTTGGGGGATGACATTGAGGGCGAGTGTGTCCCGGGTGAAGGTCAGAGGAGGAGGGAGAGGGCGATATGGGCTGCTTGACGCGACACTTGAGAGAGGGAAGGCGATGGACGCGAAGCTGCAGCAATTCCGACGAACGTGCTGCGGACAAATAAATGCCAGGTTCGGAGGAAGGTGTAGAAGGGAGGAACGAGTGTGGAGAGTGTAAGGGGGGTGGGGAGGGGTGCCGATGGGGGTCTCCCTATCGCCTTAAAGGTTGCTGGACAAGGTGGGGGATGTGGAGAGTGTGACTGGGAGAATGAGACGCAAAAGGTGGTGCGCTGTGTGGTGTATGTATCTCGTTCGGGACAATCTTCCTCGAGTAGTTACTACCAGGCACCACGGCCCGTCTGAGGTCTGTAACCATAACCTAATGTGTCATTTTTGGTAATACAAGCTCATTAGCGAAAGTGACCCGGGGCTAATTCAAATCCCGTCAGGCGATCGGCAACCTCCACCTGTCTGGCTCGCCGTTTCTCCTGGAATCTAATCGACGATGTTGTTGCGTTGCACTCTGTCTCCATTCCCTGGCCACCAATCTATCAAGATGGCACCCCCGCCGACCCCTTTCCACATCCTACGTGCACACTCGACTGCACTTTCCTGCCTTGCGTTCTCCGAGAACAACTCGCACCTCCTCGCAGGCGACCAAGATGGGACCGTGAGCGTCACAGACCTGGGAGCACGGCGTGTACTGGCTTCATGGCACGCTCACGAGGGCGGGGTGCTGGGCGTGGGCGAGTGGGCGAGGGGTCTTGTGAGGTGAGTCAAGGACCCATTCAGCTATCTACTTCGACTTGCTTAGCTGACCGCACGCAGCCAAGGGCGAGACAACAAGGTCCTCTTCCACGCGCCCGTCACTGGATCCGCAACAGGTGCAGCCGCGAGTGGAAGCGGTAGCGGCAGCAGCAATGCCCCAGCCGTCCTGGGTACGATGCCGTGCAACTCGCTCAACTTTTGCCATTTCTCCCTCGCGCACTTTGGCACGACCCAGACTCTGCCTGCGGCACCGGCGGGGTCAGTAAAGGGCAAGGGCAAAGCCACAGAGGTTGAAGGTCTCCTCGCACTGCCCAACCTGACCGACTCGGAATTCGTGAGTTTGTGATTGTTCTTGTGGACAACAGCTAAACCCGCTAGATTGATATCTACCACGTCCCCTCCCTCGCACGCGTACATGCCGCGATCAACTTTGCTCCCAAGTCAAAGGCCATCGAGGCCCCGCGCGCGGGGCTCGTCATGGCGCTTCACATCGCTGTCCTCCCGGACCGGATCGCACTCGTGGCGGCATACGAAGACGGCCGGGCGGAGGTGTGGTCGTGTTCCTTGGAACACGTCGGTACACCATGGGACGGGAGGAAGGCCACCAGCGGCGATGATAAGCCGTGGACGCTGCTGTGGTGTGGCAAGGCGCACAACGAGGCCGGTGAGCTGAGGAGTCGCGGGGGACGACTAGCTGACATCAGTCATGGCCATGGCCGTCGACCCGTCGTTTGAGAGGGCATTCACAGTGTCAGCCGACCACCTCCTGTGTCGCATTGACCTCGTCTCGGTGAGCTGCGTTCTCTCCGCTGGTCTCAGCTAACATCCAGGTCCTCACCGGCACAACCACGACCAACCCCATCTCGTCCTACTCGACCAAACAGGTCGGCAACAGCGCCCTCGCCATCTCGTCGGACGGCAAGGTCGTCGCCGTGGGCGGGTGGGATGGGCGCATCCGTCTATTCTCAGCCGCGACGTTCAAGCCGTTAGGCACGCTCGCGTACCACCGCGAATCGGTCCAGGCGCTCGTGTTTGGCAACCGCGAGTCGGGCCTGCTTGGCGCCAGCGGCGGCGGCAGGGGGGTGGACGACGACGAGGCGAGTGTTCTGGAGATTGGCGACGACGAGAGCGACTCGGACGACGACGTGGACGCCGACGTGGGGCCCAGGGAAGGATGGCTCACTAGTGCTGGCAAAGACCGGCGTATCGCACTGTGGAGCTTGCACTTTGGGGCTTAGACACGGTGTAGCGGCAGGTGGTGGCATGGCATGGCATGACATGGCATGACATTTGGCAGCAAAACGGTTTTGGTGCGTGGCAGTCCGCGAACGCGACCCGCGGTCCCGTTGAGACCCAGTCCCAACCGCATAGAGTGACTTCTAGACTTCTAGATTTGCGGGGAAGGCACTCATTCGAATGAAGCATGTTCGCCACGCTCGCAGTTCAGGACGCGACGACGTCACACACATGCGCGTCATCGATACCCCTGCACGTAATGTTGTGTAACCAGGTGTGAAGTACCAGAGGTGTGGGTATGTCCCGCGGGTGAACCTGTAACGGGGGCAGGGACGTGCCCATGGTCCATGTTGTTGTTTATCAAGTCTGGAACGAGGTAGGGTGCTGCTGTGGGGCGGCCACAAGGTGTGGGCTTCGTCATCGGGCATGACCATCTACATACTGTAGCAACAATCAACACGGCCGTCTGTATACCTTGACGACAGTGCCTCCCTTCCTGTGTGGGGAAAACGTGTGTTCTTGGCTTATGTCATGAGCCAGGAGCAGTACGTCGTAGAGTTTGCAGAACAAGCGCGTCTGGGTTGTTGACCTCGACGACACCCACCACCATTGGAACCCGAGTCCACCGGCAGCGGATACGCGGGTGTGCCCCAGCGCTCGTGCCGGTACGTCCGTCACAATACTGTGTCATTGGTGACGCCGTAGCGAGACGCGTCCCATTCCTCATTCCACTGCGCATGCCAGCGCGTACCACCCAAAAGTGCCATGGCTCCCTCAGTCTGGATGGCTTTGACATGATCACAGGGGTACAGGGAGTTCTGAACGGACGCGTCTGGTGTGTCTTTCCCTTCCGTGTGCATGGGCTGTGGCTTTTAGGCTTTTGCTCAATGACTCGCCTTTTCGATCTGTATGAATGGGGTGGGCCGGTGTGCGCGGGCATGGGGCCGATGGAACAAGTCGCGGTGCGCGGGTGATACCCGGTGGCGCTGGCTTGGAGTGCGTCGAGGTGCTATTCTGGGGCTTTGGGTGGTGATGGCTGATACTTGGTGGCGCCAAGTTGGTCCGGTGGCAGCGGGTAGGCGAGGGTGTCCCGCAGCCAGTCAGCAGTCAGTGTTCGTTCGTCGCGCTCGCTCTCGCTGGCTTGCTTGCTCGCGATGGTAGTGGGAAGAACAACAGGTGCATGTGCCACTAGGGCTGAGACGATTCCTGCGTCCATGGGTAGAGTAATACAAAAAGAGACCCCGCTCGGCGGGGGGTTTGACGCACTGCGCCAGAAAGTGTAAGAGGGAGAGGAAGGCGGAAAGAGCTAGCTTTCGGAACCTTGGGGAGATGGGCGAGAGGCGATTGTCGATGAGAACGCAGTTCTCTCTTCAAGACCGGTGATTTGTTATCGAAACAAGACGTCGTGAGTGAGTGTGCCGCATCGAGCGACAGCACTGTTTGTTCGTCCGCACGGCGGAGTTTTTTTTGTTGACCCAAAACCAAAAGCAAGACACTAAAGAGATACAGCTAGACACACACGCTTACTGGCAGAGAACGCTGCCAGTGGAGGTGAAGCTGCACTCCGAGTCGCAGGTGGCGACGGTCTCCCATGCGACGGTGGTGCTGTCCTGGTAGGCGCAGACCTGGAGGGCGAGGCCAGAGCACTGCCAAGCGCCGAAAGTGCAGGCACCCTCGGTGGTGACGGGAACAGCAGCGTTGGAGACGGGGAGAGTAGTGGTCGCAGAGGTAGAGGCCTCGACGGGGGCGGCAGAGGTCACAGACTCGACAACGGCGACAGAGGCGACGGACTCGACAGCGGCGGCGTCGGTGACAGCGGCAGTGGCAGCGGCAGTGGCCTGCTCAACCGAAACGACCGACGAGTTGACCTCAGCGATGAGCTGGTTGCCGGCAATCGAGGCAGTAACGGTGGCGGCAGCAGTAGCGGCGTCGGTGGCGGTAGCGGCGGCGGTCTCGACAGCGGCAGCCGACGAGCTCGAAGACGACTCAACGGCGGCAGCAGAGGTCGAGGCAACCGAACCAGACGAGGCAACCGAGCCCGAGGGCGAGATGGTGCTGTCGAGGATCTTGACGGTGAGGCCGGTGGGGTTGTTGCCCGAGCAGGTACCGCCCTTGACGGCAGCGAAGGCCTTGGCTGGGGAGAATGTCAGCAAGTGGAACAAAAGGAAATGTGACACGGGTGATGGTGGGGCCATCACACGACTGGGTGTGCGTTTACTCACCAGACAGGTCAATGATGTTCTCGCTCATGCAAGCGGCACAGCCGTCGAAGAGCACGAAGGGTCCCTCGTCAATGGTGATCTCGTTGCCGGAAGCGTCAAAGATCTGAACTCTGGAGGGGGTGTCAGTGGACGGATCATTGGGGTGATGGGGTGGCGCTTGCTCTACTCACTCCTTGCCACACCACTTGGACTTGTCGCCCGAGACCATGGTGTAGTTCATGGCGACGATACGGTTCGAGTTGAGGTCCTTGAGGGTCCATGCGGTGGTGTCCGAGCCCTGGCAGTAGGTGACACCGGTGTTGATGCCAGTGTCAATGGCCCAGTTGGACTGGAAGGGGCCGCCGTTGGAAGCGGCACAGACGTCGACTCCGTTGTACTCGTCAATGTCGTAGTAGCTGTAGGTTGGTGGTTAGCTCGGGTAATGGGACACGCGGGATGAAGTCGAGGGGAGGGGGAATGTGCGCGTGCGCGCCGGGCACTGTTCCTTCCCGGGACCACCAAAAAGAACACTCACACAGTGGCCTTGAAGGCGGAGCCCTCGTAGAGGACGGTCTGGGCACGGGCGATGCCGGCGAGAACGGTGAGGAGAGCGGTAGCGGCGAACATTGTGATAGGGAATGTGGGTTTTGAGAGAGAGAGAAGGTGGTGTGTGTGTGGTCTACCAGAAACGGAACGGGAACGGGGGGTTGAGAGGATGATGGGTTGTTGGAGGTCGGGGGGTTGAGAGCTATATAACTGTCAGAGGGAGTGTGGGTTTGCGGGTGGATGGGCAGGAGTGTGTGAGAGAGTGGACGAGGAGAGAGCGCGCCAGGCGATGAGGAGGATGAGGAGAGAGAGAGAGTGAGGAGGAGGATAGAGTTGAACGGGGGTGATGAAGAAAAAGGAAGGCAAAGAGGGAAGGGAGGGAAGGCAGAGAATGATGGACCACTGCGGACGATCCACACACACACGCGCGCGCGCGTCCAGGGTAAAACACACAACACACCGAGAGAGCCAGGCCCCGCCCGCCGCCCCGCGCACGCGCGCGCCCGCGCTGCGTCAGGGTATGAGCCCCAAAATATACTCCCGCAGCCGGCAAGAGGGAAAACAAGGGTGCGTGTGCCCCCCCGTGCGCGCGCGCTCTCGTGCGTAGTAGAAAATTGTCTCTTGTGCGCCAGGCCGCCAGGCCCAAAGGGACACGCGCGCGTGTGTGTGATGTCTTCCTCCTTTGGGTGTGCCGTTCCTTTGGATCAAAGGAAAACGAAAGACCTTCCCTCGTCCTTGTGGTTGCTGTTTACCACGCAGCAGCAGCAGCACCTTTGGTGCTCAGTTTTCTTCCCTTTCGCACACATTCATGTCAACAGGCCTGTCTCTCTCATGCATCACACGCTATACAATGCATCCTGCATCCTGTCCACTCTGCACCTGCCCCTCAACGCTGGCTCCATGACGAAACATTGCTCCCAAGCTCACTCACCGACGGCCCCCGAAAATCTACCGGCCCAGACCTTTGGATCCACACTACCACCGACTGATCCATCCACCCGGCCCACGCCCACCGCTGGCCGCTGACGTCCTCTCCCTCGTGTACTTGTTCGCCCTTCAACACCCGCGCAGACAGACAGACCCACACTCATCATCATCATCATTCATTGCCCCTTTCTGACAATCCTCCTTCCTCGTCAACCTTGCTCTCTACCCTGGAAAATCTATAAACCCATTATGGCCCACATATGCATGCCGTACCTAACCCATTATCGCTTCAGTCCTGCCGGCAGAGGATTTTTGGGGTGCCCAGCACAAAGACTGGCCAAGCCAACAAACACTACTACCACCGAGGTACAGCACCACGGATACATGGAGAGGCCGAGAACAAGACCGAGGACACCGATCCGGCGCATGCCGGTCGGTGGATCAGTGCGTCACCGCGCTGGGTTACTGTAGTGACCTCGGATCTCGGACTAGTCGAACCGCGAGCTCGCGGTATATCCTACTCATGGACCCCGCCGTGCAAGACAGTGTGCTTGATGATCATAGACTGGGGCAGCAGGAAACCCTTTGCTTGATTGCTCGTTACGGTCCATGTCAGCTTCACGATTAGACAGATTGGCGGACAGGCCCCTCCCCTCCGGTGTGGCACCCATGGCAGTCCCTGTCCCGCTGCTGATATGGCCTGTCGGATAGATGTTTCGCTGATCGTTGATCTCGGTGCGCCGAGGTGCCGTGGGCAGTTCCTCTCCAGTTCCTCGCAACACTGTTACCCGTTGTTTACCGACCAGCCCATTGTGCCATGCAAAAGGCAGAGCGGGGCTGCCCGCCGTCCCCGCTTCCAACGGCTGGGAGACATCGGTGCCGCGGGACGCGGCACAGAAACAAGAGGTGGCACCTGTGTTCTGGCCTTATGGAGAGGACGCAGCGGTCTGGAATGGAGCTAATGGAGCCAGCAATAGCACGTGGGGGCAAGCACCCAGGAAGGCAAGCTAGGCAAAGCATCCAGCAACGGGACTACGGGGAGTGGAGTCGAGCTGGTCTAGACCACTTCGGGTGGAGCAGAGCGAGACACATGGAGGTGCAAACATATGCATGCGCGCGTGCAAGTTGCAAGTAAAAAGTGCCACACTTGCTGATCGCTAACCTTCATTACTAACCGCAAAGTCCAGTCCAGCCCATCCTGCGTATTGCGTAACAGCATCGAGATCCCAGCGGCCAGCGGGTTGATCATTGCCAGGCCCCATTGCCAGGCCCGACGACCAGGTCCGACAGGCCCGAACCCGCCTGCCCGCGCTGCCCGCCTGCCCGTCTTGCCCGGCCGCAAGAGCGTACGCACAAACGGCGGAATAAATCCTGGCAAAAAACACCCTGGTTCCAAAATATCGTCTCGTCCACTCGTGCTCTGCGAGCTGCTGTTCTGGGGTGCGTCCCATGTATGGATGACAGCATCGCCCAGCCTCAGCCGCCGGAATAGGCCGAGTGCGCGAAAAGGAACAGAGCAGTTCCTCTCCGGCGGCCAGACGGGGCCTCCTTCTGGTCATATTGAGGGTCTGGGCAGCTTCAAGGGTATTGAGGGCCCTTGCTAAAAGCAGGCTTGCTATGCGCGACGCATCCTCGCAGCTCGGCACTCGCTACACTGTGGCCCCGGCATGTGTTAGCCTTTTCTGTCGACGCCATCGTTTGGGCTAAGGGAGGAAGAATAACGAAAAATATACTTGCAAACCCATACACAGCGCGCCGGGCAGGGCCCGCGAGCGACCATTTACTGGGTGCAAAGGAGAATTGCGTTCGGGCCGATAGTACAGGTCTCGGCTCTGGAATGTGGGATAATGCGGCGTCGGGCAAGACGGCGCGCTGCACAGCGCAGCAGCTGTGTAGCTGTGCAGCTGCTATGGCCGAAAATGTCTCGGCGCGGCGCGTGCCAGTGGCCCGGATTGAGTTAGAGACAAAATTACAAAAGAGCCAGTGGGCAGTAGGCTCTGGGCAGCGGCCAGCATGGAGCAGCGGTGGAGCCGCCGGCCAGAGCGGTTAGGTTAGACACGCCGGTGCCGTGCGGTCATTAGGAGATCTGATAATGACGCGCATACCGAAGTCGCGGAGCGAGGTTTTTCCACACCCACGCCCACACACCCCGGACGCGCTCTGGCCGGCGCCACGGCTTGGGATCCGTGGCTTGCGAAACTGCGTTTCAAGGTCTTGGACACTCAAGAGTCCGCGGCGCCATGGCCGTGGCCAGTCCGCCCGGTTGGCCAGTCGCCGCCGGCATAGGGTGGTTGCTGAGGCCTCGTAGTTTTGGTCTGAGACAAGGTCCATTCCTGCACGAGTCCTCAATCTTCTAGGGTAAGAGAGCGATTTTTGTATACGGCCAGTAACAATGGCCAAAGCCGTGAATCGCGCGCGGTCATGCATCATATGAATCTGTCGGCCATGTGGGTGTCCTACACGCCTGCGCAGACAAGCGCTTGTGTGCGGGCGGCCAGGCGCTGCTGCGAAGCTGCGTACAGGGATAAGTCCTGGCTGATCTCCAGATGACAAACGAGCCCTTACGCGCAGAGCAAATGCCCCCACGCATGTGGACGACAATTGTCCCCAACGCAGGGAGCTAAAGGGTACATGCTGCGTGCTGCATGTGAACGCCGAGAGACATAAACCACGCAGTTAGGTCTCTACAGGTCATGCGTAATCGGCTCTACCAGATCTCCCTAGATGTGAACGGCCAAAGCGTGATTACAGGATATATGCCAGGCTCGCAACGATCTCGCAACACGAAAACGTTGCCGTGTCTGTTGCTTGCTTGCTTGCTAGCTGCTGCATCAAGATGCGTGGTCGGTTAGCTGCGTCGTAGCTCGTAGCACGCTTCATGCGGACGTCCAGGGCGATCGGTTCGGAGTTGTCACTGCTCCACCGACCCAACCGAGGTGGAGATTGGGGAGATTGACGAGTTCATTCCCCGTCCCGAGGTTTCACCGCGCGTGAAAGTCGTGTGCCAGGCTGTCCATGTCATGTGGGGTCGCGTGAGCGCTGGAATGGCGTATGTGGCAGGCTCTATGGCAGCATCAAGTGATCACTGACCACCACGGCGGACACATGTCCTAGGAGCATACCTATGTAATGTTCCCAAACGGCCGATGACAGTCACCCCCATACCTCGATTGCGTGCACATTAAGAGGTGAAGATCTGGTAGACTGCAGGTTCTCGATAACTGCGGGTTTTCGACTGGGCATGTTCACCTGGCATTCGTGTCCGTCGTTTTGAGGCCATGACTAGCCAGCACCAAGGTGTCTGAGGCCCCGGCGTGTTTGTGGTGTGGGGCGCCTTGTGTTTCCAGTGCGCACCCACAAAACAGGCGTTGGTGCCACATGACGAAAGCCACACGTCAGAGGCGAGCGGTATGTAATGTTCAAACGTGGGAGTCATGTTTCTCCAAGGAACTGCAGCACGTTCGTCTGGGACAGACTCTAATGCGTTCAAGGATGGCCAACGAGCTCCACCAAACGTGTTCCACGGCATGCCAGAGTCGAGTATCTCCGTGGGCATTACGATGCCATTACAGTTCTTTGTTACGATTTTGACTCTGTCTGTGCCATGTGCCTTCTCCAGGTCCCAGTGACCAGAACCTGGCCCCATTGCCCCATTGCCCACGTACAGCTATCCCCACACATCTCCACATCTCCTCGCCCTGGGTCTGCCTGATAAAGAAGCAAAGAGCCTGAACTTTGTTTCTGTTCTGGTTCCATTGTCGCTGCGGTGGGGGGTTTTCAAGGTGCGCTTGGCATGTGGAAAATGGGGTTTTGACGGTCAGAGTCTAGAATTAGCGTCTGCTCTTCGCATTGTCAGCGTGCGAACCACGTGTGAACCACGGCTAACTGCAGCTAACTGGTGATGCCTGTATATTCACCCTGTTTTGGGGTGCTGCGTGTTGCGTCATGCTATCTAGTTCTCTACAGCAGCTGCAGCGTGGCATTTTGCACAGTACAAAGGCGAACTGCACACTCACACGGCGTAACCACTCGAGTGTGCCACATCACGTGACCAGATATCTTCGGGGTCATCCGCTTCCGCCCTTCACCTCCACTCGGAATGACCACCCATGTTTCGATAACTAACACACCATGCCAGCCTTCGATGCGTCCAAGATCACCGTTATATTCGTGCTAGGAGGCCCAGGAAGCGGTCAGTGGCCCAGCTGCCTCCCACGCCTTTTGATCTGAGCTGACGCCAGAGGACAGGCAAGGGCACGCAATGCGACAACCTCGTCACGGACTTTGGATTCAAGCATCTCTCGGGTAGGTTCTCTCAGCTGCTGAGGCGGCCAACTGCTCGTGAAGCTGTAGTCTGACGCAATGTCTCCAGCTGGTGACCTGCTACGAGAGGAGAAGAGCCGCGACGGATCGCCGTTAAAGGCCAAGATCGAGTATTGGATCAAGGAAGGCATGGTCGTCCCGCAAGAGGTGCTTGTGCAAGTATGTGCCGGTCCTCCTCCCAGCTGTGGTTCTTCGTATCATCAGCTGTGTATCTGACAATACTCCTGCAGCTGCTCACCGACGCCATGACCGCGACACTCGCCAACCCCCCGCCCTTTGCACCGGGCTCGACGCTCGCCGACGCGTGGAGCGGAGGCCGGGGCCGGTTCCTCATCGACGGGTATCCGCGGGCGATGGACCAGGCGCTCATGTTTGACGCGAATGTGAGTGGCCGTGGCAGGTATCTTAGTGACGAAACCTGCATTTCATGTGTGCCGGTCATGACCTGCACTAGCCCCAGAGTGGTGGTGCACTGCATCGGCTGTGACGTCCATTCCGCTTCCAGCTGGCCCGTGAGGGCAGGCAGGTGGCGCTCTCCACTGCTCACCCGCCACATCTCGCTAACGCGCACGTCCAGGTCGTACAGTCCAAGTTCGTCTTGTTCATGAACACGTCCGAAGACGTCATGCGCCAGCGCATGGTACAGCGCGGGCGTGGCGACGACAACGACGAGACGATCTGGAAACGCTTCGGTGAGGCTTACAACGCGCCGTTGTGCTGGCAGGCCATGTGTACGGTCCGTGCTGACATTCCTCCTCCCAGTGACTTTCCATAACACGTCCCTCCCCGTCGTCGAGCACTATCGCAGCGAGGGCAAGGTGGTGGACGTTGACGCGTCGCCTGCCCCGGAGGCCGTCTATGCGCAGATCAAGGCTGCGCTGGCGCAGCGTCTCGGCGTGTAGCGTCACACAACAGACTTGCCACTGCTCACTAAAGTTCCTCACATGATTAATAGACCATCGTCCACCCATGTATGACATCATACTCATCTCGAGAACCGGTGGACGTGATGGCACCCCCCGACACGATGCGAGGCACACATGGAAATGGAGGCCCGCATGTGGTAATGTGCGCCGAGAATCAATCCAAGAATAACTCGATGGAAATGCACGACGCGCCGACCTTGCTGCGCGCACGCGTGGGCATGGTGGGGGTAGGCTGAGCAATGCAGCGCGAACGGTCGGGATGAGTTACATTCCAGGGATCCAGACGCATGCGCTGTGCGCACATGGAGATCACTTTACAGGAATGTGCGCTGGCACTGGAGTGTGCGCGTCTACGGCCTTGGATTCAAGGGAGAGGGAGATGGGAGTGGACGGTTGCTGCCCACCACGCGCCACGCCTCACCGTCGCTGGCCCCCCGGCCCGCCCGCAGCAACATGCGTCCCGAACACGTACGAACGCCGCGTCAAGGGACCCAGCGACAACGGATATTAGATCCATGACGGGTTAACCCTTGCAATGTGACGACGCGTCGAGATTGAAATGGAGGGCCGTTAGGAATGCAGGAATCAGGGTTTCGGCGGGCCTCATTCGTCCTTGCGTGCCATACTCACCTTGCGGCAACCCTTGCGCTCAGCGTTTTGCGAGTTACGCGACCGTGAGGGGTACCCACCGCTGTACGCAGCTGATAGAGTATTGGCTGGCGGTGGTGGACGGAGCGCAGCTGACTATCTAGCGCAGACGTCCCCATGTGAGTGGCGGTGATGGTACAGGGAAGGTCTGTTGCATTGTTGCCCACAGGTGGATGAGGCGCCATGTTGGCGTTCCTGGCGCGAGCGACACGAACAAAACTTTACCACCAACGCGGATTGATGTCTTCTACGCGGTTCTACGGACCAGCAGTGCTGCGGTGTACTGGGCCTCCCTCCCACTTGCACACTGCCGTGCGAACCCACACGGACCACGTCGCGACGAGAGGAAGGAAGGAGCTATGTGAAGTTCATCACACACGCTCACCACATCTTCTATCCCCACGCGCAACTGTCATAACCCAGGCGTCCTTGGCACGCCGCACAGGCCCTCTCTCCCTGTTTTCGGGCGCGCAAGTGTGGGTCGTGGGTCCATGCCGTGCAAGCCTGAACTGGTGTGGCAAAACACCAGCCCCAGGCCGTGGGTATACGCTGGGCCGTGGGTATACGCTGGGCCGTGGGCATACGCTGGGCATCGTGGGTGGACACACTACTGCTGTTGGCAATGGCCAGTTTGGCCAATGCCCACTGACAGTGTGGCACCTGGCGGTCGCCTCTGAGGCCCAACTGGGTTACGCACTCATGATGCGATCAGTTTGGACGGTGTGGGCCTGTTTCACACACCCGCGATGTCTTCGATCCTCGAGGTTGATTGGCCTTACTCTACTTGCCACAGAGGGTCGCTTGCCGCGAGGGACTGCATCTGGGGTTCGGCACTGAGACGGCGGCGGACATGGTAGGGGGTTGCATGTCATCAACAGCCTGTCCTTTGTATTGTGGCCTTTGCAACCGCGGGCTGGGCAGAAGGTGCCATCCAGTCAGTGATCGGTGATCGATGCCCAGAGGGTCGGGTCTGGTTCCAACGAAGCCGCTCCAGGGCCGGGGAACAGGTGGTGCGACTGCTTGCTAGCTGCTTGCTTGGCATGTACCAGGTTCCTTGGGCGCCACACAACTGGTAAGAACGAGTGGTAAGCGCTCTGATGAGCGTCGCGATGATTGCCCCTAGCTTCCGCGATCTGCCAGCCTCAACTGATGGTTGCCCGGAGAGGTTGTACCGTCTGGACGCCATGTGAGTATGGAAGTCAAGCACAGCCGGACATGGTGGATGTGGCTGCTTGGTGGGTTGGGCGGGTGCCTACGGTCCATGCTGCGCGGGAGGTTTCTGTCATGGACGTGTCTAGGCCTAACCACTTTGCATGTTCGTGCGCTGGCGTGATTGTCCGTACGTGGCTGTAAGTCACGCCAGAGCCTGGGCACGGGCGGGCGGTCGCGAATGGCCGTGCTCAATGGCAGGTGAGTGAAATGCAGGCGCATGGTTACTATGTATCACGACACAGTCAGATTCACTCCCCTCAGTGTGTATGTGGTCAAAATTCACACTACCTCGTGATGATCTGACCACTGTACCACTGTCGACGTGGCTGATGCCCTCTACGTGTTTCTCCAGTCCCCGAGAAACACATAGACATCGTCTGGCCACATCGTCTCGGGCATAATAGGCAACCGTTGTGTGAATTCGGCGGGAAGCCGGGCGCCGTGTTTGGCATTCACACTCACACAAAATGACACAGCCGGCGGCAGCCAGCTTGCAGCTTGACAGCTCGGCCGCTGGTCGCTGGCCGCTGGTCGCTGGCCGCTGGCTGCTGGTGGATGGGTGTCTGTGTGAAGGGAATACACTGCATGATTGCATGACCAAGCTGGTGGGCCATTCGTTCGCCCTTCGATCCACCGTCGACGTCACGATGTCACAACTAGGACGTCAAGCAGCGGGGCACTGGCGCACTGGGCTGTGAGCGCGCCCAGCTTGTGGGCGGCCTGAGATCGTGATCGGAGTGGCGAGACCGACCCAAGCTGTGTATGGCTAGTGTGTATTAATAAAGGGAGAGGCCAAGTGTTCATGAGAGGTCGTCCATGAGAACAAGGGAGAAGGAGGAAAAGGGGAATGTGAGTGACGCCCCCGCGTCTCCGCCGATTGCATTTTGATTTGATTGTGTTGTGGCCGACGGGCTCTCTGGTGGAGGTGGGGAGAGGGAAGGCACAGGGAATGGTGGTGGTGGGAAGAATATATATGGTGTGTAATAGAGACTTGAGACCCATGCAGTAAGAGTAGCAGTAGCTGGGGCCTGTTGACCACGCCCCCATCTGCCGAATGCATATATGCAGTGCATGTAACGCATTTTCCAAGAGCTACAAACAGCAACTGCCTATAGAGGGCAGCCAGACGGCAGGACCGGGGACAATGTTGCTTCTTCCGGCAATCACTGGGCCCGCGCCTGGGTGTGTGGGTGGTGTGGCCGCCGCCGCCGTACGGTGACGCACCTGACACGAAATAGGTGTGCGTCTCGGGTTTGCGTTCATCTCTCTCTCGCTGTCGTTCCCGCCCTCCCCCTCGTGCGCATTCCCTCCTCGTCCTCTCTCTCCCGGCCACCACCACCACCACCTATCGCTCACTCTCTCCCTCCCCATCCACCCCCTCCATCCACTCCATCACACACTCACCCACTCATTCCGGCTCCTACCGACCGTGTGTCCAACACCACCAAACAGCCCTCCGTCACGCCCCGCTTCACTGCTTTGGCTCCCTAATCCCCACCCACCGCTGCAGTCCCTATCCCTCCCCCCCGATCGCGCAAGCTCTCCGTTGCGCACACAGTTCTTGTCCACGCTGCGTCAAAGGTCGCACCGAGGCCTGCAATCTCACCAACACGCACGCGTCACGCACGCTACCTGACGCATTCGCGCGCTGGCTCGGCGCTCGTCTTGATCGCCCCCTTCCGACATCTCCCCGCCCACCTACAGGTGAGTCATCGGCGACAATCACACCCATACATCTCCATCCACAATCCATCCTATACCACCCACAGAGCGGCGTGTATCGCCGTTCCCTCCCTTTCTCCCTCCCGGTTCTTCACCTCTCTCTTCGTCGTCCGCATCCACTGCCTCGCACGGCCGCGCAGTCCACATCCTCCTCCTTTCGCATTTACTCGGCGCTGACATTGGACGTCGTCCCGTTTCCCATTACTCTTCCCTCGATCCAGTACTCGAGCATCCCCCTTGTCCTTCACGGTCAGCTCGCCCAACCTTCCCTTTCAACGGCGACGTGCTTGGCTTTGACGCCGCCGGACAGCCTTTTGTCGCCGCCGCCGTCAAGCCGTTAGGCGACCCATTGTCCCCACCCCCGGGCCTTACTTCCTCATCCTCCATCTTCCCACCACCGCTCGCGCCACCGTTCTAGTCAACCATGGGCGGGTGCATGTCATCTGAAGCGACCGCGGTCGAGGCGCGCCGCACGTCTGACCCCAAGAAGCCGGTCGCGGCAACCCCCTCCGCGACACCAGCGCCAGCATCAGCAACTGCGGCCTCGTCTGCTGCATCTCCTGCCGCCGCCGCTGCCGAATCTAGCGCGGCGCCGCAGGCCAACGGGTCCGTGCCCGCTCAACAAGGGCTGGCAGCGGCACTCATGCAGGCCCCCGAGCCATCGTCCTCTGCGAGCCCACGCAACAACCGCGACAACAGCAACCAGATTGACCGCCAGCTCGAGGATGACTCGAAGAAGTTTAAGAAGGAGTGCAAGATCCTGCTCCTTGGCTCGGGCGAGTCGGGCAAGTCGACCATTGTCAAGCAGATGAAGATTATCCACCAGAACGGCTACTCGCGCGACGAGCTGCTCCAGTTCAAGGGCATTGTTCACAAGAACGTGACCGACTCGGCTCAAGCGCTGGTCATGGCCATGAGGAAAATCGGCGTCGACCCCGAGGACCCCACGAACCGGTCGCACGCCGACCGCATTGTCGAGTACAGGCAGGAGAGCGATGGCGCGCCTGTCCCTGCAGACATCTTCCGCGCCATCGAGGCTCTGTGGCACGACCCCATCATCCCCGTTGTCATGGACCGATCGTCCGAGTTCTACCTCATGGACTCGGCCACCTACTTCTTTGCCAACATTCGCCGTATTGGCGCCGCAGACTATGTTCCCGACGAGGCAGACGTGCTCCGCGCGCGAACAAAGACCACGGGTATCAGCGAGACCCGCTTCAACATGGGCCAGCTCAGCATCCACATGTTTGACGTCGGTGGCCAGCGCAGTGAGCGCAAAAAGTGGATTCACTGTGAGTATCGCGTGGCCATACCAACGCCAGGATAAGCATGCGCCCCGTGCAGGCTTGAGCCACGGCTGGATACTCAGGAGTCGCAACTGCCGTGCGGGGGGTCCCTTGTGGCGTGGACCAGACCCACGCCACTGGCATTCACGCGCGCCATTTGGCTGTCATCCGATGGTGGCGGCGCATTTTGCTGCTCGCTGGCCGAGTGACCCAAGCCCCCACGTTTGCCTGCCTCCTTGTGCTGACTGTGTTTCCCAGGCTTTGAGGCTGTGACGTCGATCATCTTTTGTGTGGCACTGTCCGAGTACGACCAAGTGCTGCTCGAGGAGAACGGCCAGAACCGTATGCAGGAATCACTGGTCCTGTTCGAATCGGTCATCAACTCGCGCTGGTTCCTGCGCACGTCGGTCATCTTGTTCCTCAACAAGATTGACGTGTTCAAGCAAAAGCTGCCAAAGGTGCCCCTGGTCAACTACTTCCCCGAATACACTGGTGGTGCCGACATTAACAAGGCGGCCAAGTACATTCTCTGGCGCTTCACCCAGACCAACCGCGCCCGTCTGTCCGTCTACCCGCATTTGACCCAGGCGACCGACACGTCCAACATTCGTCTCGTGTTCGCGGCCGTCAAGGAGACGATTCTCCAGAACGCCCTGCGTGATTCCGGCATTTTGTAAACTGCCTTTTTTTCTTCTCTTTTAGCCCAGCGCCCGCCCCTCTGGTTTTGCCGTCTGTTATACCAGCCGCAGCAGCAACCGCTCCCACGTTCCAACATGGTTTGCCGAGTGAACGACAACAACAGCAGCGAACGACGTCCCTCAAATTATACTACCTGCTCTCGTATATGGCGGCCCGCTTTGCCATAATTTCCCATCCCATCCCATCCCATCCATCCCATCCTTTGCCCTCCGACCCCTCCTATCTTGCATTCGGCCTCATATCGGATTAAAGCGACATTACTACTACCCCATCCAGCAGTGATTGAAAACAATCCCCACCCCAAACTCCAACTACATCCCCATCCCAGCCCCGTCCCTCCCCCGCCGCCTTTTACGCCGCCGCCTTTTACGTGAAAAAGAGCCTTCCCCTTTTCTCTCCCGTTTATTCAGTTTTTGGCCCTGCTGAAGTATCTCGTATCGGCTGGCGTTCGGTGTATGCACATGCCTGCCTGTGGACGACGAGTTTGTGAGCCCTTTTAGGAGGGTACGTCACGAGTGAGGCCTCTGTCGATTGGTTCATCGACAAGGTAACGTAAGGACGGCCAAGGGAGTGTACGGCCGGGACGCTGGAAGCAAACCCAAATGGTGGGATCCAAACCCAAGAGACGTCATGTTCTGGACGGACCAAGAGAGTGCCTCTAGATATCTGGTAGCCGTAAACAGGCCACACTTTGTCCCTTTCCACGCCGCAGCTTATAACCACTGCTCACGATCTCGGTCCGGGGTCGCCGACTGGTTTTGCGCTAAACCTGGAACCCATTGGCTGACGTTATGAGGCCCCAAGCCAGCCCCGACTGCTCTCCCTGTGGGCCTGTTCTCAACCCCTGCATTTGTCTTGGCCTGCCTCGATCTCTTGCCGGACGTGTGGTGGGTGGCAGCGGGGACCCCCCCTTGGCCCCTATCACGCGCACACGCGGGGCAGCAAAAGCGCAGCAAGGGGGGCAGTAGAATATAGGGCAGTCTGTCCGGGCAAGAGCGTATAACCCGTGCGCAAAGTGCATTTTGCACAGTGCTCTCCTGCGTCGCGGTAGTACATTCGCATGCGCATGCAGCGTTGATTGGGTGTAGAGCAGTCAAAGAGCCTAAAAGAGCTGGTCTGGGGTGGTGTTGCGGCAATCCGTGCCGGCAAAACGGAGACGACGACGACGATGCAAAGAGGAAAGATACTGGGCGCGTGATTCTGTGTCCCCCACCTCGTGCCCGCCCGTCACCCCCGGCACCCCCGCCCCCACCCGGGCCCACCACATTCATCAACATCCACCCACCACAGCCCATCGAACAACTCCACCCACACCTCCTACTCCCACTCCCACAAGCATGTCGCGGCGCTTGCACCCGGGCCACTATCCCAGTGTATCGGCCAGCGCGGCCGGAGCGGGCGGAGCGGGCAGCGGCAGCGCACAAGCACAAGCACCACCACCACCACCACCACCACCACCACCACCACAAGCGCAAGCGCCAGCACACCCGCCAGGCGCCATCTCCACAGGGCGACACGGAGCACCACTACCATACCCATACCACCCCCACGCGCATGCCCATCCCCATGGCCATGTCCCTCCCCACCCCCATGCCCACACCTATGTGCCCAGAGCGGCGGCTGCGGGATACGCCGCCGCCGCCCAAGGCGCACTGGCATGGACGGCGCGCGTGCACGAGCTCGGCGACGGCAGCTCGGATTCGGGATCGCGGCCCGGGTCGGCGGTGAGCATGAGCGCAAGCGCAGGCGCGAGCATGGGCGTAGTGAACATGGGTGCGGGACTGGGTATGGGCAGCAGCAGCCTGGGCTTGCAGCGCGAGCGTGACCGGCCCGCCACGGCGCCTGGGGCTGCTGGACGAGGGAGGGAGAGTATCGGCGGCGGCACGGGCAGTGCGTCGGCAGCAGACACAAAGTCGCCGCTGCGCTGCTCGTTCCCCCAGTGTGGCAAGACGTTTACTCGCAAGGTGAGTGAATCGTGGAGGAGTGGCAGCGAGAGCCAGAGCTGACGGCATGCGTTTAACAGGACCATCTGATCCGGCACGCAGCGAACCGTGAGCAACTGATTAGATCAGACCTGAATGGAGGATTCGAGCTGACGTGAACCTTGTCTACTTCGACTCCCCTTTCGTCCTTCTCACCGCTTCTTCTTCGCTATTGACTGGCGACACTTGGCTTACTTGTTCGGACGCTCATCTGTTCGATCGACTTGGCCTGCCCCGTACACAACCTCGTATCGTCTCATCACTGTCGTCCTTGCGCCCGCCGGCAACTCAAATACCCACATCATCCATGAACCCCGCCGCCAACCTGCTCTCGTACAACCCTTTCCGCTCTCCAACACAACAGACTCGCAACCCAACTACCACTGCGGAACGTGCGGCCGCTCCTTCCAGCGCTTAGACCTGCTCCAGCGCCACGAACGGAGACGTATCTGCGACGACGAGCGGTATCCGAAGCGCATGAGGACGGACGAGTCGTCCAGTGACAGTGGTCACCCACAACAACCACAGCAACAGCAACCACAGCCGGCTCCTCCGCAGCCAACACATGCTGCCCCCGTGCATCCCCCAGCAACGGGACATGGCCACCGCGTGCAACCTCCAGCCACAGGCCACATGCAGCAGCAGCAGCAGCAGCAAGCTGCTTACGTGCCATCACAGAGCACCCACCACGCTGTCCACCTGAGCCACACGGCTTCCCAGAGCCAGAGTCACCACAGCACGCCACACCATAGTACTCCTCACAGTACAGCTCACAGTACACCGTATGGTACACCACACGGGGCGCATGGCCATTCGGGACGCGTCGCGACGCCTCAGGCCAACTCTCACGCACACCAGGCCCAACCCAGTTCAAGTCATGGGCACTCGCACACGCACTCCCAGTCCCACTCTCACTCTCTGCCACAGCAGCACCACGACGCCAGCTCTGGCTCCCTCCTCGAGGGCAGCGAGGGCAGCTTCCCGCTCAGTGCCAGCGAACCGGCCTTCCCCGGCATGGACCTCTTGATCCGGGACTCGGCACCCGCCGCCGAGCCAGCGCCGCCGCCCACGGCCACGACGCAGACGCAGACGCAGACACAGCCGGGCTCAGTGGTGAAATTCGACTCGTCCGGCGCCGACTTTGGGTTTGGCCTGTGGCCGCCGGATCCCTGGGAGGTGCTGCTGCAAGATACCATCGGGCCAGCGCTGTGGGACGAGACGCATAACGCGAATGCCGCCCCGGCCGTGCCGTGGGATATCGACACGCTGCTGGGCGGCTCGACGACGCGGACGCAGGAGAGCGCCGAGCGCGGCGGCAACGCCGTGCCACCGAGAGGTGGCGGGATTGGCCCCCGCTTGCTCGCGAGGTTGATGGTCACCTGGCCTGTAAGTGTAAAGAGGATACAAACGCGGTAGCTGACTCTCGGTGCAGGAATTCGCACTCTCAGTGCACGAGTTCAAGGACGCCATCGGGCTGTACTGGACGCATGTGGCCCCCTCGTTCCCGTTCATTCACCGCGGCACATTCGACGTGGACAATGCGCCTGCCGAGCTCCTCGTCATGATGGCCGTGACGGGCCTGGCGCGCAGCACACACGGTACGCGGCGCGACGACCGCGGACTCGTGCGCCGCATCCGCGCCCGCCTCGTCGAGGACCGCTTCGGCCTCGAGATGGACCTGGCCACGCTGCAGGCCTTCACCCTGTGCCACGTCTACGACGTGTGGCACGGCGACACCGAGACGCTGTTCATCGCGCAGTGCATGTGGCCCGTCGTTGTTGCCCACTCGCGCAAGCAAGGGATCGGCGTTGCCGGCGTCCACGCCCCCGACGGGCGCGGCGCCGCGGCCTGGGTCGCCTGGGCAAAGGACGAGGAACGCCGGCGTGCAGCGTACAGCATTCTCTATATTGACACGCAAATCTCGGCATTCTGGTCCCAGCACCCGTCCCGCCAGCTTTCAATCTTTGCGCACAACATCAAGCTCCCGGCCCCGCGCGCGCAGTGGGAGGCCATGACGCCCGCCGACTGGCTGCGCGCGCGCGAGGGGTCTGATGGAGGTAACGGCGGGTCTGGATCTGGATCCGGCGCTGGAGCTGGGACAGGAGCGCAGCGCCGTTCTGGCGGCGCCAATGGCAGCCACAGCCATAGCCATAACCCCAACGGCACCGACTCCAAGTCGTCCGGCTCGAACCGCACGGGATACATGCCGGGCCTGCATCCCGAGTTTCAAGTCTCGGTCGTGACCGAGGGCTACTCGTCGGCAGTCCTCGCCGCGCTGGCCGGGGACGGCACGCCCATCCGCATCGACCTCGACAACTCGTTCCAGGTCATGCTGGTCCTCTCGGGCCTGTGCGCGATCGCCTGGGACTGCCGCACGCGCGGCGGGATGGGCATCCGGTTCCGCGACGGCACGAAACACTGGCGCACCGTCGTCCGCAACGCCGTCGTGGGCCTGCGCGCCGCGTACGAGCACGGCACGGCACACTTGCCCAGCTGTACCGAGATGCGGGATGTGCGCGACTACCTCGCCATTTCGATCATTGCGATTCTCAGCGATATACCCATGTTGCAGGTCGCGGCGGGCGCATCGAACATTTGCGGCGCGAGCAGTGAGTCACCCGACGCCAAGCGGAGCGAGGCCGCCTCCAGCCTTGTAACCCACACCTGTGCTGACACTCTACCTACAGTCGGCCCCAAACAGTTTTCCGACGGCAGGCGCCGCCTGCGCCTGTGGGCCACCACGCCCGACGCATGGACGTGTCTGTGGCAGTCGGCACGCTACCTCCGCGAGGCTCTCTTCGCCGACTGGGGGCTGTACTCTCCCTGGGCCGTGTTCTTGACTACAGTGGGTACAGCCCGGACGTGGCTGGGTGTTCACCGAAGCCTCACACCCGCGTTTTTCTTCTTTTCTTTCTGTTTCTCTCTGCTCACACCTCCAGCTCGTCGTGTGGGCCTACGGCACGGCCGCGTCGCCCGCGGACCGCCCGCTCCCTGGTCCCAGCGACAGCCCGCACGCGTCGGCCACGGCGCTCCTGGACCTCATCTTTGCGTCGCCCACGCGCGTGGCCACGCTCGACATGGGCGTCGCGGACCTGGTCGTCACTGTCGCGGCCAAGCTCGAGGCGGGCGGCCACGGACAGCCGATCGATAGAGGTAACGCGCAGCTGCTGTGGCGGCTGGCCGGGGTGAAGCGCGGAGGCGCGGGAGGAGGAGGAGGAGGGGGAGGGGCAGCGGGAGGTGGAACAGGCCAGCAGGGCCATGGACACGGCCACGGCCACGGACACGGACATGGCAGCGCGGTGAGAGGGCCCGGAGGAGGCGTGCATGGTGGGCCTGCGGGGACGATGAACCTGCTGAGGTAGAGGGGGAGGGGGGAGGGGAGGGAAAGAGAAATAGAGAGGAGCGAGCGAGTGAGCGAGAACGAGAGCGCCGGCGAGAGCAGACAGAGGGAGCCAAAGGAAAGAAGTCATTATTTTACTCTTGTCATTGTAATTTCCATTTCGCATAGTGAGTGGCCTTTGCCTTGTAACAATGCAACGCGGGTTACTCCAGTACACGAGCGTGGCGAGCGGGCATGTAAACGCGGAGGGATCATTGGGCCGCAGGAATCCAGATCGGGTATTGACCGCCGCCATATCTCTCCAAAGACGTGATCAAGGCTCATCTCCATCCAGTGGTGGTCCAGCTTCCGAACGAGGCACCGCGCCACCATCCATATCAAACGAGTGGTTGCCGAGAAAGAAACATGAGAAAAGAAGCTTCTCACTGAAAGCCCGACCACGCCGCCCAACCTGAAGCCTTCAGCCTCCAGCCTCAGCCGTGAGCTAAATGCCTATAGAAGCGGACACCGAGGACCTGGGCGGCGGACGTCTCGGGCCGCGGGGCGGGTTCCAGTGAATCCGCTCAGAGTTACAAGACGTGCCAGAAAGGTTCTGGGGGCATAGAGTTGTTTGTTGCCGAGAGGACACCAGAGGGACATCAGAGGGGGGTGGTGGTAAATGAACAATCCAGTACACGGCTGGATCATGTCCAGACGCGCCTACATCCGCGTGCTGCCTGAAGCCCCGAAGCTCGCAGCCTGCCTGACGAGCCTGTGCTTACACCAGCAAGCAGTACTGCAGCGCCCAAGTCGCCGCTCTCTCGCACTGTGCAGGTCCGGCCGGCGTCTCCCCCTCGCACTCCCGCCGCTCACTCCTCATTTGTACTTGATGGTGATGGTGAGCAAATGACACCACCACTGGTAATTGCCACCTGTCCTCCGAATTCCAGTTCCAGAAGCCTTGGCTTGGCCCTTTTGGGCCCTGGGCTTGCTGCTGGCCGCGCGGGTACAGGTGCGTGTGCATGTGCTGTGGCGTCCGGCCCTGTGGTGGCCTCCTGGCTGGCTCTCTCTGGTTCTGTGGCTCTAGCTATATGGCTACGAAGGCCGCCGGCCACATTTTGCCTGCGAGTGGTGACCTGGGCGGCCGTCGCTGATGTTGACAAACCTTAAGCAGTGAGACTCCGATGTCGGGGCGTAACTATGCCGAACACAAAAGGTGGGCATCGAGAGATTGCGGAGGTGGTGGTTGGTGCCTTGGGTTGGAGCTGGAAGGCGGACGGAGCGTTCCTCTGGGCGCTGGCGTCGTCGGTGCGTGCACTATAGCGGCAGCATGCGTATCAACAGTGACGACCACGGTGGGGCGAGAGACCGAGAGAGTATCTGGAATGACGCGTGATGAGCACCGAATCTCATGTCATGGAAAAGTCCGGCATGCTCGGCAAGCGCCGGGTCATCAACGGGCACGCCGACAGAGGAAGGGGGGAGGGATAGGGAGGCGTACGCAGTGCACTGCGGCGGGCGCGTAAAACGCATTTGTAGTGTGTTTTGATTTGTGTATATGGTTGTGGGATATGGGATGTCTTGGATCGGGGGCATGCCGTCATCAGCCGCCACCCAACCCCCCCCCGCCGGTTGCGATCCGCGTGCGGCAAAAGGAAAATAAAAAAGGCAGCAAAAAATAAAGAAAAGAGGAAAAAGTGATTGCGCAATGTGGATAGCCGCGGATGGCAAATTCATCGTCTAGCTGCTCAAGCGAGGCGGACAAGGTCATGGCCGCTGCCTGTGGACGAGACGTGCATCAGAGTAGAGTGGGTGGTTGTTCAGCAAAACAGCGCGGGGATGTGCATCCCACACGCTTCCCCGTTGTGACGTCCCTATGCATCTGGCCCCTGCCTGCACACATCCCTGCCCCCCGCGCGCGCGCGCGGCCCACTATCTCAGATTATTTGGGTGGGCCCGACAGAGTTGCGGTGGTCCCCCTCCACTTTCTGACAAATCACGCCACCAAATCCGCTCTCCGCCGGTCCCTTTGTTGAGCGACCAGAGAAAGAACATCCCACACCCACCATCCCCGCCGGCCCCGCCGCGACCCGGGCCTTGTGCTTCTCTCTCTCTCTTCCTCTCTGTGCTACAACACCATCGATATCTCATACATATCTCGCGCATACATCTGGCCAACACCCCCACATCTGGTCCTCCTATCTCTCAACCCGCATCTCCGCTCAAGCGCCCCCGCCCCCGTCGCCGGCAGCTGCGGCATCAACTCCCCCCGAAAGGCGGAAACAAGGAATAATAAACCACCACCAGCACCGGCAGTTCTTCGTCGTCGTCTCCTACTGCAACCAACAGCATGGGCCTCCTTGCCCTCGGCACGCCGCTCGACTGGCCCGAGACTAAGCCTCTCGCAGAGCACATTCGTGACCATGGCATCACCCAGTTCCTCAACACATGGAAGCGATGGAAGGACAGGTCCGGCGAGGGCCTGCTGTGGGGCGATGAGGTGGGCGGCATCTTGCGGAGCGCAAGAGGGTCAGACGGGTGAGGACACCGAGAGAGTTGAGCTCGAGCTCTCGGTCCCTCCCATTCTGAACCTCTTGCATGTGGCGAACAAGGACGCTGATACGTTTATGTCCTAGATTGAATACCTCGTTGCGTCTGTGGACGAAGCCGACCACGCCGTGCGCCTGTCCCTGCGACAGAGCGAGATTCTGAAAAAGCTCGAAAAGGTGACCTGCGATCCCAAGCTGGCTGCCATGAAGCCTGCTGGGTCCAAGGCCATGCCCGTATTCCACCCAGAGTACGGCCGCTTCATGATCGAGTCCACACCCGGTGCCCCATACACCGGCTCGCCCAAGGACCTGGTCACTGTCGAGGCGGACATGCGGTTCCGTCGACAGATCATCCGTACCCACCTCCTCGCCAACGAGCTGCCCATCACGCTCACGTCGTGGCCCCGCCTCGGCGCCGAGACGCAGTTCACTGACCCGCCGACGTTTGCCGAACCCACAGAGTCGTCGTCGCGCAGCCAGTATGTCGGCCAGCTCATCACCAACCCACATGCCCGTTTCCCGTGAGTTAGCAGACGCGATAAGATTTCAGCCTCCCCTGTGCACTGACACCAAATGCTAGGACCCTCACGGCCAATATCCGCCAGAGGCGCGGATCGCTCGTCGACATCCGTGTGCCCTTGTACATTGACAAGAACACCGAGCTGCCGGAAGGAGCAAAGGCGCCGCTGTCGACGGGCCTCGCCGGTCCCGCAAAGCCCGAGCCGGGCACCCCGTACATCCACATGGACGCGATGGGTTTCGGCATGGGATGCTGCTGCCTCCAGATCACCTTCCAGGCATGGAACGTTGACGAGGCGAGGCAGATGTACGACGCGCTTGTCCCCGTCGCCCCCATTATGGTGAGCTTGACCGTTTAGCGCAAGGGGTCTACCGAGAAAAAAAAGCTAACATCCAGCTCGCGCTTACTGCTGCTGCACCCGCGTTCCGTGGACGCCTCGCCGACGTGGACGCGCGATGGAACGTGATTGCCGCGTCGGTGGACGACCGTACCGAGGAGGAGCGTGGCCTCAAGCCGCTCAAGGACGACAAGTACAAGCTTCCCAAGTCGCGCTACGACAGTGTGTCGCTGTACATTGCCAACGACGCCCGCAACAAGCCCGAGTACAATGACATTTCGGCGCCGATCAACCAGGCTGTCCGCCAGCGACTGCTGGACAATGGTCTCGACGACAAGCTCGCCTCGCACGTCGGCCACCTGTTTGTCCGCGACCCGCTCGTGCAGTTTTCCGAGACGATTGACCAGGACGACGTCGAGTCGATGGACCACTTTGAGAACATTCAGTCGACCAACTGGCAGACGGTGCGCTTCAAGCCGCCACCTGTCAACAGCGACATTGGATGGCGTGTCGAGTTCCGACCCATGGAGATCCAAATGACCGACTTTGAGAACGCTGCGTTTAGCATCTTTATCGTGCTCTTGTCGCGTGCGATCATTTCATTCAACCTCAACTTTTACATGCCCATCTCGCAGGTCGACGAAAACCTCCAAAAGGCCCAGCAGCGCAACGCGGCCCGCGCCAACACGTTCCACTTCCGCCGTACCGTCTTCCCTCACGACCTGAGCACGTACGACCTCGAGTCGCGTCCCGTGACCCCGCCCAACGTGACCACCCCTCCCAACGGCGCTGCCAACGGTACCCACCCGCACAAGCACCACCACGTCGACCCGCACGGCCTCGCCAACGGGCTCAGCAAGACGCACCTCGACCGTGTCAACGGCACCACCACCCCTGCTACGAACGGCTTTGCCAACGGTAACGGCAAGGCGGCCGCCAACGGCAAGGCGAACGGACACACGCCGGGCCACTTGCGGCACCAGTCGAGCTTTTCGTCGTGTGCGTCGTTGCGCGAGGAGGACGACTCGGGACCCGAGGTGGTGGCCATGACGCTGGACGAGGTGATCAACGGCCGTTCAGACGGGTTCCCGGGCCTCATGGGCGTGGTCAACGCCTACCTGAACAGCATCAACGTCGACGTGGTCACCAAGTGCGAGATCAGGCGGTACCTCGACCTGATCAAGATGCGTGCGCGCGGCGACCTGGTCACGCCCGCGACGTGGATCCGCGAGTTTATCACGTCGCACCCGAGCTACGCGCACGACTCGCTCGTGACCGACGACATCCAGGCCGACCTGGTCAAGGCCGTGGACGAGCTGGAGCGCGGTGTGCGCCCTGCTCCCGAGCTGCTTGGCGAGGACTATGTGGGGAGTGGACCGAGTGGGTGCCTCTAGAATACAACCTTTTTTTATCGTCCTGATGGGCGGGGGGTCGTTGTAAACACATGCTATTTTTCCTGTCATTTTCCATCCTCTCGCGTCTCCTCTGTCGGGATAATGTGCGGCTAATGGGCGGGACCAAATATATATGATGGCCCACCGGGGCCTCGGGCCGCCCGGAGTGCGGGGGTGGTGGGGGAGGCTGTTTGGGGTGCTCGTGCGGGACGAGGAGACGAGGAGGGAGGGAGGGAAGACACCCACCGCCAGTGGCCATTCCATCCACCCACACATCGTCATCTTTCCATCTCTCGTCTTCTTGCCATCTCTCCCGTGTCCATCCTCCAGCCATGGTCATCGCCGAACCCAACAAGCGGCGAGTATCATACGTCATCCCCCCACCAGACACCACAAACCCACCATCCATCCTCGACCTGCCCGCACTCGGCGTCGCACAGGCAGACACAAGGCCATACCCACACCTCAACCCCAAACTCGCCCGCTCAGCCAACGCCAACGGCAATGGCGTAGCCACCCCACCACGCTTTGCCAGCCGCAACCCCTTCAACAACCCTTCCCCTACCCCGGCAACAGACCCATTCGACCTGCCCGAGTCCCCCGTCGCCGGCGCCCGCCAGCACCCGCGACACCGGCTCGGCATCTCGACTTTGGCCCTGGACACTACGACCGTCCTGCACGGCGAGAATGCGCCCACGGGCATTCTCTACACGGGCGGCCGAGACGGCCTGGTCGCGAGCTGGGAGCTGCATGTCCCGCACACGAAGCGGCGTGGACGGCGATACCGCACCATTGCAGGCGCGGGCACGGGCGGCCGTGTTCGCTGGGAGAGAGTGGGCGACGGCGGCGCCGACTGGGATGGGGAGGGCGAGGACGACGACGACCCGCCCAGTCTTGGGGAGAGCTCGAGCGAGGAGGACGGTCCCGAGGCTATCGACACGAACGGCAGCGGCAGGCGCAAGGCCATCCCCTTTGAAGACCGTTGGGAGGTCGACACCGAGGTCAAGACGGTGAGTAAGCCCCCCGACCCCCAGAGTGGCCGCTTGGCGCCGCCGCAGCCATGTGCAGCGGAGGCGCCATGCGGCCCACCACCCACCCCGGCTGTCCACTGGTGCTAATTCGGTTCCAGCCGCCGGCACCCACCTCGTTCCGCCAGTCGGTGCAGACGCACACCGACTGGGTAAACGCCATGGTCCTGTGCAACATGAACCAGACGGTCATCACCGCCAGCTCGGACCGCACCATTCGTGCGTGGTCGCCGCACGCAGAGGGCGACCTGTCCGTCCCAGCCCTCATCGGCCACCACACAGACTATGTGCGGTCGCTCGCGTTTGCACGTCATCCAGGTGTCCTCTTTTCCGGTGCACTCGACCGTGACATTTCAGTGTGGGACATTAACCAGCCACGACCCAACGAGCCCGTCCTCAAAGTCCGTCTGTCGGATATCGACGACTTGGGCGGCATCGGCGACGGCGACTGGGGATCCATCTATGCGCTTGGTGTTGGTGAGTTTTGCTGCGCTGCTGCTGTCGTCGTCGTTCGTCGTCAGGGTTTAGAGGCTTACGTCGACCACCAGACCCCGCCGGACACACTCTTGCGGCCGGCACGCCCGAACGCGTCGTGCGCCTCTGGGACCCGCGTGCCGGCGACAACTCGGTGACCAAGCTTGTCGGCCACACCGAGTGTGTGCGCAGCATCCTCCTCAGCGACGATGGTCGGTACATGCTCACCGGATCGTCCGACACGACCGTCAAGCTGTGGTCGGTGGGCGAGCACCGCTGCCTCCACACGTTCAACCACCACACGTCGAGCGTGTGGGCGCTGCATTCAAACCACCCAAACCTCGAGCGCTTCTACTCTGGCTCGCGCGATGGCTACCTGTGCGCCATCGACGTCGAGCAGGTCGGCGACATGAGCGAGGGCGAGTGCGTCGTCCTTGGGCGTGAAGGAGAGGGTGTCCGCCCCGGTGACTTTGAGAGCAAGACGGGCGACGAGGCCATTCGGTCCATCACCGCCATGGACGACGAGTACGTCTGGACAGCTACGGCAAGCTCGGACGTGCGCAGATGGCGGGATGTCGGGCGCCGTGTCACCCGTCTCGACACCGACTTTGACGGCGCCAGCTACGGCGCTATCACTGGCACTGCCGACGAGTTTGCCCCTCTCCACCCAACTGCATCTGTATCCCTCGCTGCGGCGTTTGAGCCCACGGGCATCATTGACGCGCCCTCTCCTCTGCGCAACAAGCCGCTGTCGGTCCACGAAGACCTCCGTCGTGTCGATTCGGCCGACTCGCGCACCATTACGTTTGCAGCGACATCACCGCCAGGCTCCCCAGCCTCGGCGCTCCCAGCCTCGGTGCGCGACCGCCTCAACCCTAACCGCGCAGCCCGTACCCTGTCTGGCACGTCTGTCACCAACTCGGTCATGTCCGAGTCGTCCGTCCAAGGCGGTGACGAGTTCCTGCACAATGGCATCCCTTACGATTCACTCGTGTGTCTCGGCCTGCCTGATTCGCCTTATGCCTTTGGCTTTAGCGGTGCGGCGCACTCGACGGCGTCCCTCGGGTCTACGTCACACCACCGTGCACGCTCAATCGGGTCTCCCGAAGAGTCGCCCCAGGCCACCACCACGGACCGCACCGGCGACCGTGGCGCAGGCGGCGAGGTTGCGCCCCGTGTCGCTGCTCGCCGCGAGTTCGAGGACCGCGACGTGGCCGCCGACGCGCGGCCACTGCGCGACCAGCCCGACGCCGTCATTGCTGGCTCGCCTGGCCTGATCCGCTCGCTGGTCCTCAACGACCGCATGCACGTCCTCACTCTCGACACGACGGGCGAGATTGCCATCTGGCACTTGATCCGTGGCGAGTGTCTGGGCCGCTTTGACAAGCGGGACGTTGCAGAGGCACTCGAGCTCGAGCGCGGCACCCAAGACGTGGCGGCCGAGATCAAGATGCACCCTCACGAGGTGCTCGAGCTCGTCCAGCGCCGTGTCGAGGGCAAGAACAGCGTGCTGCCTTGGTGTCAGGTCGACACAAAGGTCGGCCAGATCACCGTCCACCTCGAAGGCGACCGTGTGTTCGCCGCCGAGATCCTGGCCGAGGAGATGGGTATCGACGAGGCCACGCTGCCCGAGGACAGCAAGGCACTCAACGTCGGCAAGACCGTTCTGGGTAACCTGTTCCGTGGCCTGATCAAGGCTGAGGAGCTGGAAGTCACGTCGGCCGTGTCGTCATCGCCGAGCTCCGTCCCCGGCTCGCTTCCGAGCGTCTCGCGTTCGCCTGCGAACGCCATGCCCATGTCCCCGCGCCACAGGCAGCGCGCACTGTCGTCGGCATCGCTTGGCGGTGGCATTGCACCCTCAATCAACATTGCCGGCCTGGCTACCAGGGCCGAGCGCGCAGCCGTTCTTCCCGAGGGTGGTGCAGGCGGCGTTTTCGGCCAAAGCGCTCCAGCTACTAGCGGCTGGCTCTCGCTGCCCGCGGCCATGGCGAGCAGGACTCCCGGCAGCTTCACAGCGTCGTCCCCGGCCAACGGCCCGCTCAGCCCTCAGGCAGGCGGCGTCACCAGCGACTATTTCTCCATGCGCAAGATCCCCGAGGCGAGCCCTACGCGCGAAGCCGACAAGCCCGCCACTACTTCGGCACCCGCGCCGTCCCCCAGCGCCGCGGCGCCAGGTGGCGGTCTGCTGGGCAAGAAGAAGTTTATGGGTTTCGGCAAGAAGAAGGCCGCAGAGTCCACCATGACCACGGTGGTGGAGAGCAAGCGCGAGGCACCGCCACCGGACGAGGGCCCCAAGATGAGCGAGCGCGACCGCTCCCAGCTCCTCTTCCTCGACACGGTGCGCAACCGCGCCTTCCGCCCCCCGTCGTCGGCCGAATGCCCCTCCATCCCCGCCCCGCCATCCACCACCCTCATCATCTCGGAACAGGCCCACGCCGACGGCGCGTACATTGTCACGTACCGCTCGCAGGTGTCGTCGACCGAGCGCGACATGGAGCCGCTGGAGATGAACTCGCCGTTCTGGCTGCTCAACTACCTCTTCGCAAGCATCACGCCCGAGGAACGCCGCCCGCCCAAGATCCCCCTCATCCTCCTTCCCGTCGGCACGACCGTCGGGTCCGGCGTCGGCCTCAAGGTCCAGGCGTCGCGCACCGCGCGCGTCCGCGGCGTCATGGAACACCTCCAGAACGTGCTCGCGCGCGAGAACGGCAGCACTCCCAATGCCAGCGCCAACACGCGCGACAGGGCCGTGTCGGACGCGTCGGCGCTCTCGGGCGTCTCGGGAATCGACGACGTGCCCAAGCGCGCGCCAGAGGACTCGATCGAACTCCTCTGCGGCCAGCACGTCGCAGAGGCCGACATGAAGGTCGCTACCCTCAAGCAGTGTTACTGGCGCGGAGGCGTGGACATGGTGCTGCACTACCGCGTCAAGCCGTGAGCCAGGAGCCAGGAGCCAAGAGCCAAGAGCCAAGAACTGTGTGGCGTGGTGCGTGGTGGTGTGTGGCGGCGTGCGTGAGACGGAGTGGGGCGGGTTGTCTGGAGGGAAAACGGATCTGTCAAGGCAGTCTCTTGTGTGGAAGTATACCCCTAGTGCATCGTTGTATTTGCTTGAGACGCTGTCACTACTCGCTGAGCCCGCTGTGTCTAGACAAGGACTCATCTTTGCTTCAGGTTGCGAGGGGCTGGGCATGCCCATGGTGGTGAGCCACAGGTTGCACTGAGCATGGGTTTGACACAACCGTTGCGGGGCCATGTACAGTACTTGGGTCGTGACTCGTCGTCAACCAGGCGACACTCGTGTGCAATCGATACATCTATTCCGCATCTAGCTTCAGTCTATTCCTCGTCGTCGCTGTCATTGTCGTCGCCACCGCCACCCAGCCGCATCGCCTCCTCCCACGCCTGCGTAAACTCCTGCAGCGTGCGTCCCTCGGACATCTCGAGCATCTCGAGGGGCATCATGTTGGTGCCAAACTGAGGTGCCGCGCGGTTCGCAGCCGGGTGCGCGGCCGAGTCGATCACGCGGAGCACTGGGAGGCGCGTGGGCGGTGGCGTGGCTGTTGCACTCTCGGGCTCGCCGGCCGAGTTGACCTGGGGTTCCCGCGACTGCTCGAGAAGCTGCTGCATCTCCTCGTACGAGAACAAGACCGCGTCCGTGCTCTCGCGGTACGCGCCAAAGTCGACAATGGTCGGTGTGCCGTGCTCGCCGAGGTACAGGTCAAACACGTCTGGGAAGCAGTTAGCACAGCGAGCCCTCTTAACTGCCACTACTCACAGTGGTCGCCGCCGTCGTAGTTTTCGCGAATCTCGTCCTCCCAGAACTCGCGGACCGTGGTGACGATCTTGGCCTGCGCCTCGGGAGTCTGCAGGTGTTCGTAAAAGTTGGCGTCGCGCTGCTCGATGGCTGAAGAGTTAGAAACGGACCGTTCGGTACGAGCGAACTCACCAATAAGAGTGTTGTCACGGACAAAGCAGCGCACCTCGCGCGAAGGGTTCATCTCTGTGAACGCCTTGAGCACGAGCTCGAGGTGGGGGACGGTGAAGAAGTTGTCGACAGGTGCCGAGGCGTCGGCGCTCTCGGCGCCTTCGTAGGCGCGCTGGTCGAGGCCGTGCGTCGTGAAATCACTGCTCTTGAGGAGGAGGTAGACGTCTGCCGGGGTGGTGCAGTGCAGCGGGCCGTGGCCTTGCGGGAGGAGGAAGGCGGCGTCCTGGAGATGGGTTAATCACAGCTGGGTTCCGGAGCGTCAGCTTACTCTTGGTGCGGTCCAGTTGAGCTTGGGGAAGACGGCGCCGTACTTTTTGATGGCGTCGCGGATAGCGGCATTCATCTTGGGCAGGTGGTAGACTGGTGCGCTGGTCGAGGAGGTGGACGAGACCGAAGCTGAGCGTGGGCGGGACGGGCCGGCGACACTGCCCTCGCTGTCCTCGGGGAGGAAGATGCCGTCCTCCTCGATCCACTGGGCTGTAAGCTAGGTGGACGCAATGACATAGTTCAGAAGCTGGCACAACATTAAGGAAGCTGCCCAGCTCCATTGTCTCCTACCCACCTTGAGGAAGGCGTCACGCTCGCCAAGCGCGTCAATGTCAATGACGGTGGCGTTTGCAGTTATGTCCTCAAACTTGTCGAGCCACTGGGACGTGCGCGCTGCGTCAATGTTCTCACGTGTGAGAGTCGGAAATGTAACCGCGGGGCCTGCTGGGGGGACTGGGACGGGCATGATGGGACGATATGGGTGAAGAGAGAAGCAAAGATGACTGTACGCGTCCTCATGGATCATCCCAGAAATCCAGAGTGGCCAACTCCGTGTGGAGGGTGTCAGCCTGGCAACTGCACAACTGCCAGATAAACCACGTGACAGGAAATATCAGGCTCACACGATTCCCTCCACCACAAGATTTCTCGTCCATCGTCAATGCTGCTGCACATTCAACAACAATCCACACTGAACTGCAAGACGATGTCGTCATTTAACCCCCACGACCACCTCGTTAAGCAAGGCTGGAAGGGAAAGGGTACTGGTGAGTCTATCCATTTTCCGCAGGGCGGTCCGCCTCCCGCGAAACGCCAGCGAGACCAACCAGCCCATCCATGAGCTTGATCTCGAAGTGTACTACGTTGCCGCCGACATTCTCCCCTGCAACTGCGCAAGAACACTAACAGCCCAGCCCTTAAGCATGGCCATGCTACCCGCCCCATTCCTGTGGTTATGAAGAAGAACCTCGGTGGTATCGGCAAGGACCGCGACGAGGCGATTCCCTTCTGGGACCAGTGAGTGTTGATTGTTGTCACACGACGAGGACAGATTGGGAGGATGCAGCCTCTGGCCTTGCGTTGAGGCGTTCAAGAGATGCGTAGAGTGCACCTGACCCCCTTCTCTCACTGCCCTCGTCTCGCTCCCTCGTCAACACCTGCTAACCCACTCAGCATCTTCGCGTCCACCGCCGCCTCCATTGCTTCTGGTGGTTCCTCGGGCACTTCGACCCCCACTACCCCAGCCAAGCCGACCATGACCATTCAGGCCCGCAGCGGACGTGAGATTGCTCGCAGGAAGCTGTACTCGGGCTTCTTCCGGAGCACCACCGGCACGCCCAAGCCCTTTGAGGAGAGCGAGACACCGAGCTCTAGCGGCAGCAGCGGCTCTGGTTCTGGCTCGTCCACCCCTGCGGAGTCTACCCCGGCCCCAGCACCGACTCCAACTCCCGCACCCGCACACGACGTTACCGGCATCCGCAAGGCCAAGGAGAAGTCCAAGTCCAAATCTAAGGACCGTAGCAAGGACACGGGCGATAAGGGCGACAAGGCCGAGCGCCGGGCCGCAAAAGCCGCAAAGGCAGAGGCCAAGGCCGCAAAGGCGTTGTTGAAGGCCGAGAAGGAGGCGAGGAGGGCAGCGCGGTTGGCCAAGCGCGAGACCAAGGCGGAGAAGAAGGCGGGAAAGGAGGCGAAGGCGGAGGCCAAGGCGGATAAGAAGAGGAGTAAGGAGGACAAGAAGAGCCAAAAGGAGGCCAAGGAGGACACCACCACCAAGGACGAGGAGAGCGCATAGATCTAGAGCTACTTACCCTGCACGCTTATACCCACATGTACTCAACTGTATGATTTGCGCAGTAGCGGATCGGACCCGGGTGAATGTGACAGACCAGACACTGAACAAGGCGTTCGGGAAAAACTGAGGTCCACCGAAAACGCGGTCTTGAGGTGGTCTTGAACAAGGGGCAGACAGTAGTACAGTAGTGTGAATTACTGGTGGAATTAGCAGTCGAGCCCGTGGTCTGTGGCCAGTATACGTGCATGAAATGAAACAGAGAACTGCAGAACATAAAACTAAGTACATGACATGTGGTGTTTAGAAGGCCTTTGCCTTTCCCTTGCGACCGTTGCGGTGCAGCTGCGCTGCGGCAGGCGTCGAGCGCGAGGCAGAACGGGTAACGGGCTTGTGGGCCGGCGACGTCGATCCGCTGGCGCTGGGGGAGGTACCACGGGTGACAGGCGACGGGGGAGCACTGGCGCTTCCCAACGACAAAGCAGAAGACGCACGTGAGCCTGGCGAAGAGGACGAAGACGCCGACGCCGAAGAGGAGCGGGAGCTGGGACGTGGACCAGGAGACGAGCCACGTGAGCCCGGCAAAGAGGAGGAAGGGTCTAGCGCGAGGGAGATGGCGTCCTCGTCAGCGCTATCCGACGAACCCGATGTGTCCTACAAGACGTCAGCGGATGTTCACAGCGCTGTTTGTGAACGGAATGGGCCATCCACGAAATGGACCTTTGCCACCGCTATGTACCTACCTCGGGAACGACAACGGCCAAGGGAATAAAGGTGGGGAACCCAACAACCTGAAAGGAGCGTCAGTGATGTTCACAGCGTCATTCGTTGTCGTTCGTTGACAGTATGGGCCATCGACAAGTAGGGAGCGTTCCACGGCCACATACATAATACATACCTTGCGGCGGGGACGCTCCGGCACGGGGTCCGTGATGATGGCGTTAGGGCCGAAGAACGGGTTCTTCTGGCGCTTACGCTCCACGTACAGCTGGTAGCGGAGGGCCAGGGCGGGGTCTTCCACAAGCGAGATGGGCTCCCTCTCTGCTTGGCGCAGGTAGCGCTCCTGCTCGGCGATAATCCTGGCGGCCTGGCGGAGCTCGGTCCGAATGGTGGTCGTGGCATCGAGGCCAAGCTCGGGCAGGAGATCACCAAACCTCTTGTTCAGGCGCTCGAGGGCCGATTGCGCCTTTACGATCTCCATACGGGTGGCCGCAACCTTCATGGCGGTCTCATGCCCTTGCGAGCGCTGAGTCCGACGGTCACGAACCACCTCCTGGATCTCGAGATGGCGGTCGGAGTCCTCGGGGGTGGAGCGCTTGAGAGTGGGCGTGGCTACCGCAAGGTCGAGCCAAGGGAGCGGGGCAAGGAGGGGAGAAGGAGGGGAGCCTTGGATGGACCCGGGGCCAGGAGACGCGGGCTCGAAGAGAAATTGTGGCGGGTGGGGGAGCATTTCTGTAAAAGGAGACGAGAGATCAGAGGATTGAACCAAGAACTATGGAGAGAAGGATGGAGAGAAGGAGAGAAGGAAGGAGACGGATGGAGGAAGGCCCTCCTTGGGGGTGACTGGACTGGTGTGTGTGTGTGTATGCCACTGCACCACTGTGGAGAATCCGGCGATATCGTCCGGGTGGCGGTGGTTTGTATGGGCCAGTCCTTGGGCTTGCGGAAGAAAACACACACACACAGACAGACACGCACACACACACGCAGAGAGATCAGAGAGAGAGAGAGGACACAGTTGCGCACCACGAAACGCACTACTCGGGGAGGTCGGGGCTGTTCTGAAAACATCCTTGTACTGAGGGGCAAGGCAGAATGTGCATACAGTGACACAGTTTGTTGTGACGACCATCCACTGTGACAGATCGAGGTGGCGAGCTCCAGATGGCATAGTGTTAGCGGCTGCGAGGTGTGCAAGTGTGCTATTTGAGACAAGACGCGTCTGGCGCGTCCGGAACCGCAATGTCTTGGCGTCGTTTCAGCCTGCAGGCCTGCAGCCAGCCTCGCAGATCCGCAGCCAGGGCGCTCGCCGCACACGTGACCTGGGATCCCGGCTCCATAGAATGCTGATTTTGGCCTGTGGCCTGTGGCCATACAGACAGAGCGCTCTCAGAATGTTGTTTCTCACAAGTCTGCCCTTGCAGCTAGCAAGATGTCTGCACTGAGACATGGAGACACCCATACACCCACGTACACCCGTTTGCTGGGTCAAAAGCGGGCGCGGGGACCCACACTGACGGCGGTTCACAGCCCAGGGTTTGTCTCCATAAACTGGGGCGCGCCTGCCAGTGGCCAGCGCACCTAGCACGGCAAGCACACGTCCGCACGTGTCCGTACGTCGGGCCGTGGCGAGAGACAACTCTGTGCAGCGGCAGTGCGTTACTTCCAGTACCAATTAATGCCCTTGTCCAGTGTCACATGTCCGCGAAGCTGTGGCGGGTGCGCCAGCACTCGAGCGGTACCCTCCTCGGCGGCCCCGCCCCGCCACGCCTAGCATCTAGTAGTCTTATAGTCCTGATACGTCCCGTTGCTGCCATCTCAGTACACTGTTGTCTCTCTCTGCGTCCGGTAGTTGGTTTGGCCTGGCCAGACCCGACATGGCCAGTGATCCAGTGATCCAGTGATCCAGTGACGATATTCGTTCAGTTCGCCACCAACTTCCGCCCATTCTTCCCATACATACAGACAACAAAGGCGAGTGCACGCGGCGAATAATCTGCAGTATCGGTGGCTGCCCCTTTGCTCTGAATGAAATTGGAGAACTCCCAAGCTCACCAGAGTACCAGAGTAGAGATCAGGGAACAGGCCAGTGAAAGCAGACCCCGTTCACATTCCTGGTGCACGTACGCTTCTTCAATTACAGTCCCAGCGGGGTTGTCTGCGTGGCCTTTACACGGTGCTCGTGAGTGAGAGGCCAAAACATTGAATTCAAGTCTGTCTTTTCGGCATATTTCTGCCCGCCTCCCTTCCTATACCCCTATCTTCTTCCAGCATGCAGTATACATCCCAGTCAACCTCTGGAATGGATGGTAGGACGGAGGTGAAGGTGGCGGCCGGTGAGCAGAGCCAAGCGGTGGCGGGTGCACAGGGGGTGGACGAAGAAGAGTGGGTCCGTACGCGGGTGAGGCGACGGAGGAGGGAGACGCATAGGCGATCCAGGGACGGACGGAGCAGCAGCGGATAATGAGCCTTGATCGAGTCACCTTCCTTCCTCCTTCTCTCCATCACTTCCTTATTCCTTCTCTTTCTTCGTTTCCTCTATCACTCCCTTCTTACTTCTTCTTACTCTCAGCCCCACCTCTCTCGTAAACATGCTCCCCCCACCCCTCCTGCTGGATTCGTCACCCAGAGTGCCAGTAGCGCCGCCGACTCGCCACCACCTTCCCCCGTCTCTCTCGCTGCCCCAGTGGCCTCTCCATCGGTCGTCTCCGTGAGCTGGACCGGCGACCCCCGCCGCAAGCACCCTCGTGCTGAGGATGAGGACGGCCTTTTTGAGGCCGACCTCACCCACCACTACAGGCGCGCCGGCCGCGGTGCTATGCACCGAAAGCTCATGACCGTCGGCAAGCGCCGCATGCTCTTAAACAAAGCAGCATCCGCCCTGGCGGCCCTGCGCAGTGGCATTGGAAACTTTGACGGAGCCTCCAGACTTGCACTTGCGGACGATATGGAGTCGATGGAGATTGAGATCGAGCTCAGCCACAAGGCGGCTGACCACGATGTCAAGAAGTTGCTCAAGCCGAAGGAAGTTCCCTTTGCTCACCCCGTTCACTGTTGATATCAACGGTACGTATCCGTCGGACTGCTGCAACCCAGGCCGAACACTGTGACCATCCACTGACGTTCCTTTCAGCCCTTTCACGAGTTCACTGAGTTCACTCAGCGGGACACGCTCGCGTCGGCCACTGCCCCATCATCACCCAACTTTCTATCCCGGCGGGAGAATGCTGCGAGCATCCTCTTCACAACAAAAATATATGATTTTTCTATTCATTTTCGTCATTTCCTGTTTTTCTACCATTTTCGTTAGTTTCGTTTTCTCTTCATTTTCAGTGCTGTTTTTCGATTTCGATGTTTTGTATGCCTGGGGGACTTGCGCTGGGAGGCCCTCAAGGCCCCAGCCCTAGACGATTCTGCGGCGTCCGCCAGACAGGGAGTCGAAACTCCCCCGTGCCCCAATGTAACTTTTTATACATCGGGGTCATCCACAGAATCGAACCTTGGTTCATGGCCCCGGCCGTAATGGTATACTTACCAGCTGGTTGCAGTAGCCACACTGCAATCCCGACCACATATCCTGCCATGCGCACTGAATCACGTGACTAGATTCACGTCCACTGCTTTATGTTGAGATTACGTAACCACTTGCGCCACTGCAGTGTGGCACCGAGCTGACCGGAGAACGAGGGTACTGCACCAATGCTGCTCTTTCTGCTTCTTCATTGTCCTCGTGCTTCTCTGTAGTGCTCGGGCCTCCCTTCTGTGTGCATATAAGCAGCTCTGTAGACGCCTATGCATCCCCATCCTCTTCTGAAAGACAAACTGCCAGCTTAAGACCATCAGTCTCGGGCGCTAAACGGCATCAAATCCCAACAGATTAAGAGTCAAAGGCTTCTACCACGATACCTTTGAGACCAATGGTCTCAACTGTACCAGAACCTTCACTCGAGGATCCCACAACCGCCTTCCGAGGCATAGCAGTCCGCTGCTTGTTGTAGCATCGCTACACATCGAGGTTAAAGCTCGCTGCCACCTTTCCGAAAGGGCACACACCTCCACTCTCCCACGGTGGTCCGCCACACTCGTACACTTCCATCTACCTCATATCCATCATGGCTCGCAACGAGTCTTCGTTCCCTTCCTGGTCCGACCTCAAGGACAACGTCCCGGTCCTCACCTCCACCGACAACTTCGAACGATGGGACAAAGCCATACGCACGTACTGCCTCGGCAAGGGCATTCTCGCCCATGTCAAGGGCTTCGTCCTCGACCCGTACCGAGCTCGTGACAACAACCTCCCACTTGAGAACCTACTTGCGTTCGAGACCGACTACATCGCAGGTGTCGAAGCTCCCACGGGGCAAGACATCGACCGTGAGGCTCTCCATGACCTCATGGCTGCCGCTCTCGGTGACGATGCGCTTTCGGCTGAAATTGCCGAAGCAATCGACGAAGCTGGAGATGAAGTCGTCCTGAACGAAGACATGTTCACACGCTGGAACCGATGGGCCCGTCTGGAGCGTCTCGCACGCACCGTGCTCCTCCTCACCATTCATGACGACCTCTCTATCGACTATGAGACGCTGCCTACGGCCCGTCACATCTACCTCGCTGTCGAGTCACGTTTCCGTACCGACAATCCTGAGAAGGTTGCTCTCTTGCAGCGAGAGCTCCATGGACTCTATCTCAAGCGCGGATCTACCGCCGACGAGACTGACAAGTTCTACATGGAGTACGTCTGCATTTACGCGGCCCTCGTTCGCCTGAACATCAGGCTCAGCGACAACGACAAAGTCGCCAACCTGCTAACTGCGATTCCGACTGAGTATTCTGTCATGCTCCGCTCGCAGTGGGCTTCCGAGCCCCTCAAGACCTGGTCCAGGTTTACGGCTGTATACGCCACCTTTGTCGAGAGCCTCCGGGCCACTGAGGAACGCGAAACGATCGCCAGCAACGGAGCGTCCGCCGCTACCGCTGCCAAGCTCAACCTCGACAAGAAGTCCAACAACACGCAACAGCGTAGCCGCCAGCGCGGCAAGGGCAGGACCAACAATTCCCAGACCTCGGGCAACAAGCCCAATCTCGTCTGCGTCAACCATCCTAACGCGACGAGCCACAGGACCGAGGATTGTCGCACCGGACCAAAGGTCGCCGCTTCCGTAGTTGTTGCTGATGGATACTATTCTGCGTCTGTAGTTCCTGTAGACCCCCTCTCCCCATCGCCAACCACGACTACGACCTTCCTTGTGGACAGTGGTGCCACGCATCACATCGTCGGTGACCGAAACCTCCTTGTCGACGTCAAGAAGGTCGCCAAGTCCATCAAGATCCAGCTTGCAGGGACCAAATACGTCCTTTCCGTCTCCGAAGTGGGCCGTATCGCCTTCCTCGACAAGGACCATCACCCTCACACCGTCAAGAACGTGCTCTACTCAGCAGACACCACAGACAACATGCTCTCGGCCTCCGCGCTCGCCCAGGATGGTTGGAAGGTCACCCACGATACCATGACCAAGGGCGATGACGTCATTCCGCTCTCCAACTCCTACCTCGGCGGTCGTCTCGGCGTCGCGCTCGTCCTCGCCGACCATGGGCACTTCGCAGCCTCGGACCGCGCCCCACGCACTCTGCTCCATCACCTGCACCTCCGCTATGGCCACCTAGGCAAGCCAGCACTCCTCCGCGCCGTCCGCAATGGCTTGATCCCTGACGTCACCTTCGACGAAGTCAAGGATGACCCTTTCACCATGGCCAACTGCGAGCCTTGTCTCGCCCACAAGACTGCCAACCTTCCTCGAAGGGGTCCCTCGGATCGCGGCAACTCAGCCACTCGCGAGTACGTGCACGTGGATATCAAATCCATGTCACACCCGACGACGTGCCGCCACCTGTATTGGCTAGCTTTCGTGTCCGACTTCGTTGGATACCGTCTTGCCATTCCCCTCACCAACAAGTCTGACGCTACGGCGCGCATTAAGACTGAGGTTGCCGCCCTCGAGCGCCAGGCCAACGTCAAGGTCACTGTTATCCGCTCAGACCGAGGAGGCGAATTCAAGTCCGGCGAGTTGGCTCAATGGTGTCGAGCACAAGGCATTAAACACCAGTTGGCTCCCGTTGACGACCAAGCCCTCAATGGTGTGGCTGAACGTCACAACCGCACCGTCTCCGAGATGGTCCGCATGCTCCTTGAAGACACGAAGCTCTCGCATGACTACTGGGACCACGCCACATTGTCACGACCTAAACGCCTCGTCGTTAGCTTGACGAGAGTTTCGGTCCGTCGCCACAGGATGGGCACGCGGGGAGCGGTCTGATCGGGTCGGAAACACCAGGATTGCTGCGGGTTGGAACTTGGAGAGGGAAATGGGTTGGCTAAGAGCCAGGACTGCTAGGAGGGCATGGCGACTTGACGCGCAGTAACATGGCTTAGGGATACAACAACACAGAACGGGTACTAGATATACAAGAGACGACGGCAGTCGTCGGGGTATCATACAAGTGATCAGCAATGACACGTCAGAATGTCGTTGCCGGGCCAGTCACGACGGAGTTTTGGGACAAGTCCGCAAAGCGTCGTGACACACATGGTATGTCAACCGCCTGCTCAACATGACGACCATGTTCGATGACAAGATCACTGTCTATGAGCGCTACAGTGGACGCAAGCCGCACCTCGAGCGGTTCATTCCATTCGGAGCACGTGTCTTTGTTCGCAGACCAGCGGAGACGAGCATCCCGACGCTATCGCGTCCGCGGTCTGTACCAGCTCGAATCCTTTCCACCTCGCTAGAACTGCCAGGGTGGACAGTCCTCTTCGACAACAAACATGTCGCCAACGTGTACGACGTGTTTGAAGTCAAGGATGGCAAGGAAGGTGATAAAATACAGCCGTTTGCCACCATCGACGACATTGAGACCAACATCCATGCTCGTGAAAGTGAGGATGATGTAATCGCCACATCGACTAGCGCCCCTGCCACTCTCAACGGTCTCGACGACACTGACGACGACGAGGCCCTTCCTGCAGCCTCTGCACTCGCGCAAGATGGCGAGACGGCTTATCTTGCCTCTCTTGCAGCCGAAGCCATCGTTCTCGGTGACCCCGTCACCATCAAGGAAGCTCTCGGCGGCCCTGACCGCCAATCGTGGATTGAGGCCATGCAAGCCGAACTCGATAACCTCAATGGCAAAGGGACATGGACTGGCTCTGAGCTGCCCCGCGGCCGAGTACCCATCACTGCCAAGTGGGTATTCAAGCGCAAGACCAAAGCCGATGGCTCTATCGCCAAATTCAAAGCTCGTCTCGTCGCGCGCGGTTTCTCGCAGGTACCCGGTGTTGACTTCGAGGATACCTTTGCCCCTGTCTCCCGTCTCGCCAGTCTCCACATTCTCCTCGCGCATGCCGCCACCCACGACCTTGAGCTCCGACAGATAGACGTCGAGGGAGCCTATCTTAATGGTCCCCTCTCCGAGGAGATCTATCTTGCCCCACCTCCGGGTGTCGAGGTCAAGCACGGCAACACCCTCCGTCTCAACAAAGCCCTGTATGGACTCAAGCAGTCCGGACGTGCATGGTGGCTCGAGCTCGACAAGGCGCTACACTCCATCGGGTTCAAACGCTGCGCTAGCGAGTGGGGCCTCCACACCAAGCCCACCAAGCTCGGCCCAATCCTTCTCCTCGCCTATGTTGATGATATCCTCATCGTCAGCCGTACCAAGGCTCAGGCCGACGCAGTTGTGGCATCCCTTGCCAACTTCTGGTCCCTGACCGACCTGGGTGAGCCTAGCCAGATGCTGTCCATCCGTATCGACCGCGACAGAGCCACAAAGACCATTCGCCTCTCATCGACCGCCTACATCGAGCAGATTGCAGCCCAGTACAACCTGGCATCCGTCCGCACAGGCAAGACAGCCCCTCTGCCTGCCTCAGGGGAGCTCAAGGACCTTCTCGCTGACGACGACACGGTTATCAACGCGCACGATCACCGCGTTTATCGCGAGCTTGTAGGCAAGGCACTCTGGCTCGCCATGTCGACTCGCCTTGACCTGTCCTTCTCAGCTTCCGTTCTCTCGCAAGTGCTTCGTTCCCCCGCTCCCAAGGCTCTCGAACTTGCCCGGCGCATGCTTGCCCATGCGCATCACACTAAGAGCGCATACCTCGAGCTCGGCGGCACCATCGACAACCGACTCATGGCCTTCGTCGACACCGATTTCGCCGGCGACCTCGAGACTCGCCGTTCGACCACAGGTTTCTCCGTCCTCCTCTACGGCTCCTCCATATCATGGGCCGCACGCCGCCAGGGGAGCGTAGCCACCTCGACAACCGCCGCAGAGTACGTCGCCATCGCCGAGGTCACCAAAGAGATAATTTGGCTCCGTCAGCTTCTTCTTCAACTTGGTATCGCCGACGACACCATTGTCGAGCCTGTCCGCATCCTCGTCGACAACCAAGCTGCCATAACAATTGCAGAGCGTCCCGTGAACTTCCCCTTGTCCAAACACATCGACGTCCGCCACCACTTCGTGCGCGAGCAAGTCGACAGAGGGAAGATCACCCTCGAGTACGTCCGCACCAGTGACCAGCACGCCGACTGCCTCACCAAGGCTCTACCTGGTCCCCTTCATGCTCGGCACACTGCCTCCCTAGGTCTCAAGAACCCGACCAACGCTGTCAACATGGTCTCTGAGCCCAAGGACGAGCACCACGACGTGTAAGATGTTTCTCGAGGATAGAGATGAGGGGAGTGTTGAGATTACGTAACCACTTGCGCCACTGCAGTGTGGCACCGAGCTGACCGGAGAACGAGGGTACTGCACCAATGCTGCTCTTTCTGCTTCTTCATTGTCCTCGTGCTTCTCTGTAGTGCTCGGGCCTCCCTTCTGTGTGCATATAAGCAGCTCTGTAGACGCCTATGCATCCCCATCCTCTTCTGAAAGACAAACTGCCAGCTTAAGACCATCAGTCTCGGGCGCTAAACGGCATCAAATCCCAACAGCTTTATTATATTTTATGACCCCCAAGCGCTACCGCTGATGAGACCGACACTTTGGTAAGTACTTGTCAGGCATCTCTTCCTTCCCTGTACTGGTTCCCTGTTAATACTTGGTATATGAGAGACGACATTTCAGAGAACACTAGAATATCAGAAACGCAGTTGGCGGGGGTTGGCATTAACCTCCCGGTGGCGTAAATGGTGAGCTGTCGTGTTGGTATGGCCGTGTCGCGGAGTGTGGCGCATGCTCCATCACCAGCTGGGTGGAGATCATCTGGATGGAGATCGACTCTCGTGCAATGGATTAACACGACAGCTCAGGGTTACTGACAATACCATCGAACAGAGGGTCGAATCATTCTGATGTGGGGTCACTGCCATTGTAACACAGCTTGTGGTCCAAACAGGACCCGATCCACATCTAGGTGTACCCTGTCAACTCACCATAACGAGAGCCTCACATTACTGCAGTCATGTGACTCGTTTCAGAAACGACGCTTGCACAAACAAAACTATGTTTCAAGAGCAACCAATGCATCAAAGCAACCCTCATCTCGGATCAATGAATGGCACAGGATTTGGTTACGGTTCCTGTGAGCCGCCTGTCTGCAATGGTCGTCAAGAAGCAGCTCGTTCGTCACACTCTGCGCGTCGCTCGACAGGCCACAGGCCACAAGGAAGCGCAGGCATCCACCCAACTACATATTACCCCACTCTCCTGGAACCACAACCCACGGTGATACAATCACATCACCACGTATTCTACTAGCACCTATTTCAAGGGCCGGACGATCGATAGACTATACACCGAGCTGCGAGCATTCGGTTTGTTCGTATAGTAACGAGGAGTGCCGCGCGTTTCCGGAGACGGGCAAGGACGAGATGGCAGACGCGTAGCGCGCGTAGACTCTGCTTTTGCCGCCAGTGTCGGTGCCATCCTGAATGGTGAGATGCCGCTGCCATGATGCACGGGTGGCCGATACATGGTACGCCAGTGGCGGGCACCAGACAGGTGTTGCGTGCCGTCAGCCAATGCCGACAGGTATTGCCACCGTTATCATACCAGCGTCAGTTCCTGCTTCCGTATTGTCGTGAAGGGGCAACGTCAATAATAACATAAAAAAGTAATAGTCTCGTGAAAAGGGGTGAACGTCATGATCGTGATGCAACACTAGTAGGCGAAAGCCGTGGGCAGAGGTGGCGGTGTTGGTGATGGTGATGTGAGTGGGTGATGGCGACTGTCGGGCCAAATGCCACGCCTAGGCAGCAATAACGACAGCCGCGAGACCCACAGCGAGCATGCCCCACGCCACACGCTGGACACTGGCGCTCGATTTGGCCGTGTACGACGTACAAAAGCTGGCGCCGGGGTAGCCTTGATCCACCTGGCTGCTGGTGCTGTAGACGCAGTCGGTCCAGAGGTTCTGCACGATGGCGAGCGATCGGCAATCGCCGCCAGACATCGTGCCGTTGAGCATCGCGCAGCACGACTTGGTCACGGCGCTGCCGATGTCGTTGCCGTTCAGCTTGAGGGAGTACTCGCACTCGAGGAGGGTGATGGTGGAGGCTGTGGACGACGAGGCCGAGGACGTGGTGCGGGTGCTGGCGCTGGTGCTGGCCCTGACGATAGCCGTGGCCGTGTATGTTTCCGCGGACACGGAGGTGAGGGAGGTGCTGTTGGCAGAGACGGACATTACTGTGGTTCGGTGATGGTGATGATGGGGGAGGTGCCAAGCGACGAGAGAGGATCGGGGTGGCCATATTATAAGCTTACTGTCCTGGACGGCCGATCCCTTTTCCATATCCTAGGCACAAAGGGCTGTGCCGGCCGAATGCCAAGCGAATCCACCACAGTGCTGTATTAGCGCCGCTGATGCACCTGCACAGCACATGGTGCACAAAGCACTAGAGAGCTCTGGAGAAACGCCGCCGTGACGGCACCGGTACGTGCCGCGGACCGACCTTGCGGACAGCGCGAATGAGGATGTACGGGTGTTGGCGACTTACACTGGGCATTCACAACATTGTGTGGCAAGTGGGCCAGCACTCGTAACAATGACTTTATGCAAGGCAGACTTGAAGCGATGCTTCCATGCTCTTGTTGAGGGAGACCTGGAGGTGCTTTTCACCTCGAAGAATGAGCGCACCAATGGGGGCGGAGTGGTCCTTGTCCTCAACGCCGTCGCCACCTGCCAGCCCTAGCAACATTCGACGTCTCGTCAGGCTTGTTGTTTGTTACCCTTGATGCGAACCGGTTCCCGCTACGAGAAACGTCAGGTCCTGAGAGAACCACCAATGAACCACCACAAGATATTATACGTCAGTCTCTACAGCTACAATTCAGAAGATGGCAACACCGACAGCAACAATCACCACCATAGCCCCCAGCACACCGCCCAGCCCCGCCCTTCTCCCTGAACCACTCCTGCGCACATACTCATCCATGACCAGCACATCGAACCCGCCCACTGTCCCGTGCATGCACTCCGTGTCGCCCGTAGCTTTCACGTACGTCGAGACACTGACGTCGGCGCGCGGCATGGTCTGGCACGCGGCGCAGCCTTCCCACAGGAAGAGTTTGCCGAGGGGCAGTTGCCTGCCGTCTTTCCAGATCTGGATTCTGGGCGAGTGTGTCAGTGGGTGAGGACGATAATGACTGACGCCATGCGTGGGGTGTGGTGGTGGTGTGCTGGGTAACAGGGGTCGCGTATGGCCACAATGCACACAGCAGCACCCCACGCATCGATTCCGCGCCTACTCACTCTCGCCCACACAGGTTCGGCCGCTGTGCCATGTTATCCTGGTTGAGCCAGGACACGTTGAGCGCGACGACATTGTCCGTGTGCATCGACATGATGCTGTCGCCGCACGCGGCCGGGTTCTCGATGATGGGGACGGACCACAGGAGCCCACCGTTGAGCGCCGCGCATGCTGGGTGGCCGCCGAGGCTCGAGTCGTAGTAGCTGGACCGGTGTTAGTGTGTGCGGGGAGGGGGGGAGAGGGCGACGGATGTTGGATGGGATCACATGGATGGCGGCAAAGGGGAGAGAGGCGATGGACAGGCAAGGCTGGCTGCACCCCGATCGTTGTCCACGCAAGAGAGAGCAGACACGAGGGTGATCTCGGATAGCATCACTCGCGAGAGCTCGCTCAGTTTGAAGAGGTGCCGTCCGTGTCCGAGAGGACACCGGTAATGTTCGCGACACCGGACAATAAACTGCACGTGCTGGACCTAGATGATGCCATTCGGAGACGCCGCACACCTCACCGCGCCCGTGCGCGTGCGTCGATTCGGTCGCTCCGCAGATAACGCGCATTGTGGGCCGTGGGCATGCACACGCGCTCAGTCGGCAGTGGCAGTGGCAGCGGCAGCGGCAGATGAATTCTCGCGCCAAAGACAAGCGACAAAACTGGCGAGCTCTCTGTCATCTCCGCCGGCGGAGTTGCGCCACCTTCCCACGCGCCGCCGCCTTGTCCGTGCCGTGGAGGTGGACTGCACCGCCGTGGACGCCGGAGTGGGCGGGCAGAGGAGCAGCAGCATGCAGGCAAAAGACCGTCCATGTCCAACCCGAAAACAATCCAATGCCCCGAGTCCGATGGAGGCGGCACTGCGTCCACTCGACACAACACGGTGTGGCTGCGGCGCTGCGGCTTAACGGCTTGGTGGGCTTTGCGGTGGGCTGACTTGGGTTTCGGGGGCCCCCGGTGCGTCGCGTAGAGCGTTCCCGATGCCAGATCCATACCCTGTTTTGGAGGGCACAATTGGGTGTTGTGTGGTGGGCACGACGAGTCGTCTGACGACTCGCATGTTCGGTAGGAGCAGAACGGAAACGACGGAACACACCATACACAGAGCACGCGGAAACGACGGAAACACGACACACACGACACACGCACTAGGTCAAGTTGAGGTTTGTAAAGTTGTACGCCACTGCGGCCTCGCTTCCGCGGCCGAGGAGGAGGGCTGCGACGAGGGCAGGTATCAACATTGGAGAGGCCAGAGGACAATGGAAAAGGGCGGTGGAGTGTACGCGACGAGTGGGTGGGTCCCTGGACTTTGCTGCAAGGGTGGGCGGGTGGGGCGAGGGCGAGTGGGGGCCCGTACGCCGAGTCGATAGAGATGGTGTTGCTATTGCTGTTGATGTGTGCGAGCTGCGTGGATGCTTTGTGGTATTGCAAAAGAACCAGTGAGTGGAATGGATGGATGCATCACAGTGAGATCTCCGGCAACACACGAAACGCACAACGCGTTGTCAAGGGTCGGAGGATGTGTCCGTGCGATCGCATAGTGCGTTTTCACCACTCTTGGCCCGGCTCTCGCCCACCAACAGATGCACCCAGCGTATGTATCACGCATCTGTTTCTTTGGCACCCCCCGCGGGGTCCTCGAGATCCTACGTCCTGCCCCACTCTCTCCCCCTGTTGCAATGCATATGTGGGTGCGACAGAATGGGTGCGCACCAGCGTAGATCCGGCCGGTCCAACCCGAGTCAGAGGACCACCAGGGTAAAAACGGGTCAACAAGGTCAAATCTCGCATATCTGACCTTTTGCCTCGCAAAGTTCGAAATCATGCTTCAGGTCGCGACTTTTTGCGGAATGTGCGAGCTGTTGCCCTCGTCGTTGGATCGTTGGGAGGAGCTCCCGAGGCTGACGTGATTGGCGAGACAACGACCGACGTCGCTGTAGAACTCACGCACCTCGGATGATCAAGGGAAATACAAGGATGATCGAGCGGGCAGCACCGGGCCGGCAAAAACGAGGAACCGTTCCGTCCAGACGAGCCAGACGAGCGAGCTAGCGTCCACAACGACAACAAAGAAAGAAAAAATGCTGCATGCTCTACCGCACCAGGGTGGTCCGGGCGTGAGAAGAAGCAAGACGTGGGTGGCTGTCTGCTTGGACCTGGACGTGCGCGGCATCGTGCCCACAGTGTGCGTGGACCGGCGGCAGACAGCACGGGGGGAATCTGGGGTTGGCAGGAGAACAGCAGCGCCGCCAAGCAATGCGAGCAATGGCCTTGCTGCCAACGATCCAATAGCCTCCCGTCGCTCTATCTCTAGCTTCGGCAAGTTTGCAGCCACAAAGCGGTCGGGGGCCGGCCACGCACGTCATAAGCATGCAGCAGCCAATCGCTCGTGTTCGGCACCAGCAGCCGGCGGCAGTAGCCAGGGTGAGTGGGGGAGGGAGAAGGGGAGTTTCCAATTTTGCAGTTATTTCGTCTGCATGCCGCCTCGGGTATAGCCGCAAGACGCGAGCGAGCGAGCGAGCAGGAATGCTAGAGCGCACGACCAGAGGGAAAGACCCAGTGGCCAAAGTGGGGCCAGGGAGGAGCACGCCAGTGCCGCCAGAAGGTTGCTCGGCGCCCATGGACTGACGCGAGGGTCCCCTCCCCCGCATCTCTGAAAAATCGAAATAAAAAAAAAACCTGCCCGGCACCGTCCGCAGGGATCCCGGCGAGGTTACGCCGAGCACCGAGACTGCGTCTTGTAAGCACACAGAGCATTCGTGACCCCGGCCGAGTCAGCGCCAGAATCCAGACAGCCGAAGGAGAAGAAACAGAGGTGGGTGGGTATATTACCACTCGCGTTGCATTCCCACCCCATCCCCCCCCCTTCCTTGATCACCACACCCACACGTCTGCTAGTCTCTGTCCCCTCCTCTTGCCACTCACCACACTCACCCGCACCAATGCTCGCCACCGTCCCCCGTGCGGCGCCTCGTGCCGCTCGTCGCGCGCTCACCACCGCCACCGCTCTCCGCGCTCCCTTGGCACCCCCCTACGCGCATGCCAACCGCTCCGCCCTCGCTCCCCCCTACACCCACCCCTTGGCCTCGCCTGTCCGCGACGAGGACCGCCTCAAGGCCCCCTACGCGTTCAGCGTCCCTCGCAACAGCCAGACCGCCACCGGTCCCAGCTCGCGCGAGTGGGTGGCTGCCGTGTTCGACACTGCCGCCGGCCGCGAGTGGGCCATGTCGGCATGGGAGAGCGCGCTTGTTGAGCTTGCTGAGCAGGTGAGTTGGCTATGCAGAGGTCGTGTGGGCCCCATTACGATTACGGGGTGGCCACCGTCATGTCGCCACACGCCCGTGCGGTGGTGGTAGTGTGGTGGTGGTGGTGGCACCGACAGGCACACGCACACACACCTTCTGTTGACAACAACTGGCCGGAACATACCGCTGACGTTGCAGCCGGCTACCGCTCCCGAGATCCCCTTCCAGGCCCTCACTGCGGTCCTTGCCGACCCCAACATGCAGTCGCTCGTCGCGCGTACTGGCGCCGTCGTCGTGCGCGATGTCGTGCGTGACGCCCTGGCAGAGGCGTGGGCCAAGGAGTTGATTGAGGCCCGTGCCGCCCGTGGACATGGTGAGTGGCGCTTAGAATATGCGCGATCCTGCCATGCTGACTCCCCCCCGTAGCCACCTTCTACAACCAGGCCCAGGTCGATGCCCGTGCCGACCCCTCCGTTCTCTCTGCTGCTGGCCAGCTGCTCCGTGCTCTCGTTCCCGAGGTTGCCAACGCCGAGACTGCCTACGTCCGCGTCGACGCCGCCGCCGCCGGCCCCAGCTCCTCCAACTGGACCGGCAAGTCGGTCTGGGCCGTCGACAACACCACCGCCGGCTTCACCCCCGTCCACGCCCACCTCACCCTGCAGCGTACCGACGTTGCCGTCCCCACCTCGACCGCTGCGGCCACTTACGCCCTCCTCCGCCCCTTCTTCGCGCCCAAGGCATCCCGCATCTCGTTCTACCACGCCGAGGACTACCTCAACGGCAAGAACTGGCAGCTCCGCCAGTCGGCCACTGGACCTGACTATGACGCTCCCCTCGTGCACATCCGCCCTGCGGCTGTCTCGCTCGCCCCCGGCGACGTCCTGATCACGCACGCGGGCCTCAACGTCGCTGCCGCCGACACAGCCGGCCTCGTCCTCCCCGTCCACCCCTTGCCTGCCACCGAGGGCAACGCGCAGTTTGTCAAGCTCCAGCGCGCGTCGTTTGAGGCCGGCGTTCCCCCTCCCCACGCCGAGACTGCCGACTCGCCCATCGCCCTCGAGGAGGCCGGCGACGCCAGCATGATCGCGTCCTGGGGCGGCCGCCGCGCCATGGGCTACGGCTTCTAGACGCCTGCCACATGTGGTGTGCAGGTAGTGTAGGAGCAGGAGCCCTTGAACGGTGTCCTCTCTCTCCCTCTCTCTCTCTCTTCATCCCCCTCCATCCGTCCCTCTGCGATCCTTGTGGCATCTAGGCCCGACGATCGGCGGGGACGAGGAAACAAGCTTTCATCCCATCAACAGGGCGAAAAGCGCGTCGGAACCCACCCCCAGAGTCTATCAACTAGGCTTCCAACCCCCGTTTTCCACCAACCAACCAACAAAAAAAAAGCCAGCGTGCGACGACTCGTCCGCACAGAAAACCGGCTGCAAAGAGCTCCCTCCCAATGGACTCTTTGCCCCAGCGATAATATCAAGGCGTGCAGATAACGCACACCCACACCCTGCCTCGCCTTGGTCCAATAAGGATCCATTGCGCGGGCTTCAAAACAAAAACGTTTCCTTCTCTCCCTCTGTGTCTCTCTTTTCCTCGAATCCCTCGACGTCGCACGCAGGGGCTCTGGGTACCGGCCTGCGCTGGACGCTGGCAGCTGGCAGCAAAAGGAAGAGCGACAAAGGCCTGTCTCGGACAAAGCGAGCCCTCGTACCTGCGTCCTGCGTGCCTGCAACCTGGGTACGGCGGGTGTGATGGACGGCACGGCAGGGCAAGGGGGACTCCTGGGTGGCCATTGAATGAGTAGCCTCTTGTGGCCTTGCTTGTTTCGTGGTTTGGAACCAGATTTGGGTTCAATGTACTTGCCATTCCGTTGGACTGTAGATTTTTATTTTTTATTTTTTTATTGTACACAGATGCAGAACTGCAGCTCTTTCTGTCAACAAATATTGTGCATGTACAGCTTCCATGCATATATGCATGTACATGTAGGCAGGTGTATGGCATGCATGGCGTGCTGCCAGGTGCTTTGTACGCCACGGGCAGCGCTGGTGGCGGCGGCGGCGGCGTCGGGTGGGCGGAGCGTTGGAACGGGGCGGGGGGAATCACGCACACTGCACGAGTCATGCCGTTATGAACGGGTTTGTGTGTGTGTGTCGACTCGGCCGTGTGTCGTCGTTTGCAGCTTTTTCTTATTCTTCTCAACACCGTCCCCCATCTCCTCAACACAAACGCATACGTGCATACACATACACACATCTACCAAACACAGCACACGCACGCATACACGGGCGCCAACGACGACCTTGCCGGTACTCGCGACAGGAACTACCCACCCAAATCCACCACGTGAGACGGTCCGAGCGAGCCTTTTGCTAGCATTCTGCGCTTCGGAACGCCTCCCCACACCCCCCCACCTTTTGCCATCCACCCGGCCGGCCACGCCTTTCGTCCCTTTCATCCCGCCTCTTGGCTTCCTGGGCAAATCTTGACATCACCCACATCGCCATCACCTTGCACACCCACCCCCCACCCCACCCACCCCTTCTCCCTCTCGCTGGCAACAACGTCTAGCGCTGAGCCGTTCCCCTTCCCCCCCTTTTTCTCCTTATCATCACCACCACCCTCGTTTCGATAACACCATAGCGGATGGGTCTGTTCGACTTCCTCCCCTGCTGCGGCCGGCGGTCTGTCGAGGACAAGGACGATGAGGTGAGTTTTTGGTCTAGTTGACGAGGTGGAGACGCGGGGCCCGTGGGACCGGGAGCGTCGGACCACGGACTCTCGACGGCGGAGCAAACCACGGAGCGGCCCCCGGGGTTGCTTTGCCGGTGCGGCGGACAGCGACGGAAAACGCCTGTCCAGCATGCTCGACGCCTGCGCCTGCGCCGGCGCCGGCGCCGCAACCAGCCTTCCTGCACACCTATTGTCTGGCGCCTACGCTCCCCCACTGCCCCCTCCCCACGCCGTGTCCCGGGAGTTCACTGCGCCGAACACCACACGACAGCACCTCTCATGAGCTCCAGCTGACCCCCCACACAGCCGACTGACACGGACCCGCTGCTCGCCCCCGTGCGCCGGGGCGCTGAGAGCATCACGTCGCAGGAAGGCTACGGCGCCGTGTCAATGTCGGCGAGCGATTCCGGCGGGCTGAGCGGTGCCCAGCGTGCGCGCATTGCCGAGATTGGTCGTGAGGTTGGCAAGTGAGTACCGATAGCAGCTGTACGCCCTGTCGTCTGACCCGGGGACGGTCTTGGTCTGGTCGCTGTCTCGATGTGGTGCGGTGCCCCTCTGTCACAAGAGCAAGGGTGTGTGAACCCATGTTCCTCGCGCCAGATCTCAAGTCAGACAGTTCCCCTGGCCCGTCTACTTTCAGTCTTCACGTGCTAACGTCGCCCAGCCACATGCTGCCCATCAACCAGGCTTCGCGCGCAGCAACCACGTCGCCGTCCGCACGCGTCCCGTCCACCAGCGGCGGTGTCCGTCCCCCATCGCCAGACTCGACCTCTTCCCCGTCGCGCCCTACGACCCCGTCCCCGGCCCACGGCGACGGCGAGTACGGCAGCGGCTCCGGCGTCCTGTCGCCGCCTGAGGACGACGCCGAGTCGAGCTCACGACACAACCGCAGCGGCGCAGCCACCCCTGCCGACGGTGCCAGCGCGGCCGTGGACGCCGACGGCGTCGTCCACAAGACGCTCTTCCACGGCTCCAACCCCAACAACCGCGGAAGCCACGGCAAGGGCTCGCGCGGCAAGAAGGGCGGACGCGGGCGTGGTCGCGGGCGCAGCAAGAAGATGAAGTGAGCGTGCGTCGCGAGGGAGGCGAGGGAGCGGGAGGCATGAGATGTGGAGTGGAGCGAGAGCGAGGAGGGAAACGAAGAGGACGGGCGGAACACCTTGCACCACAACACGACCATCATCCGCGCACCACCAGGAATCCTAGAACCACAAACCCCAACCACGACCTATCCCCCCCTCCCCCAGAACCCTACACGCGGGCATAACTGTACCAGGCTGGAGCCTTCAACGGCCTCGAGCCGCACCGCACACCACTTCACCGCATCATCACCAGCACCAGAACCACATGGACGAAACCCCTACGAAAGAAAATAAACCCCCCAATCAAGAAAAAACAAGAAGAAAAGGAAACGCAAAGGACACAAACAAAAAACACACAACACCACCCACTGCGCCGTGCGCACCCCGTGTCCCCATCTGCACCCCACACACATCAACCACAGTTGTATCACATTTTTTCCGGGGGACTGTCCCCAGCTCAGCTCATGGCCGTTATCGCAGCACCGGGCCATTGTCTCTTGTCTCTCTCTTTTCTTTTCTTTTATTGCATGCAGGCTTGTGCTGCACGAGGCGAGGAGCGCAGCGACGACCCCAACTGACGGGTTGGACTGATACCACGTTGTCTACGGTCAAACATCGACAGTACGTGCGCCACAACAACACAACATAACAACGGCTGCTGGGCTGTGCTGTCCGGTGTGTGGCGGCCATCATTCATCACCATCTGGCCATCTGCCTGCCTCCCGCCCGTTGTCCTCAACAGCCAGCAGGGTGCGTCCCACGGGGTTCCGGGTAGAATGGGTCACATGAGAGGCATACACACGTTGGCGTGTGGTGCTGTGTGCTGTGTGCTGTGCTGGGTCGTGAGTGGCGTTTGTTGGCTGGCGTGACGGGAGCTCGTGGCTCATGCGCCTCGCGTTTGGGCGGCGTCCGGCGTCGTGCTTGGCTCTTAGCCCATAGGCCCCAGCCTTGCAGTGGTGATTCTAGCGGCAACCCCCAGCGCCGAGTGTGTGCACCGCTATGCAGACACGGCCATTGTTATGCTCAGTGCTCCCTTGACTCGTTCGAGCAGCGCAGAGTTGCATGCTAAATGACTAAATGATTCATTTGTATCCGGCCTTAATGCAAACCGCGTCATAATACCGGGGTTTCCTAATGGCCCCTAATCACCACAGGCACACCGGTGTCTACCCTGTGCCACCCCGCGGCTGGCGCAACGCGCTATTGTTACCCGCCGCACGCGCCGTCCATCCCCCAGTTAGGCCAGTATGCGCAGCACGCCCCAGGTGCGCCAGGTGCGCGTGCCAGTGCGCGCTCGTTGACTTTTGTTGGTTGCCGTGTTTACCTTTTTCCTACAATAATACAGCCCCCCAGCACACCGGACCATGCCGTCGCTCAGTCTCAATGAACCCGCACGGCGCTACTACACACCACGACCACTCGCCACGATGATGGGCAACGACGACTTTGCCGTCCCCGACTTGCCACCCCTGCAGCCCGTATCGCGCGCAAAGGGCAGGCTCGGCCTGTTCGCCGACATGGTCGCGACACAACCCACCGTCTTGCTCTTGGATTTCTGGATGAAATGGCACAAGGCAAGTGGCCAAGTGGCCGTGGCCGTTGCACGGGCGCACGGCGTATGGTTGCACGGCTGCTGACCTTTTTCCTCACAGGCGCCGTTCGTCATTAGCACCATGGCCGGCGTGCCCGTGCTCCAATGTCGGGGATACAGGGGCGAGCACTGGACCAAAAAGAGAGGTGAGCCTTGATCTGGATGTCGCGGTCGTGCATGAGCGGCCTGCGGACTGACGACCGTGGTAGCGATTCACGACACGAAAGGGAACCGCCTCTTCCGCCTATCAGCCAAGACAACAGACGGGTGCAGGTATACCGGACGCGACGGCGAGGACAAGGAGCTGTTCAGGCTATACGGCAGTACGTTTTGGTCCCCGTGTACCACCGACGTGGCCACTGCACTGCACTCCGCCGCTGCTGACCACATTGTCTTCTCCGCGTGCAGACAGCACATCAGCACTCCAGGTCGAGTTTGTCGACAAGTTCTCTCTCCGGCCGGCGATTCTCCACATTCAAGGCGGGCACGCGCGCAAAGTCGTCAACATTACGTGTGACGGGCAAGTGGTGGCGCGCACGCGCCGGTGGGATGGGCACGACAAGACGTATGGGCGGACAACGGTGAGTTTGAGACGCGTTGCGAGCGCCAGGTTCGCAGTCTACCAGTTCGTGCACACCGAGCTCACATCACAGTACCGACTCGAGGTCGCGCAGGGTGTCGATATCGCGCTCCTGGCGGCAATCGCCATCTGCCTCGACGAGCAGGAAAAGGCCACCAGGTCGTCTGGGTGGGTACCCACATACGAGATGCAGTGCGTGTGGGAGCGCTGACGGCCAACAGGTCATATGACGCCGCCAGCGGCGGTGCCACGTCTTCAGGCGGGGGTGCATTCCGCGACCCTGTGCATGTCGATCCGAGTGGTGGAGTTGTTACCGAGGGGAGGTGAGATGAGTTTGGGGACCACATCCAACCCTAGTTTTTTTTTGTATAATGTGCTGCTTTGATGTTGGCATTCATGTTGGATCCGTCTGGGGAAGTAGCATAGCTGACGAGTGTACTGCCAAAATGTGTCTCCATTAGCAATCCGCCCCGACGAGGCGGACGACCCACCGAGGACGTCGTGAGGACATGTTCCGGGCAAGGAACGCGTGCGAGCCACTGTCGCCTGCCGCCAAGACACCGGCAGGTGGAGGTGGTGCGAGAGAGCCTCGAGTTGGGACCTTGTGCATGTGGTGGATATGTTCGGTCGATTCGCCGGATATCAGGACACCTGGATCCACGAGCAACGGCCTCCACATGGCCACATGGTGTCTTTTCAGATTTGAGTCGAAGGCATCGAGGGGCCAGCAACACCTTCCCAGTCGGCAATCGTCGGCAAGGTGCGCAACCAATCGTGGTGGGCACAAACAGGCTGGTCGGTCACAGCCGATGTATCGGCCCAACACACACCATCCATCGGCATTCTCACTTGAACTCTGTCTCTTTATATAACCATCGACACACCCACCTCACCCCCACCATCACAACACCCACCATGCGCTCCATCTTCCACCTCGCCTTCCACGTCCGCGACCTCGCCGCCTCGCGCGCCTTCTACAAGGGCGTGCTCGGGTGCAAGGAGGGCCGCTCGACCGAGACCTGGGTCGACTTTGACTTTTTCGGCCACCAGATCTCCCTGCACCTTGGCGAGCCCTTCAAGACCACCAACACCGGCAAGGTCGGCGACCACATGGTGCCCATGCCTCACCTGGGCGCCGTCCTCGAGTACCCCGACTGGCGCGCGCTCGCCGACCGCCTCGAGGCGGCCAAGACAGAATTTGTCATGGAGCCCCAGGTGCGCTTCGAGGGCCAGCCCGGCCAGCAGTGGACCATGTTCTTCCGCGACCCCTCGGGCAACCCCATCGAGATCAAGGGCTTCACCAGCCTCGATACCGTCTACGACGCTTAAAATCGGCGACACAACATGCCGGTGGCCTGTGGGATGCGTGATGCGTCCCAACGGCCCGATTCCGGCGCCGCGCACCGGCCCTTCACACTCCACCAGCGCCGAGCGCCACCAGATTCGTCTGGCTGGTGGTACCTATAGAACGACCCATTGTCTTGGCAAAGCAGTGCGGCCTGATGTATCAAGTACACAACGAGCTGCACCTTCCTGTTTGTGACACTTACTCTCACCTCACCACCCACATATTCACCACCACGATGGGCAACCTCGAGTCTCTGCCACCACGACGACCCCCGCTGGCACCAAGGCCCGAGGGGCTGGGCGTGTATGAGGACATGCTCGCCTCGGGAGAGGGTACGGTCGTGGTCCTGGACCGATACATGCAGTGGCAGAAGGTGAGCAGCACAGCGCGGGTGACGTTGTCGTCTGTCGTCTGGGCAAACGCTGATGGAATCCCAGGACGCCGTGCTTTTGCACACCGTGACTGGTGTGCCCGTGATCCAGTGCCTCGGGTACGACACTTGGAACAAGAAGAAGGGTACGACACACACGTCGACACGTCGCAGCGATAAGAACATGGACTGACCCGCCGACAGTGATCCTCGACCACGAGGGCAACCGCCTGTTCCGTATCGACAGCGCGCCCATGCTCAGCGGAGGAACCAAGTACTTTGGCGTAGACACGAGCGAGAACGAGCTGTTCTGCCTGTACTCCAAGGGCGGTACGTCCGAGCCCGAGCCCCCCCCAGACGCGCACTTCTGCTGACGCCATCTGCAGCACTCACGCCCGGGTACGCGGTCGAGTTTGTGGACCACTTTACCGGCGTCAACCGCAAGATTGACGTCGAGGGCAACTATACCAAAAACGTCATCACCCTGTCGAGCCGCGGCGCGCCCATCGGTCGCATCGTGCGCTCGTGGATGCGCATGGAGATGGGGTACGGCCCTGGAACGGTGAGTCCGGGCGGACAGTGGCAGCGGATGACCTGCGGGTGCTCACACGCCTGCAGTACTGGCTCGAAGTGGCCGAGGGCGTCGACATTGCGCTGCTGGCGGCAATCAGCATCTGCCTCGACGAGATGGCCAAGGCGTCCAAATTCAACGGCCGAAACCAGTCTGTGTGAGTGGTACCGTGGTACCGTGGGGCGAAGTGGGACTTCTCAGGCGGACTGACATTCACAGGGTGAACAACAACAATAATTTTGCGTTCCAGATGGCCATGAACGCGGGACCGGCAGGATTGGGGCCTGGCGGCGTACCGGGAGGTAATGCGGCGGGTGGCATGTTCTGAGTGGAAGCTGGGCAGTTGTAGATATGTTAGATGGAACAGACATGGCTAGTCTGGCTTTGGTCGTGTCCGTGCCGTGACGCTGCGCAACTGGGGGGAACAGGCACCATCGTCCGGCATCCCATGCTCTATCTTCATGGCACCTTATCGGTCCGCGGCTTTGGTAAAGCAGTGCAGAAGCATCCGCACGAGCCACCACTTCTGCTCCCAGTAGTCTCATGCATTGTGATGTTACCCATTACCTCACACACACGGCAACCATGGGCAACACCGAGTCATACGAAACACTGCGTCCACTGGCGCCCGTCACAGGGGGGTTTGGCCTGTATCCCGAGATGCTTGCAGGCGCTCCGACGACCTTGATCCTTGATGCGAACATGCAGTGGACGAAGGTGGGTGGCGAGCCCCCAGACCCGAGAACACCGAGGACAAGCGTGTGCTGACGCTGTAAGGTCCCATTCATCATATACACCACCACCGGCGTCCCCGTCATGCAGTGTGTAGGCTACGACTTTTGGAACAAGAAGCTGGTGATGCTCGACGCTGAGGGGAACCATCTCTTCCGGCTGAAAACAAAGGCCTTCTCGTCAGCGAGGTACATTGGCCAGGACGCCGGCGAGAACGAGCTCTTCCGGCTATGCTCCCCAGGCCGTAAGTCGCGCAGCCCCCCTGTGGGGGGGCACACGAGTTTGCGCCTCCGTGCATGCTTAACGCGATTTAGCCTTTACCCCGGGCTGGGACATTCAGCTGAGCGACGTGTTTTCCGGCCGCGAGCAGACCCTCTTCATCGACGGCTCGCACACGGCCAAGGTGGCAGACTGCGTTTTCAACGGTTCTCCCATAGCGCGCGTCCATCGCCGTGCGCGGCCAGGACAGGACAAGCCGTACGGGCGTGGCACTGTGGGTAATTGAGGGTGACCGGCCCGGCAGGTGAAGGGTTGATCGCGTGCTGACGGCGCGGCCCAGTACTGGCTCGAAATCGCACCGGGCGTCGACATGGCGCTGCTCGCAGCCATTTGTATCTGCTCGGACGAGATTGCCAAGGCGGCCCGGAGGAACAGTCGCAACGCATCGTGAGTGGGAATCATGGAAGAGCAGGCTCATGTCTAGAATGTCACTGGGCGGGGCAGGAGGTGGCAGCAACATGGGATTTGGGGCTGGTGGGGGTGGTGGGGGTGGCGGAGGTGGCGGCATGTGTTGAGAGGAGGGAGCTGGGAGTGACTGTTGGCGCACATACTGCAGCGGTATAAGCTGTGCAGAAATCAAAGTTTGTTGTTGTAGTGAGGGCCCGAAAACATCGATCGGGCAGTTTACTTGCCGATGGCATGCCGTTGAAGAACCCACCCAGCGTTCATCTTTCGACACATTCACACCGCCACACATCGCTATGCATCGCAAGACAGGTCCTCACATGCTTCCCCCGCTTCTTTTCCAAATGCTATAGCTGAAAGGTCACCCCCTGGTGTCCTTGTGTTGACAGGGAGTCGAGTTGTGAACGACGTCATGGGCACCGCCATGTGCCTTGGCGTTGTGAACGGCCATTTAGCGCGACACATATAACCAACTCGCCGATCATCTCGCGGCTTCTTTCTCTCTCTCCTCTCTCTCCTCTCTCCTCTCTCTCTCTCTCTCTCTCCTCTCTCTCTCTTTGTCTCTTTCTCGCCGCAGCGTCTCGCACAGGTTGTCACCGCTCACCACTCCACTTGACATCAATACACTCACGTCCACATGGGTTCCCAAGTGCCAAACGTCGAATCCGACCAACGACCCCCACTCCAATCCCCCAAGGGCCCCGCCGGCCTCTTCCCCGCCCACCTTGCCAAGGGCAACACGGTCCTCGTGCTCAAGGCCCTATGTCCTGGAAGAAGGTAAGGTCAGCTGGCAGGAGACCGTGAGAATGCAGCTGACATGTCCCAGACGCCATTTGTGATCACGACCACGGACAAGACGCCAATCCTCCAGTGTGTCGGGCACGACATGTTCAACAAGAAGCAAGTCATCCTTGACGGTCAGGGTAACCACCTCGTGCGGCTCAACAGCAAGGCGTTGCCCTACATTGCCGAGGACGCGGGTGGGAACGAACTCGTCCGACTGAGCAATGCGGGTCGTAAGTGGTCGGCTGGCGCTGTTGTTTGTCTGCTGACATTGGAGGCATTACCCCCAAGTTACAACCTACCTACCTCGACCACTTCACCGGTCTCCGCACGGAGCTGTCCCTTGTGGGACCTCTCTCAGGCGACGTCCTGGACATCGTGGCCGGTGACAAGCCGATTGCACGGTATAGGAAGAAGTGGGATGGTCGCGACACGGTACATGGTGCCGCAACGGTAAGCTCCGCTGCCGAATCTCATTCGGTCCAGTTGACGCACGCTGCAGACCTGGCTCGAAGTCGCGCAAGATGTCGACATTGTGCTCATGGCAGTGATCTGCATCTCTATCGACGAGTTCAGGGAGGCACAGCGGAAAGCGAGGAACAAGTGAGTCGTCGGGTGTGGGGGAATGTGCCGCAGTTATTGTGCTGACGATGAAAGGATCAGTCATGAAAGCGGGCCGGGACGACTAGGTACCCTCACCAAGTCCTCGATGACGTTTTGAGCTTGAGACTCTAGTGAAGGGGACGATTCCGACAACCTGGAGCTGTCCCGGTATAGTTCTGGTGTAGCTTGTATCTATACAGCATACTGTTGCCGTGAAAGGAGGCCCGCTGCGCAATCTCGGATATTGGCTGCGTTCAAGAATCGAAAGCGTCCGCGTAACTGACCAGATTGACCAGCTCCAGGCCTGCTGGCGTCGCAACCGGTGTAGGCGTAGGGGGCGACGTCTTCCTTTGGCGCGAGTAGCTGCAGTCCGAGTTGACGTGCAGCAGCATGGCATACACCCGTCACTGCACTAGCAGTGAGAGCAAGGGCCGCCTCAGAAGCTCAGAAGCGACTGGATATGTAGTGATCGCTCCAGAAAGGGGACAGACAGCACACTGAGGGTCAAGAGTGTGGCGATTTACCTCTAGGCCAATCCACCGCCACTCCAACCCGCGACCACACGTTTGGCCCACTCCAACACTTCCAACAGCCACCCGTATGCCTCCAGACCAGCCAGAGCATGCATAGGCCTCTCTGGGGCCCAAAACAGCAAAAGATATGACCACTGACAGGATCGAACTGCCGACCTCCGCATAGACTAGTAACCAAGGCTGGGTATTAGTACGATGCTCTAACCAGCTGAGCTAAGCGGCCGATTACGTCAGCAGTTATGCATGTGCAGCTGTAAGTTGACGCTGCAGGTGTTGCTCGACGTCCTGTGCATCTTTTGGAGATGACACAGGTCGCGGTAGGACCGTGGGTGGATGGTATTTGAGAAAGTTTCGACGGAGATGGCTGTCTGTCATGTTGTCGTGACTGACGCACCGTTTTGGTAATGTTTCAAACCTGGTGCATCACTGCCACTCGATACAACTGCTATGTCTCTCCATGCCATTGCTATTACAACGTCTACATATTGTGCCCCTCTCACTGTTGACCCTCGACAGCCTCCTTGGCCTTCTCGAGAGCCTGACGACGGGTGAGGGATGCGGGGTCTAAGTAAGGCCGCTCGCCGAGCGAGATCGAGCGCGTGCCCTGGCGGTGGCCGTCATCCAGGTCCGCCGTGGCGGCATGGAAGGTGCAGCGGTTATCCCAGATGGCGAGCGAGTCCTTCTCCCAGCGGAACCGGACCTGGAGGTCGTGGTTGCTCGAGACATGGTCAAAGAGGAAGTTGAGCAGGTTGGCCGACTCGCCGGGAGTAAGCTCGACAATGTGCTTGGTAAAGTTGCGGTTCACAAAGAGACCCTTCCAGCCGGTGATGGGGTGAGTACGAACCACGGGGTGGATAGCCTCAAGCGACTGGCCAATGTTCCCAGGGGCGCCACGGGGCTCGCGGACGGGCACGCCGACCTGTTCAGCGAAGCGAAGCTGTTCTTGTCAGCCTCGTCACTGTCGAAGTGCTTCGGGGAACTCACGAAACCGTCGCCCTGGTGCATGGCGGTCAGGCCCTCGAGGAACTTCTGCATGGTGGGCGAGAGACGGTCAAAAGCCTCGTAAGCCGATGCCCAGAGAGTGTCGCCACCGACCTCGGGGAGGGTACGGATCTGGAGAGTGGCATAGTCTGAAGGGATGGCCTCGTAGGTAATGTCCGAGTGCTGCTCGTGTCAGCCCAGTATGTAGAGACTTCACAGGCAGTACTCACCCACTCGTCCTTGCCTAGACGGCGGTCAAGGATCCCAAAGCCCTTGCGCTGGAACGCCTTGCCAAATACGAAGCGGTTCGAGATGAGAGCAATCTCGTCACCCTCAACCTGGTCGGGGAGGGTGAGGGGGTGGACGTGGAGTCCGGAGTCGGCGGGCTTGCCACCCTGCACGCCGAGAGCCTGGACGAGCTCGACCTGCTCTTTGGTCGAGATGACGGCATTGCGGAAGAACACCACGCCGCGCTCAGAAACCAGACGGCCCAGACCCTTGATGCGCCGGTCGTTGCCGAGGATGTCCCGGATACCAATGGCGGGGCGCTCGTCGGTCGTGACAGCGCGAAACTCGGTACCAATGGAAGGAGTGCAGTCAAAGTGGCTGAACGAGCGAATGTCGAAAGCCTCTTCAACGGGAGTTTCGGCAGCGACAGTCTTGAGCTGCTCAACGACCTTGGGAGGAGAAGAAACTGCGACGGGAGCCATTGTGGAGACGAGTGTGTGTTCGCGGAGGTGGCGGTAGTTCAACAGGGGGTACTTGTGGAAAGACCTTTCTCTCCTCCCGTGACCTCACTCTTCATATACTCACTGCCAAGATCATGGCGCTGCGCATTTCGGCTTCGCCCGACCACGTCGGCACACTTACATTGTTGTGCGACAATTGCACACGGCCCAACAACTGGAATTCCATCGTCTGGGATTCTTTGGTCACGAGATCTGATGTTCTTCGCTAGCGGTCAGAATGGTGGGCCAACGGATCGGCCAACGCCGCCGACTGCCCTCCTCAAGGATTATCGTGCGGAATTGGCCACCGCGCAGACTCAATCTTCCTTGATTAACAGGTATCGATGTTGTGCTTTCCCAGAACGATGTCGCAACATCAGCTGACATGATATCTCGGGTGCTGATCGGGCCGAAAATCACCGAACAGCTCGGCGAGCTCGCCGAACGTTTGTGACTTCCTTCGCGGGGGCCCTTCAACTCCTGTGGTGCTCCTCGTGGTTCGTGATCAGTGTTGTGTACTGATCAGCATGCTTCGGGAACTTGGGTACATGGAAAGTGGGCACTTCTGGTTTGGAAACATGTTTTGTGGGGACTGAGTGGGAACAAGACGCTTGACATTCGTGTTTCTGAGCGGTGTGGCAGTCCAGATGATTCGTCGTGGCTCGATCCGCCATCCTGGTTCAATCAACATCGGTCGGCCCCACCAACCCACCAACCCCGCAACACACATGCTTACCCTGTCTTCGAAGGGGGGCGTACGCCGCATGTACAACTTCCGAGTAATTGGTCCACCCGTTGGCAACGATGGAAGACGACATGTTACGTGCAGAGGTTCGAGGAGACCGCGGAAAACAAAGTCGGCAAAAGTTGGCGCCTCGTTGACCGACGTGAACGCTGGGATGGCTTGAACTTGGGCTATTAAAGGCACTGTCTCCCGCGCCAAGAGGTGATCCCCATCGACTGCAAGTACCCACCATGACTGCACCGCACAGTATTGTAGACACGACTGGTCTGGCGGCCGTAACCGACGACCACCGTTCCGAGACCAGCGACGAGGAGAAGGGTGACAAGCACTCGGAGATTGTCCAGACTCTTGCCCACAGCGGTGAATCGGAGGAGGACGTCCTGACCAAGTGAGTGGCTCTATCCTATCCAAAAGCTAGACCCGACACTGACCACAACAAAGGTACTATGCACCCCCCGACTCTTACGAAGGCAAGCACCGTTGGGACCCCAAGGCCAAGTGGACAGCCGATGAAGAGCGGAAGGTCCGGCGCAAGCTGGACTTACGCATCACCTTTTTGATGTGCATCTGCTTTGCCGCCATGAACCTTGATCGCTACAACCTCGGAAATGCCCTTTCGGACAACCTTCTCAATGACCTTAACATGACCACTGCCGACTACAACATCGGCAACACCATCTTCTATTCTTGTTTCCTCGTCGCCGAACTCCCGTCCCAGATGAGTAAGTGCTGCGCTCTGGTTTGGCAGGTGCATTGCTGACCCGCTACAGTCGGCAAGAAGCTCGGCACCGATCGCTGGATTCCCATCCAAATCTTGCTCTGGTCGACGATTGCCATTGCGCAAATCGGCCTCAGCGGCAAGACGAGCTTCTACATTCTTCGCGCTCTGCTGGGTCTCTTTGAGGGTGGCTTCATTGCCGACTCCATCCTGTACCTCTCCTACTGGTTCACGGCGGCCGAATTGACAACTCGTCTCACCTTCTTCTGGGTCTCCATGTCCCTCTCTTCGGTTGTTGGTTCCCTCATGGCTGCCGGCATTCTTCAACTCCGTCACCACACTTCTCTGCCGGGTTGGAAATGGTTGTTCATGATTGAGGGTGTTCTCACCTGGCTTGTTGGTCTCTTCTGCTTTTTCTACATGCCCGCATCGGCTACCCAGACCAAGGGCATCATCTCCCGCAAGCCTTGGTTCACGGAGCGCGAGGAAACCATCATTGTCAACAAGATTCTGCGTGATGACCCTACCAAATCGAGCAGTAAGTCTGGCAGCTTTTGCTTTTAGGTTCCTAAGCTGACATCCAGTGCACAACCGTGAGGGTATCTCACTCAAGGAACTCTGGAAGTCGCTTTGCGACTACGACCTCTGGCCAGTTTACGCAATTGGCGGTTTCATTTTCATCACCTCGACGACTGTCACCGCCTACCTCACTCTTACGATCAAGAGTCTCAACTTTACCACCTTCCAGACCAACCTTCTCACCATCCCCTCCACCATCATGCTTCTGTGCGGCAACTTGGCCCTTTGCGCTCTGTCCAGGATCTTCAAAGAGCACCTTATGGTTGCTTCCCTCGCCCCCTGGTGGTGGATCATCTTCCTCACTGCCCTGGTCAACATTCCCGACGACGCCAGCCGCTGGCTCCGCTGGGCCCTGACCACTTGCATTGTCGGATACCCGTACCCCAACCCCATCCTGGTCTCCATGACGTCCATGAACGCTGGTTCGGTTCGCACTCGCACAGTCGCTGCGTCGCTCTACAACATGTTCGTCCAAGCCGCCACCCTGATCGGTTCCAACATCTACCAGCCTGGAGACGCTCCATACTACCACAAGGGCAACAAGGCCCTTATTGGCATTGTCTGCTGGGTCCTCGTTCTCTTCTGGTTTGCAAAGGGGTGGTACATCTTCCGCAACAAGCAAAAGGCCAAGGTATGGGACGCCATGACCACCGAACAAAAGGAAGTCTACCTGGCAACCACGACGGACGAGGGGAACAAGCGTCTCGACTACCGCTTCCAGCACTGAGTGGAGAGATTATGCAAGCGGGTTTGTGGGCACTGGTGTTGGATTGTACATATGACGAAGGGATTGCAATACGGGTCGGAGAACGCCACTGTTCTGGCCGGGTTTTAAACGTATTAAATAAAAATGTATAGTCGACTACGATGAAGCTCTGTCCCTGTTCTCGTTCTTGTGGCACTTCTAGCCCCTTCGAAGCATTATTGGGGAGTTTTCTCTTAGGATCAGAAGGCTATTAGCGGCTGGTGGGTCGGTGTAGCGGCGCCATGTTGTGTGATGTCGATTTGGGAATGGAATTGTGATGAAAATGAACGGGCATGTAGTTTCCTTCACCAAGGGTCTGTCAAATGACCCGCAGGCACCTGGGCCCGGTTGTCTAGTATCCCGTAGTCAGCTCAGGCGGTGGTGTCTTCCCCACCCGCCACCCCGGCCCCGTGGAGGCCTCGCCTGCCCCACACGCACATGGGGGCTAACATGCGAACATCCCACACGGCGGTCCTTACAATCCCGGGCCGAGTCACCGGGTGGGCACCGAGAACACGCGTAGGCGCGTACGTCATTCGACTGACAGCCCGGTACCAGGTAGTAGAAGGGGAGTAGCTCTGCATACACGTTCTCCCATGCTATGTCACAATAATCTAAGATTCTTCCCAAATACCCACTTCTCCCCCACCAACTCAGTTCCTTGCTCAAGCCTGGACAAGGAAGGAAGGCGCTCCGGCGACCGCACCAAACTCGCCGCCAAAGGCGAACTCTGGTCGCCACTCAGGCTTCTCCAGACGAGACTGGTACCCAAGGGCACACTCTGCAAAGCGGACCTTGGGGAGGTTGATGAAGTAGTCGTCGAAGCGCGAGTCAAGCACCTGGGAGAAGCGGTACACGTCCTCGACGAGGGTGGGGAAGAGCGCCTGGTACGGCTTACGGCACGCGTCGTCAGAGCACGTCTTGAGAACAAGGGTGAGTGCGTCCAGGCGGTGGAGAATCTTCTGGAGGTGATGGGAGATGATGGGCTTGCCCTCGGGCGTGGTGCTTCCAAAGTCGGCAAAGGGACCAGCCTCGTTGAGAGGAGCGAGGAGGTTGTTGACCTGATGGGGGTCGCGCTGGAGGTTGTACAGCTCGCGCTCGCCCGTGCACCACACAGAGTACGAAAAGGTAGTGGGGCGACCGTGGATCTCGTCATGCACACGGACAGTGCGGTAGGTGTTGTTGACGTGGATGGTACCGCCGTAGACGCCCTCGTCAATGGCGAGAACCCAGTACTCGGAGATCGAGTGGCGAGCGTACTGGTGGGCAGGGTCGCGCTCCTGGTGGAGGTTGATCTTGACGCCGTCGTTGGTGTAGTCGGTGGCAGCACCGGCAAGGTCAAGAATGGTGCGCGAGAGGTCGACAATGCCATACGACGAGAGCTTGTCGTTCAGACCCTTGCGAACGCCAGGGCCACGAACAATAAGGGGCACGTGGATGTCCTCTTCGTAACCGAGAGTCTTTCCAGGCTGGCGGCGGTGAGTGCCGAGGGCGAAGCCATTGTCTGAGGTGTAGAAGATGTACGTGTTGTCGAGCTGGCCAGCTTCCTCGAGCCGCTGGACAACTTCCTCGACGAGCTCGTCGACAGGCTGGAGCGAGCGGAGACGAGCGCGGTAGAACTCATCCAGGTAGGCCACCTGAGTCTCGTTGAGCTTTGGCAGGTCCTTCACCCATGAGACACCCTGAGGTTCGTCGGGGTTGAACGAGGCCTTGCGAGGGAGCTGCTCAGTAGCGAAGAGGTTGGCATGGCGATAATGGAAAGCTGGCATTTGCATGCCCAGCTTGTTGAAATCGATGGGTACCTTGTGAGCGTCGCTCGACATCCACGAATGGGAGGCGATGGGTGCGATGCCAAGGAAGAATGGGCGGTCCTCGGAGAAAGCCAGAGCATCCTCAAGGTAGCCGAGGGCCTTGTCCTTGATGAGATCGGTCGAGTACTCTCCGGTATGAACCTTGACGGCTCCGTCTGGAGGTTAGCGTACTTCAGCATCAGCAGACTCACTGTCACGCGAGAAGCCGGGGTTCCAGTAGTCGTAAGTGTAAGGATCGACAAGAATGTCAGACGAGTTGAAGCCCGAGACGGGAAGGTCCTCGCAGTTGGCAGCCGTGTGGTCATTCATCAGCTTGCCAGTGTAGTATGTGTCGTAGCCGGCATGCTGAAGGAAGTCGGGCAGCGTGTGGTCGACGTAGCCGTACTTGTTAAACACTTCCCACCCTCCCCAAGGCTGGGCAACGAAGGTGATGTTGTGGTTGTGCGCATACTGCGTGCGGAGAAGCGACACACGCGAGGGGCAGCAGACCGAAACGGGAGCGAAGAAGTTGTCGTACAACACACCCTCGTCGACGAGGTGCTTGTGGATGCGTGGCAAGAACTCGCGCTTGTCCAAGGTTCCAACATCCTGGTCGTCGGTAACTACCAAACGGTGTCAGCCCAGAAAAAAAAAACAGAGACGCGACGGGTCACGCGTGCCGGTGCCTGATGGGCCGATTGCACCGAGGTTTACCCACTTATCAAAATGATGTTCGGCTTGGACGAGGTCGCGGCCGCTGCTCCAAGAGCCAGAGTTGTGAGTGCACTGAGCGCCTGCACGAGCATGGTGACTGGGTATGGGGGAGATGTTGAGAAGTCGCGACGTTTGGAGGTGCTCGAGATATTTGAGGGGTCTCTCTCTCGGAGCACCGAAGTGGGGTTCGGCAAATGACGACGTTTAGACGCCGCCCTTCGGCTGACGTGATTCCTCCTCATAGCACGCGATTCGGGGTCATCACCACTCACACCACCCATTTTGGGCTGGTTGTTGCATCTGCCGGCGGCCGTATGCTACGAGGCGCACCCATTTCGCCATCGCATAGGCGGACGAGGCCGAAGGATCTGCGAGTTATCGTCCTCTTTTGCTTTTTTTTTGCTGGACCAACGAGCGGCGAGGTCGACAGGGCTACCAGAGGGGAACCGGCTCTCGGGACTTTTGCTCAAATGGCCGACAAGAGTTGTCGTCTTGTTCACTGTTTCCCCTCAACCTCCCAACATGTCTGGCGTGACTGAGACGACGCCGCTCCTGGCCCCAGAGTCCAAGCCTGGCCTCTCAAAGGCCAGGAAACGTCTTATTGTGTTCATGACGTTGACCACATCGTTCCTCTGTACAATGGACATGACCAGTGAGTCAACATTCCCCGAAACGTGACTAACCACGTCCAGTCGTGGCGACATGTATCCCTACCATCGCCTCCGAGCTCCAGTCTTTTGACCGCGAGGCATGGATCGGCACCGCCTACCTCTGGAGCAACGTCTCCTTCACCCCGTTATACGGTCGCTTATCGGACATCATTGGCCGTCGTGCCGCCTACGAGCAGGGCCTGTTCCTGTTCACCCTTGGCACCGCACTTTGTGGCTTTGCCCCCAACTTCAACACTCTTATCCTTGCCCGCTTCATTGCCGGTATGGGAGGTGGTGGCCTCACCACCGTTTCAGCTATCATCACCGCCGACACCTTTGCGCCCAGTGAGCGTGGTTTCTACACCGGTATTGGCTTCGCCGTCTTTGGCCTTGGCATCGGGCTTGGTGGACCTATCGGCGGATGGCTTACTCAGGCTTTCGGATGGCGTGCTGCCTTCTATGGTGAGGTTTTGGCACAGAGAAACGTTGCTAATGTGTCAGCCCAGCTTCCCGTTGCGGTGGCTTGCATGATCCTCGCTCGCATCACCATCCCTACAAGCACCAACAAGCGCAGCGCCAGTGCCCTCAAGGAGATTGACTTTGGTGGAGCTGGAAGCCTTCTTGTTGCCATTGGTGCCGTGCTTTTGCTCCTCCAACGCAGCAGTGTCGACATTCCTTTCTCCAAGGATACGGCCAGCATTCTCGCCCTTGTTTTCGCCATCACCTTCTTCATTGTGTTCATCTACGTCGAGATCTACGTTGCCGCCAAGCCGGTTCTGCCACTCTCGCTCTTGAAACGTCCAACCTGCCTTTGTGTGGGTATCATTTCGGGCGTCATCGCGATTGTCAACTTCAACATGATCTATCATCTTCCGTAAGTTGGCAGTCTTCTATTCCCACTGACGCCAGGATGCTCTTTGAGATTGTGTTCCAGGAGAACATCTCGCGTGCAGGCTCCCACATCCTGCCCAACTCGCTCGCAATGGCAATCTCCGCCCCGATTATGGGCCTTATTGTCAAAAAGACTCACCGCTACAAGAAGCTTATCACCCTGAACTGTCTTGGACCCGTCATTGCAATGCTTCTCCTTGCTCATCTCACCCCTGCGTCTGGCTGGGCGGCTCGCTGGCTCAGCGTTCTGCCCATGGGTGCCGGCTTCAGTGGCCTTTTGACATTGACGCTCGTGGCCAGCCTCAATGCCGTCTCCAGTGAGTTGCAACATAGTGAGCAGTGCTAACCGCCATTCAGAGTCCGAGATCGCTACTGTTACCGGCTTTACCTTTGTCTTCCGCGCCATCGGTCAGGTCTTTGGCGTGGGCATTTCCGGTGCGGTTTTCCAGACCTCGCTCCTCTCAGCTCTCACAAGCCGCTTCTCTTCCCCAGAGGTGCGTACAGCCAACCTAGGGGTTCTCTGCTAACGTCAGATTATCAGCAAGCTGCGCCATGCATCACAGGCTATCGGAACTCTGCCTCTGCCAGACCAGATCCTCGCTCGCGAGGCCTACGCCGTGGCACTCCGCAACACGTTCATTTTCGGCTTGCTTGGTGCTGTTGGCGTGCTTGTCGTCTCGTTTTTCGTGAGTACCCACACGAAATCGAAGCTGACTTGCAGATTCCCGACAACCGGATTGACGATGATGAGGAGGATAAGGAGGGAGAGGAGGATGAGGAGAACAGGTAGATGTGGAATAGACTGTTTATAGGTTGAAACGGGTGTATTTGAATCTCCACAGTCGCATTGTTGCCACCCGCGATTTGTTTTGAAATCACGTGACCGCTACCACCCACTGGACACACCCCGCTCGACGTCATGAACGGGCTTGCTCTGCATTCGTCTCACCATCCACACCATTCACCATGCCACCTAAAGGAGGTCCTAAGCGTCTGCTCCAGGACTGGTCCTGGGCCGGCACCGACGTCACGACTGTGGAGGACATCACCCCGGCCAACCGCCGTCTGGCTGCAGGGTTGGGAAGCAAGCAAGCCTTGCGCGGCTGCTCCTTCCGCCATGACCAGCGTGCCATGACTGTCGAGTCTGATGCCGAGTCCAACTCTTCCATCATCGTCACACGCGACCCTTGTGGACCTAAAAGGTGTCTCAGTGCTCCCAAGTGCTACAATCACCTCGGAGATGGGAACGTGAGTGCTGTGATGAGACTGCAATGTACTGATTAACAGTGGTTCGAGGACGGCGCGCGCGCCCGTTTCATCGAACACAAGATGGGCGACAAGGCAGACGTCCGCGATGGTCCAGCTGGCCTCCTCAATTATGGAGCTACATGCTACGTGGGTTGTGGGACCGTCATTATCATGCTAATCCTCAGGCCAACGCCTTCCTTCAGGTGTGGTTTTACGACCTGTCCTTCCGCAATGGCGTGTACGGGGCCGTGAGCGACAAGGTCAACCCCCTGCGCCACCTGGCCAACATCTTCGCCATGCTCGAGTACTCAAAGCGCAAGGTGGTCGACCCCGGTGCGCTCATCGAGGCCCTCCAGCTCGCCAAGGGTAACCAGCAGGACGCAGCAGAGTGAGTCGACCAGCAGGGCGCAAGGCGCCGTGCGACATGTGGTGACGATCTCACACACACAAGCTGACTAGACCAGGTTCTCAAAGCTCTTCATGAACCTCCTCAACACCGAGTTCCAGCGCCAAGGATACAAGACATTCCTCAGCGATCGCTTCGAAGGCAAGCTCGAGTACCAAATGCAGTGCCAGAAATGCGGCTACACTGCTACCTCGGAATGTACGTGAACTCGTGCGCTCAGTGCTGACGTAGCAGCGACCTTCCTCGAGCTTGACATTGCTCTCAAGGTGGGACATGCTTGTGTCAGCTGAGCTAATGTTCAGGATAAGGCCTCGCTCGAAGATCTCCTCAAAACCCAGCTGCAACCCGAGTCGCTTGACGGCGATAACAAGTGGATGTGCCGTCAATGCAACAGCCTCCAGCCCGCGATCCGCTCCACTCGTCTTCGCCAGCTGCCTCCTGTTCTCCACTTCTCACTCATGCGCTTTGTCTACAACTTGAAGACGTACGAGCGCCTTAAGAGCAGTGCAGCGATCACCTACCCTCGCGAGCTGATCTTGGAGGGACAAAAGTACGACCTGCGTGGCGTCGTCTCGCATATTGGACGCAACGTGAGTCCTTGAACACAATGTCTCGAAACTGAACAGCAGGCGACCCATGGACATTTCGTTTCTGAGGTGTACGACGAAGAGTAGGTGGGCGACCCTGCGATAGTTGACTGACCTCAACAGCAACCATGAGTGGTACGAGTGCAATGACGACGAAGTGAAGAAGCTCTCGGCGCGCCCTCGCAAGCGTATCAGGCTTGACCCGGATGTCGCTGAGGAACAAATGTCAAAGGACGCCTACATGCTCGTGTACAAGCGTCGTGATGGAACCTCTGACCCTCGGGTGCCCATCCCACCATCCCTCCTCGAGGCGATTGAGGCCGACAACACGGCGTTGGAGGTCGAAGTCTCGGAGCGTGGACAGAAGATGCTCGACACAGAGCAGGAGTTTGATGACCTTGTGGCTGCCAAGCGCGAGATCCTGGCATGCTTGCAAGGCAGCGACTGCATCGTCCCTCGTGACGGCCTTTCTGCCTGGATCAAGTCGGACAGCGTCAACACCGACTGGGATTTCAAGCCTATTCTGTGCGAGCACGACAAGGTGTCTCTTGACGAGGGTCACAACGTGCGCCTCATTTCGAAGGAGGCCTTCACCAAGCTCAAGGAGTACAGTAGCGGCATGCCCGAGGTCGACGTCTGCGAGGTCTGTGTCGCTTCAAAGTTTGCCACAGTCATGTCAAAGCGGACGCACGCCCAGCAAGTTGAACTCTACGACAACCTCAATGTGGGAAACGGCTACTACCTCCCCAAAGAGTGGGTCAAGCGCTGGCGCTCCAACAACCTCGACCCCCCAGATGCGCTCCCCACGCACGAGGACTACACCCTTTTCTGCGAGCATGGCCAGCCGTCTTCGAGCAGGAGGCGTGAAGAAGTCTCGGCGGAGAGTCTCGCCGTCCTGCAGTCGATCCTTGGCGAGTTTGACGCATTCGGTGACGACGTCCCGGAGTGCACGGCTTGTGCCGAAGATAAGGAGAAGAATGCAGCTCGCAGGGCGACGTGGACTGTCGAGGTCAAGGCCGACAGGCAAATCAGCAAACAGCACCGCAACATGACTTTGATCCTTGGCGCCACCAACTACCTCCTCCCCAAGGGATTCACAGAGACGTGGGACGACTACATGAAGGACCCTGGTGCGCCTCGCCCTACACTCCAGCTCGAACTCTGCCCTCATGGTCTCCTCGACTTTGACCCCCAGATGGAGAAGGCCGACTACCTCACTGAAGATGGTTGGCACAGCCTGTGCGAGATGTGAGTTACAGCCTGTCTGTTGCGACTAACAAAAGTTACACGCATGACCCGGCTCAATGCGTGAAGGTCACAGTGTTGGGCAGCCCGCCTGAGGGAAAATTGCGCTCCGTCGACGATGTCAGCGTCGCCACCTGCGATGAGTGTCGCCGCAAGAGGTGAGCCAGTACACTCATGTTCACTGAAGCTGACATCTAGGCTGTCCGACTTTGGTCCTGAGGGCAGGATCAAAGTGAAGGTTGTCAACGGCAAGGACACCATGCCAGCTGAGCGCTCTGGTATGAGCCGGACCCGTGCCAAGACAAGCGAGGTCGACGTTGGCAAGGACACGACCATCAAGGACGTCAAGCTGGACATCCTCCACATGTTCAAGATTAGCCCCATTTCTCAGAACATCTACTACAACGGCCGCGAACTCGACTCTTCAGAGACGATTGGCAGCATCGGCCTCCTGGTCGGCGACCACCTCAACCTTGTCGAGGTCCTCGAGTTGGATGATGAGGTCGAGGATGGAGCTGGATTTGGTGGCACCGCGCTGGTAGGCAGGATCGGTACGTTCCGCTGGCATATCAATAGGCAAAGCTGACATTTAAAGCTTGCAACCACTGTACATTCGAGAACGCGGCTGGCGCGACGCAGTGCGAAATGTGTGAGCTCCCCCTCACCAACGAGTGAGAAGGAGCAGTGTGAATATTCCTGCATTTGGATACCCCCCTCCTAACTGTGTATATTATAGTATTAGCATCAAGTGGCAGCCGAGTCATGTATGCAGCATTTGTCATGTGAACGTGGGCCAGAGCAATAATATAGGCCATACGTTGTGGGGATCGCGGATCGCGGGCAGACAGTGAGTGATGAAGCCCACAAACAGTGATTTTCAGACCAAAGGGGCTCGCGGGGGCATTCTGGCACAGATCGCACCTCATACACCACTCGCGACTCGTCCATCGACATCTTCGCCGCTCCAAAAGGTTTCTCCACCCGTCCAACTGACAATGCATGCAGCAAGACTAGTAGCAAAAGAGGATGACCACTGACAGGATCGAACTGCCGACCTCCGCATGAACTGATAACCAGACTGGGTATTAGTACGATGCTCTAACCAGCTGAGCTAAGCGGCCATAGATGTTTTTACATTTTTCTAATTGCCGCTGTTTGTCATTGTCAAATGGGCGATGTTCGTGTGTTTACATCACGGTGGGCGATAATCTGCCGAGGGCTGCGCCATTGTTCTTGTCCCAAACACGACTGTCTCGCTGCCCGCCGTCTCCTCTTCGCCTCACACCCCTCGATAAACGTGCACACAGATCGATCCGAGGGAACGCAGACCGCACTGTCGCTCCTCCCAGGCACACACATCGCTGGCTCACAATAGGCACACCGGCCCAAACCCCCTACATTTCATAACAACCGAAGAACGTCATATTCCCCGGCATTCTTCCCCCCCGCCCGCTCAAAGTCTATACTTGCATCCGCATCTCCCGGTCATCCATCCTTGTCCTTTTCCTTTCTCTTCATCACTCTCCTACCACAACCCTACTCTAGCCATGCCCAAGAGTGACACTCCCGCGACCCGCCGCTCGGCGCGTGTTGCGAGCAAGGCTGCCGTGCCCTCCAAGGTGTGTAAACAAAACATTCCACCAATCCCCATCACTCCATCCAAGTGGGCGTTCCGAACGCTGACGGTCGTTCCACAGCCTGAGCCCGTCAAGGCCGTAAAGGTGACCAAGCCCAAGGAGGTCAAGTCCAAGGAGTCCAAGGCTCCCAAGAGCAAGGAGCCCGCCGCTGAGCCTGAGCCTGAGGCCGAGCCTGTGGCTGAGCCTGAGACTGCAGAGCCCGCCGTCGAGGAGCCCAAGGAGGACAAGAAGGCTTCGTCCAAGAAGTCATCCAAGGGGGCCGACAAGCCCGCATCCAAGGACAAGAAGCCCCCCAGCTCTTCTGGTGGTCGCGGAGCCCTCAAGGAGGGCCAGACCCTCCCCAAGCTCACCATCGAGGACAACACCGGAGCAGAGGTCGACGTCTCCACCCTCGCCGGCGAAAAGGGTGTGGTCATCTTCCTGTACCCCAAGGTGAGTCGCTGCGGCCCCGTGCATTGTTTGTTCGTTTGGGCTGATGGCGTTTTTCTCTCTTTCCAACCCCCTCTCCCCCTCGCACCCCCTTGGCGCACTTATTGTTTGTCTCGATCTGGTCCTTCACCCTCATTGTCTGGATCTTGCGCATAGGCCGACACCCCCGGATGCACCAACCAGGCGTGCGGCTACCGCGACGTCCACGACGAGATTGCCGCCTTTGGCTACGACATCTACGGTCTGTCCAAGGACAAGCCCGCGGCCCAGCAGAAGGTGAGTCAGCTTGGCCAGGGCGAGTACGCGAGTGCTCTGCTCGCACATGGTGGATGGCCACTGCATGTGTATCATCCATCCAACCGCGTCGAGCCTGCGCTAAGCCCCTCAGTGGATCGACAAGAAGGACCTCAACTACAAGCTCCTCTGTGACCCGGAGAGCAAGCTCATCAAGAAGTAGGTTACCCGTGTGCCGTACACATAGCTGACAGTTAAGGCTCGGCGCCTTTGTCCTTCCCAACAAGTAAGCTGGCGCTTTCGTGCACCCCTTAGCTAACCCTCAGCACCAAGCGCTCGCACTTCATCTTTGAGAAGGGTTCCGGCAAGCTCGTCGACATTGCTCTCGGTGTCAAGCCTGCGGACGAGTGCGTTGGCTCGCTTGCATTGACTCCAAATTAGACGCAGCTAACAGATCGCAGCCCCACGAGCGTCCTCAAGTTCCTCAAGAACCACCACGCTTAAACGTTTTGGCAATTCTTTTGTTGTAGCAAGTCCTTGGATGCATCAATTTGGGTACACTGCAGCCTCGGTTTACTGGACAACACTTGTCCGGGAGGACATGTGTGCTGGATAACGTTCAGAGTGGGGGGCGAGAGACATTGTATGTGTGAAAAAACACGGGTGAGGATTCGGCCACAATGGGCAGGGGAATGGCGTGCGGTTGCTGAGTGGTGAAGTGTGTATTGTCAATGTCCGTTCAGAGGACAAAGACAAACTTTTGATAGTCTTCCTTCCAAGAGACGTCCCCTTACACGACAGCGGGCTGTTTCATGCTCATATTGCAGCAGAAGGACAATGTTGACATCAGCAATTTCCTCCTGACGATGTTTCATTGTCTTCCTATCGTCAAGCGGTGTCATGACAAGGTGCACGCGATTGTGACTTCTCCAGTTTCCTTCTGATACCCTCTGTATTTGGAATGCGATTGCATGCATTGCGTTGTCAGACTTCAGTTACGGCCAAGAAGTGGTAATTATCAGATTTGCCATAAACGACTGCCAGGCAATGGCTGCTCGTCTTATCCCTTTCTTTACTTCGCACTTCGCCTTTCTTAGGACTTCTATCCTACAGTAACGTGCCCCTAGCATATGATCTAGTATCGTCGCCACAAAGTTTAACACATGTACGCACAAAGATGAAGCGGTACAGGTGCTGAAATTTTAATTGTACAATTTATTTTAATAACTCATCTCACTTCTGTTGTCCAACTCATTGCACAGACATGAGCACTGCATAGATCTACTCCATACAGTCATCCACTTCATGTCACTTACATACCCTGGAATGGTGAGCATGTCGTGATGACATGGCATGTACCTCTCCAAACGGGGCCGTCGTTTCCATCATCGGAACGTCGTTTCCATCTTCCTCACTGAATCCACGACGACCTCCTTAGTTGCCCTGGACGGACCCACAATACTTACACAGCGACAACTCGCTTACGGGGTCCCACTGCGGCTTGCATCTACCTACCAAAGCCTGAATCAGCAAGCCAAGCGTGGCCACTAAGCTCGTGCAGTCACGCAGCCGGGATTGTTTGACTCACCACCTTCATTGGTGCCGTAGTGGTCTCCAGTACAGGCGCGTGCAGCGTCGTAGTTACGCTTGCCGTACATCTGCCGGAGGATTGCTGGCTAATGGATGAAGTGGAAGTGGAAAGTGTACAGTGTCACGCTAGACGACGGCTCGTGAAGTCCTCTTTTGATCGAACATCGGCTCCATGTGAGTGATGGCAGTGATGATCACTGTGTAAGCCTGCGGCCGTCTTGGGCATCAGTGGCGTTCGCCTGCAACCTAGACCCAGCACCCATGTTCATACTGCAGGCCCACACTGGTTCCTCCCTGTTCCATACTGCCGTCACTGAACGCTGCAATGCTCCACGGCCTTGGGATGGTGTCATCACCGGGTGAACGCACAGTGAGTGGCAACTGCAACTGGCAACAACGGATAAACACACAAGAGGTAACAGGATGAAAATATGCATGTAAAGAAAAGAGTCAGTGCTATCGAAGGTGCCCTCAGAAATAGAGAAGAATGGGTTTATCATCAAATGAGATTATGATTGTTGAGCTTGAAAATGTTGTTCGTCACTGGGCACCAGACGACCGAGAAGGGAAGAGAAACAACATGAAACAGAAAGAAGCAACGGAATGTAGAGCAGAACTGTTGTTTGTCAGCGCAATTCACAAGTAGGGATAATGAAATCCAGAGAGAAGAGCGAGTAGTTCAGAAAGTATTAATAAGGTAGCGTGGTTTTTTCAGCAGAGGTGCACACGACCGGAACGGCCGATAGCCCCCTAAAGCCAAATGCACTCGGGTCATCTTGTACACCATAAAAGGTGCGACTCGGCTCGTTCTCTCAAGGACAGGGAAAAGGTTGTTTTGAAAACTCACGTTTTGCATAAGAGCCAAAAGCTGCTTAGCTAGTTAGGTAAATGTTTGCGTGTGATGGTGCGGGAGTAGTGGAAGGGGGAGGATGGAAAAGGGAAGATTGTTGGAAACCGATCAGAAAGCCCTCCCGAGCCCACGGCGTGGCCTCGCCTTTCCCCAAGAGGTCAAGCTCGTCCAGCGCCGCCAGCGTCTTCGCTTACCGCCTTTAGAAGGTGGTAAAGCGCTCTGTGAAAGAGCCGGGAGGGGACTGTATCATCGCCTCGGTTTGGAAAATGTGGCTAGTATGAACTAGCGAGAAAGAGACGGCAACTGTAGAGAGATCCTGTAGGATGGTTAGCTGGATGCGAGCGGAGCGGGGAGAGGAGTGGGAGAGGCTGTTGGTGGGATACTTGCCTACTGAGTTGGTCACTATGGAGAACAAGAGAAGCGTCCCCAGTCGCGTTATATACACCCAGCACGCCGCTCGCCGGTGCGAGCGCGGCATTATCCAAAAATTCGGGAAACGCCGGCGTGGCGTTCGATCCTCACCGTACGGTGGTACAGTGTGCTCAGCCCAGGTCTTCTTCTCGCACCGTATAGGTTCTCAGGGTATGCATGCACACTTGGGACGGGGGGCGAGGCTGTATTTCTCGCACTCGACGTGCATGCCAGGCAGACGAGCAGAGGAATGCACATTGAAAGACAGGCGCGTGGCTGGTTATCGGGGCGAGTGTCACTGCCATATCTCACATTTCACCACAGCCACACCTGCACACCTGCCTGTCGACTGCTCTCTACGGAGAACATGTGTTAGAAATGAGTGCGAGGTTTGCCAGATGTGCAACCGTATTGCACCCTCGCACTCCACTCTCGCCCCTCCCAAGGCCCCGTGCAGCTAGGTAACAAGTGTGGGATTACATTATGCTGTCTGCTAAAGTGGCATTGGAAAACGACCTCTCAGCTGCACGCTGCTTCGCACCCAGGCCTCCACACGGCGAGCACCGAGATACGAGATAGCGGTGATGAGAAATGATGTCATGCAACCGGGCCTTATGCCGATGGATATCCTGGGCCGTAGACGGTTGTGCACCTGGCAACGGGACACGCGGTGCTGTGGCACCACAGAGGCCGAGCACATGTCTGCTGCAGGTTCAAGTATTCGATTGGCACAGCGTGACGAGCACAACCTGCCTGGACTCACAGACGGCGGACTCGCTCGCGGATGACGACACGGTGCTGTTAGGGAGACCATGCTCTTCCGACTCATTTCATAAGATTGCGACAAAGCCGTTGTTCTGGGTTGACGCTTCTGCTCCTCTGGGTGCAGGTTGCGGTCCTGTGGAGGTGAGGATAGAGTTAAACCGACCCCGGGTTACAGAAGGCAGTCAGTTACTCATCGTCTGGCGCTCCCGCAGGGCTTGGTCAGTACCATTGCACCTTGTCACCTTGCCCCGCTCGTCTTTGCGTTATCGATGTATCATAAATGTCTCCCTTTAACAGGGAGCTATACAAGCCTGGTGTCTCTGGCCGCGGCCACTCTTGCCGCGCCTCTAAGAAAGAAGTGCTCGCGTCAGTCTAACCCGTTGCTTTTTCGTGGTAAGAGAAGCGAGCGGGCTGTTTTGGCGTCTGCTCTGCTTGTTGGGGGTTTCATGGGTGGGTGGGGTTTCAGGCGGACGAGTATGGTGGTAGGGATGGAGGAGCTGGGCCCAGCTTAGAAGCCAGCCGCGCCAGGCGCCTTGTCGCCCTCGCGCCGCAGAGTGAGGAGGATCTCCTTCATGCGCGTCAGGTCCGAGCCACCAGAGGGACGGATAGTCTTGGACTCTGTAGAAGTGTTAGTGGGGATCTGTGTGGTTCTCTGGAGGAGACAGGACAAAGAAGAAGCTGCTGTACAGACCACCGACAGCAGTGGTCCCATACGCCTCCCCCCTCCACAGGACACTCACGAGAGTTCTCCAGGCCAATGAGGTCGGTAATACGCTCCCAAGTCGAGCCCTTGGCAATGTCTTCGTTGAGCTTCTCGACAAACTTGGCCTCCTCCTCCTTGTTCTCGCGGATGTTCTTCTCCTTCTCCTTGTTGTACTCCTCGTAGAACTGGTCAATCGCCTTCTCGGCCTTGTTGGCCATCTCGTCGCGCTTGGCGGCCGCAGCGGCGTTGCGCGCCTCAATGTCCTTGACCTGCTGCTCACGCCACTGACGGATTGGCTCAGTGTCCTCCTCAGTCTCGGGGAGGGTGTTGGCGAAAGCGGGAGGAGGGAGGATCGAGCGCGTGGGCTGGGGAGCGGCGGTCGGGGGGTAAGGAGACGCGCCGTAGGGCTGGGGCTCGAGCGCGTTGAACACGGGCTTGGGAGCGACCTGTGGTGGCAATTAGCACATGCAGTGGGCAGTAGGTCAGGCGCGGGGGAAGCACAGACGGCGAGGCAGCTGAACAGGTACCCAGTGAGGCTCAGCTGCCTCCACCTTGCCAACACCTCCACGAGTCAACAACTCACCGGTGCGCTAGACACGTCGCTCGAGAGGTCGGGGAACGCCGACTCGAACTGCTCGCGCTCGGGGTCCTCGCCAAGGCCAACGTTGCCAGTAACGCGGACCTCGGACGAGCCCACAAACTCGTCCTCAAGGGCAGGGAACGCGTCAATGCCCGAGGGCTTGGTGGGCGATGCGATGGGGGCGGCCTCGACGGGGGAAGCTGCAGAGTCAGTGTGGGATCATGGCAGTGGATCACGCTAGGTCCTGGCTGTGGTGGCTCGATCTCCTCCACAGGAATGAGATGCTTACTGAGGTCGGGGAAGGCGTCGATGCCAGCGGGGGCGGTGGGCGTCTCACCGGAAGCGAAGAGGTCAGCGTCCTCGCCTGCAATTGTCAGCTAAGCAGTACAAGATGTAAGCTTACCGAGGATGGCCTTCTCGCGTGCGAGGAAGTCTGCGGTGGGGTCGTCGGACATGTTGGATGCTGTTTAGTGTGATGCTGTCGTCGACCTCAAGTGCGTTCCAGTTGGGTTGCTTCATTGCGTGGAACAAGCGGTGACGCTGGACGCGTGGCCAGGGAACGGGAGCAAACTGAGGTCCTCCCTTTTCTAATAGATTTATTAGGCCGTCAATCCTAATAAGTCTTCCTAATGAATTGTCGTTGTCGCCGAGAGACCGCGCTTGTGGCGCGGCGCCGGCCACCGCAGGAGGTGGTGGAGGTTGTTCAACTCGGACGCGTTGCCCGCTCAACAACAACAATCATCACTCACCTGGCTCGATGGCGGCTCTTATCAAGCAGCCCCATGCGTGGCAGCACACGATAGGTTCCGCGTTTGCAGAGGATCTTCGTGAGCTACCAGCATTTCCTCACGGGCTAACTCCTCAGCCGAGCTTGGTCTCGCCACCATTGACGGTCTGGTTGAAGCGAGCCACATCCCAGCCCAGTACGTCCCCACCCTCAACACCCACCCGCCACGCCTTTATTGACTCTTGGACAGACAACATATTTTCATCCTCCTCTACCTCGTTCTCGAGCCTCCACAGGCGCAAGTCGACACTGCCCCGCACGCCCTCACACTCCTGTACCGCCTCCTCGACATCCACGAAGCCAGCACGCTCACGCCGCTCATCCCGTCCCGCTCGTCATCCTGGGCGACGTGGTGGGCCAACTGGCAGCCAGAGGGCAAGCTCGAGCGCCGTGTACGCCGGCGCGTGGAAGAGTGCAAACACGACGGCATCTGGCCGTTGATCTGGGCCCGCGAGCCGCGCGAGTCCAAGCCGAGTACGAGGGGGACCTCGCGCGACAAGAGTCGAGCCAACTCCAAGGCCAACTCGTCCGAAGAGGACGAAGACGAGGAAATGGAGGAAGAGGAGGAGGAGGAAGAAGTAGTGGCGGAAAAGGTCGTCTCGGACCGTGGATGGGAGGTGCTCGAGTGGCTAGTGGCTCTGTGGGAGAAGGACGCCGTGACCTCGGCATCTGGCCGCTCCGAGGCCATGGTCGCCCAACTTGGTGGACCACCAAAGCACGACATCCCACGGGACAATGCCGATGTGCCCCTCGCCATTATCCGGCAAGCGTTCGACGACTCGGGCCCCTCCTCGTTTGCCGACACGCTCCGTCACCGGTCCTCTGCGACGTCCCTGCTCGCCCTGCTGATCGGCGTCGCGACGCCGCCGTTGGCGCCCTTCCACCAGGCGTCGCTCGTGTTCTCGCTCGTCCAGCTCCTCCGCACCGCTACCACCCCTCTCGTCGCGGCGTTCAAGACACTTCCATGGCAAGCACACGCACACGTGTTCGCGCACGCGCTCGAGGATGCCGCGGGAGTGCGCGCAAAGAACGAAAAGGCGCGCAACACCAGCCGCGCACGTCGCGGAGGGCAAGTCGAGCAAAAGGGGTGGGAGAAGGGCCCATGGTCCCCGCCTACGCCCGAGTACGCGCTCGACCTCGTGGCCTTGCCGCCCGCGGACAGGTCGGACGAGACTGCTGAGCGTATGGGTCTGCTGGGTGCCAGCCTGGTCATGCGGCTCGTGGCGAATGTATCCGACGGCAGCGGCTGGGAACGTGCGGGCGAAGACGAGTACTTGGACGGTGTGTCCGAGAGCAAGGTGCTCTGCGCGACGCTCAAGGTCGCTGCAAGGGCAGCGTGGGCCACTCCCGCTGCGTCGCCTCCGCCTCTCGTTCCGTCGTCTCAGAGTCCGTGATCCCTCTTCTCTCCCACCTGTACCATACACCTTCTCTGTGTAGCTATATGCATGACAACGACTTGAACGCTCTCCCTATATTCCCCGTTTCTATCCCTTGACGGCCTTGATGAACGCCGCGACCTTGGCGGCATCCTTACCGCCCTCGTCATTCTCCACACCCGAGCTGACGTCCACGGCAAGAACGTTGCCGACGGTGGCAATAGCCTCGGCGACGTTCTCGGGCCTCAAGCCGCCAGCAAGGATGATGGGCAGGAGGTGCTTGCCCTCGGACCCAGCCTCGCCCTGCTCCACGATCCGCCTTGCCGCGGTCCAGTCAAAGCTCACGCCTTCACCGCCGCCGGCACCGCTACCGCCCGCGGCGGCGGGCGAGTCGAGGAGGACAAAGTTGTTCAAGCCCGCGCGCGAGACCTCGCCGCCCTTGACAGCACCGTCGGCGAGGACGCGGAACGCCTTGATGACGGGAACGGGGAGGTGGGCGGCCCATCCCTGCGGCTCGTCGCCGTGCAGCTGGACCAGGTCGAGACCTGCCTCGTCGACGAGGTCGGCGATGGTCTCGAGCGGCTGGTTGCGGAACACGCCGACAGTGAGTGGCCGGCGGCGGGACTGCAGGCGGCGGGCATTGGTGCCGAACCAGAGTGGGGACGAGGCCGGGATGTCGGTGGCGGACGAAGCCTTGCGTGCTGAGCGCACAACGTCGGCAATCTCCCGTGCGGTGGCACCATCGACTCCGCGACGCGTACCGGGAACCATGATGATGCCAACCAGGTCGGCACCGGCGTCGACGGCGAGCTGCGCGTCGGCGGCAGTGCGCACACCACAGATCTTGACCAATGGCTTTTGGGTGGTGGGGGTGGGGACGAACTTGTCCAGTCCGACGAGCTCGCGGAGGAACGCGCCAGCGTCGGGAGCGCGCATGAGCGACTCGCCAACAAGAACGGCGCGCACACCCTCGGCAACATACTTCTCCACATCGGCCGACGAGCCGATACCAGACAGTGCGCAGAGGATGACGTCGTTGCGGCCCTGGAGGGCATCGTTGACACGCGAGGTGGTGTTCATGTCGACATTGAAGTCGTGGAGGTTGCGGTTGTTGACACCAATGACCTTGGAGCCGACCTCGAGGGCAACCTCAAGCTCGGCCGGGTTGTTGACCTCGACGAGGGGCTCCATACCCAGCGAGACCGAGTAGTCGTACAGCTCCTGCAGCTTGGCACGCTCGAGCATGGCGACAATGAGGAGAACAGTGTCGGCACCGTTGACGCGGGCCTCCTCAATCTGGTAGGGCTCGAGGATAAAGTCCTTGCGCAGGATGGCGGGGCGGTTGGGCAGCGAGTCGATGGCCTGGCGGACCGACAGCATGTCGCCGAGCGTACCCTTGAACCAGGTAGGCTCGGTAAGGACCGAGATGACACTGGCACCAGCAATGGCATACCTCAAAGCCTGAGCCGGGGCGGACGCGTCGGGGGCAATGTTGCCCTTTGAGGGGGAAGCGCGCTTGATCTCAGCCATGATGGCGGTGTGAGGGGTGTTCTTGACGCGGTCGACAAACGAGATGAGTGGCGGGGCAGCATGCAGCGAAATGGCAGTCTTCAAGTTGGCAGGGGTAGTGGCCAACGTAGCGCTCGACTTGGCCACGTCGGCGAGACGCTGGTCGGCAATCTTGTTGAGGATGGAGGGGACCGAGGGGGTCTTGCGCTCGGCGGGGGGCTTGACGGCGCCAGTAGTGGCACCGGTGGCAGCAGCAGCGGCGGCAGCAGCAGAGGCCGACGTCTCAGCAATGTCCTTGGGCGCCTCGGGAACGACACCGCACCAGGCGTTCTCGCCGCCCCACTGGCCGCCCTTGAGCTTGAGGAAGTTGGCAAAGAGTCCACGGCCGCCCTCGGACATGCACGACTCCGGGTGGTACTGGACGGCCTCGACAGTGGCAGTACGGTGACGCACACCCATGATGACACCAGACTCGTCGGTGGTCGAGGTGACCTGGAGGATGGACGGGAGCGTGAGGAGCTTGGCCGCAAGCGAGTGGTAACGGGTCGAGGCGAGAAGAGGGGGAAGGTCGTGGAAACAACCGATGGAGTCGTGCTTGACGAGCGAGGTCTTGCCGTGCTTGATCTCACCGGCATAGGCAATCTGGGGAAACGGTTAGGAAAGGGGTAACAGTGGATGAGTTGACTCGTTTGGCTGCTTTCCGGCTCCAGCACAGCCATCAACTCTTGGTACTCACGTCACCACCAAGAACGTCGACAATAACCTCCAGGCCCATGCACACGCCCAGCACGGGGACCTTGCCAGTGGCCCAAGTGACCACGTCACGCGAGATGCCAGAGTCGGTCCTGGGGTGACCGGGGCCAGGCGAAATCACGACACGGTCAATCTCGCCGGCCTCGTACATGCCCTCAATCTCAGGCATGGTGATCTTGTCATTACGAACGACGAGCGGGTTTCCGCCGAGGACGGAGAGGTCGGCGTAGACGTTCCACGTGAACGAGTCGTAGTTGTCAACGACGAGCGTGTATCCCATCTTGTGAGAGCGCTGCGGGAGGGAGGGTGGTGGGGAGGGGGAGGAGCGGGATGTCCAAGGCGACTTTTGTGGTAGAAGGTGATGGTCGGTCAGCCGTTCAGTCATTGACTCGAGATCAGAGCGCGCGCGCCGACTCGCCGGGCCCAGATCCGACAGGGGAGGACGGGATCAAATAAAGACGCGGAGAGAAGGTAAATGTCCGTAATTTTGAACCCTGAAGACACACTGCCAATGTGGCCCCTGTATGACATTACATGTGCATCTGCTTGTGCTCCAACACTCCTCCTCTCTTCGTTGCCGGCCATGGAGAAGTTCTCAAAGTGGAGGGTAAGCTAGACTGATATAGAGCCAGCTGACATCAGGACCCATCCACGGGCATCCAGCCCTTTCTCCCACTCCAGGCTCCGGCCTCATCCCCACTTACGCTCGCCGTCTTGCCCTTCTCTCTCGCATTCGCCCTGGTGCGCGCGGCCCTCCTGGCCGTCCTGCTTGGTGTCTATTTCATCCTCGTCGAGATCCTCCTCACCCCGCTGGGCGCCATCGGCCGTCCCCTTTCCAGCCTGTTCACCTCGATCCTCGCGCGCACGGCGCTCGTCCTGCTGGGCTACTACTCGATCGCGATTGAGACGGCTTCGGCCAAGCGCGGCGGCATGAAGGCCGTGGCGCAGGTCGTCCCCTCGGCTCCGCGCAGGGGTGACCTTATTATCTCCAACTGGACGTCGTACATTGACGTGCTGTACTATGCTTTCAGGTGAGCTTTGACGTTTCTATCCTGGAGCTGACGGTATCCCGCAGGCATAACCCCACCTTCCTCCTGCCCGTCTTCTCCGAGGCCATCACTGTCGACTCCAACTTTGGCCGTGCTAGCGGTACGGGTTCCGCCTCGATTCTCCTCCCGACCACATCCAGCACCTGTATTGGCTATGTCCCCGTCCGCCCCCTGGCCCTCATGGCGCGTACGGGTTCTCTCCCGCCAACTGCCGCCGAGGTGGCGGGCCAAAAGGTGTTCAAGACGCTCGCTGCTGCCCGCGCTGCGTCGCCCGGCCCGGTCCTCGTGTTCCCCGAGGGAACGACGAGTAACGGCCGCGCAGTGCTGCGCTTTGGCGACGGCGTGCTCGGTGAAGAGGTCGGCAAGGAAGGCATCGTCTGGATCAAGTTTATGCGGTGCGTCAAGGCGAGAGCGAGAGTTAACAGACATACGTCGTACTAACTCTTCACTGCAGCCACGCATCCCCCACCGCCCTCCTCGCAGCTGCATCGTGCCCGCTGCCCAACCCGGCCGCCCACCTGCGTGCGTTCCTCACCTCGCTCCCGCTCCCGCGCTCCGTCGCCGTGCGCACCCTCCACCCCTCGGCGTCGCCTTCCTCGCCCTCGTTCTTACCTTCTGAAGTCCTGGCGAGCCAGCCAGGCGGGTTTGGCGCGCTGCGCGACGACCACACCGCCGCAAACCGCGAGGCGTGTGCGGTCATCCTCGCCGAGACGGGGCGCGTCAGGCGCGTGCCAGGGATGGGATGGGCCGAGAAGGCCAGTTTCTTGGTCTATTACGCCAAGAGCAAGAGACAATAAGTCGTAGACGAAGAAAGAAGGACGTTGGTTGGTAGACTACTCTTAGAGATGGCGAGCAAAAAGAGATATGACATTTGGTTCTGCTGCGTCTATCGAAACCGATGGTCCGTCGATTCGATTTTACTACAATACACACGAGACACTCGCGCAGCTAGATCGAGATCCCCACGCATTACAGACGCTGTTGGCCGACGGGCCCCGCGCAGGTGGTGGGCAGTAGCACAAAGAGACGACACGAGAGCGTCCTTCCTCCCTCCTTTATACACCCCTCGCCTACTGCTTGACAGCCACACCGTGCTGGAGCTCGCGCTCCAGCGCCGAGCTGGGGTGCTCCTCCTTGTCGACGGCGTTGTTGGCCACCTCGTTGAACGCCGGTCCGACACCGGCACCGGGCTGCTGCGGGGGTGCGGGAGCCTTGGGCAGGTCGTGTCCGCCCTGGGGGTGCGCGGGCTCGACGGGGACGGCGTGCTGTCGGACCAAGTTGCGGAACGAGCGCACTTCCTCAACGATCAGGTCGCGCATGCCGTTGGTCGAGTCTTCCCTCTCAAAGCCAAAGTCGAAGGGCACCTCGCACGAGGGCTCGTCGACGGGGTCGTGCCACACGGAAAAGTATGGGTGCTCGAGCGCCTCCTGGCAGGTGATGCGGCGGGCGGGGTCGAAGCAGAGCATCTTCTCGAGCAGGTCCAGCGCGAGCGGGGTGGCCTGAGGGTACAGAGACTTGAACTTGATGCGCGGCTTGATGGGGAGCGAGCGGATGTAGCTGGTTAGGTGGTTAGAGATGACAGGTTTAAACAGCAAAAGCGCGCGTGCGGAGAGACTTACTCTTGAGCACGGGGGGAGCCGACACGGCGCAGAGTCTCCTCTGTGGGAGTGCCGAGGAGGTCGAGGATGCGGTTGAGCTGGTCAACATAGTCCTCGCCCTTGAAGATGGGCTTGCCGCCCAGGAGCTCGGCAAGGATACAGCCGACCGACCACATGTCGACTGAGAGGAAATTGTCAGCTGCATTCGCATTCACCAGCGCGAGAAAGCTGGACTCACTGCTCGAGGTGTAGTTGGCAAACGACAGCATAATCTCGGGAGCGCGGTACCAACGTGTGGCGACGTCTGACGAACGTTAGCGTCTTCGACCAACTGTGTCCAACGTACACTCAGTCATGAAGCCTGCCTGGCCCTGGTCCGTCTGGACGGCGCCGGGCTGGAAGCCACGGGCAAGACCAAAGTCACAGATCTTGAGCTCGCAGTCGGCGTTGACGAGGAGGTTTCCGGGCTTGAGGTCGCGGTGCAGCACGTTGGCAGAGTGGATGTACTGAGTGTTAGTCTGCACGCTTTGGAGAACCCACCTTGAGACCGCACAGAGTCTGGTAGACGAAGCTCTGGAAGTGCGCGTCCGAGAGGGGCTGACCGGAGCGGATCTGCAAAGTCAGCTCGTCAAAGGCGCGAGGAAGCTCACAATCGCGTGCAGGTCGGCCTCCATCAGCTCCTCGTACAGGTACACCTCGTTGAACATGCCCGATCCAGGCGGGTCAAAGACAATGTCCATGTCATAGAGGCTATGTCTGTTAGCTCGAGTCGGCGAACTTGAGCTCACCAGGTGATGTTCTTGTGGCCGCGGAAGTGGTGCAGCAGGCGGAGTTCACGGAGACAGCGCTTGGTGAGGATCTGTACGAGGAAGAGTCAGTAAGTGAAGCACACGTCAAGACGAGACGAGACAAGACGAGACGGCACGCGCTCGCACGACGCGGATGGCAGGCCACAACGGGGACTGACCTTCTTGGTGAACACGTTGGTGACCTTCTTGACCGCGCACGTCTCGCCAGTCTGGCCGTGTCGAGCCGAGGCGACACATCTGCGCAGTGGTCAGCTACGAATGCGATATACATGTGCAGTGCAGCTTACCCGTAAGCACCTTGGCCGAGCTCCTTGACGAGCTGCCATGGCTGCTGGAGGACGCTGAAGGACGGGGTCAGTGGGGTGCGTGAGGGCGTGAGGATGGCAAGTGACTGCGCTGCTGCACATACTAGACGTTGTTTGTAGTCTGGAAGACCTGGCGCGGAGTAGCGTCCATGGTTGGGAGACGGGGAGATGTGGGGGAAGAGAGAGTGCAAACGGCGGAGAGAGATGGCTGCCAGAGCGGGGCGATGTATATTATGAGTGAGACAATGTGTGGCCGGTTGTTGCGGCGCCGCGGGGGACGTTGAACGTCGATGTGTTCCCCGTGCGTCGTTGGTTGCCTTGCCGCGGTTCACTGCCCTCCGAGATGTCCGGAGAGGGGGGTCCGTTCTGAGCCGTGAGCTACGAGCAGGTCCACGGGGCCAGACACCCCTGTGCATGCCCCCCCGTCCCCTCTCCCCGTACGTGCGAGCACCGCTACCAGGTGTCCCAGACATGCCCAAAACGTCTCCGCCCGCCTGTCCCACCGTCCACAGCGTCATGACGACACAGCCTCCCCCGTCCAAGCGGTGCCCGCGCCCCCACAGCCTGGCCATGGAATGTCTGGCGCACATCTCCCACGGTGGTACAGAATTCACCCCGTCCACACTCTCAAACATGGGACGGACGGCCGGGTCCCAACCCGCACTCCAGCATACACCACAGTCCATGTTTTCGACCTCTCCAGCTCGACAAGCCGCGCATCATCCCATGTGTCCTGCAAGCCGTCAACAGCAAGGGATATGCTATTTCGCTGTATTCGAGGGTCGCGTTGGTAGCCGGTACCTCGGCGTCCAACGGCAACAAGAACGTTAGAGCCTTTCCTGCGCTGCCGTCTCGAACATGGTCAACCCCGGCGTGTACCAGCGTGCCCGGCGACAAGGGCTCACATGCCATCCTCTACATCAACACGCTCACGGTCCAGAAGGGAAGGGGCGAGAGACATTCTGCACCGGCGAGGGTGACAGCTCGTTGATGCGTTCGGCGAAAGGGCAACGAGGGTGTTTGTTTTCACGCAAGAGCTCTTTCGGTCACTCCCAGTGTTCTCCGCAAAGCAATTCGGGGGGGAACGGCGACACCGACGCGCGCACGCCAGAGCAACGAGGCACAGAAGTCGTGTCCTCGAGCCATATGCATTGCCCTAGCACACGCGAAGCAAGCATACAATGGTAATCCAGGTCGAAAAGTCGGCCTTCACCGAAAAACCGATGGCGCACAACCGACATGACATGGCGTCACAATGGTTCAATGGCCCGAGGCCAATGGTAGCCGAGAGCACGCATTATCGGGTCCGTCCAAGTTGGCGACATCACGACATGACGCGTAGTGGCATGAATAATCAGCTTGCATCGTCTGGCGTCAGTCGGACACGCCGCCAGAGATGGTTCTTAAAGCTGATGCATGGGCAGTTGGGCAAGGCCTCATCCCCAAACCACTTCCTCAATCTCCACGATGCCTACCGAGTTCATCAGCATTACCTTCGCCAACGACTCTAACGAGATCCACCCCAAGCCCGGAGCTCCCGTCGACCCCGAGTTCCTCGTGCGCTACGCTCGTACTCTCGACGACTATGGCTTCAACTACACCTTGATCCCCTACGGTTCGGGCGGCTTTGACCCCTTCGCCCTCGGCGCGACCGTCCTCGCGGTCACCAAGAACATCAACATCATCATTGCGCTCCGCCCCAACACCATCTACCCCACTGTGGCGGCGAGGAAGCTTGCTACCCTGAGCCAGCTGGGCGCTGGCCGCGTTGTCGTGCACTTTATCGCCGGCGGCAACGACGTCGAGCAGGGTCGCGAGGGCGACTACCTCACCAAGGCCGAGCGCTACGGCCGTCTCGAGGACTACATCAAGATCCTCAAGCGCGCATGGTCGTCCTCGGAGCCATTTGACTGGGACTCGGAGTACTACAAGTTCAAGGACTTCCGCAACTCGGTGCTGCCCCTCAAGAAGATCGCAGTGTCGGTTGGCGGTTCGTCGGACGACGCGTACCGCATCGGCGGCGCTCTCGGCGACATCTTTGGTCTCTGGGGCGAGCCCCTCAAGGACACCAAGGAGCAGATTGACAAGATCTACGCCGCCGCCGACAAGGCTGGCCGTGCCGCCAACGACCGCCCCCGCATCTGGGTCACCTTCAGGCCCATCATCGCCGAGACCGAGGAGCTTGCGTGGGCCAAGGCCCACCGCACGCTCGACGCCCTCAACGGCAACCGCGCTGGACCTCCTGCCAATTCAACAATCCCCCTCGCTACCCCGGGCCAGCCCCAAAACGTCGGCTCGCAGCGTCTTCTCGAGATCGCCAAGCGCGGCGACGTCCAGGACCGCGCGCTGTGGTACCCTACCGTGACCGCCACCAACGCTGCTGGCGCTTCGACCGCGCTCGTCGGCTCGTACCAGACCATCATCGACTCGCTTATCGACTATGTCGACCTCGGCGCTGAGCTCATCTCCATCCGTGGTTACGACAACCTCAGCGACGCCATTGACTACGGCCGCTTCATCCTCCCCGGTGTCCGCAAGGTGCTTGAGGAGAGGGCCGCCGCCAACGGTAACGGTCACGAGGCGAACGGCAACGGCGTCGCCGCATAAGGGAAATTGGTAGACTCTGTAGAATTGCGGGATGCAGTTGTAATACCTGGGCTGTTTGGAATGCGCTGGGCCAGGAATGTGCAGTGTTGTTGCACGACTATGGTGCTGCGAGAAACCCATTCGTGCTGCCTTGAACACTGTGAGCGCCACGGCTGTGCTTCGGCCGGTAATCTCCGGGCGCGACGGCTTGTGCAAAGGCGCAGAGGTCAGATTACCAGAGATCCAGAGATCAGATTAATCAGAATCGAATGCCTGGATCCCTGGCCGGTGCGCGCGCAGGCCATTTTGCAGCTCATTTTTGCTGGACGAGCGGGATAAATGGTGATTAAGCCTCCACCTGGCTACCGGGGACATAGAGTGGTCCTCCACTTGGCCCTCCATAAGCAAAAGTTGATGATCAATCAGCACAAGTTCGTGTGCGTGGATGGCGTCATCAACCAACATGGCCCATGTATAAAGACTAGACGGGCCTCGGTGCCCTCCATCGTTAAACAAACTCGTATCGACTTGCATACACCACGCCACAATGACCGTCTCCACCACCATCACCACCCCCATCACCGTTGGGCGCCTCCCACTCAAGAACCGTCTCGTGCTGGCGCCACTGACGCGCCTCCGCAACTCGGCCGAAGGCGTGCCCCAGGCTCATGCCCCAACGTACTATGCCCAGCGCGCCACTGGTGAGTCTTCATCTTCATTGCGCATACACAGTCTCTGACTAGCATAGACGGTGGTCTCGAGATCACCGAGGCCGCGTTCATCGCCCAGGAGGCGGGCGGCCTCCCCGGCGCGCCCGGTATCTACTCCAAGGAGCAGATCGCCGGTTGGAAGAAGGTGACCGACGCCGTGCACGCAAAGGGCGGTTACATCTTCGTGCAGCTCTGGGCGCTTGGGTGAGTGTGCGAGGTGCAAAAAGGGGAAAACACTAATGTCATCAGCCGCACCGCCAGCCCCGACCATGTCACCGTGTACGGCCCCTCCGACGATGTCTACACCCACGGCGGCGGCAACGTCGAGGTCAAGGCGCTCTCCGAGGCCGACATTGACCGCTACGTCGGCGAGTACCGCCAGGCGGCTCTCAACGCCGTCGAGGCTGGCTTTGACGGTGTCGAGGTCCACGGTGCCAACGGCTACGTGAGTTGAGAGGAGACGAAGAATGCACCACTGACGCCCAGCTTCTGGATCAGTTCCTCCAGTCGGTCTCCAACCACCGCACTGACCAGTACGGTGGCAGCCTGGAGAACCGTATCCGTTTCCCTCTGCGCGTTGTCAATGCCGTAGCCGACGCTATTGGTGCCGACCGCGTCGGCCTTCGCACCTCGCCCTTCAGCACGTTCCAGGGCATGCGCGAGGCCGACCCTCTGGCTACGTTCAAGCCGTGGATCAGCGCCGTGCTTGCCGCCCAGCCCAAGCTCGCATACATCCACGCCGTCGAGGAGCGCATTGCCGGTAACGTTGACGTGGCTCCCACTGAGGACGGGTCGGCGTCTATTGAGCCCCTCCGTGACATCGTGAACGCGTCGCCCCACACCGAGTTTATCGCTGCCGGTGGCTTCACACCCGAGTTGGCGACGCAGCTCCTCGCCCAGCGCGGCGGCCTGGTCGCGTTTGGCCGCCACTACATTGGTAAGTGGAAAGTGGAAAGGCGTATCGGTACAAATACTTCTGGGTTCTAACCGTACAGCCAACCCCGACCTCCTGGCGCGCATTGTGAACAAGGTCGACCTCAACCCATACGACCGCAAGACTTTCTACGGTGGTTCCGAGACTGGTTACACCGAGTGAGTGGTACCCGAGAGAGTCTCTTCCCGTGCCGTGGCTGACGAACTAGCTACCCCGCCTACGCGCAGGAGGCCTAGATTAGAGATGAGCGTAGAGCATAGATTACAATGTATTTTCTGTTACAAGCAGTACGGCGATGGCGAGGGCGAGGGCGAGAAAGAAAAATGACAGATACACCCACAACACTCACAGCTTGTGCGTCGTTTTCCTCGTTTTGGCGTCGTTTTGGCGTCGTTTGAAGTTAAAGTACTGTACCATCGCCCACCTCGTAGTTCATTCAGCCGAGTAACTAATGTAACGAATGAGCTAATGCACCAATACAAACTGCTGGAAAGACTGTAAAATGCCTGCATGTTTTGACCGCCACGTCTTGGACGGCCCAGATCTCCTACGACGCATTGTCTCCCACGGTTGTCATCGTCCCGGGCAACACCATGCGTTCTACACGTGGCCGTTAATTGTGATTACGTAACGGAAACTGGCAGCATCCGCACAGAACATCAAGATTTCTACACACACCGTCATTTCGTACCATCCACAACACACATCCACGACCATGGCCCCTCCGCCAGCAGCGAGTGGGCCCTCCCGCCCCTCAACACGCGCAGCTGCCGCCGGCAGCGGTGCTCCCAAGCGCGCTCCCGTAAAGCCCGCCACTCGCGCCGTCAGCGGTTCAGCGGCACCTGCTGCTCCAAAGCCCAAGGCCCCCGCCGCTCCGTCCCAGACTGCTGCGGCAGCCGCGGCCGCGAGGAAGGGCAAGCAGCCTCTCCGACCCACTGTCCAGGTCCCTTCAAAGACTGCTGTCCAGTCCAACTTGCAGGAAGGCGAGGAGCAGTGGGCCGAGCTCATGAAGCGCACGCACACGGACAAGGGCGCCGACTGGTACGCGCGCGGTGTCAAGACTGTCGAGGTGAGCTACACGGTATGCTTTCTGGTAGCTAACAAACGCAGGACAAGTGGGAGCTCCTTCCTGCCTTTCTCAAGGTCAAGGGTCTTGTCAAGCAGCACCTCGACTCGTTCAACTACTTTGTGCACACGGACATCAAAGCCATCCTCCACGCAAACTCGTTGGTCGTGTCGGATGCCAACCCCCGGTACTACATCCGCTACACTGACATTCGCATCGGTCGCCCCTTGCGCAAAGAGGTCGGCGCAGTCAACCAGCGTCTGACACCGATGGAGTGTCGTCTGACCGACAACACGTACTCGGGAGGCATCTATGTCGACATTGAGTACACGCACGAGGACAAGATTCGTAAGCAGCAGGGTATCCACATTGGTTCCCTGCCCATCATGCTGCGGTCCGACCTGTGTCACCTGGCCAACAAGAACCAAGCCGAGCTTGCGCGCATGGGCGAGTGCCCGCTCGACCCGGGAGGCTACTTTGTGGTCAAGGGTACCGAAAAGGTCATTCTCGTCCAGGAGCAGCTGTCCAAGAACCGTATCATTGTCATGACCGACCCCAAAAAGGACGTCGTCACCGCCGAAGTCACTTCGTCCACCCACGACCGTGTTGTCAAGACGTACGTGACCACCAAGACTGGCCGCATCTACCTTCGCCACAACTCGTTCAAGGAGGTGATCCCCATCGTCATTGCCCTCAAGGCCATGGGCATCACCTCGGACAAGGAGATCCTCCAGCTCACCTGTGGTCCCGACGAGCGCTTCCAGGAGGCTCTCGGCGTCTCGCTCGAGGAGGCTACCAGGCTAAAGATCTTTACTCGTCGCCAGGCCCTCGAGTGGATTGGTGCCCGCGTGTCGCCCAACCAGGAGAAGGAGGACCGTACCCTCGGCCACAAGCTCACTCCCATCGACATTGCCATGCAGGCTCTTGCTGCCATGGTTCTCGGTCACGTTCCCGTTCGCGACATGAACTTTAGGCCCAAGTCGATCTACCTCGCCACCATGACCCGCCGTGTCCTGGCGGCCATGGTCGACGAGCACATGGTCGACGACCGCGACTATGTCGGTAACAAGCGTCTTGAGCTTGCCGGTCAGCTTCTCTCGTTACTCTTCGAAGACTCGTTCAAGACCTTCAACACCGACCTGAAGAAGCGCATGGACAAGATTCTCGAGAAGAAGTCGCGCGCTGGTCCCTTTGATGCCTCGGCGCTCGTCCGTACCGGTGGCAGCGACATTATCACCTCGGCGTTCGTCCGCTCCATCTCGACTGGTAACTGGTCGCTCAAGCGTTTCCACGTTGAGCGTGCCGGTGTGACGCACGTCCTGTCGCGTCTCTCTTTCATCGCCGCTCTCGGTATGATGACGCGTATCACCTCGCAGTTCGAAAAGACACGAAAGGTCTCGGGTCCTCGTGCGCTCCAGCCGTCGCAGTGGGGTATGCTCTGCCCCTCCGATACGCCCGAAGGTGAGGCGTGTGGTCTGGTCAAGAACCTCGCCCTTATGACCCATATCACCACCGATGTCCCAGAGGAGCCCCTTGTCACCATGGCGTACATGCTCGGTGTCGAGGACATTTCCAACCTGACCGGTAACGAGCTGTACCGCCCCGGTGTGTACATTGTCCAGGTCAACGGTTCGCTCGTGGGTGTCACTGCTCTCCCCAGGCGCTTTGTCCAGACGTTCCGCAAGCTCCGTCGTTCCGGCCGTACCTCCGAGTTTGTTTCCATCTACATGAACCACCACCAGCGCGTCATCTACATTGCCTCGGATGGTGGACGTATCTGTCGTCCGATGATCATTGTCGAGAATGGCCGCCCGCGCGTCACCTCGGAGCACATGCGTCTCCTCAAGGCCGGCAAGGTCACGTTCGACCACTTCCTCCGCTCGGGTCTGGTCGAGTACCTCGATGTCAACGAGGAGAATGACTCGTTCATCGCGTGTTACGAGTCGGAGATTGTCGACGACACCACCCACCTCGAGATTGAGCCCTTCACCATCCTCGGTGCCGTCGCCGGTCTTATCCCGTACCCTCACCACAACCAGTCGCCCCGTAACACTTATCAGTGTGCAATGGGCAAGCAGGCTATTGGCGCCATTGCGTACAACCAGCTCAACCGTATCGACACCCTCCTGTACCTCATGACGTACCCGCAGCAGCCCATGGTCAAGACCAAGACCATCGAGCTTGTCGGCTACGACAAGCTGCCCGCCGGTCAGAACGCCACTGTCGCTGTCATGTCGTACTCTGGTTACGATATCGAGGACGCGCTCATTGTCAACCGCGCCTCGGCTGACCGCGGTTTCGGTCGTTGCCACGTCTTGAAGAAGCAGACCATCCCCCTCCGCTCCTTCCCGAACGGAACGGCAGAGCGCTTGGCCATGCTGCCCCCAGACCAGCGCCCCGAAAGCCACTCGTGGCTCGACCAGGACGGTCTGGTTGCCCCCGGCGCTGTCGTCGGCCAGGGCGACCTCATCGCCGCCCGCGAGACGCCCATGGACACGCGCGGTCCCGGCCCCACCGTCGGCTTCAAGCCCTCCCCCGTCGTCCACAAGCTCCCCGAGCCGGCCAACATTGACAAGGTCATGGTCACCGACACGGAAGACGGAAACCAGCTCATCAAGGTGCTCACCCGCCAGACCCGTCGTCCCGAGCTCGGAGACAAGTTTTCGTCGCGTCACGGTCAAAAGGGTGTTTGCGGTCTCATTGTGCCGCAGCAGGACATGCCGTTCAACGACCAGGGTATCTGTCCCGACATTATCATGAACCCACACGGTTTCCCCTCTCGTATGACGGTCGGCAAGATGATCGAGCTGCTGTCCGGCAAGGCCGGCGTCGTGTCCGGAAAGCTCCAGTACGGCACGGCGTTTGGCGGATCCAAGGTTGTGGACATGAGCCAGATCCTTATCGACAATGGCTTTTCGTACGCCGGAAAGGACATGCTCCAGAGCGGTATCACGGGCGAGCCCCTCGAGGCATACGTCTACTTTGGTCCCATCTACTACCAGAAGCTCAAGGTAAGTTGGGCTCGTCATCGGCTGGCTTGGTTTGTCCCAGCTCCCAATGGGGCCAAAGTCAACTGCCTTCTAGCAGGAACACTCAGCTGACATTCTCCAGCACATGGTCATGGACAAGATGCACGCGCGTCCCACCGGTCCCAAGGCCAACCTCACGCGTCAGCCCACAGAGGGTCGTTCCAAGGACGGTGGTCTGCGTCTCGGAGAAATGGAGCGTGACTGGTGAGTTGACCAACCCCTCTCTATGCTGCATGGTTACTAACTCTCTTCTTCAGTCTTATCGGATACGGCGCCACCCAGCTTTTGCTGGAACGTCTCATGATCTCGTCGGACGCGTTCGACGCGCAGGTCTGCGAGACCTGCGGCATGCTCGCGTACTCGGGCTGGTGCAAGGGCTGCGCGTCCAGCAAGGCCGTCGTCAAGATCACCATGCCGTACGCGGCCAAGCTCCTCATCCAGGAGCTCGTGGGAATGAACATTCTCCCCAGGCTGATGATGGAGGACACGGTCTAAGGCGTTGGTTGCATCGCTGGGCAAGCAACGGTGTCCATGCCGACGGTTCGCGTACCACTGGAGCCAATAGAGGCCAGAGGGGCTCGTTGTCGCGTGCAAGGAGACTCCGCAGCAGCGCCGGTGGAAGTGGAGGGAAGGGAGAAAACGAGTCGAGAGGATCGGCTGGGCCAATAAACCTGTACACATTTTTGAGACTTTTTTTGCATGCATAGTTGAGCACATATGGTGTGAGGAGTCGGCAGGCATGCCAAACGAGATGGAACGATAAAGCATGCAATGTAGCGTGTATTCAGGACTTGCTGCAAGACAGAAAGAAGCGATTTGGCTTTCGGTCCCCACGTCCCCAAAATGTCGGCGACCTAAAAAAAGGCAACGATGACCTCATATCAACAAATTCAGGTGCAGCCGGCGTTGACCGTCGTGCCGGTGCCGTGCTTTGTAATCACACCATCTGACCTCTGTGACTCGACATCACACGCCAAACAGCATCCCCCCGGCTCTCTCTCAGATCCCCAGACGCGATAGACACGTTCGAGGTTCCAGAAAGCACGCGCGCGGCTCTTGTTGTTTCATAAAGCCACAACATCTTCGACTTCCTACACTACAACCACACCCACCCACAGCCGCAACGATGAGCACCCCCGAGTACACCCTTTACGAGCTGGTCTCGCGCGAGGACAACAAGGAGAGCCAGACCGGCCACTCGCCGTATGTGAACAAGACCAAGGCCGACCTTGCGTGAGTACATGCTGGGCAGCAAGCGATGGTATGCAGCAGCGCTCAACCTCGATCGCGGCGGCCATCGCGGCCATCGCGGCCATCACGGGTATCCTCTGCCCTGCTTCGTCTGTACGGCCACTGACGGTCTTGTAGCATCCTCGGCGTGCCCTACAAGTCTGTCCCGCTCACGTTTATTGGTGTCCGCAACAACCTCGCCAGCGACACCAAGAACGACGTGGTGACCGTCCCTACGCTCCAGCTCAGCAGCGGCGAGTACATTACTGATTCGTTCAAGATCGCCGAGTATGTGAGTAGCGCTGGTGGCTCGCACGCTCGACATCGAGCGAGCCTTCTGCTGTATCTACCCCTCCAATGATAGGAGACCCGCTGACATTCACCCCAGCTCCAGAAGCACCACGCTACTGAGGACAAGTCGCTCTTCCCCTCGCCCGACTCGCACGCCTCCATCCGCTTCCTGGACTTTTGGATCGACGGCGACCTCGTGATTGCCATCCGCGAGCTGTTCCGCCCGCTCTTCTGGACGAACCTCGACAAGGCCTCGGCCGACTACTTCCTCGAGTTCAAGTACGGCAACGACCAGGCCCTGCTCGACGACCACCTCGCGACTCTGGGCTCGGTGGAGAAGCTGAACAAGAAGGCCGAGGTGGCCCGCGAGAAGCTCAAGACCCTCGACAGGCTGCTTGCCGAGGCCCCCAACGGCGGCCCCTTCATTCTCGGCACCAAGCCCAGCCACGCCGATGCGAGCCTCTGGGGCTGGTACGCTGCCTCCCAGGTCAACGCGCCCGTGATCAACGAGCTGCTCTGGGAGCACCCGTCGCTTCCCAACGTCGCCAAGTGGGTGGCCGCGGCCAAGGAGGCCACCGGCATCAAGTTCAACTTCCCTCCGGCCAAGATTACGCCCAAGTGAGCAGGATGGCAGCAGGGTAGATGTATAGGTAGTAGAAAAGGTCTAAGAATGGGTCGAGGAGATGCAACGGGTCTTGGCAGCGGGTGTTCCGTTTCGTAACCTTGCACTGTCGTCGCTCACCACCGTAGTAGATGGTGTCAGTGGACACTGGTGACTGACTGACTTTTACTTTCACCCACTCTCATACTCACAAACACCAGTGTACATTCAACAAACCTATGCACGAGTGTCATGTTTGAGGGTGTTTGGCGTGAAGAGCATGAAGAGTGACAATAGTAACGTGTCCCGTAGACGCCGCGGTGGAGGACTGGTGCCACTGAAGGAAAGACGACCCATGCCGCTAGAAACGTCTTCCCTCGTCCATCACCCATCTTCCTTCCTCACGTTCACCCATCTTGACATCCTCTCCACCTAATCCACACCTACCCCTTTAACTCCTAACTTATTGTGACCGTTTCCAACATCTCCCGTACTGGCCAAGATGGGCGAGCCCATGGATATCGATCTGAGCATTGACGAAGTGAGTCTACTCCCCTCCCCCTTTCACTGACGTCCCCAAAGCAGCGCATGGCACGCTTCGACCAATGGATGAACCGCCCCGTCTTCACTCCTCTCCCCCGTGCACCAACTCCCCCCAGTCAGAGATGGCCTCTCAGCATCTCCAACAAGCGCCTTCCAAACTGGGACGCAGAGGAAGACACCCAAGCCAGTTCGAGCACCAACGGCTGGGGCTCACCTGCTAAGCCGCCCCGTTCAGTGCGCACCTTCGGCAGTCGCCTGGCCCAGGCAACACCCACCGGGTCCAAGTATGTCGAGGACCCCAGCCATGTCCTTCTTATCCTCCCCGTACCCCGCGACGTCACCCCGACCGCCATTCAACAGTACTTCATAGGCCGGGTTGGTCCTGTGAGCGCCGTCAAGTTGGACGACGGAGTGGCTACCATCTGGTTCAGACGTGCAGACGCATGGCGAGCGTGCGGCATGAGTAAGTCGAGCCGCTACCCCTTCAACTGGATTTCGAACTGTACGCTGACAATACAGTGAAGAACTATGCTCTCGATGGTCGTGAGTCGAGGTGTTGCCAGATCGAAGAATCGTGCTGACCTCGCGCAGGCAAGCTATGTGCCTTTGTGGTACCCCCACTCCCTGGCGAAGATTCTGCACCACCATCGTGGGTCCGAGTCGCCGCATCCACAGAGCCCTCCTCCATGACACACTCCGCATGGCCTACGCCCGCCACCACTCCTTTGGCGTCACCCACCAGAGTTCAGACTCCAGCTCAACCTGCGCGCGGAGCGCCACAGTCCAACCCCAAGGCCACTGCCAAGCCAGCGCCGTTGCCTTCGCGCCCGTGGCACCCCCAGGGTGTGCCCAAAGGATCCGCCAACAATGGCGGTGGTCGCAGCGCCAGCACCACGTCCCGAAACTCTCGCACAAACCGCAAGCGAGGCGCTGGAAACTGGACCGCTACACAGCCTCCACCACCCAAGGCCTCGGGACTGGCAGGCTCGTCCAAACGCACGGCGCCAACCTCCGGCAACAATGCCGCAGCCAACCGGGCGTCTTGGCAAGCTCCAGCCGAGTCAGAGGCAGATTCACCCAGCGAGGCAGCCAGAAGGGAAGAGCGTCGAAGGCGCGGCAGTGGCCAGGTCGCCAAGATGGCGGGTCTCATGCGCTCCGTTGCTGCTGACAACCAGAAGCGTGACGCGCAGCGTGGCTCGCGTTAAATCGAAAATTGACAAATTGTGTAATGAGCGTGGTCACTGGATAGGGGACAGTGATGGTAGTTTGAGAGAAAGAGAGATATGTTTGTACGAGTAATACTACTAATAGGAGTAGTCCACATAGCCTGGCAACCCATGAGACACCTGTATCCTTCACGCGGACGAGAGACCGCAGATCCGCAGACCGCCCTCCAACTCTTTCCTAGCTCCTCCCTTGAGCCCAGACCAAAAGAGAACGCCCAAGTCCCATGCAGACTAGAGCAGATACACCGTAAGGGAGTCGAACCCCTGCCGCGTCGATGGCAACGACGCATGATACCGTTTCACCAACGGTGTTGTGATGTTTGTTGACAGAGAAGATGGAGCGCGTTCGGACACGGATTTTTCGATGGCGATTATTCCGCCCATGGCTACCCGAGTGAGGTGGAAGCTGCCTGTCTGCATGCACACGCATGGTCAGAAAACGTTGTATTAAACTTGAACAATGCTGAGGTTACGAGACGCAGGAGGAGAGAGGAAACAGCGGTCCCATCAGATCGAGCGGAGAAGGAAACGAGTCATTTTTGACGATTTACGCCGGGTTTTGCAGGAGCCACCCACTGGCTACTCTGACGAAAGTGCTGTCCTGCACACGGCGCACAGTGGGAAGCATCTGCAAGAACACCTGTATAGATGTCACCTCAGCCACCGTGTCTTATCTAGGACCCCACTGTCAGCCAGCTGTTGGACCATCCTCCCAACTCCCTAGTTGGACCTTATGTCACAGTTCCTTGTTTGGTGCGGCTGTGTGAGGAGAGAGTTTAGGTTAAGTAAAGTCGCAACGCTTCGTATTAGACACCCCCTCAACAAGGAAGTGTGCTACCATGACTCTGATATGGCCACGAACAACTGTATGTCGATCAGCAACAAACAAGGTTGGTCCTCACGGTGACATGAGTTGACGTTGTTCACAGTGAGGCAGCTTAAAGATAGGGCCGGTATCCGGTCTTAGTCCAATGCATGAGTACTGAAGCGAAGGTTGCAGTTCTTTGATTCACCTCAGCAGCCATGTAGGCCGTGGTTAGGCAGCTGAGAGACAAAGAAGCCTACAAGAGGAGATGATATGAACGGAACCAAAAATGGCCATTCGCCACTCGCAGCTGACGATCGCCACCACAGTGTGGGTGACGGTGTTGTTGTTTCCTTCCCTCCCACACACTTTCCTCGACTTTTCCGTCTCCCACTGCTCCATCCATGTGCGTCCATCGACACAGTATCATCCCAACCTAACATGCCCACAGACGCCTTCTTGTGACCCCGACTCGCATCCATGGGGTCCCGCAGCTCCGTTGGGGAGTCAAACGCGCATGACTGGCGCTCGCCGGCCCCCGTACCACGTCTTCCACCGACACCGTATCCCGACTGCCCCTCACCACTGGTCCACAGGAGCCCATTCTCTAGAAGACCAATCACCCCCCCACTGCCCAGGTCGCTCCTGTACTCGGGGACACCCACGCCGACTTTGAAGACAACTGCTTCGGCAACGAAGGCCGCCATGTTGGTGGACCGCGACCTCTCCACAGAGTTTACAGCAAAGAAGAAGGTGACGTCTAGCAACTCTGTGGAGATGGGACCAGTGTCGAGATGGCCGTTGTCCTCTTCGAAGACGACTCCGATGGCCAAACCTGTGGCACCTGTAGCCGGCACCAACGCTTCTACCTCCTCGATCACCAGAGCTTCAACAACGAATGGGATGGCCGACAACTCCACCGATGTTGCACCCAAAAAGAAAGTCACGTCCAGCAATACAGTGGAGATGGGCCGAGTTTCAAGATGGCCTATGGCTCTCCCACAGACGACAGCACCTGCCAAAGTTGTGCCACCCACTATCACCGCCGACGCTGCAGCATCTGTGGCAAAAACAAACCTAAACAAGAAGAAGGGACAGGACAAGAGCGGCAAGACAAAGAAAGGCAAGAAGAAGACGGAAACGGCAAAGGCCAAGCCACTGCCTAACGTCAGAGCAACTGGGTGCAATACAGTCCAACCCCTCGACAAGTCTCGCCGTGCTGGACAGCCGACCCGCTCACACCCGTACACCCACGACCGTTCTCAAGGCAGCTTGTCGATGGACAGCTGTGTCCGGGCACCCTCCACATCGCGCATCGCCACTCTCAGCTCAGATCCCGACCTAGGTTACGCCAGGCAAGGGTATCTCCAGGATCAGCAAGTTCAGAACAACTACAATGCCCAGCTTAACGCATATTCTCAATACCCTTCCATGTCGGACGGGTATTCTGACCTTGTCGGACCACCCCAGTCCAATGCGCCATCTTGGTACTCGGGGCATGGGGGGTCGACCTCCCAAGTTGGGGCCTACGCCTATTCGCACAGGTCATCTCAAGACGGTGGATATCAGGGTGGATATCAGCAAGGATATCACCCGACCAACCCATCCAATAGGCTGCCTGGTTGGGTACCGCCGCCTCACTGGAACTTTGATCGCCACTTCCCTTCGCAGCATCTCCACACGGGCGACGAGCGCACTGCCGTTGTCGGTCCAGTCCCTTTTGTTCGTCCGCCAAATTGGACCATCGGAGGATATCAAGAAGGACAAGGGGGGCGCGAGTCTGGTCTTAGAAGGCGCCCATGGGGAAATCATTAGAAGTCTCTGTGAGTCTGTCAGTATTCATCAGTGCCGAAAAGCTTACGGAAGTTCACAAGCGGTGGTTGATGATGTGATGATGATTGTCGCCTCTCGGTCGTGCGGCGTCCTGACCATAACAAGCACAGGACCCAAAGGCCTCCTCTTCCCTCCTGATGTGATTCGAGATATGTCCTTTTCCTCTGTATCATAGCATGCATGTACAGGTTTGGTATGAGCGTGTGTTGGTTGTTGCGTTGTCTGGTGATGAACCGGCTGGGTGCAGGCTGCGGAACCAAACAAGACAGCCAAACATTCTGGATTACGCGACTGATATTTCTCTCCGCCACGAGCAGTCGTTTCACACCGTCTACTTTCACACCTTCCCCCTATCCCATTGTTTTCTTCTTGTGCGTCCATCCAAACGACATCTCATCTAACTGCCACGCAGCCCTCTTCCTGGAGGCCCCGCTCAACGTTCTATTTCCGCGCCTTCCTTCCGCATCAAATCCAAGTCCTACCCACGCGTTGTGAGGGCCCACGCTCTTCTTTGAAGGACAACTGGGAGGCAAAGATGTCCCAAAACGATTGGCGCTCGCCAAGTCCCTGCTCCTCGCCGTTCCCGTTTGCCCTTGATTCGCGAGAGGCATCGTTCGACCTGACCCCGGTCTCAACGCGCCCCAGCAGCCCCATCACTCGTCCAGTCACCCCAACTGGTGCTGGAAGCGTCGTTTCCTTGGCCAGCCGCCTGGTTCTTACGGACGAACCTCACGGTCCTACGCCGGCGTCCACTGCGTTCACGCTAAACTCGATCATCACCCCGGCGACGTCAGTGATGCCCCAACCCATTGCCTTGGCGGATCGCATGAGCGTGCCCAGGCCACACAAGGTCAAGGTCAAGGGACGCGGTCGCGCGCCAGCAGCAAAATCCCCCAACATGGCAGGCAACCTGAACGCGCCTGCCGTTCGTCCAAAGTGGTCGACTCGTGGGTGGAAGCCGTACGTGGCAGTCCGTCCCAAGGACCGTGTCGCCAGTGTTGCCAGTCCCAGTACCAAGCGCCTACCCTTCGCCAGGGCCTGGGATGAATACTACCGCGCAACCAGGTCGGAGCGTTCCAACGACTACGACCGGGACCGCTACTCTGATGACCACCGCGGTTATGAGGAGTCCCACAAACGCACTCCAGGTGGCCAGCATGACCCATCTGGCCAGCGCGGTTCGCCATCTCGACCTAACGACAACATCAGCCGCAGCCCTCCGTCTCCCAGCTACCCCCGCCGCACGAGCCCCCCCTCACCGTCCTGCCGCCACCAAGGTGTCCACAGTCCAGACCGTAGCTCTGAATACCCAAGGAAACACCCACGCTCCTACGAGAATGAGTACACCCCTTGGTCTCTTCCTGCCAGCTGGGCCGCTCGTCGCCCACTGGAGAGCCGCCTCACCGACCAATACTCCCCCCCTCGGAACTTGGTCACGCGCGACGAGCGTACGGTAATCGTCGGTCCTCTCCCCCGCGACGTTCGCCCTGAGGACGTCGTCAGGCTCATGGTCTGTGGAGTTGGCCCTGTCAGAAGTGTCAAGATGGAGGGCGACATGGCAATTATTGTCTTTGAAGAGGGCGATGCCGAGCGGGCAAAGGAGCGTTGTGAGTCCACCTTGAATGTTTGCGACAGATGCTAATTGCCAGTCCACAACAAGGTCGTCGACCAACGTGAGTACAGCACAATAATTGGCCGATCAATTTTCGCCACTGAAGCACGCTGACACTGTATAGGCTACCGCCTCTCCGTCGTCTCCTTGCCGGACTACGAGCGCGCCCAAAGGACGCCAACGAAGCGCCGATACAGCCCATCCCCGCCGCGTTCCCCTCCGACGCCTCGCCCTAGGGCCGTGTGGTCGCCGTACACTCCTCGCCGTAACCGTTCCGACGCCATGCTCGTCGATGACTGAGAACGAGGTAGCAATGAGTCGAATGCGAGGGACCATGTGGACAAGAAGAGAAGCACACCGAAGAGTCAAGCAGAAGAGTCAAGCAGAAGAGTCAAGCAGAAGGAGTCAAGCAAAAGAGTCGCCAAGTCACGTCGTCAGAATGTCAACAGAGTGTTGCCCCCGACACCTGGATTCAGTCCTCTCACGTTTTTGTATTCCCAACCCACCAACAAGTACAGTGTCGTCACGTGCCCTTCCCATGTGTCTACTATACCATGCATGTACCTGTACTCGTCCTAGTCCTAGTTGCCTTCTCCACCTGTCGAAAGTCATCAGTCTTCGTTCCCCTTACGCAGTCAAATCGCCCAGGGTCGGGTATCATTGTTGGTTTTTTGTTTTCCGTAAAACACGAGTTACGATGCCTCACCACTCTCGTCTGTAAACGCAATGTGCTTCTGGATATCGGCTTGCGAGACAGTTGGCCTGTTGATCTGGACGGCGCGCTCAAAGTCGTCGACGGTAAGCAAGGGCTCGAGCAGCTGCGAGCTCTCGACGTCGTTCCATGTCTTCTCCTCTGCGCCGTCGGCGCCGGGCGAGCAAGGGGTGAGCTTGGTGACCGCGTTTCCGTCGTCGTCGTTGACGGTGACCTCGCGGAAGTGTGTGGCGGACAGGACCTTGCGGACGGGCTGCATGAGGGCGTCGCGCACAATGACGGCAATGTCGGAACCAGAGTAGCCCTCGGTCAGCTTCGCGAGGTGGCGGAAGTCGGCTGGCGAGAGCTGGTGCGGGGTCGTGCCGACGTTGAGCTCAAACATTTTCCGGCGAGCCTCGAGCTCGGGGAGAGGGATGTAGATGCGCTTCTCGAATCTGCCCGTTAGTGAGTATATCGCGGGTAGCCAGACGTTGTGGGGACGAAGTACGGCTCAGTGGGTGGGGATTCTCGAGCCGCTGCGCCGCTGCCTCTCTGTCACTCACCGTCGCTTGATGGCAGGGTCCAGTTGCCATGGGATGTTGGTCGCGCCGAGGACCAGCACCCCCGTGTCGTCGTTGCCCACACCGTTGATCTGGACGAGGAACTCGGTCTTGATACGGCGCGAGGCCTCAGACTCGCCCTCGCCACGGGTACCGGTAAGCGAGTCAATCTCGTCGATGAAGATGATAGAGGGCTTCTGTTCGCGCGCCATTTGGAAGAGCTGCTTGACGAGACTGGGGAGTCAGTGGAACCCAGAGAATGAGAGCTCGCGGAAGCTGAACGATGCCTGGCCACACAGCTTCCCCGCCGACCTTGTACTCACCGTTCCGATTCTCCCATCCACTTGCTGACGAGGTCCGACGACGAAACGGAGAAGAAGGTGCTCTTGGCCTCGGTCGCCACCGCCTTGGCCAGGAAACTCTTACCGGTACCGGGAGGTCCGTAGAGGAGGATACCGCGCCAAGGGGTACGCTTGCCGGTGAAGAGCTGGGGGAACTTGATAGGGAGAATGACGGCCTCCTTGAGGGCCTCTTTAGCCTGCGCAAGGCCAGCCACATCGTCCCACTGGACATTGGGCGACTCGGTGACGATCGCACCGGCAAGAGCACCGCGGAGCTTCTTGATCTCGGGGTCGTCCTCATCCTTGCCGCCCACGCTGGGTCCACCGGCCGCACTGCCTCCTCCTCCTTCGGCGCCCACTTTGCTTCGAGACCGTTTTTCTTCGCTCTTGGCAATGTGCTCCTTGAGCTTCTCGGCACGGTCCAAATATTCGGTGAACTTCTTGCGGATGAGCTCCTTGAGCTTGTCGTTCTTCTCATCTGAGGCGTCAGTCAAGTTTCCAGGTGTGTGGGGAGAGCGAGGGACTGGGTGGTATATGGTCCTGGGGCCTGGTGCTCTAACTGGTGACCCAGCAGGCATACTCTTCGGCACCTTCCTCGCGAGCCCAGCGGCCCTCGCGCGACCATCACGGCTTGTCGGCGTCCACCAACTGATAACGCACATTTCATCGCCTGCCGTCAGTCCTGTTCCAAATATATGGGCACTCACCATCATAAAGTAGTCGAGAGCATCCTGGTAGAGCTTGTATGCCTCCTGTGCAAGGTTAGCCCGCTGTCTCGGAGAACATGTGGACCCACGGCATAGTTCTGTTTGACGTCCTCGTCAATGGCCTTCTGGACGATGGCGATTGCCTTCTGTTTCTGTCAGCTTCAATCAGGGTCGTGAAGCTCACGTCGAGGAAGTTGGAGTTGGACATGGTGCCCGTGCGAGTGCGAGGCAGTGGGCGATGGTGTTTGTGGAGAGATGGGTATCTAGTTGTTGTTCGGGGCCAACGAAGCGTCATCGGAGACGCCCCGCCGCCGCCGTTCATTGCATTTTGCTTCCGTCGCCTTCCCTTTCCATCCGAACGCGCACACAGGGTGGTGGACCTCCATCATTCCACCTTTCTTTCATCACTCACCCAACGACTCCTACCCGGCACAGCGCGCATCCACCACCATGGCAAGCGCGTCCGGGTACAACTACCACCGCTTCGCGCGTGCAGTCCTCAAAAAAGCCCGCAAGTGGGAGCCATCCCTCAGCATCCAGCTTTACCCCACCCACTGGCGTTTTGAGAACAGTGTGAGTGTCACCTTCCAGTCCGGCCCGGCTTTTCCGTCCATACCCGAGGTCGCAATCATGTGCAAGAGTGGCGAGGCGGCTCGTTGGCAAGGGTCGGCAGACATTGGTCAAGCACGATCAGCTCTGCGTTGTGCTCGGTGCTAGCTTGCAGCTAGCAGCTGGCAGGTTGCCTTGCTCGCTGTCTTCCACCTGGCCATCGGCTCTGTCCGGCCGCCACGATTGCTGCTGGAACCCTCGCGCCCTAACCCATGGACGATACCAGTCGAAGTGACAATCTACTGACACTCGGCTCACAGGAAATCAACTTTCTCTACGATGGACCCATGAAGCCGTTCCTCCTGGCGCTTCGCGCGCAGGTCATCCCCGCCGCGCTCATCCCTTTCCTGTATGACATTCGTCCGCCAGTCTCGTTTGTCGATGGGTGTCTAGTAGTGGAACTACAAGATTTCCGCAAAGTGCCAGAAGTTCGGAGCAGGGTGGTCATGCGCCCTGCACCCGAGACCTTACCGATGACGATCGACATCATGCTCGCGCGACGACATGAGAACTGGGAGGACAACAGTGTGCTGGAACTCGAGTCGAGGATTATGGTGAGTTGGCTACGTTGATTTTGAGACTGGATCTTAGCTGACATCCACAGGCTGCAACGTCTGCGCCTCTATATCTCGGCACCTCGATTCTTGCGACCCGCAACGCCGCGCTCTCACTCGCGCTTACGGCGCCGGCAGAACCCAACATGGCTGCGGACGGCACAACTCGCCCTGCCCTCACGAATGGCGAGGAGGAAGTCAACGAGTTCGAGTCCATGCGCAAGCTCATGGGTACGGGTACACGTTCGGGTGGCGCGTTCCAGCCCAACTGGTCCATTTTACGGCTCAAGGAGCGACTCGCCGCCCACGCAAAGCAAAAGGAAGCCGAGGCAGCCGCCCGCGCTGCAGGAGCTCGTGCTGGTGGCCCTCAAGCCGGTGCAGACGGTAACGCTGCTGCCGCTGCCAACCCCGCCGCCGCCGCTGCAGCTGTCGCCGCAGGAGCAAGTGTCGCTCCAGCCCCCGGTACCGCTGCGGCTGCGGCTGCAGCGCCGGCTACCGAGGAGAAGAAGAAGAGCAAGAAGAAGCGTCCTGCTCCAGCCGCCGATACCGCTACCGAGGATCCACCCAAGCCGAGTAAGAAGAAGAAGGCAAGCGCGGCTGCGGCCGCTGCTGCTGCTGCTGCCAAAGCTGAGGAGGAGGAGAAGGAGAAGGAGAAGCCCAAGAAGAAGGACGCGCCAAAGAAGAAGAAGGCTGCGCCGAAAAAGGACAAAGAGGCCAAGTGAGCCAGATTCGTTGTTCTTAGTCGTGGCTGGTGCAACAGTTGGACATGTGTAGACCGCTTGCTATATAATCTGTTGTACGCATGTATCACTCTATCTATTATTCGTTTAACAAGTGAACTACAACTACATGTGTGGTTTGACAACACGTCACAAAACAGGTCTCCGGCCAACTCTCTCCCGAAGGTCTCGACTGAATTCCCAACGCCTACTGCTTACTTTCTCGCCGCTGCTTTTTGACCTCAACCAAATTCCTCACAAAGGCCACCACCTTCTCCACGGCCGCTGCATCGCTCTCCGTCGGCTCGGCGCGGGCGTAACGCGCTCGGTCAACAATGGACGCGTACGATGCCACAAAGATGCGCAATGGGTTGGGTTTGCCTCTGTCGTTGGGGTCGGCCAGAGCGTCGGCGGCATCGACTAGGGCGGTGGTGTTGAGGGGTGGAGCTTTGGATTTGGGTGCGAGGATCTCGCCTGGAGAGTCAGTATGGGGTTGGAAGAAATGCTGGGCCGAGGGCAGAGAGACAACGTCCAGGTAGTCGACTGCTGATCCGGGATGTCCCTCAGCAGACCTGGCTTGCCGACCCCCCTTCAAAAGTCCACAAAACAGGACACATGTGCCCTAACCTCCACGCACTGCCTTGCAGGCGAACGACTCACGCATCTCGGGTACAGTGCCCAGAATGTATGTGCGAAAGTGCACGCCGCCCCACTTGGTCCCCAGTCGACCCCAGCCTTCCTGGGCGGCTGCCGTCGCCTGTGAGATATACGCCACGACGGATGTGCGAGAGTACTCTGTGGCAATGTGGTTTGCAACTTTCTGCAAGGCGTCAGTTGACGTTGTGCGTTATCGTGCTGTGGCCGCTGCGTCAGGTGTTGCGCACAGCGAAAACACGAGGGCAGCCTGTCCGCCAGTCCGTCCGCCAGACATGTCCCATTGCCCTCCGCTTCCAATCGTGGAGCCTCTCCGACTCACCTTTGGCAAGTCAACTTGCTTGATCGGCATGTAGGGCTTTGGCATTGTGCGAAGAATCAACTTGACCGAGACGACACGCGACCACATGTGAATGATCGAGATCATACCCTGGTACGTTAGCTAGATGCATTGCAATGTAATCGTGCTGCCGGCCGGCTGCACTGTGATGTTGTTGCGAGAAAGGAGCACCGCTGATGTTGTTGTCCACAACAGCGGACACGGACCAGGCCGTAACACTCAGGGGCTTTTGTCCCGCCCCAACCTCACGCGATGCGATGCTCGCCACCATCAAGAGCCAGTCGTGTGCCGACACAGACAGTACCGTTTCTCCAGAGCTGTTACTCACCAGTGCAACGTATGCCGCGATAAGGGCGAACATATTCCATCGCCTTTGGTGGTCGGTGCGCCATGCCTGCTCGCCCAGTCCCCACGCCGAGCCGACGAGGAGCGCGGCCAAGAGAAGGAGGAACACTGTGAACGAGGCATGGTAGAGGGCCGACGTGAGGCGGCGGCGGCGCGAGCGCTGCTGTGTGGCCGCACGCATGCCGCGTGTGAACCGTGGGGGTGGTGTTGGACTAGTATGAGAAGAGGAGATGTGGGAGAAGGAACTGAAAGGCAGACATGCACACAACGGCCTCGACCGATGGGGCAACTCGCGTCATACTCGGTTTGTTGTGGAGGTGATTAGCCGGGCTGGACCTCAATAGCAAACGGTGTTAATAAAAATAAGACACATTTAAAATATTGCCACGTGGACATCACATGGTCATGTATTGCCGCGGAAATGTCCGTGGTGGCAGATCTGTTGGGCGTGGGGCCAGGTCCCGGCTCGACTGGTCGACTTTCGCCGCCCAACTTTCAGCAGAAACCACTAAACCCACATCCTCCACACCAACACAGGCAGTGAGCACGGCTCCTCCTTCGAATACCACACGCATCGACAGCCCCGGACGGCTCACTTATCTCGGCACCCCGATTTTCCCCTCGGTCCCGTCTCTATTCCCTCTTCCCTTCCACCCTTTCCGTCCTCTTTAGAAATCTAAGCAACATGGTGAGTGGCCTTTGTTGTCAAACATCACTGCGGCGGCAGTAGGAGTGTGCCGCGCCGTGCGGCTGGCAATGAGAGTAAACACAGCCACTAACGCTCAGTCTTCACCAAAAGCCTTTGTCGAGCTCGTCGTCAGCGGTGTCCGGATCTTCGGCAGGGCGACCGCCGCCGCAGGGAGGCAGATGGCTAAGAGTGAGTCGGTGTACGCAAGGGCAAGAGAGAGAGGAGGGTACGAGAGACGAATACCGCCGCTTCCATGTTCCACATTGCCGCTCGTGGTCGTTCGTTGAGGCAGGACAACAAGGACTACATGCTGGCAGCGGCGTCCCGCCCGGTCGCCAAAGCAGCTGGTACTTCGGCAGCACCTCCGACTTCGGCTATTCCTGCACTCCTACTCCTCTCTGTCCTCAGTCTTTCACCTACTGCTCTGTGACCTCGCTGACGCTCCCAGACGCCCGCCACAAGCCCGAGGGTGCTCCCGACGCGCGTCCTGTTGGCAGCGGCTCGTCCAAGTCGCAGATCACCAACCAGCTGGCTATGAGTCTGGAGGAGGCCCACCTGATTCTGAACGTGAAGAAGGAGGCATCTATGGAGGCGATTCTGGAGGTGAGTTGCTGCTTCATGGTGATCTGGGTAGACTGCAGAGACGAAAACATTCCCCGCCCGATCCCTTCCGTCTCTGGACGGAGATCGGCGGAATGGTTTGCTTGCCGAGACGGTCGGCATATACTACAACGATTCGTCGGTGGAGGGATCAGCGTTCTGTTATTGTCCCTGCCATACCCTCACCCTGCCGTGCTTCGACTAACGATCCCAGAACTATGAGCGCATCTTCAAGGCCAACGGTGCTCCTGCCGCCCCCAAGGAGCCTCCTGCGACCACTCCTGCCGCACCGGCAGCACGTGGAGCCAAGAAGGCGAGGAAGGGCCCCACCCACAGCCACTACCTTCAGTCCAAGGTGTACCGCGCATTGGAACGTATCAAGGCCGAGCGCGCCGACGAGATTTCTGCTCTCACCTCCGAGGGTGCCGCCGCGGAGGGTGCTGCCGCTGCCGAGGGTGCTGCTGCTGCCGAGGGTGCTGCTGCTGCCGAGGGCGCCGCCGCAGAGGGCGCGGCCAAGGCAGAGGGTGCCCAGGCGGGCAAGGAGGGCAAGGCCCAGTAGAGTTATCGTTGACGTCGGTGACACATAGATCATCGTGTTGCATTCATGCATTAGCATTCCCATCTCACCGACGTCGAAAACATAGGTTTCCTGCGGTGCCTGCGGCTTGGGAAGGCTTTGGCCCAGGCCGGCGTGTGGCCAGGACAAAAAGATTGCCTCGAGCCAAGAACTGTAGCCACAGTGGTTTCCAAGCGGCAACGACCACCAAGCACGGTGGTACGCACACTGCACAGCCCAGTTCTGCGCACATGTCTGGGAAATCTGAGGATCTGAAGGCAAAGAACGGGCCATTGTTGTGAGGTCATGGGCGGGCGGCATGGAAAATGCGGGTCGATCCGATAGCCGAATTCCAAGCCACAGCCTCTCGGCGGCGTTCATGACAATGGAGGACCGGTCTCGCCCGACGGCAAGACATGACCCGACACACCATAACCGGCGGCGTGCGCCAAGGTGTTGTACATATGAGCACAATTCTACGGCCATGATATGCCCCGTCACCATTCTCACACACTGCTTTATCGATCTCACGGCTGGTTGTCACTCTTGACCACAGACCCCACCGTTGATATTCAAGTCCCAGCCTCAAACAACAGCCTTCAAGCTCTACCTATTACTTGCCCTCCCCTCTCCCCAATTGCCTTCTTGCCAGAGCGTTCACAATGTTCGTCCCGGCCACCACAACCGTCAAGCAGGACAACGCCGCCCTGGTCCCACACTTCACCGAGCACGTCTACGCGACCAAGCACGGCGTCGAGCTCCCCCTGCGCGTGTGGCGGTCTACAACCGATGCCATCGACGATGCCAACTATGCCGACCCCTCAGATCCCGCGGCGTACGACCTCGGCGGGTCCAGCACTGATCTCCGCGGCTTGCAGACCCCCCACAACGAGCCTGGTAGTGGAAGCTGCACCCCCGCGCCCCCAGCCCCCAAGCCGTGGTTGCTGTGGAGCCACGGCGGAGCGTTCATGGGCGGCAGCGTCGCGCCCGCGCCCTGGGTGCTGCCTGCCTTCCTCCCCTGGGCCCACGTCGTGAGCTACGGATACCGCCTCGCGCCGGCGGTGGGAATCGATGAAATGGCAGAGGACGGTGCCGACGCTGTTGCGTGGTGCCGTGCAAACCTGCCCGCCATCCTCGACGACATCAACATCGATGCCTGTATCGTCGGCGGTCTCAGTGCCGGCGGTTCGTTGGCTATCCTCAACGGCCTCCTTACGCCCCGCCCCCGTGTCGTCCTCGACGCTTATGGCATCGTCGACTTTGCCGACACCCACTTTGACCCAAAGTTTACTGGTCCCGGCTACGACCCGGGATCCGTGTCTGGACGCTACAGCGAGGGCCAGCTCGAACACGCCATCGCCGGTCGTGACGCAAGCACTGCGCTCACTGCCCTCCCCGGAAATGACGACCCAGACGCCCAGGGTGCCGTCACGGCCGTCTACTCGCGCGTCAAGGAGATGCTTGGCTGGACAGACCCGCAGGGTATCGCAGCCGACGTCAAGGTCCATGTGGCAGCCACGGGCCGCATCATGCGCGTCCTCACGCGCCGCGAAAAGCATCCAGACAACGATACGTGGCGTGTTGCCGCGACGCGCGCCAGCCCGATCACCAAGGTCGACGAGCACTTCCCCGCGACTGTCATCCTGCACGGTGTCGAGGACCGGACCGTCCCCGTCGACCAGAGCGCGCGCTTCGCCAAAGCTCTGCGCAACGTCGGCGTCGTGGTCAAGGAGGTGTATGTGCCTGACGCGGACCACTGCTTTGACTTCACTTGCACCGTAAGTCGACCAGTTGGACAGCAACATGACCTCAGCTGACATGACACAGGGCGCCAACTCTCCCGGATGGGACAACGCCATTGCCCCGCTCATCGAGTTCATCCAGGAGCGTCTCGAGCTCGTCGATGAGAGCCCCAGTCTTCTCGCGCCACCCAAGACCGTCTAAGGCCCATGTCAATTCACGTTTCCGTTTTAATCAGTCAGGTCAGACCCACGCGACCGCGCATGGAGGCGTAAGATAGAGGCCGGTCAGTGGGTGTATGTATCAGTTTGGGATGTAAAAAGTGTGCTGCTTCATGTCAATGTGATCTACGAGGTCTAACAGCTGGAAGCATGTTCTGCGGCTTGACGGGGTGGTGTGGGCAAGGCTGCGTCGCTCCCACCGGTGGCAGTCGTGAGAAGGGGTAACTCCACGCACTCGGTAAAGTCCAGCTGGCGTAAGCAACATGGAAGGGGCCACTGCAATAGGCAAGAACAGGGACAGACGCGAGTATCGACTGCTGTTGCTGGGGGGGCGGATGACGAGATCAAAGGTCGAAGACGGGGGTGCTAAAATGGGATCTCGCCGCGGAAGATGGCACCGACGGGAGGTTCGCGCGCAGGGGCGATGAATATTGCCTCGAGAACACAGCGTGGTGGTTGGAGAAAGCCTGGTGGTGGTACGACCTGAGTGTCTGTCAGGCGGTCTCGCACATCCGTCATCAGAATGCACGTACCACGTCTGCTAGAGCGCTGGGCTCGAGCCAGCCAACCACGGTGATCCACTCACCGCGCGCGAGGACGAGGCGCTGTCTTGGGACAGTTGGTCCTGGAGGGAGTGATGGATGCGTACCCGTAGACGACACTGCTGTTGATGGGGTAGGACGAGTAGGCAAGCTGGTCGTCGACGCAGCGTACCCTGCTCTCGCGTGTGAGACATCGAGCACACCGGGTGAGTGACCGAGGAGGGCGACGGAGAGCTCCATCAGGATGGTCGGTCTTGCGCCATGTCCCGCACCAGTGACCAGGATATGCGACGCGCTGTTGTCAATGTCGAGAATTCTGAAAGTCAGCCATGCTGCCGAGCGAGGGTTGGTTGGGACAGTGTTCACCCAACTCACTGCACCAAGAGTCGCAGCTTCCTGCCTACATGCTCCGCGCCAACCTGGGACAGCGGTATTGAGAGCGCAGAAGCAATTAAGTCTGATGGAGGTGGCGGAGGGGCGACAGCGTGGAGAACCTGTTGGCCTGCCATGGAATGAGAAGAGGTGGTGGATGGAGCAAAACCAAGACGAGTTGGCGTTGGAACCAAACAAAGGACGTGGGGACGCATTAGGTGACGGGGTTAATTTAAATTTAGTCCCGTCGCTAATGGTGTGCTTGAATTTCCGTGTCTGCTTCCGACCAGAGCTCCGTCGATCAATGACGTCGTTGCGACGTCGATCGGTTGCCGCGTTTTTGGCTGCGAAGTGTCGTTGTTGCAGCGTGTGTGTTTCGGGTGTTGCCCATTTCTCACACCCATTCTCTTGTGTCACTCTTACTCATCTGCTGTGCATCGCAGAGTATCCCACGCCCCAAAATCTCGTATGTGTAAGGATGCCATCTCGCTGTACCGCGGCCGCTGACGCCTCATAACGCAGCCCCACCGAACGCCAAGACAGCCACCCCGTCAAAGCCGGCTATACACCCATCTCACAACGCCTCGTCGACGTCTCGTCTCGCTCTCACTTGCTGTTCTTTTTCTCGTCCTCTTCGTTCTCCGTCCCGATCCATCCACCATGCCCCCCACAGCGCCCAAGTATCCAGACCTACCCCTCGTGCCGGCGCCGTCGGCATTCTCTGGCCCGACTGATCGTGCCAAGAAGCTCCTCAAGCAGGTGTGCGACAAGGCCATCAAGGATGGAGATTTCAGCATCACTCGCTCGCCACTTCCGTGTCCCATTGACAAGAACGAGTTCTTCGCCCTCAAGCCGTACTTTTGGGAGGCGCAGCCTGGATGTTGGGGTGAGTTTCACCAGCTGTAGCACGCCTGTCTCACCTGGTCGCTAACGGCAGAACGTCGCGATGGGCAGCGGAACCCAAGTAAGTGGCCACCGTATGCGGATAGCAAGAAGCTCAGCCAGTATCTCGTCCGCTGACCCTGTCGGCAGTGTGCGACAAGCCTCAGTGCCAGAAGCAGCTGCAAGGCATGGCCCTCGCCGTCGCAGCCCTTGCTGCAGGAGCCAAGAATGTCGACCCGGCGTACGCCGCGACCGCAGACACGTTGCTCAAGGTCTTCTTCCTCGACCCCGAGACCAAGATGAACCCCGAAGTCAAGTACGCGCAGGTCAACATGGGTGACTGCCCTATGAAGGGAGACAAGACCTTCGTCGTTGCTGTACGTGGCTCAGTTTGGGAACAGCAGTATGGCCCGTTTAGCTGACGGTCGGTACAGACCCGCTACCTCATCCTTGTGTCCCAGGCTCTGCCTCTCCTCCCACCCTCTCCCGTTGTGGATGGCGTCAAGGCCTGGATCCAGCAGCAGGTCCAGTGGATGGAGACCAGCGAACAGGGCGCCGCCGCCCGTGCGAGTGGCAACAACATTACCATGTGGTACCACGCCATCGTGAGTTACGCGGCGGTGCTTGTTGTCAATTCTAACTCTCTCCTCAGTACGCCTCCCACCTCGGCGCGCTCGACCCAGCCCGTGCAGCCGAGTACGCTGCCCAAGTCATGTCGTCATACGCCGCTCTCACGCCTGCCCAAGTCCTCGACGAAGAACTCAAGCGCACCAAACCCCGCCACTACACCCTCTTCGCCCTCGAGTCCCTCTTCGAGATCGCCGCCGTGGCAGGTGGTGGCGCGAACCCGCCTCCTCCGGCCATCATCGCGACTCTGAACGGGCTCGTCGAATTCGCCCGCAGCGTCCAGCCTGGACAGCTCGACTGCGAGTCGGACAATGACGCGCGCTACGGGCCCAAGTTGGCGTGGTTCCAGCGTGTCCTTGATCGCTGGGAAGGAAAGGCCGTGTCGGATGAGGACCCAGATGGGAGCGCGTGGGAAGGTGGTTGGAACCAGCGCACGAGGCTGGCGTGGGCCCTCATCTGAGGACGTCCAGGGGTTGTAGAAATCTAGATACACGCGTGAAATCAAATGAATGTTGTGAGTCAGTGCCGAAGGCAATTGTGACATCGACTGGGCAGAGGCACAGGTTCACAGGGTACATGCATGGTACGTAGGCACAGGCCCGACAAGAGTATTCTACAGCATGGCTTGGGGGTGGGTGAGAAAGAGAGGGGAAAGCGATCCCTCATCGTCGTGTTTCGATCATGCACTATTGTTGCTACATTTGGACATTTCATGGACGGCGCTCCTCGGGAGGACGCCAGCGGATACCGAGCAGGTCGAAAATCTCGTGCTCGGTGCGGGACGCGACCATCACGCCTGCTGTCAGCTAGAGAGACAAGCTCCAAGCTTACCTTCGGTGGTCTTCTGGCCGGTGCGGTCGCGGATGACACCCTTGTAGAGACCGCGCTGGTTGAGCGAGTATCCCTTCTTGCGCGCGTAGAGGCGCATACTGCGATTGAACTGAAGCGTGAGCTGGAGGGCACGACCGTCCACAATCAACTCAACACTCACCACATCGTTGCCGGTAAAGTAGAGGAGAGCCGCGCCCCAGTTCTCATAGGGGATGCAGAGAATGTCGATGCGACGGTGAATGCCGTTGATGCTCATCCGGCCAACACCCATCCACTTGGCCTCGAGTTCATCCCAGTCATGGGGTTCACTCAGCTAATGATGTTAGCTTACCGGGTGTGGAAGGCCAAGCTCACGTGGTGGGTAATAAAGCCCTGTTCACACAGAGTGCGCACAAGGCGCTTGAGGACGCCAACATGGGTGAGGCCATCGGAAGTGTCGCGCGTGATGAGAATGTCGACGTCACCAGAGTGAGGCTGGCCACGGCGGTAGCTACCCATGATCTCGATCCAGAGCTTGGGCTCAATGGCGAGCGCGGCAGTACGGATTTTGTCGAAGATCTGGCGGCACTCTTCGCGAGGGATGCGTTGGACAAGCTCATCATACAGGTCAAGGCCAATCTGGGGTTAGCTGCGCGAGAGGATTCCCAGCTCACCTTCTGGCCATCGGTGAGGCCAAAGTCCTTGGTCTTGAGATCATCGAGGGTGCGAGCACCGCGCTCGACCAGACGGTATGCCTGCTTGGGGCCAATGCCGTAGCAGTCCTTGAAGGTGGAGATGGCGCGGGCCTCGTTGGTGTCCTCGTAGTGGAGGCGGCCTGGCTCACCAGAGATGAACTCGTCGATCTGCACGGGTGAGCTTCCAAAACGTTGCATCAACCTACTCTGTCAGCGAGACTTTGACCGATGAACTTGAGAGTCATGGCCTGCGCGCCACTCTTGATAGGGTAGGTGGTGCCTAATGTGTTAGCACTTCACTGGCAGGTCACCTCACGTCGTAGGATGCCAGCAGCTGCGGAGGTCAGTAAGGGACGCACACAATCATAGACCGTGACTCACCACGCTGATAGCCGCGCTTTGCAAAGTCGTTCTTGCCGACCTGGCCTTCGTATATGTGGAACAGCTCGTCAAACTTCTTGGCAAGCCACTCGTTGGGTCCCTCATTGACATTTCCAGTGTGCTTCTGGCCACACTTGAAGCGGTCCGCCATGGGGTTGGGGTTGCGCTTCCGTCAGCTAAGCTCGGCACCAGAAACCAGGAAGCTCACCTCCTGAGACTCTTCATCAGACTCCTGGTGTGAATCATCACTCTGAGGGTCAGTGCCACAATGTCTGTCATCCGAAAACGTACATCGTAGTCGTCAGCGATCGTCTTCTCCTTGAAGCCGGAAATGATCTTGTCAAGGTCGTCGCGGTATTCAGGAGCAGGCTGGACCCAACCAGGACCCTTGGGGAGCTCGTGGCGAGTCGCAGCAGCGGCGAGTGGGTCGGAAGGGACTGCGTTATTGCTCCACCGAGGATCCTGGTTGGCGAGGTATTCAATGCGGCGTTGATCGCGAAGACCTGGGGCGGGGCGTTCGGGCGAATCGGTCTCGGAATCATCGGATGAGGCAGGACTGCGGCGCTTGCTGTAATGTCAGCAAAGGTGCTGTAGGTCGTTAACTTACTAGCCGCTTCGCGCGGCCTGGCGTAACTGGTGCGTGATGTCTGCCATGCGGGCGCGAGTGGGAGGCCTGGTCAAAGTGGTGGGAGGGAAGCTGAGGAACTGCTTCGTGTCGATCAATTTCAACTGCCGAGTCAGCTTGAGTGATCAGATCGATGAAGCTCACCTCCTTGATGCACTTCTCCACCCAGGTGTACTTGACGCAGACTGTACCCTCGGGGAGCGCAGAGAGCGTCTCGATGCCAAGGTGGTCCCTGAGGTTCTTTTCAGAGTTGCCGTCAAATACGACGTGCGTAATGGCGGTGTCGGGCTGGAAGACGACGGCACCACCACGCTTGGTAATCTGCAAGTCAGTTGAGATCCCGCAAAGATTCAACTCACCGCTTCACAGCGAGTGTGCTGCTTGGATACGGCACCAGGCTCCACAGCGAGGCAGAAGCGCGAGTCCTTGAACAGATCCGAGCCAAACACACCACGGGTCGACGGGGGGCGCACGGTCGTCGTCACACCGCGACCACGCCCACGCCCACGCCCACGAGAAGCACCTCCACGAGAACTTCCCGCAACGCCTGCGGCAACGTCGGCGCCTGCGGGGATCGTGAAGGCCAGGCGGAGCTTGGAGAGGTTCTGAAGGTCCTTCCCCTTGAACCTGGCGGAGACGTCTTTACCGAGAGCGATGGGTGTAGTTGGGTCGTCACGGCGACCTTGACCGACACTCCCAGGAGTCTGTATGGGGGTGTCCACGTTGATGGGACTGTCAAACGTGTGCGTTCCCGCGACAGAGCGAGTCGCCGCAGAAGGAGGGCCAGGGAGAGGTGGACGATTGTTGGGTGTCGATACAGTGGGTCCAAAGACGAGGGTCATGTTGAGGGTACGAGAAGGGGTATCTCCGTGACGCGTGGTGCTTGCAGTCGGGGCGTGAGAGTAGGTAAGGGGGAGGGGAACCGAAGGAAGGCGGGTGGCGGGCTCGACAGCATCATCACCTTGGACGAAGCTAGGATCGGCGAAGTCTTGGCCGACGGGCTGGGGAGAGAACGCAGGTGCAGGCATGGCCGAGTGCGAGATGGACTCTTCAACAAGGACCTCGTTTCCTGAACGTGAGGTGGCAGGCGCTTCGGACTGCTTCTTGCTGTGACTGCTGAGCTTCTCTTGCTTGATCCGCTGTTCGAACTCTGCTTCCTCGTCGGTGTCGTCGTTGAGGTGGCCGGCGTCGTCGGCCGCGAGCTTTTGCTCGAGGTCGGTGCCAAACGTCGTGAAATGGTCAAAGGATACCATAAGAGGCAGGGCCCCAGTGGCCAATGCTGGTGGGTGGAATGGGTGGTTGAGAGGAAGGACAAAGGTGGATGGATGGATCGGTGACTGGACTTCTTTGTTGTTGCAGCGGGGCCCCTCTCGAGGAGCCAACAAAAGTCACGTGACCTTGCCGCTGATATCCATCTCGCAAAGTGGAGGCCATCCATCTCGTTCACGACTTCAATTTTCCCTCACCATCATGCCTCGCGTTCAAGCTCAAGACGCTCCTTACACCCCCTCCACCTTGCCCGAGGGCCACGTCGTGGTCAGGCTCGGCCCTCCGATGGGTTCCGGCAACTTTGTCTGCACGGATCCCGAAGGTGTCGAGCGTCTCGTCGAGCTGCCGAGCAGGATTCGCCGCCAGACCTTTGCCGCACGTGGTGAGTTTGTCTGCTGAGTCTTATGAGGGAGGGAGCAGCGAGAAAAGATATAGAAGGCAGGGTATATTCTCACGACGGTCTCTATGGAGCTGAGGTACTCCGCTCTTCAGCCACACAACCGTCCAGCCCGTGGCCTGTCCTGGACTCGAACTTCCTTCGCTCGTCGCTTGACCCCACGCTGACTCTCCAGGCATGTTCGCCTTTGTCGAGCTCTTTGAGGAGACCGACGGTCGCCTCGCAGGCGAGATCACCCATGTCATCTCGGGTCCTGAGATCAAGACCTTCAGGAAGGCTGGCGAGTGGTGAGCTCCTTGTCGTTGTCTTCGAGCTGACTCCTCAGGCCCAAGGCGTTTGACGTCGAGGCCGAGACACAGACCGCCGCCGCCGACGAGGACGAGGACGCGCTCCCCGAGAACCCCAACAGGAGGCATCACGTCGCGGACGAGAGCGACAGCGAGGAGGAGGATAGCGAGGAGGAGTCGGACGACGAGTGAAGGACGACACTTGTGGGTAGCCTGAAGCTGCCCTTGCTGACCCACCAGGAACAGTGGAGTAGCCTGCCAGTATGGTATGGCACGTCTGCATAGATCTATAACGATGGCACGCAATCACGAATACAATTGGCCTGTGCTGCAGCTGCGTGCACCGTTGACTGATCGCTTCGACCAGCGCAGTGACCATCCAGCGCACAAGCGGCCGCAGCACGCGTCCATCTACAAACGGTGTTGGGTGTGAGGTGAGGACACAGGAGTGGGACTAGGTATGATACAGGGGAGGTGACAAGAAGCGGGAGACTACGGCGTGTCGGGTGTCTCGACCTTGACAAGCGCTAACGGCGAGCTGGACCTCCTTGGGTGCCTCTGCCAAGCCCTGGTGGCCTTGGCCACCTTCTTGGGCGGGAGAGCAGGGACCAGTCCATCGATCTCGACGGATTCGTCCCGCGCACGCTTGAGCTTGGGTGACCTGGGTATCAGTACTGACCCAACCAACTGACCCCTGATCCACAGCCTAGTACTCACTGCTCGTCGTCCGAGTTCAAGGACGTCATCGCCAGAGGAGGATGAGAGTATGGTCCCAGGCGGCCGTCGTGACGCTGCAGCGACACAGACTGGCGACGGCTGCCAATACTGCTCGGTGCGGACGGTGATCGAGAGGGCGATGGGAGGACGTTGACCCCCACCGCGCCCACGTATCCGTCCAACTGGTCACGCCGGCGGCTGGCGTCAATGCTGTCTCGTCAGCTGATGATCTGGGCTCTGTCCAGCTCACATGTGCCTCATGGCCTCGCCGTTTCCCTGCACGGGCGCCTCATCGTCCTCATCGAGCATAGGAAAGTACAGCTGCCTGGTCGGGAAAGCGCCACTGTTGAACTGCACCGTCCGCTCGCCAGGCTCCTCAGATGCACACGTCCCATCCGAGAGACGGCGAGGACGGCGCTGCGGCGTGTTGGTCGTGCTGCGCCAGCGCGGGTTGACTGGCGCCGGCGCAAGCGTAAAGTCGCGCTGGTGCTGCTCGTAGGGCCGGCGCTCGAGAATGACGTCTTTGGTGAAGCCTGGCTGGAGAGGAGTCCGCTCGGGTTTGGGCTGCTGGTATGGAGAGTTGAATTGAAGCCGAGCAGAGACGGCAACGGCGATTGTGGCAGGGTTGGGGCGACCACCGACCCTCGTCGCGCGACCGCGGGCATCATGGTCCTCATGAGACTGGGGCATTGCGGCACCGGGCTCAACAGGCGCCGGGTGCCATGCTCGTTCGGGAGCAGGAAGCACCTTGCCGAGAGGCGGGGTGAGAGCCGGCTGCCAGTACCCGAGTGCAGTGTAAGGGATATCGTTTGCGCGGGCGGCGGGAATAACACTGTACGAGGGGAGAGGAATGGGAAGTGTACACTTGCTTGACCCAGTGAGATCACTGAGTCTGGGAAGACGGTGGCTGGTCGGGTACGCTTGGCCAGCAGGGGCTACCGGTGACGGGATGTGGGGAGCAGCGTGGTCGTCGTTGTGGCGGGGACCAATATCCTCGATGCGGCGGAAGATGTCGTACAGCCCATTGATGCGGCTGGTGAGGATCTGGTAGAGAGGTGGGGACGGCCGGCGGTCGTGGCTGCGGTTGTACTCGACCTCGAGGGTCTCGCGGCCAATCTGGATCCGACGCTCGCACGCGCGAACCTCCCTGGTGGCCCTGTCAAGAGAGGAGGAGATCAACGCCAGGTCACTGCTGAACATCGCTTCGCGCCTTTGGCTGAGCCTCTGGGCGTGCTCGTTCATCCCGCCGTCCACCACATGCTTGGAGTGCGACTGGAGCCGCGTGGTAAACTCGCGCTCGGCCTCGAGAATGCTTTCTTCCGTGCGCACCTTGCCGTACTCGTACACATCGTCGAGGACGCGCCCGGCGGCTTCGGAAAACTGGTAGTCGATCCGGGACTGGATGTGAATGGACTGGACGTTGTCGCTGACGTCGTAGACTTGGCGTGTAAAGTGGTGGACACGGTCGTCGAAGCGAGGATGTTCCGAGTAGATCCCACCGATACGAGCATGGCGCATGGGTGGTGTGAAGCGAGGGAGACTCTTGATATGGGGAAGTGGACGAGGTGGGGATGCAAGTGGAGGCCTCGAGTAGGCCCATCCCTCCAAACTGTTGGCGTAGTGGGCTCCGAGCGCGTGATGGAAGGGTGCTGCGTTGGGAACTGTTCGTCTAGCCCAGTCGGGGGTGGCCAGGACTCGGGGAGGGGAGAGGATGCTATGGACCGGAGATGTCAAGGAGTAGACGGGTGATCTCAAGCTGGGAGCCAACGGGGAAAGGTCATCCTGCCAGGTGCTCAAGGTTGGTGATGGTATGGCCATCTTCGGTGAGTTTGTGGTGATGAAGGTCGAACGAGATGCGCGAGATGGATGGGAAAAGTGACCAGTCGACATTGATGGGCATGCATTTCAACCTCGAGCAATCCATCAATCAAGTCTTGCGATGCACAGGTTCAAAGTGATGGGTTTATTGTTCCAAACGTGCGGGGTGTTGTGACAATCAGCCACTCGATCTCCGTCCCCTTCGGTTGTCGGAGAACAATGAAAGTCTCCGATCGCGGTCCATCAGCTTGTATCGTGGGCGTCCTGGGACTCGCAGCTTCCTCGAGGTCACGGGGATAGAGCGATAGACACGTTACATCAATGCATGGATGCCTGTGCCCCTTTCATATTCTGCAGCTCACATCTGAAGCCCACATTGCGGGGCTTGGCCCGCAGCCGAGAGACGACGCCACTGCCTCACCCCTGCTGTCACAATGTGAGACCACGATGTGTGTCAACCCCCTTTGCCGCTTTGCATCACTGCAGTACAGCCCATTATTGATCGTACCCAAAAAGGTTCAGGTACTGAATAAGGAGATTCAAGAAGCGTAGCTGTGAATTTCAGACCTGAGGCAACAGGGACATATGGGTGAGGCGTGCAGCGACATTTAAAACCTGCCGCCCCTTCTTCTCGCCACCGCAGCCTGCATTGGTCCTGGTGCTGCGCTGATACAATGTACTCTTGGACTGGGTATTGCATCACTGCCTGCCATGCATCAGACTAATGCATAAGGGTAAGCTGTGTTGCTTGAACGCTTTTCACCAGTACAGTAGTTGCCACTCCGAGATCCGAGAGCCTCCCCCCTAGCGCCGCCACCAGCAACCGCTGTGTGGGTCGTTCGGTCTGGTTTGAGCGCCCCCAGGAGCAAAATGACGGAGTTGCACAGGAAGCCAGCAACCTGGACGCCCACAAGGGTGCTTGGAAGCTTGTATGCTGGCGATCAACGCCGCTTGGTCAGCTGTTGATGTCTCTTGATTAAATGACTTGGTTGGACTGGGACGTGGCCGATTCCGTGCGGCCCACCAGGGGAGCAACGCTGCCGGTGCAGCTAGTCGCCATCACGCCGAGTCATCGGTGCGCTTGGGTGGCGATGGAGGTGTCCAGCATCATGCTTGAGATGCTGCCTACGCCAGTGCGTGCGCCAGTGCATGGGTTTCCCCATACGCTTCTCGCCCATTGTGTAGGACCATGCAGCCCATGTGCGACAGCGGGGGCATTTCGAACCCGGCTGTTGTGGTGCCTGGCGGAATTAATTGGGTTTTCGTTCATTTTTCAGTGGACGAATTCTTTTCGCCGCGGCTACTCAATTCATCGATCGTCGTTGCTTTTCAGTTATCCACCAGGAACGTGCAACTGCAGCTCAACTACTGTCACCTCGGGCATGCAAATGCATATTATAAGGCTGTAACGAGACCGGAACGGAAACGTATTAAGGATGGGGGAGGAGTAAAGGATTAAGGGCAGGAGACGGGGAACGAGAACGAGACAGGGAAGGGGAGGGGGAGGGGGAGGGGGAGGGGGAGGGGGAGGGGGGGAGGGGGAAGGCTATATACTACAACGCTTTTTGTGTTGTGACACTCTCACTAACACAACTGGTCGGGTAAAAACCTCTCCCATCCTGCAAAACCCAGTGGGAAAAAGCATGGTGGACAAGAGAGGAAACTGTTCCCAGCCGCCTGCATACGGAAGCACTTTGGTCTAAACGGGTAGGATCTTTCCCCCTAGGTCCCATAGCGACTCCGAAGAGCCCATTCTCCGACTTCCAAAACGAACTGGAAGCCGGCGAGACTGAGTGAGGACGTCGGGCCAGACAGACACACGGAGTCCTGAATGATTGATAGCCCTGGACATGGGTAGCGCTACAGCTTCCACCGAAAGTACTTTGTGCCTTCCCCGATGCTCCCGGGCATTAGACCAGCTAACGTCTAATGCCCAGCAACATGGAGACTTGTCGCGCAGCTAGGGCTGTCGGTTGCGATGTAAGGTTCCAGCCCAGGTGACAAACTCCATACCCTCGGGCAGGCCATTACCCAGCCGGTTACGAGTGCCATGCCAGACCATTCCCAAACCACCACAGAGCCAACTGGTCTGTGACGACCACCACCAACCGTCGAAAGTACCCCAGCAGTCACCGTCCCACCCAGGATGCTTCAAATACCGACCAGCTCACTCGCCTCCTTTCCCACGATCCTAACCCGAACCCAGAATTTGACCAAAGTACTCACTGATGCTACCACGAGACGCCTACAGGCCATTCGCGATACTTGTCAACTTGAACCAGCCATGACGAGCGACGAAAAAGCACACAGGTTCCTCAAACCTGTGTATGTCTCGCCTAGAGACCACGGCGTCGACAAAGCTTCCTGAGGCTGCGCTTCCAAGCAGCAGCCATGCCAGTCAGCTTCTTGCCGTGCTGCTTGGCGACTCGGGGCTCCTCGATAACCGAGAAGTCGTCGTCGCTAGCAGCGGTCGAGTTGTCATCGTCGGTGCTCGAGAGCACCGACTCCTCCTCGACCAGCCTGTCGGCGCAGGCGGCGTCGGTCACCTCGGCAATGCTTGCCTTGGCCAGCGACAGTCCTCCAACCTCGGCCACCACACTCGCGAGCACAATGCTGCAACGCTTTGCAGCGACCTTGGCCTTCTCTGGACCCGCCCGAGACCCGGTGCGAGGCGAGTCGCTAGGAGGCAGGGGGCGAAGCGTGGGCAAACGCACCTCCTTGAGAAGGACCGCGTCGGTGTCCCGTTGCACGACGCGGGTCAACTGGCTCAGGGTGAACATCAAACCCTGGCCAAGAGCCCTTGAACGCGCACAGTTCCTCACGCTGACAAACATCTCACCGGGGTAGATGCCACGCTCGAACACGCGAGCTCGGACTGCGTCCACCTTGAGGCGGCTCGCCTTGCAGTCCGAGAAGCAAGCCCAGAGGACCGACATGCCAAGGGCGTGCCAGTCGTTGGTCTCGCAGCGGCCGACTGCGCCGTCCAGCGACTCGGGCTCACCGAACCAAATGGTGCCGTAGCGGTTGAAGCCAGGGCCCATGGACACGGGACCGTCAAAGTCAACCAGCTTGGCAGAACCAAACTGGCGGCCGGGCAGCCAGATGTTCTCGGGCTTGACCTCGGAACGCTTGAATCCCTGCTGGTGCAGGAACATCACGCCCTCGGCAATACCGCTGAGAACCGCCGCCGCGTCGAGCGCGTTGAGGACACCAGTCTCGCGCACGAGCATGTCCAGGTTGGACACGAACGCAGCAGGAAGGGAGTCCTCCAGGCAGGCTTCAAAAAAGCCGCCACCGTAGGGGCCGCCGTTACCCTTGAGGATAGAGCGGAGCTCCTGCTTAGAGCAGAAGCTCACATCCTTGTTGGGGCGGACAGCACCGCGAGTGACGACCTTCTTGGCCGCAAAGAGAGTCGACTGGGGGTCGGCCCAGGCGACAGTCTTGGGGGAGGGGAAGAGGGAAGGGGGAAGGCTACGGACGGGGAAGGGACGGTCGATGAACACGAAGCCGTCAAACTCACAGGGGTGGCCGTTGCACTTGCTGGGGGGAGGAGGAGGGGAGGAAGGGGAGGAGGAGGTGATGATCTTGAAGGAGGCCTTGTTGAACTTGGCGACCTTGACGACGGAGAGGGAGGAAGGGAAGGAGAACATTGTGGGGGGGTGGTGGTGTGGGTGGGGGTGGTAGTGGTGGTGGTAGTGGTGGTGCTATAAACCGGGAGAGAGAGGAAATGGAAGTGAGGGGGAGTGGGAAAAAGAAGAACGGGGGGACGTTTGGCTCGTATTATATAGACGTCGAGGGGGGGCACTCGCCACTCGTTCTCTCGCCGTGGGGCAGCTCTTGATTTGCAATTCGCCACCGGGGGGGGGATGGCTTAAAGCGCGTTTGTGGACGCATCTGGTAGTTTTTGGCATGTTTGCCTCGACGTGACGCGTGAAAGTGGCGCTAAAGTAAGACAACACCGTCAACTGGGGTGTTTTGTAGTCGACACACGTCAATCGACCCGTCAGTTCGTCCAAACATTTGTAGCGAGCGGGGCCAAACGGTTGGTAAAATGCCCCCCAACGCTGTGTGCTGTGCAAATGTCGTCCCCAGATCGCAAATTCCAAGCTCCCCATGGCGGTCCCATGGCCCCAGTCCCAGCTGCACGTGTGCGAGGAAGGTGCTTGAAAAAGTCGGGGGCAATGTCGCGTGTGGCACGCTGGACGTCGCTCGCCGCTGGGGGAGCTTGGCCTAGCTGCTGCACGCCTATGAGGGGTAGGGGGGATGCTGGGGAGCAGGGGGGTTGTTGATCGCGAGCACGGGGAGAGTGTTAGAGAGGATGCAGTGGTTGGGACGCGATGAACAGCGGTGGATGCGTCGAGGTTGGCGTATGCAGATTGCTGATCGTTGTGCGCGCCTCGCTGTCCGTGCACGACGACGCCCATCCGCAGCAACGTCTGTGCATCCACACACTGCGTACAGTGCCATCCACATGTCTACATCGTTGCTCGCCATCACCTCTGTGCACCTCGACATCCTCTCTCTTCAGAACCGCAAGCAATCCTCCCCACACACCGCACCGACGGACGGCCCATCACCAGGAGGGAGGAGGGAAGGCCAGTCCAGTCACCCGCCGTCCAGTCACCCGCACCGCCCACCGCCCGCCAGTCATTCCAATCCATCCACGCATCGCCATCACCGTCCTTGCACACCACCTTGCTACCTCACCCCCTCTGCACCTACAGCCTTCGCACTCCCCAGCAGACATTTTCGCGACCCATGCAGACGTGTAGCACACACCCCACACCCCCTTGCAAAGTGACGTGCACCAAAGTGATTTGCTTCCGCTCGGCACTGTCGCCACCCATCTCCCACTCACTCATGGCGGTGATCCACCCCACCACCAACACGCTCGCCATTCTCCTTCATTGCATCGCTCTACACTGCTCACTCCCGTCTCTGAATACATTTTTCGGCAGCGCTTAGACCCCAAGATCACCCTCGAGAAAATTGCTCCACCGCAGAGCTCCTACCCGTCGATTCGTGAGGCGCAGTGTGCAGCGTGTCCCACCGGCCACGCCCCTTCCTCTCTTTGCCTTCCCGGCCTCCTACACGTTCTCAACGTCCTTCATCCCCTTCCGTGGACTCCTAGATAATGTTCTCACCTATCAAGACCCCCAAGACGTCCCAAATCGACCGAGGTTCGATAGGAGGCGGCAGAGAAGACATACAAGTGAGTCCCCCAGGTGTCATTCACCATTGCCCCTGTCGTCGTGCGCGTCGAGGTGCCCCACTGCTGTCCTCCACTGCACCCACATGGACGTACACGACGTCTACCCAAATGGGACCGTTGGACTCTTGTTCCTGCAGCTGGGCTTCCTTGATTGGGAGGCAGGCGGCGGGCAATGGCGGTGCCGCACGGCTCGTCGTCGGTCGATTTCAGTTGCTGTCACTCGTTATTCCCTCCGTTCCCAACTCACATCTAGTTCTTCTCCGTTTACCTATCCTTCAGCAACACGCTCTAAGAGAGATCAATCACTCGTCCCATACCCACTGCAACAGACCAGGCTCAGACAAGTGACGCACCACCAGTCCAGCCTAACCGCATGCGGCGGACGGGTTTCGCTCACACCACGCCTGTCCTCTTATTCTTCAAGCTTCCCGCTCAGCAATCCGCACCCATGGTGAGCGAACACCTGTCTCTCCCGTGCACGCCTGGACCCCGTGGTGCAGTTAAAGCTGTCCCCGCTCAGACATGTGTCTCACGGTCGCGGCCGAAGGCCGTTCTTCTGCCTCGCCTCGCCTTCGTCGTCCCAATTCCCAAGCTCCGTGTGTGCTCTGCTACCTCCTTTCCAGACAAGGACCCCTACGCTCGACATGTGTTAAATCAAAGGGGCGCCACACATCCCTGCAGACGGAGGAACAGGCAGGCAACACGCTCAAGACCGCTGCCGGTCTGGGAGTACAGGGCGGCCACAGGCTTCAACCGTTGGCATTCAGACAAATGTTTGCTGTAAGGTTCTACATTCTACAGTATGGACATGCACATTGCAGTGCTCTAGGTACATGGGTAGTGCTGGATCACTGCTGCGTTAGAGACAACCGACAGTTCCGTCACTCACTCACATCAACTTACTGTGCGCGGCAACGCACGCCTCACCCCCACACCCCCATCAATGTTTCGCCGTTCTCCATCTTGAACGGCACGCCGCAACCTTGTACTGGTGAAACCGGCTCGGCATGGTATTGAGCGCTACAGTGATCATGTAGTCGTTTTCGTCAAACTCGAGCTTTTTCAGTCGTGCCGCCAGCGAAGCCATCTCGGCAACGTACAGCTTCACTCCCTCCGCCGAGTCCTGGCACTTGGTGCCGTACATGAACCGCGTGCCAAGCTCGAAACACTCAAACGCGCGCAGCGGCTTGTAACGCTTGACGAGCTCGTCGTACACCCGCCGCGCTGCGCCTGGCACAGTCTTGTGGTCGCCGTCAAGCAGGTGCCTGGTGAGACCCAGTGCCGTGTCGCTGCATGTGGTCAGGATGAGCGCCGCCACTTGGCCATCGCATGCCGCCCATTCGGCGTAATCGCGCGTCGCCTCGGGTGTAGGGGTAGCTGGCAGAGAGGGCGGCTCGTCGTGCAGATATTTTCTGGTACTCGTTATACGCAGTGCCAGATCGAGGTGTGCGTCCCAGCGATTGAAATCGTCACGGCACGTGAGCTTGGGAATCGCCCTAAAGGCGTCAATGAGCTCGTTGATGTTGGACAGGCCCATGACGGCTAGCGAGACGGTTGGGGACTCGATGGCGAGGCGAGGCGCGGGGCACAAGCGGCGCGGCGCGTTTTGCGCAAAGGAGCGAGTCGGCCTTGTGGCCTGTTGGCAGGTAGCAGCCTCTGGGTAGTCACAGAGAGCACCCTTGCTTGGGGGTGTGGCTAGTCGCGTAAAATGCAGTGTAGAGAGTAAGGCTTGTTGCACTGAACACGCACGTCACTGGGCTGTTATCGGATCTGGCCGCCGGCCGACACGCACAGATCGCGTGGCCACCCCATTTCGATTCTTAGCAACAACTAGGTTATGCATCGCTTGGCGCAACCATCGAGCACAGCACCTGCTACTTGGTCTGTGGAACGTCTCTTCCCTGATACAATGGTTGATGAGCTACACGAGTATGGCGGTCAGCGATCAGCAAAAGGGCCGCGGAAGCACGGCTACCACGGTTTCGCAGCTTTCGGTCGAATCCGTCACCTTGTCGATGCTCACGCCAAGCCTGACCTCGTAAAAGGGTCTCTGCGTCTCTGGGATGCCTGGCCAAGGCCACATGGACACACGCATAGATGATGACAGTTGCAAGGGCTCTTCCATGTCACCGTCAAGGTGGCCCCCCCAGCCTCTCGCGCTCGAGCCGGAGCTGCTGTGCTGTGCCACAGCAAATGTGGTTTCTAGACCAGGTTCAGGCGGCGGTACTGGAGTGCTGTGTGTTGGACAGATCAGCTGCAGAGTGGCCAGTTGCGCAGCCAATACTGTCGTTCTCATGTCTACGTCTCGAAGTCTGAACGCCGCAACGCCGCAGCTCGGCAACTTGGCACGCGTGAAATCAGTCGTCAGCGTGAAATCAGTCGTCAGTTCGATTCATGGCATCGCCAAGGCCTAGGAAGTGCGGTCTCGACGACGTTCGTTTGAAGCCTTGCGCTCCAGTGTGCAGCCCACGGCATTCATACTCGTATTAACGAACGGAGTTCATACTCGGGGCCTCTGCAGGGTGGGTTGGGGTGGGTCGCGGGTATCGACGGTGAAGGGAATCGAAAGGGGGCGAGCTGCGAGACGTGACGTGACGTGACGTGAAGGGTGATAACGTCCTTCTTCTTGCATGGGAGAGTCCAGAGGTGGTGCAGGAGCACTTCTCGTGTGACTTCTTATCGGTGCACATGACTGAGTGAAGGGTGGTGGAAACAGGGCGATACAAGGCGAATAGACAACGAACGAGCGAAACAACAGCAATCCTGTCAAGTCAGCACCGACCCGTATCAAAGACGCACCCTCTGAATACGCACTACTTCTCGACAGCCACCTTGGAGGCAGCACCCTTGTCACTGTGACCTTTACGCATGAGGATCCTGCGCATGCCCCCAGCCACCACGGCGCTGAAGCGGCTCAAGCGCCCTCCGCCAGCCTTCTGTTCGGCGGCTGCGGGCGGTGCCAGGCTCTTGGTCCGGCGCGGGAGGTCGCTCCGCTGCTTGATGCTCTTGATGCTCTTTGGCTTTGGCGGAGGCGGGGGCGAACGGAGCTCGGGCAAGTGGTGCACGGAAGCCTGCACGGTCTGTCAGCTTCAGGAGGCCATGGTGGAGTGGAACACTGAATGCTCAACGCGACCCGGCGACTCACGCTTGCAACGTCTGTTTCGGCGTACTCCAGCATGGCTTGCAGGTGGGAGCGCTCCAGGGTACCAAAGTCGACCGAGGCCGACTCGCTGTGGGTGTGAGAGATGGTGCGCATGGTGCGTGGACGAGTGGCCGAGGAGGATGGACTGGTGTGAGAGTGAGTGAGTGGGCAGATGCAAAAGATGTGGAGAGATGGGTGGCGAAACGAAAAACCCCTAAAGATGCGTGTGCTGAGAATGCCGAAACGTGTGGGGACCGGTTGATGGTCCTGATCGCATCAGCGGATCGACGGATCAGCGGCGTGCACCCACCATGCCGGATCGACTGGAGCGGCCACAGACTCACCAAGCGGTGTGCTCGTGCATGACGGGCATGATGGTGGAGGTACCGGTCATGGTGCATCTGCGAGTGGAGATCGGATGTGGGGGCCAGGCAAATGTTCGGCCCGAGGTTCTTGTTACAAGGGGTCGATGTCGCGTCTTGAGCTTTGACCGTCCACCGTCCGTCCTCTCACTCGCACCCATTGTCACGTTGACCCTCCCGCTGCACGTTCCTTTTTTGGCATCACCGTTGACCGACCTGCTCTCCATCGCCGCATGTCCCCCTCTCCATCTCGAGTGTCGTAGAACCATAGGGCCCGCTTCGGCTACCAGTGAATGTGTGGAAGCATTCAAACAGCGGCGTTGCGTCTCTGAACGACAGCCAGGACGAGGACCAGTCCAGTCTGAGGCGTTTCGTTCTTCCACTGCTTTGCTGGTGACCGGTTGCGCTAACGGGTCAACAAACGCAGCGCGCAACGGGACTGCCAGTGTGGCAGCCTGTCGCGACCCAAACGGCTCCAGCTGAAGCTACGCTGAGGCTACCACCCAACTGGCGGTACTTATGGTTAGCTCAGGCACGGTCCTCCCTGAGGACCTCGAGAAATGCTTGAAATTCGCTGCAAATGGGTGTACGCATGTTGCACGCGCTGGACTGTCACGAACGACTGCGATGAATATTAGGAACCTTTTCAACAGCCTCGCAAAAAGGTGGACGAGTCGTGACACGGAGCGTGACGTCAATCTTGTTGGGCTGTGGTGCTCCGCATCCGCCTTCGGAAGCAAAATCTCTCCGTGGCAAAATTCCATCACCGCCACCGCAAACGTGCGAAACGGCGCGGTGGAGTCTCGACGGCAGCACAGCCGTCTCCCTGCGCTTGTGTGCATTGTGTGTCGGAAGGATATGGGAATGGGGGGGTAGCGGAGGTAGCGGACTGTGCCCTACTGCCCTACTGCCGTCCTGCCTCGGTATCATTGGCATCAGGGCAGAAGAGTGACCGCCACCGTCCCCGCGGACAGCCGGACAAACAGCTGGTCCCCTTGTCACATTACATGTGTCTCTGGTGGGTGTGGACCGCCGACGGTGCAGAGGTAGGATCCCCAGCTAGGGCTCGAATCAAGGACAGGAACCGCGAGACACTGCGGGTGCACCACTCGAGCGTCCATGGTCGTACCGTCCAGCGAGCACACCCGCCACCGTAGACATGGCTGGCTTGCTGCTTCTGGACACTCGTGACATTTCAAGGGGAGACTGTGAGTCTGGAGAACACATGACGGTGATGCATGGGGTCGAGTTACAATGGTAGCGGGCAAGTAGAGTGGGATTTTTTTTTTAAAAAAAAAGAAAATGTATTTAAAAACCCTACTAAAGCCTGTTCAGTCTTGTCTCAGCCGTTCGTGACCTTGTACGACTCGCCTCTCAAGGACGCCCATGAAAGGGAGCTTACGAGTGAAAGCACCGGGCTCTAAGGTTTAAAGGTCATGCATACCACCTCTACGAGGCACTGTCGGGCGAAAGAAATTGGGCAAAAAATCAAAACCACCTCGGAAATTTCCCGGTGGTCCGCCACAACCCGCTTCCACCTTCCCAACTCACCCCGTCTTCATCTGTAGGCCAAAAGCAAAGGCCGAGCACGTCTCACGCGCTTCGTACTACCCCACCAGGGCTCGAACCTGGGACCTCGGAGTATGTTGAAGATAACAGCTCCACGCGCTAACCAACTGAGCCATAGGGTAGACGATGTTGGTGTTTCCAGAGTGCCAGGACGTTCGCCTGGTCTGGAGAAGCTCGTTTGCGTGGTTTAAGCCCCCCAGGAGGTCATGTACGGGGACGCAGCGTTCCAGGCAATCTTATCTGGGTTGTGGAGAAGAACAGAGGCGCCAGTTGGCCCAGCTGGGGAACAACTGTTGCGATTTCAAGTCTCGGAAGGGGCCAAGTCAACATTTCACCGGCTTCTCCCACACCCATGGCAAGGATCCTTCTCCAGCATTCTTCAAGCCTTCTCCTCGGTCCAATAGCTCTCCTCGGTACCTCTGAGACGCTCTACATCGTCTCTTCGCTAGTATATCGGTTAGTATAACCGCCTCTCAATAGGGAGTCTTCCTAATAGGAATAGATCGCGGTAGAGCAGGGTTCAACTCCCTGGCGGAGAAGATGGACGTCCCTAGGATGTTCCCTTTTGCTTTTGGATGCTGTGGATGAGGTTTGGGGATGCTAGGGGACGTGGAGAGAGGTTGACGATGGTGGTTGGCGAGGTCGGGCATTTCTGGAGGAGACGGGGAGGAGATTGGCGCTACATCCGAAAGTACGCTGTCGACGGTCGCTGCTGTCCGACAGCTGCCACGCATGTAGCACACATGATACGGTATCCTGCTTCCTGCCAGTTAGGGATCCCCCAGGAGTATGGCCACATCTTGAAAGAGTGTGTCGAGACGCGGAGAATGAGCGATGAGCAGTTTTGTGGCGCCATCACACCACGTTTTCTCCACCGCTCACTATCGCTGTACAGCGGTGAGTCTGCCCCTCGCCTTATCTGGCATCAGAAACGGAGACTCCTGCGGAGACAGCTCAGCTGTCACACCCCTCGTGGCGACGTGAATCCTGGGGCACTCTCATCGCTTCAGAGCGGCTCCGTAACAGATAGAGCGCCGCACAGGACGCATTCGCAACAGCTGCTGCTGTTCCTTCAGCCCCCTTGTTCGTTTCACAGGCCACCCAGAAAGCGGATGCCAGAGAACATGCCAATCCATAGCCACAACATCGTTACTGTACTGTACGTAGAGACCCTTCAATCGTTCCTCCTCCTCTAAAGCTTGGCCTTGACATCGGCAGCGGCGTCGCGCTCCGCCTGGGCCTTGGCCCTCAGGTCCTTGCGCAGGATCTTGCCGCTGGGCGACTTGGGAATGATGTCGATGGCATCGACGCCGCCGCGCAGGCGCTTGTGGGGAGCCACACGCTCGGCGACCCATGCCGCGACCTCCTTTTCAAAGGCGGCCTTTTCGTCTGCGGCAGAAAACACGCCGGGGGCAGCCACGACGTACGCGCGCGGCAGCTCGGTCGCCTGGTCCTTGTCGTACACGCCAATCACGCCGACATCCTGCACCTGCGGGTGCGTGAGGAGGAGGGCCTCGAGCTCGGCAGGCGGCACCTGGAAGCCCTTGTACTTGATGAGCTCCTTGACGCGGTCGACGACAGCCCACCAGCCGTCGGCAGGGTCGCAGACGAGGACGTCGCCAGTCATGAACCAGCGTCCCTTCGGGTCCTGGGCAAACGTCTTGTCCGTGGCCTCGACGTTGTCGTGGTAGCCCTTCATGACACTGGGGCCGCGGACCCACAGCTCACCGCGCTCTCCTGGCTCGGCGTCCTCGCCGTCCTCCTTGACGAGACGCGCGTCGTAGCCGGGGATAAGCTTGCCGACCCAGCCCTTGCGCTGGCCGCCGGACAGGTGCGACACGGGCGACGTCTCGGTCAAGCCGTAGCCCTGCGAGAGGTTGATATGCGGCAGACGCTTGTTGAACTTGGTGATGACCTCCTCCGACAGTGGCGCGGCGCCCGACATGAGGGTGTTGAGCGACGAGAGGTCGTACTTGTCCACGTTCTTCGAGTGGAGGAGGACGATGATGATGGGTGGGACGATGCACGAGAAGGTGATCTTGTACTGAGGAGAGTTAGTGACAAACTCCAGCCAGCTTTCAACTCACCTTCTCCACGGTGGACAGGAAGGCAGTCTCCTCAAATCGCGGCAGCACAACCACCGGCACGGCAATGGTGAGAGGCAGCAGGAGGAGAATGGTGAGGCCGAAGATGTGGGAAAAGGGCAGAATGCCGAGGACGCGGTCCCTGCCGTGCTCGATCATGTCGAAAGCGACATTGACAGCCTGGAGCTGGTTGACGAGGTTGTGGTGGGTCGTCATGACACCCTTGGGCAGACCGGTCGTGCCGGACGAGTAGCACAGCCATGCCGTGTCGTGCGAGTGGCTGCCGTTGAACGAGGCCGGGGTCGCACGTGTAGGGTGGATGAGGTCGTGGATGATACGGTAGCGGATGGGCGACACGGGACGTTCCTTGGCAAGCAGCACGACGCGCGAGTCTGGGAACGCGCGCTTAATAAGAGGACGTGCCTGCTCGAACACTGGAACAAGCTCGGGCTGCACAAAGAGGAGCGACGCGCCAGAGTTGTTGATCTGATGGGCCAGCTCGCTGGGAGCGCTGGAAGAGGTTAGCAACAGGTCGGATTGACTAAACTCACTAGGCGGCGTTGGCTGGCGACACGGTCAGGCCAGCGGCCATGGCTCCGTACGCGGCGCGAACCCACTCGAGGCTGTTGAGGCCCCAGATACAGACGGTGTCGCCCTTCTTCAGGCCAAGCTTCTGAAGACCAGTGGCGAGACGCAGGGACCCGTCGGCCAGGCCGGCGCGTGTGATGACACGGCCGTCGAGACCGTCGATGAACGCCGGCAGCGCGGGATCGTAGTGCGGCAGCGGCGAGCCCGAGGGCTTGGCGGGGAGCAGGTACTCGTAGAGCCCCATCTCGACGAGAGGGGGCTCGGGCCATTGCGAGCGGTAGATGGTCTGCTTGGGTGCCATGGGTGTGAGTGTGTGGATGATGTGTGGAGAGAATGGAGAAAGACGACGATGACATGCCCCGTGCGGGTCGGTCATTTGAGCAAAACGCGGACGGGCGGTGTGTTTGCCGGCTATGCGCTCTTGCCGACGGTCCGCAATGCAGCGAGCCTGACTGGCAAGGCCGGCCGGAACTGTTGCTCGCTTGCAACACACCCTGTGCCAGGCAACACCGAGGGTGCATGCATGTGCATGCGGGGGGGCGGCCTCGGACACGGTCATGGCTTGCTTGAGATAACGGACAGGCGGCCACGGGCCACGTCGCCTGGTTTCCGATGTTCAACCGGACGCGGCGACGGGCGGTGGTCGCCGCCGTGTGGGCAGTGGTATGAAACCGGGGGGGCCGGAACGATCGATGGTTCACCCAACTTTTTTTGGTCTCTGCTTGTTGCTGCCAGGCATGCCGTGCAATGTGTGAAAACAGGTGAGACGTCACCTGCAATCGACACTGTCGCTGCTCGTCTACCACAACAATGTACTGGTTGTTGGAGCCGATCGGGTACGCAAATGACAGGCAGTCCTAGTCCGCCCTGTGCGCCAAGGGGCACCAACGGGGACGCCAACCGGGCCCCGAAAGCCACCTCCTGTGGCCTGTGGGGCACACGTAGAGCGGAGTTCGTGTGTCCTGCCCACTGCGGAGTCACAGGGACGGACACCGACCAAAGACCTGTGCGCGAAAGGGCAGACGGTCGAACGGCGGCCGTGGGCAACAGGCAGGGTGTTTGGAACGCCGATGCCGTCCGGGGTCCACGGCCGGTCGGAAGCAAGTTGAAAGACCCTTCTTTGAGCAAGACTGGCCTCAATTAGGTCTCCTCGCATGCGATACGTCTACAGAGGCCGTGAAAGAGTAAGGGCTTCTGCTAATCTATTAAGCGTCTACGGACGGGATACGGTCGTGTAATGCTGTGGCGTCGCGATCATGGCCAACAGCACAGCCTGGAACCGTTCGGCAAAAGTACCGTGAGGGTGTCGGTTGGTCCTCTCCAGTGATGCAATGTACGTCTTGGGCACCATGCACCATTGCTTGAACGACCAGGTGGATGGGCTGAAGATGTCGCCGCCCAGCAGTGGCATGTTGACCTCGTGCTCGCCGACGTGCTCTGACGACCACTCGCCGCACTTGCTCAGGTAGCTCGTGGAGCCAGAGCCGGACCCCTTGCGGTCCTTTGACTCGCCCATACCCACGATCTGCACCGCCGCCGCATGGTTGCCGGCGATGGCGGCGACGACAAACATCTCAAAGACCAGACGCGGGTTCGAGGTCCCGTGTAAGCGGCATTGCTGCAGAGCGTAAAGAACGAGCGTCTCGAGAGCCTTGGCACAGTCGTACTTGTGCAAAAACAAGGCCAGGTTGCACAGAGTCGGTATTTCGTCGAAAATAGGCTGCTGGGAGACGTCCGTTGCTGGGTTGAGGACCCCAGTGGAGATGAGATCGAGATAGAGCTCGATGACCGTGGCGCACTCCGAGTCGGTGAATTGGATGTGGGTCTCGCCATTCTCGACCTTGGCCCGCAACACGGATCTGGTATTGTCAGCCAGTGTGAGCGAACAGACCATGCTTACGATGAGGCAGTAACAAGGTGCGGTGGGATACGAAAGACGACACTGTCGGAGGACACGAGTGTGAGGTCGCCGCGAACCCATGTTGAATTCTTCTGAGGTTCGTCTGGGAAGGTTGGCTCCTTCCATTTCGACCTTCGGCCTGGAAGGTGGTCAGTCAGGGGTACCAATGGGCCAAATGACGCACCTTGTGCGTGCTCGACTAGCACTTTGAACTCTTCCCACAGGTCACGACGCTTCATCTTCTCGGCTTGGGCGCTGAGCGGCACGCCAATGAACGAGTTGATGAAGCCGTACGTGAGCGGCCTTTTGTCGTCTTTGCCCCGGTTCAAGTTTTCAATGGCGCGCGCAAGGGCCCACGGGTATTCCAACGGCACGTTCTCGACGTTTCTCAATATCAAGAAGGGGTCGATACCGGCAACTGAGCCTTGCTGGAAGTGATAGTGTTGCAGGACTCCGACACAAGTGCCCAAGTCGTCGACGCTCGTGGCAATTTCCATCGCCCGTTGACAGGACAGGTCCCCTCGGACGAGGCACTCTCGGAGGGAGAAGAGCGTGCACCGGGTCGCTAGGTGGCACTCGTACTTTTTGCAAAAGTTGAGGAGGTGAACCACGTGGAGGAACCCGTTCTCGGGAGGCAACTTTCCGTCATTGATGAGGCCCAGGAACGCTCGGAGGACAGTCGCAGTTTCAATCTCGTCGTCGACAAACGTTATCGTCCGTTCCTCGTTGCACATTGCGGCGGCATCGCGAAAGACGGAACTGTAAACGGGTCAGCCTTCATGGTCGCAAGGAAACAGTAGATCTCACCTGCAACCAAGGAGCGAGTACGAGTGTGTCTTGAAAACGACGTTATCGGCCGAGATTAAGGTAAAGTCGCCGTCTGTGAAAGTTGGGTCGTCTACTCGCTCCGGGGCGGCGGCGGCACGGGTTGGTGTCAAGTCCAGTTCCACGGGCGGGCCGTTGGGCACGTATAGCAGCATGGCGCATGAACGATGACAATGTCAGGAACTGCATGGCCCATATATGCATAGCGCGTCGAGCTGTGCGTGCATGCGCGTCGCGCGCGCGTTTTGTTGGGTTCCACGTCGGTTGACCGGCCTTCCACGGCCTCCACGTGAAAAACGCCACGTCTCCACTGACCCTACCACGTCCTCACTGACGTGTTTCCGACGCGCAGGTACCCCGGGCCCTAAGTGCAGTGCACCTGGCAGTGTACCTGAGCTGTGGGGCATGCAGAAGTCCTCGATGCGTCGGCTTCTTGAGGATTGAGCAAGGGTCGCGCTAGGCCAAAAGGAGGGCAGAGGAAAGACCCCGCAAACGGTGTTGACAACCGAGAAATCGGCCTCCACCACGAAATATGCCAACTCTGGTCGATTGTTGGGATTGCATGGCTTCGTCCTTGCTGCGCATATGCACTGGAACATGTCGCGGCCGATGAGCGACATGAAGGCGATCAAGTGTCGATGGCACGAGAACGGCTACCGACACTAGCTCAGAGCGGGTGAGATACTTGCACGAGCCTGGAGGTCATTTGTCCATCCTTCTTGCCCGTTCGAGGTGCACATCCAAGGGGCCTGCCCTTTCCAACCATGCGATGAACGCGTTCTCTGGATCAAGACTGTCGTAGGCTAGCTCCAGGGCTCGGATGTAATCGACTGGTATGACGTTTCAGTACATGAATGACCAACTTCCTGGGTGGAAAATGTCCCCGTCGGATAACGGCGCTGTCATCTCATTGCAGAGGTCGAACGTGAAACTCCACATCGCTCGCGGTGCTAGGAATGCTTGGAGGACTGCAGATCGGTCGTCCGCAATGGCAGCTACCATGAATGCGTTGAATACAAGCCGCGCTTGCAGCTTGTCCGGATCGCCGTGGTTTATGTGGTCCAGTTTGCGTACGAGTTGCCGTCGCTCCAGCTGTCGAAGAGTCGCAAAAAGTAAAGCCTGCAGTGCGTGTTCGCAACCGTATGTGCGTAGGAAAACGGCTAGTTGGCAGAATACCGGCAACTGCCCGTATGGATCAGGCAGTGTTGAGTCCTCGAAGTCGCCGTCAACTTCGACACGGCCGTCCACAATAAGATCGAGGTACTGGCGAACCACGTCTGCGGATTCGCAATGGATGTTCGTGAAGTGGATGAACTTATCGTCAGAGTTTTTCAGCCTGTTTCGCAATACCGAGCTGATGTGAGCGAAGAGCCATGTGACAAAATACACTTACGACGACGCCATGATGTGGTAGCAAGGGACGATGAACGTGACGCCGTCTGCAGACCGGATCAACAGGTCGCCTTCATCCCAGCGACTGTCAACTACCGAACTTGGTAGAATACCGTCTCTTTGGTACGTCTCAAGACGGGCATGCCAGTCCCGTGAAAACTCTGTTGTGGTGAATGAGCAATTATCCGCTGTCTGATGACTTACTCCTGGCGTCCAATACTAGGCGCTTGAATGCTGCACACAACCCGAGGGAGCTACCGTCTTCTCCTGAATATTTGACATTATGTCCGGCTCGGGCGAGAGCGAAGGAATACTCCAATGGGCAGTCCTTAAAACGTAGGAAGCTTCTTGCTGCCTCAGCGTTGTTAGGGTTCCTGTCGCAACAGCACTTGAGAGACACAACACAAGTGTTCACATCGTCGGCAAGGGCGCCGATCTTCATGGCCCGGCTGTACGACAGCTCCTCCAAGATGACGAGCTCGCGAATGGACAGCAGTGCCGATCGCTTGGCGACGACACAGTCGTACTTTTTGCAGAAAGACAGCAGTTCGGCGATGTGCGGTAGTCCTGCAGGGAGGGTCGGTAACTGGCCATTGGTGATGAGGGCAAGGAAGATGCGGAGTACCTCAGCCGCGATCAGCCGTCTCAATCGTCAGATCCGTGAAGGTGATCTTGGGCTCTTGAGCTCCCAGCTCGGCTGCGTCTCTGAAGACAGAGCTTTGCATGTCAGTTCCTGTACGGTCCGGCTGAACCTACCTCGCGCCAAAGAGGACATAGGAGTTGACTTTGAAAATGACGTCGTCCGACGATTGCAGGACAAAGTCACCAATGTTCCACTCTTCGTCCTGCACTGGTGGTGTATCGGACACCTGTTCCGCGTCCATGCTGGAAGTGTATGTCTTAGGACGTCGGGCCGGCACCTGTAGAGACTTTATGGGTGGTAGTTGAATCGAAACCAACCAGGCGCGTCTCATTGCGCTCGACCTGTGGCCTATGGATCATGACGTGACCTCAGCGTCGGCCCATGCCGACGATCACGTGACCTGGACCGAGGTCGTACGTCGAGGATGGTGGGTCGTGACCTGTCCCGCCAACGGATGCGCAGCCAGTACGCAGCGGCGACGTTGACACTGTTGGGAACGGTAGAGAGCGATACAGACAGTACTCTTACATCACCAGTTCAAGTATGCTACAACACAAGCCCTACCTCTGCCTCTCACACCAGGATGATCTTCGCGCCAGCCGCCTCCGCAATTTCAGACCCAAAGATCTCGCACGGCGTATACGCGCCAGGTCTTGCCTTGGTCCCTCGAGCGAGCCGGAGCGCGACCTCTGAACAGACCGCAGAGGTAAAGTCGCTCGCGTCACCAGCTTGGAGCCAGGCCTCTTGCTCGGTCCCATCGTCAAACGTGACGACCGCATGGCCCCACGTGTGTTTGCGGGGCATTGGCGCGGCTGGCGCCTGGACGCTGGCGAGATAACGTTGCGCGTACCGCTTCACCGGCCCAAGGAGCATGATGGTACTGACGACGGGGATTGCCAGTCGGGCAATGAGACCAGCAGGACCGTAGCTCGAGTTGGCGGTAACGGACACGTCTGGGACGCCGCTGCATCGCTGTGCAGCAATGAGGTCGCCCGCTGGGACGGCGCCACACGTAACCTTGTCGCCGTCGGGTGTGGTGAGCTCGACGTACGTGCCCATGGGTGCCGAGACCAGCTTGCCGTCGATGACTTGCTTGCCGCCACCTGCCATTCCGTCGATGATACTGTGAGCGAGCGCATCGCCGACGGTGCCCTCCGCTTTTGTCGCCATTGCCGGAAGACCGTCGACATGGATGTGGCGGGCCTTGCGGCTGCTCCCTTCGCACAGCCTGGCGACTGCACCTTGGGTACCGACCACGCCATATCCCGAGCCGGGGACCACGGTAGCTCCTCCCGCGATGGCCTCGTCGTGCAGTCCCAACAGAAGCGGTACCGACGCAAGATCGGCGGCTAGATCGGTATAGTGCGTGCCGGACGACACAGCCGCACGCGCAATGGCAACACCCGCATTGGCATAGTCGCCGAGCATGTTGACGACGACGGCGGGCTTCTTGTCCTTGATGAGCTGGATGATCGCGTCTGGTCCAGCGGCGACCTCGGCACGCGAGCCAGGGAGGGTGGTTGCCAACGTGTCCAGTCGCTCCTGGTTTCGTCCCACAATAACGGTCGTGACGTCCTTGTTCTTGACGAGAATGGACGCAATGTCACTGCCGGAGCGCCCGGTCGCGCCGAGCACCCAGATCTCTGGAAGCGAGGTCATTGTGCAAAGTGGTTGCGCGACGGAGTGTGTGTGTGTGAATGTGGAACGCACAAGAGAGGATGTAAGGAAATGTGCCAGGTTGGCCACCTCACTGACAATAACAAATGACGTCATCGAGGCCGTCGGTCTCGATATCTTCGGTCTCGGCCTGCAAGTCGCTCGGCCTTCGTGAAGGCCGCAGGAAGCAGTACGGCCGTTGTTATGGCATGGAGACCGCCGGCAACAGGGAGTGCGGCGTCGGTGCCAGTGATGCACGAAAGGAACAGTGGAGGCTCCGTATGGCGTGGAGGACAGTCTTGATTCTGCCGGACGGGCAGCAGGTTTGTGGCGGATACCGCAATAGCGCAACAGCTTCCAGTTGATCACAGTGCAACTGCGTCTGCAGCGACCTGATCACAGCTCATTGAAACAACCGGTACTTAGTCACAACACGGCAATATGTAGATACAAGTGGGCCACGCAACTCGCGAGAATGGTGGTGACCGTGGCTCAATATGGGAACAAAGGCATGACCGCTGTCTCTGAGCGGCTCGAACAAGACCACTACCCCATCTGAACATCCTCAACAGGGGCAGATGGCTGGGAGGGACGGCCGTCCGCGTCACCGTCATGGTTTGAAGTGATCTCGCTGTCTGAATCCTCCTCGCTAAGGCTGTCGTTTTCGGACGAATTCGACGGGTCATATTCGTCGTCACTGGCATCGGAAAACTCGGCCTCTCCAGTTGTGAACACCACGTCGTTTGCGTCGGCTATCCGTTAGCAACAGTCACTCGCACAGCTTGATAATGCTCACTCCGGGGAACAGTGAGGAGGTATTCAATCTTCTGGCCCCAACTGGCTTGGACGCCGTCGGCATGCGGCTTCCAAGACAGCTCAAGGGCCCAGATGTACTTCAGAGGAATGTCGCGCCAGTACTTGAATGACCATTTCGTAGGCTTGAGAATGTCGGCGCCGTTCTCTGGACAGTCTGCTTCGTCCCCAGGCTCGTTTTTAAAGGCCCATTGGCGGGTGCGGTATGGTCCACGCCTACCTCCGATCGCGCGGCCGGCAGCACGATGGTCATCGGCGATAGCACAGATCATGAATGCGTGAAATGCGACGGCCTGATCCAGTTGAGCTTGCCGGAGGACGTAGGAGACCACGACGTTGAGTAGGGCGGTACATTCGTAGGTGCGAAGGAATACGACGAGCTTGCCGACATGAGGTAGGTCGGCCAATCCCAGGAACTGAGGAGGCACCACCTCGAGGCGACCCGTCGTTACGAGGGCCAGGAACATGTGGATGACAGGCGATGAAAAGTCTGTGCTGGTGAAGTGGATGCGCTTCTCGCCGTTCGTAATCATGCGTCGAAGGACAGATCTAAATGTTAGCAGTGGCAGAAGGGAAGATACTCACGACGCCGACATGATGTGGTACGACTCGATGCGGAAGAGGACGTTGTCCGCAGATTCAAGCTCAAGGTCCCCGTCCCCATCCCACCGTGGGTCGTAGGTAGGCTCAGGTGGGCCACACGGGTACTGATCCCACTCGAGCTGGCGGGCTGGCGTCAGCTGTGTTTAGACGTAGGACCCACTCTTGCAAAGGCTCAAGAGACGTTTGAACTCCTTCCATAAATCCGCAGGGGTGAGCACAGGGGTCGTCGCAGTTGCGGGCGTCGCAGCTGCGGCTGCCGGTATGCCGTTGACCGGTGTGGTCGTAGCCTTGAGTGGTGTTCCGGTGGCTTTGTCTTTGGCAGGCTTTGGCGTCGTGCGGTCCTGGGCTCGTGCAAAGGCCCATAGGTATTCGACAGGCCACACGCTGCGCTTGGGTCCAAGCAGGCTAACGAGGTTCGGGAGCTTGCCGCCACGTTCGCAGATGCTTTTGAGGACGCTCACGACCGTGTCCATGTCGTCTGCACCGGCTCCAATGTCGAGGGCGCGCAGGGACGCGGCCTGGTCGTAAACGACCAATTCGCGGACAGAAAACAACACACACCGAGCGGCGACTGTGCACTCGTACTTTTTGCAGAACGAGAGGAGCTCGGGGATGTGAGGCAGATCAAAGGCGACGGGTGGAAGCTGTCCGACCGTGATGACATCGAGGAAGAGGGATATGACTGACGAGGACTCAATGTCCCAGTCTGTGAATGTGACGGAGCGTTCGATAGTCGGGCAGAGCTCGGCTGGGGCACGAAACACGGGGCTGTGTAGTGTCAGGTATAGCATGCCTTGCACATCGTGGCGGAGTGCCCACGACGGCGGCATTGGAACGCACCTTGCACCGAACAGCAGGTACGAGTTGGTTTTGAAGAGGTGGCCGTCGGCACTGATCAGGGTAAAATCGCCCACGTTGAACTTTGCGTCTGGGACGGGGGTTGTCTCGCCTGCCTGAAGAGCGTCGGCGGATTGTATGATCTCCATGTCAGTGTCGCTGTTTTGCGGGCTGGGGACCGACATGGTGCCGACCCAGACGTGAGAATGAGTGTACAGAGGGACTGTTTCTCTAGCTCAACCATGACGACAACAAACACATGAACGCCATCAACGCATCTAATCGCTCACGTGACGCAATGCTAAGGCCACGTGATATATATGACGTGTGGTATTAACCCCCATACCAAATAACCTTACGTAAGTTCAATGCCCGCGGGTCATTGTAACCGAGTGTGTATTTCCGTGTCGTCGTACGTACTTCCCGGATCCCGGTACTTCCCCTCATGCCCCCACATGGCCACATGCACACGACCGGCACGACCGTGGATTCCTGATGTCTGTGGCCCTGTGGTGGATCTCTGGATCTCTGGATCTCTGGCCGACGGGGACACTTTCCGGGCAACCTACACCTCTCTGCAAGAGCAACATCACCCACGGCCATGCAACCTGCACAGTGCACTGACAATCACTGGACTTGACTACCGACCGCCGGCCGACTCGTCACTTGCCTCCACTTTCTCTCATGTCACTCACTTTACGTTAATGTACCTCGACCAAGTGCTATAAAGACGTCTCTGTGAAGCTGCTGGACTGATTCCATCAACCACAACTCCAACTGCTACTGAACTGCCATCACTTACCACCTCAACCAACGCCACTGCCTTCACCCCAGCACCACCTTCCATCAAACATGTCCACTGCCTCTGCTCCCGAGACCTTTGACTCCTGGGTCGGCCACGACGTCACCGACGTCGTCAAGGGCGAGCTCAAGTTTGAGCCTGTCCCCGTAAAGCCATGGGACGAGGACGACATTGACGTCAAGGTCACCCACTGCGGCCTCTGTGGCTCCGACTTTTCCATGCTCGCCGGCCACTTCTTCCCTCTCCTCCCCCAGCAGGTCTGCGGCCACGAAATTGTCGGCGAGGTTACACGCATCGGCTCCCAAGTCAAGGACGTCAAGGTCGGCGACAGGGTCGGTATCGGAGCCCAGTGCGACGGCTGCCTTGAATGCGAGTGGTGCGTCAAGGGCGAGGAGCAGTTCTGCCCTCAGATGACCTTCACCCTCGGTGCTCCTTACCCGCGCGGCAACGCCAAGGGCACCTTTTCCCACGGCGGCTTTGCCAAGTATTGGCGCGGTCCAGCTCGCTTTGCCATCCCCATTCCTGCTTCGCTGGACTCTGCGGAGGCTGCGCCGTTGCTGTGTGCCGGTGCCACTGTCTATTCGCCCCTGAAGTACTATGGTGCCGGCCCAGGCAAGAACATTGGTGTCGTCGGCATCGGTGGGCTGGGGCACGTTGCAGTGATGCTAGCCAAGGCGATGGGCGCGTCGGTGACTGTCCTCAGCCGTGGCGAAGCTAAGCGTGACGAGGCCAAGCAGCTCGGCGCCGACGACTACATCCCGACTACAAAGGACGCCGCGGCCGACGTCAAGGGCCGCGAGCGCTCTCTGGACTTCATTATCTGCACCATAAGTGTGTATCAAATTGGCCTAGAAAACTGGAGCTGACAACCAGACCCCGAGTCCCTTCCCGCCAGCGACTACATGACCATGCTCAAGCCCCGTGGCACCTTTGTCCTCCTTGGCATCGTTCCCAAGCCCCTCGAGCTCAGCACCATGGGCATGGTCGTGGGCGTTTCTGGTATCGCTGGCTCGCAGATCGGTTCTCCAGCCGAGCTCAAGGAGCTCATGGAGTTTGCTGCCAAGCACAAGATCAGGCCCTGGGTCCAGAAATGCTCGATGGACAACATCAACCAGGCCATGGCCGACTACCAGGCCGGCAAGCCCAAGTACCGCATCGTTCTTGTCAACACCGACAACGGCGGCACGTTGTAGTAATTGGCGCCTTATCCTTTCTATCATGCAACCTTGCCAAATTTGACCAGGGAATGAGTACAACGAGTCCAATGCATGAATAGTGCACTGTGTAAGACAGAAGTGGGTTTCGCAGCAAATGCGACGTGTAGTGTAATAATGGGGGATCGGTTAAGAAACGCACAACGCACGGTGCGTGGAACGCACCTCACACGGTGGGTGGCTTGCGCGAGGAAAACCCACTAGGCCGGTGCTGAACACACCGGACGGTTTCTCTATTGGTTTCGAGAAACACACTAGGCCGGTGCTGAACACACCGGAAGGCTTCTTTATTGGTTTCGGCGAGGGTTGAGAAACACACTAGGCCATGCTGAGCACACCGGAAGGCTTCTCTATTGGTTTCGGCGAGAAACACACTAGGCCGGTGCTGAACACACCGCACAGTTCTGTATTGGTTTCGCGACAATGAAGAAACCAACATGACCGAGCTCGTCCAACATCGGCCAGCTCTCTACAGTTCCCTGGCTCCCTAGCGGGTTTTGGTTTTGGCGAGACGCGAGAAACCACCTGTACGCATTGCAGCTAGCATTTGCTGGTGTCTTGTCTGTACAGTGCGTACGGGTCTGTTTTCGGCACTGTGAGAAACCAAATGGTGCACGCCGCGCGCACAATTCGCACCACAAAGTACCACGACTGCTCAACGGATCATACTGTCCGCCTCTTGGCTTTTTGGGTCTGCTGTGCCCGAGCACGGAGACGCGGGTAGATGTGGAGCACGATTGACGATCTACAGGTGCGAAGCCCCGCCCCCGCCTGTGTTGCTTCCTGCCTTGCCGCTCACGCCATCGACGCCGTGGCTTCTCAGCGCTGCAGTGGTGTGAGGCAATTCGGAGCGGCGCCCAACAGTCCGTCGATCCGTCGAGTCGAGGCGGGAGCGTCTTTCCATATCTCGGACCAAAAAAACCACTAGCCACGATCCCCAATGCGAACTGGGTGCGGGCTTCAACCTCCAATGAGTGTGCGTTGCCAGTGTACCCAGTGTCAGGGAGGTGCAGCACTAGCGCACTGACGGGGAGCGGGCCTGGCGCGCTTAGAGACCCTCGGAGCTGCGGAGCAGTCGATGATTTCGAAGAGGAAACAGCTCCACCGGACCGACGCCGTGCGCGCAGAAGAGTGGTGCGCCTATACGCGGCGTTCCGCTTTTGCCGCCCAGCGGTCATCTGGGCCTGGGTCCGCTCCGGTGGCCCCACCCGCTATAAAGGATCCATGGCACCACCTCTTTTTCAGCTCCCACACCCACTCCACAAACCCCAACCCCCCCCCTTCATCCCACCCCCCACCGACCCCCAGGTCAGTCATGAACAAGACAAGCGAGCGGCGAGGAGCCCACCCTCTACTCGCCGTCTCGGCCGCCCAGCAAACATGATCCGCACATCACACAACACCCCACTTTAACAATCAAGAAGCGTGGACTAGGCTCCGCCTTCGAGATGCAACACGGGTGCCAGGCTTGCATCAATGACCTCCGGGCCGTCTCTCGTCGCCACACCTGTCACGGGCGTGGAGCGATGCAGATGGCCTTGGTTTTAAAAATTGGTCATGCAGCCTGTGCTGAGATCACACCGTCAGCAGCGGAACCAGGATAATGCCTGCGTCGCTAGTTGCCTCTCCCCTCATCCCCGCTCACATGCCCAGCAGGAAGCCATGCAAGACTGGCACACGATGTGAGTTGTTATTTGTGTTGATGCTTTGGATCTCGCCCGTGGTAGTTGGACGACCCGGGTGTGCTCACTGCGCGTCTTGGTTGCCGACAGTTTGACAGGCAATACTGACCCAGCGCAGTCCGAATGTTCGAGACACGCTCTCAAGGTTCCAAGATGGGGGCCGTGTACGCCTCAACTTGTAAGTTGTTTCCTCTTGCCTGGCGAGCAACAACTAACGGGACAGCTTCCTGAGCATCATCTTCGTTGGAATGATCCTCAACGGATGTACGTTTTGCCACTCACGCGACCCACGGAGCTCCACTCACCAACAGACGACGGCACCCTTATCTCGGGTCTCCAGGCCTTCCAGTCGTGGAACGATGACCTCGGTCTCACCGACAACCCCAACTCGGCGGCACTGCTTGGTCTGCTCAACGCAGCGGGTCCTCTTTCCGGTTTTGTCATCGGCCCCATCATCCAATGGATTGACGACACTTTCGGCCGTCGCTGGGGTATCCGCTTTTACGGCTACACCATTCTCACCGGTACCGTCATCTCGGTTGTCGCCGGTGTCAACTCGGCCAAGGGCAACAGTGGCTACACCCTCTTTGTCATCGGTCGCTTCATTATCGGCTTCGGACAGGCGTCGTTCCTCATGACCTCGCTTGTCGTCGTCCAAGAGATCACCCACCCGCGCACTCGTGAGACCGTTGCCGGCTCTTGGGACTCGTACTACATCATCGGCATGGTCCTCGCCTCATGGGTCAACTTTGGTACCTCGTTCATGTCGGGTTCGTGGGGCTGGCGTCTGCCTTACCTTCTGCAGGTGCCCATGGCTCTCTACGTCCTCATCGCCGTCCAGTTCATGCCCGAGACCCCTCGTTACCTCATCAGCAAGGGCGAGGACGAAAAGGCCCTCCAGTTTATGGCCACCTACCACGGAAACGGCGATGCCAGCGACCCCCTTGTCGTGTTCGAGTTCCAGGAGATGAAGGATGCCATCGAGGCTGAGCGTATCGCCAAGGCTGAGAAGTGGTCCACCATTCTGCGCTCGCCTTCCAACCGCCACCGTCTCGGTCTCGCGGCGCTCATGTCGTTCCTCACCAACCTCTCGGGTTCGTCCATCATCTTCTACTACTACTCTGTTGTGTTCGACCTCGTCGGCATCACCGACACCACCACCCAGACTGGTATCGCTGCTGGCATGAACGTCTTCCAGTGGATCGCTCAGATTGCCGCCATCTGGACCGGCAAGTACGTCGGTCGCAAAAAGATTATCCTGGCCAACTGGCCCATGCTCTTGCTCGTCCTCGTCGGTCTCACCGTCTCGGGCGCTACGTTTGCCCACTCTGGCGAAACCGACCACAAGTCTGCCGTGGCCACCGTCGCACTTGTCTGGATCTACATGGGCTTTTACAACTTCTGCAACCCCATCCTGTACTCGTACCCGGCCGAGGTGCAGACCTTTTCCATGCGCTCCAAGGGTCTCCTGATCTGGAACTCGGTCACCCAGATCCAGGCCATCTACGTCACCTTTGTCGACTCAATCGCCCTCGACGCCATCGGATACAAGTACTACATCGTCTACATGCCCCTGGTCATCCTCCAGATCTTCCTCGTCAAGTACTTCATGGTCGAGACCAAGGGCTTTACGCTCGAGGAGGTCGCCTTGGCCTTTGAGAACGCTAGCTCGACCAACCTGCCCATGATCCGCGACGCCGAGGCTGCTGGCACCGTCGACACTGCCTCGGTTGGCGGTGACTCGAAGGAGTAAGCGGGTCTGGCCTGGCTGGCTTTTTAAAAAAACAAAACATCGTACCCTGCATTCAACAGCAGCTACATAATCTCTCTGCATCCCTTTCTGATCTCCTGCTTGCTTGGCTGCCGCTACATCCGTGCTGCCGCCGTCGTCCTGCCAAACATGAGCACCACTGATCACTGGTTTCGCCAATTTTGAAACTGTTGCCTACATCTTACCGCCGTTGTCCGTGTTGACGAGCACGTAGCGGTAATTGGGCTTGCCATCGCCAAAGTCGACCATGGCCTTGTTAATGTCGTCCATGTTCCAGCGTTGGACCCAGAGCTTGATGTCCTTTTCAGCGGCGAGCGCGAACAGGTCGGCAATGTCCTCGGGCGAACCGATATTGCTGCCCACGACGCCGCGGCCTCCGATGATGAGCGGGATGGTGGGCACTGCGAGGGGCGTGAGGACGATACCCACGACGACGATGAGGCCCTTGGGCGCGAGGAGGGAGAGGTAGTCTGCGACGGGGAGCACATCTGGGTCTTGGGGGGAAGAGTTAGCATGTGCGTTGTTTCCCAGGTGTGGCAGGACGAACTGATGGTGCAAATGATGAGGTCCAAGCTGTTCTCGTGGCCCTTGAAGTCCTCTTTGAGGTCCTTGCCTGTGGAGATGTACGTCGTGGCACCGAGCGCGAGCGCGTCGGCCTTCTTGGCCTCGCCCCTCGAAATGGCCGTGACCTGCGCGCCCATGGCCTTTGCGATGAGGACAGCGGCATGGCCCAGGCCACCAATGCCAATCACGCCCACGCGCTTGCGGGTCGTGCCCGCACCGTACGTCTTCATGGGACTGTACACCGTCACGCCGGCGCACAGCAGCGGCGCGGCGTTTCCCGGGTCCAGAGACGCAGGGAGCTTGACGGCGTACCGGCTTGCTCCCCGCCACATCTTTGCAAAGCCGCCGTGCGACATGGTGCCCTTTGCCGCACCACGGCCATACTTGAGTCCCAGCGTCCAAGTGATGCCCGCGCAATATTGGTCGCTGTACGTCAGTCGAGGCTTGTTTCAACGCGCTGGCTGTTTGGCTGGCCGAGTCCACCACTTCGTACAGCCAGGCCATCCACAGAAACGAAGACTCACTCTTTGTTCTTGCACAAGTCACACTCGCGACACGCATCACACTGCCAGCCGACGCCCACCATGTCCCCGACCTTGAGGTTGGCCACCTTGGGCCCGACCCTGACCACCTCGCCAACGATCTCATGGCCGCCCACACGGGGCTCGAGCGGCGCATACTCGCCCTTGAGGACCCCGTAGTCGCTTGCGCAGATACCGCAGTACATGATCTTGACTGGAAGGCGGTAAGGTCAGTATGTTCCCAAGGCCCAAGGAATAGAGCTCGCCCCGCGGCTTACCGTCAACGTCATCCTCGTCCCACGCCTTGGGGGTGACCTGCTGGAATTGGAGACCGCCCGTGACGCCCGCGGCGTCCAGTCCGACCCACGATCCGACGGTCTCGTCGCTCATGGTGTTCCTTGGTTCTTGTGTAGTAGGGGAAGTCGGGGGAAGCGTATCGCGGATAAGTGTTGGAGTGAAGTGGTAGAAGGCTGGGGAGACGAACAGGCCAGCGCCGGACCAACCTCTTATTTGAGGTCGTGCAATCCCCCCTCAAGAACTCCAGAATCCACTCCACTTTTAGACTGGGTTTGTTTCAATTGATGATGGCATACCTGGAATCTGGAGGCCTGGAGCGGAACGCAAAGGGAAGTGGGTTAAATGAAGGAGATGCACGCGTGGGCTGCTCTCACCGGCGGACAGACACTCACATGTGCTGCAGCCCGCAGCCGCACAGCTGACTCTGCTGGCACGTGCCAGGCCCCGGCTCGCATGATAAGGAGGAGCGCGGCTCAAACATTAATGCCATCGAACTGCGACTGCTGTGGCGTATCGTCGTCCAGCGATTAGGAGCGGTAATGCTCGGAATTCACGACCCGTTAGTGTGCAGATATCGCATCCGGCTTGTCGCGAGCGTTGCGGGGCACTCGTGCACTCGAGCGATCGAGCTGTGCAGCTAGCACGTGTACATATCCAACGTGTATGTGGTTTACATTTTCCTATACACTGGTCAGCATTGCCGTGCGATCACTGCATGACAACGACGAGGCGGGGCTTGGCACCCTTCTGAGCCCACGCCTGGGAAATGTCCTTGAGGGGGACGGAAGTGGCATCGACATCGAGCTTGAGCCTGGCCGCGACCTTGAAGACCTCGGCGATCGAGTCGAGGAGGGTGGCCTCTGTGACGCTGTTGAGGCCAGAGCCCATGAGTTCGAGCGCCGACGAGCGCAGTAGGGCGGCAGAAATGGGTATCTCAGGAACACCGGCGGCCGTGCCCACATTGACGTAGCGGACGCGGTGGCCATCAGCGAGGTTTCCCGGGATGGACGCGAGGATGGCCTCAGTCGAGGGGCCGTACAGATAGTCGATGATGATGTCGATGCCCTTGCAGCCGTTCTGCTTAAACTCGGCCGCAACAGCCTTCTTGAACTCGGCCTCGCCGTCGGTGAGGTTGAACGCAATCGTGACGTCGGCACCGACGGCCTTGAGCTCCTCGAGCTGCTGGGCGTTACGTGCCGTCGCAATGACCTTGCCGGCGCCGAGCTCCTTGGCCAGTTGGATGGCAAGCTTGCCAGCCGTGCCCGTTGCGCCATTGATGAGCACCGTCTCGCCTTTGGCAATGTGGGCGCGGTGGACCATGGACGCCCACGCCGACATGCCCGGGTTGGCAACTGACGCGGCTGTCACATCGTCGAGATCGTCGGGGATCGAGCGCAGCGATGCCTTGTCGACGAGCGCCTGCTGTCCCAGCGCGCCGTACGCAGCGTCCGGGAACGCAAAGTACACGCGCTCGCCGGAGCCCGCGACGGTTCCCACGCCGTCAAAGCCCGGGACGAAGGGGCACGCGCTCGTCGAGCTGTAGTGTGTGCCGGATGCGCGCATCTTGGTGAGACTGCTGAGGGCCGCGGCGGTCACGTTGACGACGACCTTGGTACCCGTCGCGGTGGGGGCGTCAATGTCGCCGTACACTGGAGGAGCGCCTGCAGACTGGACGATGGCGGCCTTCATGGTGAGAGAATGGACAAGTGTGGGAGTGAGTTGAACGACCTGCCCCATATGGTCGCGCGGTCGTTAGCGCCGGGTGCTCGTTGTCGCTCGCCGCCCCCGATCATCCGCGTCGGGCTCGGCGTCAGCGTTCATACACTCCTTATCTGATATTCCCCTCTGTCGTTTGTGTCCTCCCAGAAACACACCACATGGATGGTGAACACCATGCCAGTACGCATGGTGTGTTTCTCTGCCCCGGTGGTGGTGGTGGAGGTGATAAACACACTATGAAGGTCGACGGCCGCACAGATGGCCGCCTCTATGTGTTTCTTCAGGGCCCTGAGATCAGAACCTAAATCATATTGGAATCGGATTAAAAAAGCGCAGGCTATTGCGATTAATGCCTTGGCGCTGTTTGACTTGTCCTCACTTTATCACTTGTCCACACCCGCAAGCATCATGCACACATGTGCCTTTATATCAGCGAGGATACACACGCTTTGCAAGCGTTTGCGGAAAGGTGCTTCAGACACCATGGCTCAACGCAGTCCCATCTTCTGCTGTTGCAACATCTGCATCGTCCATCTCCATCGACCCTCCACCCACCGTCCACGATAACCGGGCCGCCGGCTATAGAAAATAAAGACTCAACCCCAAGCCACGATGCCGCAGTTGTCCCCACCACCACCATCTGTCTCTGACCAACCACTTCCCCTGTTCTCTTCCACCACCAGGCTCAGGAAGATGTACATCCCCCTCCTATCCACAGTCTTTCCCGAGCCCCGCAACGGCCCGTTTGCGACTGGCTACGAGGTGCTTCGCCTCCGCACCGGCGAACCCTACGCCGCGCCGACCCCACGCCGCAAGGATGGCTCGCCTGTCATGCGCCTGTCCGAGACTGTCGTGGCCGTCTACTACCCCACCAAGCCGACGTGGTGGCGGTTCCGCGGTAACGGCGTCCGCTGGCTGCCAGAGCCCACCGAGGGCATGTTCACGGGCTATCGTATCTTCCTCGGGTGGTTTGTGCCCGTATCCGCATTGCTGTGGCTCGGTGCGTACACGGAACTGCAACCAGTGGAGCTGACCGCCAGTCTGCAAGATCCTCGTCCGGCCCAAGGTGTGTCTCGCGAGCTAGAAACTGCTCGAGCTAGCCGCTGATATCAGATGCCTGTCCACCCCGCGGCGGCGGTCGCCCCGCACAACAAACCATTCCCGCTCGTCGTCTTCTCTCACGGTCTCTCCGGCACGCGCAACACCTACTCGCAAATGTGCCAGCGTCTCGTGTCCGAGGGCTACGTGGTTCTTGCCGTTGAGCACGCCGACGGCTCTGGACCATGCGTCATCCGCGATGGCAAGTCGTGGACGTTTACAAAGCTCGACGAGACTGTGTATGTCCCTTTCGTTGTTCCCTTATTGGAGGCCGGAGACTGACGAATGTGTGCAGCTGGCCTGAAAAGGACGACGGCTCGCCTCCATACGACAGGATAGACCTGCGTGCTTGCCAGCTCGACTTCCGCGTCCGCGAGGTGTACGAGGCGTATGCGGCCTTCTGTCGCCTGATGGCTGGGTCCCAGGCCGACATGGAGATTATCGAGGGCTCACCCGAGGTCGTCGGAGCACTCCGCGGTCGCGTCGACATTGACAACGTCAAACTCATGGGCCACTCGTTTGGCGGCGGCACACTCATGCGCTTGCTCACCACGGTGCCTCCCCACCCGTACACCGCGATGCCCCTTGAAAAGGCCATTGTCCTCGACCCGTGGTACGAGCCCGGCGCCATTGCGCCCACTTTGCCACCCCCCTCGACTCCAGTCCCTCCTACGATGATCATCAACAGCCAGCAGTGGACCGAGCGCGAGGACTTCCCAATGGCCTGCGAAGAGGCCAAGGGTATCTCTGCATCGCTGTGCACCATTATGGGAATGCGTCGTGAGTCTGTTAGCTTGTCCACTTCTGGCTGCATGAGCTGACAATCAGACAATGCCTGTTCCGACTTTGGCCTCCTTACCCTCCCCGGCCGCGCGACCAGCTTCCTCGACCAGATTCACGGCCTCATTACGGGCCACCTTACCAACAGCCCTCATGCCTCGCTCCTCGCTCGGCCAGACGGCGGAGATGTCCAGTTCACGAGGGGCAAGATGCCTCGTGGTAGCTTCGGCGAGATCCGCGTCCACTTCTCCGGCAAGACAGAGAGCCCGGTTGAGGGCGAGGCGGGTGAGACAGGCGAGGCCCATGACGAGTCGACGCCTCTGGTTCATGCCGCCGCGTAGAATCTATGCACATGTAGCAGCGTTGTAAAACAGTCTATCCCATAAATGCAGAGGGTGTCTCGAAGATGAATGCCGACGGACCACTCGGATATAGCGGTAGCCGCGATGACGCGCACACTCGGATCTCTCGGATGTCAAGTCGTCTCACAGCGATCACAGCGCGCTTGGCAACAACACGACTGGCGCACAGCAACGGATATCTTGGCATCAGCCATATCACCTCGACCCCTACACAACTGACACGTTCGAGACGCGACGTGCCGACGTGCTCGCCACCACACGCCGGCTTGGACTGGGTTCTCATGGTCGCAGCGCACGCTTCGCGACATCGCCGCAATGGTGAGTACCGTTCGCCACCCACCCTATAGACCGTGGCTTGGCCTTTCGGGAAAGTCAATCCGACGTTTCTTCACCACCTTTCCTGCGCTCACACACGTTCTCTACAGCGTAACACGTCCCCAAAGGTCACCATGGTCGCGACCACTGCGCTTGCCCTCGCCGTCCTGGGCGCCGTCGCCGTGTCTGCACTACCGTACGGTGGTCAACGTGTCCAGGTGCCCTTTCTCGGGATAAACCCAGGCAAGGACTCTGAAGGAGGCAAGCAGCAACTTGCACCGTCGCGCGACGCGGACATGGCAGCTCTGCTGGACAAGTATGCGCCCGTGTTCAAGCTTGCGTGGGTTACAACTGTTTAAACCGCCTCGCAATCGACTGACAGCTGTGCAGCTCGTCGGAGATCTTCTACCCCAGCTCGGTAAAGTACATGCTGGACCGGTACGCCTTTGTGAGTCACCAGATTACAGTATCCGCTTGGTATGATCTGGTCCTGACACGCTCCACAGGTCGAGCACAAGAACGGCACCACATATCGACCGGTGAGTTTGCTGTCATGGAGGCGCTAACTCGCAACAGCCACGTCACCTCTTCACGCCCTCTGGCCTCGCACATCTGCCGCAGAACGGCACGCGGCAGCTGCTCTCCCTCGACGAAGAGCACAATGCCCAACCGCACGTCCCCTCCAAAGACAGCGCGTTCCTGTACGGTCCAGCGGGGCAAGAAGGCGGCATGAAGCTTGGAGAGGACGGGAGGGGGCGGGTCGAGGAGGAAGTGTATGGCTTTTGGGTGGACCAGGGACGAGGTGTGGTGGTGAGTTCGCAAGCTTCGGACGCCTTGCTGACCTCGCAGGATCTGTGGTACTGGACGTGGGTTAGCGCTTTCCCTCATCGTCTGCTAACCCCTCAGGTTCTACCCGTACAACTTGGGCAAGGAGGTCGGCGCGCTTGGCTGGCTGGGGAACCGTGGGTTTGATGACAGCCTGCGCTTGGCTAACCCACCCAGATGTGGTGGACTGGGAGGTGAGATAAGTCTGGTTGAAATGTATCTGACAACAGCACCTGCGTATCCGAACAGTGAACGGGACAGCCGAGTCTGCCGACTTTGGTAGGTCGCTCGTAAATGCAGTCAGAACTGACCTCGCAGATACACATTCGGGCGGAAAGTTCAGTGCTGGGTGAGGTTCAAGTCGTACGCGCACTTCTAACGTCCCAGAACTTACCGCTGGCAAGAGATTGAGCGCTTCAACGACCGCCCAGTGGCATATATCGCCATGGGAAGCCATGGGATGTGGCCAGTGCCGGGCAAGCACGTCTACGCTCAGGTGGGTCCCCCCCCCCCCCCCCCCCCCCCCCTCGACCGGAAGGCTAAACCCTCAGCTCCTCAACCTCTGGCAACTGTACGACATTACAGACGACAACGGCGCCATCTGGGACACCCACGGCCGCGTTGTGCCCATTCAGTTTTGGAATGGCCCCGACAAGGCTGAAAAGGTGCATCATGAGGGGGAGCTGGGGTGGCTGGAATACTTGGGCAAGTGGGGGAACAAGGGTACCCAGAGTTGTTGGTGGCACCCGTTCGTGGGCATTTGCCAGGTGGGTATTGTATTGCCTGACAGCCCATGTAGCTGACAGAAACCAGATGATGGACGGTCCTCCAGGTCCGAACCGCAGGCTTGGGCGACCGCCGGAGGTAAGCTGAGGATGCCGAAATTTTAGCTGACATGCAGTGCATCCTCGGCAAGACGGCAGACGAGTCGTCAAGGTACGCGTTCTACCTTTCACACAACATCTCCGTCCAGGCAGAGCCATTGAACGTGACCTCGGTGGTAGTGGAGCAGGTGAGTGCTGGCTGGCCATGTATCTTCTCCGCCGACGCCAAGGCTGGAGCCTTGGCTTGGATCCCGAACAGCGACTTCAACGACGGAACGCTGACACAACAGATCTGTGCTCGTCCCTCGGTCTCTTCTGTCGAATGGTCCGACAACCTCACGGAACCCGAGCTGGAGACATGGGCAGCACCCGCTTCGTCCATCCCCTTTACCGGCTCGTCTGCCACCCCGTACAACGTCACCATGGGCGGGTGTGGCGGGAGCAGGAGTGCGGCGAAAGCGTACCGCGTCGCGCTGTATGATGGCGCTGGGGAACGGGTATCAACGAGCGACCTGCGCGTGTTGTGTATTTACGAAGCGGGCGAGGAGGGCAGTGTGTCCCGCAGTGCGGTGGATATCCATGATCTGGACGAGTGGAGGTGGCTGTTGAAGAAGGATGAGGACGACGAGTAATGACATGCACGACCAGCTTCGATAGCACGCGCTGTGAGATGTGTTGGGAAGCTGTATGTTGTATCACCCTAATGCCACACCGTGGTGTCCGTTCGTCTTAGTTTGGGCACTGGGCTCGGGCTCTGCCATATCACTGTACCCGGCGTGTACAGCATCAGCGGATAGAGGGCGAGTACTTCGTTGTGAGTGGTGGGATGTGAGCCAGCGGGCAATGAACCGCCCAATATGGGCACCGACGTTATCAGTGGCAGTGATCAGTAACTGGCGTTCCTCGGCGTACAATGCACAAGCATCTGAATCATGACAACGATGAGGTTGGCTGTCCTTTCTACCCTCCCTTTTTACCTCTATTAGACTTCTACCTGTCTCCTACCCTCCGGCCTCCTCCTTACTTCTTGTACTTTGCCAGCGCCTCCTCGGCATTGGCGATCAGGTCGGTGACCGTGTGGTCGACCGCCTCCTTGGCCTTGGCGGTCGCGTCGACCACCTTGTCCTTTGCGGCCTGGGTAGACTCCTTAATGTGGGCCGAGGCTTGGCTAGTGAGGGCCGCGGCGTCATGCTGGACCGCCTTGGCAGACTCGGTCGCCAGTGCGTACTGCTCCTTGACGGCTGGAGGTTGGTGTCAGTGGTGGGGAGTGACGACAGGGAAGTGGGCAACGAGGATGAAGCCACAGCAGGCAGACCAGCAGCTCCCCAGCTGGGCGAGCACAGGACGAGCGCTGGAGGACGCGTCCATGCAGTCGCGACTTGAACACGATGCACTCCCTCCATAACCCAACACGCAGACCAGCACTCACACTCAGCGGCCTCCTCAATCTTCTCCTCCACGATCTCGGCAACCTCCTGGACACGCTCGGGGACGTGGACGCCCCTGACGCGCAACTCGTACACCAACACAGAGCCGGCGACAACACCCGTGAGGCCCGCGGCGAGGCCCACCATGTTCAGGCCGTTGTTGTTTGCCTTGGCGGCAGGGGGCTTGGGAGCAGCCGGCGCCGGGGTGGGCGCGGCGGTAGCGAAGGCACGCTGGCGCGAGGCGCGGGCGGCGCGGACGAGCGTGGGGGCGGCAGTGCGTGTGCGGGCAAGCATGACGGTGAGCTGGATGAGTGGTGGGACTGGGGTCAGAGAGATTGAGAGAGACAGATGGAGAGAGAGACAGAACAGATGGAAGACGGGCGAGACATGAGGCGGCAGCTGCTCGATGCCCATTGTCCTGTTCGTATCCGGCAACACCGGGACGATCCGGCTACCAAATGACGCCATTGTCGCCGATTTCTAATGCAGGGTGCTGATGTTGTATTCGGGACCAGGCCGATTAGGAAGCTACTTGTAATAAAAAAGGGGGGCAACTTGGGTGGGTGTGAGCAGCTGGGGACCATGCGTGCATATGCATTCTGCAAGATTCACACATCCATATTCTTCTGGAGCCATGACAGTCGACATGAGACCTACAGGTGTTGGCTGATGCAAGCACAAGAGCCCCCAAACTGCTCGCTGCCCGGGATGCCGTCTCCGTCCTTGTTTACATCTCAAACGCTCAGACCATCCATCCACCACTCTCTCTCTCTCATCGTCCATCCACGCGTCCAGCCACCATCCACGTCGCTGCCAGCGCGTAGTGGCGCTCTAGGCGCTTCCCTCTTCAATGCCCACACCACCCCTTCCAGTCCTCCACGCCTTGCTTACAGCGCTGGGCATACCCGTCCTCCCTCCAGCCCTCAACTGTATCCCACCGACACTTCTCCTCCTCATCCTCGAAACCCTCTTAGGCCACCGACTGGCCCTCTCTCCACACCTCCGCAACCCCGCCACTCACGACGATGAGCTTGAGCTCACCAAGTGCGTGCTGGGGGTGCTCGCCGACGACGTGTTGGCGTTGGACCTGGCTGTTGTTGACCCGGGCCGCGTATGCGACGGCTCCGAGGTAGACATTGCTGTTGTCGTCATGGCGCTGGCGGTAGTCGCGCGCCGTCGTGGTGTGCCTCTGCGTCTACCCACTCCCATCGATTCCGATGACGAGGGTGAGGTGGAGAAAAGCATGCTCGATGACGACGAAGCCGCCGGCCTGCACCTCCCACCCCTTACGCCGCTCATGCCCGCTGTCCTTGACAAGTACGTCACGCCGCCCTCGGGGAACACGGCACTGCCTGCTATCGACCTTGTCGCCGCCCACGAGCACCGTCCAGACTCACATCTGGGACAGACGCCATCGGCATCTGCGGTGGCATATGCGTGTGATGGCAGCCGCAATTGGCCGGCTGTGGACGGTGCCCCGCCCCCACACTCGTCTCCTCCCGGCCCCAACGGTTCGGGCACATCCTTGGGCTTGTTGACTGCAGACGAGTATGCGACTCTTGATCCTCTCTCGCCTCCCATTCCCTCTCTTCCATCAACCCCAGTCAACCAAACTGCCCAAGCACCTTTGCCGCAGACTCCGTCCAGCGGGCGCCGCAGGACTGTGCTCCAGCAGCTGATCGACGAGTTTGGCCTAGAACCAGTCTAGGCACTTGCGACCGTACAGTTGGCCGGGACGCGCGGCACATCAGCCATCAAGCATCATCTGCCTCCGATCAACAAACATACGCACGCCGTCAAGGAGCTCGTCATGACGGGGCAGTCGTCGTGGTTAACGCAATGGGCTCGCAAGTTTGTTGCGTCTTCACATCACTCCCCAAGTCTTCCCACCGAAATGGGGGCAGACAGCCCCATGGCGGCGCCTACTCCCACCAGTGGTGGCAGCACATTGCGGTTGGTGAGTCACCGACTGCGGTTTCTGTGGGGATGGCCAAAATGGTGCGCTGACTGTATTTGTTTTCCAGCCCGAGACACTCATCATCGACCTTGCGCCAGGCATTGCCGCGCGGCCCCGTCTCGGCGTCGACGTAGCGGCCTACCTTCCAGGTCTTCAAGTGACGCGCTTGGACCATCTTGGATGCCTGCCCAAACGCGAGCCCAGCTCCACGACGTCGGATGAGTCGGAGGCAACATCGGTGAATTCTCACTGCTTTAACGGGGAGAGCAATTTCGCTCCAACGTCGCCGCCACCCACCCTCACCATGACATCCCTCCTCGGGGATGGCGCCTCGTCAGACTGTTATGCGTCTACCTCGTTGTCGCACGCCCTTGCAGTCAAGGTATGCGTTCCGCAGCTGGTCGAGGAGCACGTCCACTACGGAGAAGACTGCTTGTGTCCGCCGAACAAACAGTTCCCGCCGAGTATCAAGTGGACGATCCAGACTCGCGAGGCCATGGTGCACGAGGCACACATCTATGCCCAGTGCGAGCGTGCGGGCTTGCAAGGCGTCGTTGTACCGCGACATTATGGGCTGTACTCGGGCACAGCCGAGACCGCGAGGGGACAAGTCGAGGTGCTGGTCAGCGTCCTCCAGGACGCAGGACCGAGTCTGGGCGGGGTGGGCACAGACGCGTCGTTCAAGGATCGGTGAGTTGTGACAACCCTCAGCACCAACTGACAACGCAGCCGTGCCATTCGAGACCTGTATACCTCGCTGCATGCAGCCAACATTGTGCACTCCGACCTGCACATGCGCCACATTCATCGCCCGGCATCTGCTGGTGGCGACTTTCCAAGTGGCTTCTGTATCATTGACTTTGACAACTCGTTCTTTGAGCGCGAGAGCGAGGGGACAAAGGAGCGTGATCGGGAACGTGCCCGTGTGGCGGAGATGCTCAAGCTGCCGCTGCCTAGTCCCGTGTCCAAGGGGAAGAACGGGTGGCGGTCGAGCTGATGGTGTAGATTAGAAGGACGGTAGGGTGTGTAATTGTTAACCCAGGATGTAGAGTATTGGTGCTTCACGGCAGGTCTTCGTGGTTGTAGTTTGGCTGATGAGGCAGTGCCTCGTCGCATACAACTGGCTAAGTCACTCCATGCGGTCTACTGCACATGTCGGCGCTCACTGCTGCGACTCGCGACAATGGTGACGACGTTTGATCCCGTTTGCCACCCACGTAGTGTGGCTATAGTGAAATGTCAACAACGACATTCTCATCATCACAAACTGCTTCTTCTTCACACCATCCATCATGTCGACCTCGTCTATCGCACCACCACACCCACAGCTCGACTTATCGGCCATGGCACGACCGAACCCCAACCCCCTCGGCGTTCTGGTAAACGGCTTCGAGGGCCCGAATCAGCAACCTCTGCTTGCCAGCGGCGGCATGTGGCCCGCACCCCACCCGAATGCTCTGCGAGTCATGAACGAGGCCATGAAGCTCGCCCAGGCGCTGATTCTGCACCCCAAGGGCATCAGCCTGGCCTGTGAGGTGCTCTGTTACTCGACGCAACCCAACGAGCTGTACCCGGCCGCCATCAGCCACGCCCTGTCTGCCACGACCGTCCTCGTCCTCGTCGACCACTGGATGAGCCCCACGGTGTTTGGCAAACACCTTCGCCGCATTGAAAACGACGTTGACCGAGCAGACTCTGTCGATAAAAACATCATTGTTGTCAACCCCTGGGTAAGCAGCTGCCCACGATTTGCCTTGCTGACGACGGTGTAGCTGGTGGAAGCCGAACTTGCGGTTAACGACTCTCCGGCCGACTACCACCGTCACCTGTTCATCGTTGCCGACGGCTTGGCCTTGGAGTTGATTCGCCTCCTCCGCCCAAAGGTGCGTTGCTTGGCCCTGCAAAGAGCTAATCTGCCCAGGTCCGCGCCATCTTGCGTCCTCACGGCGTCCAGGTCCCGCCCGAAGCACCTCCGCACATGGACGGCGGCACCGTCGAGGGACAGGCGTTTGAGGACGGACTTATGGGCGGCCGCCTGGAAGGTGTCTGGGCCATTGGCGACGACGACGAGCTTGTAACGGTCGACATTGCGGCCGCCACGGCCTGCGGTTTCGACGTTGGCACGTTTGTGCCCAGCCTCGAGAACGTTTACAAAGACGTCGAGGTGAGACTACAACACCCACTAGTGCTGAACAAATGCAGTCCACCTCGTTTCACTGTTTGGCGATCGCGAAGCCCGACGGTGGCCTGTACCCGGTGTGCGAGGACTGGATCACAGAGGTCGTTTACGGTGCGTGTGGCGCAGTTAGTGGCACCACTGACACTCAAAGAATTCACACAGCACGGCTGTATCGACCCCGTCGTGTTCCCGCCCACGGTTCAGACGACTGATCTCAGCCTCTACGACGTCAAGCGCCTCGGGGTGCGCAATGCGGGGCCTTCATGTGTGAGCCACTCCAGCCCCGCGCGCAGTCCGACCATGTCGCCGTGATTCGCGTCAGTCCGTCTAGCGAGAGTGCATGGCCCTATGTGTGAAAGTAATGAAGAGAGCGCAGACTGTACTGCAATGACTGGTAATGGGTTTTGAAAGGCGCCGTTAAACTGGGTCGTGTTTCTTCATTTGTACATTGCATGTGGACGCTTAAGGCAACGTATTTAGTCGACGCGGCCCTTCTTCTTGTGCCAGTCGCGTCAGCCCAAGAATCGAGTCGCAACGCAACATCAGAGTCGGGTTCGGGGGTTTGGGCACATTATCCTCTGCCTTTGACAAGATCTGAGAAGCCATAAGAGAAAGAAAAGCATGCCGCACCATTGTCAGAAAACGAAATGAGTCTATGAACGTCTTGTTGTTGATTCTGCAACTTGATCCCGTCGCCACCCGCCGTCACGCCGTCCTTGTCCACACACTCAAAAAGCAGACACGCGCACGATAGTTTGCAGTTGCACGTTTTTCCATTACTCACATCCATTATGTCGGCACAGTTTGCCACTCCCCCACGACAACAACAGCAGCTGACGGCTGCGCTCGCGCCTCACCCCCAACCCCTCGGCCGTCTCGCAAATGGCGAGCTGGACGCCAACAACACTGCCCGCCTGGCCGACATCAAGACCTGTCCCCCTCCCCACCCTAACGCGTACCGCATCATGAACGAGGCCTTCAAGCTTGCCCATGCAATCTTGCTACACCCCAAGGCTGTCCGAATTGCATCAGAAGTCATGTCCAACTCCATGTCGCCTGAAAAGCTGTAGTCCGACGCAATTCGTCACGCTCTCTCCGGGGTTACGATTGGCATCCTCATTGACCACTCCATGGAGCCCAGCGTGTTCGGAAGTCACCTTCGCCCCAGTGCACAGCAACGAGTCTCCAATCCATTGTCCAAAATCATATTTGTCAACCCATGGGTAAGGAAAACATCTCGCAATCCCTTTACTTCAGTGTACTTACGGGTGCAGCACGTGCAGCGACTCGTGGAGGCCGACTTGCAGAAGAAGAACTGCCTGGACGGTTACGAACGTCATCTGTTGATTGTGGCCGTTGGGCTTGCCCACGAACTCATGTATCTCGTTCGGACAGAAGTGAGTGGTAGGGATTGCAATAGCTAACTGTGCAGGTACACGCCCTCTTGCAGCCATATGGCATCAAAATCCCCTACGACACTCCGCCACGCAACGGGGCCGACCTCGACGGCGGATGGGCGTTTGAAGACGCGTTGATGGGCGGTCGCCTCGAAGGTTTGTGGGTTACCGACGATGAGCCTGCACCCGTCGATGTGACCCCTGGCGAATTCATGGGCATGGACCTCGGCACTATCGACCGCACCGTTACCACCAACGTTCGCCAGACTGTTAAAGTGAAACTCCCCGCCCCCCTCCTCACATACACCCGCTGACCGTCACAGAGCGCGCCATTCGACTACTTGGCAATTGCGAAGGGCGACCAAGAGATCTACAAAGTCTGTGAGAGCTGGGTCTCAGAGCTCATCCGCGGTAGGCCTTTGGCATTCTTGATAAGACGGCTGACTGTGCAGAGTTTGCGACGTATGGTCGCATCGACCGTATCGTCTTTCCGCCTTCTGTCGAACCAAGCCCCATGCATTGCGACGAGGTCAAGCGCCTCGGCTTACCCAAGACGAAAAGGACGTGTGTCATCCATGGCTCGAGGCAGCACTTGCCTACCAAGTGAGGATGAGAGCGGAGGAAGTGTGATTCGCCGTCTCAAAACGCTGGTGACAGGAGGGAGACTGGTTTATGAAGAGACGGACTGTAACGACGTGATTTGTGACCTTGTGACTAGACGCTGCTTAGAGCAGGTTATGCTGTGTATTGTGTAGAATAGTAGCTATATAGTAGGCTACATGTGGTTGTTGTGGCTTGTCTTTATCATTCGGCTGATGGCGGTGTCGGCTCGTCGCGTACCATGTACTGATTCCGACATGTTATAACATGTTGTGGAGGAGGTAGTCTATGCCATTGGCAGCGCTTCCTCGGGCCTGCCCAATTCCGTATCTGTTGCTCTCTACGATCCCTACCATGGCGCAGAAGAGTACACCATGAACTGCGTGATGCACCATGTACCACTCATGCCACTCACAGCACCAACTCGTGACTTTTTGACCCCGTTGCCACCCGCGGCCTTGTAATGCGTTGAGTCGCCACAAGTCGATGTTTTGCTTCGCTCACCCACCCAACTCACATCATGTCCACCCCATTTATCACACCACCACGGCCACAGATCAACTTGGATTCTTCGCCCACACCACACCCCAAGCCCCTCGCGGATATTCAGAACGGCTTCGCGGATGCCGGCGGTCGGCCTCTCCTCGCCGGCGGCACCCGCTGGCCCGATCCTCACCCGAACGCGTTCCACGTCATGAACAATGCTTTGAAGCTAGCAGCCGCAATCATTCTGCACCCTAAAGGCCTCGAAATTGCATCTCAGATCATGTCTGGCTCGAAGCACCCCAACAAGCTCTATCCCACCGCCATCCGCCGCGCGTTGTCGTTGGGGACAGTCATCATCCTCGTTGACCACTCCATGGAGCCGACGGTGTTTGGCAGGCACTTGCACGCAAACGTAGACGACATGGAGGGGGACATCAAGCACAGGATCATCTTCGTAAACCCATGGGTAAGTAGGTTGCCACGGTTCTGTTGGTACGGTTCAGTTGCTTACGGGATTGCAGAACATTCAGCGCTTGGTCGATGCGCAATTGGCCGCAAAGGATTGTGCGGACGACTATCATCGCCACCTTTTCATCGCCGCAGTTGGCCTGGCGCATGAGCTCATCCATCTTCTTCGAGCTCAGGTGTGTGTGTGGCACTGTTCCAAAGCTGATTGTCAGGTCTACACCATCCTGCTGCCCTTCGGCATCAACGTGCCGTTTATGACCCCTCCTCGCAACGGCAGCGACGATGAAGGTGGTTGGGCCTTTGAAGAGGAAATGATGGGCGGCCACTTTGAGGGTCTCTGGGTTACAGACGACGAACCGGAGGCGTTCGAAGTCACTATCGGCACGGTTGGTGGGCTGGCCATTGGTGTCGCGGACCCCGCTCCTGCAAACATACGCAAGGTCTTCAAGATTAAAACTGCGGCTACCTAAATATACACGCGCTGACCGCTTGCAGACCTCGCCGTTTGACCATCTGGCCGTCTCAAACCCCGATGGAAAGTTGTACAAGGTGCCTGAGACATGGATATCAGAGACAGTGAACTGTACGTCTAGGATGTTTGTTAGCAAGACTGACCGCGCAGACTTTGAGAAGTACGGCTGCGTAGACAGCATCGTGTTCCCGCCGACCATGGACCCCACTCCCCTCCGCCGCGACGAGGTCAAGCGCCTCGGCCTGCACAAGACGCGTCCATCGTGTGTGATATACTGTCGCCCCGGTGTTCCCCAGCCACATGTTCCCCAGCCACAGTCTACCTGAATTACCCCTCAACTGCAGCCAATGCCTAGTGGTTTGACAAATGGCTCCCCGTATGACTTGCTGGTGAAGAATAAGACTGCTCCAGGAGACGATGGTGAGAGTGGCAGGACAGAGAGCACTGGCTGGGCCAGGGCGACATAGTGGTGGTGGTGATGGGTGGTGGTGGGGGGGAGGTTTGTTCCAGATGCCGTTATACTCGGCCATGTTACTTGCATTGTACACTACATGTCGGCATTTGCAACAACGTATTTAGTCAATCCAGCAGCCGTTCTTCTTGTGCCAGTCCTGCTTGGGTCAGCCGAAAGGAGCCAGGCTGCCCAATGGCCTCTTGTCCCCGCCCACAGGCGTTGATCGCGTGATCAATGCGGTCGCGGCGTCGGACAACTGGCACTCCCCACTGTCCAAACTCACCTCAATGCTGAGTCCAGGTCCATAGCCATCGTATGCCGTGAACCCCACTGGAATGGGGACATACTCGGGACAAGAGTCGCGCAGGACCGAGATACACTCGACACCCTTGGGCGGCGGGGGCAGGTCTGTGTCGATGGACGACGCGTACGGGTAGATCCACTGTACAGGGCGTCAGTCAGCTGTATCTGCAAGCCGAGTACGAAACGTAGCCACTCCACTTACGTCGGGCCACTCAGAGTCCCAGTTCCAGAGCATGCTGCTGCAGTCGGTGCAGAACGTGCGCACAGAATTACACCTCTTGGTCACGCGGTCCTGGGCGTCAAAGGCGAGTGGGGCCGAGTACTCTCTTGGTACAGTGTCAGCAAGGCGCTGAGGGATGCAGAATGCTTCGCGAATGCGTGCTTGCCACACGCCATTGCAGACCCCCACTCACTTCATCTTGTCCTTGCCGCGAATGATCTTCAGCGTCGGGTTGTTACCCATAATGTTCACTGTTCCCGTGTATCCGCCGGTCTTGCGGCAAATGCTGCATTGGCAGAGCTGGACAATGTCAGTTACTGCGAGACTTATATAACTGTATGCAAAGTGCAAGGACATACCTGGTACGGCACGGGAGTGTTCGACTGGAGCGGTGAGTGAGCGGGGTTCGATCGCAACAAGTGGGCAGAGGTCCACCTACCTCGACGGTGTACTTGATCGCGCGGCAATGGCAGGACCTTTGGCTGTCAGTGACCGCCCCCCTTTCCTGGCTCCTACCCTTCGAGAAGCATCGGCATGGTGTATGTGTGTTTTGTGGGAGAATGGTCGTTGTCAAGAGGACAAGAATAGGAGACGACAGCGAGATAACTCGGCTGCTGATCTGCTGATCAATGTTCCGGGGCATATGATGTCATTGCGGCTCCGATCGGCGTGTTGTTGGCACATGCTGGCACAAGTCCACGAGCCAACTGGCGTCCACGATGCAGGCTCTGCATTACGCGTTACGCTGCTGCCGCAGACTTTGCCATACTCTACGATACTCTGTCTCCAGCCCAGTGTACATACATGCCCAGTGCCGGTCGTCACGCTCAACCTCGCGCCGTTGCGATCGAACAGTCCAGATCAGCCGCGGCAGTCATCCCCCCGGCCGATCCGCAATCGGCGTGTCACAGCACCTGCCACTTGCTCCGACATGTTGTCCACCCCCAACCTTTATCCGTCCATAACTTTCCTTCCACAGCTCAGATCGATGCGAGGAAAGCTCTCCGATACACCTCAGAAGCAGGAGAACACAGCACAAGTGGCAATGTGGCGGAGTGGTTAACGCGATTGACTCGAAATCAATTTCCTTCGGGAGCACATGTTCGAATCATGTCATTGTCGACTGAGCTCATCTCGCGAGAGAAGAGTTGCTTTTTGGATGGTGGGGAGGGGATAGCTGCTGTTTTGGGATCTAGCTGGGGCTTGTGTTAATGGGGGACGCGTGCTAGTCGCGTAGGTGCCATGATATGTCTGCATGTCTCCATCCGCCCAACTCTATGAATGATACACTTCAAGGGATACACGTGTTCAAGGCGTCTGCTTGATGATCTTGCCGGCGGCGTCGTACTGGATCTCGCGGCACTTGACGCTGCGCAGGTGGTCGACGCCCTTGCTGAGCTCGCAGTCGTGGTAGAAGAGGTACGACTTGCCCTCAAAGTCGTCGACGATCGAGTGGTGCGTCGTCCAGCCGACGACGGGCTCGAGGATCGTGCCCTGGTACGTGAACGGGCCGTAGGGGCTGGTGCCGATGCCGTATGCGAGCAGGTGGGTGTCGCCGGTCGAGTAGGAAAAGTAGTACTTGCCGTTACGCTTGTGCATCCAGGCGGCCTCGAAGAAGCGGCGCTCGTGGTCGTCGGCGAGGATGGGGTTGCCCTCGTCGTCGACGATGAGGATCTCGCGGACCGTCTCGTCAAACTCGAGCATGTCGCCGCGGAGACGGGCGACGCGGGGGCCAAGGGCACGCACGCCGGCGCCGGTTGGCTCCTCGGGAGCCTTGGGGTCCGACACGGTGCCGTCGGCGTTGTACCGCTGCAGCTGGCCGCCCCACAGGCCGCCAAAGTAGAGGTAGGCCGTGCCGTCCTCGTCGACAAAGGATGCCGGGTCGATCGAGAACGAGCCCTTGATGGCCTCGGGCTGGGGAGCAAAGGGACCCTCGGGCTTGTCGCTCACGGCGACACCAATGCGGAAGACACCGTCGTGTGCACGCGCCGGGAAATACAGGTAGTACCGACCGTCGGCACCCTTTGCTGCGTCGGGGGCCCACATCTGCTTGTCGACCCAGGGCACGTCCTTGGCCGCGAGCGCGACGCCGTGGTCGGTCACCTCACCGCCAATCTTGTCCATCGACAGCACATGGTAGTCGACCATGTCGTACTGGTCGCCATTGTCGTTGAAGTGGATGTCCGTCTCGCGGTCGTGCGACGGGTAGACGTAAACGCGGCCGTCAAAGACATGCGCCGAGGGGTCGGCGGTGTAGATGTGCGTGACGAGCGGGGCGGACATGGTTTGCGGGAGATGTATGAGGGGGGGTGAGAGAGAGGAAGAAGCGTGCATGCACCAGCCGGTGCGACATGATATATAGTCTCGGGTGTCTTTCGGCAACTCGCCGGTGGACAGGGTGGGTGGAGGTGGGGTTTATCGTGCCGAGAATGCGCCGACGGCGGGAAGCTTGGCACCATCTGGGTTCTTGGACAGCGTGGGCGGGTGGGCAGCGCTCAGCAGGCAGCTGCAGCTCGTGAATACCATGTGGTAACGGACGCGCAGTCATCTCGCCGTACATCCCGCCGAGTTGCAAGGCGTAGGAAGGTGGACGGGGAGGCCATCTCAACGGGTGGATGTTACGGAGCACCTGACGCCAAATCACCGAGGCAAGTGTGGGGGCGAGCTCAGCAGCGCAATGTTGAAGGCGGGGTGGTCTCCTTGCAACCTACGCACTCAAAGACCTTGTACCGCTCATGACATTGCAGGTCTATGCACTACTACTGACAACTGTTCAACTCTACATCACTCTAGATTTGTGGCACAGCACATCCGTCGCCACGATAGTCGGTACCAGCGGCCCATATACGCTTTCCTGAAACGGCGTCGACAGTGCGCAGGATGGCCTGTCCCTTACCAAACACGAGCTGGTCGGCCCCCTTGACGCGCTCAATCTCATGACCCATCGCCTCGAGCTGGTCGGCGACCTCTGGGTCGACGCCGTCCTCGAGCGCCACGGGGCCGTTGTAGAACGGCGCCGAGGAGAGGTGCCACCGTGTGCCGCCGATACAGAAGCGCTTTGCGTCGAGCGCGAGCTGCGGGTCCCGGCCGTTATGCAGGAGGTTGAGGAGGATGAGCGCCTGGCCCTGCGGCTGCATGACGGCGCCCATGCACCCGTACGACACGAATAGCTCGTCGCCCCTTGTGACCATTGCGGCTGGACCCCGTTAGCAATGGCTCGCTGACCGTTGTGCTGGTCGCTCACGGATGATGGTGTGGAAGGGACGCTTGCTGCCCGCGAGGACATTGGGCGACGCAGGATCCAAACTGAAGGCACAACCACGGTTCTGGAGCGTGAACCCACATCCCTCGGGGGCGATGGCAGAGCCGAATCCGAGATAGTTGCTCATGATGTCTGCCGTCAGTAAAGCGAGTCCCAACACTTGGCTCACAAGAAATGGCGTTACCCTCCGAGTCGGCTGCAGCCAGGTAGCACGTGTCGCCGCCCGTAACAAAGTCGCTCTTGGTCAGCCCCGGTGTGGCCTTGTGCGGGTTGAAGAGCTTGGCACGTTCACGCAGGTTGGCCTTGGACAGCAGCTGGTCCACGGGCACCTTTACGACACTGCGGTCCGCGACGTATGCTGTCGTGTCGGCAAACGCAATACGCAGCGCCTCGATGATGGCGTGGTACCACTCTACGCTGCCCTCCTGGGCACTGTCGAGGTCAATCACGCCGTCCTCGTGCAGGACGTCGAGCACACCCAGGGCAATGAGCGTGGCGAGGCCCTGGCCGTTGGGCGGGCACTCGTGCACGGTGAGCTCCTCCTTGCCGTACGTGTACGATATGGAGTCGGTAAACTCGGTGTCGTGGGCCACGAGGTCGTCGAGGGTGACGAGACCGCCTCGGCTGGAGATGGCCTGGACAATCTTCTCGGCGACGGGACCCTTGTAGAAGGCGTCCTTGCCCTCAGCACCGAGCTTGCGCAGAGACGCGCCCAGCTGGGGGTTGGAGAAGAACTGGCCCGTCACGGGCGCCTTGCCGTTGACGAGCATGGGGTGGGGGTATCCCGACTCGGCCTGTACCTCGAGCAGCCTGTTCTCGTGCTGCCGCCACTAGATGTCAGCTGCGAAACTCATAAAACACAGCTTACCTCAAACGACGCCATCTGGTGTACGGCGAACCCGTCCTCGGCCAGCGAGATGGCAGGCTGCAGCACGTCCGCGAGCGACAGCTTGCCGCCGCCGAGCTTCTTCTGGATATCCACCATGGCCGCCGCAGCGCCCGGTACCGTACACGCGTGGACGTTGTCGTATGGGATCTGGTGGCCCGTGAGGCCAAACTCGCGCGCCTTGTCCAGTGTCATGGCCTTGGCACTGCGTCCCGATCCATTCACGGCAGTCACAGTGCGCGCCTTGGCGTCCCAGTAGAGGGAAAACGCGTCACCCCCGATTCCAGTGTTGACCGGCTGTACCTGTCAGCGGACACCAAGTGTATTCCGCAGAGCTCACCTCGGTGACGTTGAGCGCGGCCGCCATGGCGACGACGGCGTCGGCGGCATTTCCACCCGCCCGCAGGATCGCGATGCCCGCCTCGGCCGCGAGTGGCTGTGAGCAGCAGACCACACCCTTGGCACCTGGACGGTCAGCAGGGGACCACAAGTATAGAACGCACTGTACACCGTCGATCGGCGCGAGGCCGTCTCGAAGCGGTCAAAGTCGATGGGTGGCATTGTGAGGCAGCTGAAGAGAGTGGTAAGAGCGATGTGGTCATTGCACAAGGCTAAATGGTACTCATCGAGGCCCTGCAACGAGTCACCGACCGGTATCGGTCGGACTCGACGATGGGCTGTACACGATGTGGGTTGTCCCATAGCCGACTGTACGATGATGGGTTGTTCATAGCCGGACAGCGGGAGCGCGCGGACCAGTCGAGCGGGTGGGATGGCGGGGCTGATTTCATTGTTTTTTGGGCCATTTAACAGCACGCAACAATGACGCGACGGTTTTGTGGGAGCCTGGCTTCTTTCCTGCCTGGATACAGCCTCCGATACAGTATTTGTCGCGTCGTCGTACAAAATCTTGCTGGTCGTTGTCATGCAGGCGCAGGACGGGCCCCTGGCCAGCTGCCGCTCCTCCATGCCGGTGGGGTCCTGATTCCAGTTGGTCTCGGGGCAACTTCGCCACAAAACACTCCTTCCTTGCACCCCTGGGGAGAAGAGAGGGAATGGGTATTGGAAAGGAGTGTTAATGGCTCGGGGGGCTCGGGGGACGAGAGGCGGGCTTCCTGATCGCCACAGTTGTTCTTATCATAGGCGACGAGGTGTGCGGGGGTTTGAGCGTTGAAGAGGCCTCGTGGCAACGGTGTGGGTGAAACCCAGCGAGTAACTATGAGTGACCACAGCGTGGTGTTCTTGCCGTTGACAGATGTCTGGGATGTCATGAGGCGCTTGGATGATAAAGAAGGAGAAAGATGGACGTTTCAAAGCTAAGCAAGCATATGATATCGGCACCGCGTGCGCCACCAACGTCTCCGTGGATCCACATGCCCAGGTCCACCTTACGTGTCGGGATAGCACACCACGGTCGTCCTGTGTTTCTTGGGTGACGGTACATCATGCGTGTCTTATACAAGTCCTGGGGGCTCCTAGTCGTGGCTGACGACGTGAACGATGCACACCCCCATGTCAAACCGGACATGCGGGGCGTGGCACGTCGGGCACAAGTGTGTCTTGTCCTGCCGAGAAGCGAAATAACTCTGTCATGCTCAGCCCAAACGGGATTCAAACGCCTCACTGCTCATCGGGCTGCCTCCCTCTTTTTAACGGGGCGGCCTGAGCTCGTCGTGCATTGATATGTATCAAAGAGGCGACGCCTACGCCGCTCAGCCGGTCGTATCGGCAGACGAGGACGCCGTGGCGGCCTCGTCAGGACTGGTTTCGCTTCCTGCATCAATGTCCATTGCCTACACGACGGTGTTGAGCTGAGACTACGTTGCCTATCGGACACTGTATGCTTCTGTCACAGTATGGCTAGAATGTCTCCACAGATACAGCACATCTAGCTTGCCACGATGGCGAGAGTACCCAAAAGGCCAAAGCAAAGAGCAGACGGCGGTGATCGCCGACTGATTTATATTAGCCGATTACCGACGCTTTTCGGTATTCATCTCACCCGCCCACCCCATCGCTAGTCATCTCTGCCCATCCACCCATGACGTCCATGCTCTCCAGCCCGCGTAGAGGAGTATGGCTCCTCACGTTCCCACCATCAGCGTCCACTCCTGGGCTGCTGGACGAGGTGCTCGCCCGCCTGGACCAGGTCGAGGCCGAGCATGGAACCATGGGAGGACCTGGTGCGCTCGTGCTCGCGCCGGCTCCTCAGGGCCTGTTCAGCGTCGCGACTGATGTACGAGCAAACGTCCTGCCAGGTATGTTCAGCTAGACAGTCCCAGGATAGAGAACAACAGCTGATGCCAGCGGTCGAGCAACTTGCGCGTCGGCTTGTCGCCTGCCCCTTGGCGACAGTTGCCGTCCTGGACGGACATGGTGGGTGGCCAACCGCCGACAAGGCTGACAGCAGCGTTCGGGTACGGCCTCCTCCTCTCCCTGTGCTGCGACGTGCGTCTCATCACCCCGCGGGGGTCGCTCGCTCTGGGCCACGTACGTCGGCCGTCACTGCTGCGTCCTAGTATTGACGTCGCAGGCCCTGTCCGAACATCCACGGTCGGCACTGGGACGCGACATTCTCGCCGCCAAGGTGCCGAACGCCAAAGCGCACGAAGCGGTGATCAGCGGAAATGCCTGGACCGCAGAGCAGGCAGTGCGTGGGGGGATTGTCGATGCTGCTGTTCAGCCGCGCGAGGTCGTGAACCGCGCAGTGGCCGTTGCAGAGGGCACGCTACGGCCCGACACGGTGGACCTGGTGAGTCGACGGTGGACACGAACGTTCAGTGCTTTGCTAATCGCTCAGCTCGCGCGTAGGGCATCAGCAACACTGGCAGCGCGTACTTGGCCCAACCCTTGCCCCATCGTCACCCGCCTGCCCCACCTCACCAACGAGCTCGCCGGGTACTTATTGAGGCTGCTCCCAGACCAAGAGGCCGTGGCGGCGTGGGCCAAAGTGGAGTTGTATGGGGAGCATGACAAGTCGTATCGACTGAAGGCGGCTGCCGTCAAGGCACATCTCTAGCAATGCTAGGCAGCGATGGCACGATGTGGATCTGTGCATACCCGTGTACCCGTGTTGCGCGAACGTCAGCAGGTTGGCAGGTGCTGTCGTCACAGAACCAGAACAGAACAGAACATTCCCGACCGCCGCTCAGCTTCCGCTGATGAAGAAGCCACGTATCCGCAGACGCAACAACCGGTAACCATCTCTTTCACCATGGCCAGAGAGGGGACGCGCCGGCTCCGTAGCAAGCTGCCTCAGCATGCGTGCACTCCAGACCGTCACCCGGTGTCCGCGCACCGTTTCAGCTACTCCGGTCCATTCTCGGTGCGTTGTAGCCTATGGACTACCGCTCGGCCCGCCGGTCCGGCCGGACGACATGTTGCCCCGCACAACCCCTTCGGCAGTGACGTCCATCGACCCAACTCTTCCGCAGCAACCGCTCTTAAACCGATGTTGAGAGCATCGTAACACCCTATCCACAGCAAGAGCACACCCGTGACCATGGCCAACACGTACCGCAACCCAGTGATCCCTGGGTTCAACCCCGACCCGTCCATCTGCCATGTGCCGGGCAAGGGCTACTTCCTCTCGACGTCCACTTTTGAATACTTTCCCGGACTGCCCGTGTACCACAGTACAGACCTGGTCAACTGGAAGGTGTGTGCAGCTGGCGCGTGGAAGTGATGCACTCCAGCTGACACTTCAGATCATTGGCCATGCAATCAACCGCCGCTCGCAAGGCGTCGACATGCGTACCGTCGAGACGTCGGCGGGACTGTGGGCGCCCACGTTCCGCTACAACAAGGGCAGGTGGTACATGATCTGCTCGTGTTTCTGGCGAGCAAGGTTTACACCGGTGGGTAGGCTTCTCTGTTGGGGGATGTAGCTGACAGGTTAGCCACGCGAGATGATCTCGAGCGGATTCTACGTCTGGACCGACGACATCTTTGACGACTCAAAATGGAGCGACGCCGTGTACTTTGAGGACGTCGGGTTTGACCAGGACGTGAGTGGCTCGTGGCGCCGTCTTCAAGATCATTTCTCTAACAGCCCAGCTCCTGTTTGACGACGACGATAGGGTGTACCATACCGTCACGCGGTACCGCTTCACTGGGCCCGTCAGCAACCCGGTCAAGAACCTCGAGTCGTGGATTACCGAAATTGACCTCGCCACCGGAACCACGCTGTCGCCTCCCGTACTCGCGCGCCAGTCACCCCTCAACGTCGCCGAGGGATGCCACATCATCAAGCACGAGGGCATGTATTACCTCTTCGTCGCCGAGGGCGGCACCGAGGGCGGCCACCGCGAGTGCGTGTATCGCGCCGCGCAGCCCATGGGCCCGTACCTGCCGCCCCCCGACGGTGTCAACCCCCTCATATTCAACCACGGCCACCCGCGTGTCCAGAACACGGGCCACCTCGATCTCGTGGCGGGCGACGACGGCAAGTGGGTGGGCGTGTGTCTCGGTGTGCGGCCCGTCTTCCCCGTCCGCCGCACGACGACGGGGATGGGCGGCATGCCCTCGCAGCTGGGCCGAGAGACGTTCCTCGTCCCCGTCGAGTGGGTCGATGGCTGGCCTGTCGTCAACGGCCGCAAGGACATTGACCTCGAGGGCACGGCCGACTTTGGCGTGCAGCTGCCAGTGGAAACCCACTGGGAGGACGCGTTTGACACAGAGACCCTCTCGCTGGGTTGGTACCACGTCCGGGTCCCGCTGCGGACGACTTACGCGGTCTCCCCGCGCGGCCTCGCGCTTCGTGGCGGCCCGGATACGCTGGACGTCGACCACTGCCCTTCCCTACTGCTCCGCAAACAGACCGCGTTCAACCTCGACTGGTCGACCGAGGTGGACTTCTCCCCCAAGTTTGGCGAGGAAGCAGGTACCGTCGCATGGATTGCGCGCGGAGCGTACGCGTCACTAGGTGTGCGTGGCACCGAGCACGGCCGCGAGGTCGTGTTCAAGCGTCCGGTCGGGGATGCAGATGAGTTTGTGGTAAGTTGTACACTAGACTTGACCTTGTCGCGGCCAAAATCTGACCCAGGCAGTCGACCTCGAGCGCCATCCCGCCTTCAGGCCCAGTGACAATGTTCATCCGCGCGCGTACCCTAGAGTACACGTTCTCGTTTGTCGCCGGCAACGGCGCCGAGGTCGTGGTAGGCAGCGTCTCCTCGGACAATCTCAGCCCGCTCTTCACCGGCGTCCACATTGGTGTGTACGCCCAGGGCTACATGAGTAACCCATGTCTCGAGAACGCGTACTTCAAGTACTGTAAATGGGATCTTGTGGACGCCTGAGGGAGTGAGATGGAGCGAGTGGGATGGATACTGTTGTCACCAGGGCGTAACTCCGTGGACTGGGATGCTCACTGTCCTGCCACCTCCAGAGCTGACACGATGGCGTAGCGATTGGCAGTGCTGGGGCTTGTGAGAAGAGGTTTGGTGGGTTAGGCTCAAACCCTCGTTAGGCCATATCCTTGGAGCGCCGGCAAGCGCCGCTGTTCGTAAGCAGACCTGTGTGTGGTCGTTCTGACCTGGACCTGTGCGAGAAGTCGTTTAAAACGGGGTTCGGAGAGTGCCATGGTCCTCTCTTGTTGTCCTGTTGTCCTGTATTGGCTGGCAATGTCACTCGTGTAACGAACTTACCCATATGGAGCAATACAAACCCTGCTGCGGGAAGAGGCACCGTGCCAACAACAGTGGACAGTGGACAAAGCCCCACCCGTTCCGGTACCTCCCTCTGCCGCATTCCGGTCGTGCACGGAGGCCAATGTGCATGCCACCTACTGTAGGTCTGAGCATTGACGATGCATGAGCGACGCTGGAACGCGCGTGACGGCCATGTTGTCGCCGTTGACATCTGGAACCAAACAAGAGGGGGGGGGGGGGGGGGGTGACTGTCTCCAGGCACCCGAGTCATATCAGCAACCGACACCAAGCCATCTCGGGTGGCATGCCAGTTGAACAGGAAACATGAGCTGGTCACGGCATAATGACTCCCGTCTGCATGAGCGGCCACATGGTGTTGAGCAGGGGGTATGGTACATAAGCAGTGTGCCAAGTCCATACTGTCTCTTGGGTCGCTCACTTTCTCTCGCCAGTTTCAACATGAAGACGACCACAATCACCGCCACCATAGCAGCACTATTCGCCCAGCTTGCGTTCGCCGCGCCTGTCGACAACCTCGACGCCCGGGCATTCGACGAGATGGAGCGCCGTGCGGCCAGTGCTCCTGTCGAACGGGGGTTCACCGAGACCACCGTTGAGGAGCGTGCGTCCAACTGGGTGACCAATGGCCCCGCGCCGCCCATGGCCATGGACGTGGCGTCCACCTGGGCCACGCTCGCTCGTTACCAATCGTGTGTCCGAGCAGGATATGTACGGTATTGACAAACCCCAGAGCCACATACTGCAACCTGACTTCAGTCAAGGCATGGTCGTGTGCCGACTGCAACCTCCTGGGTGGGAGCAGCAAAAACACCGTGTTGATGACGGGCGGCGACGACGGCGCCACACCTGTCCGTAAGGACACATTGTCTCTCTGCCAACCACTGACACTCAGACTACGTTGTCAATAACGGCTCGCACCTCATCATCGGTATCCGCGGTACAAACTCCAACGACCCGGCGTCCCTCGCCAACGACGTCAACTTTGTCCTCGTCACCCCGAGCGAAACGTATTACCCCGGCATCAAGGCTGCAGGTGGGATGGTGCATGCCGGGTTCTACGGCGCCACGACGCGCGTGGCCGCCAGTCTCGCGCCCACGGTCCAGGCAGCCGTCCAGGGCGGGACCACCAACGTCATTGTCCTCGGACACAGTCTCGGCGGTGCCGTCGGACAGATGCTCGGCGTGTACCTCACCTCGCTGCTGGGCTCGAGCGCGACAGTCTACGTGCGCACGTTTGCCCCGGCGCGCGTCGGGAACCCGGCATGGGCAGACTATGTGGATGCGACGATGGGCGAGCGCTCGCAGCACATGGTCAACTTTAACGACCCCGTGCCGCACCTCCCGCCGCTGGCGTGGGGGTTCCGCCACTCGGGCAACGAGGTCTTCCTCGACAAGCTGGGCAGCCTCGACCCGCTCGTCTGTTCCGGACAGGAGAACTCGCACTGTGCAGACAAGTACGAGGAGCCGCTGAACTGGCTTGCCAGTATCGTACAGTACGTCGACAGCGAGGTGCACATGGGGCCCTACGTCGGTGTCACCTTGAGGGGCAACTGTTAGTCTGTGATCTGTGAGGGGGCTCGCCGTGTCGGCTGGACAGTGCAGAATTTGTGACAGTTTGTTCACGTTTTTGCGAAAACCGGTAAAAATGCAACTACACGGTGTCTACTTGTCCTGCTGTCCCTCGGTGCAGATGAGAACCACGACGTCGTCGGCCTTGAACTGAACTTTACGTGCCGCCGCAAGAGGCGCAGCGCCGCATGGGCCAGCGGAGACGCCGTTGGCGATCAAGTCCTTGACGGCCTGCTCGGCCTCGACGTCGGTGACTACCATGGCGTCCTGCGGCTTGACTGCCGCCTGGAGGTCCGGCCAGGCCAATGGCGATACTGTCCCGCAGTTCAGGCCGGGCATAACGGTGAACCTCGTGCCGGGCGTGGTGGTCTCCTTGCCGTTCTTCAGCGACTCGTGCAGACACGGTGCGGCGTCCGGCTCGGCGGTGATGATGCGTGTCGACTTTGTCGATTCCGGGCGGTGGAACCACTGCACGACCGAGTGTGCCAGGCTGCCCACGCCGACGGGGACGACGACGGCGGTGGGTGGGATCGACGCCTGCGACTCAATCTCGGACGAAATGGCCATGTATCCCAGCGTGATCCTCGCAGGAGCGAGCTGGTATCCGTCCCAGCTCATGTCTTGAATCAGCACACCGAGACTGCCGGCGGCATCGGACGCGTCCGACGCCGCGGCCACGGCCCCATCGTAGTCTGCGTCCACGGGCGTGACGGGCCCGCTGCCCTCCGACTTGATGGCGTCAATCGACCACTGCTCGACAGTGGCCGGCACGTAGATGTGTGACTGGAGGCCCAAAAGCGCAGCAGTGCGGGCGACGGCGCGTCCGTGGTTTCCTGAAGGCTCGCGTCAGTCGGTTGATCGGTTGGTTGCCCACCTCGCTATCTCTCGGGTAAAAAACACAGACGTACCGTCCGTGGCAGTGAAGATGGTCAAGCCGGGCTCCTCTTTGGCCATTGTCTTGAGCGCCTCAATGTCCCAGGGGTCCACACCCCACCGCTCGGACAGGAGGCTGGCAATGGCCCAGCTGGCGCCGAGAATCTTGAACGCCGGCAACCCACACCGCTGCGACTCGTCCTTTACGTAGACGGCCTTGACGCCCAGCTGGGCCGCAATGTCGGGCACGGAGCGCAGTGGCGTGGGACCATGGGTGGGGAAGAAGGCGCGGTGTACCCGCTGGATGCGCTCAGAGTCCATGTTTCGTGAGAGAATGTATGGAGCAGACGAAAGCAACGGTTGCTGCGAGATGTACACACCCAAGAGTAGGCCGACAGCTCGCCCGTTGGCCATGTCCGTGACCTCGTTACGAGCCACGACCGATTCGCGATTGACGAGGAGCAATCGGCCCCAAGCGACGGGTTGCCCATATTAGACGATGCATGTCGTGTAAAGATAGCTCTATCTCTCTCTCTATCTATCTCTATCTCTCACTGTCTCGCATGCTATAAGAAGAGACACATTGCTGAGCCGTTCCCAAGCCCCCAACGACACATTCCAAATTGAACACCATGCCAACCCCATCGAACACTTCCACCACCACCACGGGAGCCCCCACGCTCCACCTCCGTGGCCAACCCACCCTCCAGCCCTCGCCAGCGACGTCTGGCTTCCCCATGACGACCGACCTCCATGCGTCGCCCTTTGCAGAGGTGCAGGTGGGCCCCACGCGGACGATGCTGCCCGTCTTTGCCAGCCCGCAGGAAGAGCGCGTCTACCGCAAGGAACACCTCGCGCTCGTGTTCCGCATCATGCACCGGTTCCGCCTTGCAGAGGGCATCGCCGGTCACTGCTCTGTGCGCGACCCCGTCGACCCCGACACGTTCTGGGTCAACCCACAGGGCAAGAGCTTTGCGCGCATGCGCCAGTCGGACCTCGTGCGGTGCCGCATCTCGGACGGCGCCATGGTCGAGGGCCGCTCGCCGACCGACGCCAGCGCCAGCTCGATCCATTCCCAGATCTATAAAGTGCGCGGGACCGAGGGCCCAGCGGGCATCCAGGCGATTGTACATGTCCACGGACCGCACACCAAGGCCTTTTCGTCGCTGGGCCGCGTGCTCGACATGATCAGCCAGGATGCCTGCTCGTACGCCGACGAAATGGTGCTGGTCCCCTTTGGCGGCGCCGTCTTTGACAACCGCGAGGGCGAGCGTATCGCCGGTTTGGCAGGCAGCAAGCGCATTGCCATCTTGCAGAACCACGGTATCGTCGCCATGGGCAAGCTCTCGATTGACGAGGCGGCGTGGTGGTGAGTGAAGCGAGCTGATCGAGCTGACGATTGATTGCGTGCCCCGCGCGATTGCTGACTCGTTTGCCCAGGCAGATCAACTTTGAAATGTGCTGCAAGGCCCAGCTCCTGGCCGACGCTGCCCGCCGTCCCGACGACCCCATGGTCGTTGCTGGGCCCGAGGAGATTGCCTCCACCAAGGCCGAGATGGGGACACCGGAGATGGGCTGGTTCTCGCTGGCTGCGTACATTGAAGAGGAGGAGTATGCGTCCCAGGGCGACCACAAGTTGTAGCGTGCCCTTCCATCGTTGTAATTGCGCAGAGAGACAGGTTGTAGAGGATGCAAAGGAGCTGGGAACGAACGCAATGGCCTGGACGCAGCAGTGTGTCGTCTCGATGCATGGTACACCAGCGATAACGCAATCAAGCGGCCACAGGCCCCACACCAGGTGGGCAAGACGGGTACGTCGGTCACTCTTGGGCTCGTTCCGAACGGCTGAACGGCCCCACCGCCCCCCACGCGTTTCTCGTCTCTCGGCTCCATCCACTGCACCTCGTTTCGATCCACTCGTTCCCTCAATTCATCCACACCCACAATCTCCCTCCTCGCCCCCGTGATGTCATCCACAGCTGCCGACGAGTACCAGCTACAGCGGTCGCGCAACGGATGTCTCACGTGCAGGACACGCAGAGTCAAGTGCGACGAGGGCAGGCCCGTATGCGAGCGCTGTCGCGTCGGAGGACGAGACGTGAGTGACCCACAACAGTCTCAGCAACTCACACCTACCCTCCCAGTGCGCCTATGGGCCCGACAAACCGCTCAACCCTCGCAAGCGGCGGCGAAAGGTCCTCGGCGTGTCGACAGCACCCAGCACCCCTCCCAATGACCGCGCCGCATCGCCGCCCAACGCCGTCGCTGGCCCGTCGACGGCCTCGGCGGTCCACTCCACCCCGTCGTCCTCCGTTGCCCTCATGGCCGCCGTCGCGGCAACTGCCCCTCGCGCACCCATCCCACCACCAGCTGCGCTGACGGGGGATATCGACTGGATCTCGGGTCGGACTCGCATGTCGTTGATGCTCGATGCGTGAGTGGAAAGACGTGAAGAGCGGCCGCTGACGTCTCAAGCTCCCTCCTGTCGTCCTTCTTCCCTCGGTTGTGAGTCTTATCGCGGTGTCATCCCCTACACATACTTGTATCCCGTGTCTGACCCAGCAGTGACGAAATGGCAACGTTTCGCTACTACATTGAACACGCAGAGGACCTTATCGCGTTCCTTGGACCATACAACCAAGGCGGCCAGTTCAACCCCTGGGTCTCGATCCACGCGCCGCTGGTGTTCCGTCACGCACCTGGGTGAGCTAACCTTCACTGATCCAAGCTGACAGCCTAGCATCTGCAGGACTACCGATGCCATTCGAACAGCTATCGTCGCCGTCGGTGCCGTGAGGCTGCAATATGTCGACGACCCCCTCAACCAACGCGTAGCGCAGCGTATCGCCACGGACGCCCGAGATCGAGTGCTGCAGCTGCTGCGCGACATTCTCACCGGCCCAGAGCGCTACCCGGACGAGATTGAGGGCGCGTTAGCAGCCATGCTGTCCTGCACCGTTGCATGCGTGAGTTGTTTTCGGTCTGACTCCAACTGACATTGCAGACGCTCGCTGCAGACAACGGGTGGGAGGACATGCTCGCCAAAGCCGTGGCGCTGATCGACCGTGTCGGCGGTGCCGAAAAACTGTGCGCCAACCTGCCCAAAAACCAGTTCTCTGCCACCCGCTTTGTCCTGGAACAGCTGGCTGTGCGAGACGTGATCGCGTGCATGACCCTGGGCAGGCGGCCGTGTATCCTCCGCCAACCGTTCGAGCCGTGGTTCTTTGAGATTGAGCGGTGGAGCGGCAAGGACGTCGAGTGGGAGAGCATCGAACGGCAGTTTGGTAAGCTGTGCCGCTAGGTCCCAAGCTGACCCTCCAGGCGTTACGCGCGGCATGGTCGACGTCATGGCGCGTGCATGCTCCCTCATTGGCGTCGCCCGCGAGCGCATCGCGTTGGAAGGCGCCGCGTCCGGCAACCCGCCGCGCGAAATCCAGGACGCGGCCAACGGCCTGCTCGCCGAGCTGCAGGTCTGGGACCACGGCTTCAACTATACCCCGTACCACGTGCGCACGCAGTACGGTAACCACTGCTATCGCCACGGCATGCGCATCGCGCTCATGCGCGACGTACTCGGGTTGGACCAGGACAACGAACGCATCGTGAGCTGTGCGCACGCCATCATCGAGCTCGCACGCGAGCTTGATTTCGAAAAGGGCCCCAGCATGAACTGGTACGTCGTCGCTGTCCCCAACACTTTTCCCACTGACCCGCAGGCTCCTGTGGCCCCTCATGCTGGCTGGATTCCACCTGGGCTCCGATATGGAGATGCGCACCGCCTGCCTCAGCCTCCTCGAGTACCCCGGTCCGCACATGTGCTTTGACTCGCGAGCGGGTATCCGTCTCCTGAAGGAGTTCTGGGAGCAGCAGGACGCCCACAGCCCGGGCCAACTGAGTCACTGGCAGGTATCTAATGGAGAGCTCCATCGCTGCCTCTTTGCTGGTTAGCCTGTATCTGTGAGTTTGCGGGGATGGGACTGCGGCTGACCACGACTCAGAAATGACAATGTACCATTTATAATCTACTACTTGAACGTGACAGTCGCATCAACAGCTTCTGGACCTAGCAGGACGATCGTCACTTCCCTGTGCACCCAACCCAGAGCGGATCGCGCCGGAGCCGTGCCCACGCCTCGGCGATGTTTTGGGAAGCGGTGCGCTGCCGACGACTCCAGGGTGTATACCACCCGGACTCTCGACGGGATTGCAGGCTGGGCGGTGGTGTGGTGAAAGCAAGGAACATGCCCCCCCCCCCGTGCTGTCCATCACATGGCCTCAAACCCTTCTGGGAAGGACAGTGTGTCGCCCAGCAGCGTCGCGTACAGGTTGGAGGCGCCCAGACTCGCGTCCGTCTGGGTGTTGTCCCAGATACTCTGGAACAGGATATCCTGCTCGTGGTCCGCGGCGGGCATCTGGAACGTGGGGTCAAAGTTCCACATGAGGTCGTCGGCGCGCGGGTCGTTGAACGTCATTGACGTGGCGCCGCCAGACAGCGAATGGTTGGCCCAGTCGACGCCTGGAATGTCAAACTGGAACGACTGGAGGTCGGGGAGGCTGGTGGTGGTGGGGCCAACGGTGCTGTCATGGGTCGGACCCATGGGGGGTAGGGCCGGGTTGGAAGCGAGTGACATTTGGGCTTCGGACCCCAGGAAGGCCTTGGCGCGGCAGTCGTCGGCGTTCTCAGGCCGCTCTGCCGCCGGGCGGTTGAAGATGGATGTCGAGGTACGGTCCTGCGGGCGCCAGTGTTTGCCCAGGCGTTTGAGAAGGATCGCGAAACCGTGCAGGAAGTGCTCGTCGTCAATCGCCGCGTTGCGCAGGGCGCTGACGAGCTTTTCGAGCATGCCAGCGACATTGTGCTCGCCAAACTCGACCATTCCGGCCGCCAGGGCCTGTAGTCAGCTCGCAAGTCCATGTCGAAGAGCTCACCTTGTACAGGAATGTGGTGGCGAACAGGATGTATTGGAAAATACGAGACGGGCAGTATCGCAGAATGTTCCGTTCCTCCAGCACGCTGAGGGCAACTTCCACAATGGAACGCGCAGCCACCAGTGCGTCCATAACCCAGGGCCCTTCCACCATGTTCATCAACGACGGTGAGTGGTAGTGCAGGTCGCCTGCCAGGCGGCGGCGGCGGAGCTTGCCCTGGAGTGCGCGGAGCGCGAGCGAGTAGGCGTACAAGACTGTATAGTCAAACTCGATGCGCAGGAGGGCCGCCGCGACGCTGCCGTCGTCTGCATGTTAGACGGACTTCAACAATGTTCAACTCACTGAGCTTGTTCTGGCATGCACGTTTCGAGTATCGGATCTCGAATCGCAGACTGCGAAGGAAAGACTCCCATGCGCCCGAATTGAGCAAGCTGCGGGTCACGTCCTTGTTGGGGTCTGTTGTCAGCTTAGGAGGATGAGATTGAGCTCACAGAGATGGTCCTGGATGGTACCCAGCAGTTGGGCAAGAGACCCCAACGTGAACGCGTCCGAGGTCCACAGATCGCGCGTGAGTGGCGTGCGTCCGTCCGTCCATGTGACTGACGAAAACGTCTCCCACCACCGCGAGTTCATGGCTTCGTGCAAGACTGCGTTTCGTCCCAAGCGAATGGCAATGCTGCGGGTTAGCTAAACGGTGCTCCATATCTAGCTCACTGTCTATCCGCATTGTAGCAGTGGATCCACGTCTTCAGCATTCGGTTCTGTTTCCACGAGTTCTCGGTGTTCGTCTGCGACAGGCTGGCAATGTCGTGGATGCCCAGTTCCTGGGCGAGTCGCACCGCGATACCCATGTACGCCCATGAGTAGGCATCGTATCGGGTACTGGGCTTGAGGAGGAGTGCTTCCTCGGGTGGAGCGTCGTCGTCGTCTGTCGTATCGTGCTCGTTGAACGTCGGGACGGGAAGCATGGGCCATTCCGAGAGCAGGAGGAACGCTTCGACAGACGAGATTGTGCGGAGGAGTGGATCGCCGTCGATGACACCCAGGATACGCTGGCGGACCCACACGGAGAGCTTGTTGTGGACGATTGCACCACGGTTGTCCGACAGGACCTTGGAGTAACGCGCAGCAATGACGATGATGCTGCCAAGAAGCAACGATTCTGACTTGACGAGGGTCTCGAGGTATTGCGGCTCGAAAATGGATGGGTGGAGAAGAGAGTACAGCGGAGCCATCTCCAGCTCAAAGCTTTACCGTCAGCGGTGAGCACAAGACAATTAACCTACAAGCTGAACAAGGCTCTAGCGTCTTGGACAGTCAGGCAGCCCTGCCGGATAGGCGACCACCGGCCCCACATTGCAGCATTGTTGCCCAGCCATTGCTTGGACCGTGGAGGGTCCTTCGGCTTGGGCTGGGTAGCATGACTGGGGCCAGCACGGTACTGCAGACTTGACGCTGATGCGAGCAGGCGTAGCGCGTCTGAAGGGTTCTGGAGATGGGACGACACGAGCTTGTTGCCGCTGTCGCGCTGCTCCTCGTCGTCGCTCGATGGCGAGCCCTGGGGGTCATCACCATCGTCGACGTCGTGGTTGAACCCTCCAGTATGGCTCTGGGAATTGGAGCTTGTGCGAGTGGGCGCAGTGGGTCGCACAGAGGTGGAGGCTTTAGCGTTGTTGACAGTGGTGCGGGTGGTGGTGGGCTGGGGAGTCGACTGCTGAGACACACCCTCGCCGAGGTCCGACTTCCTCGGTACTGGATCCTTCACAAAAGTGGGCTTGGCGCGCAGACATTCTCGCTGTTCACGCAAACAGCGCTCGCATGGTCCATCCCAAGGCCGGTTGGGGTCTGCGCCAAACGAACACTTGAGCTTTCTCTGAGGACGGCGTCAGTTGACAGCCAAAGGGCGGGCGTACACTCAACTCACGCCTCGGCACGGCCAACAGGCGCGGTACGTGCGCCTTGGACGTTTGGCTTCTCGGTCATCGTCGGCAGCCATGGCTCCTTATCTGTGGATGCAGGACCGAGTACTCGGGGTAGTGCGGATGGGTGTTGTTGAGAATGGCAAAGGTAGGTGCGTTGGGATGGGCCCGACGAGTCGAAGGGGGAACATTGTGTTTGGTGCCGAAGATTGCCGGGGCCGTCGGCTGGCGGCAGGCGAGGAAAAAGCTCCCGTCGGTGGCGGCGGCACGCCGAGTCCTTTGGTCAGTGCGGCAGTGCGTTGCTTTGTTTTGACGGGCAGTGTATAGCAGTGTCTAGTTGCTGACGATTCCCCAGCCAGTCCGGGGGACAGGCCTTCAAATAGAAGGCACATCCTCTGCTTACAACCCTATTCCAACAAGGATTCATTTCCTTTGCTTTTCCGTTTCTTTTTTTTTTTCCTTCTTTTCTATCTTCGCTTCGTTCCTAAACCAGGCGGCCAAACGTGCTGCCATGACTGCAACGGTCTATGCCACAGTGCCCGAAGTATCTACACACGTGAATGCGGTAGGTTTGCTTGAGCTGGAGGTGTTGATAGTATCGTAGCATTGGGGGGAGATCCACAGTCCCCACAGACATGGATGAACGGCGAGGAGGATCTAGCACACGCCCAGACGGCCGAGAGATACGACATAGCTATGCACCCATGGCGAGGATGACAGCACAGTGTATAAGGCATCCCATAAAGCAGCGTCTCCATGAAGCTGAAGAGTATTACCACATTTGCGATAAGGGAGCGAGCGACAAGACGCTGTTTGTGGCGGATGACCTCTTAGTGGAGGCCACGCCGTAAACCAAGCTCGCTGCATGCCCCTTCCCAATGTACATAATGTGACAAGTTCATTCTTTGTCGACGCTTCCTTCCTAGTCGTCGTGGAGACGACCGTTTTCATCGGCGATTTAGCTCAGTTGGTTAGAGCGTGTGCTTAACACTAGCAACTCCTTCTCCACGGAGAGCGAGCGTTGTAGCGTTGCGCACAAGGTCGGCGGTTCGACCCCGTCAAACGTCATTTTTGGTTCCTAGGACAGCATCCTGACATGCTTGAGATGTCAGAGACACGTCCGGTTGGAGTGAGGTGGGTGGGTGATCGTTCTGCGCCATAGATCAAGAGGGAGGAGGCGTCTGGCGGTGGCGTCCGACTTCGTCAAGGAGTTGTTCACCCGCAGAATCGCTGCTTTGTGGTGGCCTGCCACAGTCCGAACCTGGTATTGTTCCCTTCATTCCAAGAACATGACCATGCCTTTGCATGTATGTGGCCATCGAATGTGAGAGAGGTGTGTGTGTCAGAGCTCAAAGGTGTGTGTATCAGCCATCGGCCATATCCGATAATCGATCTCGGGAACCTGTTCCGTCGGCGAATTCGTATCTCTATCGCAACTTGGCAGGGCGGGCTGTGAGCGCTGTGAGAGCAAGTGGGCAACAAACAGCCAACACGCACACACGGCATCATGTCATCGACTCGTTCGACTGGGCGACGTCAAACTTATCGGCCACTGCCTAGCGTCTAATGCTCTCCACATCACCCACCTCACCACCATGGTTTCCAAGCTGAGTCCTCCCCAAACTGTCCTGGTGGGTGCAGCAAGGCAAGCGGTCAGTCTACCTGGAGCTAACGTCTGGACCAGATTGTCGGCGGCGGAGAGTACGGCGCGACAACTGCCCTCGAGCTAGCGCGCGGCGCGTACAAGGGCAAGGAACACCTCATCACCATTCTCGATCGCTCGGCCACCCCGCCCGCGACGGATGCCGCCAGCTATGACTACAACAAGCTTGTTCGCCAAGAGTACAGTGCGCTAGAGTATGCCCGTCTCGCACACGAAGCGATGGAGCTGTGGCGCACCCCCGAGTGGAAGGACTACTACCACGAGAGCGGCGTGGTGGTGTCGGTGTCACGCACGGCCAAGCAGAACGACTACATCACACGCGCACTTGCCGTCAACTCGCTCCCAGGAATGCAGACACCGGGACTGGACGCCAAGGTTCTTCCTCAGCGGTCAGATGTCGCAGCCGTGTATCCCGATGGTGTCCCATTGGGCGACTTTGCTTCTCAGAGTGTCTGTAAGTGGACGATACGAACGCCACATGTGCTGACGATAGACATCAACTATGCCGGCGGCTGGGCAAACGCTCGCGGAGCTACTGAGGCTGTCGTTGCTCGTGCACGTGCTGCTGGTGTGCAGTTTCGTGCTGGCACAGCCAAAGAACTGCTTTTTGATAATGCGGACAAGGTGCTTGGCGTCGTGACAGTCGAGAACGGGGACTGCGTGGTGGCCGACTTTATAATCTTGTGCTGCGGATCATGGACCCCGACCCTGCTCCCGGACCTCAAGGAGGAGTGTCTCCCCACCGGCCAAGTGGTCGGCACTATCCAGCTCACCGCCGAGGAACTGGCACGATACAAGGACGTTCCAGCTACCCGAATGGTCGACAACGGCTTCTACATATTCCCTCCCACTGCTGAAGGCATCGTCAAGTTTGCCATTCACCAGAAGGGCTACCTCAACCCGCAAGACGGGTTCCCATCCCTGCCACGAACGACTCTCACTCGCGGCTTTGAGAACCAACGCGTACCAGACAGTGCCAAGGAAGCTCTCCTCATCGGCCTGAGACGTGTATACCCCGAGCTGGCGGCCAAGGAATGGCTCACGTCGCGTATCTGCTGGTACTCGGATCGTCCCTCTGGCGACTTTCTGATCGATTACCACCCAACGCACAAGTCGCTCTTCGTCGCTGCCGGGTGCTGTGGCCACGCCTTCAGTGAGTGCTGTGTGGACCAGGAATAAGACCCCTGACTGACAACAAATACAGAGTTTATGCCCATCCTTGGGCGATTGATTGTGCAGAGCATCAACCGTGAGCTGCCGGACGACCTGGCGGCGATTTGGGCGTACAAGCCCGTCCTCGGCCGCAAGGACGAGTCACGGTCGTTTTCGACCTTCCAGCGTCTCGAGCCTGCCAATGGCGCTCGCCTGTAGAGTGCTTCGCGTTTGACTATCGTTAGGCGAAGATGCATGCCCCTCATTTGACATCCACAGTGTTCCAGCCACAACAGCAAATGCATTCCTCTCAGGTTGTTGATAAAACTTAAACACGGCTAACAGCGGACTCGACGTGAGCGACCGCCTCCTTCTCCTTCTCTGACACGTCCCCCGAGGACACTGACGCGCGCCGGATCGAGGGCACGCGCAACTTGAGTTCCGGGTAAAACTCGCCTTGAATGTCTTCCAGGGCCTTGCCGCGAGTTTCAGGCATGAAGAACCACTCGTAGACGGCGCCAACCGTCGTCTGGGCAGAGTCAGCGGGCGCGGTCCGAGCAGCGTCGTCTCGAGTGGAAACTCACACAGGCCGCAAAGACAAAGTAGATGCCGTAGCCGCCGAGGTTCTCAATCATGAACGGGGTCGTCTTGGCCAGCATGAGGTTGAACAGCCAGTGCACGGACGTGCACACGGCCATGCAGAATGTGCGAATGTCGAGCGGGAAGATTTCGGCGCAGTAGATCCACGGAATGCCCGCGTACTGTTTTCGGTTAGCCCATGGGCGGCAAAGTACCACCGCAGTGTACTCACCGAAAAGCAAAAGGCTACGGCCCACACAAAGATCAGGACGATGGAGGCGTACTGGGCGGCACCTGGTCCAGTGGCGGTTGCTTCGCCGAGAGGGTGAGTCTTTTGGATGGCGCCAATGATCCACATGCACAGAGCCATGACGGAGCCGCCGGCCACGATCATGGTCTTGCGTCCAAAGCGGTCGGTGAACACCACCATGGCGATGAGGGTGGAGACGAAGCGCACCACGCCGTAGACGCCAGTGGCAAACAGCTTGGCGCTGCTGGCTGACAGGCCCATCTGAGCGAAGATCCTCGGAGAGCTGGGGATCGTTAGACGGGATATGCTGTGGGTTTGGACTCACTAGTAGTTGACGGCATTCGTTCCAGCCATTTGGAAGAAGATCACTGCCACTGTCAGTCACGGAACTCTTGTGCTTGTGAGCGGGGAGCAAGATGACTCACTGACGAGAACTCCCGACATGAGAATACGGAAGTTGCCGGGTCCGAACGACTTCTTGATGGTGTGAAGAGGGTCGCGCTCAGCCCCATTCTCGCGCTCGTGCTCGATGGCGACCATGATGGCTGTCAACTCCTCGTGGATATAGGTGTGGTCTTGGGGGAGACCTCTGAGGCGAACCAGAGTTTGGAGTGCTGGTACGAGTTAGCAGATGTACATAGAAGTAGAACGTTAACAAGACGCGTTGATAAACTGACCTTGCTCTTCGCCCTTCTTCTGAGCGACAAAACGAGGCGTCTCCGTGAGGAAGAAGAGACCGACGAGGCTGAGCTGCGGCTGGTTAGGGTCTGTCGAGTTTCCAGATACATGGTACAACTCACAGCTGCTGGGATGATCTGGAGAGCACAGGGAATACGCCATTGCGGAGTGCCAGTCTTGGTCTTGAGCACGCCGTACGGGATCCAGAAACCGATCTGGGGAGTGTGAGCCAACGTCAATTGCACTGGTCATGCACGTACCATGGTGCCAAATTGCACTCCCACTTCGTACATGCCCACCAGACGGCCGCGAATGTGCGCAGGCGAGCATTCGGCAACGTAAACGGGAACGAGCATGGTCGACGCGCCAACACCCCATCCCGTGAGGACACGGCCGGCGTACATGAGTCCCAGGCCGGCGGGGCCCGTTGCGCCTGTCATGAAGGCCACGCCGACAAGGTAGATGAGCATGTTGCCAATGAGACACATGCGGCGGCCGTATTTGTTGGCAAAGTAGACGGCGCACATGGAGCCAAACACGGCTCCAGCTTGGAACACCGACACGACGTTGGATGAAAAGTTGGTGACATACTTTGCAGACTTGGTGTCGAGGTCAAAGTCGGTCTTGAACGCGGGCAGGGTCACGACACCGCCAATAAAGCCTGAGGTGTGAGCACACGCCTTCGTGGGTGCTTCAACCTACCCAGGTCGTAGCCAAAGAGGACGGCAGCGCAACTGCCAAAGAGGGCGAGCGCTATGATGCGAGCGTTGACGGTTTCCTTGGGTGGCAAGTTGCCAAACGGGTCGGGGTGGACCTTGAATGCGGAGAGGAGGTTGACCATTGTCGAAAGAGGATGGGAGGATGGGGGGTCCCCATGGAGTAGGTCTGGAGGCTTTATGTATTACCGGCAGGTGTTGATGGGGCTCATCGTTGTTCAGTGTCAGTCATGGTGGGCAGTGCAGAAGGACCATTCTGTCAGTTGTGGATACTGAGACAAACGTCGGAGATGTCAGACGGCGGACGATGAAGCGCCGTCTGGTCAAAGGCCCCACACGGCAAGAGTCCGGACGGTGAACGACCACTGCCTGGTTTGGCGACGGCTACGGACCGGGCATCAAATGCAAATGGGGCAAGGCACGACAACTCCTGCCCACTGCCACTCCCTAAGAACGCAGCCCCATTAAACCGCGCCTAATGGGCAGACGGAATCCTAATGGCCGTCGTAAAGCGAACGTATCCAGCGGGGTCTCATGCCTCCCTCTTCCTGGGGCGGACAATGATTCTCCGGGCCAGCGTGTGGTGTAAGGACTTGTTGGCACCCGCAACCTGCGTGGCAGCAGCCAACAGTGGCTGACGAGGCGTCGTTCCAAACGTGCAGCATTCGTCTTAGGACCATATAAACTCCAAGGCATACAGAGGTCGCGATCACCGACCAACCAAGCCAACATGTCTACCAGCACCACCCCTCCCTTGACCGCGCGCACCTCCCCTTCCCCTTCCCCTCCAGCGTCCCTCCTCGGCACACCCAGCCCAGTCCTCGCTGCTCTTGAGCTCGAGACTCCACGTGAACGCCACCGTATCAAGTCTGTTCTCATGAGGGCAGGGACGTCCAAGGGCCTGTTCTTCAACGTCGATGACCTGCCTCGCGACCGCGACGCGTGGCGCCACGTACTGCTCGCCGCGATGGGCAGTCCCGACCCATCGTCCCGCCAGCTGGACGGTGTGGGCGGTGGCGTGAGCACAGCGAGTAAGGTCGCGGTGGTCAGTGTGTCTGATGACCCCGAGGCCGATGTCGACTATCTCTTTATCCAAGGTGCGCATCAATTCCACTTGTCCGACGCTGACTGTTTCAGTTCCGGTCGATGGACAGGCACTCGATTTTTCGGGTAACTGTGGCAACATCGCCAGTGGCGTTGGGCCCTACGCTGTCGAGTGAGCTAGAGACATAGACCCTGCCAGCTGACAACCAGTGAAGGGCTGTTCCCTGTCCAGAGGATTGACCCACATGAGGTGACTGTTCGGATCAGAAAGTGAGTTTTACACAAAAGAAGGCGAGGCTGACCTCCAGCGTCAACACCAACCGGATCATCCACTCGACGTTTGGAGTCTACAATGGCCACCCGATGGAGTCTGGCACGTTCCACCTGGACGGCGTGTCCACCACCTCTTCGCCCATTCGGCTGGACTTTATCGACCCGGCTGGGTCCATGACTGGTCACCTTCTCCCCACGGGGAACGTCACGGACACCATCCAACTCGCCTCGGGCCAGGTCTTGACAGTGTCATGCGTCGACGCTGCCAACCCTTTCGTGTTCGTCCACCGCGACGACCTCGGTTTGGACGGCAGCGAATCGCTGGCAGAGATTGCGACTTCCTGCACGGCGACCTTGATGGAGGTTCGGGCCCGGATGGCGGTGGCTATGGGCCTTGCCTCGTCGTACGATTCCGCTCTCCTCGTCCAAGGTACCCCCAAGATTGCCCTCGTCGGCCCGCCATGCAACTACACCGCGCTGGACGGGCACGCTGTTGCGGCAGGAGAGGCCGACGTGTGGGTCCGAGCGTTCTCAATGGGCAAGCCACACCCAGCTATCCAGATGACGGGGGCAGTGTGCGTTGGCGCTGCGTCAGTGGTGCCGGGGTCGCTCGTCCACGACCTCGTCTCATCGAGCACCTCCGACTCTGTCGTCATTGGCCATGCCAGCGGAGCGATAACTGTCAGAGGTGATTGCGAGACCCTCCATGGCCAGCCCGTCATCAAGAGTGGTAGCGTGTACAGGACCGCCCGGAGGCTTATGGAGGGCAGTGTGTTGTACCTCGAACCACCCCCAAAGATCGCAAAGCCGTGCCCGTAGTTTGTTCCACCCATATGAAATGTGTAGCCTAGTAACAAACGTCGGTCATTTAGAGGAATCTGGTTTGCCGACAACGGGTTCCTGAAGCGAATGGAGCGTGCTTGTCCGGAAATTTGATCCCGCGCGCGGGGGAGCATGACGCACCGCTAATCGGCCCCACTGGATCCAATACAGTCTTGTAACTTTGCCACTCTCTTCCAAGCGGCTCTCCCCAAACCATGGACGCACCGGGGCCGTCGCGCAGGAGGCGGCGCTCGCCAGAACGCTCCTCCACACCCTCGGTTTCCAAGAAGAAGGCGTGCCAATACTGCTTCCGGCGCAAGGTAAGTGTCCTACGTAATGTGTGTGTGTGGCCAGTGCTAAACCGCCATGTTCAGATGAAGTGCGACCTCGTCTCGCCCACGTGCACCAATTGCCAGACGCATGGCGAAGAGTGTGTGCCCGTCACACGAGCGAGCCGGCCGCGTCCGACACACGAGCAGATTGACACGGTGGCAGCGGAGAATACCCGTCTGCGAGACTTTCTGCGACATCTGGCATCGTTACCGCCCGACGGTGCCGCAGTGGCGCTCGAACAGTGGACGCAAGGAGATACCACTGCTGTTGGGGGAGACGTCCCCAGCCTCCCCTCGCGTGCTGTGAATCGGAGCGCATCACCAGCTCGGCGTGTGGCTGAACAAGACTTTCCGTACCAATCGGATGTCGTAGGGTGAGTCACACGGGATACGCTGTGCTCACCCTTCAGGCATGTCCATGGACCGACATCAGCTCTCTTCCAAACCAGCGAGCGCGACCTCGCCGAGTCTAATACGCCGCAGGAGGCCCCCGCGACGACTGTTGCAGAAACGGAACTCATCGAAACCGCCACGCAGCGGTGTGCGGAGGAACGACACATGGAGATGATCAACCTGGCTGCGGGGAAGCTGGACTGTGAGCCCTAACGATTGCGTTGCGTGCTGACAACAGTCGACGGTGTTCAGCCCGACCTGGCAATCCACCTTTTGGCACTGCACTGGAACAGACAGCACTTTGGCTTCATGGTCTCGTACCGCCCTCGTACGCAAACCTCCCTGGGACGTGGCCCTCTGCTGACCGGTACCGCAGTGTTCACCAGGGACATGGCGTGCGCTGGGCCGTATTTCTCCAAGCTCCTGCTCAACGCCATCTTCTTCTCCGTGTCCAAGTTTTCAAACCGGCCCGAAGTATACGACAACCTCCTCGACCAGGGCTCGGCGGGAAACCAGTTTCTGTGCCGGGTGAAGGAACTGCTGGGCGACGCGCTCGACCAGTCGTCCATACCCACCATCCAGGCCATGCTGCTCCTGTCCAATTCGGTCTTTGCCCTCGGCAGGCAGAGCTCCGCATGGCTGTATGCTGGAGTGGCGGTGCAGATGATCTTCGATCTCGGTATGTCGCCGACGTTGAGAACTGCTCGATTCTGACATCCCCAAAGGCCTGAACTATGACTGCTCGTCTCAAGTATGGGCTGGGTCGCTGTCGGCGGACGACTTTGAGATTCGACGGCGTATCGTGTGGTCTGCGTTCAGTGAGCTGTTCGGCCACGCGCCTCAGCTAACATCCAGTCATTGACAAGATCATCTCGCTGTACCAAGGCCGGCCAGTGTCTTTTGACGAGGACAGGATGCACGTCCCGCACCGGTTCCTCGACTGGTACGAGGAAGAGGAGCTGTGGATGCCGTTTGCATTTTCAGCCAACAAACATTATCCAGGTACCGCCGCACGAGCCGTCAGTACATTCACTGCTCTGTGCTCCTTGTCCGTCATCATGGTGAGTCGAAGGAGAAAGGACGCTAGCTGACGTGCACAGGGTCGCATTATTACGCAGATATATGCCGAGAGGGTGGTCTCGGACCCACCTGCAGACGTCTTACCGCGCCTCTCATCGAGCCTGACCCGGTGGCGAGCGTCCTTGCCGCCGGAAATCCAATTTGACGTGGCCAACCCACCGTCAAAGACCCCGCCGCCGCACGTCCTCTCCCTTCAGTGCGTACCGTTCTGTGATATGCGCTCATCCTCTCCAGCATGGTGTTCTACACCCTCGTGACGCTGCTTCACCGGCCATTTGTGGAGGTACGTGACTAGCGTCGTAGCCGTAAAACTTACACTCAGAATGGCCACCATCGCCGTTCGGACCCGAACATCGTGGAGCTCAGCTGGGCGCGGTGCGAGGAGGCCGCGCGTGGCGCGACCACACTCCTGTCTCTGTACCGCTCGACATTTACGCTCGCACGGGCGCCATACTTGATCGTGAGTGGGCGTAGCCAAAATTGTTGACCCTGACGATACCCAGTCGTACACGACGTTTGTGGCCGCCACGATCCATGTACGCATTGCCGCTCAACGCGGGATCCAGTCCGAGGCGGCACGCCTGCTCCTCGTCTGCCTGGACGGGCTGCGCGAAAACGCCGCGACCAACCCGGGCGTCAAGAAGATGTACACGACCGTCTCCGGCCTGATGGAGCGCCTGAACGTCGACCTGCCCAGCCCGTCCACTATCGAGGTGCCGGCAGTATTTCCTGTGGATGGTCAGTTGCGCCAAAAAAAACGTGTATCGCTGCAGTGCAGCTGACCTCAACAGCGGTCCTATCGGACGACGCGCTCGATCTCGAGGCTATCATAAGGTATGTGGATATGCGTGTACTGCGTCACCTGACACTCTGCAGCTCGTTTGGCATGACAATGGACGATTTGGGCGTGTACACTTCCGTCGCTGGGGACGGCGCCGACCCGAATGCGAATGCCCAAGTACAGCAGCCGCAGGACGTTCTGTACGGCTTTCTCGGCCTGCCCTCGGTGTAAAATCGCATACTATAGCCCGGGGGCTGATGCATTCTGCACATGCGGAGATCGCGGAGAACGCGGTGGAGGAAGGGTGTTGCACGGAGTGAGAGAGCCCGGCGGAGTGCGAAAGGCCACATCCCAACCCCGAAACGACGGCCGCTGAGTTGTTAAAGTGACGGTCCGTCCAAAGTCCCGTCCCGGACCTTCACAGTCCGGTGGTCCCTTGCTACACAACCTCTCTCACAATCGGATGGCCCATGCCAATGTGCCGCGGCGACTTGATGCATGCGACGGCGCTCCCCAGTGCGGCTACAGCTACTGATAAAGACGTGACGGCCCAGGCAGTCGAGATGCCACCACTCCCCTCCCCTCCCCACCCACCCCCACAATGTCCCCAACAACAGCAACACCACGCAAGCCCACAGCCTCCGAGTCGCTCTTCTGCGGCGTCGTCGCGGGCTGCATCGAGGGCGGACTGACGTACCCGGCCGAATACGTAAAGACCAAAATGCAGTCTCCAGGCCAGGCGGTGAGTCCGAGGTGTGATGGGTTTCGTGGCGAGCTGACAGTTCTGCAGAACCGCGGGGTTGTGGCCATGATTGTCGACACGGTCAAGACGCGCGGCGTGGCGGGCCTGTATGCTGGTGCGGGCGCGCAGATTGCCGGCACGGGCCTGAAAGCCGGCGTGCGGTTCATGACGTATGATACGTTCAAGGAGATGCTGCGGACCGACGAGGTGGGTTGGGGTAGTGGGGTAGTGGCTGGTCGCTGACAGACCCAAAGGGTAAGCTCACACCGGGACGAACGATGCTCGCGGGCCTCGCGGCTGGTACCGTCGAGGCTGTCATTGCAGTGACGCCATCCGAGACCATCAAGTGAGTGGGACATTACTGTGGAGCGCGACACCGCTGACAGCCAGGACCAAGCTCATCCAGGACGCGGCACGCCCGCAGCCGCTGTACACGTCCACGCTGGACGGCACCGTATCCATCTGCCGCACAGAGGGCTTTGGGGGCATCTACCGTGGGCTGGGCCCTACGATCCTCAAGCAGGCGTCCAACTCTGCCGTGCGGTTCACGTCGTTTGCCATGCTCCAGTCCGTGGCGCTCGAGACGCTCAAGCCGGCTTCGGGAAAGTTGTCCGCGACGACGACGTTTGCGACGGGCGCACTGGCGGGCCTGATCACTGTTTGTGCGTGGCCCCCTGCTTCACGTTTCCTTCGACCTGTGCTGACCCTCTCCTTCCTCCTCTTGCAGACACGACGATGCCGATTGACAACGTCAAGACGCGCATGCAGTCCCTCGGCGCCGGGGCAAAGTACCGTAACAGCCTCGACTGCCTTGTCTCCATCGTGCGGCACGAGGGCGTCCAGCGGTTGTGGAGCGGCACGACGCCGCGTCTCGCGCGGCTAATGGTGAGCAACAGCGGCCAGCGGGGCACCCTGCTGACAGTCCCAGCTCAGTGGAGGCATCGTGTTCTCGGTGTACGAGACGCTCATGGGCGTCATGCTGGCGCTGTGAGCTGTAAGCTGCAGGCGGTGCGGTGGGGGGCCCGCCGCAACAAAATGTCCAAAACTCGGGCTGATGCAATGCCGATGACGTGGGCTGGTGGGCTGTGCCGAAACAATTGAAATCGCTGGGCACACGTCGCCTGTTCTAGAAGCCCAGCTGTGCACAGTGACAACCCGGGTTGTCCCCCCTCCCCCTCACCCTTGGCATGTGCCGAGCACATGCATATCTTATCAGTTGCGGTGGCTGTGGTGATCGGCAAGGACCACTAGATCGGCGGGGTGGATAACTCGTTTTGGAGTGGATTCGGCAACCTAAACCGCACCACATCCTTCCTTGCCTTTGCTCCGTTCTTCTCCTCCGACGTTCCTGGGGGTACTGCATGCACGACAGAGCACCTTTCCTTTCCTAGCGACATGATTGACCGTGAATGCATATCGTCATGGGTACCGCAGCTGGCAGGACTAGGAAGAGGCGTGTACGGGTGGAGAGGGGAAATTATACGGCGGTAGGACCATTTGGGGCAAAAAATCGTATTAAACGTGACCGAGAGGGAGAGAGAGAGTGACCACTCCTCCCTAGTGCTTCCAGAAGGCAAACTTGCTCTTCTCAGTAGTGTGCTCGGCAGTAGCGAGCTCGGCGGTGTGGTCGCCGGCGGCGTGCTCCTCCGAGTTGTCGCGGGCCTGCTGGGCCTCCTTCTCGGCGACGGCCTTGGCGTGCGCGTCCTCGGCCTCGACGTCGTGGTGCTCCTCCTTGCGCTGCTTGACGCAGCAGCAGGCGCCGAAGAGGGCGAGGAACATGGCAATGGTCATGAGAACCTGGAAATGGGAGTGTCAGCGAGGTTTCGGGAGAGCTCGGGGAAAAGGCCGGGATATGGGCGGTCCGACGCCGGAAGGGAAAAAGACGGGTGTGATCGAGGTTTTAGGGATGGATGTTTTGACTCACGGCACCGACGAGCGAGATCCAGACAGCGTTGCCGTACGAAGCGACAAACTCGCCGTTGGTGTTCTCCTTGACGCGGTTCTTGGCAACGACGGCAAACGCAATGTTGACAAAGAACGCAGCCCACGAGCAGAGGGTGGCGACAATGAGGAGGATCCAGGTGAGCTAGAGGGTGTGGTGTCAGTGTGGGTGACTTTTGTCTTTTGCGGAATGGTGACACGGGCTGGTGTCACGCCTCGGGTCTCCGTTCTCCGGTCTCGACTCACCATCTGGGTGAAGCGGGCCTGGGTGCACATGGCAATGAGCGAGGGGATCAAGGCGACGAGGGCAAAGGCAGCGGCGAAGGGGTTGAGGATCAGGCCCTTGGCGATGTTGTTGAGCGCCTTGAGGATGACACCGCCCTTGGCCTCGGAGCCAAAGTAGGCCGCGTTGAGCGAGTAGGGGTACGCAGGGGTCGAGCAGGCAGTCTTGGAGAGCTGGATGCCAAGGAGGCTGCAAAAACGTGTTAGGATGAAAGGGGGAGAGATAACGAGCAAGGTGGTGTGTGGGAACCACCTCTGCCTTCTCTTCTGCAATGCTCACCTGGTGCTACCGGGGAAGCACGAGCCAAAGACACCGAGGTTGATGCCAAAGGCGGCATCCTTGGTGGTCTCGACGTGGACGACGTAGAGTCCCTTGATGAACGGCGCGGTGACGGTCACGAGGATGAAGCAGATGAAGGCCAGGACTGATATGGGTGTGAGCAAGGGAGGTTGGGTGGGTGGGGTGCCACTTTGGAGGCGAGGGTGCCCACTTACAGGCAAAGACAAAGGCGGGGATGGCACGCTTCATGGTTGCTGGAGTGGTGGAGTGGTTACAGGTGGGTAGCAGGAGAGATGGGGAGATGCCAAGTTTAAAAGAGAAAGCGATACGGATGTGCGATGGGTTTGTGCAGTATATTTTGTTCGCACCGACGGGGGTTGGTTGGCTTTTGGGTGAGATCGCCTCTCTTGAGGTTGAACGGGGGTTTGGGCTGTAGCGGGGTGTTTCATTACGCGCGCGCACGTTACCTTTGCCAGCTTTTGCCTTGGCCGGCATGCCCCCCCGCCCCCGGTTGTGGGCCGTGGGACGGGTTGCAGCGGCGGTAGGCCCGATCAGGTGCAAGGTGCGTATCAGGCGGCGGCGGCGGCGGTGGTGGTGGGTGGGATGAGCCATGGCGTACAGTATACGCCAGAGTGCCCAGGCCAGAGATCCAGACAGAGTGGCAAAGCAGAGCCCGCGCCATCTGGTGCGTGTCTGCTTGTGAGCTGCATGCACCACGGCGCCACGGCTGAGGTCAGCTGCATCAGCTGCATACCACGCCAGTATGCGCCAGTGCCAAGGTTTGTTTGGTTTCATACCGCGCGCTCAAATGGAGACAAGAGATTGGACACTAGTTCACTAGAGTGGTACCAAAAAGGGACCCGCACCCAAGGATACACAAAAAAAAGACGCATTACACCAGGGCACACTGCACTCATTACACGCGCGCGCTGTCAATGAACGAGCAGGCATGTGGGCGGCATCGTCCGCACCCGAAGAGGGACACCACAACGACGGCACACCAGCAGAGAGACAGATACACACCACCACACCCAAGCGGTAAAGTTTGGCATTCCCTGCCACGATGAAGGCACCACACAGGCGCCATTAAGATCGGAAGCCCAACCAACCAACACAACCTCTCAGGCCCAACAGCTCGCACCAGGCCTGAACGTGCACACATGCATATGCTCACGCTCCTGCAGGCGGGACACCCCGCCGGGAGTGCATTGGCAGCACTGAGCGTGACATGCTCTCCCCTTGTGGCCCAGAGCCTGGCTGTCCTGGAGGCTGCTCGGCGCCACCCCCTTTTGCCGTCTCTGTTTTTCCTTTCCCATCGATGATGCTCTTCCTTTGCTCGTTTGGGCCACTCTGTACCTTCACAGAGGCTCCCATTCGCTCGTCCATTCCATATCCTCTCGCTCTTGTCTCTATCGAATATCTTCTGTGTACATATTACACGTCTCGGCCCTTGGCGCACACCGGCGCGCTCACACCACACCCTGTGTGTCATGGCGCTCAGCGAGGCGTGCAACGCCGCTGACGCTGTGGGGTGAGTTACGATGCCGCGACATGGTCGTCCCTCTCTCGTCCCTTGCGTTCACGTGCAGGGGCGACAAAGCCACGAAAAAGTGCTCCAAGAGGCGCGTGTGTGATGCACCCACTACTTGTGCTTGGCAGAAACAAGTGGGCGTCTCTCACAAGCCGACAGCCGGCCTGCTGTGCCGTGCAAGTTGCCGCCGTCGCTCGGAAAACAGGCAAAACGGAAGACGGAGACGTCGTACAGAAAGGGCCCAATCGCTTAGGCGTTCTTGCTCGGTACCGACGTACCGGACGTCCCGACACACCTAACCAGAGCGTGAATAATATCGAATAATGGGACAAGTGCACATGGCAAGAGCCAGCGTGCTGTTTTCATTCCAGTTTCATTTGGCGCAAATAAGAAAAAGGTACACACCTGGGATCTCCCTCAAGGCCCGAGAGATCTGACGTCAGCTTGTTGCAAGGCTAAGCGTTCTTGCGCACATGCAAGCGAGCACAGCCTTTTGACCATGTGGATGCATGTTTGGGAACGACTACAGCCTGCCGCACTGCCGCAACACGCTGTTGCGCTGCTGCGCCGCTGATCTCTGATGTCGATCGAGACGATCTGCGCGCGCGACCGTGCTCACGAGAGAGATCAGGTACCACGCAGCAACGCGTGTGCTCGACCTTGGTATACGCGGTACGGGTTGCTACGTCGCTACGGTAACAAAACAACACGCGATGCGCACTGATGCATTACAACCACCTCAACCACGCACACACAGTTTCAGCATACACCAAGCAGGGCGGAACGGACACACACCACGGGCCACGGGACCACCACTGCCCTATACTCTGGCCTCTGGGTTTCTTCGGGGTCTCAAGTCGGCGAGAACGAGATCCGACGAGCGACCTGCGCAAACGTGTCGAGGTTGCCCGCCGCGAGGATCTCGCCCACCACACGCGTCACCTGCGCGGCAATGGACGCGTCGTGCTCGCTGTGCGGGGCTGCAACGTGCCCGTGTTCGTCGTCCGGAGGGCCCGGAGGGTGAAGCGCCTTGACCGCGTGGCCTGTGGCCGTGAGATGATGGGCAGGGGACGACTGGCGCTCTGGAAGGCGAGATCAGAGGGGAGCTGAGACGCGGCGCTGCAACCTCTTGACTCACTGAGACGTGCCTCGAGCTCGGCGACGGACGCCTGCCCGTCGTGCGCGAGGATCTCATTCACCATGCGCGTGGCTGGTCCGGGCTCCCACCTGTGCGCCAGGATCTGCGCGACCGTGTTGTTGCTGCTGCTGCTGCTCCCAGGGTTGGCGTCGGCGTCGGCACTTGCGCTCGCGCTCGCGCTCGCACTGCTAGTCGCCGTCGCTGCGACAAGACGTACAATGTCGTCGAGCCGCTGGTTGAGCTGCACGTACTGCTCGAAATGCGCCAGCACGACCAGGCGGTTCAGGCCGTCCTCGTCAATGCCGGTGTAGTGTTGCTCGTGGACCGTCGGCGCGATGCTGCTCGAGTAGGTCGAGGGCTGGGCCTAGGAGGTGTCAATGTTGGAGTGAAGGGTTGTCGTCTCACCACGTCAGTTCTGGCCGCAGTCGCCCCGGTTGCCGCAACCTGGTCTGCGGGTGGTGGACGGCTTTCGGATGCCGCCGCCGAGGTACTGTTCTCGTGGGTCATGGTGAGCAGCGATGAAGAGGTGGTGGTGCAACAGTGGGTGGCAAAAGAGTTGGATATACGAGCTGTGAGGACGTCCGCACCTGGCGGGTTTGGCTTTTCGGGACAATGAAGAGGCTCGATATGACGTCCATCGGCCATCGGATCTGGAGTGATGAGTGACGTTGAGTGGATCTCAAGTGACGTGCTGGTGCACGTTGGCCACGCCCCCGAGACGTCGAGACCATTTGACGCCACGAGTGTGAAAGCGCGACGATATGCATGGACTAAATATGTGTTGCTGGGGAGTTTGGTCTGCTGGTCTACTCTGAATGCTCTCGCATCATGGTCTTTCGGATGCTCCAATACCTGGACATTTGGTGACAGACGTGTCGAGCCTCTCATCACTGCGTGGACGGCTCGCTCGCGTTTCAAAGACGCGCCCAGTGCGGGGTTCTGTTCAGTCAAGGCAATGTCGTCGCAGGGAAGGGCATCCTAGGCGAGAAGAAGAGACACACGAGAGAATGCATAAAAGTACAAACAGAGAAAATGGCAAAATATGGACGCATGTGGCCAAGTGGGGGGCAGGGAGGACGCAGAAAGAGGAAAGAAGGGGGACAATTGTTGACGAAGGAAGGAAAGGAGCGCACAGTCAAGTCGCTGGGAGTGCAACGCTTGCAAAGCCTTGTAGCAGAAGAGAAACTTGCTCTCCTTCTCCGTCTTGCCGGCCGCAATCTCGTCCTCTGTGAGGAGGAGCTCGTTGATCTTGCCCTTGATGTACTGGGCAGCGTCGGCGTGGAGCTTGTCCCTGCCCTTGCCGTTGCTCCACTTGAGGGCCATGGTGCCGGGGGGGTTCTGGGCGATAATGGGCCAGTGGCCTTGGATCGGTACCCTCGGCTTCATCCAGGTTCTGTGGCGCGTCGATGTCCATGCCGGGGTCGCTGTTAGCCTCGGCCGCGGGGCGGTGGGGGGGGGAACGACTGGATGTGAGGTGGCAGAGAAGGATAGACCAGATGAGGGGCATGTTGGAGAGGATGTTGACGATGGATTAATAAGGCGCGAGAATGTGGGGATGTGGAGAGAGAAGTGTGGCCAAAAAGAAACAATAAATAGGAGAGGGAGGGAGTAAAATCACTGGGGGTGAGTCAAGGTTACAAGCCAAACACCCACACTGGACGTTCTCGCGGACGCTTGTGGCAGCGGGCGCTCTGGTCGACGCATCAAACTTCACATCCTCCTCTTTTTGGAGCATGGTCATCGCAAGGGACGCCAAGGGACACTGAGGGATTGTGGTTGTGCACCTCAAGAATTGCATTAACTTCCTACGTGCTGCTGGCGTCTCCCCCACTGCGTTCATTTCCCTTCCACAATAAATAACCCATTTGTTTGCTTTTGCTTAAATAGACTCGTTCTCCTCGATCGAGCCGTTGGCCTTCTCGTTGGCAACATCCTCCTTGCGAGACGCGGGGATTGCGTCGCCCATACCAGGGTACTTGCCCTCGACAAGCTGCGCCTCGCGCTCACCAGCCTGGACATCCTCGACTTTCGCAAGGGGGACAAACCAGTGGGTAGTACGGAAGTACTCGTCCATCTCCTCGAGGGTACGACCCTTGGTCTCGGGGAACAGCGCCCACATGGTGAAAGAGTTGGTGAAGCCGCAGACGACGAAGAGGATAAAATACCTTTGACTGTCAGTTGTGTCCTTTAAACGCCAAGGGAAGTCTCACTTCCAGCCAAGCTTTGAGAATGCGGTTGGCGAGACCTGGCCAATCATGAAGTCTAGCGGGTCAGCAACAATAGTGACTGACAGAGCTGTATCGACTTACTGGAAATCCAGCACGCCATGGACGTAATGGCAACAGCCTTGGCGCGAATCGCAGTGTTCATGATCTCGACAGGGTAGGCCCACGAGAGCGAGCCGATAGGGGAGAAGGACATGTTCCACCTGAGAGTGTCAGCAGTATACCCATCATGCTGTATCTTCAAAACTCACAGCCAACAGATGGCGACAAAAGCGCGAGCCTGTAGCGTCAGTATGGACTTGTTCCGAGAACGTCTCCGACTCCAAACTCACCATGGTTGCCGTTCCCTGGTTGTCCGAGAACTTCTTGCTGATAATCATCACACCAATAAAGAAACTGCCTGACAGAACTGAAAGTATCAGCTGGTGAACAGTATACCAAAAACTCACTGTTCGCAATGATCAAAGGGCGGCGACGACCAAGCTTGTCGATCCAGGCACAAACGGTGAACTGGGTGATAAGACCCAAAATCGAGTTTGCGGCACCGAGCAGCAGGGTGGTAACGGTCGAGTAGCCAACCTTGCCATAAATGGTAGGACCGTAGTACTGCAGGAACGACACACCGGTCATTTGGACCGAGAACTGCAGGATAATACCCAGCATGACCTGCGAGCGAGTGAGACTTTAAAATCGGACAAAGCGGATGGAAATCAATCTTACCTTGCGGAGATTTTCCGGCTTCTTGAAAATCTCACCCCACGACGCGGCCACGGCAGCCTCGCCCTCGACCTTGTGCTTCATCTCGTAGAACTCGCCCTGGACAAGAGGGTCGTGAATGTCACCGCGCGCATGGAGCTGGGCAAGCACCTGGAGGGCCTCCTCCTCGCGACCGCGAATCATCAGCCAACGGGGTGACTCGGGCAGGACCAGGACCACGAAAAGGAGCGGAATGGCGGGAACCATCTGGAAGGCGAGCTAGGAGCAGTGTCAGCAACGGTTCATGAGTGGACTAGAGCCTCAACTTACAGGGAGACGCCACTGCATAGGCTTTCCGTATTGATTCCTCGTGCAGCCATACGCGATCCAGCCGGCGAGGAACGCTCCCCAGCCAAGGAAAAACTGTTGAAGGGTCGTCAACCTGCCGCGGAACCTGGGGAGCGAGATTTCGGACTGGTAGAGTGGCACGAGCAAACACATGCCACCGATCGAGAAGCCCGCGATGAATCGCCCGGCCATCATCATCTCCTTGTTCGGCGCGGCCGTCTGGAGAGTACCACCAAGGATAAAGACGACGGCGTAGACAGTAATACCGATGCGGCGCGAGAATTTGTCGGCCAACATGGAGGCAGGGATGGAGCCACAGCTATCAACCGTCAGCTATGGTTGATTCTTCTGTCTTTGTGATCCTCTAGACTTACAAGGCACCAAGCAGCATGCTAGAGGTGATGAAACCAATGTAGTTTTCGGTCTTGGTGTCGGTTCCCTCGAGTCCGGTGACTCGAAGGAAGTCGGGGGATACGATCACAGAGGCAATGACACCGAGATCATAGCCATAAAGAGCGGAGCCCAGTCTGCCGTAGTCAGTAGCTGGACGCGTTGCGAAGGTTGGAGGCAAGGCGCGGGAATCCACAAAGCGGTCACATGGTCAGTCCTCGACCCACTGTCCCTCGTTGTGGGACATCGCTAGTGGCCTGGTGGCATTGGAGAGCGTGCGGATAGGGGAGTGAATGGTGCTATGTAGACTTGGGACCAGCCCAGTCGAACCCCCATCTCCATGGGCCGTCTGGGGAACCGGGGTTCCCTCAAACTGTGCGCGGCCCCATGTCGCCCCACTGACACTCCATCAGGATCGGAATTGTGTACTCACGCGGCAAAGCAACCGCAAAGGAGCGTGTATGCCTTTGGCGAGAGAGGCATGGTGGGGCAATGAGTGGGGTCCCAACTCCCCGCACCTGCTCGTTGTTTTTATTCTGTCGTCAGCGCTGCGGGGGCAGTCATTGTCGATCACAGCAAGCGGTAGACCGGGTATAGGGTACCTGTGGGCTCGCACATTTGGTCTGACAGCCGGCGTTTCCCTCACGGCTGCGCGGGTGCATCATGCGGTCATGTCCGCAAGACCGATGAGATAACAACGTGGTGGTGTGGCAGGCTCCTGCGGACATACCCGAGGAGGTCCATGGTCGGTCATGCCTACCCAAAGCACAGGCTATGCACAGCCTGTACATCAACTGCACTTATAGAGCTTGTCATTCTGCCAATGTAGTGGATATCGTGGATATCAAGTGTACAACGACGCTCATCCCGCCCCGCAGCTCTTGTCGTTTCGTACGGACTTTGGTCGGTGTTGAAACGCACCACCGAGGTGGGGAGGTGGGTGGTGCCTGCGCAGTTGGCCGGGCCGACCACTCCGCCCGGAATATTGCCGATGTGTGCGCATCGTGTGAGAACGTCCAGTGTAGCACCTCACTGGCGCACCTCAGCTACATGCCCTTGGACCGGCCCCGGACGGGGCTCAGGGGTTTTACGGTAGAGCGGTTGTCTTCTGTTCTTGTGGGCATGTTCGCCATCCGCGGACATGCCTACAAAAATTAGACCACAAATGTCATGAGGTGGTCAGGGACGGTGTGGATAACGGACCAATGTTACTGCGCAGACGTTGTCAACCAGACCGGTTGAGCGGGGCCCTTGTCGCAGTTGAACGGGGCCCGTACGGGGCTGTATTGCTTCCCCGCGGTCTGATGCCAGTTTAACACATGGAACTGACTTGATAGCCTGGACAGTCCTCAGCCAGTCTTCCTGAAGGCGCCACAGTAGGAGGTATCAACGGTTTAACGGCCGGTTGCGGGAAACGGTTCCCCGCTTTCCGCGTCTGGACCTTTCATCACAAGGCTTCACACTGGCACCCGAACATGGTCACCGCACCCAGTCTCGGGTGTCATGATAGGGTGGGAATGTTGAGGACAACTCCGCTCACGGCTAAAGGATATATCCCAAGTGCAGTACATCCCTCACTATCAACAGCATTGTCCATTAGGCTGTTGGGACCGACCACACATCAAAAGGTCTCCAAGAACCCGTGACCTGTCCTCCACGCTTGTCCAACAAGCTGCGCCTGTCCGTCCCGGCTCAGCGTACACGTCATACTGCCGCCACGGGCGCTCAGTTGGCGTGCGTCAAGAGTGACCCTTGACAGGTCAGAGCCAGCTGGGAGAAAGCGCTTGGTAAACTCCGAGCCTGGGCCGTTCAGATAATAGCCAGTAAGCATCGCCCAAGATGAACCGGTCTTCCGCGTCAGCTTCACCACGTCATGGCTTGCTTGTACCCACTACTGGGTCCTCATCGGTGCCTAAACCAGGCCCAAACACGCGACAGGCGGCACGAACAGTGTCGGGGGGAGTGTCGGCAGTCGGAGGAAGGAGTTGTGTCACGACGACATCGGCTGCCAGGCGGGGGAGCTCACTGTCAGCTCTACATCAACTTCCCTTCACGTACGAGTCTTGACGGCGTGACCTGGAGGTCCCCAAGAGCGACGTGCTCAGCGACGTGCGTGAGGGCACTTGGTCCCCCCAAGTCGTAGGTCGCAACTTGCTCAATGTCAGATGCCGAGAAGCCGCACGCCTCAGCAATGATACCCCCGAGTTGGCTGGACTCTGGTGACCCAGTAGCCGTTGGTGCGATGTGGAGGTTGACGGCTACACGGCCGCCTTGACCCGCTTCCTCCAGCCGAGCGAGGACATCTCCGCGCATTCGAGTGTGGAAGAGAACCGATGGCTCGCCAGGGTGGACATAGTTGAGAAGGATGAACGAGGTCGCAAGCGTTGCATGGCCACAGAGAGGTACTTCCTGAGCGTCAGCTGCGACCCAGCCTTCACACTCACAGTCGTGGGGGTAAACCATCGGATGTTGTACTCTGGAGGATGGACGCCGGCGTTCACGGGCACCACAAAGGCGCTGTCGGCATAGTTAAAGTCGGCAGCAAGGCTTTGCATATATGCCTCATCCAGTACCCGGGGATCGTCCTTGGGAAAGAGGACCACCGCAGCCTGGTTGCCAGAGTGAGGAGTCGGTGCAAAGGCGTTCACAAGGTGGAATTTGAGTCGGGGAAGTTGGGTTTCCGTGGACATTGCGGCGAAAGATTAGCGATTCCTGGTGATGAAAGTGAGAGCCTGATCGGAGAAGTCTGCTCTTCAACAGAGGTCAGCGTTCTGGCTTTTGTGGGATGTAGCAACGATGAGGCTGATGGCTGTGTTAGCGAGTCGACTGTTGACCGCCTGGGTTTTGACTCATCGCCAGTGGCCGGTGACGTCACTTTCAAATGCTACTTGAAGTTTGGAAATCAAACATTGGAGTCGGTTTGAACCCGCTAATAGTATCGGATGCACCTCGGCAAAATGGTCCGTCCAGCAATTCATATCTCCACCATCGCACTTCCTGGCACTCTCTCACATACACCTCATAACAAACATCCACACCCATGGGCGGCGACTCGCACCTACAAGACCCACTAGCGGTCCTCGGAGCCGACGTATTCCATTCTGTCCTCCTCGAGCTTCCAGCTGCAAGCCTCCTCGTCGTTGACCAGGTCTCCAAGAGCTGGCGGGCTTGGATCCACAACAATGACCTGCTGTGGCGTAAAGCCTGCCGCAGAGAGCGCGTTGACCTAGTCGATTACGCGGGCTGGAGGTCACAGAAACCAAGGATAGGAGGGGACGATGTCGGGTCTGCCGCAGAGCTGCAGGATGCCTGTGAGTGTTGTAGTTTTTGTCCCGCGCACCACGTACTGACCAGCAGACCGCTACCACAATGTGGTGGAGAAGGCATGGGCCGCAGGCGACGTGCGCGAGTCTACCGTCCTGTCAACTGCTCCGTACGTGGTCAAGATTGTCGTTGCCGACGAGTCGGAGGAAACCATGATCTGTATGACCAGACGCGATGAGTTTCTCATCTACAACCGTTACTCTGGCGAGCTCCTGCAGAGGATGAAGGGCCTTCCGCCAGATGGCTACATGGTGGTAGCTGCTGGCTACTTGGTGGCGACATGCTCCGAGCAAGGTGCGTAGAATCTAACGTGTTTGCTCCTGACAACAAACTGACTCCTCACACAGACGAAAAGCCTCCCTCTGCGCGCGGCGAAATCGACTGTCTTGGGTCCGTCGAGATCTGGCGCACTGCCCGTGCTACGGCAAGAGATACCCCGGCAGCACCGTTGAGCGACTCAAAGAAACCCTACAGTCTAGTGGGAACGATCGATTACCTCGCCAACTGCCAGGCGTCAGAGATCTTCCTCGATCAGGCGAAGAGTGACCGCCCCAAGGCCGTGCTGTGCGCGGTGGAGCACACGCTCATCCATCTCGTCCACCTGGAAGACGGCATGAAGCACGAGACGATCGAAGTTGCTTCGTTGGATATGCCCCGCGTCCCAAACCCAGAGGAACGCCGCTTTCGCTTTCCATCGGTGAGCTGCAGCCAGGTGGATGGTGCTGACCCGTTTGCAGTCGGTCGCTCTTGACGACGATTACATCTACGTCATCGCAGGCTACTCCTGCACCATCATCTCCCGCAAAACCAAAGAGTTTATCGTCTCCTTCCCCGACGCAATGCGCAGTCCTGCCTCAGCAGCCATTGCGTACGGCGACAGGATCAAGGGAACAACCGTCAGCGGACGTTCAGCGCCAAGCAAGGTGGACAAGATTCAGATCCCTCTGTATGCGGCCGGACAGAACGGGTACCTTTCTGTCATGCGCCGCAACCAGGCGCCAACACCAGAGAGCCAGTTCGCTACTGGTGTACGACAGTGAGTCCCCAGCGCTTGTTGTGGCTGATTCCTAGCTGCGTGTTCACTTCTCGTGACATGGTCTTCGTTGGTCTCCGTGGTATAGTGTACATTGTGCGCAACTATGCCGAGGTCCTCCGCGAGGTCACCAAGCTGGAACCCTTGGAGCGCGAAGCGTACATGGCAGATCACACTTTTGCGTTGACACACTTGGAGAGTGTCGTTGAAGAGCTTGCAGTGTGTGCTGATCGGGTGGCCGTCTTCTGCAATGATGTAAGTAGCCCTTGTCCGCAGTGTTCTGACGCCGCAGGATGGTATCCTCCTCCTCGACACTAACAACCTCCCCACTCTGCCCTTCCAACCAGCCACCTTGGACGTCGCAGAGGCCCACCCAAACCAATCCGTGGGCCGTGTTCCAGCGTACTTCTTCCATTCCAAGGCAATGTCTCAACCTCTCTTGGCAGTCGACTCGAGTGCGATGTACTTTGGGTACTGGCCGCGCCCTGAGGTCTCGTCTGGCAGGATCAGGTCCCTCAAAATTGACCGAAACGTGCGGACGAAGACACGGCCACAAGGTAGGCCACCAGCGACTGGGCAGAGCTGACGAGCAAGGCGGTGTGCGAGTCTGGTCTTTCCGACCTTGAGCCATGCATGGGGCGCCATCCGTGTGTTGTCTGTGGGAGCCGAGAACATCTGCTGAACATCGGCTGTGTTCGAGTAAAGATTTGGCAGCACCACCAGTGCGTTAACTGTTGCGTCCACGACGTGCGTCCTTCATCGGGTCGGATATGGACCATATGTCAATCTATGAGCATGCTTTGTCGTAAAAAACCCCATTTTCTCTCGCGTTCCGCTCTCTTGAGCAGAAGCAACTGCCAATACACATCTTGGTGTGCCATGTTCCATCCATGGCTTGGTCCCCAACGTCCGTGCTTCCAGTGTTGTGGGCAGTCACGTGATGGACATGCAGCCCCACTGCATCTGCCCTTTCGAATCAATAACTTTGTATGCAGTCGCCCTCTTTGATGCAGACCAGAGATACGGAGAGCTTAGCGGTGACCCCACAGATACCGCCTTGACCATCATACCAGCTCGGCCAGTCTCGGAGGCCACTGCTCTTTTGGCGCTTGGCCGTCACATCCCATGTACCCAGCTCCCCACGCGTCTCAGCCTCATCCGCTGGAATCTTGGCGGTGAGACATGTTCGACGCGTCCGACGCGTCCGACGCGTCATGCCCCTGTCCGTTGTACCGCTGTGGGCTTCCCGGCGATCCGGCGAACCCACACCACCCAAATCCACTACTGGTTCTGAGGTGCGTGCACTCGAGACTACATACTCCAGGCCCCAGATCTTGGCCTTCCAATGTGGGCAAGGAACGTACAGTAAGTACACATTCATACGGACACGTACTTACATAAGTGCCGCGGAACGTCAAGAATTCCCGCGGCACATATCTTGGTGGTTGTTGCTCTAGCGCTCTAGCAGCGCCAAGCCGCCGCGAGCCCAGCTTTTGTTTCACCTTGCGTCCCGCACCCATCACACCACTTGTCACCCAGTTGCCCAGTTGCCCAGTTGCAGTGGTCAAACATCATCAGCAGGGCGAATGTTTCACTTCGACAGCAAGGCGGCGTTGCCTTGGCAGACCAGCCCATTTCATCTGCACTCCTCCCCATCATTTCACTGTTCTCTCACTATCTCTCGCCCCCGCATCACACTCATTTATCACACTCATTTAAGCAATGGTAGCGCTGGCCGTTACCGCTCTCGTGTTCGCGGCCGCCCCGGCGGCAGCCCACATGGCCCTGTGGCACCCGTCGATGTATGGGTAAGTAGAAATAAGACCAGTGCAGACCATAAGCGCTGACGGTCTTGAGTTTCAAGGCGGGAGACAGCGACTGGAACGAGGCCGCCAACCCCCTTTACCACCTCCCCTTCAACAGCTGGTGGTTCCACGGCTACGGCAACAGCCCGCCTGAGGACGGCCAGTTCCTCGAGCTGCCTGCCGGTGGTACTTTCCACGCCGAGATTGCGTGCAACAAACACTTCACCTCGTTTGGCGACCACACTGGCGGCTACACTCGCTACTTCAGGTACGGCTGTGACGCCCGTAACCTCAACGGCGACTGGGTCAACAACCCCAACCAAGGTACCGGCATGGAGCACAGTACCGACCTGTACCAGAACACGACCAATGATGTGCTCGTCGACGTCAGGGGGTCGGCCATTGCCATCTCGTACGAGAGCGACTTTTCCAAGCTCAAGCCCGAGGACTTTGTGGTCATTTCCGTCAACTACCGCTCGCCTTGGTATCGCCTGACCGACTTTGACATCCCTGCCGATCTCCCCGAGTGTCCCGAGGGCGGCTGCCACTGCCTCTGGTCGTGGTTCCACGGCCCCGACGGCGGTGGTGATGAAATGCTCCTGAACGGATACCGCTGCAAAGTCACAGGTGCCACGGGCACCGCCGCGCTTCCCAAGGGCGAGGTCGCTCGCAAGTGCCCCTTCAACAAGAACAACTGCACCATTGGCGCAAAGGTACCCTTCTACTGGGACCAGGCTGAGCAGAACAACTTCTTCCAGGGATTCCACGACCCTCCCTTCTACAATGGTGACTATGGTTTCATGGACGGAGCGCAGACCGACCTCTTCCTCCGCCTCGACGATAACCCAGGCTATGTCACCGACCTGGCACCATACCCTCTTCAGACTGCGTCCATGGGTCTTTCCGTCACCGCAGCGACTGTGACAGGCACTCGTATTAGCGGCGCCGTCGCCGCTGTGGCCACCTCGACGGGTGTTGCTTCTGTCACGACTGCCGCCACAGCTGTATCGACACCCACGGATTCGAACCCTACCGCGAGCGCCGTGGGCAGCAACGACAGCGACCTTGGCACGGATGCCGCCCCCACTGCAGCTGCTGGTTCCGCTGCAAACGAGGCCGACTCCAGTTCGACCACTGGGGCCACAGAGTCATCACCACCGGTCACCTCGGGCAAGAAGAAGTGCAAGCGGTCCCGCAACCGTCGTCTTCATTCAGCCTAGGCCACGCCTTCCGGGTGGTCATCAAATGTCATCGTTTGTATCTAGTGTCCAGGGTTTCCAATAATCTATCATGTGAAGTGCCAACTTCCCCAACACATACCACTCATCGTGATATGGGGAAGTCGACTGGTCGAGGCATCCTCACGAGCGTATTCAACTCCTAGCCTTTATGCCACGTCATCGCGTGCAGTGGTAGCAAGATAACGGACTGTCAGGAAACTTAAACGCCGATTAACCTACTTCATTCGTTACTGAACTCCTGATGAGAATGAGGCACAATCTCAGGCCCTCATCCACTCTACGGAGAGGAGACGTTGTGCCAAGGGGGCATCTGACATGAATCGTCTCTCTGCAGTAACAGTACACTTCCCGAGGTCACGGTTTCTCATTATTCTATACTAAAAGCTTGTGATTCGATTCGCCCAAAGCCATATACAACGCTCCTTGATGGTTTAAAACAAGAAGTGATCAATCTTCTGCAACACCCCAGTCCCCTTTTCCCGCTTGGCCGCCATCTTGGCCTCGGTGGCCTTGGCCATGTCGTTGAAGTGCTGAATGTCGGTCACAAAGTCAATGTCTTCGGCCTTGATCCAGAAGCGGGTTTGCTTGCGAACGAAAATGTCATAGGCCTTGGCGCCGAGGTAGATGGCGGCAAAGATGAAGCCTGAGCCGTACACAAACACAAAGTCGATGGTGGCAAAGGGACCAATGAAGCAGTAGTAGCCCGAGAAGATGAACACGATGGGCGACCAGGTGAGGAGCCACCAGGCTGAGAAGGGCTGCAAGTGACCGCGCTGGGGGAGGAAGTCGGTGTCAAAGAGGTTTTGCTTCTTGAGTCCGGCGCGGAAGCGGATGTATGTAATCGCGACGCAGGTCCAGGTGACCAGCTGCGCACTGCCCGTAAGGGAGATCCACCAGTTGAGGACCTTGGCGGCCTGGGTCGAAACCGACAGGTACGACAGGCAACCAAGGAGGAGTGTAGCGATCACGGCCAGGTACGGGACACCGTTGCGGTTGACGCGGGTGAAGATGCGGGGAGCCTGGCCCTTCTGTGCCAGACTGAACAGGGAGCGCGAGCCAACAAAGGCAAACGAGTTGGCAGTCGACATGCACGAGATGAGAACAACGGCGTTGACGATTGACGGAAGAACTGGAATGCCGAGACGGTTCATCGAGATGACGTACGGGCTCTTGGCGGCGCCAGGTGCGCCTGCAGCGATGGCGCCGAGAAGACTCTGGTCGTTGGACGAGGAGGCAATACCGACGCAAAGAGCACCGGTAAGGTAAAAGAAGAAGATGCGGTAAGGCGTCGTGTTGAATGCCCTGGGAAGGACGCGGCGAGGGTGACGAACCTCACCACCGACGATGGAGAGGTAGTCGGGGCCAACAATGGCAAAGGTGCCCCAGCAAATGGCGTCAAAGATGCCACGCACTTGCTCCCGAGCGCCGACGTTGGTTCCAAAGACACCTGGGTCCTTCCAGAAGCGGAAGCCGTAGACGTCGTGGAGAGGGTTGCCTCCGACCATTGTCACAAAGGTGTAGAGGGTGAGGCCAAACATCAAAATGATCTTGGTGATTGATAACCAGAACTCTGCCTCGCCGTACCAGCGAACGCTGTAGAGGTTCAAGGCGCCAAGGATGACAAGAGTCACGGATACCTGAGAAGACGTCAGCAACGGTGGCCGCGGTGGCAGGCTGTGTCGACTTACCATGATGGCTGGGTGAATCGTGCCCCAGTACTGACAGATGACGTTGACTGGAGTTTGTCAGTGGGAAGGCCGGGGACTACAGTAGTGGCCTGGTGGAACGCAATGATCCGCGACCAGTGCCACTTCCACTACTCACTAGCGGTGGTGTCGTAGCAGATGAGGGCCCATTGAGTGATAGCGTACTGAGATCGTGTTAGAACCCAAGATTTCTACGTGACAGGAAGCGTCGACCACCCCGATGCCACTCACATTCCAGCCCAGAGCCATTCCAAAGGACGGGTCGACAAAGCGCGTGGCGTACTGAAGGAATCCGCCGTCGCACGGCAACAACGTGGTCATCTCAATGAGACAGTTGGATGCGGCCCAAACGACGGTACACCAGATGCCCAGGCCGATAAGAAGGCCCAGTGGTCCGGCACTGGTGAGTGGGTTCCCGATGGAAATGAAGACGGCACTGCCGATGGAGCCACTGATGGCGATCAACTGGACATGTCGCATGCGCAGACCACTGAATTGTCAGCATGAAACAAGACACTACCATGTTTCGTTTTCCGACCGGGTTGTTTTACTCACCGATGGCTTTCAGGAATCTCAGCGGCACCTCCAGTTTGGCTTTCGCCGCCGTCCGACGTTCCAAGAACATGCACAACAGCCTCGTCAGAGGTGGCGCCTGTCTTGGACTCTTTCTCTGTTGTTGACATGGCGAGTGGGGGTGCGGTTGGGGTTCTGAGGAAGACGCATACCCGAGTCGTCCCCTTTTAACGGGGCAAAAGTGGGCTGAGCAATGTCTCGCTCGCTGTTGCTTGGGGGAGTGGGGGATAGAGGGTGGAGCGTGTGCCGGTGGTCCGGCCGACCGCACGTTATCGCCTCAGGGCTCCGTCGTTTACCGTTGGTGTACGACGAGTCCGACTTGGGCGCTTGTCGACGCGCGCGCTTAGTCAACAACTTGGCGCATAGGCTCACCTCGCCGCATGGGCATGAACCTCGACAGCAATGATTGTGGGCAGCGGCGCTTGGGACGACGAGCTACATGACTTAACAATCGTCACGCGATGCCGTCTTGGCTATTCAATCTCGTATCCGCTCATTTCCTTTCCCCAAGAGCCTCAGACCACCAAACACCAAGCGCTGCTCTCAACTAACCACCATGCCCGACATTACAGCCTTTGACCGCTCAGCCGTGGGCACCATGAGTGCCGACAAGCTCCCCATTGTCGACATTGGAGCTTATCTCTCTGGCACTGCTACTGCCAAGGACCGCAAAGCGAGCAGCGATGCCATTGACAAGGCGTGTCGCGAGTATGGCTTCTTCTATGTGACGGGCCACGGCATCGACCCCGAGTACCTCGAGTCTCTGCTCAAGCTGGGCCACGAGTTCTTTGAACAGCCCGAGGAGGTCAAGGACTCGATCCACATCTTCAAGTCGATGGACGGGGTCAGGGGATACCAGAAGATTGGAGAAAACGTTACGTAGGTGGCGCACGCTGCCGGTCACTTGCTCACTGCTGCAGCTATGGCAAGCGCGACCAGCAGGAGGCACTTGACATCTACCCCGAGCCTGAGCATCCGACCAAGGACCAGCTCAACGGCTCACAGCTGTGGCCCAGCGAGGCGGACATGCCCGGCTTCAAGGCCACGATGCTCGAGTACACTGAGAAGATGTGAGTTCAGGGACAAAAAGATGGGGGGGTCCTTATCTGACGGCTCTCAGGACAAAGGTTGGCCAAGCCTTTATGCGCGCCATGGCCGACGCCCTAGGCCACGAAGACACTTTTGCCGAGCTGCAAAAGGACAACTACTGGGTCCTGCGTGTCATTGGCTACCCGCCCTTGCCCGAGTCGTTTGACGCAGAGCAAGGGGTCTCATGTGGCGCCCATACCGACTATGGTTGCCTGACCTTCCTGCTCGCCGACGATTTCCCCGGCTCGCTCCAGGTCGAGTCCAAGGACGGCAGCTGGATCGCGGCCGACCCGATTCCTGGCGCGTTTGTGGTCAACATTGGAGACATTGTGGACGCTCTCACGAGCCATGGCTACAAGTCGACGTACCACCGTGTCATCCACCGTGGCACGCGGTACCGCGTCTCCATCCCCTTCTTCTTTGAGCCGCCTCGCGACTGGCTTGTCGAGCCTCTCCGAGGCCTGGTCCCCGAGGGCCACACTGGTGTGCCGCCTTTCAAGTACTTTGACCACCTGAAGAGCATGATCTACCGCCACTTTGTTGGAGCGGACCAGCAACTGCCAGACAAGCCCAACGCCAACGAGCTCACTCAGAGGGGTTAGCAGCCATATGCCGTTGTAGAGTCCTAGTCAGTATTGTAATGCAAGCATCTTGTGTGATCAGCACGTTCAAACAATGGCCGCACAGCGCACCGTATAGTTGGTAACCTAATGGTAAACACCTCCTGTAGTGGCGCTTTTCTAATGGGACTGTCGTGACTGGACTGCCAGTCCTTATCTGTCCATTTGCGTCCACCGGCAGGGTTCAGGAGCTTTGAAGTGCACAGATCATGGCTTGCGACATGGGGGTTCGCTCGCTTGGCCCTTGCTTGGGCTCCTTGACCGTGAAGGGCTTATCGGCCACTGCTCCGGTGCACCACTACTGTTGCGATTAACAACGTGATGTCCATTGGCTCGGCGCTTCACCAACTGTGCAGCCGAATGGAAGCGCGCGTATGTGGACGGGCTAGTGCCAGTGGGCCAGCGTAGCCTTGGGCATTCTCACGCAATAGCTAAGAGCAGGCAGGATGCAGTGAGTGAGTGCCTCCATTAGTACCAGCATTAGAACCTGTCATAATCAAATGGGATAAATCGCCGTCTACAACAGCCAAGTGGCTCTACTTCTTGTGCGCAGCATTACACAGCTCTTCCACAAGGTCGAACTGTTGTCAGCTTGCGCGCCCAGGGGCCCGTACTCACCACTGCGAGGGACTCGAACCGTCCCGCCTCCTCGGAGCCGGTCTCCTTCCAACTAACCCGTCAGCCCGGCCTTCAAGACCCAACACGACGACCTTCCCCCACTGCCCCACTCACGTAAACTGCGCCACCTCCTCACGCAGTGCCACGGGCTTCGAGCCTGTCATGGCTGCAGCGGCCTCAGCGGTGAGGATGCACTTGCACTCGTTTTCCAGTCTTGCCCGTCAGCGCACAGACAACCCAGCACAACTCACAGGGTAAACCACGCAACAGCGCTCTCGATGCACCCGCCCACGCTCAGCAGTCCGTGGTTTTGCATCACCAGGGCCTTGGCGTTACCCAGCGCAGTGACAATCTCGGCGCTCTCGGCACTGCTCAGCACCACACCGCCGTGTGCGGCATAGTGCCCAATGTCGTCGTAGAAGACGGCCGAGTCCTGGGTGTAGAACGGGAACGGGCGGCCGAGCGTGCTCCACGCCTTGCCCGAGGGCGAGTGGGCGTGTACCACGGCATTGACCTCTGGCCGGGCAGCGTGGATGGCGCTGTGGATCACAAAGGCGGCGGCGTTGTAGCGCTGGCGCTCGGGCTTGCCGCCGTCGACAATCTTGCCAGCGTGGTCGATGAGCAGGAGGTCCGACGCCGTCATGCGCGAGAAGTGGAGGCCAAAGGGGTTGACCTGTGACTGGTCAGTGCCAAGCCGTGGTGGGGGTGGTTGTCGCCAGGCCACGTACCCAGAAGCAGTCTGGCTTGATGGGGTCGCGCACAGTGAGGTGTCCGGCCGTTCCCTCGCCTAATGGTCAGCCAAGGACAGGCGACAACAATGCCCCAGCTCACACATGCCCTCGTGGGCAATGACGCGGTACGCCAGCGCCAGCCTCTCCTTCAAGTATGTGCGCTCCGCATGCTTGTCCTTGAATGTCGGCGCGGGCGGTCCATAGTCGAACGAAAGCGTGTCGTCGACCTGGTCAACCATGTCTGCAGAGGTGGGTGGGGGAGTGTACAATTGAAAGCCAAAACACGGGTTTGGTGGTTTGTGTTGGCTATCACCCGTCGGCAATCGCCGGGTGGGCAGCAAGCGCCAACGAGCGCTGGGTGGGAGGTGGCTCGTTACGCGCCAGGTCCAGAGATCCAGAGATCCTGGAATGGACTGTTTTCCAACCAGAAGCGCGCTTCTTGTCAGCTGATAGATCTGGCTCTATAAACGAGCTGCGCCAAGAGCAAGCACATACGCACTCAACAGCTCCCCACAACTACTCTGGACCACCGCTCGAGTTCCGACTTGCCTCATTTCGCGCCATTGACGAGGAAGTGAAAGTGTCCACCGCTTGCCCCACCAGTCCCAACCTCCAGCGGGGACCAGCTCGTCACCCTCGACAACGACACACCGACCACGCTGACCATTGGTACATTGTACAGGCTACAGTAGAAGAATAGAAGATGGTTTTTACATTAGACGACGAAGATTTCCCAGTCCAGCTCAGTTTGCACAATGTCGATCCAGTCGACAAAGACTCGTCCCTCTTGGTTCCGCGCCCACACGTCGCGCACCAGCTTCTTTGACCTATGGATGTTGAGGAACCCTCCATAGTCGGTTCTGGTGGGGGGGCGGGTCAGCGCTGTTTGAAGCCTACTAGTTGTACTCACTCAAAGCTGTCGTACAGCTTGTTGATACGCTGGCGATCGTCGAGCTGGCTGTCGTGGTGTCCCGGGATGCAACACAGCGCGGTTATGAACAAGACCCAGTGGATGGAGCAAAACCCGGGCAGGTTTTGCTCGGCCATGGCCTCCAGCAAAGAGAGCGACTGGCGAACCAAAAGGCGCATGCGCAGCGACGAGGGCGGCTCGCACAGGACGAACCCTCGAATTTGCAAGAGACTGGAAGTGCGGAACGCCTCGTGGAGGTAGCGGTGAGTTTGCATCTCTGGTTTTGCTGGGGCGTTAGCTCGAATCCCGCGCGAGTCTAGCTTACCAAGCACAAGAGCGTCAAGACGGCGCTTCTCGTCGTGCAACTCGACTTCGAGTTCATCAGCGAAGCGAACCGTGTCGAGGAGAGCCTCATCGTTGATGCCTGCGACGTAGGATCGCCGCTGGCGGTGGGCAGCCGCGATGCGGTACATTTTGGCAAACAGGGGGAGGTTGACACCTGTCAATGTGTGGAGCGCGTCTAGCGATGTCTGGCTCTGTGCTGCCACAATCGAGTAGGGAAGCATCGTGTCCCGCGTGTACGCAAAACTGCTGAGGATGTCGTGGTAGACCAAGTTGTCGAATCTGGATGTCAGCCCAAGGGGATGCTATGGTGTGAGCTCACATTTGCGCCGCCGTCGAGTCCCGCGCTGGATCCACGTCCGCAAACAAGGTCGTGGCCAAGGCACTCGTGCGCACAACGAGATCGTTGAATCCCCAGACGTCACCACGGCAGATCTGCCCCACGTCAGCATCATCCCGCCCGCAACACCGGGTCACTCACCTTGAACTGCATGACCATGAGAGCCGCAGCAAGCAAGGTCATCCGGTCCTTTTCCTCGGTTTCCTGGGCAAGCTGGGCGAGGACAAGGGTGCTTGCTTGTTCGCCCAGTCGTTCGCTCACAGCTTCGTACTTTGCCTTGCCCGAGTTTGCCAAATGCCGGCCGGCCCACGCCAGGATGGAGAGGTACAGTGCCCGACTCGAGCTTTGACCCTCGTTGGCAAGCGTCGTGAAGGCGGCAAACGACCTCGAGTCACCAGAGCACGAGACGAGGCGCGACAGAGTGCCTTGAAAGTGCTGCATGAGGTCCGAGTGCGAGGCTCCGGTGCCATTTGACGATGGTGAGCTGGCACGCCCTTGCGAGAGCGATGTGGTGACTGGGGTCTCGAGTGCTGGGTGAGCAAGCGGCTGCATGCAGTCGACAGCGAGGAGCTGGAGGGTTTCCTGATTGTCAGCTGGTGCACATGCAGTCATCGAAGCTCACCTCGTCCAAGTTGAACATGCCGAGGTTGAACGCATCAAAAAAGTCGGTGCCAATGAAGGACGACGTCTTATCTGGCGACGTCTCGGGAAGGGAAGAAACTGAGCCCGAGCCGCCATGGAGCAGGGATTGGGTAGTGATAACAGGCGAAATGCCATACGGACTCGTTTGAGGAGCAGACAGTGGAGACACCTGTTGGGGGCTCGAGTCGGCGATGGTAGATGTGCGTCGTGTCGCGAACGGCCCAGCCATGGTGGCTGAACCCGAATCTCGGCGATGAGAACCGTTGGGCGAGGTCAAGATATCCAGCGTGCCGGGCGTGACCGGCGTTGACGCATCCGCTACCCATCCCAGCAGGCTCAGAGGACCGTGAGACTGGGATGGTGGTGCAAGCTGCCGACTAGGAGTCCCATTACTGGGCCAAGAACATTGCTGTTATGAGCGAGGGAGAGACAGGCTGAAGGGGCGGCGAGAGGGTACTCACCAGGTCCAGGCGGGAGCAAGACGAGCACGTAGGATGCTCCTTGTCGCACAGCTTGCGTCGTCGACGGCATGTGAGGCATCCGTCCTTTGTACGCGTATGTCTCTGCTTTGCTGCAGGGCTTGCCGTGTTGTTGTTGCTGTTGCTGGAGGACGATGGTACCGGCGGCATGGGGGGTGGAGATGGGAGGGAGTGGGCAAAACAAACGCAACGTTGTCGTCGTCATGCGGAGGGGGGAAATCTCGAGCAGCAGCCTGAAATCCGGGGAAGCACATGCGCACAGGGCGGCTACTTGGACAAGTCTCGGTTACGAATATTAGGACAGGCGCGTGGGCGGCTACAAAAGCGCAAATGAAAATGTAATTGCCGTATTAGGACCCAAGGCTAATGGGTTAGGAACCATTTCCAATTCAACTGCTCTGTGGATCTCGGCGATCTCTCGACCTCTCTTGGCATGAGCCAAGACGTGCAGCATGTTAGGACTACTGTGCATCGTCCCCCAAATGACATTACTCGATGTTGCTCCTGAAGGGAAAAACGGGTTTCGAACCAATCACGTTCCAACCCAAGCTCCCCGCCGGGGCACGAAACGACAACACTCTGGTGTCCGCAGCAGCACACTCCTGGCACCCCCCCAAACGAGGCGCGGAACAAGAGGAGCGTGTAATGCTCCCAAGGTATCAGCCTTTTGGTATGTAGCGCGGAGTCCCTGCATTTGGGTGGCATCGCCGGATCAGCTGGGGAAAGGTTTGGCCAGTTTGGTGTGGGTGGCGACGTGGCTTTTGGCATCAATAAGTCGTGCATGTCCCGGTGGCGGTGATCAGCTTGGCTACGAATTCGTACTAGACAGAGGCTTGTCACCGCCATTGATCACCGATGTGTTTGGTGATGTTGTGTGTCTCGAGGTCAAAGCTTGATGGAAGGATGAGAGGGCGGGGTAAAGCAGTGGAATCATCGGGGAGGAATGTCCCAAGCAGTTGAGTGAACAGCACCTGCAAGCACTTGGGTTGACTGATGTAGATGCGTATTTGTACAGTATTTTAACATTATTTAGTGTTGTTTGGAGGGCTATGGGCTTCAACTCTTGCTTTTTTTTGTCACTGGAGATGGAGAGAAATCCAGGTCTGACCCGACTGATCAACTGAAGAAGCGAGAGGTGGCCTGTGCGGAACGGTGTTGTGTTGGTGGCTTGGAGATGTGTATGTTTGATGAGAAGCATGATACGAATGTGTGCGTTGACGAGAAGCAGGCGAGGACCGAAGTTGAGGTGTGCGCGGTGGCAGTGACCTTTGCCTTGTCGTGGTGGCAATCACTTCGTCGTCCCAGTTCTCTCTACTCCTCATCTCAACAACCCATTAACCATGAACGTACAAGGAGGGTACCAATTCGTCTCGTACCCCGACGGGCGCGCCAGGGGATTCTACGTTCCCGGTGTGCCGATTTCTGGTCCCCCGCGGTACAGCGACTCCTCCGCAGACATCAACCGATTCCCTCCGGCTGAGATCAGAGTAGACACGAGGCAAAGGGCCATCTGCCATGCGTGTAGTAACCCTATTGCCTCCCCGACCGCCAGGGGATATTGCGAGAACTGTGAGTGCTTGGGCAATGTGTGTAAACTTGAGAACTCACATCAGGCATTGGTATGATCAGGCAAGGTCAAATCGGAAGGCGTGCAGGTGGTCAAACTTCATACGCCCACCCTTCCACTGCCACTAGCCAAGCTGCCTGGCGGGCGAAGACTTGGGGGGAATCTGTCCGTGGCTTCTGGCGTCGTATGTTCTGTGTTTAAACTCGTAGTTTGAGGGGTTGATTATGTACCAGCAGAAATGTGTGTATGCATCGCGAGGTTTGAATCAGTACATGGCCCCGGCCCGTGGCCCGTGACATGGATGGTCAGTGCGAAAATGCGTTTCCCAGTTGCCCGCACTGCTTCTCTTCCATCAGTGTCCTCAACGGGTATTCCCACCGTCTGCTTCTATGTGACCTTGCCATCACTCTCATCACCACCACCTCTATCGTTCATCATGTCCCGCTTACTGCCCCCCACATGCTCCTTCAACAATTGCAAGGTCGTCATACAGGATACCTACAACTGTGAAGCATGCCTCAAGCGTTTGTGTCCGCGTCATCACCCATGTCTGCGGTTGACGGTTGGTTGGGGTGCCCGTTCGTTGCTGACCAGTGGAGGAGACGCAATGGTACAGCGCTTGTACACAGAGCGCCAAAGCACAAGTGAGCGCCTTTAGGCGAGAATCCCTCACGTCTAACCCATCCTATTAGCGTCAAACACTCTTTACGGAGATGGGTTCTACGCCAATTGAAGCGGCGGCACTCATTCAAAACCCTTCTGCCAAGTCGTGCACCGTGGCCATACCAACTCTGGAAACGGTATCTCTCCCAGAAATACAAGGACCTAACCCTGAGTTCTTGCGGGGAGGTTTCAATTGGAACCTCCGCGTCAGGTTTGATACTGGAGAGGTCTGGCTGGTTCGATTTCCAACGGACGTCCTCATGGCTACTCCTGCCCGTATCCAGCCTGCCCGTCGCACCATGCTCAGCGAGTACGAGACCTTGAAGATCCTTCGCAAGATGTCACCAGAATTCATTCCCAACGCTTGGTTGCCCGACCCCACTCCAGGTATGACATGGTGTGATGGATATCTGCTGATGGTCACAGGCGGTAGAGACTACTACTTTCTTCAGTTCATTGAAGGTGACATGGCATGCAAGGGGGGAGTATGGAACCCGGGCTTCAAGACTAGCCTTCGTGACATTGCGACTTTTGCGATCCAACTGGCTTCAACCCCGTTCCGCGGGATCGGCAGCTTCCATCCCAGTACCGCGGGCAATGGTGGCCCTGATGTATCCACTGATGCTCCATCAGTAGGGCCACTCCTTCGACTCGGCGCGTGGATGGAACTGGAAGACGCCGGTCCCTACCGCACCAGTCGTGACGCCTACATGGCCGCCATCAACCATCGTCTGCTTCAGATCGAAAACGGCGCAATTGGAGACCCCGCCATCTGGGGTCCTGCCTATGTGTCCCTTCTCGACGTTCAAGACCTCATCATGGGCTGCGATGAGTTTGCGGTAGAGGGGCCAACCTATATCACGCATGGTGACCAGAAAGGAGACATCTTTCTCGTTCGTCCTGACGACACCGTGGCAGCCTTTATTGACTGGGAATTGTGAGTGACCCAACACATTCAGCTGACTGATGTCCTTGCGCGTACACTGCCCCATTTCCAGAGGCCTTCGCGTTCGGGTTCCTCGCTGGAGACGCGTACTATTGTGACGGCACAGATGACCTCTCGCCGGAGGAGGTCGAGTTGCGTGACATATTCATCGAGCGCGGTCACCCGGATCTCGCAGCAGCAGTCACTGGCAGTCGCAAATACATTCGACTCCGTGAACTCTTTCAAGACGTTCTCCATTTCCACATGCTGGACAAGTTACTGAGCTATGATACGACCTGGCGCCTGCGCCGCTCATTCCTTCAAGACCAAGCAGGCCCAAGGCCTTTGAACTGGGTAGCATGGTACAATGAGGCAAAGGTAAGGCACAAGAACCACGAGGGTCTGCTGCGTGTGTTAACCGCTGTAAACCAATTTGAATTTTACGCGGTGAGTCACCAACAGCCGCCCACCGCTAACAGCTAAAGTTTCACAAGTCTTCTTGCTGCGTGGTGTCGTGAGAAGTGAAGTCCGAAGAGTAGCCAGGAAGAAGGGTAGTTGGACTGAACACGAGAGGGTAGCGGGATCGGTGGATCAGTGGCCAGTGGATCAGTGAATCAAGGTGGCCACTGTCGTGAAAATGCAAACGCAGTATTCGGCAATGAGTATTCCCCTCTTCGACCATAGTGTGTTTCTCGCTGCTCCATAACCAGTTGCCTTAATTGCTTCCGTTAATCCCCTTCCACAACCCCACGACGGACACCATCATGCATCGCCCTTCGCCTTACCCACGTCCATAGATCCATAGACTTCCTACAACGTCGCCTGAAACCAACGGTGACAATCGGCAACGGCTAGGGAATGCCAGTCGGCCCATTTCCGCCGGCGGGCCCCGCAGCGCCATCTCGGCAGGTCATTGAGCCGACTGAGGCCACATCAGCTATAGTGGGCGGGACTGGCGTCCACCGTCTGTGACGCTACTCCTTTCCATTATCACATTAACCACCACCCGCTCACCGTCATGGCCGCTCTGGACCCCGTTGACCGCGCGTTCCCTCCCGACCTCCGCGTCTGCTTCAAGCCGCTCGAGGGCGTGCAGAACGGCGGCTGCTACCTCGACGTCTATGCCCCGGAGCAGGCCGAGGGCAAGCCCGTCCCTCTTGCACTGTGAGCTCGGACGTCACGGCCATAAACATGAGCTGACATGCATAGCTATCTCCACGGAGGAGCCTACATCATGGGCGCGTCGTCGTCCATCCCGTACCGCCAGGTTCGCTGGCTGCGAGAGCGCGGCGTCGCGGTTGCGAGCATCGAGTACCGCATGCTCCCTCAGTGAGTGCAGGTCCTAGGACCACCACCCACGTTGGCCTCCGGCTGACAGCACAGCGTCGCCATGCCCGAAATCCGCGAGGACGTTATCGATGCCTACCGGTTCGTCCAAGACGGGCTGAACGAGGCCCTCGCCAAGCAGTCATGGAGCATCGACCCCACCCGCGTCTCGGGCTGGGGTGCGAGCGCCGGTGGCGCCGCTGTCATCCTGTTCGCGGCCGATGTCATTGCCAACAACCTCCCGCCGCTGCGTGCCATTGTCCCCGTCTACCCCGTCGCCGACTTTTTGACTTGGGGCAGGCAGCGTCCACGTGCCGACTGGGACGCGCTTTGCAAGTCCAACCCAGCTGTGGGTGAAGCGCAGCAGTTCCTTTTGGACAACGAGTGTATCACTGGTCAGCTTTGGGTGCCCGAAGGCGCTCCTCGGGATCCCCTTCTGGCGGCTCGCGAGGTGTATGCTGGTGGCGTGAGTTTAAGGAAACTGGAAGCCTTGGAACAAACTAACACGAACAGGCCATGCAGAATGACCTCCTCATCACCCTCCTTATCGGCGACCCGCCGTTCGCGCCCTCTGACTCGCCGCTCGGCGTGCTCTCGAAGGACTTTCCTCCGACGTTTGTCGTCGTCGCCACGGCAGACGACCTCATCCCCCCGTCGCAGAGCTACGCAGTGGTCGACAAGCTCAAGGAGCTTGGTGTCGACGCTGTTGCTGGCGAGGCGATCGGCATGGGCCATGGGCCTGCCGAGGTGCACCAGTCCAACGGCCCTTGGCCCGAGGGTGTCACCTGGTGGGAGACGGCCATGGAGCCCAGTCTCCAGTTTGTGCTCAAGTACCTCAAGGCGTAGCGCCTCTGCATAGATTGTACAATGAGAGCGAAAGATGGAATAGAAGGTCAATAGGAGACCACCTAAGCAGGCAACGCTGCAAGCCTTCAGCTATACGGAACAACTTGGGGGATCGCGGCCGGTGACCTCGGACAGGAGAGCACACGGACGCCGTCCAAAGCCGGCCCGATTCTAGAAGAATGGAAGTCTCCCCTCTCGACGGTCGATTGACGGCGAGTACGGGGGCCGCACGATGGAGGATATCAGGGACAATGGACGGGGGATAGCGGGCACCACATGCTCCTGCCTGCGTGAGGTTACCGAGGAACGCGAACAGAACACCGGCGCATCTGTGCCGCTCCGGCCGCTCCGCAATCTGCCTCTCCCTCCACATCGTCTGTCCACCCCCACGAATGTTCTGTTCGTTCATGCAACTCGCCATACCATTGCATTTGTCATCGCCCGAACCGTCATGACTATGCCCGCACTATCTGGCCCGTCCACTATGCCCTACCAGTACGACGTAGGCAACCAGCACCTTCATCTCCACTACGACCAGCCCGCAGCGACATGGCCCAACGCTTTGCCAGTCGGCAACGGCCGGCTGGGGGCCATGGTGTACGGCCGTCCAGACGCTGAGCTCGTCCAGTTCAACGAGGACTCTGTCTGGTACGGCGGGGCCCAGAAACGCACACCTAATGCAGCCCGTCACCTCCCCGAACTGCGACGACTCATCCGCGCTGGGCAGCATGCAGAGGCCGAGCAACTGGCTCGCAGGCACTTCTTCTCCAGCCCACTCACGAGTCGCGTGTATGAGCCACTGGGCCAGATGAAGCTCGAATTTGGGCACAAGAATGTGACAGCATACAAGCGCTGGCTCGACCTGTCCACAGCGACCCACACGACCGTGTACCAGTTTACCAACGCGGCCGGGTCGACCGTCTCGGTGCGCCGCGACGTCATTGCTAGCTATCCCGACCAAACCATCCTTATGCGGGTGACGGCCAGCGAGAAGATCGAGTTCACCGTTCGACTGAACCGCAAGAGCGAGATCGAATACGCGACCGAACAGTGCTTTGACAGCCTGCAGTCTGATGGTCAGCATGTCGTGCTCCATGCCACCCCAGGAGGCAAGAACAGCAGCCCGCTGTGTTTGGTCCTCGGCGCGTCGGTGGACGTCGGCGGTTCGGTTGAGCCCATCAGCAGCGGGCTTGTCATCTCTGCCACGGAATGCACTCTGGCGATCGGCGCGCAGACGACCTTCCGTTGCACAGATCCCGAGTCCGCCGCCATCGCCGACGTCGACGCTGCGCTCAAGCAGCCTTGGAATGATCTCCTCAAACGTCACGTTGCCTCGTACACCTCCCTTTTCGACCGCGTTGCTCTTCGCCTCTTGCCCGATGCCTCCCACGTCCCCACCGATGAGCGTCTCAAGGGCACCGGCGACGCCGGTCTTGCTGCCCTGTACCACAACTACGGCCGATATCTCCTCATCTCGTCGTCTCGTTCAGGCCACAGGGCCCTGCCAGCCAACCTGCAAGGAATCTGGAACCCGACCTTCAGCCCTTCGTGGGGATCCAAGTTTACGCTCAACATCAATGTCGAGATGAACTACTGGCCGGCGTCTCTGAGCAACCTAGCTGAATGCGCATCACCCATCGTCGACCTCGTCGAGCGCATGGCCGAGCGCGGCAAGCACACCGCCCAGACGATGTATGGCTGCCGGGGCTGGTGTGCCCACAGCTACACCGACATCTGGGCCGACTGTGACCCGCACGACGACTGGATGCCTGCCACGCTCTGGCCCCTGGGCGGCATGTGGATCACCTCGGACGCGGTTGAGAACCTCAAGTATCACTACGACCGTGCGGTGCACGAGCGCCTCGCACCCGTTCTCCAGGGCGCGGTCCAGTTCCTCCTGGACTTTCTTGTTCCCTCGGCAGATGGCGCGCACCTCGTCACCAGCCCGTCCCTTTCGCCTGAGAACACCTACCTTGACGCTAACGGCGCCGAAGGTATCTTCTGTGAGGGGTCCGCCATGGACATGACCCTCATCCGCCGTGCATTCGAGCTGTACCTCTGGACGACCAATACGCTAAGCTTGGCCAACGACGAGACTCTGGTTTCTCAAGTCCACGCCGCGCTGGCCCGCCTTCCACCGCTCCACGTCTCCCCTGCCACCGGCCTTATCCAGGAATGGGGTGTCAACGACTACGGCGAGGCCGAGCCTGGCCACCGACACGTGAGCCACCTTGTCGGTCTATACCCCGGACGCGACATTACTTCCTCCACGCCCGACTTGCAAGACGCCGCACGCAAGGTCTTGGCACGCCGAGCCGCTAGTGGAGGCGGACACACGGGATGGAGCCGTGCGTGGCTCATCAACCTGTACGCCCGGCTGGGTGACGCGGACGAGGCGGCCAACCACATCGCCCAGCTGCTGGCCAAGAGCACCATGCCCAACATGCTCGACGACCATCCACCGTTCCAAATTGACGGCAACTTTGGCGGCTGTGCCGGCGTCCTCGAGTGTCTTGTCCAGTCGCATCTGGAGGGCGAGAAGGAGGACCGCGTCGTCATCCAGTTACTGCCTGCGACGCCCAGTGGGTGGGAGCAAGGCGAGGTGCATGGTGTCTGCGTGATGGGTGGGTGGTCAGTGTCGTTCAAGTGGAAGGACGGAAAGGTGGAAGGTGAGGTGACCGTGCGGTGCGCCGACACGGCTCTCGCAAACACCGCTTCTGTCGTCTTCCCTAGTGGTGAGGGCGTTACTCTCAGTGGTGTTGGGGAGCATGTCGTAGCCAGGCCAGTTACATAGAGACTTTAGATGCATCGACGTAGTGAGCTAGTGGGGGGAGCTCTGGTGATAATGGTTGCCGAGTTGGAAGCGGCAAGGCGATATGGTCGTGTGTGGCAGGGGTTTGTTTGGGATTGGGCGTGGTGGTAGCCCCAAATCTCGTAACTGACATTAGCAGCTGGCCCTGGATCAGCGGCCAACGTGCATTGTGTTGTAAACCTAGTCTCTCGTCACCTGTTCTAGACCTGTCCAACGTGTCTTTCTAGAACACTTGGCCTCGGTCGGTAGTGGTTGGTACTTTGTGGCGTCAATAGTGTGAGCGGGGGCCGGGAGAGATGGTTGACAGACCGCCCCCCGTGATAAGATTGCGAGGGGGAGGATGGTGAGACTTCCCGCGAGGAACATTCTGTGGCACCGATTAAGACTATGCCTGTGTGAGACATATTGTAGCATCTATCGTAGTGCGATAGTGGGGCTCGGTTGCACTCGCCGTTCTCGCATTCTTTCTGAAACACACAGATGGAGTCAGGACGGACCTGACAAGGGCGAGCATATGTCTTTCCTTTGTGACAAACACATGTTGTGGTTGCAAACGGCACACCTATCAAAGTCGTGATACAAGCTCGAGACGGCAACTACAACCCAATGGCCCCCGAGTAACTAACCAATACGGACTGACCCGCCCAAGTCAATAGAGCACCTGCTTCATCTGAGGTGGCGACACTTATTGGTGAAGGTGCATCGTCTTCAGCTTCACCTTCTCAGATCTGGTCACCTGACCTTCAGGCCACGTTCTCACTCTTCACACGACCGGTGCTCCAACTCATGACCAACAGGGTCACCCCACACCCCCGCAGCCCCGCGCTGGGGCAACATGGCTCCCCAACATCCTCTTTCGGAGAGCTTGTGACGCCTTTGCTGCGCCGGATGACGGAGCAAACCTCTAGGCAGCACCGATCTCACCCTAGGCATGTAACACCGAAGCCCCACCGGTCTGCACGAAGAAGTAAGACCGGGCACGGCAGGTTTGTCCTCGGCGGCTGACCACCTCTCGCTACAGCGACTGTCCGGAATGGCCAGCGGGACAAAGACTTGCCAAAGAATGGCAACCTGGCCGTCGTAACAGACCGCGCCGCTGGAATCTCGCTCTGATGTCGGTTTCGGGAGAGATGGACGGTAATCAAATGCGAGAGCAGCCGCTGCATGCGCCCGCAGATCGGTGCAAGCAAGGTGACTTGCATGCAAGTTGTGAGTCAAAGCACAAAGAAGGACGCTCGGAATAGTCAGAACACCAGTTGCGGCCGTTGTTCGATCCGCTCTTGATCTCCGCACATACCGTGGACGGCGGGCGAGATAAGGGTGGAACAGGGTCACGCGCACTGGACGGGGCCCGCGATGCCGCTCTGGATCTGTCGGTTCGCGAATGACACAGCCTGTCAACCTCTGCATGAACGTGGGTGGGGGTGATGTATGCATGGCCGTCTTGCACAGGGAATCGACATGTGGGGGCGCTGCTTGACAAAGGATCCCCTCGCCACAAAGGAATGATCCTCGCGAGTCTCTTGCAACACTTTTGCCACTCATCTCTGTGTCCAGTGGCTCACACAAACCAGCAAAAAAAAAAACGGGCCCCGCGAAAAATCAGGTCCAGAAAGTTTGGCTGGCGAAACTGGTTCCCGCGGGTCCCCGTCGCCCCCCGCCTCTCCACCGACAGTCTCAGAGCCGCATGGCGGGGGCCGGCCATTGCTCCGCGCTCCGTGTGCTCTCTGGCTCTGCATGGCGCGGACTGTTCGACGAACCCTCGAGGCCCCCAGGGCGAGAACGCGGGGCACATGCACAAAGCACAAAGGTTCCCCGACTGCGCCGATGGACGGCCGCACAAGCACGACAGTTGTTTAAAAGAAGACAAGGGACGGAGCAGTTCTTGTCCTTTGTCCACACACACACACACACACACACACATCTCCATAACTCACCATGGCAGATATCCATGACCACAAGGAGTCTGTGCAACACACCGAGGAGCAACTGGAGACTGCTCGCGGCGACGCTCTCGATGAGGCCAACAAGCTCGGCATCGACGTTTCCGAGGTGGTGGCCAACCGCGTGGCCGAGGACGACCTGCACGCTGTTTCGGCAGCGTGCATGTCGCTCAAGTCACCTGCCGGCTGGCGCATCGCTGGTATCATCTTCGTGATGGGCATCAGTGAGTTTTCATTTTGGTTGCGTGCTCGCTGGTGGGAGCGGCCGGCGGCGCAACCTCGTCGTGATCCGGTGGAGGTTGATTACGTAACGGGCTCTCTGCAAACCTTGGTCGCATGACGGCCGTTGTGTGTGGCATTGCGGCATGTTGTAGCTCCTCGAGCGGCTCCTGCTGCAGCCCCTCCTGGCCGACCACCTCCGATCTACTCGTCCTCTCGAAGGGTCTGCTGACATCTCCCAGACCAGGCCGCCTACGGTATTGACTGGGCTGTCATCGGCAACGTCAATTCGTTCCCCACATGGCACGACTACTTCGGCTTTGCCAACGACGGTGCGACTCTCGGCACCCTCAATGCACTCATGACCATTGGTAGCTTTGTCGGCGCCCCCTTCCTCGTTCTTTCGGATGTCTGGGGTCGTCGCAGCGTGAATTTCCTGGGCAATGCCTTGGTTATCGTCGGCGCTATTCTTCAATCGCAGGCCCCCAACATTGCGTGCTTCATGGTCGGTCGCTTCGTCCTTGGTTTCGGCACCTCCCTCTGCACTTCGTCGCAGTACATGGCTGAAATCTCTCCCGTCCATCTCCGTGGCCGCCTGGTTGGAGTGTTCGGCGCCTGCTTCCAGATCGGCTCTCTCATGATGGGCGGAGTCATGGTCGCCTTTGCCCGCTGGACCACGTCCAACTGGCAGTGGCGTGCCCCCCTGCTCCTCCAGGCTGTCCCGGCATTGATCGTCTGCGCCACCATCTACTTCCTCTGCCCCGAGACTCCTCGTTTCTACGTCATGAAGGGCGACAAGGAGAAGGCCCGCCAGGTCATTGCCAAGTACATGACCTCGAACAACGACATCCACGCGCCCATCGTTCCCCTCATGATGCGCCAGATTCAGGACTCCCTCGACTCTGGTGCCCGTGGCACCAAGAGTCTCCGTGCCGCCTGGGACTTCCGCGTCTTCTTCACCCGTCGCGTTGGATACCGTACCGCCGTCCTTGCCGCCTACTCGCTCTTCCAGCAGTGGAACGGTGGTGGTATCATCTCCTACTACATGTCGCCCGCCCTCGAGACCATTGGTATCACCGCTCCTCTCTCACAGACTGGTATCAAGTGAGTGTTTGATCCTATCGTAGGTTCAGGGCCTTCAAGCTGACATGCATTCCCAGCCTCGGTCTTACCGCCATCTACTTTGTGTTCACCGCGTTTGGTGCCTACCTCATCGACAAGATGCGCCGTCGTACCCTCATCTTCCTGGGCCTCATCTCGTGTATCCTTACCCAGACTGCGGTCACCATTACGTCTTGGCGCTACGACGTGCAGCCCAACAACGCTGCTGCGGGTCTGACCCTCTTCTGGATCTTCCTTTACCAGGTTTTGAGGTGAGTGGCAGTTTTCCGGTCAGGAGGTGAATTGGTCGGAGGTGGCACTTTTGCTTCCGTCCATCATCAACAACACCTCCGAACACCTGCTGCATCTTCCAACAACACCTCTGTGCGTTTCGTTTGCATTCTGACGCACGCAGCGCATCGTTTATCGCAACAATGCACAATTTGTACCCTATCGAGATCCTCTCGTTGCCCCTGCGAGCTAAGGGAATGGCCCTCTACTCCCTCATCCAGTCGGCGGCCGGTGTGGTCCAGAATTACGGTATCTCGGTCGGTATCCAGAAGGTCGGCTACAAGATCTGGGTCGTCTACATTGCCTACAACGCCATTCAGCTCGTCATCGCCTACCTCATCTTTCCGGAGACGTCCGACCTCTCGCTCGAGGACATCGACTACATCTTCGAGACCAAGGGCGAGCAACCCGTCAAGCTCTCGCTCAAGATCGAGAAGGCCCGCATCGCTCGCGAGAAGGCTCTTGCTGCTGGCGAGGGTGACGTGTAAGGGCCTCTGGGATGCGTGGGAGGGGTATCAGGCTAGCAGTTTATGGGAAGTCAAAAGACAGAAGGGAATGTGGACCGGTGTGTCATGTCTCTTAAAGCCAAGTAATGATTATGATTTATGGATTGATCGTTTGATCTTAGTACGTTTCCTTATCACGTGCACAAAAGACAGGGCGCTGACTGGATTGCAACGGGTAGACTGTGTCAGATTCAACTTTGTCATGGAGCGAGTGCAATCATGAGACTCTGGACGATGAGATGCACGCACGCGATGCAAGATGAGATGCGATGCATGAGATGAGATGGGAGGGGCGGCGAGATGGTGTGGGGCACCCGTGCCTGGGAGTCACTCCAAGCCTGTCGGCGACCTCCGACGCCGCTGATAGCCGGCCGGTCCATTTGATTGCTCCGGCAACAAATTGTCCCCAATACGCGGGTTGTTATCCCATCTTTCCTTCATGGCTCATCTCATTCTCTACCTACCACAATGTCCGTATCGCCATGTCTCCAGCACGTCCGTGACGTAAGTTCATCACAACTCCAGCCTCTTTCTGGCCATATGCTGACGGTGTGCATAGTTCTGGGCGGAGTCCCTGCGCGACAAGGGCCGCGGCGTGCAGGCCGACTACCAGTTCCGCGAGGTGCGTTCACTGCTTACGAGCTCTGAACTCACTCGCTCCAGATGACGATTGAGGAGGCCACCCCTGGGCGGATGGTCGCCCGCCTCCCACTCCAGCACTACCACCTGAACGGCCTTGGCGTGAGCTTTATTCCGTATTGGTATGAGGGCTGGTTCTGACAATATGTATAGTCTGTGCATGGCGGCATCATCATGACCGTGAGTCGCTTGTGGTAACCGCATGTGCTTGGCTGACGCTCCTGAAGCTCACGGACATTGTCAGCTGGGTGGGCCTCCAGACCGAGGGCCTGCCGATGATCCCAACCGTCAGCGCCAACATGAGTGCCGAGTTTGTGCGTCCCGCCGGCGGGGCAGGAGACGTTCTGTGGATCGTGGCCAACAAGATCCAGCGAGGTGAGTTGAAGCCAAGTTCCTTGTTGATGTTGTAACCAGTCAGCTCACACCCGCAGGCCGGAAACTCGCCTTCTCGCGCATCGAGTTTTACCTGAACGACCTCGACTCGCGGGTCTGCGCTTATGGAAACCACACCCAGGTGGTCACCAGAGAGGTTACCCTCACCCACCGGTTCAGCGAGGACGGGCAGAGTCTTATCCCGGTGGAGAAGACGGCGGCCAAGGCCAAGCTGTAGATAAACATACATTGCATCCCGGCATCATGCAACGATTGCGCCTGAGCAAAACCCTCTATCGCCTAGTAACCCTGTTCCTCCTCTGCTTCCTCTGCTCCCGCCGCCAGGCAAGCTCAATGGCAACCTGAAGTCAGCCCCGAGTGACACCGCGTAGATTACGACTTACGAAGCTGCCAATTATCACCACAGCATACACGATAAACACCACCGCGACGGACAGGTCCTTGGCGGCGAGTGGGTACATCTTGTTGCTGAATTGCAACTCGCCGCGCAAGGGGTCGTCGCCGACCTTGAACGACACGTCCCGCCCTCCAAGGCCGAGGAGCGTAAGGAGGCAAAGTGTGGCCCCAGCAGCTATCTGGAACCCATGGATGGCGTAGCCTGCCGCCCCGCTGACCGGGGTCCGTCCGACAGACCGCAGGGAACAGAAGATTAGCACGAAACCCTGGTGGTCAGTTGACACACACCGAAGGTTTAATCGGTGAACTCACAGCAGCAGGGTACATCCACAGGATACCAGAGAAGATGTCTTCCAGGACGACGGTGACCATCTGATAAGCGAGCTCCTCACCTCTGGCGGCCATGGATGGGGTGACCGGGCTACCATCACGGCCCATAACCAGTAGCTGACGAAGGAGTGTTATGGCATCGTCACTCATCACGACGGAAGATTTCTAATAGGTCAGGCCAACGCCTTCGCAGACTACTTACAGAGCAGGTTGACCACACGATCTGGCCAATGTACTGGTAGCTCTCGAGCAAAATTGTGCTGTCACGGACAGTGATCGACGCGTTACTGGTGAAGAAGTACTCTTCCATTAAACGGTATTGTTCAGTGAAGTCTGGCGCCAGGTCGAGCTTGTCGAGCTGCATGGCAGCGTCCCACAGCTCGCTGTCAGAGAGAGGCGACCCTTCAAGGAGGGAGAGAGCAGAGTTGACAAACAGCGTGTACGCGTTGACGAGGGATTGCGTCCAGGACGACAGCTTGATAGCATTCACGATGCTGGCGAGGAGAAGGACGAGGGCGAAATGTAGAGGGAAATGGAGAAGTTCCCAGACCCACGTCCGTCTCGTGTCGCGGTTGAGGTCGAGGTCCAACCGGTAGTTGGTAAAGAGGAACACCCAGATGAAGAAGATGACGCCGATGCCTGACAATGGTCAGTTCACAGTGCGATTCTTAAGCTTGACTCACAGAGTTCCACTTGTCCATATGTGATGTGTTCAGAGCCAATACCAGTGAGAGCGGCCTGGAATGCCGCGATGCAGTTGGAGAATCCCATACCACTGCACCTGTCAGCAACAACTCCGATGGAACTTAGCTCACAGAATGGTGATTGATAGGCAACCATACTCGTTCAACAAGTGGCCCTTGCGCGCGGGCACTTGGGAACCAAAGAGTGACTGAACACCAATCATGGCGAATTCGAACACGATGGCGACATACAGTAAGGCAACCTTGGCCTTGGCGTAGGCGCTCGAGTGGGTCGGAATCGCGGCTGAGGCGATGAAGAGCAGAAAGGATGCGGCAAGGGAGCCCAGCGACCAGAGCGGGGCAGCGGTGCGACGCTTGCATTTGTGGCCGAGGACGGCGACTGTGGTTTCAGCTGGGAGGTCACATGCAAACTGGATATTACTCATGCCGTACTGCAAACACAACAGTGCGCAATGTGCAGCATTAACAATCGCCACAGTTAGAAAGGACGTTGTTGCAAGCTCTGCTGCGTTAGCCTGGGACCACGGGTTAAAGCTCACCATGACTAATGTTACTCTGAACGTCGGTGGCCGTGAAGGTTGCGAGATCTGGCTCAGGTGGGGGAGCAAGGTTTTGCAAATCCCACCCGCCACTTGACGCGGCAACGTAGACGAAGAGCAGGATCTGGAGACCCTTGAAGATCCGATGGATAGTGTCGCCGCACTCATACCGAAGGTCGTAGTGTAACTGTGTCGTCCATAACGATATCACCACGGTGAAGTAGCTGGAGGACAGTTAATGGGGGGAGCTAGAAGGGGCACCTCACCCAAGATAATTGGGAATGTCAGCCGGAGACTGCAAGCTGTGGCTGGAGTTGAAGGTCGATAGGTTGGCACTTGTTAACAGGTCTGCTCGTCAGGGAGGAACGCAACTAGGCGGAGGGAAGACAGCGAACCCGCAAGGCTAGGCTACGGGCGATGGTCTCCACGACAATGAACTCACTGTAGAACAACGACAACCAGTATGTCAGGTTGTCCTCGTGCTCATGCCACGGGCCCTCATCGTTGGAGGCGGGGAGCTGAACGAATGGAACGCGCGTGTAGCCTGTTTGGTATCGCGGCCCGCTGTGTTGCGGTGGGGCTGGACTGCAGACCTTCAACACCTTGCTCATCCAAGCAGCTCACCTTTCTGGAAGACGACCTTCATCCCCTCTGTAGGATTGTTCAGTGGTGTCCTCGCCGTCCTCGAATGCACGCTGAGACGTTCGTCGCTTGGCCGTGCTCGTCGCACTTTGCGAGTCCTTGCCCTCGGCTTCCCAAAGTTGCATGTGGTTGTGTTTAGGCTCGTGCTCGCCGTTGCTCTCAATCTCTATTGTCATGGCTGAGGGATTGACGAGGATGGAGGACAAGGCATTGTATAGTGTGTGGGCAATGGATATTGGTCCCACTTGCTGTGTTGCTTGTGAAAGTGGTCTCATGGGCTCAGGAGCTCGGCATTTGTGGAGGAAGACGTCACCGCTGTTTGACTTGACGGCGCGGGGACGGGATTTGGAGCCACCATTAGGCCACTTTTGATCCCGCTAATGTTGTCATGTTGTAATTGGGTGGCAAAACCGGGTATTATGATGCTGGCATCAATCTGTTTGTTAGCTCTTTGGTATCCCACCTTGCAACTCTCTCTATCTACGAGTTGTAAGTTGTTCATCAGCAACACGTCCAGACCACTTTGTCTGGGTACAACTGTCACGACGCCACCCTTGGACTCGTCCCTCACTCCGCCATTTGCATTTGCAGGATGGCCAGGCGTCTCATCTCCGTTCTTCACCGATCGACTCCCCAGCTGAGACCACCATCTCCCATGCGCATAGGTCCATATCGTCCGACAAAAGGCCTTGACTAGGGTCCCTTGATCGCTTCGCCGGCCCTGTCGACACCGCTCACCAGCTCACGCAGCCCGGTGAAAACGAGGGCCCAGTAGGCCTTTTGGTCCTTTTGGAAAGAAACATCCTGATGTGATAACCGGTGGTGCATTTGAGCCGTCCACCTCCGTTTCACCACTCATGGTTGGTACTCTGGTCCACCCTCGACGCCTGCGCACGACGGATACTCGGCATTTATCAGGAGCGCTCCCTTCGGCGTACTGCAAGCTGCAGGGTTGGCTGATTGCACCAGCCATGTCGTTATTGCCCACCGACTAGTCGTTTCCGGCCCGGTGTCGCCGGAACAACTCTCCGAACATCCCCCGAGCAACCGCGTCCAAGTACGACTGACGTTCATTGAAAACACCACGACAGTCTGGCTCTCCAGGCTTCCCCACACAACATTCACGATGCTTGTACTGCTCGTCCCCCTACTGTTCCTCGTGCAGCTCGTAGCTGCGCTGGGTCTGCCCAACGTCCTCACCTTTGCCCCCTCAAATGGTGCCCTCACTCTCGCCTCCTCTGCCGCCGCTGCTCTGCCCATCCTGTATGACTCTGGTGACTCGGAGGCCATCCACATCGCCGTGCGCACGTTCGCCGAGGACATTCTGCGCGTGACTGGCGTCAAGCCGGAGGTGTATGCCGACACTCTGCCTGACGGCACTGCATCGGCCATCATCGCCGCGACTGTCGGCTCCGCCCTCCTCCAGCGCCTTCGTAAGAAGCGCACCAAGCCCTCCACCGAGGACCACCTCGCCCCTCTGGACGGCAAATGGGAGTCGTTTGACGCCCGTGTCGTGTCCGAGCCACTGGAGGGCCTGGATGAGGCCCTTGTGGTTGCTGGCAGTGATCGCGTAGGTGTACAATTGCCCTCGCGCAACCAGCTGACACATTAGCGCGGCACAATCTACGGTCTTTACACCCTCGCCGAGTCTATGGGTGTGTCGCCCTGGTACTGGTGGGCTGATGTGCCCATTAAGAAGCACGACGTGGTAGCTATCCCGCGCGATGCTGTTCACAGCCACGGTGCGCCTACCGTCAAGTACCGCGGCTTCTTCTTCAACGACGAGCAGCCTGTTCTCTGGAACTGGGCGCGCGACCACTTCAACATGGGCGACAAGCCTCCCTTCCAGGTTGGCATGTACGAAAAGGCGTTTGAGCTGCTCCTGCGTCTCAAGGGCAACTACATGTGGCCAGCAAGTGAGCATCAGTATTTCCGAGACACCACTAACGCTCCAGTGTGGGCGAGCATGTTCGCCGTCGACGGCGTTGACGAGCTGGTTTCTCCCGCCACCCCTGGCCCGAACCAGTCGCTCGCTGAGCGCATGGGTGTGGTCATGGGCACGTCCCACCATGAGCCCATGAGCCGTAACCAAAAGGAGTTTACCACTTGGGGTGAAGGCGAGTGGGACTTCCGCACCAACGGCGACTGGCTTCAAGAGTTCTGGAAGTATGGCGCCGAGCGTGCCAAGGAGTGCGAGACGGTGTATACTGTCGGCATGCGTGGCGACGGTGACCTTCCTCTGGACGGTGCAGATGTTCCACTTGTGGAAAGTAAGTCGCTCGCGGTGTGCCTCAGGCTCGAGTTGCTGACAGGCTCTCCTCTAAGGTATCACGGCCGCTCAGCAGGAGATTCTCCGCAAGGTCAACGGCCGTCAGGACATTAGCGACATTCCACAGATGTGGGCCATGTACAAGGAGGTCATGGAGTACTTTGCCAACGGCCTCAAGGTGCCGGACGAGGTCACGCCCATGCTGGCCGATGACAACTGGGGCAACCTCATGGCTGTTCTCCCCACCGACAAGAACTACAAGTCTGGCGGTGGAATCTACTACCACGCCGACTATGTGGGCGACCCCCGTGACTACAAGTGGATCAACACTGTCCCACTTGCCAAGAGTGAGTTCCACGCTCTAAAGACGGTAGCTGATAGCGACAGTGTGGGAGCAGCTGAACGTGGCGTTGAGTTTCAAGACCGACAACATCTGGATTCTCAATGTTGGCGACCTCAAGACTCTCGAGATCCCCCTCGAGTGGTTCCTCGACATTGCCTATGACGCTTCGCGCTGGCCACGCACGGCGCTTGCCGAGTACTTGGCAGAGCGTGCCACCCGTGACTTTGGAGTGGTGGGCGACGCGGCAAAAGAGGTCGCCGACATCATGGCGACATACTCGATCTATGCCTCGCGTCGCAAGGCCGAGCTGGTTGACAGTGAGACCTTTTCGATCCTCAACTATGACGAGTGAGTGCTTTTGCCAGACAGCTCGTTCGTTTGGCTGACAGGCTAGGGCTGAGACTGTCGTTGCCGACTGGACCGCACTCGAGACGCGCGCGAGGACTGTGTACGAAAAGCTCTCAAGCGAGAGCCAGGTGCCATTCTACGAGGTCCTCTACGTGCAGATTCAACTCCAGGCCAACCTGGCCCGCCTGTACCTGGCCGCTGCCAAGTCCAACCTGTACGCGACCCAAGGTCGTACGGCCGCCACCGTCCAGGCTCACGAGGCGCTTGCTCTGTTTGAGCGCGACCACGACCTCACAGAGGAGTACAACAAGCTGCTAAACGGCAAGTGGAAGCAGTAAGTCGCATCTGCTCACATGACACGACTGACCCAACAGCATGCTCGCCCAAACACATATTGGCTACCAGTACTGGCAGATGCCGGTGCGCAACTCGCTCCCGCCCGTGTCCTTTGTCTCGCTTCGCCAGCACTCGTATGACCATGGCCTCATCGTCCACACCCGCTACACCGTCGAGAACTGCGCGGGCGCCTGGCCGGGTGACAACAGGCACAACTGCCCGCTTGGATACAACTGTCCCGACCCCACCCTCCTGCCATCTGACCTTTACGGCCGCCGCCGCTGGGTTGACGTGGGTTCCGGTGGCCCCGAAGATGTCGAGTTTACGGCTACCCCGGACGCCGAGTGGCTCGACGTGTCCATCACCAAGGGCAAGATTACCGGCGACGGCAAGAACGACAAGCGCGTGTGGATCGGTGTCAACTGGGACAAGGTCGGCGATGCCACCGAGGGCCACGTCACGTTCCATGCAAGCGATGGCGCCCACACGGTCGTCACTGTGCCGCTCAACCACGTCACCGCGCCCCCGGCGGACTTTGCCGGTGCTGTCCAAGGTGACGGCTACGTGGCCATCGAAGCTGGTGTCCACCAGGCTGTCATGACCAAGGACAGCCACTCATGGGGTGAGATCCCCTTCTACGGCCGCACGCGCAGTGGTCTCGCCGTGTTCCCCGTCGACGCACAAGAGTTTGCGCCTGGTGCCGGTCCCGCTGTCCGCTACGACTTCTGGGCCACGTCGGCAGGCCCCGTGGACGTTACCTTGCATCTTGGTCCTGCACTCAACTTCATCCTCGGCCGCCGTATTGCGTTTGCCGTGCAGATCGACGACGGCGACGTCGTGCCCATCTACCCCGTGCCCGAGGCCAAGCTCGGCTCCCTCCCGCACGACTGGGAGGACGTTGTCGCCAATGAGATCCGCGAGGTGTCGACCAAGGGCGAGGTCAAGGCTCCTGGCAAGCACAGCATTACGGTGTATGGCATGACTGCTGGTATTGTGCTGGAGCGTGTCCTTGTCGACTTTGGCGGCATCAAGGAGAGGGGCTACAGCTACCTGGGCCCTCCCGCCTCTGTTGTGGCGTAGATGTGAGAACCTCCGTAATAGATTGCATTACATAGTGACATGGAAGCCGTGGTTAGAAACAACTGGTTCTACTGCTTGCGTACTGCTACATACGCACATTACCCCTCTTAACCACACTCGAGCGCTGTGCACTTGGGTATCCCCTATCTTTACTGGTGCTCTGGTACGGGAGAGTTCCGGTGAACGTCAGCCTGGATAATGAGGCTTGAGACCCAGGTCGGCTTACCACAAGAGTCCCAGGTCGTGTTCTGGTACGTACACATGTGTCGTCGTATGTACCACTGGCATCCGCAAGTGCCGCGGCAGTTGGCACATGTTGGGTCGGACGAGAAGAGGCTTCGGGGCCTGCTTCACAAGCTTCAATATGTATGGGAGAAACGGCATTCTCGTCATTGTCAAGGAGGTGCTCCATGTCTGCGCCGTGGAAGGCGCGGTCTGTGGACGAGAAGGAGTCGTCGACATAGGGGTGCAACTTGCTTTTGTGCTTTCCGAGGTCAAAATTGTCTGCCTGGTGGCCCTAGTGTGTATTGCTTCTTGTTTCCTCTTGCTGGGCTTTACGTGCCCGTTCTCGCTCCTCGGTTTGAGTGCCGTCTCCTTGAGACAGCTGTTGAGCAAGCTGCCAAAGGTTTGAGAGTTGGGCCGTCACGCCGCAGTGCTCGGCGACTTGACCGAGGCGGTTGCTCAGACCCCGGTCCTCCCATGAACTCGGCCGATATTGAAGACTCTTGAACTGTTCCACAAAGAACTGGGTGATGGAGTCGAGCTTGAGGTACCGGCGCACGACCTTGACAGACTTCGCCTCGGGGATGTACACCGTCCTGTAGACGGATATGCCCGCCAAGGTCGGAGCGATGCGCAGTAGCGCCATCCGCGAAACAGCCGATCCGAGCCTCATCTTTTTGGCGACAGCCAGAGTTGATGAGGAGAATGTGTCGCTGTTGTGGACGTACATGTTGTACAACACGTCGTCCAACCGTATTTGCCATACGACAGCGGAGAATTTGGAGACGTGAAGACCCAACGTGCCGGCCGGTAACGTGCCGGTGGTGTGGGTGATCACAGTGGTATGTACCGCTGGCGGGAATCCTCTTCCTCGTAACCCCAAGTGGCGCCGAGGGTGTTCAAGAACTGGGTAAGGCTTGTGGCGCCAAACTCGTCCATGCTGCGCCGCGTGAGCAGGTGTCACATTGAGGACAAGCAAGAATCTGAGACTCACGCCACAGCCTCGAACTTGGCGCGGTCGAGGATTTGGACGGTGTTGGGGTCGTCCGGATGCCAGCGGCACACATCTGGCATGCTGTCCTCCTCGGGCCACGCGTGGAGCATGGCTGGGGGGGACAACTTTGCCTGGGTGCCCTTGGTCTTGGAGAGGCGGTACAGTTCATCGCGACCGCCACGACCAAAGACACCCGCAATGTCCGTCCAGCAGGGGTGGCCCTCTGGGGTCTTGGACCGGTAGAAGCCTGCGTTCTGGCTGATGTTGCCGAGGAAGGTTTTGGCCGAGGGGAACGCTGACCTACGGGTGTTAGGGAGGACTGGTCAAGACGGATCAAACAAGTGCTCACCTGGCCACCTCCTCAAACATCTCCTTGTCTAGAACAACGAAGCCCTTGTCCTTGGAGCCAAAAGTAAGAGAACGGAGAAGGGGTGGGACGCGGCGCTTCTCTTGGTCGACAATAATGTCGTGGATGGTGCGCAGGAGGTTGTACGAATCGGTCGCTGGGATGGTGCGGCCGTCGAACTGTTGGCATGTGCGCTCGCCCATCCAGTCCTCCACAATTGGAGGTGGTTGAGGAGGGGTGGCTATGTGGAAGGGTTGCAGTTGACTCTTGGGGTCAAGGGCGGATGAGCTGTTGGAATGGTGGTCCATTGTTGAGGCTGGGCAAACATGGGTCAGCGGTGGTGTCTGGCGGGTGCTGGGTGCCACTTAGTGCCATCCCTCCGGGGCCACAGGGATAGCACAGCGCCACAACGATACTGACGCTTGTTGGTGGTGGTGGTTGCTGTTGTGGTGATATGGGTGTTGTTGCTTTATCATTCTCGTTCTCTCGTTCCCACCAGGTTATATATGCAGGCAGACCGCACCCGTCTCCCAACGCCTGTCGACGTGGAGGGGCGCAGATGCACGTACACACATATGCACAGCATTTTCGTTTTATTTTATTCCTTTCTTTTCCTATTTATGCGCTCAAAAGGGCGCAACAAGAGTGCACGACCATCTGTTTCGGCAAGGCCAGCAATCCAGAGAGCAGCAAGCCTCCTCCAGGCTTCTTTTCATCGGATAGTCAGCTGCCGTTGTTGTACTATTGTGCTCGACTGGGAATGGGACTGGTGACGGGGTCAGCGCCACATGTTGTTTTGTTGGCGAGAAAAAGGGGGAATCCATTGGTTGGCGGGGTACAGGGGCGCCTGCTTGCCCTATGCGATCCATTAGAGTGCAAAATACGGAAGGAGGGAGGGAGAACACAGGATGAAATGGAAGCCATGTGGGCAGCGAGTTGAAACATGATGCCTACGAAGCAGACCACGGTTCAGGTTGAGTGGTTTGATTGGAGTTGGAGCGACCAGCACGAGCTCAAAAGAGGGAATCACTAAGGAAGAGAGCAACTGGGAGCAGGTGGCATGGGTGGTAACACTGCCGTTATGTACATGCCTCGGTCCATATCGTCAAGAAGGGCAACGAGGCGCTCTGATGCTGTGACGGTGACTGGTTGGACAGCCGTTGGGGCATGCCTGTGGAGCGCTCAGAATCCCCGAATTGCAGAGGCGAACCCGTCAACTAAGTCTAGTTGCGGTGTGCTATCTCAGTCATAGACTGTCGTGTTGTCTCCTAATGAGGCGGCTTCTCCTGGACAGCGTGGCCGATGGACAGCCTCTATGTATTGCTGCTCGACGCTCGGCATCACCAGCCTCCCAAAGTCGACTGCATAAACCAAGATTTATTTGCGTTTCTACGTGTTTCTCATCATTGCGCACTTAGACCGCCACCGCCACCTGGCCGCGGCCAACATTCACACAGGTACACAGGCATCATCTATCACGAACTGACGGGCCAAGCTTTCTGTCCATACAGCCATTGCAATTCCCGGGATACTGTATACCCTTGGCCCCTGTTGTGAATGGCTTCCGGTCCGGTTCGCCGGATCGCGTCGACAAGTGTTACCGTAAACTCGCCGCGGGCGAGCGCGCGAATGCGAATGGGCAGCTATGAGGGCCCACGGACGCTCGGAAGTCTCTCGGAACATCGCTCGGAGCACGCTACAAACTTGCCTTTTGGGTGTCCACCGCCGAGATCCAGCCGACAATGCTTCAATGCTTCCACCGCGGGGTGTGTCGCGCGGTGTGTCGGGTGTTGACGCCCGCCAAGAAGCCGAGGAGCATGTGGAGCCCAAACCGAGCCCACCTTGGTTGCCGCAGCAGGAACGCAGCAGGCACGCAGCCGTCGCCCTATCTTTGGCACACTGTCCTGACGCCACTTCCTACCCGTCCGCAGTGGCGGATGAGGGAGAATACCAACATTGGCTTTGGCAATGGATTGAGACGCGTTTGCGTCCTCTGTCACTCGGTACAGGTCATAGTACTGTACCTAACTAAGGTAACGGGGATATATACGGTCGAAATACGTATGACATGCCCATGAACAGCTGCGACGGCGGGTAGGGAGCAGGTCGGAACCTGAAGGGTGCGCTCGAAGTCCGAGGATCAGCCGCTCGAGTTGCGACGCAACTCCACCCCTTCCACAATATGCCGGCCCCACCTTCTTTCCATTGCACTAGTGAACGCTAACTTTACACCGATAACACGCCGTGCTGCGTGCGGGCCGCGCGGGCCGCCATCATATGGGAGATCGTCGTAGGTCCCCGCCGGAACGATACTGCGCTTCGAGCTTCTCACGGCGAGATGTACGGGGATTGCGGGGGAGTGGGGCCTTGGCGGATAGGTTGGGGGTCCGGCTGGAGTCCATCGGGGCCGACCTCTCGACAGTCGACATCAGCGGACCTTTGTCTGGAGACGTTCTCGTCCGTATCTCGGCGAGATTGTGGCAAGTTTGCCTTGATATATGTATCGCCAGTTGACACCGGGTCAGATAAAAAACGAACCTCCCTGGTCTAACGACTTTTTGATACCAAACACCTTCTCATCACCAACCAAACCAGTTCTACACACCGCCAACAACATGACAAAGGAAGCTATCGGGCTTACCGGCGCCCAGATCCAGCTGTCGGACGCCGACCCGGTCCTGCTCGCGGAGGGCATGCAGCTCATCCGCGAAGAGAAGGCCATGTCGTTCAGGGAGGCCATGCGTCACCACTGGCGCGGCTGCTTGTGGTCCATTACGCTCTCCCTCGCTCTCGTCATGGACGGTAAGCTACACTGGATACACAGACAACAAATGCTGACTTTGAAGGCTACGACGGTTCGATTGTCAACTCGTTCTATGCCCTCCCTGCATTCCTGGAGCGCTTTGGCGAGAACTATACGGACAGTGCAGGCGTGACGACGAAGCAGATTAGCGCCAATTACCAAACGGCCATTAGCAACATCGGACTTCCAGGTAAGACTCGCCTTAATCGTTAAAATCCCCTAACATCAAAGGAAACCTCCTCGCCTTGTTCGTCGTCGGTTACTGCCAGGACCGCTTTGGATCACGCAGGACCTATATTGCTGGGATGGGATTAACAATCTGCGTTGTCTTCCTCTTTGTGTTTCTCCAAAGCATCAAGATGTTGCTCGCAGCGAACGCTCTGGGAGCATTCTGCTGGGGTTTGTTCAGTGAGTGAACCGAAACGCCACATTGGGCTATAATCATCATGCTAACCTCGTCACAGACACTCTCACTGCCGCATACGCTGCCGAGATCTGCCCCATCAAGCTGCGTGGTCTGGCTGCCAGTTTCATCAGTATGGCGTGGGGCTTTGGTGGATTCCTGTCGTCGGGCATGGCTCGCGCCGCGCTCAGCATTGATGGCGACTGGAGCTGGAGGATGCCTTACGTTCTCCAGTTCGTCTGGCCCGTCCCGCTGTTCATTGTCGCCTGGTTCGCGCCCGAGAGTAAGTGTCAAGTCATAGGAACTGGAACGTGGCTCGCCGACACCGTCCATATGGACACCCATATGGACGCCTCGAACCTCTTCCTTGTTGCCGAGTGTTTTGCCTCCGGAGTGATCGGCGCTGACCGCCGCACAGGCCCGTACTGGCTCGTTCGCAAGGGCCGTCTCGAGGATGCCAAGGACAGTCTGAAGCGCACCGCTAGCAAGGGATACTACGACACCCGCAGCCTGGACGGCTACATTGCCTACATCAAGCACACCGACGATCTCGAGCGCGCCGAGGCTTCCACGGGATCAGTTTGGGAGATGTTCAAGGGCACCAACTTGCGCCGTACTGAAATCATGATGGGTGGGTTTCTTCAGCAACCAGTCCAGTCTGCTGGAGCATGCATGCAGCAGAAAATGGCCGCTGACATAATTCAGGCTTGTGGGCAATGCAGGTGTGGTCGGGAACTGGCATGACTGCATACGCTACGCAATTGTAAGTCGTCTCGAGGGAAGCGTGGCGGAAGTTTGGCGGCCGAAGGAATCTCGAAGTTTTGGTGAAAATCGTGAGCTGTTGCTAACTTACCTAGCTTTAAGAACGCCGGAATGAGCACCGTGGCCGCCTTTAACCTCTCCATGGTCGTCACTGGCATGAACATTGTCGGCTGCTTCATCGAGTTTTTCCTCATTGCTCGCTGGGGACGTCGTCCTCTCATCCTCTTGGGCATGCTCAGCTTGGCCGTGTGCCTGCTTCTGATCGGCGCTCTTGGCTGTGTCCCACACTCCAACCCGACCCTCCAAGCCATCGGTGCCTTCATGGTCATGATCAACTTGCTGTACCACGCCAGTGTCGGTCCCCTTAGTGAGTGACACCCACAAGTAGCCCCTGTTCCGTCCTAACCCACTGCACAGCCTACACCGTCGCATCCGAGCTCCCCGCCTCGCGCCTCCGTGCCCGTGCCATTGCCTTTGGCCGCGCCTTCTACTCGTGCAACTACGCCGTGCAGTCCCAGCTCACCCCGCGCATGGTGTCGGTCACTGGCTGGAACTGGTCGGCCAAGAGCGGCTTCTTCTTCCTCGGCCTCAACCTGCTCATCACCGTCTGGGCCTACTTCCGCATGCCCGAGACTGGCGGCTTTTCGTTCGCCGAGCTCGAGCTTCTCTTTGCCAACAAGGTCCCCGCGCGCAAGTTTACCAAGGTCGAGATCCACGACGAGGCTGTCGCTGGCAACACCAAGTTTGACGAGGCCGACGAGGAGGAGGGACACGGCTACCCGGGCGAGAAGGCTGCGGAGCAGCAGGTCGAGGACATTGTCTCGCCTACTCCCACACAGTTGAAGTAAGGGTGTGTCTGGGAGAAGAATTGTTAGGTTTAGTTGGGAGTAAAGTAGTGGATAGTGTGAGGTGGCGGGAATAGTAAATGGTGATGTAAGCGAGATTGGTGATTCCTGCAAATAGTCCTTTGCAGAACGTCGACGAACAGAAAATCGTTCATCCCAACGTCGTGTCCTGACCGGCATCGACTGTGATCTTCTCACTCTATACATGGCCATGTTGTCAGGCTCGTGCCAACCCACGATGTATGGTTCTATTCTCTCTACTACAATGACATCTACGTGCTCGACGTCCGCGACACGGTTCTCAGCAAGCAGATTCACATCTAGTGCTATTGCTCAACAAGCGTCGTCGTATAGGGCGGCCTGGGCGACTTGCTCAGGTCCTGCGGATAGGAGGAAGGCGCATGCCGTCCTTCTGCGAGTCCCACGCTGGCACGCGCATGGGCAGGTCCTCGAGGTCCTCGTAGTCGAGGCCGCGGCCGCGGAACTCGTTCTTGACCAGCTTGTTGTACTCGTCCCAAAAGACCGTGTAGCCCTTTGTGGTGAGATGGAGGCCGTCGCTGTAAAACATTGTCAGTCTGGGGTCCATATCATGAATCGCGACTTACACGAGGAACTCGCGCAGACCCTCGCCCTCGCCGCGGGCTGCGGCGATAGTCGCACCCCACATGTCCACGGCACCGATGCGCCAGTTGCCCTCGGGTGTCTCCTTGGTCTTGTACTCGGCGGCCAGCGAGAGGACCACGTCACGGTACGTCTTGGTCACGGCTGGGACGCGCTGGCACGCGAATGACGGGTCGTCGGCCATCATGCTCACGAGCAGGGGCGGCGGGGTCACCAAGACAATGTTCAGACCCTTGGCATGGGCGACAGCGTATGGCGAGTCGGGAGCCGTAAGCGATTCGAGGAAGAAGCGGAGGTTGGCCTCGTACTCTGCCAGCGGGACGTGCTGGGACACCTCCTGCCCGATGTCTGGGACCACAGAGTCATTCGCACCTGTCACTAGTCAGCGACCTTGACGGAGTGAGATGGAACCTACCAAACCAGATTGTCACCAGGCGCACAGTCGGGACGTGAGCTGCGTCCTCCTTCTTGGCGAAAATGGTGGGGAACAGCTCGCGAGCCCTGTGGATGTGTTGGTAAGTGGGTTTACAGCGTCACGAAGGTCCACCCACCAACGCGTGTTGTAACCTCCATAGCCCCTGTTCAAGATATCCAGTGTGCGGCGGTAGGCTTCTGCACGGATCGAGTCAGTTCATATGCGCGCTTGTCATCGCTCGCGCGGCACCTACCACAAAAGCGCGCCTGAATCGACAGGGGGGCGTACTGCTGCGACGTGATCGAGTCTCCCTACAGTGGGTCTTAGCGGGTGAAGGCGACAGTGGTGGATGCTTACGAAGAGGACCACGCTGTCCTGGAAGGGGGTAGCCATTGTGCGCAAGACGGGTGTGAGTCCAAGTGTGAGAGAGGGGGAGAGAGATGGACTGGGAGATGGACGGGATGTGCACACGAGAATAAACAGAGGCCGGCGATGACCGGTCCGACGCGGTGGAGGAAGGCGTCAGATCGGCGTATTTTCGGGGCAGTCGGCGGGTGAGTGACGGCGAATGGGTTCGTGATGCACAGTCGACCCAGTCGCCGTCACCATGTATGTGGCGTCTTCATATCGCCCGCATGCCTTCGTGCATGTCACCAGAAGGAAGCATGAGTGCATGAGGAGCACCAAAAGAGAGAGAATACGTCCGTCTCCGGCCCAGGTGTGGTGGGGCTCTGGGGAAGTCACGTGACTGCTGCGCCGGCCCTGTACAGTGTGGAGAAGGGTGGTGTGGCAAGAGACCTGTTTTGAGGTTCCAGCAAGTGGTGAGCAGCATTGGTTCTCAATGTCTCTCTAATCACTGGTCGCTGGCCGCTCATACGAACAAGTTCGAGGCACTCGACTCATCGTCTGTTGTGAGGCACTGTTGCAGAGAGATAATTGAGATAACATGGTGTCGACGACGTCATTTCAATAGAATCGCTCATGTGATCATCTGACACCATGGGGTCGTCTCGGAACCACTCGCGCGACCAACAGTCTGGCACACGCGACCACCCAACAGAACAACAGTCTCTAGCACATCCCATCCATCCCATCCCCGACTACATCACTCACGCTCCCGTCTCTGATCTCTGCCCTCTCGCTCTCATGACCATCTCGGACATTTCACGGTACCCGGACCCAGTCGCCACCGTGCCCACCAAAGTCCGGGCGGGTGGCGAACGCGTAGTGGATGGCTGGGACATCGACTCGCTCAGCATTGAGGGCAACGAAGGAGGAAGGGTGCGTACCGTCGTCAGACCACACGGGTGGGAGTGAGCGGCCAGGTTGGCAGCCGTTTCGCGCCTCGACCCCATCTGCTGTGGGCTGATCTCACGCGCTCCACAGATCCCCAGCCACCACCTCTCATGGCTCAAGTCGCTGCCCGCCGACGCGCCCATTGAAGACATCCGCGCAGCGTATCAACGCGACGGTGTCGTCCACATTCGCGGTCTGCTGCCGCGCGAACAGGTGCTGGGAGTGAGAAAGACATTCTTCGAGTTTGTGCAGCACACGGGCATCCTCAAAGAGGGCACCGACCCCGTTGAAGGCATCTACAGCGGTCTTGTGAGTGCACCAGACTAGACACTGTCGACTGACCATGCACACAGGGATCTCAGAACCTCCCAGCTACCGCCACCATCGACGACCGCCGCGAATCAGACGACCTCCTCCAAGATGTCCGCACCGTCGCCAACTATGAACCTTTCATCAAGGACTTTGTCGACGATCCCAAGATATTCGACATGGCGCGCAGGATCAAGAGCGAGTGGCGTGAGCCGTTCCGCTTCCGCCAGCAGGTCCTGAGGACCAATGTCCCATACGCCTACAGGTGTGCGACACGGGTCCACTATGACCAGATGTGAGTTGCTTGGAGCCCACGGCCGGACAGCGACTGACGGCTGAGGTACCTTCGGGGCATGGAGCCTGATGCGCTCACCGCCTGGATCCCAATCGGCGACATCTCACCCGTGGGCGGTGGTCTGATGTACCTCGAAGACTCGGTGCCTCTCGGCCAGGAGATTGAGACGGGCTTCTACCATCTGAACCGCGATTTGCCCGAGGAGGACCAGCTGGATGCCTTCAACGTCAACGTGAGTTGGTTGATGCCCACGCCAGGATGCCCAGGACGTTTCCCACCTGACCACGGCTCCCAGATGCTCCAAGGAGGCGGTCTTACACGCGACTGCAACATGTTTGCGACACAGACCAAGCGGCGATGGCTCATTGCAGACTACAAGGCCGGCGACGTCGTGTTCCACGACTGCTACGCGATCCACTGCAGCGCCAACAACGAGGACCCTGAGGAGCGTATTCGATTCGCGACGGACGTCCGGTTTGCCGACCGGCAGGCGGCGTTTGAGGATCGCTGGTGGGGTGTGTAGGACGACGACACTGGTGGCCTAGGCGAATGGGGTTTGGAGAATCAGAAGGTCAGAAGAAACAGACATGGAGAAATAAAGTCGCGTCCGGAGTCATGTAGGCAGCTGTTGTGACCATGTTCCGGCCGTTCGCACCAGTCAGACTGCCGTGCCTGGCCGTGGATGACGCCGAAACCGGGTCGGTCAAACCCGTTTGCCGGTTGATCGAAGACGCAGAGGATGGCTTCTCAAACGTTTCTGCTGCTATCGTCATCACCACACATCTCTCACATCAGCAAACCACTCATTCCCTCACCATGTCGTCCGCGTCGCAGCTCCGTCAGCTGGCAGACACGCCCATCCGCGACCCCATCTCGCCAGAGGGCCTCGCCGCCGTCCTCGGCAGCGCACCCTTCATCTCCACCCCGGGCGCGTTCAACCTGCGCGACATGGGCCTCGTGCCCGGCTCGGCCCTGCGGTCTGGCCTCGTGTACCGCTCCGCCAAGCTCGGCCCCGTGCAGTCCGAGTGGATCGCCAACAAGGTCGGCGTCGTCTTTGACCTGCGCCGCCCTGCCGAGCGCGACAAGTCTCCCGACCCCACGATCGACGGCGTGCCCAACGTGTGGAACCCGCCGCAGGCGCCATATGACGCGCCCAACCTCGCAGAGTTTGCCATCGGCGACGGCAGCGAGGCGTGGGGCGCGCAGTACCTCCGCGTCCTCAAGGGATACGCAGTGACGTTCCGCCAGGTCCTCGAGCACGTCCGTGACAGGCCCGGAGTGCCATTCTTGTTCCACTGTACCGGTGAGTTTGAGAGGACACAGCGCGCATGATAGGACGCACAACTGACGGCGACACAGCGGGCCGTGACCGCACCGGCGTGTTGGCAGGCATCCTGCACGGTGTGGCGGGTACATCACCGTCGGCCTCGCAGCTCGACTATCTCATCTCGCGTATTGGCACCGAGCCGCGCCGCACCGAGCTCATGATGCTCGTGGCCAACAGTCTTGGCGCAGGGGACAAGGACGCTGCCGGGTTGGAGAACCTCGCCAGCCTGCGACCGAGCTTCTGGACCCTCTTCATCGAGGGCATGCAGCGCGAGTATGGCGACTGGGACGGATACGTGCGCTGGCTTGGATTCAGCGACAAGGACATTGCGGTCATTCGCAGCAACCTCCGGGAGCAGCAGGGCAGGTTGTAACGAACAAGATGTGGATAGAACATAAACGATATATATATATAAATGTACATGTGGCCCGTGGTCAACGGCGACGGTGGTGCTGGCGGTGCGCAGCCTTGACAGATATCTGCGTTGGGACCATCACGAGAGGGTCTGGTGAGCTCGAGGGAGGAGTCGTTGTCGGTGCGCTGGCGATCACAGGTTGAGGCGCTGTAGCTGCGGCGGTGGCCTTGGGTGCAGCAGGCGTGGGTGCACTCGTCTTGGCTGCTGCAGTTCGGGTTCGGGTTCGGGCCTTTGGACGCCTGGGAGGTGCGATACCTACACCCCATCCGTCGACGACATTTTGAGGGAGGCCTGTGAGGGCTGCCGACACAACGTGGTGCACCTGGTCTTCGTCTGGACGGCGCCAAGCTGCCGCCGGCTCCTTTCCCTTGAGCAGGCAATGCAGCGACGCACCGTCGACAAACTTCCACACAAACAGGTGGGTCTTGATTTTACCCGGTGTGGACAAGAGGAGGGCCTGAGCAAGAAGATGCAGGTCGTGAAGCGAGGCGCTAAACTGGGCGACGCGTTGGACGTTGCGACTGGTCAAGGGGACGCGACCGATAGAGTCGAGGCTGTTGTCGTCGTCCTGAAGGGTTCCAAAGGCCTCGAGGGAGCCAAGGGCCGAGCGAGCAAAGGCAAAGAGCTCCGCATGAGACCACCGTCCACTGTCGTGTGGAAGGAGGACACACAAGCGAAGGGCAGCGGCAAGTGGGTGCAGGTGTGCGGGAAGCTTGCCAATTTCACGGGCAGGCTTGTGGCCGAATGGCGAAAGGTATATCCTGATGCGCTCATGGAGTGGCAAGAGGCACGCGGCTGTTGATGGCGACGGGGGTAGGACATGGACCCGAGGCACCAAGCGCTCTTCACTGTTGCGCTCGTATTCTGTAATCTCGTTGCGTGGTGCGACGGCACTGAAGAAGATGCTATACGCAAGCATACGGACGGCGCAACTGGGTGGAGAAGAACGGAGTGGTGCGTAGATCGGGTCCTCTGCCAATGACCATGGGTAGACGCGGTCGGGATACATGTACGCATTCGTGAGCGGCTTGAGTCGACCTCCACGCTGAGCGTAGCCGTATTGTTTGAGTAATGGCGAGGTTTCAGTGCACCCCTTGCAGAATGGATAAGCCTCGCAACAGACGCGGTCCGTCGGCAACGCGTACTGCAGAGTGGCTGTAACTACCGTGTCGACCAACTCGTCCCTCACGTTGCGCCCGCCTCGCATGGCGGACATGACGTCGCGAACGTGGGCGATTGCGTCCTCTTCGGTCTTCATGTCGGGCAATGGAATGCCCCGCAAGATGTTGGCAGCGTATTGGAGGCGCCAGTAGGGTGGTTGACGTTCCAGCGGTTCGTCGCTTTCCTTGGCACGACGCACATCTTCCTTCTCGCGGACAGCCATCCAAAAACCCTCAAACGAGGCATAGTCGTTGCCCACGATGGATGACAACAAACTCAAATGGTTGGGCAACACACCCAGATGCTTGCAGAGCGCGGGCGTAGAGTAGACCTTGACATGAACAGCAGGGTTCTTCCAAGAGACTGGTGGAATCAACGAGCCCTTGCGCTTGTTGTTGTTGATCCACTGCACTCCCTCGGTTGGAATGTAGCCGCGGACATTGGAACAGCCGGCCGCGAGGATGATAAAGTCCGAGTCGTTGCCCAGAATGTAGGCGCCGCGGCGCTCGGCCACTGCGACCACAGCCGCATCGGCCTCGCCGTCCGGAACAAACTCCATGGCCACCTTGAGCTCGCTCAGCGCGGCGACGAGGGCGTCGAACACGAACAGAGGAAGGATCCGTTTGCCGCCAAACGTCAACATGGTGTTGCTGTTTTCTTCCTTGTTGAGGGCCTCGTGGAATTTGCGCGAGTTGCCGATCCCGTCCTGGAAACGCGCAATGACGGTGCTGTGTTTGGCGAGGGGTTTTGCCCCGTCAAAGACGAACACGAGCTCAAAGCCGGCCGCACGCCATGCCTTTACCATCCGGCGAATCAAACGGTAGAACGCAAGGTAGTCTCCTCCATCCTCCCATCGGTTGTAGGCAAAATAGATGGCGAACATGATGCTGGTTGACGTCAGCAATGGGGCTCACAACAAACGTAGGAGGGTGGGGACCATACCCGAGACCGTCTGCGATGACGGGGACCGACCTGCGCCGTCCGTCGAAGCGGTGGACGACGCACAGGTCCTTGCTAAACTCGGAGAGGTAGAGCTTGAGACCCTTCACGCCCATGATGTTGGTACGGTGATGGTGAGTGCAACGTCAAAGGCGACCGCGAGTCTCTCGTCGATTGTCAACTGAACGGGAAGTGTTTCGCCTGGTGCCCCGCATGGACCTCCACTTTTCTGCACCCAGGGTGGTTGATTAGAAATTGTACAGTAATTCAATTGTAATGGCATCCACCACCATTACCGTCGCCCGTAATGGTCCTTATGGGGGAGGGCACACTCCTTCCTCCCTTGTACTCTTGCCCCACGCTACATCTCATATCTTGCCACGTCCCAAGAACTTGTTCGGAATCTCCACATGGCGCGCACGCAGAAACTCTGCAACACTCTTGGCAAGACAGTCAATACGCACAGTCGAACTCACGCCCTTGCCAAGGTAGTCGTGAATGACAAAGTGAACCGCCAACATGCCCGGAAACTCGACACGCTCAAGGCGGTTGTTGTCAAAGTCCTTGGCAAGGAGCCCAACGAGGGCTTTCTTGGACAGCAGGGCCTTTAGCCAGTCGTATTCGTCCTGGTCGCGAACAAAGAAGCCGACGTTGGCATCTGGCGTTAGCCAAGTACACAACGACGTTACTCACTTCCGCCCTTGTCGCCGGAGCGAGCGTGCACGACCCAGCCCAGCGGGCCGACGGTGGTCGGACCGTACGCGTTGGGGTCGAATGCCTGTGCCGAATCATAGTCCTGCTGTGGCTGGACAGGTACAGTCTGCGTGACCGGAGCGACGCTGATGCGCTTGTCAGAGCCGACAAAGCCCACAGTCAATGGCAAGTGAGCCTGCCGGACACGGCCTGGCCAATACTCGATGTAGGGCTGAGGGATACACACTGAGTGTCAGCAAGCGAGCCTCTACCTGCAACTCACTTCGCGAGTCCATGAGCCATTGGAAACCTGGAAAGTGGCCGAGCCCCTCTGGGTTGATAAACGCCATGAGGTTCTTTGTGGGGCCGAAGGCCTCAATCTTGGGTGCCTGCGCGAGGATGCGCATCATGGACGTGGCATCGGCTTCGCTCTGGGGGTTTGCCTTTGGTGTACCATACTGCGTCATGTCGAACACGCTGAACTGGTCCAGGCCCTTGGTGCCGAGGTGGTTGCGGATCTGGACTCGCAGTGACTCAAACTTTTCTGCAGGCGTCAACAAGAGCCACACACTGGCGCAACATACCGTCGATATCCAGACCCGTGGCAAACACCATCGTCTCGGCCTGGTATCCCGCAACGCCACAAATCGCCGCCTTGGTGGTGTCGGGTGGGGCAATGCCTCGCACACCGCTCACAAGGACCCTGTCCTTGTCCAGACCGGTGACCTTGATGTTGTCGATGAGGGCCTGGACATCGGGGTTGAGATAGACGTCGCCCTGGATCTCGTACAGAATCTGCGACCTGACGGTAACCGTGTTGACCACGCCGTTGAGGTTGGGCTCTGTGGCGACGTCAGCCGCAGTCCCCCTTTGGGTGTACACTCACGCTTCGTGATGACAAAGGTCCCATTCGCCTCAATCTCTGCGATGCCCATTGAAAAGTTGTAGTAGTCCTTGATTCCCTTGAAGCCGCTCGAGTTGCCGCCAGTCACGTACGCTCCGCACTCGATGCAGTGTCCCGCCAACAATGCGCCTGCGAGCGCGTCGTAGTTGTCCCAGCTCCAGTTATACCACCACGCGGCGGCGCCAATGACAGGAGATGCATCAGTGCATCGCCCCGAGATGACGATATCGGCACCGGCGCGAAGTGCAGCGACGATGCCTCGGGCGCCAACGTACGCGTTTGCGCTCGCTGGCTTGAGAGGCCAGCTGTCAAGACGACGGCTGCTGTCCTCGAGATGGTGGAGGTCCTCACCGGCAGCCCGCAACTCGTCGAGGCGGTCAATGATGTTGTCGCCCTCGACGTAGGCAACCTTGAGATCGGACATGCCTTCGTCCCTGAGGAGGCGGGCCACTTTCTCCGCCAACCCACGCGGGTTGAGCGCACCGGCGTTGGTCAGAATCTTGGGACGGGTTTGCTTAATGGCCGGTGCAGCGATGCGTAGGTGGTGCAGGAAACTTTGTTCATACCCAAGGTCTGGGCGCTTGCGCAGCTCGAGAGCTCGTGTGGCGAGGTTCTGGCTGGTCAGGAGATGGGCAACTGGCAGCTCGTCACCCTCACCATTTCTGCAAGGTAGTCCCCAAACAGGACAGAACAGCCGCTGCCCTCGGCCTGTTCCTTGAGGGCGGTCCATTTGTCGCCAGAGAAACCGCTGAACGCAGCGATGCGGAAGGGCTGTGATTGTCCAGAGGGCATTTGGGAACTGTACAAAACTGTGCTTGATCGTGGGATGCTTCGGACACGACCCAGGCGCCGATATATGAACCATCGTGCCGGAATGTTGAATGCCGAGAACCCACCGGCCGTCGCCGGGTGACGTAACGTGGTGTGTGCCGTGTGCGGGGACCCCGCGCCGTGCCGACACGCGGAACCGGTGGGGGCTGTTTTGAGTCGAAAGCGACACACCACGTTGGTCGTCGCAACAGCCGCTCTCTCGACGCTCTCGACGCTCCGCTCTGTATCTCTCTTATCCAACATCTCCATCGTCCACACCAACAACAATGGCAGCGCCGACCGCCCCAGCAATGCAGTTTCCATCGGCACCTCCCACCCGCCGGTCGTCTCCGGGCAACACACCCATCTTTACCATCCGCCCACGACGACCCGAGGACCTCGCTCCGCTTGCTGTCGTCCTGGCGGAGCAGCAGCCGCGGTCATTGTACCCAATCTCGTGGCCGCTCCCCTTCCCCGTGGACGATTTCCTCCAACGAGACGGCGAGCTGGCAGCGTTTGTGGCCGAAGACAACCGAACGGGCGAGACTGTCGGGCACGTATCAGTGTGTGGATGCATCGAGCCGCCCAAGGACCCAAAGGAGGCAGCCGAGCTCGATGCGGTCTGGGCCGCGGGCCACGGGTGCGCCGTGTCTGAGCTTCGCATCATCGGCGTGCTGTTCACCGACCCAGCCTACGCAGGAACGGGAATGGGCTCGGCACTGTTCAACGCCGCCATTGAGGTGGCACGCAAGGACGGCGGCAGGCCCGTCCTCGACTGTCTGCGGACCAACACTGGGCCGCTAGCGTTCTGTGGGTGTTCAGGAGTGTTGGGTGTTGCTGCTTGCTGACTGTTCAGACCAGAGGCGCGGCTGGAAAATGGTGGGGACATGGCACAACACCATTTGGGTTCCGGGGGAGGAGCTTTTGGTCGACTTGTTCATCTTGCCCGACGACAAGTAGACAAGTAAAACAAACGCCAAGCGCGCACGAACGTCCCGGCACACGATATGCCGAGGGTATTGCAATCGTGAGCATGACGTGGCACATATACTGGCTCTGGCGTCCGACAACTGGTATGCATAAGACGACGACATCAAGGGACACTTTTCATTTCAAGGTACAGGGCACTGCCCATGGCTTCATTAACGGGACGGCGAGGAATCTATGCCGCTTGAGTTGTCAGCACTAATTGTGGCAATGGCACTCACAAGCAACATTAATCTGTCTCATCATCATCTGTTTAGGCTTGGACAATGGTGGCTGGGCGGGGGCGGGGGCGCCAGAACTTCCACCATGGGCGAGCTTGGACGACCACGGCCTGTTGACGACGATGGAACATGCCACGTCGAGCCGGTGCAGCACCTTGGCGCTGGGCACGACGGGCGGCACGGTTGGCTCTGTGGCGGCGACCAAACATTGTAGTAGGATGTAGTGAGATACAACGGGGTTGTTTGAGTTGGGAAAGTGTGGTGGGAGTCGTGAACGTGCGTTGTTGGGGATGAGTTCAGTTGGACTGTCGGCGAGTGCTCTAAATACTCGTTTCATTGCCACTCGCCACCAGCGTCGTGTTTACTGTCCAACGTCACGTCATTGCATCGACGCAGCACAGCTCTCGTCACAACAGCTCCACTCGTGCCGTCGAGCCCCCATGCGATGAACTGTGACTCATACCGAAACAGTGGAAAACAAGTTGCGGAGACAAGGCAGGAGAGGAAGCGTAAACAAAATGAGGTCATGATGTCATTCCGGCGGTGGGTGGAGCCGCCACCGACGACCACCACGCCGTCAACAGTGGTGCCGTACTCCTTCTGGCGTTGCTTAGCAGCTGTACACAGGAACCGACGCGCAGTCAGTTGGAACCATGCAACCCCCCGAATAACGCTGATGACGTCGGGGGGGCTGGAATGTTTTGCAATGCAAAGAGCAGTGGACGGGCAATTGTGGACGGTTACGATTACCTGCGAACCTGCCAAAGAACCCCCCACGTCACATCCTGACCTCGCTCATTGCCCAGTCGCAAATTTTGTGCATTCCTGTCGCTTGATTCTGCTCCTCAACAAAAGCGACCCAACTGACAGAGCATCAGGAGGCTCTACATATATGTACGCCATCACTGCTCTACATTCCCAGCATACCGAGCTGCTGTACACGTCGGATATGCTCCATCGCAAGCGGAACACCAGCACTTAGCGCCAGGGCCTGTGCGGTCCTCACAGTCTGCTTAATGACCCGACCGTTGACCTCACAGCCAGCCAGCTCCGCAATGTCAAATCCAGCCCGAGTTAGCAACTGCACGTCACTGTTCAGGTCGGGCCGGCATTTGCAGATAAACTGGACTTGATCAGCGACATGTGCGAACCAATATACTTGCAGTCTTCCAGATGGACTTGCGTGATTCGACGTTGAGGTCACGGAAGGGCAGGGTGAGGGAGAAACGAGACGCAAACGCCTCGTCCAGACTTGAAACGACGTCAGCTGCGCCTTTAAAGTATATATATACTCACTCCTCCAGCCTGTTGGTAGTGACGATGAGCACTCCGTTGTAGTACTCGAGCACTGCATGTTAGGTGCCGCCGGTACTGTTTACTCACGTCGCAGGAAGACACCGACCAGTGCGTTGCGCTCAATGTCTGAAGTGGCACGCTTCTGCAGGAAGATGTCTGCCTCGTCTATCAGCAGCACAGCCTTCCACACGGTAGCCAGCTGGGTGGCAGCGTCAGTCGCGATGCGTTGTGACGTAGGGTACATACCTCCAGAACCGCGTTTAGTTTTTGTTCCAGCGTCGACGCGTTTGTGCCTAGCTCGCCCGCGCTGACCATGTACAGGGGCGTCTTGAGATGTTCCGACACGGCCTCGGCGGTGAGGGTCTGGGCCTCAGCAGACTGTCCCATTTCAGCTGCACCCACCTTGCCAGTACCGGGCCGTCCATGGAACGCCATCATGACACCCTCGCCCTTGCCCTTAACAATGTCGGCCACCAGACTATCGCCGAGGACACCCGTGTGCACGTCGACGAGACACTGAACCACTGACCGATACTCTGGTGGGATGACGAGGTGGTCAAAGGCGGACGAGTTCCACTCCACAGGGGCCAGACGGTCGATGAGGAAGTGACCCCAGCGCTTCTTCCTCAGCGAAAAGGCGTGAATGTAGGAAGGGAGCAGGAACAGTTCGTCATCCGGAAGCTTGGCGGCCGGCGGCTGCAACCCGCGTTTCAGTTCCTTGCGGTTGATATCGTCGCTGGCGTCAGGCAGAGACTCTGGACAGCGTTCAACGTACGGGAAGATGTTCTCACGCGGATGGAGACGGCGAAATGTCGCAACGTCTATCATGACCCGTCCACTTCCCGGCTCGGGTACACTGAGCGTCAGTTCGAGAGTTGAACCACAACTCACAACCCGACGGTGGACTTGACGTAGAAGGATCCGTTATAGCTTGCGTGGACGATGCCAATGTACTTTTGTGTCAGCGAAAGCATTCCGATCACGCCTCACCTGTTCGGCGTACACCTTTCCCCTAGCTTCGAGTTTGGCCTTGTGGGCTGCAGACAGGGGCCAAAAGTTGAGGTCGGAGATGTTGCGAACGTCGGTAAATTCGCTCTGGGACAGCGTCGTCCAAATGACCTGGAAGGCTTCACCCGTCCACTGACGACACGACACTTTGGCTCGAAAGCCATTGTAGTCGTACCACCAGTTGCTGACCACGTACGCCGTCTATCCTTAACGCTGGACACATGCCTCGACACTCACCCGTTGGCCAGTATTGTCGTCTGCCTCGACCTCGGTACCAGGGCGGAAGAACCACCACAGCAGTGGGTAGATGGTAGTGTTCTGAGGCAGCTCCAGACGCTTTTGTTCACTGGAGTTAGCGCAGAACGATGAGGTAAAAGCACACTTGGTTGTAGCGCTCGTCGATAAAGTCCAACAGAGCCCGCATAGCCGCCTGGGTCCGTCCAGTCATTGCCGAACAGTCACTTTCAAGAACCCCTCTGTCTTGAAACAGCTGTCGACTGTCGATCTGGAATAAGTTTCGTGGTCTAACATGGAGAACTCACTCCCGGCTCTCGGTCGTGCAAATGATTGTTATGTGGGAAGCGTTTGCGCAGAGCCATGACGAGACCATTGTTGTACAGCTCGATCCAGGTCATTGTCTCGAGAATGTTGCCGCTGGAGGCGAGGCGGTGATGAGCAACGAACGCCTCGCCGTCATCCTCATCTCGTAGAGGAGGAGGGGTGGGAGCGCGGCTCCACTTTCCATCCTCGTCCTCGATCTCGTCGACCTCGGTGTAGCTCACGCCGGAACTCGTGGTGTGCAGTGTGCCCTTGGGTGGAGGTTCACGTGCCTTCTCCACGTTGAAGGCTGCGTGTCTGGGAAGAACGTCAGTCTCTCGCATAGTGGTGCATCGCCGTAGCCCACCTAATGGCAAGGGGCATGGTACTGGATAATGTGTAACGTGAACAAAGAGACGCGGAGACGCAAAGCAATAGAGCGGACGGAGCGGACAACTCGACACCGCCATGATCCGCGATCTAAACGACGACCATGTGCATCCACAAACATGGTGCCCCACACCACGGATATCGCCCGCAGCGGCATACAAGACAAACATCTTGGTCTACGATCTACAACCCTTCGTCAAAGCGCTTCCCGTTGCCCAGCCGCATCCACAGCTTCTGGTCGGATATGACATCGCCAGACAACAAGCTGCAAGTGTCAGCGCCAAAACGCAGCTCGTTTGACTCACTCTTCCACCTCGCTCGCGATCATAAGGGATGGTGCGCCAGTCTCGCCCTGCCACTTGTCCCATTCGACCAGGAGGTCGCGCACAATGTCAGGATGCTGAGCTGCCAGGTCGTTTGTTTCTCCCTGGTCACTGTACATGTCGTACAGCTGCCAATTCCCGGTTCCAGTGGGCTGGTTTGTGGGCATGTTGACAATCTTCCAGCGGCCACTGCGCAACGCGCACTTGCCATAGTGCTCCCACGCCACAACAGGTTTCTCGACGCCATAGACCGCCTCGGCCTCCCCTTGGTACGACCCAGCATGCGGCGGTGTCTCCGTGGACGCGGCGGATAGGCCATCGCGTAGATACGGGACCCACGACTTGCCGCGCATGGGAAAGACTTGACGGTCGTGGTATGGGGCCGTCGCCCTTGCGTGAGCCGGGTTGGCGTTGGGGTGGGTGGCGCCGGCGAGGGACAAGAATGTGGGGAGGATATCCATGGCGCTGGTGAACGCGTGACAGATGCCACCGGGAGCCAGGTGCTTGAACCCAGGGTAGCGAACCACGAGCGGTACGCGGACACCTCCCTCGGTCGTAAAGTGCTTGTACAGGCGGTTAGGTGCGGTTGAGGCTTGGCACCAGCGGGGTCCAGCCCACGCAAACGAATCAACGTTTCCAATGTTGTCATACTCGTTGTTGTAAAACTCCTACACAGGTGTTAGCAATGCATGGCCGTTTTGTTGTGATGTTTACTCACGTTGATAGTTTCAAGCAGCCATGGGCCGATGAGCTCCTCGGCCTCGAGGGCGGTACCCTCTGCGCCATTGTCGGAGAAGAACATGACCACAGTGTTGTCGAGCTCGCCGGTCTCTCGCAGGTGCTCAATGACACGGCCGATCTGCTGGTCCATGCAGTCCACCATGCCTGCGTAGCATTCCATCGCACGGGCCGAGTACGTGCGCTCCTTGGCGTTCAGGTCCTCCCACGGGGCATTCTCGGGCGAGAAGACCTCGTGCGGCACCGTGTTTTCGGGAATGATACCTCGTTCGACGAGCTGCCGGAGACGTTTCTGGCGCAGGACACCAGGTCCCTCATCGTACACACCCCGGTACTTGTCACGGTCCGACTTGAAGCACTGCAACGGGTAGTGTGGTGCGGTGAACGGGAGATAGGCAAAGAAGGGGCGATCCTTGTCCTCTTCAGATGCCTCGCGGTCGCCGAAGAAGCCCAGGAGCTCGTCAACAAAGCTCTTGGACGAGTAGAAACCCTCGGTGTTCGATTCCATGTTGGGGGTAACCTCGTATCGCTGGTCTTCCTTGACGTAGATGGGTGGCTGGTGGCCGTGGATAGGAGGACGCGCGTCCTCGCCGCCTTCCCATTTAGGATCGAAACCGAAATGGTTCGAGCTAGCAGGAAGGACAGAGAAGACGCGGTCGAATCCGCGGTCAGTCGGAATGTACCCTGGGCGGAACCCAAGATGCCACTTGCCAGACATGAACGTCTGGTAGCCAGCGTCCTTGAGGAGTTCAGGCATGGCTGCAATGTTGCGAGCTGACACGTGTTAGCCTCAATTCCAAGATTCAGCACTTACTCAAATAGCCCTCGCAGAGCGACACGTTGCCCATGGTCTGTCCGTCGTCCTGCGGCGGTCAGCCCACGACACGATCCAGTATGACTCACGCTGCGGTACAGAAGTTGCTGCATTGCCACATGGTTGTCCGTGCCGCTCATGACCATGGCGCGGGCAACAGAGCACATTGGTGCGGTGTGGTCTGGGAACACGTTAGCCTCACGCTGGACCAACATTGCACTCACAGTCACTGAAGCGCAAGCCATCGGCAGCCAGAGCATCCAGATTGGGCGTCTTGATCTCCGAGCCGAAACAACCCAGGTCAGAGTAGCCTAAATCATCGGCAACGATAAGGAGGAAGTTGGGGCGCTTTTCGGACATGGTTTGTGTTGTTTGTGGGCTCATCAACACAGTCTACAGAGATAACTTATAGCGTCCACCACAATCAACGTGCGTGGCGCCGGTCCGGAGGTGCCCGCCCGGTGGTTTGCGACCGACGCGCGTCAAAACATTCGTTGTTTACACATTGCCAACACATTCACGCGGGGCCCATGAACGCTGGTCATATGACCTGCTTATTGGGACATTCGTCGTCATTAATGGTGCTCGTCAGGCCGTTCCCCTCGGATTCCAACATCGGAATCCAGATTCGGACCGGGGTCCGCCCTCTTGCAAAACCTCTCTCGATTCCGACTGGTGGGCAGTCACAACGTTCGGCCCTCGAGCGCCGAGCTTAAGGGCTTAATCCAGGTAATATCCGTCTGGGACGTCGACGCCATAGTGGGCGGGAGACTCATTGCGTGACGGAAACTCGCAGATATATGGATATATGATGGCAGTGCCATCTTTTCCAAGTTGTCGGCGGAAGTTGCTTGGAAAATGCTTGGATGTTCATCGTCAACCCTATTTGATGACGTTGGAGCAGACCATCCGGGGGCCCCCTTCTGCCCGCGGGGAACACTCCGGCACGAGCTATTCCAAACGTGTGGGGCCTTTGAAGGATGGCCATCACCCCGTCCCCGACTGTGAGGCCCCTCACGCGATATGCGCTGCAGATGGCGATCAGATTGAGAACACAGGGCCATTCGTGATGTTCCCAACCCTAGGGTCCTCCCGCGACAAACACCAGCTATCTGAGACAGACATATAACCCTCTCCCAAGCCGAGATCGATGCCACAACAAACCACTCCGACATGAACGAGAAGGAAGTATCAGCCCCAGTGGTCACCCACCTGGAAGCCATGACCTCCATCGACAGCACCGATCCAAAGGTGCGGGATGTCACCAACCTCGATGCCGCCGCTCGCTTTATTGTAGAGCACGGTGAAACTGCCACGGAGATTACCGCCGAGGAGAGCGCTGCCGTTCGCCGCAAGGTGGGTCGCTCGTCCCGTCCCAGAGTCGCAGTCACTGACACCGACAGATTGACAAACGTCTCATGCCGCTCATGGCAATTATGTATCTCAACCAGCAGCTCGATAAAAGCGCTATCTCCTTTTCCTCGGTGTTCAACTTTCAGAAGGACACAGGCCTACAGTGAGTTGGACAGCACATTCGCTTTGCTAACTGGAAGTGGCACCCAGTTTGCGTGGCTGTCGACGATTGTTTACATCGGCGCCCTTATCGGCCAGCCTCGTAAGTCTCGAAGCATTTTCACCCCGTCCTTAACCCCATCCCAGTGGCGGTCTACGCTCTTGCCCGCCTGCCGGTCGGCTACTACGTCTCTGCAAACTACGTTGCATGGTCCATCTGCATGCTGTGCATGACTGCTTGCACCAGCTTTACAGGCCTCGCCGCCCTTCGCTTCCTGCTGGGCCTCTTTGAGGCGAGTATCGCACCGACCATGATGATTGTCACTGCCATGTGGTGGACCCGCCGTGAGCAAGGCTTCCGCTCGCAGTGGTGGTACCTCCAGAATGGTTTCTCCAGCATTTTCGGATCCCTCTTGACTTATGGCTTGGGCCATATCGACAACTCCGTCCTCAAGCCCTACCAGCGTATTTTCCTCGCCATTGGTCTCATCTCGTTTTGTTGTTCGATCCCCAACGCCCTTCTCTTCCCAAACAGCCCGGTTACGGCCAAGTTTTTGAACGAAAACGAGAAGCGTATCGCCCTTGAGCGTGTCCGATACAACCAAACTGGTGTCCAGGGACAGCGTGGGTAGTCACCGGTGGAATGTCGCTGACCTGGCAGACTTCAAGTGGGAGCACGTTCGCGAAGTCGCCCTGGACCCAAAGACATATCTCCTTATTGGCATCAGTACGTTTTGTGACCACTGGCACGTTGCATTTGCTAACGTTCGCAGTTCTTCCCAAGGCTATCACTGCCGGCGGCCTCGGAACCTTTGGTCCTCTTGTCCTGCAAGGGCTGGGATACAACCAGTTCCAGACGACCCTCTTCAACATGATCCCAGGCGCCATCCAAATCGTCTTTGGCTTTTTTGCAGGCTGGTGGATGACCAAGTACAAGTACAAGTCGCCCATGCTCATGCTCCTTGTCGTCATTTCGCTTGCGGGGTCCATCGGCATGTACATTTCTCCACGTGGCGAGCAATACCGCCCTCAGCTCTTGGCGTTCTACATGCTTCTCCAGTTCTCTGGATCGGCTGCGCCTCTTGTGTTTGCGTGGGCCAACACCAACACTGCTGGATCGACCAAGAAGGCCACCATCGCCTCGGTCGAGTGGACGTTTGTGTGCATTGGCAACGCCATTGGCCCTCAGCTCTTTGCGCACGACGTCGGACCTTACTACTTTATCGCCCTTCGCTCTCAGGTGATCTCGCTGTCTGTCATCATCCTCTGCGTGGTCGCCATGGCGACCTGGTTGCACATGCTTAACAAGCGCAACGCGCGCAGGCGTGCAGCCCGTGGTGCGAGCGAAAACCTGGTCGACCTTTCTCTGGAGGCTGAGAGCAAGTGGGCCGAGCTTAGGGAGAAGCAACTCGAGTTCAACACCACGGCGGGAACGACCACACAGATCGGCGAGCAGGCATTCCTTGACTTGACCGACCTGGAGAACGACACCTTTATCTATTCGTTCTGAGGGGAGAATTACAGATTGTGGGGGAGGGGGCAGCGTACGTACAAAAGTAGCCATGCAGTTGTTTGTTTTCCAGCCAGCCAGAGCGCCACATGTACAGTAAGCGGTGATACCTGCCTGCCACATACGCGTCCACTGTCCGTTGGCGCGCAGCCAACCCAACGCTGAGCAACACGGCCCAGACCAGACACGCCAGAGGCCCCGACTGGCCGCGTCCTCGGCGCCCAAAAGCGTCCGCTCACGCCGCCCAGCGCCACAGCCACCACGCAGCAGCGGGCTCCAAACACGTTGTTGTGGCTTCCTTTTTGCCCTTGTGGAAGGTATGAGACGACAAAAGTGACGTAGCAAGCAGTCGCCAGTCATCCAGTACCCCAAAAGTCGCACACTCCATCTCCAAGAACAACATTGAGGTGTGCTTACGGGCTGCACAGAGATGTGGGTGCGGACGTGTAGCACCAAACGTGGGGCACCGCTCGGACATTACCGATCCGCCGATCCCTGTTGATCTCTCTGACCTCATCCCGACGCCCAAAGTCTCGGCTGACTTGTCAGATGTCCTCCTCCACCTGTACACACGGCTGCCGCGTGTCGAGAACTGGGCGCTGCATGGCTTCTGGTGTGCACCTCGTGGGAGACTGGCTACGACGTCCAAGACACAGAGACAGTGCGGGTGCTCCCCGTAAGAGGAGGTTTCCTGAAAACTACCCGCGGGAAAGCGCAGGCACAAGGGCGGGGGTCGCTGCCCCCCATTGCCCAACGCCAGCAGCACGGACACGTCGTTTAAACGTTGTCCCACTTTTTCTCACTGTCTATCTATCCACCATCAAACGACTATCGCCATGGCCAGTGCAGTTGCTCACCCAGAGGCCCTCCTTGAGCGCCTCGACATTGCAGGCAGCGACGACGAGAGCTCCGAGGCCGCCGAGCGCAAGCGTCCCGCCGTTGCCAACCTCGGCCTTCCCACGTCCATCACCAACGTCGCGGCCGACAACTTCCTGTACTGGACGCTCTCAGACCTTATTGACGACCACCCGGAAGACACAAAGATTGAGGTGCCCGTTGAGGACGAGCTCGCGCTTGAGATCGCCGGCGTTGGCCTCAAGGTCGTCAAGGACAAGTCCAACCCGGAGGACGAGGACTATGTCCCAGCCGACCGCAAGACCAAGGTCCACACGCTTGTTTGTCTTCGCAAGACCCTTGTCCTCCACGAAGGTGAGCACAAAGTCGAGGCTATCCCCACCCGCAGCCCACTGACGCCAACACAGACAACCCGGTGTGGGACCGCACGCCTCAAGCCGAATGGGCCGCACTGGTTGCCGAGGTCGGGGGCAACATTGACAAGGCCGGCGTCATCGTGCAAGGCTGGATCGATGCTGCCGGCGATTCCGCACTGTCACCTCGACCCATCCCTGGCTCGGAGGACGTCGACCTGATGGCCGAGCCGATCTACATCGACGCGAACCGCAAAGTGCTGTTTGACGCAAAGCCCGCTCAGACCGAACGGTGCGCGGCGCTCATCTTCAACTATCTGGCCTTCCACGAGCGCGGGATCGCGGCCCTGGAGGCGCAGGAAGCCGAGCGGCGCGCGCAGCTCCCTGGCGTCATGTGGAGGAAGACCCATCCCGAGCCATTGCGCTTCCCGCTGCCGAGCGTGCTCGCGGGCAAGATCGACGCCGACGAGTTCCCAGCCGTCGCTGCTGCAGTTCAGCGCGGGTACCTCGAGGGCCCGAGCGAGCTCAAGACGAGCCGCACCGTGTCTGCTGCGGCCTCCAAGCTGAGCAGGGAGACGCTCTCGCGGGAGGAGAAGGCAGCCAACCAGCTCCTGTACCTCATCAACGACCGCCTGCTCGTGTGTGAGTAGCAAAGAGGAGATATATCGTCGCGTTTACTCTTTCTGACGGAAAACACAGCGGACAAGTTCTGGCTCCAGGACGAGGCAGAGGTTGTGGGCACGCCTGCGCAGCTTACAGCTGCCTACGACGCCGTGGTCAAGGACCTGAAGGCTCTGGCCGCCACTGACCGCCTCACGCACCGCGACGGTGACACTCTCGAGACCGAGTTGTGGAACATGGTGTACGATGCCGAGAAGGGAGACTACGATGACTAGGTGGATGCTTTGCAACAGTGTGCATATCTGAGAAATGCAGTGGCACTGTCTGTGTCTGGGCCAGTGTGGTGCTTATTGCTCAGCCAACGTGTCGTGTCTGTTTTGGTCTGACTGCTCTATCCAATAACTTGCACTAGTTGTTTATATTGACGTAACAATCGTTTCTATTCATTTCTAACGAACGTCATTCTCTTCTATGGGGCAAACATGTCTCTCGTAAATCGATCCTTCCTAGATCGGGTACCGGCTCCTGGCCAACTGCTAACTTCTGCACCCTCATACCACGCTCCCACCCGCACCCCAGTGTCTGGTTTACCAGCCAAACACCTCTGAGATGAACTCGATCGGCGCCTGGCCGCGGAGGATGGCCGCCGCCGAGTTGACCTCGCAGACGGCACGGCGGGCGTCGATCGACAGGCTGTCGGGGCCACACACGGCCACGGCGACGCCGGCGGCCTCACGAGCAGTCGTGTCCACAGCGGTGCGCACAATGCCCTCGAGGTGGCTACGGCCGCGGTGGAAGTTGGATAGCTCGGCAGCGGGCGAGTTGAAGCCGGCGCTGAGGGCCAGCTTGTGGCTCATGCCCTTGGAGGACTTCTTCTCGTTGATGACGGTCAGGTCGGTCGAGCTGGCAGAGACCGAGTCGGAGGGAGACTCGGCGCCGGGCGTGTCCATGGGCGTCTCGGCAGGCTTCTCGCTGGCGTGGGTTCCGGGCTCGTCGGCCAGTGCAGAGCTGGTGACGTAAATGTCGAGTGTCACGCGCACCGACCCGGTTCCGCGGGCAATCGTCTCGTTGATGATGGGCGTAATCCAAGCAGCACAGCTGGCGTGGCGGACGTTCCACACCAGCTGGACGTTGCTGACGGCCGTGGTGCCCTCGCGACTTGCCTTGACGATGGCACACAGGTGGGCCATGGCGTAGGTGATACCCGATCCACCTGCGACCAGCACAACGGTGTCAAAGTGGTTCATGTCGTGTGCGGTGCCGTACGGTCCCTCGAGGTATGCGGTGATGGTGTTGTCGGTCTGGTCGGCGGCACGGTTGATGAGGCGGCGGGTGAATCCCCTCTGGGCACGGCAGAGGAAGACGACCTTGCCCTCTCCCTTGGGGTCGACTTCGTTGGCCATGGTGAACGGGTGGCGCTCGTAGCGGAGAGTGGCGACGCCAGGCATGATAATGTTGGCGTGCTGACCGGCGTTCCAGCGGAAAATGGGGCGCTTGAAGGTGACGCGGACGACATCAGAGTCGACAACCTCGACGGTACACGACTGGGCCTTGTGGCGACGGAAGGGGATCACCCAGGCAAGGTTGATGACAATGAGGCGAGCGAGCGACGTCAAGCGGTCGAGACCCCACAGGAGCATGGACACCCAGATCCAGATCTTGAAGTCGGGCCAGTGGAAGTAGCAGCCGACCATGTAGATGATGCCCATGCTGATGTGGATCAGGAGGAACGCCTCGTACATGACGCGACGGGCGATCGCAAACGAGGTGATGTACATGAAGAACAGAGCAATGGCAGCAAGGACACCAGCGGCGAACATTTCGGTGCCAGGGCCGTGGGCAGCGGACACGCCCTTCTCGGCCCAGCCCAGGACATGGACTGCGACGCCGAGGAGGGCAACGCGTCCAGCAGCGCGGTGGAGGAAGTTGAATTTTTCGTACGAGATACCCGTGATGAACGACAAGACGTTGTTCTTGGAAGCGAGACCGACGATAAAGGGCATCTGGGCAAACGACTGCGGAAAAAAAACGTCAGCTCACAAACGACCTGGCAGGAGGGGTTTTTCACAAACCATGTAACCGAAAAGATTCATCCAGTTGGCCGTCTGGCCGCGGAAGTCTGCCGCCCACCAAGTGATACCAATGGTGATACCAGTGTACGCTGCGGTCCAGAAGATATCCGATGCACTGGTGAAGCTGTAAATCCAGAGGGGGAAGACACGGACGTGGGCGAAGTTGGCGTACATGGCGTAGGCGGCAGCAGTGACCTTGGTGCCGGTGGTGCCACCGCTGGTGTTGTTGCGACGAGCGGTCGAGACCCGGCGACGGATCATGCGGGCCCTCAGAAGGGAAATGAGGTAGATGATGCACAGGAGGCCCACGACACCGGTGATGATCCACCACGGCAGATACATACCCACATTGCGGTGGGCGCTACGATCGGCCTTGAAGGCCTTGCCGCTGGTCGGCAGTGCCGTTGACGAGGTAGTGGTGGTGGTGGTGCTGTTGGATGCATCTGCTGCCGCTGCACCTCCATGTGCCCTGGCGTAGAGAGACTCCATTCTGAGCTAGTCAGTTTTGCCGTTGGAACAAAAGAACGTACGCTGTAAAGTGGGTTTTGAGGGACTGATTGATGGTGGGAGACACATACCGTGCTCTTTTATGAGTACCGTGGTGACAGACGCCACCATGGGGCTAGGGAAGACCCGCAGCGAGCAATGGGCTTCGTGGGGAACGAGCTGGAGAAGGATTGTAAGCGATGAACAGAATCGCACCCGAAAGACTGCCGTTGTGACGAGTTTCATTCGTGCTCTCGCACCGTCGGCCGTTGTGGGCTTATCAGATTGGCTTTCACCCTTGCCGGGGCAGCGACATACACGCCAGCAGCCTGCGGAACAGCCTAGACCTGCTGTCCATCAGTCCGCCCTATGCACAAGAGCTTCGCACGCATAAGGTGAACAAGTTTGTCCGGGGGCCGCAGACAGAGGCCCAGAGGGACTTTTCGGTCTTCAAAGGCTCGAGTGGAACCCTTCGGAGGCGTTTCGGCCGCCTAATCAGATAACTCCCTGGCCTCATCGGCTTGGCATTTATGCCAACTTCGGTTGGCTGGTGGGCTCGGCGCTCCAAAAAATTGACAAACGCACTCGTTACAGCTCGCTATTGCCTCGGTTTAGACCTCGGTGTAGAGCTGCGGATGTTGCCAAGAGGTAACCATGCCCTGCGGATGGCATGCATCTCATCTGCGTGACCAAAAGACCCACAGACAAATGTGCATGTGCTCTAGATACTGGAAAAGAATGCCGATCACTGCAGATGGTCTTTTCTGGGATAGTTACGTTTTCGACCGTCGTCGTCTCGTTCCTGCCAGTGACAGCGAGGGCCCGACGAACCGACGGCCCTGCATATCCTTGCGGCCGAAAAGGCCCCACTTAACCTCATTTTTTTTTTTTTTCGGTGCCCACGCGTCTTCGCTTAGGGGCACTCGTGCGAAAGGACGGACAAGGTGTGAAGGCCGTGGCCAAAAGTGGACCACTCTGGAATCCGCAGCCGGTCAGCAACCAGGCAAATGTGGTTTCATTCTCACGGCCCTGCATGGTCTTCCCTGTCCGTGGCGCATCGGTTCAACCTCTTGCATTCCGCGTCCACCTCTGTTCATGGACCAGAACCTCTGATTATGTACAGACACTAGCGTCACAAGTGTAGGGAATGAGGTCGTGGACTGGACTGCGGCCTCCCGCGTCTGCTGCGTCTGCCGGGTAGACGAGCCGTGGTCACAGAACCAAATGGACACAGCGGCCCAGTGTGGCCTGAAAATGAGACACAGCTGTCGGTGGCATTGACGGTCCCTGTTGCTGTCTGTCTACGGAAGGCGTGCGCACCCCCAGCGCCTGCCATTCGAGGGAGCATCAGGCAACCAGTGGTACCCGTGAGCAACGTTGCCTTTCACCCGCCACGATAGCAACCATTGCTTTTGAGAGCTTGAGAAACAGGCTGGCCTTCAAAAGACAGTTGTGCTGTGGCGCTCGTGCCTCCCTCCTGTAGTGGCCAGACCTTTGGCACACCTCAGCACCGCCCTTCGTCACCACAGTGTGCACCATCGGACCCGATGACAGAGAGAGCATAGAGTGTCAAGAACGTTTATAGCATCCCCAGAATCCCCTTGGCACACCGGATCGTTCCGCAGCCGATTGGGGCCCTGACGACGGTCCGAGGTTCTAAGTACATATTGCTGCCAAGACGCCAGACGGAAGCTGCTGGTAACCAGATAGGGTTCTCGCCATATCGTGCAGGAAGCGGTTCTTGGCTTCCTTAAGAGGATCAGAGGGATCCTGCAGCAGCGTGGGTGATATACCCACAGGCCACAGGCCACAGGTTTGCGCGGTTTTACACAGCCGCTTAAGATAGAAGCGTGGGCTGAGGCTCAGGGGTGTGTTGGCCCATCCCTTGGTTGACGCGGAGCTTGGAGTTTTAGTTCCGTTCACGACGACCAAGTGACGAAGCACAGTGACAAAGCAGCGACGCGGGAACGACTTGCTATACTGTGCCTCGCCTCTGGCAGGAAAGATGCTGAGATGTCGAGTGGGATCATTCGCGACTAACCCGCGCAAGAGTTGTCTCAAGTCCCGTTTGTTTTTTATTCACCGAGAGCCACCCTTTACTGACATCTCAACTGTATTAGCAGTTTCAAATTCAATATATTAATTAACCGGGCACACACAGGCCACACACAGAGGGAGTTCCCGCGGTCATCAAAACCGCTTACGTAATAAATCCAGATTACGTAATTATTAATGAAGGGACCAAATTGCTCCCGACATATCCAAACGGGAGGGAACAGACAAACATTGCCCCTCCTTTTTCCCCTACAGGCCAGGCGCGTGTCCTCGTGAAACGCGCTGCAGCACGCGTCATCTTCCTCTGGCATTGTGCTCATCACGTCTCATAGCGAGCAAGCCTTAAGTGGCGTCATCCGCCACTCACAGCACAAGCAGAGGTACAATAACCTTGAATCACATCCCACCGCGCTTTTCTTCTCTTCCTTTGGCAAGTCATCACCATTTGCGGCGGGTCAGGGCCCGTCACAAGCAGACTGTGTTTCCACATGGCATCGGTACGCAAGCACACCAGTACACACAACATGCCAACGCCAACCTGACAAGACCGTCAACACACATGGACACGGCGTGCCTGAATGGGCTGGGACACGCCCAGCGGCGCTTTAACTGAGTAAGCATCGTATTAGCAAACCCATAATGTCCGAGGCGGCGGAGTGGCGGATGAGTGGTTGCGGCGAACGGGGGCCCCACCTGGCCACCAGTTTTCCCCGCTGGCGGTCGACTGACGTGCGCCGGGTAGCTGACAGCTGACAGCTCTCTGCTGCGGCCCAACGAACTCTTTGTCATCCACAGCTCGTGCCAAGACCAACCCGCTGTGGAGGGCTGACGGCGTACCCCGTGTGGATTGTGGAGAGTTGTGGAGGCGGAACAAGCCCGGAAAAATCTCTCCAGGCCCAGATGCGGCGGAGTCCGACACCCTCCACTCGCCCCTCCACCCGACCACGCCGGACCAAGAGGCAAATCCTCCGCGCTCATAAAGGCGCCATGGCATGTCATTCATTGTGGCGTCTCCTCTTGCCATCGCTCAACTCTTCTACAGTGTACTACTAATATAATGTCCCACCATCAAGACCATGGTGGGGTCCAGCAGCCTGCCGCTGTGACACCACCGACCCCAGCTCTCGATTCGACCGTCCCTTCGCCCACCCCCACGCGTCCTCCCACGCCATCCGAAAACGAGTCACAGATGACAGCTGTTGGCCAAGACACACTCGAGAAAGAGGTCGCTTTCCCTCTCAGTAACGGCCGCAAGTGGTGTGCGCTGCTAGTGTTTGTCACGTCCTTGTTCATTGATGGTACGTAAACTTGTCAACATGCACTAGGCACGCCCACTGACCCTCAACTCGCAGTTCTGAGTTCATCCGCATTCTTTGTGTTCACCGCACCCATATCGGAGGACCTGGGCATTATCTTTGAGCAGCAGACATGGATCATCGTGAGTCACCGCCTTGTGTGCCTCTGAAGACTGTGTGAGTTGACACCCCAGACATCCTACGCTGTGAGCTTTGCCTCATTTTTGCTCTTCTGGGGCCGGATATGTGACCTGTTCTCCGCCAAGGCCGTGTTCCTGTACGGGTTTGGCACCGTGGGCATTCTCAACCTCATTCTATCGTTCCTCAAGGACCGCTACTCGTTCTTTGTCTTGCGAGCCCTCACGGGTGTCGCTGGCGCGTGCGTCGTGCCTGCCGCCTACCGCCTCATCGCAGAGGTGTTCCCTCCCGGCGAGCAGCGTGGCCGCGCGTACACCATCTACGGCATGACGGGTTCCCTGGCCAACGTGTCTGGCACGATCATTGCCGGTGTCTTTGAGTTGATCCCCAACGGCGGCCAGATGACCGCCTGGAGGTGGTTCTTCCGCATGGTTGCGCTCGTGACGTGAGTACAGCTGTGTTGGACCCCGAGCGTGTCACAGCTGACGTTTACTGCAGGATCCCTTCGGCTATCGTAGCCCACTTTGTTATCCCCCCACACGAGGGCGGCCACACTCTGGAGATCACCAGCAAGCGGGAGAAGATCAAGGCCATGGATCTGCCTGGAATCGGATTGTACGTGGCTTGCTTAGTTGTGTGGCTTTTGTTGCGATGGCTGACCAATCTCACAGCATGCTTTGTGCCCAGCTGCTGCTCATCATGGGCCTGACCTTTGGCGCAACATACGGCTGGACCAAGGCCTCGTTCCTGGCCCCGTTCATCATCGGCGCCCTCCTGTACCCCGTCTTCTTCTGGTGGGAGTCGCGTCTTCCGGAGATTGACGCCCTCCTCCCTCCCTCCATCTGGCGCATCCCGAACGTGACCGTGCTCGTGGTGTTTGCGCTCATCACGCTCGGATGGTGGGGTGTCAACTTTATGCCCTTCCTCGAGCTGTTCCACCAGGTGCACGGCGAGAGCATGCTCCTGTCTGCTGTCCGGACATTGCCAGAGGGCATCGCGGCGGCCATCTTCAGCTCGATGCTGGTCGTGTGGCCCAGCCTCACCCGCCACCCGCGCACCCCCATCATCATCTCCATGACCATGTGCTGTGGCGCCTACGCCCTGTGGACGCAGGCAAAGGGCGTCGTCGGCGTCGACTACTGGAAGTGGGTTTTCCCCGGCATGGTGTTCGGCTCGGCCGGCATGCAGATTGTGCTCGTCGCAACCAAGTAAGTTTCCGCTGCGGTCCTTGACACTCGAGCTTGTGGCTGACCACTGCCCCCCAGCGTCGGCGTGATGCAAGCCGCTCCCGCGGGCCGCGAAGGCGTCATTGGCGCCATTCTCCAGACGTCGATGCAGACGTCGAGCGTCATTGCGCTCTCCATCCAGGCCGGCCTGTTCACCGTCAACCCTGGCGGCCTGTACAACTTTGCCAACGTCCAGGCGTCGTGGTACTTTGAGCTTGGGTGGAGTATCCTGTGGCTCATTGGCTTCATTGTCTTCTACAAGCCGCAAAAGGTCGCAAAGGGCCAGGCCATGCCTGCCATGGCCCATTAGATCAGTTAGACAACAGGGTGTATCTCTTTTCTAGGAACATTTCTTTTCGTCATCTCTTGTACTATATGAGCTCGTCGGTAGCATGCATGTAGTGGTGAATATCATACAGGGCGGGGCACGAGGAGGAAGCAGTGCTGCACCCCTGGATCCCAAAACACGGCACATGGTGATCGGTGAGGTCTGTGTCGCCACCTGTGTTTGTGCTTGGCGGAGCGTGGCGGGCGGCCGAAAGCCCACAGCCCGTATTCCCTTTCGAAATTGACCCACTTTAAGTAGCTCGGCGCAGTCAGCCTTCACCATGTATGACTTGCAAGAGATGGTCTATGCATGCATACAAGATTGTGTGGAGTGAGCTAGATGTGTCTATGGTGGAAACAATGAGATTCTCAACCAAATTGTCGTCTGATGTCGGCCGGTCGGCCGGCCGTGACGTCCTCGGTCGTGACGTCCTAGAGTTCTTTCGGAGGCGGCATGTTGACATACCTCCTCGTGCACGAGTAGCCCTCGAAATCAAAGTTGTCGCTGGGGTTGCAGATGCAGCGGTTCTTCTCGTGGGACGGGCCCTGGGGGCAGTGCTGGAAGGGCGAATGGCGGTAGCCAATGTCGTCGAAAAAGTGCAGCTGGCTCTTGTTGGCGAACAGCGTCGCAGCAAGGGAGTGGACGGGTGCATCGCCCCAGCGCTCGTAGTAGAACCCGCCGGTGCTCTCCAGGTGGTTGAAGTAGTCGGTGTACGCCTGCGAGCGCCAGAAGCGCAGGTCGGCAATCTCAAAGTTGGACCAAAAGTGGCACAGGTTGTAGCTCTCGCCGCCGTTGTCCGAGACAAACTCCATGGCGTTGTCGGGCGCGACGTACTCGGGGTGCTCCTTTATGAATTCTACACAGTTAGCAACAGGTTCATCGCCAAAAGGCCCACACGACTCACTCATTGTCTCATCCCAAAGGGTCGGGATGGTCTCGATGAATTCGTACAGGGAGATGGTGAATCCGTACACCTTTCCTGTGTCTTGCATGAGAAGGAACGGGTCGTAGCCTGCGATGGTGAGCGCGCGCGCGGGGTGTGGGGGCAATGGCATGAGGACACTCACTGAGGTCGCAGAAGAACCGGACGTCGGGTTCAATACGCCAGTAGTAGTCGTACTGGGCGAGAAGCGGGTGCTTGAAGAAGAATCCAGAGTTGAAGCGGCACATGTTGCGATACGGCACCGAGCCCGCGTAGATGATGCCAGCTTCGACCATCTTGACTCGCGCAGTCGTTGCCTTTTCCTCGTCGATCCTACGAGCGTCAGCACTGGACAGGTCGAGTTAGGTTTGCTCACCAGTCCGGCTGGTTCCAGTGGTCATGCTCAATCAGGCCGTATTGGCACTTGCCCTTCGTGAGCGACTGTGTACGCCTCTTGAACTCGTCTGTGAACTCCTGTTGAAGGCAGTCAGCATGCTGACTATACAGTCTCGGGAGAACAACATACCTCGTCGTTGAGGAAGACATAGTCGTAGCGGGCCCAGTGGTTGAACCTGGAGACGACTGTGAGTCCTTTGGCCGATCGATACCTCAAAGATCCGTTGGAACGTACCTGTCCTCCATCTGCCGCATTGATTCCAGCCACTGGAACAGGTCCGAGTTACGCGCCAGCACCACAAAGACGGCGTTGGCTCGTCGGCGCGACGTCAACTTTTCGTCGTTTGCTTCAGACAGCAGCCGCAGGTCGTCGTGGGTGGGCACCACTGGGGCATACTCGGCTGTGGCCTCGTTCGATGTCATCGACGGTAACCCAGACGACGACGACCGGAACACCGTCAAGAACGAGACATGGAGGAGCGCCTACAGCCAGTCAGCGGTCTGCTGTATGTCAAAGATAGCTATACTTGCCAGGATAGTGAGCGCTCCGGCTGCGTACCGCCATTTGGGGGCGATCATGGCTGACGGGAAGGAGAGTGGGGGGAACGCGCCTGGTAAGGGTCAGTTGGGGATGACCCAACATGGAGCACGTACCACAAGCCGCGGGCTATGGCGTGAGCGGGGTGCTTGACGGTGCCGGTGAGCGGGGTTGAAGCAGAGATGGAAAAAAAAGAAGTGGACAGATGGGCGACAGAGAGAGACGGTTGAGAGAGATTGGAAGAGAACGCGACCGTGTAGGTGAGTTGTCCTACCTACTGTTGTGACAATTCAGACATTTTGTGGGCTGGAGGCGTGCGGCGTGTTGGACCCCACACGGTCTACACATACACCGCCCCGGGAAGAGACAAGGGGGGGTGTAGACCTTCGTATGCTTCCTGACACGGGCGTCTAGGGAAGGCCGCACATGCATGCGCAGTCCCGTCTCAGATCTCTCTGTGCAGACCCACACGCAGAACACAACCCATGCACGTTGCACCCACCAGCCCACCGGCCCACCACCCCCCGCCGGCACAGCCCGCAGCAGCCACCCATTCTCGGTCCCCCGCCCAGTGCAGGCGCAGTCGGGCCGCGCACCCAGTGGGGTCACGTGATTCGTTTAGTGACGTCAGTCCCACACCCCTGGGCCCGCAGTCTAGTACGTCTAGTCGCTCGGATATTCTTTTTTTGCGTTTTTTTTTTTTGGGTGCGGTAGAACACCCGGCTGATGCGGATCGGAAACAAAAGAACGTGAGAACAGCTTTCCCGCAGCTGGCAGAGAATGTCCATGCCGCACAATACATATATGCTGCGACGACAACAGCACCATGCAGTGCGACTGCGAGAGACCGAGGGCCCAGGACTGGCCCATGCTCGCACGAGGAAAAGCCCCCGCGTATCCGGCTTGTCAAACCTTCCTGGCCCCCCCCCGTCTCAGCCTCGCCGTTCGGGATGTTTCATAGTTGCAAAGTCGGCTAATTACCGTCGCACGGTGTGTACACGGCAAGAGCTTTCAAACGTCTTGGCATGGCCGGGGGCGTGTGGAGGAGTCGACGGCCACAGGCGCCAAGAAGAAGCTTCTATTGGATCTGTCGGGGCAGGACAGCGGAACGACACGGCGGACCTGCGGCATGCGGCCCGTTTCTTCTAACCACGCGACTCACGAGACTGGGTATAGCTCCAATGGACACCGCTGCCGTGGTGCAATAGGAAGCCATGACAATTCATACAATTTCTGCCCTGCACGCGCTATACCTCCCCCCGCTACTCTCTCGTCCTCAAAAGTTACTACTAAAGCCTGCCACAACCCCGGCACTCTTTTCACGTTACTTAAATGACGGCGTGCAGCATACGGCCCCAGACCGTCGTGGGCTGCGCCTTGACCTCGCCAAAGTCCTCGGCCTTGCTGTCGGTGAAGAAGTCGATCTCGTCGAACGGCTTCATCTTGGACTTTGTGATAAACTTGTGGCCAAAGTAGGCAATGAAGAAGAGCGGGACCGGGAGGTAGCCGCAGATAAAGTCGGCCACGTCCCAGTTGCCCTTCATGAACACGGCCCACGAGTTGAACAGGACGACAATGCTGTGGGATACCAGTCAGCGACGAACCTGTGACGTACAGGCAATACACTTACGAGCTGAAGATGAGCGTGTACCAGCCCATGTACGGCTGGAACCAGGTGCAGTAATGGGTCAGGAGCTCGCGACGGTTGAGCCCGGCATACTTGAGCGCAGCGTAGAAGCGCAGGTAGATGAACGCAATGCCCGCCCAGGAGATCAGGCCGACAATGGAGACCATGTTGGAGAAGTAGTTGAAGATGCTGCGGCATGTTAGAAGGAGGAGGGTGCGATACACATGCCATGTTCAGGACTCTACTCACTCGCCGGCGGTCTTGGCACCCGCAGAAGTAAAGGCAAGGAGGCCAAACGCGAACGCCACAGCGACGCAGAGGTAGGGAGTGCCGTGGCGGTTGGTCTTCTGGAAGATGGCGGGCGCACGGCCATTGTACGACAGAGCCCACAGCGCACGCGAGCCGAGGTACATGTGGGCCGAGGCGGCCGAGGTCGCCGAGCAGAGCACACCGGCGTTGATGACGCTGGGCAGGACCTTGATGCCGACAAGCTGGTATGCAATCACAAATGGCGACGACGTGGCGGTACCGGTGCCGAGACGCAGGCGGGGGTCCGACGAGGGCATGATGAGGGTCATGACAAACACAGTGGTAATGAAGAAGATGACGATGCGGATCCACACACGGCGAATGGCCTTGGACATGGAGTTCTTCGGGTCCTGGGCCTCACCGGCGGCAAGGGACACGTTTTCCACTCCAACGTAGCCGAACGCGGCGCGCGTGAGGGTCGCCCAGAAGCCCAGGAAACGGCCAAGGCTTCCCGGGATGCCCTTGTATTGCTGGAAGGGACCGTTCTCGCCCGTCCAGTACTTGAAGCCAATGACCTCGTGCTTGGGGTTGCCGCCCGCAGACACAATGACACTGCACAGGATGATGCCCACAATGAGAACAATCTTGAGCGAGGCGAACCAGCTGAGAACAGAAAAGTTAGTCGAGGACACACATTCAGCAGAGGATGGTATTGCTCACAATTCAGACTCGCCGTAAACGCGCACGCTGCAGCTGTTCAGGAGGGTCACAACCACCAGCGCGATACCGATCCACACCGCGGGGTTAATGTCGGGAACCCAGTAGCCGATCAGGACGGCGACCGCACTGAGCTCCGCGGGGAGAAGGATGGTCCAGAGGTACCCTGTGTACGTTAGGTATGGCCACGGCAGACTACTCACAGTAGAACCAGCCCATCGCAAAACTCATGCTGGGTCCTACATAACGTTGCGCGAGACTGTGGCGGTGAGAAAGGGTATTTTGATTGATTTTTTACGTTTTTTTAATCACTCACGCAATGTGGCCACCGGGGATGGGGGTGTGGACGATCATCTCACCCAGACATGCCATGACGGAGTAGACGAGTGAACCCATCGCTGCAAGGTTAGCGATTGAGCGATTATACGGTCTGGTGGCTACACACCAATGAAGCCAAGGAGCACGCCGAGCTGTAACGACGTCAGCAAACAGGTCCCAACCCTCCGCACAGAGCAGGGTGCTCCATGCAGCGGGATTCTCCACTCACAGGTCCACCATCAGCAAGGGCAGGTGCGGTACCAATGAAAAGAGCAGTCTGATGGGGTCAGCCCAGTCCATTCGATGCTTGGCGGTAGCAAACTCACTCCGATGACACCACTGTTGGGAAAGGACTGTCAGCAGCTAGTACAAACGCGCCCCGCAGCGTGGCTTACCCAAGGGCAATCATTTGAACTGTTCAGGTCAGCTAACAAAAATCGGGGGCAAACTCTGTCACTCACTATGGCGGTCTTTCAACCCTCGGTGGAGATTATCAGGCGACTCATCGTCGGCGATGGCAATGTGCACCTCTTGCCAGGGTCAGCCCAGCTGGTACTCTCGCTGATAGGCCCGGTCCCAGCACCTACCGTGCCCGATCTTCTCGGGGTCCTGGTCCAAGTGGCTGGAAGCTGGCTTCTCGTCGGATGACATGGTGGTTGGCGACACAGAGGTGAGAGTGGGAGGATGGAGTGATATGGGGTGACAGGACAGTGCCGAGTCGTTGGGAGAAAGAGGCTGCAGGTCGGGGGTTGGCCAGTGTTTAAGAGGCCGCCCAGCACTGTGGGGCCTGCGCGGGGCATCGTCAGGAAGGTATCGTGCCCCACAGCATTGCCGATGGACAATGAACAGTTTTGATTGCACCGGCGACGCCGCGATGGAACGAGGGCAGTAATCGCGGCTGGGGTGGGTGGCGAGTTACGACGCGGTTGGCGAACTTGCCCGCCCCAAGCGAGGACCCAAAGAAAACCCTGCAGCCGCGTTGAACCCACCGGGGTGCTGCAGCTCCCAGGGAGGCGTGGGTTTGGGTTTGGGCAGGTTCCGAGGGCACGGGAAACGGCATCGCCGCGGAGAAGCTCTGATCCGACCATGCCCCCCACCATACACACCACGAACTGATCGACGAGACACACGGCTTGTTTGGGACAGAGCCGGACAGACCGCTTTTGCGCATTCTTTCAGGTTTTGATGTGCAAAACCGGTCATCGCCAGTCAGTGATCAGTAGTGATGACTGGCAGTTCTCTATGCATGTATAGTCCTGCTCTGTGTAGCAGCAGCATCGTGGATGCCAGGGTGCATGCGCGCCAGCCATGACGCAAAACGCTCTGACATCCAAAAAAGTTGGAAAATGTGGACACGCCTCCCCATCGATCATCAATCGTTGCCCACCCGCGCAGGCGCGGCTTTCGGTGTACGGAGATTGACCGGACGCTCTCGGATCTGCACTGTCTACATCCCATTTTGTGACTAGTCCAATTGGGCCAATACAGCGGTACAGCGGGTGGTTATCGCACAAGTAGCAGTGATATGCGGGTGGTGCCACACGTTTTAACAGTGGGTCTGTGAAATGCTTGGCGCGGCAGACCGCGTGAGGTACGCGAGGGAGGCGATTCCAGCGACGACGGCGGGCCGTAGCGAGCGGCGCCAGCGTGTACCTCCGGGCACCGGGTGGGGAATGTGCGGCATGCATGCGATTACAATGCTTCACCGCTGCAGGCAAGGACTGGTCCACAACAGTAGAAGGTATAATACATACTTCCCACCTCGACGCGGGTTTTGGTGACACCACCGGGGTCATGGTGCGCGAGGACAACCACTGGATCCACAGAGGACACGACCACTTGCGGCAAAGGAAACCCCAGGTGACGTGGATGCTGCATCAGTCTACTGGCGTTGGATGGTTCAGAGACACGCACCGCCCAACGTCGTACTGACAGTGCCACCAGTCGCAAAAGGTGGTGTACATATACGCTGCCCCCATTCCTCACTCGGTTGTCTGATGTTTGTCTCACCAACGTTCCAGATCTGTGCCAAGGGATGGGCGGCATGCATCCTGCATCCGAATTAAGACGCGCCGACTAGTCCAAAGACGATGGTGTTGTTGGTTGAATTGATGTTGACGGACACGGTTGTCGTCGCGCGTCGCGGCGGGGTCGCACACGGCGAGACCACGGCTGGACACTGGTCCAGACACGGTTCTCAACTGAATATACGCTCCGCGCCTCTGTGCCGTTCTGCACAACATCCACCGATTGCGCGTGGATTCTTCTATCCACTTGCGACAATCCCATCCATCCTGACGCTCTCTCACTCTCATTCTCACTCTCTCTTTCTCTCTCTCTCCCTCTCGTGGTGGCCCATCCATCACTCCCAAAAGATGCCTACCATGCGCGGTTCCATCATAGCCGTCCTCACCACCATCAACTTCCTGGCCCAGTCGGTCATAGCCATGACCTTCACCGGCTGCATTAGCCCCGCCAGTCTTCCCCCTGGCGTCCTGGGATCCACCGGCACTACACTCGGTGTCTGCCAGGTTAGTCCCCACCGCTGTCGCGTTCCATGGCACCTTCCCACATTCCTCCCTCCTTCCACCTCCCCCCCCCCCCACACACATTCGCCACCCGTCCTTTGAGGACCTTCCTACTACGCGAGGCACACAGACGTTGACAATTACACAGACGGTGTGCAGCACTGTTTCTGTGACAACAATCCAGCCGTCGGTGCCACCGCCAACTGTGGCTATACCACCTATTTCCTCTTCTCCCACCCGCCAGGTGCTGTCGCCTCTGCCCTCCCGCGTCGCAGCAAGCAGCTCGTCATTGGAAACGACGACACGTATTGCCCCATCGGTTATGCGGCGTGCCAGATTGCTTCGGACCCCGCTATGGGCTTTGAGTGCCTGGAGACGTCGACCGAGCTTGGTGAGTAAACCGAGTAAGTGTCTGGATGGAGCTGACTACGATACAGAGTCTTGTGGTGGCTGCCGCTTTGGGTCCCACAGCGACGGCAACCACTCGGCCCCGGTTGGTATCGAGTAAGTCTGACCCACTCCTCCATGTCCACCAGTCCTCTGACAATGTTCAGCTGCACGAGCATCCCCGGTGTCTCGTCCACGGGCGTTACCTGCAAAGGTGGACTCTGTGTCACCAAGCGCTGCCACAGGGGCTTCCATCTTTCCCGCTCTGGCGAGTGCGTGTAGGTGCAGGTGCCCTGCCCTGTCCACGAACTGTGTCTCTCTCAAAAGCCGTTATAATCGACCTGTACATACGTATTGCTCTGGCTAGTGCGCCGTAGGTGCCTTGTTCTCCATGCATCCATGGATCTTATGGGACTGTCCAGTTGTTATAAGTCTAGGTGTGAATAAGAGCTTCCTAGCTCAAGACTTTCCCAAACCGAGCGGTCGTGGGTTGACCCCCGAGACACTGCGTGCCATGGGACCGGAGGCGTTCAATGTGCTCCGGTGGCCTGTAGTCTGGAGGTACCCATCCTGTATGTACACTTCCGATTCTCCGATAAGGGGAGGATGGTGTCATGTCGACGCCGCGTCGCTGTCGTGGATCTCTGAGGTCGGCGAACACAAGCGGTCCTATCAGTCGACCGGAGATATAAGACGCGCTTCCGATTGTTCTGAAGCCGCAAGCCGGCCTGACATGCCTGACACATGTGGGCGGTGCCTTTTCGCATACATTGCCTCCCCAGCCTTGCACATCTGGGCCGAGGTATGTGAGTAGGTAGGCCCATTTGCACGGCTAATTAATGCAGAGTGGTCTGAATCTATCGGGATCTAGCACCTATACAAAGGCAGCGAGGTTAAACTCGCCCTCGGAGGGGACCTCGACGTGGAGGTTGGTAATCTTGGCGAGCTTGATGTCGACGTTGCCCACTGACGCGACCTCAAGGACGTGGCCAGCAATGGTGCGGTTGGCGTTGATAAAGTGCAGGTGGTCGCCGGCCGCGTTGACCTCGGCGGCATACTTGGGCGTGCGGAAACCGACCATGGTGCCCTCAATGTTGGTGTACTCCCACTCGGTCTGGCGCGCGGTCACGTTTGCGAGCGACTCGAGGGCGAAGCACTGGCCGCCAGGCGCGCGGATACGGAGGTTGAACGTGCCCTCGAGGCGGTATGCGGCGAAGTGGTTGGTGATGCTCGTGTTGCCAAACCACGTCGGAAGCGAGGCGGTAAAGCCGGTAAAGTTGGTAATGGCGGCGCTGGTCTCAATCTGCGACTCGAACGTGGTGACGGCGGCGAAGGGAGTCTCGATCGTCTCGGGGTCGACGACGGTGACCGTCTTGTTGGCAAAGGCGTGATACACCACGCCGTCGACCACGACCATTTCGCCGATGAGACTGTCAAACGTGCCCAGGCCAAGGTCGCCGTGGGCCATGACGTTTTTCACGAGCGTGCCATGCGAGGCAACGCCGTCCACCAAGGCGGCAATGACAGAGTACTGGTACAGCTCGTTGACAGGAGTGGTAGAGCCGCTGTGGCCATTGTTGCCGTGGCCGTTGTTGCCCTGGCCGTTGTTGCCCTGGCCGTTGTTGCCATTATTGCTCTTGGGGACGGGGTTGGCCGAGACGGCGTAGTTGCCAAGAGCGGCCGCGACGGAGACGAGGGCGAGGAGCTTCATGATGGCGGAGAGACGAGATTGACAAGACGGGGGGGGGATTCTCACCCACCTTGTTGCCTCTTTTTAAACCACCTGCTGCGGACCAAAAGTTGACCTCACACATTCATGTCCCCCCAGCCTCAATTGTTCGGGTCCGGATGCGTCACCGAATTCAACGCAGTGCCTCTGTTTCTTCTGGCACCGGCCTAGAATGCTTCTAGCAGACGATGGGCCAGGGTGTGTACAGGAGTCTGCATTGCGTGGATGCGTTGCAGCGACAGGATCGGCCGAAGAACGTGTACGGCGGCAGGGCTGTAACCATTGTGGACGTTTTAGTGGACGGACGCCATGTGAGATAATCTCCCTGCAACTGTCTTGCGAGGCCAGGTATTCTTGGCGGTTTCGGCCTTGGGGTCGTCGAGGGGAACGTTCGGGTACTGTTCGGAATCACGGCGGCGCGCCGATTGCATTCAAAAGCTATATGTCCTGCGTATTGTGAGTGAGTAGCGTTGTTTAAAGTTGTCAGTTATCAGATAATCAATTGCCTGCGCAGCAAGGGTCGTATCCACTCCTTGAAACGCAGCCACTCGGCCTTTGTCAATGCTTGCATGCTCGTAGGAGTGGGCCAATTGCTCCGTTCCCTACAACCAGGGTACAAGGTTACTCCTAGCATCACGTCCGCCTACAACGAACCCATCACACGCAATGCACCGTACTCGCCGTCGGATGTGGTGACAGTCGCAATCACCATGGTACCGTACGGTGGACGCCACGCAGAGTAGAGGGACTGAAGAGATTCGGCCGGTACCGAGCCTTGGGCCGTGAAGGACGCTGCACCGTCTAGCTTGACATCTGCCGGCTGGCCATTGATGGTGATTGATGCGCTTGTGATGGCACCTGGTGCCCGGCCGCGGATGTTGTATGTCACGTACGAGTCGTTGGTGTACTCGACATCGACGTCAAGGTCAAGCGCCGAGGCAGCCGATGTGCTTGCAGCAGGCGGCGACGATGAAAGGACGGGTACAGGGGCCAACACAGGCGTGCGTCCTGGAACTGGACGCTTGGGAGATGCGGCTTCGAGGGCAGCGCCGAGCTCGAGAAGGCGCGTGTCGTCCCATCCGCGGCCGGCGAATGTGATACCAAAGGGCATGCCAATGTCGTCTGCGAGGCCCATTGGCACGGTGACAGTGGGGACGCCAAGGTGTCGGACCCAAAGGTTTCCATTTGCGACCCAGGTACCGTTGCGGACGGCCAAGGCGTGGCTAACAGGATTGAGGTCGGCATCGGCAGGCGCTACATCTGCCAGAGTAGGGAGCGCGAGTGCTGCAAAACCGTTCGAGTCCATCCACGCATCCAGCAACTCTGCCCTGGCACGCGCCAACCCCTTGATGCCCTCCGCGACGTGTTCGATATCAGCCGGCTGTCGGACACCGTCCTTTACGATGCTGACGTAGGTGCCCATCTCCATGTCGTCGCCGTAATCGCTTTGAATCTGGCCTACGGGCAAGGGGAACACAAGCGCGGGGTCGACGTGGGCAAAGGACCGAGGGCCTTGGGCGTCTGGGTGCTCTGCTGTAGCAGTGACAAAGTCCTCGAGCGCAAAGGCGCTCAAATCCTCAAGCTCAGCTTTAAAGAACTCGCGCGGGACATAGCCGTGGTCGGCAATGCCACCCTGGAACCACTCTTTGGGGTTGTCAGGGTTGGCGAGCTCGTACGCCGTTGCGACAGGCAGGTCGCACTCAATCACCTGGGCACCGAGTGCCTCCAGGCGCGCCGTTGTTGCCTTGACGAGACTGACCACTGAAGGTCGTGTGGGGATCTTGGGGTTGCGTCCCAGGTAGCAACGGGGCAGGCCGATACGAACACCAGCAAGGGTCTGGTTGCTTCTGGCGGCGAGTGCCGGATAGGATTTCGGGCGAAGAGTCGACGAGGGGGCAATGTCGACCCAACGCTGGGTGCGCCAAAAGTCACCGCGTGACTCGGCGTCATCGGCCACAACCACGTCCAGGACCGTCAACATGTCAGCCATGGTGCGCGTATGCGGGACGACAACGTCCATGGTTGGCACGAGAGGCCAGTTGCCGCGGACGGAGATGACACCCCAGCTTGGCGTGTATGCACACAGCGCGTTGCAGCTGGCGGGCGCACGTCCGCTAGACCACGTCTCCTCCCCAAGGCCAAACGCCGCGAAGCTCGCCGCCGTTGCAGTGCCCGAACCGTTCGACGAGCCGCTCGCCCAGGCTGAAGTGAGAAAGGCGGCGTTGAAGGGACTCTCAGCGCGGCCGTCCAGGCCACGCTGCATTCCACCATTGGCCAAGGGTGGCATGGTGGTTCGTCCAAGCAGAATCGCACCAGCCTGGCGGAGGCGACCGATCACAAAGCAGTCTTCGCCTGCGACAAGGTCCTTGAACGCTGGAGAGCCGGCGGCGACCGTCATGCCAGCGGCCTTGTACGAGTCTTTGGCAGTGTAGGGGATACCGTCCAACGGGGAGAGAGTCTGGCCCCGCGCACGGCGGAGGTCCGATGCGCGGGCCTCATCGAATGCCGTGCTGGAGAGGATGGGCACCGAGTTGAGCTTGATGCCGTGATGGTCGTACGCTGCGATGCGGCGGAGGTAAGCAGAGACAAGGCCCACACTGGTGACCTTGCCAGCGTCAAGGGCGGCGCGGAGGTCTGCGATGGACGCCTCGACGACGTCAAACTGGGTCATTGTAGTGATGAGAACTGAGGGCGCGAGGTGACACTCCGCTGCCGGCTTGCTGAGATAAATAGCAGCCTGGCATGGGTGGTGGGCAGGATAGAGATGAGGCTATTCGCGGTTAATTGCTGTTGTCGCCCATGCCGTGTGATAACAATGGCAGCCGATTAGCCAGGCGTCGGTAAGTGCCGTTGGGGAGTGTAGCGCTGCGTAAACCCGCGGCCGACTGGACCGAGGAGTCGAGAAGTCATGTCGAAAGCTTCAAAGATGGATGAATGGACGAACCGTCGAACCCGTCGACATTGGACTCTCCCCACCCCCCATATCCTGGACGGGAGGCCCAAAGTCAAACTACGGTGCTGACGTGTGGGGATTACGCACGGAAGTATTTTGGCGCGTGTCCCTATAATTCACATTTAGAAGTCTGTTCCTAATGCTTATTACGCGGCGGTGTCTCGGCAACGACACATCCGGGGGGTGGCACCTTCAAGGACATGCTGTACTACTGACTCGTGCGGCATGGTTTGTGCTTTCACAGCCATTGGATCATTGGCCTGAACCGATCTGGTTGGGTTCGCCATGTCTGCCGGCATCCCACGGGCACTAACAGCGTTTAGCGCTGTCGCTCCCGTTTGGCCGACGAATAACGGCTAACTAGAGGCGAGTGGAACAAGTCGTCTCCTCGCTTAGCGCGTAGTTGGCCTCAGTCGTCCTCACCAGTACTTACGACGACGTGCAAGCAACTACCGCTGAGTCTCCCGCAATTCTCTCTCCATTCTTGACACTTGACACTCACCTACTCACCACCATGGTGTATCCAGAGTACCTCTTCGACTGCCCATCGATCCCCCCCACCCCGGCCCCCGTGCTCTCCGACCAGCAATGCGCCGAGCTCGACGCATTCAAAGCTCACTTTGGTCACCGGGGATACGCAGTGCCCAACTCAATCGGTGGGATGACCAAAGCGCCTCTCACTGAGCGTGAGATGATGTTCCTTGTAAGTGTGCTTGCCATTCGTGAGATGCTGACAACCTCAGTCTCAAGAGTGTTTCTTCCGGTACGTTGTTCGAGATTGTTGATGGTTGTTTACACCGCCCGTATACAGCTTCCGCTCCGGTAAGCCTCCTGTCCCTCACCCGGAGCATGCTGTGACTGACCCTCCACTTAGCCACCAAGGGACCCTTGAAGAAGACGTTCCAAAAGATGGAAAAGTGCATCTCATGGCGACGGATGGAAGGTCTCGAAGACTTAGATGCTCGAGCCAGGGAGATTGAATTTGAGGTGGGTTTCCACTGACCACTGCATGTGGCGGCTGACCATGACAAGGGGAGAATGGGAAAGAACTACTCTTCGGGATTCCACGCAAGTGGCTTGCCGATCGGGTACATGCTACCGGAGAACAACCCTCTTCCATTCTCACAACGCAACCCCAAGCTTGCAGTAAGTAACGGGCCTCACCGTCAGTGGCCCAGTGGCTCACACAATCCAGATGTGGAACCTGGAACGCGTGTCCGACCTCATGACGGACGGAGTAACGTATGTAACCCAAGTACCATACGGAACGCTAAAACACACACCCCAGGCAATGTTGCATCGTCTACAAGTTTGCAGGGATGCTCCCTACATCGTACCGGGACGCCAAGGACACGCTCAACATGATCACTGACTACTACCCCGAGTACCTGGGCTATGTTCTACTTCAGGAAACCCCACTGTTGGTGCGACTGTTCATCCATCTGGTGTGGCCATTCGTGGATGCCCACACTAAGCAGCGGGTTCAGATTGGAGGGGGTCAAGCGGCGATTGCAGCTGGTGACTTTGAGCCTCACATGTTGATCAAAGAGTGCGGCGGTGGGCTGGACGTGAGTACTTATCGCCACCGTTGGCTGAACGCGCCCAGTTGCCGTACAACTTTGAAGAATACTGGCCCGCACTGCTTGCCAAATGCAAAGAGCGACGAGAGATCCATTTACAAAACTGGCGGACCTTGGGCGATCCTGTTGTTGGTCGTCCAGAGCGTCTCTTCAAGTTGTCGTATCCCATCGGCTCGCAACCGTCTCCTCGAAAGCAACCTCAGACCACCTACGCGACCACTAAAGCCAACGCCATGCTTGCTCAGCTCATTGGGACCACGATAAGCGACGATGACAGGCCAACGCCGACGCTCATCAACCATCCCCTCATCAGTGGCACCAGTGTCTATGGTCGCGGTGCCCCCAGGTCGAAGAACAGTGTGCCAAATGGTCTCGTACACCCGATTCCTATATTGAAGAAACGCGCCGACGCCCATGGACCATCGCCCGATGGGTCTCCCAAGGCAAACGGCCGCGGTGCAAATGGGAGCACTCCATCATCATCGCCTACGACCCCAAGGTTCCCACTCCATTCGCCCCATGCCTCGCCTCGCAGCGTCAACGATTATCCGCTGCGCAATGGGAGCTCTCCTCCAAGCAGTGGCGACTTTCCTTCTCACCTCTACAGTCGACGTGGTCTTAGTATCGACAGTGGCTCCCCAAAATCCATCAACAGTATGGATTTGGACGAGGCCTCCACCACTCACAGCATCACCAGTCTCCGGGCACCGTTTAGACCCCTCCTTGCCAAGGGTCCTGCTGCAACTGAGAACGGCCGTGTCAGGACGTTGACGCATTCGACTTCAGAATGGAAGTTGCCCACCATCCAAGCCCACCGGCTCTCGAGCGGCAGTTTCTAGTGAGATCTAGTGCCCGAGAGTGTGGTAGATTTGTGGCATCGTAAACACGCCCAGGATGCATCCATGTAACGGTACGTGGTGACGTCACCGAGCCCGGAAGGAACACCGGGCACGCCTATCATTTTGTTAGGCACGCTCTACTTTTGGGTTGGTCGGTACCCAATATTTAGGCGTAGTTCACTTAAATATGTGTCCCTTTAATGCAATCTGATGCCGCTTTGAACGTGGATTACACGTGCGCGACCCTGAAATGGCACTCTCGGGTGCCTCACTCAGCTCGCTCGTGGTGGCGTCTCGTCTCGTTCCCGAGGCGGGTGTTACGGCGCAACCACGGGCCGAGTGGGCAGCCATACCGTTCGGATGCACGGCAGCGGATATGCCGACCAGTGTGGACATGTTATTGACCGACTAAGTCGTGCTCAAGCCCACCATCCTTCTTCACGACTGCTCGCAACACCTCGTGCTCAAGCCCACCACAATCTCCTGCACAACAGCCCATCCTATCCCAACGTCTTCCAACATGGTCAGCAACTTCGCTTCACAGTCTGTAGACCCCACGATCACGGGATATACAGTGCGGGACCTGAGGTTCCCCACGTCGCTGGACAGCATTGGCTCGGACCCGATGAAGTAGGCATGGGCATTTATTTGATGCGGAGTCGACGTCTGACGGCCCAGCACTTCTGGCGAGAACGCCCACGGATACATTGTGTACCACACGGACGTCCCAGGCCTTGAGGGCATCGGATGGTCCTTTAGCAATGGCCAGGGCAACGAGTAAGTCTGCGTTGTACGACAACTTGGCGCTGACTTGGCAGAGTGTTGTGCGCTGGAATTCGATGCTTGGCTCCTCGTTTTGTGGGCCGCAAGCTTTCGAGCCTCACATCTGACTTTGCTCAAACGCACCGCAACTTTCTTGGTGGCCAGACGAGGTTCATGTCGCCCGAGGTGAGTCGCTTGCACTTGTACACGCTGACAGTGACCAGCGTGGCGTGATGCAGCTCGCCTCGAACGCCATCCTCAACGCCGTTTGGGACATGTGGGCCAAGGTCGAGGGCAAACCACTCTGGAAACTCATTGCCGATTTCACCCCGGAGCAGCTTGTCAGCGTCATCGACTTCCGCTACATTACGGATGAGTTGACCCCTGAGCAAGCTTTGGCTTGGTTGAAGGAGAAGGAGAAGACCAAGCAGGAGCGTCTTGACCTGGCCTTGAAGAACCAGGTGGGTAGTGGCTGTACGATATATGGGCTGACGACTAGGCGGTTCCTGGGTACAACACCAGTGTTGGATGGCTTGGACTGTCTGATGCCGAGGTCGAGGCTGGGCTGAAGAAGGCTGTCGACGAGGGATTTAAGCACTTCAAACTCAAGGTCGGGCTGGGCCTGGAAACCGACCGCAAACGCCTGGGCATGGTTCGCAAGGTTGCCGGTGAAGATGCCGTCATCATGACCGATGTAAACCAGCTGTGGGACATTGACGTGAGTGGACCTTTCTGCGCAGTGCGCTGACCAGACCAGTTCGCCATCGAGTACATGCCCAAGCTCGCAGACTTGAAGCTGTGGTTCATCGAGGAGCCGACCTCTCCAGACGATATCCTCGGCCACGCCCGTATCCGCAAGGCCCTCAAGCCGCACGGTATCGGTGTTGCCACTGGCGAGCATGTCAACAACCGTGTCATGTTCAAGCAGCTGCTGCAAGCCGAGGCTATCGATGCCGTTCAGCTCGATGCCCTCCGCCTCTCAGGCATCAACGAGATCCTCTCCGTCTGCCTTCTCGCCGCCAAGTTTGGTGTTCCAGTCGTGCCCCACTCGGGCGGTACTGGTATGCCCGAGCTCTGCAACCACATCTCCCACTTTGACTTTGTGGCCATCTCGGGCAAGCAGTCCATCCTTGGTGAGTTGAAGCTGCCAAACTGCATACTAACGCAACCCCCAGAATACACCGACCACTGCCACGAGTACTTTACCGACCCCGCCGCGTTTAGCAGTGGCCACTTCCACGCTCCCACGGCACCTGGATATTCGTGCCAGATCACGGACGAAGCGTTTGCCAAGTTTGAGTGCCCCCAAGGCAGCTTCTGGCAGAGCGAGAAGGGTCAGTTGATGCTCAATGACCCCTGGAGGGGCTGTGCTGCCGAGCAGACGAGCCCCATGAAGTGACGCTCTGTCTCTGAAACTACATAGATGTAGATATGAATATGAACCAGTAGATCCGGGATCTGGCGCGCCGCACACTATGAGTTTTTTTTTCGTGTTTTAAAAGGCATTTACTCTTCACCTGTTCGTCCTCCACTTCGATGCCGTCCCCGAGCCGTACACAGATAGCCACAGCTTGCATGTATGCATTTGGCTCTGAAGAGCCATGCATGCGGCTCGGTGTCGTTATCGTTGTCCTCGGCAGTGCCTGGTCATTTATCGCTGTGACTTGTTCGTGTGTCCCACTCATGAGCATTACATCACAGTGTGTCCCACTCATGAGCATTACATCACAGTGTGTCCCACTCATGAGCATTACATCACATGAGTAAGGTACTACTAAACAAGCTACCGTCTTCCAGAAAGCCAGGTTGCAGGAACTGATCAATGTCAAAGAGAAATCCGAAATCCACTGCCGAATCTCCACCCTGGTCTCTGCGGCTACAGGCGCACTGGTCGTGTCGACCAACCTGTTGCAGTGTCAGTATGCATTCGATCCATAAAGTTTCTTGTCGAACTCACTCTGCAGCCATGGTTGTCACTCATCCACTCGGCTACCGAGATACCCATCTCCTGGGCAATGAGGCCGAGGTTGCACGCCATGTCGCACGGGAAGAAGTTGGCAGAGCGATTGGAGTCCACCATCGCCGTGATGGCCATTTCGTAATAGCGTTTTGCCGCGTTACTGTCCATGCCACCAGCTGGTCGACCTGAGGCGGAGGGTGTGCTAGGCATATATGTCGATGGTGATGTGCCGATACCACATACGCTGATTGTTGTCATGCTCAGCAGAATAGCGGCCGAGTGGGCGAGGACCATAAACGCGTAATCGAACCCGTAACATAATACCGTCTCGTTGTCGTCACGAGAGTCGTCTGCAAAATCTTGGATGATGCCCACAGCGCAGTCCTGAGCCTAAACCGTCAGCACAGAGTGTGTTGGTGCCGGTGGACTGACCTTTTTCAAGCACTTGGCTAGGATATCTGAGCCGGCCGCACCCTGCAATCCAGTGCGTTGCAGGAACATCTCACTGTCGGGATGCGAGATCGGCTTAAGTGGAACAGAGTGCAAGCACAGGCGTATATGGTTGTAAAGCATCTTGATGGGCCTTCCAGAGAGGCCAAGTTTGGCAGACAGTGGTGATCCTGGCGGGGTCAGTGGCGGACCTCAACACGTTGTACCCACGAGCCCAGAGCCACCTGCTTGAGAACGCATCCAATCGCCCGCTAATGTTCCGCATTTCGCTGAGAAACGTCGAGGGCGCTTCTTTAAGGAGAACATTGACGAACCGGCTATACTGCTTGGCAATGTTTGCCAGCTCGACGTATGCTGCGACACAAGCAGCCGACTCTGGTGAGCACAGCAGGGCAAAGTTGTTCGAGTTATTGGACGAGTGGAGGACGGAGAGGAGCAACGAAGTGTCGATAGCCGACTCGTCAAAGCCCTCCGTCTCTGGTCTTCCAAAACCAACAGTGAAACTGGGGTCAGAAAGTGCGGATTGGTATACACTCACAAGCGGTCAAAAGCATACAGACACATATAGGTCTTCAAGCTCGCTACCACCCTGGCCGTGGGCTGAGCAGACCCCGAAAGCAAAGCTCCGGCGGCGAGGTGAATGCCTAATCGCCTTGCCAGTCGGTATGCAGACCCAGTCATCATCCAAGGGTCCGGCGATGCGCCACGGTCCTGTAGACCCCATGCACATTGGAGGAGAATCGCTTGAACATCCTCTGTGGGTTGTCAGCAGAGTGTAGTGCGGAGGTGGTGCTTGATTGACCCACCTAGACAGTGAACTTTCGAAATCAGTGCTTGAAAGTAGCTGGACAGCGCCAGCGAGCGGATCTCAAACCACTTGTCCTCGTCGACTGGTTTCACTCCGTTCCTTCCAGAGCTGCCTAGGGGGTCCCATCCAAAGGACTCGGCTGCCCCACTGCCTGTCGCATTGTGACGGGTGGTGGATGTACTGTTGTATTTGGCTGCAATGGCCAGGATGGTGGACAGCAGGAATGAGGATCGATGGCGCACAAAATCGAAGGTCATGGGCTCTTGAAAGATTGGCATGAAGAACGCGATCTGCTCAAGGAAACTGGGATTGTCAACGGTATTGTCTTTCGCTATGTACTCACAAGTCAAACAGTGCTCTTGCTTCCTCTTCAACAAAGATTCCTCTGTCGATAGGGTCACCTCGACCGCGCTTTGGCGTGCTGCCACCTTGAGCCCGACTGCCGTCGTCGTCATATATACCATTGCTGTTCTCCTCGCGGCTGGGACCAGACATCTCAGCGTTGCGGAAGGTATCTGGATTGTACGTCAAAGGGCGAAACGGGGCCTCGTGAGATGACGGCTCGGTGAAGGCGGCCATTCGACTCCCGACGCCGGCCTTGGGGATCGGTCGAGCTTGCGCCGCATTGTACTCGGACGACGTGTGGTGTCCGTCATGCAAAGACCCGGGCGTCTTCCGTGCATCGCATGACGTGTTGGGAGACACCGAGTGCACAGTGGGAATGGACTCGACGCGTTGTTGTCGTCCAGCTTGGAGAGTCGTTGGGAATTGCAGGTCCGATTCGCCCGCCGCCGCGGTCACGAGCGAATCGAAAACAAAGTTGGAGCCGCTGTCCTGTGATGGGCCGTTGTCAACTGGATCAGACGGTGGTGTAAGCCACGCATCGAAGTCTGTTGCGCTGGTCACCGGTAGTGGGTCGTCGATGGCGGCGAGATGACTCAGCGCCTCCAGTGTCGAGCGAGAGTTCGCCGGCGGGTCGGACGCCTTGTCGATAGGTTCGGTTTGAACCAGATGTGCATGGGAATCTCCTCGAACGGAGTGCTCAGTGGGCTCCCCACCACTCCCACGTTCATCTCTGGTTCCAGTCTTCTGGCCCATGAGGTCCAAGAGTTTGACAACGTTGGCTTCGAGCCGTAAAAGCCTGTCATCATCCCCCCCGCGGCTCTGTGGTTCCGCGTTGGGCCCAGCATGTGACGGTAGCGGGTTGGTGTAAACACATTGCAAATCCATCTTCACGCAGTGTGCACAACGCGTCCCATCAGTGGATGGGTCTGGAGCAGCACATCGCAGCTTGCTGGAACGACATCTATCACATGCTAGGGGAGTTGGTCAGGCCAGCACTTCTATCCACAACTCACCTCGTGCTGCACGCCGCACCCTCGCAGATGATGGGGCGGACTGGCCATGGTTCGTCTTGTGGCTCTTGTTGGGCTCCGAGTCGTCATCACCGCTTGCCGACCGATACCTCTGCTGTCCCAACATGGTTTGTGTGAATGGAGACAGGTGTGGAGTACAACTCGGGAACAACGGCTTCTCTCCCGACCAGGGTGGGCGAGAGGCCGATGCACCCGCGGGATGGTGGCTTCCGGCGGCTTGGCGGTTGGCCGCCAGTTGCCGCCAGACAGGAACCACAGCACCACAAGCTCGTCGTTTGCTGGCACGCCATTAATGCAGCAACGTTCAGAGTCCTGCTAGGGAAATTCGTCATGTACAAGCAACAATGTAGGAGCAAAACAATCAAAACGATTCATTCATCACGGTCGCCCTCGGTATTTAAGACGCAGCGGTCACCTTGTTCCACGATTTCTGCCGCTCCAGCAGACTCTCCGTCATATCAATCCTGCACTTCGTCAGCGCGCTCCATTCTGCAAATTCCAAATCTCCGACTCACGCGGTCTTGCTTTCATGCGTTGGCTGAATGTTCAGGACCTTGAGCGACTTGGAGCAGTCGAACCAGTTCTGGGGCGGCACCTCCTTGCCAGGTACACCGCGCACCGTCTTTGGGAAAGCGGCCATGATGCGCTCATCGGTAATAATGTTGTCGAGCAAGGTCTGAATTGTGAACGTACCTGCACACATCAGTCCCGTGGCGGTACAAGGTGGAACTCACGCGTTGACACGCCAAACCTCTGCCCTCCTGCTTCAGGCAGGACAAGCCCTTTAACATGGCAGCGGGCAACATCACGGACATCGCAGAGAATTCCAGCGGGTGCGACGGCATCCTCGGTGGTCTTCTGGCCGCTCAAGAATGCATACCAGTTGGCCACGGCTGCAAGTTTAGCATACATCCTTTGCACTTCCACCCACAAGTGTTCAGAGATTCTGGCGATGCAGCCTCGTGGATTATGGGACCGAGCACGTAGGGTGGACAGATCGTGACGAGGTCGAAGCTGAGAACGAACGTCAGCTGGCTCCAACCCTAACAACTCACGTCGGCTTCTCGTCCTCGATGTACTTCCAGGCCGCCCTCTCAGCCAGCGTCTTGCTAGCTCTGTACCAGTGCATACGCCAGGCATCCACACCCTTCTCGTTGACTTCGTCGATCGACTGCTGGTTCCAGTCCTTCTCGGTAAAAGTGTGGCTGCCAAGCGGCTCCCGGTTCTCGAGGATTCTGCCCAGTTAGCATGCATGTGGTGTAAATGTCTGAGCGAGACGCGCGACGCACGATGCGTAGGAGCTGGTAACGACAACCCGCTTGACCTTTGGCTCCTTGGAAGCCGCCTTCAGGGCCCAGACGGTGCCAGCGACCGCGCTGTCGATAAAGTCGGACGGCTTTTCGACGTTCCAGTGGAATGGAGAGGCCATGTGGATGATAGCGCTACGTGGGTGGTCAGACACTGTATACACTGCACGCTGTACGCTGTAGACTTACTCGACACCCTTGACAGCTTCGTCGAAGGCATTGTCCTTGGCGAGAGTCAGCATGGCAACCCCGCCAGCTACCCTCAAGTGACTCACATTGAGCAAGTCCGAGACGACCACATAGTCAAACTTGTCAAAACCACGCTCGCGATACATTTGCTTCATCCACTGGCCCTTTTTGTCATTGCGGGTAGTGCCGCGCACGGTCAACCCCTGCTCGAGCAAGTAGAGACTGGTCCAACTCGCGATGTATCCACTGGCACCAGTGACAAGAACTGGGCAATCAGCCATCAAGTCCCCGGTTAGGATCACAAACCGAGTGAATCCTTGGGAAGGACGTCGATTGTCATGTTCGAAAGCAAGCAGTGGGGGTGTTGGGGGCAGAGGAGGAATAGGGAGGAATAGAGAACGGAGATTGCAGCTCAGCAACTTGGAGATGTCCAGATGACTCAGTCCCAAGGCAGAAGCGACATGCGCTCTGTGCATGGGGAGGTACAGCAAGGTGGGCTGGCCAGAAATACGGCTTCTCCGAGCCGCAGTTCCGAGGCTGATTGTCCACAATCACGGCAAGCCACGGCTGCGTGACGAGCGGGGTCTGCATCAGCCCGGCAGCGGCGACTCAGGGACGGTGGTCGACCTTGGCGACTCTTGGCCCCACTCTCCTTGCAACCTGTTGCTCGGATTCGGGCCGCCGTCGCCTATTTCCAGTCGCCTTATAGCTTCACCCACGGGGCTCCCTTTGTGGACCTCCCCACAGCAACTTCACAGCAGCTCCACACGATGGTCCAAACAACCTCATACTCGCACATCGAGGTAGGTAGCACGTGGCGATCGGTGGCAGGTGGTGACGTGCGGCGCGCGCGAGCGGTCCTGGGTCTGCGCCTGTCTGCGACACAAGTCTCCCTCCCACCGTGCATCGGCCACAGCGCTGCTAGTAGTGGCAACGGGAAACGGACCGAGACAGCGCTCAAAGGCGTACTAAGACAACATGGAGACCCCCGTCCCCCCGTCCCATAGGGGGTTGTGGGTTCACCGTCCATGGGCGGCGATCTCCGCAACGGGAACGGGAGCTTTTACCTGGGGTCCACCTTGGCTGGATCCGTGGCGGTCACCCAATGCCGATCAGTGCGCTGACTGTGCAGAACAACACCAATGCGACCTGGTGGAAGGACCCCTGCATGCGACGCAACGTCGCTCATTGCTTAGGAATATCACTCTGTGTTTACTACCTTGGCTGTAAGTTGACAAAAGGGTGTTGCCAATGGCCATTGATTAGAACATGGGCTGACGTCTTCACTAGACGACCAGAATCTCCTCAATGGTTTGCAGGAAAGTACAGAAAAAAACAAATATAAAGCCCTTACTGACCCCGACAGGCAATCCCACTCTGGAAAGAGTACTTTCACAGCCCCTCCAGCGCTCGGCTTGGCTTGGCCACTGCCAGTGTCTTCTTCCCCGCCGTCGTCACCGCCTTCGTCGGCGACTGGATGGCCGCAAGGTTTGGTCGCAAGTGGGGCATTGTCCTCGGAGCTAGTCTGATCGTGAGTCCTCAATATTCAGCCTGACTGACGTGTTGCAGATTGCCGGGTCCTTTGTCAACGCGTTTGCTACAGACTTCGACAGTAGGTGTGGCTTTCTTGCATTAATTCTGATTTTTAGTGTTCATCGGTTCCCGCTGGATTATCGGTGCTGGCGGTGGCATTACCAAAGTCTGCGCTCCAGCTCTACTCCACGAGATCGCCCATCCCCGTCTCCGCGCCACTCTTGGGGCCACATACTACGCCTTTGCCTACCTGGGCGGTGTATTTGCCGCATGGATCTGCTTCGGCGGCTTGTACATTAACAGGTAAGCCCCAACCCTTCTCAGCCTCAACCCTTCTCACAGACTCATGCTTACATACCAGCTCCTGGTCGTGGCGATTCCCCACCCTGTTCCAATTTGCCGGCCCACTTGTCGTCATCTTGATCCTCATTGACGTTCCCGAGAGCCCACGTTACCTCATGCGCAAGGGTCAGGAGGAACGTGCTGTGGCGATCCTTGCCAAGCACCACGCCAATGGCCGCACTGACGACCCACTTGTTCTGCACGAGGTCGAGGAAATCAAGGCTGCGCTCGACGCGGAGAAGGCCAACAAGCAGACCTCGTATCTCGACTTTTTCCGTACGCCTGCCAACCGCCGTCGCCTCTTTGTCATCCTGGTCATCAGCTTCGGCACCAACTGGGTCGGTAACGGTGTTGTCAGCTAGTAAGTCTACCGCTGCGAAATGGCGCTCACACTCCAAGCTACCTTTCGCCCATCCTCAAGCTTGTCGGTATCACAAAGCCCGTCGAAGTCAGCGCCATCAACGGTTGCCTGGCACTCTGGAACCGTGAGCACAAGAGTGGTGTGTAGTAGCACTAACAAGCAGTCGTCGTTGCCACGACCGTGGCCCAATATGTGGACCGTGTTGGCCGCAGGCCGTTGTGGCTGACATCCACCTTTGGCATGCTGATGGCCTACTGCGTCATCACTGCTCTCTCGGCCTCGTTTGCCAAGACCCAAAACCACTCTGTTGGTATCGCTGTCATCCCGTTCCTCTTTATCTTCTTTGGCTTTTACGACATTGCGTGGACGATCCAGTGCTATTCGTACACGACCGAGATTCTGCCCTACGACCTCCGCACGAAGGGTCTGGCCATCTTTGTCTGTGTCCAGAACCTCGCTCTGGCCTTCAACACGTACGTGAACCCAATCGCTCTTTCCCACATTGCATGGCGCTACTACACGGTATACATTGGCACCTTGAGCGTCATCCTCGTCATCATCTACTTTTACTTTCCCGAGATCAAGGGTCTCACCCTCGACGAGATCTCGCTTGTGTTTGACGAAGGACTGCACGGCGACCGCAAGAATGCTGTGCGTCACCTTCAAACTGCGGGCAACCATGACAACGCGTCCGAGGTCGACCACGGAGAACACGAGACGAAGAAGGACCTGGACGGGCAGGATGAGTGGGTTGAGCACCACAGAGTTTAAAGGGTAGCGCCACACGGTTGTTTATGTAAAGGAAGTTCGAGGCTATGAGAGAATGCGCTAGCTGGACGCTCTGTGCGATTAGCCGGGGCCAGATGATGAGATCGATGAACGGACATGCCATGCCGCATGACAAAATCCACAACAACAACAACAACAAACGCCCAAAATTGCTTCCGCCTCACCACTTGACATCACCGTCAACAGTCCCAATTCCAAGCGTTTGTCCATTGACGGATTGACACATCCATCCCACATGCACCTACGATCCCATCACCATGCCCCCGAAGGCCACGCCTTGCAGACGTTCGTCACCCCTGGCCGCTCCAAAGTCAAGACCGCGAAGTGCACGCGACCATAGCCATCGCCGCGCGGCCACATCGACCGTCTCCTCGGCCTCCTCACGACCAGTAGTGCAATCCGCTCAGGTGCCGCCGACTCTGATTGACCAACTGCTCAACAGCGCGCGTCTCTTCAGCGCTGAAGTCCCACGCACCCCTTTTCTGTCTGAACAATTTGCTGAAGGAGAGACCTTTTGGCGCAGTGTGTTCGCCGTTCCTGCGGAGCCGCAGGACTGGCCGAGGAGCGACTGGAGCGCGTCCACGTTCGGCGTGCCCTCCTACAACAGCGATTACCAGCTGGGCCAGCAAGTCACCTGGGCGTGCAAGCACGGGAGCGTAGCGGTTATCTCTGCCATCAACTCTGGTGACTGGGCCCCCGTTACGTTGCGCACCGTGTATTTGATGATGTGTGATAAAGTGCTCCAGCTGTGAGTGTTCCATACACTGAAAGAGAATGGGATCCTGATGGTGTCCCAGCGGCCTCCACGCACGTCAAGTTCACTGCACGACCAACAACCTAGTCACTTACCTGCAGTGGCAAGGCGAGCGCGATGCCGACATTGACAAAGCCTACCGTTGGGTGTGTTCTTTAAGACACGTTGTGTATGAATGCTCATGACCCAGGCCATCTCGCATCTTCCGCAGCATGTCACTCACGACTTGTCGCGCAGCCAGCTCTCGACTCTCTGTTATGGTGCCCTGCACGCCAACTACGTCCACCCATATGATGCGCAGACACCCCTCACGCCAGAACAATACGTCCATTTCGACCGTTCATATCTGGCCGAGTATGCCCCTCAACCCAGCGACGCCGCAAAGTATGGGTACATGGTCCTCCAGGGATCCATCGATATCGGCGATCCTGACATCGAAAACAAGATCACGCAGGAGATGCGTGCATTTGAGGTGGCCCGGCAGGGGCAAGGTATGCCCGAATTCCAGTATACAGGCCCGTTGCACCTGCACGGCCTACCACCCGCAAGCCCTCCGCAACCCGACCGTAGCGCCATCCCATCTGGCCTCACACTGGTCATGTCCGAGGCCGACGGCTGAGTGCGTTCCAGCAAACCGCGGGCGCAAATGGGCGACGAGGAGAGACGTCATAGGAAAGGTAGTTGGAGATGGAGGTGTGCAGTATAGCTCCCACTCAAGATGTTGTGATAGCCTAGAATTGTGTATATGTGACTTTTGTTGCCATGTTCGCGTTTTGGCACACCACCATCTACCAGCAGGTTGACATTGGCACTCATTCCTCCCATCGAGCTTTCCCACGGCCGACTTGCTCCTGGCCGTTTCCATTATTCGACTCACGTCAACCTTATCTTTCTCTTCTCCTTCCCTTTTCCCCTACTCCTTTCACTCGCCTAAACATGACCCAAACAAAACCCACCATCGCCATTGTCCGCGCAAACCCTGTCGACAGGCCCAAGGCTTGGGCCATCGTCGACGCATACTGCGAGGAGATTGGCGTCGTGGTCCGCGACACGCCCGCCGCCTTTGATGCCTATTTTGACACTGGGTCCGGCATCTGGCTGGCGGAAGAGTCCGACGACCCACATTCTGTCGTTGGGTGCATTATCCTGCGTCCCCTCCAAATCCCTGGCGAGCGCGCGGCAGAGGTCAAGCGCCTGTACGTGCTCCCCTCGACGCGAGGGCAGCGCGTTGCTGAGCGCCTGCTCGCCGAGCTGGAAGCCTATGCCGCGACTTCTGGCTACGACTGGATCTACCTCGACAGCAAGGACGACCTGTTGGCTGCTATCAAGTTTTACCACAGGCAAGGCTATGAGTACTGTGAGCGCTACAACGAGAACCCCCAGGCGACCATCTTCATGCGCAAACGCATTGAGCCGCTGGCGCCGCCCTCGTGAGCAAGGGCCATCAACGGATACGACAGGTGTAACGATAGAGGCACATATCCGGAGCGAGCACACGACCTACGCTCCCGATTTCGGCATGGCGACAGCAATGCATCTAGTGTTGTATAGGAAAAGAACAGAGCTCACAACGCTTGTTGTCCAAACCTTACTACCGCTTCGTCGATCACGATTGACCCTCCCCACCAGACGTCGCAAAACGAGCATGGCTCTCTGACCGTGGCAAGGAGGCTAAAGCTAATGGGCAGCACCGTGCACCACAGGCCACGATATCACGATGGTGAGCGACGCGGTACGGTCAGTGGGGGGCTGGGATACGGCAGCGGCCATGTAAGCAACCCCAGAGCGGCCAGAGCGGCCAGCAACAACGAGGAGATCAGGGGCCGGCGGGAGGCCTGGAACATGACATCACGTGACACAAAATGACGTCAGTCGATCAACCGTCTCACCCATTAGGTTTTGTTAATACTCCTTCATTTCAAATGGGGCACAGTCAACATTAATAACCGCGGCTAAGGCGTCCTGCGTCCTGCGTACGAGACCATGCGCGTCGTAGGTCGCGGAACCACGCTATCGTATACGTGTACGTATCGTGGATCGTGTTCCAAGTGCACAGGCGAAATATCCTCCATCTCCTGCTGTCTTGTTGTCTTGTTGTCTCTCTCTCCTCCAATTACCCAATCGCCGGGCGCGCATCGCCGCGTCGCGCTCCGTCTCCATGCTGTAATACTTGGCCCAGAACAATTGTCGGGGGCCCAAGTCTCGAGTGGTAACTCACATCACGTCCATGGTACCAGACGCTACAACAGACGGGCCCGCGTTTCAACCCCTCACACCCCTCGCTGTCCCCCACACGGTTCACCATGGTCTTGCTCTTGCTCTTGTGGTCTGCATGGACTGCGGATCCCACAAACCGGCAGAGACGGGCCAGAATAACAATGGGGGCACGGGGCAGAAGACACGTCAGAAACAGTATGTATCCACGGGGCAAGCATAACGGTGGGCACCTCTTTTGGGATCGGGGGATCATCTCGTCCTATGGATGGCCTTTGCCCCTGTGGTGTGATCACTCTCCCTCCTTGTGTGGCAACAGACGCGTCTCTGTCCTTGTCCATTGGTGACGCCCTGCTAACGCGCTTGACACTGGGCACTGGGGACACAATGGCCACCTCAGCAGCGCGTATAATAACCCGGCACCACCGAGTTGGTGCTTCTTACGGTCCAACTCCCTCACACTCCTTTACACCAGGTCTGGCACCTGCGGTCCACTGTACGAGACAATCCAGATCCAGACAACGGCCCGGGATACCGCACCACACGACTCATCATGATCGTTAATGTCGACATCATGTTCATGGCACTTGTCCCTCTTTTGCTGGCTGTGCCCGCCAAAGCCCACGTTACATGCTGGCACCCAGCCATGTATGGGTGAGTCTCGAGGCCGTACAATGTATTGACACTGTAGCTATGACCCTGACGACTTCAACTCGGTAAAGGCAGCCGACCCCCTCATGGGCAAGACATTTGACCAATGGTGGTTCCACGGCGACATTGACAAGCCTCCTGGTGAGCTCCTCCCGTGAAGTGCGCTGTGCTGACTGCGTTTAGCCGACGGCCAGTACCTCGAGATCCCCTCGGGCGGCGAGATTCTTGGGCAGTGCTGCAACCGCAAGTCTGAGACCCCGTGGGGCGGCAACCATGACTCGTCGCTGCACGCTGTGGCATTCAACACCCACCTCGGCGTCCCAACCCAGATGGGCGAGATCAAGGGTGCAGGCTGGGCCATTGCCTACGAGAGCGACGTCACCAAGATCCAGCCCGAAGACTTCGTCATGATCTCGACAAACCAGAGCGCCCCGTACTGGCGCGAGACCATCTATGGGTTCCCCGCCGGACTCCCTCCTTGCCCCCAGGGTGGCTGCCATTGCGCTTGGGTCTGGATCCACTCGCCAGTTGGTGGCGGCCAGGAAATGTACATGACAGGCTACCGCTGCATGGTCACGAACGCCGATCCCAACGCCAAGCCACTCGCAAAGCCCCAGGTGGCCCGCAAGTGTCCGTATGACAAGAACAACTGTACAATTGGCGCCAAGCAGCCGCACTATTGGTACCAGCAGGAGAGGAACAACAACTTCCAGGACGCGATGGGTGAGTCCAGTTTTCGTCAGGGGTGCCGCAATCGTCGTCCGGTCGATCTCTACGCGACATGGCTAACAACTCGATCCAGACCCTCCCTACTACAACCACGAGTATGGCCTGTATGATGGTCCTCAGCCAGACATTTGGCTCACCGACGACAATGCAGAGTTTGACAGCTCAAACACTGGTGCCCCGGCTCCGCTCTACACAATTACCGACCACATCTTTACCACAATTCCTTACACGGGCACTTTCCAGCTTCCTGCCACCGAGACTCCTGCGGCATTTGTACCTGGCATGACGACGTCGGGTCTTGGAACGCTCAGTCACACACGCGCCGACCAGGCAGCTCCAGACACGCTCTACCCGACCGGCCTCCCGACTGGACCTGCCGCAGCTCCCAACTCGTCGGCTGGGGTGACTGATACCGCCAACAGCACTGATAGTGCTGCTCAAACGGATGCTGCCGCAGCGTCCACTGCCGACGTTGCAAACACTACGGAGACGGGCACTGCCGACGCCTCGGCGGTCACTGGCAACGTCATGGCCGTCCCGTCTGTGCCCGGCCAGACGGACTTGGGTGCGGTGACTGGTGCTGCCACGCCAATCGCGACGACGCCGCAGGCCAGCGTTACCAAGAAGTGCCACTCGAAGCGTAACAGGCGTCGGGTGCTTTGACCGACAACTCTTTAGTAGGTCTGCCCAGTGCAGTGCAGGCTGTTGTTTTCCGTCATGCTGGTCGTGGCGGCGCGTTTTCGATTTTGTAGCAAATGCTTGGGCAGCGAGCCTCTTATGTATAGTCTCGATGCTAGCACACGCAATGCGTCCATCGTGTGCCTCCTACCCGTCGGTGCCACTTTCCAAGCTGCAACGCGCGTAACCCCTGCTGTCAGATACCATACAGGACCGTTACGACACAATAACGTTTCATATATGACGAACCTGCCAGCACAGTACGGCCAGATGACGTCGTGCTTCCATACTGTATCCTGATTCGTGGTCAGAGAAGCATGAGTGGCACCTGGGGGTGGTCACTGAATCAAGTGGTGCAGCAATGCGTATGTGTGTGTGAATGAACGGGTCTTGCCCCGCTTGCCTCAGGCCCTCTGCATCCGTCCCCCAATCATGCTGAACGCACCGCCCTTGAGCACTCTCTCAGCACGGCGGAACGTCAAGCTCGCACGAGTACCGCGCTCCCTGGTCCAGCCTTCGGCGTTGGCCAGCGCAGACTCGATATCTGGGCGGGCGAGGAGGGCGGCGTTGGCGACTACCACTGGGCGAGCTGAGCCGCCGCCGTCTGCGTCTGCGTCGGTGATCTCGGCGACGGACAGGCCCTCGGCACCAGCGTCCACCTCGGCCGCCTTCACCTCACCACCTGCACCGGCCACAGCCTCGGTTACGACTCCGGGAGCGACACACGTGTCCTTGTCCCTCTCGGCAATGCCGTGCAGGTGCGACTGGTAGAGGTTGCCCGAGAGCACGAACAGTGAGCGAGGGAGGAGCAGGACATGGCCGAGTGGGACGGCGGCGATGGCCTTGCCGCCACCTTCCTCTCCTTCGGGATCGAGTGAGGCCGTGGCGACCATCGGTGGGGACGGGGTCGTGGGGGAGACATAGTGGTGCAGGTCGAGGACGGTGTGGGAGCCGAGTGAGAGAGTGGCGACTAGGGGCCGGAAGGCGGGGCCATCTTCGTGGGGCTGGGCGTTAGCGCAGAACCAGTGGGCCGCACCGCTGCGGGTGAAGAGGGAGACAGAGCGAGGTGTGTTCCGGCATGCACCACCTCGCATGCTCGCCGGCATGAACCTCCCAGACCCGCGACACCGACACTCACAGCAATTCCCTGCCCGGGCTTGTACTCGTTGACCAACACTTGGTTAATCCCCAACGCGTGCTTGCCCTCTTGCACGTCCTTGTCGGTGACGTCCGAGGCAATGTCGAGAAAGGCGTCGATGCGCTGGATGATCTCGGGGCTGGAGATGTGTCAGCTGGCACCGGGTAACCTCTGTACGGGCCGTGCTGTCGTGCGATGGCTCGCCCACCCCTCCAGAGAAACTCACAAAGCAGTGAGAAAATCGGGCATGGGTTCTGGGACCAGCACGTTCTTCTTCGACAGTGTACCTCCTGTGCAGAGGTCGTCAGCAAGTCACTACACCCCCTGGTGCAGGGCAGCACTCTTCTGTCGCCAAGCAGCACGTACCCCAGTACTGCAGTCTGGTGGGTCAGCCATAGGCTCGAGGTTGATTACCCACCTGCGTCCTGTTCCCACAGTCTTCCATTTTGGCTGTGGTGTCTCGTCGATCTGATCCAGGTCAGCTTTCACGTGCAGGAACAGCTGATACTTACTTTACGCAGCAGCAAGGCCTCTTCTTCCTCTGTGATAAAGTCGGCCACGCTGCGTGTGTGAGTAGTGCTGGGAGGGGAGGTGGGGAGGGGAGGGGAGATGGGGTGGCGTGTGGGAATGGGAAACACAGGGCAGAAACTCTAGATAAGAGCGAACGTCCGTGGTGGAGCAGTGCACAGCGCGGCGTGCTGACGCAGGCCCTCCGAGAACCCGTTTGGGAACGATAACAGCAGAGCGGTGCAGTGGAGCCGATAACCATGGATTCTACCTGAATGCCTGCTGGTTTTCACAAGGTCCGCAGGTGGCCAGGTGGTGGGAGGGAAGGCGAGGGAAGACACGCAAGGAAAGATGTGGGTTGACGACGCGGGGGTTGACTAAGCTTGGCCCGCCGGCCCACACTCACTAGTATCCTGCTGGCGGGAGGTGCGGCACACGCTGCTTGTCCAGCAAGGGGAATCGAGGTAGGTCCGCCATTGTCACTCTCGTGGGTTGTTCGTGTTGCCTGTGCAGCAACGCTTTTTGTAGGTGGGTGGTGGTGGATGTGATGATGGAACCCTCTCGAGCGAAACAGGACGTCACAGGCTGCCGGTGGCCAACCTCCACTCACCCGTCCACCTCCACCACAGCCATCACACTTAACGCAACCCCGCCTGAAACAGTGCGCAAACAAGTCGCCAAGGTTTATATCAATACATGGGCCACGGGGTGTACACAATCTATCTAACTTGTCGCCTGGCGTCTATCATAGTCGGGCGGTTACATGCGAACGGCGAGAGCTTGAGAGCGAATGGCTTGAAATCAGGCCAACGGCGGTCTTGCAACGAGTCTTCGCGCCATTTTTGAGCATTTCGGGGGGGGGTCCAGAAACAGTGTCTTGAGAGAGGAAACAGAAACCAAGTCGAGGGGGAGACAGCAAGACGTCTAGGCAATCACGACCTCCTCCTCGCCTCCTCCTTGCTCTCCTCGGGCTGCTGGCTGGCGCCGCCCAACAGCCACTCGAGGCCGACACCGCGCGCGACGGCCTGGCGCACAAAGCCCTGGACCTGCGCGCCGAGCCCGCCGTCACCGGCCGCGCCGCCAAAGATGGCTGAGAGGATGTCGGGGGGAGGCGGGACGCCGTTGGCGTTGGCGGCGCCGGCACCGTGGTACCCGCCGGCGCGGGACTGGGATCCTGGACGCTTGTTGTTGCGGGGCGGGGCGTCCCAGAAGCTCGAGTCGGACCCGCTGCTGGATCCCGACCGGGGCCGGCGCGAGTTGCGGCTTGAAGAGGAGCGAGAGGCGTCGCTCGAGGCGTAGTTGTAGTTGTAGCCTGCGGGTCCGCGGCCGGGGGGAGGTCCGCCGCGCTGCTGGGCGGGCGCGCCGGCTCCAGCCTCCATACCGGCATACTGCCTCAGCGCCTCAAAGAGGACGTCGATGCCGCCTTGGCCAGTCGCGGCCATGACCCAGGCGATGAGGGCGATGACGGGCCCGATTCGGAAACAGAAGCGCATGAACCGCGCAATGTACCCGACAAACCCAGCGACGATGGCCCACACGACATAGAGGGCGACGAGCACGAGGAGGAACTGGGTGTAGGGTGCCAAGGCGCGGAGGACGGGGACGAGCGTCTCGGGGCGAGAGAGGTCGGGAGGGTTCTCGGCGATGGCTTGCAGGTCGTATGGGAGGTACGGAACCACGTAGCGGTAGACAAGGCTGCGGGCGAGCGATGTGAGCGACAAGCGTCCAGAAGAAGTCTTGGGAGGGGGTGCGGATGGGAAAGAGTGGGGGAAGGGGGTCGCAGGAAGCAGGTGCGGTGGCGGGCCGCCCATGTCGGCGAGGGTCATGGCCGAGACGTCCAAGTCCATGTCCATGTCGTCGCCGTCAACACCGTGGGAGCCGGCGACGAATGACGTCGACAAGTGGCTTGGGTGAGCCGGGTGGTAGCTGTAGTGCGCCGACGAAGGGTGCAGGTGGTCGACGCTGACACTGGCGTGCTGGTGGCGTTGGGTGTTGTGCGCTGCGTAGTTGGAACGCAGGTGCGGGTGGGACTGGGAGTGGGCGATGCGAGCCGAGGTGTGTGCCGAGTGCGAGGAGCTGCTGCTCGTCGTCGTCGAGTGCGAGTGGGCCGCGTAGGCCGAGTTGAGCGACGCCGTGGAGCGAGAGCGAGCAGGACCGGTGTGGTGGTGGTGGTAGTGGTAACCTGGGGGTGCCGGGGGGTGGAACTCTGCCAGAGCGGGCATGGTGGGTGGTGTGGGGGGGCGCGGGCGTGGTGTTTATGTGGTGGATGTGGAAGGAGGAGAGAAAGAAGACAAGGATGGGACAGGAGGCCACTTACTTCATGATGGCGATTACAGGGACCCCTCTGATAACGCACCGCAGCGGGGGGGAAGGGAAGGACAAGGAGGAGCAAACGTGGGATGAGACGGCCGTTGGGTGGGTGACAGGCAGAAGAGGCAAAACAAGGCAGAGCTTTGTTTGTGGGCGGCGACACGGCGACCGGTGACGAGACACACCGTAGAACGGGGGCCCTGGGCCCGATTCACCGCATGCGCGGCGGGTGGCAAAAAAATAAAAAGCTCGGCGTGGGAATCCGGCGCGCCGCAACCCCCGTCCATCGACCACCAGATGCACCCATTGCCGGTCCATGCGTCCACGCATCCACATGCCAGCTAGCCTTCTGCGCACTAGGAACCCACCCTCCCATACACCCGACTTGCCCCGATATGCATCTGGAACGAACATGGCGACATTCAAAAGGCTGGCGTGGTTTATCGGTGCCGCCGTCTGCCTGCCATCCCAGCCCTCGTCAGTCTACCCGGTTGCCCGGCCGGTTGACCAGCTACCGGCACCTGTCCCATGGGTCAAAAGTCGACCGTCCATCGGACACAGAGACGCAGCGGAACGCTTTCCTTTCATACTTTCAATCATAAATGGGACACCCCTCTGTGTCACCTCACTTCCTCCCGGTGCCGTGTAGTGTGCAGCCTCCGCCTGTGGCCACAGCCGCCACCCAAAAGACCTCACGCAGCACAGCACACTAACACGCTAGCCCCCCTCCGCTGGCCGCTGGTTGGCTTGGCTCACACCCAAAACGCTCACCGCTCACTTTTGCTCTCACGCCTTCCAGGCACTCAGCGCGGCCTTGCCCTCGGCCTCCACGACGCTGAACACGTGCTTGACGTCGTCGAGCGTCGTGGTGCGTCCACCGATTGCAAAGCGGATACAAAAGATCTCGCTCTCGGGCGTCTTGAGTAATGTTTGGGTGAGCATCACCTCGGGGTGGTGCGCCAGGCGGTTGTTCAGGTCGGCGTTGAGCTTGTTGAGCTCCTCGTCGGACGCCCTTTCGCCGTCATTGACGAGACGGAACGACAAAAGACCGAGCGAGGGCGGGGTGACAATCTCAAAGTTGGGTGTCTGCTCAATGTGTTTGGCCAGCTCGCCACACAGGTTCACACCGCTGCGCAGGTGCTTTTGCAGACCCTCGACACCATAGCTGCGAAGAACAAACCACAGCTTGATGCTGCGGAAACGACGGCCAAGGGACAGCTGCCAGTTGCGGTAGTCAATCACCGTGCCGGCGTCTCCTTCCTTTGTGCGAAGGAATGCCTATAGCTGGTGTCAGCAGTTGAACCGAGTTGTTTAAACAACGCCGGATAAAGACTCACCGGAGTGACATCCAGTGCCTCGGTCAGGTCACGGCGGTCACGGACAAAGAACAGTGCTGCGGATCAGAAAAGCGGTCCGTCACACGTCAAACAAACTCACAGCAGTCAAACCCAACCAGACCCCACTTGTGGGCGTTGGTGCAGAACGAGTCGGCATACTTGTTCACCTCGGCCAGGCGCAGCCTCTCGCGCTGCTCGGGGAGGGCAAACGCGATACCGGCCCACTGCGCATGTCAGCGGGAATGGGCGAGGTCATCAGCACTCTATTTCGAACTCACAGCAGCGTCGACGTGCATGAACATGGTAGGATATTGCTTGACTGAAAGGGTCAGCTGGAAAGGAGAGTCCACTGGCAGCTCAGTCCACTCACCAACCTCGCCGAGCTCGGCAATGTAGTCTACAGCACCCGACGACGTCGTGCCGACGGTTCCAACTGGGAGTGTTAGCTGCAATTCAGATCCAACTCGAAGCGATACTCACTGACCATGAAGGGTGTAAGACCCTTGGCGATGTCCTCCTCGATAGCCTTCTTGAGCGTGTCGCCGCGGAGCGCGTAGCCGTCCTCGACATGAACCGGGAGGGAGCGGAAGGGCATGCCCAGGATGACACCGGCCTTGACACCGAGCGAGTGGGTCTGGGTCGAGCCGTACATGACGAGCTTTTTGGTGTGCTCCTGACGAATGGCGGTGGGCACGTCAATGGGCGTGAGCGAGTCGGCGTCCGAGTAGCCGTTGGACTGGCGGGCGATGGTGCGCAGAGCGCGCTCGCGCGCCGCAATGGTGGCCGTGAGGGCACACTCCGAGGCCGAGTTCTGCAACTGTCAGCAGTGGACACGACCGAGTCTCATCTCCACTCACACCAATGGTACCACCACCGTGGCCGGAGCTGGTGAGGAAGTCGCTATCCAAGCCGAGGATCTGGGCCATCCAGTCCATGACCACCTGCTCGAGCTCCGTACACGCGGGTGAGCAAGTCCACTGAGGTATAGAGTTAGCTCAGAACACCGGCAGCGGCAGCAACAGTACTCACGTTGAAGCCTGGATTGGTCACGCTCGACGAGTACATGTCGCCCAGGATGGACTCAAAGGTCACAATGCCAGGAAAGTAGCCAAAGAACTTGCCGTGCTGCCAGTGGGTGATGCCAGGGATGATCTTGGACTGAAAGTCGGCTGCAATCTCGCTGAAGGGTTGGCCCGACGTGGGTGCCGAAGCTGGTGGTCAGCTGGCGAACACTGGTACATGACGAGGAGGTGCAGTGAGAGAGAGAGCAAAGGGAAGACGAGGAGGGAAGACGAGGAGGGAAGGCAAAGACAAAGACGCATCAGCCTCGCCAACTGGACCATGGGCATCTCCCGGGTCAACCACCCAAGAGCTCAGTAGGCCAGTAGGCCACATGTCTGTCCTGGGCTTCTGGAAACGCTTCTTCTGGCTCGCGTTAGGCCATGCCACTGTCCAAGTCGCCCCGCTGCCCGTTTCCAAGCGGAGATGTGCGGGTAAGGGCCGAGGGGAGGTGTTCAAGAAGGGCAGGGAGGAATGTACCCACTAGGCAGTTGCTTGACGAGGTATCCTGGCTCGACCTCGGCCTTGACATTGCGTTCCGGGAGGGTGTTATAGTAGTCGCAGATCTGGTCAATGGCGGCATAGCCTGTTTGGTCGAGGTTGCACGGTTGGGAGGTGTGGACAGAGACAAGGGATACGGAGAATGGTGGAGGGCGTCGAGCCAGACACACAAATGTCAGCGATTGATCCGACCTCTGCAGTGTGTTCAACGTACCGGCCTTGCGGAACTCTTCAACGTCCATGATTCCGATGTTGGTCTATACCCTGGTCAATAGAGTGATATGTTCAAACGCAGAACACAAAGGTGTGGAAAGAACACGGTTGCGCTGGCCAGGTGGACGCATGTGCCCAGGTGGGCTGCATGGGCCGGATGTCAAGCGAGGCGGCCGGCACCGAACGGTTCGACGTCAGTGCCGCTGTATCCGCGGCAGGGCAAATCGGTTCATCCGTCGATAAGCATGTTGTTTTCCGCACCATCGTCGTCCACCATCTTCGGGTCTGACAAATACGTAGAGAGTGTCAGATCACATCTTCAAATCCACAGACGCTGTATGCATGTATTCTGCTCTACGTTCTAGTACAATTTTGTGACAATGATTGGCGGAAAAAAGTGGTGTGTAGTTTGAGTTGTGTGGTGATGGACGGGCGGGTAAACCAAAAAGAGCGGCGCGAAAGCCATGGGCAGGTTGGCGCCAGCGCTAGCCAGCGCTCTCGCCATCACTCCATTCGTCACCCCCATTTGTATGCTTAATGAGAGTTGGTGGGCGTGACTGGCAGTCCCCATTTGGTGGCCGCTATCGCTTGGACAGACGCCCAGTCACCGCGTCCTCGCTCTTTGGGACGCGGGGCCTGTGCGTTGTGCGTCATTGATAACGGCCGACCAACTGATGATCTGCTCAAGGAACAGGCCAGCTGGTTCCAATCGTTTAATCGGATCAGCGACGCTCTGGCGACAGATAGCGCGTGTCGACCACTTCTGGCAAGGGGTCGAGCTCGGGCAGAGGTTCCGGGAGCTGCACCGCGCCGTCGCCAGCACGCGAAGCCCACGAGGTGCTGGGCATTTGCACATCGAAACGGAGGTACAGGTCACCCTTGGTCCCCCGGCCGCGGTGGGGCATACCCTCGCCACGGACAACCCAGACGTCCTTGTGCTGGATGATACGCTCACCGCGACCGCTTTCAACGCGGATACCGCGGCCGTCGAGGTGAACGATGAGGACGCGGTTGAAGCCAAGCAGTGCCTCTGACAGGTTGATCTTGACGTTGGTCTGCAGGTCGCCGGGGCTGGCACCACTGCGGAGGAGAGTTGGGTGGGGCTTAATGCGGATGTGGAAGATGACATCGCCGGCTGGCACGTCGGGCTAAATGTGTGAGCACAGTGCCCTGTTGGGACAGACGCAATGTGTGGTGACTACCTCTGCCCTGTCACGTTGCAGTCAACGCTCCGCTGCTCACCTCTTCGTCTCCTTCACCCTTGAGAGCAATGCGCTCGCTGTCTTCGGTACCAGGGTCGATCATAAACTCGACACGCTTCTTCTCCTTGACGACCTTCTTGCCTTTGCACTTCTTGCAGCGGTCCTTGTCGCGAATGTGCTGGCCCTCGCCGTCACAGTCTGGGCAAGGTACACGCACTTTGCCGACGATTCCAACACCGAGCTGGCATGTAAGCAAAGGCCCCATGGCTCAATAGACCTACATGACGGTCGGCGAAGATGACACCCTTGCCTTCGCACTTGCCGCACTGGGTCATCTTCATGCCTTCCCTGCCGCCGCGTCTGCATGTGGTCTTAGCTCGGTCCAACGGTCGTCATGGAATACCGGCCACCAAGAGCCAGGCATCCACACACATGGGTACTTACCCCTTGCAGGGCTTGCAGATGCGGTCCCTCGACAGCGCCATGACGACCTTTTTACCAACATAGGCCTCCTCCAGCGAGATCTCATACGGCACGACCGTGTCCTTGCCTCGCCTGGGCCTCGGTCCCCGGCCGGCTGGGTCAAACCCATGTGGTGGGCCACCAGGAAAGCCGCCCATACCGCCAAACATGGCCTCGAACAGGTCATCATAATCGGCAGGGCCGCCGCCCCGAGGTGGTCCGTCTGGGCCGTGTTGGTCATATGCAGCGCGCTTTGGATGTCAGTTCAAATAGGTTTTGAGTCTTGTAACTTACCTCGTTTGGATCCATAAGCGTCTCATAGGCCTGGCCAATGGCCTGGAACATCTCGTGGGCGTTGGGGTCATCGGGGTTCTTATCCTGGACAACGTTAGAGGCAAGGCTGTCAAACGCTACGCACTGGGTGATGCTTCATGGCCTTTTTCTTGTAGGCCTTTTTGATTTCCACCTCTGTTGCGTCGACGCTGACCTCCAAGAGGTCATAGTAGGCTGTGTCGTACACCACTGGAAGAGATCAGCTATGGCGACTGGTACGGGAAGCAAGATGGAAGCTCACTGGTGGTTGAATGTGATGAGACGACAGAGCGATGTAGATGTATAGAAGTGGTCTAGTCACCCCCGCCGAGAGTGGACGAGTGTGGGCGGCGAAAAAGGCGAATCCGGGGTCCCGCAGACAATCCTCAGCCGAAAGAGGGTGGATGGAATAAGGGAATTTGCATTAGAACGTTAATTACATTTGTGGTGTAATTGGAATAAAAAAGGTAAATCCAACCGGTGTGCCCACGAGCGGGTCCAACGGGACGCGGCCCAGTCTCTCCCTTGTCACGTCGAATGCGCGTGTTTCAGGCTGTGCGGCGCGCGCGCACGCTCAAAGCTCACACTGGACACACCCACGCACCCAGGCCACCCACCGCGCACCGGTCCCGTCGCTCGTCCTGACGGCCTCTGGCGCGGTCTCTCTTTGCTGCGCTTCTGCATTGTCCACCTGTCCCTCTCTCCATCCCGGGTCCTCCTCCGCTCAACGCCGTCTCTCTCTCGCTCTCTCTTTCGCTCTTTTTATCTCTCCCACACTCGTCCTCTCCCAAAAGTACAACACACACATACACACACACAGAGTTATACGCCGTCAACCACCCCCCACGACTCACGACCTGCTCCCTGCTACGACCCAAATCCTTTTGATTCTTCGATCACACAGCCCGACAGCAGGGCAGCTCCCACGCCCATTTTGAGTGTCCTCCACCACCACCGACTCACAGACGACACGTTTCCACACCATGGCGTCTCCTTCCCCCAAGCACTCTAACATCGACTTGGACGCTGGAGATGAGATTGATCTCGACCTCGACACGACGTCCGCACTGGGCACGGCCACAAGTCCCACCAGCACAGGGCTGAACGGCCTGGGCCTAAAGATCACCCCGAAGCCCCGCACCGGTAGCGTGACCTTGAGCACCTCACCGTCGGCGTCGTCGAGCGTGAACAAGGTGCGCGCAGCAGCTGCCATGTGGGAGCACAAGGACCCCAAGCCGACCTCCAAGCCCAACACGACGACCCCAGCCTGGAGCTCGGCAGCTCGTAAGACCTCGCGTTCTGGTTCGACGTCGACTTCGAGCCCGCGCAGTACGGCGTCAAGCCGCGTCCCCGTCCCTGGCTCGTCCAGCACCGCCAGCGCCGCCGCCTCAGGCTCGCCTCACGCAGTCTCGCCTCGCCTGCCCCTCACACCCAAGCTCACGTCGCCGACGCTGTCGTCCCCGCGCACGCCGCCCAGTGCGTACAAGACCCTCGAGAACAAGCGCAACACAGGCGGCGGCAGCAGCGGCGGTATCAAGCCGCTTAAACTGACTGGTCGCTCCGCATCAACCAACTCAATCTCGTCGATCACCTCGTCCAGGTCGGCCACCTCTCCTAGGCCTCCTGCGGCTGACGAGATCCCCAGCGTTGCCGAAGAGGAGACTATGACCGAGGACGTACCCTTGGATGACGAGGTGCCTACTGCTATTGTCGACGAGGTTGCCCTTGTGGAATCAACTCCAGCCCCAGTGGAGGTCTCGCCCAAGGCCTCAATCAAGTCGTTCATGTCGTCACCAAAGGTCGCCACTTCGATCCGTGACTCGCCCAAATTTTCTTCTCCAACTATCTCGTCACCCGAGATTGCGCACTCGCCTGTGCCCGAGATTGCGCACTCGCATGTGCTCGATGAGTCTCCAAAGTTCCAGTCGCTCACGCTGGAGGAGTCGTCCAAAGAGTCGCCCAAGCACGATGACGTCAATCTCGCGTCGCCCGAGCAGAATGATATCAAGCTCGCGTCCCCCGAGTACCAGGATGTCAAGCTGGCATCGCCCGAGCAGAATGATATCAAGCTCGCGTCCCCCGAGCAGAATGATATCAAGCTCGCGTCCCCCGAGCACCAGGATGTCAAGCTTGCTTCCCCCGAGCACCAGGATGTCGAGCTCGCGTCCCCCGAGTACCAGGATGTCAAGCTCGCGTCCCCTGAGCTCCCCAGTCTACCTGCCCTGGCCGTGTCGCCAAAGCTGGCTCCTCTGTCCCCCGAGTCGAACTTTGAGCCGACTCCTCTCCCCAGCGCACAGCCAACGCCCGAGGTCCACAATGTCAACCTGTCACCAGAGGTTCAGCGCCTTGGCCTCGCCTCCCCCGACGCTCAGCGTGGTGGCCTGACCCCCGACTTTGGCCGTTCCGGCAACATGTCAGACCTTTCCCCCGCATCTGTGTATGAGGATTTCTCCCCATCGTCTGGCAAGGTCGACCTTCTCCCAGCCGCCGAGACGATTGCCGTGTCACCTGTCTTCACATCTGGCGGCGGTGGCCTCGAGCTGGACACACATCTCGCCCCCGAGAACGACGACGATGGGTCCCACTACGAACAAGAGGAGGAAGAGGACCAAGTCCTGTCGGATGTGGAACTGTCTCCGCCCCCTAAGACCCCGTCCAAGCCCTCGTTTAACCAGTCGACACCCGACACTCCCGAGCGTGTGATCGTCTCGCCTGCTGCTGAGACTCCTCGTGCATTTGACCCTGCAACGACCATCACACCGGCTTCCCCTATGAATCCCGAGGACCTGCGCGACGCGAACAATGGCCATGACCTTCCTCTGCTGCCCGCAACCCCTGTGGGCCAGACCCTTACGATCAACGAGTTTGAAGAGGTCAAGCTGTCGCCCGCCAAGCAGGAGGAGCCCACTCCTTCGTCTACACCACAGCGCTCGCTTCCCTCGATCTTCTCCCGCGTGCTCGACTACAACAGCACTCCTCCCCCTGCTCCACCCAAGGACAAGGAGGTGGCTGCTGACAAGGATGCCAGCCCCACCCTAGCCAAGGAGGACAAGCAGGCACGCACTTCGAGCACCGCTAGCAAGGACTCGAAGGAGTCACTTTCCACCAGCCGCAGCCGCTTCTTTACCTCGGCAACATCCGCGTTTGGGGGCTTCAACCTTCCCTCCGTGTCTCTGCCGTCTATGCCGGCCATGCCGTCCGTCAGTCGTGGTGTGAGCGTGAGCTCTAACAGCGACATCACGCCTCCCTCGGAACCTGTTGTCCCATCACCTGCTGCTCTCTCGCCCGCTGCCCTACCGTCGGCGGCCACTTCTCCAGGTGGCACGTCCAACTGGCGCACGACTATGAGCCAATTCCTCTCCACGCGTGCTGCCAGCATGACGGGCCCGTCGTCCGTGGCCACTCCTCCCTCGCCACTCTCGTCGGCCTTCCCTCCCCGCACAAGCAGTATCAAGGCGCCGACCCACATCTCCACGGCGTCGCAGACAACCGCTGCGAACCTTCTCCTGCACCGCCTCGACTCGCCCACTGCGCTCCGTGACCGTCGTCAAAGCCGCGAGGTCGGCGGCTCCGACATGCTCCGTGAGGGCTTTGAGCGCGTGCGCGGAGAGATGGAGGGTGCTGCGCGTGACATTCGCCGCCAGCGTGCACGCGGGTCCGAAATTGACAACTCGGACATTGACTGGGTGTTCTGGGGTGCCGTCGTTCAGGACTATGAGGAAGTGGCGCGCACTCAGCCCAAGGAGCTCTCCAAGGCGATCCAGCAAGGTATCCCGCCTGTCATCCGCGGTCCTATCTGGCAGCTCATGAGCTCGAGCAAAAGCAGCAACCTCGAAGAGACGTACAAGGCGCTTCTCAAGCTCAACTCTCCGCACGAAAAGGCCATCCACAAGGACATTACTCGAACCTTCCCCACGCACAAGTTCTTCCAGAACACTGGCGCTGGCCAGGACGGTCTCTTCATGGTCGTCAAGGCATACTCACTCTACGACCGTGAGGTTGGTTACACCCAGGGCATTGCGTTCATCGTCGCTGCCTTGCTGCTGAACATGCCCGACGAGGAGGCGTTCTGCGTTCTTGTGCGTCTCATGGACTCGTACAACCTCCGTTCGCACTACCTGGCCGACATGCCCGGTCTCCAACTCCGTCTGTACCAGTTTGACCGCCTGCTCGAGGACGTCCTCCCGCTCCTCAGCAACCACCTCGTCCGCAAGGGTGTCAAGAGCTCAATGTTCGCTTCGCAGTGGTTCATGACGTTGTTCTCGTACCGGTAAGTTTAAGCAGGATAAAACCTCCCTTCAGCCGGCCCCGTTGCTTACCGTCTTGCTCCAGGTTCCCGCTGTCGCTCGTGTACCGTGTGCTCGACATTGTGCTCGCCGAGGGCATCGAGGCCATCTTCCGCTTCTCTCTTGCGCTCCTTCGCAAGTCCGAGGACGAGCTCCTCAAGCTTGAGTTTGAGGACATTATCGCGTACCTCCAGGGCGACATGTTTGAGGTGTACCGCGCCGATCCCGGAGAGGGTGATGCGCAAGAAGGCAGCCGCGAGGGCGAGGAAGAATGGCGTACCAACGACTTCGTCCGCGACGCTTACGAGGTCCACATCACCCCTCTGATGCTCGACCAGTACGAGTCTGAGTGGGAGGAGAAGTGTCGCGCTGAGATGGCGCACGCTCGCGAGATTGACCAGCTGCGCACGGCCAACCGTCACCTCAGCGCCCAGATCAAGACCCTCGAGAGCTCCCTTGCGACCATGAATACGGAGCACGTCGAGCTTGTGCGTCAGCTCGTCATGGCCAAGATTGCCAAGGAGGACATGGAGACCGAGCTCGTCAAATACAAGTCGCTCTGTGCTTCCCTCTCGCAGGCGGTCCCCACCGACGTTGACGGCGCGCTGGCATCCAACCCTTCGGGCCTGAGCCTGGCATCGGTCCGCAGCGCTGCCGCTTCCATGGCGTCCTCTTCGCCATCGCTCAGCAACGGCGACCACCTCGGTGACCACTTTACCTCGCCCCCACCGGCGCGCAACAGCGCTACATCGTCCCGGTCCATCAGCCCCGGTGCCGGTCAATGACTCGGACGCGCTGAGCCTACTCCCCAGTCTCGCGCCTCCTCCCCATCTCAAACCCTGTCGTCGCTGCCTCTCCGCACCATCTCCCGCCAACCATCGTCCTCGTCACTACTGCCACTGTCACTGTCAACCTCCCCCTCCAATTCCCGTCCGGGGTCGCGCGCACCTTCGCCGGCTCCCTCGGTCAGCTCCGTTTCCACGCTTGCGTCGTTCTGGAACCGCAAGCGTGGTTCTTGAATAAAACACGCCCCAACTTCAACAACCAGCCCGGTTTGCCTTGCTGCCCAACCTACCTGCTGTGTACCCGCTCCGGGCTGGCCCCAGCGGACTCGGCCCAACCCCACCAAACCACCTCCACGTAGATATCCATTATACATCATGCATGTCCCCGCAGGACCAGTCTCGTACACGGAGTCTTGTTTTTGATTTACAATAGAACTACTTATGCGTCATAGTCCTCGTCCACCTCACGCTCAGCCGGCACGCCGACTTCCTCCATCTCATCGTCCTCGCCGTCTCCGTCGCCATCCGCGTCGGCATCAGCCTCGCCGCCGGCGTCATCCACATCGCCATCTGCGTCGTCGTCGCTCTCCGACTCGCTCGAGTCGGAGCCGTGCATGTCGTCGTCGCTGAGCGCGGCGGCCGCGTCAGTGGGCACGAGGTCGAAGGTGACTTCTGTCATGCGCTGGTTGGCAGGCGGGAGGCGGACGACTTCAAAGGATTCGGGGACCGGTGGGAGGGGCACAGAGTTGAGCTCGTGCGCGAGGGTCGCGAGGTACTGTGCACAGTTGTCAGCACTGCTTGTTGCTGGTCGCTTTTGTGGCCACACTTACATCCCTAGGCGGGGCCTCGTGGAACTCGTACCGCCGGCGCATTTGAATGGAAAGCTCGACATCTTCCTTTTCGATGCGGGCGCTCTGTGCGCCTGTCCGCGCCGCGTGGTCGGCAAGTGACTGTGCAGATTGCAACACCTCCGCAGTGTAGCCTGTCTGTTAGCTTGAAATGGGGCTCTTGGATGTCCACAGAAGGCTGCCGACCTCTCAACAGGGGGACAGTGGATGATTGGCAGTGGACGAGGGAAGTGCGAAGAGAGAAGACAAGGACGGAAAGGCCGGCACCAGCAGCATCCCAGTCCAGTTCCAAAGACTCATCATGCTGCTGACCAATTTCTCACAGCCCCAATCGTCCAATGGTCCGTCAGGACACTGTCTACTTACGGTGCGCAAAGTCCAGCAGTTGATGAATGACGCGCTCGTCCGCGTCTCCGATACCCTTTGCCGCGAGGATGAGCGCGAGCAGCCGCCCGTCGCGCGGTACTGTAGGGTCAGCTTTCTGTTATCCATCTTGAGGCCTACTTGTCCGTGCTGCGTTGTTTGGGTTGGGTGGTGTGGTCATGGATGCTGGATGAGAAGGAAGGAGCAACAACATGTTGCGCGGTTCAGTTGATCACTCGCGAGGCTCTGGCAACAGCCACGGCGCCAAATATAAATGGGTTGCTAATCACATTATAAACGCATTTCAATAACGGGCCTTATTTGAACAAACGGGGTGCGGAAATAAGTAATATCTTTGCCGTTGGAGATCCCTTCACGAACTCAAACGAGGGAAGACACTTTACAACTACTCTTGCCACCATGATCGCAGACGCCCAGGCCGAAGGCCACCTCCTCGTTGTCTCGGCTGTTGTCCGTGACCTTATCGCCGCCTACGAGGCCGCCAGCACCTCGTCGGCACCTCCTCAAATCCCCAACGTTAGCCATCTCCGCGCAAAGTACGCCAAGAAGTTTGGCTGCAATGCGACCCCACGTCTCACAGATGTGCTTGCCGGTGTGCCAGACGAGTGGAAGGAGAGGCTCCGTGGATGGCTCCGTGCTAAGCCTGTGCGTACGGCTAGTGGTGTCGCTGTCGTGGCCGTCATGTGCAAGCCCCACCGTTGCCCCCACGTTGCCATGACCGGTAACATTTGCGTGTAAGTCGCGAGAAGAAACACTTTCTCTGGGCCTTTGCTTACAGTACGTTCAGTTACTGCCCCGGCGGACCGGACTCGGACTTTGAGTACTCGACACAGTCGTACACTGGTTACGAGCCGACTTCCATGCGCGCCATTCGCGGCCGCTATGACCCATACGAGCAAACGCGCGGACGCGTCGAGCAGCTTCGGTCGCTGGGCCACGACGTTGACAAGGTCGAGATTATCCTCATGGGTGGTACCTTTATGAGCATGCCCGAGGCATACCGACACGAGTTTATCGCTGGCCTGCACAACGCGCTCAGTGGAGCGACGGCCACCGACGTCGACGAGGCCGTCAAGTTTAGTGAGCAGAGCAAGACCAAGTGTGTTGGAATCACGATCGAGACTCGCCCCGACTACTGCCTCAAGCCCCACCTCAGCCAGATGCTGCGGTACGGCTGTACTCGACTTGAGATTGGCGTGCAGAGCGTGTACGAGGACGTGGCACGCGACACCAACCGTGGCCACACCGTCCGCGCCGTCTCCGAGTCGTTCCACATGAGCAAAGACGCGGGATACAAGATTGTCGCGCACATGATGCCCGACCTGCCCAACTGTGGTGTCGAGCGTGATATCTGGCAGTTCCAGGAATTCTTCGAGAACCCTGCGTTCCGTTCCGACGGTCTGAAGCTCTACCCCACCCTCGTCATTCGCGGTACCGGTCTGTACGAGCTCTGGCGTACGGGCAAGTACAAAAACTACCCGCCCAACCAGCTCGTCGACATTGTGGCGCGTATCATGGCCCTCGTCCCTCCCTGGACCCGCGTCTACCGTGTGCAGCGGTAAGTTACATCACTACCATCAATGGCCCGCAACTAACTTTTCAGTGACATTCCCATGCCCCTCGTGTCGTCGGGTGTCGAGAACGGCAACCTGCGTGAACTGGCCCTTGCACGCATGAAGGACTTTGGCGCCGAGTGTCGAGACGTCCGTTTCCGCGAAGTTGGCCTGCACGAGATCCACAACCGCGTGCGTCCGCAGGACCTGGAGCTTCTGCGCCGCGACTACACGGCCAACGGCGGCTGGGAGACGTTCCTCTCGTACGAAGACCCCGGAGCAGACATTCTCGTCGGTCTCCTTCGTCTCCGCAAGTGTAGCGAGGAAGGTACGTTCCGCAAGGAACTCGTTGGTATGGCTGGTGGCTGCTCCTTGGTCCGCGAGCTGCATGTGTATGGTACCGCCGCTCCGGTGCACTCGCGTGACCCCAAAAAGTTCCAGCACCAAGGTATCGGCACGCTCCTCATGGAGGAAGCCGAGCGTATCGCGCGCGACGAGCACGGCAGTACCAGGATCGCCGTCATCTCGGGTGTGGGCACTCGCGACTACTACAGGAGGCTCGGATACTGGCTCGATGGACCGTACATGGTCAAGGACCTGGAGTTTGAGGAGTAGAGATGGAGAGATACGGATGCTGTTCGGGATCCTGCCATGTGGAATGCATTTCTTCCTGTGATATTTCAATGTGCAGGTTCCAGAACTCTGTGTGCCATTTGTGCATGCCCTGGGTCGCGATTAGGAGACGATGTTTTGTGTTTCCATAGGAGTCGCGTACAAGCGTGCCGACACTGGTTGTCCGACGGAGTGGTCGGTCTCATTCCAAAAACCGCCAACGGGACGGTCCGCAATTCACGGGACGTTGCACCAAAGAGTGCGCGTGCGGTTGGAGTACATATAACAGAGGGTCTCCTCGCACAGCTGCACAAGTGCCCACCTCTACGACATGCTGGTCCCAACACTGATCTCAACTCTTGTCGCCGTGCAGGCCGTGTCGAGTTCTCCTGTCCCGGCGCCAACAGGCTACATTCCAACGGCCCAGACATTCTGGTGGGATGATGTGTATCCGCCAATTGGCCACCTGGCGACCCTCTCCCACCACCACCTTGCAGACCGCGCGCAGTACAAGAACCTCATCGCGTACCCGAGCGCTGGCAAAGGTGGCTACTGGGTACAAGACTATCCTGGAATGTTACGGCTGTCCCCGGGCCAAATGATGCCTCACAACGGCGGCAACCTCACAGCTGTACACCGCTATGGCGAGGACACTGCAGTGATGCGACTGCCCGAGGGCTTTACTGAGAACCGGATACAGTTCCGGTTTCTTCCCCCAGTGTCAGTGATAGTGGAAGGCCGGTGCACGGCAGCTGACGCCAGAAGCCCTGGAAAGGACAATGTCCTCTTCATCGTGAGCGACCAGTGCCCAGGCGCACCACACGACACAGTGGCTGCTTGTAAGTCAAAGTCATCCCGGGGACTTACTGACGCTTAAAGGTGTGGTGGCCGTGTCAGAGCCATTCGAGGTCAAGTGCCGAGGGACGGTGCCACCGGATCTGCAGAAGGAGGAGGGCTCGCCTACTCTGTCAGCGACCGAGGGGCAGGTGGTGATCAGTTTCGTAAGGAGTGTATTCAGCGCAATGGAACTGTGGGCTTAGGATGGGTTGGCTTTTACTTCTTTTGCTTTTTTTTATTCATGAACGGTGCTTTGCATACGGAACAGACTTCGAGGATTTGCAAAAAAACGAATACCAACTACTTTGTCTACGCCAGAGTAACGTTGACGGCGTAAACATCGCCCTCTCCGCGACCCTTGATCTTGATCTCAACGAGGTAAAGACCTCCCTTAGTGCCCAAGGCCCGCAGCTCTTTGACCTCGACCGGGGATACCTTGCCGTCGATCATCGCGACTGGTTTCGGCGGGGAGCCTGCAGCCACCGCAATGCCAAGAGTGCCTTCAAACTTGGCATCGACACGCACCTCGTCTTGAACGTCAGCTTCCACTCGCAGTTTATGTACACTCACTGTCGACAATGGTGGAGTTTTCGACGGCGACCATGCCGGCAAACTGGTCCACCAAACCGAGGACAGCAACGGATGCCGTTCCCGTAGACTTGAGGGGGGCGATCCAAAAGCCTGCAGCGCCGACAGGCGGAAGTTCGACGGGAGCGTTGAGATTGGTCTTGGCGGTCAAGACTGTTCCTGCGGACATGCCACCGATGTGAAGGTCCGCCTGAAGTACAGCCCACTCGCCGTCCAAGGTACCTCCAGCAGCATCAACTACGTCCTGGGTGGTGAGGGCATCGTGGACGGTAATGTCCAGGGTGTCGTTACCACGCACGTTGAAGACGCCAATAATGGCACCAGTTGGGGTCTTGACCGACGCCCACTGTCCAGTACCCTTCTCGCTGTCGAGAATGCTCAGGTCAAACAGCCGGTTGTTGAGCGGGTCAGCGCCATTGGCGGTCTTGACCACCCGAGCAACCCCAGTGCGGTCGCGCGCGATTACACGCCAGAGGATGCTGGCATCGTGTTGACCTGGCTTGTCGGTCAAGAGCATGGGGCCAGGGAAGAGCGCCCGGAGGAATCCATGGGTGACGGGATGTTGCGCGGCAGTCATCCACATGTCAGCGTCGGGGACGATGGCGGTGTGGTTGGTAACGAGAGTGTTGGCAAGGTTCGTAAAGATTTGTTGCTGATGGGCGTCACGTTGGCGGTGCTCCATCCCAAAGTCGTCGCTGTTGCGCCATACAAACTTGTCGCCTTGCGTAATGAGGCCAAGGCCTTGCGCACCGCCAAACATTCCTTCACTGTTGGCCATACAGTGTATGACATGAGCCGGTCCAAACGTCTCGTCGGCAGCAGCAACCAGGGTCTTCCAGAGAGTCTGGTTCAAGGCGGCACCTTCAGCCCCGTCGAGGGATGTGAGCGTCGCCTGGTTGTCCACCTTGATAAACGTCACCCCGGCGGCGCGGAGAATGGTGAACCAGTCGCTCCAGAAGGCTGCCGCCGTCTCAGGCGAGGGAAGCCAGTAGTCTACTGATCCACCAGGCATGTATGCCACGGTGAACCACTCGTTGGGCACGCCAGGCCACCACGAGCGCGAAGCGCGGTAGGGCTTGCAGTTGTACTTCTTCACCAAGGGCGAGTCGGGGTTGATTCCATCCCAGTAACCACCCGTCAACGTGATCCACACGCCAACATCTGTGTGGCCCGTGCCATCCACGGTCGCAAACTTGTTTTGGATCATCTTGACAGCGCCAGCAAGACCCCCGGCGCCGAGGTCTGGGTGCGCGTTGAAGTCCCACAATCCACGGCGCTGCCACTTGCCCTTCTCTTGCCGATCCCAGTAGTCGTTAAACCCGCTTGCGTCTCCCCTGGCGAATGTGCGTTGATTCTGCCATCCATCGTCAATGATGAAGGACTGGATCGGGATCTCAGCAGCGACGTATTTGTCGACAAGGTCGGCAAGGTTTGATTCAGTCGGGTGCACATCCTCCCCCAGGGACGACCATGTGCAACACCCCAAGCCTTCGAATGGGCCACGAGGGTACGGCTTGAATGGAACGGGTTGACCGTTGAACAACCACTGTCGCGCTGCAGCCACAGCCGCCGCTGGCAGAGAAGCTGCGTCTTGGACACCGCCACGCACGATGACAACAGCAGCCTTGCCATCACCTGCAGTCGCGCTGCGAACCTTGACGTTCAACGGTTTGGCAGGATCGGTGCCACGTTCGAGGCAGCAAATCGCAGTTGTGGACGAGACAGGGTAGATGCACAAGCAGTCGGCACCGTCGTGGAGCAGGAAGAGGTGACTGGTGTACTCTGGCTGGTCTTTGAGCGAGTGGATGGCCGTGGCGTCCAACCAGGTAGGGCTGGCTCGATCAGCACCGCTACCCCGCACCTCCGCATTCAACCGCAACTCACCGAGCTCGGTACCATGCCCACCCGCTCCAGTTCCGGTGCAGGTCATCCAGATCAAGAGGCGAGGATACCTTCTCCTCGCCAGCCTGTATCGTGTACTCAATCACTTGCGTCTGTGTTGCTCCAGGTGTGATGGTCATCTTAGGCGCAGTATCTGTAGTAGATGTGGCATGACCCCACATAGACTCTGGGGTTCTTAAGAAGGCCGATTCTGGGCAATGATGTCAACGGCAATGGCTCGGATACGTGGCGGGTGTCGCCATAGACGTCACGGGTTCGTAAACGCCACAAGACCGCGGGCCGAGGGCCGCGGTGTTACTGGATGTACTGGATGTACTGGAATAGCTGGAGTGCACGCAGATGGCAAGCAATAGAAAGGCCGAGCGCCACGGCGTTGATCCAATGGCAACATCTATGTGTCCGATATCGGTTATCCGTCGTCGGTGGCTCACAGCAACGGCTCGACCGGTCCATTTCACCCAGTCGCCGTTGGGGGTGGGCATCGACCAGTAGCGACAGCGAAACAAGATGCCACCCATCGCGACAACGGACGGTATGGGACGGCGATCATGCTAACCCTCTTGAACCTGCATCCTGTTCTGAGCCTTCCCCATCCCCAAAACCATTACCCTCGGGCAGTGGCCAAGTGCAAGATTAGGTTGAACTATTCACCACGTGCGTCCTCTGGCGGCTTCGCGGCTGGGTGCTGTAACAGGCCACCAACCACTATACGTGGCGGAGTCCTTAGACACTGGTATATAGCATCAAACTGGTCGACGCAGACAGATTCGATAGTGAGATGTACCGGTGAATGTTCTGGCCAACTGTCAACTGTCGCGAGCATACACGCATGGAATAGACGTCCTGTAACCAGCCCCGAGCTACGTACCACAACCACAGCTGGACAAACTCGTTGGATTCTATCCACAACCATGCATTCCGAAGTGCTAACAATCCATAACATAACCCCAAGCCAATCTGAGCATCGTTGTCCATATCGTCACGTCAAGATACCTTGCCACTAGTGCCCGTTGGCCGCTTAGACAGCCTTGTCGATGATGGGCTCGCCAGCCTTGTTAAACGACACAGGGCTGCCAGTGAGGAAAGAAACGGTGAGGGCCTTGGCGATCTTGGCGGCCTGCAGGGCGTCATACGCAGTAGTAGGAACGGCTGTACAAGGTCAGTTTGCGCCTCCACAAGCCACGCCTATAAACTCACCCTTGTCATCGAGACAGATGGCGGCAAACTCGTTCATTTCGCTGATGAACGCCTCTCCATAGCGGTCAAGGTAGGTGGCGGGAGTCGGGTTGTGGTGTCCGTCAAAGTCGGCAACCTTGATGCGCGAGCTGGGAGGGGTGGAGACGGTGCAGTTTTGCTTCATACCCATGAGCTCAACGCTCGAGTTGTAACCCGCCATACCGGTACGCGAGAGGTGGAGGGTGGCGCTGGTGCCATTGGCGTATTCAATAATGCAGAATGCGTTGTCGCAGTCGTCCATTTCCTCCAGCTCCGGGTGGGCGGCAATCAGGCCCGAGGCAATCACGCGCTTGACTTCCTGACGGCCCGCCGACTGGGTGTTGAGGAGCCAGCGCGACATGTCAATGTCGTGAATGCCACAGTCCATAAAGATGCCGCCGTTGCCGCGTGCGTACTGCACAAAGTAGCCAGTCGAGTCGTACACGTCCTGCGACACACTCTTGAGGACGTATGGTGTACCTGCACGCTCCGCCTGAACGTGGTTGTACAGCTCCAGCAGCGCCTTGTCGACTTTACGGCTGTCAGCGCAGTTGCAAGAGCACAATGCCGGAGATCTACTTACAGCGACGGACAAAGCCAATCATAACCTTGAGCTCCGGGTGGGCCTCAGCGGCCTCGACGACCGGGACGGAGCTCTCGTAGTCAATGGTGATGGGCTTCTCCAGGAGGACGTGCAGACCGCGGTCAATGGCCTGCAGGGTGAGGGGGGCGTGAGTCGAAGTGATGGTGGCAATCACGACCGCGTCGAGGTCGGGAATGGCAAAGACCTCGTCGGTGGTCTTGTAGTAGTTCACTGAGCTAAGGTTCTCCTTGACCCACTGCTCTGCCATGGGCGACGGGTCGGCAATGGCAACGAGCTCGGCGCGAGGGGTAAGGTGGTAGATCTGATCGTCAGTTATGAGAGCTCAGCAAGTCGTTGCGAGGCAACTCACGTTGTATGCGTGGCGCTGGCCCATACGACCACATCCGAGGACAGCGACACGGAGGCGGCGCGCACCAGGAGCGCCGACCTGGAGGGGGACGTCGTTCGTCGAGGTGAAGACCGAGTTGTTGGCGGCGGCGACTGCGTTGGTCATTGTGTTTGGCGTGTTTTGGTGTTGGGGGAGTCTGGGTGCCGTTAACGTTAGCCAGGCATCGTCTTTATACGGCACAGAAGACAACTACTTACAGGCATCCAGCAAGATGCTTGGTGACTGAGCCGAATCGGACGCTGAGTCCGCCTCGCGGAGGTTGTGAGGTCTCAGATTATCGACCGAAGGGTCCGATCTCGGTAAAAGTGGGCTCCAACCTGACACCAGACCACCCACCGGACAACGGACATTGGTGATGCACGCCAGAGCGCCTCAACAGTGGAGAATCTGACACAGTCGAGGGGGAAAAGGATATATAGGTGTGGACCTCACATGTTGGGGAGTGGGTGGTCTGGACTGGTGTGGATCGTGTGGAGGCGAACGTCACGAGCGGCGGCGGCTCGGTTGAGCAGTCATCCCTCCGAGCAGCGGTGGAGGTCTTTGTTGTTGTTTTGTCAGCTGATGGAATTCGGGAAATGTGTGTCTGCAGTTGTTGCTTACAGCGGCGTGAAGAGGTCCCAACCCTCCTGTGTCATCTCTGGATTTCCCCATGGATATGTGCGAACCACACGATGCCTGCGATCGTAGATAGTGCCGTGTGACGTCATCGGTGTCGCCCGTAGCCCGTGGGTCGGATCAGCCCGACAGTCACCCGCATGGGTCCGGTTCGAGTCGCGTGCGCGTCCAGTGTGCTCTATCGCACCATCTCTTCTGTGATCTCTCCGTCGCTCTTCATTCATTGCCCTCTTCCTGTCCATCCCACATCCCCATCTCTCCCCCTCTCTCTCTCCCCTACGCCTTACTCCCTCGCTCATCTCCACAATGGGTGCCCAGGAATCCAAACCCGCAACCATCACCGCCCCGACTGCTGCCCCAATCAACGAGAAGCGCGCCTATCTCGAGAACCTCCAGCAGGCGGCTCTCGCCATCGGTGACGACTCTGTCCCAACATCCCAGTCCGTCGAGCCCGAGGCAATCGACGCTTGGTCAGCCAAGCTTGAGAACGTAGGTGGCGACGACTCGATCGGGGATGTTCTGTTTGCTGACGATCCTTATCAGGACCCCAGCTTCAAGCTTGCCCGTCTTGTGCTCTCCCACTCCGACCCAGTGGCGGCTTTGCAGTCGCGTACGGCTGTCGTCGCTGACGAGAAGATCTTCAACCTTGACCTCAAGGGCGCCGTTGACGGCAAGTACCCGGGCCCCGTGGTCAACCAGAAGAGCTCTGGCCGTTGCTGGCTGTTTGCCACCAGTGAGTAGTCGCGACCGCGAGGGTCCCCGCGGAGCGTTCGTCTCTAACTAGCGCAGCCAACGTCCTGCGCTACAATATTGTGGAGCAGCTCAAGCTTGGTGACTTCCAGCTCTCCCAGTCGTATCTCTTCTTCTATGACAAGCTTGAGAAGGCCAACTACTATCTGGAGAATGTCATCGACCTGACCGATAAGGAGCTCGACAGCCGTCTCCTGAGCTTCCTCAATGAGGCTCCCGTCAACGATGGCGGCCAGTGGGACATGGCCTACAACCTTCTGGGTGAGTACAGCGTGGCATATGGTGCCAATGCAGACCATATGGTCTATACAGTAGCATGCTGACATCTAACAGAAAAGTACGGTGTCATCCCGCAGACTCTCTACCCAGAGTCGTTCAGCTCGTCGTCCTCGTCCCGCCTTGGCCGTCTCCTGACCTCCAAGCTGCGCGAGTACGCCCTTCTCCTCCGCGGCGCCGCTGCCACCCAGTCGGTCGACCAGCTCCGCAAGCTCAAGGGCCAGTTCATGGCTGAGGTCTACTCGACTCTGTGCATCACCCTCGGCACTGCCCCCAGGCCCGACGCACCTTTCACTTGGGAGTACTATGACAAGGCTGGCAAGTTCCACTCATGGACTGGAACTCCTCTCGAGTTTTACGCGGCCTTTGCGCGCCGTAAGGGCATGGACCCCAAAGACAGCTTTTCCCTTATCAACGACCCCCGCAACGAGTACGGCAAGCTGTACACTGTCAAGCGCCTGGGTAACATCTGGGGTGCCGGTGGCGTCCGCTACGTCAACGCCCCCACTGAGGTCCTCGAGGACGCTGTCATTGCGGGAATCAAGGCCAACACCCCTCTCTTCTTTGGCTGCGACGTTGGCAAGTCATCCGACAGCGCCACCGGCATCATGGACACGAAGCTGTTCGACCTCGAGGCCGCCTACGGCTACACTCTGGGAATGGACAAGGCCCAGCGTCTCATCATGGGCGACAGTAGCATGACCCACGCCATGGTCATTACGGCAGTTCACCTGGACAAGGACGGCCGTCCTGTGAGGTACAAGGTCGAGAATTCGTGGTCCAACACGGCTGGCCAAGACGGTTGGTTCATGTGCACCGCCGAATGGTTCAGGGAGTATGTGTACCAAGTGGTCGTCCCCCGCTCGCTTGTCGACAAGAAGTGGTCCGACGTGCTTGACGGTGGTAACCCGGTCGAGCTCGAAGCTTGGGACCCGATGGGTGCTCTTGCTTGAATAGAGTGGATATGGCAAGGTTAGAAAGAGGAAGAAGTAACGATACCGAAATATGCAAGTACCTTCGCAGGATGCTGAGGGATGAGACGTTGTGCAACTGTGGGTGACGGTACGACGGCGCAATGACAGCATTGCCAACCCCCGGGGGATCTGCAAGCCAACACGGGTGTTCGTCACCAACGACCCGTTGTCCACGAAGCCGAACTTGCCACCCCACAGATGTGGCAAGAAGCTGGCGAGGCTTGAAAAAACATCATGACCGTCACAGGGACGTCTAGCTGTTGGACGCAGTTGACCGGAACCTGTACACGTTCCTCGTGACGTCATAGCCCCTCTCCTACCAGGCTGGGATTGCGCAGATGCCCGTCGTGCGGCCCAGACGTTGGCATTGTAATAAATTAACCACGATACATATTCTAATAGTAAGTCTATAGAGTGGGTGGTCCATGGCCACGCGCTAGACTGGGTATAAGCCCCATGGAACAGCGCGTACCAAGACATAGTGGTGGACGAGTGGCAGTGTCCGTCATGCCGCTCGCGCGCCCGGTGACTGTGTTTTGTTCACCGGGTCGGCAAGGAATGGTTTCGGGGCAGCGAGGAGCAGACGGTGCTCGACTACAGCTGCGCCTTTCCGAGAGTGTCCGCTCATGCGTCCTTCACGGCGCGGGTAGAACGGGCACGAATGGCACCGCCCTTGAAGAAGAAGATGAAGGGGATGAAGACGATGACAACCGAGACGCAGGCGATCGTGAGCATTGCCCACTTGAAGGAAACGTAAGGGTCGCTGTCGTAGCCAGCAAGCATTTGAGTGATCTAGAGAGTCAGCACGGTGTGCGTGAAGGGTTTTTGTTGAATTTCCCAGAATTACTTGGGGGTTTCTTGTTACTCACCCAAAGTGGAACTGAAGCTCCAACACAAGACCTCATCAACGTCTTCGCAGCGACCGCAGACGCAGCAAAGTCTGCGTACGAGTCTACGATGTAGCTGTTCGCAGCAATGTAGATAATGATCATGCAGTAGCCAAAGAGGCCGCCGGCGATGCAAGGTCCGACCCAAGTCATGCCCCTGTATGAGGTGAAGGCGAAGATGAGGAGTGAAATGGGCAGAATGATTGCTCCCAGAAGCATGGGGTAAAGGCGAGCCTCGGGGATGGCACCGTTGCGGCAGTGACGCTTGTACAGCTTCTCCTGGATGGGCATGCAGGCCATGGCGAGGAGCATACCGATGATGATGGAAACAAAGGCGACGCCAGTCATGCCCGCGCTCCAGCCGCGAAGTTCCTCAAAGGCCACGGGGAAGGCAAAGAAGAGGGCGTAGAGCAGAGCGTAGATGAACGAGAGGTAGAAGCTCATGAAAAGAATGACGGGCTCGAGGAACATGAGGATAAATGGGCGAACGAGGGCGACCTTCATGCTCTCCTTGAAGGGGACGGCGTCGACATCGTGCTTGGAAATGTAGACGGTGGTCTTGTGCTCCTTGTTAAGCTTCTTGGCCTTGTTGCGAAGAATGACAGTACCCAGAGTCTCAGAGGTGAAGATGGTGGAGACGAAGACGGCGCCAATAAACATGAAGAGGACCCAGTAGATCCAGCGCCACTGGTGAGTCTTGTCCGCAATCCAGCCGCCAAAGAGGGGACCAAGACATGGGCCCAAAAAGATCGTTGCGCTGAAGACGGCCTTTTTAACGTCAGTCTCGTGTCAAGGCAGTGTAGGTGTTGTGCTCACCATTGGGATACCGCGATCCTCGACGCTCCAGAGGTCGGAAATCGAGCCGCCAACGTTGGTCATGGGCGCGGAAGCTGAAATACCAGCGAGCATACGACCAGCAAGCATGGTGGCAGAGTTCTTGGCGAGACACGATGGCAGGGTGAATATGAAGTAAAGGAACATGGAGACAAGATAGATGGGCTTGCGGCCAAAGACTTCGGACAGAGGTGCGAACGCCAGGGGTCCGATACCAAAGCCGAGGACAAAGAGGGAGATGGAAAGGTAGATGACTTCGTCGCTGGCATGCAGTGTGGTTGCCTGGCCGGGGAGGTCACCAGTGGGCATAGATGAACCGAGGGCGACGGCAAGGCAGAGGAATGAACAGGCAATAGTGGAGTACCTGGACAATGTCAGTCCGATTGTGTCTCGGAGCAAATCACACAAAGCTCACCACTTGCGGCCCTTGCCCCATTCATGAGGGTTTTCACCCATACCAGGCTCAAAGTCGACGATGATGCGGCCACCGGCCTTCTCGACGTCGATGGGGTCACGGTGAATCACGGTCGACTCGCCAGTCGAGGTGCGGCGGTCGCCAGCGCTGGTGACGCGACCCAATACTTCCACATCTTCCTCGCGAAGTGCCTCTTCTTGGGCGTTGCTGAAGATGGGAGGGTATGCGAATTCTGCCTCAACGGGCTCAATCATGGTGTGTGGTGTGTGTGTAGGATAGGGAGAGTAGTGGTACGGTAATGGGGTAGCGAGTCGGAGGGGACTATGATTAGGAAGTCCGGAGAGAGGAAAGGTGTTGTTTGTCGGGAGTCTGTATGAAGATGGTGTCTGCCTACCTGCTGGGCCATCACCTATATGTATCTCTGCATTTCCCACCCCCATCAGCGGCATCATCGTCAGTCTTGGTCAGACCGTGAGTTGACATTGTTGCAGTCCGCGCTCTCCAACGGGTCCGGGTGGTGACATTAGGGTGAGTAACTGCTAGAACCAGCCCATTCGGACGGTCCGCCGCGCGTTGTCGCGGGGCTGACGGCCACCGCCGTGGCCTGGAACGCCAGCGTACGACCGTGGGAAGGAATGTCACACGGTTAGCGCAGGCTATGGGCTGGCCAGGGCTGCCGGCGGCTCGCTCGGCCGCGGCGCCATCCGCTCCACGCCGCTCCACGGCACAGGAAACTCTAATGCAATTACAACAGTGGTTACAGTGGACCGGCACCGCAATTACAATGGGGGAACCAAGATTATATGGTAATATCGGCCAACTGGAGTCCGACGTCAACCACGGCCGAGAATGCGGTTGCTGACGGCGAGAGCTTAAACAGGCCACAGGGTCGCTGCCCAAGCAGCCAGCACCGTTCGTCCCCGCTGCTGTTTTCACAACCGTAGCGCATTCTCACCCAGCACCATGTAGTGTGTCGCTCGTTGTGCAGCAATCACATGTCGAAGCCATCGCCATCGAGGCACACGTCTAGACTATTCATTTGGCCATGTACGAGAATCTTCCATCAAAAACAAGCATTATGCAAAGCGGGCACGTCAACCAGTCAGTTACAAATTATTTACTGCTTATGTAAGTGCGGGACAAAGGGCAGATCGTATTTGCAAGCAACGTCCAGAATGCTACGCAATGCAACTGCGCGGTGTCCTTACAGACAACCCAAATCGCCCTGGGTAACCCATGAGCGGTACCTGCCGTCGTCCAACAGGGAGAGCAACCGCGAGAGCACGGCCCATTAGCCATTAGCTGTTAAGCTCCAAACCACTGACTGGATAGCACCGAACCTCCTTGCCCCACAGCGGCCACATCCCAGCATGATCAGCCTTTTCATTCACTGATCCTGTGCCACTGATCCACTCGCTCCTTCCCGCCCACTGACCACCGTCCCGCCCTTCCACACAGACACACACACACACACACACACACACACCCGGCTCACGAGGCGTGTCCCCCGCTGGCACGCCGGCTGCTGACGCGCCGACTGTCTGTAATACACGTGGGTTTGAGGTCTTGACATAGCAAGCTGTGCCCTCGATAGTGAGGCAGAGGTCGGTCCGTAATCCCTCAGATCACCTCCAGAGTACTCTCCATCAACGCACGCATGCCCATCCATACCACGCCTCCCACCCAAGAACGGACCTCCCAAACAGTATTAGCGGCCTGACAACGTGAGTAGAATGTACCATTTGTGCGGCTCTTGGGGAGGGAAGGTTTGTGTTCAACGGGGGTGCTCACAACGCCTGCAGGGTTGCGTCTGCTGACCACTCTTGCGAAGACTACATTGGGCAAGACGACCCTGATTCCGAGCATGACGAGGAGATTGATGAAGAAGACATCAACAACGACGACGACGTGCAAGCCAGCGCCCCTCGTGCGCCGAAAAGCAAAGCCAAGGCACCTCGTCCGTGTGTTGCGAGCCCCTCAGCTGCCCGCCCTGACCCTTCCTCCAAGGCGCTCGGCAAACGCCGTCAGCTCAACGAGGAAGACCACACCCGCGCGGACGAAGAAGACTTGGCCACCGACAATAATGGTCTGCAGGACACCATGGCCCGTGCCGCCAACGTCATCGTGAGTCCTGGCCTAGGCCGGCTTCGTTTAACGGCGTCGATGACAACAGCGAGGCCCCCGTGGACTGATCGTGAAGAGATTGGACGAATCAATTCCGACTGCATTGTACAAACAAATCCTGACGTATACCAATTACAGACGCGATGGCCACACGGGCTTACGCTTCTCGGCAAACGCAGTCATACCTGGTTCGTCAGCATCCCACAAACACTGTTACGCACCTTCCTTCATGTCTGGGGTCGAAAACAGTGCATGGAACAGGCGGCGCTCAAAACGTAAACCCTGCCCAAGGGGAAGTTCAAGTGCTGGCCGTCAGCGCGTTGCATCGTTATCGTTTCCACTCACAGGCATTGACTGCCTCTTTACCAGCCTGCAGGGCAAGGGCTCCCTTGGTTGCGAGCTGTTCGGCCACCTTTGTCGCAGCGGCGACGACACTTTCGCCCTCTTTCGTGAGTCCGCTGGCAAGACCGAAATCGTACGCCTCCTTTCCAGACAGCTTGCGGTCGTTCAGGACCATGTCCATCGTGCGCGTCTTGCCTATGAGGTGAGCAAGGCGCTGAGTTCCGCCAGCACCAGGGATGACGCCCAGGTTTATTTCCGGTAGGCCAAACACCGCGGTCGGGGTGCAAACGAGCAAGTCTGCCATCATGGCCAGCTCGCAGCCTCCTCCCAGAGCGTATCCGGCCACTCCTGCCACGATAGGCTTGCGGATCGCCGCCACACGTTGCCAGCTGCTGAGGGCATCACGAGAGTAGGCTGCTGCGACTAGTGGAAGGGGTCAGACATCCACGAGGTTCCGTCTCATTTCGACGTCTGCAGCAGCTGACAACATACAAGTGTTGGCACCGAGCTCCTTGATGTCTGCGCCGGCAGCGAACACTTTGTCCCCTCCCGTGATCACGATGGAAGCGACTGTATCGTCGTCGTCGGCTTCGGCAAGGTACGCGTTGAGCTGGCGGAAGAGGCCGTCGCTCAACGCGTTCAGCGCCTTGGGGCGATTGAGGGTGAGGATGAGCACACGTCCAGAGGGCGAACGGGACTTGACAACGAACGGATCAGAGGCGGTCATGGTCGTGTAGTGGTTTACGAATGCACAAGAGAGAGATGCTGGGAACGAGATGCAACGCCTAAAACGGACATGGCCGCTGGAGTCGGCTAAATGATGTCACTTGCCGGCCCTGCCGGCGACTTATGGTTGCCGAGGGAGACATGTCTGGGTTTCTGAGCAAGACGTTGACGAAGCATGTCCTTCTTGCTCTGGAGGTGTCCATGAGAACCAGTGACTTATGGGACAAGCGGGACATACGTGCACCCCGTTACTCGCGTTCCTACAAGATAATCTTCATTGGGATCATGGCCTGGCGCCACGGAAATCGGGATCCGCTAGGAGCCTGTCCATGGCGTCCACCTGGAGCCAGAGGGTTGCACGCACACCTGGATCGTACCAGCGACCACCGGTGACGCCTGGAACACGCGTAATCGTCGCGTAGCCTCCAAATGCCATGACCAAGTTGTGCACCAAAAGAGGCGGACCTCCACCAAAGTCGGCATCATGGAGTGCGGATCGCGACCAGTTGGTCGTGCACACTGATGTTGTGCCAGGGAACACGATGCAGTTGCGCGACGGGTCTAAATCATGGGCACGGAGGTGGAGCCATGCAGCCAAGATGTCTGGCTTTGTCGTCTCGATGGCACGACGGATACGTGCCGCTGCCCATCCTGCACCGTTGGGGCCGACGACTTCATCCGCATGGGCCTGCATGCCCAAGCAGACGTTAAAGCACCCGGGGGCTGTGCTTGGCAGAGGGTTTGTGAAGCGCCGACGAGCATCACATGCCATTGAAAAGTCGAGAACAATGTCGCCAGTTTGGCCTCTCGCACGGGCGACGAGGCGCCAAATGTGAGCGGCAAACGCGTCCTGAGCGCTGATGTGTTCTGCAGTTTCTCGCTTGGCCCGAGCAGCGATACGTTGCACATCTTCTGATGTAAAGTCCAGGCCGTATGTCCTTGTGGGAGCATCAGACAAGGTGTGCCACGGTGGCAACGTTCCCCGTCGTCGACCCCTCTCGGCATCCAGCGTGTCGACTTCGGATGGGGGCCCAACTGCCTGCGATGGCGGGGGGTTGCACAATCCAGTCGGGTCACGGGCCCACGCATCATACCGGAACACGTCAAGCGAGGACTCGAGCTTTACAAGGGCTGGATCCTCGTCTTTGGTGTCAAGATCGCCAGCTGCATTCACGTCGCAGGCCTGGAAATCGTAGGGGCGGTGAGGGATGAGCGGCGTTTCTCCACGCGCAATGGCCGTGTGGATTGCAGCCCAGTCGGTAAGGAAAGTGCCGAGCGCACCAGCATCGAAGAGAATGTGTGAAGCAGAAACACACAGAGCGGCACCGCCGCACGAGAAGCGTGTAACCTTGACACCAGCTAATGACATCTCGTCGCCATCCCTGCCGCGCTGCAGATCTGGCGCGAGTGTGAAGTCGTTGAGGACTGAAGCGTCCACGACACCTGGGTGCTCGGCGACCGGGGGAGGTAGGGCGGCACTCATCGGCATGGCGCGTTCCTCAAATTCAAGAGTCATACCTGGATCATCTGGATGTCCGTAATCCATCCATGTGCGGTGGTATCGCTTCGTGTATGGCCGTCCATGGTCGTCCGGCCGCGCCAGCCGCAGACGGCCAGCCAGTTGAGGGTAGGCGCTGAGGATTTCTGCGAGAGACTCGGCCAGGTACTGGGGATCAAGGTGCACAGCGGCCGGTGGTGAATAGAACAGTAGCCCAGTAGCATCCGGGGCACCACGGCTGGCGACACTTGCAAGTGGGACGGGTGCCGTGGTGGGATTTGCTGGTGACACTGCAGGGTGGACGAGCTGTCGAGAAGATGACGCCATTGTGATGCCCAGATGACGGTGAATGTGTTCCCGTGCCGACTAGTTCACTCAGAGCTCGTCGACTTTGTGCTGAAACACGTAGCGCGTAGCAGTTGGGTATTCTTGCCCGATGAGGGATGGCGAGGTGATGGGCAACAACAAGAGACTGTCCATTCGCATTCGGCTCCGACATTCGAGTCAGGCAACGACCTCCCGCAATCCGGAGCCGAAATGTTGGCACCATAACCGACCAGCTTTCATGTGCCGAAAAGCAGTGAGGAGCCACTCTACGTATCAGCAGTCGGAACGGGAGGGTGCTGAGCGTGCGACGGATCATCGGAGGCTGGAGTAAGATCCTCAAAGCTATGTGTACTGTACTCACCAAACACGCCCGCGACCGCGTGTCCCTCAATCGCGGCTGATATCAACCCCTCCCGAAATCTGACCAGATTAGCCGCGTCGCTTCGTTTGTCTTTTCAGATCAACCGTTGCCCAAGAGACAAGACGATGATGTGCATGATGAGGCTACATTATAGCTCGGCGAGATGCCACGCTATCGAACGGGAATATCAGTCCCTAGCGTTTATTGCCAAACTGTTGTGTTCGAAATGAGCGTTCGGGCCATTGACCGTCCACTTTCAAAATCACCCCCTCTCGCCCCCCCCCCCAAACCTGGGAGTCGACGCGGAGGGCACATATTCCGGCTCTTGGGCCTTCTTGTGAAGCGCCGAGCGCACCGAACATCATGCTGACTGTTCGCATCAACATTCTTTTTCAATCCTCGGCGTCCTTTCGGCGTTCTCTTCAATGTGGATCGGCCATATCGGTCCGATGGCCTTCGTCGTGGACATGTTGTGATACCCGGCTGATTTACTTTGTAAACGGGCCGACACTTGCACACCACACGCTCAGAAGGGGCCCGTACACACTGTGGAAGCACAGACCTGCAGACAAACGTGGGCATTCCCGCTGCCAAAACGCAACTATCTACGGACACGGCTTGGATGTTGGCGTGTAGGCACAGTTCACTGAAACAACGACGTTGATGACAGAAAATCCTCGTTGGTGTGTCGAAACCCCCACAGAAGGAAGGGCGGCGTGTTGGCCGTTGGGAATTCCGACGACTCCAACGATGGCCGGTGGTGGTCACCACATTTGTTGTCCACGGCCACTGCGCTGAGAAGCAGAGCGCGGAGCAAAAACGGTTGATTGTCGGGTCGGCTGATTCTATGGCTTCATGCGGGGCCCGATGGCGTCCGCTCGGTCTGCCCGCAACACCTGTCGGCCACTATAAAGCCAGTGGACGTCCAGTAAGCATGCACACGCGTACCCTACCCCCAACACGTTGCAAAGTCACTTAAAGACGCTTGCACCATGAGCGAGCAGACCATCATTGGAGACGAGAGCCTTCGCGGCGTTCTGCGTCCAGACTTCCTCGTCGCTGCCTCGACGGCTTCGTACCAGATTGAAGGCGCCTACGACCAGGATGGAAAGGGCCTCACCAACTGGGACAACTTTCTCAAGGACAATCCCGAGAACGGAAACGACGCTGTCATGTCGTACAAGTACTGGCGCGATGACGTTGCCTTGCTCAAGAAGTATGGTATGAACACATACCGCTTCTCCATCGCGTGGGCACGCATCAAGCCCCTCGGTGAGTGATACTGTTCATTGTGCACAGCACAGCGCGGCACCTGGTGGCTTGATTTGCTGACCAGTCAGGCGGCAAGGACGACCCCATCAACGAGAAGGGTATCGAGTACTACTCCAACCTCGTGAGTCAACCCTCTCTTCTCTGTGGTGGATCTCCCACGCACACAACATGCACTTTGATCCTGGCTGATCCGTTCGCACCTTCTACCCTCTGGTGTATATTACTTACTGGCGTCAGATTGACGAGCTTCTCGCCAATGGCATTGAGCCATGCGTCACTATATTCCACTGGGACCTGCCTCTCGAGCTCGACAAGCGTTACGAGGGCTTTGCCGACACTGAGCGTCTTGTTCCCGACTTTGTTGCCTACGCGCGTATCCTGTTTGAGCGTTTCGGCGACCGTGTGAAATACTGGATTACAATCAACGAGGTGAGCCCTATCCACGTCAATGGATCAATGGCTAACCATCAGCCTCTCATCTACACGCTCTGCAACTGTATCGAAATGCACGTCGACGATTTCCCCGAGTCCAAGTACGTTGCGTACACGAGGAGCATCCTCCTCTCCCACGCAAAGACCGTGGACATGTACCGCCGCGAGTTTGCGCCCAAGCAAGGTGGTAAGATTGCTATTACCCTCAACATGGACTGGGTCGTTCCTCTGGACGACTCTGCCGAGGCCAAGAAGGCCACGGACATTGGTGTCAACCACATGTTTGGCATGTACGCCGACCCAATCTGTACGTGCATATAGCGCCGTTCATTATGTTGACACAACAAGACAAGGGCCACTTCCCCCAGACCTGCATCGACCGCTTCGGGCCCACCCTTGCCCTGTCCGAGGACGAGTGGAAGCTTGTCAAGGGCTCCAACGACTTCTTCGGTCTCAACCACTACAGCACCTCGTATGCCACTGGCAAGCTCCTGCCATACGAGACTGCCACTCCCGTCGAACGCGTCTTTGGCCTCATCGAGACCACCGTGGAGAAGGATGGGGTTCAGATCGGCCCTAGGGGTCAAAACGGCCACCCCACCCAGGTCCCCTGGGGCTTCCGTCTCCTCATCCAGCACATTCACAACACGTACTCAAAGGAGGCGGGCCACACGCTCTACGTGACGGAGAATGGTTTCGCTACTCTGGATGAGGGCAAGCGTCCCCTGGAGGAGATCCTCAAGGACACCGAGAGGCAGGCCTACTATGCCCTCTACCTTCGCGAGATTGCACAGGCCGTCCGCGACGACGGTATCGACATTGGCGGCTACATGGCATGGTCTCTTCTGGAGTGAGTCCCTGGGACAGAACAGAACCCTGCTGCTGCAGTTCGTTACTGACATTTCAGTAACCTCGAGTGGACTGGCGGCTGGGCTCCTCGCTTTGGCATCACCTATGTGGACCGCAGTACTCCAGAGTACAAGCGTATTCCCAAGGACTCGGCCTTTATGCTCCAGCGTGTGTTCAAACATATGATCAAGGACAAGCAGTGAACAGGGGGTCGAGGCTGGGTTGGGAGACGTCGCGTATGAACATAACTGGCCTGTTTCTTGGTTAGTGCCGTGGGATGTTAACCGAATGTCACCACTCTCACGTAGAGCTCGGAGTTGAGGATCGGGCAGAAGACTGGGGTATGGATGTAGACAACAGTTTCTCTAACCTGTCACAGACTCTTGCGATGCCCAATAGACTTTGAGGTGTTGAGAACCATTCGGTGCGCCACGCCGTGAGATCGGTGTTGTCCGACTATGTGTTTGGCCTGTTTGGGATTGGGAGTCTGTGGCTGATCGGCCCTTGGCCTTATGACGAATGCGCCTGTGCGGTGAGTCAGTGTGCATTCTGTCAGCAGGCGGCCGGCCGCCGGACGTGTGACTCTCTGTCTCGAGTCTTTCGAATCAGGCAGGGACATGACAGAGAGACACCCCACCCCCTTAGTCCTCGCTGGATCGCTGGCCCACCCATGCGCACGACATCGTGAGACGACATTTGGGGCTATGGCGGAGCGACCAATAGGACAACTCGATAAACCTATTGCCGCATTTCGAATGCAATGGGCTCACCACTGCCGCCTCGTGCCAACAACACGCGGGCAAAGAATGGCGTCCTACGCTTCTCAACCGGTCTGACTGAGACAATACCCGGCCGACGCGGGGGGTCTCAAGGGCCAATCCAGCCCATGGGGTGGGCCTGGCTCTGGCTGGGTGTGGCGTGGACGGTGGACATGTCCGACCCCGATGCACCCCCACCCCCACTGCCGCAGCTGTGGCGCCACCCCCACACATCACTGGCTGGAGATAGCCAGCCCTCTTTCTCCTTGCTCACTGATTGGAGACCACCCACTTCCAAGCCGCATCACCTACACCCTCTCCGTCCCGCTGCGCCACCCAGGAAGTAGCAAAGGGCAGTCACATGGGCAACAAAGTCACATGGGCAACAAAAGTCCCCATTGATCCATTGACCCATGGCCCCGCTGTCCTTTTTTCGAATTTTGCGGGTGTGGCATGCCCATGTGGGCACTTTCGGGTGCCATTCCCTGACAAAGGAACGCAACAAGATCACCACCACCGCATCGCATACCCCACCGGTCGACTGCCGACCCTCGTCGGTCGGTGGCAGCTGTCCGTGGGTCCGTGCACAGTTTACGCGGGGAGTTGGGCTCCCGAAACCTTGCGCGGTGCGTCGACAGCAACGTCGTTCAAGTGGCATGCTCGAGTTCTTGGCGCACCCCCAATGCGGCCTAGTCCTGAAGCATGTGCCAGGGCTGTGGTACATATGGCGCCCGGGCCCCGATGGCACGGGGGTCGTCACGCGGCGGGGCCACTTCCACTAACAACGCGGATGGGGGTGTGTGGCACCGGCATAGCACACCAAGGAGACCGGCGGTCTAACAGACGAGAACACAACGGAGCCTCTCCGATCGGGGTGGTGCCACCGTCTGTGGCGCACCTGCGTTTACGGTTTTGGATCAGAACAATGTTTCCGGCGGCAAAGGCCTCTGTCTCAGTTCTCCGTCCCAGTCCCAGCCCGTCGTGACTGATAGCAGTGCCGCTGACAACGCCTCGGGCGAAACGCAGTCCACAGCAACATCAGTCGGCGAGGTCCAGAGCAAGATACGGCGCCCGCTTGCCGGGCGAGTTGGGCGGCTGGGGACAAGGGAGATCGATGTAGAACATGTCGCCCGTACACAACAGGCGCTAAGCTATATGACGACGCCTCCACGCACGCCTCATTGTGTCAGATTACCGCAGTGTAGTCCGGGAGGGCGCTTCGGGGTGACGGACATGGATTTTGCGACCTCCTGCTGCCTTCGAGCTGCGCAGTAGAGACCGTTGGGAGTGACCGGTTGAATGGTTAGGAAGGTGCAGCTCGTCATCTGAGAGAGGCCATGGCAAAAAAGGGGGCGTGGTTGTAGGGGACTGGCCTTCCCGCATATCAAGTGTAGCTTTCAGTGTTAGACAGCAGTGCAGAGTGGATAATGTGATAGCATGGCGGTAAAGCTGTGGACTTGACTTCACTTCCGGGTACAGATACTGTCTTCTGATTCTCTCTGTTACATGCACGCTCTTTCACCGTTTAATGAACACCTCTCATGACAGGTGTTGTGCTTTGGACAACAACTGAACAACTGAAACGATAACTGTGCCCACACCTTCACCCTTGCTGGTGCCACACCTGTGGGGCAGCCGGGAACCAGTTGGCCATGTCGACGTCCAGAGCACTGATATCGAGGTTTCCAGCCGCAGCCGAATCTGCTGTCAGCAGGGTACTACGAGGGGATAAAATTACCATCGTTCTGCGGGAACCAGGCTGCCAAGTTGAATTCGTCGGTCCACAACCCAGGCACCAGCAGGGAGCCGATGTTGTTGCTATCCGGAACAGAAGCAGTAGCAAGCATGCCGCCAGGTCCTGGTGCAAGAGAGTTAATGGTCTGCACCGGGTCGTTCCAAGGGAACGGGTTGAACCCCGGGAACTGGTTGACAGCCTCGGCGACAACTTCTGGCGCGGAAGGTGGCGACGGGACAGGCGCACGCGAGGCCTGCTCGCTCATGCGTGTGTATGGTAGGATGCCCTGCTCCCGTGCGCGTGCGACAGTCCTCCTGAGTCCGTCGGCAAATGGCCGCACCGGATCTGCGGTTAGTCTCGAGGGAAAGGATAACGAAAACGCACAATAGGGTAGCTTGATCAGGAGACGGTCAATGTCGAGGCTGATGGTAAACAGGTCGCTGGCGTCGGGGAGCAGCTCGCACATGCGAATGAGGTAGCGAGCGGTGGCGACAATGCCCACATCTACAGACGGTTAGCGGGGGAGACGAAGAATGTCTAAAGAACAACGCACGGAAGTTGTGGTTGCCAAACTCCGAGTCCTTCTCCAGGCGCTTGTTGGCCACTGAGGAGACAAGGAATGCAGCACTGCGCATCGCCGCTGTCACCCAGAGCTGACGGTCCGGCGACAGACGCTTCACGTCGTCCTTGGTCTGTACGCCGTACCATGCCAATGAGTTGCCAAACATACTACCGGTTAGTTCACATCATGCAAGATTCACCCACATAGCGTAGGACTTTTGGTTGTCCACTGTTTGTCAGTTTAAGATTTGGAACTGCCACACTCACATTCAATCCTAAGGAAATGTTCGCGAGGGACGCCCTTGGACTCGTAATAGTCGTACCAGTACTCGTACAGTTCGTGGATACCCTGGTTGGCGCGCCTGAGGGTCTCGTCCATCTCGACCTGGTCAAGCGATGCGACCGACTCGTAGGGACGGAAGGCCGGTTCGCGAATCTCGCACATCTCCGTGGAGATCACCAGACGCGTGTCGTAGAGCGTCGAGAGTGGGTGGTCGAGCAACTCGCGCGCGTACTGGGTACGCTTTCCACCTTGCGATGGGAAAAGAATCGGGAGGGCATGGTTGTATGAGATTCTGAGGTGGTCAGTGAGGTTAGTCGCAGTATACGCACTCATAAGCCAGGCGAACAAGCTGGAAACCATCAGCATTGGAACTTTTTTGCTCAGAGCGGGCAAGTAGATGCTCACCGCCAGCCAAAGACGAGCGCCAACGACGAGTGGACGCTGACGTTCAAGCATGTGATGGGGTTGGCGGGCGTCACACTTGATCTTGTGAAGGTAGGGGAGGCAGCGGTACAGACGCATATCCACACTGGAGAATCGGTCAGCTGGGAGGGGACGGCCACGAGCAGCCACAAGAGGAGGACCTACGCGAGGGCCATGGCGTGACCTGTGTGGCGTCAGTTGCCGCATCCCGAAAACGAATACCAGGTGTCTCAACTCACAGCAGGTGCGCCACGCGTGTTCCGAATATGAGATCAGTACAGCTGAGCGACGTGTCAGAAGTGGGGCTGGAGCGGACAAAGGAGAGCGTACCGAGGCCCTGTACGGTTTCGAGTGTGGCTAGAGGGGAAAACAAGGTGATCTTGGCTGCAGAATGCGCGTCAGCGCCTCGTCCAGGGGAGGACTCCACTGAGGTTGTCCGTCCGACGCACCCATTCGCTCGACCTGCTCCTGGATGCACCGTGAGAGTTCCGACGGCGGACCCGTTGCTTCGCGCTGGCGAAGAGCAACAAGGAGAATGACAGCAATGCAGAAGGGCGACCGCCTGCGAAGGCTGAGGAAAAGGTCAGTTACATCCACTCTGTAGGATGAAAGAACAAAACTGACCTTTCCCACGTGTCCTCCCTAGGATCAAAGACTGGCACGAACGGGTGTGCATACTTGAAAAAGGCCTGGAAGAGACGCTGGCCTTCGTCGACTGACAGGTATCCCATGGAGATGGGGTCAGACGAGTCGCGGATGGGGTCACCCTTTTCGCGAATAGGGGATGGGATCCACTCGACGTCGTGGGCGACTCCATCAGGACCCTCAGTACGGCGCCGCTTCGTGTCTCGACTTGTCTTGCTTCCTTCACGTTTCTTGGCCGCAATGCCCAGGTGGAACCCCTGATCCATAAAGTGCAGTTCCTCCTCGCGCTGCGTAAAGTGACGGAAGGGCTCGCCCTCCATAGCGGACTCGAGAGCATCATCCTCGCTCATTGTCGATGGCGACATGCTGCGCACGATGTGTGACGGGAAACCATTGGGCCGGTGGCCATCAAAGGCGCCGACCCCGGTCGCGGCGGCTACCGCCTCTGCCGCTGGGTTGGGCATTAGGGAAGGCATCACGGTCGCGTGGATATGTGAGGGGACGGGCTCGTGGAGGGGGACACCCATGTCGTCTGGACGAGACCAAGGCGTGCCGATCGAACCAGTCGAGGAAGCGATCGCCGGCGGTACCGAGTGAACCGAGTGGGCAGAGATGACAGACATCGGCGCCGGGTAATCGCGAAGCCGCGGCCGGTCCTGGACAGAGGGAGCGGACATTGGGCGCTGAGGAGGCGGCAGCTGGTCGCCAGGTGTTGTGAGGACGCCAATGGACTGGCTGTCTCGCACGTAGCCCGATACAGACGCAGCTGACATGGCTGTACGGGGCGAGACGGTATCGAGCTGGCCTTCTGTTGTTGACGGCGTGCCAGGTGCGGGACGGGGACGAGCGAGACGGAAGAGCACATTGCTCATCTCGTCAAGCTTCTCAAAGATGCCCGTGACGTGACCTTCGAGCAGCTCTAGGCGGCTATGGCAGTCAGCAACCGATATAACACCTCGAACGGGGACGATGAAATGGAATGATGGTATCCACCCACCTCTTAGTCGCCTCTTGTTCCTCGAGAACGACGCGCGGGACGGGTGCCATGGCAAAGCGACACTGGAGCTTCATGTGCCTGCAGCGCTTGCATGGTGGGTTCTCCTTGTCAATACAGCGGATCTTCATCTTGCGGCAAGCATCCTGGGGCGGGGGGTCAGCGGGCGGAACATCTCTGATCCACAACGAGTATTCAACTCACGCAGGCACCTGTGTGTTTGCAGATCGATCACGAACCCCGGTTAGCAAAGATCCAAACACTTGCACACTTGTGTGTCCACGAACACATTTGGACGACTTACGCGAGGGTATCTCCATCCTGAGGTCGTCGTTGTGGCCCGATGAGCCCGTGGTGGTTCCATAACCGTCGTCAAAGGTCATTGCATCAGCCGAGCCTTGGTGGGCCATCGTCGAGAAGCCCAGGCGAAACAGCTAGCGCTGGCGAGAGCTACTGAGATGCAAGATGGTGGGCCACACTACGTTGTTGCTGGACGTGGATGCCAGTGCGATCGGCTGGTGTGGACTTTGTTGGGGCTGGAGAGGAGGAGTGCAGAGACGAGACCAGGATCCATATGGGAGTTTTAGGCTGCCCGAGGTCCCTTCTGTGAGGTGTGCTCTCGTTCGTACCTTGCCGTCGTCCTTGGCATCTCCGGGGCTGCGGCGGCCGGGGGGGGGGGGGGGGGGGGACAGGACCGAGTGACCCCTCCTTCAGCCATGGGCCCCGTGACTCTCGTGTGGACGCACCCAGACCGACTGCAGACCCGTACAACCATTGCCCCAAACCCCCCGTGTGCCGCAGTCATGCCATGGCCATGCCAGTTCCTGAGACCACCTATCTTTCCATTCTGCTGCAGGTCTTCCCGAAGCAATGAGGCAGCGCGCACGCACTGGCAAAAAACAAACACACCAACAACGCGAGCGCACACCTGGGGCCGGGAACAGGTAGTGTCCCTGACACAGGTCTCTCCTTGCCCCTCTTCCCCCCCACGCACGCGCGAGCGCGTGGTCGTGCGGGGCCAGCATATGCCAGCACGCTTGCCGGTATCGTGCATTCTTCCCATTCGCTCACGGAGTGCAAAAAGCCAGTTGCCGACTGCCTGCACGGGTGCCTTAAAAACATGCCCACACCCATCTTTTGCATATGGCGTCCGTCGAAGCCACCTCACACACACTAACGACGAGCACGGCCCTCGATATGGGGCACGGGTGGGCGGCGGTGGGCGAGGCCGCGGGCGAGGCGGCGGTACCCAGAGACGAGACGCTTCACAAAACATACCTCACCTCAGACAGCGGAAACGCAAAAGTCCCCACCACATCTGATGAGGGGCACACGACAGCTTCTGCTGCCAGAGCAGCAGCCGCTGCGCAGCAGGACGCTGACGGATACCAGGATATAGCTATAGCTGGGACAACGAAGGCCAAACAGAAGGTCGCGAAAGTCGGAGGATCGCCGATGTCTCCGAGTCCCCCGCCTCCGTCAACCTGATCTCGGCACCGTCTCGGGCATTCCCCGCGTGGCACCTGGTTGCGACCGTGAATGCCAGCTGCCTATTGGTCGCTTGGCAGCTGTCCATGCTCATGTCTTGCCTTTCACATGTGTGTTTGCCGCCATCGCCTGCCCCAGAGGAATATCTGGGGGCTCCATCGTGTCTGGCCCACAAAGACAAAGACAAAGACAAAGACAAGAATAGTGCTGTCACGCCGCCAAGTCCACATGTTCAGCTTGAGGCTGCCGGAAGGTGACGAAGCCGAAGCGGTAGGACGAAGGCCTGGGTCGCCTTGGGGAGGGCATTGTTTGCACCTGGTGTCCGGTTGCTCTTCCGACATTCCCTTACCCTCATTGTCTGTTTCCCACCACAATTATCGTGCATCGGCAATCGAGGAACGCCAGAGCGACACTGTCTGTGCTGTGGCAAGGATCGAGGATAGCGTTTCAGCGACGGTTTCAGCGGAGAACTGCGCTTTGCTGACCATATTTGTATTACTGTATTGCTGAAGCTGTTTGTCACGTCCATTTGGACAGCCGTTACTCTGTCGCCTGTCGAGGTGGGCTTGTCACTTCACTGACATAAACATGGTTTCAGTCAAGTGCCCCGCCATTTCCGGAAACAGAGAAGCTGGGACTGGTCTACATCACATAACCGTCGCCACCTTCCACTGACTGTCATATTCACAAGCCTGCGTCGAGGTTCCACCCCCACTTCCTCGGTGATCGGTGACTGAAGGAAGACTGAAGGAAGACACAGGACACCACAGGACACCTGTGACGCTGCAATCGGAGCTGTTTCTTCTAGCCATTGGCTACAAAGATCCTGAACGGTGAGTTGGGCTCCAGAAACGTGGACTCCGCCACACAGGGCGGGTTGAACGTGGGTGTCAAGGGTGCACTGCCAGCGCTTTCCACCATCTCCACATTATCAATCGGGGCCACAGGAAGCAAAAAGGGACCCGCAGTGGGGCTGATAGGGAACGACTCGTTGCTCGGTCTCGGATACCGCCCCAAAACGAGAGCGGTGAATGGAGAGGGGAGGGGGGGCATCCGGGAAACCTGTGGTGTTGGTCTTGTCTTCGGGAGCGGATGGACGTGTCCAGCCAAAAGTAGGGACCGATCCTTTTGTTGGATCACCTCAGTTGAGCCCTCCTGTTCCACTCGGGGTGTCGAGGCGCTGATGCCCTAGCCGCCATTGTCGGAATGTGAACCACGTCATTGAAGGGGGTATGAAGCTACCAACTACATACAAGACTGAGGGTCTGAATGCAAATGTGTGCACTGACAGGGTGTTGCGGCGAACCAACAGCGTGCAAGCCAAGCAGGTGATGATGTGGCAGGCGTCCAAGCTCCATTCCGTGCAGGGACTACCAAGACCCAGATGAATCGCTAGCGAACAGTCGTAGATGGCCTTCCACTTTGCCAGTCCGTTGCGGCCAAACAGTTGTTGAGGAGGATACTGCTTGGCGATGACAACGGGACCTGGGACTCTCAGCCAGTCGACCTGACACTCTTTGCTGGTCTGACGTGATCAAAAGAGGCACCACGTCGTTGATTGCCAGACGATCCTCCCTTGTAGCCACGTGCACTTACCCTCATGCATATTGCATGCGCGCTGCAAGCTGTCACCACATCGTTGGGTTGGGCAACGATACGAGTGCGACCTGGCACTCACGGAACCTAAATTCGACACCATCAAGAGTGGCATTTCCACATGGCCACATATGGACCTTGTGCTTCTCGCGCCACACCCCTCATAAGTATCTGCATTCTCAGAATTGGACAACTGCCCCAGTCATTCCGTTCCGATTGTCAATACCCTTCGAATGGTGAAACATGGCAGTTTGAGCCGTTGATACCGGCAAGCTGTGTTTGCAAGACGCACAAGCTGTGCTGCACGTCGCATTGATACCTCCCCGACCATCACATTGACTACCATGATGACTGGGCACGCCTTGTTCACGTCCATCCGTTGGGTTCCTTGTTGTGGGTGAGGAAAATGCTTGAGAGATGTGAGGACAATGCCTGAGACATGAGGCACATGTCTGAGTGTGCTGTGCGGCTCGCAGTGGATATGCTGACCTCTACACACCACGACAGCACTGCAGATGTGCTCTAGGCCCTTCCTCTGGTTGCATAGACACGACACAGTCCGCCGGGTTCGAGTATCTGAGACATTAGAAGACACTGATACTTGTGCTCCTGACGAGTGAGTATCTTGACATTGCCAAACTGTCTTTCGGCCAAGTCGGCATCCCTCTTCCTTTGCACATTGCTGAAACACGGCGTGGACACGGGTCTCTTCAGTCTCGACAACGTCGATCATTTGGGAATCACTCCTGGTCGTGAACGACCAGCTTTGCCATTGATAGGCCGTTGCTTCCAAAATGCAAGATGTTGGTTCTCTGATTGACAATCAGTTGACCTGCCACGGGTGGGCCTCATACCCGCCTCATGTGTATTTAAGAAGCCAGTCTTCACGCCAACAACTGCATCAAGTTCACACACCTCCCTTGGCGTTTACACGACCATTCTTTCAACCTCTTGGAACGCTTTCGACACACACAACTCGGCCAACAACAATACATCATGCAACTCACCAAGATCACTCTACTGCTCGGCCTCACTGCCATGACCAGCATCCCCTGTGTATCTGCCGACTTCGAGAAGAGGTTTGCCGTCGGTTCTTGTATGCGCTGTATCCAGGGTTTCGGCTTTCCGGGGGCAAGCTGTACCCGGCGTGACTCCTTTCTCCCAGTCAAAAAGCTCAACTGTGACGAGTACAGCGGAGCGTGGTTGTCCTACCAGTCTGACCCCAAGCTTTCCTGGAACGACAACAAAGACCACTACACTGTCTGCGAAAAGGACTCCACCCAGACGTGCGTGGAGCTAAACAGGTTCGAGGACAAGGACTACACGTATGACATGTCGTGGTCCGGTGGTGACGGAACTGTGATCGGCAACTGCTGGGCCGAACACTGGGAAACGGGCATGTGCATAGTCGCTGGCTTCTCTACGGACACCTGCTGGGGCGACTTCATGTGTCAATTCTGGTAACGACTTCTTCCGTTAGTTAACCAAAGAAGTATAGCGTAACAAACAACGCGTCACATTGCTTGTTCGGGTGAAACAGACGCAGGCAACGTTACTATGCCACTCACATTGATTACCATGCGCACCGGGTCACAATTGCTCAACGCAGGCAGAGTTCTTCGCCGCCGACAGAAAGGGGTGAATGCCTACTAGCATCGACTATTAGGTTGGGTTGAGTATACTATGAGGGGTCTATGTACATGGCGATGTGCGGGTACTTGTACGTTAAAATAATCGTTTATATGCAGGCGCAAGGTCTTCCTTTCCTTTCTTTACTCCGCCTTGGCCTTGGCCTTTGCACTTGCACGGCTTCGGAACTCTTCAGCCTGCTCGCGCGTCATCTGCGTTCCCAGCAGGTAGTCCCAGTTGGTGAAGAATGGCTGGGCATAGTTGTATTTCAAGCCATAGTGCTGGTGGTGAATGTCGTGGTAGTCGGCGTTGTTGGCAAAGAACATCTGGCAAGGGTCCCACCACAGACGGTAGCCGCAGTGGTCGTCGACTGTCTTCCAGCTCGCGATCGTGAACAGCAGCGTGGCCTGACGAACAGTCATAAAAGTGGCTGTGGCAGCCAAGAGAGCGCCAAGCGAGTCGAGGAGTAGGCCCTCGAACCACTGGTTGTAGAGAGCTCCAAAGGCGTACGGGACGTAGAGCCGGTGGTGGTGCGAGTGGAAAGCCTTGTACAGCGTAGGGTAGGTGTGCATAGCCCGGTGAAGCCAGTACTCGTAGGTGTCGATAAAAAAGCTGGTCATGGCCGTCAGCGGTCCGTCGTCGTTGTTTTCATTGTTGTTGTCAGGTGCCAGCCGTGCCTTGGTTGCGGGCCGCTCCGGGCACTTGGCTCATTCCGCACACACACACGACACGACCCGACACCCAAGATGCACAGGTTAGAGTACTCACAAGCCAAGAATCATCTGCACAAACGGAATGGCCCACCAGTACGCCCAAGAGACCACTGCAGGGCCGAGGGAGAGGAGGGCGCGCTCCCCAACGTTGCGGCCGAGGAGGAGGAAGGCCACGTCGACTACGCGAGGGGCAAGACGTCCCATGGCGGCGATGTGGTCTGTGCGGATCTCCGTCTCGAGGACCGACTCCTCCGACTCGAGGAACAGCAATCCCAGGCTGGTCTGGATGATGTGCTGCACGACGACCGCACGAATCACCTCCCAGAACGTCACCTTGTTACGGGACTTGAGCTCCTCGGGAGGGTGAATCCGGTTGCGCTCAAAGTACGGCAGCTCGGCCTCATCGATCAAGTGGAAGACGGTCGAGAGGATCCAATATGTCAAGACTGGTGCGGCGAGGGAGAGGTAGCGGTCGGAGATAAAGGACAAGAGGTGTGGGCGCGAGGTGTGGTACCATGGTGCTGAGAGCTCTGTGGGGGTGATTGCGGCAAGCAGGGATGTGTCGTTGGTTGACACAAATGATGGTAATGCGTCGATGAGGCGGGAGGGGAATAGCAGCATATGGAGCTGGGTGGTAAGACGGGTGCGGTGTGCGAGGGAGAGGGAATGTGATAATGGCCAGGTGTGGTAGCGACAGGCGGTGTGTGGGGTTTATTAAAAGGGTGTTGGATAGATGAGAACGAAATGAACAATGGCGAAAACAAAACGCCCGTCACACAAATGCTGGGTGCAAATGGCCCCCATCCGCCATGGTCGCATGACGCGCGCCCAGAAAATTGCCGCCGCCGCCCGGCCGCCGCGTGTGCCACCCGTCGTCGTCGTCGTCGTCGTCGTCGTCAACCCTGCTTGTTCGTTTCTTCTCTCTTCAGTTGTGCACGCATAGCGCAAACTGTACAGGATCCAGCTCGATTCTCTGGGACAAGACCATCGTATTTCATACATGCATGCATGTCCAGAGTGGAGGTCATCTAACACAAAGTGGCGGGATCGCCAAGTGTCGTTGCCTGCATTGCCTGCTGAGACCGGCCGCCGGCATTTCGCACCCGTCGGTCGGGGCATCGCCGCTCCCTCACTTTGATCACTGCCTGCCTGGCTTGCCATGAGGCCATGAGACTGCAGTCCAATTGCATGTGCGCGCTTGTGAGCATCCGTGGGCAGGAGGCACAATGCTGCTTCTCGGTAGGAACATCGACTCATGGCCTGTGCTCACCCTCTACCCGGACTGCGACCTTGGTCGCAGCCGGTGTTTGTGAGTCAAAATGCTCGACCATGGAGCTGCTGGAGCTGCTGGGCTCTTGCTTATGAGTCAGGGGGCTGTTTCTGGGCAATACATGATACACTGTTACTACAGGCTCAACTATGGACGTGTTTCGGACACTCTTGTAGCTCTGTAACGCACGGCTCAGGTCACACAACTACGCCGGCCGCGGTGCGTGCATGTCGTCTGCCAACGCCTCAAAGTTCAAGTCCCAGTTCCACCAGTTGACCATCTAAGACGAAGCGCATGTCAGTTGCACGTCGCGATCTTGTTGGCCACGCAGAACTCTCACCGGTGCACCCGCCTCTTCTGCCGGAGGGAGGTTGAGCATTGTCGGATCCCAGAACTGCTGGAGCTGGAGTGACGGTCAGGCCAATCCCGCCTGTGGTGTTGCACCAGTTACACTCACGAGCAGGTCCGTTGAAAACTCGGCCTCTTGGCTCCCACCGGTCGTTTCGACGGAGGGTACTTGTGGGCTGGTCGTGCTTATGCTGCTGACGCTGCCCACGCTTCGTACACTGATACGGTGCACGCCAGTCGCGTTCCGCTCAATCAAGCGTGTACGCCACCCGAGAAGCTCGTCGTCTTCGTCAGCTGCCGAACTCGCTGCGACATCCCCAGCTCCCAAGCCGAGCGAGGCGTCCACAGAGGCAGCCGCCGCCTGGGCCATCTTGTTGCAGACCCGTTGCCTCAACTTTACAAGCCACCTGTGGCTCTGGGCCAGCTCAGACGACGGGGCGTGGCGCATTGCTCCGGCGTAGGTTGCTACAGCCACGTCAAGCTGTTGACAAGCTAATGACGACAGGGCGTTGAGAGGCGATTTCAGCACCATACTGCCGAGAGTGACCGCAGCGGTGAACATGTGATACCAGAAGAACCAGTGGCGTGTGACGAGGGCAGGGTACAGCTCGTATATGCCCGCGGTGATCTGGATGATGACCTGTACACGTCAGCATGACCCAGGGTTGGCATACCCACATTGCATCGCTCGACGGCAGCGAGGTAGGATTTAGCATACTGGGATCGAGTTGGGTCCCTCGGTTCTTCCTGCAGCGCGCGCACAAAGTAGGGTCGCTGGAGGAAGACGATCTGTTCCGAGATGTTGAGATAGAGTGTGAACTGCTGCAATGTGCGATGCAGATTGCGTCGGTTCACCGATGGGCTTTCCTGCACAGCCACGTCTGGATCGGGGTACACGGATGGCAGGGCGAGGAGGGCGGTACGGCAGCGGAGGGGGAAGGGAATCTGTTGCTCGAACGCGCAGAGTCTGTCATAAAGGGCCTCGACCGAAGAGTAAGCCTTTGGTCGCACGTCCATAGCGTGTTCGAGTACACTGGGGTCAGCGATGGCAGCGTGGTACGCTGGAACGCACTCTCCAGACAGCCGTCCCAACTCGTACTTGAGGATTTTGAAGCTTTTCGCTCCTGTCGGTCCATCCAGATAAGTCTGCGCCGGGAACTTTGTGTCGATGTGCTCTGGCCGCAGCGAGAACGGTCGACTGAAGCAGTTCGATTGAAAGACGTCGATGGTGTGCGACTCCCAAAACACTTGCCTGTACGCAAGGTCAGCTGACAGTCCCACCGTGCGCAGTGTGAGCTTACCTTCTTTCCTCTGAAATATCTACCTCGAGATTCCACCTTTCCCCATCCCGGTGAAGCCCCATGGCAATTGCTTGCCGCATGGCCAATCCCCATAGCGGCCACGCACTGTCACCATTCCTGCTGTCCGAGTGGTAGTGTGCCATGAGAATTAGAGTTTGCACACCCATGAGCGTCGTTTCAACCAGAAAGTTGCCTTTGACCAGACATGCCTGTGACAGGCCTAGGTACTCGTCGGCGCTTGGGTCGTTGGGCGGGAGATCTGGGTTATGCTGCGCTCCAATGGCAAGGAGGGCAAAGATGAGGGCCAGAGCTTGCGGGTTGATGGGCTCAGACCCGGTGGCCACCACATCGCGATTCCAAGTTGTGGCGTAGACGTGGTCGAGCACAGGCTGGAATGTGCGTCGCGGGGCCACATCATGACTGCTGTCAGGTCACTGTAGCAACAATGGATGGACTCACTTCCATGTGAAGTAGCGATAGTATGAATCAACCAGCACGCCGGCCTCGTCGCCCGGTGGGAGCCCGGCCACGAGTTCCTTGATGGAGGCCGTGACTTTCGAGCCGTGGCCAAATGGGAAGAGTGTGTTGGTATCTGGCACACCTAGCAGGGAGATGTTTCGGCGTGTTGGGCTGGGGCTGTGGAGAGGTGTCTCATTGCTCTCTTCTTGCTGGAGGGTCAGCGGGGTGTTGTAAAGGTAACTTACATTCTTGAGCCACTCGGTTCCTGCCGTTGGGCCAAGCCACTTGCTGCGGCCCGATTTGCCAATGACCAAGGTGCCATGCACTTCATCCGCTGGGTACTGATACTGAGATTGGGGTGGGTACGGCTGGACCAGGGGGCTGGGCTGGCTGCGGTCGGAGGCAGACGCGACCGGCGTGTCGTAGTTGAAGATCATCGGTCCGGGCGCAAAGTCAGACGATGGACCGGAATCCTGCATTGGGCCAGAGTCCCCATTAGGACCGGGATGTTGGGCCAGATCCTGTACCATAGGCTCGTTGACAGGAGTAGGACTTGGGCGACGAGGGGATGCGCTCCGCCGTGTAGGGCGGACAGGTCGATCAGGGGTTGGTGAGCGCGAGCGAGGTCGAGGTGGACGTGGTGGGCGGTCGGAGTGCTTGCCTTTCTTCTCTCCGTCAGGCGAAGCACTTCGGCCGACAAGAGAGGATATCACGTCTGCACGCAGCGGTGCCCCGTTGGCGACCTCCATGAGTAAACCCTCGAGCATATTGAGCCGCTCTCGCAGCTCAGTGACAGTCGCATCGTCGCCGCTGAGGTCAGCTGATGTATGAACTACCTGGAAGCTCACCGTCGCCGCGCCTTGGTGCCGTTCGGACATAGATCCGTGCAGTCACGTCTCACACAGTTTGAGCATGGCACTGCTTGTGAGCTAGAATACCTAAGAGCTGACAGCTGAGACCTCACCTTGCTTGTCGCATTTCAACTTTAGGCGATGACATTCTGGCCGGGTTAGCAATGGAGTGGGCAAAAGTGGGGCGCCGCGCTGGAGGAAATGGAATGTTTAGCTGCCAGCCCTGACTCACCAGCGCAGCTGATTTGGTTCAGCGCTCGCTTCTCCCTCCGACTGGTTTCGAGCGCAGCTGCACGACTCGCGCTGGCATTGTTGTTGGGGTCTGCCATGATTGATGAGTTTGAGTGGAGAGGAGACCATTTACGTGATGGGGTGAGGAACGACGACGTTGGAGAAGAGACACCCCTATCACCGGTACCCCACACATGTCCGACCTCGGAGGTCCGATGTGGGACTGGCCAACTCATCTGATCATCTGATCAGATGAATAGAGCGGCAGCTGCAGGCAGACAGAGGAAGAAATGTGATATGTGATATGTGGAGGTTATTAAGATATATATGCAAAGCAAAGGAACACACTAATGACGTGTCAAATGTTTTTGAACAGCGGAAACAAGTTGTATATGTATATGTGTGCATCATCCCCGCGTGTACCTGCGTCCTCCTATATGTAGATTCGTGCGCCTACAGCCCCGCAGTGCCCTTCATGTCTTTGAGATCCGTCGTACCGTTCTTGCGCACGTCGTCAAACCAGCTCTGCACAATTCGGCTCTCCGACAGGGGCATACGCTCGCTCTCAATCTTGCCGTCGCGGATGCAACGGGCAACCTCGTCCGCCTCAAAGTGCAGTCCGTGGCCCAGCTCAGCCGGGATGGGGACGTGGTGGGTCGAGGCCTTGACGGTGGCGTCACTGCCATCGTTGGGGATAATACGGAAGGTGTCGGGCTTCTGAGGCTGGTAGTCGATGACAAGGTCCGCGTTCTCGCACTGCAGCAGCACAGCACCCTGCTTGTAGCCGTGGCAGGTCATGTCGGTCATGAGCTGGGCCTCACACCCGAGCTCCTCAAAGTCCAACAGCCAGCGGGAACGAGCGTCCACGTTCGTGCCGCGCTTGGTGTACTTGCGCTGGTAGCTGTTGACAAACGCGGGGGGGACGCGCTTGGTGTTGAGGGGGTGCTGGTGCAACAGCAGCATGGCCCACACCGAAGGGTAGGGGCCCATGTCGAGCAGACCGCCGCCGCCGAGCTTGGCGTCCAGGAAACGGTCAGACAGCGGCCTGTTGTCGACCTTGAAGTCGATGGAGAAGTCTGCCTGCATGCGCTTGGGTGCTCCAAGGACACCAGACTTGAGGACATCCTGGATCGCGTACGAGATTGGGTGGAAGCGGGTCCACACGGCTTCCATGAGGAAGAGGTTCTTCTCCTTGGCGATGGCGATGAGCTCATCCAGCTCCGCCACGTCAAACGTGAAGGCCTTCTCGCAAAGGACGTGCTTGCCGGCGAGGAGAGCAGCCTTGGCATCCTTGTGGTGGTGCGTCACTGGAGTGCCGATGTAGATGATATCAACGTTCTGTGGGGTCAGCTTTACTCAAAGTCCTTGTGGCTTACAGAGTCATTGTACACCTCCTGGTAGGATCCAAGGGCCTTGGTCTCGTCGAGCATGCCCTGCTGCACACCCCAGGACCACAAGTCGGTGGTCGGAGCGCCCTTGAGCTTGGTGATAAAGCGGGTGGCCGACTCGACACTTCGCGAGCCGACCGCCGCAACTACGTGCTTGACATCCGACACGCCGCGGAGCGAAGGGTCGACCAGCAGGTCCTGTTATTGTCAGCCATCGGCTCCCACGTCAGAAGAAGAGCAAGCAAGCGCAAATCCGTACATACCTGAGTAAAGTCCGTGGCGATCTGTCCTGTGGAGATGATTCCCCAGCGGATAGTGAAGGGTGCAGTGACAGTCATGTTGTTTGAGTGCATGGTGGAGAAGCTACGGCTGGCGAGTTCTGGATGTTATAAAGCCCACTGAGAGGCTCGGTAAGATAATAGTCCGATGGTCGGGCGTAGCAACAGCGGGGCCGATATCGGGACCCCAGTAGTCCGCCGGTGGACCCGGACCGGTTTCCGGGGTGAGTGCTGTCGTGTGGGCTACAGATGCCTGCCTCACCATGAACCGCAACGCGCGTTCTTCACTGTGTACGCACTGTACGCTGTAAAAGCAACGCGCCAGGGAAAGGGATAACTGATAACTGCTCCCGACGTATGCTCCGTTGTTGAGTCTCATCTCGTGGCTGGCACGTTGCTGCCTGCAGTCTTTCCTGTCACCGACATGTCAGGGTTATGTAGTGCCTTCGTGGGCCCCACACGCCTCACATCTCCCATCTCGCTGCTTCAACACGTCGCGAACTCAGCGTGTACATTGGTTGTCATAATATAGTAATGTCCTTTTTGTCATGTATGTAGGCAGTGATAGAGCACTTAGTTCTTGTCGAACTTGTAGTTGTTGGCGTTGGTCTGGTACTGTCCGACCCGGCCGTCTTCGGCGCAGTTGCTGATGATCCAGTTGAAGGCGTCCTGGCAAGGTGCATAGTCACCGTCCTGGAGGTTGGTAACCTGAATCCAGTAGCCGTCACCAATGTCGATGTGGGGGTTGAAGTTGCCACCCTTGTTGGCGGCTTCGCAGAAGAACGGAACGTCGGTCTTGAGCCTGGAAACCTCGAACGTCGACGAACCAGCGGCACCACACCAGGCAGTGGCAACCTGCCCGTTGACGACCTGGTTGAGGTAGCCGTCGCGCTTCTCGGTGGGGGCGGCCACGGCGAAGCCGAGGATGGTGAGCGCGACGAGGGACTTGAACATCATTGTGGCTGAAACATCAGACTCGACCTCCTGCCGCCTTCAGGTGTCGTCAACTTACGAGTGAAGATTGGCTGTTTGACGGGTGTGGCAGCAAGTGTAGTGTAACGTTTGATGGATTGCGCGATGGTTGCACAGTCGGCTAGGCATCGTCTTTTATATAGCCATTGCAGGCCCCTACAGTACTTCTTTAACATGTTGAATGTTGTCTTCACCTGTCGGCCATCAGCTGCAGCATACCGCGGCAGGGACGCACTAACGTCGGCCGGGTTGTGAGGTTTGAGCAATCGTTCAATCACCCTCGACCTTGCGGGTATCGTCCAGCAACTTTGGGTATGCATGTCTACGAGGGTCCATAGCCTGCACTGCTGAGAACGTGCTCTGGATTTCTGCGCTGTTGTTGAAGTCTCAAGCTACTCCGCCGTCCATGGAGGCGAGAGATAACAGCGGGGAAGGCAAGCCACCCGTTATGCCCCATATGTACAAAGGGCAAGGCACGCCGCCGTAGTCAATGACAACCAGCCCGACACAAGACCCGACGTAACCCAACAGGTCATGTCCCTCAACCCTCCCTGAGAATGGCATGAAGGCGCGACACGGGATGCCCAGGAACATCGTCCAGTTGTTACAGCCGTTGGGGTGGATGCCAGGCAACCAGGAATGGAGGCTGGTAAGACAATATAATCCTGGTGACATTGTGGACAGTTGACTAGGCACTCCTGCCGCGATCGGCTGCCACAGCTGTGTTGGGCATGTGATGTATGTGGTACACAGTATATGGGCAGGGCTTTGAGAGAGTGATCGCGTTAGCCTCTGGGGCTACATTGCCGAATGTCAGAATCTGCTTCGCTGCAGAAGGTTCCATTGTCGACGTGCTAACCTGGCGATTACGTTCCAATCCCCAAACTCACTCCACCATTGACCGGCCATTCACGTTGTCAAGATGTCAACGCGACACCTCCGAACGTCAGGCCCAAAATCGCAATGTTGGTGCCTCCTGTCTCCCGAGCGTTGTAGCGTTGTGAGCCCTGCCGACGGACCAACACCGCTATTTACAACAGCCAACAACGTGGCGAAATGAACAGCTACCGCCTTGTAGAGAAATCGCAGTCTGGGCAACAGTGCCTTGCATTCATGTTCTCCCACAGTCACCCCGTTTCATCTTTCCATAGGCTTCAGCCTTCAGGCGTCTGGCTGCTGGGGGTTCATTAGAATCCCAGGACGCGATGGAGGACGAGCTAGGACCGCTTTTTTCCCATAGTCAAGGTGGCAACGATTCTTTGTAAAGTAGTTTCCGACGAGGTTCGGTCGTCAGACCCGAACCCCGAACTGAAGCTTAGTTCGTCACCCCTGCTGGCACCATATGGAGGGGGCTGCCTCGTCCGGCAAGAAAGAAACACAGGCATTAGGGTGCAGAACAGGCCCTCTAAGAACACCGCGTTGCCAGAGCACGGTCTATACATGGTTTGGAGACCACGTGCCCGCAGACGCTTCTGATGCAGCGTTGAGGGGAAGCGCTGCCAATGGGCAAGCCCAGATGAAGAGCATGTGAAGGCTGAAGGCCAGCCGATAATACGGCTATCAGTGATGGTTCGGAAATAGGGATCGTCAGTACCGTATCTATTAAGCAGAGTTTAGCCTTAAATTCTGGAGGCGTATTTCATGTCGGCTGTGGTAGAATGCCAGGCTACCCGGACTTGCCTGTACTGATACTGCTCCAATACTGTGATGCTGCCAGCTACTGTTGACTGCACTTGGGATCGGTAAGCCCCACAGTGTCGTCATACAGCACCCTCGCTTAACGCTGTGTAACACTTCGGATCGTCGATCATGAGGCAATATTGATCTGTTGGTGCGTGATCGTGAACGATATTAAGCCGGGCAAGATTAACCGGCCGAAGGGCGGCGCAGTCCGGGGAACACCCGGTGGGTCTTTTGATGCGGTGATGGGGTTGTGGCTTGGTCATCACGTCTTCAAAAGGCAACGACCAGCTGTCGTCTGCTGTTCCCATTGCATCTCATACCCCTCAACAACACCATGTCCGCGGCCAAGTCTTTCCGCCAACTCGTCGGCGCCCCGCCCTCCACTGCGTCGACCAAGGACTCGGTTCTCGTCATCATTGACGCCCAGAACGAGTACGCCAAGGGACACCTTGCCGTCACCAACACTGAGACGTCACGCCCAGCCATTGCGGCCCTGCTGGACAAGTACCGCGCCGGCGGGGGCCACATCGTCCACGTCGTGCACCAGGTGAGGATTACCAGCGGCATTGTTGCGCATCTCCCTCCCCGTCGTTCCTTCGTCCCAGCTAACCCCGTCAGGTTCCCGAAGGGGCCCCCGTCTTCACACCTGGCACTGAGCTCGCCGAGGAATTCGCCGAGCTCAAGCCTGCCGACGGCCCCAACGAGACAATTGTGGTCAAACAGTTCCCTGGCTCATTTGCCGCTACCAATCTCGAAGACATTATCAAGAAGACGGGCTTGAACAAGCTCGTGCTCGTCGGGTACATGGCCCATGTGTGCGTCAGCACCACGGCGCGCCAGGCTGCTCAGCGAGGCTATGATGTGCTCATTGCTGGCGACGCTGTCGGTGACAGGGACATTCCCGGCGCCACTGGTGCCGAGGTGACCAAGGTGAGTGTGGAGCCGCAGGCGACGCGGGCGGGGAGGAGTGCAGTTGCCCCCCCCCCTCTCCCTGGTCGAGTGCCGCTGCATGTGCCGACTGACATACGTAGACTGTCCTGCTCGAGCTCGGTGATGCGTTCGGAACTGTCATTAACAGCGCCGACGTGCAGCTTGTCAAGTAGGCTGGGGCCGGTCGGGGCAAACCAAAGTCAGCGCGCAGGTTGAGAATCCAGACTTGGGTGAATGACCGACACGCAAGTACTCGAGATACACCCTCGATAGTATTGCTTTTGCCTGCGGGTGAACTATGTTATTGCTCGAAAGATGCTATGGCTGGAGCACTACCACCTCAGGGTAGGGGTAAAGAAAACTGTGTCAGGTGCGCCATTATAGGGAAACGCAGCCAGGAAACTTGTGTTCATACTGGTATCTGCAGCGCTCAAGGGTTTACACAGGAGGAGTGTAGCGGTGGGTGACCATCTTCCCCGGGGATGCAGAGGAAGTTGTGAACAGGTCGCATATGAGTCTTCAGCTGGTGGCAACACTCTCGTCACTAGTAGGTGGTATAACCTAGCACACGTTAGCTGGGTAGCTCACACTGAATGGAGTAAGACTCACCACCGTCCATGACGATGTCGTGGCCCGTCATAAACGACGAAGCACGACCAGATGCCATGAATGCAACCATGTCACCGACCTCGGATGCGTCGGCAAACCGACCCACCGGCGTCATGGCACCCCATTTAGCAACCCATTCGGCCCCCTCTCCAGGCGGAGGGTTGGCGATCAAATCCGTCTTGACGTAGCCTGGGGAAACAGAGTTGACAGTAATGCCGTACTTCGCCCATTCACCCGCCAGAGACTGCCGAGTTAGCCACAGCCGATACGACATACTCACCTTGCTGGCCATGGTCAGACCAGCCTTGGACGCATTGTACGCCATTTGGAACTGCGGTGACATGTTGACGATGCCGCTGATGCTGGAGATGAAGATTATCTTTTACTAAGACTGTGCGCGGTGTCCCGCTCCCCGCGGTACTCTCCTTGCACCGTGGCTGGCAGGCCAAGCCAGTACCGCACAGCCGCCCGGGCGAGGTAAATAGGCGCAAAGAGGTTGGTGTGCATGAGAGTCGCCAGTTCCACTGGGGTAGTCAGCGCCTGCGTTACGATTTGACGCCTACCATCGGTCATGTCAATCGTCTCGCGCCACAGGCCCACACCGGCGTTGGCGATTACAAGGTCGACTTCTCCAACTTCGGCGCTTGCTTGCTCAAAGACGAGGTTGACGACCTCACTTTTCTCGCCGGGACAGTAGTATACGTGCACGGGCACACCAAACTCTTGGGAGATAGCTGTGGCAACTGCTGTCGGGTCCTTGGCCGTGTAGGTGATGATGACGGTGGCTCCAGCTGGTGTGGCGTGAGCTAACATTGTGTGACGATGAGCACTTACCCTGTGCCAATGCACGGGTGATGGCGAGTCCGATGCCGCGACCCCCGCCTGTAACCAAAGCAATCTTGCCGTGAAGGTCGCCTGATACGGTCATGATACTGAGGGAGTATGCGTAAATGTGAATGAGGAGTGGAGGGGGGATGACGATGGCAGAGAGGGGCTCATTCATAGTGGCTCTTAAACTGGAACGGCGTGACCATTCTGCCACCAGTGTCTGACCGGTGAGCGGATTGAGCTCCGCCACGTCCCTTCACGAGCTACAGGCAGGGATGGCAGCGGTGATGTTGGCTGCGCTTCGGCTGGGCTTGCCCACCGCAAAAGAGTCTACCATACCACTCCGCCAGCGGAGTCTAGTCCGCCGTCGGTGACGGCCGCCGCCGGAACAATCTGGTATGGAACAATGTTGTGGTATGCACTCCATGCCCAGTATAGTATTGCGTCGAACAAAAGAAGCTTTTGTGTGACATATGTACAAGCAGTATATTGGCGCGGGGTGGCGACAGTCCTAGCACGGTGAGCGGAGCCATCCGCTTTAGAGCAACCCTTCAACTGGCCGGTTTGGATCAGGCCCGCTCACGACCATACGGCCTTAACCCTTGCTGCTGCCGCCGCCCACACAACTGTGTGGAGAGCTACCTACCGCAGAAGAATAGGTACTAACTGACAGTGTAGCATGTAAAGCATTGACGGGTAAGAATGCAGCAGGTTCCAAAAAAGTGAAGCCCATTTAGTGGGCCTGGGTGCTGATCCGTTTCCCTCAAAACGCATCTGTAGAGCCACCGAACATTGGCTCATCGGTACCAAAGCGGACGGGTGCCGCTGTCTGCGTCTTTTCCGCTGATCCGCTGATGCTCACATTCGGGGGCATCCATCCAGACCGGCCAACCAGCCGCAAGCGCGCAATCTGAGGTCGAACGTGCCGTAGGGATATAAAGGGGCGGGCGCACCCCTTGACCGTGTACTCTCAACACATCTTGACTATTAGCACCATGACACCAGCAAAGACCTACTACGAGGAAGAGTACGACCCCTCCTCTGTTCTCCTTCACCCAGACTTCAAGGTCCTCAAGGCCGACGATCCCATCCTAGCCGACCCCAAGGCCAATATTGCGTGCACGTACAACCCAGCGCATGAAATCAACATGGTTGCTAAACCAGTCCCGACCGCGCGGAAGGGTGAGGCCATCGTACACGTCCGCTGCACCGGAATTTGTGGCAGCGACGTCCATTTCTGGAAGAAGGGGCAGGTCGGCCCTACCATGGTCGTCCGCGACCACTGTGGCGCGGGCCACGAGTCGGCTGGCGAAGTCATTGCGATCGGCGAGGATGTCAAGAACTTGTCTGTCGGTGACTCGGTCGCCATCGAGTGTGGCGTTCCCTGTAGCCGCGCCGACTGCGACTACTGTCGTACCGGTCGCTACAACGCATGTAAGTCCTTTTATGCTTAGGCTTGTGTCGTGTTGATGTTGATGCCCAGGCCCCGCTGTGGTCTTCTTCTCCACCCCACCTTACCATGGGACCCTTACTCGCTATCATGCCCATCCTGCTGCTTGGCTGCACAAGCTGCCCGACAACGTGACTTATGAGGAGGGCGCGCTGTGCGAGCCTCTGGCGGTTGTTCTTGCCGGTTTCCAGCGGGCAAACGTGCGCATGGGTGACAGCGTTCTTGTTTGGTATGTTTTGCATTTTCGACGTCTGACTGACAACTAGTGGTGCTGGTCCAATCGGCCTCGTCTCTCTTCTCGCTGCACGGGCGGCAGGCTGCCACCCGATTGTGATCACAGACCTTTTCCAGTCCCGCCTCGATTTTGCTCAGTCACTTGTTCCAACTGCGAAGACGGTCCGCATCGACCGGTCTTGGACTCCCCAGGAGACGGCGGTCAAGATCCGTGCAGCTGCGGGCACGCCGTTGAAGCTTGCGCTGGAATGCACCGGCGCCCAATCCTCCATCGCCTCTGCCATCTACTCTTTGGACTTCGGCGGCAAAGTGTTCGTTATCGGCATTGGGCCCAACACGCAGGAATACCCATTCATTCACTGCTCAGCCAACGAGATTGACCTGCAGTTCCAGTATCGGTACGCCGACCAGTACCCCAAGGCGATCAGGCTTGTTGCGGGCGGCCTCATAGACCTCAAGCCGCTGGTTACCCACCGCTTTCCCCTCGCCAAGGCGGTTGACGCATTCCACGTGGCCGCTGACCCGACCCAAGGCTCTATCAAGGTCCACATCACCGACCTCTCGTAGTGTTGTGCGAGTGTGATGGTGTCCGCTTTTTGTTAAAAAACATGAGAACCATTCAAAACCTTCTATTCCATACCATCGTCCCTATGGTTTATGCACGCTCGTGATTACAATTGCAAAGCACGATCCAACCGATCCAACGGGGTGTGTTGCTGGGATTGTCGCAGGCCGGTTAACCCGGAGAGTCACGGGTAGTGCCGGCTTTTGGCGGCTACGGCAATCAGGGGGCACTTTGTTCGGGGGCGGAGTTGCCCGCTGAGCGGAGCGGGCTCCGCTGGTCTCACTCTGTGGGGGGGGTGTGTGGTTTAGAGGTCGGGGCGGGGCCAAAGGTGTCATTGAACTGTTCTCCTGTGTTCTGCTGTTTGCCCTCGTCTCCAAGTCCGTTGTCGTAGCCTACGTGCTCTTCACCCCGTCGCCCGTCATGCCCGCCATTCGAGACCGCACATCCACTGCTCAGTCTCAGTCTCGGTCACCGCGCCGCCCTTCGTCGCAAAACCGTTCCGGGACTTCTGGTCCTCTCAGTCCCCGTGGCGCCCCCTCCGACGCGACGCAAACTCGCGCTACTTCGGTGCGTCTCCATAGGCTATAGAGTTGGACCACTGTTCATGCGCTGACCCCCGCTATTAGTGCCTAGAGTGCAGGCGTCTGAAGCGCAAAGTGAGCACAATGTGCACTCGCCCCGTCAATCTGATCGTTAGCGCTCACACCACAGTGTGATCGTCGGCATCCGTGCAACGTGTGCACCAGACAGTCGAAGCAGTGCCAGTACTCGGAAACTTCTCACATCACCGCACAGTGTGTACAGTTGTTACCTCGGCACTGGCCACAGAGACATATTTGCTGACTTGAGTGAAGATTTGTTTCAGAACTCGAGGCGCACATCGAACAACTCGAACAGTCCTTGGCAAATCAGGCCCCCGGACGTGCTCATGATACCGAGCCACTAGAAAACGACCCTGTGCCAGTCATTACGCATGACGTCTCCTCATCTTCACCCTCACAGCACATGACAGCGGTGGACTGGGGACTGTCGTCGCAGCCTTCTGTTCCTAATCACTCCCGCGGAGATGTACGCCATCTCGATTCCCCCGCAGGAGCGTCTGGCGCATCTGGCACGTCTGGGCTAAGCCCCTATGGATTATCGACAGATACACGCCAGCTCAATACCATTAATACAAGAGTGCCTACCTCCTCGTCGCTTCTCCCCAACTCGATCCTGCCCTTGGCATCCGATGCGCTCGAACGCCAGCCTCAACTGGCATCGGGATATGAGTGGAACGAACGGTTTCAACACTTCAGGGCGCGCGAATGATGGCACTGCTTCATTATCTCTTGAGCCAGATGGGCAAGGCTACCTAGGTAAGTGTTTCAGGAAAGGAAGCTGTGGTAAGAATCGCACTGACGAGCATGGTGGCTGTACCCCTCTGCTCAAGCTGACCTTCCCTCAGGCTTTGCGTCTGGAGTCACTCTGCTCCGTATTCTGCAGCTTTGTGCAGGCGCCATCCCTCTGCCTCAGCTCGATGGACCCGACAATGCGCGGGAACAGCAGCCAATGCGCATAGACCAGGGGCTATCACTGCATGACACATCCCGCTTCGTCGATGCCTACTTTCAGTGCTATCACCTTCAATACCCCATCCTTCACGAGCCGACGTTCCGCGCTCAATGGAATGAGATCATACCTCCGCCCCCACCGGAACAGTGAGACCCCCTGTCCGAGAATCGATAGTGGCCATTGCTGACCACTAAGATGGGAAATGTTACTCAATGTTGTACTCGGCATCGGCGCATTTTGCGCATTCGAGCCCTTATCCGTTGTTGAACACTTCCTCGACAAGTCAATATCAGCCATTGGCGCTAGGCATCTGCAATGTGGTAGTCTTACACTAGTCCAAGCCTTCACTCTTCTAAGCAACCTCTGTCAAAAGTCCAACAGGCTCAACTCGGGCTCCGTGTTCCTCGGTGAGTTTCGCTCACACATTGGCCATTGACAGAGCAGGTATTGCTGGACGCATGGCTATGGGGCTGGGTCTGCACCGCGAGCTACCGTTCTGGAACATCAATCCCTTTGAACGAGAGATACGGTGGGAGAAGATCTGGTCGACTTTGGGCTGACCCGAACCAGACGGCGTGCGTGGTGGATGATTTACACGTTCGATTCCGGATCGAGCATTACCTTTGGGAGACCTATTGTGCGTGTTTCACCAGGTTGCCGACTATCATGTCCCGTGGTTTTCCTAACAATGCCACAGGTGTTTCCGACGACCGAATCTGACGTTACCATGGTTCACAATGCCCCCGAACGTGTGAGACACCCAACGCCGAACGTTTCGTTACTGATTGGCAGGCCCTGACGCCGACGACGAAGTCGGTCCCGCCAGCCTCTCTGGAACCCACCATATACAGTTCGCTAATTCACCAGAGCGCATTCCACATGGTCGGGAATAGGTGTTACCACCGTGTCATATCCTCACCACCGCCGTCCATTGTGGAGATCCACTCTCTTGACACCCAGATTTTGGCGTGGAAGGAGACCGTGCCCTCGTGGCTCCAACCGAACGAACGATCGGCGTGCCCGTACCAATGGTTACACTTTTCGGCCCAAAAGCTCTTTTGGAGATGCTGCAACTTGCGTATCATTCTTCATCGCCGTGCATTTCTCGAACGCGCTCTCAAGGGCCTGCCCCTCACCACCGCGGAGGCCACTTTCAATTCCGGCAATCCCACGGCCGGTGTCACCGATAATGAGCTGGAGCTACGCAGCTCGGAACAGTGCCTCGAAAATGCAAGCCAGACAATACGTAGCATCCACCAGTTCTTCGTTCAACCCCCTCGCGACCGCCTCGAAGCATGGTATGGCCTGTAAGTTCAACATGCTGATTTACAAACTAACGCTTAGCCACTACCTGTTCCACGCAAGCTTTGTGCCCCTCATCGCCCTCCACACTGATCATGGGAGCCGACACCGACCAGAATGGGTTCACGACGTGTCGCTGACCTGCGAAGTCCTCCATACACTCCGTGACGATCCGCTGGCCAAACGGTGTCTGTCTATCGTTCACCTCCTCTCTCCGTCAGACTCGCAAGTTGCAAATATTTGTGCGCCGTTCGATAACAACGACCTTCTCGCCATGCTCCACAGTACCGACCCACCTGTCATATCCCCCAGTAACGACCTGGTCCAGACCCTGTGCGTTTCCTCACAGTTTTCTTCTACTGACTGGGCAGTCTACCTTTTGCCGACCTGGCTACTCTTAGCTCGTTCTGGCCAATGAGTGCGCAATGATCTGTCGTTGGAGGCTAGCTTAGCTTACCGTCATGACACGATTGAGTTGCTTGTGGGAGACAGACAGTCCAATCAACAGGGGGCGCAATTCTGCATAACGTTCAACGACGGAGAGTGACCGGGGCACGACTACCAAAGATACATTGCCCTAGTTAGCAATACCATTGGGCACTCGGGAACGCTCGCTTGCCCAACGGATGGCCCAAGTCATCTCATACGTCTTCACGGCTGAAATATCAGCTCCGACTGCAATCTGATCCAGTTAGAGGTTGTCTGCCACAACTCACCATCTGCGTATGAACTGAGAATCGGCGTATCAGCCCCCTCGATTCGCTCAATGACAGCCGCCATCTCGGAAAGGAATGGGTCATCTCCGTCGAAATGGATGATCTCCTCTGCATCGTTACCGGGCCGGCGAAGGTACAGGGTTGGGTGGTTGTCTGTCGTCAGCATGGATGCGTAGACAAAACCTCACATGGATCGACCAGTTTGAGTTGATACCCGTCAGCCCAGACCGTGAACTCGGTGGAAAATCTTGTTCATCAGCAGAGTGAGCGATCTAGAGTGAGACGTACGCCGTGCCCTGCAGAGCCACGCCGTGTTCGAGATGTCCAATGGCACCATTAGCATATTTCCAGGTAGCCGACGTGAACCGCGGAATGCGTTGTTCCTCCGGAATGAGAGTCTCGTCCACTGATATCTGCTGTTCAGCTTTCGCTCCCCCCTTTCTCCCACCTTGCTAAGCCTCCCCGGCGCCTCGTACCACTCTACAGAGTTGGCGGCAATCGAACCAAGGACGACTTCACCACCAAAGTATCGCGAGAGGTCGCAAAAGTGAGCTACAGTCAGCGTCTGCCTGGATCCATATGTCCTTACTGGCTTGCTCGACAATGGGTCCGCAGTCAATCGCCTTGTTCCACCAAGCAGGCTTTGCGCTAAACTCGTAGGCTCCTGGTCAGCACACGATCACTTTAGAAGCTTACCCATGACGTAGCGAGCAGAGGTCATCATGATAGCCAGGTTATTGTCCTGAATGATCTGCTTCATCTTCTGTACCGCAGCGGAGTAGCGGAGCATGTAGCCTACGCTCACAAGCGAACCAACACTCTCAAGATGCTGACCAACGGCGCGAGGCTCTTCGACTGGGCCTGCGCCAACAGGCTTTTCCACAAATATAGCAGCAGTAGGGAACATGCGGCTAAGCTGCACTTCAGCGTCATTTCCAGATGACTCGTCGGTCGTGCCCCGGAACGCGGCGGGGGACCCAAGGACGACGAGGTCTGGCGGGCTGTCCAGTCCTGCGTGGGCGGCAGCGATTGACGAGAAAATCAGAGTCGAAGCATAAGATGCCGCCGCTGCTGACCCGCGCTTCACCTCCAGCTGCCGCTTAGCATGGGCTGTCGCAGGATCAACGATGGCTGCGACTACCAGTCGAACGCCTAGCTTGGCTTCGAGGCGTGTGGAATGATTCCACGGCTAATGATCAGAACGAGTTGACTCCACGCTCACCATGCCATCACACTTACACCCTCTGGAGAGCCAAAGTTGACTGCTGTCAGTGGCGACTCTCTTAGCCCGGCTCACTATTACCAGCGCCTACGATGATAACGGAGAATGGGAGGTCGAAAGTCATAGTGTTGCGTGTAAATGCATCAGTCATCGGGGACGATGAACTCTTTTAAACCTGTTCCGAGCGGCCAGACACCGTCCATGGATACAACCTGCTCAATTTCCAGATGGGAGCTAGGGCTTGATGCCTTGAGCTTCACAAGACATCGGATCAAAGGTTACATTCCTTTCCTCAAGGCATAGACGCAACATCATTCACCAGATTGAATGACGGCACGAAGCGCAGCGGAGGAGTCCGCCAGTCACAGCCCCTGTGGAGCGGAACTCCGCTCCCGATGAATGGGGTTGGGATTTACTTTTGGCGCGTGTTGTCGAAATTCAGCTGCCTCTTTGTCCAGTTTAGAAGAAGCGGGCACCGTCCGCTCAAGATACTCTTGGCGATGTGGCGATCGTGTGATCCGCTCGGAATGTTGGGTGGGCTTTTGCGGTGAGATATCTGATTGCACAACTCCGACGCAAGGCCCGTGCGGAATCCCTCCGCTGCTCCGGTTTGCACAAGCAAAGCGAGCACGGTCACAAACTGATCGGGGCTGTCCCGCTGAGCCCCACAGGGCAACAATGTGGAGAATGGGGTGATGTGGTGGAGCACCAGTGGCGTCAAGTCAAAGTCCGGATGACTTAAAGGCAGCCATCACACTGGCCAGTTGCTGACATCCCATCGACCAGAATTCCAAACCCAACATGGATTCCAAGAATGACATCGTTGAAGTCGAGAACAAGCTACACTCTCCGGGCGCTGTCGAATCCGCCTCCGAACATGTCGACATCAACCACAACGTAAATGCCAAGTGAGTTGTCTCGGTCGTATGGAATCTTAAATTGGCCAGATGTTCTGTTTCTAACCGCCATGTAGGATCCAAAACCCTCTTTTCGGGCTTTCTCGTCATGAGCTCATGGCCCGCGTCGACCAGTTTTGTGACAACCACGGTATGAACGATGACAAGGTGGTGTTCCAGAAGGCCGCGCTCCTCGCCCAGAATCCTCACAAGTTTGAGAGCTATTCTGAGCTCACTGAGGAGGAAAAAGTCGCCATCCGTCGCGAAACAACTCGTGCGTGTTATTCTCGAGCTAGCTTCCAGTCGCCCCCTTCAATCATGCTGACAGCTGCCAGACAAGTGGTCTCACCCTCGTGGCCTCCTCATGACCGTTGTCATGGCGTCCGTCGGCGCCGCTGTACAGGTGAGGACCCGGAAAAGGCAGGGATGAGTGGCTGATCAGATAGGGTTGGGACCAGACTGGCGCGAACGGTGCCAATCTGTCATTCCCTGTCGAGTTTGGCATTAGCGATGCCGCAGGCGCTCCGAATGCGGCACGTAACCAGTGGATCGTAGGAGTCATCAATGGCGCGCCTTACCTCTTCGGCGCCCTCGTCGGCGGCTGGCTCAACGATCCTGTCAATCACTATTTCGGTCGCCGTGGTGCCATCTTTATCGCTGCGATATTTGCTATACTCAGTCCTATCGTAGGTCCTCTCTGCTGTCTGTCGCTAGAAGTCATACTCATGACATTGCAGGGATCAGCCGTGAGCCAAACATGGGTCCAACTCCTCGTCTGCCGTTGCCTTCTTGGTCTCGCGATGAGTCTTAAGGCCTCCACTACCCCTGTGTTTACCAGGTAAGTCCCGAGGTTCTCGTAGCACTTGTGCTTCCTCTGACGTCTCCTTGAAGCTGACAACTCAGTGAGAACGTTCCAGCCAATGTGCGCGGGGGCATGGTCATGTCCTGGCAGTTGTGGTGTGCCGGCGGAATTCTGCTCGGGTTCTCGGCCAACCTGGCTGTTTACCAAGTTGGTCCCATTGCTTGGCGCCTCGAGATGGGCTCGGCTTGTATCCCCGCCCTTCCCCTTCTCTTCATCTACCTTTGCCCGGAATCGCCTCGTTGGCTCATGAAGAAGGGTCGGTACCAGGACGCTTTCAAATCTATGCTCCGGCTGCGCAATACCCCCCTCCAGGCCGCACGCGACATGTTTTACACGTACGCCCAGTTGGAGGAAGAATACCGCGCTATCCAGTCCACCAACTACGTAAAGCGCGTCAGCGAGCTCGTCACCATCCCCCGCGTCCGCCGGGCCACATTTGCCTCAGCCATCGTAATGCTTGCTCAGCAAATGTGCGGTATAAATATCGTGTCATTTTACAGCTCTTCCGTCTTCAGCGATGCTGGATACAGCACGAAGAGCTCCCTCCTTGCCTCGTGGGGCTTCGGTCTTGTTAACTTTGCGTTTGCCTTCCCTGCCATCTTTGTGAGCTCCCGAGTCCCCATCCCACGGCCACAGTCTCACATCTACCCAGACCATTGACTCTTTCGGTCGCCGTAACCTCCTCTTGGCCACGTTCCCCAACATGGCCTGGTCTCTGTTGGCGACTGGGTTGTGTTTCCTCCTTCCCAACGAATCAGCTGCAAAAGTGCCCCTAATTGCGGTCTTTATCTACATCTTTGCGGCTTTTTACTCGGTCGGTGAGGGTCCGGTGCCCTATGTGTACTCTGCCGAGGTGTTCCCGTTGACTCATCGTGAGATGGGAATGGCCTGGGCAGTCTCGGTTTGCCTCTTTTTCGGCGGCGTGCTTGGTCTTACCTTCCCCCGAATGGTGGGCGCACTGGGCCACGTTGGTGGTGAGCGGGAAAGCGAGAACCAGTTTCGCAAAGGTATACCCCCTGACACGTCGCAGCATTTGGCTTTTACGCAGGTCTTAACGTGACAGCGTTTATCTTCATCTTCCTGTTCCTACCGGAGACCAAGCAGTTCACCCTAGAGGAACTCGACTACATCTTTGGCGTTCCGATGACTCAACATGCCAAGTACCAGACCAACACCTGGCTTCCCCACAAGTTCAAAAAGTATGTTCTTCGTCAAAAGGGACACCAGATTGAGCCACTGTACCACTTGGAGGAGATCCAGGGGATAGAGAGGCAAGACGACTACGGCATCCGCCATGTCGCTGCCGGCCATTAGTGCCAACAGGTAATTTCCGGTACGCGGGTCGCAGGATCTCCAAAATTCTCTTAACAGGACACAAGGACGTCCTGCGCGATAAACACGAAAAAATCTGCCACCACAAAAGACTCGCTACGTATACAAATTTACCGCTATAACCACAAACGTACTACAGCGGAAACCCTAGCGACGATTGCTGGATCTCAGGATATATAAGAATGACTCCACGAGTTCGTAGTTGATGCATCTGTCCCCAGATGATCCCTTTTTTGCATCTGGCATCTTGCATGTCGACATTGAAAGCCAATGGTCTGTGTTCCTCCGTTGCCGCTCTCTCTTGCAGCTTCGCAAATAACCTGCGAACCGTTATGAGGCGAGCCACACCCAACAACCAGCAAAGAGCCACAGTCATGCGTATATTCGCCGCCCATATTGACCATTGACCAGAGATCCAGAGACCTATTTGCCAGCCCAGGTGCCGATTGTTTGGCATTCATACTATTGGTTTCGCATGCATTCCACTACTAGGCGACAGACGTTGGCGCACCCAAGCCCACGTACGTGAAACCCTGGGCGAGGCAGAACGGCTTGGACAGCACAATTTCGTTGGCAGAACGACCAATCCTCACTTCGTAAGTGCCTCGTTCTCCAACCCAAGCCCGCTTATTGACGCTGTAGAATGACCATGCTTCGTGCTGTAACACGTCCATCAGCACGTCGTCTGACACTTTTGCGACTTACCGAAAGCTGTACCGAGACCACCTTGGACTGCCCTGGTTGGAGGTAGACCTTGCTGAAGCCCTTGAGCTCATGGTCTGGCCGATCGACAGACGGACCCGCCTGGTGGACATATACTTGCACCACTTCGGATCCAGCGCAGGCTCCAGTGTTGGCGACGCTGATGCTGACGCTTGCACCAAAGGCGCCGTCGGGCTTAACGACGAGGTCGCTGTTTATCAGTAAGCCGTGTCCATGCTTGTGTACTCACGACAACTCAAAGGTGGTGTAGCTCAGACCAAACCCGAACGGGAAACCAGTCGCGGATCGGAGGTGAGGTTCGCGGTAACCGACGTAGATGCCTTCGGAGTAGATGGTGTTGACAGGGTGACCAAACCCATGCTCAGAGTTGGTCGGGTAGTCTGTGACCTTGTTCGGCCAGGAAACTGGGAGCCTGGCGGAAGGGTTGGTCTTGCCAAACAGAACATCGGCGATGCCGGTACCGCACTCGTTGCCGCCGAAAAACGCTTGTACGAGGGTGGAAGCTGACCTGAGCCAGGGGAACTCGACGGGCATACCAGACTGGTTGACCACGATAGTGCCTGGTGCGGCCGCCAACACTGCACGGACAAGGTCGTCGGTCGCGCCAGGGAGGCCCATGGTGTCCCTGTCGTACGACTCTGACTCCCATTCGCCGTTTGTCCCAATGACAAGAATGGTTGCGTCGGCCTGTTGCGCGATCTCGACGGCGTGCGCGATCTCATCTTCAGGGTCAATCCGCAGGCGTCCTCCAAGGCGAACACCGCCCCGACGGCCTGCCTAGTTGTCAGCTGCAGCCACGCCTCACCACACTCACGTAAGGTGACATTGCGCTGATGGGCCGGAAATTGGAGAAGCGAATCTCTAGACCGTATGCTTGTCCAGCGTTGACATCGACCTCGCCAATCCGCTCCTCCGACCCGGTGTTGAACTAAGAACAGTTAGAGACTACACCAGTTGATGGTAGACTCACAAACAGCACGCCAACTTCTTGGTCCGTCGAGTTGTCTACAACCTTGCGACCGTCTATGAAGAGGTCGGCCTGACCGGCAACGCTGAGACCCAGCTCCCACTGTCCAGTTAGTATGCGGCGTGCTTCCAAACGACACTTACCGTTCCCGACGCGTCCGGCGTGAAGGTTGTACGTAGCTGCGAGCAATCAGTTGGCCGGCCGTGCTCATCACCATGCTTACCGATACATAACCGCGAAGGGGTATGTCGTCTGGAATTCCCTCTGTGAAGTAGCAATACGAGCTGTGGTTGTCCAGGGTGAAAATGGGCTTTGCAGAAGGGTTGGCCCAGGGACTGTGTATGTAGTTAGCACATAGAGTCAGCCTCCGTAGCCAGCAACGCACTCGGTTTCAAAGAAACAGCACTGAATGCCGTGCTCTCCTTGTTCATCATGGATGAATGGGGTCAAGAGGGGAGTCCACCTGGACGTGTAGGCGCCGATGGTATACTCAACAGACGCTCCGGTGACCGCCGCCGCCTGTCTAATGGCATCGAGAGGAGCAACCGTGTATGATGCGGGGAGGCTTGCGCTGCCACCCCCGGCATAGCTTGCTGTGGCAGCATTGGGGCCAATCACTGCAATGGTTGACCCCTTTTGTAGATTGAGTGGCAGCACCCCCAGGTCATTCTTAAGCAGAACGATGCTAGAGTCGGCCGACTCGCGCAACAGTTGGCGCATTTCAGGGCTGTCAATGTGCTTCTCGGGTGCCTCGAACGGGATACCAGAGAGTTGCGCACTGCGAACAAACTTGAGGAACTGAGGTGGGCGTGAGTAGCAGCTCCCTTTGCGGTGAACTCACCCTGAGGACACAGTCGTCCAGCTCTTCGAGGCTGAGCTTGGTGGACAGAATGTCACGCTCAAGCGCGGCTCCCCTCATGGTCGATGGCCCAGGCATCTCGAGGTCTAGCGACGACTTGACCGCCTCGGACGACGAGTATGTTCCAGCCCAGTCGGACATGAGGAGTGAGTCAAACTCGAGCTGTCCACGCAACACAGTGCGGAGCAAGTGGTCAGACTCTGAGACATGAGCGCCGTTCACACGGTTGTAGCTGGACATCTGGGGCGACAGCGTCAGCGCAAGACAGCAATTGCCTGTGTGCGTCATACAAATGTCCCCGGTTTGGCAAAGGAAAGCAGCCTGAACGGCTCAATGTAGATCTCATGCAGCGTGCGTTCGTCAATGACGCTGTTGGAACTGCGGCGGTTGAGTTCTTGCTCGTTGGCGATCCAGTCTGTCCGGTTAGCATTGGTATGAGGTTATCTCCACTCACGCTTGGGGCCTTGTAATGTCAGTTGGTGACGACGGGCCACACGGCATCGGTGACTCACATGCCATTACATTGCGGCTCTGGACCCCTTCAATCCAGGCTTTCCCTAGCGTCCCCGCAAGGAATGGATCTGGATTATCAGCAAATGAGGTATGAGAGCATGTGTGCATGGCACTGACCCTCCGAAAAGCTCTCGAAACCGCGACCACCACAAGGGTGACGCTGGATGTTGACTGTCGGTCCAAGTAGAACATGGACACCACGGGCGTGGCATTCATCACCAAGTGCCCCTCCAACGCGGGTGAGGAGATTGACGTCAAAGGATGACGCCAGTCCCGTTCCACAGGGGAAGCACGAGGCAGCGGCACCATTTGTCCCTACTTTGATTAGCGTCGATGACAATGCGGACGGGCTTACAAGTAGTGCCTCGTACACCGTTCTTCTCCGGTCAGCGGAGATGTCAGCAGAGTTGACTTACAGGTCCATCACTGAGCTACCAGGGTCAGCGTACTGAGGAACTCTGGGGAACTCACTCGAACACGAGGGATACCTAGGCGGGGGATAGGTGTAGTGTGCCACAAGTCGCTCCCACTAAGCAGAGCGATCTTCTCTTCGCTTGTGAGGGCGGCCAGAGTGGCAGAGGAGTCAATCGGTGAGGCAAGAGTGACGGTCATTGCTGAGCTTGTGATGACTTCACTTCAAGGAAAGGGTTTGGCTCTTAAAGGGAGAGCCGTGGTAGCTGTGGTCCTCCCCACATTGCCTCCACACAAGCTCGCGATATACCGCAGGCCGCGGTTAGTCCGCATCGCCGTGTGTGGACAAAACGCATGGCTGGGATCTGGGATATGTGGGGACCGAGTTGGCCCAGAGGCATGCCCTATTGGTACCCTGACTGTTGTCCCCAACTTTACTCCAGAGTTTTTGCGGAGTTGTTCCAGGCCACTCTCTCTGCCTCGCCCTACAAATATGGACGGGCATCACAGCGCGCTCGCCCATCTCCACCGAATAGCCAAAGCACAATGTCAACGACGACCTTGTCCAACGAAAACAACGAAAAGTCTGTGTTAGAGCCCTCTACCACAGACGGCGAGGACGAGAAGCCCGAGGTCGAGGTCGACGGCGGTCTGCGTGCCTGGCTTGTAGTTGCAGGTAGGTGGTGGAAGCGAGGGACTCCTGAAAGACAAGACTGACCCTCCAAGGCGCGTTCATGACCGTCTTCTGCGGGTTCGGGTTAGCAGCTGCAGCTGGGGCATTCCAGAGCTACTACCGCGCGACCTTGCTGTCCGGATACACAGAGTAAACAGATTCCACACCGTCTGGCGCCTTGAGCTGACCCTGTTTTCAGAAGCCAGGTTTCGTGGATTACATCGTGCGTACATTACCCATACCTCGATTGTCCCTTCACCTGCTGAAGTTCACAGAGCACAGAGTTTTGGCACTTTTGCACCGGCAATCTTTACCGGCTCTCTCTTTGACAAGTATGGACACCGCCCTCTTGTCGCTATCGGGGGCACGTCACTTGCGCTCGGCTTCTTGCTTCTCAGCTTTAGCACCCGGTACTATCAGATCATTCTCTGTCACGGAAGCCTGATTGCATGGGGCTGCAATCTTTTGTAAGGAAAGCCTCATTCGTCACCATCTGATGGTCAATAGGTTCATTTCGCCCATGTCCATCGTCGGCCAGTGGTTCTTCAAGCGCCGCGGCTTGGCATTGTGGGTGGATGGTTCCCGTGCACCTGCTGACCTTCAGCGGCATTACCAGCTGCGGGTCCTCCATTGGGTCGATTGTGTGGCCGTTGGTGATCGCCAACTTGCCACCCAAGGTTGGCTTTGGCTGGACTTGCAGAGTGCTTGCCCTCATTGCCAGCGTCTGTGGCGTTTTGTCGTTCTTCCTCATGAAGACTCGTCTTCCCCCGAAGCCGAAGGGCAAGTTCTTGGAGTGGAGCGCGTTCAAGAATGTGCAGTACACCCTCATTGTGCTGTCCTTTTGGGTAAGCCATTGACCCCAAGCCAGTTCGCTAACAACCTAGACATGGACGTTCGGTTTCTTCGCGTTCCAGATCTACATTGGCACATATGGAAGCGTTTTAGCACTGGGCTCATTCGTGCCCTACCTCTTGTTCGTCCCACCCCTCCGTGCTCCTCGCTAACGATTTAGGATCATTGCCAACGGATCTTCCACCATCGGTCGCCTTGGGGCTGGAAGTGAGTGGATCAGCTCTCACAGCGCGCTTGCTCACACTCAGTTCTCGCTGACCGGATTGGCGTGTACAACACAATCGTTATTGGAAACGCCATTCTTGCCGTCATGCTTTGGGTGTGGCTCGCTTGCAAAACACTTGGCTCTTGTGTCGCCCTCTGCGTGATTGTCGGTATTGCGTCTGGCGCATTCGTCAGCCTGCAGAGCCCGGTGGCAAATAAGACGTCGACTGATCCGTTGAAAGCTGGCACTTTGCTTGGTCAAGCTGTCTGTGAGTTGCTCGGTGGCTGCAGTGGGTGGGATGAGTCCTGACAGCCAGTTATTCAATCTTTTGCAAGCTTCTCCACCGGTCCGACTTTTGGGGCTGTAGTGGGCGAGCCATCATTGGAAACATTCGCACATGCCATCTATTTGGGTGCAAGCATGATGACAGTAGCTCTTTGCTCGTTGAGTGTGGCTCGCCTCATGACGGACCGCAGGCTGTTTGCCAAGCTGTAGGAGAGGGTGCCTGCTAGAGATCTTGAATGCATTTCCTTGCTGAGTATATGTATTTACATATCGCACGTACTGCTGTCAGTCTGCCCGTACCGGAAGGTCATGCACACAGTTGCAGGTACATATCGGCAAACAGGTCATTAGAAACGGATCTTTCAAAGGGCAAATGGCCAAAGGCCTACAATGCTGGTATCAACGCATCCCCCAGAGGCTTGCTACATGTCGAGGACGAGTTCTGCACCATGATGAATGCGTGCGGGGCCACTCTCCCCTGCCATCGGTGCAAGCACTATTGGGTGGACCGTTGCGTTGCGGTTCGGAGCAACAGTACGGAGAAAGTGCGGCGTCACAAGGTCTTGGCGAACGAGTCTCACAGGGTGCTCAACCTATCCTGCTCCGGAGCCCAAGACTGGTCCCGGAGGGGCGGATAAAAGACGCCTAATGTGCGGCGCATCTCCAACGGCTGGTGCCGGCGGAAGAACGACGCTCAATCTATGGCATCGCCAACCCCGACACAGCCCCAGGTTTACTCCAAACCGGCCTCCAGATTGAGAAGCTGGGGATGAGGGGCTCCCAGATGAACTGGAGTGCGATGCGTATTTAGTGTCTCGCCTTCGGTAGCAGGCCCAACCATTGTCTTCCACCAACCACCACATCACGATGCCTGACAACCAACACTCTTACAAAGACGTCGCCAACAACACTGCAGACAAGGTGTGGAAGGACCCTGGACTCCGGAAGTGTGAGTAGTTGACAGTCACGTGAGTCGACGGAGATAGCTCACTGTTTCCAGCCATGATCCACATTTTGGTTCTGTACACCGCCGTGTTTGCTGTTGGCTACGATGGCTCCCTTCTTAACGGCTTTCAAGCTCTTCCGGCTTGGAAGGAGCAGTTTGTGAGTTCCATGCACCCCCACAGTCACATCTGACCTGTCTAGGGCAACCCCACTGGCTACGCTCTCGGTCTTATTGCTGCGTCCTACTATTTGCCCAAAGTTGTAGTTCCTTTCCTCGTGGCACCCCTGTGCGACCGCTTTGGGCGCAAGTTGATGCTTGTGAGTGCCATTCCACCATTCGCAAACACTTACCTCCTATAGCTACCCGCGTCTCTCATCATGATTGCTGGAACTTTGATCGGTACCTTTGGCCACACGCGCGGAACCCTCATCGGTTCGCGGGTCCTGCTTGGCACGGGTACCTCCATGGCGCGTGAGCACACGAACACCGAAATGTGAGATTGGTTCTTACTAATCTACCACCAGAGATCACAGCAGGCGTACTCATTACTGAGGTTGCGCACCCCCGCATTCGCCACCTCTCTGGTTCATTCTTCATGTGCATGTACTACGTGAGTGCCAAGTTTTCTTGTGATTGCGCTTACTTCGCAGGTTGGCTCCATCTTGGCCTCGTGGCTTACTTTTGGCATGGTCTATGTGCACGGCAGCAGCTGGGCGTGGCGTGCACCCTCCCTCATTCAAGGACTGGGCCCAGCAATTCTCCTTCTTTCCGTCTTCGGACCCGAGTCGCCCCGCTGGCTTCTCAGTAAGGGAAGGCGATCCGAGGCTCATGCTATCCTGGCAAAGTATCAGTGAGTTGATGGTTTGAAGACAGCATCTGTGGAGAGAGCTAACGTCCATCCAGTGCCAACGGCCTCATGGACGACGAGCTCGTGTTGTTCGAGTTGAGTGAGATCGAAACCCAGATCGCCTTCGACCGGTCGTTCAAGGACGCCTCGTGGTTTGACTGGTTCAAAACTCCTGTCAATCGGACACGGTTTGGCATCGTCTGCCTTGTCGCCTGCTCGGTAAACATCTGCGGAAACGGCGTTGTCTCGTACTACCTTGTCGCCGTCCTACGCCAGGTCGGTATCACGAGCTCCCCCGCCCAGGCTGGTATCAATGGTGCCATGTCGGTGTGCAACTTTTTGTCATCGATCGTTGGCGCCTCCCTGGTCGAAAGGTTTGGGCGCCGTCCGCTGTTCCTTACCGCCTTGTCCGGCATGCTTGCGTCCTTTGCCATTATCACCGGCCTTTCTGGCGGCTACGCTACCCATCACCAGTCCGCCGTTGGTACTGCACTTGTCCCCTTCATCTTCATTTTCATGATGTTCTACTCGTCGGCTCTCACTCCCATCCCATACCTCTACAATCCCGAAATTCTCCCGACCTCACTCCGCGCCAAGGGCCTCAGTCTCCACACCATCGTCACAGGTCTCTGTCTCGTATTCAACAATTTCGTCAACCCCATCGCGCTCGCAGCTATCCAGTGGAAGCTGTACATTGTGTACGACGTCGTCCTGGTCGTCACACTTGCACTGTTCTACTTCTTTGTGCGGGAGACGCGGGGCCTCACCACGGAAGAGGCGGCCATGGTTTATGAGACGGATGAGGTGAAGGCTGAGGCTCGTGTATTGATTGACATTGGACGCCAGGAGGCTAAAGACGACGCAGCCGACGGTGGCAAGGGGTTCATCGAGCAGATTGAACGCAAGGTCTAAAATGACGAACACAATACAATTTTGTGCTTGGGAGAATGATATTCAAAGATTGATTTGATGCAAAGAAGCTGCCGGGGAATAGAGACACTCGAGGTCGTTGAGGAAACCAACGAGACGCCCTGGGTAAAGAAAATCAACTCAATTCTCCACACACACTCACAAAGCTGCGTTAGGATGCGGTCACTCGAGCTGGGGTTTTCCTCAGATGCTGGTGAATCCAGCAGACTGCTGGCAACAAAGCGGATCTTGGACACTAACCAGTAGGTGTTGACGGCTACGTGCGTGTCAGTGGCTGAAAGGGCTGCGGCCTCACCAGCAACATGAAGGGGTAGTCGTTCCAAAACCAAGATCAATGTGTTGACAATATCGTCCCGCTCGGCTTGGATGGCGGCGTGCGTTGTAATATTGGGTATAACGGGCGCCAGCCCAAGTGCAACTTCCTGATCGTAGAGGCGAACTAACTCTTCTCGGTAACGAACAAGTAGCGTGCGCGCCAGTTGCTGTGGCGGGTGGTCAACCACATTCTCTTACTTTTGGTGAAGCGCACCTGTGTGACATATATGTTCGCTTGTTGAATAATGAAGGTTGGTTGAATGTCTGCCTGGGCTAAGGTGTCAAGTGGTGGAAGCTCTGTAGGTCCTCCCTGCAATACACTCTCCATGAGTGCTCTGCGGTGGTTAGCTGCCACTGGAGATCCAAGACACTCACGCTAATGTTTGGTCGGGGTTACGGACTTGGGACCGTAGCTCATCAGGACAACTGTCCATCAAGTGCACAACTTGATGATGCAACTGGTCCAGCTCGAGGAAGCGCAGCTGGAGATTCACATCGCGAGGTGGCCTACGACGGTCGCGTCTTCGTTTTTCAAGAATGTCGCCGAGAAGTCGAAACAGTTTGCAGTTGTAGAGGAAACCGCTGATGCGATGTACGTAGTTTATTGGCGGAGGAAGAGTCTCGAGCTCTGTTAAGAACTGATCGTCACTGATGCGTGAGTTCACGGCTTCGTTTCACAAGTTTGGCCCTCGCTTACATTTCGGCAGGAAGGTCCATAGCAATGTCGTCTTCATGGTATAGGGTAGGGCGATCGTGGAGGGCGACGACGGTGACGTCGCCACAGTAGGCGAGCCACCATAGTCTTCGCCACTGCTCTCTCTCCAAGAGAGGCTTTGACTAGTCGTCAGATATGCACGAGAGAGTGCTGCTGCTTACATTATCCAAGTGGAGCTGTTGATATGTAAAGTTTACCGTGACAATGCCCCGAAACGTCACCGCCAATTGAGACTTGCCTAACAGAGACATGGTTTGGCTATTGACGTCAACAGGGGTAGCCAGTGGGAGCTCTATCCTCGTGCACTTACCTCTGGCTACAACGGTTAGCAGTGGGGTAATTGGAAAGGGGAAGCACTCACATCAACGTAGTCATCGCTCGCTCGATCGACCATTTCTCCCACTCAATTGCCTGACTGGTCCGGATGTGTGCGTTGCACCGCTGGACGAGGCCACGAGCGTCATCACGAGTCATTGGAATGAACGTATAGGGCAGTTGACATGTGGTGAGTGCGACCACCGATAGAACTAGGGCTGTCCATTCCTCCTGCCCCCAATCAAGCTCACGTCGCCGCTCGAGGTCGCGCCAGAATGTGGTGCTGTGGAGCAGTGGGGTGAGGGGGTGGATGTAGTCAAAGTACATCTCAATAATCTTGTAAAGCCTGCCGCGGGGCAGCATGATATCGAGAACACTGTCGGGGTTGTAACCGTGGTCGTCGTCAGGCCTCGGTGGGTCGCGTGCATGGGTCGCTAATGACATGGAGGGCAGCTCGGTGAAGCTGTTCAGTGGAGATGTGGACACAGGGAGGGCTGATACTGCATCCGCGTTACCCCCCAATGAGTACCAGACACCTTCAGTGTGGGACAACGGTGTCGAGGCGCTGAGGGGCTGCTCAGCCGCGAGTTCTTCATCCGCAGGTCTGCTGTTGTGCATCTGGAGTGCATATCTGGAGGGTCAGGACAATGGCACGAGCAGAGCGCCCAACTTGTTCTTTGGTCCTCTTCGTTGGGGAACGTGAGTTGAGAGGCCTAGGCTGTCAGAAGGGCAGTTTCACTAGCTTCAACTCACAAGGTACATCGATGGCAACACAGTAAGAGCACGGTGTTGTCAGGTCCTCTGGCTTTCGACACCGAATCCTGGTGGTCAACAGTGTTCTGAATAACCAAATGCGTACTTGCGAGATCGGCAAGCTGCGCCGCCGCATCAGCTCGGTCTCGTCAAACATCGCTGTCTGCCTACCATCACAGCTTCCTGCGCGGAATTAGTTGCTTGTCTCTCAACAAAGTTCGACTTACGGCTCTGTCTGGTCAGCCGTGCTTGTTTCTGTGGTCGGTCGGCACCGTCATCGTCGGAAATGTGATCGGCTCGGACGGGGCTTGCTGTCAACAACATGTATCCTGTTAAGTGAAGATGTGCGATGAATAGTTGTGAGCATTGATGGGAGCAACGAACAAGAGGGCGATGCTCTCTCCACTATGGGGGGATAACGACTCCGCCCCTCACCCCAATGATCCAATGAATTACTCCGTCGTTTGTCCGGTCCAGGCCGGTAGCTGGTAGTCGCTGACTTGCTGACATAGCATAATACGCCCACCAGGTGCATGTCATGGCCCCCTCCCCATGGGCCTTTGGCCCCTGGGTGATCTCGGAACATGATAGTCCCGTGTACCCATGGGATGTGACTTGTACTGGTGCGCTCCGCTCACTCTGAGTACCAAAAGTGCCGGTCGCGGCGCAACAGGCCATGGACGGCGAGTCGTAATAGTGATGCATCCATGCATCCCCATCCTTCTCTTGAGCGCTTTACCTCACATATTCGTTCCCGCTGGTACTGCCTGCGCCAGTACTAGGCCCGTCACTATCTCCTTCCGATTACAAGAACGCCAACTGGGTCCACCCGCTCTGGCGACGGTATCCGCAGACGAGTGCTCATGGGGGTACCCGTGGTAGGAGATGATCTGGTCCCCCCAAATCCGCCCGGCTGCCACAGCCTGTACGATCCCAGACAGTATGTTTGTTACTAATTTACGATCCATAGAGTACGAGATACGATCGGGTGTGCGCTCGAGGGCAGGAGGGAGAGCTTCGCCGCTTGGAACCAATTCTTGCTCCTGACATGTGGGTCGGTCGAGCTCTCACTCGCGCGATTAAGCAATTAAGCGGGGGACCATGGGGTCATATGACTATTGAGGCTGACGTGTCTCATTGTAATAGCCTGCGGTTAAGCGGTCCCCGTGGTCCCAGGTGACCAAATGGGCAGTCGAACGCCTTCCGAAGCTCCGAGCGCAAGGGTCCGAAGCTCCGACGGTTGGCGGGGCACTGGTTGGCGGGGCAGTGGGTAATTGGCGGTGTGCCGCATGTGCTGGGATGCTTGGGCTGCTCGGGGGCCCGTGCCTCACGATCTACTGCGCGTCTCTCTGTCTTTCTTCTATGCACGTTAGTGTGATTCCAGTGAGGCCAGTGAGCCATACCCGGGACTTGGCAGGAACTATCATGGCCCGATATAGGGGCATCGAAGGAAAGAACGCGAGAGTGCCACACCTAGCGATCGGCCCCGCGGTAAGCGGCCGGTTCTTATCAGGAACCACATCTCTATGTCTTAGCAGGACAACCGCTTACCCGCAGCGTGATTGTTCATTCTACTCATTCTACCCGGCCCCTACCCCGGCCCGGTGAGCCCCGTACCACCCCCGCTGGGGCTCTGGAACAGGCACACAAACGCCATCTGCGGACATTACCGAACAACCGGGTTCCTCTCTTGCTATAGAAGAAGTCGGCGCAGCAGTCTCTGCAACCCACCAACCCCACGCACCATACTATTCCACCATGGCGCTCTCACCTGCCCTTTACACATTTCTCTGCGCGTGCTTTGTAGCGTAAGTCTAGCGGATCGTCACATGGGCAGCATCCTGATGACACATGCAGTAACGGCGCTGCCATTTTCGGTTACGATCTCGGTGTCATCGCCTATGTCCTCGCTGCCCCCGACTTTATCGCCACCATCAACACTACCAACGACAACTATGTTGGATTCATCGTCTCCTCATTGCTCCTCGGGTATGTTTGACAGTGTGCCATCGTCATTGCCCCCGGCGCCTTTGCTGATGACCTTGTAGAGCCGCCGTCGGAAGTGTCCCATCGTCCTACATTGCCGATATTTGGGGCCGACGTGTCGCCCTGACTGTCGCCGGTGTTATCTTCCTCGTCGGTGGAACCGTCCAGACTGCCACCCAGAACAAGGAGATGATGATGGCCGGTCGATTCATCGGTGGCCTCGCCATCGGTCAACTCGGTGTACTCGTCCCCCTCTACCAGTCTGAAATCGCCAACCCGGCTGTCCGTGGACGGTTGACGGCCACCTTCCAGTTCTTCCTCGGTGTCGGTGCCTTTGTCGCCGGATGGATCGGTTACGGTACCTCCAAGGGCTCTCACGGCACTGCTCTCGAGTGGCGCTTGCCCCTCGCCTTCCAAATGCTTCCCGCACTTCCGATCGTTTTCTTGACGTTCATCCTCCCCGAATCGCCGAGGTGGCTCGCGATGAAGGGACGCGACGAAGATGCTCTCAACACTCTGGCCCGCCTCCACGCTCGCGGTGACGTCAACGACGACCTCGTCCAGGGTGAATACCAGGACATGAAGTTGAGCATCGATCAAGAGGCAGGTCTCGACAAGTCGTGGAGCAACATCTTCCGTGATACCGTCAACATGCGCAAGGTATTCTACGGAATCGTTCTGCAGTTCTCTGTTCAGATGACTGGTGTATCCGCTATTCAATACTACGCCAACGATGTCTACACCTCTGTCGGCTTTGCCAAGAACGCCCTCTTGATCAACAGTATCAACAACGTCGTTGGTCTCCTCGGCGAGGCTACGTGTATCGCCTTCCTCGACCGCATTGGACGCAGGCCCCCTCTCATCTTCGGAAACATCATCTCTGGTATCACCTTTGCTGTTGCCACCGCTATGGCCAAGCAGTTCTACGGCGGCGCCGCCGGTACCCGTGGTCAAGGAATCTGCTTTGTTGCCATGATCTACATCTACAACTTTACCTTCTCGGCCGCTATTGGTCCTCTGTCCTGGGTCTACCCGGTCGAGATCATGCAGAACAACATCCGTGCGAAAGCCACTGGTATCACTACCACCGCGTCCTGGTTGGCCAACTTTATGATCGGTCAGGTCTCCCCCACGGCTTTCAAACAGATTGGTGCGTACCTGCTGAGCACATAATGGTATGACAAGAAGCTGACTTGTATCAGGATGGAAGTACTACCTCGTCTTCACTGTTTGCAGCTTCACCAACGCACTCTTCTTCTACCTGTTCTTCCACGAGACCAGGGGTCGTACTTTGGAGGAGATGGATGGAATTATCCGTCACGCCAACCCCATCGTCCCCTTGTCCAAGGTCGAGCGCATCAGCTACAAGGACCGCGAGAGAGAGCTTGCCGAGCGCGCTCATGGTGCTGGCACTGGCAAGCCATCGATCACGCAGGAGGAGAAGGCCACGTACGAGGTGTAAGCGAAAGAGGAGTCCCGCGTATAAGGGCGTTCAGTCGTTTGGTACACCTATTGCTTCTCCATCTACATATAATCGGACCACGGGACATGTGAATGTAAACAGTGGCCAGTTCCGCAATTCAGTTGGCGGACCTTTTACCTACTGACAATGGCCGCGGCAGTGATATCACTTCTTGTCATTTAACCCTGTATGTACATGGCTGTTTGCTCCACCTCCATCGCGCTAGATACCTGTGGTAGCCGAGGGCATCGCTGAGGTCGTTTTGACCTGACCGTTACCACAGTTGCCGTTCCCGCTGCCGTTGCCTTGGCCGTTGTTGCACTTTGTGGACGACGCTGAACCACCAGGAATCGCAACACTTCCCTCGAGAGTATAAAGCAACGTCCCGAAGCCAAGTTGGTCGTAGCCGCCACTGTTGGGAGAGTAGTTGCCCCCACCGCCCTCTGCCCCGCTGCCATTGCGACGGGTGAGGTCGGCGTAAGCTTGCACGTAGGGCGCGTTGAGTCCTCGCTTTACAACGTACTCGTTGTAGTACATTTCCCAGATGGGACGAATGTCCCCACGCTGGCTCGGGCTAATGACCGTCTGGTTCCATTCGACTTGGCCGAGCTGGTTAATCGTAAGGTATGGTGTGAACTGCACGTCGTCGTAACCGAGGTTGTACTTGGTCGCGTACTCGGCCCCCTTCAGAATGAGGTTGTTCTTGTAGCCCCAAAGGTCGGTGCCCTGGTTGAATGCGGTTCGCAGGTAATGGCCCATGAGGGCAAAGTCGAGCATGGTGTGGCCTTGGTCACGTCCCGACTGGAATTAATGAGCAACAAGCTCAAGGACGCCTACGCACCTCTTGGACTTGGGCTGTGCCGTCCTTGTTGTATACCTTCCAGAGCCAGTGGTGGATCGACCCCTGTCCAATGCCGTCGTAGAAATAGTTGAGGGCGTAGTTGTAAATCTCGCGGTTGTCGGCAACGACACCAATGGCAAGAGCCGAGGCCATATTCGCCTGATCCCAGTTCGCCCAGTAGTAGGTGTGGTTCTGGACGACATGGTTCTCAAGGAAGTCCTTGTTGGCCGGCCAGAATATGTCGGTGAGGAGCGCGATGGCGGCAGTTAGGTCCTCTGGCTTGAACCCCTGATAGTCGCGGAGCAGCTCAACGCATTCGGCATACTGGTAGCCGTAAATGCCGGACGCAAGGAATCTATCAGGAGAAATTCCGGCGAATTCCTTCATTGTTGAAGACCACGCGTTGAGGATAGTTACGGCTCCATCCGCGTAACGGTCGTCCCCAGATACCTTCCAGCGAATGGCGTGCCTTTCCAGTTAGCATGACATTGCGGGAGGCTGTGACTTACTGGTAGCAGGCAGCAAAGTCGGTGTAAGCGTGCGGATAGTTCTCCTTGCAGCCGGCGTTGAGGCCGCGGCAAAGCCCAGCCTCGGGTGCCGGCTTGTAGGCGAGCTGAGATTTGGTGTTGTTTGTAAGCTTGTACCATCCTGTCATCCATGGTTCATCCCCTGCTTGGACGTGAGCCTTGACACGTGCAAGGTCGGCCGCGCTGTGGCTTAGACCCGGGTGAACAAAGGCCTTGTCCGTGGCAGGAGCGGCCAAGCCAGTGGCGATGAAGGCGAGAGCGAGAAACAGCTTGGGGAGCATGTTGACTTGGCGGTTGGTTGTTCGTTTCTGGGACTGAAGGCTCGTTACATCGCAGCTTATATAGGTAATTCTGGAGCTGGTTCCCTTGTCCCTTCATACGAGAGGAATCATGTAGAGACCAACATTCAACTCAACTCCAGAGATGGTGGCGTGCATCAGGTGCCTAGACGCGAAGCAAGCTCGAACCTCGGAGAAAACGCGGCATGTTGCAGAGGTCACATGCGATCACTTGTATTCACAAGTACGCATATTCTCCTCGACGTAACACCTTGCGCCGCGTCTGGTATCGTTGGAGCCCTTGTGAATTCGCATCGAAGTGAGGAAGAAAGGATATCGATATTCGCGCGAAGCCACATGACCACGTTCAACGGTTGTCCTCGGACTTGAGTGGGCCGGTGGGGGAACCCGGCCAACATCCGTGTACAGGTATCACGGCACGACCGGTCCGTCTGTTGGTATTCCAATCTTGCGCGGAACATCCAACACCCGATGGGGCTTTTGGTGGTTGAACAGAATACAGGCACAACTAACGACTCGGCGTTGCACTGTGGAGGGTTGCGGAAATATCGCGGGTGTCTACTTCGGATATGCACCGGCCACGGTGCCCACCTAACACCACGGAACTACGGCGGGCACGGCACATCTTGGAGCTGTGGTCGTCATCGAACTGGAACTCTGCTACCAACAAGGCAGACAATTCTTGGTGCAGTTGATAAAGCTGGGGCCCATCGCAGCGCTCCTTCAACCCCCTCCACAGTTTCGTAACATGCCGTCCAACACCCATCCTTCCGCCCGGGCCGTCCTTGCTGGACTTCCAGCCAGCTTCCCAGAGCTGTACACATTCAGCGATGTGGTTCGTGTCATGGAAGTTGCGAAGAAGTACGGCCAACCTGAAGGCACTCCAATCACCCACACGCCCGAATACACTCGTCCCGGTGGCCCCAACGCCTACGTATGCACCGAGAGTGAGTCACCTCCGCTACATGTGATAGGAGAGAGCTGATGGACAGTCGAGGAGGGTTGGGTCCAGGGCTTCTTCCCAGGGAGTCTATGGCTCATCGCCGAGCGGGAGCGGCTCCTTCCGGGTAGCCTCAAGAACAAGCACGGTGGTCTCAAGACCCCAGCATATTCTCTCGATCAGGTGGAGACTCTCGCTCGGCGATGGCAGAGTCCTTTCCGCCATCAGGCTCCCTCACCGGCTATCAACCATGACCAGGGTTTCAGGTTCCAGCCTTGTTACGGCCGCGACTATGAATTTTACAAGACGGAAGACTGCCGAAAGGCCCTCCTCGAGGCCGCGGACTCGCTTGTCGACCGGTACGATCCAAAGGTGCGTAATGTCGATGGAGCTTGCTAACCGTCAGATAAAGTGCATGCGGTCGTGGGATTTCATGTTCAGGGAGGATAAGCCAAGTCGACACCCCGGAAACCTCGACCAGCACTTCCTCGTGATTGCGGACAACATGGTGGGGGTTCCGTCCAAGACAATTGCTCACCCGTCAGATGAACCTTGACCTAATGTACCTGGCTACCGAACTGACTGGGGACATGAAGTATGCCGACATAGCCACTGCCCAGGCGGAACGCATGGGCCAAACCCATGTCCGTCCAGATGGGACCACGTACCACGTCGTCGACCACGGTAGTGACGGATCCAACCCTCAAGGAATGACAGCCCAAGGTGAGACTACTACTACTACCCGCGACCTGTTCTAGCAGCTGACAGTCAGGATATGCCGACGAGTCATGTTGGGCCCGTGGCCAGGCGTGGGTCATGTACGGAATGGCGCAGTGTGCACTGCGTACAGGCCGGGCCGACTTCATAGCAACCACGCGTCGCCTGACCGACGTCTTTCTTGCACGGCTCCCTCCCTCTGGGGTGCCGCTCTGGTGAGTTGTGGCATCCACTTCAGTTATGCCATGTACTGACTGTTTAGGGACTTTGACGCGCCCAAACCGTGTCCGTACGACGCGTCCGCTGGCACAGTGGCTGCGCGTGCGCTGCAGATGCTCTACGTTCTCCTCCGCGAGTCGAACGAAGCTGCGGCCGAGCATTACCTCGACGCCAGCTTCCGACTTGTGAAAGACATTCTTCTCGAGTGTGCGGCTCCCCCCGCAACGTTGAACTCCGATGGGGTGCAATGGGGCGAAGGCGAATGGGAGCCCATTCTTATGCACTCGACCATTGACGGAAACCCACACTCGGCGGGAGCGAAGCTCGACCACGGCTTGGTTTATGCTGACTATTACCTGCTGGAATTTGCCAACGAAGCCCTCAAGCTGCAGCGCGAGGAACAGAGGCGCACCAAAGAGTACGCGTCTTTGTAAAGCCACTAGCGACCGTAGTTCAAATAGTGATGGATTGATTAAGATTACAAATGGCTATATAGCGAGCGGCGGACCCATTGTCAGCCACCTTTGCAGGTCGGAAGAGCTCTCAGTGTGAGAGATTTTGGGATAGGTAAGGCTTGACGGTGTAATGGGGCATGTTGGTGCATTTGGAGAGTCCAAGTCAAAAAAAAGAGGGGGGGGGGGGGGGTTGGGTTCTTCCGTTCTTTAGACTGTTCGATGTTTCTCATCATGCACACTTTAACAGACAACAGGGATGCATTCCACTCAGTATAAAGAAAGACGGCCATGGGATGCACGACCTCGTGACTAGAGCGGGAAAGACGAAAAGTCGAAGTCGAGGCCAAGGTCTGTCCACTGGAAACTCTCAAGACTCGTCATATCGCCGAGGTTCAGCTCGGAATGGATGCGGAGAGCGGATGGAGCTGGTGAGACGTCGATACCTGTCCCCATTAGCGGTAATACAAACCGCATTTCAGCACCAGCGATGTACGCACCAAAGACATGGGCTGCAGCACTGTAGCCATTGACAAGCTCGCTGCAAACCGGCCAGGTGTCCTCGTGCTTGCGGAGGATGTCGACGAGCATGCGGAACAGGACCCGAGATTCCCGCTTTTGAAGTTCGCCGGCTGCGTGACACATGATCAGTATCTGTCCACAGATTACCAGGCGTTGTAGCTGGGGCCACGAAGGATTGAGGTTGTTCGCAGCCGCAAGATCGACGTAAGTGTAAAGAATCCGTGACACAGACCGCGCAATTGCCGCATAGCCAATTGCTTTGGTGGTGTTGGCTTTAAGAAATGGTAGATACAGGAGGATCCGCAACCTTGAATTAGCGCTGCGCAGACCCGTATGTACACCCACCAACTGTATCGGAACTCGGCCCACCCAACTTCCCGGGCAGCCTCCGTGTCGTTCCCCTGGAGGTTGCGAAGATCAGGAGACCACAATGCTTCTGTTGCCGTTGCGTACTCCAGGGTACCAACATCAATGGAAGGATCAGCTAGATCCGAGAGGAACTTGGCAGTGAAATATGAACAGCGACAAAGAGCTCGAGAGAGACGCATCGTCACTGGCGGCGTTGGGTCGGCCGTGCTCTCCCCCAAAGGAATACAGGGGGCGAGGTCCGTTAAAGACGCGCAGAACCTGGGCCATTAAGACAAAACCTTCGGACAGCGCTGCGCAACTGACAGATCAGCGTAGAAGAAACTCGAGTAGAGTGACCCCACGTCCTCCCGTGGCTCGTACATAGATGCGGTAAATTGTTGATTGAGACCCAGCTCTCGAATCTGCCAGGCCATGTGGTTCATGATCGTTTTTGTGTCGGCCGGTCCGCCATTTCCCAGGGTGAAGCTGTTGAGGCAGAAAAGGGCGCCTCCGAGCTTTAGTAATGTCATATCTTGCCACACTTACGCAATGCAAATAAGGACGGCCGAGCCCATCGCTTGAGAGCATCAAACGATAGATGAAAGTATGTGATATCCTCACGCGACAGGTCTCCTCCGGCTAGAGGCGTGCCTTTGTTGATGTTTGCTCGTATTTGCGCGAAACGAGCCAAACAAAGTACCGCGTAGACAATGGCAATTTGGTCCTCCCCGAGTGACTGTGGAAGGGCCCGGTGCCGAGAGTAAAGACCAATGTAGGACGCCGTGTCAAGAAACTTGACACGCTCAGTGGGGCCAAGTTCGGGAGACGTCATAAAGTAGTCTACTAAACTGTCTTCGTAGAGATACAGGTCGGGGGGGCTGGGCAAGGGCGTGCCTTGTGTGCCGGACAGCCGGGTGGGAACCTTGAACACGAGTTGAGCGAGAGGAATGTCTCGGACGTCAGCTGGAATCAGAGGAGTTCACTCACCGTGACTGGCCGACCAGTTTGACACAGCATCTTCAAGTTCGTCTAACGGGGATGTGCGGCCGCGCAGAGAACTGCTTGGAGATGTATATGTGTCCGAGAAAAGCGCCGGTGATGGTGCAGCAGGCGAGATACGGCCTATGTCGGCCGGATGGTTGGTGAGGACATCAGTGACTGTCGCAAATGATACCGAAGCTTGGGGGAACGAGTCGGGAATGTCTGCACACGTATCTGGGAGCGGGGCGGGGGGAGACAACACCACTGGAAGTCCTTCGCATGCCATCTCGTCATTGTCTGCTGCCTCTGGCATATCCTCTTCCATAATGGGTTCGTTGTTGGCTCGAGTCAACTCGGACAGTTGTATTATCTTCGAAGAGATGGCTCTGGACTGTAAGCTCCTGCGTACCATGGCCAATGGTCTACTAACCGCTTGGGTCGAGCCTTGAGACGAACGAAGCATTCTGTTCCCACACCAGACGAGACACACGCATCGCAAGGAGGGGGGCCAGAGCAGCGTATACGGCGAGCACGGCATTGCTCGCAAGCCTTACCCCTTCTCTGTCGAGGAGTGTCGGCGTTGGGACGCATTCGTCGCCGAGATGAAGCTGCCCTTTCCCGTGCGGAGGTCGAGCTTGAGGTACCTTCGGGCGTTGAGGGTGAAGACGGAGAGTGGGGCCGTTGCGAGAGGGGCCCATTGCGGGGCTCGACGTTGGAACAGTCCATGCTTGTGGGGCTCAGGGTGGTGATGTATACAGTGTGATGGTCGATGAGGACGATGAGAAGGGCGCCCAGGGGGGCCATGTGAATTCATCAACGGGGGAATCCGCTGTCCGTTGTACAACCGGTGCATTGCCGTCGTATAGCCGAACACGTCTAAACCGGTCCTCGACGACTGCATTTTTCTGTCAGTTTTGAACCTAGAGCTGCCATTGGACAGCCACCTACAGGATGCACCAACTGCTGCCGTACATGCATGTAGAGGACGCACCCAACCTTCGCCCGGAACAGGCAGAACTGTACTGTCTGGAACGCCCGGATGCCCGGGCGGGGGTGACACAGCTTAATCGCCACCAGCATCTCTCACCCCGAACGTCGGCAAGTGGTGACCATCATTGGAGCAACTGCCGCAGAGAAACAGCACAGTACTGCTAGTTGAATAGCCAAGCTGCATCGCTCTTTCCACCAACAACTGATATTCATATTCAGGGCTTACATCCTCTTGTTGCCCCCCTACGTGCTTCTGTTACCAAGGCTCTCCAGCACTTCCTCGTCCCCCCTCCCCTGCGTTCGCACCCGCTCCGCTTTCAATACATGTAGACGAAGTCCGGGTTCTGAATGTCGGTTAAATCGTCGAAAGCCAAGAGGTTGTCCGGCTCTTTGCCTGCGCGCGCAGCCTCCTTTTGCTTGTTACGACGAGCAAGAATCGCCCGGGCGACAACGGCAAGACAGGCAAACACAACGTAGAGGGCCAGATGGATGTACAGGGTTTGGACATAGCGCGGCTTCCACTGGGGACGGAACAGTTGCCCGGCGACTGTGTTACCAGCACCCCATCTGACGCGGTGAGCGGCAGATAACGACAAAAGATCAACAGGAGAGTCCACTTACCCCATGTACGCCGCGGCGTAAGTGATGGACCGTTTAGTCTGCCCGGCTGAGTTGCGCTGGACCATGAGGAGCAGAGCAGGGTTCACCGCCTGGAAAAATTGAAGGCCGTAGTATGCGACGAGGAGGCCAGCTTTGGTCTTGGGCGTTGGGACCACGGTGGTCATGACGATGGTGCAGGCAATGTTGGGCACCAAAAAGCCGAGAATGGGCAGGATCGTCTGGCCGGTACGCGGGATGAGAACTGCCAACTGCCTGTCAGACTCTTCCTTGCGGGGGGTACTTACAAGGAGGAGTTGTGTGAGCACGATAAACACTCCCTGTGGAATTGTGACGAGCTGGGTGGTAAGGACATCGAACTTGAAGCCCTCGTTGATAATCAGGCTGCCAAACGCCCCGATGCCGCCCACGACCTGAACCTGTCAGCCGATGGATGTCATTCCAGAGATATGAAAAGCCTGCACGCACCATAGTTTCCACACACGGAAGAGCGAAATAGAGGTAGGTCATGGGGTCCTTCAGCGCCTCGACAGCCTGGTCGCGCTTAAAAGTCTTGTTCTTGAGGCCCTGGTTGTTCTCGCGCACCCTTTCAACGAGCAGGACCTTCTCCTCCTCGGTAGCCCAACGAGCTTCGGTAGGCGAGTCGGGCAGGAAAGTGAGGAGGATCACACCGCAGATGAATGACAGCAGACCGATGTAGAGCGTCATCCACTGCCAGCCGTTCATTCCGTGGAGGTATTTGATGTGGTAAAATCCATAGGCGACGAGGGAGTTGTGAATGACATTGATGCCGACCATGACTTGCCAGCAGGCGCTAGTGAATGGCTGCTCCGACCGCTTGTACCATTGCACAGTGACTGGGTATTAGCAATCATACGATAAACCTCGGAGCACTTACGAGTGAGCAGCGATGGACCAACTAGGGACTCCGAAAACCCAAGAATGAAGCGAATGGCCAAGATGACGGGCACCTTCTTGCAAAAGGCGAGGCCGACATTGAGTACCGCCCAGCAGAGAATGCTGAAATTGTCAGCACTTATCTAAGGGGTTGGGTGGGAGGTGACGACTTACCCGCCTCCAAGACACTTGGCTACCGGGAAACGACGAACCACTTGAGCGGCGAAGGGTTCCGCGCAAAGGTAACCGGCCCAGTAGAGGGAGGCTACATTGGGAATGTCGTTACCTTTCGAACCCACGTCCTTCTGCCACCCCATGATGAGAGACATGCCAGTGGCGCTCTTGTCGATGCTCTGCAGAAAGTATGCCAGCATGAGGAACGGAAGGACGCGTCGATTGATCTTCCAGAAGAGCTCCTTGTCCTGCTGAGGGGTGAGCTTGACGGTCTCGTCGACATAGCCGCGGGCCGCAGAGTCCTGAACTTCATGCTGCTGCCGAGCGACCTTAACGTCATCGTCGACCCCATCCTCAAGGTGGATGGCGGTGCCGTTCTTCTCGTCGGCGGACATGTTGCAAGATAGGTGAGAGGTTTGTTGGAACAGCGCTGTGGTTGGCCAAGAGATGTGGAGACGAGCTGTGAAGTTGAGGTGAGATGTCTGGAAGCGTTCGAGCATGACATTCTTATATGTCACTCACGGAGCTGATCCTCCTAGTAGGAGGTGCCCCAATGCCCCGCGGGGTCCAGAGTGCTAGCGCGATCCGGATATTTCCCGGCGAGGTTCCACTGCGGGGCTATGGGGGGTCCCGGCAGTTGTGTGATCTGGTGAGGCGCGCGTCTTTGATGGCCTAACTTGTCGGAAGCACTGATGCTGGTCAGGCGGGAAATGAAAAGTGGCACCGTTACGGGGTGAGTTGCGGAAGGAAAGAAGACAATGGGGACAACGTCCAGACCAGGCAAAGGATATACCACGGCGAAAACGATCCTACCAATGCTAAAATGTCCGGGTGTTTTCCAAGTTTGGGTGTTCGGACCGGGACGGCCCGACGGATAGACGTCGGCAACCTGTCCTGCACTTGCCCATTTCGCTTCGTGCTCATCTCCCCTGACCGCCATCAAATGGTCATGATACACCCACGCTGCGCGTCATAAGAAGTGACAGTAGTACCGACTGCAACATCAACTCCCATCTTCCACCTACAAGTCTTCCTCTTCGCCCACAGCCATGGCTTCCAATCCTATCATTACAGGCTTCAACCCGGACCCGACAATTATTCGTGTTGGGGACGACTACTTCGTTGCGACGTCGTCCTTCGAATACTTTCCCGGAGTCCCTATCTACCACTCGCGCGATCTTGTGAATTGGAAAGTCATCGGGCACGCTTTGACTCGCCGCTCGCAACTCGACTTGCGCAATGTTAATCCCGGCGGAGGTATCTGGGCGCCGACCTTACGGTACCACAAGGGCACGTTCTATCTTGCCACAGCCGTCGTGTATGATATGAGGGCCACTGTGAGTTGGTAAAGGTGGCAGGTTGTATGAGACACTGTTGTGGATGGCAGGAGTGACAGTCGTGCAAGCTGACACGCCCAGCACACGCCGCCAAGGGGGTTCTACGTATCAACCACCAACATCTGGGACGAGACGACTTGGAGCGACCCAGTCTTCTTTGACCAGATGGGGATCGACCAGGATCTGCTGTTCGATGACGACGATCGCGTTTACCTCTGCACTGCTCGAAAGACCATGGGGCCTCGTGCACCTCAAGAGGCAAAGCTTGCAGTCTACGCATGTGAAATTGACCTTGCCACAGGCGATAGCTTGTGCCCGCCAGTTCTGCTGAGCTGGCACAAGGGCGTAAGTGGCGGGGTCGACGAGGGCCCACACCTCCTGAAGAAGGATGGATTCTATTACTTGTTCATCGCTGAGGGGGGTACGGATGCCGGACACACTGAGGTGGTCCTGCGCTCCCATTCTCCGCTGGGCCCCTACGAAGAACCACCAGCCGGTATCAACCCCCTCGTCTTCAATGGCGGCGTCAAGGGTGCCCAGGTCCAGAACACAGGCCACGCCGACTTTGTTGAGGGAGGAGATGGCCGCTGGTGGGCAGTCCTTTTGGCTACGAGGGCTCCAAAGGGCGGTGTCCCACAGCTCGGGAGGGAGACGTTCCTTGCACCAGTTCAATGGAAGGATGGGTGGCCTATTATCAACGGCGGCCAACCGATCACCGCCACCATCCCAGCCGATCTTCCCACGTCGCTCACTGAGGGGCCATGGACTGAGCGCTTCACGAATCGTGAGTGATATGTAGCTGGTGCATTGGTGCAGAGCCTGGGCTGACACTTCAGCTTCGCTTGACCGGGGATGGTATCACCTGCGCACTCCCCTCAAGCCCTGCCATACGCTCACATCTGGGACCCTCACACTTCATGGGAACGCACAGACCCTAGACAATATTGACAGCCCGGCGGCGCTCTTCCGCAAACAAAAGCACTATGCTGGGATTTGGTCGGCGGTGTTGACGTTTGAGCCCGATAACGAGTGTGAGGAGGCAGGCACGACGATCTATTACGGTGTCAACTCGTACGCAGCAGTTTTGGTCCGGAAGAAGGGGCAAGGCCGCGAAGTGGTTGCCCGTTGGAAGGATGAGGATATTGCAGTGAAGGTAAGCTTGCACGAGATTGCTGCCAGCTCATACTCTGCAGGAAGTTTCAGCCCCCATTTCTGGAACCGGTCCCATTACGCTGACAATTCAAGCGGGACCGACGACATACACGCTCCTTTATGGAAAGGACAGCGACGACCTCAAGCCGCTTAGGTCCATTCCCTCCACCCTTATCTACCGAGGCGTCTACTCTCCGTTGGAGACACCATTCACCGGGACCATGCTTGGGATTTTTGCCCAGTGCACAGACGGGGAGATGTGTCGCGCGCCCGCTGTGTTTAGCGAGGTGGGGTGGACTCCTGCTCAGTAAACTCATTTATACAACGATGCGGTTCGTGTGCTCTATGGGCCACAAACAATGCACTCGTCGGTCAGGTTTTACGTCTGATTACTCTTCCAAGCCATGCCAGATCCAGGTCTGATCTCCCCCCGCCGTTGCAGAGCATGGGTACCAGACGCTCTTCGCAGGCGAGCGCGGCAATGGGGCGGTCTTGATCATGGGCGAGAAGCGAGTTTAGCCCAAGGGAAGGAATGTGACCCAAGGGAATGTGGCCCAAAAGGGAACGAGGCAATGGATACACCGCCTGGCTTTCGGGTGGACGTCCAATTGGCTGATGAGAGACCGATGGCTGATCCGGCACAGCGCCACTGCATGCACAAGGAGTCCAGTGCATTCATGCAGAAGTATTTCCGGCGAACGCGGCAGACAGTAGGACCAGAGCCAAAGCCTCGCACGTTCTGTTCTGAGTGTCGGGGCCCATTGCCGCGGCGGTGCTACGCGCGGGCAGAGTGTCGGCAGTGGCACCGGCCATTGCCCCAGGCCGCGGCCAGCTGGTGCCAGGCCCCAGGGGCGGCGTTTGCTTTCGCTTTTTGCCGCACAACTTGCCGATCCACGGCGCTGCGGCTCAGGCAAAATTCGACGAGGACTCTTGCACTCTCAGGTCACAGGGCAGGAGCAGCGGCGAACGATGCTGCTAGCGTGGGTGTCCTTGGAGTATGCTTGTTCCCCCACTCCTGCACGTGCTGGTACAGTAAGCAGGGTGACGAGAAGGCACAGGCCCTGTCCTGGAGATCGGTGAAAATTATCACCGCGAAAGATATGGTGGGGCCACCGGAAAAACTAGGCATTATTTTTCCATCTCGCCCGGCCCTGTGTCTCGCTGGCTGCGCCAGACCGCGCCAGACGCGGCAGATGGATCGGAGAGGCAACGCGTACCCTCGCTAGTTGGCATCCGCGGCGGTTGTTCGCACGGCAACCGGCGACGTGATAGGTGCTGACCGCTCCTTGTGGCGGTGGATACCGGGGGCTGCGGAGACGTCCGGGGCACCCATGTTAAATAGATGACCACTGCCTCCCCGGACATGTCATCCCCAACGTGCCCCGCACACACTCCCCTCCTCCCATCGACACACACCAATTTAGATCCGCCGTCCCCCGCTCAGAATGTCGGACTTGCAGAAGGACCCCCACAAGGCCGAAGTGGAGATGCACGAGAACCAGGATGCGGTCGACAGGGACATGGGCCACCTGGCACTGCAAGAGGCGCACGACGAGTCGCCAATGCAGGCCGTGCGGCGGCACCCATGGACGGTTCTGTGGATCGTCTTTGCTATCTGGCAGTGTGTTGCCGTGTCGTTTGATGCCCAGGCCGGATCGGCCGTACTGAGTATCCCGAAGTTCCGCGAGAACTACGGATTCCTCAACTCGGAGGGCACGTACGAGCTCTACGCCAAATGGCAGTCGGCTTACTCTGGCGGTCCGGCTGCCGGCCAGGTCATCGGCACCATCATCTCGGGCAGCATCGGCGACTACATCGGACGCAAGTGGAACCTGTTCCTGTGCTACATCCTGCTCTTGATCGGCATCACGGTCGAGGTAGTTTCGGACATGACCGCCAACAACAACGCCGTCTTCTTCGTGGGCAAGGTCATCAACGGTGTCGCCCTCGGCGTCCTTGTCACCACCATCATGACCTACATCGGCGAGATTGCTCCGCTTGCGCTTCGCGGTATCGTGACTGCCGCGGCCGCGGCCGCATTTACCCTCGGCCCTCTCGTCCAATCGCTCATCACTAACTCCTACGGCAACCTCGACAACGCCTGGGCGTACAAGTCGATCTTTGTCGCCCAGTACGGCGTCACTGGTCTCGCTATCCTCTTCTGGCCTTTAATGCCCGAGTCACCCACTTGGCTCATCTCCAAGGGCCGCAGGGAGAAGGCGGAGCGCAGCCTGAGCCGCCTCGGCAACGACGACGAGCAGATCCTCAAGCGCGTCGCCGACATCCAGCTCACTCTCGAGGAGGCTAGCCTCGAGACTGATGGCGTGACATGGGCAGAGTGGTGAGTTGACTGTAGCCTAACCTGATAGAGCTTCGCTGACAGTCAGCTTCCGCAAGTCCAATCTGCGCCGCACCATCATCGCCGTCATGCCCCTCACCATCCAGACATTCACCGGTGTTTACTGGGTTGCCGGTGAGTTTCCCTCCCCCTAGTTCGATGCGATCGGGAGTCGATGCTAACTGCAGGCTACGCTACCTACTACTTCCAGCTGGCCGGCTACTCGGACCAGCAGTCGTTCCACATTGCCATCGGCCAACAGATCCTGTCGCTGGCCGGCAACGTTACCTCGTGGTTCCTGATCGATCGTGTGGGCCGCCGTGGCCTCTCCCTCTGGGGCCTTGCCATCCTCACCGTCGTCCTGTTCGCGTGCGGCGGGTCAGCCGTTCCCGGCACCATCCCTGGCAACAAGGCTGCCACCGGCCTGATCCTCGTCTACTGTTACCTCTATAACGTGACCATCGGCGCGACCGCGTACGTCGCCATGTCCGAGGTCGCCACAGGGCGTCTGCGCCAGAAAACGGCCTCACTCGCGTACATGACCCAGGGCGCGATCGGTACCATGTGGAGCTTTGTCCTGCCCTACATGTTCAACCCGTCCGAGGCCAACATGGGAGCCAAGGTCGCATTCGTGTTTGGGGGCTTTTCCATCCTCTGTTGCTTCTACTTTTACTACTACCATCCCGAGACCAAGCACCGCTCGTACGAGGAGCTCGACGAGATGTTTTTCAAGGGCATCCCCGCGCGCCAGTTCTCGACCTACCGCACGGATGCCCAACTTGCCAGCGAGCAGGTCGCAGCCGACGTCGGGCACGGCGATCGCCACGTCTAATCCGCAATGCGGCGGGTCAGAGTGCGCGAGGGTTAGGTTGTCGCTGCCGATCTACAGTCCCAGCTCGGCGTCATTGAATAAGAACAAAAAAAGATGGATGTAGTGGTATTTCACCCGCGCCGAAGCTTCCACTTATTCTACACCCTTGTCTTTTCACAATGTCCAACTAGAGTCAAGCTCAACAGGGTCTTCTTTGCTCGCTGATTTTGCCAAGCTAAACTTACCTCGCTTCGGAACCGATTGGTTGAGATGACCGCAAGACGGCACTTATACCTGCCTCGAGCGAGTGGAGGACGCCGACTGTGTGCGTGTGTGTAGTGCCGAACGCTGAGCGAAAGAGGAAGGGGGTGGTCACCGCCAAGGAATCGCGGAGTTCTGGGCTCTGGCAGCCAGCGACGTGTCTCCTCTTCCTTGCACCCCTTTCCAACCTAAGGGACAAAGGGCTATAGAGTTATAGCTTATGTAGCCTTGGTCTGGGTCAACTCCGATTTGGAACAAGAGAATTATGCGTTGTGTATGTAGCTGGTACTTACCTGACTAGATGCTTCTGAATTTGGGGCCGTAGGTTCACTTTCCGGCTACTTGCCCCCGAAGTAGATGGCCTCCTCTATTCTTGGGTCGGACCTCGTACTAGCAGTGGTTGGATAGCCGTATGGCTTGACTAAGGCTTGACAATCCGTCGGGGGTAGGCAAGGGGAAGAAATACAATTCTTTCACGTTCTAACCACATGCTCAAGGTCCCCCCGGGTGTCTCTTGGTCGTGGCCGACAGTCGATGCAGGCACATTGGTTGGCGAATCGGCGCTGTGTGGAAAGTAAGATTCAGTATCGGCACTATGACAGCGAAGACGAGGAAGATGGATGTGCCTTGTCTCCGTGTTCTCTCCCTCTTGGACAACCACCTAGCGGAACATGATCCGCCCTAGCGGACGACGATCCGCCATTGCCTATTCGGCCTCGGCAACGTCCATTGGCAGCAAGCGGACGAATGTCCGCCCTGCGTCAGCGGGTCAGCAGCGCCAGAGCGAATGCAGCCCTGACAGCTGCACGGCTCAGAAGCAGACGACTAACATCGGGGCAGGCCATCGCTTTCCCGCACATCCCATCCTCGCAGTTGATTTGAGGGCGGACACCCAAGCGGACACCCAAGCGGACTCCCCAGCGGACCCCCAGAGGACCCCCAAAGGACCCCAAGCTGACCCCGCAGAGGTGATGTGGGCGTCGTACAGCGTCGGTTATGCCCCGCTGCGATAGGCAGGGCTAAGGCGCTTCAGAACGACATCCACAGTCTCCGAGACCTTGCGGTCGGAGTGGTATATTACCTCCACCAGCAACTACAGGGTTGAAAAAACACCCTACCCTACTCGAGAACCCACACCTCGCAACTGTTTTACATCTCCCATAGAATGGCCGGATTGGACGTCAATGTGGCCTCAGCCACTCGCCATCAGACCGGATACCGCGGTATCTTCAAGAGCCGCAGAGTACTTGGCCTATGCCTGTACGCGTCCCTTGGAGGAATCCTCTATGGGTACAATCAGGGCGTTTTCTCAAATGTCCAGGTTATGGCAGAGTTTGAGCATCGCTATGCTTCCACCGTGAGTCCTTGTCCCTTAAGAACCAAGTTGACCTTGAAGATGAACGACCCCATCTCCAAGGGCATGTTGACTGCAATCCTTGAACTTGGCGCGTTCCTGGCAGCCATGGTTGCCGGGCCCATTTCTGATCGCTATTCGCGCAAGGTAGGTGTTTCTCCTGCTTATCCGACCTCGGGGACTAATAGACAGTACTCCATCTCGGCATGGTGCATTGTGTTTATGTTGGGTGTGGCCTTACAGGTCGGTGCCAACAACAACGTTGGATACATTTATGGTATGCTGCCGCCGATAGATGAATGTCACTGACTGATCTTCAGCCGGTCGTTGGTTCGCGGGAATGGGCGTGGGAGCCCTGTCCACACTTGTTCCGATGTTCAATGCCGAACTGGCACCACCAGGAATCCGTGGCACTCTCGTTGCGTTGCAGCAGCTCTCTATCTGCTTTGGAATCCTGGTGGCATATTGGGTGGCCTACGGCACCAATTTTATCGGTGGCACTAAGTACCCGGGACAGTCGACTGCCGCTTGGTACGTTGCCGAAATGGTTGGTGTATGGGCCGCTGACGGTCATTGCCAGGCGTATTCCGCTCGCTCTGCAACTCGTCCCCGCGATCGCCCTCTGTGCCGGCATTCCTTTTGTGCCGTTCTCCCCCCGGTGGCTGATGCTCCGAGGTTAGTCACAGATCACTGTTGTGTCATGTGGCGGCGCTGCTGACCTGCATCAGACCGCGAGGAGGAATGTCTCCAAGTGCTTTGTCACCTCCGCGACCTACCGGAGAGCGACCCAGAGATTCAAGTGAGTTGAAATTTAAAGATTTCCTAACGTCTACATAGTACGAGTTTGGCACTCTCAAAGCTGAGCACATGGCGCAAAAGGAGGCGGCTGTGGAGCGCTACGGGGTTGCTCATCGCTCTTTCAAGATCGAGTTACTAGAATACTGCCGCTTGCTCAGCACCCCTTCTCTCCTCAAGCGTGTCGGGTTGGGTGCTGCCGCCCAAGGTATTGGTCAATGGACTGGTATTAATGGTGAGCCCTGCTACGCTATTCATTCCAAGTGTCAACCATGACCCTGACCTGCCAGCAATCATATATTACGCGCCAACTGTGTTTGCACAATTGGGTCTCCAGGGTGGCACCATTGGCCTTCTGGCCACGGGGATTGTCGGCGTTGTACAGTTCTTCGCCACGATTCCCGGTGTCCTGTTTGTTGACAACGTGAGTGGTATCACTGCCAACTTAAAATGCTCACGCCATAGACCGGCCGTCGTCCACTCTTCATGTGGGGGCTTGGCAACATGATCATCTCCCACGCGGGTGTTGCCGCCATCGTTGCTGTTTACGGCGGACATTTCGATCAACACAAGGCTGCTGGCAACGGTGCCGTCTTCCTGAGTGGGTAAAGAGTTTAACTCAACAGCAACAGAAGAGCTAACAGTACAGTCTACTGGTACGTCGCGGCATACGCCTTTGCCTACGGCCCTGTGGGCTGGGTCGTGGTCGCCGAGACCTGCCCCCTGGACCAGCGCGCCCGAGGCATCGGAATTGCGAGTGGTACAAAGTGAGCCCTCACATTGGCGCTAAGGACACGCTGCTGATCATTTCAGTTGGATTATGAACTTTGTGGTTGCCTGGATTAGCCCCATCATGATTGAGCGATTAGGGTACAAGGTGGGCAGTTTACAGAATATCCATCGAGGTAAAACGCTGACATGTCTCAGACATTCATCGTCTTTATGGTTTGCTGCATTGTTGGACTGTTATGGGTTATCTTTATCCTTCCTGAGGTATGTCTGATTTGCACGCTGGTCTGTCACAGGCTGACCCGTGCCTACAGCTGAAGGGACTGTCCCTGGAGGAAATCGATAAGCTGTTTGACGACAAAGCTGGCGAACATGAGCGTCTCCGCCACCAGCGCATTGCGAGAGACATCGGTCTGGAGAAGCTCGAACATGACCTTCGCCATCAAGAAAATGCGACCAGGGATGTGTAACATACGCGCAGGTAACACTACTCTTAGTTCATGAGAGGACGCCAGGGTTTGGATACGTCTCACTGGATCCGGTACTGGGCCACAGTTGACGAAAGCGGCTCGTAAGGGAGGCGTTTTGCACCCTCCGATGCAACAGTAACTCACCGGTGAATACATATTGAATATGGTCTCTTCGAGAACGTCCTCGATCCTGAACCTGGACAGGCGGAAATCACACGGTAATCAACAGGTTGGAAGCATCTCCGACAGGTGGAAGTTGTTTCGGGTGCAGGCACAGTACTGAACATTCATACCTGCCTTGGGTTTGCCGCAGTCGGGTGCAGAATCCAGGTGTCAACACTTCCCCCCAACCAAGGGATCTTGTCTCCGCTGATCTTCTCCGTAACTCATGTCTGCGGTCGCTGTTGGGAGATTGCAGGTGCAAATACACTTACCTTCACGGATGGTCGCGAGTACGTTACTCGCTTTCGACCGCCCAAACCCGAAGGTAGCTAGCGAGCTACTACGCGATCCGACGTCAAGCGATCAAGTATCAATGAGGTCAGTCTTATGTCTGGAACTGTTTCTGCAGCAAGCGTTGTTAGCCGCTCGCTCATCTGGTACTACGCGGCAGAACGAATGTTGAATCTCGCTCAACCACCCGCGACTATTGTTGCTGGCCACCAAATGTTGTGGATGACTACTACGCTGCAAGTCACATAGTAGTGTCCGCCAGTAAGATGTGGTTAAAAGGATGTGTTCTGCACAGGTCTCCAGCCCATTGCTAATTGCTCACACAGTTGGGGCTCGAGGTCGTGTTCGCCTTGCCTAAGTCGCCCCGCCTATTCAACACGGAGGAACGACGTCCGGACGTGGGCCTTGCCGCCACAGTTGGCTCGCGCAAACCAGGGGACAACCACCAGCCGCTCGTCGATCGTGGTCCACGTTTTAGCCGGGGTATTGGCAGCCACTCGGCGGTGGAGCGCTGTGGTGCCATACTGGTCCAGTGCAGCGCGCAGCGGCATCTCCCTTGACTAACGTGAGTGCAATGACATCTACGACACCGCCAATGTCGACTACTTGATCCGTGAACGTGGCCGAGGTCTTGAGTCCCAGCGCCTCAAAGTGTGGGAACAACACTCTCGGTGACGTACACCATGGGTCCGCGGGTGACGGTGACGGTGACGGTGCCAGAGCCAGTGGCCGGGTGAGAGGCAGGGAGACGGACGGGTAGGTCGAATGAGAGGTCGAGAGTAGCGGTCGAGGTGCAAGTTGTGGCAGTAAGGTAGCCTGGGATCTCGGTTGTCGAGTCCGCCGACAGCCGCACGTTTTTTGCATATTCCGGCGCTGGCAGCCTCATCTGCCGCGTCCATCCCTCTGGAGCATCCAGCAACACCTTGGTCTTACCATACCACGGCAGGTCTGTCCCTAAGGTAGCCGTAGCCACAAGGCCACCTTCAAGGTCGATGGTCCTGGTCCCGGGAACGAGGAGGACATCTAGCTGAATCACCTTCGCGGCCACTTTGGCCTTCTAGACGTATCCGCCGAGCATATCAAGGCTCCTGGACAGGTTGGGAGGGAAGCAGCACACGGTGAACCACTCAGAGCATGTGGCTCTTTCATCGCCACTGGTGGCAAGCTTGTTGCTGTAGGAAACCAAGGGTGTATCGGAGGCCTTCAAAGGTATGTTTAAATTAGATGGAAACTAATTCATCATGTAGAATGAAATAAAATGTCTTAAAATCTTGCTAATTTTCATATAAACGCCAGTCGACGCGGGTCACACCGTCATAGATACGGAACTCGTCGTATGCCGGGTGCCATTGAGCTTTAAGGCAGCATAGGATCCCTGCTTGCGGATCTGCTCGAGCTCGATCTTCAGGACAACATCGGAGAAGAGGGTGCCGTAAAACGAGTGAGCGGCAACTGTGGATGCTTGAAGGTCACTTGGAGGGTAGCCCGTGGGACTCGTCCGAGTGGTAGATTGTGTTGGTGATGGTCATGGTGCGATGGGAAAGATGGCAACGGCTGGGACAGAGTAACTCGTCCTTAGGTGTGTCGATATCGATTTCGGCGCTTCTCAGCGGCCTCTCGGCGTCACTGAGACAGTGAGATGCTGAGCCATTACCAGTGATGGATGTACTGTCGTGAGGGTGTTGAGGCTGTCGAAAGTGTTGGGCGTGTTACAGTGAGGGTCGAGCGAATGGCGGCCACTCTGCTCGGAAACGCCTGCCCTTGGTATCTCCGCGGTATTTCCAGCAGTGGCTCTACCATTCACACCAGTCGACGGTGGAGTGTCGGCTACAGTTAGTAGTCGCGCTGGGTAGACATTGACAGGATGTCTGGGTCGCAGAAATGGGAATGGAAGGTGAAAGCTGCAGCTACGCTGCCTATGATGACGCGTGGGCCACGCTGCTCGGTTGTCCGGAGCTTCCCGCACCATACCGAAACAGCTGCAGCCATGGGCCCACACCGTACAGTACGTACAAAGCCATGCAGGACAGCGAGCGGGCAGGTTTAACAGTCCACTTTGCCCTTTTTGCGGTTGCGATGGCCGCGACATGAATGCGACACAGGGTCCTGCGATGGCTGTATCCATCTTCTTCAGACTGTAATTACAACACGGGCTTTCGGCACACTTCACAAAACAGGATTTCAGACATCTAGCACCAATTCCTAGCAGTCGGTGTTTGAAGCTGTCAGGGGACGTTCCACGGTGATCTCGATGTATTCCATTCGAGATCGCTGTGGATAGCGGTACTATTAATGGTTCCCGGCGGCGGTGGCAACAGCGCGTTTCGACGGGCATGTGACAGTGCCGCATTGAGCTGATCGTCTCAGCAAGAATCCAAAGAGGGAAAATCTGCGATGTCACGTTCCATTTGTACGGGGCAGCGCAAGGTGGCCGCTGACGGCAGGGAGTCTGAGCGGGGCGACCCGGCTTGTCCGCTATGGGGACTGGCCATGCGCTTCTCCCAGGAAATGTGTCTACACAGGGACCCAGGAGCCTGGGACCATCCTGACGATATGCTGGAGGAAAGGCGTATCGTACTCTGTCAACACGCTGCTAACGCTCAGGTATGTGTTCTGAGAGGCTTTCGCTGCCGACGCCTACCAGGGGGGCCGAGCTTCTGTCAATGAGGTGCTGATACCACACACAGTCGAACAACTTCTCACGGCCGTGGGTTTTAATTGGAGACCCCACATCTAACTTGCACCGAGATGCTCCATCTCATCTGACTATATGGATACGCGATTCCCGAAGGAGCACACCTCACTCGGAGACGATGGCCGAGGCTTCTTCACCTTGAAGTGGGAGGTAGCCCTACTACTTGAGCAGTGAGTCGCTCCGTAACGCGTAACGACTGCCGCTCCATGCCAGACACCGTGATGGAACCCTGTGCTAATGCCAGTTCCGACTTTGAGAGAAGTATTACCGTTCTCCTTGCGGTGTCGATCGGCTTGGATGTCTCTTCCGTCCGTCTTTACCGACTCTGAGCTTGCGATCCAGGTTACACCAGACCTTCGCCGAAGGGATCTCCAACGGACATTCCAGGTATCAAGGCCCTGGGGGAACAGGGGGACGACATGACAAAGTCGATGTATGCTCAATCGTTCTTCTCTGTCATCGAGCGCTGCAACGTAAGAGTGGAACGAAAGTAGGATGTGTTGAAATGAGTTGCATGAAGAGAAACAGAGACAGTCCGTTACCTAAATACCCTGAGCCCGAATCCGAGCAGCCCTGAGCCTGAGCAGAGTGGCATCGCTTACTCGCCGTCGGGCAACGCGGGGTTCGGGAACTCCTCGGTCATGTGCTCCTAATCCGTTAGCAGTCGCCTACTCAAGGTGAGCGTACCGAGTAGAATCTGAAGTGGACAGACCGCCCAGCAGCCTCAATGTCCTTGAGGTCCTGGTCAGTCAGGTCCTCCTGCTTGAACAGGTTCGCCAGCTTCTTGATGTTCTCCGACCGCGTCGAGGTGGTCACGGCGACCACGCCGCTTTGGATCGTCCACTGAAGGAGGACATTGCCGATGTCGGTGCCCTTGCGCTCCGCGATCCTTTCCAGCACAGGCCTGAGAGGGCCGCCGGAGTGACGGACGATGGGCGTGAGAGGCCCGTACCCCTCAGCGACAATGTTGTACTTGCGGTGCAGCGCGAGGACGGGCTCGAGGTGAACCAGAACGTAAGGGTGGTACTCGAGTTCTGGCCAGTTCAGCTTGGCAGATCATGTAGACGTACGGTGGCAAACAGGGTGGATTGTGGCCACCTTGAAGACCTCCTCGATGTCCTGGGGACGGAAGTTGCTGAAGCCAAGGGAACAGCCCTCGAGCGTGCCGTCCTTCACCAGAGCCTCCAAGTACGTCCAGAACTCTCCAATGCGTCCGGGCTGGGGGACAAATGGGTTGTGAATTAGCAGAAGGTTCGGGATGGAACCCAGGCGAGCGATGGACTGCGTCACGCTGCGCCTGACGTCCTCGAGGGTAGTCTTTGTGTCTTTGATCAGTAGCTGCGTTATACCGCATGGCCCTCACTGCTAGACTCCGAGACTGCGGGTCAGCGTTGCTGCAACGACTGGAGCTTACCCTTTGTCGTAACCCAGACTGTGCTGCGATCAACGCCGGCGTTGCTGATGGCCTCGCCAGTCTCAGCCTCCGTGAAGTACATCTGGGCAGTGTCGATGTGCGTGATGCCACCTTGGATAGCGGCAGTGCCCAGTGTTGCGGCCATCTCCCCGGAGGCCGTCAGGCCGGATGACCCGTTGCCCCAGGCGAGGCTGGGAATGTTCTTCCCATTGCTAAGCTGCAGAGTGGTACGCATTGTGAATTGATGTCGAGTGGTTGTTGCTCGAACGGTAAGCGTGCGTGCAGTCGGTGATTTAACGGGGTGGTTCATGGACCTACGGGCTGTTATGGCTGCCTCAAGGCAAGCAGCTCGGTGCGGCCGATAATCATAAATCGACCGAACATTCAGGCTGACTCTGGCCGGGGTACCGGGGTTAGGAACATTGACTCTGTCCGGTCTGGCCGGAGTTAATGCCCAGAAACCCACATAACACCGGCCCAGACTGAGAGTCGTTTCCGGGCATTAACCCCGGCCAGACTGAGAGTAGTCCGTGTGCCAGGTCGCTTCCGATCTACCTAAGCCCTGACTGGATAACCATAGACCGGTTTGTTTGTTTGTGGGTTACCGAGATCTGGAACAAGGTTGGGTGGGGGCACAAGCCGTCCGGTTACTCCACTCCAAGCCTGAAGGTCGAGTGCGCTTCGCTGGCTACTCGACACAACAGATGCAAGCTTCGAGTATGGGCCTCCTTCCAACTAAGACAGGCCAGCAGAAACAGAAGCGATTTCAAGATTCGGTTCAACAAGATGCATTCGTTTCAACGTCTACGTGTCTCTACTCGCTCAGAATCGGCTCGCCGTCGTCGTCAAACAACACGGGCTTGTTGTGACGCTGGGACCAGGTGAGAGCGACCGCAATCTGCGAAGCCTGGAACGCATCCTCGACGGTGACCGGCATGGGCTTGCCATCCAGCACGGCACCGACGAACTCGTTGACTTCGTTGACGAACGCGTCCTTGAAGCGGTCGAGGAAAGACGACGTCGTCTCGTTGCGGACACCCCACTGGTCGCGGATCTGAACCTTGTTGATTGACGGGATCTGGAGTCAGTACTCTGAACCGATGTAGGCGACTCACTGGGTTGATGTAAAGCTTGGTCTCCGTCCCAAACACCTCACAGAAGATGTCATGGCCATGGGTCGAGGTTCGGCTGGCGTGAATGTTGCTCGACGTGCCGTTTTCGAAGTTGATGATTGCCTGGGCCGAATCGACATCTCCATGCTCGGCCAGTCCAGGGTGACGGATGATGGCCCCAGATGCGTACACATACGAGACTTGCTTCTTGGGGTTGCGCAGGTTCTTCGGGTTGGCAACGTCAAGAAGCCAGCGGGCACCGTCGATATCGTGGATGCCGGCGTCGATCCAGATGCCTCCAGAGTGTTTGGCGTACTGCACGAAGAAGCCTGTGGGGTCGTACGTGTCGTTGGAGGCCGACTTGACGAGGTAGGGCTTGCCAAGTTCGCCAGAGTGGGCCTTGTTTGCCGCGTACTGGTACGACTCGTCGACTGAGGTAGTGAGTAACCAAACGAGCGCAGATGCCTTACATCAGCGACAGAAGCCAACCATGACGTCGACCTCGGGGTGCTGCTTGACAACCTCCACAACAGGCCTTGCCGCATCAACATCAATGGAGATGGGCTTCTCCAGAAGAACGTGCTGAATGTCAGCGTTGGTATGTATTGGGTGCTTCTCACCTTGCCGGCCTTGACCGCCTCGATGGTCAGCTTTGCGTGCGACGCAGTCTCTGTCGCGATAAGGACGGCATCGACATTCGGCATGGCCAGCACCTCCTGGTACGAGGTCGTCAAGCTGCGGTCAGACGTGTACCAACTCGCACACCTACTAGACGCCGGGAGGGAGTTCACCCTTGGCCTTCTCCAGCGACGGCACATATGCATCGGCACCAGCGACCAGCTCTGCCCTGGGGGTGCGGTACGCGACCTAGGTTGTCAGTGTGGTTGGGAGCACGCCTCACGTTTGCGGCATGGCGCAAGCCCATGCGTCCAAGGCCCAGCACCGCCATGCGAAGCTTGGTAGGGGGAGTGGGGTTGGTCATGGTGGTGTGGAGACGGGTGCGGAGAGGAGTGGAGCGTGTACGACGTGCGTGGGTCAACGATATACCTGAAAAAACGACAAGTCCGATACCCGTTGCCGCAAAGGTCGCAACTCCGGACCACCCAGCTCGATCAACCGTTCCATGGGGCCCGATGCCCATGGGGAACGGTGACAGCCCCTGACTCGTGTGACCAGGGGCTCAAGTCGTGAGATGAGGGGTACCCCCATGGTGTCGCGGAGCCTGTAGACGCGTGTCCTCCCTGGGCCGGCCTCGTCTGTGCGGGGGTTGCTAACCCGTTGCCAACTGTTTCAAGCTGGTTATTGCCGAGGAGTTAATGCAACAATCGGTCAACCACTGCGCGAGTTGTGCACGTCAGCCGTCCGTCCGCCCCGCGCAGCAGCCGCCCTGCAATGGGTGTCGCCAGATCCTGCACGGGCTTGGCCATGCGAGGCGGCCGAAGCCGCAACAGATCAACAGACCGGTCCTAGGGTTTTCCGATGTGGGGCACCTGTTGTGCTTTACCATCCCAAGATATATAGAGGCTGTGATGCATGATAATCGGTCAGCACCCCTCAATAAACACACGGTATGACAGCACCGACTACTCCGCCCGCCAAAGCTCACGAGCTCGATGATGACAACAAGGCTGAGGCCCAGCACCTCGACATGGCCGTCAAGTACGCTGGTGGCGCCGATGCCGAGGCTTCTGGTGCGCTCGCCATGGAGCGCCTTAAACACGAGATGGGCCTCTGGCAGTCCCTCCGCAACTACAAGGGCGCAGTCTTCTGGTCTCTTAGCGTGTCCATGTGCATTGTAAGTGTGTTTAACGGTGTCTATGCTTATTCTTTGATTATGGAAGGCTACGACCTCGCCCTGGTCAGCAACCTTATCGCACTGAAAGCCTTCCGTTAAAAGTTTGGCGTTTACGTCGATTCCACCCAAAGTTACCAGATCACTGCCCCGTGGGGTAGGGGGCTGCATCGGGTGTGACTACTAAGAACTATGGGAAGAGGATACTATAGTAGACATGGCAGTTTCTTGGCTCAATGGGACCAGAGATCAAAGTTTCTCACTCTGGCACGAAGGAGGGTGAGACTGAGTCTGATACAAAGCATCCTGTGGGAGTGGGGAGGTAGGACCTCACCCCAGGTGTGGAGGGCTTGGGCAGTCCTGTGTTCCATGACACCACCCAAAGAAAAGATGAGGGGAGTGAAGGGGGTGGCAGCAGAGCTAGGGAGATTTCTGAATTTCTCCCTAGATACAGAGTCAAGGAATTTGTGGACAGTGGCAGAAGCCCTCTCCAGGGTGGATCCAGTGAACCCAGGTGGGGAGACAGTGGTCCTGGCCTGGACAGAGCCCAGTGACACAATGGAGATGTCATACTCATGGTTGGCCAGCCCAGAGGCATGGGAGCCAGAGATTCTTATGTCATTCCTCCTGTGTGTAGTGTCACTGATGAAGGGTTCAAGGTGGACCTCAATGTCTGGGATGATATTGAGGGTGCCAGCTATCACCTTCTTCACCTGCTCATGCCTAGCCACAGTCCACTTGGACTTGTGTGGGCACACTTCATCATGTCCATGGAAGTTTCCATGTCCACAATGTCTGCAGCTGGGCGAGGTGCTGGGCACCATTGTCCTCAGCTGCAGAGCTGCTGCCACCTCAAAGTTGGTGAGCCTCAGGATTGCACTGGAGGGGATGGCTGAGAGCCACTGCCTGCCAAGTGCTGAGGAATTCTCAACCAGTGCTTGTTGTTGGAGGGGAGGCAGAGCAAGTGTCAAGTCTGCCTGGGTGGACTTGAAGGCATCCAGACAGAGACTGTGCTGGGAGGGGGGCTCAGGAGGGTCTGGACCAGGATCACCAAGGAGGGGGTGAAGTATGACAGATGCAGCTCCAGTGGAGGCCACATAAGCCAGGGGGGCACAGGTGGAATGGGAGAGAAGGCCAAGGCCACCCAGCTTGACTGGGAGAGACAAGAGGGTGTTGTCCTTCTCTGGGTCCATTACACGTGCAGCCCCTCTGATACTTCTTGCCTTGTCCCATAGGGCCATGTCCAAGTCTTCCCAGAGTTCCATTAGATCCTCAGACTTGAGAGTCCTCTGGAGGTGTCTAAGGTCCTGCTGGACTGCTTGGAGTAGGAGAAGCAGGGCATGCTGGTGGGGGAGGTCCACCAGTTTGCCAAGCTTGGCCTTGGTCATTGCTATTTTGTCTTTGAGGAAAGACTCTCTAGCAGACCTGGGACCCACTGTGCTGCCCAGGATTCCAAGCCCATTGTCTCTGATGTCACTCAGAGATTTTATGGAGGACTTGGCCATGTTGAGTGAGAGAGTGAGATCTTGCTGGGAAGCAAAGAAGGACTCAACCTCACTCAGCGTGCTGTCAGAGCTACTCAGGACATAAATGTCATCCAAGTAGGCTAGGACTGTGCACTCTGGACCTAGGGCAACAATCAGATCCTCTAGGAGGGGTCTGATCCCAACAGAGAACAGGAGGGGACCCAGAGGGTCACCCTGTCTGACTCCCTGGGATGAGTGGAGAGGAGGTACTCCTGGCAGGACAAGGTCAGTGGGCTTGTTGTAGGCCCACTTTGCAAGCCTGTACAGGGTTGGGGAATACTTCCTGACAGCCTGGGCAACAAGTTGCCTACCAACACTGTTGAAGGCATTGGTAAAATCAAGACTGGTCAGGTGGGTGAACTTGTGGTTGTCCAGTGCAGTGTTAACTGCATGGACCACAGGTTCAACACCTCCTTTACTGCCAACTCCAAACTGGTTGCCCAGCAGGAAGTCTGGCTTCAAGGAGTGCCTTAGGATAGCCTTTGTGCAGAGTCTGTATAACAGTTCTCCAACAGCAATAGGTCTGATCCCTCCCCCAGGTTTGGCAAGGGCTACCAGCCTGGAGGAGCACAACATCTCCTGTCCAGGAGCAGTGCCAGAGACCATCATAGTGCACAGAGAATGGATCATCTCCATGACTACTTTGGACCTCATGGCAGCTCTGAGCAGGGGCACAGTCCAACCAGATACACCTGGGGCAGTGTCCACTTTGAATGACTTCAAAGCAGAGTGGAGGGCTTCAGTGTCTGGACATGATCCATTGACTGGGCCCACACCACTGCCAAAGGGATTGGCTGGACCAGCTGGGTGCTTGGCCTTTAAGGTATTCACCACCTCTGGTGTGGGTTGGACACTGGCAGAGCCTTCCTCTAGGAGGTGGGCAGCTGCACTGATCCTTCCCATCTCCACCATCCTCTGGGCAGAGGGGGCAGAGGGAGTCACAGATTTTCTGAAGGATGCTTCTGGGAATGTGACCCAAGGGTAGCTCTTCAGTCTGTCTGTGGGTCTCCCACCTTGGTAAAGTGCTGGAACAAGACCTACTTTGGGGAGAGCAAGGAAGTTGAGGACAGTGCCTTTGCTGGGGGCACATAGGAAATCTTGAGCACACTTCTCTGCTGCTTGGACAAAGGCCTTGTAGACACTTGGGTGGAGTGGTTTGTGGGTGGTGGGAAGAGAAGAAAGAGAAAGGAAAGTGGAATGGGGGGTATCTTTGTAGAATTTTGGCATGTTTACCCCAGGGAGGGATGCCAAAGTCTGGGGCTGTGTGGCAGGACTGAGGACAGTCCTAGACCCGACAGCAGGAGGCCTGGGAGCAGTGGGGGGGGTGGGCTGGGTGGGGAGGAGGGTGGAGGCTGGGGCAGGAGGGGGGGTGTCAGACTCTGAGTCAGACAGCTGGATTCTAGTCCTGGGAGGAGGCCTAGGGGGGTTAGGGGGTAGGGGGCTGCATCGGTTTTGACTACTAAGAACTATGGGAGGAGGATACTATAGTAGACGTGGCAGTTTCTTGGCTCAATGGGACCAGAGATCAAAGTTTCTCACTCTGGCGCGAAGGAGGGTGAGACTGAGTCTGATACAAAGCATCCTGTGGGAATGGGGAGGTAGGACCTCACCCCAGGTGTGGAGGGCTTGGGCAGTCCTGTGTTCCATGACACCACCCAAAGAAAAGATGAGGGGAGTGAAGGGGGTGGCAGCAGAGCTAGGGAGATTTCTGAATTTCTCCCTAGATACAGAGTCAAGGAATTTGTGGACAGTGGCAGAAGCCCTCTCCAGGGTGGATCCAGTGAACCCAGGTGGGGAGACAGTGGTCCTGGCCTGGACAGAGCCCAGTGACACAATGGAGATGTCATACTCATGGTTGGCCAGCCCAGAGGCATGGGAGCCAGAGATTCTTATGTCATTCCTCCTGTGTGTAGTGTCACTGATGAAGGGTTCAAGGTGGACCTCAATGTCTGGGATGATATTGAGGGTGCCAGCTATCACCTTCTTCACCTGCTCATGCCTAGCCACAGTCCACTTGGACTTGTGTGGGCACACTTCATCATGTCCATGGAAGTTTCCATGTCCACAATGTCTGCAGCTGGGCGAGGTGCTGGGCACCATTGTCCTCAGCTGCAGAGCTGCTGCCACCTCAAAGTTGGTGAGCCTCAGGATTGCACTGGAGGGGATGGCTGAGAGCCACTGCCTGCCAAGTGCTGAGGAATTCTCAACCAGTGCTTGTTGTTGGAGGGGAGGCAGAGCAAGTGTCAAGTCTGCCTGGGCGGACTTGAAGGCATCCAGACAGAGACTGTGCTGGGAGGGGGGCTCAGGAGGGTCTGGACCAGGATCACCAAGGAGGGGGTGAAGTATGACAGATGCAGCTCCAGTGGAGGCCACATAAGCCAGGGGGGCACAGGTGGAATGGGAGAGAAGGCCAAGGCCACCCAGCTTGACTGGGAGAGACAAGAGGGTGTTGTCCTTCTCTGGGTCCATTACACGTGCAGCCCCTCTGATACTTCTTGCCTTGTCCCATAGGGCCATGTCCAAGTCTTCCCAGAGTTCCATTAGATCCTCAGACTTGAGAGTCCTCTGGAGGTGTCTAAGGTCCTGCTGGACTGCTTGGAGTAGGAGAAGCAGGGCATGCTGGTGGGGGAGGTCCACCAGTTTGCCAAGCTTGGCCTTGGTCATTGCTATTTTGTCTTTGAGGAAAGACTCTCTAGCAGACCTGGGACCCACTGTGCTGCCCAGGATTCCGAGCCCATTGTCTCTGATGTCACTCAGAGATTTTATGGAGGACTTGGCCATGTTGAGTGAGAGAGTGAGATCTTGCTGGGAAGCAAAGAAGGACTCAACCTCACTCAGCGTGCTGTCAGAGCTACTCAGGACATAAATGTCATCCAAGTAGGCTAGGACTGTGCACTCTGGACCTAGGGCAACAATCAGATCCTCTAGGAGGGGTCTGATCCCAACAGAGAACAGGAGGGGACCCAGAGGGTCACCCTGTCTGACTCCCTGGGATGAGTGGAGAGGAGGTACTCCTGGCAGGACAAGGTCAGTGGGCTTGTTGTAGGCCCACTTTGCAAGCCTGTACAGGGTTGGGGAATACTTCCTGACAGCCTGGGCAACAAGTTGCCTACCAACACTGTTGAAGGCATTGGTAAAATCAAGACTGGTCAGGTGGGTGAACTTGTGGTTGTCCAGTGCAGTGTTAACTGCATGGACCACAGGTTCAACACCTCCTTTACTGCCAACTCCAAACTGGTTGCCCAGCAGGAAGTCTGGCTTCAAGGAGTGCCTTAGGATAGCCTTTGTGCAGAGTCTGTATAACAGTTCTCCAACAGCAATAGGTCTGATCCCTCCCCCAGGTTTGGCAAGGGCTACCAGCCTGGAGGAGCACAACATCTCCTGTCCAGGAGCAGTGCCAGAGACCATCATAGTGCACAGAGAATGGATCATCTCCATGACTACTTTGGACCTCATGGCAGCTCTGAGCAGGGGCACAGTCCAACCAGATACACCTGGGGCAGTGTCCACTTTGAATGACTTCAAAGCAGAGTGGAGGGCTTCAGTGTCTGGACATGATCCATTGACTGGGCCCAC